AACCCTAACCCTAACCCTAACCCTAACCCTAACCCTAACCCTAACCCTAACCCTAACCCTAACCCTAACCCTAACCCTAACCCTAACCCTAACCCTAACCCTAACCCTAACCCTAACCCCGCATTTTGCAACCCTAACCCGCAACTTCATGTTTTGGACATTTTTGCATTCTGTCGCGCCACTCGCCTAACCCGCATCTTTCCCCTTTTCCCCTCCCTCCTCCCTCGGCCTCCCTAGCGGCCTTACGCCTTCGGTATACTTCTTCCCCTACCGTCCGCGCGGGTAGTAGGAGCGGTGGAGGCGGTATCGCACGACCGGTGGAGGCGGTATCGCACGACCGGTGGAAGCGAGAAGCGAAAGCTAGGGGTGTCGTAGTAGTGAAGCCGTAGGAGCAAGCTTCGTCGCACGTGCGGAGGGAGCGAGCGGTGTCGCAATCAATATCCGCGAGCTGTGTCGTGAGCGGTAGGAAGCGTAGAACGAGAGCGAGCGGTAGAAGCGATACGCCGCGCTCTTACAGCAGAAGCATCGAACCCATTGGCTTGACCGACGCCCAAGTCTATAGATTAGTATGATAAACCCGGTAGACGCGTGATCTGCAGGCAGTTGCTAGCTCGACCGATGCTGATAGTTCAGATTGTTCGTTGCTGCAAGCTCCAGCGTCATCCGTCGCGGCAAGCTGCGCGTGGCACTTGGGAGTCGCGGCGTTGTTCGCTGTCGCAAGCTGCGTGTACCACTTCATGGTCGGAGTGTCGTTCGGAATTGCCGCCTTTACTGCGTCCATCACTGTCGCAAGCTGCGCGTGCTAGTTTGCGATCGCGGTGTTGGACCAAACGCGGCCTGTCCTGCCCCTCTAGGCTGTTGTTTGCTTTCACAAGCTGCGCGTGCTGTTCAAGGAGCCGCAGTCACTTGCAGATTCCAATAGTCGCGATGCTTGCCATCAGGGAGTAGTATGCTGACGAATAGGCAGCAGATTTCTCAACGAAGATGCCGACCTGCAAGCAAGCTGATTACCTCGCGATACCTGAAACGCTAGCCAAGCCATCAACTTTCGTTAGGCAAGCTATTTAAGCCGAAGGCTTGATAGGTTTGGTGAGCATGTCCCACCTTGAGCGCAGCTAAACAGTCGGTGCCAGACACGCCTGTGCTTCTGCAGAAGGCCGCGGAAGTTCTTGTTCTGGAGTAGGGTTTGAAAGGCTTGCAAATCGCTTACGCTGTTTGCATTCGACAACATTTGCGAGCTTCTCGTGGTCGAGGCACTCGGTCACTCTGCGCAGCGGAAATGTCGCTTCATTACAGAGCTTCAAGAAGTGCAGGTATCTGCGATGAGACATCGCAAGTGAATGTCCGGTATTGGATACCTCTCGACCTTGGCGAAGAAGTGCGGTCTTTGTGATCGACTTTACAAAGCTGACGTTGAGTCGCTTCCGACATTACAAACACTTCGCGTAGCCAGGATAGCGTGTTTGCCCAGAGACTTGTCGCAAGACTTCTCTCCTCTCCGCAACCCAAGACGTCTTGAGATAGAAGTCCGGTGTTGCGTTCCTTAGCGAGTACGACGGCGCATTACGACTTTCGAGTTGTCCATGCTACTCTACTATGCTACAGGGACCTACAAATCGCCGTGTCAACCTCGCAACACTACCTTCGCAGCCTGGGCCTCCTCCAAGCCTTTGTTATGCATGTGTCCGACCCTTGCCACGTCCGGGCTGCGCTTTGCTGGCCTTACTCAGTATACTACTATCCCTAGCGCTTCCGTCAGTCCAATACCTTGTCTTTGCGATAGACTCACTGGACATGGGAGCTCCACTCAGCCTTGCGTTATGGCTCCCTCGCCAGGCCAGGCTGAATACTTTCCGATCAGGTGATGTGCTGAGCTTGCAGAGCATGTATTGCCACGCAACAAGGCTTCTTTCCAAGGTTCGGACCCGCTAGATAGGAGCTCGACTTGGTCGAATGTTGTTCGGGATATTCAGGAACATCATGCGGTACGGGTAATCATTGCAACACGGCCATACTTAGTCTCTTCCGACGCGACATCCAATTGGAAGTAGCGCGCTCAACTGGTTAAACGAACAGGTTTTGGGCCGGACCCAGTCGGTTTCGAACGGCGAGACGACAACGACGGGAAAGCGTATGCTCCGCTGATGCACGGGCAGCTACGCCAGATCGAGGTGGGTATGCTGGGTAAGGTAACTGTCAATGGTGCTTCGTTGAACCCGAGACGGGTTGCAACCCTCAGCGAGTTGCGCTGAATGACGATGGGGACGCGGGCACTCGCGTTACCAGGGAAGGGGTTACGCTTGGGCCTGCTCTATAACCTGCCTCATCTCCTGCTCCTTTTCCAGTTACTCCAGACTAAGTGTGTCCGAATACAGTTTTCGTAGCGTGACATAATTCGTCCAAATTGCGCTTGTCGACCATTGGCGAGGTACAAGGCCGCCTTGCAGAGAGGCAAGAGCGAATTAGCTACTGGATGCGGAAGCAGGAGTGACGAAGATATCGGGGACCGGCAGTCCTGTCGCCGGCTGTGTCGAACCCGTTGATCTTCAGCGCTTCAAATCCTAGTGCACACTTCCAGCAAACGCTGCCAACCATGCCACTGTTACCAAGTTCACAGCGTACGGACGAAGAAGAGATGATGGTTGTGCCAGATTCACAACCTCGATCGGAAGAGGACGAGCGACGCGGTGGGAAGGGGAGAGGTATACCGCGCGTACCATCGTCGAACGATACCGAGAGCGGTTCGTTCGGCGCATGGAGGTCAAGCCCTCCCAACCAAGAGGATGACAATGACAATGATGACACTGTCATTGCACCGAAGCTGTTAGTTCCTGGACTGCGGTCTCCCGACGCTTCGCCTACACGTCCGGTCACGGAGGCACAGCGAAAGTTTAACGCGGATGGAGCACTGCAGATACTCCTGAATGGGATGCGAGCCAGCGACCTGCAGGACTTTCCGAGGAGTCTAGACGGGCTGCGCGCTCGCGTGAACGAGCTCGAGACAGTCCAGCGCGACCTTTCGGCTGTCGATGCAGCTCAGGCAGAAGCAGAAGCGAAGATCGAGAAGATCAATGCGACAATTGGAAGTCACAACGATCTCCGCGATCTAAAAGGCATGTATGATGCATGCCAGCGTATGTTGGCGTCAGGCAGGCTGCTGCAAGGCAAGCTCACCCACGCGAACGCTGAACGACTTCGCTTGACCAATTTGTGCTGGGAGCACGGCATAGACCCTAGAACAGGACGCCCGTGAACGCGCACAGTATGGTCGAGTAAGGTCAGAAGAAGCGCGACAATGTGACTGGTCCAAATTATTGGGTCACCGCAGCGTCGTTATAAAGATGTAGCATTCTGCTGCTTCGACTTTCATCATCCATCGGGCTCCCAGCCCGATCATGGAGAGGGTTGCGTCGTAGGAGACTCTGCTTGAACGCTCCTTCCTCCGGCAAGCGTTCCGGTTGCTGGTGCGCGGCGTTTGCCGGCTCGCTTTCCCACAAAGCATTGCACAATCCGTGGAACATTCGAAACTCCCATACCATTAACATGTGAGTACATGTACGGGCACGTTTCGAATTACAGTATACTGACTATGTTGCGAAGGACGAAGAGAGACATCGACGGCGCGCCGCGCACGCTGGACGAAGGTATGTTGCTGAAAATGTCACATATTCAGAAGACACACTGACTCCGTCCAGTCAACTTCGTTCAAACCGAATGCGTCCGCAAGCTTGAAGAGATCAAGGCGAAGATGGCGATCGTGGAGAAAGGCCGTGAGGAGATCAGGCTCGCTTCGGCGTACCTGCTCGAACACGGCTGGACACACGAAGACATTGCCGCTCTGATGTCTTCGGCGGTGGAAGATGCTCCACCTCCCACCCAAGCGGCACCAGAGCGTCCGGCGAAGAAGCCAAGGCCGCAGAAGCCGGCTCCCGGTTCCGAGGGCAAGGCTGAGGCCAAGGTGACCTCCAGTGACCAGATTTCTGGTCGGGAGCCGCCGAAGGCAAAGAAGCCGGCTCTCGGTTCCGAGGGCAAGGCTGAGGCCAAGGTGACTTCATCCAATGACCAAGTTGTTGGTCAGGATACGGATGCGATGGCCGTGGACGGCGGCGTGGCGGAAGAAGAGAAGCCCGAACGGGAGTTCACGGTAGTAAACGCTCACGGGAAGATGAAGCGGGTGAATCCGGCAGCCAAGACAAGGCTCGAGGCAGGTACGCTTATCTCGAGGTCGAAGCCTGCCGGCTTCGCGTGCGAAGACTACTGGCTGGGTTCTTGCGCCAGAGGTGATGGTACTTGCGAGTTTACCCACGATTGGGTGGATACGCTCGTAAGGAGCCAGAACTTCAAGGCGGCGAGCAGGTCGGGAAGTCTTCCTGCGCACGCCCTGAAAGCATTGCGTGACTTCGACTTCCGCAAGAAGAACGCAGCTGACAAAGCGGCTGCACCGGAGCACAACACTGTGCTGCATAAGCTGCCGGCAAAGTGCGCCGAGGCTGAAAAGCCTTCCGGCCTCTCTGCTAGTACCGGAGCAGAGGAGCGGCAGCAGGCTGAAAAGCCTGTCAAGCTTCCTCAGGCGACTGGAGAACGTTGGAGCGAGATGGCTTCCAACCTGGGCTTCTCCGAGGGCGAGGAAGATGCAATTGTTGCATCGCCCAAGTCTACGAGTTGACCAGTCTCATTCTGAGATTCTCTGGGGGGTTCTATGAGCCCTCATCAGATCTTGCGCCTGGACTGCGGAGGACTGAAGAGGTTATTACGCAGTGCGAAATCTAGACGGTGATCAGCGCGGCCTTGACTGCCAACACGAACAAGCTTCAGCACCTATCCTTCTGTGCGCCGACCATACCAAACCGCACCCCTTGCGACACCAACATCTATTTGGAAGGTTCCTACAAACCCTTACTAGCAGGCAACGCCGTAACGATTATACTTTGTCCAAGCACCATAATGTATGCCCACTTTTGCAATCTTAACCACGTAAGGATGGGGCTTGCGTTGGTGTAGCTCGACAATAGTACAGCAGCCACTTGCAAGAGTACTGGTCCGGGTGCCGTATCACTCGCGAGCCTTGGATGTGGGCAAGACTCATCCATGCAAAGTGCACTCTGATAAGAGATATGGAGAGAAATGCGTGGACTGCACCCTTTCCAGCAGTCGCCCGACACCAAGCTGCTACGAATGGTGAGCTTGAGGTAACAGATAATGGGGTAGAGCCAAGATAAAGCTTCAATTGGCGCCGCGCACAGACTCACCTAGCCTCGCTACTTTGTGAGGATCTCTCGGCTACTTAAACCAAGATTCAGTCGCACTATTGTTGCAAGATCTACTCAAGCTCTCACTTTCGCGATAGGCAGTCAAGGCGCTCCGGCTTCCCTCATCATGCGTTGAAGTGTGCTTATCACTCTGGCAAACGTTCTCGAGAGGCGCTGTGGCTGCCTACACAAGCGGGACGTATCTCCTCCCTTTTTCGTCCGCAGACTTGTACGAACCGATAACGTTCTCGTAATCAAACTGACAGACAAGAACTACGTTAGTACTAAGGACTCAAACCCGTGTATTGTCGCGACATTTAGCGCCGTAATAACCTGGCCGACTAGATGCTTGCTCGCCCCTAGCTTGGACTCTAGGAACGTCAAGACAGTTTTGAACCCAGCAGGTTAGCGCACTAGTCCTCTATGTACAAGCGTAGATCACTCACGGCAAACAACTGTGACATACTGAACGTGAGCGTAGCATACTAGTCATAGACTTCGGTCCGTAGATAGGCGCTATATATATCTAAACCTGTCTACGGGCTAACTCGCCGTATACTAGCTAGCTCTTCAATCTCCTTCGCCGACGTCTCTATACCTCTCTATTAACGGCCTAAGATCCGGCAGCAGATGGAATACGGCCGGGTGCTTATCCCTCAACTTCTTTACCAACCTAGCAACGTCCTCCCGCTGATGCCCAAAGTTGCGCGCTTCCGCCTGCGCGCGCAGGGTCCCTACAAAATCGCTCTTCGGCCAGTCCATGCGGATGAGCACTACGGGTATAATAGCGCTCTAGCGCGCGCGGCTCGAGGACATGCAGGTTGCGATACGCCTACGAGTCGTCGAACTTGAATGCCGTTTGTTGTTATTATCCGCAGGGTTTATCGTCCAGTGATAGAGCGTTCAGAGTCTCGCTCCCTCGTAAGCGTCTGCGACTTTCACCACGACCTTGCCGTACACTCTGCGGTTGGCCAGGTCCGCTAACGCAATGCCGACGTCTTGGAGTCCGTTGTACTTGCCATATAAGACCGGCTTCACCTGGCCTTGCTGCAGCATGCCTAAGTAACCGTCCCATATCCGTTTCAGCTCGTCCGGATACCGTCGACCGCTCTCGCCGAACCTATACCCGGTCACAGTGACAGACTTAAGCAAAAGTTTGTTCATCTTGACCTCCTCCATGACACCCTTTCGTGCCGCAAAGCCCAGTATAACTATTCTGCCAAAGTACGCTACACAGCGGATAGCATCGTTTACCATACCAATGTTGTCCAGAACAACGTCCACACCACGTCCGTCCGTCAAGCTTATCACCTTCTGGGCCCAGCCGTGTTGCATAACAACCACCTCATCCACGTCCATGTGCCTACGCATGTGTTCTGCCTTTCCCACGTCTCCGGCAAGAGCGATCACTCGAGCCCCTATAGCTTTCGCGACCATGCAGCAAACGCTGCCCAAGCCGCCACTTGCTCCGCTGACGAGTACGGTGTCTCCGGCTTTCACTTTCGCAATGTGCACAACAGCCGCATAGCTGACGGCTTGTCCAGACATTGCGCATGCTGTTTCGTTACTCAAGGCATCAGGCACCTTTCTAATAGCAGCTTCTGTGACACAAATGTACTCTGCAAAAGCGCCAATGGCAGCTCCAAACACCCGATCGCCTTCTCTTAGACGCCCGATTCTGTTTGCAGGCGCAGACTGAATGACACCAGCGAAGTCATAACCGAGGATGAAGGGGGGAAAGCACCACCCTCGCTTAGCGTTGTTGTTCTGGTGTTTACCTTGAGCGTGGAGAATGTCTGCATGTTGCGGGCTGCAATGCGTGATGTGGACGAGGTATTGGTCTGGCTCGGGAGAGGGTGTTGGCACCGTCGAGGGGCGGAGAGTGGAGGGGTCGGACACAAACTGTGAGACAAGTATAGCCTTCATCGCCAGATAGGACAGAACAACATTATTGACTTACTGTATGCGTGCCTACTATGTAACTATGGCGCACATGTAGCCATTAACAAAGAGAGTGAACTCACTGTAGCGGACACAACAAATACAGCCGAGGATACCAAGGGACTCACTACCCACTGGGAAAGGCTTCTCCGCAGATCATCAATCTTTCTGTTTGCTGGACAGAACACGAAGCTAGCGGCTGTCTGCATTCGCCCTGCAAGGCGATCTGCCTCGGGCCCACAAGCTCGTGGCTGCGGCGAGCTTTCCGAATCTTGCATACGGCAAACGTCAGTCCATTTCTACATGCTCGGATTCTCAAACCCACGAGCTGCAGACTCGGCAGGCTACGTATGCCTGCGGTGTCTTCGACGGGCAGCTCGCCGTGATGGCGGCACACAGCGGAAACTACATGTGACTTCATCCAGAGCACAGCCTGCGAAGTCTGTTCTAGCTTTGCTCGAGGAACGTGGACTGGTGAACCAGATTGCTGGGTGCGTTAACCAACCCGGCTCGTACGAATACCACTCACATGATGTGTCAGAGACCGCAATGCCCTCAATGGGATACTCCAACGCCGAAAGGTCGGATTCTACGCTGGAATCGACCCTACCGCGCCTTCTCTTCACCTTGGCCACCTGCTGCCATTGATGGTATTATTCTGGATGCACCGCAGTGGTCACCATGTTGTATCTCTTGTTGGACGTGCTACTGCCCAAGTTGGAGACCCTAGTGGTAGATTGACCTCACGGGCGAAGACAGCGGAGACTGTCCACCAAACGAACTTCCAGACCATGTACGCTCAGCTAGGCCTCATCTGGAATAATGCAACACTTTATGCCCAGAGACGCGGTGGCGACGCCAGAGGTTTGAAGGGTACGATGGAGCTTCTCGACAACGGAACCTGGCTAAACGAGCTGCGCCTGCTAGACTTCTTGAAACTGCTAGGCGGTGGGATGCGGCTCGGCAGTATGCTCAGTAGAGACACGTGCGTATCTCCAGACATCACCGCGTCTTTCCGTACTAATATCAATCAGAGTACGCAACAAAATGGAGAAGGGCGACGGCATGTCCTTCTCCGAGTTCACATATCCGCTCCTCCAAGCTTGGGACTGGTGGCACATGTACCGATCGAAAAGCATACAAGTCCAGATTGGCGGTAGCGACCAATTCGGCAACATCATTGCCGGCATGGACGCGGTTCGACACATCGCGCAGACGAGCACAGCCACCGGCCAACAGTTCCAATGGCTTGATGAAGACGGCAAGTTGAAGGACGAGTATGCGCCTATGGGTCTCACGGTTCCGTTGTTGACAACCTCAAGCGGCGAGAAGTTTGGCAAGAGTGCTGGCAACGCGGTATGGCTGGACGGTAGCATGACTTCGCCGTTTGATCTCTACGGGGTGAGCTATTTCAGCACACTGTCGTTCGAGCTTTCTTGCTAAGTGGACCACACAGTTTCTGCTGCGCTCCGCAGACGACGATGTAGAGCGGTACATCAAGCTATTCACCTTCGTGCCGATCGACGAGATAGCCTCCGTCATGGCAGCCCATATGCAGAACCCTGGGGAGCGAAAGGCGCAGCATCTGCTCGCCAGTGAAGTCCTCGAGCTTGTGCATGGCCGTGAAGAGGCCGAGCGGACCCAGAGAGAGCACCACGCACTGCGCAGTCCTACCTTGAGCGCGCTCAAATCCAAAAGCCAAGACGGGTCTGAGCACGCTTCAGCGCAAACGGTACGCATAGTACTACCCGCGTCCCTTGTGTACAACACCCCTTTCTCCCGCATTTTGTTTCATGCGGGAATTGTGCCAACTAAGTCTGAAGGCGCTCGGCTTGTACAGAAAGGTGGCGCTTACGTTGGCGGCTCGAGTGCCAATGTCCATGGCCTTCAGCCGGGTGGTACGGGTGAAGGTTTAAGCTTCAGCGCAATTGGAGACCAGAAGACCCGGGAAGTCAAAAACCATGTCAACGATGGCCTGTTGATCATACGGGTTGGCAAATGGAAGGTGCGGGTTATCGAAGTGGTTGAGGATGCTGCCTTTGAGGCCAAAGGCCTGGATGCGCCGGGGTGGGCTGAGTTCAAAGCGCTCAAGGCAGGCATTCAAACCTGGACTGCTCTGCAGTGATGGTCATCCAAGCACGCTACAAGGCGTTCTGCTCGAGGTACCGTCGCATACTGTCGAACTGCGTCTTGCCAGTGGAGATTAGGTAGCGGATATGGCCAAGGTCATGCACGAACTTATTCCGTTCGAACTCGCCCCGGGCGAAGGTTCGAAGTTCCTCGCGCGTCGAAGATTTTGGAAGCTCTAGTAACGCCATTAGCCTGTGCTGAGTTCCCGTGCAGGGTGCTGCCTGAACATATGCGGGAATACGTACGGTGAATTGAGCGAACAATATCCCGCCACAGGGCAAGCGCTCGGCTACGTTGCACGAACTGTATGCAAGTGTCAGTAGCTTGCGACCACGATGAAAGGTACATTGGCACGCAAAGCTCACATGTTCAAGCGTGAGGAAAGGTTTGCCCTTCACATCATTGCCGGACGAGATAGTGGCGTAGAGTCGCCGAGCAGCCTTCATCCCATCGCACTGCGCACGCATACGTCCGACAGCTTGACCTCACGATCGTTACGGTAATGTTTCGAGCCTGCAGCAACCACAATCACGACCTATGCCAATGGTTCCATGCGACCAAAGCTGCGGCTACAATACGGCGTCGGAAATTGCCGCACGGATTGAACCGAGGCTCAGTCGCGTCTTCTGACAGACATCAATGCTGCGGCGCATCCCAGAAAACACTATGCTAAAGCGCAAGCTGGAAAGGAGCGATGCTCCTACTGTACAGAAGAAGCAGAAGACGACAAACGACGGACTCATCACACGAGCGAATGCACTCGACGTCAACTCCTTCCACGAGAAGTACATCAACAACGACTTGCTGCTGTACCAGCAACGAGACGCGCCGACAAAACACACAATCAAATTCGGACCCGCCCGGAGGCTGTACGACAGGGAAATATCGGAATGCTACGACCTTGTCTCCATCACGAGCCAAGCAGACTACGAAGCCAGCGTCCAGGGCTGGCATCCCACGCGCAAACAGCGCGAGATGAAGGACAAAGATATGCGCTACCTCCTTGTTCGAACAGTTTCCTCTAAGGAAGACGTCGGCATTGACCTCGACACCACAGTTGATGGATTTCTAAGCTTCATGCTAACCCACGACTCTACTCCAGCAGTACCAGTGCTATACATCTATGAGCTTCATCTTGCAGGACAGCTTCGCAAGCTAGGCCTCGGATCGCATTTGCTGAGCTTAGCGGAGAACATCGCGGAAAGAGTTGGCGTGAAGAAGGTCATGTTGACCTGCTTCCTCAGTAACACGAAAGCGCATACCTTCTATCTCAAGCACGGGTACGCGAAGGATGTCTCGTCTCCAGACGACCGGCGGACGAGGAACGGAATCTCGAAGCCCGATTACGTTATCATGAGTAAGACGGTTCGATGAAAGCGCTGCTTCGGGTCCGGATAAGTTGAATTCGAAAGCGGCCATAGGGAGACTCATATTCCGCACCATATATGCCACATCGGTAGCCCGCAAGTGTCCAGGGAGCGCAGGAAGAGCTCCAGAGTCTGCTACTGCGGCGAACACTGCGCCTAAGCTCAGCACTCAGGTAATCTACATTATGCCATTCCATGCCGCTTCACAGCAGCCTTCTCGATCTTCCGCCTCTTGCCCCTTAACTTCTCCGCCTCCTCGTCCTTCCTGGCATTCGAATGCACCATTTTCTCGTACATCTTGCGTTTGCGCCGCGGCATCATCATCTTCCGGCGCTCGACGTCTTCTTGCGCCTCTTTCTCTGCTCTTGCACGTCTGGCTTGAGCAGCTTCGCGAGCGGCTTTCTTGGGGTCGGCGGGAGTGGATTGCACTGTACGGCCAAGCGCTTCGGCTTCGAGCTCGGCTTGGTGACTCTGGTTGTGGCGAGTAAGTGCGTCGACTTCGTCTTCGTCGCCAGAGAAGCCACCCCAGTCCTCGCCTACAGCGTCCACTTCGGCCTTATCGGCAGCGTCATCTTCGTCTTCGGACGCGGCAAGCTCGACATCCATACCATTTTCCCCCTCCAAATCATCACCCTCGTCAAGCTCGTTCTCCAGCTGTCTCGCTTCCTTATCGCCTCTGACTCCCTCCACTTCCTCGCCCTCACTAGCACCGTTCAGAGCCTGGTCCGCTTCCAGTTCATCTTCGACATCCTCGTCTTCCGCCTCCGCAACGGTCTCCTGTTCCGCAAGCGACAATGTAGGATCATACTCCCCCTTTCTCGGCTTGACCCACGGACTCAGATGCGGCGGCAGCGTGGCACCAGGTGCATACAGATCCGGCCGTTGCAACTGACCGGCGTTCACACTATCCCAAACCCACTGTGGCTGAACGTATATCCTTCCGGGCACGCGCTCGTTATGCCTTCTTACGAACACCCCATCATCCTCATCGTCCGCGTCCGCCTCGCCGTCCGTGAGTGGCGGCGAAGGTAGAGGGATGTCAGGTCTATCCACGATCTGGTGCGTGATGCACTTATCGTCTTCGCTCCCGCAGTAAGCGCCTGGTTCGCCTAGCGAGGTATCCCAGCCTACGCGCTTGCAGCCGAAGGCTTTGAGAATGAACTCGAGTGGGTGCCGCGGTGTCTCTCGGGAGAGAAAGAAGGTGAAGGCTTCGAAAAGCTGGCCAGCGGTCTGCGCGTCGGCGGTTAGGGAAGGTTGGAGCAGGGCATCGGCATGTGGATCTATGGGAGCGAATGTGTCGAGGGCGGTTGATGATGGCTCCCCTTCCGTCGTCTGTTCGTCAGTGGGCTCGTCGATGCCAGGCGGTGGTAAGGTGGTGTCTTCCGGCTCCGACACTGCCAGTAACCTGTCCGCCTCCGCCTGCGCTTTCGCATTGACGCCTGACTCCACCATCTCTTCTGCAGTACTAGCCTCGGACTGCCCTTGACTCTCAAGCTGGAATGCGCCAAGCTCTGCGCCTTGCTCTTCCGACTTCGCATCCAGCCGTGGCGGATACACCAAGCCTATACCTGTGTACAGTCTGAAGTTGATGAAGCTGAGCAACGTCGTGTAGAAGTCTACAAATGTCGCCATGATCCTGAAGTCAACGTCGCCGCCCGTGCGCTGTACGAACCGGTAGGGTACAAGCCATAGTATGTCCTGTCCTCGAATGGTAGCCTGATAGTATATGCCCTTTATCGAAAGAAACGACTTCCGTAACGAATGTGTCCGGATCAGGTAGTGCTCAAATTCCAGCGTCAACCGCTGGCATTTAGCGATGATTCTCGGCGGCACCTCAGCCGTACTCGGCAGGTTGGCAAACAGGAACAGCATCGACAGCGCATCATCCAGATCCCTTAGCGCATCGACAAAGGTAGGATATCGCTCCTTGATGATATGGTCAAGCCGTAACCTCGGCGTGAGATTCTTCTCCAGCCGTGCCGCATCGCTGACCTCATTCCGCCCCAGCGCCTTCGAGATCTTCTTCGCAAGCGCCTTCTGATCGCGGAATTTGTTCAGCAGCGGTTCGTGGAGCAGGTATTGGATGTCCTTGGTGTAGTAGAAGGTGGTGCTGGGGGTGGCGGACTTGGAAACGCGCTTCTTGGAGCGTGGCTCGCGCGGATAGATGCCCTTGAAGATGCATAGGCGGCGGAAGTCGGGCAGAGAGATTTGCAGTTTGCGCACGGCTTGCGAGCGCGTGATGTAGTTTTTCGCATTGCCGGAGGTGCCTGATGTATGTTAGTGTGGTCATGGTGAGAGCGTACTGGATACGCGTACCCTTCTTCTTGATGCGCCCCATGCTAGCGGTGATACTGTGGTTGAGTGGATCTCACGCGGAATGGAATGAGATCAACTTCCCTCGCAAAAAAGTTCGAAGATCAGATCTGCGAGCGACGGTAACGCCAAGATTTCAGTGGAGTGGCGGCCCGCTGTGGAGGTTAGGCATGGGCGTACCCTCTCAGGGCTTCGGCTCAGCGCTGCCGGAATCCAGCACCGAAACGTCTCGCCTTTTGATGAAAGATTCAGCGGTCGAACTCCATATCAGTCCTCCACATCACAGCAGCGATGCGGATATGATGGTGCTGCGAGTGAAGGATGCAGTCACTACCGCAGGTCTACAATGACCACCACAAGGCCATTCTCTATGGTTCGGCGGCGGCTGTCCGCATACTCGCCGCTGTCGCATTTCCCGGCCTGCCAGATACCTTGTCTCTGCGAGCCGAGCTAGCAACACCCGTCAACAGCTTCAAGCGACGTATGTTGCGACCCTCATTGCCTTGTAGCATTGGCTAAGCGAAAGTCAGCAGCTGAGATGGCGTAGTGCAAGAAGGCCTCTTCCTCTACCAACGAGGGCTCGATCCCTACAATGGCGGCATCTTTCACCAGGTGAGAAGTGCTAGGGTGATATCTCTCTCGTCTGTCTAAACCCTTGCAGGCTCCGCTCTTGCTTCCATTGTTCTCATTGCTGCCTTCACCGGCATTCGCCTCTGGCACGCTGTTAAGCGTCCTGTTATATACCGGCCTTGACCTCCTGGTGGCCGAGTGTCTTTACTATATTGCGCAGTCAGGTGCCGCGTACATATCCCGGCGTTACAGATCACCACGACACGACCGTACATGGACCCCCGCTTCCGTCGCAGCAATGTACGTACGCTCCAGCGAGCCAATGTACACTGCTAACGCCGAACAGTTACCTATTCAATCCCTATACGCTGCTCACGTGTCTCGCCCGGCCCACGAGCGTCTTCGCTACCTTCTTCACCCTGCTCAGCGTTAGTCATGCCTGCCAAGCGCGAACGGCGACTGCGGCTTTCGCGCTGGCCATAGCCAGCTACATCAGCTTACATCCCGCCCTGCTGCTTCCGCCAGTCGGACTACTTTGCTACGACAGGCTCTGTCTGCTACAGCATCAAGGACGTGATGCTACGTCCAACGGCGCTGCCATCGAAAAGCCAACATCGACGAAGATTGCTCACGACCAACGCTTACAAGCTCGACCCCTCGAACTCACCCTCCGGTTCTCGGGCATCTACCTCGCTACCTTCCTTCTACTCCTCACGCTCTCCCGTCTCCTCTTACCAAGCTGGTCCTTCATGCCCTCCGTCTACCTCACTCCTCTCACCCTACCCGACCTCACTCCCAACTCCGGCCTATGGTGGTACTTCTTCACGGAAATGTTCGATGCCTTTCGCTCTTTCTTCCTGGGCGTCTTCTGGCTGCACATGCTCTCCTACAGCGTCCCTTTCTGCCTGCGTTTGAACAGACAACCGCTGGCGGCAGTGGTGTTGATCATGGGCGTGCTGGCCATCTTCGAACCGTACGCCAACGCCGGCGACGCAGGGGTATGGCTGAGCTGTCTTTGCCTCCTGAGTCATTTGTTTGAACGTACGTATATACTCAATGCTACATACAAGAAAACCCGCTCAATTGCTAACGCGTTGGTAGTCTCATCCTCACATCGCTACACCTTCCCAGCGCTCGCGACACTGCTGTACGCCACTCTGCTTGGACCGGCGTTCCACCATTTGTGGATATATGCCGGCTCCGGCAATGCCAACTTCTTCTACGCCATCACGTTGGTTTGGAGTCTGGCGTTGCTGGTATTGCTTGCGGACACGCTATACGCAGCATTGAGGGATGAATATGAAGCGGAGGTACCCGAGGCGAAGGGGAGGGAGATTAGGCAAGTTTGAAGTGTCAAACTGGTATGATGGAAGTTCTCGAAGCAGCCCAAAAGCAGGCGTCCGGGGCGAATGGTGTTAGGCATTGCATATCTTGCTGATTGTAGCCATATGGTCGCCAAAAGCAGAAATTTCGAGCTTACCAAAAGTACGCTTTAAAGCACTTGCTGCAATGTTGACCACGGAGTCACTAGAGTATAAGATTCATCGCTCAGGAAATGGCGCTGTGTCAACTTGCTTATGACTCTAGCTCAAAGTTCGTACCGTTGAACTGAACATCCTATTGTTGACATGCTTTGGCTTTCAGAACGCTAATTTACCATGCTGCTGTCTGGCCGCCGCCGGATATATGCCGCCTACCTCGCCTAGTATACTACAGCCTGGCCTTCGCTTGAATTCGGTTACCTAGCCTCGGCATATGGTGTTCTCTTACTTACTGAGCTCAGATATCCCACTGTCATTCGACCAGTTTCTGCTCGCTACCTCAGGTGCCCAGCTGATCCTCTCCCAACAGCAATTGGAGACGGCTGGGCCTACTGTTCGAGACATAACAACGTCGGCAAGGAGAATGCTGCACTCCATGGCTTCGAACATAGCAACGTACAAGCGGCTGACTATGCCTTGCGAGCGCTGCAGCTCATCTTTGCCCTCATCGTTATAAGAACAGACGGCAATGGTACACGGAAATAATACTCGATCGACGCACCGTCAAGCCTAACCCACGTAGCTAGCCATTAACGTCATCCGCGACCACACAGTCTACGAACATCACGACTTTGGCGATTCTTACGCTTACTATGGCGTCTCCAAGGCGTGGGGCTTCCCAATCATCTGTGCCAGGTGGACAATTGTAGGCATCGTCTTCCTCTTCAGTGCTCGACTCCGCTTGGCAAATCATGCATGAAAGGGCTACATTCGTATCGCAGTCCAACCATCGCTTTCGTCTCCTGACTTGCCTGTTTTATTGCTGTGGCGGACAATAGAAGGAGCATTGCATGTCCCGGCAGAAGAGTTTCATTGTAAGTCACTCAAGGCGGCGACTGTCTGCCGGGCTTTGGAATGGTTGCTGTTTGGGATTAGCACCAGCCTAACGACCAGGCTCTTCTTCGACCACACGCGCTGGCCAAGAACTCCTGCGACTGATTCTACTGTCACCATAAGATCCGCTGCATAGAGTGTAGGCATAGGCTGTTGGGGACCATCACAACCAGGCGACACGCCAAGAAGATTCCAGCATCACGCTACCGAGCCAGAAAGCAAGCTTCTTGCAAAGTTTGATGCCCAGGAATCGTGTCTTGAGCGTTTAGGCGCAACAGCTTCGACCAAGCAAGTGCGCCTGGTCATGTCCGGGTTGTGGTCCCATGGTCAGCCCTGCGTTAGCATGACCGACCTGCAGTGGCCTTCGATTGAAACGCGCAACATCATCGTAGTACTATCTAGACACAAGCCCTCTCCGTTTACAGGCGGAGCCACTTGAGAGCTACCTTTTTCGTTTCTCCACACAGCCACGCAGCTATCGCGCGTCTAGGCGAGCATATACGCATAGGTATACAAACATCACCATGCCGGCGTTGTCCGGCTCAATAGCATGCGTTGATTCATCAGCATGCGCACCCGTCGCTGATGGCGTATTAGACGCTGTACATGCGGGATGGGAGAAGATACAACGTCACGGCGATTGACCGGACGTTCAAAAGTGGACCATGGGTCACGTGAGCGCGCGGCGCACACGCATTGAGAGCCTCGCCATCTTCCGCAATCTCCACTACCGACCATCTCACCAAGCCGGGACATCCCCAATGCCAGTGCCGGAGGATTTGTCTGCAACATCGACCTCGGAACACCCAGTGCGCATTTCTCTACCGCTTTCATACCAACAAGAATTGTTCAGTGAATTGCGGGCAGAAGATGCGTTGCTCATCCAAGCGCGTGGACTGGGCCTCCTCCGCCTTGTCACTAACCTCCTGCACTCTTATGATGCGGCCGGCAACAACCTGATTCTGCTAGTCGGCGCCGATGATCGCGAGAATGGCTGGATTGGCGAAGCTCTAGCGGAGCAGGCCGCCACGAGCGGCAGCCCCAAATGCCGTGGTCTCAAGCTCGTGAACACCGACCTTATGAGCGTCGGTACGAGAGAGAAACTGTACAGCAATGGCGGCATCTTCAGTATAACAAGTCGTATCTTGATCGTTGACTTCTTGTCGGGGTTACTGGACGCGGCGAAAGTCACCGGTATGGTCGTCTTGCACGCTGAGCGTGTGGCGGCGACGAGCCAGGAGGCTTTCATTGTCCGGATGTTCAGACAGAAGAACAAGAACGGCTTTCTCAAGGCGTTCTCAGACCAGCCTGAGCCGTTCACCGCATCCTATCAGCCCTTGACGGGCATTCTGAGGAATCTGTTTCTTCGTACCCCACTTCTCTACCCGCGATTCCATGTAACCGTCGCTAAGTCACTAGAAGGAAAGCGAAAAGCAGAGGTCATTGAGCTGGAGGTGCCGATGACTGATGCAATGCGCGATATCCAGAACGCGGTTTTAGAATGTGTTGAGGTGTCGATCATGGAGCTCAAGAAGGGCAACACCGGCCTGGAGATGGATGATTGGAACCTCGATAGCGCACTTCACCGCTCGTTTGACACCATCGTGCGACGACAGCTAGATCCGGTATGGCATCGCACCAGCTTCCGCACGAAGCAGATTGTCAGAGATCTTAGCTTACTGCGGACAATCTTACATTCACTGCTGACATTTGACGCTGTGAGCTTCAACAAGTACCTTGACACTGTGTTGGCAGCATCCTCGCCGCCTCCTGGCTCGACAAGGCAGTCGCAGTCGCCGTGGCTCTTTCTGGACGCCGCCCATACCTTATTCGATACTGCGAAACGGCGCGTGTACACTGGCAGAATCGCAGAAGGGACAGCAACTACGGAGCATGATGGTCTCAATCCTGTACTGGAGGAGCTGCCGAAGTGGAACCTGCTAGCTGAGATCTTGGAAGAGATCGAGCGCGATGTCTACTTCAATCCGCAACCACACGATGAGAGTAACGGCAGCATCTTGATCATGTGTGGCGATCAAGGGACATGCCGTCAGCTACGCGAGTTTGTACAGACAATGTTCGTTGGTGACCTCCATTCTCTCAACGGCAGTGCCGAGAAAGAGGACGCCTACGAAGACAGAAAGCCGAGCGGCAATTACCTCATGCGCCGCAGACTTCGCAACTATCTACAATGGAAGCGGGACTTTGCCCGCGTGAGCAGCAATCTCTTCACCGAGAACCAGAAGGCAATCAACGGCACCTCAACCCATCCAAGCGGTCAAGCCAATCGTGGCGGCCGCGGACCGCCGAATAAGCGGCGCCGAGTCCGAGGTGGCGGTAATGTTCCTTCAGCGCCGCAGCGCACAGCAAGCGGCAGTGTCCATGTTGCAGGCGACAGGGATGCACATATACAGGCACTTATGCACGAATTGGCTCCGAACGAGACCGAAGATAACGTCGATGCTGTAAAGGTCGATTTCGGCGCTGATCCATTGGACGATATGGACGACTACTACGAACTTTACGAGATGAGAGACCTTGTATTGATACATCCGTACGATGGCGACGTGGACGATCACTTACTGGAGGAGGTCAAGCCTCGATATGTAATCATGTATGAACCCGATGCTGCATTCATCCGCCGCGTCGAAGTCTACCGCAGCAGCCATGGCAATAGGCAGGTACGATGCTACTTCATGTATTATGGCAGCAGTGTGGAGGAGCAGCGTTATCTGAGTGCCGTTCGGCGAGAGAAAGACTCATTCACGAAGCTGATCCGTGAGCGAGGCAACATGGCTTTGACGTTCACGCACGATACCGCAAATCTCGACCCGCAAGAATCCTTCCTCCGAACCGTCAACACTCGTATCGCAGGGGGAGGTCGCCTGGCCGCCACCGCAGAGCCGCCACGGGTTGTAGTAGACGTCCGTGAATTCCGCTCCTCACTGCCTTCCCTGCTACATGGCCGCCAAATGGTTGTCGTGCCTTGCCAACTGACCGTCGGCGACTATATTCTTACCCCGGAGATCGCAGTCGAGCGCAAGAGCGTCCGAGATCTCATTTCCTCCTTCTCCGACGGCCGCTTATACAACCAGGCAGAGACGATGCTGCAGCACTACAAGTCGCCTATGCTGCTCATCGAGTTCGATGCACAAAAGGCCTTCACGCTAGAACCCTTCGCAGACCTAAGCTCCGCCATCGGCACCTCTTCACTCGTCGGCTCGGACCTCCAATCCAAGCTCGTCCTCCTATGTCTTGCCTTCCCACGCCTCCGTATCATCTGGTCCTCTTCACCATACCAGACAGCGGAGATCTTCGAAGAGCTCAAAAAGAACCAAGAAGAACCGGACCCTATTAAGGCGGTGCAGATCGGTCTCGAAAGTGGTGATGACCCGGAAGGCCGCACTTTCAATCAGACACCGCAGGATATGCTGCGAACTGTTCCTGGTACGGGTGGGAAAGCGCTTGGTAGGCTGGTGCTGGAGTACGAGAATTTGCAGGCGGTGGCGAATGCGGAGATGGATGAGTTGAGTGCATTGATCGGACGGGAGAATGCGAGACAGATTATTGGGTTCTTTGGAAGGTCTGTGTGGGATGAGGGAGAGGAGGCGGCAGGTGATGGGTGAGAGCGTGATGGGCTGTCCGAGATTCATTCAAGGCATACTTCCAGTCTCAGTTTTCCACAACAGGCTTGCATGTTTTACCTCATATCGACGACCCGGCAAGATGCGCCAAACACTTCAGTGTAGGGTTTCAGCAACGTCACTGCAACCGGTTTCTTGCTGCGTTTCGGCATTTCACTGCTGTCTGCATGAGACTGCTGATGACCAGCAACGTACCTGTCTCACCAACATCACTCTTCGAGCCTAGTTCGACGTCATCATCTACACGAGGAGTGTCAAATCAGGACTTTCTAGCCCCAAGAGCTCCAAACATGGCAGACCGTCTCCCAACACCGTCGTCACTGTCACCCACACGCCATACCACACCTCTGTGCCAAACGGCCATGGACGGTCCGGCCTTCCGAGCAAGCCACGATGCTGCAGCAAAGCGCGTTAAAGAGCTCAACAGGGTTAAGCAGAACGAGCGGGAAGCGGTTAAAGGCGTCCTTGACAATTTCGTTTAAGAGCTCCAAGGGACACATTGTGTCGAGCGACGACCGCTTCGCCCTGTTGTGGCAGAAGCGAGCAGAGAAGTTGGAATTGAGGCGCAGTATCGGCAAGGAGACCCAAGCGACAGAGTTCCCAGATTTGTACAATGAGGAGAAGGAGAAGGGTTGGGTGAGGGAGAGATATCGGCTATATCTTCTAGGAGATGGTGCAGACTATGGCGGTCGGTTCGGTCAGGACGATGAGGAGCCGGAGTACTTCGGGCGTGGCGTCAGAGCAGAATCCAATCAAGAAAACGATGGTGTACAAGGACACGTCGCGGGTCGGGGGCGTGGTCATGGTGGTGGACAGTCCAGGCGCACGGCGATCGGGGATTACCTCTTCGACTCCCAGAAGGAGCAACGCGCCGCACATGGCCTGCGTTGCCTGACTTCGAGGGATTATGAAGCAAGCAGCAACGATGAGAGCCAGGACGAAGGAAGTGGTAAGGAGGACCAAGGCGGCAAACAAGAGGCGAGCGCTCAACGTACCTTTCTTCCTACCGCGGTTGCTTGCACTAGAAGCTTCGCTGTCTTCCACACTGGGTCCGAAGGGCTCATCAAGGCTGGGATGCAGGATACTGTCAGCAAGTCTGAAATCGTCGTGGATGAGGCACAAATTGCGGCAGTAACTGCTACTACGCCATCGAGCAGAGCCGGCGTCGCCTTCAGGGTGACGCGGAGTTGGCAGTTCATCAATGGCCAGATGGTCGAGTGGCCGCCAGTGGAGAAGCGGACCAGCACCAGCTTGGATGAGTGTATCGCTAATGGCAAGCGCAAAGCCGAGGGAGAGGCGGCAACGGTGGCGGCGGCGAAAAAGGCAAGGTCTTGTAGGTCTTCTTCTGGTAAGCTGTACGCCATCATGGCAGCCGTCACCGACTTAGATTGAGTGCTTGCGAAGAGATGGACCTTCCTCTAGCTCGAAGTGTCGTTTGTTTCGTTTGAGAAGAGCTCATACTCATACATACGAGCAGATAGCTAAGAAAGAAACCGAACTATCTGAGCGTGCTCTGCATTTGCTGTCTCGTCGCTTCCGCCTCGGCGGCGGCGAGCTTCCTGCGATCGAGTTCCTGCTGAATGCCCAGTTGCCGCTGCTTTGCCGCTTCTTGCTCCCAAACTGTCCAGACTACGAACATCAGCTGATCGAACAGTTACAATCTCAAGTGTGCTTGAGGCAGATTGTAGAGCACTTACCAGGCTTGTCACTCTTCGAGTACTCCTTGAGCTTCGTAACGAAGTTGTCAAAGTCCTCTTGCTTCTCCTTTCGCCGTTCTAATGAACGCTTCTGAAGCTCAGGGTTATATCGCTGCGGGACATCTTAGCACGGGGGTTTGGTGGCGAAAGTCCGACACCTGCATGACATACGGAGAAGAGCTCCTCTTCGCTTGGGGTAACGTAGTAGATCAATGCTGGTCCGCCCACGCAGAACACGACGCCACTGCAATGCCATCAGCGTCTATACCATGGAGATAGCTCGAACGGCAAACGGACGTTACGGCCATCTTGATCCATGTCACCGTGCGCATGGTGACGGAGTCGACGCTGTACTTCTCGCGAAGCTATCCAGTTCAGAAAGGTTGTCTGCTCGGATGAACAGATTCGTGACGGAATTGAAGTTGATTTGATTGAGCACGTCGAGGTCGCGTGCCACTCAGAGGTCGTCAACGTTGCGGAGCGGAGGAGAGCGAAGCGTCGCGGCGCCACGTTCTTCCGGGACCGGGCTGCCCCTCGCGCCACATGGCGGCGGCAAGCCCTGCAGTAGCCGCCGTGTCTTTCAACTTGTCGCAGATCGCAGCGTATGAGTCGTGGGCGGATCAATCATTTCGAGACTGAAGCAAGTACCCGCACCATATTAAAGTATACTCCCTCTTCGCAACCATCACCACGGCGTCCCAATCCACAGCCACCGACGCTCCTACATCCTCAACACCCCCACGGCGTCCAGCAGCATTCGCACGAGCAACAACCGCCGAGGAGAAGCTCGAAGTACTCGACCACGTCAAAACCGCTCGCGATACCCTTTGGGACCCCAGGTTCACCCGCCGCGAGCCACCCGAAATCCGCCTCAACCCCACCCACGTCGGTACACTAAGCGTGGGCGACCGGAGCGACAGCAACATCAGCGTGCGCAGCCTTGGCGGCGGCAGCAAAGTCGAGCCCATGGACAAACGGCACCCATCGAGCTTTCAGCAGCTCGAAAAGTTGGGCGAGGGAACGTATGCAACCGTCTTCAAAGGCCGTAATGGCCAAACCGGCGCCTTCGTAGCGCTCAAAGAGATTCACCTTGACAGCGAAGAAGGCACACCCAGCACAGCCATCCGCGAAATCTCACTGATGAAAGAACTCAAGCACGAGAACATTGTGAGCTTGTACGATGTTATTCACACCGAGAATAAGCTCATGTTGGTGTTCGAGTACATGGATAAGGATTTGAAGAAGTACATGGACAGCTATCACAACCCGAATGGTGGACCGAGAGGAGCACTGGATGCGCCGACAATCAAATCCTTCATGTGGCAGCTCATGAAGGGCGTGGCGTTCTGTCACGACAACCGCGTACTACATCGCGACCTTAAGCCCCAAAACTTGCTTATCAACAACCAAGGGCAGCTCAAGCTGGCAGATTTCGGGTTGGCGCGTGCATTCGGCATCCCAGTCAATACATTCTCGAACGAAGTAGTTACGCTTTGGTACCGCGCACCAGATGTCCTACTCGGTTCGCGCACCTACAATACTTCCATCGACATCTGGTCCGCCGGCTGCATAATGGCGGAGATGTTTACGGGTCGGCCACTCTTCCCTGGCACGACCAACGAAGACCAACTCCTCAAGATCTTCAGACTGATGGGTACGCCATCCGAGCGCTCATGGCCAGGCATCAGCCAGTTCCCAGAGTACAAGACTACCTGGCCCGTGTACGCGACCCAGGAGCTGCGAAATTTACTCCCTAGTGTGGACGCAGCCGGTCTGGGACTATTAGGTCAAATGCTGCAGATGCGCCCGGAGATGAGGTGTTCCGCTCAACAGGCTCTGCAGCACCCATGGTTTGCGGAGTTTCAGCAGCGAGAGGCGGCGAGGGCGGGGCAACAAGCTGCGTTCCGGTAGGACCGAGATTTGGCTGAGTTGAGTTCTGCGTTTGAAGGGGAAGATATAGCGAGTGATAAAAGTCCGGTAGTGGGTAACGGCTCTGCTGGCGTCACGGAATTTGCGCAATCTGCTTGACGCGACAGGATGATTATGGCATGCGCGGAGTTGGTGGGTGATTGTGCTATTACGGGCCCATGGCTTGGCATGGTACCTGCATGCGTTACTATTGCATTTGCCCGACCGTAACAGCGACTTGCTTGCATGGTCTGCCATACTATACGCCAACTAGCACTTGATAGCATGAAAAATGCCAAGAAGAGACCCTGGAAGTGCCGTACTCATTGGTCCATCTGTGCAAGGTTGCATGTGTCTTCATGCAAGACCTCATACGGTTAGTGTACCTTTGCGAACCTTCTCGGATTCGCACTCATGGTGCACTTTATAGTGAGCTCGAGGCTATCGTTTTGATGCTACCATCGTCTTTCCTGCATTTCAGCATATCCAGAACTCTTCTGCAGGCAAAATGCCACCTACCACCCGAATCCCGTCCTTGGACATCCCACACTCAAGCCACACCGTCCAAGTGTCCATCATAGACACCACCACTCGCGTCTCCGGGATCCCAGCTGCGGCATTCACAAATCCTTCAATCCCCGGCTACGATGTAGTCAAAGATGGAATCTCGTACAGCTTCCTGATCAAGCACAAAGGCTCCGCCGGGCAGAGCAAGCACGACACTCTCCTGTTCGACCTCGGCACGCGAAAAGACATCTGGAACAGCCCGAAGACCGTTATCGACCAAGCCGCCGCTTTCGGCTTCCAAATGACCGTCGAGAAGAACGTCTTCGACATTTTGCAGGATTGCGGCAGTGATCCGGCGGAAGTCGGAGCCATCATCTGGTCTCACTATCACGTCGTACGTTTGTACATTGGACCAACGTACTCGTTTTGCTTTTGCCGCTAACCAGAGCGTTTGCTCGCTTCCAGGATCACACTGGAGACCCTTCGACCTTTCCCGCGTCCACTGATCTAATTGTTGGACCGGGCTTTAAGAAGCGCCTCGTGCCCGCCTGGCCGACGAGAGAAGACAGCCAGGTTGATGAGAAGGCATGGGCGGGTCGGGAACTTCGAGAAATCGATTTCGATGCGGAGGGGAAGGGTCTGATGGTAGGCAAGTACAAAGCCATGGACTTTTACGGCGACGGAAGTCTCTACCTCATCGACTCGCCCGGTCATGCTATCGGGCACATGTGTGCGCTCGCACGAACCTCTGCTGAGCCTCCGGAGTTCATCCTCATGGGCGGCGACGTGGCCCATCACGGGTGCGAGTTCAGACCGACGGAATATCTTCCCCTACCGGACAATATCGTGCCGAATCCGATGACGCCGCCATTCGCCCGCACTGCTGGAGCGCATGCTGTATGTCCTGGAGCAATCTTTGCGGCCGTGCATCCGAAGAAAAGTACAACCGAGCCGTTCGTACAAGCAACCGGATTTATTCATGACGACGCTGCAGAGGCGTGTAAGAGCGTGGAGAAGCTGCTGCCGTTCGATGCGCAAGAGAACATCTTCTCCGTCATCGCTCATGACAAGAGTCTTTTGGATGTGGTAGACTTTTATCCCAGGCCTGCTAACGAATGGAAGGCGAAGGGATGGAAGGAAGAAAGCCGGTGGCGGTTCCTCAGGGACTTCGATACCGGCAGTGAGGAGCATAGACCGCAATAGATAGTGCGGCCCTTTCTGTAGCGGCGTTTGATAGTCAGTTCGAGCACCATGTGGCCATGCTAAGAATTGCCCATATCCCGACTCCTTGCAGATGGGAATGGCACCATGATTCATGGCTTTCCTTGCTGGGCTGGCCGGTATTGCCTTCCTCAGTCCGTAGTCGACCTTGGGTTTTTCCTCTCCATCTTCGGCGGTCAGATAGACGGTTGAGCCATCAAAGTTTATGTCATCGATGCCTGTTCGGAGTACAGAAGCTCGACGAACGCAGCATGAGAGCATTCGGCTTTCCACTATTGGCGCCTATTTTGTACAGATCGCTAGGATACGGTTGGACGAACAGCATCCTGGCTATAGCGGCGCTTATGATCAACGTGCCTATGCCACTTCTGCTCTGACGGTATGGTGGGAGGTTAAGAGCAAGAGCGAGCTTGAGATACTAAGTTCCGTTCACTGGCTAAGCTTCGATGCCTCTCTGCGCCGCGATATGTGCGAGCATTTGAGCAGCTGCTTGACGTGCGTCGTCGGGGGCGTTTCTGCTGTCTCGGATTAGCCACAGTGGGTATTGTGCAACCATGATACCTATGTCGTTAATCCTGAACTCGTAGACTATACTGTCCTCTTTCAAAGCACCGACAAGAATAGGCACCGTTTCCAATAGGAAACTGCAGCTCTCATGAATTCTAGCTAGGTGCGTCAGAGTATCACCCAGGTCTGCGGCGACTACGGCTTCCAGTATTCGAATGCGACACATGTGGTAGATCACCCAGTCGCGTATCACCCATGCGTTGGTATGCACCCGGACGGCTCCTTTAGCGGAGAAGAAAGGCCAAGGTAGGATTCCGTGCGGTTGCAGCTGAACTCTGTCCGGTCTCGGCACGGTAGGTTCTTCGCTTAGCCAGGCTTCTGTCTCTTCTAGTAAGGTAAAGGCTCTCCTTTCCCTGTCGTCATGGTCGGACACCGCGCCTTCAAGGGATGCGTGACTGCTGCGCTCGTCTGGCAAGTATAGGACATCGCAAGCTTCATTTACGAAATCTCCAACACGAACATTGAACGGGTGTGCACCCAACATTGTAAGGTGTCTCATGTCCCTACTCAAAGACGGCAGTCTGCAGAGCAGCTGGCGGCCCAAAATTCTCGGAGCAGCGACACGACCTAAGGCGAGACTGTTGGAGTGTTGCGTTCGGCTCGCATCATCGCGTATTTGAAGTAGTTGCACAATTGCCGAGGTATGGACACCTAAGACTGTTGCTCGCCTGATGTAGAGCATCTGTGCTTAGCCTCATTAGAGCTGTCGACTAGTGACTTGCGGTCAGCGACTTACCTCGTATGCATCAATAGCAAGGATGGCGGCAAGGACATCATCATCTGCGATAGAGGTGGAGTCGGCGCTGTTGATGTGACTCTGGATACGGCGAATCGTCTCGTGGTAAGCGAAGAATGACCTGGATGAAGGTCCACCATGGCGCTCCTGCACCGCAAGGTCCGCGTAAGCGATGGCCAAGATAGCGGATCTCGTTGGGCTTGTCGCGGGAGCCACCTCATACACATTGCGGATTGCGTCCTGCCGTCCGAGGCATGTTATACCCAGCGTCCAGCGAGAGGAGAAGCGGGTCAGCACTCGGTCTTCGGAACACCATTGAGGCGCAATGGTGAAGGCATAATCAGGTTCTGAGCTTGGTGGCGCACTCTGTCGTATCTCGTGAGGTGAGAGCACAAGTGCATCACAATGCAGTCCAAATGGTGACCCAGCGCTGCGAGGTTTGCGAGCATTACGTCGACTCAACTCGGCGGAGAAGTTATTCTGGTTGATGAAGGACCACGTGGCCACGGGCCATTCGCACTTTAGACCATGAGAAGCGCAACGGCCGCAAACGGGTCGCGTCTGGTCACATTTCCTCTGCGACACGTGACATCGTTGACACCTTTGCCTTGGTGGCATGAGGGGATCCTCAAGGCGGGTGGGGAGATGTCGATAGGCTTGAAGGCAGGAGCTGCATGGCGTATGCAGGAAACGGGTGGCTGTAGGTTATTGTGTTTTGACGTTCCTCTACCACCTGCGAAGGGTAATGGATCCTGCCGATGATGCTACCGTCCGTAACCGCAGACAATGGTTGGGCCGTTGATTGATGGTGGTATGTTATCATGCCCTTGGAGTTCTTCCAGTAGCGTGGCGCTAGCCACTGTTGGTGAAGCTTCAAGCCACGAACTAACCGTAAGTGGTGCTGCATGAAGCAGACGCCGATCGTTCACGCCCGTCGGACATCGCGTACGAGGAAAAGCCAGAATCTGTCTCTTCAGGTTACCAAGCATCCTCCCATATTGTTCCGAGCAGCTGCTTTAAGCCGGTTGCTAAGACGGGAAGCTGCTAGCCATGTCGCAAAGGCTCATATATGTACATCGTAGAGCGGCCGCCGTAGGATAAGCACAACCACGCAGATACCCGTTGGATGCTGTTTGACATCTCACGATATCTTCTAACTCTCACAGCACAAGCGTACCAACTCCTCGAATACCATACCCATTGACTGCAACATCTTATCATAATGGATAGCACTCGCATCTCACAACTACTCGCCATACCCGGCGCCTTCTTCCTTGGCAGCTATAATGCAACCTTCTCTCAGAATGTCATGCCCCATTTGTACAGCCTCTCTCCATCTGAGGTGACGCCTATCTTCGAGAAGATCTACCACCGAGGCGCAGCCACCATTCTTCCCATTGCAAGCATAGCGATTGCAGCAAACGGCTACCTCTCATACGAAAGCGACACCACCAAGCGAAGACTCTACGGCACCGCTGCTGTACTGATGGTGGCAACTTTACCGCTCACGCAGATAGTGATGGGACCTGGAATCAATAGGCTGATCGAGATTAGCAAGGATGCTTCACTACGCAGCAAGACTGGGACCGAGGCAGAGGTTGTGAAGCTGCTGAAGTCTTGGGTCACATTCAACTCTTTGAGGGCGTCCTTGCATCTTACCGCTGGTATGCTCAGCTTGTATGCTGCACTGTCGTAACGGAGACAGCGCAGGAAGGTCGATCAGATCTATATTCAAACCAAAGCATAGCCTTGCAGCACTGGCAGTGGGGTGGCGTGGGTGGTACGTTTGGTGTCAGCCATGAATGTCGGATTGTATATTGTAATGGAAACAACCGTCTTCTCTCACCAACCACAGTTGAGCTGCACTTTCTCCCACAAATGCACGCAGAAGCTGTAGATCAAATGCTCCCCACGGTATGCTATTCTGTGTCGAGTGCTTGGAAACATCAGCAGAGTCGAGCCCGCAAAGAGCGAGCGCTTGGTATACGAACGCTGAATACAACACAGCTTCGACAGTATGCTTTCGGTCCACGCACCTTTCCTATCGCATCAATGCGTGTTGAGGTGATCACCCGGACCATGATCATGCATGCGCAATGCCTGTTTGGGGTAAAAGTATGATTTAAAACTTGATAGGAGTGAAGGTCAGCTACGTTCTGGAGGTCCGCTCCATGTAGCGCCCTGCTTACTGCTTGTCAAGCTGGTTTTACTCCACGAGCATTTAGCGCCGTTCTTGTAGTCGCAATCTCATACTTCGCCGAGGGATTACGAAGATGGCCATGGAATCAGGTGTCTCGTCATGTTTGGCGGGAAGACTTGCCCAGATGATACGGTTTACGGCAATGCTCTGACAATCGGCGACCGTGACTTCTTGCCGCGCAGGGCACGCGCCTACAGCTGAGGATTCAACTTCTGCAAGTGCTCAAGAAGGGCATCGTCCAGAAGACTGTATCTTGTCAGAGTCCGCATGCAATCAGTGCGTATGCCTGCAATGGCGCGCTGTGGTGGCTGTATTCACTAGAAGTGCGATGGATACTCTTCGATAGACTTCATTCTTTTGTTGGAGGCGTTCTGGGTCTCTTGCGCCCGCTCCTGCGCGTAGTTCGTGCCTGTGAGGCCCTCTTGACCGGCTCTGTGTCTCTTTCTACGGCTTTGGGAGCGCGCTCACCCTTCTTCCTCTCCTTTTTGCTCGGCACTATGGTGCTACTGAGTGGTTGATAGCGTGCAATAGTTGTGTTGTCGTATGTGCACAAGTGATTTGCGCAGAACGTTATGCTTTCAAAGTGCGGCTCACTTTGTAAGTGCGCTTGTTTAAGCGCACCGGCCCTCCAGCAGCGAGTTTCCACACATTCACAAGCATCACATGTAGATATGACTCAATCAAGCAGCTCCACGACCCACCTTTTCCGGAATGGTAGCCACGTCGTCTGTGTTGCGCATGAGACGGAATGATAGGAAACGTGGAAATGACAAGAAAAGCCGGCTCCCACGGATACGTCCGAAGACGCAACTCTAGGCTTAGCAATATACATCCCACAGGTCGAATAGCCATAACAGCGGCTAGGTAAGATTGATTGATGTCTCTTAGGGCGCCAGCTCAGTGCAAGCCGCCTCTCCATCCGCTGTTCCGCTCCAGCCGTTCACTGTGGAAGAGAGAATCTGTACAAAATTGAAGGTTCCTGGAGACGTCTGTGGCTTGACTTCTCTGAATGTCAAACCTTCAGTACACACTGCCCGGGTTATACCGTGCGTCGCCGAGCACTCGTGCCTTACCTAGCCGACTTACTAGATTACTGGGTTAAGACACCGGTCTTCAACCGTGAAGTGGGCACACAGAGACTGGACGTCCCCCAGTTCTACTGTGCCGCACGCTGTAGGGAATCAAATATGGTATGCTGAAAAACTGGTCAGGGAGCGTTGAGCGAGCGCTTCAGCTTCGCAGGACGTGTCCGTGCTGTGCTAGTATATTCAATCGTATAATTCATTGCACCAAATTGCTAGCGCGTCTAATGGAAACCTGGCGTATCAGCATCGAGGTCCGCTGTGCTGCAGATCGCAAACAGTGCGTCATGACATCGAAGAAGGACTACGTAAGCGCATGACGAGCGTTCTTCGCACTTTATCCCGATATTTACTGCCAAACGCTACAGCAAGCTCCCAATGCGGCGGACATGAGACCAAGCAGATGAGGGGCTGATGCCTGTCTTTTGGTTGCGTTTGCACGGAGCAGGACCAATCCAGTGCACAAACACTGTGGTTTGCATCGACCACTCCAGTTGACAGCACATCACCGACAAAGTGAACTGTTCTTGGTGGTCTCCAAGAGCGACAGCCGCCGCACATGTGGTGTATATTCCAGCAAACAACCAGCACGGCAAAGAGGTGAAGTCGGACGAACGGAGTGTGTTCAAGCTTGTCCGCTTCCGGTGAGCTTCCGTCTACTTTTAAATGCCCGGCTTGGCCAAAGCGCTCCTCCAAGCGAGCTCCACGTTGGCTATTCGCATACACCTGGGCATGCACTCTTAGCAGTCTGGGGCTTCAGGCCGATGAGTGCGTAATAATACAAACACAGTCTCGATATTAACGATGTCTTGACGGCTTGTGCTGAATTCCCTAAGCGTTCGAGGTCTCTCACGCTTATACAGCAACGTTACGATCAAAGGTAGGGATTGTAGCACGAACTTTCTTCCGCAAGGACATCTCGACAATCTTTCTCCCCTTGCCGTGGTACATTTCCATTGATGATACAGCCTTCGTACAACGACAATGCCATCAGCTGCGCACATAGCAGCGTACAATATGCCAAAGGTAGCTACTTCACGAGCTGCGAAGACAGTGTGAAGCACGCCTATAAGCAAGGCTAGAGCGAAGGACCCTAAGGCCTCCCATCTATACACCGACGATAATCCTGCATCGGCCATCCATGGCAGTGAATTCGAAAACAAAGCTGCCGCTCTCCGCACCCCCGAGCTCATCAAGCAGCGCTCTCTGCTCTACTAATTTCAGGCCGTCAATATGATGTACCACCGAGCGAGACATCATCCGTCAATGAAGCAGGCTGCAGAGGGAGCGGCGAGTACGGCTGGTATGCGAGCCGCGACGGATGTCTTTCGCTACTGGCTCCACGTTACGTACCCTGCAGAGCGAGAAGCGTTGAGAGCGAACGGATTCAAGCCCCTGCCCAGCAAAAAATGGATGGAACGCTACTTGCCAAACATCTATGAAAGTGAGGATATTAGTGCTGAAGCGAAGGCTTTCACAAAGGCGTACGGGGCATTACCGAAAGGGAGGCGACTTGATAACATTCTCGTCGACAACAGGAAGCCTACGGAGCCTGACTGGGAGAGGCTACGCTATGACATCCTCGATGGTCTAGTTCCGGCAGGGTAGGAAAGGGAAGGTAGCTGACACGCAAGCCAGCTGTGGCGTGAGGACGGTCGCCCTACACCGGAGCATCTACAGCTTGTCGCTTGGGCGTGGAGTCCGGTTAAGGAGTTACTGCTGCCATAAGCAAGGCAGTTGTGGCTGATGATGGTAGATGTTGGTCCGAAACATTCGCCAAAGCCGCGTCGCAGGCTACCGTCGCTAACACCACTACTTGACATTCTGCGATACCAAACCACGACAAGCAGAGACCAATCTACATAGTATTGCACAGAAGCTGGCGGCACCGATCTGATCGTCAATGCTCCAAGCTCTGTTCGTCACGAAGCGAGCATCTTTGCCGGGAATGGAAGCCTTGTTTTTGCCTTGCATAAAACCGAGCTGATACAGCTCCAATGACTGCGACGACGAGCAAAGTCGTAACATGGGTGTGCGTGGCGTGCGATTCCACGTCTCAATGCCCTTCTCTACAACTCCCACTTCCTTCGAGAAGCTACGTGAAAAACGTACGATGGCCTTATGGAGAATCACTGTCCAGTCGGCTGCCGGCGAAAGAATCGGGAGAGTCTACACGTTTGCTCGCTCGCTGAGCACCACATTGCACTGCGCGAATGCACTGCCGAGAGCAGTGCTACGGCTGTCTCCACGGCTGTCGTGTCGCATATTATCTGTACACTCGTCGGCATCGGACCAGACGCCGTGCACTATTTCCTCGTCAGGAAAAAGCATGAAGCTTGTGTTGCTTAAAATGGACAGAGCTCTGTGCTGCAGTGCAGGGCAGGACTGAGGAACAAAGCCTGATCTTTGAGCGTCTGTCTCCGCAAAGTCTCGACCTTTAGGCGCCTGCACGTGGCTTGGTGGCGCTCTTGGCGTCCGACCGGTGTAAAGCTCAGCTCGCGTGTTCGTCTGCTACCTTGATTCAACAAACATCCGGCCTTTCCGATCCGCCAGGATTGATGACTGATGGCTCTCTCGCTCGTGAAATGCACAAACACCGGAACAGCATAGACAAGCACGAACAGAATATCATGTTCGAGCCGCTCCTAAACGATGCCGCCCTTCTGTCCCGCAAGGCTGAAATTAGGAAACCGACATCCTCCCCTGCTGGGTCAGAGCTCGAAGCCTTGCCAAGCACCCTGTCTCGACGAAGGATGCACGTCCGCCCGGCGCACCTGGTCGCGAGTCGCGACTGGCCCAAAGCTTCGCAATCTGCAAGCCTCGCTTCGCTTCAATGCTTCCTATGGCTTAGCGACTGCATTATCATACGGAAGTTTGAGCCTTGAGCCTTACTGCCTGACTTTCACTTTGAAAGCAGGCTACGCTATACCGTGTAAAGCATGGAACATGCATTTCCACCTGTGAGGCCGCGCCTTGCCAGGGCGGTCTCAAAGCTTCTTGTCACACCACTGATGAGTCTGATTGAGGCCCGCACTGGGGGCAGGATTGTATTATAGAGGGTGCCGTGGTCCTCGTGCGCCAGGGCGTAACCCTTCTCGTCTTCACTCTTTGTTGCCTCCGCCGTCTGCTGCACTGAGCAGCTCGCACCGCCAACATGCTCACCAACCTTCCTGGCGAACTAGCGGCGAGTGTCCGTGTAGTGTTTCGCTTCGCTTTCATTATCATGTCCGTAGAAGGGTTTCTCACCCAGGAATTCTCTAGCCTGGCTGACTGACTCCATGAACCAGGTTTATGTATCTCGGCTTTGTTGGCACTCAAGCCAAGAAGCTCTCGACGAAGTTGACACTTCTGCGAGATGGTAAGATCACCGTGTCCCACGCAGCCGGCTGGTTGCAAGGCACGCAGATCTGGGCGCCACTCTACCGCATGCGCAAGATTCCTGACTGGAAGTGGTGGCTACTTATGGTCTTTTCCGCGCTGTAGGTGAATCGACTTGCAAAGACACAGCACTACAGTGCTGATGACGCATAAAGGCTCGCGAAGGCCTGTGATTTAGCCACGGTCATCATCAACCCAAAGCTGACCAACGCGCACTGCACTTTCGGCGAGTCTAGTGGCGGCCTGGGCATGGTGATTGAGAAGAATCCGACGCCGGACCACTATCCCAAGGTCAACACTCGAACATTCCTGTTGGCGGGCAATGCCCAACTAAATAGCATCCAGAACACCTGTGAAGCCGGCGGTCAGTTGTCCACACGTCCTTGTACTCTGCGGTGTTGACTGACACGACACTACTGGCTTAGTCTTCTGGAAAGCTGACTCGAATCCTTCATTCTGTATCAGCAAGATCGATATCATGGGAAGTTGGCACTGCGTGCAGAATGGATCGGATCTTACATACAGTTATGGCACCGGCAGTCCATCTGCAATCATCAGCGATCTGCAGAAAAAGGGTCTACTGTACAGCACTGCATACCCCAATCTCGACTACTCCACCACTGGCTCGGTCTATGACTTTGATGAACTTGTTGCTTGGAGTGCATCATCCGTCTCCGGCAAGAACTTCACGGTGAAGGCATCTGTGGATACTCTTGGTGGCGATGCTAGTAGCAAGGTCATGCACAACATGTATTGCTATCTACAGGCAAGCAGCTACACCGGGCTGGATCTACCCAGTGACTGGCCCGACCCACAACAGACGCTATTGAGTATTGCCGGGGTAAGCTTTTGTGCGAAGATACCTTGATATCGCGTCACTGATTCGCAGCGCTAGGCTATTAATACCACGGTTGCATTCCAGCAATGGGCGCCTATGCTGCAGGCGTACATGTATACCGGCAAGGATACCAATATTGTCGGCACCAACCCCGGAGACTACTCGCCCGAGTTTTGGCTTGCGTGGTATCTCAACAACATGATAATGATATCAGGCAGCAACGGTAAGCTGGCCGATTACGGCGAAGGTCTGCGAAGTAGAAAGTCCGCTAACTCAGTCACAAGATAACTTGACGAGACCGGCTCCAGACTGGTTCGGAGTCGAAGGATGTACAACCCAGGTTGTCAACATACCACCCCCTATCGCCTTGCTCGCTGGCCTCACATTCCTCCTCTGCTTCTCCATGACCGTCCTGCTGATCTGGTTGTGGGTCCGCGTTCGCAGCTTTGGAGAACGTCGTAAAAAGGCAGAACACGCTCCGATCGACCTGTGGTCCTGGATGTCTCAAGCCGTTGCCGAAAGCCACATGGAGCCCGATGGCTCCATTCGCGTTGTCGAGCCAAAGGAGCTGAACGAGTGGAGAATCGAACTGACCGAGGCCCAGATGGTGCGGATCGAGAAACGTGCGCGAACGGTCACCACTTATAGCCAGGAGCCAAAGACGGTCTGAGCATTTGCAGGGTTGTCATGTGCGACGATGTCGGTTGTCTTGTGAATCTTGACGCTTAACGGTTCGACTATATCTGTTGCAAGCATGTACATTCTGTATGTCATCTTGAGTGCCCGACCCAATATTCCCGATCAATCCGCCCTTTCCCCGTAACACAGCAGGAATGGAAAGCTCATCGACTCTCCCGTCTCCTGCTTGGCCATGCCCAGCCCGTCGTCACCGCCAAACTCGCCATCGAAGCTCTCCACCCTTTTCCGCATCGTCCATTCAGCCTGAACGCTAACATGCTTGAAGCCAATATCGTGCATAAGCTTCGACATTGCGGCCGCATCGATCCCATGTCGCTCGACACCCGCCATCTTGGATGCTGGGTGGAAACGCTTCGCTTCCGGCCCGAAGTCTTCGAAGTCGGTTAACATAACACAGCCGCCAGGCTTCAGACAGCCTAGCATCGTCCTCAATACAGAGCCCAAGTCGGGTATGTGATGCAGGACAAGGTGACTGATGATCAGATCAAATTTCTGCCTTTGACTTTCCGGTTTCCCAGAGTCTGCGCCTGGAAGCGAGCCATCTTCAGGATCCTCGAGCAATACTGCAACCGGAAGAATGTTCGTTGGAGCACCAGACTTCGCGAGCTTGATTTTGAGGACTTCAATCATACCGTCTGCGGCATCTACCGCCACAACTCGATCCACATGCGGAGCGATAAGGAAGGAGAGAGTGCCAGTGCCGCAGCCAATCTCGAGGACTTGTTTTGGCTGCCTGTCGAGAGACTTCAGCTTTGACAATACAGCTTCTGCAGCTGCTTGACTCGCTTCATATACGAAGGGCCTAGCGTCCCATGATAAGGCTTCCTTATTGAAACGGGCGTTTCCGCCAGATGTAGCGCGGATGTTTGCTACTGCGCTCGCCATTCTGCTCACATCGACTTGCAAAGACTTTGACTTGCAATCGCCGCGAGACGTCAGGTTCCGGGTTGTTGGCGTACAGGCGAGAAAGTAGACGGGTGTGTTGTCATGCTCGAGAGGTCGTTCGGCCTGGACCAAGCCTAACAAGCCATGCTGCCCAACACCTGGAGTCAGCCTGATATAAGTCAGTAGCGGTGATGAACATTTCGCAGCACTCGGGTCCGGTATGAGCAACCGGGTGCTTGATCAAGAGTCTGCAGCAGTGCGACCCCACAACAACGAAGGAGCAACCGAGGCACCGGATTGTCTGTTTCCAAGATGGCAAGAGGAGCACCTGAACCAGCTTGGCTTCATATGAATGCTAAACCTCGATAGATTGAAGTATCATTAGGTGTCAGAAACAGCAATTGGACATCGCAATGCCGTTTCTCGCTCGCGATAGTGGCGTGCAGATTTACTACGAAGTCCATGGCAAGGGCATGCCACTTATACTCTCCCATGGCTATTCTTCCACCTCCGAAATGTGGCAAGGTCAGATCGAGTCTTTCACGAAAGCAGGCTACAAGCTCATCACCTGGGACATGCGCGGCCACGGTCAGAGCTCATACCCTCCGCAACAATTTCTTTACAGTGAAGCTCACACCGTAGCCGACATTGAAGCCATTCTCAACATTGTCTGTGGCCCAAAGACGAGCGTCATTGTTGGCGGTCTGAGTTTGGGCGGGTACATGAGCCTGGCCTACTACCGCATGCATCCTGAGCGTGTCAAGGCACTCCTCATCATCGACACCGGTCCAGGCTTCAAGAGCGATGCAGCTCGAGATGGCTGGAACAAGACCGCTCAGGAGACCGGGGCTCGCTTCGAGAATGACGGACTGGCCCACCTACAGTCCTCAAGCATGAGCCCGGAGCGACGACAAGTTACACATCGTGACGCTACAGGACTGGCACTTGCCGCACGCGGCATGCTTGCGCAGCAGAATGCGGCTGTCATTGAGTCGTTGCCCAACGTCCAGGTTCCGGCGCTAATTGTGGTGGGTGGCAATGACAAACTCTTCCTCGCAGCCTCCGAGTACATGACAAAGAAGATTCCAGGCGCCAAGAAGGTTGTGATCCCAGATGCTGGACACGCTGCCAACATCGACCAGCCGAAGCTATTTAACGACGCAGTCCTCGCATTTCTGGCGTCTCTTGGGCCGGCGAAAGCGAGAATGTAGTCATTGGCGCTATGTTAGCTATATTTCACCTCTTCCCTGCCTGACACCGCGGTGCTGTGATGGGAGGCGTAGGGCATTCTCGGATCAATCGTTCGCTGTCTCATTATTGTGGGACGCACCGCCTTCGTACTTGCAAGACCTTTGAGGCACAACCGCCGCATCGCCATCACAACCATGTACCAAGATTAACATGCACCGCCTTCTTGTTCGTATACGCCTCCAATCCAGCCTCTCCCAACTCACGCCCAATCCCCGACTGCTTGACGCCTCCAAATGGGATACGGAAGTCACTATCTTGCGAACTGTTGATCCATACCATTCCCGCCTCGATCTTCCTCGCCATGCGATGCGCCTTTACAATGTCCTTGGTGAAGATTGCGGAGCCGAGACCGTACGTGGTATCGTTCGCCTTCTCCAAGGCCTCCTCTTCCGTCTTGAAACTCACGATCACTACAAACGGCCCGAAGACTTCTTCCCGGAACACTCGCATGGAGGCTTTGACGTTCGTGAAGACGGTGGGAGTGACGAAGAAGCCTTTACCGTGCCCAACATTCTTGTAGGCTTCGCCGCCTAGCGCCAGTGTGGCGCCCTCGGACTTGCCAGCCTCGATGTAGCCGAGCACACGCTCGTACTGCGCTTTCGTAACCTGCGGACCCTGAAACGTCTCGTCGCTGAATGGGTCGCCGATTTTGCTGGTGCTCTCGACTTGCTTCTTGAATGCTTCAACGAACTGGTCGTAGATTGAGTCTTGGACAAGGATGCGGGAAGTGGCAGTGCAGATTTGGCCCATATTGCTCATGATGCCTATATGGCTCCACTTGACCGCCTGCTCCATATCCGCATCCTCAAACACGATCAATGGTGACTTGCCTCCTGTTTCTAAAGTGATATTCTTCATGTTGACACTAGCCATCTTCATGATTTCGCGACCTGTTGCTGTTGAGCCAGTGAAAGCCACCTTGTCGATCCCCAAGTGCGATGCAATCGCCGCGCCTGCTACCCGGCCGTAGCCATTGAGCACGTTGACTACGCCAGGTGGGAACCCGGCGTCCTTGATCAAGTTCGCAAGCACTAATATAGAGAGCGGCGTCTGCTCCGCCGCCTTGATCACAACCGTATTTCCACAAGCGAGTGCAGGTCCTAACTTCCACGCCGCCATCCCAAGCGGATAATTCCATGGGATGATCTGCCCGCACACTCCTACCGGCTCACGGATCGTATACGCCAGCTTCGCCGTCGACGTGTCGATCACCTGTCCATGTATCTTGTCCGCGTAGCCTGCATAGTACTTCAAACACCCTGAAACCTCGGCAAGGTCCTCGTTTAACGCGACACTGTACGGTTTGCCGTTATCCCACGTTTCGATCGTAGCCAGTAGCTCTTTGTTCGCTTCCACAAGCTGGGAGAGCTTGTACATCAGGTCTCCCCGTTCGGTGGGAGGCATCTCTCGCCATGGGCCTTTGAATGCGGCGCGAGCGGCTTCGACAGCTTTGTCGACATCTTCGGGCTCGGCGGCGTGGACTTCAGTGATTTCGGACTCGTCGGTGGGGTTGATGGAGGTAATCTTGTTGCCTTTACTGCCGGGCACCCACTCGTTGTTGATGAAGAGGCCGGTAGGCTGGGTGTACTTCTTGCCGTTGGGTGCTGTGAGCTCGACGGTGAGGGACGACATTGTGCGTTTGAAGCTTGCACTCAGATGTAATTGCGACGAAGTGAGGCGGAGGATAGTAAAAGAGGTGCGAAGACGGGGGAACATTGACAGTCTCACCTACCTCATGCCTAGATCGGCTTGCAAGCTGCCGTTAGCTGGTCTGGTATTGTATGTGGTCATTCCTTTGCGATAGAGTACGTCGAAGGCACGATAAGAGCAACGTGAGACGCCGAGCAAGCAAATGGCGGGGTCAAATTGAAAGCTTCGGATTTAGCAGCGGAAAGGGGAAGGTGTACGCGACGCTTGTAGATGTTGCATCCACCCATTTCATCCATCACGTAGCCGTAGATGATACGTCTTCAGTTGTTCCTCCGTCATTCTCGTAGGACTCTTGACCAGCATGTCTTCTCCCTTCCCACTTTTCGGAAATGCAATGACATCTCTCACACTCTCCTTGCCAAGCATGACCGCGATCAGTCGGTCGAAGCCCAATGCCATCCCAGCATGAGGCGGACATCCAGCACTCAACACTGCAAGTAAATGCGCGAAGTCCTTGATGCGCTCTTCAGTCATCTTGAGCACATCTCGCATTATGAACTCCTGCATGGCAGCGTTGTGGATCCGACGGCTTCCACCGCCCAATTCAACGCCGTTGACAACAAGGTCATAATGGTCCGCTTTGACTTGCAATGGGTTCGTCAGAAGGAGGTCCACGTCAGCGGCTGTCTTGGGCGCGGTGAATGGGTGGTGAGTCGAGGATATGCCAGCCGAGCCGCCTTGTCCGGGGTCGCTGTCATTGTTGGGCGAGAACAGCGGGAAGTCCGTGATCCACGTGAATGCAAAGCCTTGTGGTGTGGGAAGTAAGCCTTGCTTGACTGCTGCTTTGTGCAAGGCCAAGCGGAGATTGCCAAGCGGCGTTGATCCTCCGCTAAATGGTGCGTTTTTGCGGGCTTGCAGGACTACCAGATCGCCGTCTTGCAGCTGTAGAATCTCTTCTAATTGCTCCGCCGCTTCGAAGCCAAATGATTGCAGGCCTTGGAGCGGTCTTCGTGAGTCTATGATGAAGATGCCGGGTTGGCCGTCAGGGTTGGTGATGAAGGGCTGTGCTTCGGGAGAGTCCATGAAAGCGTTGACGAACTGTCTCATCGCAGCAATGTCATCGGAGAGCGAAAACTTCACGACTTCGACGATGGGATCTGTGAGCGGTCCAATCTTGCTGACTAGGTCGACCGGGAGCATATACTCTATTCGACGAATATCCGTGCCGAACCGCAAGTCTGGCTTGTCGGAGCCGTATCTCGACATCGCTTCATCGTATGTCAATCGTGAAAAGGCCTCGTCTGACTGCTTGATTTCCAGCAGCTGCGACCAGAGCGCTCTAACCATATCTTCGACGGTGCGCATGACATCTTCGCCATTTGCGAAGGCCATCTCTAAGTCCACCTGAGTGAACTCGGGCTGCCTATCAGCACGTAGATCCTCGTCTCGAAAGCATCGAGCGATCTGCATGTAGCGAGGCATGCCGCTAGCCATTAGGATCTGCTTATATTGCTGTGGGCTCTGTGGTAAAGCGTATGCCATGCCGGTATTTCGAGTTGGCACAAGAAACTCCCGCGCACCCTCCGGTGTCGACTTGAAGAGTAGTGGCGTTTCAATTTCGACGAAGTCGTGCTTGTCAACGAGGTAGTCACGAATAAAGCGGGCTGCTTTGCTTCGAAATTTCAATGCTTCGCGGAGGCTGCTATCGTGTCGTATCTGGAGATGTCGCTGTTCGGGCGGAAAGACTGTACCAGAGGCCACGATCAAATCGGACGGGAGCGTATTGAGTGGCTGAATGTCTTCAAGCTTAATTTCAACTGCTGTGATCCTGCTAGATTTACCCCCGGTTGCAGCACTGGTCGACTCTTTGCCAACCAAAGCCTGGCGACCCTTTACAGTGCCCTGGACAATGACTGGCGTGTGCTCCTTGAGCGTCTCTAGCACATTGTGCGGCAAGCTGATGCTATCCGCATCCTTAGTGACGCTTGACACAATTTGAATGGTAGAGTTCAGGTTCAAGTCATGCATCTCAGCGAATATCAGACCCTTGTTTGCAACTCGTTTCGTGCCCAGGTAGCCATGGAGCGTAACCTGCCGGTCAATCCATTGGGTCCCCTTCCCCGCGAGCAGCACGAGGGAGCAGTCCGGAGAGGGAAAGCTCAAGGATCGCTTGTATGAGTCAAGCGTCGCATCACGACCAGATCCATGCTTCCTATGTTCGACGGTCGCTTGGTAGTACCGCTGGCATGCGCTTAATGGTCTTCTAGTCCCCGGAGAGTGAAACTTGCAGCGTTCTATAGCTCGAGGCCCGACCTGCGCCGCACTTTCGGTGCACCATGGCTGTGGACCAACTGATTTCGCGGCATACAGGCAGCGTCTCAACAGCATCAAGCGCTTTTGAATGATTGCATGCACGGATGGAAGCACAGGAGACGGCGGCGAGTAGACAAGCAGTCGCGTCTTCTCCATCGAGGTTAGCGTCCCGTGACTAAGCGGCACAAACGCACATCTTCAATCGCGCATCCAGCCTTTCTTCGAGCTCTGCAATGACCCTCCATGTCAAAAACAAGTACATTACTCCCTTTCCAACTACTTGACCACCATACTGATTGGCCTCCAGATGATGAAAGCCTAGCGTGTACCAGATGAGCTGGCCGCCGGTCCGGCATTCTTGCTCTCCTTTTCGGAGGCTCAAGGGCGAGGATTGCTGGCTGGTTGGACAGCATGAAATCTGCGTTCGGCACATTCTACCTTGTTACTTAAACGGACGCGAAGACGGCATCTCTGACTTACGTTTTGCGACCTGGGAGGGTTCGCTCGTACGTTCACGCTCGATGGGTGGCTGGCCTGGGGCTTGCTGTGTCTCGATATGGCGACTGTGCTGTTACGCTTCGAAGCGTGCACGCTCACTCATATAGCGCCATCGAATGAGTAACATCTAGCTGTTGACCGCTCCGAGTCTTGCTCTCTACATCCATTACTTGATGTCCGCATGTTCGAAACACTATGGAGACGCTGGGTTTGGCCGTCCCAGCTGCTTCACGTTATTGCGGAAGATGAACTGCTAGCAGCATTCAACGAGTCGAGTCTGCCGTCCTGATGCAGTCGTGACTGTAACAATGTTGCCACATGCCAAACCTACCGTGTCTCCTCGATACATGCAGTACCTTACGTATATGTTCGCGCCCAGCCAATAGCGTCATCTCGGCATCGCGAGCTTCCCAGTTTACTCCAGCCGCCGAACATCACAGTTGTCCGTTCACGTCAAAGCACAGGGAGGTCGCCTGAAGTCCGTCATACGGTCAAGCTCGTGCTCGGTGCCGGCTACCTCACCATACGTAATGGCGATGCCGCATGACCGGTAATACCACGCTTGCGCCGACGACTCCCTCACCCGCAGCAAGCATGTCGTCCGGCTTCGAAAAGTCCGTCAAGGGCGGCACTAAAGTCAAACTCGCCCCTCCCAAGTCCAAGTATGTCGAACACATTCTCCTCGCCACTCAGTCCGGCGAAGCGGGTGTGGCTGAGGTGTTCCGCACCCTCATCCACCGCCTGCGCGACTCCACGTGGACGGTAGCCTTCAAGTCGCTCATCATCGTGCACTTGATGATCAAGGAAGGCGCGCCGGATGTCACGCTGCGATATCTGGCCGTGGCGCCGGAGAACAGACTGGCGGTCAACACATTCACGGATGTGCAGACGCAGGGGCAGAACATCCGGCACTACTCCGACTATCTGCTCGCGCGGGCGGAGGCATATGCGGCGGCCAAGTGCGACTTTGTGAGCGTGGGAGACGGAAGGATGAAGAAGCTCACAGTGGACAAGGGCCTGTTGAGGGAGACGGAGATTGTGCAGCGTCAGATACGCGCGTTGGTCAGGTGTGACTTCTTGACCAACGAGACCGAGAATGAGATCTCACTCACAGCCTTCCGCCTCCTGACTCGTGACTTACTCGACTTGTACAACGTGGAGAATGAGGCGGTGATGAACGTGCTAGGCCGTTATTTCGAGATGTCCCGCCCAGATGCCGAACGGGCGATCGAGATCTATAAGGCATTCTGCAAGCAGACGGATGCGGTGGTGCAATACCTTAGTGTCGCTCGACAGTACGAGCATGCCACGCGATTGGAGATACCGAAGATCAAGCATGCGCCGACGAGTCTGGCCAACTCGCTGCAAGATTACCTGAACGATCCCAATTTCGAAACGAACCGACGGCAGTACATGGCAGAGCAGGAGGCGAAGCGGACTGGAAAGCCGATACCGAAACCTACGCCAGCAGGGAGCCAATCTAATGGCACGGCGGCAGCAAAGAAGCCGTCAGCCTCCGCAACAGCGCCAGCAGCTGCGGCAGCTCCACCAACACAGACAAGAGGCCCCGCGCCAGACTTGATAGATTTCTTCGCATCCATTGAGCAAAACCAGCAGCCTATGGCGCAAAGCGTACCGCAATTTCAGCAACAACCGACCGGCTTTCCGATGCAGAACCAAGCGGCCGGTTTTCCTATGCAAGCCCAGCAGACGGGCTTTGTGCCGCAACAGCAGCCTCAGCCTCAGCCTCAACAACCCTATGCCTTCCAGCAGCAGCCCCATTCCACTGGCATGAATGGCTTCGTAAGCCAGGGTGCATCGACGAATCCTTTCGGGCAGCCACAGCAGCAACCACCACAGCAACAGCAACAGCAACCGCAGGGATTGCAGACCCAGTTCACCGGTGCAGGTTTCGGCGGTTACGGACCACAACCACAGCAGCAGCAGCAAAGTTTCATGACTGGAAACGCTTTCAGTCCCGTCCAGACGCAGTCACCCGTACAAGCGCAACCTCCTCCTCAACCCATGCAACCGCAGATGACAGGCACCACGAACCCTTTCCGACATTCAGCTATGCCGACCGGCACAACTTCGGCAATGACGTTCGGACAACAGCCACTCCAGCGCTCATCTACGAACCCGTTCGCGAGATCGTCGCCGTCGCCAGCCACAACGGGTCACAGCATGACTGGTCTCAGTCAAATACCCGAACACGCGACGACCTACCCTCCTCCTCATCAGCAGACACAACACCAGCAAGCGTCGTTCCAACCTATCCAGCCTCAAGCTACTGGCACGAACCCCTTCGCTCGTAACACCTCGCCCCCACAGCAGCCACAAGGACCACAACTGCAGCCGCTGCAGATGCAAGCAACAGGTAGTACGAACCCTTTCCGCCAAAGCGCCTTTGTGAATCAGCAGACGGGACAAGGTTGGCAGAGTGCTCCCCAGGCTACCATGGGTGGGTTAGAGCATTTGGAGACCATCCCGGTGTTTCCCCGGCCAGGGCAGGGACAGCCGCAACCGCAGCAGTCTTCGCCGTGGGCTTGATACTTCACTCGATAGTATGTGGGGACTCATATGCCTGTTTGTCCGGCGGACTTTGCATAGGGTTAGCGTGGCGTTTGGGTGTATTACAGGTTACACACGCGTGTGTATCACAACTTGAAAAGGAGTTACGAGCACGGGTTGCTACCCCAATTATGGCTTTCTGCCCCATGCAACCACAGACCTCCCATGCCCACCTCGACTCATCTTCATTGTCAGCATAGTCCCATCGCAGTAGCGTCCTACTTCGTCATGGCTGTGACCGACAGCCGTCGACACCCGCCTCATCAAATCCGTAGCCATGATCCGCAACCCGGTCGCACTATACTTTCTAGAGCGCCATAGTCTCCGGGTCCTCATCCCTGCTAAACTGGTCGCTGCACAGCCAGTGATACTCCCGTACCTGCACGTCCAGTAACCCGGTATCAGCCATGGAGTTCGAGAAGCGGTGAGTAGAGTGTAGACCCTATCCCTACGTGCTCGCAGCAGCTTTGAGCGCGCTGAGCCAGCTCCAATCTCTCTATATTTCGTCGTAGGAAGAGAGGTTCGAGCGCAAAGCGTAATCGTGCACCTCGAGCCAACCGCCCGGTTTCAGCAGCGATGCGATAGTGTCGATGTAGCTGGGCCAGTCGGTAATGCCACGTGCAAGTGAACGATGGTACACGTTTTCAATTAACCCTAATCGGAATCGTGAGTCCGCGCCTGCGAGCTCAAAGGCATTGCCTTCGATGTACGCGAAATTTTCATTGAAAATTTCGCGTGGCTGGGGGGCACAGCGCGAGGTCGTTGCCGTAGACGTGAGCTGCAGGGTAGTTTTGGGCGAGAAGGACGGTCATGGCGCCCGTACCGCAGCCTACGTCGATTATCTTGTCCAGTTTGATAAGGGGAGCGTAGAAGGGTTTGTGGTTCATCAGGCGTTTATGGCGTGGGATTAGGCCTCCAGACATTCATGTTCGGTGGCGTCATGAGGAAGGGCGTACTCCGTCTTTGCGTGCTTCACGGCGGTATCTCTGGGCGGTTCGACGCCATTGATCACTATGTCTGACCCGGGAATATGAGGAATGGGCACGTCAAGAGAATGTTATACAGCCTACCCCGTGCAACGTAAGACAAGAGAATTGCTAGGACGGGGAAAGATCGATATGGTGGTGTTGCACACAGGGTAGGAACAGGTATACATGTTCATGACATATCTTACCGCAAGCTCTGCCTTAAGTGTATACCTAGACAGGTAAGGCTGCAGTGATAACTGGAGGGCTGCCACCAAGCCTTAATTCGTCAAGTCATGGCTCCAAGCCCACAGGAAAGCCGGTCTCGATGAACAGAAGCGGTTATATACACGGACACTCGGACCATATTCCATGGCACCAAAAGAGCATGGGAGATTGTCCATCTGTAGGTAGATGTTGTATGTTTGGTCGGTGACGTTGCGGTGCAGCAGAGGTCCGCACTTCATGGCCGTCCCGTCCCTTTGGCGGCGGGTGGCTTGGCGAGCATGTGAACTCCGAGCATCACCACATCTCTCTCTCCTTCAAGATGAGATTACCGCTTGGCCTTCGGGAATTGCACGAGGAGGCGGGCAGATATAGCGTATTGTTCACATGGAATTGATGGAGATGCTAAGATGACATACAGCTGTGTTGCAGCGGAACGTGTGCGTCGGCGGCCATGTCGGGCCCGTATGGCGAACAAGCACCTGTGGACTCCCCACGAGCAACAGATGTGAGCTTCCACCGGGTCGGAGATCACAATGGGGAGGCCAGCTCGCAAGCGCGGTCTCACTCCTCTGGCTCGAAGGGTAAGGAGAGGGAAGAAAGGGGCAGTTATGACGGCCCTACCATCCGCAAGGAGCGACCAGCCAGAGATAGGACGTCTGGTGGCTTTCTGCTCGAAACGAGTCTGCCGAATGGTGCTCCGCACGGAACATCGTCAGGCGTTGGCGATAAGCGAAGGAGCGCGCCCAATGGCCCATTGTACGTCGACAAGAGAAGGAGGCACGCTGGTGCGCGGATGTCTGCCGAGTCATCGCTAGGCAGCTCGCCGCTTTCACGCGAGGTGTCTATGGATGGTGCAATGAATGAGGATAGACCGCAGAGTGCGCCAGGGCTGGACCCGGCGCAGCTGGTGCAGATGGCGCTAGATCTGAGCGAGAGTCGCAGGAGGCACGTGAGTGGGCCATTGCGGGTGCCACTGTCTCCCAAGGACAGTCGGCGCAGCTCTGCAAGACAACGTATCAGCTACATGGCCAACGACTCGTCTCGCGTACCTTCTGGACAGTTGCATGAGCCACTTTCGGTCGCGGACGACGGGATACGGATGGCCACCGAGACGCAACTCAAACCATCTCCGGCGACGCTTTCGCGAGCTGAGAAAGCGCGCAAATACTTCGAGCTAGCTAGCGAGCATCGACGCCTTCTGCATCACCTGCCACCACTTAAGCCTGACTCCACTGCGAAAGGAAACCACAGCATCTCTACAGCGAACAGCCCTGGAAGTACGTATCCGGAGATCACTAGGACACCTACGCATGCGGGCGCCACGCATGACCTCGGACGACCCTACAATCCGCTCCAAGCTCTTCGAAACCGTAGATTACGGAACCGAGAGCGACAAGTGTTACCGGCTCCACCAGAGGCGTGGCAAGATGTGGATGCAATTGGCAGATGGATCGATGAGGTGGAGAAGGCAACTCGCCACCCATTGTTCCGCGAGACTCGAGACACCATCACCTTACCACGCTTTCACGGCGACATCCGAGGCTCTGACACCAATCAGGACGCTATCAAAGGCCACCGCCGGACAGATACCGCCAGCTCCGTCCTAACAAGACCCGAGAACGGATGGAGCATCGAGCCTTGCGAGTTGCTTGCTGACACCTACTGGACGGAGAAAGGCAGCAATAGGTACCTGTTGGAGTCTTCTCGTGGCTCGCCTGTATTTCCCAGGCACGCTCGCCATAGTGTTGAGAAAGTTCGGGTGTCGCAAGATGGGCACGGAGAGTCTCCCGCGACCCCACAAGGAAACCGGGACGATGCCGACCATGTGCCATTCCACAAGCGTGCCCATCGTGCAACACACCTGTTACCGAGACGCACACGACCAAGTCGCCTGGCTCGCTCTGGGAGCAACTCAAGCGTCTCTTCGGATGGCCGTCCAACACCGATGCCTCTGCGACCAGAAGACGACAGTACCGGCATCCTCAATATTGGACCGTTGGAGAAGCACATGCGGCAGATGATCGCTAGGGATGAACGCGGCGAGCTGACGTCGCCTGAGCTGGTCTCACCTGATCACTGGGACTCCAAGCACACTGTATTTCCAATACTACATAGCGAAGCTGGGCGCCCACGGAGGGAGTCGGTCGCTCGCGCCAATGGCAGGTTATCAGTCGGCCCGGTACCCAGCCATCACCGCAGGGCGAAGTCGGCAGACGGGAGGATGGACGGCAGAGTCTCGACCGAGATACTTGAGCTATCGCACGCTGACTCCCTCTCACCTGTTGCTCCAGGCTCAGCTTCGCCACGAGAAGCCGGCCTCTCTTTTACGACGAAGCGTAACGAACATTCCAAGCGATTGCACCGTCTACCGCTGTTCCGCGCAGATAGCCGGGACCGACCCAGCGATCAGACAGAGCGTATGGACTTCGCCAACGGCGCCGACCATCTGCATCGCGACATTCCGCAGCCCGAGCCACGCTCAAGTCAAGAGTCTACACGGCCGTTGGGCGTGCAGCGGCATGTTACCGCAGACAGCACGCATAGCCTGCGACGACAGGGTACGTCTACTACAGCGTCTGGATCTAGTCGAGAGCCTGGGTCAGCAGTGGGTCGTTTCTTCAAAGGCGGCAGGATCGGGGAGATGGTGAGAAGTGAAGGGGCGCGGTTTAGCGACCGCTTCCGGAACAAGGACCGGATGGATGATGTCCTGCCCGTCTCCGAAGAGTCCGCCTTGTCGCATGGCTCTGACGACGAGACGGCAGCCGGCGAAGCTGTGGATGTTGATCCCAGTCCGCGGACTTCGATCGATCAACGGCGCAGCAGACCGAGGTATAACTTGCAGCATCTGCCCAGTTTCAAGCACCCGCTTGGCCGCAACAGCGCTAATTTGGCGCCGCCGACGCGAGACGGCGACCCGATCACTCGACAGCAACGGGCTCAGCGCGAGGCCGGACGCTCGCCTCGCTTCGACCGGCTGGCACCTCCTCGCATCAATCTACCTGCAGACGAAGAGTCGCCGCTGTCCACAACAAGGTCCGGCGTTTTTGGAGACTATGACCGCCGCAAAAGCTATGGCTTCCTAGGAGCTCGCTCTCGAGACGGCTCACATACCTCCCTCGGTACCCCTGGAGAAATGCACCCGAACAACCACCTGGCTCCCACGACCGGACTCACCAAATTGCAAAGCGACAGTCGACACCGACACTGGAGCATCTCTGACCGCATGCCACAGCCGGAGGAGGTCAACCATCGCATGACCATGCGTGACGTCGCTCGGGTGAAGGCTCTGCTGTTGTCCTCGGGCGTCAAGGCGAGAGAATTATTGCGACAGGCTGACAGCCCTCGTGCCAAGCCTTTGCCGCTGTACCACAATGTCGCCGCGTTCTTAGAGATCCCCATGACAGACGTGCCGCTCCGGGAAGAGCACGTTATCGCCTCCCGCAAGCTCGCCGACTATCTCTCGTCATCCCTCTCCGCCTTCGACAGCAGTATTCGTTCCTTTGAGCACGGCCCGGCGAAGGAAATCGATGACCGGCTGAGTGCGCTGCAGAGGAGGGCGATGGACGACCTCACGTCGACGGTGCAGAACACATCCGACGAAGCGGACGCCTTCAACGTTGAGCTCACCACCAAGGCTCCGCAGGACGTCAAGCGGGTGGATGATGCGATTGACGACATTCTACGCGAGCGCCGCCGGCAGTGGAGGTTGCTGCGGCGGACGGGTTTCAAATTGCTCGAGTGGTTGGTGTTGGGGATCATGTGGTGGGTATGGTTTGTCGTGATGATCTTCAAGACGTTTCAGAGGGCGTTTATAGCTTTGCTGAGGGTGGTGAAGTGGCTTTTGTGGTTTTGAAAGGCTTGGTTGATATTGGATGATACCCTGTATTTTGCGCGGTTCTGCGTTCGGCGAGGCACAGATGTGAGACTGATATAGCATGTCGTATCTTTTGCCGTTGATTGAGAGGTAATTCCTGATACTTGGCATTGGCCGTACGACCGCGTTTATGCAAGCTATCCACGTAAATTACAGGAGGTGCAATTGAGGCGTCGGTATGGGTACGGATGTTGTCGAGAAATTTTTATACTATACTCGCTTATTAGGATAATCTGGCTCTTACGCTTGTTAGGGTTGGTCCTCAGGACGCCGCTCTCCCCGCCATCATATCGTACTCAGCTCTAGCGTAGGTAATGATACAGAAGCAGCTAGTAGTTAGTAGAGAGTATGCACGCCTTTGTTCGGCAGCATGGCAGGAGGGCCGATGGAAAATCGATCCCTCTGCCTGTACGTTCCATTTCGCGAACATGTAGGCTATAGCAGACCTAGCATCTGGCCAAAATCTCGACATGGGTATAACACTGACGAAATGATACCGCCTACGTTCAAACAGCACCGTCGGTCTCCACCGTCACATCAACGTGCAAAGGTCTCTCTGCCGCCTCCTCCCCCTGCTGGTGGTAAGCAGTATCCCGACTCGCCTGGTACCCGAGCGTCCCGAGTCCCGTCAACGCAGCACCCAGGTGACCGTAATCGGCGAACCGGCGTTTGCCGAAGATGTGGACTTCCTCGCCGTGCGGCCAAATAGCTACGCCGTGCCTCAGGGCGAGGTAGAAGCTCAGGCCGAGGGTTGAGGCGGTTAGGGATAGGATGGCGGGGAGGAAGCGCTGCCAGACTGATTGTTTGTGTGACTTGGAAGCGATGATGAGCGCGGAAGGCTGGATGACTGGGATGGTGGCGAGGAGCTCGCGGGCAGTCATGAGAAGGATATCGGTGATGCTTGAGCGTACGGGTGGCTGCCAGGGGAGGGTGATCTTGCGCTCTCTTCTCAACAACTCCACGTCTGCGCCTGACGTGCATTCCGCCAGAGCCATGACGTCTTCCACCTTCGTCTGTAACCCGAGCTTCTCATGCATACGCGCCACATACCGCACGAGCTTGCCGTACTTCCTCCTCATTGTCTGCGCGAGCCAGTCCTGCGGGAGTTGCGGGTAGAGCATCAGACTCAGGTAGCCGTAGGCCAAACAATCCACGCTCGTCATCTCATCGCCAAGTAAGAAATCTCGATTACCCAACATGCTCTGCAATGGCCCAAAGAAGTTGTCCGCCAACGCATGCAGCTTAAACGCGGCGGAATGCTCCGGCCGGCGCAACATACTCTGCACCGTCTCTCTCCGCGGTAATAGCAGACTAGCCCTCTTCTGCGCCTCCACCTCAAACCCCTGCCCTTGTTCCTTCCCCACTCCATCAAAGCCCGACGGTCGTCCACTAAGGTCATCGTGCACGTTATCCACGTCTATACTGGAGATGCCCAAGTGTTCTGTTCGTCGTCTGGCTGCCGCTCTTCGCTTAGGCGGCAGGATGTAGTTCGTGTGCCATGGTAGGATCTTGGTGAAGGCGGAGCGGGTGAGGGTGTAGTTGTCGAAGGAGACGTAGAGGGAGATGTCGAGGAGGTGCTGGGCGTGGGTTGAGAGGAAGGAGGTGAGGGCTGTGGAGTCGGCGGGATAGGCACTACTCGAGTCATGCTTGTCTTGGTGTTGGTCGAAGTATCGGACGATATTGTGGAAGCCGAAGACTTGGTCTGAACCGTCGTCTAGTAATGGTAGACCATAGCTGTCGTCGTGGGTTGGGATGAGCGTCCAGAGTTCTGGTGGGAGTTGCAGCTTCAGCAGAGCAATGGCGGCTATGCATTCTGCATCTACTGAAGGAAGGCCAAAGCCGGGACCGAGCACGTGCAATCGTATCATCCTTTGTCGATATATGTATATGTCCTGCTCCTTGTAACCATAAGAATCGACGGCGAGACCATTCAATTGGCGTCGGAAGAGAGTCTACGGCCACAGCCACGCTGCGTCAGCCGCGGTGATCGGAGCTTTACAGCCACACTTTACGCGGCTGAAAGCGCCCGGCATCAGCGGGACAGGGACGAAAGCTTGGATGCTACTACTTCATTCTCCACTTCACATGTATCCCTTCTCGCCAGTCTCGAACGCAGTTATATACATGTAGTCATTGGCCAAGCAATATTAGTCTGGAACAGCGAACAGCCTCTGCTACTCATACTGGCAATGTCTCTGGCCACTGCAATGTTGACGCCCTGGCTGTTGCGACCGTACTATGCAGCTAGCCATGCCATGCATACGAGTCAAGGGTAGCTAGCTCTCTCATCAGCTCATTCCGTGAGATCAGCTCGGTACCGGCATTCGAATCCTACGGCTGATCCACTTCATCCCTCGATGCAACCGTGTAGGCGTAGACGGTCTCAACTCCTGCCTTGAGAAATATATGTTTCCCTCTTCCCACAACCTGTGCTTTCGTAAACCTCCGGTAGAGGGAGACGGTGAGCTGAAGCTAACAGTATCAGTGACAGGACTGTAGCTCAGATTCCATCACCGTTTTAGGCCTGCCTACAACTAACCACGGAGCCTAAACACCTCACGCGGTCTCAAGATGTCATCTAAGCTAGATCAACTCCTCGCCTCCCTCTCCACCGCCCAACAGCTCGCCTCGGAGCTCCAATCCGAACTGGCCTCCAACATCCCTCAATCCCTCCAAGCCGCCGCAGCCGCCGAATCCATCAAACGAGCCGTCCAACCCGCCCCCTTCCGCGCCTTCGACATCCTCTTCTCCACCTTCCGCCTCCCCGCCGTCCGCACCGCCCTCGACGCCGGCTGGCTCGAAGCAATCACCCAAGCCGACCCCCAAACCGGCATAACCGCCGCGGAGCTCGCCTCCCGCAGCAAATCCAGTCCCGCCCTCGTCATCCGCCTCATGCGTTTCCTAGCCGCCACAGCCGTCGTCGAGGAAGTAGGAACAAACACCTACGCCCCGAACCCACTAACCCACTTCCTCCTCATCCCCGGCTGGAGCGCGGGTGTCCGCCACTTCTCCTCCGCTTACCCGGGCGCCACGGCGAAAATGCCGCAATATCTCGCCAACCTCAAGTACCAAGACCCGCCCGGCGCGCCGCACGATCTGTTCACCTATGCGAACGGCGCCCCCTTCTTCACCCACGTTTCCGAACGGCCGAAAGACCTCGATGCTTTCGACTCGTTCATGGTCGTTGCGCGTACGTCGCTGGGACCGACGTGGTTGGATGTGTATCCGCTTGAGAAACTGAAGGTCGAGTCATCGGATGACGTGCTATTGATTGATGTTGGGGGAGGACGGGGGCACGATCTTCACGCTTTTGCTGAGAAGCGGAAAAGTTTGGGGTTGGAAGGGAAGTTGGTACTGGAGGATCGGCCAGATGTCGTTGTCAATTCGTCGGCGGAGTGGCGGGAGGACTTTGGTGTGCGGGAGCATGATTTCTTCCAGCCGCAGCCTGAGGAGTGTGTTGGTGCGAAAGCTTACGTATGTTTCATCCCTACACTACGATCTCCCCGATCGCTACCTGCTTGCTGACAAAACTATACCAGTTCTTGAAGATGATCATGCACGACTGGCCCGACAGCAGCTGCATCCAGATCCTCTCCCACCTCCGCGATGCCATGAAACCCGGCTACTCTCGCATCTTGATCAACGACAACGTTCTACTCGACCGTAATTGCTCGGTAGTTTCAGCGGCTTCAGATATGGCCATGCTGACGGTGTTGTCGGGCAAGGAGCGCACGAAAGCGGAGTGGCAGGAGTTGATCGGTAAAGTGGACGGGCTAGAAATTGAAGACTTTTACGTCATGGAGGAAGGTGGGAGGGGGGTGGTTGAGATCGTTAGGAAACAGTGATGTGATTCGGTAGGGAACGGAGATTATCATGGATCATATGTGCCGTGTTGCTTGTGACTCTACACTCTCATACAGCATTGAGCTTTGTACGGTACGGTATTCAACTCTCCGCTCAACGACCTTGCCGCAGCCGACTCGTTCCCCTCTGTCCAGAAGTTGGATGCTCGACAATGCCATGCCGTCTTAGCAGAGCCTTCAGCGCGAGTACCTCACCCTTGAGCACCGCCACGTCCTGCTCCAGACTCGCCACTCTCGCATCAACTTTGGTGCAGTCGAAGCACCGCACGGGCGGACTCCGTATCAAACCTTCCACTCTCTGACCCTCGACGCCGGCATGCGCGCCGCTACGACCATTCTTGCTGGCTCTAATCCTCGCCCACGGACTATTCGGCTGCCTCGCTGCTGCAGCATTCGCCGCCATCTCCGCCAAACCAGTCCTCTGCCCTTGCGGAGAATGACGCTTGGGCTCATGCTTGTGCTTCGATGATAGCGACGACGACCGTGGAAACAACTCGCGAACATCTTCCGACGCCGGCGTGAAGACGCCAAGGGGTGAGAGCTGTGATCGTGCGGTCTTGAACGCATCACTCTCCGTCGACCCGTCAAAGACCCTTAGTGGCGGCACGATGTTAGGCAGACTTGGGCGTAGGTCTGGCTTACGTCGTCTGGTGGTGCTGAAGGTACCTCTTGAAGTGACCCGTGACCGCGAAACCTGGCGTGCGGGAGGTCGTTGTGCGTGGCTTCGAGGGTACTTCGCTTGCGTCTCCGCCTCGTCCGTCAGCCAGATATCGTCTCCATCTTCGTCATCGTTGAGCGACTCGTCTTGCACGGAATCCGTGGGCCATGTAGCCTCCCGTTCGAGAACATTTCCTGGATGCCAGTACTTCTGCTTGCCAGTCCCGCTTCGGATATGCTTGTGCGGCAAGTGATGCTCAGCGTTGTCTGACTGTGGTACATTGGTAACCGCATGCGACTGGTCGGTTGCGGTGAGTTTTTTTGTGGCGTAGCCGCGGAGCATTCCGCTCTGCTTCGGTCCCAGAGCGCCGCTCATCTTCCTCAAGTCTGCAAGGATCTTAGCGTTGTCGTCAGGCGCTAGTGAGCCGATTTTGAGAGCGCTCGTATTGCTCTGATCGGTTCGTAGGCCTCGCGCAGGCTTGAAGCTGGGTTTTCGCTTCTTAAGCGGCGACAGCTTGGTGCTGCTTCTGCGCATACTGGAGACTTGGATCGTACTACCACGAGCAAGACGCGTTGCTTCTGACGCGGTACTAGTTGCATGGCTGTCCGCGGTACCCATTGGAGCACTCTCAATGAACGTCTTGCTGGAAATGCGTGGTCGAGGTCGCAGTGGCGTTGACAGGCCATTGATTATAGCTGTAGTTGCAGCTGCTTGGGTCGATGGCTTCACCGGCGAGAACAAATCGAGCAAATCACCGTTCGGCAACGCAGCAGGCGGCGGACTCGAGGCAGGCTTGTATCTCACCGTGCCGTCATCTGGTATCTCATCCGGGTGAATGGTGAACCTGCGATCAGGCCTAGCCTTCCTCCCTTCCGTTTGCGGTCGGCGCAGTCCAACCGGCAACCCGAGACCCTCCGAATCCGCCATCCTAGCCCAGTTCCTCCTTGGTTGAGCTTTCCCATCCATGTTCGACGGTATCGACGGCGCATCGCTCAGCTGCTGCACCGCACGGTCTGGAATGGGCGGGGGCGACGGACCGTCAACCCACTCGACACTGATGACGCGATCTGACACGCTTTTCTGTGCTAGAAGCAGACCGGCTCCGTCGTACAGATGCACCTTACCATCTGCCCTACCTACAGCGATGACATCTTCGATAACCGACACGGAGGTCAAGGGCGCCTTTGCGTGCCACGTTCGCAGCACCGTGCCCGCTTCGAGATCGACGATCTTGCAGCGTCCGTCTGCGCCAGCACTCACGGCTCGGAACTTGTGGGTTGGCAGAAAGGCACAGCCGGCGATTTGATCGAGGCGCGAGCCGGTTACATGTCCGACTTCTCCGTCGCAACCGCTACGGCTGACTTCATTGGCGCTGTATGCAGCGATTGTGCCATCTCTGAAGGCAAGCAAGAAGATGTACGCTCGTCGAGGATGGAAAGCTGCAGCACAGACAGCGGTAGAAGATGCCCGCGGCTCGAGCAGTATCGGCTTGGTGTTATGGATTAGGTTCTTCAAATATACAACGGGCGGGTTATCGGAAGCGGAGACCAGATACGCAGACGACCCGGCAAGCACATTCGGGGCACTGTTGTGTGCTTGAACTGGACTCCGTAGCCTGAGCTGCCGAGTCGAGTAGCGTAGGATGTCATTTGTAAGTCTGGTTGTGAAAAAGAGGCCGTTGTCAGTCCTTTCGAGCAAGCGGACTTCATCGCCTGCAGACTTCAAGCCCCAGCTTCGGTCCTGGCCATGCTTGGTGTCATGTAACACAATGACTTGGCTGTCGGCGACAGCGAGTAAACCGTTGCCCGCCGTCTTGGCTGCGACGATCCCGGACTGGCCACTGGTGCATATTGTATGCAGACCTGTCGAGTCCCAGGAGTACACATGGCCTCGCGTTGTGATCAATAAGTGCTTATTGGCCGGTACATCTGTTAACGTTGGCGATGACTTTGCTACTAATATGTTCTGAGCAGTAGGCATCCTTCTTCATCATCCTGTATACCAGCATCGCAGGGTTTGAGGTGGTTGCTCGGCAAAGCCATGTAGTGTAAACATTGCCGTTCCCGGCAAGCGGGCTGTGCGCCTCGTGCGCCACTGCCATTCGTGCCTCCCATCTGATTTCATCTTCGAGCGCCAAAGTGATTGACCATTGCAATCAGCTCGGTCACCTTTGGCAACAATTCCCGATGGTGTTAATGGAGCTCGTCAAGTAGGCTTGGAATTAGACCTCGCTGTCCTCTCGGCACCTCGGCTCGCTATCCCCGCAAAAACTCGCCGGGTATAACATGCTGTTGAACATGGCGATGTACAATATAAACCGGCGCGATCAGCTAGAGCCAAGGAGTACGTTCTGGGGCTCTAGCGATCGAAAATGTCGGACACGAACGGCTCGCCGAAGACGCCGGAGCTGCTATGGAGGCCCAGACGGGCCGGAAAGACGCCAATGGATGAATACAGACGGCACGTCAACCACAGATTCTCCCAAAATCTGAGAACGACGCGAGAGTTGCATCGATGGAGCGTGCAACACCCACAGGACTTCTGGATAGATTTATACGATTACCTTCGCTTCACACCCAAGCTACCGCGCGGCATGACCAAAGCCTATGATGACAGCGTACCTATGAGTTCGAACCCGCCTTTCTTTCCTGGACTACGAATGAACTATGCTGAGAACGCTATGTTCGCTAATCCTGATTCAGATGCCATTGCTCTTGTGGGTATCAGAGAAGGCATGGATCTCAATCGCGAAGACGGCGAGCAACTCACTTGGCGAGAGTTTCGAGACAGAGTCCGGTTGACGGCCAGCGCGATGCGACATTGTGGCGCAAAGCAAGGCGATCGAGTCGCCGCGTTAGTAGCGACCTCGATTTGGGCTATGGTACTTTTCCATGCAAGTGCTGCGATAGGCGCAATCTTCACCTCGATCAGCCCCGAACTCGGTCTCGAAGGCTGCGTTTCTCGGTTACAGCAAGTTACGCCGAGCATTCTGTTTGCCGATAGCGACACGGTCTACAAAGGCAAGGCCGTAAATATCACAGCCAAGACCAAGCAGATACTCGACCGGCTTAGTCCGAGACCGCAGACGTATATCATTCCGATAGTGTCAAAGCCAACAGACTTCGCTTCAATCGACGACTTCCTCAACAAGGCCAATCAGTCTGAGCCACTGACCTTCGCCCCAACTTCGTTCAACGATCCATTGATGATCTGCTACAGCTCAGGCACAACCGGCGCACCGAAATGCATAGTCCACCGCCACGGCATGATCATTCAGATGAAGAAGATCTCCGCGATTCACAACAGCACTACCACCGCCGACGTGATACTCCAGTATTCCTCAACCTCCTGGGTCGTCTTTTACGTCATGTGCGGATACTTTGCGTGCGGCGCAAAGACGGTCGTCTATAACGGCAGCCCAATGTATCCGGACGCCAAGCAACTGCTACGGATGGTCGAGAAGTACAAAGTAACGTACTTTGGAACGTCGCCGAGATACTTGCTTGAAGTGGAGATGTCGAAGACAATGCCAAAGCATGAGCTGGATCTGTCTTCTCTCCGTATAGTGTATACTACAGGCGCCACGCTTTCCGCGGAGCAGTATCGATGGTTCTACTCCGCCTTTCCACCGGACGTCCACCTTTGCAACACCGCTGGAGGCACTGACACAGCAACTTCACTGATTGCTGCTGATCCTTGCGGACCTATACATGCTGGCGAGATGCAGATCTTCGGTCTCGGAATGGATGTTGACGTTGCAGATCCTGTGACGGGAGAGTCAATGTTGCAGACTGGGGAAGCAGGTGAGATGGTTGTCCGAAAACCATTTCCGAGTATGCCTTGCTTTTTCTGGGGCGACGAAGGGAACAAGAAGTACCGTGAGAGCTACTTTGAGAGGTTTGACAAGTTTGATATGTGGGCGCAGCATGACTGGCTGAGCTCTAATCCCACGACAGGCGGGCTAGTTATGCATGGTAGGAGTGACGGTGTACTGAGTAAGTCTGAGACGTTCAGAACTTTCTCGAATCGGCAAACACTGACATTGTCTAGACCCGTCAGGCATTCGCTTCGGCAGCGGCGAAATCTACGCTATCGTCGAAGCTGCGCCCCTCAACAGCCGCATTTCAAACAGTCTGTGCGTCGGTCGACGGCGCCCGCAAGACCACGACGAGGACGTCTTCCTCTTCCTCGTCATGTCGCCACCTAATCAGCTAACGCCGGAGTTCCGAGCGCAAGTCAAGGCCGCCATACGCCAAGCCCTCTCGCCACGGCATGTGCCAAAGTTCGTACTCCAGGTGCCAGATATACCAGTCACGATCAATGGCAAGAAGGTCGAGACCGCAGTCAAGCAGGTCTTGTCGGGTAAGGAGGTGAAAGCGAGTAATACTGTGCTTAACCCAGAAACCATCGGGTTCTTTAAACGGTTTCAGGATCTGGAATCAGAGCCTAAGGCAGCTAAGCTGTAAATGTATGCGCTTTCCCTATGCTAGATGATTGGGAAGTGTGTCGCAGCAGCCACAGGCAGACTCTAAACTGGCCGCTCATTACTAGATCCGATATCAGAGTTCTCCTCAACCGATATTAACAGGCTGCGCTCCGGCTTTGGGCACATGTCCACTATTGGCACAAAGCCCATCGCAACGGAGTGCGAAAGCAGACAAGTCAAGGCGAATGAGCTCGCAAGACTCGAGATGGATGGATTGTGGCGGCCTCACCTGTATACTACGTAGCGACTACGTCCGAGGCTGGGTATGCCATACCTAACCTGCAGGCGCACAGCTGCAGAGCAAGCTTAGCTGACACGAATTCAGTTCTTGGACAGCGCTGTGCTCTGTCTACTTCGTGGGGCGGCGCTCGAGGACATGCTACTCATTCGATGTCACATGCTGTCCGTGAATGTGATGTGATGCTTCTCGTACGTGGACTGAACGGTCGGAGTTCCCATCCCCTTTAGGAAATTGCTCCCCCTGAAGCTCACCACATCAGCTTTCGGCCCCCACTCGCAAGATTATGGGGTTCAGCTCCGAAACATGTAGTCACCCCTTCGCACCGCTCGTAGGAGATACTTTCACGCTTGATTGCCATTGCTGATCTACCACACTGCCAAATATGGCTTCTCTCACCTCCACACTAATGCGTCGTGACAGCCCCCTCATACTCGGCCTGAAGAGCTTCACAGTCGGCACCACGCTCTTCCTCGCCGGCAGCATGGCCACCGTTTCATTCCAACTCATACCAGGCCTTATCCTCGCCACGCAACAACGGAACAAGCTCTCATCAAATACAGAGACCGGACGCTTAACCCCAAACCCAACTTCTGACTCCAATAAGCAGCTCCACCTCGGGCCTCAAGCAGTCTTGACCGGCTCAGTTGCGCCCGCGGCGCTGCATGCCGATAGCGGCTATAAAGTCGCCGCGATTCAATTCGTGCTCATGTCCAAAACGGCTTTCGCAACCCAAGTCCCGCCCGAGCTACTAACAATCATAGCGTCCGGCTTTCTGACATACCACTACCGCGCCGCGAAGCTACCAGCGAGCATTTGGGCAAAGTGGGCCGCAGTTGCGGGGTTGGTGACCGCCATCTTCCCGCTGACGGGTGGGTTCATGGTACCGATTGATCATAAGATCGCGCGGATAGCGGGCGAGGAGGCTCAAGTGGAACCTTACGAGGATGCGCCGCCGGACAGGGAAGCGGAGAGGAGTAATGCGGAGGCGTTCTTAAGGCAGTGGGGGTTATTGAATAGTGTGAGGGCAGTTGTGATGGTGGCGGCTGGTGGAGTTGGGCTCTGGGCCTTGTTGGAGTAGAAGGTGAATGCGCGGGACAGGAGCTCGACAGTCTGGCAGCCTACCATGTCTTTCGCTGCGTTAGCCGCGACTAGCCTCAGCAACGCCCAGCATCTGTGGTGAAGCACAAGCTGCGATCGAGGGATGAATCAAGCGTCGCAATACAGCCATGGCCGAGATGAACGCCTGCAACTCAAGCTGCGCATGGTTCATGGACATAGTGGTAGGGCCCGTCAGAGACCCCTCATGCTACGACTTCCTCAGCATAGACTGGTTCACGCCTCGGCAGCTGCTACGGTAGGCGCGACGACTTGGTCCCAGTGGGAAGTGGGTACGATTCCGCTGCTGCTTTCCTCACTATACCCACCAAGGGTGCCTCGAAATATCCGATCACTATAAGGCTCTAGCTGTTCGCTTTAGCGTGGAAGCTTCGACGCCCAGCATGATCATACGGTATCCGCGCCTTGGTCCTACAGAAAGAGCGCTCGCGACTCTTGGAAGGCCGAGCACTGGCGGCGATAATTGTCATGGTGGCCCACAATGCGGGCTGCCTAAAAGAATTCACGCTGTGGTCACTCCGATGTCTCTTGCGCAATGTACACCACCACATACCTCGAATAAGCTCTCGATCAACAAAGCGACTAACCCAAGACTTACCCTGCCTAGACTTTCGGCTGTAATATCAGCAATTAGAGACTGGCAAGTACGTGTTGAGGTGGTAATTGCTTGTAACATGGTTTGACGAATAGACCTGGTCAGTCTGCTTTCTCCCTTTCGTCACCACAGCTTGGAGCATTTTGCAGTCTGCTCTTCAACTCGTCGAGAACAGCTTCCTTGCACTCTTTCCAGTCGCTTTCACCCCAAATCAATTGACTCTCTTCCCAGAGCTCCTCCACTTCGTCGTTGTTCCCATATTCAACTTCCGCACACCCCGCGCTATGATTCTCGGCACTCTTTATCCCAGACTTCATGCGTTCGGATCTCAGCAGTTTCACGTCTTCGCGGGATAGTGCATATCGTGGCCATCCCTGGATCAATTTAAACCGCGCAGCCTTCAGTTGACGAGGCTTAGTCTCTGATGAATATTCCTCGAGCAGTGCCGGCCAAGGAGAGGATTCGTCCATAGGCAGGTTGGCCGCTAGGAGCTCGCGCGCGGTGCAAACACCAGCCATTTCATGCTTCACGGGGTCCCAACACCGTACGCTAGCATCAAGATCGGCACCGTGAGATACGAGTAGCTTGATCGCTGTTTGTATCTCGGCGGACGTGAAATGTAAAATTGCGGAGAGTTTGCGGTCCATGGCTCTTAGTACTTGGTCAGCTGCGGCTCCGTTCAGCCAGAAGAGAAAGGTAGTCCAGATGGATGCTGCGTAGCCAGCAAGTACGACAAAGGCATTATAACGGTACACTGGCTCATTGAACGGTGGGTTTATAGCACGGGCGTTTGGGTCGGCTCCATGTGATAGCAGCAACTCGAGGTATGCCAGATTCTGTCCCTTCTGCCGGAGGAGGCCGAGTTTGTTCCAGCTCTTATATCCAAGAGCCGACAACATGTGTGCGCAGACGAGTACCGGAGGCCAGGGTTGAATGTTGGCAAGGAACGGTACCTTTGTCAGCCAGGTATGGCTGAATTCTTGTTTGCCAAGTTCTTCAAAGATGTGGCATGCCCACTGCAGTGTAGTCAAGAAATATCGTTCCATGGCTTCATTCATTTTGAAGTGACTGCGCAACCAGGACCAAACTTGAGCCCCTTCAGATCCCTGGAGAAGCACGTCGCTATAACGCAAGGAGAGACCCTCGAGGGCATGAAGTATACTACTAAGGCCAGAGGTCGTAGCATCCGGACGCTCGGACGAGGCATAGTCGAATTCATATTCCATCGCGTCGCTCGTAAAACTAAGCATTGACGCCAAGATTACGGGATTAATATGCTGAGGCAGTATCTTGGCCCACGCCACAGCCAGTTGTACCGGAAACAAAGAGTCGAAGAAGTGCGGAGGAGTATGCTCGCGCAGGAGCTTCTGCATATCTGAGCCATTCAAAAAGTCGACCACAGTCCTGTGCATGAACCGTACGTCCTCTGCTGACATCTGATAATTTTTTCCAGACGAAAAGCTATCAAGCCATTGCTTCCTAAACGCAGCCGTGTCTTGTGGAGTCTCGATCATGTCCCGAAGCCACACAGTTATGGCGGCTAGCGTGTCGTCAAAGATAGTCATGAGTTCGTCGACTGTGCAGACTTTGATATGAATAGCCTGGTGGAAGTCTTTGTCCAGTAAGTACCGACCAGTTCTTTCGGTCTGGAGAAGGAGCCAAAAAGTGATCATAGCCCTTGTTCTCTTGGAGAAAGCGTGCAAGCCAACAACGAGGGCCATGGCTGTGATTGAGTAGCCGGATAGACCGGCGTCGGGGTCACGGAATGTGGATGAGATGCGCTCGAAGACCATCTGGCGCATATACCCCTCAAGATCCGAGGGAATAGCCTCAAGTCGTTCGCGTAGGCGTTCAACTGAGTCTCGCGATCTCAACCAGTCGCAGATCTTCCTGGCGATCAGCACCGTCCACAAGAAGACACCGTCCGCTTTGTCAATCAGCTCCTGAATGAATTTGGCCGCCGCCTCTTTGTTGGTGGATGAGACCTCAGACGTATTGACCTCTCGCAAGTATTCACCTGCTACGAGATCATCGTAGAACGATGACCAGTCAAGGTCGGTGGGAAGTTGGCCAGTAGAGGCTTCGAGTAGCTCAGCCTTGACATAGTTCACGATGTCATAACGGTTGATCTGATCCATCGTCGTTACATTTGGACGGCCTCCAAGAGCGGCTTCAAAAGCCGACCATGGGCGACTGGTAAGGATCATCTTCACATTAGGTAAGGCGGCCAGGTCTTTCAGATCGCGGAGCATGCTGCGGTGCTGCGATGCTGTGTCTTGACCTTCTGTCTCGCACTCGTCCATGCCATCTACAAGGATACAAACGTACTTATCACAGTTTTGCAAAGCTGCCTTCACGAGCTGTCTGAGCTCCACAACAGACCATGCGGTCGGCCCACGCTTCTGTTGCCGCGGACAAACATAAGGCACAAGTGATGGGTTATCCGCGAGTACTTCGTAGAGCAGATGGCGCAACATGCCGAGGTACGACTTCTGCAGAGGAGTGCCTGCAATCCAGAAGAAGTGGTCTGTGATCAGAACCTCTTTGCCGTAGGAGTCGGCCCAATCGTAAAGTCTGTCTTGTGTTTTAGAGTGAGTCCGCAAGAACTTCGCAAAGGTTGACTTTCCCGATCCAGGCTTCCCACGGATCCAGTAGATGCTGTCCTCTGCGCTCGTAGCTTGGCCTCCCAGCCACGAGAAGAAACGGTCAGCTACTGCCATACGGTGAGCTTCAGAGTCTCCTTGCTGCACTTGTAGTGTAGGAGCGGTGGTCGCCTCAAAGATCCAATGCAGCGTATCTTCGTGCGCCTCAACAATGCCGTCTCGTCTGGCATCCATTTCCGGAAACTTCAAGCTGTCTATAACCCGCCATGCTTTCTGCCTGTCTGCTTCCGTGACAAGTAGGTTCTCAACGCGAGTCTGACCCGCTGCGAGATTATCGTGTGCCAATCTTACCTCCGCAACCGTTCGATTGGCAGCCGTCTGCACATCGGTGGACAAACGGCCGAAGCATTGTGCAAGAGCATCTTGCGCGTCGGCGGAGTTGCTCTCGATCTTAGCATCAAGCTCGCGTAGCTCCTTAAGCACTGTTGCGTCAACGTTGAGATTAAGCAGGGTTAGAACGGTGTCGAGCGATTGGCAGCAGGCATCGATGTCCTGAGCAAGACTCTCGCCGTGTGCCTGCTTGAAGCCATACGCAGCTTTTCTGGTCAAGTTCTTGAGCTTGCTGCTGAATTTGTTCGACGACCTGTCCGGCTCTATGCGGGTGAGAAACGCTTGCAGACTTGCCGCTGCTTTATGACAGTTGCGCAGAGCAGCTTGCACCTGTGCCTCCGCCACGGCTTGCTCGCAAATCTCTGGACGTTGCAAAGCCTTGTTTGTTGCGGCCGTGACGTTGAGAAAGGTGGTAAGCTGGCGATGCAATGCTTTGATGTCGCTGTCGTATTCTTTCAACGCAACCTAGTACTGATAGAGGTCCTTTGCTACATCCCATGCAGCGCTGGCTATACCTATGGCGGACGCTGGATCCATGGTTTCCACAGCTGCGAGGGCTGTGACGTGCGGCTATTCTCGCATTGGCAACATGTACAGACAAGCGAGAGGTACGCAGTCAACTCTGGGAGGAACATTTGCGTACTTGAGGTAGAGCGGCTGAAGTTACGCCCACAGCCTGCCTGCAGCAAGGGTGTCTTGTAACTGGCGATGCTGCCGAAATGATGCGCAAGTGGCGCAAGGCCCCACCATTATACTGCATTTATCCAGCCGCGATGATTCTTATCACTACGCAGAAACAGGAGCATTGCAGAGCGCAATCATTCATGGATCCATGCGGATCATGCTTGAACGAGATGGTAAGAATTAGCGCTTGCGAGCCGGAAGCTTGAAGATCTAACTGTCTTCCGAGCATTTAGTTAACATATATGGTATCCCGCGAGATGGACTCCCATTTGGAGCGCTGCCGTGCCACATCAACAGTAGGCTAATACGTTCGTGCATGTGCTCTCCCATCTTGCGTAATATCAGAGAGTGGGACGTCTTCTCCATAGTAATGCCAGTGCTCCACCCCGGCATAGCAACAGCGACATCAGGCGGTAATTGGTCGCAGCATTCACCACTGTCTATGTATGCCGACACGTGAGCATCATCAGCGCGCCAGAATCCGAGGGTGGCCAAGTCCGAATAATTTACCACTCCAGCGTCGAGTAAGATCGTATGAAGACCGGTGCTTAATGTCTGCCCAAGTCGCCACGGGTGCTGTCAACGGTTTTGCCAGTACTGCGTCTTCGTAATCGTATTCGTGCCAAGCAATTCGGCCGCCAACAGAAAGCCAGGTCTAGCTTGGGAGCGTTTGCTGTCGTTGCAATATATCATTCTCATCAGTGACATACCAACCCAGATGACGGACCATGCTGCGCGCCCAGCAGCCCAGCACATAAATGTCTTGGTAGTTGTACTCAAGCTCCCTCGCAATTCCGACAAAGGCCTTCACATTATCCGCTGCATGTGTAAAAGATCGTGCTGTGTAGCGGTGTCAGCTGTTGCCATTAAAGTACGAGATCCTTCTTTGTAGCTGACAGAAGAAGTCTACTACTAGGCACAGAATCCATGGATTTCGAGACAGGTGGTCGGTCCAGATAATTAGCTCCACCGCCCACGACCATGAGTCCTCTGATACGATGGTACGTGGAATGCATTGCGGTAACCCCCAGCCTTGCGCGCCTCCAGAGCAAGCCACGCTCCGAGAATATCAAGATTCTCTTTGACAATTTCACCTCTTGGAAGGTCCAACCGCGGCTTCGAAGGGGCTCCTCATCCAGACAGTCCGCAATACTGATGTCATCATCGATGTGAATCATGCCGGACTTCGCTTGCGATAGCCGCAATGGAAGTCTGCAGCTACTTCCTCTACGTCGATGTAGGAAGCCATCCCAGACTGACTTCGAGCTAGACACCACAATTGTGCATACCGCATTCCTGTAGATCATGCGCATCATCTCGATCTCGGCCATCTTGTCCTGCTGCTCGTCTCGAACGATGCAAAGGCTGTCTACCCAGATGTAGTGAACACCAAGCTGACGAGTGACAAACACAGCATCCCGGATCGTAGGGGGTAACGATGCAAGTTCTAGTCCTGTTTGGTGAATGTTAATTTTGTCAGTCTTCGTCATCGGTTGTCCTTCCGTGCCCCAGCAGTATCTTAAAGCCACATAGCAATGAATCTGTGATTGTGTTGGGACGACTCGAACATGAGCTGGGTTGCCAGGCACCCTCACTTCAAGCAGCCGCGTCGGCATCCAGTTTGTTGTGCCCTCGTTATATCCGTAGTGATGGGCGCGACACTCCTGCAGTCTCGAACGGGCTTGCTTCAGGGCGTGCCTCTGGCCTACGTTCCTTTCAAATGGTTCGTATCGTATGTATTTGGAGGCGGCATTGGCTGACAGCCTTCCCTTCAGCATACCACTGCATTCCCCAAAAGCCGCAGACGATACATACGGTGCTCAGCGCAAACGTACAGGTCTTTCAGATGGGTTTCTCTATCGAAAGCTTCCAGCCGGAGGAGGGAAGATCAACCGCGGCCACGCAGAGGATGTCGCAGTCGGCGCGAGCCTGAAGGTAAGGTGTACACGTTGACAGTGTAATCAATACGCATATCAGTGTCCAAAGCAGCGTAGAATCGGATCGATGTTCCTTCATCGCGTTACGCAAATTCATTGACGTTTCCCAGCAGCACCTTACAAAGTCTGCACAGTCGCGCACTCTAGCGCAATACTTCCAAGTCCGGATGTAGTTACCCTGCGCTAGAGTACACAGCGCGCAGTCCTGCCTTTGTGCCCGTCATGGAGATGCATTTTGTGCAGTAGGTGTTGCCTTCACCGTCTTCCTATACCGCTTGCGCCGCCTAATCGTAGGACCAACTCTGGTCTCTGGTCTTACTTGCCGACGGTGCAACATCAATGCTTTGATTGCGGCCCGATATCAGGTCAACACTGTGATGCTTGGATACCCATATTCGGGCGGAGGGTCATGTTCACCTCGAGCACATGAGCTCTCCCATCTACGTAATCACTGTAGAGCGTCCGCAATTCTACGGTGGCCAACACTTAGCGTGGTCATATGGATTTGAGCCTCGACAGGCAATGTACTGAACATCTATACGAGATAGTGGCAACTGTCATTGTGAACAAGAGGTAACGTGAAGCTGGTGCAAGGTCCACGTGGTTAGCGTGCCGACGGCCGCCTCGGGCCGATATGACAGTCCAAGAATAGAAATGCAGGGCTCCTTACTACCCGAACTATGAACTATAGCTCGCGTGTCTGTTTGCGACGTAATACACGAAGCCTCAGGAGGCGAAGTAAAGACTACCATCTTGATTGAAAATGGCGCGGTAGCAGTTATACAACATCCGCTGCCATCGAGGCACCAGGATCCTTCACACCAATAACTATACCTTACCGAGCAGATGGACACGCAACAGCTGCTCAGCGCTGCTGCCGAGCAATGGCAAGAGATACGGCCTTTAATGCCATTGTACATCCACATCATCCTATCCGCTCTCTTCCCAATCTACACCGGCGCCCACGCTTCACTATCACGCCCGGCATCTGCAGCGAAACCGTCCAAACAGGGGAAGCGGCAAGCATTAGCGGACGAGGAAGATGACGAGGAAGATGTGGTGCAGAAGATGGAAGGCTTGTCACCAAAGGATGCCATCCTATTCCCCATCACAGCGGGTATCGTACTTGCTGGACTATACTTCTTGATCCAGCGATACGGTGCGAAGCTCATCAACCTGATACTCGGATGGTACTTCGCCGGAGTAGGGGTGTACAGCGTGGCCAAGCTTACTAACGACGCCGTCAACGTGGCAATTAGCTTCATACTACCAACATACTACGGCCAAGGAGGCAAGCTGTGGAAGGTAGACGGCGCGAAACGGAAGTCTACATCACAATCCAAGACGGGCGAACAAACAACCCGCAACTCACCAATCCCCTACCTCCCCGCCTTCTCCAAAACCTTCTTCGATGCCATCTGGACTCTCCGCGCAGCGATCAAACAACGCTACACAACCAAAGCCTACATCCATGACCTTCTCGACCTCAAAGCCAACCTAACCCTCATCAACTTCTCCTCCGCACTGATCGGGATCGCTTCAGTCCTCTATTCCAACCTCGTCGCAAAGCCATGGTGGCTAATCAATCTGCAAGGCTTCGCGGTGTGTTACAGCGCCATGCAATTCATGTCACCCACCACCTTCACAACCGGCTCGCTAATCCTAGCCGGACTGTTCTGCTACGATATCTGGGCCGTCTTCTTCACGCCGCTTATGGTGACTGTGGCGAAGAATCTGGATCAGCCGATCAAGCTCATCTTTCCGAGGCCGGATGAACCGAGCGCTGTGCCTGGTGAGCCGCCTATTAAGGGGTATAGTATGCTAGGGCTGGGTGATATTGTGCTGCCAGGAATAATGATTGGATTGGCGTTGCGGTTCGATTTGTACATGTTCTACCTCAAGAAGCAGCGGAAGAGCTCGAAAGCAGCGGAGGGTGGCAAAGAGGATGTGGCAGTGGAAAAGGCGCCGTACGTTCCCGTCACTGGACTACACGGAGACCGCTTTTGGACGTTCTGGCTACCGGCCGGCGATCGACCGGAGAAGCTGCGAGCTTCGTTTCCGAAGCCTTATTTCACCGCCTCCATGGTCGGGTACGTGGTCGGCATGATCACCACCCTTGGTATTATGAGCTTCTTCAACCACGCACAACCGGCTTTGCTGTACCTCGTCCCCGGCGTGTTGCTGAGTCTGTGGGGCACAGCGTTGCTCAGAGGCGAGTTGAAGGAGATGTGGAACTTTACTGAGGCGATCAATGCTGAGCAGGTGGAGGAGGAGAATAAGGCGGACAAAGTAACCGACAAGAAGAAGCCGGACGAGCGGTCTTTGTGGCGAAAGCTTTGGGATGAGCTCATGGGTTCGAGCGAGGAAACTCCCGGGCCAGCGAAATCTGACGACGCCAAGACAGACCGCCACGGTGACAAGGGAACCGACCAAAGCGAGGACGGCAAAGACGGCAAAAAGTCCAACGACACTCTGGTCGCTTTCTCGATCGTGCGTTACCGGCCGCAGGAGCGAAATCAGCAGAGCACGACCGTGGGTGACCGAAACATCCCCAAGACCTGACGAGTGAGACTGAGTGGTATAAATACACCTAGCAACTAATACCATACACATATACCCTCGAAGCGAGCGCGTTCGGATCTAGCGTGGGCGTTTGGCCGGTCGACCATATTCCTGGACCGATCTGGACCCAATTTTTGGGATTTGGACAACCATACCTGACCCGGAGATGCTGGTTATAGCAGTCAGAGGGCAGATTGTAGATCTAGAACCCACTAATATACATATATATACACATACACAGGAGAGTCTAGCAACGATTAAAGAAAGTGATACGAGCATCTTTCCAAGATCATACTCTCGTGATCCGCCTTCGTCGCTAGTACCACGACGACAGCCAAGAAGCTGGACGGTGGGAATAACGCGCATACTCTTCCATTGCAATACGAGTCGCAAGCGCCATTGCTACACTCTCGCGCTAGTTCGACAGATCGTATTGTAGCCCAAAGGAGCCCTGACAATTCTCAAACTCGGTGGCTGATCGGAATTAACGCCAGCCTGCTTTCTCAGGACCTCTTCAAGTCTGGGACAATGCCACGTACGGCTACATCTCCCGGAAGGGCAGCTAAGGTGATCACTCGTCCTGTATCGCTAGAGCTGCAAACGCAGCACAGCTGCACGAGTGGCGATCCGTCTGCGTAGCATGGCGTCTCCAAAATAGGACGACAACGAAGCATGGGAGGATGACCAAGATGGAGGCAGCTCGCTGGATTGCATGGCATAGCATAACATCTATCGCTTGAACGCTACAAGGCCGTGCAAAACGACGAATCCTCAAATATATCTCCCGCACAGCAGCTGTTAGTCTCATGCCCTCACTTGCCCCCCTTCGTCCCCGTGCCCGTCCCCGTCCTCCCTGTCACATCCAGCGCACTCAACCACCACATAAACGCAAACTGCACGACGTAGCTATACACGAACAAGAACTGCGTCCTCCGACTCCGTTGGCTGCGGGCAAGGGTCTGCATGCTCGGGTTTGCGGGCGAGCTGTCGGAGGGGAGGAGGACGTACTTTAGACTTCGGAGCTACACCATCAAAGAAGAAGAATGAGTTAGCGGTAGCGATGAAGCTAGCAAATGGGGAAGTGCTCACCAAGAAGAACGCATTCGCCAGGAATGTGTAGGAGAAAACACCCCATCCCACCCACCCCCCGGTCCCTCTTCCCCCATTAAAAGCAGCGGCAAGCGCAATCGTAACAATGACCCCGACAAACTTATACCCACTATAAGCCACCAAATCATAAATCTGACTTTCCGAATTGATGTTCAAAAAGTACCGTCCCAACCATAGTACCACCAACTCCAATATAATAACGACGCTGGCGTTACTGAAAGTAATCCCAAGCAATTGCGGTTCGAATTTGCCATTCAGTCCCGCGAGGAGGGTGGTGAGGAGGACGTAAGTAATGAAGGCCATGAGGGGGATGTACATATCCGGGCTGTTAATGTCTTCCCGCGGCGGGGCGAACTCGACCGCATTGTTATGATTGGAAGAGGCAGGGTTGGAGGAAGACGAAGGTTGTTGATGTCGCGACCAGGGGCGGTGGCGCCAGGGGAAGAGGACGAGGAGGAGTTTGTGGAGGACGTAGGAGTTGGAGACGTTGAAGTAGTGTTTCAGGGCGGAGACGTTGACGTAGCGGTTGAACTGGAACATCCAACAAAACAATCGAGTTAGCATCTAGCTGCGCCGTCGAGTGGAGAGGGAAGGTAGGAAGGTGTGTGATTCGACGTACATTCTGCTCCACGTACTCCTGCCCGACTTTCATCGCACTCTGCCCCATCTGCAGGCCCATCTGCGCGGTGGGATCGTTCATGAAGCCGCCGAATTGGTTCATGTAGGCGTTTTGCTGTTGCTGTGGTTGATGCGGCATCCCGGGTTGCTGCTGAGCGCCGTAGCCATATCCACCTCCGCCGCCAGTATTATGTTGGGAGGTGGGCGGTGGTGGGGAGCGGAGATTGGGGACTTGAGAGATGTGTTGGGGGACGGGGTGGTGGAGGGGTGGGCTTTGGGCCGGGGGCATGGCGTAGGTGCCTCGTTGCATGGTCGCGGTGAGGACGTTGCTTCCGTCGGAGGCTGGAGGTGGTGATGTTAATTCGGTGCGCCAAAGGTAGAGTGTTCGGGGTGGTGGTTGTTGGTGACTGCCACATGCAAGCTGGGCTGTCTTCCCAGGCACACACGCACGAGAGATGGCCCGTTTGATGTTGCAGGGTCCACGTTTCAGAAACGCCAGGCGCGTTGCCGAGAAAGGAAAGCACCACCCTCCAAGCGTGAGGTCATGTTCGAAACAACCCCGCCATCGTCAAACACACAGAATCTCACACACACAACTGCCAATCCCGTGTCCTGGGAGCGGCGCAAAAAGGAGGATAGTCATGCTAGACGCCTTCGAGATCCTCACCACCTCTGGGATTGTGCTATGGCGCAAACACTACGCCCCCATCGCGCCCAGTATTGTCGACGGTCTCATACGCGACGTCTTCATCGAGGAGAAGCAGAGTCCGAGCAATGAGCAGTATAGGAAGGAGCGATACACGCTGAAGTGGTCGCTGGCCAAGGATGTTGGGCTGGTCTTTGTGGTAGGTACGGTCGCCAAATCAAGAAGGCACATTCGTGGGTTATAGATCGTTAATGCAATATGGGTGTAGGCGGTATATCAGAGCTTACTACATCTGTCGTGGGTGGACAATCTCTTGACCGCTGTGAAAGCGTTGTTTGTCAAGGAGTACGGCAGTGAGGTCAAGACAGGGCGCACCACGAAGCTGCATACTTCGCGATGGGATGCGACATTCGATGCGCTGGTGACGAAGCTCGACACGGGCAGTACCCGCCGACCCGCCGAGGATATAGCAGCCGATTCGGAAGGCCCCACCGAGCTCACACCGCCGTCAAGCTCGGCTTCGAACGTTGACGATGGCGACGGCGCGGCAGATGAACCACCTCCGCCTCCGGTGTTTGCGTCCCAGCCTAAAAGGCCGGCAATACCGAGGAAAGAGCAGGTGGTTATGGACGATACGACGAGCGCGGACGCCACGCCTATACCAACCCCAGATACGTCACGGCCGGCGACACCGCATCTATTGACCGCTAAAGGTGGACCAGGCGGCAAGACGTCGCGGAGAGCGCGAAAGGCGCAGAACTTTGCCACCTCCGCACCGGCATCTTCCGGCGATGAGAGTGCGGCTGGGAAGGCGTCAAAGGTGAAGAGCACTGCGAAAGCGAAGAGGAGGTGGGACGTCGACGGCGGGGCGATCGACGATTACGGCGACGACGCTACGTTAGATTACAGCGCGTCGACATCAGATGCAGTCAACGGAGACGACCACGACAACGACATCGCAGACGTCAGCGCCTCGCAAATGGGCAGCCGAACAGGCAAGGGCCAATTCGTGCTAAAAGACCTCGACGACGAAGTCGACGCCATCCTCGCCTCCTCCAGGTCCCAGAAGTCGCAATCATCCGACCCCGACCCATCTTCAACAGGCGGAGGCGGACTCCTCGGCACCGCCACCTCTCGTCTCACAGGCCTCTTCCGCAACGCCCTCGGCGGCGCAACCCTAACCAAGTCCTCCCTCCAACAACCCCTCGCCGCCATGCGCAACCACCTACTCGAGAAAAATGTTGCCCGGGAAGCAGCCGACCGCCTCTGCGCATCAGTAGAAACAGACCTGCTCAACCAAAAGACCGCCTCCTTCACCTCCATCGACAAAACAATCCGCGAGAGTATGGAAAAGGCACTCACGCGCATACTAACACCCACATCCTCCCTCGATTTACTACGAGACGTAACGACAACCACCACCGGCCCCTCCGCACGACCGTACGTCATCAGCATCGTCGGCGTCAACGGGGTAGGAAAATCCACGAACTTGAGTAAGATAGCTTACTTCCTCCTGCAAAACCACTTCCGCGTCCTGATCGTAGCGGGCGACACCTTCCGCTCGGGCGCGGTCGAACAACTCCGCGTACACGTCCGCAACCTCTCCGAACTCGCGCGCCGAGAAGCAGTGGGTCGCGTGGAGTTATTCGAAAAGGGATACGGCAAAGACGCCGCCAGCGTGGCGAAAGAAGCGGTGTCATACGCGTCTAATAACACGGGTAAAGGAGGAGGGGAGATGTTGTACGATGTCGTCCTGATCGATACCGCGGGCCGCCGACACAACGACACGCGCTTGATGAGCAGCCTGACCAAATTCGGCCAGTTGGCGAATCCGGACAAGATTTTCATGGTCGGCGAGGCGTTGGTGGGGAGTGATAGTGTGGCGCAGGCGAGGAATTTCGCGAAAGAATTCGTGGATACGAAGGTACGTCCTACCCATACCCATAACCAATCTCCCCTTACACTCGTTCCTCCGTCCGGCAGCCCGACTCCGTCCTTGTGGTAATACTGATGGTGATTTGTTCGATAGGGCAACCTCCGCAACAACGGCGTCGGCATGGACGGCTTCATCATCAGCAAATGCGACACCGTGGGGGATATGGTGGGAACGTTGGTCAGTATGGTGCACGCCACTGGCATCCCCGTCGTTTTCTTAGGCGTGGGGCAACACTATGGCGATTTGAGGGGACTGAATGTCGGGTGGGCTGTGGAGAGGTTAATGAGGTAGTGACCCATAGCACAAGTATGATTGGTGCCTTTCGGGAAGCCCATGGATGGATGGATGGATGAAGACTTGAGGTTGTAAGTTCATCGACTCTCCCTTTCCCCGCTACGAAACAACTTTTCAAGCGGGCATATTGTATCGTTCGGGCAGAAGGCCATTCCATTTGGGAAGAGATGCTTTGTTTGCTTCCTTCACCTTACCCTACTTTACCTTACCCTACTTTCCCGTCCACCTCACCCTACTTTCCCGTCCACCTTATCGTACCTTACCTTACCCTACCCTACCGTACCTTACCTTACCCTCCCCTGCATCCCCGTCCCTTCCATTGGATACCTCTCCTTCTCAGTCTCAGATGCTCCGAGCGCGCTTCCAGAGCAAAAAGCAAGAAGCAACGATCGACAGAAAGCCGGAGGAAGCACACGGACGGTGGAAGATGCTCGCTAAAGCGTCTGCGCTGCAATATGAATTGCTGGCTGGGCTCCGGCATTTTGCTAGCCGATATGCGTTCTCCCGCCATCCCAGAAAGAAACTGAAACCGAGGTCCAGTCTGTGTCGCGCTGCTGTTGCAACATCATGCCGGCGAGATTGATTGAGTCAGTGCTGCAGCGCCGCTGCCGCGCGGGCACAAACTTCCGTGTCCGGCCGGTGCCGTGGGTACTGAGTGGTTCGCGCGCAAGCTTCGGGCGAGCGGTATATGCGCAGTGGTTTGTAAAAGTGCTGGAAGTGGTGACCAGAGGATGTGGAAATACGCGCGGTGCAGCGAAGGAAGGCGCTTTGTGCGCTTGCGAACCTCTCAGAAGCTTCGTGGCGGAATGCTTGAGAATGAGGGCTCGAGGTCTTCGAGAACCGCGCAAGTCAAGATAAGGATGTCGTGTCCCCTCTCCTCGACGCGGCACCGCAGCAATATGCCGATCTCAACCCGCTTGCGAACTCTGCTGCTGTCGCGAAGGCCACATCCACTCCTTGAACTCCGTGTACGTCTTCCTCCCCACCTCCGCCACTTCCTCCTCCATTCGCTGTAGCGTACTATCACCACTCCTGCTCGGTGGAGCAAATCTCGCCTTCGCCTTGACCAAAATCCTTCCATCCATCGTCTCGAGCGTGGCCTCGTACTCCGTCCCAGCCGCGCTACTACCCATCGGCTCGTCCGGAACCACATGCGGTTTCTCCTCCTGCGCCAGATCGATCGAAGGCGAGACACGCACGACGTAGACATTATTCGCGTAAGTCGGTTTCACATAGCTTAGACTCAGACTCAGCTGCTCCCCTCCACTTCCCTGTGTAAGTGAAGGAGCGAACATCTTCGCATGCCCACCCACTCCCGGCATCCGTTGCGGTACCGCCGCTTCCGACACCCCGACACTACCTGTTCCCGCATCATCCGCAAGGGAAGGTGAGGATAGCGAAGCAGCAAGCGCCATCTTCTCCGCCAACACCGTCGCGATAGCTCCGCCATGCGTGACACCGGGCCAGCCGGAAAGAGCAGGGCCGAACCGGATAATGGCGACGAGGGTATGTTCCTGGCGATCCCAGAAGAGGCGTTCGACGCCTAGGGCGGGGAACCCGCGCATTTGCTGCAACAGACCTCCTTCTTGACTCCCATCTTGCCCTTTCTGCTGCTCCTCCGCAGATACTAAAGGCGCAGACAACACCTCCACCCACCTTCCTCCCCTCACCCCCTTCCCCTCCCCACCTCCATCCCCCTTCAGCTGTTTCGCAACGCCCAAACACTTCCCCCTTAACACCTTGACTTTAAATTCCTCGTCAATCCTCTTCTCCAGGTCATCCAGTAAGATGCGATCTTCGCGCGAGCCGGCTGGGGGTAGAGGTGGTGGCGCGATTACATGGGCGGCGAAAGCGCCGGTGGAGAGGCCGAGGGTGAGGGCGACGATGGCAGTGGACCAGGACCATAATCTACGGCGACGTGATATCGGTGGGGACAGAGGCGGTGGTGGTGGGGGGGAAGTTGCACCAGGATCTGGTGAGCGTGCTTTAGGTGGAGGGATGCTCCCGGCGGTAGTGGTGGTGGACTCGGCACGGCGGAGCACCTGATAGCGGGCGGAGAGGTGGGGGCGCAGGATGCGTGGTCGTAGGAGTCGCGGGATGTTCATATTGCTGCGCCGTTATTACTTGTGGTGAATTATTGGAAGAAATCAAGAAGGTTGCACGTGCAGAAGATGCGGATTGACCCGTGTGGGGCTAAGTGACTTCTCAATGAACCGGGCAGTCATTGTGAAAGGACATCATTGCCGTGTTCACATACTATCCCTTCCCACCAGCTAACAGAACATGGCGTCCTTCTGAGCCTTCGGACGGAACTCGTAGCGGGTCAATACCCCGGCCAACCGGCTAGAGCGCCCCCCCTTACGCCAACGCTATGCAACATCCATCAACCCCCAATGTCAAGAGATCGTGCCTACTTCCCCGTCTTAGCCTTCTTCTTAGGCCTCTCAACCTTCGCCTCCGTATCCTCCTCCCCGTCCCCATCCGCCTCATCATCCATCTCAACATCACTCCCCTCACTCCGCGCATCCGAGTCAAACTCCTCCGCAACCTCACTCTCACTATCCTCCTGGAAATCCTCATCCACACTCTCCTCGTCCTCATCCTCCCCGCCGCTCCCCCTCGCACCCCTAACAATTTCCTCCTCATCCTCACTACTCGCCAAATCCGGATCGGCGCTCAACGCCGCGGCCATCATCCGGGAATCCTCATCCATTTCATTCTTAGTCTTAAGCCCCTTCGCCTTGAAAAATTCCTCCAGCGGATTTTGTTCCTCGCGGTTGATGTTGGAGAACTGATGCTCCCCCGCCCCATTCCGCAGCGCAACGGTAATGTCGAAAGTGCGACTAGCACTCACCGCGCCGCCGACGCGGCTCATCGTGATCACCGCCACGTTTTCAAAGGAGATATACGTCGCCGGTTTTGGGACGAAAAGGAACGCACGATCCAGACAGTACAAGTGGCCTTCGTTGGCTTTGATGCTGCACTTGACGCCGCTTTGCTGGTGGTGGGAGACGAAGAGGGGGGAAGGCTGGAAGAGTTTCTTTCCAGTCAGACCGTGGAAGATGCGGGCGATGACTGTGCCGATGGGCGCTTCGTAGCGGGGTTGCAGTTTACCGGCGTATTTCGTTTGGAGCGCGTCGTCGGTCATGTTGAGCTCGATGTTGACCTCCTCGTCGCGCTTGAATTGCATGACGATGAAGGGGTAGCGGGTTTGACCTTGTCGTAATGGAGGGTCGAGGCCAATACATAGTAGCGAGTGGACGTCGTCAGGTTTGGGCAAGACGAAGAAGCGCTTGGCGTTGTCGTAAGAGATCTTGTAGTCGTACGTTTTGCCGCGCAGACGGAAGGACTTCTCATAGAGGTCGATGTCGAAGCGGCCGCGTGGGGTGAGGTGGAGGATATCGAGGAAGGTGGCGAAGGTGTCGCCGGCGACCTCGCCGATTTCGGCCTTGTCCATGAGGGTTTCGTAGAAGACGTTGGCGGCGTTGGCGTCCTCTTCTTCGCCCTCATCTTCTTCATCTGCGCCGTCTTCTTGGTCCTTCTTTCGGCCTTTTCGTGTTTCCGTGCCGGGGATGTAGAAGCGCATCTCCGTAAGTTGATCGACTGCGCCACCCATCTTCCTGCCTTTCGATCTTGCGCCGCCTAGATGACCGTTCGTGCCGGTCTCTTCGCCATCCGCCGGTAACGAGAACTCCACCGCCACCTCGTTCTTGCCTGCTAAGTTCGTGTTGGAGATTTCGGTATATGGTATCTCAAAAGCCGGCTGATTCCGCACATTGAACGTGAGCTCGTTGCGGCCCATCTCCGTCTTGCCCCAATTCCAGCCGCGAAGTGCGTGCTCTTTGTGCACCAGCTCGACGGCGTACCACACCTTGAAGCATTTCTGCACCGTATCAAAGTCCTGTTACGTCCATCAGCGGATATGCATATGCGCACGTGCTCCGATACCACACTCACATCCTGCCTGAAGCCATCCAGCTGTATGACACCCTGATTCCGCGCAATGACCTTCAACTCATAGCCTCGTGCCGCGCGACTCCACTGTGCTGTAATCATTTCCGACTTGTCGAGGGTGAATGTCTGCCCGCCCGAGGGCTTCCACCCTAGTCCAGACTCTGCCAGCCTGCATTTCCCCGGCTGTTTCGACAGGTCGAGGTAGATGTCGTCGAAGGACTCCCTAGAAGATTGTCAATGTCGGCTAGAGTATGATGGAATTCATATCTGCCTCACATGCTCGCTTTGATGCCGCCCTTGCGCGACTCTATCACGTGGGGATCGGTGTCGGCGCTCGGTGGTGATCAACACCCGCGACGGTGATGGTGTTGTGGGTGTTAAAGAGGGGTTTTACCAAGACGGCGGTGGTGCGGTGGTAGTGATGAGCTGGCGGTGATGGTGGTGATTTAGAGTGCTTGCAGAATGTCGCGCGTGAGTGAAGAGTAACGCGACTTGCCGAAGATGACCCGCCGCCGCCCGCAGTCGGAGTTGGCGCTAGTGAATGAGGGCCGCGGTTCAGCGAGCCGGAGACGACTCCTACACACCTGTCCTCCATTCCTACTGCAACAAACCCTCCACTAGGGCATCGAACAGAACCCGGTGCGAACACTTACCCCGGCGGTGCTTGATGGTCAGACATACCACTTCCAAAGACATGAAATACACCATGTCTGTATCCGGCAACTGGTTCCCTTGCGCGTATCACTATGCCGCTGCCGCTATCTCCGCCATCCCCATGCCTATCAGCACATTGTCACCACAGCCGGCGGACGCCAAGGTAGTATAAGTATATACCTATTCATCCTCTTCTTGTCTCTACAAGCGGACCATCGTTACTTTCTTCTAGCTTCTGTCTCCTAAATGTTTCTATAAGTCATGCCTTACAAGATCAACCACAAGCCATGGCGGGATGTCTCAGCGGCCATGCTCGAGCACCGCAAGCAGACCATTGCCGCAGTAGAGCCCGCAGTACCGGGTGTAGCTGACAGCCTTCCGCTCAATGTCACTAGTATACCAAGGCAGCTCCTCCCGTCCGAAGTCATCGAGATCACAGAGTCGCCGTCTGAGCTACTTATCTCCCGTCTCTCCACCGGCAAGCTCAGCAGCACTGCAGTCGTCACAGCCTTCCTCCAGCGTGCCGGACTGGCAAGCAAGCTCACCAACTGCGTCGCCGAACTCCTACCCGAACGAGCTCTAACCCGCGCCAAGTACCTAGACGACTACCTATCCAAGCACAGACAGACCATCGGACCTCTCCACGGTCTCCCCATCAGCGTCAAAGAACACGTCGAAATGGCCGGCCTTGACATCAACGCCGGCTTCGCCGCATGGGTCGGCAACGTCGCCACCTCCGACGCCCTTATCCTCAAACTTCTCTGGAACGCAGGTTGTGTCTTCTACGCCCGCACCACCGAGCCTCAAGCACTCATGCATCTGGAGACCGACAATGCCATCTACGGGACTACAACGAACCCCTTCAACACGAACCTGACCGCCGGCGGCAGCAGTGGCGGCGAAGGAGCACTACTCGGCTTACGAGGGAGTTGTCTCGGTATTGGAACTGACATCGGCGGCTCCATCCGCAGTCCCGCCGCCAATAACGGTGTATTCGGGCTCAGGCCAACAAGCTATCGTCTACCATTAAGCGGACTCGCAGCGACCATGCTGGGTGCAGAGCACATCGTCCCCGTCATCGGCCCGCTTAGCACAAGTCTAGAAGGAATAAACCTCTTCATGAAAGCCCTCATCGACCAACAACCCTGGCTCTACGAACCATCGCTTGTCCCGCTGCCATGGAAAGACACAACGGAAGACTCTCTGCTCCGAAAGGATGGAACCGGCAACCGCAAACTCCGCATTGGCGTGCTTTCTGACGACGGCGTCGTAAAACCCCACCCACCCATCCTGCGCGGCATACAAACCCTCGTCTCCGCTTTGCAAAGCCACCCGGATATCGAAATCATCCCCTTCCCACCCTACAAGCACGCCGAAGCGTGGCGGATAATCAGTTCCCTCTACTTCGCCGACGGCGGGGCGGAGGAGAAAGCCGCCATCAACGCATCAGGGGAGGCAATACTGCCGCTGACGGAGTTTATACTAACCCAAAACCCAAATGTCAAGGAATTGTCCGTCCATGAAGTCTGGAAGTTGACGCAAGAGAGGGAGGGGTATAAGGCGGCGTATACGCGGCATTGGAATAGCGTCAACACTAACCTCCCTGGTCCGGACAGCGAAAATGAGACAGTCGAGATGAACGCGATGGCGAAAGAGGACCAAATGGTAGACGTCATCCTAACCCCAGCAGGACCCGGCTGCGCCCCTCCGCACGACTGTGCGCGATACTGGGGTTACACTTCTCAATGGAACTTATTGGATTATCCTTCCTTAGTATTCCCGACGGGATTGCAGGCGGGGTTGGAGGATAAGGTTGAGGAGGGGTATAAGCCGAGGAATGAGGAGGATGGGTATAATTATGAGTTGTGTAAGTGTGCCGCCTTGGGGTCTGTGAGAGAGGAGGTTCGGGGGTGAGGTTGCGTGACTGACTGATGAGTTTTGAGCAGATAAACCCGAGACTTATGTTGATGCGCCTATTTCGCTGCAGTTGGTAGGACGGCGGTATGAGGATGAGAAAGTTGTTGAGGCTCTTCGGATGATTTCGGAGATTGCTGGACTGCCACTCAAGAATTGAACAAGTCCGCTGTGACGACCTGTCGACGAACGCCACTGCCAGCTCTCGAACTCAACAAAGACGCTTTTGGAACCCTCCCCCCCAAAACGCCTACGCTTACCACCCCACTCACAAACACACCAACCCCTCTCAACCCGCTCTAAGACTATCCGCCACCAAGAACGCCAACTCAAGCGCCTGCTTCTCATTCAACCTCGGATCACAGAACGTCTCGTACCTCAACCCCAAGTCCTCATCCCGCCACCCCTCACTACCACCCGTACACTCCGTCACCGCATCCCCCGTCAACTCCAAATGCACCCCGCCCAGAAACGACCCGCACTCCTTGTGAATCCGCAACGCGGCCGCCAGCTCCGCGAACACGGCATCGAAGGACCTCGTTTTGATCCCCGAGGAAGTGGAGCGAGTGTTACCGTGCATGGGGTCGCATTGCCAGACTACTGTATGTCCGGATTCACGTACCGCGGCGATGTGGGCGGGGAGGAGTTCGTCGACTTTTCCGGCGCCGTAGCGGGTGATGAGTGTCACTTTGCCGATTTCTTTGCGCGGGTTGACGAGGTCGAGGAGTTGTAGTAAGTCAGGGGTGGTGGTTGTGGGGCCGACTTTGATGCCAAGGGGATTTTCGATGCCGCGGAGGTATTCGATGTGCGCGTGGTCGGGTTGCCGGGTGCGGTCGCCGACCCAGAGGAAGTGGGCGGAGGTGTTGTAGTAGCCTGAGTTTGAGGGGCTGGTGGTGGGGGTGAGGGCGGGGTTGAGGAGGGCGCCGCCGGTTAGCGGGGAGACTTTCGGTGCAGCGGGAGAGGTCTTGGTGGTGGTGGTGGTGCGGTTGGAAGGGTGACGGAGTTTACGAGTCAGCGCTTCCTCGTACTCCAGCAGCAATGCTTCATGACTGGTAAAGAGGTCGACTGTTTCCAGCTGACCCGCCGTGTCGGCCCCGACTGTTCGCATGAAGCGCAACGACTCGCGGATACTATTTACGATGGTCGAGTACTTCTCTAACAGCCCCGGATCAGCGACATGGCCGAGATTCCAGTCCATCGGATTATGCAGGTCCGCAATCCCCGAAGCCAGCTGCGCGCGGACATAATTCAGCGTTGCCGCCGAGTGGAAATAAGCCTGCACCAACCTTTGCGGGTCAATGTCGCGCTGATCGGGTTGATAGCCATTTAGGATATCGCCTCGGAAGCTAGGGACTTGCTTGCCATCCACCATCTCCACAGGCGAACTCCGCGGTTTGGCATACTGCCCTGCCATCCTCGCAATACGGACGACAGGTTTGTTGCCGCCCCAGATCAACACGAGGGACATCTGGAGAAGCAATTTGATTTTGGATTCGATGGCATTGTCATTGCAATAGTCGAACAGCTCGGCGCAGTCGCCACCTTGGAGTAGGAAGGCTTTGCCTTGCGCTACTTCGGCAAGGGCGCGGCGTAGCTTCCAGATCTCGGTGGGTGTTACGATGGGAGGAAGATGACGGAGTTTGAGGCGGGATTGGTCGACTTTGGCTTCGTTCTCGTAAAGGACGGGTTGCTTGATCGGTTTCGTGCGCCAGCTGGACGGAGACCAGTCTGAGGAGTCCACATCGCCGTTCGTGGCGCCGTTTGCGTGGCCGTTCATAGCTGAGGGCATATACTTGGCACGCACTTATTCAAACTGCTTCTCCCTTGATATGAGATATATAGCAATAGTAATTGAGTGAAGAGAGGGATGCGAAGTTTGTTTCGATCAAAAACCAAGTCTTGTCAAAGCCTTCAATGCTTCTCTTCGGAAGCAAAGTTTGTAACGCTTTTACCACGCATGTGAAAGAATAGATGCGATGTGGATGTTGGATATGTGTTGCAAACTGTTAGACATGAAGGTGTGGATCAAGTAAAGTCAAGTGATCGGTCGTCAGACGCAGTCAGCATCAACTGCCAAGGCCCGGCTGCTTGTCCGCCTCGCATTCCACCTCAATCGATCCAGCTCCACTATCAGAAATTATACGGGATACCTCCAAACATGGCGGAAGAACCTCAACCACCAAACGTGCAAGAAGGCGCCGATGCGCCGGACGTTCTACCCGCCAATGCAGAAGACCGCAAGGCCGCGCAGGCCATGTCTTCGCTGGATACCAAAGGCGACGAAGATGCGGCACCAAAGAAGGAGATCGACTTGAAAGCACTCAACGATGCTATGAAGAATTTGGGTGTGGGCCAGGAATCGAAAGCCTCGACCGCTGCGGCGAAGAAGGAGGATGCGCCGAAGAAGTTGGTCAAGGTGGATCAGGCGGATGTTACTTTGTTGGTATGTCTGAATACTAAGACTGCTTTGGGATGTGTGCTTGAGAGAAGTGCTTCTGCTGATGTGTGCGATATTAGGTGGATCAGCTCGATATGTCAAAGGCGAAAGCCACTGAGCTACTACGAGCGCACGATGCTGATGCGGTCAAGGCTATGACGGCTTGGGTAACGGCCGCTGTATGAACGTTCGCAAGCATGCCGTCTATGTACAGCGTTGGCGCAAAGGTGGGAACAAGAAGGAAGGAAGGTAGTAGAACAAGTCCTTCAGCCGGAATGGTGAGATACGCAACGATCTCCGCCGAAAAAGTGCTATTCATTCTCTACCGAAGCACCGATCCAGCCTATGCAGCACCATTGAAGAACGTCAGCCGCCTATTCTTCGCAGCCTCCCGCGCCCTAGACCCGAGCTTCCTCATGCGGTTGATAGGTGCAGTCTGCTGGATCAGCTTATCCGGTGCAGCTAGATACGCCGGGGTAACCGGCGACGCAGCATCTTCAGCCTCATTCTCCTTGTTCTCAGTGGCCGTCAGCTCCGGCGTCAACTCCATCATATTCTGCTCCTCCGCCTTAGCCGGGGAATCAAATCTCATCGGCGACCGTCCAAGCGAACTGCGACCCAAGCTACCCTTACGCTCGCGGACGACGTTGCCCCCGACATTCACAAGCGTAGCAGGCTCCATCGATTTGCGACGCCGCCCTCCCCCGCGTGGCACCTCCGCAAGGTCAACCGCGTAAGCCTCATCCGACTCCTCCATCCGCTTGCCCTCCGCATCGCAGTCGGTCACCCACCGGCTGTTCACGCAGTGGATATGCGAGCCAGCTCCGCTTTCGTCAACATCCTTGTTGTGGAGCCTCACACGCTGCAAAGTCGTAGGCGAGCCGTCCTTGAAAACGACATGCGTCACGCGGTCCGTCCATGTCCGGGTCGTCTTGGCCCCGAGACGGTGCAGCAGAGCGATGAACGGCGAACACGCCGTGGCGCCCTCGAGCGTATAGATCTCAACCAGCGCAACGACTGTCTTGAGCGGGGCCGCTGGATGAGGCGTCATTGGTGCTTGACCTGGTGTTACCGCTGGTGGCTTCAAGGGTGTCTTCACCGGCGTCTGGGCCAGCTTGGGCGTACTGTTAGATAGGGCGAGCTTCCGCAAAGAACCTTGCTTTTGTACTGTCGGCGGACGCTTGAGCGGCGTCTGAGCTGGTGTGCGGAACCGTGGTGCACACACTGTTTCAGCGTACGATTGCACGTCGGCACGTGGAGCAAGCTTTGGGAAGCGCTCGCACGGTGTTTGGACGATGCTATTGTGTTCGTCCGCACCATCTGTGCTTGCTCCCGTTGGCGTCTCCGGCTCACCTACAGGCGCGGCACTGACTGGTACTTCCTGGCGAGGTCTAAGTGTAGAAGCGCGAAGTGTGATGGGACTTGCCGATGGCTTCAAGGTGGTTGCAGGACGTTTTGTATGTTTTGCGACTGGAGTACAAAATCGAGCCGACGGCGCCGCAGTCTTTGCGTGTACTTCGTAGGTATCTCGAGGTTGACGACGCGGATACCGCTCGACAGGAGTCTTCGTATGCGCGGCGTCGACAGGAGTCTCTGCGAGCTTATGCTCCGCCGGAGGTGATCGCAGTGCCGGAGTACTTGGCTTGCAACTCGATCTTGGACGCTGAGGCGACATTCCTGGTGCACCTTTCCCGGTCCGAATCCTAGACACGGTCGCTGGCTGCTTCATTGCCGGCTTCGTGGGCGTGCGAAAGCGGACTGGTGCGATAGCGGTATGCGCGTGGATATTGTAGGTTGTCGACGAGCCTAATCGAGGGAAACGCTCCTTTGATGTACGGACAGGTGTTTCTGCACTGACTGCAGCATTCGTCGTGTACTTGTCATCTGCAGCAAATTTGACGCCTGGAGGGTCATGAACAAGCTTTGCTCGTGTACGCCTCGGAGTCTCATGTGGTGGTGTTGTTGTCGTTAGTGCAGCAGCAAGTCGTTGCTTCGCATGCCAAAGATCTGCGAACGAACATGCCATACGAGGCACGCTCTCGCCATCGGACGTATGCGGCCTGCTTCGATCTTTCATTGGCGTCTGGAAGCCGAAAGCTGGAAGAGACTTGCGCCTGGCGTCAAACGCGACGGTGGAAAGGGCGTAGTGTGGCACTGCAATTTCTACAAGAACCCGGTCTACATCTTCGTTTTCAACTGTGGTCTCAGTATTGGCTTCGACATTGACCTTGCCGTTTTCTCGGGACTCGGACGGCTTCTCTGATTCCCTTGCAGCAGCAGGCTTGTCTGAGATAGGTAGCTCGAATACCTGTGTCGGCTCAGCAAGCGCGCCGAGGTCGATGAAATCAGTGAAGTTGATCGTAGCGTCTCCCGATATTGGGGGTTGAGCAGCCGGATTTTGTGTGTTGTCGGCCAATCCAGTGTCTGCGGGCCTGACTACGAGCTGTGCTTGACCCTCATCTTCGGTGGGTATGGCACCGATGTCTGGCACACTCCGATCATTTTCACGGACAGAACCCTCTAAAACAACAGCTCTCACGCCAATCACGTCTGAAGCACCCGCGAAGTGAGCATCGAAGTCGATGGGTATTGTCAAGTCTTGCCGAATGTTCTGCCATATCAGCGTCTCCGGTCCAAATGAAATCTGCGCCGCCAGATCTGGCTGGTACTGGTGGTCTTCATCGTCGACTAGAGCACTCTTCGTGGTTTCGTCTCTTGATACAAGCACAGTATCCTCTGTGTCAAAGGAGCAGAATGCAGGCGTAGTAGCTGCGCTATCTGCATCATCCTGCAGGTCGTGGACTATGATGGTCTCATCCGGGTCGGCGTCTAATTCCCGAGATCCTGGTATATCTACTACAATACTGTCCTCCGCCTGCACTATCAACCGCTCACCGTTAATTTCAGTCCCCACCAGAAGAGGTTTTGGCATGGCTTCTGTCTCATTGAAAACATCAGTCCACTCCTCGTCGTGGCTGAGTACCGACGCCACTCCGCATCTAGATGGCAGATGCTCTAGCTCACCAGTCTTCGTGTCTTCCAATGGAAAAGCGGTGTCGATTCCAGCATCTTCGCCCAAAAGGTGATCCACAGTACCCGACATGTTCACAAACTCAAGCACGTCCGCCGAGCCAGTCTGCGGTGTGGAAAAACGTGGACTCTGACTGAGAATGGACATCGTCGACGCTTGCATATGTGACTCCCCATGATTCCGCCCAATGGTCCGTTGGACCGAAGCACGATAGCGGGCGTCCGCACTCGGACTCGCGCGCCGCATCGGAGTTTTGGGTCCGCAGAGCTCGTCGTCAGAGACGCTGACCAGTTCGCCATCGCCCGCTTCTTCTTCTTCCTCAACATGAGATGCTTCGCTTACGGCTCGCCGGCTTCGGTACTCGTTCTCATCATCCATGCGTTCGAACTTTGGTGCAGGTGAGCTGCAAGGCGTGGTGTCTCGGGAGCTCATAGATACCTCGCCCTCAACCTCCACTTCCGCTTTGGGTGTCCGCCTGACGGGGGATGTGCGCTTGACAGGCATGGTGGAGACCACGATCACAGCCGCAGCTTCTTCTTCTTCATGGGTCGGCGCGACTACATTAGCGTTTTCGTCGGAGACCGCGCGCTTGCGTGTTGCTACACCGCCTATCGGTCCGTACCCAGCGGCAGGTTCCTTCAGGCCGTTGCATGTGCTGGGCTTTGCGGCATGCGCATGCGCTCTCGTAACCTGTGTGATCTTCTTCGGAGAAAGGGGCTGAGCTTTCGGCGCCGTCGCTCTGGTTCGTCGTGCGGTTGTGTCTGTGCACTGCGTTTGAGAACCCGTCCTCCTGGCGCGCACAGAGTCTTCGTTCTTGGGCTTTGCAGCCGCCGTCCTCGTACGTCTGGCGGTATTGGAACCTGCGGCAGGCGCAGGTTGTTCCTTTATCCGCTCCACAGCATCCTTCCTTGGCCGACCTACCGGCCTTTTGGCTGCCTTAGCCTGCTCGACCGGGGCAGCTATTTCTAGGATCTCGCCACTGGCACCATCTTCGGGTGCGTCTTCCGTGGCTACAATTCGCATACCCTTGGCCTTGCCTGCCGTCTCCGCCTTCTTCGCTGTTGCGCGGCGCACCGGCTTCTTCCGGAGTATGTTGCTCAGATCAGCATCCTGCGTATCGGCAGCAGGCTCCTTGTAAGCCTGCCTGCGCGTTGCCACCATGCTGTTTGTAAGACTATGTTTCAGTAATGCAAGGTATGGACCTTGTCCGACGGCTGGCGCGATGAGGTGAAGCACGACTCATGTGTTGCGAATAAACAGCGGCAACATCCATAGATTGTTGCCCTGTGCGACAATCTCTGCGAGACTACGCCACGACTTATGGCTCCTGCCATCGCAATTCCTGCATGCCCTCATACTGCAACGATGCACAGCCTGAAGGGCTGAGGAAACTGGTTAGGTAGTGTGCGCATGGCATACTGGCATACGAGTGACATACAATTTGATCCATGAGCTAACAATCAGTGTATGTCTAAGACAATGTTCGGCTAGTCAACGTAGTCTTCTGGCACCGACCATGCCATGCTTCGGCGCGATCGTATACACGACATCCAGACGGCTTGACTGATTACTCTCATCCCAGTCAGGTTGAAGACATGGCTAAGACGTGGTCGGATCGAGATGCGCCAAGAGATGCCATTGCTTCCGGCATGGTATCATCTGGAACTGTCACAGCTTTACGCAACATTCTCCGCAAACATGATGCTTCGACCGCGCCTAGTGCTGTCGAGACCGAACCAGTGGTGCGCAAGCCATCTCGAATCACGGCAGCAGCGAGCAAGACCACAGGCACTGCGAGTAAAACTGTGCGCATACGCGAGGATGCCACAGGTCAACTTTCTCCGAAGGCCCAGTACGCGCTGGCCACGGAGATAGTCAATGTTAGTCTAAAGCAACTTAACACAGCCTGCAGGGCCAAGCAGGAGCGAAGGCTACAGAGAGGCGCAGACGTCCAATGTCTAAGCCCGTCCTCCAAGCAGAGTGGGCGTGGGAAGCCTCTACAGCCAGGGTCTGGAAACACTCCGTCGAAAGCGCGTGACGATACCGAGCGAGCGCAAAAGGCCCGCTCAAACAATCGAACAGCAGAGAACATATCGCGGCTAGCCGCCACAGCTGAATGTGCCAGGCTGGCCTTCTCCTATTTGCGCTCTACAAAGCCGCAAACTGTCGGCGCCAAGGAGCTCCCCTTATGGCAGCTCGAAAATGGCATGCTTACTCTCGCTAGCAATCTGGTCAGGCTGGACTTAGGAGACCTTGCCATGAAGGAGCTCGCTGCTCTCAAAGGCAGACTACTCGTCCATACATTAACATCCGCCGATGAGGTAACGAGCCCTGTCGGAAAAGAGACGCTTGCTTCTCTACTGTACTTGGATGACCGCTTGAGTAGTGCTCCGGAAGCACTAAAGCTTGCAATCTCGCATCAGATGTTGACTCTAAGACTTATCGCGGCGTTACAGCAGCCTAAAGTGATCGAAGCGGCTGCGCCATTCTTGGATCCCGAATGGGCCAACTCCCCAGCAAGCCTGATCGAAAGGTTACGGGTCAGTACTGGCGATGATGCTAAAGCAGCGAAGGACTTGGAAAATCTGACGCGGGTACTGCTGGTATTGTGTCCCAGTGCAGGCCCAGCTCACGACGCCGCGGCAAGCGATCAGAATCAGGTCGCTAACCCACGTACCGTCTTCCAGCTGCAAGTAGCGGCCCTGACGCTGCGGAAACGATGGTGGCGGCTCGCTGGTCATCAAGGCGACTCCAGCAGGGACCTGGTCAAGCCACTCTCCAGCTATGCGTCAGCTCTGTCTCGGCGAGCCAGTCATCAGCACCAAGACTCGTGGCTCCTGAAGACCATCGATGAGTGCCTGAAAAACCTTGACATTGACTTCAACCCTGACGATGAGTGGACGAACGACGTACGAGGCATTATGTTGGAGCGGCAGCTGTCTCAAATACTGGAGAAGGTCCGGAGTGCCAAATATCGGGCATCGCTGCAAGCGGTACTACCTGGGCTTCTACAACGCCTCGCTGACACCTATAACATCGCCGATTACCCACTTAGGCGCATGCGTGTCGCTACTGTTGTGATGCAGTTGCTCGGAGGCTATCCGGACCTAGTGCCTACTGACATGATGAAAATCTGGTCGAAGCAGGCTCCGCTTGAAGGTGGCCATCTTGCAAAGGATGAACGTCTGCAATCGTACGCGAATGACATCCGTGGTGCATGGACGATCACTAAAGCGTTGTCTGAGGGCACATTGAGTTCAACGGTCACGCGGCCGACACTGCTCGTCTGGCAGCGTATGATAGACGCCGCTAAGTCGCTCGGCGAGCTTAGCGACCGAGTCTATAATCCTGGCACCTTAACGTCAATGCTCCACAGTGTGGCTGCCTTCTTCGGCATGCTGGGGGATGAGCACTCACGTTTGGCTACGCTCCGAATGTACCATAAGCTCTTGCTGCTCGCCTGTCCAGGTAGTGAGCAGGAGTACTTAGTTTCAGCTGACCTCGCCCAGCAGTATTTAGAGCTTGGCCTGTGCGACAAAGCCTGCTCGATACTTGATCAAGTCACTGTTTCGGCAAACATGGGCAAGACGTCACGGGCCATCGATATGCGGCTGGCTTTAGTCCGTATACAGTATCATATTGCCGTTACTAATTACGAGGGCGCCCAGTCGTGCCTTGAGCAAGCTAAGAAACTCCGTGACAACCTCTCTCTGGAAGGTATCAGCGGGAGCGACCGCCAGGCCTTCGATGGCCTACATGCCTACGCCTGGATGCTGCACTCGAAGCTGCAGCTTCAAGTCGGGAGTTTTGCAGAGGCTTTACGTGCTGGTAAGCGATCGGTGAAGCTTTTCAATACTATCTGGACTTTACTTGAGCGGTCTGGCAGTAGAAGGCCTTGTTCCATGGAGAACAAGTCAGATGCGGTGGCAGAGTCCGAGTCCGAGCTGAACAAAGTGATTACCGGAGTTAGCAAGCTTCACTTGCAACCCAAGGCTTCAGAAGGGGATGCTCCGGATACCGTGGCTAGACGAAAGGGGCCACGCTTTTGGTCCGTTGTACCGAAGCTTGTACACGCATTGCTGCATCTGGGTGACTTGTACACGCATCACGGATTGTTCGCCGATGCGGATTATTACTCGCAGCGCGCAAACACCATTGCCGAGTCTGTCCCATCACCGAAGCTGCTATGCCGAGTAAGAATACATCGGGCGCGCCTACTTATGCTCGCACACCGGCTAGAAGACGCTGAACTATGGTTGACGAAATGCGAACCGGACATCCAGCACTGTGACTGCAACACGATAGCTGAGTACTTCGCCACAAAAGCTGCAATTCGAGTGAAAGAGGGTGTATTGGAGGAGGCACGTCGACTGTATCTGCAAGCTACCAAAGTCCTTGATGATCTGCAGTCGGAGCCGTACCTCCACCCAATGGACGTTTTCGAGCATGACAAATCCGAGCTAGTAAGAGTAATGCAGCAGGCCTATTTCACCTCAGACATAGAGGATCGTGGCGAGCGTATGCACACAAGCAAGGCCGCCAGAGCAGTACGCGGCAAAGCGAAGAATGCCGTTACACCTTCAAGCGAATCATACCGAGAGCGGGCGAAGACGGCGAATGAGCTGGAAAGGTCGAAGCAAAAGTCTTCGCAACTCACGCAGTCAGAACTACGAGCAAGCATCGCATTCGAAAGTGCCCTGATATGTCTGCACCTAGGCTCTGAGACGGAAGTGCAGGCGTATCTGAGACAGCCAGGAACGCCGTCACGCCAGGAGACTAACAGACGACTAGTGTTGCAGTACCACACCGTAATGCAAAAGGCCGCCCTCGCCATACAAGCGGATATCTCTCACGCTATCCTTCCAGAAGCCTCACTTGCTCTTCCAGCCGTCAGATATCCGGGCAGGCAGAGCAGTTCTCTTACTAGTGACAGCAGCTCAGACCGTCAACCTCCCTCTCATAAGCCTGTTGTGAAGAAAGGCCGCCCAAAGCCTAGCAAGCAACAGCACTACTCAGATATACTTCTCGAGGCGCGAAGTTGCCTCCTTCCGTGCAACGACTTCCCAGCAGCCTCGGTGCCTACGGCATTTGCATATCGTCACAGCTCCCTGCTCTCCGCGGTAACGATGCTGCTATCAGCTGCCGCATCTCTGCACCCCGAGCACGCAATGCACCCTCTTCAGCACGCGCTCCACCTTGAGCAGCCCAAAAATCATGCCCGCCAATGCGAAATGAACGCTGTCGGTATCGATCACGAACAAGCGGCAATAACCGCCAGTCACTCGTGGCCTGAGCCGCGCCCTCACTCACAAGCGCCTAGCTCCTCTGCTGCGGAGTTCCAGAAGCGCTTCGTCGACATTCTTCCCTCCTCCTGGGCTGCAGTATCTCTCAGTTTGAACGATGACTGCACGGAGCTCTATGCGGCGCGGTACAAAGCCGGCCAGACTCCTCTTCTCCTGCGGCTACCGTTCTGTCGCCACAAACCGGACGTTGAGGATGAGGTGGCCTTTGACTACCAGAGAGGCAAAGCCGAGCTGCAAGAGATTATCGAGACCTCGAACTACAGTTGCCACAACTCTGGAAGCGCAGACACTAAAGGAGCAAAGAGCAACTGGTGGAGCGAACGGGAAGCGCTTGACCGCCGCCTACATGAGTTACTTATCAATATGGAGAACATCTGGCTTGGCGGATTCAAGGGTGTGTTTTCACAACATTCGAGACGTTCTGAGCTCTTGGCAAGCTTTCGTAGGTCCTTGGACGGTATCCTAGCGAAATACCTGCCATCTCGACAGGGTGTGAAGAGCCGCGTTGATAATGTCGAGCTCAGTGACGAGACGCTCGAGCTGTTCATTAGTCTCGGCAACGTCGAAGAAAGCACGTCCGACCTCGACGAGCCACTTGCAGATCTTCTTTACTTCGTCATCGACGTACTGCACTTCAACGGCGAGCCTAATGCGTATGATGAAGTTGATTTCGACGGGTTATCAATCGAGGTGCTAGATGCGCTCAAAGCATATCACGGCGCTGCCGTAAGTGACAAGCAAGGCGATCAACATCTGGTGCTTATTCTGGAGAAGCGTCTACAAGCATTTCCGTGGGAGAGCCTGCCCTATCTTGAAAGCGCCAGCGTCAGCCGGGTTGGCAGTATGTCAACGCTCAGAGAATGCATACTGGCTATGCAGCAGCGACGTGGTGCAGACACGGAGCAGTACAGCATCAGTCTGCGGGCTGGCACGTATATTCTAAATCCTTCCAAAGACCTCGTCAACACCCAAGCAACACTAGGGGCGCCGCTGTCAAAGCTGGCGGAGGCAGATAGTGCTGCATGGACCGCCGTCGTAGAGCGCACGCCGAGCGAGAAAGAGTTCCGAGAGGCACTTACGCGTTCCTCAATGCTACTCTACTTTGGTCACGGCGGGGCTTCGCAATACATTAGGCCGAGATCGATTAAGAGACTGGACAGCTGCAGTGAAGTTGTCTGGCTAATGGGCTGTTCTTCCGGTGCGGTTACAGAATACGGCGAGCTCGAACCTTTCGCGCTCCCTCTGGCGTACTTGATGGCCGGACAAAGCTCGCGGAAGGTTGATGGACAATGTGGAAACGAGCAGCAACAGGCGTCAAGCCGCCGCTGTATGGCAGTTGTGGCCACTCTCTGGGATGTCACGGACAAGGATATTGATCGTTTCTCTTTGGCAGTGGGAGAGCAATGGGGACTGTGGCCTGCATCAGAAGCGTCCAAGCTGCCCGCAAAAACACATAAAAAGCGCGAACGCCTGGTTGCGCCGTCGACCCCACAGCAAGTACACAAGACACCCAAAGCTCCTCGAACAGCAAAGACAACCGCTGCCACAGCGAAGACACCATGTCTGAGCCAGGGTCGGAGTGAGCTACGACAGCAGCCGGGTACGAGGCGAAGCTTGGTGAAAGCGGTGGCAAGCAGTCGAGGTGCTTGCTACTTACGGTATCTTAATGGAGCTGCGCCGGTTGTGTACGGTGTTCCTGTGTACCTTAGTGACTGACAGTCGCTTTGGTAGCTAGTAGCAATTTTCTCGGTCGTTCATATAGTTGGTATCCATGGACAGAGTGCACGTCACCGCGTCATTGTGAACTTCATTCAAGCAGGACGGATTGCGGCCTTAGGCTAAGATCACCGCCAAGCCGCGACTCCTTGCTTTGCCAACCGCGCCTTCACACCAGCCTGATCATCTTCATCACCAACATCTCCCTCCTTGCACTCACCATACACTCCTTCGACAAGTGCCTTGCCCAAGCTTTACGCACTGATTTGCCAGCTCTTCTGTGCCACGCCTCCGCTTATCCAGCATGGGTGACATGGATACCTACAACGACGACTCGCGTCCATACGAAGGTACATACCGCACCAGCTTCCGGTTGAATAGGCAGCGTGACTACGGCAAAGGGTGTCCACTCAGTAGTGAGCAACAGTAATTGCTACACACAGCTTCACTACTGTCATGGATATCGTAGCCGCACGCATAGCATAGCCCCTACTAACTTTTGGCAGATGACCGCAGCTACCCTCCGCCCCGTGACCGCTCTCGCTCGCCAGGTCCGGACCGCGATGGCGACATCAGGGTTCGCGATGAGCCATCCAACGGGCGCAGTGACCGGTGAGTAGATCACTGATCGCGGAAGGAGCTATTCAAACTAACGAGGAAACAGCGGCCCACCACCGAAGAGAGGTCAAGACGACGACGATGACGAATCGATCAATCCCGGATCTAATCTCTTCGTCACCGGCATCCATCCACGTCTTAGCGAGGACGAGATCACGCGTTTGTTTGAGAAGTATGGCGCCGTGGAAAAGTGCAACATTATGCGTGACCCACATACCCGCGAGAGCCGCGGCTTCGGCTTCGTGAAGATGACTACTCCCGAAGAGGCCGATGCGGCGAAGGACGGATTGCAAGGCGAGGTGTACGAAGGCAGGACGCTGAGCATCGAAAAGGCGCGTCGCGCTAGGCCACGCACGCCCACCCCCGGCAAGTACTTCGGACCACCAAAGAGGGATGAGCGCCCTGCGCGTGGTGGGGGCTACCGTGACCGCTACGACGTAAGTTTTGCAAATTCAGTACAACAAGCTCAGTGCGCTGACTCGACCGTAGGATCGTGGCAGTGGCTACGGCAGGCGCGACGACTACCGCAGCGGCGGGCGCGGTGGAGGCGGCGGATATCGTGATCGCTACGACGATCGCGGCCCCTCGCGTCGGGATGACTATGCTCCGCGCGGTGATCGCTATCGTGATGATCGCTACGGAGACCGTCGCGGAGGTGGTGGCGGCGGCGGCGGCTATGGCTACGAGAGATCGTCGCGTGGCCCACCTGCAGAAGGCGCACGCTATGGTGGCGATTCCGCTGCTCCTCGTGACCCGCCACCCGCTCGTAGCTACGATGACCGCCCTCGCAACTATGACTAAGTTCGGAAGGTGCAGAGGTAGGCGCACTTGCATCGCTACTGACTGAGCAGGCATGAAGTGGCCATCTTGCATACGAGAGAAGACCGAAGACGGCAGAAGCTTCAGACTTGAGATTGCACCAGCACGTAAGATTGCATTTCGGAGTCGGCTATGCGGCAGATCAGCATCATGTATCACTACACCCTTCCCTTCCGGTGCGGCATGCGGCAATGTGTTACTAGCAGCAAAAGGGACGTGGACGCAACGGTAAACGGAGAGATGCGACTTGCGACTACACTACTTGACCGCGTGAAAGTGATGCAGCCAAAGCATCACTGCATCGACTTCGATAGAATGGATGAGACTGCTTCCTTTCCATTTCGTGACCGGCCTGCAACTGTCGCACTGGCAACTTAAGCCTACTACATCTTTCCGACGCACTACAGTCAGAAGTGCTCCTTCAGTCAGCTCCGAGTCGTCCAGTGTCCGTTCGGTCTCGAAATTGCGGCAATGTTTCACAGCACGCTCAGCACGTCTCACCGCCACCGAGATGTCTGTATCATCACATCCAAGTCCGCACTGTGATACATGCATCCCACTCACATCGTCCCCCTTCTGTATGAGCCCCTGACATACTGGACGGATCTTGCTGTTAGACGCCGCCCGACTGGCCTTGCTGGACTTCTGACTGGAGCGGCATTGTTACACATTGCATGCATATCGTCCAAAGAACCTCGGACATGGTAAATCTTCGCAGCATAGAGCGTCTTACTGACTCTGTTGCAGGTCTTCCTAACGAGGCAGCGAATGCAGCTCCACATGTGGGCGCGTCAAAGTCTGCAGACTACTTACATGTTGATTGACATTTACTTTTTCGTTGGCATTCGGCATCTTTCTTGGCTCTCGCTAGTTCATTTCCTACACGCAGCCGCTCTAAAGTCTTGCTGCGTGAAGTATTGGATCACTTCGCAGGCGCGACAGAAACATGGTAGGTCGGCGGCCTCACGTGCTTGCTTGCTGCCATCGAACGCAGCATCATTTCCTTGTTTGGCGGCATGTGCGACTGCTGGAGCTGTATGTAGACCATATAGTGATAGCAACATTGACGCATCGTTGCGGATTTGTGAGATTCCACGTGCTTAACCGACCGTGCAGGTTGTCCACGCATTCCCCACGTATTAAATCTATTTTCGATTCCTCATGGTTGGTACTTGCACGTATCTTATACCAATAACAAGCTTGAGGGCTTGCCATCTCATGGCAAGCAGCTATGCGTCAGCTATGCGCCGGTGGGCCTTGAACGCTGGATTGAGAGCTGAAGCGCACGGCTTGCGAGGTCATGGTCCTTCACCTGTAGCACTCCTCCCATAGGCAGACATCTTGCGACAACCTTCACCACGGCGCCCTTTCGCCGAAGGATGGTAGCGCACCGGTGCGTGCCTTTTCTCATCGTAGCCGCCCTCTGCACTGGGTTCCTCTTCGTGGTCTTTCGATCTAGCTCATGGCGGGATATACCGCAGAGTCTCGGGCTAGGACACCATGAACCCACGGAGTACGAGAAGATACATGCGCTGCCAGACCTGAGGACGACCCGACCGAAGGTAGACTACCCGCATATCGGAGAGGGGGTGTTCAAGGAACCGAAAATTGAGTCTAGCTCGCCATATCCTGTTGGACAGACAAAGCCACCAGGCAGCAATTACACCCGATGCTTGGTCGTGGCAAGACTGAAGAGCGAGAGCACAGCATGGATTGACGAGCAGCTGGATGATATGCTCGCAAGTGGACTTCTGAGTAAGGCCGTCTATACAGTAGACGACCGCTCTGCACCACTGCATCCGCCTCGCAACAAGGGTCACGAAGTGATGGTATACCTCAGCTATATCATAGATTTCTACGACGACCTTGCGGACGTCAATATCTTCATGCACGCGCACCGCTACACTTGGCATAATAATGAGCTGCTCAACAACGACGCGAGCCTGATGGTCAGACATCTGAGCCCGGAAAGGGTCACGAGAGACGGCTACATGAATCTACGTTGCCACTGGGATCCCGGTTGCCCTTCTTGGCTGCATCCTGGAGCTACGGAGAAAAACCCGGAGAAAGGGGAGGAGACGCTTGTGGCAGATGCCTGGGCCGAGTTATTCCCATTCGATCCCATACCCGCCGTACTGTCACAGCCATGTTGTGCACAGTTCGCCGTCTCGAAGGAACGTGTCTTAGCCCTGCCAAAGCAGCGTTACGTTGGCCTTCGCGACTGGGTCTTACGGACCGAACTCTCGGACTACATGTCTGGTCGCGTGTTTGAGTACACCTGGCAGTTCTTGTTCACTGCCGCACCATTACATTGTCCGAGCATGAGCGCATGTTACTGCGACGGGTACGGATATTGTTTCGGCTCGCCTCAAGCTTTCGACTACTGGTTCGAGATGCGGTACTTGCGCGAAAGTTACAAGCAGGAGTTGCATATATGGCGCGAGCGGGCCGATTTAATCGAAGAGGCTCGGCAGCGGAGTACAGATGGTAGAGTCAAGGAAGATGCCTTGCTTGAGGTGCCGGAGCCGGGACGCAACGTTTGGTTACGGGACCAGATCAAAAACTTGACCGTAGAGATGGAGCGTTCCCGAAGCGCTGCATTCGAGCTGGGCAAAGAACCACGGCACAGAGCTCTGGAGGCAGGGAGAGAATGGAGAGATGGCGACGGCTATTGACCTGCACGGTTCGGGATTGTACATATTGCCCGGAATTGCGCATAATGCGAGCAGTTCGACCTCTGCAAGCGGATGGCAGCTTTCTCTCGCTGACAGGCTCGCAAGCTGCAGGTCATCGCAAGGTGATCAGCCGGGTGGGGTTGCATCCTTCCCTAACGGTTTCTGAAATGCTTAGAAGCTGAGCCTCGCCAGCGGAGTTAAGGTCGTCTTTCTCAGGCCGGGAGTCTCGCTTTTGGGCTCATCAGGGCGCAGCCATCACGCATCCGTACTTGAGAATTATTGTGAGACGCGTACAGTAGGTCTTGCGCAAGCCGTCGCATCGTGTAACATGAGGATACCCCGCTATCTCTGCGGTGAGACTGACCCGAAGTTCTCTGGTACCTGGTTGGCAGTGGTAGCTGAGTAATTGAAGCCTACAGTTGAAGCGAGCGAACACTTCGGGGCTCGGGTTTTCGGGTCCGCGTTAGATCTCCGCGACGGCCGTGTCCTCCTACCGTTACCACTAGGGATAGCGCTTAGCGAACCTGTCTAACAAATAATCTCATTTTGACTCCATTCCACTCCTTCCATACTGCTTCGACCACCCTCCATACTGCTGTCAAAGTGTCAGCGCGCTGTCTTTGTACGCTTCTTGAGTGACTGCGGAGCGTTTACGGGAAGCCGTCCGCGGCGATTGTGTTAGTGGCGCGCGAAGCTTTCTTGGCTTGAATTGGGCTTGACTTCACATATATAATGGCCGCGCAAAACGCCCATGTGCCATCATTGAACGATGAGCACAAGTTCGAGCAGGAGTCGGACGATCAAGTGAGCCCGGTCGATCGCAATGACGAGGAGAAAGCCGTGCCACCGGAGTCTGAGAAGCCAGTGGAAGCAGCCGCAGGCGCAGAGGCTCAGCCCAATGGACCTCCTAAAGGACCCCCGGCAGGACCGCCAGGAGGCCCACCACCGGACGGAGGCTTGCAGGCGTGGTTGCAGGTCGTAGGCGGATGGTCGCTATTCTTCAACACTTGGGGTCTGCTCAACACATTTGGTAGGCTTCACCACGGCGCAAGATGTGCGTGGCAAAATGAGACATTGACCTGACGTGTTCGCAGGTGTGTACCAGACATACTATGAATCTGGCCAACTGTTCACCGCCTCCTCTTCCGACATCTCATGGATCGGCTCGGTCCAGTCAGTCATGGTGCTGTTAGTAGGCGCTGTTGCAGGCCCCTTCTTTGACCGTGGCTATCTGCGCTACCTGCTGATTGGCGGCGGTTTCATGGTTGTCTTTGGCCACATGATGCTCAGTCTCACTCACAGTCTATGGCAGGTCATTCTTGCGCAAGGCTTTTGCATTGGCATTGGCGCCGGCTGCCTCTTCGTTCCAGCCGTCGCTCTCCTGCCAACCTACTTCAGCAAGAAACTAGGTCTTGCTGTCGGCCTGGCTGCGTCTGGTAGCTCTATGGGCGGTATCATCTACCCAATCATGTTCTACCGTCTCGTCCCAGAGGTGGGATTCCCTTGGTAAGTTAGATGCACAGGGTGGTCTTTATTTAGTTCTTGGAGTTGCGCCTCCGTTGCTGACGCATAGTAGGGCTGTCCGTATTCTCGGATTCACCGTACTCGCAACCGTTCTTGTTCCCATCATCGTGATGAAACAGCGCGTCAAGCCACCGAAGGCACGCGCTATTCTCGACACGACCGCCTTCACAGATTGGCCGTTTGTGACATTCGTGCTTGCAAGCCTGATCGGATTTATCGGTCTTTACGTTGGCATTTTCTACATCTCCTTTTTTGGCGCGGCTACTGGCTTCACAAACGAGAGCCTGTCGTTCTACCTTGTGCCAATCTTGAACGCTGGCTCTGTATTCGGGCGCACTCTACCGAATGCGCTCGCTGATAAGACTGGCCCGCTGAATGTCATCGCACCTGGTGAGCTATCGAAACTGCCGTCAGATTATAGTTACGGGTACTGTCATACTGACAGGCTTAGGTGCGTTCATCGTGGGGTTGATCCTACTGTGCAACATCGCGGTGCATAATGCAGCAGGCCTTATTGTGACGACGATTTTGTTCGGCTTCTTCTCCGGCATCTTCATCGCTCTACCTCCGGTCATGTTCGTGGCTCTCACGGCGGATAGAACGAAGATTGGTACCCGTATCGGCATGGGCTTCGCAGTTGTCGGTCTCGGCACACTTGCTGGCGGCCCGGGCGGAGGCGGGATCTTGCAGCGACGTGGCGATGATCCAGCTACCTTCGATTGGACCGGCACATGGACGTACGGCGGCGTATGCATGCTTGCTGCAGGCGTTATCCTGTCCGCGCTTAGAGTGTACAAGGCTGGCTTCAAGCTTAGGGTTAAGGTGTGAGCCCGCATATTGCGCTGGATCCTGATAAGGTGACATAGCATTACCCATTTAGAATGTAGATATAGACTGGCATTATTGCATAGCGTTAGGATGCGGTGTGAGATAGTCAAGGTTAAGTCAGCCCAGTAGAGGCTGGGAATTCATACGTGTGCGCAACACAGTACTGTTCGCTCGGTGGTAGTCTCGCAGTCCCCAAGCCGCTACACTAACAACATTGATGCTCCTCCATCGAGCACTCAAAGCCTGCGAAAATATGAGGAGAGCCGACGCCTGGTGGTCATTTCTTTAGCTCCGAGAACGTCACGGCGAGCCACCGCCGCGTAAGCTATTACGGTACGACGAAGGGTGTGCATCTCACACCCGATTGCGTACGAACGCATGCATCATTCAGTGACGGAAACTGCCCGAGGAGTCTGCGACATGAGACGGAGCAGCTCACCACCTTGAGGTCCCAACTGAGGCTTCGACCGCAATACTGAGTATCAACCGCCTGCATTGAGGTTGAGCGGAGAGACGCAGGTAAAGCTATTGACTTGCGGAATCTTGAAGGCTTCAATCATACCTGGATGCACCGTTAGCGGGACCATTGCAACTTCTATAAGAAATTGCACCACAAACCTTCGATAGCAGCATACAGGCCAAGGCCAGCGACGACCCATGCTCCTAAGCAATAGACAACATGGATCACGTTGAGCACCACTTGTCGTGGGCCTCCGCTGATGAAGCCTCTTGCCCAGTATTCAAAGCCAGAGTATCTACGGTGCACCACTCCAGTTTGCGGATCGAAGCCTTGGCCAACCGTGCTTTTCATGAAGTTGAGTCGCATATCGCAGGCAAGCAATCATTGGCGGGAACGAGTAGCTGAACTGCATAATGGTAGCGGCCGCAACTACAGAGACGAAGCCGAAGTAATCCGGTATGGCCGCCGCAATCACGAAGGCGATGGACCACCAGATGGGTACTAGGATGGTCCATATTATCTTTCCACCTTTGGTGATCAGAGGCGATGCTCCGAACAGATCGATAAGCACGTTGTTGTATAGGACCTTAATTCCAATGTTACCGTACAAGCCGGCCGCAATAAGTCCAGACAAGAGGCCGATGGCGTTGCCTGCAGTTTGCAAGCCGTAGTGCGAGACGCCCTGGTAGCTGATCTGATAGCTGTATTGACATTGGAAGTAGTAGGTGTAGCAACCGTAGATCAGATACACTGCGTAGATGAAGAACTGGGCTCCCCACATAGCGAAGATGAAGTCTCTAGGTCGTCGCATTTCTGCCATGAACTCGACGAACAACTGTGCTCCGCCGTACGCGAAGACACCGGACAGTAAGCCGTTGAGAGCGGCGATAGAGCTTCCTGAAGGCGGCATGCCACTGTAGTGGATGATGGGCGGGTAATTTTGAGTGTCCGGCTTGATCGTTGTTGGATCCACGAGTCCGCCTGCGGATCCGAGAACGGAGATTGCGTAGTTCGGCGGAGTATGTGCGAATGCGCCCATCGTGATGAAGATGACAAGCAGGTTGAGCCATACAGCCAAGTTGAAAACGCAGCCATAGGACTTCAAGGTCTTGATCTGACCAATGGCGAAGCCAACCACGAGGAAGAGGATTGGACAAACGGCATAGCACAGCCTGAACTTCGATATCTCGGAATTAGCCTGACCCTGCTGGATCGTCACCTGGCCAAGGATGAGCAGCAGCGCTAATGCTTGCAGCGTAGCAGTGATATAGCGAGCGGTACTCCCATAGACGCGGAAGGCGAGGTCGCTATAGTTCTTCAACGGGAACTTGTAGCTATCGAGTCCCAGAAATGCATGCCAGAGCAAATAGCCGCTGTAGCCGGCGCAGAGCCCGAAAACCGTGTAGAGTGCTATGCCGGCCCCCCTTGGAGTAGATAAGGTTAGCGGGTAATTCTATGGTAATAACGTAGGGCGATGTTGTACCCGTCCGAGCGTGCCCATAGCGAAGCCTACCCCATACGGACCAAGGATGTCGGTCGTGATTAGATAGAAGCAAGCTCCCCAAGATGCAGTACGAAATGCGCGAGAAGCGTCGGTCCATTCCTGATCGGAGATTTCGAGGCGGTTTGCCTTTCTCGAGAGGTTGATATTGCGATCATGACCTTTCTGCTCGGCGCTGTCGTTTGGAAAGCTCGCACGCTGCGCTATGTCCCGCGCAAGCTTCTTGCGCAGTAGAAGTGATCGCCAATCCGTCTTCACACTAGGCAGTTCACGCTCCTCTTCTCGCGTTCGTAGCGCGTAGTAGTGGTATTCTGGATGAATACACCATCAGCTACTTGCACTATGCAAAGGATGTTAAGGCACGCAGACCTTCGAAGGACACGGCAGGATCATGTAGCTTTCTGTCTTGTGGTCGGATGTAAGAAGTGCCGGCTGGTCTCGGTGTGGCGTTTTCTCGTGATGCATTGTCAGGTCGTGGCATCCTTTCTGTCATAGTGGCTGTGGCGGAATCATGGAATCACCTTCGTCACAGGCCAGAGACTGACGCAAGAGCTAATTGAGGAGTCAAAGAGAATGAAGTTGGTAAGAAGAACTACCACGACATCCTGCCAGGGCTGTGTCTGAATGGACGAATATTCAGGGCTTCTGCCCATGCGTGATGGAAGGAAGAGATCTGCAGAACTAGCTTATACCTCAGACAAGCAGTGAAGTGTCCGCTTCATGATCCCGTGCAGTATTCGACCGTTCCTTACTGTCAGGCGTGTCCGCGGGTAGACGCCAGATGATGCTGCGAAGCATTGCGTGATGATCGGGTGCCTTTTGTGGCAAGTGCTCCCCTCCAGTCGTGTGAGCCATATGAATGGTTCATCAGCCGGAACCTCAGCCGGAACCTTGTATGCGCGTGAGCGTGAAAAGGACCCTGGCCACTCGAAGCGACTCCCCCTCTCCCCTTATGTGCTCGCAGGCAGACGTTGCTCGTCCACTCTGTCAATATGTCCGTCCGAAGGATCCGGAACATTTGTGCAAGGGAGCGGATTGCCGAGTCGCAGATGCTTTCGCAGAGTCTCTTGGACGAATGAACCCACGTAGACACCTCTTCGCCAGTACCCATGGCCAGCCTACTTTTTGCGTCCACGGTCATAAGGCGGGAACCCGGATGGGGTCTGGAAAGGTCGTAGAACACTGCGGGGCACCTCCAGCTCAATGCGCGAGTGCCTCGGAGGAGAGAGGATCAAATAGTGGAGAAGTCCTCTGTGTAAGCTTGCATACCATCGCAGTAAACAACATATAGCTCAAGTGATTCCGCCAATTGTAAGTTCGTTCACGAAGACGAGAAGCCGTACTCATTGATGGTGAACAGCATCCACGGAAGAGATAGAGCCTGCCCACCATGTCTCTCACCTTCGTCCTCTACCCCAAGGGTACTAACTTCAACATGGACTACTACATCAGCACCCACATGAAGATGGTCGGCGACAAGCTCAGCCAATACGGCTTGAAAGGCTGGAAAGTCTCGGACTTTGGCAAGGATGCCGAATACTGCGTTGGAGCGACGCTTGAGTGGGAGAGTATGGAGGCGTTCCAGAAGGGCGCGAGCTCGGACGATATGAAGACCATTCTGGACGACGTGAAGAACTTCTCCGACAAGGAACCGATGTTGATGCCTGGTGGCTTGACCGGAGCAAGTAAGTGAGGTGGACGAAGAAAGAGAGTGTGCAGCTTTCGGGATTAAGCGGCCGGATCGATTCTCAGAGCTTGGAACGACTTCCATCTGCACTGCCACTTCCTGTTCCATTTGTGACGAAACTATCATCGATTTCCTTCCACAATGTCGTCCCGGTGCCAACTTCGTTCTCCAGCATCTTGCCCAATGCTTTGCTGTGATGGTGTCAGGCGGAGTGAGTACGATTGGTAGGGTACTTCACTTACACAATATCTACATGCTCCGGAGCAATACTGTGTGCCTTCAGTGCCTTCTGATCCGCGTATCGAACGAACAACAGCAGCTCCTTGGGAGCTTTAGGCCGCTGAAAGGTTGCATAGGTAAGCACACCAGGTTCGTTCGCAGTAACCCAGCTCGAAAAGTTCCTAATGCCGGTCAGAGATGCGAGTGATGCAGTATGATCAGACATTCTTATTCACCGCAGTAGATCCAAGGCTTGCTGACGGTTCTTGCACACCATCCTCGTAACGCTGATAAGCACGCCCTCGCCACTCACTGCAACCCCGTCTCTCGCCACAAAGCCAGCAGCATGATACCAAGCAACCAATTCTTCAGGTTTCGCGTACAATTCCTCTCGCTTGACAGTCTCATGGTAGCCTTGAAACCCCGCCTCATTAAGTTGAGCTTGAAGTGCAGACTTGGCTGTATAGATTTCCAGTCCACCGATGAGCGGTTTCTCGGAAGCTCCAGACTTGCCTCGTGCGGGCATTGGAATGAAATACGACCATGTCGTACATTTCGCCTTAGGTTGCGGGTAGTAATCGCGTGCTTCTTTGCGCAATAAGGATAAGCACTTGATCCATGTCAATGAAAGCACGTCACGGTCGAGTACCAGCAGCGTACTCTTTGTTGCTTCGCCGGTGACTCCGGGTAGAGCATGCAAAGGAGCGCGACACCTTCACCATTTGTCGACGGTTGTGCTTGCGCTTGAGGTTGCGTGGACGCAGGAAGAGGATTGGATGGAGTTGGGGCGGCGACACGGTCAGACATCTTGATACTCTTAGCACTTGGATAAGAGACGACAGCTCTGTTGGCACACGCTGTATGTTAAGTTCAAGTTGCACTGCAGTACACCTGAGCTTCCAGCCGAGGGCGGTCGTTCTTGCCTCGGTTGCTGCAGCCAAGGCTATCATCACGTAATGCGAGTCTGTGGATTGAGAACAATGACAAAGGCAAGCTCTGATAAAAGATTGATGGGCTGTAAATCTGCTGCTTACCCTGTGTACTTCATAAGCGCATCGAGATCCACACGCTGGTAATACGAGATATGGCCAAACCCTTCCCAAAACTGTGCCAGCCTGTCGTGTGAGATCATGATAAGCTGCGACGGCGTGTACTGGTCTTCGCACGCGTCAGTGGTTGCCGTAGTGCGCTCGGATGTCGTGAAATGCTCACCTTCCCTGAAGCCTCTACCAGCAATGTGACCAGCGCTTCGCACGATCCTTGCGCCCTTAAAGATCTTTTCATCCGCAACGCGCAACAGCCCTGCTTCACCGATCTCTGGTGCGACAAAGGTATACTCTCCGCGCGGAATGTTTGGGTCACCCGTCAGCTTAATAGCCTCGAGCCTGCCAGACGGCGCGTCGTCATTTGGGGCGGTGGGTTGCGATGGACTGTCAAATGGTGTTTCCGTGAAGCCCTCAAGGATCGCTTGCGGAGTGGGTACTTGATATTGTTCCTGCTCAGTCCAGCTGGCAAGCTCGAGAGCGACCTGCTCCCGCGCGGCTTGGACGACGTCGAAGTCTTCTTGAGCGCTCGCATAGCTGCTATCGCTGCTCCCACTCCCTCTGCGCTGACCGCGGAACCATTGCCTCAACCAATCCATGCCTTCCGGTAACGGTCGTTCATCCTGCTTGTCGGGCTGCAGAACGACCAGAAACTCGCAGCCGTGGCCACTGTAGTCGCCACACCAAAGACCCTGCCATGGCTTCTGCGGAGTTGGTGTGAAGCACCAGTCAGGTAGTGATGCAAACGTCGTGATGCCCTCTTGCATACGAATGCTCATGCCGCCACCTGCGCTCGAGGTGAGGTTGGCTGCAAAGTACGGGCCGACCATGCCGAGTGCTGCCTGTAGACCGGACGATGTGAGCGACAGCGGACTAGCTCGACGCCCATTAAACTCGACCCATTTGCGCAAACGAAAATGATACTGGCTCACTTCGTCTAGTCTTGAAGGGCGGTGGCCGGTCGATTGATACGAATTGTGCGTATTGTTACGTACATGGGCCGGCGTTGGGAACCGTAAAGGTGGCCAAACAGCTGTCTGCTCGGTAATTGCCTTCTCAGGCAATGCTCGGCAGAGCATGAACGAGGAGTAGAGTCCAGCTTCGGCAAGTGTTTCCATCAGAATCTCTTTACTGTAGTTTGAGGGTGGCGCGTACGACCTCGCGCTCGGCTCGTTGTCCGGTTGATCATCCGTCCGCAAGCCGCCAAGATCCAGCTTCAACACAGGTCTGTTCATATCGAGCACAATCTTTGGATTGAAGCTGTGTATGATAACTTCTCTGTCCTTCTCCCAAAACTCCAGCGTATGTCGACCGCGCTGCGCTGCCACAGTATACGCTTCAATGCATCCTCTTCGCGCGTCATACCGAGCGGCGACCAACTTGCCAACGTGTTCTATGTCGCCGAACCACAGGCGCCGCTTGACAAGGAACCAGTAGGGGTGGTGTGCGATGTAAACTTCACGGAATGTCTTGGATGGCGCTGGGCCGGTGAGTGGTTCAGGTAGATATTGATTGACCAAAGGCATCCATATCTGGTCGTCGTAGGTTTGGGTGGCGAGGACTTTGCAGGTTTGGGCGGCACGACCGAGATCCAGTGGCTCGAGGTATGCTAGAATTTGGTGTAGCAACTCGGCGGGTAAACCTAGGAGAGCTGGTCGCCCTGTGCTTTCCGTCATGGTGCGGGCCTGAAGGATTGCGTGAACAGCTTCGGCTTTCTAAAATTGAGGGGTGATTCAGAAACTGCCGGCAAGGTGATGTGGACACATATAGTAAGCAGCCTTCGTGACAATGACAAAACAGAAGCGGGAGGTTACCCTCGGTATGACCGGCCTGATGTGCGTGCCTCCTGCTTTCGCTCTAGTGCACCCGTTGAACTAGCTCACTCCACGCAATGCTCATGCAGCTGCAACAGGAAGGTGCGAGGAAAGGTGATGCGGCTGATTCGTTCCGCTTCAGATGCACTCGGCTACCTGCTGCAGAATATCTACGGTAGGTCCAAGCGGCAACAAACGTCCGCGAGGCTTCACAAGGTGGGGCTAAACTCTCATTGCACCCGCGACGTGTCGATCAACAATTTGCATGACGCTCGCACTTGCGCCGTGTCGGTGTTGGATCACCGGGCCGAACTTGCGCGGATCAAACCAGTTCAAGATGCCGCAATCTCAGCCAACCATAGACAGTTCATCACGGACGACATTCTTGTGTGCTCATGACCTGCAATCCTCCCTGCCGACGCTCGCGTGCTTCGTGCATTAGCAGGACGAGGACATCTCACTAGCGCCATGCTCAAAGCGATACAAGACCGGGGCAATGGATTCTGAACAGCGGTAAAAAGCAATGCTACTGAGATAAGACTTCCTCAACTGCTATCGTAACGACGTGGCCCTTTGCAGTCCGTCTATCCCTTGTTGTGAACGGATCGCAACATTTAATGAGTGATAGGCCAACATATAAAATTCCATGACCGTGACCTATCAGTCGTCATATATCGCCAAGGATGCGATCGGCGTACTAGTCTATAACGACCGTAACGCTGCCAGCTGGCTCCACGGGAGCGGCCAGAGGTAGGCGTACATCCTGATATTTCATCGAGCTCAAGCACGCCCAGCGGAGAAGTCCTCAACATGGTGTAGGAGTTACTGCGGGCAAGCTGGAACACCACCGTATCATTCGCTATAGCCGCAATACCCTGGCGGAGAACCTCGAACTCGGTAGCCTATGTCGCGCGCGGAAACATTTTGACACAGTAACGTGGTGTCGTTGGTCCAATGAACCGCCTTGAGGAGTAACCCTTGACTGGAGGCGTCTCAGTCCGCCAGCAAGTTGGCTGGGAGGCAGTGCTGGGGATTGAGCCATGGAGTATGATAAGATATGCAGCGAAGGTGGTGATGTGCCTATGGCCGAAAGTCTTCCGTTACTGCACTACTAATCAGTTGCAACGCTTCTGCGCACGCAGTCTGAGAATCCATAACACAGCGAAGAGTGAGCCCAAAAACAGGGGGAGAGCCATGGTATGTCTATGCATTGTTCGTGAAGTGTACCTTTACACTGCAACGACTAGCACATAGCCGCACCACACAGAGAGAACGTAAGTTGAGTAGGGCTAAAGAATGTGGAAAGTACTCGTCCGGAGGAGGGTTAAGATGGTGAGGGGAGCGAGGTCGAGAGCGCTAGCGGAGTGCCTCGAGACGGGGTATCTTGGGCTCGCAGCAACACCGCATTGGTCAACTTCAATACATAAAGTGGCCAGAAGGCACCGCAATGTCTATGTAGGTCTGTTCTGGTTTTCTGATTGTTTGTCAACCTTCTCCATTCTGACCTTCTACTCAAACGCTCGCTTGCCATGCCGTCGACCGAATTAACCACAGCAAACGGCTCGGGAGAGCATGTCGTAGAAGGCTCAGCTTCGACTTCCGCCAAACCGCAGACAAAGATCACCTTAGCTGGCAAGGTCATTGCTAGTGAGTCGCACATGCGAATGTCCGGAATCTTCCTTATACGCTGATGTGCTGCAGTCACCGGAGCGAACAGGGTAGGCTACAAGGTTCGGCCGGTGATTGAATCCAGCTGACATTCACCGCGGTATAGGGTATCGGTCTCGGCGTAGCCAGCTCCTGCCTTGACAACGGCGCGGACCGCGTATATTCGATCGATATCGGCGAGGTAGGCGACGACTTTGCCGCAGTCCAGAAGAAGTACCCTGGAAAGCTCCATGCAATCAAAGCCGACGTTACGAACGAAGAAAGCGCAACAAAAGCGGTAGACCAAATCATTGTGGATGCTGGTGCATTCCACGGCATGGTTATCAATGCTGGACGGACGAAGCACAAGCCTGCGCTTGACTTCACCACGGAAGAAATAAATCAGCTATGGTCCATCAATCTGTTCGGTTCGTTTTACTGTGCCCGAGTTGCCGCGCGCACCTTCATCAAGCTAGGCGTGAAAGGGAGCATCGTCTTCACCGCGAGTATGGCCTCTTACCGTCCAAACAAAAGAGTTCCATCGGCGCCGTATGGTGCAAGCAAAGCTGGTAGGTTCGTGGGCATCGAAGCCGTTTGCACCGATGCTAACGTTGAGGCCAGGCGTGCGCAATATGACTCACACATTAGCGATGGAATGGGCACAATACAACATCCGTGTAAACTCGGTCTCCCCAGGGCTTGTGAACACCGCGATGACGTATTGGGTGCCCCAACAACCCGACTGGGAGCAGCAGCTGAAGTATTATGGAGGCATGCCGCGCCTTGCGGAGATCGAAGAGCTTGGTGGAGCGTACGTCTACTTGTTAAGTGACGCAGCAAGCTATACAACCTCCATTGACATTCCGGTCAATGGAGTCGTCGGCAGTAAGTGGAAGGATTCTTCAGAGGCGCACATAGCTGACCCGGGATATTATAGTCTGTTAAAGCGGTGGTGAAGTCAGTGGTCGAATCCAGCTTCTGCTTGAGTTTTCAGCCTGCTTCTCGGGACTCAACGGCCTCATCCGAACGGCGCATGAGCTGCTCGAACAAGCTGGAGAAGCTGGCTTCGAAGTCGTCCTGGTATAGTAACTGTTCAAACTCTGATTTCAAAGCTTTCCATGTCGTCAGCTTGAGTTGCTGCAGCAGTTGTCGAAGGTACGCGTCTTGTTCTGGATCACGCGCAAGTGCACAGAGGCTGTACCGCGTCCACAGCGCAACAAGCTGATACTTGGTGCCAATCAGTGCGGGCGTTCGAAGATGCTGACAGGACGAAGTGTGGATCCATAGAGCGCTCTGTAGGTCGAATGGCCAGTCAAACTTATGCGCATCCATTGCTGCTGACAGCATGACGCCACAGATGGAGATGTTGACAGCCCTCACGTGGTATAGCGCATTGAGCTCTGTCGGATCAACCTGGCCTTCGGCATCTGGCTGGGGTTCACAGCCTCGGGTGTGCGTTGGACTCCATGCCATGTTTTCCAGCCCGATCTTCCGCAACCGAGTTATCTCTTCTTTGTCGGATATGTGGAAATGTGACAATTGCGCTGTAAGAGCCATCAGACTGCGTGCTTCTGGACGCCTTTGGTCGAAGATCTTGAAGCCGGCAGGGAGGTTGGTCAGTTGACTGGGATTGAAAGCGTGTGTGTGTAGATGTGATCGCTCATCAAGTGACCTCCGATACATTTCGAGAACTAAGTCTGTGAGAGTCGCGACGCTGTCTTCTGTCAAACTCTGAGCCGGGAGTGGAAGGCTCTTCCAGGCCTGCATGTGTACAGCGTATGCATCCTCATCACCATACCTCCGCTCCCATCCGGCGAGCAATGCGATCGCCATCGGAGCGATGCTCTCAGCATCCGCCGATGTAATCTTCGACTGTATCGCATCTAGCGAAGCGCCACGTAAGGTCAACAAACCGGGACCAATGTGAGCGAAGGCTGACTTAGGGAGGCCGCATGTATTACTGTGCGTGCCAGCTACAAAGATAGCAACCTGGTAAAGTGTCGTACTTTCTAGCATGGCACTCCAAATCATCGAGCGGACCGAGCTGTGTGCGAGTGAAGTTTCGCTCGGTTGCTCCAGCTGGAATGGTCGATGTGCCATCAGTTGGGTTACGATCGGAACTACTCTCTGGAAGAAAGCCTGGTCCTCCTCTACTTTGGGGCTGACCAGTGCGCGGGCAATCTCTACTTCGCTCGTACTCCTCTCTGAGCTGTCTGCGACCGTTGGCGTGGGCGAAAGAACTCCACAGCCAGGATGCTGCCATTGCTGGGACTGCTTCCTCGCGATGGTGGCCCTTCGCGCCGCAGCAGATGCCCTCGCTGCTTGGGCTCGAATGTCTTTACGGCCCAGACCACTGGCCAACGCATTCTGGTCGATCCAAGTGCTCGAGGCTGCAGGTTCCGATGCTTGCGCCTGTGATGAGCTTCTTCGTGGCAATATCTTACCCGGCTTGACAACCCTGAACTCGGGACTCGTCTTGCGGCCCGACATGTTGGCCAGATTCGTTATGAACGAGCCACATGATCAGGAGTGTATTATCAACGAATTTTTACAGTCCATAGCTATCGCGAAAGCATGAGGGGAAGTCGATGACAAACCTGCTCTAGCAGACCATCTCGGACAGTTGCAAAATTTCTCCGTGAGTGCACAGCTCCGAGAGGTATGGGTGGTATTACCGCCCTAGCTGGGTTGCGAACACTTCCTGCGCCCATAGCTTCTCAAGGTTTCAACGCTCGAAAAGAGTGGCAGATCATCAGCGGACAAATGATGAACTGCAAGGACTAGGATCGGGCCGAAAGAGCTTGCCATGGCATTCGGATGGACCCTTGCAGCCGACGTTGACGGCTCCAATTGAACATGGCGATAGAGACCGTCACAGTTCACAACCTGGTTGTGCGAGTAGAATGACTCCCGCACACTATACTGTCGTATCATCTTCGCCACCGATTGGCCTGCGATTTCGTCGCACGCTCTAATGGAGCTACCTGACTCAGCTACCTAGGTTCCGCTGACAACTGGGCCAATCATGTAGCCTTCCGTCTATCCAGCCCTACAGTTTGCCTGATTTCGTAGAAGGCAGTGTGATAGAGCTAACCGGAGTGTATACAAGACTGTCAGCTTGACAACGTGCCGACGAAGGGCTGAGTCGCTTAAGACTATCGTCCTGTTTGTCATGCCACGGCCGCGACTGGTAGTGTTCTTCGCTACTCTCATCCACATTCACATTCTGCAACTAAGCGTACCGTGTTGACTGCAAGACGGCTGTTCTTGTTGAATTGGACGCCCTAGAGGTTTGGTAACTGTAAATAATGAGCTCGTAGGTTGCGCAGTACACCGCCCAGGCACTTACAGAACACTGACTGCTCGCCACCTATTGCAGGACCCCATTTCAGCCAGCCAGAATGCTGCTGTTGAGCAGGGTGGCGGCCTTAAGGATATCGGCATCTTTAGAGGCGATTCAGTTGACGGAGGCCGTGGCGTTTGCAAGCGCGAGCTGCGGATGGACCGAATTTGCTGTTCCGCTCACGGCTTGTCATTGTTGATTACAGGCATCAAGGGGGACAAACGCCACACCATACTGCTCGACACAGGTCCAGAGGAGATGATCTTTGAGCTCAATGCGAAGCGTCTGCGTGCCGAGGTCGGCAACATTGAAGTCGTTCAGCTGTCGCATTGGCATCGTGACCACTCCGGAGGCATGCTCAGAGTCCTCCAAATGGCCAATGCAGCCAAGCAACACAACTTCCCCATCAGCGTGGATCTGCATCCTAATCGACCGGATTACCGCGGTATAATGGCTATGGCACCGATATCGATGGAGGCTGATCCAAGCTTCGCCGAGATAGAGCACGCTGGCGGCAGAGCTGCGAAGAGTGACAAGGCGCACACAGTGCTTGATGATATGTTCCTCGTTTCCGGCGAGATACCACGGGTCACTTCGTATGAGCTGGGCCTGAAACGAGGCATCAGATTTGTTGCTGAGAAAGATGAATGGGAAGAAGACACCCTCATGCAGGACGAACGCTTCTTGATGTGCAAATTGAAAGGTAAGTAGGATCTAATCTACGGTCTGTGGATATATCGTTGATCACTCGCGGTTAGACAAGGGTGTTGTGCTGTTCACTGGCTGCTCGCACGCAGGCGTGGTGAACGCCTCACGTCATGCCGTAGAACTCGGTAAAGGAACGCCATTGTATGCCGTCATGGGCGGCTTCCATCTTGCGGACGGCGAACCTGATACGATCGCACACACTGTGGCGGACCTGAAAGCCTTGGATCCGAAAGTGCTATTGACGGGTCATTGTACCGGGTGGCGAGCCAAGTTCGAGCTTGAGAAGGCGATGCCTGGAAGGCTCGTGCCAAGTTTCGTGGGCTGCATGTTCAAGCTTTAAGCAGGAAGGCTTCCACAGCAGTTGAGATTTCTAAAGGCTGTGGTGCTACTTTAGCTCCGGCGGATGGTCATGGATTAGGCTCGGCCACAACGTGCGGCAGGGTACTGCATGCGGTCGGAGGCAGATCTCGGCTCGAGAAGCCTAAACAAACAGTAATGCGACCACGAGGAACGACCCAGTTCTGTCGCTCTACGTCCCAATACGAGATATCCTTCCTAGTGAGTCCAAAGCGGACGCCCTCGGTCTTGCCAGCCTCGAGGTAGATCTTTGTCCAATCTCGCAAAACTCGCACGGGCAAGTCAAGAGCCTTGTTTCCATAGCCGACCGTATCCGGGTCATATAAAACGTATAATTGAACGACGGCGTCGCCAGCCACCGGTCCCATGTTGTTGACCCTTGCCTGTATCGACACAAGTGTCTCGTAAAGGCTAGGATTGCCACCTTCACCTCCGCCGGCCGGCGACGGCTCCTGTATATGCGAGTAGCCTTCTGGGTAAGGGTAGCGACCCTGCTTGACCTCCGCAGCGGTCGAGATGTACGGGTAGACGTACTTCCTCAATCGTTGCATGCCTTCCGGCCAAAGTGCTTGTTCTGGGTCCGGTATATGCCTGTCAAGCTGAGGTGGACTGACAGGAGACGCTTCCCTTCGCTTCGGCTCTTGAGTCCAGCTACCGACAGGATGCACGAACAACCCGCCAAGCTTGAAAGAAGAATAGCTAAGACCATAGCCGAACTCGTATCGAGGCGTGATGTTGTGTTTGTCGAAGTAGCGGTAGTCAATATATATGCCTTCCGTGAAGTTCTGTTGCGGCGCCAGGCCGTTTGCCACCCTCAGGATCTTACTGGACGGTCCGTAGTGCTCTTCTTTTCTCGCTATCGTGTAGGGCAGTCGACCGGACGGATTGTGATCGCCAAAGAGCACGTCTGCTAACGCGTTGCCACTCTCTTGACCCGGTAGATGAGCGATAAGCACAGCCTTCACGCCAGGCATGTCGATCCATCGCTCCAAGATCGTGGGTCCGACAGTGTGTACCACCACAATGGTGTCTCCCACTGGATATCCAGACTCGTTTTTGCCACCACAACCCGCAGCGACAGCCTGCACTAGCTCATCGCCTCCCTTCTGCGGGTAAAGATCATTACGATCGCCTTTGACATCTTTCCAGCTAATGAAGCCTTCGCCGGCATCAGAGTTGACGAAGACAAGGCACAGCTCTTGCGCGGAAGCTGTACCATCGACGTGTTGGACGACGTTGGTCGGCCAGTATGTAAGATCAACGAACTGCGAGTCGAAACGGCCACGCAGTGCTTCTGCAGGAGAAATAAGGTAGGGTAGCTCGACCGCACCTGAACCCCATCCTTGCGACAGCGTGCCTTCGTTGCACCCGCGATCGGGACATGCATTTATGCCTCGGGGGTTGTTGAAAGCATCCTCGCCAAAGATGCCGACCCTCAACTTCTCGTCGCGTGTAAGTGAAGGGTGACCAGATGCATTGCGAGACAGCGGCAAGACCTTATCTTCGTTCTTCACGAGCACAATGCCTTCCCGCGCGATCTTTCTCGCCAAGTCGTCGTGGTCTCCGCCCTCTGCCGTACGCCGCACCGGAACGTATTGATTCACGACCCCTGTTTCTTTGCTGTCCGGACTTCCAGGATGCAACTTGCCAATTCTCTCCTTCGTCCACGAGCTAAAGTTAGGTCCACCACCTTCCGATGGTTTCGGCCACTGCTCCACGTCATCCTGTCCTAGCTGGTACCACGCGGCCACGATGCGCATAACCATGTCGTTCAGGCGGTCCATAGGCACAGATGAGTTCAGCACAGCTTTTGTTAGCTCAGAACCCCAGAGACTCTGGCCATCTTGCCAGAACAAGCCGTCACCAGGCATAGTCATGTCGAGGCCTGCAAGAGCAGCAGCAACGCCAGATCGCTGAGCAAGCCAATCTGACTGTACGAAGCCTTGGAAGCCAAGTTCGTCCTTTAGTACGCCGTTGAGAAGCTTACTGTTCTGACACGCGTACGAATTGTTGATCTGGTTGTAGGAACACATCACACTCGCTACACCAGCTCTGACACTTTCTGCGAACGGCCAGGCGTAGATTTCGTGCATCGTCCTGTCGTCGATGTTGGAGCTTATTGCATTGGGAGTGCCCCATTCCCAAGATTGCCTACAGAATGTTAGCAAGTCTTAGCATGGGCGACCGTGCTCATACCCACCGAAAGTGCTCCTGCTCGTTAGCGACGTAGTGCTTGGCTGTTGCTATCACGCCTTCAGCCTGGATGCCCTGAATGGTCCTTGCTGCCGCAATGCCCTGTAGCACAGGGTCAGCGCCGAAGCCTTCCCAGTTTCGGCCACCTGCTGGTAAACGACCAAAGGGACCCATGGCTGGGCCAAGGATAACATTGATTCCCTTCAGACGTGCTTCGAAGCCGTGCGCTCGTCCACGCTCGTACATCAAGTCCTTGTTCCATGTAGCACCCACGGTTATGCCTGCGGGAAACGCTGTAGCGTTGTCCATGAAACGGAGTCCAAGCGGTCCATCCTGCAAACAGAGGCTTGGAAAATCTAGCCTATCGACAGGGCCAGTGTTGCCCACGCACATCCCCATGCTCCATCCAGTGCCGGTGGTGATGTTCACTTTCTCTACCAAGGTCATCTGGCTGACGAGAGCCGCAGCGCGCTCGTAGCTCTGCCGCCACGCTTCGACGGTGCCACCCTGGGGCGACGGGTACCATGAGTCACTTTCACCATATAAGGGTGTGCCGGCTTTGTAGGCCCACAAGCCGCCGGCTGAGAGCAACAGGAGAACAGTCACGAGGAAGAGAGCGCTCAGAAAACAGCAGAAACGGGATGGCGTTAGCCACCTCCGCCAAGCGGATTTGGTTCGTTGTTTGGTCGGTTGCGCACCCTTCTCCGACGGCTTGGAGACACCATTGAGCGCGTCTGCACCAGCGTTGGGCTGCTCAGCCTCCGGTCGATTGAGTGGTTCAAGCTCACCGGCGTCCGACGTGTCTGAGGCTTCTTCTTCAGACCGTTGGTGAGCAACCTCTTCCATGTTTCGGCCTCCATACAACTGCAAAGCCCCGTCCGCCATGTCCAATCGCGGTCATTCAGTCATAACGATGAATTGCTATCTGTCGCTAAACCTTGGCTAGGATATACAAGACGCTACATGTACACAGTCGCGTTTAACGTTATGCATGGCGCAGCACCGATGCATGCCTCAGGCCACGGGGATGTTCGCGCGAACCTCTTCCCGTGTTAAGAGTTCCCGCTATGACGACAGTTTCCGTGGTGACGATGTAGTTGTGCGTCGCTGAAGGTTTTGTCGGAAGCTCCTGCGGACATTTGGGCGGACTGGCATGGCCAATGGTGCGCATACGCTTGGCTTTGGGTATTGGAAACCTTCTGCGTTCGGGCTTCCTACCCTTGCCGTAGATCTGTTATGATCCACATCCACGGAGACACAGAGGCGCAATCTGGACAATCTTGTCAATCACTCCACACAGCTTGGGCCACTTTCGTGCCGTTGCTCAGTGACGTAGCGGGCTACAACCACTCGCTTCAAAACATCGCCTCCCCCATCAGCCACAGCACACACACACATTCACTCCCACCAACTCCGCACATATCGCTCTGCAGACACCGTTGCACTACAAGTAGCTTCATCACAGTATAACAGACTTTACCGCCAAGATGCACCGTACCTACTCAATGCGCCAGTCGCGCGCGCCGACTGCGTCGCAGATTCAGAACCCGCCGCCTCCACCTTCGTCTACCAAGGCGAACAGGCTGTTCGGCCGGGCCAACATTGGTCAGTGAACCACGCTCGCAGTCGTTGTTGATCCGAGAAAATTAATGCGAAACAGGACACACCTTCCGCAAGTCTACTGCCGGCGCATTCGGTCCAGATCTTGCCAAGAAGCTTTCCACACTCGTGAAGATGGAGAAGAACGTCATGCGCTCCATGGAGCTTGTCGGCCGTGAGCGCATGGAGGTCGCACAGCAACTCTCCATCTGGGGTGAGGCTTGCGACGACGACGTCTCCGACGTTACGGACAAGCTCGGCGTGCTCATCTACGAAATCGGTGAGCTTGAGGACCAATTCGTCGACCGCTACGACCAGTACCGCGTAACAATCAAGAGTATTCGCAACATTGAAGCCTCCGTCCAGCCCAGTCGTGACCGCAAGCAGAAGATCACCGACCAGATTGCCCAGCTCAAGTACAAAGAACCAAACAGCCCGAAGATCGTCGTCCTCGAGCAGGAGCTTGTCCGCGCCGAGGCCGAGTCGCTCGTTGCCGAGGCTCAGCTTTCCAACATCACTCGCGAAAAGCTGAAGGCTGCCTTCACTTACCAATTCGACGCTCTGCGCGAGCACAGCGAGAAGCTTGCCATCATCGCCGGCTTCGGCAAGCACCTCCTTGAGCTCATCGACGATACTCCGGTCACACCTGGCGAGACCCGCAATGCTTACGACGGCTACGAGGCCTCCAAAGCCATCATCCAGGACTGCGAGGACTCACTCACCAACTGGGTTGAGCAGAATGCATCGGTCAAGTCTAACCTGTCTCAGCGTGCGCGCACTCTGTCCCAGCGCCGCCACCAGAACCGTGGTGTGGGAAGCGAGGGTGTTGACCTGACGCACCAGGATCAGCAGATGGACCGTGAGTCTGGTCTCTGGATTCCAGCCAGCCAGCACAAGGGCGGCGAGGAGGAGTTTGATGATGATGGCGAAGAGGAGCACGATGTTGACGCGCGTGGCCGTGAGGAGGAGCGTGCCCAGGCTGCGTAAGTTAATAATTCAGTCCCTAACGTTAATTGATTGAGCGCAACCACGCATGCGACCTTCAATGCGAGCAATATACCCAGGAGGGCGTGGGAGAATGGGCGATTGTTCCCGATGCTCGAGGCTGACCCCCAAGACCGAGCTGTTTATGCAATGACTGATGTTGGAGTACCCTAAGTGATGCGAGTACGTAATTTTCATAGTCAATAATGTGTTTCATAGTCCTGTGAGCTTCATCTCCATCGCACGTATGTCGCTGATATCGAATACCGCCGAGAAGGAAGCGACGGTGCGCAGTTCCGATACTCTGGACATCGCACCTTAACCTTCTACGTGTGGTAAGCGCCCATTTCCGCACGCACATTTTACAACTAGATCAAGAAAGAAATAAACGCAGTGAAAATGAGTTGGATGGAAGGACTGATGTCCAGCAGATTTCAGTCGCTAAATACAAAGACTAGGCGCGCAATCCGCTGCAGCTGCCTGGGTATACGTCTTGCCAACTTACTCCAAATTCAAACTACGAGCCGCGGAACTGCAATACGCTCGATGCCAATAGCCGTGATGGTATACATAAGATCTCGAAGCAAGCTAAACAGTATGCATTAAAAGCCAAATACACCGCGATATACTCGCAGAAAGGTCGGTAATGTACACAGCCGACCAGCAGCTCATCTGTGGAGGCGGTGAAGGTAGTCGAAAGTGTGTGCCGGTAACAGGATCCTGTATTGCGTGTGAATGACTCGTGTATAGTGACATCCGTGGTGAGCCGAGGATGATAGGGCGGGTGGTAGTTGCAGATATGCACCTCGTGATCAGCTGCATGCCAGCGGGGCGTAAATGCAGGCGGCCAACGTGACAGCGCAAAGCGCGGCTAGATGCAGCCTGCAGGAGAGATACGAGGCGGTGATGCACAGGCTGTTGCCGGTGCTTATGCATTAGGTGAGATATGTGTTGTCGACACAGTCGAGAGTGTAGGTCTAGGCGCTCTTGATGCGGCTTCGACTGCGGTAGTTGTACCAATGGTCCGAGTATGTATGCTTGACCACTGTGGTCTTGTCTGAGGGAGGTGAAGCGGCCGTCGGATCGCCGCGCTCAATGAGCGCATGGCTGGGTACGACGCTCACTTTGTTGGAATAGGTGGTAGAGGCCGGCTCGGTGGTGGGCCAGGGCAAGGTGGGAAGCTTGTCGCAGGCATGATAATGAATTGACTCCGGTATTGGAAGCCTTATCGTGGTGATATGCTCGATTGGTCAAGCAGCGAAATCACACTTGTATATGGGTCGGTTGTTAGTCGTTGTAGTTGTTGATCGTGTATTAGATCGTTGTGTAGTGTGTAAACTTCGGTGGTATAACAGGAACAAGACCTACCTGTGAAGGCAGGCACCCGGCTGATCATATAGTCATCCGTCTGCCAAAAGGACAACGCACACCTCATTTCATGATGCAACACCAAGGCAACACACTAACCCTCGACCTTGCACGGACTCACCGCCGCCCGTCCTTGCCAACACCTGCTGGGTTAAGGAGAAGAATAGCTAGCGCATTGGCCACGGTAAACGCTAAAAGTTGAGCATGACAGCAGGACAGGCAAGGCTGAAAGCTTGTCATGGTGTCATGCGCAACTGCACCCCTGTCGGTCATCACTCTTTATGGGTTGTCCGTCGTTACTAAACCCGAGACTACAAGCCGCGTTCCACGCTGGATACCTCGTACCGCTCTTGGCGGTGATCCAAGAATCCCACTCGCGCAAGACACCGGCCAGCACTGCAATCCACCAGGAATGCATCAGCTGCAGACCTTTCAAAGCACACTCTCGGAGTGCGCGCAATGCTTCGTGGTGGACAGCTGTCTGTAAGGAGTTTGCTGCAAGCCATGCGCAACCGTCAAAGTCAACGGCCGAATTAGGTTCTCCACCAGCCGGCCGCTTGCTCGGCAGGGCGATGGTCAGGCACCCGCACAGAAAGGGGCATGGGGTGGCGCAAGATCAGCAGCATCAGCTGGTGTCCTTGTCGAAAAGGTCGACGACCGATGTTTCACCTGTTTCGGAGTCATGACAAGATTGACATCGCACTCGCTTACCTGCATGACGGCAAGCGGCCGACCGAAAATAATGGCACGCATAAAGGACCCGTGCAATGGGCGGTGACTCCGGGACTGTGCATTGCTCACACAGACATATTCATTTCGGCTTCTCTGAAAGGCGTACAGGAGAGAACGACGGTAGAATACGCCTTCACGGTCGGCCGCTCAATACCTTCCACCGGTGCATCGTTTTACAACCGGTGGTTTGTCTCTGAACATGCTAGGTTCCTGTCAAACCCGGCACTGAGCTTCGCGTAGAATCACCGGACGCCGCGGAATGATGTTTTCATCTGCCGATTCGGTACGGCAGAAGCGAACAGTTACGTTGCTGCGTCGCACGATGCTGATGCACGCGTCAGTAGTGTTCGTGGTCAACCCCATGTCGCATCGTGGCTGACAGCTTAGCGTCTGCTCTGAACAGTGGGCCGACTTTCAGGAACAGGCAATTGCCTGGATTGGCCCTGCTTTCTTCTTCCTTTGTTTTGTTCGTGAGATCGCAGAATAGGGCGTGAATCGGTATCCGTACAGTGCACGAATCATGCTACGGCGACGAGTACCCGCATGAACCGGGATCGACAGGGGATGCGCCGCGTAGTACCATGGTCGTCATGCCTAACCTGGCTTACTACGCTCACTCAATGATTGATCAGATGGTCAAGTTTGACAGTTGCTTAATGATGAGCAGGTTCCGGGCAGCCGTACACGCCCTGCCAGCGCTGATGTGAGCTTCCGTTTCTTCTAATAAGGGACATCCCGCATCCTAGACATATCATTTCGGCATCATATTACTCGCCCATGCGTTCACTACCAGTAAGAGAGTGGTTGGCCTGTCGGCAACGCCCTGTTCGGTCAGTTACTGACGCATCGGCTGGCAGTAGCGCTACACGTGCGAACCGGCTGGCTGCCACTCTGGGGACGGGAGCTTTGCTTGTAGACTGCGTGCAGCGTGATTCACGCCCTCCAAGCATCAGAGCCCAAGCATCTCTCAGCGCTGACCGATGTTTTGCTTTATCGGTCGGGTCCGCTTGGGGATTATCGTTCTTGATCGAATAGTCGCACGGATTCCCGGGCCAACGTCTTCTTCTAGAAGGCTTCTGCAACAGCGGCAGCTCCGGCTAATTATGGAGCACAACGTGGCCGCCACGGTCCGATCGCGGAGAAAGGAGATCGCACAGATCGCAACATGCATCTTAACTCTGCCCGTGCTCATATTCAAATTTGCTCCTTGAGCAGCTAGGTAATGCTAAATGCAGGTGGTCCTGATGCGCGCAAGCCAGGTAATGGCCTTGACCTTCCAAATCTCGGACGCATGACGAAATTGGAAGACTCCGCGAACACATCTCATTGCTAGGTTACGCTTGAAAGCCAGAAAAGATGTGTAGCTTTCCTAAGTTGAATAGCGTTCCTGGTTGCAAGGCACGTTATTCTTTGACAGGTAAGAAGATGTTGCTACCATGAAAGATACGTTTACGCCACAGAGACAGAAATGTCTTCGCCGCAGAGACCCCGTCAATGCAGCGTATCTGCAACATTCTTCGCAAAGGCACACGGGCCAGACACTACCCATATCGAACATCCATAGAAGGTCCCAGGTTCGTGATTCAACCAAAACGAGTGCTTGACCTCGAGCCTCAGGTCTTATACGCTCTCGAGCGTATTCGGCTGCGCACTGCTTCCTCCGCGTGGCTGAAAGTCGATTAACGAATGCTGCGCATGAATTTTGGAGTTCGACATGCCCAACTCATATGACCGTCTTACAGATGATGCTACACTTTGTTGATCCCAGCCAATAGCTTATGCAACGAGTACTGGGACCGACCGTTCCTAATGTATACGTAGACTCGATCTACCAAGGGCAAAGGATCACTATGATGCAGAAACGGCTGTGTCGTGAAGCTCCTTCTTAAGAGCGGCCGAGGCCTGTACAGGCTGGTCTGTGAAGCAAGTGACTTACTCTTGAGAAGAATTCCGCTTCCACTTTGTAGCTTCTGAGAGGTAAGCTTTATGCTTCGCTGCAACACAAGCGACTTACCGTTGCTTCTCACCAGAGTGGTCCGACTTTTACAGAGTTAGGATAGCCTGCACCATGTCTCGCACACAGCCCGATATTGGTTATTTCCTTCCAAACACACGGATAAGCGACATAATAGTCACATTTTAGCCACGACGTCGTTTCAGCAGGCTACAGAACCGGGTTACTGTAGCGGAGGATGAATAGCAGAGGCGCAAACGCATACCACGAGCGGCGCCTACTGCCTGCGTTTCAAAGGCGTGCAAGCTCATCTCCCACTTCCAACGAGCTTGAGCTCCAAGCAGCTCAGCCGAGGCGGGCGGACGCTTTCTACAAGCCTGGCGCCGACCCGGAGAACAAGGCTGGAGGCTTTGCGCAAGGCAGTGCCGTGTACCGCACTGATGAGGAACGAGACCAAGACGAGGCCGCGCGACGTCAGTGGCGTGGAGACCAGCTCGATATGATGCGCGAGTTTGGGATCTATGAGGGATGCAGAAGCTGTTTGATCGCGGGGCCTTGTTTGCGGCATGACCTTTTCTACGCTGCGGCAGAGAGGGCCTCGCGCAGCACGCAATCGGGTTCGGCCGCGCACTCTTATGCTCCACAGCGTGAGATCGGTCTGAGGAACTCTATCACATTCTCAAACGGACCTGGCTTCACTTCGGCGGCCCAGCAGCATGCATTCCCGTATCAACAGCAGGAGTAGGAAGTGCTGTCGGCCGCTTCGGGCGCACATAATGGATGCGATGGCAGTGGCAAGGCTGCAGGCTCTAAGAATGGCGATGAGGACTGGGAGGTGATCGACGAGGAAGAGTTCGTGGAAGACCGGAACGGCTGGGTTTTTAACGGGCCCGGACTGGCTGTTCCCAAAACGGAGGAGTTGAAAGGGGGTCTTCAGTAGGCTTCAAGCCGCTATGCGAGGCGATGAGCGTGGGAAGGGTGGTGCTCGTTAAGCCAGTGGCCGCACCACCACTGCTCATCTGTCTTTTACACCAATGTAATGGGCATGAGGGAAATAATCGAAGTCTGTGGCAAGTCGTATCGCTTCAAACTTCATGAGTCTGATGTGTTGCTCAAATGGAGCCGCGCTTAGTCGAGTCTCTTGTCGTAGGGCTGAAACGGCAGACGAGAAAAGCTCGTGCCTCTTCCGACGCTTTTGGTTCGGCGGGGACCGAACTCAGAAATATTTCTCAAGATGCTAGCATCTTCAACGTTTTCCTTTCTAAACAAGTAAACCATTTCACACCCTCTCCACTCCACCTGACGGACCCGATCAAGCAAGACGAACAGTCCAAGTTGTAGTATCCTAGTGCACACTGGTTCCGCAAAGAATACTCGCAGCTTAGGCTGCTCCTCCCGACTCTTCTTTAGGATTTACAATTTGGAGGTGACATGCCGCACCACGAGTCGCCACCCATGGCTCCCCAAATCATGGTCAGCGGCAAGGACGCTGCACCGTCGCCGGACGACGTGGCCGCTTTAACGAACCAAATTTACACGTCGAAGACGTCGCAAGAGTCACTGGACGCTTCGTATGCGCTCACCGACGCTCTGCTTAACAGCGTCGGCTTCCGTGGACTCTATGGCTACAACATCATCCCGGATAACCTTAAAGCGGCTGCAGACAAGAAGCTTGCAGCGAAGCGCGAGGGTGCCATGTTTGCACTCGGCGCAATCTTCGAGCGCTTCCCGCCCAAGGATAGAGTGAGCGAGGTCATATTCACACGTCAAGAACAAGCGCTGGTTGTATGTGCGTTAGACGCGCTTGCAGATAAGCAGGGTGCGGTGAAGGAGGGGGCACGCTACGCTCTTGATGCACTCTTCACCAATCTTTCGTCAGAAGCAAAGGTGTTCGGACTGCTTCCGTTGCTTAGGACGTATCTGGGCAAGAAGACCGGCAAGTGGCAAGGCACAGTAGGCGCTTTCGAGCTGATCGGCCGCATGGCGGACAAGGCCAAGATAGGCATGGACAGCATGCAGGCAGAGAAGGACAAGGATGTGTTGCGGGAAGCGATGGGCAAGTGGCTAGACCGGCTGATACCGACCGTCGAAGCAGGCATGCACGACTTGAAGGCAGAGGTCTCGAAGCAGGCTATCAAGTCGATGAACAGTCTCACCACGCTCCTACAGAATGACGATGTCGGCCCCAAGATACCATTACTTATCAAGAGCATGGAGGACCCGAGCACCGAAGCACAGAGAAAAGCGATCCATGCACTGAGCCAAACCACCTTCGTGACCGTGGTCACGAGTCCCGTGCTTGCGCTCGTTACGCCGCTACTTGAACGATCACTGAACACGCCCACTACTACGCAGGAAGTTCTGCGGCAGACTGCGGTCGTGGTAGAGAACTTGACAAGACTTGTGCATGATCCGGTGGAGGCTCGAGCGTTTCTGCCCAAGTTGATGCCTGGTGTGCAGCGTGTGAGAGACAATGCTTCGCTACCTGAGGTGCGGGAGATCGGGCAGAGGGCGCTGGATGTCATGGTCAAGGCTATGGGTGAAGGGCAGAACGGCGACGCAAAAGCCGCTGAAGCTATTGAGCGAACACTGCCGGAACATGTACTGGCCGTGCTGGAGAAGGAAGTACAGCGGAATGGCGGATTGCTCGATTATCCCGGAGATGCAGATATTTGGACCCACGTCAAGCAATACATCTCCGAGCTGGTGGCAGAAGATGTGAACCAGCGCGCTCTCGAGCGTGTCGTGCAGAACACCGGACCTTACCTGCAACGGCTCATGGACTCCAGCAAGGCGGATGCGGTTGCGGAAGCCGTGCACAAGTTCTACGTCGACGAGGACAAGCGTAAATTCGGCGCTCCGATCAAGGAGGACGACGGCGAGGTCGAAGTCGTCAATGCCAACTTCTCGCTTGGTTACGGCGGTATGCTGCTTCTCTCGCACACCAACCTGCGACTGCTGAAAGGTCACCGATATGGTCTGTGTGGCCGTAACGGTGCCGGGAAGTCCACCCTAATGCGCTCGATAGCTACCGGCAAGCTAGACGGTTTCCCGCCCCAAGACGAGGTCCGCACTTGTTTCGTAGAGCACAACCAAGGCGAAGCTGCAGACATCACGATTCTAGAGTACTGCCTTCGCGACCCCGAGCTGCAAGCGGAGGGCAAGGAACGCATCTCTGCGGTCTTGGAAGAGGTCGGCTTCACCGCCGGCCCTGAAGGTCGGCAGCAGCAACTGGTCGGCACTCTGTCCGGTGGCTGGAAGATGAAGCTCGCTTTGGCTCGTGCTATGCTTCTCCGTGCAGACGTCTTCCTACTGGATGAGCCGACGAACCATCTTGACGTCGGCAATGTGAAGTGGATGCAGGAGTACCTAAAGTCGCACACCGAGATCACGAGTCTAATCGTCTCGCACGATTCTGGTTTCTTGGACGAAGTCTGCACGGATATCTATAATTACGAGAACAAGAAGCTCGTGCACTATCGTGGCAATCTTTCGGCTTTCGTCAAGCAGAAGCCGGATGCGAAGGCGTACTACACGCTTTCGGCCACACAAGTGCAATTCAAGTTCCCACCTCCAGGTATCCTGACCGGCGTGAAAAGCAACACCCGTAGCATCCTCCGTATGACCGACTGCACCTTCACTTACCCCGGCGCAGCGAAACCAAATCTCTACAATGTCTCTGCATCCCTGTCCCTCAGCAGCCGCGTTGCCATCATTGGCCCCAATGGTGCCGGCAAGTCCACTCTCATCAAAGTCTTAACCGGCGAAGTCATTCCACAGTCAGGCAAAGTCGAGAAACACCCTAACCTCCGCATTGGCTACATCAAGCAGCACGCTTTGGAGCACGTTGAGATGCACCTAGAGAAGACGCCAAACCAGTACTTACAATGGCGTTACGCAAACGGCGACGACCGCGAAGTCATGATGAAGCAAACTCGGCAACTCACAGCCGAAGACCAAGAGCAAATGGAGAAGCGCTTCGACATCGGCGATGGCAAAGGCATGCGGCAAGTTGAGGCACTCATCGGTCGCCAGAAGTACAAGAAGAGCTTCCAGTACGAGGTCAAGTGGGTCGGCTGGCTACCGAAGCACAACTCACAAATTTCGCGCGAGACGCTGATGGAGTGGGGCTTCCAGAAGCTCATCCAGGAGTTTGACGATCATGAGGCGAGTCGCGAGGGTCTTGGTTTCCGGGTGCTCGAACCGAAGATCATCAGCAAGCATTTTGACGATGTGGGTTTGGACCCGGAGATTGCGAACCACAATGAGATCTCGGGATTGTCGGGTGGGCAGAAGGTCAAGGTTGTACTGGCGGGCGCTATGTGGAACAACCCGCATTTGCTTGTGCTCGATGAGCCGACCAATTTCCTGGACCGAGACTCGCTGGGCGGTCTTGCTGTCGCTATCCGAGACTACAAGGGTGGCGTGGTCATGATCTCGCATAACGAGGAGTTCGTCGGCGCGCTGTGTCCAGAACAGTGGCATGTTGACAATGGCCGACTCACGCAGAAGGGCCATCTGGCCATCAACCTTGACCGCTTTGAGGACAGCAGCAGGCCAGGGTCGAGCGTTGTGTCTTCCGCGGGTGGCTCGAGCGCGGTGTCTTCCGCCGGACCCAGCACGAATGGCACCCCGGATGGCAGTGCGCAGGTTAGCGAGGCGGAGGGCGGCGATATGAAGTTCAAGGCGAAGAAGAAGAAGAAGTTGACGCGGGCGCAAGTAAAGGAGCGCGAGGTGCGGAGACGGTTGAGGCATATTGAGTGGCTGAACAGTCCGAAGGGCACGCCGCATCCGCCTGATACGGATGATGATGAGTAAGGCGGTTTGGCTGGACAGCCTAAATGAGTGTTCGCGCATGGTCGGCAAGTTCGCGACGAGGTGAATATACATGCATGGATGGGCGTTGAGGGATCGTTGATGCACGACTGCATGGTGGACCGACCATTCAGGGACGAGGAATGATGATAGATCTGGGCATAGACGGACGCGTGACAAAGAATGTTTGCAGCACTGGCGAGGAGTTCCGAGGAGTTTCAGGAAGCTGATGCGTTCTCGGAAAATTGGGGTGTAGCTTGCATATGATGCGAAATGTAGCGTTGCCGTTTGTCTTGCTCAGCTTGTCGAATCCTTTACCACGTCGCCTTCCCTGACTGATTAGTATACAACGTTGCGCGTGTGCTTAAGGACCAGCGTCTCGGCAGCGCGCAGCGAACCTGTGCCGCCTAGCATCAGCGTCTGAGTAGCGCAGTAGCGAATCTCTGCCGTCTCTCAGCATTGGTACTAAACCTCTGGTTCGCCACCTCGACCAAGGTTCGTAGGTAAGCCTCAGACACCATTGGCATAGTGCACCCCTCCACGTCGTCGGCGAAGCCAATAACACAATCAAAGGCTAGGCCTGAGCTTCGAACGGCGACCATTGGCGTGCTCGAGGTTTCGGCGCCGCCTGTTGTTATGCCGGTAATACCGCTCTCTCTGAAACCTGCTATTAGCGCAGCAGAAGCAGCATGCTGCGCAGCCGTGAGATTGGCTGTGAGAATATGCAAGATCTCGAAGAGTGTCAGCTGGTCCATGATATAGAGCTTGTCTTAAGGATGGGTACAACGGGTCGGATACGTTCTCCATAGAAACTCTATGCTGAAACCCTTGACCTACCAACGGCTCAAACTTGAGATGCACAAACCTTGCATTGGTCGCTTGAGGTGGTACAGAGAGTGGCGATCTTGCTAGGCCAAACATTTCGAACACGCTGCCTTCCTCTCTTGGAATGTTGATCGGACTGTGCGAGGCGAACAGCCACCGTCCGCCACCTTTCGCGGCTTTGAAGCCTTCAAGGTAGACTGTAATACGGCCGGCACAGCTGCTGGTCGTCACGTACTCTGGTAACGCATTGATGTCGGAGATGAGCTCTCTAATCTCAGAGTCTACGGTGCCTTTCGGGGACGAATCGTGATACTGAGCGTCAGGTATTGCTAAGTCGGCGAGAATCTTTGCTTTCCGCTCAAGGAAGCCTGCTGGCATGATGTTGTACGACGCAAAGACTTCATTGCCAAATGAGCGTACTCACGATTGCTCCAAAAACGGAGAAGAGGAAGGAAGCCGTGTATCAGGAAGCGATAATCACCTCCCACGGCCAAGCGCTTCATCACCGGCGCGGACCGCTTCAGGCGCGATCCAAGCGCTGCCGATGCGAAGCGCGCGGCGACTAATGGAGAGATCATTTTAAGGCTTCCGACTTCTACACTCGCATTGCGATACTGGGGAGACAAGCCTCACTGTGTTTCGAGAAGGAGACATGGCGCGCAACTCAGGGCGCCTCACCGCAGGTACGAAGATGACTGCGACTCGCAAGCGTGCAGCATCTACGACCGTGCCGCTGGCAAAACGCTCTAGACCTGCCAGGCCGACGCCCACGAAGAGTCAGTACTTCGAGCATGCCGGCGATAAAGTTGACCAAGGCGACATACACACTCCGGACGAAAGTTCGCCTGGCGATGATGATAAGGATTCCGACTTCGACAAGGCTTCCATAGATGATGACTTGCCCGAGACCAGCGAGGAGTCCGAGTACGAGAGTGACTTGCCGGAACAACGTCGAAAGTCGGTGAGCATTCGCAAACGTACAGCTAACCTTAGCGTCGACAAAGCAAAGGATAGTGAACTCTGGCGACCCGGTGTCAAGGCCGGCCTTGGACCTGGCAACCAGGTCATCATAAAGAAACCAAAGGCTCGATCTGCGGGCAAGGTCCCGTACAGTGACGAAACGATACATCCGAACACTTTGCTCTTCCTTAAGGATCTCAAGGCTCACAATGACCGGCAATGGCTGAAAGGTAAGTCATCACGTCGGGGCGTCAGCGTATCATCGTACGGATGCTCCCCGCTTAGGCCGGCTCTACAGCGGAGCTGGGCTCGCTTCTGAGCATTTGTGATATCTCTCACGCGGACTTTCGTCTGAATGCTTGCGCCGCCGGTATACGTACCTCGTTCGAATACTCGGACTGATTCAGCGGGCAACTTCCGCGAGGGATCCTGCAGAAGCCGCAGCGCAATGCATCAAATTACATGCGCACTTTGAGACTTCGCCACAGTTATGCGGATAGGTGAATCTTGATCCTGTGACCGTTGTACTGCAAGCTGCCAACGCATTGAATGGCAGAGCTATGGCGTGGAGCTTATTACTCGAAAGTGAGTGCGCTAACGTAGGCCTGCAGTAAACGATGCGGAATTCCGTCAGGCCGAGCGCGACTGGTTCTCGTTTGTGGAGGGACTGACACAACGACTAATGGACCTTGATGACACTATTCCTGAACTGCCCGTCAAGGACATTGTGCGTATCGAGCACTCACCGCGAACGACATCTGTGCTGATTTCAAGGTTTTCCGCATTTACCGCGATATTAGTGAGTGCCGAGACAATCCACACCGAATCCGGTTTGACGCCTTCTAGGGTATGGCTTGTCCCGTGCACGGCTTTACAGGTGGGCTTCTCACCGGATACTCACCGCAAGCGAAGGTTTTCACCTGACCCGACGCCATATAAAGTGAGTCGGACCGTTTCGTAGGGGGACGGATCGGCTCAGCAGCCTCCACCCGTGTTGCGTCTGTATGCATTGCGACCCGCGCTAACCATGCATTGGCGGCACAGCCATACTTTTCCGCCGGTACGTATCCCAATCTTGTGGAGCACCGGATGAGCCGTGCATTGACACTACTTCTTGGTGACAGCATGGGTGAGTGTTGCCTACGACACATCTGAGGCCAATCAGGCAAGCGCTCATGTGTGACACCCACGCAGTCACGCACAGGCAGGAAAGGACCGTATGCCCATTACTACGTCCAGATTGCTCCGAATGATGCGAGCTTTGTCGGTAAGTACCTTTTCACTGGTCGCTATGAAAGGATTGTGCACATGATTTCTGGCAATTCGTGCCCTTCAATGCGTAGCCGTCAAACGGTCAAACCAACCTAGTCTCCGGAAGCGCACAAGCCTCGCATGGCCGCCGCTTGGAAGTACGCGAACGCAGGCGGCGCCTTTCTGATGCTGTCCGTCGATGAAGTGTCCTGCTATCACGACGGGGAAACGGCGCGATCAGTCAAGCGTCTTATTGATGTCAAAGCACCGAACTCTCCTTGATGAGAGACTGCAAGGGTTGTGTTTCCATATAACTGGGCAGCTCCCTTGAGCGTACTTCATCATTTCTCGTCGTGACCTGGCACCCTTGTTACAACAATGGGAGCGGAGATTGCAGTATATAATTTCTCTTCCTGTCATTGCAGCCACTGGAATGCAGTGGTCAATCGTCTAATCCGCCACGGATCGCCGGCGGATTAGGTGAGAGCGCTGGATAGCAACTGGCCGCGTCAGGTGAGCTTGGCCGAATTTGGACTGTCATTGAGCTCCGCGAACATAAAAACAACGAAGCATGTTAGGACAGGTTTGGAGACCGCCGTAAACACAACAGCAGAGCCACAACAAGCCCTACACTGACGGGATTTTCGCGAAGTGAGCCGATCCGCTAGCTCAACTGACTCTGTGAGTCCGGCGCGCGGTGCGCGGGCTGGCTGCAGCTGACTCTGGGTGCCGTTTGGGGGAGCGCGGTGTGGATGGCTGAAGGAGCAGCAGCATCAGCATGCCAGGCAACGGCGAAAGTAACAAGGATTGACATTGATGTTGCTGGCTCCGCAAGATTGCCTCCTACGCAAGTGCCAAAAGTGTTTGCCGTGGCATACCCAAATTCTTGAAGCCTGGAGTGTCTCGCGCCGGTCTAATCCGCACCTTCTTGCACCGCCGACCCTCCGCCTATATTATACGTCCGCTCTTCCCAGCAGTTCGAATGCGTATTTGCTGTTCTCCGGCCATTGTGCAGGGCGTCGAACATGGTCCTTCTGGTAGTCGCTATACTCTTGAGCGGTGAGCTGAGCGGTGAAGGAATGTCGACTGTGCGCTTGCTGGAAGCCGGCAGCTTTCAAGCCTGGCAATACGCCGTTCAGGGGATTGTGAAGATGTGCTGAACCGCGACTAGCGGACGGAACTCAAGGGTGCGCATACACACGATGGACAAAGAGCGGTGGTCGCGTTACTGGGAACCATAGTAGGACGCTGCAATGAGCCCGTCGCACTCTGCGAGCCTGTCAATCATCCCCGTCAATATGAAGCACTTATGCTGTTGAGATGGGATCGCACATACCGTGGGGATGAAAACTGCGCTTTCTGGGAGGTCGTGCTGCGAAAGATGCTGTATACGTGCAGCCGCCGCTGAAAGCTTTGCGACTGCACAGGTTGCCGCATCTTCGAGCCAGCGCATCGGGATAAATGATTCTTGATGACCAATAGGATTGTGACAGTACCGGTCGAAGGCAATACCCTGGCCGAGTGAACCCGGGCGCCATGCGCCAAATGCGGTTCTGGCAGACTATGCCACTGCGTCGCACATCTCTCCCACTCACGCCCACGGGACTCGTCAAGGAGCGTAGTCCACTCGATTTTACAATCACCCCAAGGCCTGGGATCACGCCCTTTACACTGAATACGCCACGCCAACCCACGATCTTGGACAGCAGCTGCGCAAGACTGTCCGGAAGATTATGAAATAATGACCTGCTCTTGCAACGGATCGCGAACATTGCGACCATGATTGGTGTGTTATGGAAGGCCGCTCATCCCGATATAACTGCTCAAAAAGCACTCAACTTCTGGAGTGTTTAAAGCGGTGCCTGTCTTTGTCCAAAACAGGGCCTCACGGCGTACATCTTTCCGCGTACTTCATTACAGGCGCATATTGCAGATTGTGCGGTCGAGTCAACGGTACGGATGAAGGTCGTTGCAGATGCAGATCTCAGACCGATCTTCGACGCGTGTCTCAGGGACTTTGCTGTTCGCAACCCGTGAGGAACGGTTTGCTTTACGAGCGTGTGCAGCCAGTGTTAGCGTTGGAAGGATTCGTCGTCGCCGTCTACATCCTCGCCAGATCAGCCACAGTCGCAGCCTATAGCGACTCTCACGTTGTGCATTTATACTGACAAAGCCTGGACAGGAGGAGGCATTTGGCATCCAGAAGCCGCGCCTACCGCTGCCATACGTGCCGACATCGACAACAACCCGCAACGGATCAAGAGTGTTCTAATGAACGATGGCATGAGGAAGGCCTTTCTCTCAGGCGCGCCGGCAAACGAAGCAAAAGCCGTCGAGGCCTTCGTTGCTGGTAACAGCGAGAACGCGTTGAAGACCAAGCCAAAGGTAAGTCACTGCATCTCTTTCCAGGCGATGAGGTCTCTCGTGAACCCAATCTGGTGTCTGCACCTTACGTGATGGTCGAGCGCGAGGTGTGCTCGTTGTCTTGGAAGGTTAGAGTGGATGTCACGCTGCCGTCCCTCCTTACGTCGTCCGCGTAAACAAAATGCAACCATGATCTCGAGGGTCCCAGTGAGCTAGCCATCGAGAAACCGCTCGGTGAAGAGATTGTCCACAACATCAATAATGGCTGGAGGTACAACGGTTCGACGACAAAGTGAGAACCGCGATGCTCCTGGGCGAGCCCCGTGTCAGCTGCGGCAGCGGGCCTTCTTGCCACCGAGAGGGCGGCCCAGGCGATGGCACTCACATCGGGGATGACGCCTCACACTGACAAGCGGAAAATTGGGTCAAGCTACTTACACAACATTTCTTTCCGCGAGCACCGTTCGGCAACTGAGCACAGGTTGAGCGGTTGCGCTGGATGCCTCCTGCCACCCAATGGACCCTGACGATGAGGCTTCCAAGACATTGTGAAGTCTGGTACGCTGGAGGCACGGTCGAAAGCCAATTTGCCGCGCACCTTACAACACGTAATATCCGATTCGCTACGCATTACGGGCCATACCTGGTTATCGCAACCGAACTTGCAGCAGATAGCTAGTCGAAGAAACTTCATCACATCGTCATGGCGGCTGTTGATAGATGATAGCTGACTCGGGGCTTGCAATGCACAACTGACCAGTACATTAGGGTTTTGACGCAGACCATAAAGACATTGAGCTGTTACGCCTTCGAAACTATACAGTCGGCACGAAATTGAAAGATGGAGAAGTGCTTGGCTCACAAGGGATGGAACGAATTGCGGAGCTGCTGGCTTGCATGAAGCCCTTCGTAAGTCACTTGTGTCTTCCCGCGGTAGCGCGCCATCACATCCCTGCTGCATGTTCCGTTGCGCCGCCGGCTCGTCTGCGAGCCTTCGCGAAGCGGCTCGCAGCTCGCATAGATAGGTTGTTGCACGAGAGGACGAGAATGTGATAGTGGCTGCGTTACTGTTCGAGAACTCCACCAAGCTGCTTATTTGCGATACATTCGTGAAGCGTAGGTTCACGAAAGCAGTCATTGCATCGCTGACTCCGCGGGCGACAGATCACATATCTCAACTCTGTTGTCATGCCCGACGATGCGGCATCCATTGAGGATACGGACATGGACGGAGAGAGTTCGGCCGATGAGGGTGAGGAGGAGGCCGAGGACTAGAAGCCGGGATGCTGGGAACCTACTGAATCCGGGATATTGCCATGCACACGAGCAAACGCGTGTATGCGTTCGCCGGCCATTCATCGTCCAGCACAAGGGCGAGGAAAAATACATTCCTACAGTTAGTGGCCAAGTTTTTGTGCCATGGCTGCGTCTTACGCTTGATGGCGCACTGTGCCGCATGTTACCGCTCACTCTTACCAGTACCTGCTTTGCATCGCACCTTGGGAAAAGTATGAACCGCGACATGTATGCAAGCGACGATCGACACTCTCTGCATCTCAATCGTTGTGGGTAGACGCACGGACACCGGCTGCTTTGGGGATCATCCGATGCAATCTGGGGGCGCGGCAAAATTGGAAGAGTATGATTTTTGCTTCGAGCTATATGAATGTGAAGCGTGACGCCTGATTCTTTTGTAAACGATACCGTTGTGCTTGTTGAGACACCTCGGAAGCGCAATCGGTCAAACCACGGCGGTTGGATCAGTGGAAGCGCTAGGCCGTTTCCATGCACCCGCCGACGCCTGACAGCTCGGACCGCATGGGGTGGGCACATGAAGGCTCGGTCATCTGACCTCAACCTGGATTAGTTGTCTGCGGGCCTCCGTGTCTGCTGCGCCGTTCCACACCTGCACCAGGCAGGGCATCCTTGCGAACGGTCTCATGGGACGTCCTGTTAAGTTTGCCTTACATGTCAATGCGTTGGCAATGCATTTCACTTGGGATCGCGCATTAGGCGTAGGGTTCTGCTGCGTTGACTAGGTAAGCTTTCACACGCGCCTGTAACAACGGTTTCGCCGGTTGAGGTAGTGCTACACTGGTTGGCAACTTCTCGAAACCGCAATGTTTATAGTGTCTACGCCCTGAGGGGAATCGGGCGGAATCCCAACGCGATAAGAAGCATGTATCGAAGCGGTAAGCAGCAGACACGGCGCCTGGCGACGGGCCGAGTCCGGCGGAATAAGGTTCGACCATGCATCGATCATCACCACGCATGAGCAATGCACGTCTGCTTTGGTCGGTCGTCGCACGCGTTGCAGAGGCGACATTTGTCCGGTGTCGTGACCCACAAGCTGTTAGCATGCATGTTCTTGCATTGCGGCACAGCTATGATGTTGTACGCTGCAGTATTTGCACGAGGATCGTCGAAAGCGGTGTTGTGAACAAATGCTCGAAACCATCGATCAGAGGCTTAATCAGTCGATCAAAGTCCCTAGACCGTTGTCGCAGAGTGAGAGAGCGCTTTGCACAGGTTAGGAGGGGTCTTGCAGAAGCTCAAGACCTCGAACGATGCGCGCCGTGCCGTGTTCGGAAGGGTTGGATGACACAAAGTCCTCACACGCAATAACGCCGTGTACGTACGGTGGCTCGCGGACATGCGAAGGGTATGCATGCAGATCTAACAGGGTGCGAATGTGATATGGTTTCTGCAAGCAGCTGGTCGCATCGATCCGTACCTTATCGGCGACGAGGTGCAGTCGGTACGCAGCGCGTTCGTGCCTCTTGGTAGCTGCGTATAAGTATTCAGTCTTTCACGGCTAGTTGTCCTTCATTCTCAACCAGCGGCCAGTCTGTCTTCAGTCTCAACTCGTACGTCGTCGTTACCCTCATTACATTTTCCACTCACCCATCCTTGCGCCCATATCTCTTCGTGTTCGGGAACTGGGCAAGCACCGGCTACTCGCCACTACAGTGGGAAGGCTTGCTGAGCAGTGCTGGAGCTCCGTCCGGGCCGCGTGTCCGAGCCATCAGGGCCACACGGCCCAGCAAGCACGTCGACGATCACAAGCACGATCGTTGCTGTGAATCGTCAGGTCTACCTGCTCAAGTGTCACTAACACACCTGGCAACTCGCGGCTACTGTGGTGATTCGCTCGCGCCATAAGGTTCGGTCCTCTTGCCCTCGTACCGAAACGCAACTTGCTTCCGAGAAAGCCAGAGCGTGCCGCTGCTGCCGCGCACCGCCAAAAGAATTGGCATCGCAGTGGTGTGGACGGAGTCATTTGACAAATTTGTAGGTTCGTTCCCGATTCCCTCCACGTCAATGGCTTGAGCCCGGCTAATTTCCCCAAATTCGAGCAAGCAAATTCTGTGATTCGTTAGTCATGCCGAATTGTTGCTCGCAGGCTACATCTTCTGCATCTCAGCTAACTCTGCATGGCAAGGTCCGATTACATCACAACTGAACCATCGTTCGACACGCCATAACCAGGTGAGTTCCGTCTCTCGCGTAATAGGTGGGTTTGTCTACAGGAGCCGACGGGTATCCAAGAATGGCAAGAAAAAGGTGCGAACGCTGCAGCTAGCGCCAATCCCTGCGCTGCCACGAGGGCAATACGCGAGGGCCCGCTCCTTGCGGCCTTGCCACTATCCGACGCACAGTGCGCGCAGCTTGCATCCATTGCGCATCTCTGACTGGCTCGCATAACACTGCATACACTCTATTAGTGTTCAGCTGATGTGAGTCGCCGCTCGGTGACTGCATCATCATAATCTCGCTTTTTGTATCGGCTGGGCATCGGGCTTGCCAGGATGGTGTGATCACAGCTGACGAATCAGCGTAGCTCTGTTAGGTCTCTTCGCCGTAACCACTCTTCGGCGCAGTGGGGCAGAACCAGAATCTTGCGTGTCGAAGCGGCGAACACCACGCGGCTGACCTGTCTTCCTTCGACCACTCAGAGCGCGGTTCGCAGGCGAGGATTGCGGCACGGGTCTGGGAGCTGCAAATAAACGAGCCCACTTGCCCGGGGTGCGCGCTGTAGCAGGGCGGACATCCCGCTCGTCGCGCCTTAACTCGCGTTAGTCGGCGCACTCGGTAGCGGCACGATCTGCGCCTCCTAGCGCGGCAGCAAGCACACCAAAAGTGTCAGCGCACGAAGGAAGGCCTACGGAACCACAGTTTGTGTCGGAGTCGGACGCACGAGCACAGTTTATCACCATCGGCGCCGGGCCTTCTCAGGGAGCCAAACCAAAGCGAGAAAGGCCTGTTTTCATCACACGGGGTCCGTGACTTAAGGCTTCCGCAACCCCACTATCAGCACCAAACCTTCTGGCCTCGTCTCCTCGCTGTCGGGTCGCTCAGAACGTTTCTACTTCTTCTCCCGCCGTTTCTACCGCCGGTCGTGTACATACACCATCTTCCCACCAGCCAAACAGCGCTGCGCGTTTCACTTTGCTGCTGATTGCACAACATTGCGCGCCGGTCCGACAGATTCTGGTTACACCAGCTGTCGAACAAGCAGCAGTTTCGGCAGGCTGTCTCGCAGTAGCTTCATCGTGCAGCGCGCATCGAACGGCTCTTCACGTACCGGCCCGCACCTTGTGACACCTCAAAGTCGGCCATCTGCAGACATTCACAACAGTGTTGCTGCGCTGTGCCGAATCAACGAGTGTCGCACAGCCTTCCGTGTCTTTCCAAGCTGCTGAGTGGACCCTTGTCAGCACGCGACGCGCACAACCATTGCCGCACCTTCACGGACATACGATTTCAGGATGTATCAACCACCCCCGCAGCAGCAGCAATGGAATCCAAACGCGAGTCCTTCGACGTCGCAGCCGCCGCCTCCACAGTGGTCACCGCAACCTCCAAACGGCGCATTCACGCCGAGGAGCAACCAAGTGAGTCGCGCCTGCATGCCTTTCGAGTTGCGCGAAGCTGCGGAGCGCCAAGCCGTGACCACTTTTACCGCTATGCGGTTGTCTCTCTCATCTTGAACCTTGCACCTTGCTTTCTTTCTCCACAACAATTACTTCACATCATTCACGCGCCCAAAGACCGTCATTCAATATGGCCTCCATAGATCCTGCCCTCGCATCTGATCCCCTTGCTGACACACACCCGCATGAGCAGATGCAGCCAAATCAGATCCCGCCGCTGTCGCAAGCAGTCCCACAAGGTGGTCCGGCTATGCAGACCCTCCAGCCTGCACATCCCGAGCAGTATCGCGCAACGTTGCCGCCGCCGCCGCAAATGTACGCGCCACCGTACCAGGCCCAACAAATGTATGCGCAACCTCAGCCGGCGCCACGTCAACGTACGGCAATCGCGTGTCGATACTGTCGCAGACGGAAGGTACGCGCCTCACTGACCGCTTGTTCGACGCGCATGGCTGACACGTGCGCGTAGATTCGCTGCTCTGGCTTCGATCAGTCGGAGGACGGGCGCTGCACCAACTGTCAGCGCTTCTCCCAAGAATGTGTGTTTACGCCGGTCAGCGCTCAGACACAAGCGTTCGTGCCTGCGCACACCGTCTGGCGTGGTCAAAACCCACCACCTAACACTCAACTCTACGGTGCATACGGTCAGCCCCTTCCTCAACATGGCAATCGTGATCCGTACCCGCCGCCTCAGCAGCAACAAGGCGGCCAGTACCCGCCGCCACCGCAGGGCTACCAGCAACCCAACATGTACGGGCCGCCGCCGCAAGGTCAGGGCCCGAACATGCAGCCCCTCCAAAGTTTACCAGCCGGCCGCAAGCGCTCCAACGACGAGCCGCACACGCCAACCATGCCGCCGCCCAATCCAGCCGATCAAGCGCAACTTCAGCGTGGGTCGCAGCAGTACGCTTACCCGGACCCATCGGGTCTTAACCATGCTGGTGCGTCGCCTGCTTCTTCTGTTACTTCCTTCCATTCCGCGCAACCGCTCTACATGCAGCAGCCTGCTCGTGTCTCGCCGCAAAGCGCATTACCCTATGAAGCTTCGCGTGCCTCGTCCTCGCCTCACCCGCAAGGTGGCCTGCCTAGCGCGCCTGCTGCTCCAACCTCGTTTGCGCCTCAATCTGGTATGCAGTACTGGGGCGGCACGCCGTCGCCAGGTGGCATGGTTGCTGTGAACGCTGCGCATCCGGGCGTGAAAATCAGCGATATCGTTGCTTACTCCGGAGCGCAGCAACAGCACCAGCAGCCGCCGTACCAGCAACAGGTTGCGCAGCAGGCGGTGGCGCATGGGGACGAGCGCACGCGGATGGATACGAGCATGGTTCAAGCTCTGAATCGTGGACCGATGTGAATGGGAAGGCTGACGTGTTCAGCAGACGGTACCAGAGATGACGGCACTGTCACCACCGGCGCAGAGAAGGAGGAGATGAGAAGGCGTAATGGCGAAGTCAGGGACGTCGGCGTTCAGACAGACGACCTGCCACCGATGCCGGCAGCCAAAGAGCAGGACTCCTAGGCGGCTGCGCTCGTGGTTGATGCGAATCTTGATCTTACTGATACTGCTATGATGGAGCGGATGGCTCATCGTCACGGACTTTGCGCAAGGCGTTGACTGCTTCCATGGGTGGCTAATTGCTTCGACTGTTGAGCGGCTTCTTTTACGGCATCTGGACGGCTGTAGTCGGTATACGGTCGGTAAAGCAGCGGTACCTTATTCCTTTGGGCGCGATACCATCTGCCGCGAGATGCGAGATGACTGCTGGGTGGCATTGTTAGCGATCGCTTATGTCGCAGAAAATGAGGAGGCGCGGGCGAGCGAGAGTCGAATAGCTATGCTGTGGAGAATATGCCATCACCACCCACTGATCTCGCCAAGATGCCACAATTCAAGACTTGTCGATGATGCCCATCTCTCTACCGACGATGCGACTGCGATGATAGTAGCCCATTCTGACTTTGAGGTTGAATCTGAGCTGGCGACGGTCCGCACGGCGCTCCCCGTACTGTCAGTCAACGTGAACACGGCAACGGGCCGTTGAGTGCCTCCAAGTGGAAGTCGTTTCATCTCATAGTCGTCTTCGATTATTGCCGCCCGTGGTACGCGCGTATTCGGCCTCCCACAGGTGCTCGAAGCTGTATCGCTACGTATTACTCCCCGAGGTACGGTCAAAACCCAATCTTATGTCACGCACAACTCATCCAACGTATATCTCTCTCATCGTTGTATCATCAAAACTCCCACAAGCATGGCAGTCTCATTCGAGACCTGGGCTCTCCCACGCTTGCAGCAGCTGTTACCGCTGGATGAGGAGAGCTTGAAGCAAATTGTTCAGTACACGGACACACTTCCCAAAGAGAGTGCAGCGGAGCATCTGAAGAATCTGCTGGGAGACAATGCGAAGGCATTAGAGTTCATCTCGAGCTTCAATCAAAGACGGCAGAATGCGCCTGCGACCACCATACCTCCGGCACAGACAAGCAACCATGACAGACGGAGTAGCACACTACCAACGACGAGCTCGCAGACGAACCGTGACGGCCACAGAGGCGGCGGAGATAGACGCGAAGGCGTGAGCGGAGGCAGAGGTGGCAGGAAGAAGGCGAACATACATGGTTTACCGGCACGACAGGTTGAGAGTTTGGGCAGCGTGGGCGGAGCCTATGTCAAGCGAGACGAAGAAGACTACATGCTAACGAGCGCGAGACACAAGATGGCGCACAAGGAGCAAGTAGCGGACAATCTCGCGTTGCATGACCGGGCGCCAGACGCGACGAAGCTGCCGCTCATCACAGACGACGCTTCAGCTACACGGTACCCGATCACGTCGAAAGCTCCGCCTTCAGCCGCCGGACCGTTAATCTCGGACTCATTGTCTCCCAAGAAGCCGGCTTCGACTAACACGTCCCGCACGACTTCTCCGGCACCGAAGGCCAAAGTCAACATCTCTGGCGGCACAGCGATGCATGGTGCCTCCACCACACTCTCCGATCTTGACAGCGCAATCAAAAGCCTCGAGATACAGACTAACCCGTCAATGTCGCTAAGTGAAGCCGACAATGACAAGCGCAAGTGCAATTGCATGGCTACTCGCCACCCGCTACTCGATATCGCACCCAACTGTCTCAACTGTGGTAAGATCATCTGCGTTAAGCAAGGTTTGGCTCCATGTACCTTCTGCGGCTCGCCACTGCTCAGCCCAGACGACATCAACAAAGTGCTCCGCGTACTGAAGGATGAGCGAGGAGAGGAGAGGCAGAAGTTCAACAACGCCGCGCACAAGAAAGCTGACGTCGCTTTTGGCAAAGCTCGTGCCTACACCGGCCGTGACTTCCTCGCTCAAGCTTCGAACTCTGCTCGCTCGTCGCCACTGTCGTCAGCTCCAGCCACTCCGGTCGAGTCGGAGGACGAAGCATCGCAGAAAGCTAAGGCTCATCGCGACAAGCTCCTCAACTTCCAAGCCAACAACGCTCGTCGGACGCAGATCCACGACGAGGCTGCCGACTATGATATCCCGACCGCCGGCACGAACATGTGGGCTTCCCCAGCCGAGCGCGCACAACAGCTCAAGCGCCAGCAAAAAGTCTTGCGGGAGATGGAATGGAATGCGAGGCCGGAGTACGAGAAGCGGAGGGTAGTCGCTTCCATCGATCTCAAAGGCGGCAAGGTTGTGCGTCGTATGGCCGAAGTTGAGAAGCCTGATTTCTCCCCCGATGACGAGGCTGAGGTCGACGCGGGTGACTACAAAGCGCCAGGGCCGGAAGGTAATGCCAAGGGCGCGTTCAGCAACAACCCTTTGGCAAAGGGTATGATCAGGCCGAAGGCGCGAGAGGAGAAAGGGAAGGAGGCGGTGAGGGAGAAGTCGACCATGTGGCGGAGAGTGCAGATGGATGAGGATGACAATGAGGGGTGGATCCTCGATGGTGGTGTTTACGGTGGAAGAATACCGGAAGATAGAGTGCTTGGTGAGGAGGAACATGCGTTTGGCTGAAGACATGTCTAGACATTATACCACTGAACCCGTAGGCACTACTTATCGACTACGCTGTACATCTGCGTTTGCGATGCATTCAGGCTATTACGTGCAACAGTAGGCTCACGCATGACCTGTTCGTCGCCCCTTTGCAATGAAAATCTTCCGCTCTCGCGTCCCAGACTTCAACTCCATCACCGCCGGCTCCACCTCAATCTCAAACCCAAAGTCAGTGAGTCCAGCGTCACCAAACATCCTCCGCATATCCTGCTCCGTGAAGCCGTCGTGTTTGATCGTGTGGCTCATCTCCGGGAAGTCAGCGCCCGGATTCTGCTCGCGATACTGCTGTTCGACCTTTCGCTCATGACTAAATGGTAAGAAATCAATGATCACCAACACGCCTTCACCCGGCTTAAGCCGTTCTGCAAGACGATGGACGGCTAGAGGCGGGTTCTCGAAGTGATGGAAGCCCAATCCAATGATCGCGATGTCGAAGTCCTGGTAGTCATCGCCTATAAGGTGGGAAGGTACCGTCTCTGCCACAAGATCGCCGACGACGGCCCGGGCCTGTTCGGTAGACAGTCCAGATGATTGAGCGGCTTTGTTGTACTCCTCGACCATCTTCTCACTAATGTCGATGCCGCGAATCGTGGTTACATAGGGACCTAGAGCTCTCGTAATGGCGCCGGTGCCACATGCATAGTCCAGAAGTTTGACGTCGCGGTCGTACTTGTTGTTTGACTGGGCCCATTGGATGCCGAGCCAGTCTCTGCGAGCTTGTAAGGCATCACTGACCTGTTGCGAGAGCTTATGTTGCCACGGTTTTGCGTTGTAGGTTGCCGAGAGATCGCTGTCCTCGGGTCAGCAGATTGCTGGATACACTGAACCAGGAAGAGTAAGCTCACTTGAACGCCTTCCTGTTCGCTTCTCTGAAGGCACTCATGTCGACCTAATGTCCGGTCTGGTTGGTAAAGTGTGGAGACGGTTCAGCGTTGGGGCACGCAAGCGTCCGACTCAGTGACTAGATGTACAAACTGTGGGTGATGGGAGGTACCGTAGTTAAAGGGATGAAGAACAACGTCCTGACTTTGTAACACGTGGATAGATTGAGGCAGATTAGATATACGGGCAGGTCCATGGAGACTTTTCCAACAGTGGATCGATGAAAGTCGCCGAACGGTGATATTGGCTTTACACTGTCTTTCTGCTACACTGGGCCGGAAAAGCCATGCGACGACGGAAATCATGAATAATAGTAGAACAACGGACATGGTCATGAGCACACAGTCGTAGCGTGCGTCAAGACATTTTTGGTCAGGATAGAAATACTGGGCATCTTCATCGAACTACAAACCAGCAACGTCCATAGCATCTTCAGGCGGTTTGAAGCTTTGCCTGATTGTATGCAATTCGCTGTGCTTGAAGGTAAGATAGTACTTGCGTGGCTTGCGCGACACTTCGATCTTCCACTCACCTCCCACAGGAGGGTTTGCCACCGGCCACCCGGCGTGGCGTAATGGTTCGGTTACATCCTCAATCATGTCGATACTGAAACCAAGATGCGCCAGAACATCTCTCAACACGACGTAGCAACCCTCGACATCATCCTTCCTCGGGCGCGGGGAAGGCGTGATAGCGAACAGCGATGTTGGCCATGACTGCGCGGAAGGCGGCAAGACTCTGGCAAACCGTCGCAGCTCCAGATCCATCTTGCGTAAAGCTATGATGATGTCTTTGAGGTACCAGCCTTGATGCAGAAGCCAGGAGCCTGTAGGAACAAGCGTCAACGGCGTGCCTTCTTCGTCACCGTTCCGTAGCAGAAGCTGGGTGGCCTCGAGACCATGGAGGGTGGCATTTAGCATGTGCATGTCCCAGATTTGGAGCCTCTGAAGCAGTAGTGAGTGCCAGTGGCCAATATGGGTTAGCCAACGCGACACTGGTGTTGTCGGGCCATCATCTAGATGAGCATTGAAGGTTGTTGAAGCATAGTACATAGTCAACGACTCTTCACGGATCCGACGGCAGGTCCTACTGATACCGGGCTGTATTCTGTTATGTTCAAGAGTCACCGCATACTTGCTGGCGAAGGCATATTCGTAGATGAGGTTCCTGAGTTCAGGCGAGAGGCGCGCGAAGGGTGAAGCTTCCATGCTTGCAAGCGATCATCTATAATAACGCTTGACCGTCAGTCTCCGAGGTGCTGGTGCTATTGACAGTATCCTCGTGAAAAGACAACAGCATTCCTACAGGAAGCGGGATTAACACAGAGCGGAAGATCCCGGACTGAATCAACGAACCACAATTACTATCCTCCGCTATCGTTGAGAATCTGTGTGTCTTTCCAAAGGACATACAGCCTACATGCGCACTAGGGACCCCTTCGACTTCGCACGATGTACGTCTAGCTATGGGACTGTGACTGGTATCTCATTGCTACCGATTCGGATTTTACCGTTTTCAACCGTGCTTCGGCTTTGCACAGCCAAAAATGCACCGAATGTAGGAGACAATTATATCGCCGTCGAGGCTATCTAAAATTGATATCGTCACCGTCATCGTCGACAACGAAACACGCAAAAATGACCGTGCCAGGGGTCGAACCTGGAATCTCTTGATTGCCGAATCCTGGTTGACCCAAGATCGATCGTAGTCAAGCGCCTTGCCATTGGGCCACACGGCCTGTAATGGGATTGAATTAAACTGGCAAAAAAATATCCAAGCTTTAATTTAGCCGACAGTTGAGCCGAGAGACGTACCGCAGCATGAGGAACACGAGAAGAAATATGCCTTGTCTTAACACCAAAGTCCTCACTCCATGCAGAGGATGAGATTGCGTACTCAAGAGAGGCGTTATGCGACAAGACTAGTCACTGCATGGATGGAAAAGTTTGACAAGGTACTCATCCGCCGGTATCTACGTACAAACATGCAGAGTCCGTTTTCCGCTCGATTGTTCATATTCCATCATATCTCGTTCAGCCGTGTTGTGTGGTATCATTGCAAAATCCTCCAATGCAGTACAAATACAGTGCCCTGTCCGACGGACCTGCGAAGGAACTCACTGCATCAAACGTTCGAGCTCGGCCTGATCATCGATCCAAGGCCCCTTCTCCTCCTCCGTGGCATTATGAAGGCCTTCTGCACGCCTCAGCGTCTGCACATCCAAATCTGTAATCCAGGCTCTTCCATCACCAACTCCATGCAAAGGTATCCGGACCTCATGGTCAGCATCGAGCATCATATCATCCTTCCACAAACGGCGCTGGCCATCATACACGCACAACACCCGCTTCTTCATCCTCATCTTTTCCGGCGCCGCACCCCAAGACAAGGGATAGTTCTTTCTCCGCTTCGAGCCCTTGCCGCTCACGGGACCCGGAAGAGGAACGCCGTTGGGTGACCGTGTCAACCCTTTCCGCATCCCGTTCGGTTTGCTCACCGCTCCATTGGTTGTAAGGTAAGTGCCACCCCCGACGTGCTGCCCAGAGACACCTCGGGGATGTGTTAATTGTCAACTCGGGTTGCCAGCACCCGATTTGCGCGACTTGATAGCGCCCTTGCCCGACTTCGCTGAGCGACCGCCGTACGTAGTGTCGTTGGCCTCGTCGTCTTCGCCGTCGTCCTCTTCCTCGTCGGCATCCTCGTCCTGATCGAAAGAGGTTGGCGCATTGGGGTCAATAGAGGTAGGCAGGGAATGGCGCTCCATGGTTTCTTGGACTTGCGCATCGTCCGCGACCGAAGAGAGCGATTTCTGGTTGATGGCCTCGCAAGGGTCCGCTTGCTGCACGACGCGAAGCACGCAGTCATCGAGATGCTCGTAGAAGTCCTGCGCGTTTGCGAAAGTGACGCCGCAAGTCGAGCACATGCCAGACATTTCGCGTTGTCCGTAGACTTTCTTGCCAGCACTGGTCGGACTCTTCTTGCGCGCGTTCGGTGGGGTCTGCTCGACGCCGTGGACGGAGGTCAGATGGCGCTTGAAGACGTCGGCGCGGTTGAAGCTCTTCTCCGCCGAGCTGCCGCTTCCGGGACAGAAACCGCACACCATGGTGCCTTTGTAGTGGGTTAAGGTGTGCCTGTTTTTGTCGTACTTGCGCGCGAAACCCCTGGTGTGGTACTCGCACATCGGAATCGGGCACTTCTCCGGTCGCTCGTTCTGATGCGTGAGCATATGCGCCTTCAAGTCCTTGACGTGTCTGCCACACGTTGGGATAGGGCAGGGTCCTTTGTTCGAGTCGTCGGACGACGAGACGGAAGCATGGCTTTGACGAGAGTGAACAGAGGCATTTGATTGTCGTCGTGAGGAGGGCATAGATGGGTATGGTTGCCAGTGTTGCGTGCGCATGTACGGTGATGGTGCTTTTCCGCTGGAGTTCCGGGGACTGGGCATCGACTGCTTTGACGGCATCGGAGATGGTGGTTGCGGATACTGTGTGTGTTGAGGCGATTGAATGGCGGGAATCTCTGGAAATTGAGCGCCGGAGTACTGTGTCGGCGAGAATGTCGGCTGAATGAGTGATGGATCTGCAGCAACACTGTTAGTCGCTAGTGTTCGTCTCGCATTTCGTTGCTTTTGGGAGGAAAGAAAAACGAAATAGGGAAGGTGAGACGGACAAGAAAAGTCAAGAGGAGGCACGAAATGACCACTGCTTTGAACGAAGAAAGGAGATGCCATGGTCGGCGGTGGTGCCTGGGGCCGTGCTGGAATGTCGGTCTCGGCATAGGACGTGGAGGTAGCCAGTGGTGAAGACTGGCGGACTCTCTTGGACATGGGTGGCGGCGTCGGCGAGAACGTTCTCTTGCCTCTAACACGTTCGAGTACTGGCGAAATTGCAGATGCCGGCGTAGTCGGAGATTTGAACATGCTGTCGCTGGGACTCGTGGCCTCGAGCTTTGGGACAATCGGCGCCGCATGGTTAAGAATGTCGAGAACGGGAATGAAATGTTGCTGGTGGACAGGCGCCTGCGCCTGTGGCATTGACATGTGGACGTTTTGGGCAAAGTCGAGAGAAGACGGCAGATTGGAAGAGAAATGGACCGGCTGTGACTGTAGAGAAGAAGAAATGGTTGTCAACTCACCGACGAAACCCTTATCTGTAGCGAGGACGGGTTCGAAGTCGAAGGCAGCGGTGGTCAGGACGCTTTCGGGGTGGAGGATGTTGGGAACCATGGCCATAGTCACCGGGTGACTCCATCCGTTCACCGGTTGAGCGTGCAGCGACGGTGAGCCCATAGCCGACGAGATGGTACTAGGTGCCGAGGCGCCCGAGTCGGACGTCGACGACAACACAGACGGGCCCTGCGAGTTATCGAATGAATGCGATACCGAATGGGCGGGCGAATGGTAAGGGCTCGGCGCGTTGAGGTTTGCCTTCGTTGACTGGAAATTGCCCGTGCCGTAATGGAAGTGATCGTGGTTCGGCGAAATGTATCCTTGCTGGATAGTGTAAGCGTCGAATGCGGTAGGGTTTACATAAGTGTGTTCGGCATATGTGGTCGATGGGAGGAAAGCTTGATCGGTGTTCCACAAATCTTGTTGGAACGAGTAGAGTGTGAAGTCGGTATTATCGTTGGGCGCCATCGTTTGTGCTGGATATTCTGCATATGTCGCCATGGCAGTGCCTCAATGGCAAACGGACAAAGCGAATTGAGGCTGTTGCTTCGCCGCTGAGGACGCGACCCCTATTCGTCTGTTAGACAGTCCAGACCATTACGGGGCTTCAACGAACTCCGGTTCGCTAAAAGTCGCGTACCTCGCGTGTCGGTAAGCTTACTATGGACAGACCCAATCGATTATTGTTGATTGTAGTCTGATCCTGTCAATGATGGTGTAGATACGGATGTCTTTCGTGGTGGTGTATGTTGGTGGTCGTCAAGACTAGCGCCAACGAGCTGAGGGAAGTCAGGCGTTGGATTTGCGTGGTACCTGAGTCGAGGCGTTTGGGAATGAAACCAGCCTTATGGATTACAATCGTCGCGCAAACGAAGAAAGGCCGCGAGGTAGTCTAACAGCTACTACTGACCCACGGGCGATGCATTTAGTGCAGCGTTCTGAGGCGAAGTCGAAGACTATGTATTAAGAATACATCGTGCCCTGGCCCCCAGTCGTGAAATGCGCAGCACGAGCCAATCCGCGCATGGCCTTACAGGTGGGGCGCATGGTTCATCCCGAGGCGGATACACCGTCTGATCCATGCCCATGCAGGGGCTTGGAGCGGAGAGAAAAGTGCAGTGACGCGCCTCTTCTGATCGGGTGCTTTGCCCACGATTCGTAGTTCCCCGAACCCAGGGCGTTGACATGCGCCCCTCTAATTTGTCGACAGTTCTGCGATATCCAAATGCGCAAACGGTCACAACTCTCAAGGTAGCATCGTGCTTCCACCCGTGCAAGTATCACCACCATCGCTCCAGTGTCAACGGTTAAGCATCGGTGTCTGTAGCGATGCACTGCTCAAGCGAGGCATCACCTAGCCGAATGTAGCGATTGTATGCGGTTCCGGTGTGCATAGTTTCCTTGCCTGCAACCTGCTTGACCGCAAGCTCGAAGAACACAATCCCGTGTTCGACAGCTCTTCGGTGCAGCGGTCCGCATGTCAAGATAGCAGCCCACGTCAAAGGCGAGCTCTGATTCGATCACATCGGTACTCCCGCTGCTACCGTCAGCCACGTCAGAACGCTGCTGGGACCTCCGAGAAGCTTATGCACGGCGGGCGGGGGCAGTGTTCCATCAAAGCGGTGAAAGTGCCAGGAATAGGCGGAGTACTGTTGAGCGCTTGACCCAAATGGTACCTAGCACGGCTGCGGACGAGACAATACCGTCTCTCTAGTGGCTCGCTTCACTGAAGGTGTCCCGAAAGAGGAAAGAGGGCATTCCCACTCTCCGCCATTTCTCTGTGTGTCTCTGCTCGACCTCACTGTCTCGCGTTGTTAACATCGCGGTGACGATGAAGCAAGCAGCATGAAACTCCCGAGACTACCGGTGTACGTGAACCATCGGTGATCGCGCAACTGGAGTTCCACTGTTGTCCAGCTAAGATTTAGCATCACATGCCGAAGAAAGTTCGCCATAGGCATATTTGCAAATACGTCCACCTACTGGGATGCACGCCTCTTGTCTGCTGATACGTTGGTTGATTACGAGAGGACCATCACACCCATCCCACGCAGTGATCCTTCAGGAGCACGGGTACGGCGGGCGGAAGCTTGACATGGACGTTCTCACCAACCGCCCAATACCGGATTGTAGTTCTGCGTCTGCCGCTTCGTAAGAGGTGCGTAACACGCCCGTTGGCGGTGCAAGGCAGAAGGCGGTAGGCTATGCAGGCTCAAGTTGCCTGACGCACGCAAGCAATCAAAACCTGCAGCAGTGCTTACGCAGAGCATTAATTGCCATTTGTAATGCATGCGGCTAGTCGGTATCCCGCTCCGTATGCATCTGCATCGTCCCAGTGTATGATAGGAACAGCCCTAAACCGTCTAATCAAACTAGTCGATACGTGGGGCGGGGGAAGGCAAAGCAACATGATTTCAGAGATGGCACCGACAAGATCGTCGGCAATGGTCAGTCGTCGAGCCATAAGCGGTATACCGGAGACGATATTCAGGTCATGGCGTCACTTGCGCAGTCTCCCATAGGCTCGGTAGAGGTTCAGTGAGTAGTCAGCAGCCATCAGCACACATGCACCCACGTTCGCAGATAGGAGCGAAGGATCAAGCCATGTGTGTGGAGAAGGGATGTCTGCCGAAAGCTTGGCTTGGAAGCTTCGTCCACTGTCGGTCAAGGAGTCGCCGCATGCATGGCGGACACCCCGGCGTGGTCATTGCATTGCCGGCGCCAATTCATCTTCTCCGCAGAGACGTGCGTAATGCTATAGGCGTGAGCGGTACAGCATGTCGCTATATCTGGCTAGGATTTGGGGTCACATGCTCACCATCCAGTGACCTCAATTTGACGAAGGTCTGCAGGGCTTGTGCCAACGAGAGTAGAGCATGACGGCACGCTACGGTACGGAGACTGTGCAATCATATCGAGCATTGGCAGTAATATGTGCTCGTTCATGAGTGGTTGGAGATAGACCCGTCTGCGGACCTTGATGGGGCGAGCTTCGACGAATCCTCATGAGTCCCACTTACATGAAGTGTTGAAACACTGCTAAAGGAACGTTGTATGTTCTGCCACCAATGCCGTCCACAAAACAATATGAAATAATTGCATTGGCGGCGAGCATAGGTCTCAGACCAGTAAGCACGGGGAGAAGACAGTCCGGGTTTGAGGTCAGGCACTCAGTGGGCCTCCAAGCCCTCATTTCTTCTCCCGGGCTGGATGCGGACCATGTGCTTCTCCCGTCCAATCATTGCAGCGCAGAGACTCGAGAACGGTCTTTCATCATCATTTGCGCTCCTATTGCGCAGAGCATCACAGATTGCCGTAACACGTGGCGGTTCCGCGTGGGAAAGCGCGTATCCCTGCCGCACTGGAAGGAGATTCGCCCGAGCGACAGCACTGATGGGATGCAGATTGCTTGCGACTCTTGAAGTGATGCAGGAGACAGGAGTGTCATTGTGTGCGTGTCAGGCTCGATCAATAAGGTGTGGAAGAGGTTGTTTGCTTCGTCAAGTCAGCTCTCCACCCTGAGTAGTGGTGAGATTGTCGACGAGCAACGGCAGCCACACGTGTAGCAGTAGAGGTCTTCAGTCAGGCAAGCGGCTCCGCACGTTGGACATTCATGCAATGTCTGCAACACTAGCGTCCAGATAATCTCCAGGTGGCTATCACTAGCTCAGCACTCTGATCAGCCTCAAGATGCTGCTTCCTTCACCTCTGCCACACGAAAACAGCGTTTTACGTATTCGGCAGCGGTTACCACCAGCGTGTGGCGCTTGTCTTAGCTACACTGTCGCCGGTCGATGGGTGGAGTTTGGTTCCACTACTCGGGTGGCTGCAGCTTGACCCCTCTGCGAGCTTCGCGTCTGCGCGAGCTCATGCGCTCGGAAGCTGTGTAGGGCTGCAGTATGCCGCTTGAAACGCTGCGTTGCAACATTGGCTAATATGTGCACGTGCAGCTTCTTGTACTGGCCCCATGTCTGAACAGCGAGGCTGGATGTAGGCGTCACTGACTTCAAGGAAATGCCAATCGACTCGGATGACGTTCGCTCAATATCCAGTATTTTGTCAATGAGGCGTCCAGTGTGGTGTTTCGTGCAACACGAGCCCGCACGAGAAGCTAGTGCTTGTGGGTTCAAGCCAAGAGTGTTGGTTTCGCTCACTTTTCCTCGTCCTCCTCGTCATCAAACTTCTTCGCCTGAGCCGCTGACAGTACTTTCTCGCAAGCCAGCTTCATGAACATGCCCATATCGTCCCAGAAGTGTCGACCGGCCTCATGCTCCCGTATGCGTGCCAACAGCTCTGCGACTTGCATTCTGACGTCGACATTGGGGTGGAACAGTCCGTAGGCCAGGAAGAACAACCCCTGCCCTTGCCCTGCAAATCCTGTGCCGCCTCGTCGATGGTCGGAGCTTGTATTGATGACTACTGCGAGCAGCTGATTGATTTCATCTCCACTCTGCACAGCCGCGCATATGGCAAGGTAGATGTCTGCGGCTAGCGCTGGGCCAAGACGCAGGTTGGCAAGTCTGTCATGCTGGTGCTGCAGATCGATGGCCTTGACGGGCTGATATGCGTAAAAGGCAGCAATATCCTGTATGAAGTTGTAGTAGCTTCGAGTGTTTCGCCAGCCTTCGATCCGGGTAGCATTTGCTGCGAGCTCATTGGTCTTGGCTTGGTTGGAAGGCCAGACGTAGCCGTGACCGAGCACTTCCCGCGCCCCATCGGCCTCCGACTTCTTCAAGCCTGGTGACTCTGAGATTGGCGAGTCCGTACCATTGGAGCCGACGAAGGGTGCAGGTGCCACCTGCGGGCTCGGCGCGATGTGCAACACGGAAGCGCCATACACCAGCTCCTCGAATGCTGCAGCCAGCCTTGTGAACTTGAGCACCCACCTCCTGAACCTTGATCGTATGGCATTCTCGCCGTGGCGCTCCTCAATTGCTTTCAGAACAGATCCCATGAAGGCGCCGTCACCCGTAGCGTCTCCCGCCATCGGACCAGTTACAACCGCACTGCCGCCGAGACCAGCTGACAGACTAGCACCCGCGGCCGCGATTGCGCTAATGCCACTAGTGGGGCCAGCCTGAGATGTGGGCATGTGGCTGGGCTGCTGAAAGAAGAGCACACCTTCCGTCGGACTGGCCTGTTGGACGCGGTTGCTAATGCGCATGCGGCCAGTGCTGAGATCGCACAACAAGTCCCACCATTCCGTCTTGTGGCCAAAGGCGGGATTAGTCACCCCTGCTATGAAGCCTGGAACCTTCAAAAGGTCGTCAATCTTCGTCAGATCGGTGTAGGGGAACGCGTGACGGGTGAAGCCGCGTAGAATGCCGCCAGACACAAGCGAGCAGGCGGCAAGCACGGCTTCCGCGACTTCAGAGGAAGGCAGGTTGTGGCCGAGGAAGATGATGCGCTTCTGTGTAAGCAAGGCATTGAGTAGAACGATGATGGGATGTGTGAGAGTACCAGCGGTGGTAAGATGGGGGTGTGTCGGGCTAAATGGAGACGGTGATGTGGTATGAGGTGTGGAAAAGGTGGTGACGAGCTTTATGAGACTGAAGTCGCCGACCGTCTCCGGTGATAGAGCGGTAGGAACCTTGATAGGAACCGGGATGTTGGCGTACTTGACCACACTTTCGAACTCATGAGTGTCGCGTGGCAAACCGTAACGGCTCCTCAAGGGATGCTGTGTGTTCGGCGAGGGTAGGGCAGGGTCCTGCTCGTTGTTGCTCTCCACACGCTGTGCGATGAGAGCCTCGAATTTCTCGATGAACATGTCTTTGGCGTCACTGCTTTGTAGGATAAACCTTTCATAGTGCGACAGGCGTGGCATAAGCGAGAGATCCATACTGTTTACGGCATTGTACAGATTGGCCAGCGTTTCTATCGCCGGATTCGCAAAGTACTGCTCGAGCGCAAGTAACAGAAGAGGCTTGTATATGTGCAGGAAGGAGTGTCGCGTGCAGATTGCCATGGCTTTGACAACGGCACCGCGCTTGACTGTCTGGTCTTGCTTAGTATTGACCAGATTCAGCACGTAGATGAGCGGAGGACCATCGAAGGCGTCCGCGGCCTGCGCTGCGGCCTCCTTGGTCTCGCCATTCGGTTCGTCTGGCTGTTCAGCCCCAGCTCTCTCATCGCCGTTCTGCTCTTTATGCTCGTTGTCTTCCTCTAATGCCGCGTCCTTGTGAAGGAAGAAGATTGTCCAATCTTGACTACGCATGTGCGTTTGATCCGGTAGCATGAGCTCCGCCAGCATGTGCTCATCGCCTCCGACTGCGGCTGGGTATTGGTGCTGCATAACACTTCCTCGATCGATATCGAAGCTCGCGACCAGTATGTATTCGACATGGTTCGTCTCGGACGCGTCCCTTGGGTACTGGCTGGTTATAGCACCTTTCATGGTTCAGTCCACGCGCAGCCAACGCCTCTGCGCCTTGACCTAGCCCATGGGTGAAAGGAGTATTGGTGAGCGCAGACGGATGCTCGTGCCTGCCCAATTGAGTTGGAGACTTCAAGCTCGATCTCGGAATAACGAATGCCGGCCAACGCACAGACCAACCACCCGAATGCCACAGCAGACGACAGTCGACAGACCATCGGGGCATACGTGCTCAAGAGTCATACGAAGCAAGCTTCTTTGGGCTGAATGGACGAGTACGTTCATAAACACGAGAATTCGATGTGGCGACACTTCGGTTTAGCTACATATACTTGGCTAGAGACTTTCAGCAAGCCAGCCAGCACACCTTATCAAACATGGTAGTTAGCGGACAACCCTTTCCATCCTACTGAGGCTCCCGTGCTGTATCTGTTCTGTTTCAGCGATGCTTCCACTCAACCCACCCAGCCAGCATACTGTTCGACAAACGCTCCGTTGACCACACTCGGACTGCCAGCCTAGTAACCACTAAAGCTCCTTTCAAGGTAGATACAGACAGTAGGACTGGGTTACTCGTAGCCGGACCGGAAACGGTGACTGACGCCTAGTGCTTCTCGCAAGCCTAGCTTCGAACGCTTCTCTCGAGCACCAGAGGCCGCAATCGGCCATCCCGAGAGAGGCAACTTCGCATCACATGCACGTGAGGAGATGCATTGCTTCTGTAAGTCGTCATTAACGGGATCCATTCAACGCCACGGCGCAGGTTGAAAGACTTGGCTCGAAAGCGATGGCGGCGTTATTGGCTGGCTCAAGCGCTCTACAAGCATCGGCAGCATCTCTTCGAGCGGGAGACTGCAGCGCACACCATCTCTGCCAGAGCCGCTCGTCGCAATGTTTGCAAAGAATTGCTCCTCACCACGGACACCACCAAGGTTGACCACGCCAATTGGCTTCTTCTGCTCCTGCGCCCGCTTCACCAAACGCCAAGCGGAGTACGTTGCAAGCGAAGAGCCTAACACCAGTATTCTCGCCGCCTCATCGACTGCTGACTCAACAGCCAGCTTCACCGAATTCGGTATGGACTCACCAAACATGATAACGGCGGGCTTGAGGATGCCCGCGGTTGAGGAAGGGAGCCAAGCACCATCCGCGTCTTGCTCCACTCGCGTACCATCCGGCGGGTTCGCCAGACACACGGGACATGCCGGATACCTGAAGGTTCCGTACTCGACTCCCGGCACGTCCACGTCGCCGTCCGGGTTCGTCTTCAAGCCTTTCCGTCTGCGCTCCTCAGGATTCTCTGTAGTCAAGGCGCCCGACGCCAGCATCTCTGCCAGAAACACCGCCCAAGCCGGATTCAGCAGCGCAAGGTCTTGCTGAAAACTCGCACGATTGTATTCTGTCCTGCAGCTCAGACATACTGTGCTCCGTAGATAACCATGTAACTCCAGCGTCCTGAGGCGCGAATGCGCAATCGGATGGAAAGAGTCTACATTCTGTGTGATTACACTTGAGAGCAAACCAAGCTCTCCTAGTCTGCCTACTGCCTCATGCGCCTTATTCGGACGGCTTCGGTGCAAGTTCGTCCAACCCAAGTAGCTCCGCGCCCAGTATCTCTTCCTCGCCTCATGGTTGGCGCAGAACTCGTGATAATAAATCGGTCGGTATGTTTTGTTCAGCGTATATGTGCCATTGCTGCCGCGGTAGTCGGCAAGCCCAGAGGCAACGGATATGCCTGCGCCAGACAAGATGACGGTTCGACCAGCGGAAGTTGTTGGTGCGGTAAGGAAGTTCGTGAGCGCTACGAGTGCGCCTTCAACACTGGACGCCGACGCCGGGATGATTGTTGGACTCGGTAGAGGAGAAGTATAGGGTATGCGCATCAACGGCATCAGAAGGTGATATGGTCACATCGGAGGAGTTCTGGAAATGACATGCATGATATGTGGACCCTGCGCGGTTCATGTACGATCTTTCCGGTATGAACCCTAAGACACATGCTCTAGCATGATATATATGGTCACACCCATCATAAGGACGGTATTGCTTGTTGTGAAGCACAGCAGGATGAACGAGTCCGCCTTTGAGCGGCACGAGTGCCAATCTGTCATTCCAGACACGCACCATAAGGTCACGAGCTGTAAACGGTGGAGGATCGCTGCTGTCAATCGAAGAGAGACACAGAGTAGACACTGACTGGCTTTTCATTGGCATCCCACTGAAGTTCTCCGCGAGCGCATGCTCTTGTGGCCGTCGATTTGTTAGACTGCAGTTTCCGCGATGCCAACTTCCAGGCTCATGAAACCCCAACCAACATGGACCCGCTACTCTCTGCCTTGATCAGCCCAATATCATTCTCGCTTAGGGACTTCAAGACTCTGATAGCGTGCTTGACTATACCCGACGGCATTACTGTTGTTGATGCCGACGCCTAACCACGAGATGGCATGGCTCAGTAGCTATCGTTATGCAGGACCTCCATACCGCGCACAACCAGGAATTGCAGCATGTCTACTCCGACAGCATGCCGAACTGCGGACATAGGTGATCTGCGTGTTTACCACCCTGGACGACCAGAAACATAACGAAGCTAAGTCTCGAATCCCCAACTTCGGTATCAAAACCATCTTGCCTCTACTAAGCCACGAGGCTCTGGACCTCCAGGCCTGGACACAACAGACTTTTCGAGCATGAAATCCACAAACCACCAACGATCCATTGCTAGCTACCTGTAACACCGTCTGGAAGATGGCAGTCTCCAAATCTGTCACAGCTACAACTGCCATTACCAACTTCGATCGCCGTGAGCCCTGCGGGTACATCTACGTTACTGTCCTTCAAACCGCTCATGCCGCTACTCCGCCAGCCGAGAGATCTCCCTCACTAGCAGCGTTGTCGACAAGCACCCCGAGGGGTGCTGACGCATGTTGCCGCTACTCCGCCAGCCGAGAGGTTTCCCTGACCACCAGCATTGCCGACTGCTACATCGTGACGTGCTGACGCATACGCCGCTATACCACCAGCCGAAGAGTCTCCTTCACCATCGGCGTTACCGAGTACTATATCGCCGCCCCACGATGCGTCTTCTGCCACACTCCTAGTCGGAAGATCTCATTCACCATTGGCGTTGCCGACCATTAACTCGAGGCGTACCGATCGGCTTGCAAAGCCACTCGCTAATGAAGATTCTGTCCCAACACGACACGTCACTACACCGACGACGGCTTGTGTTGTCGCATCACCAATGCTTGTCGACCCCAACACAGCGCGGCTTTCTCCTCAATCAGGCCGGTCCTCTACCTCAGTCTTGACAGAGACTAGAAAGCGTGGAGATGCCGAAATGGAAGTGAAATCGGCGAAGCGGAAAAGGCTGGACAAGATGGTGCGAGTGCCATTGTCAGAACCGGCGACCAAGACTACCCAATATCCCGTCTTATCATGTTACCGTCTCTCCGGGAAGGGTTGACAACCATCGCCGGCCCCTTGCTCGCCACCCTCAGTCGCCTCTACAATGACATCAGCGTCGTCCCAGGCGGCGTTCGCTTCGCTTCGTTGCAATTGGCTTGCACCGGTGTTAGTTGCTGAGGGTGCGGGTTGATCGTATTCACTTAAGCTGGCTTGGCGGCCCCCTTCCCTGTAAGTGGAGGTAGGCATCCGGCTTCAACTTGCCCTTGCCGGCTTCTGCGCCGGCTTCTGACGGTAGTCTGCTGATAGTTCATGACCGCGTGCCTGTTCTGAGGCGAAGAAGCTAAGCACAAGCGAGGTATCCAGGTTGCGTGGTACTTCGTGATACGGCATGTACGCCACACTTTCGTTTTACATATGCATCGTGGATCACGATTTGGGTTATTGAACAGCACGTTTGCTCGAATAAAGAGAAATCAACTGTAAACAACGACTTTTGGGACCGCGCTTCCTACTTACTCAATCAAAGGCCGCCTTGCCTCTTACGCGAATGGGATATCGTGCGCCCGAACCAAGCAATCACCCGCCCGCTGCAAATGCCCCACAATGTGTACAATCTGTGCATCATGGTTCGCTCATGTATCGCCTCGCTATCATGCAGCCTGTAGACGTCTTATATCTGCTCTCTGACCCTCTGCAGCAACGGTGCCGACTCGCCGTCTTGACCATCCTTCTTCGGGTACGGCATTTGTTTGTACTCACCTTTCTTTATCTTCCCAACCAGCCATGTCCCCTTCTCCTTGGCATTGTCAAAGAACTCTTGGTTCTCCTCGAACGAACGCCCACCTGATTCTGGCATGTACAGATACGTCCAGACTCCAGCGATGGTGTTGGTGGCGGCGAAGACGAGGAATAACCAGTAGTTCAGGTTGTTGAATAAAATCGGAGTCAAGAGCGTCACAGCGAAGTTAGCCAAGCCCCAGATAACCACGCTGATAGCAGTACCCTGAGCGCGCGCTTGGGTAGGGAAGATCTCGGTAGGAATGAGCCAAATCGTTGCTAACCAACCAATACCGAAGGCGCCGGTCGCTATGTAGAGCGACACGATTCCGGGAATAGCCACCGCCATTTGATTGAGGTGGAGCGAATCAGCGTTCATGCTCAATCCACCGAACAGCGTCAGAAGGAAAAAGCAGAAGGTGAGCGCGCCAGAGCCCCATAGCAGCACTGTACGCCTACCAACAGCATCGACAAGCAACCAAGCGAACGTCATGAGGAAGAAGTACGAAACGTAATTGCCCTGCGTCAAGAACTCCGACGTCCGCACGCTGTATCCGAGGAGCTCGAAGATCTGTGGACCATACACAGAGACGGCGCCATATCCAGTTAGAGCCTGGCAAACCTGGCCCATAATGGTGATTACTGTTGGGTGGAATTGAGGATGCTTCGGGTTTAGCATGTCCTTGTAACCAATCTTCTGGTCTGACTCCTGCTTCGCAGCTTCGGAGAGTTCCTCGAGCTTCTTCTTGCCCTCGTCCTCGCCTAGGATTCTATTCAGACTCTTGCCCGCGTCATCATGCCGGTCATGGAAGATGAACCAGCGTGGGCTCTCGGGCAGCGTCTCGAAGAGGAGCACGAGCGACAATGGGTAAACCTGCATCAGAATGATTGGTATCCGCCAAGCCCATTCATTCGTTTTGCCCAAGGTTACAGTGACGATAAGATTGATCGCAAAGGCCATGTTCAGTCCGAAGATGTTGCTCTGGAACTCCTGTGCCAGCGCCTTGCCACGAGCATCGTCAGAGGACAGTTCAGAGCTGTAGACGGGTACAACGCTGTCAACGCCGCCTACGCCAAGACCCATGACTATTCGTCCAAGGTACATAACCGGCAGAGCTCCCTGCGTGTATCCAAGACCAGCCACGAACATTATGAGGTTGCCTAAGCTAGCCGTGGCCAGGCAGCCGAACAGCGTGGGTTTACGGCCATATTGATCGGCGAGGTAGCTGAAGATGACGGCTCCAACGGCGCAGCCAAGGTAATAGACCGACACGATGACTCCGACTTGAGGATCCTCCTCCGCAATACCCATGGTCGACAGATAGTCCTTGTTGGTATTAATTAGACTCATCATGCCTTGGTCGTACCCGTATAGGGCAATGGCGGTGGAGGAGAAGAGGACGACCTGACATTATGGAAGAGGTAAGCCAATGCCGCTCGAAACGATGGCCTTTTACACCACATCGCTGCTATGGCTTACTTGCGCCTTCTTGTCATAGATGAAGCTCTTCAAGGTATCCATCTCTGCGTTCGCTATGCAGGACTCGCGATCTGCGGATCGTACAGATCTGCCCCGCAATTGGAATCTTGTCTGCTTGACAGATCTGGTTCGAGGCTCTCCCGGCGGCGGAACAGCGATGATGTAGAGAACAAGCTGTTCACTTGCTCAGCAATACCAACAATCGAAGGAGAGTAAGTTCATGTTGTTGTGCACGCTACCGCTTCACGATGGAGCTAGTCACCGCACGTGTGCTTGTCTCATGACGCGGTGGGTGCAGGAGTTCTGGCCGGGCTCCGCGCCGAAAGTCAATCGTGAACATGAAGCTTGGACACTGACGTACCCTGGGGCTTCGAAATAAAGTCCTGGAGACCCCAAATGCGTGTAGTGTAGCTAACAGGACTCTCTCCGCGCTTCAGTAGCAGGCCGGCGCCTGGAAACCGAGGCTGCCGTTAATGCTCACATGGTCGACCATTCGCCCTTATCACGTCTGACGTTCGAGAACTGTCGCCAGCGGCTGCACATGGCTGCATCAACCAAAGCACCGCCCTTCCGCTCAGCGGCCGCGAGGGTACCCCTCTCACTGTCTTCAGCTTCCCACAACGGCAGAAAGCTTTCAAAGTCCTCGTGGAGACGTTCCTCTCTTGCGAAGTCGATTTCAGCACCCACAGGGACAGCTTCGATCATGACCCATGTTAGCGCGGCATTAGAGATCTTGTGCTGCGTGTTACGCATTCGTTGGTAGTATACGTCCTCAAACTCGAGAGCTGCCTTTGTAGCCACGGCCCGACGCAGAGAAATAGCGAAGGACAACCAGACTGGCGAGCTGAGTTCGCGTGACTCATCTTCTGTTCGGATGCGCGGCTGGACGCCTTGGGTAGTGAGACCGATGTTTTTGAACTTTAGCAAACGAAGCGCCTTCAGTGTCTGCGCGAATGACACGACTTTCTGTAACTCGGTTTGCCTTGCAACACTATGTCTCCCGACTATTGAAGATAGCTGCGTATTCCAGATCTCCAGCGTCCTCAAAGTCTCGATGATTCGTAACGTAGAGAACTCCGGTACCTGGGCGAGATCTAGGTGTGCATGAAAGACATTGAAAGTTTCTTGGGACGAGAACGTGGGCGCGAGCGCCAGTCTCCGTAGACACTGAAAGTTCATGATATCCTCGGAAGTGATCTTAGCACCTATATGATAGGCGTCAGCTAGGTGGCTGTACGACGACCTACTTCGCTACTCGTGGTGATTACGCGCCGTGTAATCGGAAAGGTGCTCGCGCGGTGTGCAAGGTAGGGAAGACTGCTCACACTGTCGAGCGTTAGCGGGCTCTTGCGGCTTTGTGGTTAGCGAATTCTTACTTCGGTCTCTTGTCGCAACAGCTTGTCATGGCCTGAGTTGAAGGAGAACTGTTCCAGACGATGACCGAACATCCTTACAGCCATAGATGCAAGATAGAAGGCGAAAGTGTACGACTCAGCTTCTTTGTCCGCGCCAAGGTTGCTGGCATCGAAGGCAAGCTCGGTGATGGCCGAGGGCAGACAAAGCATGGCCGCTGCCAGTGCGTTCACTTGCAGTTTCCGCTGCCACTCGTGATGGGCTTTGCGGATGCTGCTTGTGCGTTCCACCATTAACTTGATCTTAGCCTCAACTGATACATCCTGACCGAAGTCTAAGGAGAGCACATCCTGAGTCTTACATAGGTCATCTAGCAAAAAGTCGACTTGTTCACGATGCTGCACATGAATACCATCATAGTATGCGTTTCCTGCGGTAGCCTTCCGTTCAGGGGTAAGCCATCCGTCCGAGTCATCTGGTAACCGCAGTTGAAGGCTCTGCTTCCTAGGCGTTGTTGACCCATAATGATGCTCTGATGCCGCACAAATATAGACGGAACGGATGTGCTGTGCAAGATCTGGTCGCTCTCGTCTGAGCGTAAGTATTGGCGGTTCCTCAAGGACACCGGCAACCCAGCGAAGATAGAGCGTGACATTGCGGAAGACTAAAGGTATGGCCGCCTCACGCAGGTGTCGGCACGTGAGACTGATGTTGAATATATCTGGTCGTCGAGGCTTTAAAGAGCGGCTGCGGTCCCAATCAAGGTAGCTGAAGCTCCTGTCCAGCAACTCCGTTGGGAGGCCAAGTAGTCCGTACTGCGGATCTAGCATGCCCACATCGGTCGCGGACCCGACCATCCTAACCAATTGCGCCTATTTCACACTTGCTGATAGATTTGCGAAAGAATTGTAGCGGAGAGTTGTGCTTAATAGTATGGGTACCGATTGGGATGCAAGAAACACGGCGCCTGGCTAGACTCTGGCGTACATACCTATATCGAATGTGTATACGGACCATTGACTGAAGCCTTCTGACAGATATGGTGGATGCTGCGCCACTCTGCATATGCAAGGCATGGAGAATGGTTCGCGCGGAGCAGTTTCGGGACGCCAACCGATTCTTGGCATCAATGCACGAGCCAACAGCACATCATGTCCCCTCGAAGCACATCAATGTTCACTCCCTCTTCATTAACAACACGTCAGCCTGTTCAATCGTCGCGAACGCGATATCTCTGCATCATTGGGCGCATCGGCGAATGGGGGTTGCAACTAGTCGGTTTGTGTACTGAGCATTCAACTTTCACCTCCAGCACGAAAGCTTAGCATCGCGTACATCCACTCTACGCATCGACCTAGCGCTCTATCACCAGCACCACAGGCGCCCTCACTATTGGAAACTCAAGAGATTGACCCTACTGTCACAGGTTTCATTGACCGCACGAAGGCAATCGAGCGGCTCACTCACCCTCCGTCCTGTTGGTCGCAGGAGCTTTACACATTCGTTGAGGTCTTCGTGGATCTGTCGTCAAATAGTGCAGCTAGATAGAACTCCACAGACCGAGCCTCCGTGAGCCACTTAAGTGCTCGAGGCTCGGTCTCTGTACATACAGCGAGAACACACTCTGCGACAGGCCACAGGCGCCGCACGGGCTCCGTCAACATGGCGGAGATTGTGCAGCAGATCATGTATGCGTGCTTTACCGGTCGCGAGTGTGCCGCCGAATATGATGTCTGCTAACTACTCTCAGTGCCATCCTTGACATCGACGACTCAATTCACTGGTTCTGTCCACGGTCTTTTGAAGACCAGTCAGGGTTGTATTACGACGAAGATCGACTTACCGTGCACCTTGAAGAGAGGACGAAAGAAAAGCCTGAACGGCTCGCCAAGATCGAAGAGGCCGATAAGCGACGTAACGAGGCACTGAATGCATGCACGATCTTCGCTTTCGATGGCGCGGATGCAGAGTCCTGGCAGAGGAAGTTAAACGCTGCGCTCACTACACAGCTTCAGCGTTGCGACATCTGCATTCGAGAGTTTCATCGCTCGCGGTCACAGTTGAAAGCCTCACTGGAAGCGGACTATGAGACCGAGACCGTGCAGGGGTTTATGCAGAAGTTCGACAGCATGAACATCATGCGCATCGGCAAAGGCCTGAATGTTATGACAGAGACACTGCTAGATCTGCCACCCGAGGAGCGTACCATTGGCAAAGCCGGCGAAGTGGGAATGTATGCCTTGTTCGAAGCACTCAACTGTGGACCCTTCCTGTGCGACGAAGGAGCATTACGCCAGTACTTTGACCGACCATTTGGACTGGTACAATCCAGGAAGAAGCTTAAATTGAGCAGCTACGCACCGGGTGTGGTCGCCTTCCTCTTCTCGAATGTGGAAGGCCGGTCAAGCTGGGCATATCGGAACTTTACGTCACTCAAGCGACCTTTCACTTCCACCGAATTCGAACATAGCGTCAAGCCCTTCCTGGAGGGATCTGCATCTCACGTCACGATGGGTTCACTTGAAGTGGACTTCCTGCCCACCTTCTGGAAGGCAGTCCGCCTCATCGTCAGCCAGCTCACGACGGATGTCGTCACGCACCATTTCCGGTCGATACAGCCCAACCTCTATACTCTTTCGATGGATCAATGGCAGCTTGATGCCAACCACTTCTGCGACATGATTGCTTGCTACCAGATGTTACTCGAAAAAAGCCCGCAGGACTTCTGGGAGGCAATGGGCGCCATTAGTGGGCAGTCAGTTGTCGAACAGATATTCAAGAGCCCTGTACTGCAACACATGATCCAGGCTAGTGACAAGGGACAGACCGTGAAGCTTGAAGACCAGTTTGCCTGGGTTTTACCGTTCGTGCGCTCCATCAAACCCGCCAACCTTGTCATGCCAGCACGAGCGCTATTCGATCAGCTGCTACATATCTGTCAAAGAGATGCGTACTCCAAGTACGCTCAATCAGTCACGTGGCAAGTTGGGCTCCGTGCTATGCTAGAGGCTGTGAACATGGTGCGGCAGTTAGGCGGCGGTCCGGTTGTCGTGCAGCTGATCGAAGTCATTTCAACTGACCATCTGAACATCCTGGAGGAGATGGAAGGCATTGAAAAGAAGCACGGAGACGCAGCGCTTGACGAGACCGAAGACCTCTGCTTGAAGATAGTGGAGGCTACTCTCGCCGCGGACGTCCAGTGTCTGGCTTACAGTCGCTCTGTGCTATTAAAGGCGAAGAGTGTTAGTGATCGGACAGTAATGTCGGGACTAGGTCTTTGGAAGGCGGCCACTCGTCTGGTGGAGCCTGGAGAGCCATGGCTTGCTGCTTCTATCCTGTCGGCTCTCACGGGCTTGCTGCCGCAGGAGAAGTTCACCCCAAGGCAAGTGCAAGCTGCGCCTGCAAACGCTGGAGCCTGGAACAAGGCACATGAGGCGTTGCTGAGGTGCATTCAGACGGCACTACTGGACCGCATAGAGGCTTTTACACCAGATCAGCTGATTGGGTTGTACCAAGAGCCAAAGGCCGCGCGTGGCCTAATGTCTCTGCTCTTCAGTGGCGAAACGGAGATCAGCCAGGCCACCCTAAGCGTGTTCAAGACATTGTCGGGCGAAGACAATCGACGGGATACCGTCATGCATTTGGTGAAGGTTTTCTTCAGCACAACGTTGGAGTCAGTGGCAAATGCGCAGAGTGCTATTGCCAAGGCGGGCGTCTTCGCCCCTGCACCCATCTTTCTCAAGCTCACGCGCGACGTACTCAGCTGCTTGTGCGACACGCAGGATGGCGTGCTGAGAACAGAGAAGAATAGGAGCGACCATTTCAACGAAGTGGAACTGTTTTGGGAGATGACGTGGACCGCGCTTGAGACCATCTTCAGGCAAACGGAGCCTTGGAGCAGTCTTGGCTACGACAAGCAGATGATGCAAGACTTTTGTCGAGACACGATGGATCTTGCGGACACATCATTCAACCAGTACCCCATACTTGCAAGCACACTACGCTCAGCACCGGGCCCGAGAGGCTCGCGGGAGATTGGCAAGGATCTTCTAAAATTCCCGACCAAGACGTTCAACAACATTACCAAGTGGCTCCGCCTCCGGGATGAGTACCTTATCGCCCGCGCCGTGGGATTGACATGCAAGATGCTGGCAGAGCTCGAGAAAGTTGGCATCGAGATCGATCAGAAGGCCGCAGAGTACATCGAGCAAGTGTATATAAGCAACGAGCAGAACAACAAGGTCCGAACTAAGCTCACTCCCAACCAGAAAGCCGAACTTCAACAGGCCTTGGAAAAGCATCTACACGCAGCCGTATCGGAAGAGGTCAATATTGTGCCGAAGCGGCGAACGCTCAACGACTGGGCTACGTCTGGATCCGACTCTGGCCGAAGCACACCCATCCCTAGCGCCAAACTGAAGGCTGGTACGATCGACCTAGAGGCCTGGAGTGCAAAGAGTGAGCACGAGAAGGCGTACGGCGACCTGATAGCCAGCGCTTCACGAGGTACAGAGGCATTGAGGCGCATGCAGGAGAAGAAAGGCTCGGCCCCGCCTTCTCAGAAGCCTGCGCCGAAGCGTCAGGTCAACAGTAAGGAGTTTCTGCTCAAGCGAAAACAAGAGATGGCGGCGGCCGAAAGGAGAAGAGCAGAAGCCTTGGCGAAGCAGAAGTTGGGCGCCGGGAGCGGTGTCGCAGGGCTAGGAGACATGGGCAAAGATCATTCAATGAAGGGCCAGAACGTCATGATCTCGTCTGACGAAGAAGAGAGCGAGGAGGACGACATGGACGACGATCTTTTCGGGACAAAGAATAAGATGAAGATTCAGCGACCGAACGTAGACCCGGATGGTGCGGTCGGTCTGAAGCCTGAAGTCAAGAAGGGTCCTACGCGGATTCAGCGAACCATCCGGTCAGTGAAAGATATGCGTGCGCGACTGGCACCAGATCTGCAGCCTCTACATAAAGTCATCCTGAAGTGGGACTTCTTCCACGATGGAGACTATCCGCCAGGCGCAAACACAAACGTCTTCGAGCGGGTCAAGAACTCTTACAGCAACCCTGTCAGCTACAGGGAGGCATTCGAGCCGCTTCTGACGCTAGAAGCATGGCAGAACATGGTCAAATCCCGCGAGGAGAACACTGCCAAGCCGTATGAGGTGAAGATCCAGAACCGCAGCAATGTTGATCATTTCCTCGAGCTTAGCAGCATTGTCAGCCAACAAGAGAACAGAGAGCTGCAACTGAACGAAGGTGACATCGTCCTCTTGTCCAAAGCTGGCAAGCCTAGCGACGATGCGACTTCGCCACACTGCTTAGCGCGCATTTGCAAGATTAAGCGGCAGAAGGCGCAGATGGAAGTGGTCTATCAAGTCATGCCTGGCACGTCTCTCGCACCGAGCCTCGTATCACAGGCGCAAGTGTACGGTCAGAAGATCCAGTCACTGACACCACTCGAGCGCGAATATGGCGCTATGCAGGGATTGCAGTATTACGATCTCTGCACACAGATCATCAAAGCTGCACCTTCGAAGCGGATGAACTTCAGCGAGAAGCAGATTGCCGCCTATCAAGACGTGTGGAATGTCAACCGTGCGCAAAGCGAAGCTGTCAACGCTGCGCTGGAGAACGAAGGCTTTTCGCTCATCCAAGGTCCGCCAGGCTCAGGCAAGACCAAGACGATCATTGCGATCGTGGGCGGTTTACTATCACAAAGCTTGGGTTCTGCCACGAGCGGTGCAAAGCCGATTACTATGCCGAGAATGAACGGCGCCCATATTGGTGCGGGCGGCTCAGACGCGGCAACGAAGAAGCTGCTTGTTTGTGCACCGTCCAATGCAGCAGTGGACGAGCTGGTCATGCGGCTCAAGGAGGGCGTAACAACGAAGGGTGGCAGGCATCATTCAGTCAATGTTGTACGCATTGGCCGCAGCGATGCGATCAACTCACAAGTCATCGACGTGACCATGGACGAGCTCGTCACCAAACGCTTAGGTGGCAACAGTGCAAACAATGAAGCAACACGAGCAAAGAATGCCGACCTGTTCAAAGAGCACGAAAGCGTCTCCGCTGCTCTACGCGACCTCTACCAGAAGCGGGATAGCGGTGCAGCTCAAAGCCAAGATTCGACAGTCCTTGAGAACGAGATCGCATCCGTGCGCAGGCGCAAGAACGAGCTCGGTGTGCGCATCGACAACGTCAAGGACCAGGAGCGCAACGCCGGCCGCGAGGCCGAGCTCAGTCGCAAGCGAGCACAGCAAGCGGTCCTTGACGAAGCGCATGTCATCTGCGCAACTTTAAGCGGCAGTGGTCATGACATGTTCCAGAGCCTGAACATTGAGTTTGAGACCGTTATCATTGACGAAGCCGCACAGTGCGTCGAGATGAGCTCGCTAATTCCACTCAAGTATGGTTGCATCAAGTGCATCATGGTCGGAGACCCCAAGCAATTACCACCTACAGTATTCTCGAAAGAAGCTGCAAAGTTCCAGTATGAGCAGAGCTTGTTCGTACGCATGCAAAACAACCATCCTGAGCAGGTGCACTTACTCGACACGCAATACCGCATGCACCCAGACATCAGCGTCTTCCCGAGCCGCACATTTTATGATGGCCTGCTCAAGGATGGCACGGGCATGGCAAGCTTGAGGCAGAGACCGTGGCATGCGAGCGCTGTATTAGCGCCGTACAGATTCTTCGATGTCCACGGCCAGCACCAGTCCGCACCGAAAGGCCATTCGCTCGTGAATATTGCCGAGGTTGAAATTGCCATGGCACTATATGAGCGACTGATCAGCGACTTCAAAGGCTACGAGTATAACGGTCGCATCGGTATCATCACCCCGTACAAGTCACAGCTTCGGATGCTGAGAGATCGCTTCTCCCAGCGCTTCGGAAACACTATTTCCGACGTGGTCGAATTTAACACCACAGACGCCTTTCAAGGCCGCGAGAGCGAGATCATTATCTTCTCTTGCGTCCGTGCGTCACCGGCTGGCGGCATTGGTTTCCTACAAGATATTCGACGTATGAATGTTGGGCTTACACGAGCAAAATCAAGCTTATGGGTACTTGGTAACTCAGACTCTCTCAGCAGGGGCCAATACTGGCGGAAGCTGGTGGAGGATGCACGAGCTCGCGACGCATATATCACAGGTGATTTGATAGGCATGTTGAGGAAGCCTTCAAGCGCTTTCCCGGCAGCTTCTGGGGCGGTAACTCACATGTACGACATCGAGGCGCACGTCGCGCAGACGGGTGAGCATAGTAACGGCGTAGCTTCGACAGGTGACCCAAGGCGTCTGTCACAGAGAAACCAGAGCATGACTGACCAGCCTGACATTGGCTCATTGGTAGTACGAAACGGCTGTGACAGCAAGCACAGGGAAGCAACGAGTCACACATCGAACCCTGATGCAAATAACAGCAAGATGGAGGGCATTCGCTATCGTTTTGAGGACCGTGTATCCATGAAGAAGGCAGCGTCCGAGCAGGAAGATGATGAGGATGTCGAGATGGCGGACGTTACAGATGGGCAGGACGCTCAGTCTGCGGCAGGTTCGGCGATGCATAAAGGTGCTACCTCATCGCTTGGTGGATCGAAGTCTCGCGCTGAAACTCCACACTCCGCCACATCTGGTGGAGATGAAACGATCAATAGCCCGGCTCCTGGCACAGTCAAACCTAGACCGGCTAGTGTGGCACCTGCCGTGCCACAAGTTCTCAAGAAACGACCGGCGGCTAACCCATTTATCCCTGCGAAGAGAAAGCGCTGAGATGGGAAACCAGATCTAGCAGCTTCTGCTGCATTCTTGCCGGACACATAGCTCTTGACACAGCCGAATGCGCCCAATCAAAGCCGTCATAGTGGACCTGCTTCAACGCGTGCAACCAATCCTTGCGGGATGATGCGCATTCGGGTCTGTTGGGATAAGGTTCCAATGAGCAGCGTTGGGGTGGCCTCATCGACAGCCACGGCGTCCGTGACACCTGGAGGACAGTATGTAGCATTGAGGCTACGGCAGCCAGCGTCCATGTCCCTTTCCTTGCTGTTATGGTGGAACTCACCCTATGCTCCAACAGACGCTGCTTGAACACCCGCGTGACCTGAGACGTACAGTTAGGTCTAACATATCGCAGTTCCGCCGACCATCACCATCACGCACTGTTCCATCGTGGCACGTCCTCCAACAAAACACAGGGGTACGATCATTGTTGACGACAGCGAAGCTTGCTGCAATCGTGACAGTGCGGGTTTGCCACCCCTGTTTCGGTGCGGCCTATGCTTCGGGTTTGTGTAACTCTGCTGCAGCTGTACCTTTACGGCATTGTCGTTGATCCCTTGCATGCGCAATTTGGTTACCAAGGCGACAAGAGCTGCCCTGTCTCACATCAGCCAATTGCTATGCACGAAAGGACGCAAGTACCTGTCCTCTGTCTTTGCTCTCGATATCACAAAGCATCGCCATTTCGAAAGGTACAATATATGCTGGGATACCATGCTGACGGAGTCCTACCTTTCCTGAGGTTCAGTAGCGTGCACGCGTCTGCTGTAGCCGGCTCATCTACCTTGTCGTACAACATCTGCCAGGGCGCTGTAGTTCCTTGCGCCTCTGTGATGCTTGGTAAAGGAGTATCTGCTTATTTACATCTCTCGTCGCACCGTTTCCGTCTTTCTAAACTTCTTGTCTCGAACCGACGTCTGCTCATACTTCTTTACACGCAGAGCACTCTGCAGGAAGCACCCAGCACGCTCGGCAGCGACTCAGCAATCAAGGCTTGAGGAAGTTCGTGACGTATTGAAGCTGGCAGCATCATCGTGCCCGACGAAACTTCCGTACGCGATGCAGCTGTCCGAGGTGCAGCCTCGCTGGCAGCGTCTCACTCCGCCCTTCCTCAATCATACTCCCCGGGATTTTGAGATAACAGCGCTGTTCAGTCCCTCCCAATCTCCCGACATGTTCGGTTTCGCTGGCGTCGTAGACCCTGCCGGGCCGCTGTTCTATTCCGAAGAGACAATGGGTCAGGCACCGTCAGCGACGGTCGAGCGGGATGATAGCCGCAAGGCAAGCACTCCGATTCTCCGAGAGCACTCCATCCAGCAGACTGCGCAGGAGTCTCGGACTTCGTCTCCTTGGTCGATGCACTTTGCCCGAACGGACCAGAGGCCCTACCGCACCTCTATTGACGACGACATGGCAAATACTCCTACGAATTTGCCGAGGCTACCAAAAGACATCAAGTCTGCTGAGCTCATCTGGTTTTTGCGCAACACAGCGCCTCCTGCACTTCACCGTCAACCGAGCAAGATCGAGCATCCCAAGCGTGGCGGTGAGACTTCGAGGCGTGCTCTGCGTTTGCTGAGGCTCGGTCAAAGGCGCAATGGAACTCCGAAGGACTTGTAAGTTTGTCAATAAGCCTCGCTAGTGTGTCCGCTGCTGATCATAACAGGCCTCCGCTCCGAGATGAAGGAGGTCTCCTGACAAAGAAGGCCGCACAAGTAGTCGAGCTGAAAGCCGGGATCCCAGCAGAAATACAACATGTGCTGGAGCAGAAACAAACCGCCGCTGGTAAGTTTCTTGCATGGCGCTCATGTGAGATTGTCACTGATTGCACTACAGGCCAACGATATCTCGCGTTGAAGGTGAAGCAGCCCGACTTCGCGCCTGTCATTGAGTGAGTCTTGCCGTATACTGTCGAGGTATCTGAGCTGATGATCAACTACAGAGCAGGCATCGTGGACTCGCACGTGTCTGTTTCATTCGAACATGACTTGTATGGCGGCGAACCGCCAGAGAATCGCTTCGAATGCCGCGGCAGTCAGCCAGCCCACTCAGTTTCACCCTTGTCGCCGCTTGAGCCATTGCCAATATTCGGAATCAGTGACTCAACTGTCCGCTGCGTCGATCACTCTTTATCACCCGTACGGCCGGCTGCGTCAAGCCCACCGACGCCACAGCCAGACTCAGCAACCTCGATGGCTGAGTCGTACCAGTGTGACCTGACGGAGCATCCAGCCAGGCGGTCATTCGATGCTTGTCGTGCATTGACGAGCCATCCCGTCCGTCCAGAGCCGTCCATCACTGCACTGCCGAAGATTGCGCTGCCGAAGGAAGAGTTGCCAGTGCGGCATGCCAGTGCCGAAAAAGAAGTCGAGATCAAGCATCCATCGCCACGCCGGTTCGCAAGTCACCCGGTACTGATGCAGCGAGCCCCAAGCATGGCGTCGTCCTTCTACCCACAGTCAATGTCTGACAGTCCGGGTCCGCCGCCGCCACGCAGCCCGCTTCGGCTTCGGCGCGATCAACGAACCATCGAGAACATTATCGCCACGCATAACAGCGTCCATGCTCGCAAGGCCACGCCAAGGCATGGCAGATCGCCAATGCTCACTCCCACTTCCGAGCGCATCATGGAGTACAATGAAAGGCTGGCAGCCATGAAGCCAACCGTGATCACCGAGTGCACTGGACCAATCAAGCGGCCAAATTCCCGTGGAAAGAGTTCGATCCCGCATCCAGCGTACCAATTATCCCGCAAGGAGCGGGAAGAGCGTATCAAGGCTCGGAGACTGCTGCGTGACCAGCACAAGTACCCTATCATCGAACCCACGGTTAGCGTGCCACAGACGTCAACATTACCAAGACGCCTGCGCAAGGCAAGACCAAGAATACAGATCCCGCACTCGGACCTACGACCCGCGCCGCTGGTGTTGAGAGCACCGTCTTCTTCAGCATCGAGCGACGCGGGCTGGATGAAGACTAACGCGCAGATGTCCCCTCGCGTGTCGCCGGTGTCATCACAGGAGACCGGCCAAGCGAGCAACGGCGAGAAGACGGGCTATACTCCTGTCTCGCCACTCTCGACCGGAAGCGCAACGGTCGAAGCCTGCATGGCGCTGAGCCCGGTCATGCTCGTCGCCGAGGAGATACCAGTCTTCATGACCAAGTCACTGCCGCGGCCACCGAAGCTCATTGTCAAGGAGGGTAAGTCATACGCACCTCGCCCACGCTCCGCCTCTATCCCACGGAATGCCTTCAACCGCCGCAGTCGGCAGGGACAAACAAGTCCACCAGTGAATCATCTGTCACGACCAGGTAGTCCCGCCGCCGAACGACCGGAAGATGAGACGCCACCTTTACCCTCACCGCCACCGAACAGAGCATTGCCGCCTACACCACCGGCTTCGGGCTCGGAGAAACCCGTCAAGTTCAGAGCGGTGGAAAGCAAGAAGGAGCTTCCAATCCCGCCACCATTCGAGATCCTGCCGTTGCCGCAGGAGCCGTTGCCCATCAGACGCGAGTTACGCCATGTAGTCACGCAGAACCAGCGCAAGAGTGGCGTCTCCTCCACCACGTCAAAGTCGGCTTCACGCATCGATGCCCGCCTCGAGGCGCTCGAAAAGCGGAATGCCTTGCTCTCTGCCGCACTGATGGCGGTATTGGGGACGAACGGCTCGCTCAACGCGCCCCTGTCTGCTGCGCTCACCGCTGAGCCGGAGAGTCCTAAGGCGATGGTGTGGGAGAGTCGGGTCGCTAGACGTAGCGAGGCCGGCAATCAAGCGGCGAGTCATGCCGCTTCTAGCAGTAATGGGAGTGCCTTGGAGATGTACATGAGTACGCGGAGGGGGAGTAAGACCGGCTGTTGAGGTCAGTGAGCCTAAGAGTTTGGGTAGTCGCTTGGTGTTGAGGTGCGGGAGACGGCTGTCGTAATGAGGATATATGCATAGACGGTACTTATATTGTGGGTGAATACCGCTTGAACCTTCACATCGTGGCTGGCGGGTCAGCTCCGTTGTCTCCTTGCACCATGCCCAAGCGTACAGCCCAATCCTTGCGCCCATCGTGCTCCGCGATCATCTCGTGCGCGAGGTCGAGTCTTCGGATGTACTGCTTAGGCACACCATCGACCTTGACAGTCCTGCCATTCATTCTCAGCACAGTCGTGCGCTCGTTCGCCACTGTCAGCAATATTGTCGTAGTAACCATCTGCATCAAGATGAACCACTTCCCACGTTCGTCTATGTTCTTGGCCAGGATTGCAGCCACGTAGAGTAGTATCGTGCCAGTCTGGACAATGTAGCTTTCCATAGGGGATAGATTTCGGATCCATTGTCCCGAGGTCACAGCCTTGAGGTCGTCCACCATGCCCCGGATCCGGATCCAGCGGTCTTGTGATAGGAGTACAAGTAGGTCTCCTTCGACGCCCGGCTCACTCTGTCCGTGCCATTCGGTTGAGCGCCTTTGCATGATCAGAACGTTCGCAAGGTTAGACAAATACAGAAGGCTGAGCACTAGTACGAGCCAAGAGCCGCCGGTTCGGAGCATGTCAATGAGAGTAAGTATGGACATTGTTGCCGCGATGGTATAAGCGAGCGCAGTTCTGGATTTCGTTGGTGACGCAGAGACACTGTCATCCGTAACCCGCAGAGTCGTTAGGTGGCCAGTCTTGCTTACACGCTGGAGGTACAGTACGGTGGCCTCGTTCTCGACTCGGAAGACATAGCCAGAAGTCATGGCAGCACATGCTGGGTACTCGCCTTTGCTAAGAAATGGTGCGTTTTGCACTCTGTGGAGACTCGGGCAGAGGATCAGCGCATCCAGCAGCGAGGCCTGACCGTTGATGGCTATGTTCCGGGCGGCAATGTCGAGGTCGGCAAGGAAGATCAGACCAACAAGGTCCAGCGAGGCGGGTAGAAAGCGTGGATGTAGCCATTGCATGACGTTGTTTACAAGAGGGAGCTGTCACGTGTCAGTGGGAGTTCCTGCGCCGTCGAAGAGAGCTTACCGCCATTGTAATGGTTCAACGTGATGGTTCAATGTGATGGTTCAACGTGGCCTTATGCCAGCTCTGTGTCCGTTAACGGTCTGCTCTGTCTGAGTATGGCGGACATGGACAGAATGGGGAGAAGCTAGGAAAGGAGACAGGATGGAGGTAAGGGAAGAATGAGTGCAACATTTCCGACTTCACACGGTGATGTTTGAGGCGGCCATGTGACCGTCAAGGCTGCAATGTAGCCTGGCCGGGGTGGCAGTGCCTGTACAGCATGGAGCACTGATGGATGAAGCTAAAGCGAGGGTCAAGGATCGCTATCGCACGCGAGCCGTAGGTAACATGGCATGTCAGCGCTGCGCGAGGCGCACCGCGCGAACACGCTGCGGATCCCCAGTATCGAGACGGTGAGCCCAAGGCTGGAGCCTGCATGAAGGAGACCTCATGCTTGCACTATGAAGCTCTGTGTAAAGATTGTGAAAGTGGGACGGGCGGTCATCCATAAGCTGGACGGGATGGGTGGGCCAGGGCGGTCCAAGCTCGATATAGGCAGAGCCCCAGAGTGACAGACGAACCTTCATCGAGCAGAATGGTATGCATAATATATGCGTGAAAAGCTCGTTGGACGGTCGCCCAAAGGTAGCAAAGTTGAGCACACGCGGGTGGACCGCGCGATCTCCGTCGAGGGCTCGAGGCTTGCCAGAGATGGCGCAGCGCATAACGGCATAATCAGCCTCTCTAGCTCTCTAGTCAACCGTTAGCGTTGCGGGCTGAAGAGGGGTTCCACCGGAGCGTTTCGCGGCGCAAGGTCAAGTAGGAGCCCTTGCCCGATTCCCATTCTGTCTTGCGCCTTACTCTCCTGCGCCTAGTTGTTACTCTTCTCAGAACACGCTGTACGCAACTTCTCTGCTGACTGCGTCTAAGGCTCCAACGACGCGCCTGCATTGAATTTCACTTATTGCCGCCTTAGGCATCACTCAGTTTCGGCCTTACCGCCCGTCGCAATCGCCCGGCGGTTGCATCGACTGGGTGTCCGCCGCGGTCGCGTTCCCAACGGCAAGAGCTCGCACAAAAGGCTTCCTGCTTGCTTCACGCGCCGTCCACTATACCGCTTTCGTCTCCACCACCACGACTCACGTTGATCCGTTAAGCTTGGCACGATCGATTGTCCCGCCTCGTGACATCCGCGGGTGAGAGCGCGGAGGTGTCCCTATACAGAAGCCTTTAAACCTGAATAGTGAGTTATCCACAATTCACCCAAAGAAGCATAGCTCATCACTCAATCCAGGCAAAGCACAACACTCGCTCGAGTACCTGCTTTCACGATGTCGGCAGAGATTGTGTCGCAAGATCCCAGCGGCGTGCACGACGAGCAGGACGAGCTCGAGAATGGCAACGGTGAGCCGCGCGGGATCAAGCGTGCGCGCACCAGCGCTGCCGCCGACGACGACGACGATGACGACGAGAAGGGTGGTCGCGAGAGGAGAAAGATCGAGATCAAGTTCATCCAGGATAAGTCGCGTCGGCATATCACATTCTCGAAGCGCAAGGCGGGCATCATGAAGAAGGTACGATCGCTTCACTTCGCGACCGCACGCGACCACGCGCACGCGCTGCTGTCTCGCTTGTATTCACTTCACCCGCTAACGTGCACGCAGGCCTATGAGCTCTCCGTCCTCACAGGCACTCAGGTACTCCTGCTCGTCGTCTCCGAGACCGGCCTCGTCTACACATTCACCACTCCGAAGCTGCAGCCTCTCGTCACGAAACCCGAAGGCAAGAACCTTATTCAGGTGAGTCGACGCGAGTGTCGCACGGACATCGCTTGATCACTAACGTCGCGCCCTAGGCCTGTCTTAACGCGCCAGAGCCTGCAGACGCCAATGGTGTCGACGGCGAATCGACGGTCGACTCACCCGAAGAGCAACACGCCGCTCCTCCGCCCATGCCACAGGCCATGCCACCCCAGGGCATGCGTCCCCAAGCACCCGCTCAACCCTACATGACCGCCGACCAGCAGCAAGCGCTACAGTATCAGGCCTACCTGCAGCAGCAGCAGGCGGCGCAGCAAGGCGCATATCCAATCCCTCCGCAACAGGGTATGCATCCGCAGCGCTAGGAGCCGTCTGTCGATGACTACTCCATGCATGATGTCAAACCCGAGCTTATGGATCAAATGTGCTGAACGGTAAGGCGGGTTCGAGGGATGACAGATGGGAGAGGTGGCGTGTGGTGCACTCGCACTGTGGGTGTGCAGCAAGGCGTTTGGAGGTGCGATACATCCCATGGCGAGTACATCTTATGATGTTCGAAATTGCGTATTGTTATTGAGTTGCCACACAATACACTGGCTGTTGCGCGCTGTGTTACAAAAAGGGAAGCTGGCTGGCTCACCGAGTAATTAGCGACGACGGTGGCGCGTCTGACGGTCGGCTTGGCTATCGTTTAGTCTGCTGTACCATACGCGAATGATGGTTTCTTTGCTAAGCACCGCCTGCGCGTCATTGAGGCCTTCGCGCTGCACTATCTGTGGCCCAACGCGCTGTGATCGAAGTTGAACGCAGCTGACTGGTTCCATGACGGAGGAGCGGACGGTACATGAAGCACAATGCTTTCTAGAACGAAAGTATGTCATATCCAAAATGCATGCTATACACCACGATCTCCGCCATGCCAGCCATGCCATGCAACGCGTTTTCGCTCACATGACGACAGCGACATGGTCGTCCATGTACTTCTGAATGTCACCCAAGCAGCACGCCGCAATAATGCTGACGGCTCCGAAAGCGATACTGACATAGTACACCCACTTGTACGCCTCGGCGTACGCCAGCTGACCGGCATATACAACCGCCGCATACGCGGCCGGGTGGCCTTTGATACCCGGGAGCTCTTCGAGAAGGGGGAGGAGCGAGGTGCCCGTGATTCCGATGGCCTCGGCGATGATTTCTGGGTTCGTGATGTTGAGCTTGAGCGACATGGTGCCGCCGATGTAGTAGATCGCTGCTGGGACGAACCTGGGGGAGATGTGTTAGTGGAATGGTAGGATTGAAGAGGGAGGTATTGCGAATTACGTACTTGTTGATGAAGACGTTGTAGTAGACACAGTAGCCGATTGAGCCGCCAATGACGCGGATGGCAAGGGTGAGGGCCGCGATGGTGGCGATGAGGTCGTCAGGGCAGATGATCGTGGCTAGATCAGTGCGTCAGTACTAGAACGCCACTGTGATATGAAAGCAATGGGCTTACTGATGATCGATGCTGGCACAACGATGCCGCCAATACCTAAGCCCGCGACAACGAGGAGACCCCAGAGCTGGTAAAGGTTGTCCACGCGACCAATGGAAAGCGCACCGCATCCGGCTGTCATCAGAATGCTCGACACGATCAGCAATTCGCGGTTATGGCCACGCAACATAGACAGCAGCCAGAGGACGATGCAAGCGCCCGCCAGGATTGAGAAGCCAACCGGGATACCACGAACACCAACACCGATTGGATCATGGCCGTAGACGTTGAAGGCTTGAGTCGGCCAGAACATCAGAATAGAGAAGAAGTTTGCGCCGGAGATGAAGGTGATGACGAGCGTCAGGCTGAGGATGCGAGGATCTTGTCGCAGACGCTTAGGAAACATTGGGTACTTCGCGCCATAGGCCTCCCACAGGAAGAATGCAACAAGGAGGGCAATGCCCAGGATGAGCGGGACGAGGACGTGGGCGCTCTTCCAGGGGTATTGGTAGCCACCCCATTGCATACCCATCATGAAGAGGAGCTAGCAAGCTGTCAGCGGTGCTGGGTGCAAACCAACGGACTGGTCGAAGCTTACCATGCCAGCGACGCTGAGAATCCCGCCAACGTAGTCAATCTGAGCGAGCACCTCCTTGCGACTAAGACCTTGGCTGTTTACTCGCGGCGGAGGAAAGTAGAAGACTGCCGTCAGCACTAGGCCAATGAAGGCCCAGAGGCCGCAGATAAGACCAATCCAGCGCCAGCTCGAGTAGTACGCGATTAGCTGACCGTACAAAACCGATGGGCAGAAGGGGATGATGGTGAAGATGAGGATGGCGACGTATTTGCCACGCTTCGCGGTTGGAGCCAGCTCGGAAGTCACGGCGAGTGCGGTCAGCTCGTTGATGCCAGCGCCAACTCCAGCAAAGACCATGCCGCAGATGAAGGTATTCATGGTGTGTGCGGTACTGCAAATGATCATGCCGATGCAGATGAAGACGGCACCGATAATAGCCACATATCGACGGCCAATGAGGTCGGAGATGGAGCCAACAAACGGACATACGGCGGCCAGCGACAGCAAGTTTGCGAGCACGAACCAGATCCAGCGGTCTGACCCACCGAGTTCACCGTAGATGTATGGTGGCACGCCGCCAAAGAGATAGACCGGGATTTGCGAGCCGGTCCAAACTGGCGAGATGAGATTAGTTAACATCGTCCAGCGGCGGAAGAAGGCAGGTCATGCGTACGGAAAGCCATGGCTAGCAAACTCATTGCACGAGGGAACGACATCTTCGGCTCATGGTCATGGTCGATTCCGTCACCGTAGGTGCGTAGGCCGTCTTTCTCGTAATAGTTGTCGTGTCCTGGCACACGCTCGACGGTACGGATCTGTTCGACGTGCGACATGCCGCTCTTCTCAGCAAGTTGCTCTGGGGTCTCATCGGAGCCGTCTAAGATCGTCAGCTTTGTGTCGTCAATGCCACACCAGTCGAGGATCCCACTCACCAGGAGACGGTGGCATATTGTGGTGTACTGTCTCCATATTGATGGCGGGGTGTCGATATTGATAAGATTAGTATGAATGCGCTCGCACTTTGACGCACAGAGATGACGGAGGGGAAAGAAGACGACACAGAGGAAGCGGAGCAGGTTTAGAGCGGAACAGCAATCTTATTGACTGAGGAGAAGGTGAGGAAAACTACCGTGCCCATCACGAGGTACCTCCGTACCGTCGCGACACGTTTAGGTGTGGAAATATGCTGGGGATGTGGAGAGGCTTGCTGGAGCATGCGACTCTCATGGATGGCGCTTCTCTAGGCGGGACATGATAGACAAGAGCGGTCTGGTCGCCGTAGACATGCGCATCCCAGGATCTAAACGGACCAATTGGGGCCGGGGAAGTTGTATCCATGCGGCGCTAGCCCCAGGAGCGACGCAGATCTGGGCTTCGGGCTGCAGCGCGCCCTTGTGGTCTCCCTTTGATTCCGCTCGGTCCGGCAGAGTAGGCGCGTTAAGTTGTCGACCGCATGTCAGTGATGCTGCTGCTCCACTGACTTTACTCTGTACAAGAGGACCCATTGATGCAGTGAAAGATCGCAGCAGAAGACCCAATGATCGCCATCGCTACGGGTTGAAATCAGGCACTCTCCGGCGCCAATGCATCAATAGTCACTCATCACGAGCAGGAATTGGAGGCCTCGGTAGTTTGCCAACAATCTTAGCTTCGATGTACTTGTATACAAGACGATACCGAGTAAGTCGGGTAAAGCTTTTCAGGAAGCAGATTGACCCCGCGTTCGACATTTGAGTTCGCCATCACAGCCTCACCACGTGCTAGCTGCCCGTGGGGTCGTGAAGCGTGCCCACTTTGGTCATACCGAGGCCTGTGGACACACCCAAATTAAGAAGCAGCGTGCAAGACATACAGGTGCCGAGACAAGCGAGGCTCGTGATGCAAAGACTTGGTCGTTCACCAGCGGCTCTGCTCTCGTCACGACGTTAGCAGCAGTGTGCTGCGGCGTCTGGTTGGTACCCATCTGAATCTTTGGCTGGGTTGTACCGATGACCTGAAGAGCAACCACGTGAGAGGCTAGGCTCTTCAAGGTCTGCGTAGCCGCAAGTCTGCATTATGATCGTCACCCAACGCGGTTGCAGATCATCCTTTTGTCATAGGCGTAAAACAAGCAGCACCGAGCAGTAAGACTATGGAACTAAGGGTGTGCGAATAGCTGAGGCTCGAGCTCATACTGAGCCCGGTCTGCACTTGCTAGCTTCCGCATCCTTGATGCCCGACTTTGTCCATGGCTGCTCGTCCGGGGAGTATCCCGACCAGCAAGAAGTCTCCTGAGGACCTGCTGCTCCGAGAAAGCAGGTCTGAGGGTTGAAGTCGTAGCTCCGACTTTAGTGACAGACATGTCGCCTGTTACTCCTATCGAAGCCCTAGGCTAGGATCAAGTATGCAATTCAGATACCCAGTAAGGTCGGATAATTAGCGGTCACCATGAGTCGCCTTCTACTCTTGCGCGCCATCTCCGAGGATCGGTAAAGCTTGGTTTCTTTCTCATGACTTTCGGCACTGTCTCAACGGACGTCTGCTCCCTAGTAATGACCTCGAGAAGCTCGAAAGGCAAGTGAGAGCATCGACACCCACAGCCACTAGGACACTCGAAGTCTTCGCCACCATCTAGGCTTGACAAATAGTCCTCTAAGCAGTGCAGATGCGTGGCATGCAAGCAGCGGGAGCAGGCCTGTTGGAGCCGAGGGATAACAGTATAGCAGATGCTGCAGGTCACTCTCGATGACCGCGGTTGCGGTGCCAGCTGCATCCCCAAGTGAGCCGGGTTGGCAACCGAGGCAGGATGTGTGATGCCAAGCACCTTCTCAAACTCTGCCGCCTTTTGATTCAAACCCCAACAACGGAGCTGCTCCGCATGGTGTCTGACCCACAAGACTGTTGATGGCAGGAGATCGTCGGGTAGCAGTTGGTGCTTCACCTTCCCAGAAACCTCGTCCGAGAACAGGTCGTTGTTGCACAGTGTGACAGATACTGGACCGCGGACACTTCTCGGCGTCTGTGGCAAGCTGCTGTCTTCGATCGTCTTATCAGTGTCGTAGCCTTCCTCTTCATGGGCGCTATGGCTGTTGCTGAGTTGGCTGTCTCTCGATGTACTGGTCGCAGATGCGAAGGACACCGACTTTGACCAGAGGTTGGCAACAGTAGGTAAGCTTGAGGATAGTTCGTGAGTGCTCGGACTGGTGCCCGACATCTTCGTGGGCGGGGATACGCCGTACGAGGCAAACTTGTCGGTGATGCTCTGCGCATAGTGTCGAGCAGCAGCGCTGAAGCTGCTACGGTGATATTCTGGACTGGTGGAGCCGGAGTTTGTTGCAGAGAGCCTGGTGCTGTTCTTTGCTAATGGTGGAAAGGCCAGGGGTGGCGTATTGATACCAGAATCTGGATGAGGCGTTGATGGTTGCGAGACGTTCCGAGAGGACGCGAGGGAAGGATACCGCAATTTGGTGGGCGAGATATGGACAACGCTGTTCGGTTCGGAGTCGGTTCGCAGCAGAGGTACTAGGCGATTGGTCGCGATTACTGCGTCGACGTAATGTGGCTGGGACGCATAGTCTGCATCACATATGGGAAATGTCTTACGCATGGCCTGCTGCGGAGCCGTCATTGTTCCAAGGTGGACCGACTGCACTAAGACAGATGACAGGACGGCAAGCAACACAGTATCGGCAGACTGCTCGGCCCAACCCAGGCATTGTCGAACTAGCCATTGTGGACCTAGCGGTCCATCTGCCCAACGTAGCATTCCACGGTGGCTGTTGGAGTGCGCTTGAGTCGGGGCACTATCCACGTCTCCATGCAGAAGTGAGGTCACCCTACGCGCGACGACCAGAACATTCGACTCGGTGCTTGTGTCCTTTGGGGTTTGTAGCGGAACCTTAGTGTCAACGAGCATGCCCAACAAGCGCCATATGTCTGCAGTATCGGCCTGCCTAGCGAGATCCGCAATCTCCGCATTGTATGCGCACACGCTGCTGCCCGTGTCACTACCTTGTCGAAGGATGTGGTAGGCGACGGTAGTCTGCATGGAGCTTGCGACCCAAGCGTCTGTAGCGAGCACAGATATGAAGGCTTGCTCCGCGCCATGGTTGTGCGCGTCGGGGTAGGAGCCTTGGAAATGGACGGTCTGCCTCACGCTCTTGGCTGTCTTCGCGATCCTTGTAGCTGGGCTGCCGTTAGTCACATGGACATGCAAATCACCCAAGGCACCGTCTTCACTCCCGTCTTCGGCTATGGCATGGAGGTTGCCAAATCCGGGAAACAGGCGGGCGACTCTCTGTGCAGGGTTCCGTGCTAGGTGAGTAGGTAAACCTGCTCGCTTGACTGCTGTACAAGGTCGTGTCTTCCGTCGCCCAAACATCACAAGCTGTCCGTTCGGGGCGAAGATCGCACCGCATGCCCTGGGCCGGGGTACATTGCCGCCACCTGCCATGAAGCCGCCGCTAGCACGCATGCCACCGGCATACGTCTCGTCGTCGGAGTCGCTTGCATTTCCATCTTGGATCTCCACCAATGTCAAGACACTCGGTCCCAAAGTGGACAAGGCCATGTCCTCGATACGTGGCAGTATGGTGCCTGGCGAGGGCTTGCGTGCTGGTACCGTGGGCGAGAGGAATGGCATAGCCGCTTCATCCATGTTCGCCCGGGTCTTAGGCAACTGAGAGATGGATTTGAAACCGTCCGAGATGAGTGCCGTCGGTGAACCAGGTTTGCTGCGGCCGAACTTCCTGGCAGTCTCTCCGCTGTCGTGCCGTCTGTGGCTCGTCTGACCAGGTGAGCCAGGTTGCGCAATAAGCATTCCTGCCGAAATGCGCCATGAGACCTTCATAGGCTTCATGGCCCTCGTACTCGTAGAGCCAGCTGCACCACCGAACACGGACTTGTCACCGACGTTGTGGACATACGTTGAATCAGGGACATTGTGACCGCCTACGCTATCTAGCACTGCAGTCGGTATGCGGTGCGATTCTGACGCGCGGGTGGAGGCTACTGTAAGCCTTGTGGCGCCTTGAGTGATTCGTAAAGTTATTGCAAGTGCATTAGTCCTCAACCTCAGCCTCCATACTTCATGCAGCATTTCCCAGTCAGCGCCCAGACTATAGAGGCGTACCTCATCGCCACCGTGCAGCAAGGCATAGAAGCCGTACTCACCGAGCCAAGCTGCGGTGACGGGCTCAGCATCGAGCGAGATCTTGGCAATTGGGTGAGGGCTTTGCTGCAAAGCTTCGGGACCGCCAAAAAGATCGTCCCCGTCAGAGAGGTTGCCATCCGCCATGGCAGCGACGTCCCATATCCGGATAATCGCATCGTCGGACACTGTCAACAATCTCCCAGCGACGCTAAGGTTCCAGTCGAGAGCGGTAACGCAGGCACTTGCTAAAGCGAGGCGTTTGATGGGGCATTTGAACGGTGCAGCCGACCATATTTCCACATCGCCCGCATGACTTGACGCAAAGACATGGCGTGATAAAGCGTTGAAGGCGATGCTCGTACATCTGGTGCGCGGCGCGCATGTCTGCCAGACCTGGGTGACTGGATTCCCTAGCTTCCATAGACTTATACAGCCGTCAATGGTGCCGGCAGCTAACAAGTCTCCATCCGTACTTGACCAGCTCAGGGCAGTAATTGTTCGTCCGTTACCAGCCAGAGTATACCGACAGTCTTTGATATCAACATCGTAAATTCTTGCTCGCCCTGCGTCAGAGACTGCAAGGAAAATTGGTCGCAAGGCTGATAACGCCAGTGTCCGGCAAGCTCCCGCGTAATGTCGGCCATCGTCGAGGTACCATCCAGAGCCATTAGGGTTGTCCAGTGACTGTATGAGGATGCCATATGCAACGCATGACGCCACATACCGGGCATTGAGTGCGACTGAATGCGCGCTTCGAGATTGATGGCCGGTTACTTCGGCTTCCCCCTCCATGAAACGCCGATTTTGCGGCTGCAAGAGGTTCTGGCATCTCGCTCATTGAGTCTAGTGTCGGGTGTCTGGAGGCTGGAAAGGATGTTGAAGTGATAATTACGAGGTCAAAGGGAGGCGTGTGCCGGGAGGCGTGTGCCGCGAGACGCGCATGGCGCGACCCGAGAAGGTGGGGCGTACGAATGACTCGCATGAGTGTGAACGCATTCGCGACTTCCAGCTGTCTTACTGCGCCGTAAGTGTAGCTCGATCGTCCATCTGCGTGAGGGGAGCATTTACAAGACTCGCTCTTCCCTTCGGAATAGCATCTGGGATAAGTCGCACCGGCGTCCCCTACACCATCAATCCTCTGTCCAAAGAGGACCGCCCTCTTCAGACCTCGCGCGATCAGGTTACGGCAACGTCAAAGCGAGCCATATACCTCGGTGACGGGCGGGCAGACATCCATCATGACTGCCCCGCTGCCAAAGCGTATCATCAAGGAGACGGAGAGGTTGCAGAGCGAGCCAGTGCCTGGAATCTCTGCACAACCGCACGATGACAATGCACGGTACTTTGACGTGATGGTGGAGGGCCCCGGTGGTAGCTGTTATGAAGGTAGGCTGCCCACATCGTACGCGAACATGGAGGCGGGATCTGATGAGTACTGTAGGTGGCATCTTCAACCTTGAGCTTTTCCTCCCAGACGACTACCCAATGTGCCCTCCGCGAATACGCTTCCTTACCCGCATCTACCACCCCAACATTGATCGGCTAGGCAGAATATGCTTGGATGTTCTGAAGAACAACTGGTCACCCGCATTGCAAATTCGGACGATCCTGCTCAGCATACAGGCCTTGCTGGGTGCACCTAATCCGGAGGATCCCTTGAACGAGGCGGTGGCGAAGCAATGGAAGGTTCGTTTGCCGCGGATAGGCATCAACTTCTCTGACCGACGTCACGAATTCTATGGTTTGCTAACGCCATGCAGGAGAACCAACCGGAAGCCATTCGAACGGCGCGTGAGTGGACAAAGCTGTACGCGCAGAAGAAATGATGAGCATGTGAAACGAGTCGACGAACAACTTGCATGACGTGTACTTTGAGCAAAACATACCTTGTCTGAGCTAGCAGCTTAAGGCCAAAGTCTGGTAAGGTTCCTGCATTGCGCCAACACATTAACAAAATCATTTCAATATGCTGGGCGGTCAGCAGCTGCTTCAGACATTGGTCCCGTCGTCAATGGATGGTTTGTATCACACGCCCTCTCTTCATGTGCAGTCCGACGTGCGTACGGTACCGAAACATGGCATGCAAAGCGAGGGTGAGCCCCACGGCCATGTAGTGACGTTGAACGAGGTGCTCGAGAACATATTCACGCTAATGATACACTGAAACAAAGCTGCTGAATTCGCACGGCGCACACTTACTCGCTGACCTTACTTTCTCGCACCGGCCTCGCTCACTCCTGAATATACCGAGCTTGCTCAGCACATAGTGGTGTCTCGTTCGTCCGTGAATGCAACCTGACCCTCAATCATGGCTTTCCCACTCCCTACGACTTGGGTGACTCCGGTCAACACGAAAGCTCCCTTCAGGAAGCAGTCGTCGCTGACAGCAGCTACGGATAAGAAGTCCTCCATGGCGGACAATGACGAGCTCAAGGCTCAAGGTACGTTCTCGTCCGAACCCTCGCATGCAGAACTCACAACGGGTGGCAACCCACTGTATGCGCATACTTCGTAGGCAGATGAATATTTCGCTGACTCGTCCATAGTTACTTCGAAACCGGTGCGAGCCAAAGACTTGAAGCCGTTGGCTAGTAGGCTTTCAGCCTCTCTAATTCTCAGTGAAGAAGCGGACTGACAGCGCTGCAGCTTTGCCACCAGTGCTTGTGATCGCTGGAAGCCCGGGAAACATCCCGACTCACCCAGAAGCGGTTGCAGGGAAGCTATCACCGTCGGAGCCAGATGGACACAAGATGACCGCTCGCGACCCGCTCGCACGTTCTTATGGTAGGGATATGGCCGATGTGATTCGAAGCTTAGACGCTGCGTGTGCAGGCGGTCTCGCAGGCCCGAAGTCGTCGTTTGAGTGTGAGGAACGAAAGCCAACCTGGGGAAACATGCTCGCCAAGCTCAAGGTCAGCTCTGACGACGCGGACGACAGTAGCATGCCGCAGTCTAGCTCGAGGAGTGGCTTGCTTGCTCTGTTACCGGGCAAGAAGAGCGCACCCGCCTACTCGCTTCCGGCTGGGCAGGGTGGAGGCTCGCTCAGCCCGTGTAAGGCACATGTTTTGCAGCACGAGAAACTGTCGGCGCTGTCCGAGTCGGAGACGCCACCTACCCAGATTCAGCATCTTGCTCTGCAGGCTCTGAACGCAGTTGCAAATGGCGGGCAGAAGAAGGAGCCCAGACTCGACGTAAAAGCACACGTGATGTCACCATGTCAGCCATCCGTTCTCTCAACATGGCAATGTGCGCACATCGGAGACGATGTGATGGAGCGCGATTATGTTGTCGGCGAGCCTGCGGAAAGCCGAGCAATGAGTCCTGCCATTACTGGAGCACGGCTCTCGCCGCATCCAGCGGTCAATCCTAAAGCGTACTGGCACAGCAATGGCGAGGAAGGGAACACCGACAGCACTCTTGTTGAGATCGAAGACTTCAAAGAGAAGTATGCGCCACCTTCGGTACCAATGATGTCAAGCGAAACCAACGATCCAAGTCTTAGGCATGCGACTTCGGAGAGTTCGATACGAACAACAGCCACCACCATCCAGAGAATGGCGCCAGTTGTGCCGCCACCGATTCATCTGTCAAAAGTGCGTACGGTTAATCCCGACTGCTCGCCGCTGACGTACGTTTCCAAGCCGAAATGCTCGCCTGCGTATCCAGCCTCGCCTGATGATCCCAACTGGCCATTCGCGCTTGAGAGGGCCAAAGCGAGTGTGAAGGCGGACAGGAAGCAGACAGCTTGCCAAGGTCGAGCTCAGAAGCGTTTGCAGAAGCAAGTTCGCAAACCTGCTCGAGAGGGCAGGATCGAGGATGCGCGCCAGCTTGTTGCGAAGGGCAATAAGTTTGGCTGGATGCCTAAGAAGGATTATGCGGAGATGACACTGGACAAGCTCGAGACGGTGGGTTGGGCAATTGACGAAGAGATGACGGAGCCTTCGAGCGGCAAGTTGAAGAAGCTCATCAAGCATACTGGCGCTGATGTGGCGATGGACCGTACTGCCAAACAAGCCTTCTTCCAGAAACGGAGGTTTCTCATTCGTCCGGCTACAGAAGCGGTAGACTCAGAAGGTCAGAACGCGGAGAAACCAGAAGCTGTGGATGATCTTGCCGCTGCCAGAGAAAGTGAGCTTCGCAAGGCTATGGAGGAGAGAGCTAAGACAGCGTCTGACGAGGTGGTCGATTGCTTGTCAGATATCATCGGGGACGAGGAAGTCAATCAACGCTTGATAGAGTCGCCACAACCTGACGGGCCGAGTGCGGAGTGGAACCGCATGCTAGGCCGCGACTCGGACGGCGAAAGCACCGCCTACGCTTCGACTGCTGCGGAGAGGGAGAAGACGTATCAGACACTCTGCGAACCCTCCGTGGGCGATGAACAACCCATTGGCCTTGGCATCACCAACCTCGATGGCAATGACAACAGTGCACGGAGAGGCAAGGCTGCGCCTCTGAGCATGCGTGCGCGCATCTCAGCCGAATACAGCCCTTCGGAAGTCTCAGACTTCATGAGGGATATGAACGAAGAGATGCGTCGGTCTAGAGAAGCATCCTCCATCTTCCCATGCAGCGTAGAAGCTCCCGAAACGCCGGAACGGACGGTATCGCCCTGTCCGACCCAGCCTTCAGTGCTGCAAGTGAAATGCTCGCCGGACGGCAAGTTACTACGAGATGGCAGCTTCGGACAAAAGATATTAGAAGCCAGCGACAAGCGAGCATTGCAGCTTAAGCACGCTCATCCCGCTATGCGTGATAAGACTAGCATCATAGGGGGAAACGGAGAAGACACAATGCGAGTCCCTCTAATTGCGCTGGAGGACGTCGACGAAGAAAGTAGCGTTACCGAGCTTATTACGCCGAGCGGAGGGGACGAAACCATTGACGGCGAGAAGAATGGTTGTTTCAAGTCAGAGTGTGACAGCAAGCTGCAAGTCCAGATACCGGAGGGAGTCAGCCACGGCAGTAATCTTGATTTGTTTTCGATATCGAGATACGACGATGATCACATAAGCTTGCTGCGCGTGAGCTTGCTACAAGAGGCCGAGCGAATCGACCATGAAGACAAGCGCGAAGCTCTGTATCCACGACCTATGCTTGAACACATTCGACCAGTCTCCGCTTTCGACTTCGGTGACGATGAAGAAGACGAGGAGCGAGCGGAGACAATCTTGATCAGCCAAAAACCATCATGCACAAGCGCCGTAGGCCGTCACTGTGTCGGGCAGGCAACGGCCTTGCCAGAGATCACAGCCTATACGAGCCGGCTGAGCGATGTCTTTGGAATCGGCTGCATTGAACGGAACACCACATCTATGGTCATTGGTTCGGAACGAGTGAAGAACGACGAGGAGAAGTTCAAGCTCGAGAACCTTACTATGCATACTACAAAAGGATTGTACACTGACGAAGACGGTGTTGAGTGGATTGACAATCCAGATTACAAGCCTGAGCCGACTGCAGGCACAGTCGAGCCAGGCGAGAATGGCTTCGCCGAGCAGACGGCTCCCAAGCCAAGCGGCCATCCAGCTACCCATATCGACATAGACGACGTCCTCACGCAATACCAGAACTGCTTGGCGCTCTCGCCATCTCCGTCCGCATCGACCTCAGGGAGCTCCGGCAGAGATACAGTCGTCAATCGCGATATGCAAGCCATGCGCGAAGATGTTGGTCTTTCCCCACTGAAATTGCCGGCTCACGACTTCTCCTACAAACATCCTTGTCACGCATTCTTGTTGAATACAGAAAAGGCCATGTGTTTCGGCGCGCACGGCGCCCCTCTAACGGCGCTAACGCCTGTCCCAGACGATGCCTTCGAGACACCGAGTCACGACAAGGCTGTCCGCACAAGCTACCGACACTTGGACGACAAGTACTTTCAGCCCTGCAGTACTCCTGCGGTTTCGAAGCCCCAAATTTGCAGCCGCTGCGCCAAGCTCTGCTGCATCTACGCTGAAAGCTTGTTACTCAGCTCGATTCCCGGCCGCAACAGGTTACATGAAGAAATACGTGCGAAAGCGGAGGAGACGGCGGTGAATTTGCGTAGCGTGTATCCGCAGGGACTAGAAGTCTTTGACACGTTCTTGACTTGTGAAGAGTGCAGTCTGCTCGTGTGTCCGCAATGCGCAGTTATGTGCGAAGAACTGCTGTGCCGGCAGGTGATGTGCAAGAAATGCGGAAGCCATGGAAGATGCTCATTGCACGATTGATGTATGCGCCTAGTACGTAGTGTAGGCAGAGTCGGATGTGGCCGGCACCACGCTTGGGACACATCCTCTCCTTCTCACGTTGAATGCACCTCCAACGCCTCGCTAAACGCGCTTCACAACTGCAAGCGATCCCGGTGGACAGAGAACCCCCCTTGTTTTCACCCTTGCCTAGAAAGACTGTCAATACGGCATAAGAACGACTATGATTAGGGCACAACATACCTCTGCTTATGCTTTGGATTCTTCGAGCATATGATATACACATACTTTCCTCCTTTCCTCCTCACGCTCTTGCACCCATCGCAAAGCTTCTTGACGCTACTCCGCACCTTCATCCCACGTACTTGCTGCCTCGTGACCACGCCCGTGCTCTGAGGTCGGCTCTCCAAGCTGAGGCGTGCGAAAGCCGATGATAGCGAGTCAAGTCTTCGTTGAGGCAAGTCAATCGCTGCTTTCGGTCTTCTTGTCGGCGTCAGTAGCGCGTATGCGCGCAGATGTTGGTATATGCTGCATGGGGTTGCGCTGCGGAAGGGGATGGAGCGGCGAATGAGATGGCGGGCGAGACGCAATGCGATCATGGTCGTGGATGTATGCCGAGGAAGGGGTAAGGTTATCTTCTACGTAGAGGCTGATGTTGATGGATGGAGTCAATGCGAACAATTATCTTTACAGATGCAGTCTTCTTAGGCGGAGAACGCCTGATGCCGGAAGTTGCCGGGTGGAAGTGAGAGTATATCACGTGACTGTGTACAGTGGAAGGTGAGAGGCAGAATAAGACTGAAACAGAAGGACAATTATCCTTCGCTGATCCTAACACTCTTCCTGACAGCCCTCCTCGGCCGTCCGCTTTCTGTCGTCTCCGCCTCAATAGGAGCAGTCTCCCCACCCTGCTTCCCTGCCTGATCGCCTGACACTTCAGCAGCTACCGTGCCCGTACTGGCATCAGGACCATGCTTCGAAGGTGTGTTGATTCCTGCTGTCGTGTTGGTCGCAGAATTACTCTTCTTCAACACCGATGTAGGCTTCTTCACAAACTTCACGTTACTCTGCACCTTCGCCTTCTTCTCCTCAACAAGTACGATCGGACTTGCCTCCTTGCTTACAGCCTTTGAAGACATGTCATCTTCTTTCTCCATGTCCTTCAAGGGCAACCTCAAAGCGAGCCAGCTCTCGGGCGCTCGCTCGCAGCGCTTCATGACGTCCTCCATATGCTTCCTCACTTCGTTGGCAGGCTTGACCCAACGCTTTACGAACTCTGGCAAAGTGGTCTCGAGCCCGGTCTTGACCTCTAACATGATGGTGACAGGCTGCCAGTACTCTTTGTTGGGATCCAACCCCGTCGGGTCGGCAGCATCGCGACCTTTGCGGGTGACTATAAAGGAAGCGAGGTGATGATGCGGTGATAGTGTCTCTAGGATGCTATGCTGAGGGAAGAGAAAGCGGTCCTCGCTTGCGCCTGGTACGGTGAAGGAGAGGATCACTGGGCGTTGCGTGCTTTGCTGGCCAGTCCAACCCTGTTGAACCGCGTAAGACGAAGTAGATGGCTGGTTGTGAAAAGGCGCTTGTTGTGTCGCTGGGGGTTGCTGGTTGTGCGGCGTGGGTGTGCCCGTGCGACTATCATTCGCTCCATCGTACAGTATCACTTCCTCCTTCGCAGCATCAGCTTCACGCCGCCTCTTCTCAGCCTCTGCGTCCTGTCGCTCCTTCTCTTCTCGTTCTACCCTAATCTGCTTCTGCAGATCATCGATATGCGTCTGGAAGACTTTGAGTTGTGCGGCGGTCGCGCTTCCTGTCGCCACCTCCTTCATGAGGCTCTTAAGCTCGGGATCCTGAGAGGCGCGTGCGGCAAGCTTGCTGATAACCGGGTCGGGCATCTTCTTTTCGGGCTGAACTTGAGCAGGTTGGGCTCTAGAGGCAGGCGTCACCGGCCCTGAAGGTGCGCGTTGCGTCATGCTGTTGATTGGAGGTAGTGTTTTCCCTTGGTGCGACTGTTGCTGTAACGGCGGTAAGGCTTGGTTCTGATATGGTTGTCCAGGCGTATACTGCTGCGGCCGATACGGCTGCCCGTACCCCGCCTGACCGGGGGGCGGATACTGCTTCGGCGGTGGCGGTGGTTTCGGCTTCTCCTCAACGTACATCTGGCACTCGAAGATGTGAGGTTCGATCCGAATGCGGCACTCGCCTTTGGCCTTCATCCACTTCACGTCTGGATTGTTCGCCGGGGGAGGTTTTGCGTTCTTGCCTGTCTCCGGCTTCACCCAGTACCGCTCGAATAAACCCTCCGTTGTCCATCGTGCTTGCGAGCGCGCCAAGGAGGCCTGAAGCACAGCGCTGGCGGCGATGCTCTGATACTCGTCGTCGGATAGCGGTAAGGCTTGCGGTTGCGGTAAAGTAGGAAGCGCCCTCTTGTCGGAAACCTTTGAAGGTAGCTTCGGTACCTGTGCCTTCTTCTTCTCCACGGCCGGTATGCTCACTATAGGTGACAGTAGCGCGGGACTGGACCCAAGATCTGTTGATAACCTGGGCTTCTTCGATAGAGGCGTCGCATCCTTAGGCGGCCTGCCAGGTCCACGCTTCAGCCCTGCCGTCGGACTCATAGCCTGGGTCATATCTCCTACCACTGTGATTCCCACCTTACGAGCTTCGCCGAGATAGTTAAATCTGTGGTTTGAAGGAAGCACGCTGTGGGCGCAACGACGGATCTCTAACGCTTATTAAGCGAAACGCTCGGACCACGGGAAGAAAGGGAAGGCACTTGCGCACCGCTGTCAAGTACAACACCAAGGTACTCCTACTCCAATCGCGTACACCACGTCGTGCATTCGTCAGGCCGGAACTCATGCAGCAAACGCTGACTTTGCTTGACTGCTAACACCGTTGCGGCATCGAGATCAACCACTAACCGCAGTCGAGCCTGGAACGAGCTACACCTGGTCTATCTCCAGTTCCTCCTTGACCCCACCAGACATGCTAAGTTGAGGATATAACACAGCTATCACGAAGGGGCCCTATTCTACAAAGGCGTGAGCCGATCTACCCGTGTCTTCCGCCTTCTGAGGCTCTGCGAGTCGTGACCAGTGACACAGGCATATGCGCAGCACCATTCCAGGCCAAAGGTCCGCTCGAAATCGTTCCCCAGCCTGTACTGGCGCCTGACTATCTTCAAGCTCTGCATAATAAACAACCAGCCTCTCTACCATTCCGAACGATGTTCGCAAGCACGAGGGCTGCTGCCAAGTGAGGCCAAGTGAAGCTAAGTCGCGCCGCCGCCATTCGCCACCGCTGCCAAGGTGCTTGTGCTGCAACCCTTATGATCACCTCTCTGCAACATCAGCTTCTCTGACTTCTAGAAACCAACCAGTCCGAAAAGGCAAGCAATATGCTGCAGGTACTACCTATAGTCTGCATTGGCCTACAAAGTGGCCATCTGGGTCCCGTCAGTCAAGCTTCAAAAAAACTCTTACACTGCTATAGTGGTCTGTAGCGGTGCCATAAAGGTAAGCACAGAGTAGGCATTCGACCATCTTGCTTTCGGCTTTCTCTTGTTGTACTTCGCATCAGAAGATGAAGTTCCTGTCGCTGGCGGCTTTGTCCGCATCTATTGCTGCTTGCGTGTCTGCCATAACCATTGCAGAAATCAACGGCAACCGCTTCATTTCCCCATACAAGGGTCAAACTGTCACAGGTGTTCAAGGCCTCGTTACCGCCAAAGGACCGAACGGCTTTTGGATCCGCTCGACAACACCAGACACAGATGATGTAACTTCCGAGTCCATCTACGTCTATGGCCGTGCTGGACTGCCCAACGCAACCGTCGGCAATGTTGTCTCGTTGAATGGCCGTGTGACCGAATACCGCTCGACTTCAACGTACTTATACCTTACGGAGATTGACACTCCAAAGAACATTACTACCCTTTCCACTGGCAACACCGTTACGCCTCTTCAGCTTGGCCAACAAAGCTTGATATCCACATTGCTTGGAAAGACCAGCTTGAACCCACCAACCCAGCAGTATACCTCCCTTGACAACGGTGACGTCTTCGGGCTACCCGGTAACACCAGCTTGGTCTCGGTCGCCAATCCGGTATTGCAACCCAAGCAATACGGGTTGGACTTCTGGGAGAGCATCAATGGCGAGCTGGTCACGATTAAGAACCCCTCTGCCATCAGCAGGCCAAACACGTATGGCGAAACGTGGGTCATTGGCGGCAATTGGATCGTTACAGGAAAGAACAGCCGTGGATCGCTGACAGCTACACCGAGGGATGGCAACCCCGAGGGTATCATTATCGGCGATCCACTTGATGGCACCGACAATCCGAAAGACGTAAAGCTCGGCGACCAGCTTGCCGACATCACGGGCATTGTGACTTACACCTATGGTTTCTACTACGTCCTTCCAACCACGAAGATCACCATCACCACCCCCAAGCAACCGGAGTTCCCACCGCCCACACGTCTCACTTCCAGCGGTCGCTGCTCAGGCATCACAATTGGCCAGTACAACGTCGAAAACTTGAGCCCGCAATCCGCACTCCTCGATGACATCGCCCAGCAGATCGTGACATACCTCAAGACTCCGGATTTGCTCTTCGTCCAGGAAATCCAAGACGACAATGGTGCGACTAACAACGGCGTAGTGAATGCCAATGTCACTCTTTCTACCCTGACGGCCGCCATCAATGCTGCTGGCTCCAAGGTCAACTACAGCTACGTTGACATTGATCCTGTCAACAACCAAGACGGCGGCCAACCGGGCGGCAACATTCGCGTTGCATATCTGTACAACCCTGCCGTCATCCGTCCGCACAACCCCAACCCGGGCAGCAGTACCGATGCGAACGAGGTCTTGCCTGGTCCCGAGCTCAAGTACAACCCGGGACGCATCGATCCTGCAAACCCTGCCTGGGTTGACAGCCGCAAGCCCCTTGCTGCAGCTTGGGAGACTCTTGATGGCAAGAACAAGTTCTTCACCGTCAATGTGCACTGGATTGCCAAGCTTGGCGGCTCCTCGATCCAGGGTGACGCGCGTCCACCAACCAACGGTGGCGTCGACGAGCGTCACCTCCAGGCTCAAGTCACTGGCAACTTCATCGCTCAGATCCTCGCCCAGGACAGGAACGCCGCCGTCATCGCGGCCGGTGACTACAACGAGTTCAGCTGGGTTGAGCCATTGCAGACCTTTGCGTCTGTTTCTGGACTCAAGGACCTAGATGATGCGACGCTTACTCCACCGTTGGAGCGATATACGTACACCTTTGGAGCGAACACGGAGCAGTTGGATCATATGTACGTGAGCCCAAAGGTGGCTTTACTCTTGCCGCAGTTCGAGCATGTGCATGTCAGTTCGTGGGTTACTGATGCGGATGTCGTGTCCGACCATGACCCTAGTGTCGCGAAGCTGAATGTGTGTGCTGGTCTGTTGTAGACTAGAGTAACATTCCAGCTTAGCTACCGAAAGTAAACCTCGAGCGAGCAGAACTCTCAAGTGAGCAGTTTATGCAGTAGTAGAACTTGTGCCTTCCCAATCGTCCACTTGTAGCAGTGGAAGATGCCTAAGGCCATTAATTCGAAAGCCCGTCGGCCAATCTCCTCCGCTAACCCAACTTCAACTCCTTATCGACATATTCATTCCCAGCGGTGGTACGTGGTAATGCCGAGTCCGGCCACGGCGGTCCTGGGGAGGATCGCTCTCTTCTTCGCGGTTGCTGTTGGACTCTACGCAGCGCTGCTAGGCGTCCTACTGCATCCCACCCTGCAGCGCTTTGCGCTCTACGTTAACAAGCTCAACACCTTGCCGTTTGGGGATGATCTGAACAATGGCGAATCTTTCGGCTACTCAAAGCATCAAGTCACACCGTTTGAACTGCCAACACCGGACGGCGAGACATTGTATGCTTGGCATATCTTACCGTTGGACGTCTATGCCCGCCATGAGCAATCTCTGCGTGAGGAGCAAAGACCGCATCTACCCATGAGCATGGACGAGTTTAGGCGGAGCAGTGCCTTCCAGTTCCTCACGAGCGATGAGCCGGTGCCAGCACAAGTTATTGTAGCCTGTATGCGGTCTTCTTTCCACAATGTTGTGATGTTACGCTGACTGACGCCTTGCAAAGAAGTCCACGGCAATGCCGGTCATATCGCTCAAGGCTGGCGAACAGATACATACCGACAACTTGCTCTCAGACCGAACACGCATGTCTTGACAATCGACTACCGTGGTTTCGGTCATTCGACCGGTTCACCGACAGAAGCAGGCCTGATCACGGATGGCACAGCGCTTATTGACTGGGTCATGCATGCCGCCGGTATTCCGCCAGAACGCATCGTGGTTCTCGGGCAAAGCTTAGGAACTGCCGTTTCAAGCGCCGTGACCCTGCACTTTGCCGACCCCTCGAGCGAGCTCATCCCGAGCACATCAAGGGAGCTGCGTCCGCTGCTTGCAAAGGAGGGCTCCATCCAACCGACTGCATTCGCTGGGGTCGTGCTTGTGGCGCCTTTCTCGAGCTTACCGTCCCTTTTGCTGACATACCGTATCGGCGGCTTCCTACCGATACTACTCCCTCTGCGGCCCTTCCCGTACATTGCTGGCATGCTCACCAGTCGAATGGTCGACACTTGGCGTTCCGCAGACCGTTTGGCAGCATATTATCAGGCACTTGCCAACAGTCCGCTGACGAAGTCTGACCGCACCGGTCGAGTCATGGGTAGCCTCCAGCTTGTGCACTCCATTAGGGACATGGACATCCCGTATCATCAAACGGAAATGATCTGTCGACGCGTCTTTGGTGGAGGCTTCGAGCCGGGCGTTTACGAGAAGGAGGAAGACTCTGGTCTGGTCGACTGCGTGGATGGCAGCCGTGGAGCGGCTGTGCTTGACGTTAAGGCAGCGAATCGGCCACGGGTCAGATTCGAAATAATCGAGTATGGAGGTACGCGACTTGTGCCGCTAAGGGTCTTCCGATAAGTGTTTTGTTTGCTGACTATATACTGTAGGCCACAATCGCATTATCACCTACAGCCAGGTAGCTGCCGCTATCTCACGGGTCTTCGACAACCTCTTCGACTAGCCGCTGACAACAGCTGGCAACTGCAATTGACTGGGATTGACCAAAGGTCCCTGAATAGTGCTGTTGTGCTGCCAATGTGCTGCGAGCTGATAGAGTGGGCTTTTTATATAGAGTTAGAGCTGTCCCGAAGGGTGGACTTAAACTCATGGCAGTTCGTCTTCGTTCCACCTTCGTCCTTCTTTCTCTCGCCTTACAACAAATGCCAGGATAGTCCTTGCTGCGTCTTCTGAGCTGAGATGTGTTAGATCAATTTCGAGCTCATCATCATCACCGAATCTCCAGATGCCATCGCCTTCCCTCCGATACCGTCTGAGGATTTCAACGTCTGTCAGCTTGCCAATCAGACCTCTCCCACGCCCTGCCATCGCCAGCCGATGCTCATTCCCCGCTTCCTCGCAATGCAGGATGACCGAGTAGAATCGTCGGCCGTCCTCGCCGAGTGCAAGATTCGTGTAATCACCCATGCATTCATTGTGCTCAGTCTGGCTGTCCGTGAAGACGAACACCGTATCTCTAAGCTTCACATCTTGCATGATAGGCTCAAGGCGAACCCGGTGATACTCACCACGCGTCAGCTGATACTGAATGCTACCTCTTAGATACTTCAGCTCCACAGGATCGGTGAGCTCGTGGTTGTGCAGAATTTCGCAGCCAGGAATGTGTGGTTGTAGAGCGCAAGCTACTGTAAGCTTGCCGACACCGGGCTAGCCGTTGATGTAGATCACGTACGCCGGCATGGTGATAACGAAAGTGGCAGGTTCTTTCGGAGACAACTTCAGCACACGGTTTTCTTGATTGCTGATCTTTCCGCCCAAGTTTGACGGTGGCTTTGATATGAGCTTGAAGTGAGGGACTGACACTCCGAAAGCGAAGTCAGCGGCTTCAGCTGTCTTCGCCAACCGTGCTAGCTGCAGATGCACGAGTGGCACGCACTTATTCGACATCGGGACTGGAAAGTCTCACCCTTCAATTCTATCGCTGAACGGACTCACCATCGACCTATCTGCTACTCAGCGCATCACCAAGATTAATAGCAACGAACAGCGTTCCCAGCGACAGTGTTGCGAGTTCCTTTCACTGCATCTTCCACGAAGCCTACCTGCTTAGAGTCTTCTCCGTGATAAACCATGAGGATATGACTGCACCGATCACGAGCCCAGCTTGCAGAGCAAAAGCCGCGCTCGTACTTCTTTGGTAGCAGTCAATAACAACAGCCTGCACCTGCGGATCCAGGTTCTTCACATATGTCAAGCTCTGTCGGACACGATCTGCAATTTCCGCTGCCTTCTTCGGAGACAACCCCTGTGAGGGCAGCTCAGAAGCCAACATTTTACGCAGGGTCTGGTTCGCCACGGTAGCTGACATCGAAATGCCGAAGACGCTACCCAGCGAGCGGAATAGGTAGCTGCAAGCTGTGGTCACCGCTTGGTCTTGGGGGGAGGCATTCGCGATCAAGCTGATAAGGGTCGTAGTTACTGAAATGCCATTTCCAAGTCCGCTAAGGCACACAGACAAGATGACACCAAGCGTGCTGGTTATGAGCGGACCTGAGAAGACGAAGGCACCAACTGCACCGATCAGAACACCAGAATAAGCCAGAACCGTAAGCCAATAGTACTTGCCGCTCCGTTGCATGTATATGCCACCTCCCAAGCTGCCGGTCACACTGCAGAGCACTACCGGAATTAGTCGTATGCTCGCACCTGTAGCAGACAGGCCCTCAGTAGCTTGGAGGAACAGTGGGACGTAGAATAACATCGCCATGAATGTCCCGATAGAGAAGAAGTTGCAAGCATAGCAGGCGAACATTGAGCGGTTGAAGATGATGTGTCCGGGGGCGAAGGGCTCCTTGGCAACCTTCCTCTCGACCAAGACGAAGATCATGAACAGCGGCACCGAGACGCTGATAGAGACTATGGTGATGGTGGCGCTCCAGCTGACATTGCTGCCGCGATCAAGGGCAAGTAGTAGTGTGAAGACTGCCGAAATAAGTACGGCTGCGCCGAGAAAGTCGATTCGCGCAAGCTTCTTCTTCCAATCTGCGTCGTCCGTCGTTGGCAGATGCAATGCAAAGGAAACGGCAATGAAGGCGACAAGGCATAACGGAGCCTGTACGATGAACGACCACCGCCACCCAACAGAGTCAGCAAACAGACCGCCTAGCGGAAGACCAGAGGAGCTTCCCGCAGCGAAGATGAGGTTCAGGTAGCCTTGCCATTTCCCGCGCTCACGAAGGGAAACGACATCACTGAGCAGGATCGAGACAACAGTCGTCATCCCACCGGCTCCGATGCCGGCGAAAGCTCGTGCGGCAATGAGTTGGTTGATATCCCGAGCGAAACCGCAGAAAAGACAGCCAAGGCCGAAGACGCTGTAAGCAAACAGCAATGCTGCCTTGCGCCCGAATATGTCGCTAAGTTTGCCGTACAGGGGCTGAAATGATGTTAGCGTTAGCCAGTACGATGTCGCAATCCAGCTGGTCAGGTTGAGGGCATCCAGTTCGCTGCCAATCTTGCCATAACTGCTGACAATGATCGTTTGGTCGGCTGCTGCCAGAAAGATGCCAATTCCTAGGGCGGGCATTAGATACTTCATCTGCTTCTTGACCTCTGGTAGACCTTCGAATTGCTTCTGGCCATCTCCAGCCGGCGATGAGTCTCCGCTCTGCTGCTGCTCCTCTGTAGCGTTATCACCAGCTCTAACAACTCCGGCGGGCTCGTTTGGCAGGCTTGCTGCTGGAACACCATTGGACTCTGTAGCCTTAGGAAGCAGAGGCGAGGTCTCCGTGGGTTGGCCGTTGGGCCGTTCTTGTTCACCAGCCATCACTGTTGCTACGAGAGTTCACAGAAGGAGTCAGTAGGTGGATTGCACCAAACTCTACCGGTCAGTCGTGGAGTAGTACGGAATACTGGGCAGAGGGCGATCAGGCCTCCAACGCTCACTTGATGAGAATGTTAGATCTAAGCGGACAGTACGCGCTGGCAAGGATGCTTCTGGCTTAGTCTAAGACAGGGCATCCTCTCGGCTAGCTTGTATCCAGCAGACTCAGCTGCCACAGCACCGTTGATAGCAAGCGATTGTGTTCGACATGGGATTGGTGGCCAAGTTCGAAGTCACTGACGGTGGAGCCGCTTAGTCAGCGTCGCTCAACGTCTCCCTCTTAGCCGAGACGGCGTTAAGCGGAGCATCGTTCATGCAACCGTCGATCGCTTGACGATGGAGAATGTCCAGTCTTCCCATCGGCGCATCTGAGCAAAGGCTACTATCATCGTTGGCCTCTGCTACAATCTCTAGCGCAGGGACGGAGCTCGTCCAGGGGACAGGTCATCATGATGAGGACTTATCGAGGCAAGGTGATGGCTCGGCAACCGGAGCAGGTAGGCAGTTGCGTCGAAAGCGTGGAGCATATACAGCCTGCTTAACATGAACACAGATAGCGGCAACCAGATAGCAACTCGGACAGGTGAGGTGATAGAGCCGAACACTGCGAGCTCATTCGGAAGAGCTGCTACAGCCGAAGAAGAAATTGCATACCTCGAGAGCAATCCGCAGGAAGGCTTGCTGCCTCCGCCTGACTTCAAGCCTTTCTTCATTCTTGTTGAGGACGGCGAAACCCGCGAACACTATCATCCCACCATACGCTACGTATTTGCCGATGACGACCCCGACGACTTTACGAACGTGATGCTTGCGACGATAGAGCAGCAGGCTGCTTTGGATGAACGGCAAGACGCAGAGGAGCGCGTAGCAGTAATTGACATGGCTGCAGATGGCAAGGCGGTTTTATCAGCAGCGTCCCTTAGCCCGCATTGGCAAGCGTTGAATGCGAGCGTATCACAAGCACCGAGCTGGGGAGAGGCTTCTCAGGGATTGGGCAGAGGCTTGATGCTTCGAATCTCTGGACGTGAGGCGGCATCGAAGTCCTCCAGTCTTGCCAAAAAGCCTACAGTCAATACAGACGAACTTATCGACACCTACAGCGAGCGTCTGAGATGGCTGGACGAGATCCTAGGTGAAGAGCAAGAGGACGTTGTTGTGAACGAGCCCTCCATACACGATACATGAGGTCTTGTCTAATGTATCTGTTCAAGCGCCACCGCTTCCACATTACGCATCTGCATTGCCTCCGCATCCCGCTAGTGAGCGGTCCTGTTGTACGTGATGCCACACCGGGTCAGGCATTCCTGAGCACCCAGTGCGAAAGCCTTGGGAATGGTCTTCTCGAAGTCTGCAATGTTGGTGCCGTCCAAGAAAGCCGGCCACCCCAAATCTGCATCCACGATATCCGGGTCTTGGATGAAGAAATTCTGAGCCGTTCTGGACAAACCCGGGTCTTCGTTGCTAAACGCTGCGACGAAGATCGCAGGCTCACAATTGTCGTTGAACTCGAAGTGAATAGATCCCATGGGCAGGATAGCACCCTGATACAAGTCCAGTGTGGTTGTAATTGGGTTCGTCAAGCCGCTCTCCTGTACGAATGAGGTTTTCACGTTGTTGCCGGACACGATGGCCAACAGCTCGGTTGCGCGGTTGTGGGTGTGTGGAGTGTTCATACCGCATGGGTTGAGGAAGCCAAAGGACATTGCGACACCTGTGTTGAGCAGAGCCGGCCAGTTGTCCACATAGGAAAGATCGCCTTGGCCACCTTGACCGGCGCCGGCTACGGGGTTAGGGTTGGCCTGCTTGCTATAGTCGAATTTGAAATAGAGATCTGTGTCGCCAAGGCTCTCAATGTAAGAATAGCGGTCGACAGCGGAGAGGGAGAGTTTGATGCGGTCGAGCTGGTCTTGCGTGTAGGTGGGGTTCGGTCGGCCGCTTGTGTTATTGCTGCCAGCGAATTGGCGTGGGAAGAGCCCTTCCTTCCTGACTGGCTTGTCGACTGGCGCAGCGGCGCAAAGGGTTGCCGTCAGAGCGGTGAGTAGGGGGATAAGGCGCATGGTGATGCACGAAACGAAGTAGGTAGGGATGTTCGGTGAGAAATGCTCGTGAAATGTGAATACTTCACCAGACAATGCAGGCGGGCGACCTACTTATACCTGCCTTCTCTTACAGAGGGCTACGTGCCGTAGTGAGCAAGCCAACCTTGAGCGTGCAGTAGTCGAGCATTCGGGTTGCCGTGCTGCTTCGACGCAGTGAAAAGGTCGTCATAACCGGTACGAGACAGCGAGAAGATGCCAATCAGCACCCGCTAACTTCTCATGGTGTGCTTACACCACGTTAGCCAGGCCAGGGTGTAGCGAATGAGGGTCAGCATTTAGTACTATTCAATGTGCGAAGGATTTCACGTAGGAAGCCATGATATTGAACCTTGATAAATGATGCAGGTTGGCCCGGGAAATAATGCTTGGGCCAATGGATAGAGGTGTATGCCGGTCAAGAGCATGGTACCTGCATTTGCAACAAGCTCATCAGAATTGGTGTGGCGATTGGAGCGACTACGGCACGCTGTTACCAGGAAGGAGCTTGTTTTGCGGCGGCAGGATAGCCCGTATTCGGCACCGAGCGGCAGGTTGGGGGCTGCTGCTATGCTACTGTTGGGTCTGCGTTCGCATGCTCACAGAGGAGTCTGCATTTGTTGATGCCTCTACCATACCTGCGTCGATCTGAAGCTTCGGGTACCCTGCGTCCGTCACACGAGAGGTTCGAGTTCGGGGAAGTGATAGCATCTCCGCTCTCCGCGAGGCTCACCAACAAAAGGACCGCCCCGCAGGTGAGGCTGACGAAGGAGTCGGAAGGAGTATTGTAAGAAGATTTGCTAGTGGAGGTGAAGCACTAGCCGCGTGCCAACGCGTGGATTCTGCAGGGATTGCACTCCTAACGTTTCTCTGCGATGCTGTTTCTTCTCGGCTGCCATGTACGTGCCCCAGAAGGCTCGTATATTGCTGTAAGAGCCGAGACCTTGCTGTACTAACCCTATAACCTGCCATCGTGAGTGTTGCAATTGCATTGGGCGCATTCAAAGCTCGCGTTGCAAAGCGTATAGGCTGGCTCATTCATTCTGACAACGGTAGATACGTTGTGACACAGACTCTCATCTTAACATCACGGACAGGAAGTTGTAAGACGTGTCGCACGTTTAACGGTACCTACTTGTCCAGCCCGCCTTCTAACATTGATCATCGCCATGCACTTCATGCTCCGCGAAGGTGACTTGACTACGTTACTCCCGCAATGATGGGGTTGGTCTTTACGGCCGTCAAAACTCCTGAGGCAGAGCATCTGCGGATCGCTCTTACCAGTGGGCGTGTTTGCGGCGGAGGTTGCGCAAACACAAGACCGGCCGCCCATATGTACCAATTCGTTTTCAATCCTATTACAGTACAAACAATTGGCACGCCGCGCTACATTATCACAACACTCACTCCCTGATGGAGCAAGCCACGTTAAGTCTCCTGAAACCAGCCATCCTCGCAATCGCTGGGTTAGCAGCAGTATGTGGTATATACTACACGTGCACCGCAGTGCTCACCCATCCGCCCGACACTGGACTTCAAAGAAGCAACGCTGTCCGTCGCCGTCCAGCGCCATCAGTTCTAGCCCCAGGTGATCTAAGGTGGCGTATGGTACCACCCGGGCTCAACACAGCCATAGGCGTTCTCGAGTTCGAATGTGGGAATCGGGAGTATGTGTATGACATGGCGGATGGATCCTTGCCAAGTCGGGAGACGCTCTCGAACCAACTCGGTCCATTGGATGATCTTGCGTACAGGCAGGTATGCATTCGAGTTATTAAGTTCATTGTGGCAGTTACCCTCGAAGCCCAGCACTTCCCGAATGTGCGTGCAGAGGTGGCCATGACGCCGTTTGCTGATCTGCTTCGCATTGAAGGAGACCTTGAGCAGAACATTCGAGCGCTTGAGATTGCTGCTGCTCACGTTATGAACATGACGCCTCCACGTCCGGAGGAATTTAGTAACATGTACGAGATTGCCATGGCCGACGATGGACCTGCAGTGACGGAGGAGCCGGTAGAAGATACTGACGCTCCACATGAGCACACGCACGGTCTCAAAGGCTTATTATACTACATCGCAGAGCAAGACGCAAACCGGCAAGGTTACGAACACAGAGGCATTTCCTGTGAAGAATGCGGTCAGCTGCCCATTCGAGGCGTTCGATGGCGCTGTCTAAACTGTGCGGACTTCGACCTTTGTACGACTTGCGAGGCACATACCGCACATCCAAAGACTCATCTGTTCGCTAAGATCAAAGTACCATTGCCACCGATGTCCAACAATGGCAAGACGCTGCCTTTATGGTACTCTGGTGACGCCAGGAAGATCTACCCACCGCTTCAGCCAGCTTCAAGGAAGCGGTTGTTCGAGCAGTATAAGTTCGACGAGCCTAGCATCGATGCGCTCTACGATCAATTCACGTGCCTTGCAAATGTGCATTTCCTACAAGATCCACTTGGCATAATGGTTGCTATCGATCAGGCAGGGTTCAGAAGAGCGATGATTCCTGAGTGGTGGAACCTGCGTTCCGCTCCTAACGCGATCATGGATCGTACGTTTCACTTCTACGATACCAACGCCGATGGGCTCATAGCGTTCGAAGAGTTTGTCAACGGTACATCCTTTCTTCGGAGCCCAGCGCGTTTCGACACTATGAGAAGAGTTCTGCAAGGATTCGACATTGACGACAATGGCTATTTGGATCGCTCTGACTTTCTGCGCCTGCTTCGAGCGAAATACGTCCTGCAGGAGAAGCAGGTCAACGACATGGTGGAGATGGGTGAGAACGATCAGACTCTCGATGCGTTGCAGACGCTGCGGTCAAGCCAGCCAATCAGTGCAATCTTCAACCAACAAGACATTCCGCATGGAGAGGATCGACCACGCCAGGGGAAGCAGCTTGATGCTTTCGGCGATATGCAGCCCTTACCCGGCATCAAGACGATCCTTGAGGAGGATGACCCTTGGCTTCTGGATAATGCCATCCCTACGCCTGGTTCCGCTGGAGGATTGAGGCACCATGCATCGCCATCTCCAGAGATGCTGAAAGGTCAAGACGATCGAGACGACATAAGCTCCAACACCGACGCCGCTAATATCCGGGACTTCGCCAACGAGGACAGTTCGATGGTATCTGACCATGGCCCATACAGAGACGTATTGCTGCAGATTGTCGAACAAGGGATGAACGAAATACTAGACCGCATATTCAGGTTGAAGGAACAGGAGCACGACGCTGCTATCGCCACTCGTCAAGAGCGTAACGAATGGCGCACAGAAATAGAAGACTACCTTGCGGAGAAACAACGCATTGCAGAGGAACTTTGCTTGATGGCATCGACAGACCCACTGGCGGCGACAGCAATGCACTCACACACCCGTCAACCACCTCCTACACCTGCGGGCTCCCCGGAACCACCATTTCGCGCCGATATACTACCGACCGACACTGAGAGCTTGGCAGAGCGTGAAGCGGACATAGCTCACCAGCCACTCGATAGGCTCTTGGAGCAGGCAGGCTACGAAATCATTGACGGACGAGGAAATGGTGCTCTGATGCCTCAAGACGACGAGGATAACGAAAGTCGCTTACCAGAGTCGCTGCGCCATCTTCTTCGACCGCCGTCGATCCTGAACGACACATCAGCAGATCCTACAATGCCACAAAATAGACCGAACACTGCATCTGTTGTCGAGGATGGAGCCTTAACGCATGAGAACGCTCCTCGGGCGAATAAAGCAGGTCTTCCGCTATCCTCGGGAGAAAGCAAATCACGCCCAACGGTACTGTCTGCGGCGCGACTATCGCTGCTCGCATCTATGGAGGAAATCGATCGAGAGGTCGTTACTAGGGGCGGATGTGGCAGACTCAGCTTTGACGAGGTCGAAACTATAGTCAAAGCTGACCGTACTAACGAGTTGCTGGGTTTGGTAAAAAGTTGGCTGGAGTTTGCTAGCTTCTGAATCCTCGTTTCACAAACGTGCATGGTCTTATCAACTCGTGCCACGGTTGCGGCAGGACTGGAGCGGAGCAGGAGAATCTATTGTGGCCTCAGACTCCGATGGCGTCAACCCACGCATGCCGTACTCTGGTCGGACGGCATTGACCAGGAGTGGCCAGTGAAGATGGCTTTCACCATGACTGACTCGCTCTCCTCCACCTCGGATGTCGTTCACAGCATGCCGAGTTGCGATCTGCAGCGGGGTTTCTGGAGACGACTTTAACCGCACCACAACCGCCAACATCACAGCCCAAGCCCGCGTCAAGTGCGACTACATAGCGAATGATGCTGAAGCTGTACTGGCGATCTGTTGACAACCCTCACGCTGTTGCCGTACTATCCGACACCGGGATACTGACGGGTAGATGTCCACATCTCATCGACCTCCCTAAGGGGAGGTTTGTCTGTAGCACGAGAGATTATAAGAAGACAGTCAGTATGCTTCTATGTCAATTGCTATATCATCACAGTCAACATGCATCTCTCCATCACTACTCTTGCGTTGTGCGTGCAAGCTGCGGTTGCAGCTCCAAGCTCCTCACCACTCACAGTCCGCACATCGACCGGCTACTATACCGGTGTATATGACGCAAACTTCACCGGTGAGCACTCTCTGGTCGAAAAACTTTGTCGCAGGACCAACTGATCATGGTACGACTCCACCCGCAAAGGCGTCCGCGAGTTTCTAAACGTACCATATGGTCAGACCACAGCAGGTAAGAATCGCTGGATGCCGCCTCAAGCTGTACCACTCTCCAGCGAGCGATTCAATGCCACGGACTACGCACCGTTTTGCCCGCAATACGTCTCCAGGAATCCCGCGGTATGGAACCGGCAGATCCCACAATATTTAAGTCTCTGGGGCAATGCCAACTTCTCCGCCGGAGAGCCAGCTGCCTTTGCAAGTGAAGACTGCCTAAGCCTCGCTATCTGGACACCCGCGAATGCCACCAGCGCTTCGAAACTTCCGGTGGCCTTGTTCTGGACAGGCGGAGGGTTCCAGACAAACGGTATACTTGTGCCCGGACAGCTTCCGCCGAGGTATCCATCACCTGTCCTTGCTCTTTCAAAATCTCGCTAATCATCGTACTCTACGCTTGACAGATGGGTCAGCAGAACTCAGCAGCATATCGTGGTCACGATCAACTACCGCATGAACATCATGGGATTTCCAAACGCGGCCGGTGTCTATGACCAGAACCTGGGCCTTCTCGACCAACGCCTGTCGCTCGAATGGGTGCGCGACAATATCGTCCACTTTGGAGGCGACCCGTCCCGTATCATGATCTGGGGTCAAAGTGCCGGCGCGGCGTCAGTAGACTACCATAACTACGCTTTCTGGGACGAGCCCATTGCGCACGCCATCTTCGCGCAGTCCGGCAACGTATACAACGGCGCCCCAATCACCGATCCCGACCATACCAACTTCACCTTCGTGGCGCAGAATGTCGGGTGTAACTATCCCAACAACGCCACCGCTGAGCTGGCATGTATGCAGAACGTCGACGTGGATAGAATCATCGCGTTCATGGGTGGGTACCAAGACAATTCGAGCTCGACAAATCCAACTCAGCCAGCGATCTCCTTCAGCGTGGTTGCGGATGAGCGGATCGCATTCAGCAACAACACGGCGCGGTACGCCGAAGGCTTTGTGACGAAAGTTCCAATCATCTACTCAAGCGTTGCTAATGAAGGCGGGAGCCTGGCGCCTTATCCTGCCAGCGATCCGCTGGCCGGTGTCAACCAGACTGTCGCGAATGGCATCACCGAGAGCCTCTCCCTATGCACTGGCGCTAATACCACAATCCTCCGTAACCAATATGGCTTGCCGCCCACATACAGGTACCAGTACGCCGGCAATTGGACGAACCAAGACCCGCTGCCTTGGATGGGTGCATTCCACAGCTCTGACTTACCGGCGAGTAGCTTACAGCACCCAGCTCATGACGACCCTGGCTAATACAGCCCGCAGATGATCTTCGGCGCATACGAGTACAGCTCCGCGAACCGCGGCAGCGCCAACGTTTCCATCGTCGTGACACCCGAAAGCGACATCCAACCCCTCGAAGTCCAAACGAGTCAGACAATGGAAGACTTCATCTTGGCCTTCGTAAGTCCTCTCAGTGCACTGATGCCTCGATAGAAGTGCTAGCAAGCCATCGTGCTTAGATGAGGACATTAGCTAACCCCAGTACCCGTCACTCAGATGAAGAATCCTTACAGCGGCCCACCTGCGCTGGGCTGGCTACCGATGAACACGTCGGCGCCTGATGGAGGGTTGATCTTGCGGTTTGGAGCGAATGGCAAGGCGGTGCAGAACGTGACGGGTAACGACGTGCAGGCGGTATGTTTCGGGCGAGGGCCGTATAACCCGTTTCCGTAATCCTGTTCTGCCATGCACGCATGCGAGAAGTAGTCTGTATCTCTGCGGTGAGCATTTCGTTAATTGAAAACTGAGCGTATACCACCTTCTTCATCATACAATCTCTTTCTACCCTATAGTGATACAAGCCTTGCTATTTGCATGAGACGGCTCCCAAGCTCGTCAAAAACGCCCCTCACAGCACCTCTAATCATACCCTGGTCCATCATCCCCACCCCCACCCGGCGTCTCCGGCATCATGCCTCCCGGCGTCTGATACGCAGCAGGAGTCTGATAACTCCCGCCTGCACCTCTAAACCCTCCAGGAGTCGGCTGATCTCGGAAGCCACCAGGCGTAGGCTGATCTTGGTAGCCACCCGGCGTAGGAGCAGAGAGACCCGGTGTCGGCGCTTCGAGGCCACCGTACGCGGGCGTCTTCGAGCCGGAGGGCGCGGGCGTGCGGCCACCGGAAGGGTTCCAGGTTGAGGCCTGTCAACACTTCTGTCAGTACTCTCGAAGCTAGAGCGTGCGTAGAGTTAGGATGTGGTACTTACCCCTCCTCCTCCGCCTCCACCCCAAACGCTCCCCCCACCATAACTCGTCGCCCCACCATAACTCGTAGCACCTCCATACGCCGTCTGCCCACCTCCACCACCACCTCCATACCCACCATATGCCGTTTGACCTCCAACCCCAAACGCCGGCGTCCGCGACCCCAAATCTTGCTTCCACGACGGCGTCCTCGCACCACCACTCAACCCACCACTCGCATACGCCGGCGTCCTGCTCCCGGCCGCATATGCCGGAGTCCGGCCCCCACCACCAGAAGCCATAGCGTAACTCGGCATAGCCGCCGGCGGCGGTTTGCCCATACTCAGACTCTGAATCCCGCCCTGAATAATCTTCCCGCTATCCGGGTCAATAAGCGCAAGCATATCCTTCTTGACGGGGATCGTCTTATTCTTGGCATGCAACTCCACCTTCGCCTCTTCGGCGCCAGCGTCTTTGACAATCCCAATCATACCTTTATTCGGCCCGCTACGGATCTTGACCGTCTTGCCAATCAACCGATCCCGACCTTTCGACTGCGGCGGAGGCATGGGAGAGGCGCCACCGTTCGGTTTCCCGAGCGCTGGGTTCATTTTCGTAAGATCCACGCCTGCGTTGGCTGGTTTGCCGCCTTTTGCCGCGACGACGAGGACGTTCGAGTGCCGGCCGACCCAGATACCGGCGTTTTCCGTGCGTTCGCGGTTTTGAGCGAAGACGGAGTTACCGCGCAGATGCAGCACACGGCCGGTTTTCTGCTCGCCGGAGTATTCTTTGATCGTATCGTCCATCTTCATCTCGTTGCCGTCACGATCCGTGGCGACAGCCGTCCGTCGTTTCTCGAGCTTGTTCGCTATGGCGCTGGGTAGAAGTGTCTTGGCCATACCGTTCTGGTCCAGCACGCGCAGACTCTCGCGATCAACCCGCACGACGATACCCACCGTCGCAGCATCCAGCTGAACGAGGTCGAAAAGGTCGTACTTACTATCCATCGCTGCTCCACCGGAGTCCGTAGCTACCCGTAAATCGCGACTAAAGACCGTAATCTCCTTCTGCTCGGCATCCGTCAAGATCGTGACCCGGTCGTCCTTCATTCGCACCACCATACCAACTTCATCAACGTACTTGCTCCCGCCGATGACCTTGACATGATCGCCTTCGCGGAACATCTTGCGCAGAGTGTCGATGCTAGCTTCAATGACTTTCCCCGAAAGCGACCCAAAGCCGGGATCGACCTGGATCTTGACGATGTTGTTGTAGACTTGTACGCTCTCACCCGTGACGCCCTTCTGCTCGCCGCGGAACAGCTCGACTCGGTCCCCGGGTAGGAACTCGCCGGCGGAACTCTTCTTCAGCGTGGCAGCCAGAGCGGCAAGGTCGAGATTCTCGCCCCCGTCCTCGCCGCTTGAAGTTGCAAAATGCGTGACTTCTTCAAGCGTTGGATTGACGTCCTCGATCTGCAATGCGCCCAGGCGGAAACTCTCAATCAGAAAGCCATCAACGTACTCTTTGTTCTGGTACGTCCACGTATTCCCGCTGAGATTGCCTTGTCGGGATAGGTACTTCGCATGCTTCTTACGCGCTTCAATCTCGCTAAACAGACGAGGCGGTGGCCGCTGAACTTGCGCTTTCGTGCGCTTCCGCTTCTGACCATTCGGCAAGATCTCTTCCACCGGCGCGTTGACATCCTCATTCAGCCCGTAGTCAAGACGTGGCACAAGGCGGACGGTGACATCAGTACTATTAGCCTCCACATCGTGCACCTGCGCCAGATCACCCATATACAGCCCTCTGCGCACGCGCACGTACATGCCCGGCTCGAGCTGCTTCTCCTTCTGTGTCTTAAGCAAAGCCGGCATATCACCCACGGGCACCATCATCGGCTTGTGGCTCATGAAGACGAAGTTAATCCCCTCACATGCCGCTATCACTTCCTCCGCGCGGTTCGCTTCGACATATAGCATACCAGCCATCGGGTTCGGTCCCGTGCTACTACTGCTCGAATGGGGCTTTGACCGCTCGAAAGCGGAAAGAATAGTAACCGGCTCGCGGGAGTTGGCGCGCTCCAGAATGCGAGCCTGGATGTTCAGAACAACTTCCCTCTCCTTACCGGGTTTACACCGCATACGGAAGATCTTGGGTCCCTTTTCGTCCGGAAGCATGAGTTGTTGCGGCACGACGGCGCCAGTAGGTCCCTTATTACGTGACTGCCGGCCGTAGCGCTCCTTCAGCCGTTCCGCTTCTTCTTCCGCATTGAGGTGGAACTGGGCTTCGCGTTGTCGGTCGAGCTCACGATGTTTCCGATCATCGCGGTCGGCACCCGGCGGCAACTCTTGGAGGTCGTCCGGATGCATTTCCTCGCCGGGCAGGTCATCGTCCTCTTCCGGTTCCTCTTCATCTTCCTCGTCGACTTCGGCTTCCACGTCGATGAATTGGTTGCGGCGGTGCTTTCTTCGCCGTTTTCGGGAGGGCTGGCCTTCGATGTCATCGTCATCTTCATCTTCTTCCTCGTCCTCTTCGTCTTCATCTTCCTCCGCCTCCTCGTCAGCCGCACCATCAGCACCATCAATACCATCTTCAGCATCATCGTCGTCATCGTCTTTCTCGTCTTCATCCTCATCCTTCACCTCTAGATCGTCACGCTCCTTAGCCTTCGTTGGCACGCCATCGCCATCTTCAGTCAAATCATGGACAGCATCACCATTAGCCGCAGGCTTCTCATCAATATCAGGTTCGGAGCCTTGCTCAGGTTCGGGATTGAAGTCATCCTCTTCCTCGTCGTCGTCAAAGCGCTGATCGAGGATGCCCGCCATGATGGCCGCTTACTGTCCGCCCTTCGGTATGGTTGAAAAAGAGACTCGTATGCGTTCAAGAGTATGTGGTGGAGTTGCAGCGTTCTGTTAGCGGGGGTTGAAGGTGGAAGTGGAGGAGAATATGGATGAAAGATAAAGTGATGTGCAGCCTGTCCTGTCGTGTCCGGTCCTCGTGGAATGTTGAAACACTCACTGCGAGCTACCTGATTGGCTGCTGGAAGGTAGCCGCGGATTTACTTCGGCAGCATGACTCTACCTGAATTCACGTGATTTACACCATACTCCTCGATAATGCGAACGGATTGATACGTCGCTCGGCAGTCTGAGACATTAACCAAGTAAACTGCTCACCGTTCCGGCCTTTCTCCCAGTTGGTCCAAGCCAACCCAATCCAATGCCAAACCCGCCGCCACGCCACACCACACCAGGCCACGCCACCCGCTCAAAAACGCTCTTAGAAACCAAAGACAAAGCTGCAACCCTCGCCCTCCCTCCCTACCCTTGCCCCTACCCCGCCCCACGCCCCCCCGCCCTCTGCCTCATAAGCAAGGTAGCATCATCCAAAAACCCACTCACAACATCCACAAACCCACTCTCCCTCCCCTCCGCCAACCGCCCCATCTGCTCCCGCAACACGTGCGCATCGACCTCAAGCTCCAACTCATACTTCGCCCCCGCCACCCCTTTCACCTCGACTTTCGTCAGATCGACGCGGTAGCAGAGGTGATTGTAGGAAAGACGGTCTTTATTGCGGTCCGGGCTTTCACCCACTCCCACACCCACACCCACACCCACACTTCCCTCCGCGGGAGTCGTTTCATCGACGACGAGATCTTCGTACGGCGGTAAATCCGGCCGGGAAAGCATATTCGCTTCCAAGTTGAGGGAAATACGACAATCGTATTCCCAGCCCGGGTTGAAAATGTGCAAATCCGCCACTTTCACCTTCACAATCCTCGCCGTAACTTTGCCCGTCGCGTTATCAGTCGTCGTGCGTAATTTCAGTCCCCTCTGACTATTACCACCGCCGCTCGCACTCGTGTGTCGTTTGACCGCAGCAGGCAAGAATTTATGTCCAAGCGGCGAAAGCGTGCGAAATGAGTCCGTCTCACGCGGATGGGAATACCGCACCGCCACCCTACCCGCCTCATTATGCGAGACGGTCGCACAAGCATTCAAGAATTCATTCATAGCCCTGTGCTCGTGAACATCCATCTGACTCTCAAACCGTGTCTGTTTCTCCGCCCACACTTTCTCCAGCACCGTCGGCGTCATCACGGGTAACACGATCCGCTCATCGCTATCTTTTCGGAGGATCCGGCCGATTTTCGCTTCGATTTCGATGGTGCCGAGGGAGGAGTCGTGGCCAAAGTCCGGGAGCAGGCTGAAGTGGTGCCACAGCCAGTCTTGGACGACTTGGAGAAGGCCGGAGATCGGGGTTTGCGCGGTGAGCGACTTTTCCCATGGGCCGAGGCAGCGGCGGGCGTTGAGGAGGTCGCGGTCGATGGGGAGGGAGGGGTCGGTGGGGGGCTCTTGAGGCCCGGAATGAGTCCCGTTGGCTTGCCCATGCCCGTTCGTATGCGGTTGGACTTGCTGGTTGGGTGGCCGAGGTGACGGTGTCGCTTGCACGCCATTGAGCTGCTTGCTGGCAGGATGTTGCTGCTGCAACCGACCCTGCCGTTGCGGATGCATCGACTGCATCGACTGAGCCGGCTGTTCACCAGCATTATACTTGGGATTCCGATGTGACAGCCGTGCCCAGATAGGTCGCTCAACATACTTCCTCGTCTTCCGATGTTTCGCCGCAGGAAGCTCCTGCTCCTCAACACTATCAGACGTCGCCGGTCGCTTGTTAGAAGATCGCGTGTTGTTGTCCGCGGCGCTGTACTCGTTCACTGCTGGCTCAGGCTCAACGACCGCGCCACTGCTGTCAGTATGCATAGGCTCGGCCTGCATATGCACAGGCGCCTCCTGGCTAAGCTTTTCAAGCACAGCCGTAGCATCAGCAGCACCCGACCTGTCCTCAGGCGCCGGCGCTGGGGCTGGCGCGTTGGGTAGTGGTGGCGGCGCATGCGCGGCCTGCTTCTTCGGCTTGGGAGACGGCTTCATGAACAAAGGCGTTTCCTGCTTCCTCTTCCGTCCGGGCGCAGAACTAGATGCAGTGCCATCAGCCACGCCATCCATGGCATTCACCTTCTGCATCACACTCCCCGCAGGCGAAAGAAGATGATTCATGTCCATCCTCTGCGCGTGATGTTGAGTATGCGCCGGATGCGGAGGTTGAGATTGGGGAAGTGGCGTATGCTCGGACAAAGAAGCAGACGCTCCCGGAAAAGATTGCGCACTCCCCACGATAGGCATCTGCATCTGCATCTGCATTTGCGACGACGCTTCAGCATGCATTTCACCCTGTAGCGCCACCGCCGCACTTACTCCAGCAGGTGGCGGCACGTGACCCGGTGTCTCCGCCCCGGACGCCACACTCAATTGATGCTGCAGTGAGCTGCGGTGGCTTATCGGCAGGTCCTGCTGACTGCTTTGTCGTGACGAATGCGACAAAGCTCGAGGTAAGACTTTCGTCTTCGGGCTGACGGAAACACTACGTTCGCGATCTAAATTGGAGAGGTACTCGCTTGTTCGACGGAGGTGAGGTGACTGTCGGTTTGCAGCGCTGGGGGAGTCGATGACGAGGTTGCCGATGCTTGGGTGGTGTTGGGCGGGGGAGCCGCTGATGATGTGACTGGATGTGCTGGAGGAGTTGCGTTGATGGTAGGGAGATTGTAGGTCGTGGTATGTGTGGCTTGAGGGTCGTTGGTAGGTTGTTGGTGGTGGGCCGAGCGGGGTGCTGGGTTGGGAGTTGGTGGGGTGGTATTGTGGTGGTTGAGCTCCCGGCATGATGTTGAGCGGACTCTGGCGCATCGAGTGGGTTTGGCTTGGGTGTGAGGGGGGTGTGGGTGAGTGGGAGGAGTAGTTGTAGCTGGGCTGCGGGACGAGCGGGTTGTTGTGCGTCGGATACTGTCCGTGCGGTGTTTGTGCGTAGGGATAGCCATGGCTGCCTGGACGAGGACCGGGGGTGGTGGCGGAGTAGGGGCCGTATTGTCCGTATTGCTGAGACGGAGTGTAGGCGCCTGGGCTTTGCGCGGGCTGTTGGGGGAAGGGATATTGACTGCTTCCGGGCGCTTGCGAGGGTGTTTGCAAGGGAGTCGGGCCGGACTGCTGTCTGGAGAAGGATGAGCCAGTGGAAGGTGGGGCGAAGAGGGGTGTTTGCTGGTTGGAATGATATGGGTATGCGGTGGTCTGTCCGTTCGCTGCCGGTGTAGGCGGCGCTGGTGGTTGCGATGTGCGTTGCGCGTCTGACGTTGAGGCCTGAGATGGCTTCTTCTGGTCCGCCGCCGGTCCATCGTTGAGCATGGAGGAGAGGTCCATCTTTGCGACCGTGTGGAAAGAGGTTTGCGCCTCTCCTTGCTGTGCTTCAGCCGCTTGCCTATTATATGCGCAACATGCGCCTTTGCCGATGCATCTATACTGGATCTAATGCTCCGATCTCTGTAAAATCTATTTCAAATCTGTGCGACTCTTCACACTTCCCGGTCGCGGGCGATGGGCGTGAGGCTTCAATGGTGGGCTCGGCGGTAAGCGCTGGACGATGGCGGAGATGGTGGGTGAGAACAGCAAGACGATGCAGTTCAATTATAGCACGACTACTTGGCTATGGGGACAGTCTGAGGGATGGCGATGCTATATGGAGATGGAAGTGGGTATATTCCATTATGTCGAGAGCCATGTGTAAACGCGGACGTGTCCAAACGACCCGCTTGGCATCTCCGAGACAGGGAGTGTAGGTGTTCCATATCGCTGTCGCCAGTAGTTATGCCTATCATCACGTGGACATGGTACGAGTTGCTGCTCCTCCCTTTCCCTCTCCTCCTGCCTCCACGAGTACACTCCCAAGCGTTGTACACGGCGGCATAGGTTTGTGTACTGGAATATATAACTCTTTGCATATGCGCCGGGGAAACATCGGCTTGCGGCGGCAGCGGGCTGCAGGATGATGCGCGTTGGAAGCTTCGCTGTGGTTGCAGTTGTGCTCACGAGACAACCGACAACACCATCTCCCATCATCCACCCTTCCATCACACCCTTTCCCTTCCCACATCGTGTTGTAATACACCCTTGACTGTCCTTCTCGACCACCACCTTGCCACCACCACCACCACCACCACCACTCTGATACGGCATCAAGGCTTCCGCCGCCGCGTGGCCAGCGCCGCTCCTGATCCCCCCATCATCCACGCCACACCCTGCACATCCAACCGCCACCCCATCTCCATCGACTGCGGACAAGCGAGGAAAGATCAGTCGGAGTGTGAGGCACGATGCCGGCCATGACTTCCGCTGCCGGCGTGGTGGGCTTCTTATCCGAGCCCGACCCTACCCTGCAAGCCTTTGCCCTCGAGACGCTGAATGAGGACATCGAGAGCGTGTGGACGGAGGTGTCGGGATCCATCGGTCAGATGTGCGTATCGATATGACTCCTAACCCGCGATATGCTTGCCGTGAATCACGTGTTGCCACAGACGGAGCGTCTGGCTAACGTGCTGATGGTGAACGGCGATGCAAACAATACGGATGTATAGCTGACACTCATTCCACAGAGAAGCGCTGTACGAGGATGAGAACTTCTCCCATCGCGAACTCGCCGCTCTCGTGCTGTCGAAGGTGTACTACCAGCTTCAAGAGTACAACGAGGCCATGGTCTTCGCCCTCGGAGCCGGCAAGCACTTCGACCTGGAGAACGCGGACGAGTACGAGGAGACCATCGTCGCCAAGTGCATCGACACCTACATCGCACTGTGTGCCATGCACAATCCACCCACGTCTGCCTCCGCAACCACCCACCCCACCGACAACACTCCTGCCAACACCACCTCTGCCACTCTAGCATCACCGTCCACACCCTTCACGCAATCCCAGCTGCCTTCCAAGTCATTGCTTAGCAGGGATGACGAGCAGGCATGGGACTCGTCGGCGCCGGGCGGTGGCAACGCCGGTGTGCCTGGAGCGCATCCTCACCCACTCACCCTCAGCCAGCAAACGAAGAAGAACCTGCAGTCGGTCATTCGTCGAATATTCAAGAGCTGCTACGAGATCGGCGCCTATAAGCAGGTCGTCGGCATCGCAGTAGAAGCTCGGAATATGGAGGTCCTTCGCGAGGCGATCCTTCAAGCCAGCCATGACGAGAAGAGCAAGGGCAAGAAGGCTGTCACGGCCGGTCCCGGCCCGACCGAGGAGCTGATGGAGTACGTGCTCGACATCTGCATGAACGTGGTGCAAGAGCGCGGGCTGCGGAATGAGATACTCCGGTTGATCCTGGGACTGCTGAATGAGATCCCATCTCCGGACTACTTCGCCATTGCGCGATGCGTGGTATATCTCGACCAGCACTCCATGGCATCCAACATGCTGCGACAGCTCGTGCAGAAGGGTGACGGTCGTTCGTTGGCCATCGCCTACCAGCTGTCCTTCGACCTGTACGAGAACGGCACGCAAGAGTTTCTACAAAAAGTGATGGAGGAGCTCCCCGACACGGATGAAGAAGAGAAGAAAGAACACCCTCACATGAACGGCAACGCCGTCCCGCCCGCCTCCTCCCACGCCAACGAAGACGAAGACGCACAAGCATCCGACCAGCTACTCTCGCACACCCAACAAGCATCCTCCGACGACGCCCCACGCACCACCCTCGTCGCCTCCCGCACAAAACCCAAGCCCGAAACCTCCGCCCAACATACCGCCTTCACCTCCATCCGCACCATCCTCCGCGGCACCAAATCCATCGAGCTCAACCTCGAGTTCCTCTATCGCTCCTCCCACTCCGACAAAGCCATCCTCAACAAAATCCGCGACTCGCTGGAAGCGCGCAACAGCATCTTCCACACCTCCGTCACCTTCGCCCACGCCTTCATGTACGCCGGCACGACCATCGACACCTTCTTCCGCGACAACCTCGAATGGCTAGGTAAAGCGGTGAATTGGAGCAAATTTACCGCGACCGCCGCATTGGGCGTCATCCACCGCGGCAACCTAAGCCAGGGCCAGAAACTACTCCAACCATACCTACCCAAAGAAAACGCCGGCCCCGAAGGCGGCAGCGGAAGCCCCTACAGCCAAGGCGGCGCCCTCTACGCCCTCGGACTCATCTACACCAACCACGGCACCAACGTCCTCGACTACCTCCGCCGCCAATTCAAAGCGACGCAAGAAGAAGTCGTGCAACACGGCGGCGCGCTCGGGCTGGGCGTCGCGGGGATGGCCACGGGTTCGGAAGAAATCTACGAGGAACTCAAACAAGTCCTCTACTCCGACTCCGCTATTAACGGCGAAGCGGTCGGGTTGGCGATGGGGCTTGTCATGCTGGGGACGGGGAATGTCAAGGCCTTGGGTGACATGATCACGTATGCGCATGAAACGCAGCATGAGAAGATCGTCCGCGGATTGGCGATGGGAATAGCATTGATCATGTATGCCCGGCAGGAAGCGGCTGATGAGCTTATTACGGGACTGCTGGAGGACGCGGATCCGGCTTTACGCTACGGAGGCATCATGACCATTTCTCTCGCTTACTGCGGGAGCGGGAGTAACAAGGCTGTGCGGAAGTTGCTGCATGTCGCTGTAAGCGATGTGAGCGACGACGTCCGCCGCGCAGCGGTTATGGGACTAGGCTTCGTCCTCTTCCGCAAACCCGGCAGCGTGCCACGCATGGTCGAGTTGCTTTCGGAAAGCTACAACCCGCACGTCCGTTACGGCGCCACCATGGCGCTCGGCATCGCCTGCGCAGGAACGGGGCTGGACGAAGCGATCGAACTCCTCGAACCCATGCTCAAAGACTCCGTCGATTTTGTGCGACAAGGCGCATTGATAAGTCTGGCCATGATCCTCGTCCAGCAAAACGAAGTCATGAACCCCAAGGTCGTCGCCGTGCGGAAACAGTTGCAGAAATCCCTCACGGACCGCCACGAAGACGCCATGGCGAAGTTCGGCTGCGCCCTCGCCCTCGGCATCCTCGACGCGGGTGGTCGTAACTGCACAATCGGCCTCCAAACGCCTACGGGTAACCTGAATATGGCGGCGATAGTGGGCATGGCCGTATTCACGCAGTACTGGTATTGGTTCCCGCTCACCCACTTTTTGTCCCTGGCGTTCACGCCTACGGCTATCATTGGCGTCGACTCAGCGCTGGAAGTGCCGAAATTTAAGTTCTGGAGCAATACCCGGCCGAGTCTTTTCGACTATCCGCCTGAGCAAGAAGTGAAAGCGGAGGAGGCCGTGGAGAAGGTCAAGACGGCCGTGCTGTCCACGACTGCGCAGGCGAGGAGGAGGCGGAGGGAGAAGGAGCGGAAGGAAGGGAAGGGTGGGGAGGGGGCGATGGAGGTGGATCAGACGCCTACTACGCCTCGGCCGGAGGCGGAGGAGGATGAGATGGTTGTTGATACCGCCAAGGTGGCGGACGGGGAGAAGGGGGAGAAGGCGAGTAGTGGTGGTGCGACTGGGGCGAAGAGGAAGGCGGAGAGGGAGAAGGTCGGGTATGAGATTGAGAATATGTCGCGCGTGCTGCCGGCGCAGATACGGTGGATTTCGTTCCCGGGAGAGAGGTGGGTGCCTGTTAAGAAGGTGAGTTCATCCAGTATCGCCCTTGTTTTGGTTTGAGATGCGATTTGGCTGACTGATGATTGTGTGAACAGCCCACGGGAGGCGTGATTCTCCTCCATGACACCCAGCCTTCCGAACCAAAGACACTACTTGAGTTGAAGGCGCGGAAGAAGACGACGGTTTCGGCTGCGGTGCCTGGGCAAACTACTGGCGGTGCTGCGGGCACCCGATCCGCGCAAGAGGAGGATGCGGAGATGACTGATTCGCATGCGGGTGCCGGTGTTGGTGCCGGTATGGGTGTCGGTGCGGCAGCGGCAGCGGGCGTGCTCACGGCGATTGACGAGGATGAGGAGGAGGCGCCTGTGCCGGATGAATTCGAGGTTGAGCCGGAGGAGGAAGACGAGGATGAGGACTGATGAGATGGGATTGTGAGGCGAACGAAGGCAGGTAAGGTGGGGGGGTTGGGGGGGGATATATAGAAGGCACGTCTTTCTGCCTGCCCGACTGAGCGCTCGCTGGTAATGGCTGCGCGCGTACGGAGGATGGTGGTGGTAGCTTCTGTTTGTATCATTAGTACGAATACATGTGTCATCTATTGCGGTGGGTTGCTCACGAAGAGGTCTCATGTTGCATTGGCCATACTGTGTCGCAGGACGTTGCCGAAGCCAGGCGGGCCTTAATCACGTCCACTCGCTCACGATCACGTGCATCAAGTGAGTGCAACAACATCCTTACGTCCAATTCGATCGTTGTTCCGGCCGTCGACTCAATCAACATGGTATTCAACAGACAGGAGGCGTGTCGAAGATGGGAGTGTGCGAAGTATTCTCATTCTTGAAAAGACTGGGGACAGCAGCTCGAACAGCTTAGCCAGTTCCAAGCCGAGCAAAACGGCGTCCCAAAAGGCGGCCATGTGAACGGCTAACAACGCTGCCGCCGCCAAAGCACAAGTTCACGCGAAAGCCACAATGACTCTGCGGGCGGTTGGTGCTATGCACAACTTCTTGCCTTCATCCGACGCCGTCGAACGCCACGCATGCGTAAAACCATGGCCATCGTGCTGAGCCACAAAATCAACCCTTCCATTCACGGCATCCGCCATCAGGTCTGTCAACCATCCATCCATCCATCCATTCGTGAAAGTAAGAATGTGGATGTAAAGTATACAAGCGGAACCAAAAGAAGAAGAAGCAAGGGTATCGTTCAATCAAAAACACACACACAGAAACGCACGATGGGGAATATCGCGATCAAGCGGACGCGGTGACCATGGGGCTGGTGCTTGCGCTTTCGCTCTTCAGCTCCGGCGAGACGGAGCCGTTGGACTCTTTGCCGCCGCCGGGCGCGTCGGCTTTGCCGCAGCCTTTGACTAGCACGTGCCTCTGCGAAACGGTCAGTATGTGTTTTTGCGAGAGAGGTGAATAGGGTAACACACCTTCAGCGCGTCCTTTCTTGAGAAGCTCTTCTCGCAATGCCCGCACGGGAAGGGCTTCACCGCAAGATGAATCCGCTTGTGCCTCTTCAGGTCGTGGTTCCGGTTGAAGCTCTGCGGACATTGATCGCATCGGAACGGGCGATCGTTTTGCGCGTTCGATTGCGGGTGCTGGTGGTTGTAGAGTTGGTGCATCTGGGCTGCGTGGCCGCTGTTGAAGCCCGGGATCATGCCGTGAGGCATCGCACCGACGAGCGCAAGTTGTCCGCCTGGGTTGCTGACGTTGGACAGCACCGGACCGGCCATGGGGTATGAGTACGGTCGGTGATATGTCGATGGAGGTTGTGAGGGATTGGCGCCATTGACGGGTGACATCTTCGGCATCGGACCAGGCGCGCTCATCGGACTTTGTTGGACAGGCGACGGTCCAGTTTGGTAGGGAAAGGTGGGCTGTTGAGGCGTTGAAGCCGATTGCGAACCGCTGTAGTATGTGGGCGTAGGAGGTGGGCGCGAGAATGCTTCGTGTGCGCTCACTGGTGAAGGTTGAGTTACTGACGCGGATACTGGTGTCTGTCCGCCCATCATGCCATTCCCCACCATGTGCGATTGCGCAGGCAGTGTCTGCAGCGGTGGCGCGGACATGGACATCGTCGTCTGGTAGTGCGGTAACTCGTACGGCGGAGGAGGCAAACCCTCGCCTGCTGTGGGCGAGCTGTTGCCGCGTACTAATGAGTTGAGGGAGGGTGAGAAGATCGGCCGTCCGGACCCGAATGAGCTCGGAGTGAGTCCGGAGTGATAGCCGTAAGATCCTGCACTCGATGTAGTGGGTGGGGGAAACATGCCACCGTTACTGCTAGGCGAGAAAGGTTGCGACACACCCGGAAGAGATGGTCCCGTCGTCACACCAGCCGAGGGACTGATGCCGTCGGTTGATCCGTTGCTAGGGGGCGTGAGTAAGTTGCCAACACTTGTCAAGTTCGTCGCGGGAGGAGGCTGCGTAGTTCCATAGCTGGGGTACTTCTGATTGAGGACGGACAGGTGTGGCGGCGGCAGCTCGAATTGCGGCAAGTTGGAGGCATTTGGTCTTCTTTGCGTGAGGCTAGTGGGAGCGCCCATGGATTCCGGTCCTGGCACCATCGAGTGAGGGTAGCCTACCGCGGCAGCCACGTTGGCGGTTTGTTGATCGTATGCGAGGTAAGGCTGGTTGGGGTCCGCGGGCGGTGTCGGCAGCGACGTCACGAAAGACGGTTGGTAGGAAGGCGCGTAGATCTTCTCCGTTGACCAGGACTGACCCGGCGGAGACTGAATGTAAGCCAGGAAGGGCAGAGTATGCTGGAATACTCCCAGGCCAAGTGCACGGCGGATGGTAGTGGGACTTCGACGTCAGATCACCGCTGCGATGCTGACGATCCGACGGAGTGGATGTCGGTAGTGCTTTGTACCCAAGCCAGAGACCGAGCACCTGGTATGCTTGCGCCGAGGCGGACGACAAAGGCGAAGTAGATTGACAAATGTGACAACACCGTTTCGCTTGGAAGTGACGCGACTGATATGCAGGCGTGTCCTAAAAGCCTCTAGATACGCTTAGCCTACGCTCGAGAAGGCAGGACGCTGCCGGATTCGCGATCTTGACCGTGGCCTCGAAGTGGTGGATCGCGCAATCGGCGAGTCACCAAGCAGCCAGATGGTAGGGCAAGATCTTGCGGACCCGGAAGTGTGGTCGTGCAGATGCTGCGTTACACTTACGTTGCACAATGAGGCCGGCGGGCGGATCTCTCTTCTTCCTCTACGGGCCAGTAGAAGGCGTGCTCGGTGAGTATGGGAATGGTCGGTGATGGATCTTCGTGAATGCACGACGACAACAGGCGAGTGTGCAAGTGGAGCGTGAGGCCGCTGGCGCATCAACAGCCACGATAGCAATGTGAGGTGTTGCAGTGATGTCGCGTTAGAGGAGCCACTTTCTTTGACGCGGGCGTGGCGATCCTTTGTTGTCAGTTAAGCTTAGGTGCGGATGGCTTTCTCAAGGGCTGGACGCTTCGACCATCGCCTTGTCTGCGGGCGTTCACGAATATGTACGGGCTCCAGGCTAGTCGTGCATCACTAGGGACAGGAGCACCTTAGCGTGGCTGTCTAGCCTCACTAGCGAGTGGGAAGCGTGAGCGGCGTGCGTTGGAGAATCTGGATCTACCGGGGTCGATGCTCAAGCGCAGTGACCACGCGGGACAGCTCATTTAACACGACTCGTTTTTGGCTCAGGACAGCCCGAAACGGCCTCGTTGGTGACGGCGCGATGAGACCACAGGCCGAAACGGTCTGTATGCTCATCTGTGTCGCACGCCTTCTCACTGCGCACTCGTCAAAGTTCGTCAGAGTGGTTCTGCGGGCAGACTTGTTCGGCTTCTAGCAGCACTGCGACCTCATCTGGAACCCGTGATACCACTCCCGGAATATGGCCGCCCGCACGCTGCTGGCTGCATCCCGCTTGGAAGCATCAAGTCAGATCGTGGCCATCGGCGCGGCAATGCGGTCGCCGGAGAGAGCATGTGAACTTTGATTGTATGCAAGCGATGCTTGCTCGTCGCACACCTCCTCGCCGTCCTCGCTCCGCACACCTACTCAGGCGGCTGTTAAGAAAAGCAGAAAGCGAATTACCCTGGTCACTGCGCTTAACCCTTATTGGCCCCAGTCTAGCGTTCGTTTCGCGCCAGCCCAAACACACCACGAGCTCCCTTCCAAGCTTCTGGCACCGACCATGGTTTCCTGCACTGCGTGTGTACGGGGAAATCGCTTCTGCATGACCCGGGCACTGGCGCTTCAAAGATCAGCGGTCGATTGTGGTGTTGGTTGGAGATTGTGCCGCACTGAACAAAGACAGCGTCTCGATCAGGCTACCGCTTGATTAGGGAGCCTTGCCCGTCTCGAAGAGATGCTTTGTTTCCCCTCGCTAAACCTAGCCAATCCTGACCCAACACTGCTACATTACTGTCACGGGACCCACGAACATCTCCGAAGATCGCCAGCCTTCGACTTGTGATGCTCATGAGATAATTCTCCGTGCGGCTGCGAAACATCAACGATCAACTGACGGCAATCTAGCCTGCGCGGGGATGGACTGTGCCTCACCTAACGGTGGTGCGCAAGGGTACGAAGGCAGCCATAGTGGGTTTGCAAAGATAGCTTGACGCCGCGGCTTTCCGGATCTCCAGACCGGATCGGCGTAAGCTTTAGAGTTGCTGCCGCCAGACTTACTCCTGGGGCTTGCAGCGGCCTTTGCATGACCACGTGCGAGGTGCAGACACAAAGTTCGACCGTCAGTGCTATGTTACTTCGGTGCCGACTTATGTTGCGAAGACGCTCGACCGGCCAGGCATGATAGCGTACTGAACACTAGCTTTATGAGGTGCGCGATCTAGTTTTATGCTATTCCTCGTGATCGAGGCCTGCGAGCGTCTCTCGTGCCGTAGCCCCTGTCTCCCGTAAGAATCCATCAATCTAGGCGAGCGGAGAATCGGGGGAGCTGTATGCAGGTGGCCGTCTCGGGGTGGCTCATCTATCGTGAAGATCAAGCTCCTGCACACACCACCGCTCGGGCGCCGAAGGCTTGCACGAACGGTCAAGCCACGTACGGGAGCGACCGTCCGTCCGCTCGCACGGCGATGATGGCTTGCTTCCAAGCACCAAGTGCCGGATACCAATCCTTGGAGTCGCCAGTGGCTGCCCCAGACGCTGACTGCGTTGCACGACCACTTTCGCCCGAATGCAGTCGCCTCTATGATCGACGAGGCCTCCTATGAACCGTTCGCGCTTTGCACTCTTCTTCATGATTCGAAGAAGTTGGTTAATGCCTACTTTAGGCCGACTCCACTATGCCAATATTGCAGGATTGCTAGTCTGCAGGGCCGCGCTCACTGCACTGGCTAATCAACGTGGGCGTTAAGCGAAAATCAAACGCTCTGAGCGTGTAAAGGGACTGGCACACTTCGCTTGGGCGCACGACTCGGTCCGACCTGCCTTTGCTGCCTTCTGATTGTTCGCTCAAGCTTCGGCGGGACATTATCTACATGCGCCTAACCCGTCTAGGAGCCCAGGAAGTGCATTCGCAGACAGAACGTTCTCGCCACAAGTGCGACGATTCAAAAACCGGTAGTCATGGATGCTATTACAAAAAGGCAACGGCCGTTTAGAGCGAAAGCTTCGGCACCCGAACCTGTCGGCGTCGCCGACGACTAGCCTCAAAACGGTCGGCAGTCAAACCAGGGGACCGAAGCACCATGCTGATTTTAGGGAGCGCGTTCGCACTGCGCTTTACCATATCTGTTGACTTGCGCTTCCCGGATTGATCATGCCAGTACACAGTGTAGGGCAAGGCTTACCCAGAGCGCGATCACGCTTCACATGCATGTTGGATGGTCTGCAGTCGACGAGAGACCTCTACTTGAAGCGGTCGCCAAGTTGAAGAGCCGAACGAGGTCTGGCCGTCTTCAAGCCACGGTCTCGAGAGCGAAACCGCGCAAGCAGTCCGGCGCCTGGATGAACCATGCGCCGTCCGCCTGCTTGCGCCAGCAAGCCATCATCGTGGAGAAAGCTTCTACCACGTGCAATCTCGGCCCCGTACAGGCAGCCACAAAGTTCTGTAAGCACTTTGTCCCTGATGAGACAGCAATCTCGCTGTTTCGTTGTTTCATCTGTACGTTTGCCGCGTCATAAGATAGACCCCCACCTCCATTCTCATACGCTGGGTAAGGAAGCTGTGGAGCAGCAGCAAGAGCTTCTCCTTCTCCTTGCATCGGTACCTATCTTTGAAGTCACTCGTATTACTCCGCTACCGTTTTCTCAACGTCCGATAGTCTGAAGCAAGTCTGGAGGCAGAGCACGTTGCGACACACCGTTGCGAACGTCCTGTGGCTGGCGCACAGTGAGCGTCCTCATTTGTCTGCGTCCGACTTGTACCGATGGTCCGATTGAGAGTAACGACGTACTGGCACTTATCACGGAACCCTCGCTGTCAGCTGTGTCGGAGTTTTGTGGCCAATTAGACCATGTCAAGCCGGCTGTCACCATCTTCCGTGAGTACGTCTGAGCACAATACGAAACATGAACTTGTTTCCATCAATGCTATCGATCATTGTCACCGTCGAGACGGAAGCTGTTCGATTACTGCGGTAGAGAAGACAATACTACGCTGGCTATCTTGGGTATCGTTAATCATCGCAACTCCGTTATAGATCGCCGAGCAACGCTGAACCACCTTACGCCTTCTGCCTGATCAACAGATCCACGGCACGATCTACCCGAAGTCCGTCACCCATATCTGTAATCCTAAGAGCGTGCTTTGCTTGGGCCGCTGTGAAACCCATATCGACAATCTTGTTGACTGCATGCTCGCTGGTACCTTCTGCGACCCCAGCCAAGCATTGCAATGACAATCTGTTGAAGTTCTCGACTCGTTCCTCAATGATTGGCGAGATCTTGCGCACCTGCCACGGAGAATTGATATATTGTATCTGTGGTCGCGGGACGCTTGGCGTGCATGGCGACATTGTAGCTGGCGAGCAGCATTGTGCTGAGGATAGCGGCGACATCATGCCGTTGTAGGCTTGCGCGCCCACGGCTTCCACGGAGCTGGTTCGGCGTGACAGCACGCTCATGGAACGTTCCGTGTGCATGTCGATATACGGCGAGCGCTTATAGCTGCTAGACTGTCTGCGGAGGCGAATCTCAGCGGCAAGACTGGCGACACGCTTCCGGCTCATGTCTTTTTTCTCCTGCTCGCAAGGGTTCTGTGCCACGGCAGCTGTGATGCGCTCTTCATACAGCCGAGACACAGGCTCTCTGAAGAAGGTGCCGCGACTACCACTGTGGGTCGTAGCAGTCCACCTGGTCCAGCCGTTCACCTTGGCCGACGTGAATCCAGCGGCGGGACTGGTTGTTGCATGCTCGGCCATTTGGAGCACAACGGCGGGACCCAGCGTGAGTAGGTAATAGCACCACTCTTCAAGCGTCTGCTCCTCCCTCACGACGTCTCCTGCTTCGATTTTTGTGCAGTCGTCGAAGACACCGGCGTCTCTAGCTAAGTCGGTGTGACCAAGGTAACCTTGAAGCAGAGCCGTCAAGCATTGCCAAATCTCGGTGAGGTCGTAAAGCTGCTGCGAACTCAAGCCATCAACGTTGCCCTTCGCAAAATGGTCAGGCGCGTTGAGTAGTATGCTACCCATGTCGAAGTCCAGGTTCGTGTTGACCGTCGCCACACATCCCTGGTTGTCCGCCAACAGGCCGCCCTTCAGCCAATCCAGTTGGCCGGTTACGTCGTCTTCACGACCCTTCTGGTACCCAAAGATCTTGCAGAAGCACCAGATGCGCCAGAAAGCATCGTTGAAGCGCTGTGCATGTGGATGCGTTGGTGTGGAGATCGCGAAGACCGTTTCGCGTCGAACAAAAGTGTGACAGTGCTTCACCATCAGCGCCTTCAGCGACTCGATAACCACCACATCGCGGCGGTAACAGCGCATGTAGGATACAGGCGTATGCTCAAGCTGCGAAGATGCTTTGCTGCTGGAATCGGAAGGGTTGCGATCCGGCGGACACCACTCGCGGAACTCCCACGCCGCAGGCGACTTGTTGAACGCCACAGTGCGAAGCAGCTGTAGCGCATTCTCCTTATACACACGGTACATGCCTTTGTTGATCAGAGCAGTGTTGAAAAGGTCGTCCATGCATCGCAGTGAGGAGAGGATGTTGAGCAATACGTCTTCGGCGTATGCGGCCGCAAGGCCCCTCTCCTCTCTGTCGTCCGCTGACACAACTCTGGGACCCTTGGTGACCACAAGGCCATCATCGATCATAATGCCGAGACCATGTGACGCGCTGCTGTCTACCTGAGCATCTCCGGTGAGAGTCGGTGCGCTTGGGCTGCGGTAGATTGCCGCGAATGTAGGTATCTGATCGCAGTCATCCGCGGTAGAAGGTACGGCCAGCTTGGTTTCTGAACTTCTTCTTCGGGGCTCCATCGAATTGTTAGCTTGCCTGACCTTGGATCCCCGCCAGTGCCGCTTCCGGCTTCTTCGTGGCACAGTGGGCGCACGTTCGGGTGGTTGCATGACACTATGTACGCTCTCATTGCGCTGCATGGACGTCGATCTCTCGGGAAGAGCATCGATGCTTCCAGGCTTGTCTTCATAAGCTCCTTTTCCAGCTAAGCCCTCGGTGAAGACGTCGTCCGCTACACAGCAGAGCTGGAACTTGGCACCGTTTTCCGCTTGAGTCATTGGAGGCGTCAGCGGCTCAGCCTCCCCATCCGTGGTCGAGCAGTCAGAGCCAAGTGCTTGACCCGGGCGCATGTGAGGGTACGGCGACGTCATCATGAATTGCGCATCAAGCTCATCGAGGTGAGACATTGATCGGGTCTTGAGAATGCGTGGTGTTGCGGGACACAGTGATGTCACGGTGGTGTTTGACAGGGACTTGGTGTCACCAAGTACAGACCTCGCTCGCTTGTGAGCCCCCCTGGTTTGCGGCGCGGAGGGCGCAATACGCGCAGGGACGGGTATAGGGCTTGGCGGAAGAGGCTTGTTGAGGTCAACGCATGCAATGTCCTGGTCGGAGGATTCGAATGATTCGCGAGGAGTGACCCTGGCGGAGAGCACGCGTCCCGAGAGTCGCTTACTGCTCTTCTTTGGGATTGCGAGGGCCGCGGCATCAACGCTCGTCGCTGAGGTGCCCTTGCTGGTGACACTGCTTTCGCCATCGCTGTGCTGCTCCTCGGGTGTGGAGCTGAAAGTTGAAGAAGAATGTCGTGAGGTCATTGGCTTGTGACACTCCGGCGAGCCCACGACGTTCATCTGATCGCCTTCCGACATCTCTGTTGACGGTGGCGTTGCTTGGATCGAGGTTACTGAAGATGCATCATTGCCGTCTTTGGGCGCCTGTATGGTGATTGCAGGCGTGGCGATGTTGAACTTAGATAGGATGCTCGTGGGAGGGACTGAGATGATGGGCCTCTGGATGTTCCCTTGAGCGGCCTTGGTAGCGTGGGCCATACCTGGCTTTGGCTCCTTGCGCGAAGGAATTGACAGAGACAGTGTCGGTCGCACTCGCGACGATGCCTGCACGTCCACGGTTGGTCTGCAGTGCACAGGACTGAACCCAGTCTCCCCTCTGATTACCTCTTCGACCCACTGATTGTGCTGGATGGTCCTGACATTGAGCTGGTCATCCCACTGTGCAACACCATTCGCCCACATGCCAATCCTATCCGTTGTGTCCTGTCTCCTCTCGCTTCTCGTGCGTTGAGCTAACCTTACTGGACTGCTGTCGAAAGATCCTCGAGGTGACTCTGGCGACGGGGAAGGCAGAGTTGGGTGTGATGCAGTGACATTGCGAGCTGTGCTATGCCCGCTAACAGCCGAGAGGATCTCCTCGTTCGGGCTCGTTGCCATTTCTTCTTCGAGCGTCGTCATCTGGATTGTTTTGGCTGCTGGAACGGCCATAAGAATGGTGCCTCTGAGTTTCTTCGTCTCAGACTTTGCCTTGACCGGGCTCATGGGCCCGCCAACGCTCCGTCTTCGACTGATCCAGCTCTTTTGCCTTTCCGTCATCTGCTTTCCGGGCTGCTGGGTCTTTATCGCTGCTTGAGCAATAAAGGGCGGGCTGGGCTCCGGAACCTCCGTCCCTCGCCTGCTGAAGATGGAAACACTTCGACGTGCGATAGCATTGGCGTTCGGCTTCGCATCAAAGACAAAATCTTCTGCGGCAGCGGTAGCCGCGTAAATGGCCGCGCCGTTCAGGGACGCGAAGATGGGTTGTTCTGGCATAGTAGGTCGGCCTTGCTAGGCTTGTCGAATACACAACCTAGAGCAGCCTTTTTGGAGCAGTTGTGTAACAGAGTGCTGCTTTTGTTGTGCTTCAGCCCTTGTGTTTGGTCTTCCGAGCAATGCAGGCCAGAGACTAGGGTCTTGCGTCCAGGTGCTGATCCACTTAAGCTGAGAGATATACTTCCTTGGTGGTCGGAGTCATGAGAGCAATGAGGTAGTTGAGGCTGCTGCAGGCAACATCGCAGTCATATTGAGGAAGCACGAGGGCGCAGCAGTATGCCTGTGGGCAACGCTTGGACGGATTGAATGAGACGAATAGCTTGCCTTACGGTCTAATACTCGAGAGCTATGCTCTGAGATCTTACCTAAACACTGCCCCCACCATACCACATCGATCCCATATCGCGACTGAAGCTCGACATCGTAATCTGGTCGCAGTCGGACCCTCGCTCAGCAAGGGTGAACGGCTGCCGCAAGCCAACCGAGAAGCTAAGAAGCCCGTAATGTTGGCTGTAAGCAGTTAAGGTTCAAGCTGCTTCCTTTCACGGCTAATGCGAAGCTATTTCGGTGAACTAACTCGCGGAGCATGCAGGCTCAGCAAACATCTCAGTACGCCCCGGCGAGTGTGCTGCGCATTCCGCAGTGAAGGAGTGACCTCAACAATGTCGGAGCCCAAAGCGCAACCGAAGAGCATGCCAAAGGCGTTCATCTGTCTTCCTTCGACTCCGATGCTACGTTTCATATGCTTCAGAGCCACCTCTTCCGTTAGTAGACGGGTCCGAGCCGTCCAAAGGATCCCCGCGCAAGCCACACCACCTTGCCCTGCCTCTGAACCCTCCGATAATGCAGGCAAAGTATTGGCAATGCAACGGAGTTCCGTCTTCAACAACCAGTCCCTGTCATAGAGAGTTTATCGACCAGTAACGTGTAATCTCAGCCGCATAGCTTACCGGTCGTCCGCACATCGACCCCGGACGTCTTGCATCTAGGCTACCAACAGCCTGCTGAGAACGAGCGACCTTACATGCGATCCCGCTGCCTCTCGCTGCGTTAGCTCCAGGCAACGTTTCCAATGCTCCCAGAGGTTTCATGTTTGCGGGAACGGCCGCGCATAAGGTACTTCGGCGGCCGGTATTACTACGGATCCATAGAGATCATGGATGCGAGAGGTAGCGTCAGCGCCACGCTGGTACATACGGTATGCAACCGTCGAAATTGCATCAGCACGACATTGCGATATTGATACGGAACTCCAACTCGGTGAGAATCCGCCCAACCTAGCCGCAACGCGACGTTGATGTTGGTAATTCCTTCGAGCAGCAACCCATAGTATTGCACAATCGCCCCAACTACTGTTGACACTTGGTCAGATGTTAATCCTGCCGTAAGTGCTCAGTACCGCAAAAGGTACTGAATCCGGCTGGAAAGTGTTGTAGACCTCAACATGCTAACGGGGCGGTTCTGCAGGGAAGGCGAGCATCAGGAGTTATTGGAGAGGCTGGCCCGGATGTTCGAGCTCAACGGACATATCGATTTCTCGAGGCGGCGGCACCAGCATTGTTAATGTGTTAGATGGCACCGCATCCATCAACGATGCGAAGTCGTACCAGGAGAGACCGGGATGTTAAGAGTGGAGAACATACATTGATTCGTACGGCGCCCGTATGTACGGCAGGTCATTGACATAGTATGTCTCCTAGCGGGTCCCCGTCGTGTTTCTGTGCGCCACCCCACTATAGCCGGTATTTTCGACGGATGCGCTAAGTCGCACGGGTCTATATCTGCCGTTACTATCGTCGGAAGATGTGACCATTCCTATTGCTGTCAAACGAGGAACAGAAGCGAAGTTTTCGACTTTGGCGATGAGAGCTCCGACTTTAACTGCGCCATGTCGATCTCCACATCGGCTCGATCTCAGCCTCGCGTTTGTTGGAAAGCAAAGCACTTCACCTCCATCTTCCAACACGCTCATGCACTGGGAGGAGTGGCTTGTTCTGCATGTGAAACCACTGATCACTGCTGGATCTGGCATGTATTTCGTCGGAGTTCGACACGAGAGTCTGAACGAGCTCGATTGATCTTCTACACGAACCTTGCCTGGTGGAATGCTATACTCAGCCTCGCCGCCCCCAACCCTGACCGTTTGAGCTCCATGCGCCTTTCGACCCCACGGAGTGCACGTCGAATAGGGCTGGCCAGATGAATGTGTTGTTGGTCACTCAGGCGTGCATACTGGCGACCAGGCGTGAAGGCGCTTTCGGTCGCACGATGTAGATCGACAGCGTAGGTTCAAGGCGCAGTCTTGAATAACGTTCCGCTGTGCGCTATCCTTCTTCGCTTGTTGTTTCTCAGCGTATCGGTTGTTACACTCCTCAAATCTATATCTAAGTTATCGCTCTTCACCTTTCAATTCAGACTTCGCAGGTAGCAAAGTTCCGAGTATTCCAGCACCGGCAGTACCGCTTCATAACTTACATTGTAAGCTTACCCAACTGTATCGACAAAGACGTTACGCAGGGCATCACTAACGGGTTTAAGCACCATAGCTATTACTGAAGACCATCATCAGTAAACTGCGCCATGGCAGCTCGCCTACAAGAAGAGGAATGGCACAATGGCCTCTGCAGCCACGTTTGCGGCGGTGACTGTGGCACATGCGTAAGAGCGCCGCTCTCCCCTAAGGTACTCCATCTGACTGATCTGTCATCTAGATGGCAGCATGGTGGTGTCCATGCTTCCTCTCTGGCCGGATCTCGGAGCGCTATCACCACTTCCCGGACATGACCTAGAGTAACTTCCAATTGTGGAATGGAGCCTGCGCGATCAGCTCTTGTCTGGGTGGGTTCATCTCGCTTGGTTGCCGGTCACACTGCAACGTCAGGAGCTCCGAAACCGCTTTGCGATTTGAGGGAACGGATGCCTTGATTGCGTGACAGCGTACTTCTGGTGAGTTGAGATAGGTGGCAAGTTACGTCGTACTTGCGCTAATGTGTGTCGAAGCTATCCTTGTGCTCTTGCTCAAATGGAGATGGAAATCAAAGATCGAGCACTCGGTGCTCAGGCTGGCGCAGAAGTCAAGGATCCCAACGCCGCGTACGGAGCGCAGCCGCCCATGGCATACCAAAATTTCTAGGCCAGCCAGAGCGTCAGAGAGTCGGTTAGGGTCGATGTAAGACAATAAGAAAAGGATGGTTGTGTTTTGAAAACAAGGCGTTATGGTCGAAGTTCGGAATTTCGTGGCTAGCATACAGGTATCGAGTCACTGGTCCATGTGTTCGCGACTTCAGGCATTTGCAGTATACCTTAGACTTGCTTCTCAAAGCACTGTAGGAGCTCGCATGTGAACAGTCATGAATTTCACACATGTGCTTTCTGAAGGTTGAAGCAGGGTCCATCACTCGATGCTGTCTGCGTTTGCCTATCCTTCCGCGTCCTCTGCGTACGCGCCTTACGGGCTTCCAGTGACCGCTCTAGAGAGCATGCAGATTGGCGGTATTGTTCATCCGGCCTAGATTAAAGTGCGCTTGAGCAGTGGTGCATCTCGACGTGGTTAATTCGGTGCCATCACTGGTTAGCGCATGATGTCATACTGAGTGTCGTCGTACCTCACCTCTTCAAGTTGCTCGTTCACTACGCTGTCTCTACAACCAACATCTGCTCGTTTACGGTGGAAGGTAGCAGATCCCAGCCTCAGGACAACGCGTCACGGGCGGCGGAGATGGTACAGAAGGTAGGCGTCATTTGCTGCCGTGCCCGCGCCAAAGCGTTCACTAAGCTCGACTGACAACGTCAACTACCCATCTCATATGAAGCCTTCGCGGCCTTCACGCGTTAGAGCCGCCGCTGCTCAAGTATTCCCTAGACCATTAGCTCTTTCAGATACGTTCTCTATCTGCGAGGTATCCTATTCCTTAAAAGTGACGCTCGATCCAGTCCACCCCGGCAAGGTGATGGCTCTCAAGCCATGTCTTGAGCCGTGATATATACGATGAGTTACCGGTGAGCCAGTAGTTCCCTATTCTTCCATACTTTTCGTACGTTCAAAGACAATACGTTCACTCTGGACTTTTCCTAGGACGCAGCGCGCCACACTGAGCATACACGTAAAGACTGCGCTCCCTCAAATACTCGTGCGCTTGCTTCACTTCGTCGGCATGCATACCTTTCAAGTTCACTCACTTAAGGAGCTGGATGACATGTTCGGACCCTGCCACAGCTATAAAGACAAGGCCGCTGCCCCTTCTCATACTCTACTTCCTTGCAATACAACCTCGACTTTGAAGACGATCTCAATCATTGCGCTCCGAGAGCAGAGGCTCAGTTGCACTGTTTAGCCTACCATATACACCACTCTTGTCGATTTTGTCTGATATCCGACCTGAACCTTAAGCCCTCTGATAGCTTAGGCAGAACTGGCCACTCTGTTTGCCCCTGACTGCAGCGCGCCGAATCACCCACTGACACTTGTACCTTCAACCGAGCTGAACTCTTGCGAATCCCAACGACAATGGCGACTATCAAAGAGATCATGAAACGGTGCGGTCTGGGTAACACCTTCCGACGAATGAGTCCGTCAGCTTTGAGGACAGCGATAGCGGAAGGCCACAGTGCGATTGATGGCAATGTCAGGCGCGGAAATTGCCTCGTGTCGGTGGACGTTTTGCAGGCCATTCTCGACGAAGTGGAAAGTACTCCCGGTTCCATGCCAGATGGGATGTCCACGAGCGCCTGCCCTCCGCAGCTTGCCGTAGACCAGGGCTTGACGACGCCGACTCTCCCGCCCGGTACGAAGCGTAAACTGCTCAATCCAGGAAGTCGCACCACAGCAGAGGGCGGCGGGAGCGGCATTGAGGCGGCCGCCAAGAAGCGAAAGGTGGTAGGCGCGGCTGATGAGGGGAAATTGAAGAAGCAAAAGGAGGAAAAGAAGCAAAAGCAAAGAGCAGAAAAAAAGCAAAAACTGATGACGTTCCTGGATCGGCGTATTCAAGACCGTATGAAGGGCAATAAGCCAATCAACCTTGTGAAACCACGGAACACTATTCACGAAGCCACACTCAAGCACTTTGACAACAAAGGGTACCGGCTCAATCTGCAGAAACTATCGACCGAGAGCCCTACACCTAAGCAACTTCACGACGTTGAGGCTGCCAGAACCTTCGGCCCGAACTATCTTGGCCGGACTGCCTCACTCAGTTTCGGCACCAACTTCGACATGATAAAGCGTCCAACCAATGGACATAGCAACATCGACATTCTGCTCCCGGCTGCCGACACCCACAATAGCCAGAGCCTTCATGACAACCTTGGAGACTTCACGGCGGGCGAGTTGCAGTACATGCTCGGCCACCACCTCATCTGGACTGACTTGCCGAGCGACGAGTTCTTATCTTACAGCAACGATCCGTTGTTCTTGGTCGTGCATCGCTGGACAGGTTTCATGAGGGGCAAGGCGGCGTAACGATCCAGTTTCTCGATCGCCGGGAAGCTTACCTGAGCGATGGGCGCCCAGCCGCCTTCTACCCTGGCCTCGACTTGTACAGCATCTTTCAGGTACCTTCTGCACCAATTTGGGCGGAGATGCAGAAGACAAAGCTGCATCCGCGGAAGTTTACTCAGGAGTACCTGTCACATCACACCATCATCGTGAAGGACACCCGATTCCAGCAGGCGTCGATTGAGAAGCTCATCAAAGATGGCCTTTACGACATCTTCCCGGCGTTCAGGGTCCCGCAGGATCACCAGCGTGTCGGCTTATACACGGGTCAGGTCGTGCTGCGCAAAGCAGGGTATGCGCCAAATCCCGACAGCCTACCGCCCAAGTTGAAGAGGCGCATCTACTCGTACCGCTACTCCGCTGACACTACGCCGTGCACCGAAGATCTCCTGAAGCTTGTTCAAAAAGTGACCCGCAACTTTATGGCACGGGCAACTGAACCACACCTTCACATCTTCCCAAGCTTCCTGACCTTCCAGAAGCGCCTAGATGACGACCCAGTCCTGATCGACTGGCTCCGCAATCATTACACTGCTCTGGACGTTCAAGACCTCTACGCAGATGGTGAAGGCGGCGTTCGTACCGGCTTCACTCATGTCGCCAACAATCTGCCCGGTGTAATGCAGTACCTCGACCTTGTGCGCACGGCGTGCACAGCCTTCGGTCTACCTGCGCTGCCTCCCAACAAGGTGCACAGGTCCAATCCCACTACTGACCACTGGTACGCGGACGAGGATGCGAAGCAACACCGTAACCACGTGTCCTCCAAGCCCTACGACCGCATCATCCAGCAAGATGCACGGGACAAGGCGAAGCGTAAGCGAAAGACGAAGAAAGAGAGTTTGTGGAACGTTTTAAGAGCGAGCCACGAGGTCAGTTCCATGCGGGACAGGGACTTGACTACCGATAAGCAGATGACAGTATCAGGGGCAGGAGACGACAATGTTGAGGATGCAGCGGGCGTACCGGTCGATGCTGAGGAAAACCCGAAGCTGCTGCAGTACGACGATTCGTCTGCACACCTGGATGGTTACATTGACCGGAGCGCAAACGAGGGTCCGAAGCAACGGGAAATGCAGTTCGTTGCTGCGGCTGAGACTCCTTTGTGAGCAGGGCTGCCAAGACGAGCGGAGCAGACTGAAAAGAAGACGCGCTTGGCCGTGACTTCTAGGAGGCGATGAATGGTCGGACGCGGCGGGTTTCAGGTGCGAGGGGTAGGTCCAAAGGCTAGATCCGTGGTGTGATCCGAGAGCGACTCCATGTGCGCAGAGAGCGCGGCAACGAGTCCACAAGCGAGAATGTCAGGGCCGTTGAAGCACCAAGACCAACTAGCAATCAGCATGGTGGTCTACAGCCTCTTAATGGTCGAACAGGCTAGCAAAGGATGCAGTGAGTGCATGATCTATAAACGATTCAAATGCAGACATGGCTGTCGTTTTCGGGTGTGTTGACACCACCATACCGTAATCGTGAAATACACAGCCGTAGACGGCTCGTGAGAACGCCAAGACGCCTCGCTAGATCCACCAAGTCAATCGCAGCGCTGTTAGAGATCACTCCCCTACCCTTTGGTGTAGAAAAGATCGGCATGCTGGGCCCTGGCCAGCTCCTAGGTGATCAGTTCCTCGCATGTCCAATCCTCGTACCTGCAGTATAACGTTAGCGCCCAGTCTCTGAACAACATGCTGGCACAGCGCGCTAGCAAGACATACCATCCATCAGGCAGATACCTCCTCACCACCAACGGCACCTTCTTCTCCCTAAGCTCTTTGATGGCGATCTGCAGCGGGTCCGTCTCACCCTCCACGTCCACCAAAACTGGCGCGTTCATGCTGATCTGTAGCGCTCTCGTGCCCAGCACCCGAGCCCGCTCGTACTTAGTCATGTACGGCGTGGTTGTGCGCTTGTCGGCGGCTATCTTCTTGCTCTTCACACCCTTGACTGTATTGTCGTGGTGTGAGTCGCCGCTGACCACTACGTTCTGAGCGTTCTGCGTGTAGTCTGTGCTGTCCAGATGCGCCTGGCCGTTCGGTTGGCCATCCACATCCATACCTTCACCATTCTGTTGAGCGGCGAAGTCGTCTGCGTTGTAATCTTCTACGAGGTTGTCCTCGTCGATGAGGTTATCTTCGTGGAACCTGCCTCATTGTCACTTACGGAAGAGCAGTGTGATGTGAATATGTGGGACTCACTCGCCATCGCCGAACTCGGGCCCGGCGTCGTCGCCATCACCATAGTCATCCATGCTGATGCTTTACAGGTACCAAGGAGGAAGGTTGCTGTTGCTGTTGCTGATTCGGTACGGTTGTTGGCGCAAACTAGAAATTGTTCGGACGTGAACATGCACAGTATTAGACTCTGCGGCCCGTGCGCAGTCTCGAAATCTTGGCATCTCGAGACTCTATTTTCGATGTCCCAGCTTAAAGCAGCATTCGATGATCCAAGTGATCAAGATTGCGACAATGGCTGTCGCCCCGCAGCCTCAGAAGCGTAAGGCAGCGACGACGCTGAGCGAAGTGAACAACGTACCGTCACAGGCACCGCCGAAGCGAGCAAAATGGTCGGCGAGCAGCAGGTCGAACGAGGAGAAAGCGTGGGACGACTTCGTGGTCTCAATGGAGGCTCGCGTAAGGGAAGCCGAAGAGGCCACGCCGGATACACCATACTCGCCTTTATTCTCCGCCGACCGAGATTCTGTTCCGGAGACGACGATGACTTCGAAAAGCGGATCAAGAAGGGCGAAGAAGCTGCACTGCGAGGTGCCGGGCTGTGGAAAGGCATTCGACCGACAGGCTAGGCTTGATATTCACATGCGTAGTCACACCGGTGAGCGGCCGTACGTCTGCGAAGAAGATGGCTGCGGCAAGACATTCCTTCGAAACGAGCATCTGAAGAGACACATGGACGACAAGCATAGCGATGAGCGAAAGTACATATGCTCTTATATTACTGGTACGGACGACGATCGGAGAGACGTGCTATGCGGCAAATCCTTCACAACCGCTACCCGTCTAAGAAGGCATGCCGCCGCACATGAAGCCAAAGAAGAGACCAAATGCAGTGAGCCAGGCTGCGGCAAGGTGTTCCGCAAGCAAGAAACTCTGCAACGCCACATTAAGCTCGATCATCTCGGCGAGAAGGCATTCAAATGCACAAACGTGGAGATGGCCGAAACTGGTGAGCTCGTGTCTTGCGATTTCGTCTTTTCCAACTCCAAGCAGCTCAGGAACCACGTAGCGAGAGAGCATTCCGGCCTACGCTACTTTTGCGATATCTGCTCGCCTGATGCTATGGACGCCGATCACAAAGGTGGTCTGGACGAAGAGATGGTCGACCTAATGTCCCTCCATGCACCCGTCGGCTTTGCAACCTACGCTGAACTCCAACACCATCTCAAAACTGCTCACCCACCAAGCTGTCCCGAGTGCGGCAAGGACTGCGAGAGTAATCGCGCTCTCAAAGCTCATATTGACATCGAACATACCGTACTCTCTACCAGGCAAACACACATGTGCACATGGCCTGGTTGTACGCGAGGCTTCACCAAAGCCGGCAATCTCAAGGTGCATATGCAGAATGTGCACACAAAGACCCGCAACTTTGTATGCGGCGAGTTCGACCTGACTGGCAACCCCAAAGTGGAAGGGTGGGATGGCGAAGGCTGTGGCAGCGCGTTCGGCACGAAGGCCAATCTGGAGGATCACGTACGGACGAGGCATATGGGATTGAAGGGCAAGATTCGGCCTTCGCGCTTGCTGAAGAAGGAGGCGAAGGAGATGTCCAGCAGTCAGACACCGAGTACTTTGGACGAGGCCATTACGCCAGACCCTGCTGTTTCAATGCTCACCGGCTATGGCTATGAGCAGTTGCGTCCCGTTGCTTGTCTCATTCAGAGCTGCCAGCAGCGGTTCGTGAGAGAGTACGATCTCGCGGAGCATCTGGAGCTTACGCATGGTTGGCAAGTGGATGATGTGAATGATCGCTTAGCGGAGAAGGAGGCGATGGAGTCGGGTCGGTTTTGGATTGGCGGCGGCGAGCAGTTGACGGCGATCAATGTTGCGGATGAGGAAGGGCCAGACGATGTGATGAAGGTTTCTGCTGAAGTGGATATGATGGACGATGAGAGACGCGCGGAGTTGGAGAGGAGTGTGGCAGAGTTGCAGGCATTGAGGCGGCTCAGCTGGGAGGAATTGGAGGTGCCACGTAATGGGTTCGACCCTACTGAAGCCGCCGACGGTCAAGCCACGACAATGATGGGCGTGGAAAGCATGGCGGTCGATCCTACTTTGATCTGATTGTGGGAGTGCAGACGGTGCTTGTAAGGGAGGGTAGCGCTGCAGATGCCCTGTATGCATTGCTTGAGACTCTTGTGCATTGGCATTGTCAGATATCCCTTCTGCATTACTTGAGAGCTCCGCTTACTCTTATGGATGGCCTGTAACGCAGTAGAAGCTTTGCTCTCATCGCCCGCCTCGCCATTTGACGCTCGCGTAACATCGTGAAGCCCGAGAAAGCTAGGCCACTAAACCGTACATCAGTCTTCCCATCCATCAGTCGTGATACCAGTCCTTCGCGCCCCTGCAGGCTTTCTATGGCTCGCGGCGCACAAGCGGCGGTCAGTACCCGCTCACTCTCCGTCGTCTGTGTCGTCCTCCTCGTCACCGTCGAGTTCGGTACCGCTCTCACTCTCACTGTCACTGGGCACGTCTCGAGGAGGCACGAGGACACGCTTGGACAGATTCTCGAGCATTGTTTTCATGCTCGCACCATAACCTGCTTTGAGTGACACCTTCTCTATGCGGTTTTCTGCATTGTCGCTCGAACCACGTTCAAAACCCTCGGCTCTAAAAGCTACCCTCGCCATTGCCAAGCCTATTGTAGGTTCAAAGCAGTTGATGTTGGCCTGGCCAACAGACAAATGGCTCAGACGGGCAGACGTCGGCAGGGATATCGCCAGAGAACGCAAGAATTCGGACCATGGATTCGTGTCTTCGTCGTGCAGAGAGTCGTGATCCTTGGCCTTGAGCGAGACACGCCAAAGGTTAAACGACTGAAGGTCCAGGTTGACGGCAAGGCGCGTGAGGACAGACGCATCGATGGAAAGGAAGCCGATGTCGAGGTCCTTCAAGCATGTCAAATACACAGGAGGTATTGGGTCAACCGCTGATCCGGACAATGTATTGGAGACTGGACCTAAGTACGGCGTAGCGAGCCAATCCAATATTTCAGTCGTATCTTCCGTAGCCCGACGGGTAGCGAAGTTTAGACGCAGTGTTTCGAGTGATTGTAGCTCGTGTATGAAGCGCTTAAAGGCTCGCGCACGCGTTGTATCATTCCGAGAAGAAGCGTCCGACACGTAGGAGTCATATCGACCCGCAAGCGACGAAGTTAGCATTAAACGCTTCAGGTTTCGAAGCACAGGCTTGATCATCATGCCTACATTACCGGCAAGCATTGCAAAGGAATCGGCATCCAGGCTTGGGTCCGATCTTAAGAACACATCAATGTTCTCAGGGTGCACGTTGGCCTTGCCTAGTGCGGAGAGCAGCATAGGAAAGATACGACCAGGTGTTGCAGAGCGCGGAATGGGACGTCGGTAAGGTTGCTCCAAGATTGGTCCGTAAGACCACCCATAGCTGCGCCATAAAGCTGTCTCCCCGTCTCGGAAACGCCCTTTTCCACTGTAATCTCGCAGGCCTACCGTGCGTAAACACGGTAACCTTGAAAAAGCTGCAACAAGCAGGTCTTGAGCTTCACCAGTCAGCAGTAATTCATCGTGAGGAAGATTATCGGGTTCATGGATCATTTCAGCTTCGGAGTTGGGCAGACGATGGCCGGGGTCAAAGGTATCTGTACTGATGATCACCTCGTGAAGGAAACGGGAAAGCGTAGGGTGCTTTGCAATGTCCACGAGAGCTCGCAGACTGACGTGCTCGAGCATAAACTGGCGCTTTGAAAAGAATTCTCGAGCGAATTTATCGAACAGTGCAGTCTCGATCGTCTTGCATGTCCTCCTGAAATGGCCAAGTTCTGGTGTCGTCAGGTACGCTGCCACCCGGACCACAATCTCCGGTGGCAACCCTAACAACGAGGTTGAGGACATGGCGAGGCAGGTTGAGTTGCAGCCGTATCGAACCCTTGAAGTAGGAGAGACACACGTATGGAGGTGATGTTGAGTTTGAGAAGTAGTGAAGGCAGCTGGATGTCACGAGAAGCGTGATGTTAGCGTGTTTGCCTACGTGATCTGTGCGCCTGACGTCGCGGTGCAGCCTGGGCTCGCTGAACATGACTTCAGCAGCATCTTGTCAAGGTTAACGTTGTCACGAATCCGAGTAGAGCCAAAGGCAGGGTTCGACATGCCACCGAAGAAGAGAGCGAGGGCCGCATCGTCTCGAGCTGACAGTGAGGAGCCGCAAGCGAAGCGCCAAACGCGAGGCGCCACTAAGAAAAACGCCAATGCACTCCCTTTGGGCTCAGCCGAGGTCAACGATGAAGCTGCTGACAATGCAAGCCCAAATACCACTACAGCTCCTGCCAAACAGAAACGCCGTCAAAAGAAGCAGAAGAGAGCCGACGCGGAGCCCGACGGTACTACCGTCACAAGAGACACGTTGTCCAACGCCGAAGATGATGCTACTACTACACTTATAATACCCGACCAGAAACCAACCACGGCTAAGCCGAACCTTGTTGACGATCTGTTCGACTCTGTGAAGGAGGACGGAAACGATGTTGGTGATGAGACTGATGACCAAATAGCGACGACGTCAAAGAAGCTTGTGGTCCCAATTGATGAACAGTGCCCACTTGCTTCACATCGCGTCTTCATTGATGCCGTTGACGGCGTCATCTACGACGCCTCACTCAATCAGACCAATGCGTCAAACAACAATAACAAGTACTACCGCATTCAGGTGCGTGTCGGTAGATCATTATAAGTCTCTACGCCTGCTAACGTGTCATAGCTTTTAGAAGGCGCCAATGGCAACTACAAGACTTGGACGCGCTGGGGACGTGTTGGTGAACCGGGAAAAGGCCTTCTACTCGGTGATGGCTCCCTCGATGATGCGCTGAGTCAGTTTGAGGCCAAGTTTAAGGTGAGCACAGACGTGTGCAGACGCCGGGACCATTGGACGAGACATGGCTGACTCTGCTACTCATCGGCCGTCTAGGACAAGTCGGGCCATAAGTGGGCGGACAGGAGGGCAACTCCAAAGAACAACAAATATGTGTTTCTCGAGAAGTCATACGAGCCAGATGCGGACGATGCGCCAACAACAGCTGGTGCCTCGAAGCGCAAAGTCAAGTCACTGAGATCCAGCCTCCACCCTGCTGTGCAATCGTTGATGGAGCTCATCTTCAACCAGCAGTACTTCGCTCGTACGATGGAAAGCCTGAACTACGACGTGAACAAGCTGCCTCTCGGGAAGCTGAGCAAGGTGACTATCACTCGTGGTTTCCAGGCACTGAAAGATCTTGCTGCTCTGCTGCAAACGCCGAACCCAGTAAGCCCACGCTGTGCGGAACCCATCGCGGGTGTCTGAGACCTAGCTGACTGTCCTACCCATGGCATTCTAGGCCGTGACAGATGTGGAGCACCTCTCAAATTCGTACCTATCGATCATTCCGCATAACTTTGGCCGTGGTCGCCCACCCATCATCAGAGACGTTGAAGTGCTGAAGAAGGAGGTCGAGCTGCTTGAAAGCTTAAGCGAGCTTAAAGATGCGGACGACATCCTCAAAGCTGAAGACGCCGGCTCTGTCGAGGAGATCCACCCTCTCGATTCCCGCTTCCAAGGTCTGGGCTTGTCAGAGATGACGCCTCTGCTGAAAAGCAGTTCAGAGTACTCCGAACTCAGTTTGTATCTCAGCAAGACTTGTGGCGAGACGCATTACTTCAATTACACCATTGAGGACATCTTCCGCATTGAGCGCAACGGCGAAAGTGAGCGCTTCGAGAAGAGCGGCTTCGCCACGATCGCTAGTGACAAACGTCTTCTCTGGCATGGCTCTCGTACGACCAACTACGGCGGCATCCTCAGTCAAGGCCTGCGTATCGCGCCGCCGGAAGCGCCTGTCAACGGATACATGTTCGACAAAGGAGTATACCTTGCCGACATGTCGTCAAAGTCGGCCAATTACTGCGCTTCGTGAGTGCCCCATCAGACAGTGATGCGAGGCAATGGCTGACAGGTCTTGCAGATACGATTCTGACGGCTACGGGCTGTTGTTGCTGTGTGAGGCAGAGCTCGGCCAACCCATGCAAGTTCTCCAACACGCCAAGTACGACGCCGCTTCCTCCGCCAAGGAGCAGGGTGTTTACTCGACGTGGGGCCAAGGCCTGACAGGACCGAAAGGCTGGAAGGACGCTGCTTGTGTGCACCCTTCGCTTGCGGGCGTCAAGATGGTACGTCGTCACTAGCAATGAGTTGTGCGTTGACGCTAACGTGTGCCTCATCCAGCCTGATGTCAGTACGCCTCCTGGCGAAACGAAAGTGCCGACCGCATATCTGCTGTACAATGAGTACATCTGTTACGATTTCGCTCAAGTCCGCCTGCGGTATTTACTGAGAGTGCGGATGTGAGTGGCCGTCAGGCGCGAGACGCACGTAAGAGGGCATTTATCTCTTTGCGAGACTTACCAGCACATGCAGGTCCTTGCATGGTTCAGCAAATTTCACGCATGATGAGCAACCGGGGTACCATGACCCCGGTTGGCGACAAACGTGGTCTGCGTGTCATACAGCACAGAGTGTGCGGGCGCCACGGCATAACGCCTATGTTTCATATTGACTGTTTGCTAAGTAGATCTCTGCAAACATGGCCGCACTACTTTTCCGTCCGAATGTGTCACATTCGATATATGTTTGTCTTGGAGTCTTCGAATACATGCCACCGGACAGCTTCAGCGCGTATGGAGAACAGCAAGCCAGCACGTTTCGTCCGAAGGCGGCCCCGAGAGAGATTCCAGCTGCCAAGAAATGCAGGCATCTGTTGGAAGTGATCGACAGACTGCATGCCAAAGGGCAGCCTTTTTCGGTGCCGAACTCGGCACGGCAATGAAGTGGCCGCTCAGCGTCGCCGACCAATTTCCTCTCCATCGCCATGTAGTAGGGCGTAACATGCAGGCTGGACAGCTGGATGGGCAATTCCTAGACGTAGATGCGATGGCTCGATGCCGAGGAGGTATGGTAGTAACGAACAATGCTTTGCGTCCGCTACTCATCGGACGAGCAGCCGTCCAGCATTGCACCCTTGCACCGACGCACCGACATAGTACACAGGTATATAGCTGGCGGTGTTCGCATGGAGAGAGCTACCCACGCAACAGCATAGCTTTCTACGAACCAGATTGAAAGCGGTACACAACAAGGCTACAATATCTGAAACATACATCGTTCGCAACACCAATTCACCTCCACCATGCAAGTACCATCCAACGTCGACGTCTGCATCGTTGGCGGCGGCCCGGCAGGTCTTATGACCGGCTGTGCACTAAGGCGCAACGGTGTCAACGCGGTTATTCTTGAGGCCAGCGCAGAACCATCGACAACCTCGCGTGCAACGGTCCTGCATGCGCGCACGCTGGAGGTCCTCGAGACGCTGGAGGTGACCGACGAGATCATGAGACGTGGCAGACGACTTTCGGGCTGGAACTTGGCGACAAAATCGAAAGTCCTCTGCGAGCTTGACTTCGGAGATCTTAACAACAAGTATAACTGCTTTGTCACTCTGCCGCAGTTCCATACTGAATCGGTCCTGCGCGAGAAGTTTGCCGAATTCGGTGGTAAGCCATACTGCCAAAGCAAGTTAACAACTCCGAAGGCTGACCAGCATATTCACAGGTACTATCTACTGGAACACTCGCGTTACTGGCGTGACCGACAGCGGCGATAAGGTACAGCTGGAAATTAGCACGCCGGAAACCAAGTCCACCGTCCAAACGAGCTATGCGGTAGCCTCAGACGGTATCCACAGCACCCTTCGGGACGCGCTTCACATCGAGTTCGAAGGCGGCGAGTACACCCAGTCTTTCGTTGGAGCCGATTGCACGCTAGCATCAGAAGGCGAACTCGAGCATGACAAGCTTCAGCTGTTCCTTGACCCCGGCTTTCTCCTGTTCGTGCCGCTGCCGGGTGGTGTGTGGCGGCTGCTTGCGACTCTGGAGCAGGCACCCAAAGAACAGGACCTTGCCCTCTGGCAGGGCATTGTGGACGAACGCGCAGTACCAGGCGTCAAGATTGAAGGCTTCACATGGCACGGCCGTTTCCACATCCACCATCGCCTTGCACACAACTACCGTAAGGGCAGAGTCTTTCTAGCCGGTGATGCGGCGCATGTCCACAGTCCAGCAGGAGGGCAGGGTATGAACACAGGCATACAGGATGGCTACAAGCTTGCTGAGATCTTGACCGAGGCGGTCAAGGGAGGCAAGACGTCTGCAGCAGCGCTCGATCGATACGAAGCGGCGCGGCGGCCGGTGGCTAAGAAGGTGGTGCAGCTTACGCACAACATCACCGTCTCCGCGACCATTACGAATCGTTTGGTGGTCACGGCGCGGAACTACATCCTGTCGTGGTTGATGTGGTTCTCATGGCCGCGTTACTACTTGGTGCACAGGTTGTCGGAGTTAGAACATTGACGAGCGGTGGAGGCTGAGAAGTCATGGCATGGAGTACGCAGCAGGCATACCATCTAGCGCATAGCAAGTGAATCATCAATACCGCTCCTTTCATCCTTCGATGTTTCTGAGCAGCGTGCGTCTACTCAATAGTGCCTGTGCTGCTATCGTGAAGTTGCCTCAGGCATAATTGGTCCGAGCTTCAACCGTCGCGCCTCCGCACACACATTCGCCAAGCCATTCGCAACGACGGGAAGTGGTTGTGTTGATGATCTTACTGCCACTTCTTCGTATTGACTGAAGCGCCGTACTTCAATTCAAGACCCTCTGTACACGGACTTCCGAACGTTGAGCGGCGGATCGAAATCGAGCGGAGATGGATCACGAGAAGCTGGCACGCATGCAAAATGCGGTGCGTATTGGTACGTTCGCTTGGAAAGTGAAGCAGCTGCAAGCAGAAGGTTGCGCTGTTGGGATATTGAGATCGCAGTGCTAATTTGATCACAGGGTAAGCACAATCTCTACTATATATGCATCTTCTCGCATCGAGACAGCCTCTCAATGCGTAACGCTCCGCCAATGCACATGAAGCCACTCCACGCTTGACGTAATGCTGTATTAGAGACGGAGAAGGCTGACGATCATTCAGCGGCAAAGGTACACCACGAAGGAAAGTGAAGAAGGTGCACAAGAGCTCGGGCACAGACGACAAGAAGCTGCAAACAACGCTGAAGAAGATGAACGTACAACCCATTACGGGCATCGAGGAGGTCAACATGTTCAAGAGTGATGGCAACGTTATCCACTTCAGTGCGCCGAAAGGTCAGTCTTGTTTTGGTCTATCGAACCAAGGCACGTGGCTTGCTTAATGAGATTTGCGACTGACAAATGGTCCTGCAGTTCACGCATCCGTTCCTTCCAACACCTTCGCGTTATACGGCAACGGAGAGGACAAGGAACTTACCGAGCTTGTACCTGGTATCTTGAACCAGCTTGGCCCGGACAGCTTAGCCTCGCTACGGAAGCTGGCCGAATCATACCAATCGTTACAGAAGGGTGGCGAAGGCGAGGAGGGCAAGAAAGGCGACGATGATGACGAAGAGATTCCAGATCTTGTTGAGGGTGAAGAATTCGGTAACAAGGGTGATGTTGAGTAAAGCATTTTCCTGTGGAGTCGGCGTAACCCTGCAGCACGCTGGTATCATCACCGACACGGCCATTTGCACTGATGTATGTGAGGCGTCAATGGATGCTGGGGGCTCTGCATGCATCCAGTGGCCAAGAGACGGTCGGTCACCTGTACACGAAGCTCATTATACAGACGGTCCGACTGGTCCAAAGTGGGGGTATTTATATGTGGTAGTATTTGCCATCAACGCAGCAGGATCGAACAAGCTCTGCTACATAGTTTCCTGATTTCCCAGCACTCGCCTTCGCAGCTGTAATCTAGAGCCGTTTACCGGTCCTTTGCGGTTGAGAGATATTCCGATACTCGAGGTCGGGTGTACGTCGGTATCTTTGTTATCGAACATCAGCGAATATATATGTGAAGATTTCAAATGACTGACAACGAAGGGCGTATGGTCTAGCGGTATGACATCTTCTTAGCATTCATCTGCTTTCCTGGATGTATCTAAGTTGGAGAAGGTTCCCGGTTCGACTCCGGGTTCGTCCACATTTTTGGTGTTTCCAAAGACTTCGATTTTGCTCCTTTGTAGCATCAGAAGTGGTGGAAGTGACGTTGTAGCACGACTGGGCGAAATCTGGGGACAGAAACATCATCTCACTGCAAAGGAAGAGTCTTTTCCGCACCTCTTTGACCAACACAAAATTGTGCAAAGTGATCGCAACAATGGGTGATTCAAGCAAACAATGAGACGTAGGCATTTAAGTATATAACCTGAGAATGAGGACACCAACTTCGATGATTTTTGTCACCGAACGAACACTTTTTATCGAACACGTATCTATATAGCACCCGGGAGCACCACAACGATGAGCGTGGAACCATCGATCTCCAATCTCACCAAAGCCTGTACTGGCATCGCTAAAGTCGTCCGTTCCTTCCCACTCCCAAATGAGACGTACGTACATCTACTGAGCAGCGAGGCGTATGACGGAAACTACCGGCGACTGGAGTCGATAGCGCGAATCAGATCGTGGCTTGGCACGTTCGGAGTGAGGAGTAACAGATGTCTCCACGCCGAATGCATTGATCGTGCCAAATTCAAATAAACTTACAACATATGAGTGCCGTACCAGTTTTCTCGTGGCAAAATAGAACTTATATCAAAGAAGACTTGCCCGCCTTGCGATAACGGCCAGCGCCATTTTGCGGGGGCTGTGGGTCGAGGTCATATCTGCGGGAGAAGCTTTCCTTCGCGAACTTTTTGCACAGAAAATACACCCAACACCTGCAGGGAACACAGTAGGGCTTGATATTTGCGAGCTCAGCCATTTGATTTGCTGAGCTGCCGCATGGACTATTAGACTATCAACGGCACAATGCAATCACTCGGGCGTCCGCTGCTGCGGCAGGTCGCCAGTTACTCCGTCACTCAGAAGCTCAGCACGCGAGCATGTAGTACTCTGCTTGTCCCCAGCCAGCGGTCAGTCTCGTCGCCGAAGAGACAGCGCCGCCATGTCACTCGAGGCTTCGCGAGCTCACGCTACGATGATGGATCAGCCCGAAGTGCGGTTATCAACGTGCTCAATAACATCGGCAGCAAGCGTGAGGTTCAGCAATACCTGGCGCAATTCACCTCGGTCTCCTCACAGCAGTTTGCCGTGATTAAAGTGGGAGGTGCGATCCTGACAGACTACCTCGACGTTCTATGCGCCAGTCTGCGCAACCTCAACCAAATGGGCCTGTTCCCAGTAATCATTCACGGAGCAGGACCACAACTCAATAAACTGCTTGAAGAGGCAGGAGTTGAGCCCGCGTACCAAGAAGGCATTCGAATCACCGACGGAAAGACGCTTGGTGTGGCGCGGAAGCTTTTCCTCGAGGAGAACCTGAAGTTGGCAGAGGCACTCGAATCGTGGGGTGTGAGGGCACGGCCCATAACATCAGGTGTGCTGATGGCGGATTACAAAGACAAGGAGATCTACCAGCTTGTTGGAGAAGTCAACCAGGTCAATGTCGCTCCGATTAAAGCCGCAATTGCGGACGGCTACATCCCTGTCCTTACGTGCATGGCGGAGAGCGAGGACGGTCAAGTTCTGAACGTCAATGCGGATAAAGCTGCTGCAGAGCTCGCGCGCGCACTGGTCCCATTGAAGATTGTGTACTTGTCGGAGAAGGGCGGTATTCACGACAAGGAGACCGGCAAGCTCGTCGAGGCAATCAACCTTGACGAAGAGTACGACGAATACATGAAGAAACCTTGGGTTATACACGGTACGCGGAGTAAGATACGGGACATCAAGACGTTGCTGGACGACTTACCGCGCAGCTCTTCAGTTGCCATCATACATCCGGAGAGCCTTGAGAGAGAGCTCTTCACACATTCAGGCGCAGGCACTCTTATCAGACGCGGCACCAAGTTACGGCAGGCCGAATCGTTGTCCGAATTGGACGCTGAGAGATTGTCAATGCTAAAGAAGACGCTCGTGCGTGATCGCGAGGGCCTGGATGCCGGTGCTGTCGTGGAAAGGTATCTTGAAACATTGAAAGACCGTCCGTTCCGAGCGTACTACGACGAGAACATGGAGGCTCTAGCTATTGTCCTGCCACCAAGTTCCGGATCTTCAAGCGCGCTTGCTCACCTTGCGACGCTGACGATGTCGCGCTCGGCCTGGCTCTCAAACATTGCCGACAACGTCTTCCAGAATCTCAAGCGGGACTTCCCGAAGCTAGCGTGGACCGTGAAGCAAGACGACGAGAACTTGACGTGGTTTTCAGAGAAGGCTGATGGCTCCATTGCACGACGTGGCGAGGTGCTGTTCTGGTATGGCATCGAGTCGCCGGAAGAGGTGCGCGAGCTCATGTCCGAGTTCGTACAACACGGCCGACAGATGTTCGGCGATATCAACCTTGAATCGCAACTACACAGGGCCGCCGCTGCGGCAGAGCGGATACGGGCGGGTGCCGAACGATTGATGGGCAACAGACCAGGCGCTCAGCCAATGCAAGCAAGAGCCTTCTCCACAAGCGCACGAAGACCGATCATACCCTCTAAAGCCGACGCCACGCCGCGGCGAGGCTACGCCACTACCAACCCCAACCCACCCCTTGGCATCAAGAACAGCGAGAAGGAATACCCGTCCAAGATCGCTCTGATCGGTGCGCGCGGCTACACCGGCCAAGCATTAATCGACCTCCTCAACCGCCACCCGAACATGGATCTCTGCCACGTCTCCTCTCGTGAGCTCGCTGGCAAGAGGCTCAAGGGCTACGAGAAGAAAGAGATCATTTACGAGAACCTCTCTCCTGATGACGTCCGACGGATGGCGGAAAAGCAGGAGATTGACTGCTGGGTGATGGCCCTGCCTAATGGCGTCTGCAAACCGTACGTCGACGCCGTTGACGAGAGCGGGCACAAGGAAGCTCTCGTCATTGACTTGTCCGCTGATTACCGCTTCACACCGTCCTGGACATATGGCCTCCCGGAGCTTGTACAGAGGAGCAAGATCGCATCATCCACCCGCGTCTCGAACCCAGGGTGCTACGCCACCGCCGCACAACTCGGTATTGCCCCTCTACTCCCGCACCTCGCACCCTCGCCGGCACATCCGACCGTCTTCGGCGTCTCTGGCTACTCCGGCGCCGGCACGAAGCCATCTCCGAAGAACAACGTTCAGAATCTTACCGACAATCTAATCCCCTACTCATTAACCGACCACATCCACGAACGCGAAATCAGCGCTCAACTCGGTACCGAAGTAGCCTTCATTCCTCACGTTGCCGTGTGGTTTGCGGGCATTCACCATACCATCTCACTCCCCTTAGCGCATGAGATGACGTCGCGGGATGTGCGCAACCTGTACCAAGACCGATATCACGGGGAGAAGCTCGTTACTGTAAGGGGTGAATCTCCGCTGGTCAAATCGATTGCGGGTAAGCATGGGGTTGAGATTGGTGGGTTTGCGGTGCATTCGGGTGGCAAGAGGGTCGTGATTAACGTGACGATTGATAACCTGTTGAAGGGTGCCGCGACGCAGTGTCTGCAGAATATGAACCTTGCGTTGGGGTATGCGGAGTACGAGGGCATACCGGTGGAGTGAGAGGGTCGGAATGGAACCGGAATACTTCGTTACGGTGTGGTTTCCGCAGGATACCAGAAGAGCCGAGTCGCGAGGAAGATGCAAAGGTATGTACGCTGGCGACAGCGTGGCTTTGTGGTCAGCAGCCTCTGCTTGTGAAAATCTAAAGGCCACGACCGGGAGGTAGCGTCATCCTGGCGCAGGTTGCAGCGAGGCGTTACCGAGTGTACAAACGGAAAAGCTTTTTCATGGATGCTGAATCATGCTAGTACACGCGATAGATAGTACAGGGCGTCAAAGGCTATCGTACATCGTCTACAGATGATCTCTTTACTGTTACCGTACTGTGTCACACAGTATTAGCGATCAGCTTGCGGCTTACTGACAGCCAATAACGTACCTTGTGCAGTGGTAAGATGTCAGAGTATCTCGGTTTGCTGTTGATGCCATTCCTCCCAGGCGGCCACATGTTCCACGCCCTTGTCTCTGCATCCTTTGCAACCTTTCTCGTAACGTTCATCAGCAGTTAGCTCCTCCAACGCCATGCTTAAAGAGATCCATATGATGCCTCAAGCGATCAATGCAGCGGGCATTTGAAGCTTCATAGAAGACTCACACGTCTCGCACTCCACGGTTCAGACGGTGAACTTGGCCTTAGCCCGACTACTGCCCGCATGCGCCGAGTCAGCATGCCCACTGAACTCAACTGCCTCCGTGTCCGGCAAGCCCAGCACCTCCTTGAACCTCCTCCCAATCCTCTCCAACCTCTTCTTGCCCGCCTCTTTGTCACCCTCATCACCACCCTTCTTCGGCGCCTGTCCTGCCGTCCTCGTCCACAACCCCACCCTCCAGAAACCCTTGCGGATGTTGACAACGACACCCATGACCTCGTTGTCGTTCTCCTCCTCGAGAGTCTCGCCGACGGCGGCGAGCATGATATGCAGCCAGACGTCGTCGGAGGCCTTATTGCCGGTGCGGAAGGTGTAGGCCCAGCGGCCGCCGTGCTTGTTCTGCGGGTCCTCCCATTCCGGGCGCACGCCGGCTTTGAAGAGGTGGTAATCGGACTTTTGGGCGAGTTCCGACGCTGGTGTGATGTTGTTCTGTGAGTGTGGAAGGAGCGGGTTAGTGAGGGAAGGTGGGTGTGAGGGTCCGAATGGGTAGACTTACGTAGATACCCCAGAATTCTTCCACACTGTCGAAGCTGATGACTTCCTTGAGCAGCTCGTTCCAGTCTTGCTTGCCTGATGGTGGCTTGGTGAACCAGAGGGTCCAGGTGTTTTGCAGAGCGTGCTTGACGTTGAAGTTGGACGGGTCGTCGAAGACGGTTACCACCTTCTCCTCATCGTGGTGGCCGTTGGTCGCCGTGCCGTTGGTGGCGTCGGTAATGCCGTCCACGGGGTCGATGGGGATCGTGTCGAGCGGAACCGGCTCAGAAGAGGTGGTGGGTGGAGGCACGGGACCGCCTTGTGCGACTTCTGCCATGCTGATGGAGGGTGTTGGTGGGTAGTTCGCGGATTCTAAGAGCGAGTGTACACTGTTTGCACCCCGTAAAGCTCACAATTCAACTATGACGGATGATGTTGTTGAGTAGTGCGGCGCAAGTAGAAACGCAGGCGCAGACTCCGTTAATTCGGGAAGAAGAGTGCCTGCCAAAACAAGGGTCGCGCTACGCCGAGAATGGCAAGGGCGTGTGAAATGCTTCACTTCTGCGTCTCTGGTTTGTGACTGCTCCAGCGTAACACAGGTGACATGTACAGCTGGGCAAGAACGATGTTACGAGGCCGCCGTGAACGACGGGTCGGCTACAGCGATGTCCTCGACTGCGGGTGATGGAAGTGAGCCTGATGATGGTGCCGAATCTGGTTCACCAGGCCCCCGAGAGACCGATAGTGATATGTCACGCAATGATGGCGAGCAGGATGAACGCACCGACCAGGCGGTTGAAGACGACCAAGCCAACCGCGAGAACAGCTTTACTGGTCCCACAAGCACGTGGTTGAAGTACACAGCTGAGGAGCGAAATCTCGCCGCATCTCTCGACCAACAACGCGCGAACGATCTGGCCACGCATCTATACAATGTCCACTCACTCAAGGCTCGTCTACGAGACCCGCAGCTTGCGGCCGCTACCAAGCCATGGGAAAGCAAGCAGCGCTGGATTAGCCGCGATGAGAATGGTAAGCTACCGTGGCTGCCAGATCAACGTTGGACGGCATGGCCACTGCCGGCGGAGGACGTACCGAGAAAGGGCGAGGACTTTGGCAGTGATGCGTTGCTGAATGACGATGACCAGACGTACCGAAAGGCTCAGCCATGGCGTCCTAGTGGCGACCTGGAGGAGGAGCTTCTGGCGATTATGCTAAAGCAGGCCAAGCAGCGCTTTAGACAGAGATCGTGGGCCAGTGGTCCAGAAAGGCCGCATCGTGTTGATGTTGGCTCGCTCCCTACAGTGTCCGGCTCTTCTCAGCTACAGGCGGAAGAAGGGACGGACACGGACGAAGCGAAACCGGCAACGTTTGCTCAAGCTCTACCCGCGTCAGACACACCTCATTTCTTAGAGGATGATGACGAAGCTCGTGCCATTTTGAAACCCACCATCCGCCACATCATCGCAAAGTTCGACGATCTGCTTCTCGGCCTGCAGAAAAGCCGCGCAGGGCATCGAAATCAGACGTCTACATTGAAGTCTCGCTCGCGGTCCAAGCCATCTGCTTCTCGCTCAAACACGCGTTCTCAGACGCCTGCTGCAAGAGGCCGCTCTCGCAAGCGCCGCGCCTCATCCGCGCTGAGTGAGGTAGAGGCGTCTGATGGCAGCGCTACGGATGATCCTCCCAATATGGACGAGGAGACGGAGCAAGGCGCGCCAGATGGTGACAAACGCCGCCGATCAGTAGGCGTAGCGAAGAGTGACCTAGGTCTCCGTGACTGGAGCGAAGTGCTAGGCATGGCGGCACTTGTCGGATGGGACAAGTCCGTTGTCGAGCGCACGGCACGACGATGTGCATCGCTGTTCGGAGAGGGCATGACTTTTCGGGTCATGGCTGAGACTGCGGCCGGTATGGCGCGTGATGAGGTGACGGTATACAAGCCAGACATGGTGCCGCCACTGTCAGACGAAGATAGCGACGATGACGATGATATGGCCGCGTTCTGCCCTTTCGGAAACTGTCCTAATCGCAACCTGGACAAATCGTGGAGATGGCGAGAGCATTTGAAGCGAAAGCACGGACTTTCCACCCAGCAGATCGCCGAATTTGAGGGTTCAAGGGAGTCCGGCATTGAGATGGAGAACAATAATGGTGCAGATGGCACGGCTGTTGATGCTGATGCCGACAAGCTAGACGAGGCCGCTGAAAGTCCAGAACTAGGCTCTTCAGAGGAAGCCGATGAGCTGTCAGAGATGGTGGGAGCTGTGCACAATGATGGCTTCCTGCGCCCCATTACAGGGAGGATAGGCAGAGGTCCAACTCTGCGAGCAACCCAGAGCCATGGGTAGGCACGAGGCGGCAGCGGACGAGCAGTGACCGAATTAAAGCAGTCCACTTCTTCAAGGGAAGCCTGAGGGATAGTGGGGAACGTTCCACATTATGCATCATGTCACAATTCGATCACGCCCTTTGCTACTGAACTCGAAACCTTGCCGTGCTATTCACCGCGCTGTTAATGCAATCGCTACACTAGTGTGTGCTCCACCAAGCCAATCCAGCAGTCAGACAGCATCGTCGCATAAGCTCCCAACCATCGTTATCGTAACCGTGCTCGCATGTGGAACGAACGTGTACGTGACCGTTGTCGGGACTGGACAAGTTGAAAGCGATGAGCTGCTCGAAGTCGTCGTGGTCGTTGTAGTTGTTGGAGTAGTGGTTGTAGTATTTGTCGTCATTGGCGTTGTAGTTGTGGTTGTGGTTGTTGTCGGTGTTACCGTGCTACTCGATGTTGTGGACGGCGTCGGCGTGGTAGTGGTCGTTGTAGTCGTGGTCGGAGTCGTGGTTGTAGTCGTTGTCGTGGTTGTGGTTGTCGTCGTCGTTGTTGTAGTGGTGGTTGTCGTCGTCGGAATAGTGGTAGTAGTGGTCGTCGTTGTCGGTGTCGTTGTCGTGGTGGTAGTCGTTGTTGGGAGCGTAGAAGAGAACGTAGTATGTGAAGTCGTCACTTGATACGTGTACGTCACCCCGTTTACTACAACAGCGCGTTTCTGGACGTCAGCGAATTGTACGTTTGGATTGTATATTCCGCTGCCTGCCTGTTCACTGCAATACTCGTAGCAAGTGTTCGTTATTGAATCGAAGCCCACTCCTTCGCAAGCCGGATTATTGGAGCAGTCTGAAACGCAAGCTGCCATATTGGGCTCGGTCTGCTGCTGGCAGATGCCGCCGGAGTAGGTTATGTTGCATTGTACCAGATACTGGCTGCCTGTGGAAGGATCGGTGTATGTATATTGTTGCTGCGTGTTGTTGCAAGCCAAGCTTTGTGAGGTAGCTGCAGCGGCTGAGCTTGACGTGCTGCTGCTGCTGGCGGTGCTGTAGGAAATCGAAAAACTGTTGGTAGTCACGCTGGACGAAGATGAAACGCTGCTGGATGAAGATATACTGCTGGAAGAAGATATGCTGCCGGAAGAAGGTATGCTGCTGGATGAAGGTATGCTGCTGGAAGAAGAGATGCTGCTGGACGAAGGGATACTGCTGGAGGACGAAGAACTGCTGCCTGATATGATCGTGTTACTGCTGGAGCTGCTCAGCGTCGTTGTCGAGCTGGATATTGAGCTGCTCAAGCTTACAGTCCCGCACACGGAGATGCCGCCGCTTGTGACATAGCAGGTGGACACAACCGTTGCTGTCCCGGAAGCGCTGATGAACGTCATGACGGCCGTCGTGGTAGCCGTAGCTGTGTTGGTGGGCCCGGTGACAGTACACGACTGCGTCTGTGTAGCCGTCTGCGTGCACCGCCACCGTAGTAGCCGGCAGGACCGCTAGACTGAGCACTACCCGCTGCGCAGACAGCCTGGCCGGGCGTCCACGTTGCAGTCGGTTGATATGTCGCCGACACACCTAAGCTAAAGGTTGTTACTGTAGTGACCCCAGCAGTCTGGGCACTGAGGGAGCCTAGGAGTAAGAAGGCCAAGAAGGCCATCTCGTGCGATCGAGCCATCGCTCGCTAACGGACGGAGATCGCCAGCGTGCACAAACCGAACAATAACTCTCCCACGCAGACTCGAATTGCTTCAGGCAGCCACGCAACAGCCGAAATCGAGCGAGTGGAACAGTTGGACTCGTAAATCAGCGATTAATCATAAGAGAGCAGTATCCCATGGACAGTACGCTGATGGGGAGTGTAGAAGACCGCAGCCATGATGCGTGCCTGGTGATTGGCAGGGAGGCGTGTGTTATTGCGCGTCTGGAACGTACCAATCACGCCACGCAGAAATGCAGGAATTGACGATCATCATCCGTGAAAGACTGAACGGACTGCCATTGCCATTATCAATTGGCAGGCTTGGTAGCGATGCGAACTTACAGCTTGGCTGTCCGCAAAAGGGTGCTGTCCATCCTAGTCCCCTCGTCGCCTTGTTCAGTAACAGATAGATCAGGAAACTGAGCCGGCATAATCCGCCGGGGAGTCGATCCAGCAACCAGAGCGTACTTTGTAAAGTCGGTCATGCCTTCATGCTCGCGCAGAAGGTCTTCATCGAGTAAACACTTGCCATTGACGGCCGCCGGCGGCGCCCTTAGGATGGCCAAGATCGCATCCGAGAAAATACTTGGTTTGCGAAGCTGCGATCGATCTGTCTGCGGGTTCTGTGTCGCCGCCGACTCAATTGCCTGCTACCAGTCAGCCACTTCGGCCCAATGCGGACTCTCAGACTTACTGCAGCTGGCCACAAGCTCGTGATTGTCATATCGGCGCGGCCTTCACGCTCAAAGTCAATACCAAGGCCCATAGTAAGGGCACTCATTCCCCATTTGCCTATAGCGTAGCTTCGAACACTGTCAGCGTATTGGAACTACCGTCACCGCGAAGTGGGTGTCAGGAGCGTACCCGGTCTTTCCTCGAAGAAACCTGCTGTATATTGCTGCCAAGCGACGCCGCTGTTAGCCAGACACGGACAGCATGCTGGACAAAACGTACGCGGACTGATGACCACGATCCGTCCCTTGCCATTGCTGCCGTTGCGGTAGAAGTGCGGCAACGTGGCTTGCACCGAAGCGTACAGTCCGTGGACATTAACTTCTTGCATCAGACGGAAGCGCTTCATTGGTGTCTTCTCCACGCTCGCCCACCATATGGCACCGGAGTTGTATACCAGGACATCCAGCCTGCCATATTTGTCCATGACCGACGTAACCATCTGAAAGACACTCTCGGTGTTCCGTGTATCTACCGGCAGTGCTAGCGCTTCCCCGTTGGCCTCTGTTATCTCCCGGGCGACCGTGTTGATAGTGCTGGCTTGGGAGTTCGGGTCCGGCGGAAACGGTATACACTTGGTGGCGTCCGATGTCGTCTTCGCCCCAACTATGACTGTCGACTTCCGATAAGCGGATAGAGTCAGTAGCACACGGCCGACCTACCAATATAGCCATTCTTGGCCAAGTCGATCGCGACTTGTCTTCCAATACCCCTACTTGCCCCAACGACGATTGCGACCGGCTTGCGTGCAGCCATCCCTACCAACTTCCGGTCATGTGGAAGTCAGAGTCTGGAGGAGCACGGCGAGTTTATGTATTTCACGCATATCGTCGGCTGTTCAATCGTGGGTGCTCTTCTACAGGGCCAGCATTGCGACAACCCGAGGTTGTCAAACGTGGTGGGTGGCGTGCATCTCCACGATGAGTAATCACATTTTGAAGATCTACTGTACCTGCTAAGACCCTCCTGATGGATGTGTCGTCCGTCGGCGGTGCTCCCCCGCCTATTCGCTCAATACTCCGTACCCCGCCACCGGATTGGCACCACCAAAATTGCGTGGCTTCTGGGCTGAATACTTCCCGCTCCCTCCAATGCGTCAATAGTTCATTAGCCTGGTCGTGGCTACGGCAGAAGCTTAATTGGCCTCCCACGTCCCCAGATGCCAATCCACGACCGCGACGAGGCCCATTTCACCAGATTTTGCCTACTCCTGATGTTGCACAAATAATCAACAAGGGCATAACTCGAGTGTAGCATGGCCAGCAGCGAAGACAATGCGAACGGCGATGTTGAGGCGAGGAGATATATATCAACGGCTGGCCCGCGCTCCGTAAAGACCAGTCTAGTTATTCGATAGAACCACCAAAAGCGATATCCGTTCCTGGAACGGCTTCCCCCCCGAACATTGAACTCGGAGCTCCGGCATGTTCATGCAGCCATTTAGGGGCCTCGTGTGACATCTTCGCTCGCAGAGCACATGTGGTAAGACGTTGCAGCACAACATATTGCGCTCTTCGCTCCTATTGCCAGCGTGCGGCATGCAGGGGGGACCGCCCAATGCCACGATCCATCATGCAGCCACCAAGGATTGCTGGACAGATGGAGTGTCTGCGGGATGGGCTGCTAAATTGCTAATAGATCCATACCGCCTTGTGGCGTCTGCACGGTGGTGCGCTAAGTCTTCGGATGCTATTGATTTGTTCAAGGGTTTTACCGCTTACGGCTGAGCTATTCACGCCTGCCGTGCCGTTGAGCTTTCTCGTCGAACGCACTGCTATCTTTTGAATACTTGAAGACACGGCCCATTGAACATATTAATTTCTTACACAGGTGCGATTATTTTAGCAAACCTGCTTTGCCCTCTCCGTTGTCGATCACAAGCGCGCTCGACTCGCCACGTTGTTCGATCGACAGGCACAAGACGATCGACCCCGGCCCGCTACCGCCCTGGGATTTTTGTTGGCGCTGCATTCTAGACTTGTTGATCAGCGCGCGACGGACGGCTTTTGCGCAGTCTTTGAAGCATCGCTTCTGCCGAGGACGATAGTCGCAAAGCTGGATAGCGGCCACAGCTGCCATGCAACAGATGCGAGCACAACACGAGCTGTTGCGATGACAGCACAACGCACATGCTTGTCCCACACTTACGGGCAGATCCCAAGGCTCGGCAGCCCTGCTGTGTCGCCATATCGCGAACGACAATACCAGGTATCTGGTAGAGACCGAACATCTGACGCAGTATGCGTTGAGACGGTAACAGCAAAAGGACAACAACGTTCTCATGTTGGACGGCCAAGGATACCACGAGTGACGCCGCGGACATGGTCGGTGACGCAGACCGTTACCGCCGCCCTTCTTGGGCTGTTGATTTTCTGCCAAAGCACGGTCGCAAATGATGTGATCATCGCGAAGCGGTGGGAAGAGACGACAGGGCTTTTGTTTGACCGAAGCGAGCCGCCTGCCAAACCACAGTGGCTATTGCCAAGGCAAGAGACTCTGTCGACATCACCAACTGCCGCTTCCACGAGCGCAGGCCAGAGTTCTCCGACAACCAGTGCAGCCAATGGCATCGCAACCGCAACCTCATCAAGTTCGAGTACCCTGCCACATCCATTCGATTCCACTTTAGGTAACAACTTCACCGCTTCGAGCTGTCCGAACTTCTTCCGTGGCTTCCTGAACAACGATACTTTTACCAGCTGTCTGCCGCTCTCACTGTTGCTTCAGGTACGAATAACACGTCTGTCATTGATAAGAGATACGACTGACAAACCGTTCGTCCAGACTTCCAGTGGGTTCTTCGCCGCCGAACGGTCTCTTGTCCGCTTAAGCCAAGTTTTAGACGCGACCTGCAATGTGAACTTCACCGCTTGTTCTGCCACGATGTCTTGGTTCGCGCAGCAAATACAACTCCAGAGCAATTGCGGTGCGGACTTGGCACTGCAAAATCCAATGGTCGTGCAAGCCTTTAACGGCTTCCTTGGTTACGCGCCTCTCTACCATGCTGGCTGCTTGACGGACACAACGGGTAGCTATTGCTTCGCCGATGCCGTGCTAAATCAGTCTGCGCCTTCCGGCAGCTACGTATATTACCTTCCGCTGGGCGTACAACTACCGGCCGGGACGCGACCAACATGCAATACCTGCTTGCAAAACACCATGTCGATTTTCGCTTCGGCTGCGAGCAACAAGAGCGTCCCTCTGAGCGAGGATTACACTGCTGCAGCTCAGCAGGTCGACATAGATTGTGGGCCTAATTTTGTATCGACGTCGGTGCAGAAAGGATGGGCCACAGCAAGCTCACCGTCTGCGGCACCCTGGTTGCTGTCTCTAATCGTCGTGGTTTCGCTTCTGTGGATATGAGAGATCAAGTGCTGATCTCTTTTACGTCGGTTTAGCGATGGCGTTGCTGGTATACATGGGTTGGCCTCACTTGGAAACGATAGTACGATTTCGACATGAGCATACATATTACATACAGTGCGCATCACGTATGCCCCATCGACGCATTTACGGCTAGGTTCGTCCGTCCTCCAACGCATCAACAGTGTCACCAGCGACCTCGATCATTTGATGGCGCGGAGGGCGCATGCAGGATGATTAGACTTTGCGCTAAGCCTGCCACAATCTTCGTAAGCAACGCGTTTCGGTGACTTCAATGTTCCCGGTAACGAGCAGTATGCTTGCGGACGATCCGGACCCGAAAGCGTAGCGCGAGAACCTTGAGGTCGTGTGAAGTGGCAATGTGCGCGCTCAGCCGTTCAGACCTCCGTATAATGCTCGAGGTGAACGCAGATGTTACTGCTGAACAACTTCTCCGCATACTCTGAACCAACTTATTTGAAATCATGATCCTTCCTTCATCAGTGGTCTTGGTCCCTTGCTAACCGGTTCATCGCACGATGCAGGCTCAGGCAAGCTCGCAGTCCGCGAGCAGCAGCGCTGACGATGCTGAGAAGACTACTCCGAAGCCGAAAGACGTCCCAGATCAGCCATCAAGATCATCCGCACCGGCAGAGGACGGCAAGAAGGCCTCAAAGGCGAAGCAACTATGGGACAAAGTCGGCCTGGACTTTATGACAGTCTCGTTGATGTTCAAAGGCTCGTTGCCGCCAACAATTGCACTGGCGGCGTTTCAATCCACTACATGGGCGAATCATTTCGGGACGCTTGGGTACCTCGTGGCAATTGCTTCGGTACTGGGCTTCTGCATCATGCCGCGTGGGAAGTTCATACAGACGATGTTGCTGAACGTGTTCACCGTATGCCTAGCGGCTGCGGTGAATCTATTGGCTTTGTACTGTGCAACCCAGGCCAGGCTGCACACCACTCCCAATGGCCGCCCTCTTGCGGCTTATAACTCCTCGAGCAGCGCGGTGCTTGCGATCTGGCTCGTGTTTCAGACTTATGTGGTAAACGTTGTTAAAGCGTCAAGACCGCAATTCCAATTCCCAGCGTATGTCTTGCTCAAGCGATACACTGCTCATTACTGATCGTCTCGCAGCATTATCTACTCGATCTTCATCAACGTATCCGTAAGTTTGTCAGTGATTTCAATGCTACAACATTGTGCTCCGCCCTGCCTGTACCGTCTCACGCACTATAGTCGAACGGCTACCTGCGCTGCGTGCGTACCTCTTTATGCATCTCCGTCCGCGCTGTATCTCGATTGTCGACTTACCATACCTCGCAGATGACGAACGGCGTGCAGTTCCCGACAATGCTATCCGCCATCAGTTTTATGAAGAGTCTGCTCGAAGCCTTCCTTACGGGGTTCGCACTGGCTACGGGTGTTCACTTCTTTGTGTTTCCTACCAGCTCCCGTACAGTCGTCTTCAAGGAGATGACGGGGTACTTGATGTGTTACGCAGGAGTGCTGAAGGCTCACACAGCCGCAATGCACAGCTTGGAGGAGGCTGATCCCGGCCGGATGCGACGTGAACGTGAGGAGGCGCAAGGAAACAACGAGCACATAAAGAAACGCCAGAAGAAGGACGGCCAGCATGCTGGACCACTTACTACGCCCGCAACAATCGGTGTTAAGGAGGCGTTCGGCAAGCTCATCGATCTGCATACGAAACTGCATGCCGATGTAATGCCAGCTAAGCGTGAGTTCGCCATCGGCAAGCTAGAATCCCACGATCTGACCGAGCTTTGGGGTCTGCTTCGGAGAATCTTCGTTCCAGTGATGGGTCTCACCGCCAGCGTTGACCTATTGCAGCGAACAGCGATCAAGTACCATTGGAGCGAAGAAAGTGATAACGAGCAAGAAGAAAAGGCGCGGCATCGCCACATAGACAGCATGCACTTTTTGATGAAGCAGCTACACGAGCCCTTTGCCCGTACTACTAAAGCGATCGAAGCAGCCATGATGCATGTCCTAATTACGTTAGAGCTTGTCAAGCCGCCCAAGAAGAAGCCGGATGAGGAGAGCGCTGGCGAACAACCTGTCCCAGGCTCGCCAGGCTTCGCATCCGCGTATCAGAAGAAGGTTGAAGAATTCTATCATTCTAAGAAGCTCACATTGAAGGAGTGGTGCCAGGAGCACGACATCGAACTACCAGCGGACTTCATGGAGTCGACGTTCGTCGCCCCAGAGAAGCATTTCATTCGTGACGAGCATAAGAGGGAGCGCTACCAGAGACAGCTGTTCTTCACGCTGTACTTAGAGTATCTGCTCTATCGCACCGGTTGCGCAGTGTTGGACTTGGTATTGTGGGCCGACAAGCGCAAACAGGAGGGCGCCCTTAAGCATCTTAAGCTCATCTTCCCAGGATCCAAGACCTTGTACGAATGGTTCAGAGCTATCTTCGGCCGAGAGGACCGGAACAACGACGGTCACTATCTTGAAGAAATGAACAGCGGAGGTGTAGAAGCCGTCGATCTCGGCGAAGAGTTCGAGAGACGGAAGGATCCTGAGCACCTCCCACCGCAAAACGCACTTGAGCGGTTCGGAGAAACGCTCCGCAAAATACCAATGTGTGTCAACCTCATGCTTCCGTACCAACCTATACTGACTGCTTGTGGAGTTTCTTGCGGAGCGACGCCTCAGCTTTTGGCTTCAGAGTAGCTTGTGCTACACTCACCGTAGGCATCATCTGGTGAGCAAACGTCTGTATAGTACCATTGAATCATACCGAGACATTGCTGACCCTCGTACCTAACAATCCTAGTTACCTTGAGAAGACACAAGCTTGGTTCTTACGGCAGCGATTACTGTGGGCAATGGTCATTGTGGCGATCTCGATGTCCCGCACGTCCGGTCAGAGCACGTTCAACTATGCTCTTCGCGCGCTTGGGACAGCTATTGCCATGGTGGGCACCTATATCATATGGTACATTGTCGTGGGACACGCACCAGGTGTGCTTATCTTCCTCTGGCTATGGACGGGGCTGGCCTTCTACTTCATCCTGAAATTCCCAAAATTCATTGTTGTTAGCATTCTCAGCTTAGTAACAGCTGTGCTCATCATTGGTGAGCTTCCAGCGTCTGCGATATTTTCACCAATGCTGACCGGGCTGCAGGTGTACGTTGATACTTTGTGGCAGCGAACGAGGGTCTGCCTCATTAACGTAATATCACAGTACGAGCTTCAAGTCCAGAAAATCGGCGTCGCAGCGTCCTTGTCGTCCGGACAGCCAGTCTATCCGACATACGTTCTCGCGCCCTATCGACTTGCTACGATACTGGGTGGCTTGTTTGTGGCCTTTTTCTGTCAGTGTCCCTGCGGCGGGAGTGGTCCACGACGATTCAATGCTGACCCAACGATCACAGGGACCATATTCCCGTACCCAGTATCGGTGAGTGCGCCCGACAAGTGCTTTACGCTCTTCTAAGCATAGCTAATTCATCAATCATCACCATACAGGAGACATCCGAGATGAGGAAAGACCTTGGCGCTGCCCTATACTTGCTCGCCAACTTCTACTCTGTTGTCAGGGAAACATTAACGAGCAGAATCAGAGGAACTGATGGCGACGTTAAAGTGAAAGGAACGCACGCTTATCAACTGAATGAAGCTTTCGACACAGTGGTTTCAAAGCTCCTGTCGCTATTGACAAATCTGCGAACGAACGCCGCCTTTTCAAAATTCCAGGTCCGCATTGGAGGTATGAGCTGCGCCTCGTAAGCCAACAATTATGTAGCTGACCTAGTGCCAGGCCGGTTCCCGATAGAGGAGTATGAGGGGTGAGTCGACTGCTGATGCGAGAGTGCGGTGTACATTATGTTGCCTTGCACAGCAAGCGCAGCGCCCTCGGCCATGCTGCAAGTGGTCGGAAGAGCTTCGGTGACTAACCCGTTTTACAGACTCATTGAAACATGCCAACATATGTTGCAACATCTTGCGCTGATCAATTATGCTTCCACGGAATTCTCACTGCATAACAGCCATCACAAGGACGGCGCTGCTCCATCGCAATGGTCCACCGACTTTCGAAAACTGCTGGCTGCAACCAATACAACCTCGCACCAAATCACGTCCGTGCTTTCTCTACTGTCGTCTGCCTTGACGAACGGGCAGCCACTGCCGCCATGTCAGTATGTCTCATTCGCCGCGGCTAGCGGTTTTGCTAATTATTGTAGACCTCCAAATGCCTGAATCTTACAAGCTGGTGAAGCACCTCGACAACATCAACCCCGACCTGCTCAGCGTAAGACACATTGCGGAACCGGAGTACTCGGCCTTTGCGGTTCTGCAAGTCTGTGCACAGGCAATCAATGATGACTTCGACCAGCTAGCGAGGCGAGTTCGGATAGCATCTGTTTATAACACTCTGCTGACGATCGCTAGGCACGTCAAGGCTCTCGTTGGGACGATTGATTTTACGTTTCACAGCAAGGAGCAGTCTGATGCTGACAATGACGCCGCAGGAACTGGAAAAGGCAAGGCCGACTAGGTAGATATCTTGTTTAGGATGCTATCGAAGTCGCGCTAGCCTTCTTGAAGTAGCCTTTTAAGGTGTTAGTTTGGCCGGGATCGATACCAGCCTTCTTGCTGGCCTTTTTAGGAGAGTCCTCAGCTCCTTCTTTCTTCGGCGGCTTCTCTCCGATGCGCATCAGCCGCATGAGCTCCTCGAACTCCTCCGCACCCACAATACCACCTGACGCTTGTACATGACCGCGAGCGAAGTCGTTACCCAGCCGCTCGAGTAATGGTCGCGACTGCTCATGTTCGCTCTGCCCATGGTTGTCCTCAACACCGTCGAGGCTTCTAAGGCTGGCGTAATATCGTAGCCGCTCGATGATCGATATTGGAGGATCACGACCCCTTGCGCATCGCGGAATCCGACATGAAAAGTTAACCTTTCCTGGCAGATAGCCTTCGTTTGCCACAAGCACTATCTCTAAAGCTTTGCTGGTCAGGTGGCCCGCCCACCTCGTCGCTATAACCGGATGTACTTGCGCCTCACTGCGGATTCGAAAAACTGCGACCTTGCCATCGGGGCTGAATTTGGGCGCAGCGTGGGTACAGCGCTCAACTTCAGCATTGACCTCACTCCGTGCGCTTAGCAGTCGCGGATTCTTGAGCACGGAAGCCGGATCGTTTGTCTCGCACAATGCCGTCCACGCGGACAAGACATCGTAAGTTGCTGTCCGTCTTGGTGCATTGACAAGGGATACAACATCGTTTAGGACCTTCTTCGTGTATTTCTTTAATGCCTGCGACATGTCCGGGAATGGGGCTTCCCACTTCAGGGTGTTGCCTAAGTCGCCGTGAGTCCCTACGATGCATAGCCAATCACATCTATCTTGCACCCCCGGATGCAGTGGCCGGCAAATCTCGTACGTAAGTAGTGACGAGGTTGCTACAGGAGGCGAGTGGCATGCTGTCACGTGCTCCGATCGGTCGGGAAAGTCGCTCTCTGTGGCATAATGATGGTCGATAATGAATGAGATGGTTCCGGCGGAAGCCACGACCGGCGGCCCAGGGCGGGAGCCGTGATCGATAACGAAGATATACGCTGGGTCGTAGGCTCTCATCAGTTCACGTTCTGGTTCGCTATGGACAGTGTTGCCTTTTGATAGTAAGTGCACATGGATGTGGTTCTTTGGAAGACCCAATAACACCAGGGTATGCCGAAGAATGGCGCCAGAGCTTAAGCCGTCTGCATCCTTGTCTGGTACAATGAGTACATTCCTCTTCGCTTCGGCGCTGAAGAGATTGTTAGCGGCCTGATTGGTGTAAGGTTGTGTCGTAGCCATGCCTTTCCCTGATAACTTGACGAGCACGTTCGAGCTGGGTCCTCGGCGCAGGCCACTGGGTACTGCCGTCCACTTCCTTCACTGACGGTGAGAGATGGTACTCTGGAATCTCCGCCCGTTGCCTCTTGGCTGGCGTTGAGGTCTTGCTGGGGGACGCCTTCCGCTTCATTGCCGAAATGCCGCGACACCTTCCACCAACGTGGAAAGCACCATAGAAACCGAGCGTACGAGAAGACGTCGATCGTATCCTGGTCGCTATTGGGTAAACCGCGAAGAATGCGCGACTGGATTCGTATGGCTTTAGGAATTTTAGTAGCGGACCACTCATATGCAGGACAGATGCACGATCTGTATTGGCACGAATTTGTACTACACGTCCCAGCGCGAAGTATCTTCCTGTCAATAATTAATGGTCGAACAAAGTGTTTAGGGATTGTTGCTGTAAGGAGTATGGTAATGTGCATGTCCTGTGCTGTATACACATGTGCATATGGAGCATCGACGTCACTCCAAACGCACAGACGCGACGAGAGCAACCGAGGGAACCCATCGATACGCACAGCGCTCAGAACCTCGCGACGGATTGGGACGAGCCGGAACCCATTTGCGCGTCAACACTCTACGACGTCTGAACACACAGCCGCGAGCCGTGAGTCCTCCAGCACCTGGTTGGAGCTCAGCATCGGCCAGTGCGGTTATGGTCGTTGTGGTCGCCGCCCTGTCCCGTGCAGTCAAACTTTCCGGCCTGGGTGTTCCTGGGCAGTTTCTCAGCGGCCCACCGTTCAGAAGATTGTATTAACAGAATCAAACGCACATTGCACACTTCAAGACGCAGATGTAGTCTCGAATCCGTCGGTCTCTGCGGCCCCATAGCTGATTGGCCGGTATACACCCAAGTTTCAAAGGATTCTGTCTGTCTGCGGCTCTTCCTCCACAACCGGCCTGGAAGCGGGGTCAAGTGCATTGCAACTCAGGATCGAGCTTCGAGTGAGAGTGGGCGCAGCATATTTCCCGGAGCGAAACGATAAGCCGCCGCACGTTGTTGTGAGCCACCCATTCTCAGCACTCTCGAACTGATCTTCTTTCTGTGCGACACGACACGGTCCGAGCTTCGACAGTGTTGCGCGATAGCGGAAGGGATCGTCAGCGGCTCAGCCTCCACGCCTGACAGCTGGGATCTGCACGATCTGGCCCAAAGCCTCACCCGAAATCAGGTTGACAGGGTCTCTATTCGACCAGCCAAGCACGTTGCGCACGCCGACTAAAGCATCAACACTATCGCCAATTGATATCCCACGTAGCTGTTGTACCGGATGGACGGATGATTTGAAGCCGACTGGCGAACTTTGACGGTCATTCCGCCTTACAGCTCATACGGTTGTCGAGTACATGTTGTTCGGGTGAGTGGTAACCTCTGACAACGATATGCTTATTACTACAAGCGCTCTCGTGCCGTGAAATTACCATTGCGACTATGCAATGCGCACTCACCGCTGCGCACTCCAGACAGATCTTGTGCTAACGTGGGGGACAGTCCTGATTGCAGCAGCAGTGAACAGCCCAACCACTGATAGCCACTTCGAGTATCCATGCCTGAAGACCACCTGTATGTGACGGCAACCGTCGCCAATCGATGAGCTTCTCGTCAACGTCAAGTTCCCGGGCTCCTGCAAGCGTCACTGGCGTTCAATCGCAGCCGTACGGGTTGCCTGTATGATTCTGGACGACGGCGAAGAGCTCATCTTTACGAACGAGGCTCTTGTACAGCCAGCCTCTGACCCTCAAGCTGATCCTCTTGTCGGTTCGCCCTCGGAACAGAGCGACCGTTCAATTCCGCGCGAACGAGACCCCGGGCAGGCCGTGATTGTTGCCGGTCTGAGCTCGAATTGTCCCGATCTTGTGCGAATTCATACAGATATATACCACGATTTGCCAGAAAGTGCGACCGGTTACGGTTCGACCGATAGTGAGCCTATGGACAGCGTGCATCCTATGAGGGCCGCTAAACCTCAAGGTGATTTTACGACAATGACGACAGCGAGCAACGGAGCGTCTGGAGAGCGTTACGATAGCGCGGACGCCCAGCTGGCTGCGAGGGCTTTACAGGTAGCCAAAGCTGCGTCTTCTGACCGCCCTGAGACTCACATCAAGCCACCGCCTTCGACCTTGAGAGTCGACTCAGCTCAAGAAACCGTAGAGGAGACGATATCGCAAGATGCAGACTCGCAACCAAGGGTACGATCTCCACTCAGACTGCAAACGGCTCCAGTTCCAGAACCACCCGCATCTATATTGCCAACTAATTCGGACTCTTTGGCGACATCACCCAATCTCAGTAAGCACGTAATTGCTCTCTCGCACGAAGATCGAGACACGCTACCCGTTGTGCAGCGTAGTAGGTCAATGCATGACAGCGAGCAGACCTTGTCTCCTACCAAATTGCCATCTTTTCAGCAGTTTACTGGTCAGCTCAACCAACTTGCCGAAGCCGCTGCGAGTCAAGAGCTGCGCGCACAGACTTCCCATCACCAGCATTCGAATTCTGTAGGATCGATGGCTGGCGAGTCGCCACGGCTGCACTACCATCATTCCCAAGGTAGCGCACAGACATCACCCGTGAACCAATATGCCTACAACCCTCGGTCACCAACGAGCACCATCAGCGATTTCGCCGCCGGCACGTATGGATCACCAACACAACAGCGTCCACTGCAAGCGTACTTTGCCCAACGCAGAAGATCGTCCGTTGTCGACAGTCGAAACCACAGCTTCCCGCCAGTATCGCTACCATCAGTATCGTCTTCTGGCGAAAGCCAAGGGCATGCAACTTCGAGTGGTGATGGCTACAGCACCAGTCACACTACGCCGATAGAGCATGGAACGTCACTAGAGAGTACGCCCCGGCCTGTGCCAATACTTCCACCTCCCCCTGGCATGCCGATGAGCGCTGTCGTCATCAATCCAGGCTTTAACTGTGACTATCCCGGCTGCAACGCTGCGCCATTCCAGACTCAGTATCTTCTAACGTACGATTTCCGATGAGAGCCATAAATTAGCGCACAGTGTACTGACAGGAAGCGTAGTTCGCACAAGAATGTCCACAGCTCAGAACGCCCGCACTACTGTCCGAGAGCAGGTTGTCCACGTGGAGAAGGCGGCAAAGGCTTCAAGCGGAAGAACGAGATGCTACGCCACGAGCTTGTGCACAACAGCCCCGGCTATGTGTGCCCTTTCTGTCAAGACAAGGAACATCGGTATCCGAGACCAGACAACTTACAAAGGTACGCCGATCCCAATATATCATGGTCGCTGCTGACATCGCACATAGGCATGTGAGAGTCCACCATATGGACAAGGACAAGGAAGATCCTGCTCTGCGTGAAGTTTTGTCACAGCGTTTGGAAGGAATTGGCAAGCAACGTAGGCGCAGGACGGTGCAATAACCGAGTTTGGGCGGCTCTGTGCCTGCAGCTTCAAGATTTGTGGACGATGCTGTTAGCAACGAAGCCGCGCGGTGTATCGATGCATTCTGTGGCTTTCCGATGACGAGGGGAATGGCGTTTTCTGGCGAAATGGTGCGGTTGGCGGATTCCAGGCCAGTCGCTGGTGCGATGTGAACATGGCATTACTGACGAACGCCCCTCGTGGCACGAGGAGTTACGGCGGCTCGCAATCTTGAAGGCGAGACCAGCGAGTGCACCTCGTAAGGGCACTTCGACAACATGCAGTTTGCTGCTCTGTCTGTGAGGGAGCAGATATTTGCTGTGGTGGCTCTGCCAAATGATACCCTTTCACGCACGGCCCTTTCATGCTTCCAGCTGAGTTCTCAAGCCAGACGCTTACTTAGCGACGATCAGGGTCTATCTGAGCTCTGGGCAAATGGGAACAGATACCCAGACGCACCTTGTCCCTGCAGACAGAATTGTGTACATAGCAGTCAAGTGCTGCCCCTAGGCGAGGTGTGACTACGAATTCAGCCGAGAGTTTGCCAATCTGGCGAGGCGCGGCGCGGTCGCTGATCATAGTGGGTTAGCGCACGGGCTATCGACGCCATGTGGCGGTTCGAGGCTCGAGCAGCAAGCTCGGACATGCTCACGGTTCTATTCGAGCCGCGATCTTGGGAAGAACCAAGGTTGGGCTCCCACAGTTCTGGCTAACGATCATAACCGTATACGTTGGTTGAACGCCTCCCTTTCCTTTCATGACGATTCTGCCCATTGAAGTCCAGCATCCAATATCGCACGAGGACCACGCTCTTCGTTTTCTTGACCGCCCACGCCAAGGACAAAGCTACATACCGCGCGTGGCTGCTGCAGGACCGAGGCGGAACCGTTGAAAGGCTCGATCGTTCGGTAGACACTAAGGCCCGCTCGGCCCCTCTTACCCCAGGTGTTTGCTTCTCTTCAGAAGTGCTCACACGATATCAGTTGCTCTCCTCTCCATTGCTTGTGTGAGTTACAGGGCTGCATCACAACACTTATTAATTCAAGACCTCAAGGCACACTGGAGCTGGCTGGCGGAGGAGACAGATACTCCATCTTAACAACTTGAGAAGGAAATCGTGTGATTGTCGCAACGGGTCAGGGAGGCGAAGACACACCGAACAGCTATGGCCATGGCACCATCCACTGTCCACTTGCTGGGTTTTGCGCCCAATCGACCGGAGCCCGAGGTTGCTGTATCCACAGCGCCGTCACACAATGTGCCAGCGCCACGCACATCACGGCGAGCAACGAGCCATTACAACGCCTTTCAAACGCTCTGCTCGCCGGCGAATGACAATCCACCAGCGTACAACATAGCTGTGCGGCAGGGGTTTGTACCCTCTAGTCATCCGGAAGAGCGCCGTGAGCGGCTTCCCAAGTACACATGCTCTGTCAACTGCGAGATGAAGTTCTTACTCCAGCTGGAATCGATCAATCCGCTCCACCCAGTTTCAGAAAGCGAATGGCGAGACGTATATGCTGTGGTTCGCGGCACGATGCTCAGCGTGTACCGGGTAAAGGATGGCGGCGCTGGCAGGCTTCTTCGAAGCTACACTCTACAGCACGCCGAAGTAGGGATGGCGACAGACTCACAGCACACTGTCCTCATTCCGCAAACGAGACTGGCCCATCTCATCCCGTCTGCAGCCCGCAAAAAGGCATGGCAAAAGGATCCTGATCTTTTCCAAGCAGTGCGGCAGCACATACTGCGCCTACGAATTGAGACGGACCAAATCTTGCTGGCAGACTCCTCCGAAGACCGTATCCATGCCTTCATCAATGCCGTCAGTGCTGGCATTGACATCGCACACGCGATTGACGAGCGTACCGTTCCGAGGCAGAGCACGGTTCCGCGCAGGAGGCAACGGCGGCGTCCTGAAGTGACCGGCAACCTAACCGACCCCGAGCTACTTGCAGAGCAGGAGCGCATCTTGCGCAACATGTACCCTGCTTTCGCTCAGCAGGGTGCGCAAACTGCGAGACCAGGGTTGGAACGGGCTACAACCGAAGATGTGCCAAGCGAGCCCATGGCCAACACAGCGCGAGAGGAGGACGAGCTCGATCTGGCCGTGATGAGGGAAGATTTCGCCACTCCGCATGCCCCGGCACAGCAGCATGATGAACCAAGAATCAGACCAGGTATGTTGCGCCAAACGACCTCGTCAAGCGTTGCAACAACGTACTCTGCAGAGGTTCTGTATGCCACTGCTCCGGAAAACTTCACAACCGACGGCAAGTGGCGGCCTCCACACCCACGTACGGCCGTACAGATCCAACGATATACGCGTCGCTGCATGCCCATTCTGCTTGCCGAAGCTATACGTGCAAGTGATGTGCTCATCTGCAACGGTCGCCGGGTCAAGATCAATTGGCGAATGGAGCTACTTGAGGAGTGGGAGCTTAAGCCTCCGAGCTACAAGTCGCACGACTTCTCCAAACCGTCTACCGGTACGAACGCCAGTTTACAGCGGACGAATTCGCAAAACTCGCAATCCGCTTCGGTGTCCCAATCTTCGCCAACGACATCAAGGTCTGTTCTTTGTGAACAGACTGACCTCATCGAGCCCGTCGACACGAGTCTCGCGCACTTGGAGCTATCCAAGTCCATCACCCTGACAGAGAAACGCGTCTCAACGGCTGCAACCGTACCGAGGGCGCAATCGGAAGCAAAGCAGCAGGAAGCGAGACAAGCGGGCGGGGATATGCACGGTGTGGTCTTTTGCTTCTAAACGGAGATTTGTGAGTATGATTGTTTGATAAGCGTTGCAGCGAAGCGGGCATGTATGACTTGAGGCATTCCCTCAATTGCGTTGAAGCGATAGCGTGTGTTTAGAACCATGTGGTTGAATAAGTTGGAGCGTCTCTGCAAGATTAAGCGACCATCTAGTTTAGAGTATCGAGTAGCATCATCGCAACTGTCACTAGCCAACTTCGCTCGGTCCGGAGTCTGAATGATCTCTCTCGCTACCCTCGCGCTCACTTCGCTCAGATTGACGGTCCTGGCTGGCAGCGCGAGCGGCATGAGGACCATCCCGTTGCTTATTCACAGGCTTCGACTTTTTGGCGCTGACAGCCTCGTGTTTGTTTTTCCACATGCCTCCGTAGCGGTAGTACTTGTGCTCCTCAGCCTTGTCGCCGTCAACGACGCCGCCTGAGACTCGTTTCCAGCATGAGCCAGGGCACACGAAATGCCAATGTGCTGATTCGTCTATCTGACAGCGGACGAGGACATTGCGAGGTTTCTGGCACAGGGTACATGGTTTTCGGTAGTCCTTCCCTTCTTGCGACTTGCCTGGCATGGTGACACAAAATCACTGGCGCCTCGAACACTCGAAGCCGTGGTGGAATCACTTGCGATCATGTGACGCCTCGAAAGCTGCCGGTATCTGTGCCTTAGGCTTCTGTAAGTGTCGCGCTCGAGCCGCATGGTCCAAGCTCCTGGTTTCCAGTGGAAGTTTCTAGGTGGCTGTAGCTGTAGCCGTAGCCGTGCAAACACTTTGCTTCATATACCACAGCCTGCCTTCACAACAACACCCTCTCAAAATCAATTCTCTTGCGCTTATACCCGACCCTCTGGTCACTGTAACGACTCTACGCACGAAACAGTAAGTTGCATAGTCGCACAGCAATTGGCCTTAGCACAGCTAACAACCATCAAGAAAACACAGCACCCCCGAAAGACATTTCATACACCATCGCCAAAATGTCTGGCGAAACGTTCGAGTTCCAGGCCGAGATTTCTCAGCTGCTCTCTCTCATCATCAACACCGTCTACAGCAACAAGGAGATCTTCCTCCGAGAGCTGATCTCCAACTCTTCCGACGCCCTAGACAAGATCCGCTATGAAGCTCTCTCAGACCCAAGCAAGCTTGACAGCGGCAAGGACCTCCGCATCGACATCATCCCAAACAAGGAGGCAAAGACGCTCACACTCCGCGATACGGGTATTGGCATGACCAAGGCAGACCTTGTCAACAACCTCGGAACTATTGCCCGCTCCGGCACCAAGCAGTTCATGGAGGCATTGACCGCCGGCGCTGACATTTCCATGATCGGCCAGTTCGGTGTCGGTTTCTACTCTGCCTACCTCGTCGCTGACAAGGTGACTGTCGTCTCAAAGCACAATGATGACGAGCAGTACATTTGGGAGTCAAGCGCCGGCGGCACCTTCACCATCAAGCAGGATACCGAAGGCGAGCAGCTTGGCCGCGGTACGAAGATCATCCTCTACCTTAAGGACGAGCAGACCGACTACCTCAACGAGAGCAAGATCAAGGAGGTCGTGAAGAAGCACTCCGAGTTCATCTCCTACCCAATCTACCTGCATGTTTTGAAGGAGACGGAGAAGGAGATTCCAGATGAGGATGCTGAGGAGACCAAGGCCGACGAGGAAGACGAAGAGAAGAAACCAAAGGTAGAGGAGGTTGATGACGACGAGGAAGAGGAAAAGGACAAGAAGAAGAAGACCAAGAAGGTCAAGGAGAGCAAGGTCGAAGAAGAGGAGCTCAACAAGACCAAGCCTATCTGGACACGCAATCCGGCTGACATATCACAAGAAGAGTACGGTGCATTCTACAAGTCGTTGTCGAACGACTGGGAGGACCATCTTGCCGTCAAGCATTTCTCCGTTGAGGGTCAACTTGAGTTCCGCGCCATCCTCTTCGTGCCCAAGCGTGCTCCTTTCGACCTCTTCGAGACCAAGAAGAAGAAGAACAACATCAAGCTCTACGTGCGTCGCGTCTTCATTACGGACGATGCAGAGGACCTCATTCCCGAGTGGCTATCGTTCGTCAAGGGTGTCGTCGATTCCGAAGACCTTCCGCTCAACCTCTCGCGTGAGACTCTTCAGCAAAACAAGATCATGAAGGTCATCCGGAAGAACATAGTCAAGAAGACCCTCGAGCTATTCAACGAGATTGCCGAAGACAAGGAGCAGTTCGACAAGTTCTACACCGCCTTCAGCAAGAACATCAAGCTCGGCATCCACGAAGACACCCAGAATAGGCAGTCGCTCGCCAAGCTACTCCGCTTCCACTCCACCAAGACCGGCGCGGATGAGATCACCTCGCTCGCCGACTACATTACCCGCATGCCGGAGCATCAAAAGCAGATGTACTACATCACCGGCGAATCCACCAAGGCCGTCGAAAAGTCGCCATTCCTCGACGCTCTCAGGGCCAAGAATTTCGAGGTTCTCTTCCTTGTCGACCCGATCGATGAGTACGCGTTCACGCAGCTGAAGGAGTACGACGGCAAGAAGCTCATCGACATCACAAAGGATTTCGACCTTGAGGAGACGGAGGAGGAGAAGAAGCAGCGTGAGGCTGAGGACAAGGAGTACGAGTCGCTGGCCAAGAGCTTGAAGAATGTGCTCGGGGAGAAGGTCGAGAAGGTCGTTGTCAGCCACAAGCTCGTCGGCGCACCGTGCGCCATCCGCACGGGCCAATTCGGCTGGTCTGCTAACATGGAGCGCATCATGAAGGCGCAGGCTTTGCGTGACACCTCTATGTCCTCGTACATGAGCAGCAAGAAGACGTTCGAGATCTCGCCCAAGAGCCCGATCATCAAGGAGCTGAAGAAGAAGGTGGAGACGGATGGTGAGGGCGATCGCACCGTCAAGTCCATCACTACTCTCCTCTACGAGACTTCGCTCCTTGTGTCTGGCTTCACCATCGACGAGCCGGCGGCGTACGCTGAGCGCATTCACAAGCTTGTCTCGCTCGGCCTGAACGTGGATGAGGAGGTCGAGACGAGCGAGGAGGCGGCCGCGGCCGAGAATGTACCCGCGGAGGAGAAGGCAACGGGTGAAAGTGCTATGGAGGAGGTTGACTAAATGTATCACCTCGGCATTCGGCGTTGTTCATGGATCAGAGCAGAGCAGGCGTTTGACTGCATCAGCGTGCGAAAGATGCATGCTTAGTCCGGTGTTGTACCGAGTCAGCATGATAATGTACTAATATAGTAGTACTGTGATATCTGTTCACCTCAGCGGCCATTTCACTTCATCATGTTCCTCTTTATCTTCTTTGCTCGATCACATAGTTGGGCCACTTGACATTGCTCCTGCTGCATGCGGCGCGGGTCGGGTGCCGGAAGCAGGGCAGCAATCGTGACCCCGCCACCGCCGCCATGCGCGAGCTCCCAGTCATGCATGCGTGAGGATACATATGAACATCAGTGCATCGCACGCTTGTCCGTGGGAGGCGAGGCATCTTGCCAGTATCTCGCCAATCGCGTTTCCAGACTGGCTTCAGTGTGTGTACGAGACTAGCCACTCCGTCTGCATCTGGGAACAAAGCAACAGGCAACCCCGCCATCACCACTGCCGCTGCTGGCCAGCGTGACGACTACCTCAGAGCCAAGAGTGCTTCATAGAATCATCCTGCCGCTGTTTTGCCGCCTGGTCTAGTCCTGTGACCGCCTGCGAGACCGGCGAACATACACTGCCACGCAGTAAGCTGACCTTGAGGAACGCCTCTGCTGCCTTCCCATCACTGACGTCCACCTCTTCCGCAATCCCAACTACATTCTGCAATCACACAGCCGTCAGGGATCAACGGGAGCTTAGGCTGGATGCCACCTCTCGCAGACGGAGCGGTATCTGACTTTGACGACTTCCACGAGACGCCGCCGCAAGCGGAGCCCGACGACGGTTGGTCTGCCTTTGCTCCCAGGCTAAAGGTGAAGAAAGAGAAGAAGGTAAAGAAAGGCTCGAGAAAGGATGCAGCAAGAGCACCATCCGCAGAACCTAAGCATGACGAAGACACACCTTATGCGAAGTCCGTGACACCTTCGCCGCCAACAAGCCATGGCGTCCAGCTGGAGGTTCCGCCTGATCTACCTGTCTTGGAGCCCGAGACTGAGCCAGTGCCGCACAAGAAGTCAATGAGCAAGCACGCGTTTGTCTGGGACGAGGATGCGACGCCAGCCGATGATGTTGAAGCTGTACCTGAGCTACCGAGTGCACCACCAACGCCAGCAGCAGTGCGCTCCCCGCGGCCGCCTGCCGCCAAGCTAGTTTCTCCCACCGTCTCTCCGCCTTATCGCCCCGCTAATCTGTACACTCCATCAGCACAGTATGCTCGCACTGTTGGCTATCATTCGGGCAGTGCAGCGGAGGATCCAATATCGCAACGACGAGAATCATTCCTATCGCAGCGCCCACCGCGTCCGCACTTCACGGATCCCCCACCGCCACATATGCCGCAAGCTCACTTCTACGGCGTTCCGGATCTCGGTCTGAACCTTACACAGAAGCCCGAACAAGGCAAGGTTGCTGGGTCTGACGGGTACTGCTGCTGCTTCGACTCGCTTGCTGAAGCCGGAGATGCCGCCTCGGCTAGGCGAGCGAAGGATGTCCTGCTGATTGGCTCTGATTGTGGTCTGGACGTCTACAGAATCACTGCTGACAAGATGGAGATCGTCGCCCGGCTCGAGGGCCTGAGAGGACAAGTCATAGACGCGAAAGTGCTGCCGCATCACGATGTATCGGATCCATTTCAGCGGTTGCGGCCGCTGGTGGCTGCGATCGTGCATGGTCCAGTACCTGGAGCTAGCCCAAGCGAGGATCTCAATCGCTCACAGCAATATCAGACCACAGTTGAGGTGTATTCACTGCAGACCCAGGAGCACATTGCTACGCTGTATCGAAGCACGATGGTCAGGATGGATGTACCGGTTGTGGGCCATCTCTCTCTACCACCAAAGCATGTCGGAGAATTGAGCTTGACCGTCGCTGGCAGGTTCATTGTTGTAACCTCTGGAAAGAGTGGCGAGGTTTTCGTGTTTGCGGCTGGTGTTCGGTCCGTGACCACGACGCCCCAGTTTCGTTGCGTATCCAAGTATTGGACTGCTTTGCAAATGCGTCCTCAAGCTTCTCGGCCTTCTACAGGGAATGACGCCTCTGGCCCAACGGATGTGGCCTATGAGCATACTCGAGTGCCTCTGATGAGCTTAAGTCGCCGATGGCTTGCCATAGTGCCGCCTTACACATCTGCGGGAACCTCGATACAAGGGTCAGCTATTCAGCAAGATGGCCGTGTACCTGCTTATGGCGTTAGCACTCAGACAGCGCCTCCACAGCCAAGCATAACGTGCGAAGTAGCAGGCATTGACGAAGAAGGCACGCTTAGCTGGCTCTCACGTAAAGCTGCGCAAGGGCTCGTTCATGCCACGCAGCGAGGCTATGAGATGGGGATGCTAGGCTGGAAAGAGTTGACCCATCCGTCTCCACCTACAACCCAACAGTCTCACCACCGCACAGTCAGTCACGATACTGCTCTTTTCCCACCGACAAACGCGCCCATGGATGACCCGAAGCGCCTCGTCAATGAGCCGGCATTAGTGTCTCTCGTTGACCTCGAAACCCTGCTTCAAGCGGAGGATCAGGGAGCAAAGCACGCTCCCGCACCTTTTGCGACATTCGCCCTTGTCAATGGGTGCAACTACCTGTCGTTTTCGCCCGACGGTTTGCGACTTCTTACAAGCAACCAGAAAGGCGAGGTTGCCGATGTTTGGGATCTGGCGCATGTGGCACATGCCAGAGCGAAGGCGCAGTCTGACGATGCTACTGGTGTTGAGGGCGGGCCACATGTCAAGCTGATCCATCGTATCACACGCAGCAGCCCGTCTGTGACTGTGGACAGTGTGTGGTCGCGTGACAGCGATCGGCTTGCCGTCCTCACCGCACGCGGTACAGTTCACCTGAACGAGATACCGCTCACGGCGCCATCGAAGAAGCGAAAGCGACATAGTGCGCCGGCTGGACAATATCTGCCGAGCAGTGAGCCTGGTCCTGGTCTAGCGCAAGGTGAGGCATCGCCACCTCCTGTCACTGCCGGCTGGGCAAGCACTTTCCGCTCCTTTACGCAGTCATTGGGCTCGCAAGTAAATACAATCACGACGCAGTATGCAATCCCCACCACTCTCGCCGGCTTGCGCGAAACGGCTGCTACAGCAAGATCAGTGGGGCAGCGAGCCATCGCGAAAGGGATCAACCAAGGCTACACCGCTGCTAGAAGCGGCGCTAGTGACATGTGGCATGCTGAGGACAATAAAATCCGCCTGAAAGGGCTGCAGGAAGGTGGCGCGAAGCCAGGCTGCCTACACTGGGTGCAGGGTCGCAGTGCAACCTCGCTAGCAGTCGCAGCCGGCGGAAGTATATACATATTCCCGGTGCAGCGGCTGTTCCGGCGCGTCGGCAACAGCAACACACCATATCTGAAGAAGGAGAAGCATCGAGGAGCATTCCCATTACCACGAATAAGCACCAATCGAGATGGTGCGATGGTGAAGAATGAGACGTGTGCCAAAGAAGGCCCGCACGGTTTCTGGAGCTTGAAGCAATCGCAAGCGGACGAACAGAGACCATGCAACCCTGCCGTCAGCGAAGTGACCACTACCGCGAGCGAGATCGAGACATCTCCGCCTTATGTGCCTTTCCACGTCGACCATCGTGTCAGCATCTATGTGTTCGAGGACAGCGGGTACAGCAGCCAAGCGCAGCTTAATCGCCCAGGCGAGGACGCAATGTTTGACTTCAAGACGAGAGGGCACGGTTACTTGGAGGACGAAGAAGCGTGGCTCTTTGGCGAATCGTTGCCGCCTGCAACAAGGGTCAATGAGCGGTCACGCCATCTCCTCACGGCCACTGGCAACCGAACGGAAGCCGATGCTCTAGCTGATCAAGTAACGAGCCGGCTCTTCATAGATCCGTCGAGTGATGAGATTCGCCTAGCTTCTGGAAAGGTGAGATCGTCCCAGCAGCCTCATGCCAATGACTATGGAGCGCTCGATGAGGACGATGATTCTTTGCTGTGAAGATGATCAACATGTTTGCATATGCATACGTTGGCGAGACGGCACGCTCGAAGCTCGTGATGAGGGAGAAAGCTCCGGTTCAGAAGGCCATGAACAGCGACTGAGCGCTATGAGATGATACCCTGAACTTTGCGACCTGCACATTCTCATCATCGCAAGCCTAGTCTCACATGCTCCCGTGTCAAATCCCTCGTGTCACCGTACTCGCACATGACTGCGTTGCTTCTTCGGCGCTTCTTCAACGAGGTTAGGAGGACAGCGGGAAAACGCACGACTGAGTGGCCAATGGCCTATATTGGCATCGCCGTGTCAAGCAGGAGATACAGTAGCCTGTCATTCGTGAAGTACCCCATTCACAAAAGATACATCATCCACTTCATACATGATTACACCTTTTTGTGAGCATTACATTGGCCCATGGTCTTCGGACTGTCAGATGCCTGTGGGATGGCGTCTACCACTGCTCCGGTAGCCTGGCAGCTTCTCAACACTTTATCGGCTGCATGAGGTTATAGAATGCGAGGTTCGAACCATTGCGGCTGCCCATTCCCAGCGTCACTTGGACAACCAGTACAAGCAATCCTTCTCCATTAGTCTTACGCATTGCATCTTACCTGGGATCTCCTCGGCGACCATTCCATGAGTGGCGCAGACCTGTCTGGAGTCGACATTTCCAACCGAGTCACCCCATTCAGACGTATGCTCATCCTACCGGAGTGCTTCTGCCGAAACGTAGTCAGGATACGGTAAGCAATAAGGGGACATGGTTTACGACGGCGACGAGCACTCAATCGTGCCAAGAATGCTAGGAGTGGGTCACGAACTTGGTCAGCAGGTCGGGAGTACTTCAGCTACTACTGTTATGAGTCGTCCAGACCCCCACCATGGTTTCGTGAAGTTGCCAACAATGCAATCAAGACCCACATAGTCCGCTGACTGGCGTCGAGAAGTCAAGCTGTACATGATCGGGCCGTCGTACTCACCAGCATTGACGGCTTGCAGGGGAGCGGCAACGGCCGCAGCCAAGGCATATGCGAATAATCTCCATTGTATTAGTAGCACAAGGTGCGCATGTGGGCGGATGTATGGCATATTGACGGTCTGGACCCGCTCAGGGACCGAGGCGCAGATGCGGGCTTTCCCGAGGCTTTCTTATGCATGTGGAGGTGCTTCAAGGCTTGAAGCTCTGATCTTGGATACGTTTCTCCGCGAGAGCTGCTAACTTGGCTATTGGCTCCCTGCCTTGCGTGATATACTGGAGGTACCAGGCTAGTAAGCGAAGTAATCCCGATTCCGCTGGAGGGAGGTGAAGAGAGTTTGTCACGAGACAGCGGGCTCTGAGGTCTGGAGAGCGCCATACAAACAACTCCTCGTGGCCGAGTGTCAGATGGCGCAACTTCCCCATAACGCTGGCAAGTAGTAGTGGACGCAATGCAAATAAGACCGCGATCGAGACCGAGGGTCTCAGCTTTGGCGGATCGGTCGGCCCGAAGCTTGGCCGAGTACCTGGTACGAGCGGTAGAACGACAGATGAAACAGACGCCTGAAAAACGAGCGGATGGTCGTCGGAAGCAAAGTTTGTCACCCAAGTCTCTCGCTGCGAGCCGTAACGCTGGGCGGTGGCCAGGCGAACATTCCATGCACGCCAGGTCGACATTTTCGCCGAGCGGATGGCCATAGTGACGGCCGGTCGAATGAAGCCGATGCGGAGCGAATGCGAACGATGACCTCCTGCAACGGTATGCGTTTGCGAAAGCTGTCCGACAGTTCGTACACGCCTGCCTACTCGCGAAAGGTAGTCCGCGTCAGCAATAAGCCATCCAAGGCTTCAGCCTACTTCGGGCGACATTTGCAGGCCGGATCTGAGCATAAGGAGCCTGATCGTGTTGAAACCTTCGCGGCCATCCGGCAGTGTTCTGTGGGCAATCCTTCGGCTGTAAGAGTCTTTTGGTATTGTGCGTAACTTGTTGTGAACATTATTTACACGGGAAGCTGTTGGAAGTTGCACGGTTGGCCCTTGGCCGTGCCAAGCCTAGTTCAAGAGACAGCACGACCAAGGTCGGGTTAGCTTTGGCGCGGCCCTGTCCATCGAATCGATGCCTTCAATCGGCGATTATGCTGCGCCTGGAATCTCGCGCATCGTGATCTCTTGAAAACATGCCACTAGCATTGCCATCTTCGATTCGGCAGCCTGGCACAATGCTGGCGCCTTCCTGCTTCCTCAGATCTGTACGTTTGATCGATCTTGTCTTGCCGCCGTTCCATCGGTCTGCTTTTAGGTCGCAGTGATCGCCCTCGAGCTGTTGGTGCTCTACTTTCAATACATTGCTTAAGTGTACGTCTGCCGCACATCCGTCTGATCTTGCAGGCACCGTCGTAATGCTCCCTCTCAACAACACCGACTACTTCACGATTACACCTGCTCGACACTTCAGTCACTTCTCGGACGAAACGCCCTGCTGCTCACCTACGTTCAGTAGTCCAGAGGAACAGCCAGTAGCAGACCCTGCAAACCCATTGCTTGCATATCGCGAGTCATATCTGCCAACCATACCTCAACCAGCGAACGTCATGCAAGTGCAGACATCAGCCGCACACGGGCAAACACCGAGCAGGCCTCGTCCAACTCCGGTCCAGCAAAACGTACTCTACGTCAGCGATTCAGACTCTGGCAGTGACTCGAACTCCTCCATGGGTTCGGGCATGATGTCTCCGCCCGAGCTCGCAAGATGCTCGAGGTGTCAGCGTACACCTAGCCTCGACCTCAATACTCGCAGGAGCAACATGGTCCAATATGGTCTCAACCTTTGGTACTGCACTCGTTGTGCAGGCATGGTTGGCATGACGAACCGCTGAGCCAGCACAACAATGACCAAAGACGACGACACTGAGCTATAATGCTTTGACTCGAGACCAACCTTCGTTGGACATGTTGGACATGATCCTATGATACGAAACCAACAAACCATCAACGCTAGCACATGCAGTGATCCCGGCACATGCAATGGAGAGCATCCATTAGCCTTCCAGGTTATCAGAAGCCGCGCGCAACCAACCCTGGAACCTGCAGATTGCTGATGGAGGCTGCACTAGTCAACGGGTTGTCGATTGGGGAGCTTGGATTTGCAGTTGGACCTGATGGAAGATGGAAGGGTTGCGTGTGCGATTGTGATTGCCTGGCTGGGCCGGTATCAAGTCACGAGGATGAGGAGAGGGCGACGCGCCGACGACCTAATGTGCATTTACGATACCCATTTGTTACAGAAAGCCTCATAGCGCATTTATGTAGCCTGCATACGAAGGCGGAGCTAGTTATGAGTACCTACAACCGAATCCCTGCTTCCAAACAACCTCCCCTAACACATGCGCGCAATCTGGCGGTGTTTTGGTAGCGATACTCGCCCATAAACGGTCAATTCCATTGAGATGCACAAAGGCGCACACAGATCGCTAGCCTGGATCTTCGATCTTGCCCCACTGTTTAGGCACTACTTTGCATCTTCGATGCAAGATTTTTGTTTCAAATCGAATGATGAATCTGATACCTAGGTGGTGTCAAACATCTGTCGGATCTGTCAACAGAGCCAACAGGCCCCGCCACCACGTAGACGGACCCACGCATCTGCAACACTCCTTGTCCTGGTGTGGTATGGAAACTCCATTTCGCCGATGCGCTATTAGCCTCTCGATCCTCTTCTGGGATCAAGCTTCCCAGCTCAGCTCGTGACCCGCGGCTGCTCTACGGCACTGATCCACGGTCTGCCGGCACTGGGACACTCAGTCCAACTTCTCCCGCTATTGACCAGGACCTAGCGCCGTATCGCGCATGGTCCACAGGCCTAAAGATATTAAGCTATTCGATGACTTGCAGGCCGCCGATGCGTGGCGTACTGTCACGGGTGACTCTAAACAAGCGCGGAGTTTTCAAAACGTGCTGTTCCTCTCCAACAAGCTTATGGAAACGCGTCCTCCGCGGGCATCGCGCGATGTCGAAACTTTGTCGAGCACACCACTGATGAGGTGGGATCCTGAGCGTGTGCCTATATGCCGCGGTGCCGTTACGCTTTTTGAGGCGGTCGCGGTCACGATCCGATGGCGATGTTACGGCTGCCCAACCGCTGACCTTCATTAACGCGAGAGCACTTTCCAGATACATCTACACATCTCCCGATGCTCCCAAGGCGCTACTATTACATGTGCCGTTCTGAGACGCATCAGAGTCTGTCAAGTGGTCGTGTTCTAGGAACTCCTGGAGACTGATACATGCGCGCAACGCTCAACCACAGCATTTTGACATTCGGGTGGGCAAACGGATCACTGGCCCTGACAGTGGTATATGCATTTTCACTGTATTCACCATCCGGACGCCTCGATCATTTAGCAGCGCCGACCGACAATGTGGGTGCTTTTCGCAGGCAGTTTCAGCGCGTTCAGTGCTTAGCAAGTGATATAGCTGCCTATGCAGATGGCTGAGCTGCAAGCGACCGCCAGAGGTAAGAGACAAGACAGTGTCCTGCTACGTTTCACATCGTCTTGTTGCTCATGGTTGCGAGTGCAACTCGGGAACTTTATTGCCAAGCTCCTTTCCCTCGCTGACTGAGCTCACTCTTTCTCCCTGCCACATGCCACCGAGGCTCGTTGCCGCAGACACGGCGAATACAGAGGCTTATTTCAAACTGCGCAGACTGGCTTTCACTAAACACGTCAACGCTGTCCTGTTTCCGGGTGGTGAGCCTGATGAGGTTTGCGATCAGCTTACGGAGAAAGTCCGCAAAGGCTTAAGTGAGCAGCCGTATGGTGCTCAGATACTCAGAGTCGTCGATACTGAAGACCTACCACCCAATGCTCAGTAAGTCGTGTCACCGGAAGAGCGTGTCCATGATGCAAAGAGGAAAGATCTTGAACAAGGCTATTTCGCGTCTGCCTGCTCTGCTTCCCACACACATCTTGCACACATACAGTCGCCGCCCAGCGCACCTCTTGCCCACTCCCTGCGCTCTTTCACTGGCAAGGTGATATCGCAATAGTGGTTGAGCACCTCCTCGCCCTTCCGAATGCCGGCTTTACTTCTCACGACCTTGACGCCTCTACCTTCCCACGCCACTCTCTCTTTCCGAGCCCAGAATTTGATGCTGCCACCCCACTCCCAGCTGACATTCGGGTCACATGAGTGGTTCGCAAGGCACCACATTGGGTGTACGGCGCTGACCTCTGGGCCTCGAACCGGCCTACCTCCAAGGCCAGACAAGCGAGCGGAAGCTGTACCGCGCAACTTGGCATATATCGTGTTGAAGACCCATAGGTCGTAGTGCGTCTCAGAGTAAGGGTCAATCTCGATCTTCTCCATAATCTGCATAGGGAAGAGGATGTTGTGTTCAAAGCTGAAAGGAAGAGTGCGCGGAAGGCTGCCGAAATTGGCATCCGAAGGCGTCAGAACGCTAAACGCAGTTGACGGCGGTATGAGATGCTCGGTCAACGGGAGGTTATGAAAGTCTCCCCAGATGTACTTGACCTCCAGCAGCTCAAGCGGGTGGCACTCCTGCGTTTCCGCCATGCCTATCGTGCGCATCACAAGCAGCGAATAGAGCGACTCGGCTGCTTCCGCAGGCGGTACGTCACGTAGCAGGGCATCCAGGCCCTTCTCGCAGATAGAGTAATGGTAGCCATGTTGGGCGCGTTTGGCACACCGGACGCTGCAGAAGACGGCTTGACAATGTGGACACTCCCTAGTATCATCTGACGCAGGGTCATCGAGGTCTGGCAGATCGGCACTGCAGGCATCACAAAGTGCATCTTGAAGCCTATTGTTGGCTGTGAGTAGTGATTCCTCGTCGAGGACGACATCACCTGGCGCAATATCCTCTTTGGCAAACACGCCGAGCTGCACAACGGTCTTCTGGTTGCTGTTTCCTGTCAAGGCTGGGAGCTCAACGGCACGTACCTCTAGCTTAGGCGCGACCTTTGCCATCATTGCGTTGAGGTTTGGCAGCTCTGCCAGTCTATCTGGCTCCCATGAATTCCATGGATAGACTTCGCGACGGACAAGCCCTTGGTTGGGCCACTGTTTGACGTCCCAGTATGCAGTTTTGCGGAGTTCTTCCAGAGTGATACCGAAGTGCTGGGCCACGACTTCGGGTAACCGCGTGGCCATCTCCGAGAATCTTGGATCACCAAGGCAGATTTTGCGTTCGCGGGCTTGAATGATGTATTCATGCGCAGTTCTGAAACAGCCGCATAGCGTTAGGCTACGGCAGAGAAGCAGGTATATCCAGGGAAGGTAGTGCTTTCGAGACCAGTAGTCTAGCTCCACATCGATGTCTGGCCGAGCATCGCGCGGCATAGCAGCACCGTCACTTTGCAACTCACCCTTCAGCAGTCGAATGCGCTCCACAAGCGGTATCTGCTGGATGAGTTCTCGCTGGTCCTCAATCGCTTCAGCGTGGTAGACATCGGAAGCGTCGCTTATGGCATCGCAGAGAAGTAGCGCCTTGTAGGATTGACCGGCTGCAAGGTCATGGTAACCTAGCTGGGCATACTTCTGAGCCAGTACGATGTGCAGCGAGATGCAGTGAGGTTGATGGATTAGAAGGCAGTCAAAGATGTGGTAGATGTTCTTGATCGTTGACACCACTTCTTCCGGCGCAAGCTACCATGTAGTGTCAACGACGGGCCCAAACGCGTACTTAATATGCTTGGCTTGAGACGTACCTGAAAGAAGGGAGTATCAGCCCTCAAAGCCAAGACTTCTCGCCAGACCGGATCCTCATTGTCGTGAAGTGGTGGATGATCTAACCAGGTTTTGGGCGAGCGAGTCGGAAGCGACACGTGAGATCGAGATAGAGCTGGGGTAGTAGAGTGCACAAGGTTGCGATCCATGACTGGCTCTACCGTGGCTGCCTCTTTCTTGCTTGACGAAACTCGGTAGGAGGCCAGCGTAGCGTTCAACCTTTGCAGTGCCAAATCAACGGAAGCGACAGATGCCTGATATTGGTCCATATCATGACTATCATGCTGTGGCCGCTGAATGTCGACAATTTATTGCCTATGGACCGGTGTTGCAGGGGATAAAGCTAGCAAAAAACTTTGCTACGCTGGCATTGAAGAGTCAATGTCAAAGGTCGACGCTGGAAAACGTCTCACATCCCTGGTACAGATGATGGATGTATACTCTTGCCGTCCGCATAAGACATTTTTGTTGTTGTGGATATCTGTGAGGTGATATGCACAGCGAGAAACCCTTGACACTGCAAGCACGTAGGAGGCTTTGCCTTCCCAATCCTACTTGGGCTACGACGCGACGTCTTTCAACCTCACGTATAGCGGCTTCTTTGACCATAATCCCCACGCCTTCTGTTGCAGCCAAGCATCACCCACTCCGCCCGCGGCCGCCTCGAGGTCAAAGTGCCAGAGCAGTTTTGCAACGATGAGACGCATCTCGGCGTAGGCTAGGTTCCGTCCGATGCACTGCATGTCTGTTAGCCTGATTTCGATTCCAATTCGGGGTCTACTTGCGTTTCGAGTGCCAACAACGAACGGCTGCAGGGCGCTCCGATTGTCTCCTGCGAACTCCGGGGGAGGCTCGTCAAGCCAACGTTCGGGAACGAATTGTTCAGGTAGATGGAAGTAGTCCGGGCGCTGACCGATACCAACTTGTGACATCTGCACGCTGACCTTTGCAATCATCAGCGGATACATTGCCATTGCCAAAGCTTGACAACGTTTGCTTACCCCTTCCGGAACGGAAAGTCCACACATTGTGCCTTCACCTTGTGAAGGCATGCGAGCTGCTGGAAAGGGAACCGGTGGGTAAAGCCTCATCGTTTCTTCGAGAGCGCCGGACAAATATGTCAAACGTGCGACCGAGAAGGCATCAATCTCGTCGTCCGACTTAAACGAGGATCTTATCTCCTTGACTAGCATCGCCATCTTCTCCGGGTTTTGGAGTAAGAAGTACGTCAAGCCGCTTAACGTGGTAACGGATGTCTCGGAGCCGCCCAGTACAAGCACGGAGGCATTGTTGAGCATCTCTCCTTGGTTCATGCCTTCACCCCCTGCGTTATCGTCCACGCTCTTAATCAGTATGCGATCCCAAAAGTCTCCGCGTGCAGCACCAAGCTCAGCACGCTCAACGACCTTCTGTTTAGCGTACATAAAGTTCCTAACTCTTAACTGCTGCATTCGCCTGGGTACAGCCCACCTGTTCAACCATGGCATACCATATTCTCGGAAAACGCTGGCAACCACGACGGACTGAACGTTTCCGAGGATCGCTGGGATCCACTCGTGCTGCTTCCGATCCTGCAGACTGTTGAAGGAGGCGCCGAAGGCAAGATCACCAATCACGTCAAACAGGGTCATGTTGTACCATTCGACCATATCTGTACTCTCGCCGCGCCTTGCCCGCTCACGGAGCCGGTCGATGAGCAGATCGACGTAGTGGCTGATTGTGCCGCGCTGCTCCTGCAGACCCTTCTCAGAGAAGGCGTGGGCGAGAAGACGGCGGTACCTTGCATGGTTCTCCCGATCTGCGCCGAGGATGTTCGGCATACCGTTCGGTGGGTTAGACTGCCTAGCAGGATTTTTCTGCCACTCGGCCTTCCCTTGGTGATGAGCGAAGACGTCTTCCCACGCTTCCGCTTCGGTGCAGCTGAGGTCGTTGGGTGCGGTACGTACGATCGGGCCGTACTGTCTGTGGAGTTCTGCGATCTTGGGTATGAGATTGCCAGTGAATAGATAATAGTCGTAGGGAACTTTGGTCATTCGCCATAGCAGTGGGCCTGGGATTGAACGAAGAGGATGGAAGAAAATGTTATAGAAGGCATGGCTCGATGCGTAGGCAAAAGGAAGGATCAGTAACAACACAACGGACAGGACAGGGAGGTGTGGTGTACTTTGGAAAAACGGACCCGCCATGTTGATCAAAGAGGATATAGGTAGTGGTAGGACAGTAGTAAAGGCACGAGGCGAGTATATACTCCCACAGGCGTAGAGTCGTAGCACACGGCGCGTTCGCTACCATGTCCAGGCATTGCTCACCAACATCCTACGTCTGCAGATCTACTGGTCCGCTTGCTGCACTCCATCCTTCGGGCTAACGCTTCGTTCCCGTCGGCACCGTGATGAAAAGCGTAGGGCGTATACGGTGCCGATACTCTCGCGCTGCATGACGGAAATAGCGGCTCACCTCATCTTGTCGCAAGCGAAGATTACCGGCCTTCCCATTGATTAGAGTACAGAGTACTGTCATCGACCATGCGTATGACTGCAGGAAGAATAGAGTGGGGTGCCCGTGAAGAGTCGGAGTGGTCAAAAAGCTGGCCCCCACGCTCCGACTCGGGCCTACATGCCTCCTTCGTGACAAGTACCAACCCAACGTACATCAAGAGGACGTAGACTACAACATGGCGCTGACTAGGCCCATGACCCCTATGGATCTTCTCAAGTTCAATCCTTGCAACCTCGATCATCTCACTGAAACGTACAACATCAACTTCTACCTAGAGTACTTCACTAAATGGCCCCAGCTATGCAAGGTCATCGAAAGCGAAAGCGGCCAGATTGAAGCTTACAGTAGGCACAGCCGTTTTTGATACTGGCTGTTGGTACCAATCGATTGACAGGCTTCGCGTAGTCCTAGGCAAGGTCGAAGCCTCTCCATATCCAGCACCAGTGGAGCCTTACGATCCTGGCCTTAAGATATACCAGAAGAAGTTTCCTAATTACTTGCCATGGCACGCCCATATTACCTGCCTGACCGTAGCACCAGCCGCAAGGCGGTTGGGTCACGCCACTCGCCTCTCGGAAGCTCTGGAGCAGGCCGGCGACGAGCAGAATGCTTGGTTTGTGGACCTCTTCGTACGAGTTGAAAACGAGGCTGCCATTCAACTTTACAAGAAGATGGGGTAGGTCTTATCGACCCGTAATTCCAGCTCAAGTAACTATGCTGACGAGGGATCAAGATACTCGGTCTACCGAAGGATCACCGACTACTACAATGACGGCAGCGATGCATATGACATGCGGAAACCGCTCAGGCGGGACAAGCAGCGGAAGACTGTTCGCGCTAATGGCGAAAATATCAAAGTTGATCCATCCGAGGTCTGGTGAATGGCTACCAACTCGGTTCACCACAACATAGGCGTGTTTGAGTCAGCAGCAATTACCCGTGCTACCTGGCTCCCAACGAATACCTCGTCAAGTGCTGGCCGAGTGTGAAGCCGTTACAACACCGTGCGAGCCGTCAGACGAAAGGTTGGGTGATCATGCAGAACCGTACCGGCACTGCTCTCCACGCTAAACGCAACTGTGTCAGCATCAAGATGTGCAGGCCAATACGATCGCCACAGGGGCGCCGAGACCGTGTGGAGGCCGGGAGTGACTGCAACATGAAAGCCGGACTCGGCAGGACTATATCTACTTCTGTAGGTAGAATGCCAGGTCGGCTTTGGGATCATATTCCTGGAAGGAACGTCAGTTAAGCGTGGGGCTTAAAGAGGCGCGACAGAACTTACCATCTTCGTTCTGCCGTTCCCCATGAAGCGAAACCGATTCTTGCTCCTATAAGCAATATCAAAGTCCTCTGGCCGAATACGCTCGATCATCTCATGGTATCCAACAACGCTGCCCGCCCACACCGCCGTTACCTTACCATCAACTCGATGGCCCTTGTACCAACTCTGGCACCCTCCGCTCCAGACAAGCGTTTGCATGATCTCGTCCGCGTACGCATCGAATTCGTCGACCACCTCCGACTTTGGATCGACCCATTTGATATCCTCTTCGGCCATCTTGCGGATCCACTGGCACATCCAGTCCGCTGACCATCCGAGTCCGGCCATGAGGCTACCGTGACCCACCGGAGCGTTTGGGCCGGAGAAAAAGAAAAGGTTCGGAAAGCCGGAGGCGGCGAGGGAGAGGTAGGAAGCTGGCTCGTCCTTCCAAGCTTCGGCAAGTGTTATGCCGTGACGACCAGTGAGTGGGAAAGGTGGGCGGTGTGAGACGTCGAAACCGGTGGCGCAGACGATGGCATCGAAGTCGTGGAGTTTGCCGTCCTTTGTTCGAATCCCATCAGATTCGATTTGCTGTATGGCATCGGTGATCAAAGTCACATTGTCCCTCGTAAAGGATTCGAGATAGCCCGGCCCTGGTGTTGCTCTTCGACAGCCGACTTCGTAGTCCGGCGTTAGCTTACGCGCGAGCTCTTCATCGCCACCTAAGGCTCGCTTCATCATCTCCGCGGTCTGCCTTCGCCCGGCCTCCTGTGCACGAGAATGCTTTACGAACATATCGAAGGCTTTGTTGCTGCCGGCTTGGATCCTCTTGCGGTACCGCTTCAGCTCTGCAGGATCCTGCTTGAAGCGCTGTCGTTCTTCATCCGTATAGTGATACTGCGTTTGGCCGCCAATGATGGCTGAACCGAGACCGGGAGTAATGTACGTTGGCCTGCGGATGAAGTTGGTCAGATGTGCCGCTCGCTCCACAACTTGAGGCACGATCTGAATGGCCGAACTTCCGTTACCGATCACGCCAATCCGTTTGCCGGTCCAATCGAAGGCTTTGTCCCAAACCGCTGAGTGGCAGAGATGGCCTTTGAAATCGTGCAAGCCTGTAATATCTGGCCAGCGCCACTTTGACAAGAAGCCGGTAGCCGAAACGAGAATATCGCAACTATCGTCGATCGAGCCGTCCTTGGTACCAACTCTCAGATCCCACTTCCCTCTCTCGGCGTCGAAGGCTGCCCCCTCCACCCGATGCCCACACTTGACGTCCTTTGCGAGATCGTACTTGGCCACCGTTCGCTTGAAGTACTGCAAGATCTCGTCTCCGGTGGCATAGAAAGCACTCCAATCCGGATTAGGTTCGAATGGGAAAGCGTAGATGTGCGCTGGTACATCACATGCTACACCTGGATACGTGTTGACCAGCCAAGTGCCACCCATACTCTCGTGAGCTTCGTAGATGCAGAGCTCGGCCAACCCTGATTCGATCATGTTGTGTTCGTGGTAGAGCTTGTAGGCCAGTGTCATTGCGCTGATGCCTGCTCCAATGACACAGATTCGTAGCTTGCGAGTCGGCGTCCGCATTGGCTTTCTGTACATCGGAATCCATTGTGGCGGTAGGGGCTTGCCATATCTGATGGGTGGATCTGGCACGTCGCCGTTTGCTTGATCTGGAGTACCGTTCAGTACAACTGTAGGGTCATTGGCGAACAAGTCCTCGACTGATGAGCCCTCGTTGATATATGCTCCTGCCATTCCGGCCTGTCCATCAAATAGAACGCTTCTTTACACGCCGCGCAGAGGCGAGAAGAATGAAGCTCGTTATGGACAGCATATGAAAGTTCAGCCTACCTTGACGTTAGGGTGCCGCGTATCCGCAGCCGATTAGTCTGCGTCAGTACATTATGGGAGTAACGTGGGAGCATGGCTATTGCCGAGGAGAGGGGAAGAAGGGGAGGTGATGATCAGGCAAGGACTTGTGCAGTATTCCTGTGATAGCAGCGGAGAACCTGTCAAATAGAAGTATTCAGAAACGCAGGATCTTGTGGTCAAGACGGCGATACATCAGATCGATATCGGGGTCCCACAGCGGCAGAGAAGATGCTTGAGTATTGGACAGTCGCCCAGCTTGTTAACGCGTCGACGTTGACATTGACAATGAGAATGCGAACCTCGGCTCCACAAAAAGCTTCGAAACGCGCTGCGCGTTTCAAAATGCTGCCCATCCACGCAACCACAGCGCCGTGCCGTAATGTCTTCACCGAAGCGCAAAGCCATAAGCAATGGCGACGACGCAGAAGACACTAAACGCCAGCGGATCAGCAGCGACGATGCGCCCACTGACCAAGCGGAAGAGATCCCATTCCTGCCTTCCGGCGCAGCACCAGACTCTTTCATCGACCACAAAGCCGCCATAGCCTACTGGTCCGCCACCGAGCCCACCGTCAACGGTGTCCTTGGCGGCTACCCACAAGTGTCACGCATTGATCTGCAAGGCTCCAGTAACTTCCTTGCCAAGCTTCGCCGTTCATCGCACCATCACCCTTCGAGCAAGAAGCTCAATCGCGCGGTTGACTGCGGTGCGGGCATTGGCAGGATCACCGACGGCTTTCTCAGCAAAGTAGCAGAAGTCGTCGATATCGTAGAGCCAGTGAAGAGCTTTACGGACCAGATACAGGGTAAGCCTGGGGTGGGCGAGATCCTGAATGTAGGGCTTGAGGAGTGGCATCCTCAACGAGATGGACACGGACCGTACGATCTGATATGGACGCAATGGTGTCTAAGTCAGCTCACCGACGTTCAAGTCGTCGAGTATCTAGGTCGGCTGCCCGCGGTGATGAGCGAAGGAGGTTGGATTGTGGTGAAGGAGAACCTGAGCAATCACCACTTGGACGAGGATGTGTTTGATAAGACGGACAGTAGCGTGACGAGGACGGACATCAAGTTCAGGAAGCTTTTTGAGGATGCAAGGCTGGGCGTGGTGTTAACAGAGTTGCAGAGGGGGATGCCGAAGGGCTTGTACCCAGTGAGAGCCTATGCGTTGCAGCCGAGATAGCGTGCACTGCAGCCTCATCTTATGACCAACAAGAGAGCATACCCGTGCTTGATCGCCGCCTCAGAGCAGTGTTAGCCCTCCGCAATCGGGTTCTCGTCCGCTACACCAACACCATGTCAGCCAAGCGCGCCTCATGCACATACAACGACACTGCACTCACGCTGCAAGATGCCCTCCTTCACCAGCTCCTCCACCTTCGGCCGCTGCTGCAAATGTTTCTCCAGACTATCCGCGCGCATATGCTTCTCCAACTCCCTCTGCTTCTCCTGCAATGCAGGAGCCGCCATGCTGTCCGGCAAGATATTGCGTTCCACAAGCTCGTCCTTCTCCGGTCGCTTCGCCAGACCCTACAAATACGTCCTCCTTAGCACAAGAATATACCCATCGTGTAATGTAATCGGTTAGTACGTGCCTTCTTGAGATTGTCCGTAATTCGCTGCCTTTCCAGCTCGGCCTGCTTAGCTTGCAGTGCCGGTGCCGCCGTGGTGTCGAGTAGAATGTGCCTGTTCTTGAGGTCTCCAGGCTCTGGTCGTGTTTGAAGGTGCTTCTCAAGCGAATCACGGCGTTCCAGTTTGCTTAGTGGCGTAGCTTCAACACTGCTGCCAGATGTGTGCTCGTCCGCCATGGTGGAAGGACTCGTGCTGCCACGAAGATGACAGTATGTTGGCCTGTTGCGATTGACAGCTTCACACACAGAGAGTCTTTTAAGTGCAACACACTTTACGTTTCATCTGCCTGTTTCTGCCCTGTTTAGCCTGGGCTAAGCTCAAACGCTTGCTGCACGCGGTAGGCACGCGTTACAGGTGATGGTGGGGCAAGCTTCACCGTCGAACGGGGAACCATGGCAGAGGTGTCTCAACCTCAAGTTATGGGGCTATTGAGGATTTCTTACAGGATGGTGGCATATTTTGTGTCCCATCCCACATAATCATTATGCATTAGCTAAGCATATGATACAAGGCAGCCCACAGCTGCCGTCGCTAGAAGGATATCATGATGATCAATCTCAGCCAGAAATGCTCAAGCCTCATTGAGAAGCGTAATGCTCGAACCTTGCACCTTCCTCGCACGTTTTGGACAACCTCCCAACTCTGCAGCTTCTGCTATATCTTGCGACATCCTCCGAGCTTCCACCCTTCGCCTTACACGCCAGTCGCCGTCACTGCTTCCACGCGAACAGGGTGTCGATTGTTGCGAGGGAGTGCTTTACGCACCTAAATGGATGGGTGACACAGTCAGCTACGTTTGGACAATTAATTTGGTTGTACGTCTTGCTTACCCTCGTCGTCATCTCCGACACGGAGCTGGCCCTCACCTAAACATTGCCGGATGGCTTGGTCAACTATGTTCTCGAGACTCGCGAGCGGATGTAGATAATGTGCTTACCCTTGAGACCCTCAGACCAGAAGCCACCAATCTCCACGTTGGTCTCCGGCATGGTCATATGGGTGTAAATGAGCCATGTACCGAAGACGGGCTTGGCGAGGATGTCCAGAACAGCGTAGGCAATGATCTACTCGTGTCGTTAGACGGCCGGCATTTCCTACGGCGTTATAGATATAATGGAGAAAGACGTACCTCCTCATCGACGTTCATGTTACGGGAGCCGTCGGCGATACCCCAGATGCTATGCAAGTGGTCAGCCTTGCATATATGAATGCTCATGACAACGGTACGTACATAGGGTAGACAGTCCAGATGACAAGGGTGAAGCCACCGATGGCGGCGAAGAAGTTGCCAACCTTGCCACCCTTGCTCATGGCCATGGCACGGCCGTTGTAGGCGAGTTGCCAAATGACCACAAGGTAGGCAATGCAGGCAATGGTGTACCAACCCCACTTCTGCGGAGTACCCTCGGAGCCGAAGGCAGCGAAGAGACCGCCAAGGATCATGATGATGTCGGCAACGATGGCGATCATGATGTTGCCACCGCTGATGCCGGCGAGAAGGCAGAGGTCAAGGAGGAGAAGCGGGGTGGTAAGCGACCAGTCAACGTAGCGAGCCCAGTACACCTCACGGTAGACGTCGTAAGTGGTGTCCGGAACGTGCTTGTGGGACTCGCGCTCGACGACGTGGTGGTAGCCAATACCGTGGCCGGTAGCCATGGCGAAGTAGGAGAGGGAGGCGAAGATGGTGATGAGGCAAGTGACGATGTGGTAAAGGCGCTTAGACTGTGCCGGTTGTCAGCTGGGTTTCGAAAGCGTGCGGAGTTGACCGTCAAGAGCTTACCATTGGGACGTTCCATGACAAGCCGGCGAAGACGATGGAGGCGACGAGCATGACAACGAAGACGACCCTGCCATGGTGTCAGTACGACCGTACACGTAAGCTGGTGTTCGGTAGGCCAAGGGGTGGAATGGCCAACAGCAAGCTTCACTCGGTAGCGTGTTTCTTAAGCGAAACACCCGCGGTAGAGCTTGTTGTAGCTCCGCATGTGTTGTATTCTCACACCGGCGGACGTACCATAGTGTGCGGTTGCCAGTATCGGTAGCTGTCTGGTACTCTGGCAGCGACGGAATGATGGTGGGCAGGGGAGTGGCGGAGCTCGTGGCAATCGGGATGGTGCCCGTAGCAAAGGCCTGCACGGGGTCGACGATCATCTTGACGATAATTCTTCTCTTCACAATTGGACTTGTGGTTGATGAGTACTCGATAGGGGGATGGTGGTTGAGGGGAAGATGGTGAAGGAGGGAGAACAGTGGAAAGCAGCAGCCTGCACAGACGCACAACAGCCGCCGGAGCTCTCGTTGACTGGAAGCGGGGCTGCTCTCGTCACTGACCACTCAGCATCGCGATCGAGGCACGTCTGCTGCAATCTGTGCTCGAGCTTTCCCCGGATAGATGCGCTCTTTGCAGGCTTGCATGCGGCGTGGCTGGGAGGTTGTTCAGATTATACTACTCACGGTCTAGAATGTGGTACGTATGCGGTAGACTGTACTTCTCTGGGAAATCACTACTATCAGAACTCTACAAAGTACCCAGCGTAATTGCTGCACCGCAGCCGCATCACCATAGAGATGTTGATGCTTGTCACCAACCGCGGCCAATCTCCTCGAGGCGAGCTAGCAATGCGCCATGACGACGAGGTCCCCTGTTAGCGGACCGCTCAGAAAAACAAGGAAGCATCCGCCGCTGTTACCGCGGACGGCTCACCCAGCGGCTCTCTCCGTCTTCATCAGCACATTGAGCGGTTGGCATTTGCGACTTAGATGGCGCACACGGAAGTGTAGTGGTGAATGCGTAGTCTCTCTCGCAGCCAACAGGCTTTTGGGAGTATGAATCCCGGGTGGGATGAAGCCTTCATTGGCCGGACATCAGTCGCGCCGCGGGGAGTGCTTGCGCGCCCTGTGAATCCGCCCACGAGGCATGTTGAGGCTTGACGTGGCGTTCCTGGATGCTTGGCGGCACTGATCTCGACGACTTCGGCCTCGCGACAGCGATGATCCTGCGATGGAATGGTTGCCGCCGCATCTACTGGCTCCTTCAGAATAGCGATAGTGGTCACAGAACCTGTTTCAAAGGTCAACTTGATTAATATGCATTTCCTGTAACGTATAGGCCATGAAGTCCTAGACGACGTGTCAAGAGCCACATTGGACACGCAGTGTTACCTCGCGAAAGCCATTGTCAATGTGAGAAGCGGTTATAGGTAAACAGTAGTCGTCGCATGCACTTTAACGGAGTGTCTTTGTGTGTCGCTGTGAAAGTGACATGGTCGCTTTCCGCTGGTAACTTCGGTGCCTGAGGTTCTCGAGCCATTGCTGGCGTGCAGGAGAGCTTCGCGCAACTTTTATGAAAGTGAGCGCTATAGTCGGACCTTGAGATAGCGTCTAAGGCAGCTCAACATGCTGCGGACAGCCATTGCTCGGAGCACACGATGTGCCGAGCAAGCTGTCACGCGTGGGCAGAGGAGGCAATGGCAGGCCCAGCGGATACGGCAGCCTCATCTATACCTCGCCCAGCGAACATTGGCCGACATTCGCACCACCGACAAGACTGTCTTGCCCGGCTCGGAGTCGAAGACGGTCGCTGGCGTGCCTCAAGCTCCCATACTCGACGCTAATAAGACGGCCGACGAGCTTTTCAATACGGCACCCCTAAAGGCACCACCTACGCCGGCAGAGGTTCAGGCCACACCACCACCGCCGCCGTCTTCAAGCGGTACTGGTAATCTGACGTCCGCGAATATCAACCCTTCGTCAGCACAGACTGCTCCACCCCCCACGCCCTCTACCAACACCGGCAACCTCCCTCCCACTGGCACCGGCACGGCAGCAACCGGTCCCACTTCCGCACCACCACCGCCGCCCCCAAGACGTCCGCGTCGTCGCATCCGCAACTTCCTCCTTTCACTCGTCACCCTCGCCGTACTCAGCTATGCTGGCGGTGTCTACTACTCGCTGGTATCCGACAACTTCCACGACTTCTTCACCGAGTATGTGCCGTACGGCGAGGATGCCGTTGCTTATTTCGAAGAACGCGAGTTCAAGAAGCGTTTCCCAACTAAGGAGTACAGCCAGCGCATCTGGCCGCAGACTCGTGGCGAGAACAAGGTCACCATCAGCAAACAGAGCGGACTGAGTGCAAAGGTTCATGAGGAGACGCCAGAGGGCAGCGATCTCGGCCAGAAAGGAAGGCACGTCAGTGCGGTGGACGACAACAAGCCACAACCTGGCAAGGCGGTGCAGACTCCTGATGCAGCGAGCGGTAGAGAGAAGACGCAGGCGGTTGAGGCTGCAAAGCAAGGGAAGCCGCCGTCCGACGCTCCATCTCCGAAGCCGTCTCCTGGCACAGCGCAGAGGGATCCCGAGTCTACCTCGCCTATCCCTGGAATTCCGAAAGAAGGAGCAGCGGAGAAGAAAGAGTCGGCCAAGCCAGCTCCGTCTCCATCATCTCAACCACCTCCAACACCATCGGCGCCTGCCGTCCCACTCGTGGACCACATTAACGTCCCTCAAGCCGCTGAGCCGGTCGTGCAAGATCTCGTCAAGATGGTCAACAACATCATCACTGCCGTCAATGCCTCTCCGGAGGCCAGCAAGTTCGCATCAACCCTCGAGTCCATGAAGGGCGACCTGAACAAGATCGTCTCCGAAGTCGGCACGCTCAAGGATTCTGCTGCTCACGATGCGGAGACGAAGATCAAAAGCGCCCACGACGAGTTCGACCACGCTGCCAAGGAGCTTCTGCGCCGCGTGGAGTCTGAAATGCACGAGCAAGAAGTCAAGTGGCGGGAAGACTACGAGACCGAGCGCGAAAAGCTAAGCCAATCCTACCAACAGCGACTTGAAGCTGAACTAGACGCTGTCAAGAAGGTCGAGCAGCAGAAGAGCAAGAACGCTCTCCTCCAGCAGGAGATCGACCTGCAAAAACAATACATGGACACCGTCAAGGCCAAAGTGGAAGAAGAGCGCTCCGGCCGCCTGGCGAAGCTCGACGCACTCTCATCCTCCGTTCAAGAGCTCGAAAAGCTAACGGGCGAGTGGAACGAAATCGTCGACGCCACGCTCAAAACCCAACACCTCCAAGTCGCCGTCGAAGCCGTACGGGCCAAAGTCCTTGACTCCGAACACCCGTCTCCCTTTTTCAACGAGCTCATCGCGCTCAAAGAAGTCAGCCGCGATGATGACGTGGTCAACGCGGCCATCTCCTCCATCAGCCCCGTGGCGTACCAACGCGGTATCCCATCCATCTCCTCCCTGATTGACCGTTTCCGTCGTGTCGCGACCGAAGTGCGCAAAGCGAGTTTGTTGCCAGAAGATGCGGGCGTGGCGTCGCATATTGGTTCTGCCGTGCTAAGTCGCTTCATGTTCCAGAAGAAGTCCGATCGCGGGTTACCGGAGGGTGATGACGTTGAGGCCACGCTGGCGAGGACGGAGGTCCTGCTTGAGGAGGGCGATCTGGATGCTGCGGCGAGAGAGATGAATGCGCTGAAGGGGTGGGCTGGGGTGTTAAGTCGAGACTGGGTGGGCGAGTGTCGGAGGGTCTTGGAGGTTAGGCAGGCGGTTGAGGTGAGTCCCCTACTTATGTGGACGATGTTGCGTTCGTGCTGGCTAACGACGGTTACAGATCATAGCGACGGAAGCGCGGCTGCAGAGCTTACTTGTGGATTGAGCGGCTACCTAGCAGTTGTCCATCACTCTGCACGATACAGGACCTGTGCGCAGTTTGTACCATACCACCTATTAGACATCATTAAGCGAGCGACACTGCGCTCGGCTATTGTACAAAGGCCGAAAAGAGCATCATCATCATCTCCATCCTCGCCCGTGCTCATGCTTGCGCTCATGCTTACGCTCATCCTCGCAGTCTCATTCCTCGTACAGTATAGTGTGTATACCGCAACGCATCGTGACACCCAACGCCGCGCTTTCAACACACTTTCCATGCAACGTCCGCAAAAGCATGTTCCGACAAGCAATGCAACCCGACCTCAGCTCAGTCATAAATCTCGTCCTCGTCATCCGTACCACCTTGCGCCTGTGTCGCCATGCCCTGCCCAGCCGTACCGCCTTGATTTACATGCCCGTGCGTGTGATTGTGCGCATGCGTATGCACCGTCAACGGACCCAACAGCCCCATCCCCACCATCGGCGGCGGTGCACCGTTCACCGGAGGAAGGTTGAGGATGCCGCCGGGTATGCCGTGAGCGCCACCTTGATTACCGCCGCCACCGTGACCGGGTGGCGCGCCGGCGAGCATACTGTTCATGAACGCGTTGAACATTGCTGGACCCGGACCGCCTGGGCCGCCCGGTGGCGCGCCGACAGGCATGACGAATGGCGGCACTAAATCATCTTCTTCCAGGCTGCTGCCAGTGTTGTACTCTTTGATAAAGCTACGGACATAGTCAGCAATGTGCCTCTGCGCTGGTGGTATGCCCCAGATGCGATATGTTGTGTACGACAAGCAGAGGAGCAGGCTCAGTGATCTTACATTGGCAAGTACTTTGCTATGTCCTTGTCCTTGAGGCACACATAGTAGCCACGCTCAGGGTAGTCTTCACGGCACGGTGCCTTGAACTCACGGAGCTCCTCGTTCTCCTCAGTCTCAGGAGCCTGAATGACAGCGACGCCACCAGTCTTACCCTCGACCGGCTCCAGATCAGGTAGGTCGTCGTCGATGGCGGCATCTTCCGGCCACGTTGGCGGTGGAGCGTGGTCCTCTTCATCAAGCCAGTCTGCTTCGTTCTGCGGCTCCTTTTGCTCCAAGAAGTAGACCTTTTGCTTGTTCTCTTGCAGGAACGTGAGATGAATGTGAGTCAATGTGGACATCTTCTGGAGTTGCTTCAGGATCGGCACCCACGTTCCGGATGTCAAATTGACGGTAATGATGGCCAGGTCTTCTAGAGCCAGCTGAGGCGCGCTCAGCGACAAGAGAAGGCTTTTCTCAGTAATGTAGATGGCTTCCATGTTTAGCTTGGTCAACCTGCTGATGTCGAGCTTCGACATCAAGCCGAGATAAAAGAACCCGCTGCGGTTGCCCATGTCATAGCGTAGATGCACCTCTTCTGGAGAGCCGAGCGACTTGGCAAGTAGAGCTGAAGGCCTTACCGCGACAGACTTATCAGGCCCATCAGCGCTCGGCTCAGTGGTTCGTAGGGTCAGCTTGATCGTATCAACGTCCTTGAGAGCGTGCCGCAGGCCCGCGAGTGTCTTCCCACCGAACTTGAGGTTCTGGACGACCGAGAGCCCATTTGTTAGGTGCTGGACATTCAAACCGAAGTGCTTGATGCCAGTGATCCCGCTATCACCGATGGCTCTGCAGGTCGTCTTCCACACGTGATTGAGCCACTTGAAGTACTCCATGTCATCGACATCTGGCGGAGGTGCTGTTGTCGGCGGACGGTCAGTTCTCCGCGTAACCTTGCGCATCCCGTGAACAGAGATGGCCGCTTCACCGCCGTGGAGACTGTCATTTATGAAGATTGACGTGACGGAGTTGAGACGCTCAAACGCACGCGTCAGAATCTGTTTGTCTTGGCCGCTTTCCTCGAGCTGCTTCTGGTCCTTCACATAGAAGCGGTGAGCCTCTGCCTCCCTAGTGGTTGGCTGCCAAGCACAATGACAGCCTCTCGGGCACTTGAAGGCTTCCTCAGAGAAGTGAGCAGTAGCGACATAGAGCTTGCGCAGGTGCGTGTTCAAACGTGGACTCTCCGCTATCGCTGTGAGCACGCCCAGGCTGTCCGACGTGAACATGAAGCACTTGCTGCTGAAGTACTCGGTGGCGAAAACGTGAAAAGTCCTGGCGTCGACGGTCTTGCTTACTAGGCGCAGCGAGCTGATATCGTCCCAGTCAAGGCGGCCGGCGACGTTGGACAGCAGCTCCTCTGGAAGCGCTTCGAGTCGCGGCATAATGCTGGGTGGACTTGCGAGCATGACTGGAGGCGAGTTAGATAAAACTTGAAGGTAGGTCCATAACATGTGTCTTGAGACGGATGGGCAAGTGCTTGTCGACCTCTTGTGTGGGGCCAGGCAGTCAATGGCCCGGATCCTAGTGTGTCACGCGTCAGTATTCACACACATTTTTCGCAATTCGAGTCATCAGCAGCCTGTGAATCAGTGTAAGAAAGTGGGCGATCACAATATTTGTGTTTATTCTGGTCAGATTTACTACGCGTGCCTTCCTTTCTGCCTCCAGCGCGAAACAAGCGCGACGCACGGGCCAAGCACTAGTCCGTATAGACTGGCTAGATGCGCAGCTAAGCTAAGCTATACATTGTGCATAACATCTTGCCGGACTCTCGTCGCCATTTGGATCTCCAGCATTATGTTCCTCCAACATCCTCTCGGCAACTCCACACGCAAAAGCATGCCAGTCACACTGACCAATCTCTCCACGAGCTTGTGGAGCTCATTGCTGTTAACCTGAAGTGTCTGGGCGATATCTCGAGGTTACGTCTTCGCGCAAGCTGTCGTCGACTGCAAATCAGACCTGTCAGCCGTTCACCAGCCGCTACATCGCAACACGCTACATCTGGCTGGATGACCGGAAGCTGTCCCAATTGGAAGCCATCAGCGCAAAGCCAGAACTCGCAAAATGCATTACAAGCATTAATGTAGTCTGCCGTACGGGCGCCCGGCGTTGGGATTGAAGGGTCAACGAATCAAGATGCCAGCATAACGTTACCTCTCGGCGCGGAGTCGTCGCAGTGGCACTCAAGACTGCTTGGCTTGTTTAGTGCGCTCCCCAAGGTCACCAGGCTTTACTTCATGTACACCCGATGAGAAGAGCGTACGGACTTGCTGCCGCGCCCCAGATGCTGTATTGAAGAGTACGTGGTCGGCGTCTCTGATTCATTTGGTACATTGCTCAGCGCTGTGGGGGCCAGCGCGCTCGCTCTAACCGAAATGGACTTCGACCACTTTGCAGGCCTAGAGACGAACTGGTCAGTGTCTCGCACTTTGACACCGTCGGTCCTCATCTATTGTTTCTGGCATCGCTGAAGCAGCTGAGCCTTCAGACAGTCTGGCTGGCGGGTAGGCCAACTCCGATGCGGTGGGTTAATCCTCTTGCGCAGTCATGAGACAGAGCTGATGCCCTCTCAAGTGCCCAGCAAGTTGCTCAGCAGATCACAAACGCCTCGAGTCACTGCCCACTTCTCCAGACATTATACCTTTTGATCCCCTCACAGAAGCCCCTCAAAGCTGTCCTGGGTAAATGCCTGCGCTCTGCATACATGCCCTCTCTCTCTCTCGGGTCATCTTCAGTCACATCTACTTTGCGGTAATAGATTTGCGAACATTTCTAACAGTGCATCGGTCAACTCTCAGATACGTCTCGCTGTGTTTTACCCATGTGACCGCTGACTATGGCAATAGAACATATCTGCGTTATCTATTCAGCAGCGTTGGAGAGGATCTCCACCTGGACAAGCTGTCCTTGTACCGTCTTGCTTGGACCTGCGGACCTGTCCATTTTCATGGAAAGCGCGAGGTCCTGATGGACGAGGATGAGGAAGCTGGATACGTCTCGATATAGCTCGGGTGGGATGTTTGTCTGGACGGTGCAGATGCCGTACGACCCGGCCTTGAGCAGATGATCAACTGTATGCAGCTCGTGGACTGGTGACCACGATGTTGTTAATATGCGTTGGATTCCACGAGTGGCAGCGAGCGAGCGATGAGCGTAGTCGGCCGTGCGAGGAATAGTAACACGTGCACCCGCTGATGCTTGTGGTGCCATCCACACGAGCTGATGCGGAAGCCTTGAACAGCCATACTAGAGCACTACCTATGTGCTCACTCTCAGGTGACACAAACAGTTGGATATGGAGAACAGAGTTGGTGCACCGTTCGCTGTCACCCGGAGAAGCTTTCGGACCCCCAATCCTCGTGGCGCAAACGTGCGCTGTTTCCAAACTTGCAAACAGCCCTGCATGATGCATGCCGTCGACCACTCAACCGGGCACACAGCCACTCCCGTCACATTGCGCTACGTTATCGTTCACAACCTGCTCCCTCGTCCTCGACATTGTATCTATTGAGTCGCCATGTATATGCTGTGTAATAGGTCGAACTCACTCCCTTGATACTCACGGCAACCCATTGACACCAACACATAAGGCAAGACAAGCCTGCCTTCGCAGCCGCCGTCAGCAGCGACTGCGATCCTTCCACTCCACTCCATCATTGCGCTCCTTGCGACAGTGGTTGCGTTGCACGAGCGGTTTTCATAACACTGGTCCAATGCGGTAGCAGTGATTGGGAGTGGCGCATAGCGTGCTTCCATCATGTTCAACCAACAACGCTCGGTGTCTCCACGCCTGAAGGCGAGGCAAGTCGACAGCTCAGGCTCGTCTTCCTCGGCAACAACAGCGATCGTTGTAGGTTGTGCTGGGTCTTCATACATGGTCGAAGAAGACTAACGTCGCTTTCAGGTCTCGGTCTCCTTTGTGATTCTCCTCTCGACGTGCGTACTCATATACCTGGTTCTGCGGACAATACGTAAGCGCACACGCAGCTCGAGGTACATCCCTACGAGCTTTCTCAAGCGGAAATGGGAGACTTGGATACCGCGCAGCTTCTCGCCGCGCAAGAAGTACAGCAGCCAATTACAAGACGATGCTTCCGTGCCGACACTGCATTTGAGGAGCGAGAACAGGAGCGCGCGGAACAGCACGCAGAACGTCTTGGACCTCGAGCGCACACAAGCGGCGAACACGGGGCATGCGGAGGAGGACGAGACTACTGTGGGTGCAATAGTGGACCGGCACACCAGCGTGCGGTCTGTCATGACACTGCCCGCTTACTCCAGGTCTGTCCGGGCGAACGAACGTGTCTTAGGCAGAGAGGGCGAGAGGGCTGGCATTGACGTCGTGCTCGAAGCGCCAGAGACCGCAGACGAGGAAGAAGAAAGAAGAGAACAAGAGATGGAGAGTTTGTTTCAAATACGGCAGCAAAGACGGCAAGAGATTACCGATCGAGATGACAGGAGACGGCGAAGACGAGAAGCTCGAGCGAGGAACGACCGCGCCGAAATCGAGCGCTTACGGCAGGAGAGCTTACGAGCGATCGAAGAGCGTGAAATCTCTGGAGCAGTGGCAATGATCGCTGAGCATCAAGCGCGACCACGGGATAGGAGAGTGAGCAGCGTCAGCTACGCGGAGCTTGGAGTGGCCAGACATGATGGTACCCGCGTCCGGGCCAATTCCAGCGAGTCTCAAAGACCGCTCCTGGACTCTGGAGCAAGTATCAGTGGTGGCGCGAGCATAAGGCCGTGGTCGACGCAGGACTTACTTGGAGTACATCGAAGGGACCGATCCGCTGGATCTATCATGACCGTCTCCGACGACGCTTCCGATATCGACATGCCGCCTTTCGGCCGTGCGGGCAGCGACTACGAAGTGGTAACGCTAAACCAGGTCCATTCACGCAATGCATCGCAGAATGCGACACCGAGGCTAGGACGCAGTCGCGCAACATCGAGCCTTGCGACACGGCCGTCCATAGATACGACGCATACCGGCGATCTAGGTGACGAGCGAATCCCGCTGACCGAGCCGCCAGCCTATGAGGGTGCCGGCTTCGAGGAGGCCCCGCCGTACACTTCTCCGGTCCAAGAGCGCCCGTCAGAAACACTGAGAGTTCCCGCACAGAAAGCAGCGATTTCGCCGACAGGCGCACCACTACTGCCTGAGATTGGCAGACTCCCGAGCATTCGGATAGCGCACGCCACTCCCACCGAGTCGAGTTCTTTGGATGACTCTGCATCGGCTATGAGTCGTTGGTAGATCTAATCTTTCTTGCATATACCCGGCATTTGTTTGAGAGGCGCACTCGCGGCGCTTTGTGAGGACCCTTTGAGCGCCCCTAGCATGGTGGACCACTTATTGACGGCTTGACGAGATGTACACATAGCACCAACACGTCTGCGTAATGAGGGAATATCTGTGTCTGCCTAATTTGCAATATAATGCCTGCGTCATCTGCATTGTTGTGTTGGTCCTCAAGCGAAGTCTATCGCAGCGTCGTCTCCGCCAACTCTCTCGTTCCCATTGGGAACGTCAGCTTCGTCTTGGGCTGCTCGTGAAGTGCACCGACGCTGACGGTGATGGCTCACGTGGAAGGTCTCGGTGCGCTCTGCGGGGCCACGTACACTACTCGAGAATAAGGCCGTTTCATTGCTGGCTTCGGTGTTCGACCTCAGCTCCGCCACGTTGGTCTTGAAGTCGGTCCGGTCGACATCGAATGCAACGTTGTTGAAGCATGACCTGGTTGCGTCATCTGTCTCAGATTTGTGGCGCGATGGAGTCCGCGAGCGGTTCGCCGCTCAAACGACGGCCCATGTTGAGGAGGGGAAGTTCGTCTCTGCTGCCGTTACCCATCTTGCTGAGTTTGGAGAGCAGTTTTGGGCAGTGTACGGAACATTGGGTAAAGCGGAATGTATGTCTTGGTCTTAATGGGACAGGAAAGGTATCCAGATTTATGCATACTGCCTCGCACCACCATGATGTGTTCACGGAGATCCTGGGACCTCGACTCGTTAACCAGCGTTTGTTTCGCGGAAGAGCGAACGATACAACCAGGCTTCAACTCATCCCTGCTCTGAGCAGAACTCGCTACGGTGGTTTGAAGACGCTGGACAACTTGTTACGGACGAGCACATAGTGTCCGACACTCTCTTTCATGAAGCTGGGACAGGTTGCTTGTATCTGCTCATGGTGCTTTGCGTTCCATTTCGGCGATACTGAAGTGCGAGTAACCGGTCGGCGGAACACCTCTTTGACTTATCGGATACTAAGCGAGCCATATCGCCCGCTGCATCGCAGGAGTAAAGCTGATGTGGACGTGCCGTTGACGCCCGATGTCCGCGGTTTCTAAATGAACTCACGATGACGACGGATCATTGACGCTCAGAAGGAGCTCACTTATCGCTGCCTCGAGCCATCGTTGAACCTCGTCACTAATAGGGAAGAGATCGACCCTATCGGAGGTTACCATAGCTTACTGCTGCAATCGTGTATGTAGAGCAGGTCCTATCAAGACCCACAGTGATCTAGTTTCAGAAGCCTACCGAAGCGAAGGCGAGAGGCACAGCGAAGTCGTCGCATATGCAAGCCTCGGCAAGCCGACAAGCAAGGAAGGACGGTGTTCGTGCCGAGCGATCCACAAGTGGACGATGCCCTTCTTTTCGACAATTTTCCGACCAAGAGAGTTTGTAGAGATATGGAAGTTTACCACCACGCCACTTGGCTTCGGCTACCGTACATGCCCGAACGAGTAAATTCCCCCTAGCACTATGCCGCTCACGGAAGTTACGTGCAAGCTCTACCGATCTCTCAGCTCCAATCAAACGCGCCAGAGCCTAGCCGTTCGACGACCCGGCGGATCTCCCTTGTGCGCTTAACTGCATTGGCACCGCTGCAGCAGATTAACGCAGCGTTAGCGTTTCTGCACGTTGCCTCTAATGAAGCTCAATGCTACGATTCGAGCTTTGCACGCGACCGCAAGGAGTCTCCAATGGCAAAGTCTGCACACTGAAGCTTCGCAAGGCACGAGCGTTGTCTTCGGCAGTGGCACAGATACGCCAATGATGGTGGCGGCGAATGTCCGAGTGCCGCTCAACGGTGGCTAGCTGATTCGACATCCAGAACATGTGGAAAAGCAAGGATGGGGTTTCGGCAGGAAATGTGGAAGGACGCCAATGCACCTCCTTTAGAGTTTCCGTCAAGCGTGCGCGTGAGAGCCTCCTGTGGGCGGAAGCGTGTGAGACGAACACCGAGATTTCCAGCGTTTGTCTGGCTCTATCGGCTCGAGGGCACATCACGCTCGTCTTGTCTCACACTGCTTCTCGTGTGCGCGTGCGTGGCGGCCATCCTACGTTCTTTATCGTCGTTCTCTACCACCACTGTCGTTCCTTCAAAGTGCCCGCACCGCAGTAATAATGGCCTCGCGGCCCAGTATAGACATGTCTTCACCGTCGCCATTGGACGCGCCAGAGGTAAGCCGGCACCCCTCCTGAGCATGAAGCAGCGAGACAATTGCGTAGGGCAAACACTCCTTCGTGGGGTTGTGCAGGTGGAACAACACATGTAAAGCATGGCGTGCTTACACAACATCCTTCTCGCAGCGCGAACCACAGCGGCTATCAGCCTTATACCAGTACCACAATGCGCCGGAAGTCGCACCTGCACATGGCCTCGAGTACGACGACACAGTATACCCACATTCGGACAAATACCCAGTCATACGAGAAGCGCCTTCATACGACCCCAGCAATTACAAGGGCAAGCATGCCTTCATCAACGATAACCGACCACCACGCATCATCTTTGGGATGAAGGTGCGGACATTCCTGGTGGTGTCGGCGATCATGATCATGGTCATTGTGGGAGCGGCAGTCGGGGGTGCGGTGGGCGGTCAGAGCCTGCGAAATAACACATCGTACCCGAGCTACACGGGGTAAGTGCTGCATGAGTACACCCCAACTTTCGATCACGGCACTGATGGAAGAGCGTAGCACACCAAACTCCACGGCGAGCTCATCACCATCAGCTACTACATCCGCAGCGTCAACCACATCAACTTTCGCCGCACCGACACCGACATACACGCCAATATCGGACTGCCCGGCATCGAACAACACCGGCTACACTTCAACCTACGCCCAAGGCTCAGCAGGAAGTGTACCAGCTGGCGCTGCGCTCACCTTCACAAAGTACTGCGACCTAACGAACCCACTAACGCAAAGTGGCGCGACGAGGATCGCACAAGCCTTCGTATACAGCTTCAGCGACTGCGTGGAAGTGTGTGCTGGCTACAACTTCAACAACGCGGGCGGCAACTGCACAATCGCCGTTTACCGAGCGACTGGCTCGCGGCCAAGCAACTGCTGGGTCGGTTCGACAGCGAGTAGTGTCTCTGCAAGTTCGCTGGGCTCGGACGAAGGCACGGATGTTGCGCTCTTGAGACGGTCATAGATGGACATGTCTGCTGCATCGTAATGTATAGGTAACGACTACCGAGGTTGGGGATTATGTGTAGCTGGCATGTTGGTATTTTGGCGAAGGCGCTCTCGGAGCTTAATCTGAGGTATCATACCAACAGAGTCCTGCTTGACAGTTCGACAACAGGATCATTCTTGCATTATACGATACATTATGTATATCCGGCTGTCTTTACGGCAGCGCCATGCTAAGTCCAAGCTTGCCATCAATCCCTTTCCAAAAGCCGGCAAAATCAAGATCCGGTGGGCTGCGCTGAAACATTGTGATATGTACATACGGAAGAGATGCTGAACGCTGCAAAACTTGAAGACGCTTCAGACATAAGCACGGCGCCTTTCCCGACTGAAGCTCTCTGTAGAGCTACTCGGACTACCATCAGCACCCATCTCAGCCTTGCGAATCCGATCACGAAGAGCGGTCATGCCACGCTCTGCAAAGTCCTTCCGACAGTACCGACACATCCGCACCGCGCACCAGCTGCATGACCAGTACTCGTGATCATCGTCCATGTGGCAGACCGCACACTCCACCGGTGCGTGCTTGTTGTTCGACATGAGTAAACGTGAGTGATTGCGGTAGCATTTCAGCTGCATGATGTTCAGGGCACGGCTGAAGGCGAACCCGTTGGACTTGAAGACATGGCCGCGGCGGCGGCCGTCAATGTCGTGGTTATGGTTGTGGATGTGGTTGTGGCTGTGGTTGTGGTGGCGTGCGGCCGACTGTGGTCGGGTAGAGCTTGGTCGTGTAGCCGGGCGGGAGGTGTTGCCGTTAAGGTTGGTGGTCCAGGTCTCGTTGGTGCGGTTGAGTGAGCTGGCGCGGCGGCGCGATGTAGATAGGCCGTTCAGGAAGGATGACGCAGACTGCAACGACTTGGCTTCCTGCAAGCAAATTAGTCACTATCTACATCCCAACATTACAGCTAGTGTGAGGCAGTCCATTGCCCCTTCAGCTGCGTGTCGGGCAGTCAACGATCTTGGAGATGTTAACGGCAACGTACATTGAAGATCTCAAGCCCACTGCTACGGCGACGAGCAGCCTTCTGATCCTTCTCGGCTTGCTCCAGCGGCGGAGCTACGAGGTCTGGTGTGCTCATGCGATCCTTCAGACCGTACTTATGCGGGCTGTCTTCGGGTAGTGGTGATGGAGCAGGAAGCGTCGGTGACAGCGCCGATGATCTAGGGACGGGTGCGGACCGCGGACGCTGGACCTCTTCTTCCTCCTCCGCAGCATCTTCATTTGCTGACTGATATGGGCTCCTGCTCTGCTCTCTATCCTCCTTGATCGTAGTTGCAGCGCTGAGCGGCTGCCCAGCAAGCTCATCTGTCATGGTCACTGTAGATGCCGCAGAAGGTGGGAGCATGAGAACCGCTTCTTGAGCGGAGTGTGACGGGTCGGTGAAAGTATCAATATAGCTGTCATCATTGTGGCCTGAAGCTCGCTGGGTTACGATAATGGATGTTGCAGTCAGTGGGCGCGGTAAGTGTGTCTTGGGGTCGATCCGTTTCAGAAGGTTATTGGAACTTTTCCGCAGCACACGCATGGGGTTGCGCACAACGCTGTGCATTGATGCATCGTCAGGCGCCAGCTCGGCGGAGCGCTCGTCTTTGGATGGTGAGTTGCCCATAGCCGTGACACCACTTTCACGTGCGACGGCCGCCTTGGGGTGGGGCGTACGAGACTTTGGCAGACGCTTTTGTGGCTGAATGCGAGCAACTTGCTCTATGGTCACTCCACTGTTGGTGCTCGTGCGACCATCATAGATACGCTGTTTGAGCTCGCTGTTGGTGACCGTAGTCAAGCCATTGGAGGCGCTGAGCGTAAGTTCCAAGGGCCGCTGGGCTCGAGTGATGAGCGAAGTCCGTGCCGGTGAACGTGGCGAGAATGCCTTGTGTACTGTTGACAGCGCAATTGCTGCTTCCTCCAGCTCGTCGTAACTCGGTAGGAGGACCGTGACATCTGCCTCGTTTTGCTGTGGTGCTTTGTTGGCACCTGCATCACTGCTTAGCCCCTGCTACTTCCTCGATGCAAGCAGTTTCTGAATGATATATGGCGCGGCAGCTGCCACTTACCTTTGGTAAAGGCCGGTTTGCGGGCATGAGCCTCCTTCCCTCTGGAGCATTGAACGATATGCTCTTCAAAAGTTTCATCTATGGGCGACAAAGAGTCGTGTGGGGAGTTGCTGGTAGAAGGGACATTCCGTTTGAGATGGGGGCGGCGAGTAAACATGCTGTCGACACTACCAATGTTTTGTTACGTGCAAGGAAGAAACAAGACACAGCGCGAAGACGCGCATGAGTTATAGAAAGGAGATCGAAAGAGCCATGCGCTGCCAGCGCTGCCCAAGCAGGTACATACAGCGCTGTGGCTTATTGCTCACGCCTCCACATATAGGTGCCGGAGCAATAAGATGAACAGTGCGACGGCATTCTCCACGCGCATTACTCGGGGTGCTGCCTTATCGTGTCGTCCAAGACATGAAGGAAGGAGTGGCAACCCGGTCATTTCGTAAGCGAGTGTTAAGAGACAAGGTACAAGAAAGTTGCGGTATTCATGGCGGTGCGGTTTGACAGCCGGCGGTTTCAACGGCTGCCGTTATACTGTTTTCGCGCCCTGCATCGGCTCCCGACGCGAGCTAGAGACCTTTCATTTGCGGCCCATTAACGACGTCAGATCAGACGAAATCATGGGAGTACGCCTGCTTGCAATGCACTCGTGTACTTGCGGTACGAAACGGCGCTGTTATGAGCCTCTCGACTCCAGACGGTATCGGCGGATGATGATGGTGGAGCTTTGTAGCCTGGCAGCATTCTATTTGAAGTTCCGGATCTCGGAAGCGCTAGAGTGAACGTCCGCTGACAAGGGTTAGTGTTTGGGTAGCTGACTCGTCGTGGCGACAGAGTACATCGAGTCCCTCGCTCGCGCATGCAAGTGTCGTGCATTCGAGATCAGGTCCCTGGCTGAGGATGAGTGCCTCTGAGATGTGAAAGCCCATGGTTCGCTGTTGTACACAGAGAAGCTCGAGGTGGGAAATTCTCTCAACCCAGCAGGTTTCCACAGAATGGCTTTGCAAGATGCGATACCAGTGCCGAAACAACAAGAAAGATTAGCTGTAAGGCATCGAAGATCGTTGTTCCAGCTGCAGTGTGTTGATCTCTAGGTCCATGGTGTTCGCTGTTATTGCGCTCGAACGTGATCAGCCTTTACGTCAAGCATCAGTGCTACATTCATGACGAGCAGCTCGCTACGTAGGCAGCTGACATCTCTCTAGCAAGGCAGAGCACGATCCTCGTGTCGCTCGAAGCACCTCCTCTACCACTCTCAAGCTGCCGTCACTGTCTCCGCCCCCAGACCGACATCCTGAGAACCACCCGAAACGTTGGCCATGAAGTCTCGATACCTGAACACCTCGCCCTTCGCTTTCGCCGCATTCACACCCTTACCGCCGAAATGGCGTCGGCTTGCAAACTCACCCAATATGCCATCTATCTCCCTTTCGCTCAAGCGGATAGCGTCTTCGCCTGGATCGGGTGCGGTGCTCACCAACGCCCGTCGTAGCTCTGCAACGTCGATCTGCCCGCTATCATCCACGTCAAACGCCTCGAATGCTGCGGACAGCTCGTCATGGTGACTCAGCTCTGCTAGTGGGCCGGACAGGATGTCCAGGTAACGTGCCAAATTTAGCTGTATCGAGCCGTTTGTTGGGAAGAAGCCGCGCAGAGACCCTGCGCTGTTGTCCATGCCCATCTGTTCGAGCATGGACGCCACTGCGGCAGAGTCGATCGTGCCGGAGTTGCTGCTATCAAGCACTTCGAAGCTCTCACGCATACTTCGCAGTAGTGGTTGCGGGACGTGGTTGTAACCTCCTACTGTGTTGCTGAGACCGCGCTTTATTGTCGGCCGCTGCTGTGTGTTTAAAGCAAAAGTAGGAGGTCGAATAGTGTCCGCGGTAGATCCTGTAGCTCTTCGGTGAACAATCGGACGGGACTGTGTTGCCGCCACTGCCGTAACCATATCGCTCGGCCCATCAAACGGAGACGGCGAGTCAGGACTGCTCGTCGCGTTAGGTGCTGGAGGACCAGTCATTGCTTCTGCCGCAGCATGTGTAGATCGTGCGGTGGGTAGGAGAGTGTGTGTCGCTGGGTGCGGCTCTGCCGTTGCAGCAACATTCAACTCCAATGCAGTCGGTGTTGCTTCCTTCGAAGCTTGCGGGAGTCGCGTTCCGAGTGGTATCGTACGCCGTGTTCCAGACGGGTCTGTCTCCTCACTCTTGCCAGCACTACTCGCATTGCTCACTTGTCGCGAAGGACTGGTAGGTATGCTGAGGCTGCTGCTTGGACGCGCAAACGGACTCGACGGTCGCTCTCCAATGTGACTGATTTGTGAAGGACGGCGCACGAACGGACTTGTCTTCTCCGGTGAGAGTGATCCACTTTTAGCAGGAGACACTCCTGACGCTTTCGTAGGTGACTGTGTCGGCGTCGTTCCACGTACAGTCGCGGGTGAGACCGAATTCTGTCGTCGGAAGGGTGATTGACGGCCAGTGTCGCTGACCGTGAGCGGTGACGGGCGCATTATCGATGCCTGAAGACGTCAGCTGTGTGGAAAGGGGGCCATGCAATTGCGCGTACCATTGTGGATTAGTATGATGCTCTGCGATCGTTGTCAGTGTTACTATCAAGGTCATCGTGCTTCGGTAAGACGCTTTGTTTATGGACGCAAATAGCGACACAGATCGTCAGGGCGGAGGCGGCAGTGGCGCTCGCTACCCGTGCCTTCGCGCAATGGCAGCATGCAGGGTCGTCGACATTCTGTTAACGTCTAGCGAGAGCGACTGTCGTGAGGCAGGCGCAGAAGTGCACTGAGATCACGTTAGCATGAACAGTCCTGCGTAGGCTTACATCCTGGCTATGATCCTGCACGCCTATCTCATTGTAAAACGGATTGCTATCATAGTAGACGTACCGCCTTCGCAACATTGCCGTCGAACACGCAGGGCAGTCTCGTCCCTGTGGGCGCTGCAGCGGTACCGTCCTCGTCCCAGTTTCACCCATGGTAAGCAAGCATCCCAACACGGTAGCAGCGGTATGGTGGGTGGCAATGATGGTGGGCTGGGAAGCGGGGTCATGAGAGCGAGGAGGGCGAAAGGACGTTGCGATACCAAGGAACAATGCGACAGCTGCGCCATACCTACGGCCTCACGGCGCGCGTTGGGCGCGACATCGAATGTAGTACAAGATGGATAGCATGCAGACAGAAAGACCCTCCAGCTTCCTGCGCAAGGCAGGAAGACTGATGGGCCGGCCAGCCAGACCCGCGCAAACGCATTATAGACTCACAGATTGCAGGTCCGGCCGCCCAGCATCCACAGTGCCCCGTCCGTACATATGTGATTCACCATCAGGAGCACCATGGCAGCCCAGCAGGAAGCTCCGCGCCCACGCAACCAAGGACTCACAGGTTGCGGAGCCGCCCGCTTAGGTCTTACATCCCAGAACGCCAAAAAGCAGACAAAGGAGATCCACGGCGCCCATGGGCACCGTGGCAGCCCAGCAGGAAGCTCCGCGCCCACGCAACCAAGGACTCACAGGTTGCGGAGCCGCCCGCTTAGGACTTACAGCCCAGAACGCCAAAAAGCAGACAAACGAAATCAGTACACGCGATTCATCGCAACGCTGCACGCCTCCCAATGGGCGCGCGCGTACTCCGGCGTCTCTGGCCTGTTGAAAGGCTGCCGGCTCCTCTTCGTCACATCCACGTACCGCTGGTAGACCCTACGTAAGCAGTCAGTGGCTGTCTCATGTAGCTGTTGAGCGTCAACGGAGTTGGGACTTACCAGCGGAACGGGTTCTTCGTATTGTCCTTGCGACAATACGTCCCATTCTTCTTGAATGGATGTGGGAGTTGAATCCCGCAGAAGCTTGCCATCTTGTTATTGTTGTTGTTGTTGTTGTTGGTGTTGGTGGTGTTGTTAATGTTGCTGTTGCTGTTGTTGCTGCTTTGGTGAAGATGGCAAGATCTGTGTAGGAAGGAGAAAAGAGAAATGGGAGCGCGGGAATTGGGAGGGTTTAAGTATTTCTCGAACGTACGGTCTCGTGATAATGCCGTCTGGCTTGCGCTCATCGTACGACTCTAAGTTGCGCATATTACGCGCATCGCAGACGATGTGAGTGGTGCATTGCTCTTCCGTATCTTCACCAGCTTACCACCCGACTTCGCTTCAGACGCTTTCCACACAACAGTCAGCCAGAGACGACAGATACAATGGTTCCCTCCCAACTAGCCACGCTCGCGTATGAGGGAGTTTATCGTTTTAAGCAGTCGAGTCCGCATCGTACGATATTGCAAACATATGCGAATGTCACCATTCGCCCCAATGGCCTGAGATAGTGGACAAGTCGGTACTGCAGAACCCGGACGAGATTGCCGCATCAAGTGGCATATTGTCGAGGTCGTCCGCCGTGGCATATGCTGCTTAATGGTCGTTGGCGCTTGATGTGACTGTACTACGCTGGGACTGGCGCGACTGGCCGGTTACCCTATGCATCGACGGCGGGGAATGTGCCTTGCGCTCTGCGCTCCGCGCTCCTGGATTGCCAACATCAGCGTCAAATCCGCCGACCGTCGTGGGAAGAGTTTGCCTGTTATACATGGCTTGTTACCACATTTATGCTTCGCTGCGTTCTGCATACGCCCGCGTCCGGGCGATGGACGTGTGTGATAAGCAAACGATGAAGGAGGTAGTGGAAATCGTAGTCTTTCCGCCAGAGAGTGGAAGGAGATTCAGTGCATTATCCCACATAAATATTTAACGAGCATGACTGCTCCAATGACATAGGAAGCGTTCGTTTCGTGCGAATGCCCAAGAAAAGAGAGACACACGGCAGACTTCTCCGAGAACGCGTGCCATATCTATACCTAACCAAATGCCGCCACGCGTCATTTACTATTCCAGTCCATACAGCGGCAGGTGTAAGCAATGTGCGCGTGATCTGGCCATCCGGTGCCCACTCAACACTCATTGATTGTGATCAAACCTAGTTTGATCACGCCGAACCAGGGCAAAAGAAGCGAGGGGAAGATGACACATATGTTCTCGGGTTGTTTTCCATGGGCGTGCTGGTCTGAACTACGGTTGCGCATCTTATGGCTTGAGATTGAGGCCTCGGACTTAGCGATCGTCGCATGGCCCGAGCTTTGGAGCTCCATCGTATGGAAGCTCGTTCGCCATGCATGAGCATGCCAATCTCTGCGCGTATGCTCCTGAAATCATGAGCTTCTTCAGGAACTTATTCAAGGAGGTGAGTCATTTAGGATCCTGCGCGGCTTTGCATCGCCACTTTAACCGACTCGATACGCATAATGCTAAGCCATGCTACAGTCTGGTGTACGAGATGTCATCACCCTCTTCCATTCTCCTTCAAGTCCCGCCTCAATTCGCGCGCATACGTTTCTGAAGCAAGCGGCTGCGAATGCGCAGTCTAATGCAACAGTCGACCAAGCGGGGGATCATGGCAAACAGAGCAAGCTGGGAAGAACGAACTTCGATCTAGGTGCGTTCAGCGCTCAGTAACTTATGGAATGCGGCACGGTTGGAAGGAGATTTGGAGGAATTGGGGGCTTTGGCATGAATTTGGGAGTGCGGTGTGAGATGCGCGCTAATATGTGCCTTCAGATGTGGTTGAAGGACCGCCAACTCCAGACCAGTTGACCAACATTCTCGAATATATCGGCCCTTCAAAGGCAGGCAGCGTTGTTCAGAACGCCACAGGGAGCACCGATGCGTTGAGGAAGTTCAACGCAACGCAGTCACTCTTCCAACGACCGGTCACGGTGGACTGGAACAATGGGCGGGCAGGTACGTGTACATTGCGTGGACTAGCGCAATTGGCTGGGTAGCTGACACCAGACAGTCGTCGGCGATGACGAGAGTGAACTCACGAAGCTCATAAAGACGCTGCCGAAGTAGACAGACAAGCATTGCAACATGTCTGCATTTACCCCAGACGTGCAATGCCGAAGTGATCGCTCGCAGGCTCCGTTGGGTGGAGCGCAGAGGGCTTCGATCAGACCTTAGAGACGGCGTTTATATGGTCATAAGGGCCTACCAGGGCGTTTGAAGGCGTTGCGGCTACCTGCAGCCTACGGCATGCTCACAATGGCATTCATGGTGGGATGGCGGGAGTGTCTCGGAAAGTACCAGACCATGCAAACGGGACATCTCACCGACACACAGACAGACAGACAGACTATCCGCTCAACCATTCGTAAGTGCACAATGTCGCTTTTCGCCTCATCACCGCTGCTTGTCGCTGCTCGCTAGAAGTGAGGTGAATGCGACTTCCTGCACATCTCTGTCTTCACTCGTGCGTCGTAAGTGAAAAATGACGTCCAACCGACTAAAGAAGAAGGCGCGCCTTCCGATTGAGATTGCCAATATCATCATGCGAGGCAAGAGGAAAGAGCAGAGTGGCGTGCAACGCAGAACGTTCCATTCAAGAGATATTGCTACTCACCACATGTACCTCCAAAAGCTCGACAAACGCCACCAGCTCAGCGATCACATCTTTCAAACAGCACACAGTTTTCCAAGTCTCCTTTAAGAGCCTCTCAAGATCAGCTTCACGTCTATCCTCAAGGCCACAGCGCATCTAACATGGCCGACGGCGGTCCGGTGATTGCTAGCAGCAACCGCTTCGACGACATTGCCCCTTACATGGGCCGCATATACAACGACGAGCCGGAGAAGTGGCGTGACGTCTTTCCCTGGGAGTTTCCGCAGTACGGCACGAAGCAGGTCGAAGAGGCCTTCATCGACAGCACCTTTACCGCATCGGAGGTGCAAGTGCAAGGCTACCGCTTCCTCAAGCAGGTCTTCTACTGCATCGGCAAGTGGAATGTCGAGATTAAGATCCCACGCATCGCTGCAGACTGGATCCGGGAGAACCAGGAGATCCTCACAGATCCCAACACGCGCGAGTGGATCTTCAAGCCAGGTGTCGGACCCAAGACCTTCTTTGAGCCGAAGCATTTTGAGCAATACGGCGAGAAGATGCTAACACACGTTGTCACCTATCTTCAACACACGTTGCAAGGCTCCCCTAACCACGACAAGCCTGAGGAGAACGCGAACGTTCCATCCGCCACCAATCACGCTCAGGCATCGTTATCGGAAGTCAAGCCCGCCGCTGATTCCACGATTGCACCAGCACCGATCCATATCCGCAAGCGTGAGAATAGCTATGTGCATCCTGAAAACCACCGCAGCGGCAACACACGCTTTGGGTCCTTCCAGGTCAATTTCTCTCGTCAAATGCAGGAGAGATCCATGATGGCACAGCACAGCAGATCTATCAACTTCGCGCCGCAAAGCCACCATCATCAGTACCGCGTTGGCTCATTCCCACCGCCAGCGGTGGTGAGTCAGGCTGGGCTGCCGCCACACTACTCTCAGGCGCAACACTATTCTCAGTCGCCACATGGTAATCCGTCACCGCATACTCCATACGAGAACAGAATGCCACAGTCGTATGCATCACAGCCTCCATTCTACCAGGAAGCCTTGACCGATCGTCCCAATGGCCGCGAAAAGCGGCGCGATAGCCATGGCTCCCGCGGCGTGCTACCGTCTTCGAGGGGTAATTACAAAGGCAAGAAAGGAAAGCGTAACAAGGACAGCTTCTCCGACTCACAGCCTGCGCGAGAAGTGGCGTACAGGTCGCCATGGGACTCAAGCACACAGCCTGCACTAGCTGCGGAAGGGAACGACCCGGACGGGTTGATACCGCGCCTGAAGGATCTTTCGCTCGAGAGTGTAGCACCATCGCAGCCCGAGCAGTCCTTTCGTGAGCAGTCCTCGCCGCCGCCGCTTGCGGCGGAAGCAGCAAACAAAGGACCCGTAGGCAGTACGCCAGTCACACCATTGGTTCCGGATGTCGCAGCCGAAGTGCTAAAGCCATCCTTGTCGCTTGATACTGCTGGGTGGGCCCACGAGCACATGTCAGATGTTACTGGAGATGCATCAGCGGTAGCGTCCATTCCGGAGGTAGTCCCGGTCAAGCTCCCAGAACCGACATGTTCGCCGCCTACGGCGGTTGCAGCAGACGTGGCCAGTCCGCCAGTAACATCATCCATTCCACAAGTCGCAGCTGAGATCCCAAAACCATGCTCACCACTGGACCCTGTTGAGGAGGTTGACAACCACATCTTCGACGCTACTGAGAACGCGAGAGCGGGTCAATCTCAACCGAACTCGGTTCTCGAAGTTACACTGCCTGACTCCGCTGCGTCTCTGAGCCCAGTCATAGCGGTCAACCACAATGTACTGGAGAAGCATGCGAAGCCAGAGAAGGCTAAGGGTCCTGCGCAGACGGAGTCTCTTCTTGGTAGCCTGTTCAGCAAGCCACTGAAGCAGAAGAAGCCCAGGCCTCAGAAGGGCAAAGGGTCGGTGAAGAGAAAGCAGAAGCAGGCAGAGGATGATAGCGCCTCCAACCGAAGCACGATCACCGACCAAGAGTTCGATGCGGAGATGACGGCGTCGAAGGCGCCTTCCTCAATCGAAGATTGCGTTAAACCACCCATCATGCATGTGGAGCGGACAACGCCGGCGCCGTCACGCGATGCCAGTCCTTCAAAGTCACGCGGCATGCTTGGCTCTATTGCGGGCTTGTTCTCTTCGCGGGCGGCCACTCCTACTATCACCACAGAAGCTTCAGTCCCGGGATCACCTTCGCGTGTCATAGTCGAGATGGTGCAATCGGCGCCGCTGTTGTCTTTTCGTGACAATGTACCCCTCGGAACGCAGTCTTTTCGCGACGACGCTGACATGCGATCAGGAGAGAAGCTTGACGCGGGAGCAGCGGCGCCGGCTGCTCCATGGAGTAGCCAAGCGCCAGCGTCAGCGCCCAAGGCACAGATGGTTGGTGAATCTACTGGAGATGCTGGAGCGAGTGACCATGAGCAGGCCTTTAGCATGCCTGACGAGACTCGTGATAGTACTGTTCACGGTGACAGTGGCGATGGTGGCGGCAGATTCGCGAATGAGCTTGATTCTCGTGTCGGCGACGGCGCCAGTCCTACTGTGGACGCTGTGAAGCCCAAGAAGAAGAAGAAGAGCAAGAAGAAAGGCAGGTAGGTGCGTTCCACTTCCTCACGCGACAGTTACTGATGTCAGCTTCAGGGAAGGAAACACCGGGCAATGAACCGGAAAAGCCGTTCCAGTTCGACTTCACTGTCAACAGTCAGTCGACGAGAGACGGCGCTTCAGAAGCCAGCTCCGCGACTCTTAGTGGAGGTCGCGACGACTCGCGCGAGAACACACCGAGCACCCAACCCCAAGAGTCGCCTCTCACGAACATGATCCGTAAGTTAGCAGACCAGCATCTTGTGGTGGCTCCCATCAGAACATCGGTGCGCAAAAAGGGCAAGCGCGTTACCAGTCGGACTGCGCCGGATGCCACTACACCGCCGAGGAAAGCTCGCTCGGCGGAGATCGAGGATGATGTTGATGATGATGTGCATGGTGGTCGGACATTTGACCGTGTAGTAGGCCGGCTGGGTGCGCAGTCACCTCTCGTTTACATCTACATGAACTCTTCCAGACGGGAAGAAGAGGAGGCAGATGCACTGGGCTGGCAGCATGGGCGGGTGGAGGATATTCCTGATGAGAAGGTCAAGGAGGCTGGGCGGCGTCGAATTGATGGGAAGGAGAATGCAAAGCCAACGGCTTAGTTTTATGACGGAGTATGGAGTACCTGTTTCTCTGCCGACATGCACCCCAAAATATCAAATGTCTCTCGTGGCATTCGGGCGTTCTTAAGGGTACTGTCACCGCTGTTGCGCGGTTGCGGTTGCTACGGTTGCTGCGGAACGGTTAATGCGGTAGCTCGAAAGCGATATCTCCCGAGCCAAGGCCGCTTGCTCTGCCATGTGCTGGGTCGATAGCACCGAGGCCTGTCTGTATCGGCCGGCAAGCACCAAACAACACGCTGTCTCCACACATATGCCGAGCAGTGAGTGAGCCGTGATGTACGAGTGTTTCAACATGGAGCCACGTAGTACGTAAATGCTGTTGATGGCAGATCGGATGATGACGGAAAACGCAAGGACGCCGATGTTCCTCTCAAGCTCTCTCCACACTTTCATGAGCAGCGCGACAGGGAGCTCCACTGAGCCGAGATGGTCAGGGTGGCATGACGGCGGGGCCTTGAGAGAGCGTCTTCCGCACCGCAACGTCCCTCGGTAGACGAGCCTTGTTGCTTGTGACGACATAAAAGCCAGGTGAGCGAAACTCTACCATTGATAGACTAAGTAAACCTCCTCTCTCACTCTTCCATTCCCCACTCCATCCATCACCCCATCGTCAACATAGTGAAGAGATTGCAACATGTCCCACACACACATGACCACCCTCCGCGATCAAGGGCGTCACATCGGCCCCGTCAACGTCGAGCAAGTGCTCAAGGACGTCAACATCCTCGGCTCCGTCACCGACCAGACCCGCAAGATCCTCAGCAAGGAAGCCGTCGTCTTCCTCGCCGTCCTCCACCGCACATTCAATGGCACCCGCAAGGCGCTGCTCCAGCGTCGCCAGATCCGACAAGCCGAGCTCGACAAGGGCAACTTGCTAGACTTCCTCCCCGAGACGCAGCATATCCGCGAGAACGATGCGTGGAAGGGCCCGCCGCCTGCGCCGGGTCTGGTAGATAGACGGATTGAGATTACCGGACCGACGGATAGGAAGATGGTTGTGAATGCGCTGAACTCGGACGTGTGGACGTACATGGCGGACTTTGAAGGTATGGCAGGAACAAGCGAGTCATCAGACGGAGGCTGATAACCTACTACTACAGACTCGAGCGCACCAACCTGGGAGAACATGATCAACGGCCAGCTGAACCTCTACGACGCCATCCGCAAGCAGGTCGACTTCAAGCAGGGTGAGAAGGAGTACAAGCTCCGCACCGACCGCGTCCTACCCACACTCATTGCGCGTGCTCGAGGCTGGCATTTGGAGGAGAAGCACTTCACCGTCGACGGCGAGCCGATCTCTGGCTCGCTGTTCGATTTCGGCTTGTACTTCTTCAACAACGCGGAGGAGCTCGTCAAGCGTGGCACAGGGCCGTACTTCTACCTGCCGAAGATGGAGAGCCATCTTGAGGCGAGACTGTGGAATGATGTTTTCAATCTCGCGCAAGACTATATTGGTATGAGGAGGGGTACGATCCGAGGCACGGTGCTTATCGAGACGATTCCGGCTGCCTTCGAGATGGATGAGGTGAGCTCACTCACTGCACGGGTGACACTTCCCTACTAATGCCGTCTAGATCATCTACGAGCTCCGCGACCACTCCTCCGGCCTCAACTGCGGCCGCTGGGACTACATCTTCTCCGTCATCAAGCGCTTCCGGCAAAACAGCGCCTTCGTCCTGCCCGACCGCAGCAGCGTCACCATGACCGTCCCCTTCATGGACGCCTACGTCAAACTCCTCATCAAAACGTGCCATCGCCGCGGCGTCCACGCCATGGGAGGCATGGCCGCCCAGATCCCCATCAAAGACGACAAGGAAGCCAACGACAAGGCGATGGATAGCGTGCGCGCCGACAAACTCCGCGAAGTCCGTGCGGGCCACGACGGGACTTGGGTCGCTCATCCGGCGCTCGCGGGTATCGCCGCCGATGTCTTCAACACGAACATGCCCACACCCAACCAACTCCACGTGCGTCGGGAAGACGTCCACATCACCGCCAACGACCTGCTCAACATGAACGTCCCCGGCAAAATCACCGAAGAGGGCATCCGCAAGAACCTCAACATCGGGCTGGGCTACATGGAAGGCTGGCTCCGCGGCGTGGGGTGCGTGCCCATCAACTACCTCATGGAGGATGCGGCGACGGCGGAAGTCTCGCGCTCGCAGCTGTGGCAGTGGGTCAAGCATGGCGTCCCCACGGCCGAAGGCAAGAAGGTGGACAAGGCGTACGCGCTGAAGCTGTTGCAGGAGCAGGCGAGTGAGTTGGAGGGCAAGGCGCCCAAGGGGAACAAGTATCAGCTTGCCGCCAAGTACTTTGGCACGCAGGTTACTGGGGAGGATTATGCGGAGTTTTTGACGTCGTGAGTATCATCCCATCCATATTCCCTTTGTGAGACGGGAGATATGTGTGCTGACTCGATCCACAGGCTGCTTTATAATGAGATTACGAATGTGAGTGAGAAGACGCCGGCGGCCAAGCTTTGAGTGGAGAATGCGATGCAAATGAGGATGGAAATCAGCTCTGCACGACCTTCCAAACGTAGCGTGTTAGCCCAGCTTTAGCAGACCCTGCAACGCAATGCGCGTCCGCCCTCGACGTCTGCGACACACAGGCTGACGGCTATTGTTCGCAGACCGGAACGCCGATGCCTGCCTTGGAGCTATGATCGGTCATGACAAGTTTAGTGTACACATTACTTCACCACGCAATTGCAAATGTACTTTTTCACGTCAAACTCCACGCATCACCCCTCCCAGACTGATCCAACAAATTCGCCTGCGCCCTCAACGCATCAGCGCGGAACTTCCGAAACGCCGTCTCAATCCGCTCCCTACTCTCCCGATCCGCGCCAATCTGCTGCCGTGCCCGGAACGTGCCCGTCAAAAGCCCCGTCTCCCCCCCAAAGAACAAGCCGCCCGCGCCGAGGAGACTGTACGTCGCCACGTCACCCAGCGTGCTGGGTCGCAAGAGGGGGGTCAAGTCGGGGATGGCTTCTTCCTTGCCGCCGGCGAACTTGACGGCGACGGGTTGATCGGCCGTCTTGAAGGCGTTGAACATGGCGGCGCGGTTGCTGCGGATGCGGTAGGCGAGGAAGATGCCGAGGGCGATGCCGAGCAGGCTGCCGACGCCGGTGTGGGTGCTTACGGTGCCGGCGGCTTTTTGCAGGGCGTCGCGGTCGGATTGTCGGAGGCTGTGGGACCAGTCATCTTAGGCAAGTCGCGTGAATGAGCGTTACATGGATGCGTACTCGTGTTGCATGTGTTGGTCCGCGAGCTTGGCGAGCTCGGGGCCCATGCTCTTGCGGAAGACGGCGAGGGAGTCGGACGACATATTGGCGGCGGCTGTCAAAAGGGTGTTTCTGTATCGGTTGGTAAGTTATGTGCGCTTCTGCAGTCGCCGATGTTATCGTATTGCAGTAGTCGAAGGTGTAGCTCAAGCGAACCTGAACGTTTAATGTTTGGCAAGACAGCTCTACGCCAAACGTCACTGGCGTCCCGCTCCCCGCCAACGCCTCGGCCGCTTCCTGTCACTGCCGAGAAGCCCTGAACATGAGATCTACTCGGGCATTGTCGGCGAGCAATAGAGACGACAATTACCGCCTGAACAACGCCGTCTTCATTTGCCGACAGACTGTCCTCACCATTGGGGAAAGGCTGGCGGACGCTTACCACCAGTCAATGCCGAGTCGGCGAGGACGGAGACTCGAAGCTTGAAAGCCCACCCACGGTGGTGAAGCTGCTTTCAAGCACAACCGGGTTATATATTTATATGCACTCGGCCGCAGGCTGCGGGCGACACGAACCATGATGGCGTCCGCTGCATGCTTTGTAAAGTGAGGCGGGTAAGTATTCATGTAGACGACATCGTCGTTAACAGCAAGTCGTGGCCGCGTATGGTACGATGAAGCGATCACTGCTATCGTTCCCAGCCTCACGAAGTCCTCGTAGAACATTTTCGGGTCGTGGAGTAGCGTTTGCCGCGCAGGTACTTCACGACGTTGCTCCCTGTAGTTGTGTTCCTAGAGATGTCCCACGGGTTTGCTACCTACGTGGACAGACAGGAGCGGTGGGACGCTTTTATAAACCGAGCAGGATAGCACTTCCAACACTCCGTACACCGCGCTCAAGACCAGCGCCACGAAAGAAGGTCTCCCTAACAAGCCAGGCACGGTCATTCATTCGCTGCCGTCAACGACCTCGACGATGGCGAACTACCTCGCTCCCACCAGCACTGTCATGCGAAAGATCACCACTATCCTGGTCGCTTCAGCAATCTATGATCACTCCACCTTCATCGTCCCCCTGATGCCACTCACTCATCGATGTGGATGTGGATGTGGAGCCTCCGCCGCGTTCCTACGTGCCTGTACTTTGCGGTGGTCGCCTTTCACCCATATCCTCTGGCATTGTTACGCCATCCCGTGGCGCTGGTTTCTGAGCGCGGTGTGGGAGTGTTCGAAGTGCTATCCTGAGTGTCATTGGGAAACCCGTTCTAGCCGCGACTTTTGACACCAAGTCTCGGTCAAAGTGAGACTTGGAGGTACCATTGGAGCTTCGCTGCACTGACGATCCCTCATAAACATTCCCCTTCCACCCCCCCCCCCAGCAACGCCGCCATGCTCGTCTCCCTGACCGTCGGCAAGGTCGATGCCGGTGTCGCCGTACTCCTCACCGAAGACAAGCGACTAGTATGTCCCCCGTATAGCAACCATGCGGCCAGCACACCTCCTTAACCCATCCACGTGTTGTGTAGATCGAATTCCCTTCCATCCTCCTCCCCGCCGACATCCACAGCGGCAGCATAGTCGACATCAACGTCTCCCGCAACCAGCCCGCGGAAGAGCGCGCCGAACAAACCTTCGCCGCCCTCCAACACGAAATCCACACCACCTTCGGCACCCGCTCCCCCTCGCCCCCCGTCCTCCGCTGCCGCAACGCCACCCAAACCAGCGTAGTCCTCGAGTGGGACCCCATCGACCTCGCCACCGCCGAACTGCGCAGCCTCAGTCTTTACCGCAACGGCGCCAAAGCGGGCAACATCCCCATGGGGAAAATGAGCACCAAAATCTCGGGTCTGGCGCTGGATACGGAGTATACCTTCCATCTCATCCTGAGGACTAGTGCGGGACAGTATGGGAGTGAGAAGTTGACCGTTAAGACGCATAAGATGACGGATTTGCATGGGATTACGATCACGCCTGGGGTGATGGATCCGCAATTGAAAGATAGTCTGGCGGAGACGGTTAATAGAATCGGCGCGAAGATGATTGATCAAGTCCGCATTGATACGACGCATTTTGTCTGTACGGAGCCGAGGGGCCAGGGGTGGGAGAAGGCGGTGGAGATGAACGTTCCCGTTGTTGTGCCGGATTGGCTAAAGGGGTGTGAGAGGGAGGGCAGGATTGTTGGGGTGAGAGCTTATTATCTTGATGCCGATCCCAGTAAACGACAGATTGGTCCTAGTGCGACTCAACAGCAGATGCAGATGCAGGGGCAGAGTGAGGCGGAGAGGGGCCAGCGAGGAGGCGGGAGTGTGAGTACGGCGGTGCCGATGAGGGATAGTCCGCGCATTGAGCATACGCCGCCTACGCCCGAGCAGGCGAAGGGGGAGAGGCAGGGGCCGGAGCGGGATGGGATGAAGGGGGCTGCGCAGGCTGGGGCGGCGTTACAGGGGCAGGTGGAGGGCGATGGGGAGGGTAGTTTAGCTGGCACGACGCTTGCGGAGAAGCAGACGGATGGTGGTGAGGAAGACGAAGATGAAGATGATGACGCCGAGCCTGCGCATGTCTCTGGGAAGGTTGTGGAAGCTGGTGATGGTGCGGGCGCGGAGCAGGTAGCGAAGGAGAACGCGGCGGCGGGGAATGACACTACGACGCAGGAAGCGAATAAGATGGCTGAGGAGGATGGGAAGTTTGACGAAGTGGCGCTGTAAGGCAGCTTGCGAGCTTGCACGGTTGTCCTCAGATCATACTGCTGTCGAGAAGAGGCTCCTGAGACCTGTCTCAACTGCCTTGCCAAAAGGTGTCAGACTGGACGCCAAACTTCGGGTTTCAGCCAGCTCGGCCATTCAGCGATACAACTTCGCAACTGAAGCTTCGTTCGTCAAACCAACATGCGCACCACACGGCACATCCACACAACCCTACACCACACCACACCCCTCTACGCCGCCCCTTCCTTCCGCTGGCCCGTGTAAAACGCCAACCCATAATCATCCGTCTTGAACGTAATCTTCGACCCCTTGGGGAAGTAAAACACATCCCCCTTGGTCGCGTGCACGCTTTTCCCCGTCTCGTCGGAGATGTCGAAGCTGCCTTCCAGGATGATCTTCATTTCGTGGTACGTGTATTCGTATACCAGCGGCGTGCCTAAACCCCAGGCGATCAGTATGCAGGAACCCCGACACAGCTTGGGCTCTCTGGAAAATGAGATGGGGGGGATGCGGGATGTGTATCATACATACCCTTCTCGAGCCTGTAGATGCCGCAGCTGACGGGCGCTTTCGGGTCGTTCTTCTCGCTCGTCGCGATGTCGCCGAGGAAGGCGTTGTCGTTGGCAATGAGGGGGGGTTTGAAGGTTTGTTGTTGTTGGGGGAAGTAGTTGAAGGCGATAGGGGGGGAGTCTTCGATGGAACCCATTTTGTCTTGCTTTGCTCTGCTTTGCTGCTTGGGGTTCACAGTCCTTTCAATTTCGGCTTCTACGGTTTCCAAGATGCGTGGGCGAAGATGGTAGGGTGGAAGACAAACTGAAAGGAACTCACTCAATAGGCTTACCGTATATGTACGTGTGATGGCATTCACTGGAGTGCATGTCCGCTTCGAGCAAGTCAATGAGCCGACCGTACGCGTGTAGGGACGACGTGTCTGGCGTGATCAATGCTTATCGTACGTCTTATCAGGCTGTACCTAAGGGTATAGCGGATGGATTCGACGAGCTAACTGTTCTCGGGCAAAAGGTCCCTGGGGCCCGCCTACTACCTTGCAGACACAGAGTATCTGTGTGTTTGGAGACAGAGCAGAACACCTGCATATAACGCCAGTGTGAAGAATGCCCATCTATTGCCTGCCTGTATACGCCGTCACGTCTATCTGTAGCCCCCTCCGCAAGCAACAAATCCCAGGAAAGCGCCTACCAACACCGTACTCGCTTAACCGCTGGAAGTATTGAAGTTCGCGAGAAACCAACGCCGTGTTGAGCAAACGTTCGACAAGCCGCCGGAAAATACAATGCTTGAGTTGACCATAGCAATTCCCGTATAGCAGAATCAGCCGAGCAGAACTGTCCCAGCTGTCAGCATGCGAACCAGTGTCGGCGGCGAAAAGTGCATCAGACATACCTTCCCAGCCCTTGAAAGCGAAGGGTATGAACGTTAGCGAATGTCTGGACAACAGGATAAGAATCGATGTCCTTCAGATACGCACCCAATCCCACATCACACCAACCCAATGCAGATGCCCTCGGACGGTATAGGCTGCATCCATCGTACTGACACCACGGTCCACCCTCTTCGGTCGAGGCGGAAAGCGTTCGTTCGCGGACCCAGGTTGCGGGTCCCCCTCTCCTCCATCCGCCGTCTCAACATAGCTGAACACCATCCCAGTGCTTCCCGGATCCGCATTCTGGAAGCCGGTGTCGGTCCTCACGAGCGGCATGCCGCGTTGTCGCGCAGGCTGGAGGTCTGCGGTAGCGACAAGCCGTCTTCGCCCGGTGGGCTGAGCTGCGTATCTGTCTCTGCGTCGGTAGACTTCCTCGGTGACAGTAGCGCACTTCTCGATGACGCCGATCCGCATGCGCTGACCCATTGCCGCCCATCGATCGCGAACCCATTGCCGGTCTTCCTCCGTCGTCGCTTCGCAGCCCGCGACCATGAGCGGGTAGATTTGCACAATCACTGTCCGGCTCGCTAAAGGCACCGTTGCGAGGAATTGTAAAACGCGCTGCGCCATTTCCGCCGAAGAATAGTCGCAAGGAAGCTCTGGCACTGATTGATGCAGATGGAGTAGAGTCGCCCATCGATACGCCTCCGCAGTCTGAAGCGAGTGCTGGACACCAGTCGTCGGGTCCTCCGGCTGCTCGATAAAATGAGGCGGCTCCCACGCTTCGAGCGCCATGCGTAGATCATTCGCCTGACTGATCACGGCCGGACTGTTGGTCTGCGATCGGCAGACTTTGCGTACGAGGTTCGCGACCCTTCCGATTAGTGGGAAGAGGGTGTTAGCGCAGCCCATGAGCGGGTCTAGTCGAGCGTCAATGCCTGTTCCAAAATCGATTCCGAAGCCCGGTACTGCGTCGCCCATAACCATCTCTGGTGAATCCACGGCGAACAAGAGAGTGTTGTCGAAGTCGTTCGACTCGTCGCTGTCAACTGCGGTAAGGCGAGCAATGACATCCATGTAGACCCAAGCGTTGCAAAGGAACTTTAGCCGTGCAAGCTCAACGCCACCCAGCGGGTTGCGCTGATGATCAGCCAGTGCTCGCTTCACCAGCGCTTGCGCACCTTTGATGTGAGTATTGCCGGAGGCCGTATGCTGGTCCCACGACTCCGAGAAACCGAGAGCGAGTGCGGTGGCGATGGCTGTCTGATCGGTCATGCTGCTATCTCTGATACCCTCCTGAATATAGCGGATACTCTTTTGCTTGTGCTCATGGCCTGCCACCCGGAGTGCAGGCACGTCGTTAGAGGAGTGATATGCTGTCATTGCCATAAGCGCATTGTACAAGGCCGGAGAACGTTGAGCAAGCGGCCAAATGAGTGTGCGCCACGGGTTCTCGGACTTGCCATCCATGATCGAAAGAATGCCACATGTAAGCCTATCAAAACGGAATGCAAGCATCTCGGGGCTGTCGTGTCGGAAGTACGGTTGACTGTAGAGGTAGTGGACCGGGCCCTGCCAGAGCGTCTGAAGTTGATCGGAAATTGATATTGCTGATCCCGAGGATGTCGGTCGATCGTGGTTGATAGGCCGTTGCAGTTCGTCAGTACCGGCGTCCTGGCGCACAAGCTCCTCTGTATCGTCGTCGTCCAAGCCACCACTCAGCAGCGCCGGATCAATGACATCTGCCGGAAGCGGCGACAGCGGAAATTGCATGCCTTCTGGCATCGAAAAGCTGATAAACTCGCCATCTTGTGGCAGTTCATCTTGGAACGGCAGAAGCAGCTCGGTGAGGGTAGGGGAGGGTGCAGCGGTTGGTGCAGTCGCAGCTTGAGGACTTTGCGGAGGGAGGTTCGGTCCAAAGTTGTAGACGTCTTCTCGCGGGGAAGCTTCGAGGGGTGTTGCGGACTGGAGTGGAATGCTTGGTAACGTCAACAGATTGACGACATCATTAGGCGGAGACGGCAGTGGTGAAGTTGAGTGTGGTGCTGCGGAGTCTGGTGGCGGCTGAGCTTCCACAGGTTGATCCGCAGCCTCCTTCGCGCTCGGAGGGCGCTCCTTCCGCTTGGCTTTCGCTGGACGGGCCGGGAGTTCGGTGAGAGCGTTCTCTTCGACCACGGTGCTGGCCTGAAAACCGTGGAACGCGAGCGTCAGCTGTGTCTCAAAGGATCGAGAGGGTTCCAGATATGTCCCCCCACTCACCCTCTTACTGTCTTTCCGTTTCGTGTTCGGCTTCCTCGGCGCGGACGTTTCAGGTACAATACTCTCGTCAGGCGTGTTCGGTTTGGAGCCCTCCGCCGAGGCTTGCGATGGTGGTGACGCTGCAACTTGTGTCAGTCTTGATATTGACAAATGCTCGCCGTCGCAATAGTCTTTGCACGTGGACATCGCCCCACTCATCGCCGCCCGGTAGGATACATATCAGCCCGTGTCGTCGGTACATGAGTACATCCGAGCCGCCAAAAGGTTTGGGTCGTGGGACCTGAGTCCTCACGATCCCCAAACTGAGGATAACTGAGAAGACATCGTCGGCCTCTTCAGCGCATACGACTTGGTGACTCATCGGGGATGGCGGCAATGTTTCATCCACCACATCACAAATGTGTTCGACGTACCTCGCTTCTCCGCCTCCTGTATTGCCTTTGCTGGGTTCTCACCAAAGGGCCGCCATTTGAAGTCTTTTCTATATCCTCCGCACTCTACCTTCCTCCTCTTGCATTGCGCGCATCCCGGCTTCTCTTCATCGCACTTCAGCCGCTTGGCTTTGCAAGTCACACAGCCTACATTCGTCAGCGCATATCGACCGTACTGAGAAGTGGCGAGGGTTCGCAGATGAATGAGGCCGCTGCATTCCCATCCTGTATTCTCACGACCGCACGCGCCGTCGGCCTTGGCAATGCAGGTGACCTTACAACGGTGATGGGAATGATGACAACGTCACATGCGTTAACCCTCGAAGCGATGAACGAACCGTTGCGGCTCTTCGACTGCTTCGGCCTATCGCCTTCTCCAGCCTTTGGCGCATTATTGACGGTACTGCTCTTTCGCACTGTCGTCTTCTTCTTCGCCTGAAGGTCGAGGGTTAGGATGGTCAGCTAGGTCTCGAACGAACCGAGTGGGACTACATATCGCTCCACTCACCTCCGTATCCGGGCGTGGCACATTGTGAGTATTTGTAGGCTTCGTTGGAGGGGCTTCAGGCGGGGTAGGGCTCGAACGTGAGAGAAAGACAGACGGAGAGGGAATCGAAATGGCCTCAGCCATGCGGAACCCACACGCCAAACCTTACCGTGAAATCACGCAATCGTCGGAATGGCACACGTCAAGGTGGGAGGGAACGGCGGAGCAGCGGAGAGAAGGTGGCATGATTATGCAGTATTGGGCTATGCCTGCCTTACCAACGAACACGCTGCTGGCGTGCCCACTTGCGGCGATTGCGCACGAATGCTACCCTCTGCCCCTCCACACTTCGCGGCTCAAGGCTGGGCCAGAAGGTCATGCAATCAGCTGCCTCTACCGCCAATGGTTGCCCGACTCGAAATCGTGCCGCATGTGGAGCGCGCAGTAGTAAGCTGCGGAGCGCGATCGCTTAGATACGTTGCCGCGTCTGCGTCGGCACCGCTTGCTTTGGGGCAGCTTCGGCCCGTACATATCATGGATTTCATTTACTGTTGCTGTACTGAAGTTTCACTCGAGTGTTGCACTCTACGGCCGCGTGCATTAACACGTTATGCCGCAGGAGGCCCATCATTCGGCGCGTCGTCGTTGTTCTTCCGCTTCGTCCGCCACCAATCCAAACTAAGCATATCCTGAAACAAAGCACTGCCACCTCCATGTGTACTCCTCCGACGTTTGTTGCTCGTCTGACGCGTGGCGGGTAAGGTTCTGGAACGCTGTACGGACGATGGCACCTCGTCCAGCACGCCATCTCCTTCGGCACTCAGATTACGCCCATCGCTGTCACGGCGCCGTCGCGTGCGGTCAGCATGCCCGGCACTCACTGGTCGGCGTTCTGACGTCTCGCCGTTGGGTTCCAACGTGCCATAGGCGTCGCCGGCGTCGCCCAGTTCCTCCCAGATATGGATGACCTCCTTAAGCGTGCTTGCCCTCTTCCTTCTCTTCCCACCGTGACCGCCCCTTGTACGACTGCTGCGCTCGGTGGCTGTACGCTTCAAACCTTTGTCAAGCAAAGGCAGCCGTTCGCCGACTACGACTTCTTCGTCATCTTCTGCCACTACAGAATCACTACCATCGCTGTCTGGCTCTCCAACGAAGCCGAGTCCGGGAGTAAGTACTGTTTGCGGGAACTCATGTTGCAGCATAGGCTGGTGCTCCGGGTCGCTGTCGCCGTCTTCGAGACGCCAGCTCAACGCGAGCACACCTGCAAGAAGTATGACCGTCCCAAGTGCGATAAGCCCGGCGTGCAGTGGTGGCAAACGATCGGTCTGGCGGAAATAGATCAGTCCGTCCAGAATCGCAACAATATTGTAGATGCAAAAGACGAACGGATACAGTACGCTGGTCGAGATCAGGCGCAGTCCCAAGTGGAGATAGTACAGCTGGCTTAATGCGAGAACCAGGAAAGCGAGTAATAACAGCCACGAACGGTAGTTGCTGAACTGATTCTGCTTGTCGGCTACGCTGCGTACAATGAGCTCAACCGCACTTTTGGCCAGGAGCAATGAATGGGCGGAGAGGATGCCGGAAACGGCGCCGTAGCTCATTCCTCTCACAAGGAGCAGTCGTGGCCTGTCCCGCTTTTGCGGTGAAAGAAGCCTTCGCATGCTGATGTCCATAATGAGCATGACCAGGACAGAGACTAATGAGAGTGAGAACCAGATTAGAAAGCTGCGGTATCCAAGTAGGCGAATCAACTGCTCCAGGTTATGGTATGGTTCAGGTAGCGCGGAGAAGAAGCTGATCAGGATGGCCCCTCCAGCCACCAGTATCGTCCCATAACCCGTACGCCATGTCCAAGCCTCGTGCAAAAGCAGGCTCGCAAGCAAGCTATTGAAGACGAGCCCAGACGCTTGCAGTGTACTCAAGAGCGGTAGAGGTAGGGTTGTAATCTGGATACTGCTCCCGACGATGTTGGCGATGAGGAAGAGAAACATGCCGACCTGCCATCTTCGTCGCCTGTATGCCGGCCGTCGAACTTCATGGTCCTCTTTCTCATCTTCCAGTATATGCGACTTCCGCTGCAGGGTCAGGCCCAGAGATTGGATACAGGTGGAGAGCAGTCCGACTATGATGCCCAACGCCACGCTTGCGCCGGGCGAGATGTTGCTGAAGGCTCCCATGCTGGGCGGAGACTGTCACTCGGAAGCGCTGTTATGCCGCTACGTGATGGTTCAGACGGAAGCAACTGGTTATTTCTGTTATTGTCTGGAGCTGGCCACCGTCACATCACCCACTCATCCCAGGCAGATACCGTTGAACGTATAGCGATTGGGCATCATGTATTCAAATGCGCCATTGACGGCGCCTGGTGTTGGAGCTGGTCAAACGGACAAGGGTGGCATAACCGCGGTGATGCTTGGAAGAGAGAGCGGGTCGGGGCGCGAGCCGTCAGCCGCATCGTCATAGAAGGTTGATACCTTAAGTATAAACCTGCCTTCCAAGGTTGTCGAAGAGCCGCTTCACCCTCCCGACGTGCTTGTAGTGCACGCTGCGGAGTTTCATATGACCTTCTCGGAGCAACTGATGCTGAACAAGGGCTTGATAGGCAGATTACTATCTTTCCGGCATCACTCATGTTGCAAATTTAGACAGCTGTCACAATTCGACGACCATTACGGCAACACAGTACATTATACAGATGTTGTTGCACTTGACCGCATCTACTCGGATGGTGTCTCATTATCCTTCCTGCCAACACCGTCTGGATGCTCGGCGGTGGTGATGGATCGATCCGGAGCCCGTCCCAGGACGTTGAGGTGATCGATAGTGCTCCACGAGGTGCAGTACTGCCCTCCAATCACAGGAAGCATCTGAAGCGAACTGCTAGCGTGGGCGCTTAGAGCAGTGCAGTCGGTGTCTCACACACTTGATTCGACACTCGCCACAACCACAAGACCCCACCCGCCGTGTCCTTGGACTGCTTGCGCTCTGCGATTCGCGGGAGCTTCCTCCCCGAAGTGCTCAACTGTTCGAGAATTTGGTAGCTCGATAGCGATCCCCTATCGACAGTTCAAGACACGAGGTCATTGCGCGAGTCAACTCCCACATGCACAATGTGCTGAGAGGTTGGCCATCCCAGCCACCGCCGTTGCACAATCCCCAGACGCACGAGAGCTGCTGTGACGGTTTGTACCCGTCACCCAACGCGCACACCTTCCGAGCCCCAGACTCTGAATCTGGTTGATGTGACCGATGATCTGCAGGGTGCTGCGGCTCGGTCCCTGCCTAACGTCCTGCAACGGCGTGATGCATCGAGCTTGACGTAGCGTCTGCCTATGGCCTGGCCAACCTTGACGGAAAGTGTAGCGCTCACGTTGCCCTCCTTTCTCCGGCACGGAGAGGACAGACCAGGCTACGCATTGTCTCAGATCTATGCGTCCACAACGTGATATCGAGCACAGACAGACAACCCCGCGTCTGAGCCCGATCGAGTATTCATGACAAGAAACTGTAGGTGAGCACGTTCGATGGGCCCTTGCATCCTGCATCTAGCCCGGAAAATGGCACTACTGGGATATATGCATGCTCTATCGCACTACTGGATGGATCACTTGCGAGTGGTGCAATCTACTTCTTTCATCACTTCCCTAGCGTTATTTCTCCGAGTCCTGCACTGTCCTTGCTTTACACTACCTGTCTATTCATACTACACATACGGATCCAAGCGCTCGTGTCGCCTTCTAACTATCTCTACGACAGTACAGCTAGGCATCGCTTCGGTTCTAATGCAGGTTATTCGGATCTGTCCCATACAGCAATAGCATGGCTGGGAGTCCACCCTAGATATACAGTTAAGCTAGGTGTCACGAAGCACGATGCCGGCTTTACCTGAGCTTCTAGCACGACGTGCCGGAATCGCGCTTGAGGTGATTAGTGACGTGGCTCAATTGGTGGAGCGGCAGATAAAGGATGAAGAGTCGACCCTGGACAAGCGCATCAACATCCCATGCTGCAATACCAACTCACCGCCAGGCTTGGTGGAAGCATCGACTCGCGACCCATGGAAAAGATCTGGCAAGTATGCTCTAGGTTGGGTCTACTTCTGCATCATACTGTTCGTGCTCACCGCCGGACTACGATGGTACAATTACTGGAACGACAAAATTCGAGTCGCTATACACAAGGAGAAGGTCGAGGAGATCATCATGAAGACAGGCTCGCCTGATACGGACTATCAGCTTTCCGCACTCAGTACCGATAAGTCGACACGGAAGTTCTTCCCTAGAGAAGGGCCACTGCCCGCAAGCGCGCAATCGCTGCAAGACGAAGATACAATCGCAGACAGCAGAGTTTTGAACTTGGTGATTGCGGCCTTCCGTATCATCTTCTACCGTCCGATTCCAGTTCTCAGGCTGCGGAAGGGTTGGCGACCCATCATCTTTCCGTCGATCGGAGTTGTTGTGCTTGTCTTTGCGGCGCTCGTCTTCGTTGTGTTGTACTGCTTCGTACCACAGCCGCTGTATTGGCAAGACATACAATATGGCTCACCACCGCTTGCCATCCGGGCCGGCATGATTGCGGTCGCTATGATGCCGTGGATCGTCGCGCTCAGCATGAAGGCCAATTTCATCTCTATCCTGACTGGGATGGGTCATGAGAGACTGAACGTTATGCACCGATGGTTGGCATATATATGTCTGCTGCTCAGCCTGATACACACGATACCCTTCTATGTGCAGCCAATCTGGGACGAAGGCGGATATGCTATATTCCAGGCATACTTCCGCAGCCAGCACTTTTACGTTTACGGCACGGGTGAGTTGGTACCGCGCCGTTTTCTGTGCCGTTACTGACAAGGCCGCCCAGGCATCGCTGCGCTCGTTCCATTGATCTTCCTATGTGTTCACTCACTATCTCCGCTTCGACGAAGATTCTACGAGCTGTTTGTCACGGTCCATGTACCCGTTGCGATACTGCTCCTGGCCATGCTCTTCTGGCATTGCCACAATTACCTAACCTCCTGGAACTATCTGTTCGCGACTGTGGCCATTTGGCTAGCATCGTACGCCGCCCGTATCTTATACCTGAACTGGACGAACCCTATGCGGATGTCGTTCCTCATCGGCGAGGAAGCTGCGGTCACCTTGTTGCCGGAGAACGCTATCAAGGTTACGGTGCCTACGCAGATGCGATGGAAGCCAGGCCAGTACGTCTACCTCCGCATGCCAGGAATCTCCGTGTTCGAGAATCATCCGTTTACCATCGCTTCGCTCTGTAGCGATGATTTTCCGTCTGTATATGGCGAGAACTACAGGGACCTGATTCTCGTCTTCCGGCCTTTCGGAGGTTTCACGAAGCGGGTGCTTGAAAGTGCGCTTGATCACGGCCCATGGCACACCTACCGCGCGTTTCTGGACGGACCGTACGGCGGTATGCGACGTACCCTGGAGTCATTCGATCATGTTGTGATGTTCGCGGGCGGTAGCGGAATCACTGCGTTGGTGTCCCATATGCTAAATCTGATCAAACGCATGCGAGACGGGAAAGCCGTGACTAAGACCGTGCAGATCGTCTGGGCATTGAAGCGGCCGGAGACGATGGAATGGTTCAGGGAGGAGTTGCGGATCTGCCGGGAGTTCGCACCACCCGACACTGTTACCTGCCAGTTCTACATCACCGCTGCCAAGCGAATGCCGGGTGGTGGCCAGATTGTGAGCGCACAAACACCGACGAGGCCTGTAAGTACGATGTTTCACGACAAGGTCAATGACATGTTCCAGAACATTGCGAGCCACAGGTACTCAATGCAATCGAGCAGACGCAACTCCGAGATGATCCGGGACGAAGCTGCTGGTGACGTGGAAAGGGAGAAGGAACTGCGGGCTGAAAATCAAGACCGGTTAAGACCGCTACCGGAAGCTCACCTGAAGCCTGTCGGTGAGCCCAAAGGTCTTGGGATGCATCTATCACCACCGTCAGCGCACTTTTCTCCTTCTCTGGAGCGTAGAGCAGTCAGCTCCGAGCAGCCACGGTCTAGGTCACCCGACAATCGAATAGTGGAAGATATGCCGCATATGCCGCCTCACCCAACCCTGCACGAGAAGCGGCGATCACGACAGCTATCGCTTGACATCAGCTCCGCCCAGCAGGAACAAGCGACGCAAATGCAGCAGGTATCGCAGATGGACAATCCGCAACAGTTCGACTTTGGCTTTCCGACAACGCCTACAGAGTTCCAGAAGAACTTAATGCGCTTCGCGTTCATGCCTGCGGCCGCAAAGGCGAAGAAGACGGGTTGGAGTACTGAATGGGGCCGGCCAGATATCCCGTATATGCTCAAGGAGATGAGCCGGGAATGGGTTGGCAAGCGGACTTGCGTTTTCGTGTGCGGTCCACCGAGTATGCGGGTGGACGTTAGCAACACGGTTGCTGAGCTCCAGTCCATGGTCTTCAAGGATAAGAATATGGCGGAAATTTTCCTGCATGCAGAGAATTACGCGCTGTAATGGGGCTCCGCAACGGGTCGCACTGTGTTTTTGCTGCGTTCGAGCGGAAGTTCTGTACATCATTTTGAGATACCCGACTTACTCCAGTAGTCACGAAAGTGACCGCTTCCCTTATCGCCCCTTACGCTCGTTCATTGCTGTCAAAGCCAGAGTCCTAGAAATGAAAAGGTATCAGCTGACAAGGATAGATGGGCTCCTACGCCACCAAACTTTCCACGCGGCCGGTGGGCTTCTATGAATGATGATGACTGTTCGTATTTGACCAACAGTTGCCGTTCAAGGATGGGACGAACGCATGGGCACCTCACCGTCGACGCTCCGAGAGCATGCTGTTGGATAGCTTTGCTGACTGCAGAACGACTCTAGGATCTTCGTGCCTGTACAGTCTTATCTTTCGTCAGGGGAAGAACCACGATGACAGAGCGCATGCAAATCAACCTACAGTAGGTGACAGCGTGGAAATCGGTGGTCGGAGCTAGTGCAATGCGTGCGGCTTAGAGAGCGTTGTGGTCCAAGCGTTATAACCTACCGCATGTCCGCGCGGTCCGCTCGGTCTGTGACTTCTACTTCAGCTGCTACTGCTTAGCTTCTGCTCAGCCTTCAATCACTTCCTCAACACGCTATGCCATTCCTCGCTGGCACTGTTGCAATGGAGACGTGCTGTCGACGACTACGGTCCGACTCGTGCATTGGGAAGCATTAGTATGACAGCCACGGAAACACACCGTCTCCCAATGAGGCCGACAGAACGTCTTTAAGACAAGCCATCGCAACAAAACCGACAGGAGCCGTGCGATGCAACCTCAATCGTCTAAATGTACCGTTATTGAGCCTCTCGCACAGGCTACCGTCACGAATACCATGTGCATGAGCCACGCTTAAAAGACGCGCTGCCTTACAACATCCTCACAGCGCTTTAGTCGTCAGCACCTTCTCGGTCAGATCTTCAGATCGTGCTCTCAGTAGCCTATTGGCTGCCTACTGTTACCGAGAGTTCGCTGTCGCCCGTCACTATCAGCCTTGTTGGTCTGTGCCTAGTGCCTGCAAATAGGGTCGTCTTTGAGCTGAGGCTCGATAGCACACCGACCTAACTGCTCGCCTGTCGAGATCCGTCTTACTGCAACATGACTGGTTCGTTTGCGTTTCGTCTATCTCGCACGATTACCAAGGCCTATTCTCTATGTTCCTCTCAAGAAAGCGCTTTCTACTTGCTGTTTGGCATAGCTTTTGAATCAAAGCCTCGTCTTTTGATAGTGTGTATGAGCCATACTGTCGCCGCTAACCCCACAGTTCACCTGCAAACGATACATGAGCTGTAACGATGCGCCTTGCAAAGTGTCTGCCTGCGTGCTATATAGCATGCCAACACCAGCCATCAGCACTCCCCGGATCGTCTTTGCTCCGACGGATCTTCACGCCCGCCGGCTTGACCACAGAGAGAAGGACACATTCTCTACGCCTCTTTGCCAACACTACTGCGACGAATCTTCCTGGTTCGCTGAGATGAGCAGCCGCTCGCCCGGACAGGGGTCGAATTCCAGTGATGGTGCGAGCAACAATTCAACAAGCCCACAATCGAGCAATGTGTCAGGACCGAGCGCCGAACGCTCAGGCCGTCCTGGTGCTTCAGCGGGTACACCATCTTCCGTGTCATCACAGGCCCAGGGGACTCCAGGTACGTGATTATCCCGACCGCCCGGATCGGCACATGTGTTGGCGCGATCGGGCACAGCCGCAACTAAATGCTCCCTCCGGAGTCTAAAATCCACGTGAGCTGTATGACTTACTAACCATTGCAAGGCTACGTCTCACCCTACCCGCCGCTCCCACCATCCACACGTGCTGCGGGCTCGACGGCCCGGACGATGGCAACAATGGCAGGTACACGCATGCAATCGTCATCATCATCAGCCACTGCAACCGGCGCGCAAGAAAGACAGCTGGTACGTGAGTATACCATCCCTGCCTCGTCCTCACAACGATTCCATGTTCCATCCTTTGGGGAGATGCTAGATGCAAGGACGATCACTGAAGTAGGTTGTTACTCCCACTTGTTCTTTCTTCTTCATTTCTTCGGACGCCGCCTCATTCCGTTCTCGGGCACCTCTCTGTTACTTCACTCGCGTGCCGACGGCACGCCTCTTCTCTTGTTTCCTATGTCTCCCACTAATCGTGCCAACCCGCAGGCGCAAAAGCAGGCACTCATTGACGCGCTCAACGAACACCGCATCAATACCATTGGTGAACTGCGCCGAGTCGAGCGCATCTTCGCCCAGCTTGGCTCATCGGACCTTACTCAGCCAATGACGGCAGCTTGTACGCCGCAGAGCGTTAATGCCTTGTGCAATAGGCGCTAATCTTTCCAAGGGGTGTACTATGTCAACTCGAACAGCCTGTTGAGCGAGCTGCGCGGCTTGACCCGCAACTATCCTTTCAGGTCGGTGCCTCCGTACAAGGCTGTCACACATCATATCACTGACTATCTACGATAGCTCCGAATGCCTGAACGAAGCGAAGAGACGTGTGCATACCGACCCAGCCTCGAACCGCAGCTGGAATTATTGCTGGCTCGTGCTCGCCAAAATTCACACTGATCGTCTCATACCTGCCTACGCACGTGCGCAAGCTGCCAGGCCAGAGATGTACGTCAAAGTGCAAGGAGACAAGCTCCGCTGTGTGGAACACCGCTCACGCATTGACCTGTGATGTAGGTGGGGAGGACGCATTCCACTCGCCGAGTCGGTGGTGCAGCTGACAGAGGCTTTCACTACGGAATGGACCGCTGCGCTCACGCAGATGCTTCGGTACTGGGAGAGTCCGCCAGTTCGGTGAAAGGACTACAGCTCGCGTAGAGCGTTGGGCATACGGCGGCCATAACCATAACGACCATCGACATTGATGATTACGCTCGTTTACAATCACACAGTGCGGCATTTCCTGCGGAGGCGTTCCGGAGTATGAGCGGTAGAGCACGGGCTGGCTCCCGCAATTATGGAAGGCTTTACGAGACACATGACCGCTAGGTATTCGCTCTTTCGCAGCGCTCCTTGATCATCCTACCTGTACATAGCCATAGAATTACCAACTCCGCTTGGGTATAAGCGATCTCTGAAAGCTCATAGCAGAGGGCATTCTCTTAGATTCTGTTGAAGCGCATTAGCATGTCCGGCACCCTAAACATCGATGAGGAAGAGAGTCAGCCGTGGTTTCAGCCATTCGTAGGGGCATCTACATCGCGCTCTGCTTACCCAGGCTCCATTACCATGTGGAAGCTCTCGATTTTCCCGTCAGCTCCAATTTCACTTCTCGCTTTAATCGCTATCTTTCGCGGGCTGTTCATGTAAGGCCGTGTACCCAGCCAGTGTTCGCCGTTGACGCGTGTTAGACACATAGCAACCTTCCACGAACGCTCTGAAAGTTTTGCTTCTAATGCGCCTCCCTCGTCATTATGCTTTGTGGCTGTGATCATCAGTGTACCGTAGCCAACATTGTGGTAGGCGCCAGCATATGCGGCAACAGGTAGCGCCAGCGGTACGGTTGGCTTTCCAGGAGCACCTGGATACAGCCTCTCCAAGGCCGTGTAGTATTGCTCAGCAAGGGTTTGCTATAGTTGCACGGCCAAGTGGTCAGCGGTGTCTTTCCCTGTCCTGCTGGTTCACTTGGATGCACAGCGCAATGTCAAGCAGCTCCATAGCAAGACCTCTGATCTTAGAGCTGGTGTCTTGACCATTCGCAAAGTACGCTACACCAAACCTGATTGTAGGACATAGTAGAATGTAGCTGCCAGCGTCTGTTACGCCACCTGTGTGCCAGTACACCTTGGTGTCGTCCCAGGTAGGTGGACACGTACCAGCCAAATCCGTACAGCCATACAGATCGAACGGTAAGTAGTCATCTCCGCCCGCTGGTGCTATAGAGCGTGGTCTCCAGACTTCATCCACTACCGTTGTGTAAGAGGTCCAGTAGTAGAAGGATCGAGCCAGCACTGGATTCATCTGGCGTAATTGTTACCTGTACTAATAATATATCCCGCACCGGCTACCTCTTCATTTTCTTGATGCGGCTCCTCGACCAGATGGCTGGTCTCAGCTGATCCGTCCAGTAACAGCTGCGACCATGTATAGCTTTTCGCTAGCGCTTGGCCTCGGTCGCTGAGCGCTTTCGCGGCCTCATAGTAGCCACCGTAGGTCTGGGTCATGCCTAATGGATCCCACAACACCTCACCGAGGCACTGTGCCAACGGCTCGACAGCGACGACGGCTTCGAGAGCGCAGGAAGCTAAAATGAAGGGCGTATTGCTGTACCCGAAATGAGAACGAAGTGGAGTGTGAAGTGGCGAATGACGTCGCTTGCGGGTGACTCCCCAAGTGGTGCTCGTGCCATTATAGCCGTATGATGTGTCCTGCGGCGAAACACCGGTTCGAGGAGAGACAGCGTCCTCGAGCGTTACCTGTGGTGTTTGGACAGGGCCAGAAAGTACAAAGTTACCCGGGATGATATACGAGAGTGGCGTGTCCCAAGAAATTCGGGCTTTGAGCTTCTGCTAGTTTGCATCTGATTGATGTAGAAGGCCCAGGCTGCGCAAAGATGCGCTTTCGTCGTGCTCACTGCATAGAAGAGAGTATCTGGGCCCACCACTTTTTGAGGATCAAGTCGTGCGAAACCATACCCCTTCGTGTGGACCTCGTCGCCGTTCACAACTGCAAATGAAGCACCACGAACATGCCAGCGGGCAAGATCCTGCTCTACTTGATCATCGAAGCGCTGTGTGAAAGGCGGTAGCATCTTGGTGGTACAACATAGGGCTCGCAATATGCGAGAATGGTAAGTTGAAATGTCCCTTATATGCTCCAGGAGCTGCTGCCTACCCTACTTCTTGAGCGTGATGCAAGACTGCGATTGAACTTACAGGTATCGTGTTGCACGGAGCGTACACTCCGCGTTATTCAACAGTTTCTTAGACGCAAGTTGCAGGGAGGAAAAATAATGCCCAGATATGGAACGCAAGTAACAGATTACGGAGTTCGGCGTTTGCGAGAAGGCGTGTCGAGAGTGACGAAGGCACTGGAACATCTTGTGTTAGAGAAAGCTAAAAGCTATGATTGTTCCTCTTTAGGCAGAGGTTGTGGAGTTGATATTGGCCGCTCACCCGGCCGTCTCGCGATGATATACTGCTGATACTCTGGGTCGAAGGTAGGGTTGTTGGGTCGGAAGACATCCACAACCTCGTCCACAATTTCAAGTCCCATCGACTCCAAGAACCTTCGTTGACCTACAAGAGACATCGCGAAATCTTGTGAAGGTTTGCCCCAGAACGGTATATTGCATCTCTCAGCGTACGTTCTCGTTTCATCGTAAGCCGCTGCCTCTGCTTTCGTCTGGATGTAGTAGTCTGCCGGGCATTGTCCGACTGCCAGAAGGCCATTTGGGCTCAGTGCACAGGCATACTTGTAGAACATAGCATGCACAGTAGCATAATTCATCTGTAGATGGCAGAACATGACCAGAACAGCATCGAATGGTGTATCCGGCTCCCAGTGAGCTAAGTCTGCCACGATGAAAGAGCCTTCTTTGACGCGCTCCGCTGCGAGACTGACCATCTTGGGTGATATATCAATGCCCACGACCTTCAGTCCAGCTCTGGCAAGCATTTGAGCAATTGGAACGCCGGTACCACAGCCGACATCTAGAGCTTGCGAGGAGCCAGGTCTAAGCATGGAGATGATCTTGTCGATGCATCGGATCTTGAGCTGATTGTTTCCATATACATGCTCGTAGTCGATGTTAACCTCGTCGTAGAGCTCAATGGCTGCATCGGGCTCGTACGTCTTCGCCATCGCGGAGAAGGGCTGCGATGCGACTCAGCAATGACTGGGACAATGGCAAAAGTTTCGATGCTTGGACCAGACGTTCTTGTATTTCTGCACATGAAGGCGTGAAACACGAATGTCAGCTCAGTCGTCTGCGTAGCATTAATGCCATTATCGCTACTGCAAGGGTTTGCCAACATTCACCACAGGACGCCAACAGTTAGCGCCAGTCGTCCGCCAAGCACTGACTCGCTCGATCTCATCGATGAGCACGAGCACGAGCACGGACGGCAGGATGTCGCCTCTCTCATGAAGGCGAGTGACGCACAAACTAGAATGGTCGTAGCAGTATCAACGCTCAGGGCAGGGGTCGTGACCACGCTACGATGGACAGTGGGCTCCTACAGTAGTTACAACCTCGGCTCGTGAGCGGCTACCCTTCCACGGCCACTCCCCGTCATCAAGGTGTTGCAGATAATGTCGCACAAGCCAGTTCCTATGGAGCCGTCACTTTGCGAACATTAGTATGTCTCAGCCAGCGATCGAGCTTGGTGACCAAGTCGTAGCCACTGGACCATCACAAGGCACGCAGGACTGTCCTACGCAACAGGACGAACTGTATAATGGCAGCAGCCAGTCTCAATTACCGCCTTGCGACGGTGGCAGAGCCGCATGGAGCCTGCTGCTTACCGCATTCGTGTTCGAAGCGCTGCTATGGGGGTCCGTATTGATGGCCTTTGTGCATTAGATTCAAACGGCACGGCCATTGACCGAAGCTAGCTTTCCGTTGAGTTTCGGAGTCTTCCAAAACTACTACTCCCGCCTGCCGCAGTTCAAAAATGACCCCTTCGTGTCTGTGATCGGGACCACGGCCTCCGGAATAGCGTACCTGGCTGCTCCAATCTCAATTCCTCTGATCAGACGTTTCGCCAACTATAGACGTCAAATGATATGGGTCGGTGGGTGATCGAAGGGCAGAAGCCCTGCCAGCCGTCCAAGCCTTCGCTGACCGTTACACCCCGCGATCTGTAGGCTGTACACGATCCGAGTTATTCTGCGTCATCTTCACTCACTGACCGATTCACAGGGCCACTGTGTCTCATGGGTCTTGTCGCAGGCTCCTTTGCAAAGTCTCTTCCAACTCTGATACTCACCCAAGGTGTGATGTACGGGGTTGGCTTTATAATCTTCTACTACCCCATCCTCAGCATGATCAATGAGTACTGGATCGCACGACGGGGTATGGCTTATGGCTTCGTCTGCAGCGCTTCTGGAGTCTCCGGAGCCGCAATGCCACTCTGTCTTGAGGCTCTCCTCGCAAGGTACGGCTACGCCACAACGTTGAGGGCTGTTGCTGTGGCACTATTCGTAACGACTGGGCCATTAATTCCCTTCTTGAAGGGACGCCTTCCGGAAGCTCAAGTCAGCGGGTCAGGAAGAACAGATTGGACCTTCCTCCGAGCTCGCGCATTCTGGATCTACAGTGCTTCTAACCTTGCAATGGGTCTTGGTTACTTCTTGCCATCGTTGTACCTCCCTTCATACGCAACATCGAACGGCATGAGCGCAAGAAAAGGCGCTCTTCTGCTAGCGATCATGAGCGTAGCACAAGTTTTGGGCCAGCTCAGCTTTGGCTACCTGTCTGACCGCAGTCTTTCCATTAGTCTGCTCGCTGTAATTGCGAGCCTCACCGCCGCTGCGGCGTCGTACACATGCTGGGGATTAGCGCATACCTTTGGAGTGCTGGTGGGTTTCTCCTTAATATATGGCTTCTTCGGTGCCGGTTACACGGCACTATGGGGTCGAATGGGCACGGCCATCAGCGGTGAGCCTACCGCCGCGTTCACGGCATTTGGCCTGCTCAATGCCGGGAAGGGCGTCGGAAACATCGTTGCAGGTCCAATTGGGGGTGCCATACTCACCAGCACTGTCAACATTCATCGGTACGGCTCGATGAGATATGAAGCGGTGGTGCTCTTCACAGGCTCGTGCATGTTGATCAGTGCTGCAACACTTGCTCTGTTCGGTAGAAAGATTGGTCGCAGATCTAGGAGTCAGTAATACAACTGCTCATGCTTTAATCAAACGTATATCATACCTCTGGTGCAGTCGCCTTCGCAAGAGATACGAAAGATACTATGACTGCCGTGGCAATGACTGGCGTCGACCACTTCATGGCCTCTATCGCTGCTATTCTACAACCATCTACTGCGCTCGCTGGAGCTCCCCAGAGCGGGCAGCCTGGTCGTTCGCTCCAGGAATCTGGTTGGAGACGACACGACCGTTCATGATAGCACCATCGGGCAAGGGTACCCAAGCGCTTCCACAAAAGCTCTCGCAAACGTACCGGTAAGTGATGCCATACGCCAGCGTTAAACATAGAGGCGGCTGGACGGTCTCGTCCAGACGCTGAACGCAGCCTTTGTCGTACAGTCCTTTCGTTCACTTTTACTCGGCTTCAACAACACGAGGGGAAGGGGGGTGAGCTGCCGTATTTTAAGCTGATAAGAGATCGTCTAATGCGCTTGCCGTACGCTGACGATCTTTGGATACTTGTGATTGCTTGTCGGTCTGATACGAGCTGCATCACAACCCCGATACTGAAGGTCAGCAATGGTGAATGGCAAACGGCGAGTGAAGCATATGAACAGTGCCCGCTAGAGATGGCACCTTCCTATGTTGGTCCACCCGGTCACATCTTGGAAGCTCATGACCTTGCCGTTGGCACCAAAGCGTCCTTGAGTAGCGTACCAGTCGCGGTCCACTGCAGTATCAGGCCTCCATTGCAACATCCTCCGCAAGCGTGGCTCTATGCTGCCATCTAGCAGGTCAGCAACCAGCCTCCCCACAGCAGGAGAGCACATGAAGCCGTGTCCCGAGCCCCCGACCGCCACGACCAGGGAACAGTACTCTGGATGCTGGTCTATGAGAAACAGGCGATCCGGCGTGTCGGCGTCCCAACAGACTCGCGCATAGCTGAACCCACGGTCCGCAAGCTGAGGCATCGTCTCACGTAACAAGCGGCGCATTCTTTGTTCCGCGTCGAGAGGTATCTGCTCCTTCGAGAACGGTCTCGAGCGCTGCTCTCCGAGCTTAGTGTCAGTGAGTAGGTTGATATAACCCGGGTGCTCATCGCAGATCTTCATCTCTGTTTGGCCTTCGTTTGGCTCGATGAAGAAGCCTCGGTCGGCGCAGTAGAGCACGGGTAGGTCACGGTAGATCTTCGTCTCTTCCTGGCTTAGCGGTATGTGAGCTAATGTCCACGCAGAAGGACGAAGCTGTTTCCGGAAATTGAGCAGCATGTCGCTGCCTGCTCCTGCGGCGAGAATGGTTCGATTAGCGACATATTGTGTGCCGTCCGCGGTCCTTGCACCAAGCACGTCCGTACGCGTTTCGTTGTATGATAACTCAATCACGTTGCCCTTCTCTCCAAACACGAACTGGATGCCCAACCTCTCGCACTCTGTGTGCAGGTCTCTCATCGTCTGACGTGCAGCCACCCATCCTGCATTCTGCTTACGCCAGAAGCCTCGCCATCCTGGAAAGTCGCCAGTCAGCACACCGTGTGGCATGCTCGAATGGAAAAACGGTGCGTCTGGTAGTGCCTCCCAATTCGCCGGGTGAGCTTCCGCGGTGGCGACGACTTTGGCGTAGGCATCGTCTCCGACCGCAGCATAGATGAAGCCTGTTGGGTGATAATGTGGCTTGTATATCGGGTCTGATTTCCAGACATCTGTTGCTAACCCTTCGATCACATTCCAAGCGTAGTCATTATCGTTGTCGTTGTCAAAATGTGGATAGTCCTCCGCTGCGGCAATTGTCTCAGCTGAAATGCCGTTGTTTTGTCTTTGTGTCTTGTCTAAGATCATAGTCACTTACGCTCCTCCATGATCTTGTTCAAGTCGTTACCGGCCGCAGTCGCAGAAGGAAATGTTTGGCCATCGAGAACGGTTATATGGCGGTAACCTTCCCTTGCGAGACGGTATGCAATCGCCGTGCCCCAAGTGCCTGCGCCGACAATTAGGATCGAACCTTTGTCGGACGACACAGTCAGAGAGTCGTGCATCGCAGCGCTCAGCAGGGATCTTCGTCCGCAGACGGAGTTACTTATGTTACGACGTAAAGTTGGACCTCCGAGAAGCAGTCTTCGCATCGGTCTTGACGATGAATCTCAAGGTTCGCTGGCAGTATACTCTATAACCAAGGGACAGTATGTGACGAACATGTAACATCACTATGCACCCCGCTTATGCAATTGACAAGAGAGTCGAGCACTCCGCTATACATGAGATTGAAGCTTGGTTGACGTGTGAGTATTGCTGAGTATCTAACACGGTCTTGAAGCTTGCCTTTGATGCGAGATTGACAGCATTCTATCAACGTTCGACCATTTGCCGAACCATAATGCTTTGCTCTATGCTAATAGATACCGTCTTGCCACCACGGTATACCCCCTTCAGGTTGAAGGCCAGCGCTACACCCAGATGCTGGTCGCTGGTGCTTGCAACCTAGCTACGGTTATGCCCATTTGCCAAGCAGCGCCATAAGACCCGCACCCAAGCACATGCAGCCGAATGCAGCCATGACCTGGCGCATCGGCGCACGCTGCATCTGATCGCCGAACATGAACTCATGAGCCATAAGCTCAACGAGGCCAGTGTAGATCAAGATGCCAGCCGAGATTGCGTCAAAGACACCATTGACAATGAGTGTGGTTTGCGAATCGGGTGCGAATGTCGTGCGTACACCAAGGCCGATGGCAATACCGATGGGCGTCGAGAGTGCATACCCGACACTCAGCATGTACGGCGTCCATGGCTTACTCTCCGGCCACGCAACGCTGGCTAACCTGGTGCCGAGACCGAGACCCTCGAACGTTTGGTGAAAGACGAGCACTATGTAGAGTGTTGGGAATTCGGACCCGGCCACGGCGAGTGTGAGGCCGATGAAGACAGAGTGGAAGACGATACCGAACTCCAGGATGAAGATGACCGTCATCTGCGCAGCATAGCTCTCGGTGTCGAAGTTTGAGGGATGCTGCTGAGCACTCTGGGTGCCGTAATCTCTGCAAACATTGTCTGGTGGTTGTGACAGCTGGTCGTTTGTGACGTTCTCGGGATCAACGTTAACATATGGTTCGGTAGACTTTGTCTGGCCAAGCTCTGGGTCGTGGAGCGGGCCACCAAGGCCGGTAGCGTTGCGTTTTGTCGACCATACTTGCTCGTACGTCTGACATTGTGACTTGCGATGATCCTTGGCACCGAACTTGGCGTATCGCATCGCAATGAGTTCGGCGAAGAACATAAGAAAGATCACCATTAAGCAGATGCCCTCCGCCCAGTCGTACTCTGTGATCGGACCCGTGAGACACGGATCCGTCAAGCCGTCGGCAGCAGGCGCCAGCAGATGTACAAAGGCTGTTGCGATGATGACCCCTGATCCGAAGTACTGCGTGAATCAGCAGAACGCCTCGAAATCACCCTTTGATGTAATCATACCTTCGCGATGAAGAAGGCCCAGTCGGGCACACCGATGTTTTTGTGCCTGGAGGCATATACTGGAGACGCAGCACCAAGAAAGCCGCCGATTAGGATGACGAACACAGAGGAGATCCGAAGACCTATGTTGCCATCATAGGCATTTCCAGTGTCGCAGGTGCTCATACTGAAGCGGTGGAGCTGGAAAGATCAATTCACTCTGTTGCAAAGGCGCCGTGGAATCTGATTTCCAGAGAACCTCCTCCATCAATCCGACGCAAAATGTGATATAAAGGGAGTGCAAAAGAGCTGCCACCTTGATGCCAGACAGTGGGCCTAGGCTGTCTGAATGGTACATATTCGGAGAAACCAGCAATAGCCACCTTGATGTCGAAAACGCGTGCAATGTAGTTCGTGTCGAATGCATCACGGCGCGCTCTGCGAATGCACTCACATGGGCGTTGCGCATCTGGACGGTACATTGCCCACGAGCTGAATAACTCTGGATGTTTGCCGCCTTATCGCGCAGGATGTGATCGGCGCTTTACCGACCGCTTGGTATTCTACTCTGCCGTGAATCTGCACCAGTCTTGAGGATTGTCAAAATTGTATCCAGATAGCTCGTGGTCTTCCTGCTAGATCGACTCATTGCGGAAATGACAAGTTAAAAGTGTCCTGTTGGCACCCGTAGGGCGCTCGTACTGAGCCATCAATCATCGTCGTTCAGACCAGCCTCTTGCGCCGCTTGCGTGCTCACCCATTCCTCCATCATCTGGCTACCACCGACAGGTGCACCGCCTACTTGCGCCTTCTTGCCTTTCCTCTTCACCAACAAGCAGATCATGCGCCCGTATATACTGAAGCCATCGTAAGATGTGTCTAGAGCCAGCTTCTTCTTATCATCTTGCGCCGCTGGTTCTTCCGGCTCCGCATCACCCGATGCCTCGTTGCGCTTCCGTCGCTTGCTCCTACGCTCTCGTTGCGTCGCGAAGAACTCTTCGTCGTCGGAGCTGACGAATAGCGGCTCTTCGTCCTCAGCGTCGCCGCCTTTCCTCTTGCCAACCTCGCCGACTTCCGGTATGTCCCTTAGCTCTGGAACGTCATCGCCGTCCTCCCGCAGCACTTCTGGTGCCTCCTCATCCTCCTCAACGTGAATCGGATTCGCGCTGTCATTCTTCAACCACCCGGTCAATCTATTACTGGTCGACTTAAGCTTCGGCTTGTCGCTGAAGTGCTTCTGCTTTGTGAGTAGCGAATGGCGAGTGGAGAGCTCAGTCAGGAAGATAGTCACTTCAAAGTCATCTGCATGGGCAAAGTTAGTAGAGACTTCGTTGCAGATAGGTATGGTTCTGCAGGTTCACCTTGTACAACGACATCTTTGATGCCCCTCTGCTTCTTGCTGCTCTTCTTCTTCGCATTCTCGTTTTCCTCGCGCAGCTTAGGGAGCACCAGTGGCCGGACTGCCTCAATGATACGGTGTAACACGGGCTCGCGGGATGAGAGCAGCCATGAAGCATCCGATGGCTTCTCCAAATAGATGCGGACCTCAAGCACCGAATATTTGGTGATGCGCAGATAGCGCCGAATGGGCGACATGGTTACAAGGCTGCTCAAGCAGATCGGCGGAGATGCTTCTAGCGCAATGTCGCGACGGCACGTGATCCAATCCGTTAGGAAGGTACGGCGGTGGTCGATCCTCGAAGTGAATACTCGATCAGGCAAGACATTCTTCGCGTTGCAAGATTGGGCATACTGCACATTCTAGTACATGTTGCGTACAGGTCTTCAGTCCGCATTGCGGCGATACAGCACGATCATGTCTTCTCAAACGCCTATGGAAGACGCCATGCGGCGCAAGGTACGCACAGCTTTTGGACGACACTTCAACAGTCAGCTCTCTGACCGACCACATATCCAAGCATAGATCACAGAAACTCTCACACCAACATCGCTCGAAATATACAATGACTCGCATATGCATGCTCATCACAAAGCCATGGAAGGCAGCACGTCTCGAGAGACGCATTTCAGGTGTGAACCGAGCGTCGACCTTCACAGATATGCTGGTATGCTTACCGACTGCAGAGTCTACATCACCTCGGACGCTTTCAAATCGAAGATGCAACCGGCGCGTCATCGATTGGTCTACCAATTGCTCAAGGACGAGATGGCCGCTCAGGGCGGCATACACGCGTTGCAGCTACGAACAAGGACCGTAGAGGAGGAAGCACGAGCCCGAACGAAGCCGGAAACACCCTAATCGGTGATGGCGACTTGTACTGCGGGTCTCGGCGTGAATATAGGTACTGCCTGGTGTTCGCAACGACGGACACGCAGGACTTCGGAAGCCACGGTGCACTTTCACAACAAGCCCAGCGTCTGTGAGTAAGTATTGCACCTTGCACAGTGGGCTCCATGGATGCCTAGGTCGCCACGAAGACGGTCGTGTGGGGATGGAGGGACTGGCGATTACAGGGCTTGATGATGGCAGGAAACGTCCGTGTGCATGCCAATACCCTTCCTGGCGTTGTTCACCACTCTATAACTTCCGCCGAACTAAGGCGCTCCTTCAGGCGCGTGAGGAGGTGCTAAAGTCTAAGCACACAAGTGCAGCTGCTGGGTTCACCGACATAGGAGGTACGCCGCGACATGATGGGACTGAACTCGGGCACTGACTCTTACAAAGCCTCCCAAACCCGCTTCGCGTAGAGTATTGATCCACGCGGCGGAGATGCTGTCTTCCACTACCTGCTACCTCCGCCGCACTCGCAGCGGTATGGCGTAAAGTGTCACGGGCTCGTAGACAGTAGGACTCCGACGAATTAGCATCTAGTGTGTGGTTCGATTAAAGCAGCTTATGCTCAGGGTTCCGTAATTATTAATACAGGACACCTGCATCATTGCGCCCGACCCAATGAAGTACCGGCCTCGAGTGCTTATGCAGCGACGTTCTTCGTCACGCCTGGCTCAATAGACTCGAGCTGTTGCGCCAACTCTGCCCACACTCTCCTCTGCATCTCCGGACCCTCTCTACCCTCGACCAATGGCGCACATTTCATGATGTGGCCGTCGCTGAGGTACTTGCCATGGGTCTCGGGTCCAGCGACACCAGCCAACGTCAAGGTTCGACTGCCCATCTCTGTCGTGCGGCACAAGATGTTCTTGACAAAGCGAATCACCGGACTCGACATCTCTCGGTCAAGCTCGCTGTGGCACCAGCCGGGGTCTATTGCATATTAGCGATCCACGACTGGACGAGACATTTGTCGGCATATCACTTACTGACGAGGTTGATTGTGACACCAGTCTGAGATACAGAATGCTGGCGGGCGATCTCGCGGCATCCAAGGACCTCGAGAAGCTTCGATACATGATACCGATCACTCATACGCGCTTCCTTTGGGTTGTTTAGTGTGTCGAAGATGGAGGGCGCCTTGCGTTCCGGGAACTGTGCACGCGTCAGCAAATGCGACTGGTGTCTTTCACCACGCATGGATCTTACATACTGCAGTAACGTAATGCAGCTCCGAAGTCACGATCGTCAGAGTAGGAGTGACGTTGTGTTGTCGGCCGGATTCTCTGAGCTTTGGCAGGAGTAATAACGCTAGAAGAAACGTTGACACGACATTGACCGTGATGGTGCTTTCGTTGCCCGCGACCTCTTTGAAGTTCGTAGTCAAGATGCCCGCGTTCTCGACGACAGAGTCCAGTCGCTTGAGACTGCGCGTCTTCTTGGCGAACTCTTTGACGCTGTTGTAGTCGGCCATGTCAAGCGACCAGACTTCACAAACGCCCGCGCGTCCCGTGCTGGACTCAATCTCGCGTCTAGCATTTTCGCCCTTTTCCGCGCTTCTACATGCGAGGATGACTTTCTCAGCGTTCAGGCGTACATAGTGCCGTGCCGTCTCTTTGCCCAGACCGACATTGGCGCCGGTGACGATGATCGTTCTTCCAGTGCAGTCGGTGGTTGGGTACGGGACCTTGATGAGAAGCTGAGAATGGAAGAAGTATGGCAGAAAGCCAAAGAAGACGTCTGTGAAACTCATGGTGATGGTGAGCTCTGGATGGTCTTGGAAAATAATGCAGTTCGAATGATGACTTCCAAAAGACTAGACTACTTATACTTTCACGGGTTGGTTGAGGCGAGATATCTGCTTTCTCATGTACACCCTGCAATATATACACCCTGCAGGACTCCAGGCTGTTGCGGCAAGACTGCTGCACCGAAGTGGCGTTGCTCGGGGGAATGTTTGAGACTGTAACCTGGGCGTTACGAGGGTTGCTTCAATGGTTTGTGGCAGGATGCAATGGAGCCTGATGGACGACGGAGTCGGAGATGTATTGCAAGGCCGTAACTACGGATGTGCCAAGAGCCTGTGCAGTGACGCCACGAGGACTGCGGACTTTAATAATGTCAGTGACGGCGCAAAGTCCGGTGGGTCCGCCATTGGCCATGATTCCACTTGAGCTAACCCCGGCTTTGCTACTTCTTGGCCGCTTCTCCCCTCTTGGCCGGTGTTGACGGTCTACCTGCCCGCCGCCGAGCCGTCTTTCAACGACACCATCGCGGCTGTTGAGCGACGAAGGTTGCTGCGAGGGTCCATTCGAGACTGTCGTAGACTGCGTACACGTGGATAGTTCTGGGGAGAAAAGACGAGCGCGGTCAGTTCGTCGAAGTTCGAGTGTTCATTGTCTTAGATACCGTGGCTCTTTTTCCATACAGACGTGTCAGAGGGTATCCCTGAGGTCTAGAGGGAGCCGACGACTTAGGCCTGCCCCTTCTCGTGAACCACTTCCTTCTCGACACTAGCTTCGACCCTTTCAGTCATAAGCTCCTTGACACCCTTCAAGCACAAGACCGCAACCAACGCAATAATGACAAACGGGAAGATTGACCACCATGCCAATCTGTACGCGTGAGCATATGCCCAGTGGCTGGCATCGGCCGCCGCTCCAAGGATGGCTGGAGTAATGCCCGGCACCTTGGTGAGGCCCACGCCAGTCTCGAGTCCCTCGAGCAAAGCAGGGATAGAAGTTGCTGGCAGACCAGCGCCAATGGCGGCAGCGCTGACCTTTGGTGCCCAGGTGCCTGCAAGCTTGCCGTTGATGATGGCGTCAAGTACCGCAGAGCCGAAGGCGCCACCGATGGCTCTCGCGGAGAAGGCGAAGCCGGTGGCTGTGCTGAGGTAGGCATGTGGTGCGGTGAACTGAACCAGCGCGGGAATCAATGTCAATGGGCCTGCCTGACCAAGGCCGGAAATGACGTTGATACCGATTTGAGCGTTGTTCCAGCCTGGCGTGATGTTGCCGTATAAGATGCAAACGATACCGAACACCGAAAAGGTCACCACGAGCGGCCATTTCAGATCCTTGGTCTTTGTGGAATACCCTGTGATACACATCAGTCCAGTCTTCTTTAACAAGACGAGCAGGACATACACGCAATAGGCATGACGACGAGTAAGATCATGCCCGTAAATGCGAGCTGACGCAGACTGATAATCCAGCTGCTGTCTGCGAAGCCGAGATTGAGTGCCATCTGCGGAGTGACGGAGTTCACGGCAGAGTAGAAGATCCAGCCCTCGACAGCGTACGCACCGTTTGCGAGTGCGAAGTTCGGCGAGCCCTTGAAGAAGACATGCGCAATGATGCCATCGTCGCGGCCTTTCCATTCATACAGGCAGAAGGCGGCAAGCAGGCCAAAGCCTACACCAAGAGGCGCAGCGACATGTGGGTCACTCCAGTGATAGGCACCCGCGGCCCAGTCGAGCGCGAGCAGAAGCAGCGCAGCACTGCTGATGTAGAGTAGGGTTCCGATTGGATCGATTGCCCAAAGACATTCCTTGAAACTCATGCGAGGGTAGTCTGAATGCCTCTTCGGCCAGTAGAAGATCAGGAAGCCAAGGGCCGTCATGAGGTGGAAGGCTGCTTGCACCTACAGACAATCATGTTGTTAGCGACGTGGATGGAAAGGGCCTCACGCGGCATGTCATACCCAAAAGATGCCTCGCCAGCCACCAGCATTTTGGTTCGTCAATGCTCCGGCACTTAACGACGCAATGACACCGCCGATCGAGCCGGCCCATCCGGCGAACCCGTTCGCCAACGCTCGGTACTTCAGCGGTAGGACCTCAGAAGGTATGGCTTGCGTGATAGATATCGTTGGTAGTGTAATACCAATCAAGATACCGCCACCAATGAGCATCGACATGGACGTTGCCTTGGCGGAGATACAGGCACCAGCAAAGGCGATGAGAGGTGGTAAAGCGGCGAGCCATTTGCGGTCGAGGACGTCTGACAGCCTTCCAACGAACGGCGAGAGAACTGCTTGAACCAGGAGAGGACCTTGTATAATCCAACCGGCGATCGACGGGTCTCCGAGATCACGGATGATGAAGGCAATTACGGAGCCTGCAGCCACGACGACGAATACCTGGATGCTGTTAGTGGTGGGATAGCCGCGACGGGGTTTCACGGACGTACTTGTGCCATGACGGCGAAGCAAGCGACGAACACAACCACCCATGATCTCCACGTCAAGTCGATGTGTTCAGCAGCCTGTAGTTCAGCAATATGCTCCATAGGGGCAGCCGTGTCCAGCGTGCCGGGGCCATGGTGTTGGTCGTGAGCATGCTCGTACGTCTCCGTCGTGATAGCGTCAACCGTCTTTTCGGCCATGATGGGCAGAACAACGATATGAATGAGGAACAGAAATGGTTCGAACGAGTGTGGATGTCTGCCCAAGAGCACGTTTCTTATAGATTGCGAGTGCTACCATGCACTTCCCCCTGCCCCACTCATGCACCTGCCATGCGCGACTATTGGCGAGGTGTGTGCCACGACGGACCTGGATCCCGCGCTGATCTTCGGCAATTAGTTCTGCCCCTCGATTCTGGGGTCGAGAAACTCCACTTCAGCTCCAGACAATCCACGTTCCGCCCCACGAAGCTGGAGATAAAGCGGCACCATGACTGTGGACATGACTCGACACGCGAGACCGGTAGTCGAACGAGCGCGTCCGTCTCCCAAAAAGATGCAGGACGACGGCACAAGTGGAAAGTGAAGTGCCGTTCCGTTATGCATTACTCAGCGAGCTGCCGACAATGCGCTCAGGATGGCTGCTCGCTTCCTTGCTCCAATTCACACACGGAAATATTACAGTGATGACTCAATCCTCATCATCTCCTCCATCCCAGCCCTAATCTCCCTCTTCCCCTCCTCACTAGGCGGGTCATACGGTCGCCTCGGCCTCAACTTCTCCTCCGCCCCCTCAATCCCAGCACTCTTCGCGCTCGTCAAGCTCGCGGCAAACTTGGTACTCGCGATCCCCGCCTTAGTCAGACTCTCCGCCAACGCCGCCACGCGATGCATCTTCATCGCTTCCTGGTGCTTGCCCTGCGTGTAGAGGTCGTAGATTCGCCGGATCGTCTTCGGGAAGACGTTGGCGAACCCGGCGATTGTACCGGCGGAACCGACAGCCATTCCGCCGAGGAGAAAGTCCGATTGTCCGCCAAAGATCGCGAATTCCGAGTTGGTGAAAGTGGCAGCCAGTCGTGTGATTTTACCGACGGAGGCGCAGGTGAGCTTGACGCCGACGATATTCTTGTGCTTCTTCGCCAGAGCGGTCATAACGTCCGAGTCAATGTCAACTCCATTACAGACGCCTGGGAAGTTGTAGATGACGATCGGTAACGGACTCTTCGTCGCTACCTCATCGTAAAAGTTCATAATAACTTTGCCCGTCGTTTGTCTACCAAAGTAGGCACATGGAAGAACGAGTACGTAGTCTGCTTTAGCCGCTGCTGCGTCGCCGATGTATTCGAGGACTTGTTTCGTACTGTGGCCGCCTACTCCGGCCATCATGGGATAGTCGGGGCCGACTGCTTCTCGAGCGGTCTTAAGGAGGGTTGCTCGTTCATCGCGGGTCAGCAGGAAGGTCTCCGCGTTCGTTCCAAGGATTACGAGCCCGGTGAGATGCTGGGAAAGGTACTTGTAGTATTTCGTTTGAGAGGCGAGATCGAGCTCGTCGGTTTCTGGGTCGAAGAAGGTGATCGCTGGCGCCCACACACCGGCCACGGGGACGTGAGGTTGGTTGCTTGCGTGTCCGTTCATCGTAACGTTTCAACGTGCAATGAGCTGCTGTTAAACTATCGCAAGTTGCCATAATGCCGAGATGCTGCTTTATGGGGATGGGATAGAGTAAACTTGGCCGAAATCGGCAGGTACGAGCAGATGCCGAGCCGCTCGGCAGTGAATGACCCGAGACATAAAAGATCCAATGTTTCCCTCACGACTGACTCTCTATATGTCGGTAGAGCTTCTCGATTCCTCTCTCTCTCTCTCTCTCTCTCTCTCTCTCTCTCTCTCTCTCTCTCTCTCTCTCTGTGTGTGTGTGCAAATGACAAGCGGTGTGTACAAAGAACATTGTCCCTCAAGCCTAGATCTTTGCGATGCAGATGCTCTGAAAGCAGTCTAAGGCTTCGTGCGGAAAGAGGCTGCCCCCCAGTTCCTCTTACGAAACGGGAGAGCCATGACTGTCGTGGACAAGAAGGCAAGAGTATAGCCTCGCTGTATCCGGGTATCATTACAAAAAGCCGCACAGCAGAGCAGCGAAAGCAGAAGGAAGTATAAGCAAGGTTCGATGCCGCACATCGCAGACGAAAGCCGGCGTGCTTACGTCCCAGCATACGCCGGCGGCTTCTCTTCCGACCCCGTCTTCTCCCCATGCGCTGCATGGTGCTTATGCGATTTATCCTTCCGCTTCTCATCACTCCGCTTCTCCCGCTTCGCCGTCGCCTCGGCCATGAGCTGCTCAAAAGCCATATAATCCCCTTCCTCATCCGGATCGCGTTCGGCCTATGCAATCCACCGTCAGCAACCGCTCCGTCAGCAGATATAGTAGGTGGGGAAAAACGCACCTTGGCGAACATCTCCCCCACAATGACCAACGCCTGCGCCCGCTCCACCCGCTTCTCCACCCTCACCTTCCGATCATTCAACACGGCATCACAAACCTCCCTCAGCACCCCCTGAATCTCATACCGACTCCCCCGCCACGCCGCCGCCAAAATCTTCCCCGTAACCCTCTTCTCGTACTCGGCCCGCCGCTCATCTGTCCACTCCTCCCCGCCCTTCTCCTCCGCCCGCGCCATCTCCTCAATCTCCATCTGCGCGGAGATGGCCGTCTGGATCGTGCCAAAGGTATCCTTGATCGACGCGCTCTTGTCCTTTAGTCGGGAAAAAAAGCCCGAGACGCCGCCGATGATGGGTTTCTGCGATTTGAGGAAGGTGGTCGCCTTGCTGACGTAGATCTGGCCGATGGCGTGGAGGATTTCGAGGCCGAAGGATTCCATCTTGAGGTTCTCGACTTCCAGGCGCATCTTCTCGCGGAAGGCGTCGGTGACGTCGGGGCGTTTGTCCGATTCGGTCCAGACGGAGAGGTGGTTGATGAGTTTGGCGGCGAGGGTGGAGATGCGTTCGTCGCGGACGCGTTGCCGTTCTTTCTCAAAGGCCAGCAGTTCCTCGCGTTGCTCGCGCGACAAGCCTTTCCGCTTCTCCTTCTCCCGTAGCCGTTTCTCGTCGTCCGTCATGCCGGAGGCGGAGAGCTTGGCTTCTTCTTCCGTGCGGTCGGTGATGGCGAGGCGGGTGGGTATGCCTTGCGGTCGGGGTGTTGTCGATGTGCTGGAAGAAACTGGTGCCGCCGACTCCTTTTCTCGCGTAGGTAGTCCCTGCGTAGCGCTTGTGCCCGGTGTGGTATGCGACTCCGACACTGTCTCCGCCTGCGGCCGAGGTGGAGGAGGCGGCATGCCACCACTCATACTCTGCGCCGTCTGCTCCGCCGCCTTGGCCTCCGCATTCGCCGACGCCTCCGCGGCCGTCTGCCCCTCCTCCTCCATCTCCTTCATGGAAATCTCCATACTCTTCGTCAAGTCCTTCATCATGCTCAGCTCGCCGATCCAGTCGTTGAACGCATCGCCGCCGAAGATCATGGTGAAGAATTCGGCCGGGTCCTCGAAGCCGCTGTCGGGCTTCGCCCCTTCTTTGCCATATTGGTCGTATTGTTTGCGCAGTTCGGCGTTGCTGAGGACTTGGTAGGCTTCGCCGACGACTTGGAACTTTTCGCCCGCGCTCGGGTCGTCGGGGTTCTTGTCCGGGTGGAGTTTGATGGCTTGCTTCCGGTATGCTTTCTTGATCTCGATGTCGGTAGCTGTTGGCGGGACTCCAAGAGCGTCGTAGTATGCGGTGTCCTTAACGGCCATTGTAAGTCGCAGCGGATGGAGATATTAGAGGGGACCAGACGGTTTCTAAATGCGAGGCTAATGTACAGTATATGTTCCAGTTGTATCTTAATATGTATGGCTCGAGGCGACTGTTTTCACAACGCTCGGACGTATCCGGCGTACGTCACAAGCCGAGCCACAGATGCATGTGCCATACATGTACCATCTCCACGCATGCGCCTCGTCCAAACAACCTGCAAGTCATTCCTCTCCTCACCGTCGACACGATGAGAGTGGTGTTGCCGCCGAATGTGGGATGCGGTTACTGGTCAAGGCATACGGACGCGGTTGGGAAGCTGAAGCCACATTTGCCTGCCGCATACCATACGAGTCAGGCCACCTAATCCCCTCGTGAATGTCCTCGTCAGGACCGAGTCAATTAACCCCAGTGGAGGAAGAGGAACTTCTCTCCACCCTGCTGTCGTTGACACGGTACGACTCCTACTTCTTTAGTGGTGGACGGTTGAACTGCATCACGCGACTGCTACAGCACACGCCTGGCCACGATAATTCTGCGGCTGCGCGAGTCAGGGCACCCTACCATACTCTTTACGGTACTCGGCCAGATCTCGAATTGACAATACATGTAGGGTTCCTACTGAAGGCATGTTCGGGTGGTAGGGAGTGTATTCTACTAACCCCCGACACTCAGCACCTTTATTATTATTGTTACCTCTGCTTGCCTGCAAGTCGGCGAACTGTCTGGCTGTCTGGCTGAGCTTCGGCTCCCTTTCTCCACAAACTCGGCATCGTTTGTGCGCGGCTGTGTGGAGAAAGGGACTTGAATGTCCGAGTCAGGGTCTTTGGCATCGGCCACCGATCATCCACATTCAGATTATTATTGTGATTCTTGACCATCGTTCGGCAATCTGCACGAGCCGGGAAATAGACCCACCACCACCACTACTTACCCTTCCCTTCCCCAATGCCTCCCCTTCCCTTCTTCTCATGACATGACATGTTGACTCGCCTCGTCTCCTTGTCTACTAAGCATTCCACTCTCTTTCACTTCCGCTACACCTCTACCACTACCACCACCACTCATACCCCTTCAGTAATAAGATCGCGTGCCTTCTCCACCACATCACCCATAATGGCGGGCTTACAACGCTCCGCCTTCTTCGAGGCCATCCAGAGGCACGACCCCGAACACACTGCCGTCGTCCACTCTCTCTCCGGCCGCGCATTCAAATACGGCTCGCTGTTACCCGATGTTGCTGCCGCGAAGGACCGGTTACTGCGTGCCACCGGCAAGGACGAGAGTAGCATTGTGGGCGAGCGGATAGCGTTCTTGGTGGAGAATAGCTACGACTATGTAGGTGCGCTTGCCTACGTCCTCATCCATCCCTTCCATATGCTTGCACCGCTCACATGGAGTCATTAGTCACCCTCCTCTCATGCCTCGCTTCCAACGCCATAGCCGTCCCTCTCGCCCCCTCATTCCCTCCATCGGAACTTCGATACATCCTGAACCACAGCGAGGCCCTCGCGCTGCTGTCGTCCACCAAGTTCTCAAAACTCGCTCAAGACGTGCTCAAGGAAGGTCTGGACACCACACCCGTCAGCGTCGATCTGGAAAAGATCACGGCAGGCGCCCCGGACACCACTCCCGTCATGCTCACAGGCGAGTCGTACGCCGCGGAGGGAGGCATGATGCTCTACACATCCGGAACGACGGCCCGTCCGAAAGGTGTGCTCTTGCCGACCATGGTGTTGGCGGCACAAGCCCACAGTCTGCTCGAAGCCTGGAATTACGGCCCCGCGGACCACTTGTTGCACATCCTACCTTTGCATCACATACACGGCACAGTCAATGCGCTGCTTACACCTCTCCTCGCCGGCAGCACCATCGAGTTCATGTTCCCCTTCAACGTCGACAACGTGTGGAAGCGCTTCGCGGCACCCTTCGTGGACGCGAACAAGACCGACTCAGACGCGCACTTGACGAACGGCCACACCACCACCAACGACAACCCCGCCAACAAAAAACCCATCACCTTCTTCACCGTCGTCCCCACCGTCTGGGCCCGCCTCCTGCAAACCCACTCCGCCCTACCCATGGACATCCTCAAAGCAAGCAAAGAAGCCATCACCCGCAAACACCTGCGCCTCAACATCTCCGGCTCCGCCGCCCTGCCCACCCCCACCAAAAAAGCCTGGTCCGAACTCTCCGCCGGCAACGTCCTCCTCGAGCGCTTCGGCATGACCGAAGTCGGCATGGCCCTCTCCTGCGGCTTGGCGGACGAAGACCGAGTGGACGGGTCGGTCGGATGGCCGTTGCCGGGCGTGGAAGCGCGGCTGGTCGACCCGGACACGAACGAGCTGATCGAAGTGGGTGAGGATACTGCGGCGGATGGGAAAGAACGGACAGGTGAGATTCAGCTGAGGGGCCCCACCATTTTCAGGGCGTATTGGCGCAACCCGGAGGCCACGAAGAAGGAGTTCACGGATGACGGGTGGTTCAAAACGGGCGATATCGCCGTCCGCAAACCCGTCCCCGGCGCGGGGACGGGTGCTAGTGGGAACTGGGCACGGGGGCCGGCGTATTTCATCCACGGCCGCAAAAGCGCGGATATCATCAAAACGGGCGGGGAGAAAGTCTCCGCGCTCGAAGTGGAGCGGGAACTCCTCTCGCTGAGAGAAGTGCGCGAAGCGGCCGTCGTCGCTTTACCGTCCGAAGCCTGGGGCCAGAAGGTCGCGGCCATCGTCGTCTTGAGTGGGGAGGGCAAGACGGCGGGGAAGGGGGGCAAGGAGTGGAGCGCGATGGATATGCGGCGCGCGTTGAAGGAGCGGTTGGTGGCGTATAAGATCCCGCAGGATTTGGTGGTGGTGGAGGGGATTCCGAGGAATGCGATGGGCAAGGTGAATAAGAAGGAGTTGGTCAAGGAGGTTTTTGGGGATGGGGAGAGGATTCGGCGGAGGAGTGTTAATGTCAAGGAGGAGAGGGAGAGGGGGAGGGGGAGGGCGTGAGTGTTTCCGTGGTGACTGGAGGGGATGATGTTGGGAAAGAGGGGGGTTGCTTGATGTGTAAATGTAGTTTTGTACGAGTCACTTGGCTGGACGGAAAAGTAATGTTGAAGCCACCTAGAAATGTCTCCCCGCCTATCTTTGACGGGGCTTCCATGTGACCGCACAGACTGATCCCCGCGTCCGCCACTCATGGTGGGAGCCACAAGCACAGTCCGCTGAGAGAACTGCCGAAAACAGTACAAGAGAGCCTGGGGTCTCCGTGGCGGTACCGCAGTCGGTATGGGCTCTTGCGCGTTCACCGACAATGTCCATACACCCTCCTCAAACGCAGAGAGAGAGACAAGAGACTTTCGAACCGCGTAACCCTGGCTTCAATCAACCAGCCAGTCAAGAACCCGCGTAAACCAAACCCTCCACCTCCCATCATCACACGTATACGTATAACTGTACGAAGAAAACCACTACAACTCATCCCTCTTCACCCCGCCAATCCCCACCAACTCCGTCTCAAACACCAACGTGCTCTCCGCGGGGATCGGCCCCATCGCGCGACTCCCATACGCCCACTCCGGCTGGATCGTCAACTTCCTCTTCTCGCCCACACACATATCCAACAGTCCCTCGTCCCAGCCGCGGATGACCTGGCCTTTGCCGAGGTGGAAGCTGAGGGGTTGGCCGCGGTCGTAGGAGGCGTCGAATTGGCTGCCGTCGCTTGCGAGGGTGCCGCGGTAGTGCATTTCCACTTTGTCGCCTGCGGAGGAGGCGGGGGTGGGGGGTGTCAGTAAGAGGAGGGGAGGGGGGTGGAGGGTGGGGTCGGGGGTGAAGGAGGGACAAGGGTGGAAATACCTTTCTTGGTCTTCCGTGTGCATTCGACCGAGTGTTGGATTTCGATGTCGAGGGGCTTGTCGAGCGCGGTGGCGGCTACGAAGAGCAGGGTCAGCCCTGCGGCGATGGAGGAGAGGCGCATTGTTGTGTGGAGCGAGGGATTTGACGGTTAGTTCAGAGTGGTAGAATGTCACTTAGGACAATTGGCATTGAATGCTGGCGGAAGTTGGTCTGCGGGGGCACGGGCCGCTGCAAGGTCCCGGCCGGATACTTCACATTCACTTCACTCTCCATACTCCGACACTCACGTTCACAAGCCTGGATTGGTGCACCTACCCTATTGTACTCTCTCCCTGTCGTTGGGAGCGAAAACAGCATCGTCCTACCCTGATATTGATCCCTGTACAGGACTTTGATCAAAAATAAGACTCAGGCAATGTTGACAATGTCTGGCAGGCCCTATGTTTGCCAGTAGAGCTCGCCTATTGTTCGTAATGTGAAAAGAGTCATTGAGTGCATACACGTCGACACAAGCCTGGCTCGGTGGTCTTCCAAACATTCCCAATATTCACGTCGTCTTCCTCCTCCATCTCTATCTCTCTCTCTCTCTCTCTCTCCATCTCTATCTCTCTCTCTCTCTCTCTCTCTCTCTCTCTCTCTCACCATGGAGCAGCCAAGATGCCTGCGAGGACTGTCTCCGTCACGAAAGCCGTAAAAGATGTCAAGCAGCGGTGGGAGTACCTTGCCCGGTGGCGCCGAGAAGGCAGCACCAATCTTATATCAGCGTACAACCGCAAGTATAGAGCAGATCTGCAGGTATTTGTCGGTGCCCACGGTGTCTCCCTCAGCGCTAAACAGCTCGATGACTTGCCATCACCGGAAGATGTCATTCACCTCATGATATCGGCAAAGAGGCCGTGCACGAAAACTCCGAAAAGCAAGGCAAGCCTTCCAGCGGGGGAGATCAGCGTCCCTACCAAGACTGCAAAGCTCTCCGAGGTTCGTAAGGAAACGAGAAGCCTATAGCCACCACGGCACCGTCAGCCAAGATTGATGGCCCGAAGAAGACGCCAGGATGCTAGAAGCGTAAGGCTGAGAACGATCCGTCGTCCGACATGCGTAGCCTCAAGCAGCCGAAGTTGCCTGATGCTACGAGCTCGAAGTCACCTCAACCGGCCCAAAGCATTCAACAGCCGGGCCAAAAGCGTAGTGCCGAGACTGATCCGGAGGGTCTTCGGTCTACTAAGCGAGCCAAACAAGCGCATATTCCCTTCTCCGGCCTGATCAACCATGCACAGGCTTGCTACTCCATCGCGTCCATCCAGTTTCCCGACGCTGCCACGAGGAGACAGGAGCTTCGATCCTTGTTCGGAGATGGTGAAAAGCCGGACGCCTTCGCTACTTCTCGGAGCATCCACGGCTATTTGCCGAACACCAGCCGCGAACGAGACCACTGCGCAATGCCGCTCATAGCTTGCGTTACGCCGTCCGAGTGGCTGCCGGAGATGCTGGAATCGAGAGTGGCAAGTACGTCCGAGGGTTGCTTGCGGGGATGAGGCGCTCCCCAGGCGAGCAGTCTGTATCAGCCTACCTCCTCCAGACCGTATTCGCGTTCGGTGGGCCCGGGGATTTGCCCGTCTCGTAAGCAGCTTAGCGGCGATACGCAAGAGGATTGCTTTCAGTATCACCAGGCGCTTTTGGATGCCCTAACAAGCAATTCCAATTAACCGCACCAAGCGGAACTGCAGGCACTTTTCAGCATTAGTGGAGAGATGAGGGACGTTTGTGAAAAGGCTTGCGGGCACATGGCAACGCCGCAAACGACTGAAAGCAACTACCACGGCATCACCGTGCCTCTATCTAGTGCTGTGAAGGGGCCAGCAAGCCTGGCGAGCGTATTGAACGCCTCGCTCAGAAGCGAGACGGAGCAGACCTGTCCGGTTTGCAAGGACAACCACCTTATGAGACATTCAAAGATCACATCCGACCCAGAAAGACTCGTCGTGAAGCTGGAGCGTGGTACTTCTGACGCCGGAAAGCTCGCCAAGTCTCAGGCCGCGGTGGACTGCAATAACACCAGCGATTCCACTTTTGGAGACTCGAGATACGAAGTCACCGCCGCCATTGTGCGCCATGGCGCCTCTACTCAGGTGGGAAACTACGTTGTCTTTAGGGAGCAGGGTGAGGACTGATGGTTAATCGATGACGAAAGGGTCGTGAAGATGCCGTTCGACCAGGTAAAAGACGGCAAGGTGGGCTCGTCGAGCATGCTACTCCTGCAGAAGAAGCAATCATAGGGTGCCATAGCTGCCACATGGCGGATGGTGCTAGCCAAATTGATGCAAGTCGTAGGCATATTCAGTGCCGGACACAGGTACTCATGGTAAGTCTCAGCATATATTACGAAACGCAAGTTGGGCTATTCAGCTTTGTCCCTCCGCAAAGACGTAGAGCGGGAGCAGTCATAACAGTGAGAAATGCCATTACTGCCGTACAGAGTGTGGGAATGGCACGTAGTTTTAAATGCAATGCCGGTGACGATGACTTGTACTGGCGCAGGTCGAGCCTTCAATCTACAACTTTATGCCATAACATGCGGCGGTTATTGCAAGATTTGATCATGGCCATCATAACGACGTACAAGGCCATTGAACATGTGGAACCTGGGCAAGCGCAATCTCGAAAGGAGAAGCAATGAATCTAAGGAGGTCTTGGCAGAGCGTGCCTGCGCGTTGTTAGCGTGTTTCTCGGGAGTGGCATCGCGTTTCGAGCTTCCATGACTCAGACGCGACCTTGCCAGATTCCATTGAGGATGGAATCCGACATCCTGGATGGTCTCAACGCTGCTCAACGTACTGCTGTGACTTCTGACGCCGACGTGCTTCAAGTGCTCGCACCGCCTGGTTCAGGAAAGACCAAGACACTTACAGCTCGAGTAGCATGGCTACTCGGGGACAGGCAACTCAAGCCATGGAACATTATAGTCTGCACGTTTACTGTCAAGGCGGCGAGCGAGATGAAGCAGCGTATCACAAATTTCGTCGGCGAGGAATGCGCGAAGCAGCTGAGGCTAGGTACCTTCCATTCAGTAGCCGTACGGTATCTGCGGCGTTATGGCCAGCTCATCGGTCTAAATAAGGACTTCGGCATTGCAGATGCGTCAGACAGCAAAGCCATCATTAAGCGAATTATCAAGCAGCAGGGCTTGACCATTGATGATGGCCCTTCACGTAGCAGGATCTCAGCGCAAAAGGCGAGGGGCATCAACAGTCAGCGCTACGCACAGGCTGCGAAGAAGGCCGACCAAGAGTTCCTTCAAGTGTACCAAGAGTACGAAGCGACGTTAGTTGCTTCGAACCTCCTGGACTATGATGATCTTATTCTGAGGTGCTGCGACTTACTGCGGGCCCATCCTGACTGCGTGGCCAATGTCGAAGCGCTACTCATTGATGAGTTTCAGGACACGAATACCATCCAATACGAGCTGATGGCACTCTTCGCTCAGAGGCGCAACGTCATCACGATTGTTGGAGATCCGGACCAGAGCATCTACGGCTTCCGATCAGCAGAGATCCAGAACCTGAACCGCATGACCAAGCAGTGGCCGGACACGCTGACCATCAATCTTGAGGAGAATTACCGTTCGTCTGGCGCCATCCTACATGCTGCTCAGCACATCATAGAGCAGGATACGGACCGCCCGCCAAAGAAGCTGCAAGCGACGCATACCTTCGGCCTCAGACCTGTGCTGCGGAAGCTGCCCTCTGCGCCTGCCGAAGCAGCATGGCTTGTCGCGGAAGTCAAGCGCCTGATGGCTTTGACCGGTGACCTGCTGCAACCCAGCGACTTCGCAGTGCTTCTGCGTTCCGCAGCGTTATCCAGAGTTATAGAATCAGCTCTTGGCAAGGAAGGCGTACCGTATCGCATGATTGGTGGTACGAAGTTCTATGACCGTATCGAGGTGAAAACACTGATAGACTACCTGCGTGTCATTGCTACGCCGGACAACAGTGAGGCTGTTGAACGGGTGATCAATGTACCGCCTAGACGGATTGGGGACGCATCAGTTGAGAGCTTGCATAAAGAGGCACGCAAGTTGAATATTAGTCTCTGGCGACTTGTGCTGGACACAGCTCAGGGCCGCTCCAAGCCCACCACTAAGCTACCCTCGTCGACCATGAAAGGACTTGAAAGCTTTGCAGACGTAGTCCTCACTTGTCGGAAGAAGCTGGCTAACGCGGAGGGAGCGTGCTTGATAGAGCTCATCAATACCGTGCTCAAGAAGCTTTCCTACCAGGACTGGCTGAAGAAGAAGTATCCTGATGACCACGATACGCGCTGGACTAATGTGGAGGAGTTGCTCGCTCAGGCTACGGATGCTTCAGAGTCTGGCCGGATGCAGGCCGAGTTTGAGAACCATTCGCCCACCCCCGCCGTAGAGCAGGAGCCATTAACTTTAAACGACGCACTCTCGGCGTTCCTGGCTAACATAGCTTTGACCACCTCGAGCGCAGAGAAGACTGAACACGAAGGCCAGCCGACACAGCAATTGACTCTGTCTACCATCCACGCCGCCAAAGGGCTGGAGTGGCCGGTTGTCTTCATCCCAGCATGCTATGACGGCTCGATACCACATTCTCGTGCCGAAGATCATGACGAGGAGCGGCGGCTGCTATATGTCGGCATGACACGAGCGCAAGCAGTCTTGTACCTCAGCACGCCACTAAAGGATTCGCAGAGGGCGGAGACGTGTACATCGAAGTTTCTGACAGAGCCTGGTGTCGCGAGGTTTTTCGAAGAGCACGGGCCAGCCATCGCAGGGCGAGATGTGCAAGGTCTTGCTCGAACACTTCATCGTACCTGCCCAGATACCGCGGCGATCCGGGCGACCGCGCAGTTTCTGGCACGCGACCAAGACAATTACTGGCCACTGGACGGCGAGGAGCCTCCTGAAGAACGGGACAAATGGAACTACGGCCGACAAAGTACGATTTCAGCTGCGTTCGGAGGGTTCCAAGCTGCGTCCTCCGTATTAACCAACGCTGCGACTGCCGGGCAACAACACGTCCTCTCCACGGCCAATGCTACAACGCAGCCAGGTTTCGTCAGCTGTAGGGATCGCTACCAGGAGGCACTAGGGGAGGCGCAGCTAAAGAAGGTTGACAAACGAGCCGAGGAGCAGGCGAGAGCCTCAGCCGCGAACAAGCCGAAAGGCCGTAAACGGCAGATGGAGGGTCAAGGAACGCTGTCGAGCTTCTTCGGCAAGCCGGATGCGTCAACCTCAGCATATCAAGACAAACGTACTGACAGTCAAGACGATCCTGCTGCAAGTGCTCGGACGCTGTCCGCTCTGCCCCTCAAGCAGCCGCTCGCCGAGCTATCCAATTCCAGCACGAACCGAGGCGATACCGTAGCTTTGAATGCTGGCTCGCTGCCGCACAAAAAGCTGCGCGCTGAGGTCTTGCACGGTCGCCCCAAAACGTACGCCAGCACCGAAGTCAGGCCACCAGCTGGCTACGTCTTTCTCTCCAGCTCGCCGCCAATACCTGAGGGGGCCACGACGTCGTCAACGACGCCGGAGGACGATACCTCCACGTATGACGCTGGCCACGCACAGGTAGCGAGCGTCGTTGTACCCGCAGTCACCTTCCATACCACGACCATGCAGCAACAGCAGACGGCGCGACAGCGGAAAACGCTCGGCGTACGGCGGAGTCTGCAAGGGTGGAGTGCTCGAGGGCGGGGGTAGACGGTAGAGGGGGGGCATGAACTGGCCATTCGCGGTATTGTGATGCACTTAAGTACGCTCATGAGTAGTTCGTAACGAAGTCATGATACGTCACGTCAATGCCGTAAATCTCAACCGTCGTTAGGATCGTCATCAGAGGGTCCGTGGTCGTCGTTGTCGTCACCGTCATCTTCATCGTCCTCAGGTCCACTCCCACCTCCGACCAACTCGACACCGCCCTCCGCATCCACATCCTCCTTGTCTTCGTCAAAGCCATCGAAGCCATCATCATCCTCATCATCCTCATCGTTTTCGTCGTCATCCTCCTCATCCTCCACCGCATCAGCACCCTCCATCAGCCCATTCGCCTGCTCATTAGCCTTCGCCATCTCCTCAAACTTCCGCTTCTTATGCGTAAAGCCCAGCTTCTCATCCCTCCCAACCTCCAAACCCCCCACATCCGCCTTATCCTCGCCCTCACTCTCCAAAGCAGCAGTAGCGGGAGGCGGGATGAACCAGGGAATCCTGCCCCGCAAGAAATCATTCAACACCATCTTCGCCACCCCGTCCACATCCGCTTCCCCACCCCTCAACAACCTACCTCCCTTCCTCGCCAGCGCATCCAGAAAACGAATGGCCTCGCGCGTCCGCGCCTTGTCAGACTTGGGCGTGCCGACCATCTGTTCGCGCACGAGCTTCTCATCACCATCACCCCCATTCGCATCCTCATTCCCCGCTTCGTCTGCCCACCCACGCACATCATAAGTCCTCTCCAAATGCCGCCTCTCACAAACCCTCAACACCGCCGGGACATACTGAGCAGGGTTCTCCACATTCTCCACCCTCACCACACCCCTCAATAACAACTCCTCGGGAGTATCACTGACACTCGGCGGCACGATCCCGGGACAATCGATCAAATAGATCCGTTTCATGAGGGTGATATACTGCCACACCTTGGTCTCACCCGGGATGGGCGCAGTCTTGCAGACTTTCTTTTTGCGGAGCGTGTTGATTATGGAGGATTTGCCGGTGTTGGGGTAGCCGATGAAGCCGACGGAGATTTGTTTGCGCGTGGTGTGGAGGGAGGAGAATTGGCGGAGGAGGGAGATGAGGGTGCCTTTGCCGAAGGAGTTGGTTAGGCTGGCGTGGAAGGCAAGGGTGGGGTGGTCGCGAGATAGGAGGCGAACCCATTTAGCCTGTGTAATTCACTGTTGTCAGTATGTATGCAAGTATCGCACATCAGGATCGCGATCGGATGTTTTGTGCTAGGGTGGTGAAGTAGAGGTTGGCATGTATGTCCCATTACTAAGCTCTCCCTCACTGGACGGCCACGGTGGGCTCGGGATCGCTACTCAAAACAGGACAGGGAAGTCGCTCAAGGTAGACCATGCCAAGACGGCAGAGGGCCCGAAGGTAGAGCGCGGAGGGGTTTGATCTGCCACAGCTGTAACAGATCCCTCTTCATTGAGGAGGTGCGCTCGCGAGGGAGGCGGATGGGGATCTTGACTTGAGCGGTGGCGTAGATTACGCGAAGTGAATTTTGTGGTCGTGGAGAGGGGTAGAGAGGGAGGAGAGATATGGGTTGGATAGACTCACCGCCACGCTCGTCGGCACCAAATCGCACTTGTTAAGGATGAACAGGAGGTGTTTGTGCGGCGCCTCTTCCCGAATATACTTTTCCACACTCCTGCATCGAGTGCCAAGCGGATCGCGGGCGTCGAGGACGTGCAGCACAACGTCCGAGCTGTCGATGACTTTGTACAGTTCGTTCCAGATGCGCTTGCTCTGGCCTTTGCTGAACACCGGTTCTCTCGCAGTCGTTAGCTCGCCTGCATCTGCGTACGCGCTTTGTGTCGAGTCGGCTGGAATATCGTGTTGCTCGTCCGTTTGCCCGCTAGACGTTGCCAACGCCTCCTCTTGCCGCTTCTCCGCGTACGCACCAAAATCTTTCTCCGACGCCGCCGCCATATCCGCCAAACTCGACACCGCTAATCTCGGCCTCTTCCTCTGCGCCTTGGGCCCAAACGTCTCCCCAAACCCTTCACTCTCAATCCGTATCTTAGCCCTATGCTGCACCAGCCCATCCTTCCTCTCCTTCTCCTTCCCATCTCTGATCAAACTCATGGGCAGCTTATTCTGCTTCAACAGATAGCTATACGGGTCCTTCATCTTCTCCTCCACCGCTCCACGAAACGCACTCAGCGCATCTTGGCTTATCACTCGCGTATTGGTAAACCACTTCCGATGCGGCTCGATGCGGGCTTGAGGTTTGTCACGGGATTGGAAGACGGCGGCTTTGGTGATTTCGCCACGGGCATTGCGTTCCGCTCCGCCGGACTTGTACATGTTGAGGGTCTTGACGCGCTTGGCGGAGCGGTAGAAGTTCTCGCCTTTCGTGCGTACGTTGCCCATCCCGTCGCTGTCTTTGCCCTGCCGCGTGCGGCGGGCGGCTTCTTTCTTGCCGGTACCCATGGGAGCGGCGCGGAGGATATGTTGGAAAGGGGGGGTTAGGGGTGTGGACTGTGGTGAGGAAGAGAGTGTTGACGAGAGGAAGATCGTAAGACGGAATAATTTCGTGCCAAGATTTCGACATGGCCCAAGCTCATCGCCGAATGTCCGCAACATTGAAGACGGAGCATTACAGCTATCTCTTCTACTAACACCACCACCACCACCACCTCCTCCTCCATCAACAGTCATACCCGACAATGTCCCTCCGAACGCCCCTCCGCGCCTGGCAATGTCCCCGCTGCCACGCTCATCCCCGCCCCTTCTCCACCACCACCGCGCCTCGCCAACTCGGCCCGGAACACCCACGCTACATCGACTTCCCCTCCCCCCCCCAACCCAACGTCCCCGATCGTCCCTTCATCAAAGGCCGCCTGCCTGTCCCGCGCGACATCTTTTCAGGAACCAAAGGCGCAGACAAAGCCAGCGAATCCTGGCTGAACCAACACACCAAAGAAAGTAAACGCCCCTCCGCCGCCCAACCGGGCAGTAGAGAGGAATGGAAGTCCCAACTCAGCGACTCACGCCGAAGAAACCTGCGCGAAGGTCTAGCAAGTCTCCGCGCAAGACGCACACGCCAACTCACCGCCGCGAGTGAGCGAAGCAGACGCAACCAAGCAGCGCGCGAAGCAGCCCTCCACGCTCCAGAACGGGAAGACGACCGTCTGACCACTCCCTCCCACGCCCTCGACCTCTCCGCCCTACTCACCAACCCCCCAAACCAACTCCCCGACCCCTCCCGCCCCCTGCGTCTGGCCCGCAGTCGCGCAAACCTAACCGCGCACACCTCCCTCCGCGCCGAGCAGCGAAATGCACACCTCAACACCCTCCATCACCACGCCCGCAACTTCATCGTCACACCAGCGCAATTAGATGCGGCGATTGAGGAGGCATTCGGCACGAACACCAACCCGAGGACTTTCGAGGGACGGCAGGAGGATCGGGCGAGTGTGTGGGCGGAGGGGAGGCCGGTGAAGGTTGTTGAGATGCTTGGAGTGGGAGGTGGGAGGGGAGGGGCCGAAGGCAGGGTGGCGGTGACGGAGGTCAATCGAGAGAGGATGAGGCGGTTGGCTGAGGTGTTGACCGGCGGGAAGATGGAGGACGAAGTGCAGAGATGAATGTGTTCCACTCGGTCTTGCGACGGAGTCCTACTACTAAAGTAGTGATATATGCGTCCATCCAAGATTGTGAGCTCCTTCACGAAGCAGCAAGGAGCTTGCGTATAGCATTGTGCGACGTCCCGCCAGTCCATCGCAAACCAAAAAGTCTGTGGACTGTCTTCATCAGCCTACCGCAGCGTTTAATCAGGGACGAACAAGCAGTGGCGATAATGACGTCCGAGAGGAAATTTACCCAGCAAGACCAAATCCCGCACTCATCACCTCCGCCAACGGCCCCTCGAGCCTGTCGCTCTAAGAGACAGTGATGTAAAGCCCAATTGCTACCCAACCGTGTCAGCATCAACACACCGTACCACAAGCACCATGAGTACATCCAGAAACTTACGACAGGGATTGAAGTCCTGGAAATACTCCAGCTCGACATCTCCCGCATACGGACTCATCCTAAGCCCAATTGTCTCCCCTGCCGGACAAGGGAACTGCGCAATCTCAAATTTCCCACCCGGCCGAATCTGCACCGGCGGATACAACTCCGCCGTGCCGGGCACAGTCGAGTAAGCCGAATCCCTTGCCGCCGGTGCCACGAGCCGTGTAAACTGCACTGTCCCGTTACCGTTGGGATTTGTGTAAGTGTACGCCGAGGTTTGCATTTGGGATTGAGTGGGGAAGAGGAAGACCAGCGTGCATTGCGACCCAGCGTCGGAGGCGGGGATGTCGAAGTTGAAGGCGCTGCTCTTTGTGCCGCCGAGTGTGCCGTTGAGGGAGTTGCCGAGGGGTGTGATGGGGGTGTTGCGGTCGAGCGGGATGATGAGATGGGGGAATTCGAAGTTCGTGCCGATGAGGTTCAGGGGGCAGGTGGGTGTGGCGGAGGGAGAGCTGGTGGTCGTGGTTGGGGTAGTAGAGCTTGGGGTGGACGGAGAGGAGGTAGAGTTGGTGTACGGTGCGCTGCTGGACGCGGAGCTCGTGGTGCAGATCGTCGTCGTTAACGTGGTCAAGGAAGTGGTTGTGGTGGTGCGGGTGGAGGTCGACGCGGGCGTGGACGACGGCAGACAAGACTTCGTGGACGGTGCCGGTGGAGGAGGAGCCGGGCAAGCGCTATTGCACCCCGAAGCCTGAAGCGTGACGGGCAGGCACTTGAGCTGATCCTTGACGGGGACGGTGTAGATGTTCCAGCCGCCGTTGTCGCCCGTCGGACAACTCCAGAAGGTGGACGAGTTCTTGTACTGGAGGGTGCCGGCGCAGTCGACGGAGAAGCCGGGCGTGGGTGCGGCACCGGCGTCGCATTGCTATTGCGTTGTCGGTGGGGTCAGGATGCAGCCGCGGCCGCTGGTGTCGGTCAAACCTGCGGGAGGAGACGTAGGTCAGTCAAGTGAGCGAGCTGAGGTAGTGGAGACAAGACGTCGGTCGACGTACCGCCATTGCCGTCGATGCAGTAGGTGGCCGATGACAGAGTCGTGTCGCCGATGCGGTTTTGGCCGTCGCCGATCTGACCGATGCTACCGCCTGGGCCGCCGTTGGCCGTCAAAGTGAAGCAGCTGGATAAGGCGTTAGTGATGTTCTTCGGCGGAGGGATGGAGAGCATCCGAGGACAACCAACCACTTCTGAGCAGCTGCTGCTACGGCCGTCAAGGCCACTATGCCGAAGAGGCTTGTCTTCATGGTGTTGGTTGAGGGAGGGTTGTTAAAACTGGGCTCTACGACTTCGTTAGCAGTGTACAACTCGTAGTGGTTGGAGGACTCACAGTGCTGTTGTGCTAGTGCTAGTGTGCGTTGTGCTGTTGCGTGTGCGTGTGCTAAGCTGTGCTTGAGATGAGAAAGGAAGAAGAAATCAAAAAGCGAAGAATAGTGAAGGGATCGCTTGGGTGTCATACAGGCTTGACCTTCCCTTTGTGAAGATCTTGATGTGATCCTTCTTCAATACAGGCATACTACTTGCCAATATGTACGCAGCGGCATCTGGAGAGACGCAGAAGGTACGGCTTTGCAATGAGCGCTCCCGGAGCCACTGGAAGAGCGCTATCTCCTGCCACGAAAACTGCGCCTGGACGCTGACTGCTTCTTGCACCGCTGTCCCCTGCTTAAATTTGCTTGACATTCGTAGCAATTAGCTGGACGCAGTCGCCGTGACTAATTCCGACCGACAGCTCCTGCTTCTGGTGATATCGAGCAATAGCATCCGCGTGTGCGGCCTACAATGGTTGTTTCAGCTGCTCTAAGCTGCGACGAAAAGCGGATCGCCCCTAGTACCTCTCACTCCGCCGCTGCCTCAAGCGACGCCGCTCCGGACCGTCGTTAGGCTCGCCACCATCCTCAGCGCTCCGGTCGCTGCTAGTCTCGTCACCATACTCAGAGCCACTCGGTATGAAGTTTCCATCATCCGCCGCGCCCTGCCCGACATCGAGTTCCATCACATCCTCCGGCCCTTCTTCAGCTATGTTGTAGGCTGCTAGCCGGGCCGCGGCCGATCGATCGATATCTGGCTGCTCCTCCATTGCTCCCTCTTCCTCTTCGCGGACAAGGCCCGTCGTTTCCTCAGCGTCAGGTGCGCTCTTGCGGATCGGAGGCCTACCCGCGTCAGCCCTCGTCCCACCCCTCTTCTTCGGCGTCAACTTCGAAGCATCCTCCGCAGCAGCACCATCTACCTTCCTCGGTCTCCCCCTTGCCGCCTTCGTGGCTCGCTGATTGCCCAACTCATCACGCTCCAACTCCACATCCCAAAAGTCACCTAGCACGGTCTCCGCCTTCCTCCCAGCCCCAAGCGGCTGCGCGCTCTTCTTCGACGTTCTCCCGCCTAGCTGTTCACTCGGGAACTTCGGGCCGTAATCGAACAGCAGTTCCTGGCCGCTGCTGATATCCTTCGCCGCGAAAAGCGCGATGCGGTGGACCGTATTGACAAAGAAGATGCGCGGGTAGAGATTCTGCTTGCCATATCGTGCATGGTTGATGAAGCGGATCTTGTTGCCAAAGTATGTGCTGTCGATCTCTTGCGTGGCGTTGAGGGAGAAGAGGTAGGACAGGTTTTGGTGGTGGTAGACGGCTCCGCGGCGTTCGGCTTCTTCCCGCGTGATCACTTCGCCTTTGTATTCACCAACAAACTCATGCTCTTTGATGTCCTCGCCCGCGTACAGGCCGAGACCGTGGACCCCGCTGTCGCCAAGCAGGGTGCGCTTTGGCACGCCTCGCTGTATGCTGGCATTGCAGCAGCGTGTCTTCTGAACAGCCTTGTTGTAGCGGTACACAGGGTCCAGCACTTCAGTCACGCCGCACGAACCGCATAAATCCGGATCGCACTCGCGGCCGAGCTGAAAGCAAAGGCATCGATCATCCTCGAAACAGACTAGGTCAGCTAATGCGCTCTTCGACTTCTTGTCATGCGCGCAGCTGCAACCCTGGAACTTGCGAGCGCATCGATTAGGACAGTTGCATGTCTTCTCACACGGCACGTTCGCCTCGAAGCAGTAGCAATGCGCACCGTCGCACGCCTGCCCTGGGTGATGGCACGGGTAATGAGGTCCGCGCTCGTCCGACTTGTGCACAAAGCTTTGCCAATACTGCAGGGTTCGCTTCGGGGCAGACGCCAGCCCGTTCAACGACGGCTCAACCTCATCCTGCGGCGGAAACGCGACGCGTATCCGGTTATCGAGCTTCGGCGGATTAACAATATCGGCCATCTCAATCACTTTATGCATTGGTTGCGGCTTTTTGTCAGCATGTTCATCGTAGGCCTCCTCGATCTCACCATGGTAAGGACACGCAAAGCGCAGGCAGACTCTGCAGGTCATGTCGTCGAGCGAGATGGGCGATTGCTCCTCCTTATTGTCTTCCGCTGGAATGGCATCGAGCATATGCCGCCGTGCAACATGCCACAAGCTGAACTTCGCCATCCTGCGGAAGTTCTCGCAAAGTGCGCCAGCTTTCGCAAGCCTCTGGGCGTTGCTTTCCGGAAGCGTTGACAGAACGGTTACGATGCGTTCGCCGTCTCGCGAAAATTCCTCCTTGCATGAGTCGTCACGATTGGCCAAGGCCTTGCGGGCGTCGAAGTCACGGCCAACGTCAGGCTTAGGTTCAAGCAGAAATCTTAGAACATCTGTCCATGTAATGTCGAGGTCTCGCAACGCCATTTCGGTACACTCCTCGAACGCCTGCGCCTGCGTGAGTCGGAGCAACTTCCGCTGCCTTCCGTCAATATCTAGCGTATACTGTTCGCCCAGACTTTCGACAACCTCACTACTCTGGTTGTCCCCAAAATAGGGTTCGTAATGTATAGTCTTGACATTAGCTGCTAGGAAGTTGTTCTTGATGCCAACGTAGTGAGCATATGGAGGCATGGTATCATGCGTCTCCGCTGAGTTGACAAGACACGACCAAGAGTTCTTGGTGGCCTTACCACCAATTGCCGACAACCGCTCTGAATGAAAGCTTGCAGTGCTGTCGTTACTCTTGGCTTTACTGTCCGTAAAACGCTGGATAGGCTTCATGGTGGCGAAGGAGAATGGCGTGTTGTTGTGTTGCGGGTTGTCTTGGGAATCTTGTGCGGCGCCTCGCCGTTCTGTAGTACGTCGTGCTCGCTTTAGGGCAACTTTGGTCCAGTATTCGTTCTCTACACGGAGCTCCTCCAGTTGTTTGCCGAGTACATGTTCGACATGCTGTGAGAGTGGCAAAGCCGCAATTGCTGGAGCTGTTGGCACAGTGGCGCGCATTGTAGCGGGGATGTCTCCCATGTCGGGAGTGTCGGCTGCAGCAGTCGTTTTACCACTAACACTGGGATGGAAAGTCGAACTATTGTCAACAACAGGAGCTTTGTTAACCATAGTTTGATCGACATTAGACTGCACGTTTGCGCTGCCATTGCCCTCGTTCGTTGTCGTATTCTTGCCAGATGAGGCACTACCGTCGAGGGTAGGGGTCCCGCCCACTGTGACTGGGTGGTCCTTGGATCGCACGCTCTCTGCGCTTTGCTTCTTCTTCGATGTAGCGTCTGTGGAGGACGCAGCGGGAAGACTGCGGCTGTGGGTCGCGCCGACAATGACTGGGTCACTACCAGCCTGCACGCCCTCCCTGATCCTGCCCCGGTCCGGAGTGACATCATTGAGAGGTGAAGCAGCAGTATCACCGGCTGCCTGCCTTGGCTGTGTGACAGTAGTCTCCCGCTCACTCACATGATCCGCATGCTTGCGCTTCACAAACTCCTCGAGCTTTTCTGCCTCGATTCCCTTTGTTCTGTGCTTGCCAGTCATCCTCCACACACCAACACTATTTTCGACTACTGTACGATGAAGAAAGTACCACGGTCTAGGGGGATCGGCACACGAAGTTACAGAGTGTACTGCGCCGCCGTGTTGTCGGACGAGTTCCATGGTCTGGTAAAACATGTTGCCCGACATAGGGCCAATCACGAAAGTCAAACCAGTAAGGCACTCCTTCCTGTTCGGCGGCTGATTGTCGGTATCGCTGCTCTTCGCCCCGTGCGGATCCGCTACAGCTTGCTCTATCTGTGGTGACACGAAGCTTGGGTCATCTTTGTGTGCTGCAGAGAACGATTTGGCCATAGTCCCTTGTGAATGTTCCGTCGCCTGCGAAAGCTCGGCTGCCCTCTCTGGCTTCGGTCCACAAGCCGTAGCATCATCCGATAAGCTGCCTCCTGATTTGGCCAATCCTATGTCGTCGGCCAAGATCTGCCGGCTATCCCTGCGTGCTGCTAGTGAAGAAGGGTTCTTTGTCGAGCCCTGTATGGGTAGCCTCCCTTGTTCGATACGTGTGTGAGTATCTTGATTAGGTGGATCTGACGACTCCTGCGGAATTACTCGGCGTCGTCCGAGAGGAGACACGCGCCTTCGCGGAAGCTGCTCTTTGGCCGTTAGACGTGGCAACTGCTCTGGCGTCTTCTTGTGCGATGGCGCGACAGCATCGTTGCGACTTTGGTGTAGCTGACTTTCCAGCAGTCTTTTCATCTCGCGTCTCTCGAGCTCCTTGTGTTGCTGCGGTTGCGTGTGAGAGCGAACACTGTCTGTCGTCTCTACGGTGGTCGATTGTGGCGTCAGTGGATGGCTGGTCTTCGCCACCGTGTTCGGCGCGGCCGTGTCCACAAATTGCGGAGTGACTCTATTGATGAGCTTCCCAACCTCCGCGTCTTTGCTCGGTCGACCAGCTGTCATGCTACGTAGACTATCTGTTAAGCTGTCTTTGTTCGCCACTGGGGATACTCGGTCATTTAGACGTTTTGTGGTGGGAAGATGCTGTGACGTCGCGACTTTCAGGGCTGTGAAATTCGCGTCTTTTGACTTCTTGGGTTGAATAACACCGTCGTCGTCGTCGTCGTCGCTTATGACGACAAGCTGAGACTGCGGATTGATTGCTACGAGTGTTTGGGTCAAGTCGATCGGGTGGCTGGTCACTAATTTCTTGTCGGGACCTGAGTCACGCCCTAGGCGTCCTAACGGTCTAGTCGTAGATGAGTTCTCGAAACCGGATGCGGCATTGCTCGTGGTTGATGAAGAACGAGTCGCATTGTTACGAATATCGACTCTACGCTTCTTGAATTCTGCTCGGACATCGGCGTGATCAAGCTGCCGCTTCGTGCCCGCCTGGCTTCCGGTTTGCGACCTCACTGAGCCAGCTGTTGAACCGGCGCCAGGTATTTCCTTGCGAAAGGCAGATGATAGCGTGTCGTTTATGTTCCGCGCGTCAAGCAAATTTGAGATGTTTGCTAATTCTTCACTTTCGGCGCGTGCTGGAGCCTTGCGCCCATTAGCGTTTGTTTCTCGTGAAGCCGCAGGATCTTTAACGATCACTTTTGAACCTTCGTTCGCTGCGCCATTAATGTGATCGATGTGTGCTGCTGATGATTTCGTAGTCGTTGACACTTCCTTGCGCAAACTGGCTATCTCACGCGCAGAGAAGAGAGGGCGCTCACTACGGCCTGTAGGGGACCTTGGCAATGCACTTTGCGAAGGCGAGCTTGGTCCCTTCGATTGCGATTTGACCGCATTGCCGACAAAGGTAGTAGCATCGGTCTTTGTGAGGCCCTTTGGGGCAGCGATACCCTTGAAGCGGAAGTTGTGCGGTTCACGGTCATTCTGGTCATCATCTTCGATGCTAAGGTCTATGACCTCTGCAGTCGCCGCCAGCATTTCCGCAGCGGTCCTGCTGTGCGAGAGGTCATTGACAACGAGAGCACGCACGTTGGGGCGCCGCCACTGAGGTGGAACGTCGGCTAAACTCTGGTGGATGAGTTCACGGGTGCGCGCATTAATCGGTAAAATCCTGTCCGGTACGTCAATACCGTGTGCATACAGAACGCCGGCAGATGATAGGTACTGGAAGAATGTCATCAGCCCCGGTCACGGTCCATACACGCGACAATAGAAATGTCTCGGTACCACAACGCAACATCCTGAGGTAGCGCAGGGAAAGCACGCACGGTTTACCGTTAGCTACCCAATCACGGCGTAGCTTCTGCGCACTGACAATGTGGTCTTGGGTGCAACAATGTTAGCATGATGGCATATTTGCGCATGGATTGAATCGATGATCAACGGGAAGAACAATAGACCATGTCAGGGCGGAAGAGTGTGTCTGTTTGGCAAACAAGATGGTTGGAGTTGAGTCGATCTAGAAGATCCAATCCCAGCGATGCAGCGTTTCACTAGCGCGTCTCACGAGTCTTGGCAACAGTCTATAAAGTCGCTACATAGCTGCCCTGTGTCCATCGACGTACAGTGCCAACAAGAGAGTGTGAGGCATCCTGCTTCGGGTTCAGGGTTCGACACGTGCTCTTCCTATAGTTCGACTCGGAGATAGTCGAAGGTGGGTACGTTTTTGCCACGCGATGAATCTCTGGGAATCTGGGTTGCTGCGCGGATAAATGCATACGCGTTGGATGGCGTAGTCGGCGGTCTCGCCCCTTTCCCATCAATATGGTAGGATTTTCATCCTTGTGGTAGGATTTCTCGGCAATGTGGCAGGACTTTTCGCCTACTTGGTACGATTTCCCGCCCATGTGGTATACATTTCAGGATTCTTCTCCGTGAGCTAGCACCATCGGGTACAGCACACTCCAGTTGGTGGCGGTTGGTACTGAGAATGGCCTTTCTGGTATCACGGCGTTCACCGTCGGCGACGAGACCAGTCCCCAACTTCCTAAGCGTACAGACCTCTCGTACTCCTTCAATCCATGTCTTCAAGCGAAGGCTGCGCCCCTTCCATCCCATGGCCCTCAGGAACCAAAACCCCTACCAAGCACGAGCCCAGCATATTCTCCCAATTCACCCACGGATGCGTCTCCATGAAAAGCTGCTCGCCATCCTTCCCCGCAGCCCTCATGAGCTGCCCTTCACCACCAGGGTGATACGGCAAGTAAGGCGTGATATTGTACACCTTGCCCTGCCAGCTGCTCCAAGCCGGCTTACCTTTGCGGCCAGTCATCTGCTTCAGCTGAGAGGGCTTGACGCGTAGGAAAGTCCCGACACCAGCAAGGTCGGCGGAACGGGATTTGGCGGCCCAGTCCATAGGCGAGTGGCCGGGAGTGAGTACGATCCTGCTGCGTGGGTTTGGGGTGAGTAGATTGCCACTCGGTGCGAGGCCAGAGCTGACGCGCTGTTGGCTACTTGCTGGAGGACCGCGGTTGGGTAACGGGCCTGTGCTAGGTATGCGCAGCGAGGATGCTACGCTAGGTGCTCCCATGCGCGGGACAGCCGGACGAGCAGGCGGTGGCATAGGACCTCGCGAATTGGCTGAGGGCGTGGACATGGAAATCTTGGGTCGCGGTGCCATACTATCTCGGGCACTCAGTCCACCGGGGCTGGAAGACTTCGCCACTGGCTCGAGGTGCGAGCTATTCAGATGCTCATCGGGAGCTGACAAGGAGAAAGTTGGCACCTCGTCGCTTGTCTGCGTGGCTACAGCCTTTGGTGTCGTTTCGCCCTCGAGAGGTGCCTCGTCCAGTGCGATCGTAGGGGCTGGAATCTCGGGCAATTTGGACGTTGCCGCTCTGCTAGTCATGCTGCCTGCTACGCCGAGATCTTGTCTATCTGGCTTGCTGAGCTTCGAGTTGGTTGAGTGCCTCCTTTGGTACCAGTATAGCACGATCAGGCAGGCACATGTAATAAGGACTGTGGCCGCAGTATAGCCCATGTTCAGAAGGAAAGCGTCTCAGCGTGGCAACCGACGTGTAGGGGTCGTCTGCCTGTGGTTGGATAGCGTGTAGTTTTGCATTGTGACCGCTCCAAAGTCTCCAGGCAACACAGTCAGCGGGAGTAAGGTACGCAGCTTGATTACAAGGGCGCCATCAGGGGTTGGCCTAAGAAGCAAGAAAGAAGGCGACGAGGAAATGTTCAAAGTGCTGATACCTCGCTGCGACTTGCCCCGATCTGGCAAGCGCAAGCACTTCGAAGCGACATAACTACGAACTTAAGGTACATGTGGCTTTGGAAAGGTATCACATTGAGGACGTTCCACCACATCTTGCACACGATGTTGCAACGAACATGCCTGCGGCAAGCAGCCCACATCGCCACAACCAGAGCTGCAGTACGATTACCACACACCATCCGCCACACCATCACACGACCAAACCTCCAACAGCCCTACCGCTCTGCCTCCCACGCCTCGCCCAACATCGTGCGCTGGCTCTCCTCCAAATCTCTCGCCGACGAAAAGATCGAAGACATCACCGAGCTCTACGCCACCGCCCGAGATGAATTTGAGATGGCGATGGAGGAGACGGAGAAGATGACCGTGTACGCGGAAGAGGATCGGAAAGCGGCGAGGGAGGAACTCGACAAGGTTCAAGAGGCGTATCGGAGTATTGTGGACGGACCTGATCAGCAGTTGGCGGAGGAGGTGCAGAGGCGGATAGGGCAGAGAATTAGGGAACTGGAGCAGGGGGTTGCTGCTATGGAGGAGTTGGCGCAAAATCAGGACTAGACCACACGCCGCATCAGGACCGCAGTCAAGCCATTGATCGCATAAAACGACGCAGCAATTTGACCATACACATTACTGGAGCCCGATGCATGGTCGACGTCTGCGAGAGCGGATACGGCTTACATCACCAGACAAAGCCAATCCCTGGATCGGCCTTTCGATGCGACCAACTGCACGCGTCAGTTCCATTCAACATCATGAGGACTGGTTTTAACGACGTTTGCGGTTATTACTCAGCTTTCCGAAGGACTGGATAGGCGTAGTGGTGTATGTACTGAACAGGAACATGGTGGTCATGGTGTGAATTGAGATCTACGACGCAAACTTGGCAAGAGGAGCCGGCGTATTTGATGCTTGGCGTATAGCCGCGATGCTTGGAACGATACGAGACATTCAAGGACTGTCGACTTCGCGTCCAAAATATGAGTTAACCTGGGGTTGTGCATATACAAGATCTGACACGAGGCTTGTGGAAGATGAGCCTACAACAGGCGGCGACTTAGCTGGGTTGTTCTTGTATCGTACCTGCAATAGCACAGGATCACACTACTGTGTGGCTGCAACGGGCAATCAGGCCCGCCATGTAGCATTTCCGCCGAACGCCAGGTACCAGACCGCGAAACGCTAGTTCTCCGTTCCTCACGTATTGCAGCTCATGCTTGCCTTTGTGTATTCCTTAGAACTTCTGGAATGCCTTCACAGCCTTGCCAGTCCTCGGCAGCACGCGCAGAACGTTGAAACGGACCTGGCGCGAATTATTAGCCTACCGCACTCGTCCTGCCCTTACCATTGTTCCGTATACTTACAGTCTTGCTCAAAGGCCGGCATTGACCGACCGTGACGATGTCACCTTCCTCCACACGGAACGCCGGGCTGACGTGCGCAGCCAGATTCTTGTGCCTCTTCTCATATCTCGAGTACTTGGGTACGAAGTGAAGGTACTCGCGGCGAATGACAAGCGTCCGGTGCATCTTGGTCGACACGACGGTGCCGGTCAGGATACGGCCACGAATGCTGACGAGACCGGTGAAGGGGCACTTCTTGTCTGCACACAACAAACCATCGTCAGTCAATGCTCCATTGCCTCGCGAGCCCGCAGCCTCTTCGTGCTCCTCGCTGCAATGACGGCTGTTTCATACCAATGTAGGAGCCATCAATGGCAGTTTTTGGTGTCCTGAAGCCCAGGCCAACGTCTTTGAACCATCTCCGGCCACCCTTTCCTTTCTTCGTGCTCTTCTTGGTTGTCGCCTTGGCGTTGGTGAAGATGTGCGGTTGCTTTTGGTAGGCGCGCTCACTCTGGACTGCTAACTCGGTCGCCATGATTGCGGTGAGATGCAATCAATTCGGGTAGGCGAGAAAGAGCTGACAGCAATCGAATGAGTTGGCTTGTCGTGTGCGCGATTCGAAAGTTCGAAGTTGCGCTTGTGCCATTTCGGTGCCAAGACTGTGGGCCGGAAAGCCAGCAGGTTCTCAGGCATTCAGGCAGCCATGCAGAGAATGTTTGTTTACAGCCCGCTTCTCCCGCATTGCTTGACAACCGCGGCATCACCACCTTTGGACACGACACTGTACGTGAATAATGACCGATAACGACATCATGGCGGAACCGGCGAACAAGGAGAATGTTGCGCCGTATACTTCGAGCGACCCACTACAGCTTAGAGCACTATCGCCTGCGAAGAAAGCGGGCAGAAAGGGCAGAAGCAAAAGTATCGGACCAGGCGATTTAGTCAGCTCGGACGGACCGAAGCAGGAGCTCAAGAAGGAGCTCAGAAACAGGCGCAAGTCAACATTCGTACCAGCGACCAAGTCTATACTCTCCGGTGATGCCGAAGCGGAACGCAAAGCGGCGCGTCGCAGAACGCTGGCGAACAGACGCGTCTCCTTTGCGCCGGAGGCGACATTGCACACCTGGGACGTGATTGAATTCATGCGCGACCAGACTACGTCGACAGACTCCTCGGACCCGACGCGACGCCAGTCCAACATTACGCGCTCAGAGGGTGAGGCCACACCATTTCAGCGCTCAGCGGGCACGGACTTTGATATTGAGGAGCCGCCGTCAACGCCACCAGAGCAGGAGGATGAGCCGTCGACTTTGCCTGCGTCTCCGGCGCCTCAGCGCGATTTGCATAGAAAGCAGCGACGGCGAAGCTCTGGGTCTTCACCAGCCGTGGAGAGCAGTCCGGATGAAGGCCTGCCGGAGGGCAGAAGCGGCAGCAGCGATGCGTCTGGCAGCGAGGATGACGAAGAAGTGGAAGACCTAGACGACGTGACCGGCACGGCGATGAGCCTTGATATTGACGAGGCGACTGGGCAGTCCTCGGAAAGCGGCTCCAGCACCAGCTCAAGCCTGACGCAGCGCTTAAGGCAAGCCGCAGAGACAGCAGGCACTCGCGGTATTGAGTACGACGAGGAGTACGAGAGCACCGTATCGATGGAGATCGCTGGAGAAGGGGTAAAGGATGCATCCAAGCCCTGGGCGCCAGGCATGACTGCGGAAACCGTTGGCTCGGCGTCGCTTGACCAAGAAAACGTCAACCCCTTCTCGCCAGCCTTCAAGGCACAGATGACATCCGGGCTGGTTAGGCGACCATCGACCATCGCTGAAGAAGACACCGGCGAGATGAGTATGGATGTGACGCGTGCTGTCGGCGGGATTCTGAGATCGCAGGCTCGCGAGGTAGCCAGTTCGCCAGTAGGAGGGGATACTATGGAGTTTACCCAAGCAGTTGGCAGGATATACCAGGCACCTCCAGCATTGTCTACAAGTCGTGTCGGACAGAAGCGACGGCAATCGACCACCGACGCAGGCTCACCTCAAGCTCCCGCCACCGTCCTGAAGCGCAGTAGGAGATCCTCGGTTGCGCGTTCGTCCATGGGTGACGACACCATGGATTTGACTGTAGCAGTAGGAGGCATCCAAAAGCAAGCCACTTCGCCGAAAGTCGAGCGCCGCAGGAGTGTCGCAAGACGAAGATCATCCGCGGCCACTATTTTAGGAGCAGATGAAGCGACAATGGACTTCACGCAGGCCGTAGGAGGGATCAGGTCCACAGCAACGCGTGCCGAGCATACAGCCTCCAGCTTCGACGAGAACGAAGAGTTGACCATGGAGCTCACCACGGTGCTTGGCGGCATTGGGGCAGCCGACATGGTGCTGAACCACGAGTTGCCGAGCACGCCAAAGCAAGCACAATCTCCGCTTCGAGAGGCGGCAAACACCACTCCAAAAGACCAAGAGCGCTTTAAGGATGCGCCGGACTCAGGGCCGAAGAAGCTCCTGACACCGGTCTTCCAGAAGCAGGTGAGCCTTTCTGCTGAGAAGTCGGCGTCTGCCGAGCGAGAGAAGCGGCGCAGGACTATCTCTCCGGGGAAGGTGTCATGGACGGGTGCTGTCTTCGACGAGGAGCAAAGACCAGAGATGGATGCAAAAGACAGGTTTCAGGTCCTTGAGGAACCTGTGTCCTACCCAGCTCTTACGCGTTTGGAGGAGAAGTCCGCGCCCAAGCAGGCTACGCCGACGAACACGCCGCCTAGCGTTCGTGTTAACGGCACGCCCGTGATGGACTTTAAGCAGGAGCTTCATGCGGACCTGTTGTTTGATGAGCCTGCGAAGAAGATCGAGGAGACTCCGCGCTTGTCGCCCAGAGTAGCTGCTGCAACTCCGGAGAAGCCAGCGGACTCTCAAAAAACCCGGAATACGCTTGCAAATTCGATCAGACTGATGTCCACGCCGCGGAAGGAAACCCTGAAAGCTCAGACGCCTAAAAAGCAGCCTATCTCAAAGGCAGTGAGTCCAATCAAAGCCATGACGCCACGACCACGAGCGATGCCAACATCGAAACTCCAGCCTAAGACCTCTCCAGCAAGGCAACTCAGTAATGACCTCATTAAGCCGCAGTCCAGCGACGAGCCAGTGGAGAAAGTGCATCTACAGGACTTCCTCGATCAGGCAGGCATCCGCTTCATGGACATCACCGCCACGAAACGTCGCTTGACTACTGCACCAACCCCGTCGAAGGCGCGCAAAGACAGCAGTGCCGAATCGGTCACAGAAGAAGCCACCAGCCTCGAGACCGCCATCGTTACCGCAGCATGCACCCAGCCCGAGCACGACATGTTCCAGCACGCCTGCCACGAGCTCAAGCACTACATCAGCGAGGGCAAGAAACTCATTAAGCAGCTCGAAGCCGAAACATACCAAGACTGCCCGCCATTGATCCACGCGTACCGCCAAGCATCGCCGGAACGTAAGGCTGCGCTAGATGCGCAGATGCGGGAGATGAAGACGAACGCTCGCCTGCGGAGCAAAGAGATGTGGTATGCGTGGCGGACGCAGCTGCTTGAGGACTTGATGAAGGGTCTTTCAGGTATTGGCGAGGGGTTGCTGAGGGATGATGAGGTACTGCAGCGGACCGAGAAGATGCTTCAGGAAGTACTACCGGAGCTTGTTGAAAGGCAGCAGCTGCTGCAAGACGAAGCGGAGACGCTGGAGCAAGCGGCGGAGGCGACTTCGGAGGAGGAGAAGGTAGACTTGGAGACTGCTCGGGTGCGTTTATCAGAAGCTGAGGGAGAGGTTGAGGAAAAACAGAAGATGCTGGCAGAGCTGCAACAAGCAGCTGAAGAGCAAGTGAGGCAGGTTGGTGACTTGCAGGAAAGCAAGGCGGAGTTTGCCGCTGCCATCAAAGAGGCTGAGCGTGTCCGTGAAGCGTGCCGTGGCGTCTCGATGGATGAGATCGCGGCGCTGAAGGGTGAGCAGCTCCTGCTGTTTCCTCCCCTCTCTTTAGGTGATGCTAATCGTCCGTCCTGCAGACTCCGTCCGAAAGCTTGAAGAGACCTACGGCTGGACGATCGCCTCCGCCTCTTCCGCCACCCCAACGGCTACCATGACCTACAAGTCGCAGCTGCAACTCTTCTTCCACCCTGCCGCATTCCAAGTACCATCATCTACTGGCACCTCGGCGCATACCAAACGACCAAATGCGCCTATTAGTCTGTTATACATCGCTCAAGATCGCAATGAGCAGCCGAAGGAGCTTACGACAACCCTCCGTTTCTTCCTGCAGCTTCTGCGAGCTAGTCTCCAAGCCCTGCCGCAATGCACGACCCGGGTGGCGGATTTGCTAGGCTTAGTGGGCAGTGGCTGGGGAGTCGCCCTTCAAGTTGCAGAAGCCGAGCGAAGACTGCACCTCGAGACGCTGACTGATGCCCGTATCGTCAGTGATGAGAGACTTGCGATTGATGCGGATCTCCTTTTGCCGAAGGTGCGGACGAAGGTACGCGTGAGCTTTCAAGTCCAAGCCGCTGTTGGGGATGGACTGCGGCTTAGCACCACGATCACGGCTAATGCAGTTGTGGTGTACGGCGAGCAGTATAATGAGAGTAAGATGTCCAAATTCGTTTTGGAGCGATCTGGAGGTATGGCAGAAGGCTGGGCCATTGCAGTGCGAGAGCTGAGGGAAAAGCTCCTCGCTACCGGTGCTAAGGGCTTCAGGAAGTAGCCCGTTAGCTCGTGCACAGGTCCTCCACAACGAGCTGCGACTTGCCGTACGCCACGTTCGGAGATGGTAAAGGCTTTGATCCGTGGTCACTTGCTGGTCACGGGCCTCATCCTCTGTGCTCATGTTAGCACTCCAACTTTGTCAGGACCTGTATCACTCATCGGACATACTCACAGCTCATCCCTGTCTGCTCCACCTGACCGTTTCCGCTCACTAAGATGGCCTTCCAGATCCATCCATTCAGCTGCGAATGCCGTTGTAATCATAGCCCAGTCAAGCACGGTAGGGATGTCAAGGTGCTCGCCATCATCCTCCATCCTATGCCACACCCACGGAAAAGGCGTAGGGATGATATGCAGAACCTCCACTCCGCGAGCCATGAACGGAACATGATCGTCTCCAATCAAGCCGCCAATCCAGCGATCCATGTCCGACTTCTCCGACTCCGGCAAGAAGGGTGATGCAGATGCAGTCTTCAGCTTTGAGACAGAGCGGAGGCGGGTCTCGACATCAGCCATGCGTTGGTAAGCCCAATGGCTTGTTTTGAAGTACGAAGGTACGGTAGGGTTTGCCGCGCCCAGTAAGTCGAGTAGCACGAAGAGATCCATACTCGCCAATGGCGTCTTGAACGTGCTCATGGCCGGGTACATCGTGCCCTCCCACTCCTCTGCCAGCGCTCGCGCGCCGTACAGACTGTCGGCATCAGTCCAGCTATGGAACGCTTCTTCGCCGTCCAGCAGCAGTACCTGCACGCCTTTATGTTCTTCAAGACCTTCGAAGCCGCCAGATCCCACCCCTTCTGCTTCCATCGCGTCCCACTTGCGAGTCAGCGCGTCGTCGAGGGTTTGCGCAACATGTAGCAGCATCGCACATGGTGCTGCTGAATCTGTTGCGCCAATGAAGCCATCCGGTGTAAGTTTACTGTCGTAGTGAGCCACTAGTGCCAACCGGCCGACTTCGCCTTCTCTTTCGTTCAGCCAAGGTGGGTCTCGGATCGCTATGAGGTTTCGGAAGGGTACTTGCGCGCCGTTGGAAGTCGGCGTAGTTGAGGTGCTGTTCTGGAACGTTATGCGCCATCGCGGGAGGTTGACCGTGAAGAAGTCAACGAAGAACGATAAGACCTTCTCTGACCCTGCCGTTCCGGGCACTCGAGGGATAAGGATCGGAGCGAGCAGCTTCCCAGTCCGGATGTTGAAGTCATCGTCGGTTGCGGGGCGGAGGGCACGGAGAGAGTCGTCGGTGAGGGTGGTGTAGGCGACCACTTGTCGGAGGATGGCTGGAAGCAGGAAGAAGCTGACGAGCTTCATGATGGGTGCTATCGGGCTGGAGACGGTGGCATACTGTGAGTTCCACCCAGCGACTGTGTTGCCAATAGCTTGGTGGTCGGAGATGGAGGTGGAGGAGCAAGTTGCTCCGCAACCTCAACTTCACCTCAGCTTGTTCTCGAACATATAGTGCGATACATCACAGTTTAGTCTCAGCAACATGTGATGTACATGACGACACTACTTAGACATCATGGCCTGAGTAGGAATGTCTATGGTATCGTTGCCACCTTGAGACGCAGCGCTGCTGTGCGACCAGTCCCGGCAAGCATACCATGGCAGCCCATGACAGCCCTCAGGCAGAGGACGAGCGAGGCGTCTCGAAAGCCACGTAGGATACTACTAGCCGCTCAGGTTCTATACGTATCTGACCCAGATGATGGTAGAGTACAAGTACCCTGAGCTCCTCAGTGTGTACGTCCAGCCGACCTCCGCCGGAATCTGGGTTGCCTTTCGCCTGGCAACTATGGCCGTTTCAGTCCTGAGCTGGACAGTGGGTGCTCCATTGTACCTCATGAATCCAGCGACACCAGCGTGGTTTGTGCCGACATGTATGTAAATCCGCATCCCGCCCACCCAAGGTATTTGCGTCGCGGTCCTGACCATAGCTGCTTCCAGTCCTGTTTGTGACGAGTGGGCCCTTCTTGTTTTGCGCAGCATTCGGGCAGATCGTCCTCAACATCAAGGCTTCCCTTCCGCCTGCCGCCCGCCGTACGACTGAGGATCTCCGTGCTTTCCTCGCGAAGATACCGCCTGCTTCTCGCATGCGTATAACTTACGTGCGCTTCGCGCCCTGGCCCCTAAAGCGCGAAGTCTTCGTGTCCGACCTTCGTCGCTTGCCCATCAGTCGCGTACGCCTAGTCAACATGCAGATTGTCGGAGACGAGGCTGGCGGCGCGAAGACGATTATGGACGGGTGGTTCGGCTGGTACAGGAGGAGCTTCTGGGTGAATATGGGCTATATGTCGAGGGACAATAGTGCTGTGCCGGGAATGTGGGAGCATGTTTGGCGACAGCTTCCGGTCCTGGGTGAAGAGGTGGCGCAAAAGCCGATGGTGGAAGCTCTGCCCAAAAGGCCGCTGAAGGCTAAGCAGCTCGTGCCTCCTCCGAGCGGCTCCAGGAGAACGTCATGACCTCGTAGCATCATGCTAGTCAGACTCGACGACTACGCTGAGCATTTGGTCAATGCCGACCCGCTAGTAGTGCGCTTGTACTCCAACATTACCGTCGCTTCACGCCCGCACCTATCCCGAGGATTCAGCTTTCCCGGCAAAGCTTCGGCAAGAGATATTGCTTATATATTCAAGTTACGAAGTCTAGTCTGCTAACAGCTGTCACAGGATCTTCATGGTTCAATTCGTGACTTGATTACGCTTAGAAAACCAACTTCTGGGCATCTTCCGCTTAGCGTAGCCTATCAGAGGCACTGCTGGTATCTAAGTCCGGTAATTACGGCTCAAATATACCTGAATGTCAGATGCGACAGTGGTTGTTCAGTTGGAGAGTTTCGTGGTGCGCAAGCATTGCTTTTTGCTAGAGCTTTTTGCTAAGTTTTGCGCCACCCTTACTGTTGTTTGGGGCACGGGACTTTGGACAGCTAGGCTTAGGCTCTCCACGTGCCCATGTATGTTGCCATGCATGCGCAATTGGCGCGACAGCCTATTCGTTATCGTAAGGGTTTGGAGACATGCTTGTTGGGTAAGTGGGCATAATTGATGTATGCGGTCCTCTGTGTCTTGCCCAACATCCTTGTACCTTCCCCGAGCCATACGGCGACTATGTCTGCTGGTGTGCCTTACGTCAACCCATTTGAGTTGTATCTGAGTGCGGAATACCCGCGGTAGATGCATGGTCATCTCAATATAGCATATTGAGGCTGCTGAGATACAATAAAGCTATTTGTCTCTAGGCCGCCTGTCGCAAGCCACCGGCAGAATTGTGAATGTGAGATCATGTTCACAATATCAATATCCTGCTATTCACAAACATTTCTATTGTCGTGAACGACCGCAGTCATACAAATACTTGTCATACTCTTTCGAGGGCTGCTTCCTGGACTCATACGACCCACTGGCAGCAATGTCTTCACAAGGTCACACCGTCCCTATCATAGAGTCTGAACCGGCTAGGCCGGAAACAACCACGGCCGCCACGACCCTGCTACGGCCGACCCGCTACTACACCACGCCAGTCGAAGATACTGGCATCATCGAGGCGTGGCTTCAAGCCAACGTCGTGGGCGCCAAGCCCAAAATATTCTACGGGTCCTTCGTGAACTGGTGCATAGCTACGGTTATCGGTATGAAGCATCCAGGTAAGGCATCCAACAAGCACTTTCCGCCCGAACGCTGCTGCTCTGACCATAGTGCTGTAGACAAAAAGTACGCTTCCAAAGGTGAACAAAAGTTCGATGAGGACGTTTTGAGAACCTTGCGCACCTTCCCCACCCGGACGCAGGCATTCTGCGCTCTCATGGCGTCCTACAGCAAGCGGAGCTGGAAGGGTGGCAATGTGAAGAAGGGCCCAGTCCACGCCGAGGCAGCGAGCAAGTGTCTTGGTTTCTACAATGGCATGCCATACTCCCACTGACACCGCGTAGCCGAAGCTGGGCTTATAGCTGGCCATAAGGCCTTGTACAAGCACGTCTTCTCTGGGAGTGAGCGCAAGGCGATGGAGGCCGCTGGCGGCAACCCTGCTACGTTTGCGGACGCTGAAGACCGCAGGGCGCCGAAGATAGCTGCGAGGGCCGAACGGCGGCAGAAAGCCGTGGCAGCGGCGACAGCAGGCTTGGACAAGATGGCGGTCACCGAAGATGCTGCGCAGGAAAAATCGCAAGATGAAGAGCTGCTGTGAGGCCTACAGCATACTATAGTGCTGTAAGTACGGCGCTGGGATGCCGGTGATGTGCTCAGCGAAGGCTAGGACCTTGGCGATGTCCCAAAGAGATATTTCGTAGATATGTTGCTGCGAGACTTATGGCAGGCGATGGTTTTGTTGGGATTCCATTGGAATACCCGCCAAACCCTCAGCTAGCGGTGATGACCTTGGCCTCCTTGCCAAAGAACCTCCTCTGAAATAATTCATACCCGCCATATATCACGAATGGCGTCCATGCAATGATCAAAACCCACCGTCTCGCAGCTGGCTTGTACCGCGGATCTACCTTCCCCGTTGTCGCATATTGCTGAGAAGCTTGTAATCCGCGCGCTGGATCTTTTGGTCCTTCTGGTATGACGCCTTCGAATAGGCTGTTAAGAAGACTGGGCTTCTTCTTCCTTTGTGGTGCAGGAGCTGTGATTTCCGTCGGCAGCTGCTGCGCTTGACGTTCGGAGCTTGGTCGGTATGGACGAGGCTGAGGTGGGGAGGATGCTGGTGGTGGTGGTGGGCGAGATGTTGCATACGTAGCTGTGTGCCAAGGAGCAGGGTGTCGGTTGCTTCTGACGATCATTTTGCGGTATGCATGCAAGGGATGCTGCCGTTGTGCGACCTGCCAATTGAAGTGAAGTGGGTGGTCGGCACCGAAGGATGTCCGGGCCACCGGCCGGAGACCACAGCCCCTGTCAACGTCTTAAGAACACATACAGTACTACATTAAACCCTGGAATATATAAGCTTGACCTGTCAGTGACTGAATACCATGTGCTCAGCGCGTGCTTTGAATTTGACGATTCTCATGAGAGACAAGCAGGTAGAGACATTGCGCAACCACGGGCCTGTTGTTGAGCCGCTATATCCTTACACAGCCGCATCTTGAAGTCCAAAGATTTCCACGCGAGGTCAATGTATTCCGGCGTTCAGAATCTTTTGAAGCCGTTGACCGCACCAGCCCTCAGAAGCACCTACCTGCGCGTCATGCCACTTTTGCTACACATACAGTAAAGTCGTACTGGATTTCAAGCGTAACAACAACACGACGCAAGCCATGCAACAGCCTTCTAGTCCGTGATACCAGCTGCGACGTAGCAGGCAAATGCGGTACATCTGACAACTTCCCCTCAGTCGTCTCATGCCTTTGTACCAACCACCAAAGTAGGCGACATTGCGGCTGTGTCATTGAGCGCCGACGCGCTGCTGGCAGAAGGGGCATTAATCGCCGTAAACGACGGGGCTGGTGCCGCAATTGGTGGCGCAGCTGGCGCTGGCGACTTGACCTCCTGCTTAACCACAATCGTATCCGCGTCATCGACTGAGGTATCTTTCGTGCCGGTCATCTCAACGTCCCGATGTGCTGTCCCGTTTTTGCGGAACGCTTCACGGTTAATCTGACCTGCTGGCGTCTCGATAGAATCAACAACCGCGGGTGTCTCAGCCGCTATGGGTGCGGTAACTGCCGCGGGACCATGGTGTGGTGGGCGTTGAACAGGTGTGGCGCTCATGGGACCACGATTTGGGATATTGGGCCCCGGAGGCGCACCTGTCGGGAACGCGTTCGTGCCGAAGACTTGGATGGCTTGTGCATTCTCCGGCACGAAGGAGAACTTCATCTGCTGGCCAGAACGTGAGGTGAGGCCTGGCATGTACATCATACCGTTCTGATTTGGTGGTTGTGGGTACTCGCCATGTCCGCTTCCGGGCCTCGAAGGATTGGGAAAGCCGTTCTGTGCAATTGGTGTGCCGGGATGTGACGAACGCCATGCCGGTGAATCGCCTGGCCGTGTATGCGATGGCGACGGTAATACCGCGAAGCCGTTGGGAATGCCTATGGGCTGTGAGCCTAGCAGTAACGGATTAAGGTGATGCTGACTGAGGTACGGTTGCTGAGCGGCATGCTGCACGCTCCTGCGTCTCTCAAGCTCCATGGCATGTGCGTGCTGAGCTTGCGCAGCAGACATTGGCTGTGGCGTTTGAACTGGCAGACCCATGCCCTGCAAGACCTGCTGGTGCGAGAGATCCTGTTGCCTGGCCATCTCCTCTTGCGCCTTGGCTTGCGCTTCCTTCCACTTCTCCACTCTCACCCTGTTTGCTGCAATCTGTGCTCCGTACGACATGCACTGCCAATGAGGCGCATTCTTCGAGCCTTGGTTAATGAGGTGATCAATCTGCATATACAAGTTCTGGAGAGCCCGAATAAGCTCCTGAGGTAGGACAGCGTTGACCTGTAAACAACCAGAATCAAGAACCTGCTGGAACGCCTGCACCGCCTGACCCTCGGTACAGCTTTGAGCGTGGATGCGGATGACCTGCGGTTGAGCTTGCATCATCATGCGGTGATATTCTTCGTCGTTGAATTTCCGTGGCCGTCCAGGGCCTCGCTTTCCGCCCTGCTGTTGTTGTGGCACGTACATCCCGGTATGCTGATGGTTAGCCATGACTTGGGCGTGTATGCGCTGCCCAGCCCATGATCGAAGTGCATTCTGTATGAACTGAATGCCGTAAATGAGCTGATCGTCCGGTTTGCCAGACTTGTCGAGAACGTAGTTGAGGGCGTCAGCCTCGTTGCAAGATGGTCCCTCCTCTTCATTACTCTCTGCGCCACTGCTCATATAGCCAAGCAAATCATCAATGCCATCTTTTGACGTAGGTCTACCATTCTCTGCAACGGTGTTAGTAAGCAGCGACCAACTTCGTGTTAGAAGTGACATACTTTGCTTGCCACTCGGCTTGCCTTGCGCCACATTTTGATGTGAGGGCTGTTTCCCTGACAACCCTGGCGGTGCAGGTACTCCACCAAACGTAGCGAGAGCCGCCGACAATGCCTCTAGTTTCTTGATCATCTCCGCTACAGTGATTGGTTCCTGTGAGCCATGAACCCTCCCAATGCAGTCAAAGTCCACAAGTTCTATACGAGGTGGTGGAGGTGGCGCCGGTCGTGGTGGCAGCCTACTGACGGGCGGTGGGTGTCTTGGCTGAACGTGACCTGGATTTTGATGAGGCGCGGGATGTCCAAATTGTGGGTCATTTTGCGGAGGCATCGGCCCATGGAAATGGGGATGCATTGGCTGACCTCCATGATGCTGCATCACGGCAGGCTGACGTTGCTGAGCGTGCGGTGGCCCGTTAGGCTGAGCATGGCCGTTCGTGGGTGGTGGCTGAACCGGTGCGGCCTTCGGCTTGTCGTCATCTCCGTCCATAACGTAGTACGACATGAAATCACCATAATCCGGGTTAGTGGGGGATGGAGTCGGCTCCTTCTTCACGGGGACCGGGATCTGTTCGAAATGTGTAGGGAGCCTGACGGTGGGTGCTCGTGGAGCAGGCTTAGCAAGTACAAGTTCGTCATCATCCTCCCAGTTGATGCGGAGACTTTCATCGTCCAGAACCATGTTGTCGGAATAGCGCATCCTGAGTACACCTGGCTCGGCTCTAGCAACCACGACGCCGTCCTTCGTCATGCCTACCGGAGAAGGTTCTGACTCACGAGCTGGGAGTCTGAGCTTGAGCTTCTTCGCCGGAGGGCCCAGATCCAACGTCTGCTGAAATGGTTGGGCTGGAGGCGAACTAGACTGACCAGTGGTCGAAGGCAGTGGGCCCATGGGGGCTGTCTGTGGTGCTGGCGTTGACAGACTTCCTGGACTTGGCACATCGACTCCCGCCATCCCTCGCTCAGTGGCAATCTTGTACTTGCGGATCTTGGCATTCGATATCCGAGACGTGAAGTGAAATACGGAGACATGATTGCTCATGCCCCCACGGTTGGCCATCGTGGGTGGTCGAGATGGACGTCAGAACTTGCACGGAGCCGGCTGGTTGCAGCAGGAGGTTGAAGCGCAGACCCACAATTCTTGGCTCGTGACCGCGAGGCAACCAAAACAGCGTCTTGAAGCGAGCGCGCAGGCTCGGCGCACGTGATGTAGACGTGACTTCACTGTCGAGAGGTCAGCGAAGACATCCTGGAAGACGATGAAGGAAGCCGAGTCGAGTGAGCAGCGATGGTGTGGCGCTGAGGAAGGTGCGGAGAGTGGAAGACCAAATCTTAAGTGCGGACAACCGCATGGTCAGTGCGCGCTTCCCAAAACGGAAGCTATGGCAGGGTCACGCTCCCAAAGCATGACAATGTTGCCTGAGATAACAACTGTGACTCTGCAGTGGCAGAGAGAGTGCTCTCGACCACTCTACACTTGTATGACTTGTCAGGCATTGACAGAGACGCATGTTGAGTGTGCCCTGTTGCATGAAGCAATCGATGCTGTGCCTCCCATCTTTGGCATAGAACGCGGGATGAAACTATCCCACGGGTTTTGCCGCTTCACATACGCTGGCAAAAGTCAGTGCATGCGAAGACGTAGCTTGATCAACCATTGGGCAACATATTCCCTGCGTTGTCATCTACTTAGCATACTCACCTCATGAAGTCTCTCGTCCGATGCGCCCTGGGCGCCTTATTGTATAGCACTGTTGCGCTCGCAGCTAGTTGGAGCTTCGAGGATGCTTCCATATCAGTCTCAGGCAAGGCAGCTGGAGTCGGTGGTGCATCGAAGGAGAAGTGAGATGTCGATGCCTTATTTATTCTGGTTTATGTGTTGCTAACCGCTGCGGCAGGTTGTCGCCCAATTCTCCTTTGACGTCGCCATTGGCGCTGCCGGCCGCAGACTCACTCAAGGTCATCCTCACAACAACCGAAGGCTCCACGGGAAAGAGAGCGCACCAGGCATTCCTGACATTGCACGAGCCCACGACCGGGTTGGAAGAATCATTTCCATTCAGTGTGAAGGAGAATGGAAAGGGCAAGGTAGAAGTGGTAGGTTTGGAAACGTTCCGTGGTTACAACGAGCGGAGCTGACTTCAGACGTATAGACGCAGAAAGACCTCCCATTCCAATTCCTCACAAGCACTCAGCCACTCAAGGCATCTTTGGTCATCGCCTCCTTTGGCTCTTCGACTCCGTATAACCAGCATGCCTTCGACCTGAGCATTGAGACGGATGCTGCGGCGGCCCCAGCTGTCCCTTCACCGCCGGAGCGATACACCAGCCAGCCCGAAATCCGCCACATGTTCAAAGCCGACCCACGCTCACCTCCTGCGGTCATCAGTCTGGTGTTTACGCTTGCTGTCTTGGCTGCCTTGCCTGCGCTGCTGGGTGCATGGCTTTTGCTTGGAGCGAACCTTGACCACATCGGCAAAGCCTTCAATGCCAGCCCTGTCGCGCATGGTCTGTTCTTCGGTAGCATCATAGCCATGGAGGGCGTGTTCTTCTTGTATTATACCGTTTGGAACTTGTTCCAGGCGTTGCCGGCCGTATTGGCTGTCGGCGTTGTGGGGTATGTAAGTGGAAGCAGAGCGTTGACGGAGGTGCAGGACAGGCGCCTGGCTGGCGAGCGGTAGACCACAGGCCGTAGATGGCCATCGACGAGTGTACCATGTTCGTGACAAGCGCCGCACACGGCCTTCGTGAGCGTACCGTGTCATACACTTAACCGAGCATGACGAATTCGCGGGCCATAGTAACGAGGGCATGCTAAGAAGTACAAGGCCTAGTCCAAGACCTAGTTCAGAGACCATTACGCGCAAATGCTTGTGCCTCTACTGATCTTGTCTCGAAAACATCAACTCAGGATCTGGATCATCTTCGCTCCCTTCTCGAGAGACCGGCCGCAATCGCGCCGTGTCGAAGCTTTTGTCCAGCTCATGTATCGTGTTATCTTCCTCTTCCGCACGGTCGTTCCCGTTGGAAGCATTCGTGGGGTCGTGAAGATCGCGGGTAGAAGCAGATTCAGGAGTCACACCAAGCACGTTATGCAATATTTGCTTGCCCTGCCGCAACGCATTGGCTTCAGCCCCAATCGCCGCAATGAGCAATTTCCAATCATGCTTCTCCGCAAGCCTGAGAGAAGCGTCGATATGCTCAATCACACCGTCCAGCTGCTCTAGCAACAGTCGTAGCCGCTCATTGTTATCCTGTGGCTGTGCCGGAGGGTCTTCCCAAGCTGATTGCGAACCTGTCATATCCGCCATGCTAGCTCTCAAGCTTCTCTCGAAACTCGTAACCTGTGTCACGACTTTTTGCCACACCGCGGCCCCTTCGTCGAGAGCGGCCTTCTCGTGTTCAACCATCTTACGCCGCAAGAGCACCACATCCTTATCCTGCTTCCACTGCTCCCAAGCCATCTCCAGCGTCCGGCGCCGAGCTGGTAACTCCCACATCGACGTGGTGCCGTCTTGTGGATGCTGCCTTGTTTCCGAGGCTGCAGACTTCGTGGACAAGAAGCGTTGTATATCCGCTTCAATCATACCCAGAGCAGACGTATAAGAAGCCAACTTCGCCTGCACCGCATTCTCCGCCGCCGCAGCTTGGCGGAGAAGCTTCCTATGTCGCACCTTCAGATCCGCGAGCTGCATCTCAACGGCGTTGATCTCATCTTGCAGCACATCCGCTTCCTGTTGCAATCGCTGCGCGCGGATGGCCTCCTCGCCGTCGTGGGCTTCCTGCGTAGCTTCTCGCAGTCCCTGCTGCTTCTGCTCCCACTCGTCGATCTGCGCAAGCGTATCCTCTTTTTCCTGAGCTTCGGCATCGAGTACGTGGGTCTCCTCGTCTTTGACAGCCGACAGTGCCAGAATGCTGGTATAGATGCCTTTGCGCGCAGTCCTCAAGCCAGGCTTCTTCCGCAGCGGTCGTGATCTGCGTCGGGCGGACGAACTACGGACGCTCTGTGCAGTTGGCGTTGTGCTCCCAGTAGAAGCTTGGTCATCAACCAGGCCGCCTTCCAGCCCTTTCACCAGCCCTTCGGCTTGCGCATCCAGCAAGAACTGTAGGTCCGCTTCCAGCTCGGTCTGCCGATCGGATACTGCAGTCGGCGGTTCGATGAGGACTGACCTCGCCGCTATGCGGGGCGAGCTGGTATGGACGCTCTGGACTATGGAAGGCGGGATGATGGAGGCAGCCATGGGTGCAGGACTGCGCCAGCGAGGCAGTTCATGTGGAGGTTCAAATGACGCGCCAATATCGCGGACGCTGGCGGTCGCTTTCGAGAACCATGATCTGGCATCCATTTCAGCATCGAGCGTTTGAGTGGTGATGTTGTATAGTAGCAATTAAGCATACCTTTCCATCTTCGATCGATTGCCTTGTGCTTAATTAGCTTGACTTGGTCACTTGCTCTATGTCTCCGGTTATCGGTGCTTTGACATCTTCGCCTGTGCTTCGTCGCATCTGGACTAGAAAGCTCAGTAATGTCGATCCTTACTAGGAGGGGAGACTGTGGTTGGTGGTGTTTACGGTCTATAAAGCAACCCAAGGGATCGGCGGCATCGCTTCCCAAGCACACCGAGGCAACTTCGACACTCCTCCCTCCACCATCCAGCTGACTATGGGACCGATATCACTTTGAGGACAGTGATGGGACCGGTGTACAATACCAAAATGCTATAAGCGTCGTTAAGGAGCTCGTCATGCTTATATGTCCACCACAAGTCACCTTCAAAGTTGCCGGCTCGGCTACAATACAATGATGTGCTTGTAGAAGCACGTGAAGCACATGAAGTCCATTAAGCTGCCTAGAATACACAAGAAGTCGGCAGTATACTTTACAGCTCACAAGAACAGCCATGGCCAATCCGCCACGCTTCATCCTGTTCCTGCCGCCACCACCTACGCAACCTACATTGCCTTCGCTTAGGGCAGCCTTTGGCGAGACACTAAGCCAAGTTCTCAAAGAGGTTGCAAGCCACTCCTCAGATTCCTCTCAAGCAGCAATCTTGGACATTGCCCTGGCGTGTCCGCACCTTATCGGACACGAGCAGACGCCTCGATCAAGCCTGTACGATACCACGCAAGCGAGTCTCGCCGGCATCTATAAACTTGTCTGCGTGATCGCCGCGAAGGAGAGCATCAATGTCGAAGATGCTGACGGCGTCGATGTCCGTGTCTTGCTGTTAGCGTGGTCACCCGGCAGTACCGAGACCCAGTCTGCACCGTACGGTCCTGTCATAAGCATTGGCACGCTTGGACGATCAGGTCGGCAATGGCAGTATGCTTTTGGCGATGAGTCTGAGGCTGGTGAAGCCATGGTCAAAGCCTTTGTTGCCGCGAAAGGCGGCCATCAAAGTATCAGTCACGTACACGGTAGTGCGAGCTCGGCAGCGGCATCCGGCCATGCACCAAATGGAACGGCTAAGACCATTGACAAGACTGTCTCCCCACACACAAGTACGCATAGACACTGCCATGTTGCCGTAGGCGGAACGTTTGATCATCTGCATATCGGCCACAAATTGCTTCTGACGATGACCGTATTTGCCGTCGACGAGCCTACCGACTCTGGACCTCCGGCACAGGAGCGGAGCGCAACGCTTGGTATCACTGGTGATCAATTGTTGAAGAACAAGAAGCATGCTTCAGTCCTCGAGTCATGGGCTGAGCGCCAGAATGCTGTGCAAAACTTCCTCGACGGTATCGTGAACTTCAGTGCTCAAGCACCGGACAGCAGAGTGCGCAATGACGCAGGGCCCAACGGCAAGTCCGTGGATCTACACTACCCGAACGGTCTTATAGTCAAGTGTACCGAAATACAGGACCCTTTTGGCCCGACTATCACCGAGGAGCAGATCTCAGCCCTGATCATTTCTGGCGAGACGAGGGCAGGTGGCAAAGCAGTGAATGACAAGCGCAAGGAGAAGGGCTGGGCTGAGCTGGAGGTCTTCGAGGTGGATGTACTTGACGCCGAAGACGAAGGCGAGGATGTGAAGGAGGGGTTCGGCAACAAGCTGAGCAGTACCGCCATCCGAGAAAAGCTCGCCAGGAAACAGGACGGTGGAGGGAGCGGGAAGCTTTAGTTACTGCGGCCCGGTGCAGAAATTGTGCCGTGCTATCGAACCGGACGGACAACTTTGCCTCTGAAAATTGGAAACAAGCGCCTTCAACGACAACAACATTCACGATCTCTGCCGAATTTACGGCGTGCCGCCTTCCTACCCACCATGCAGCGGATCCAACAGCGAGCAGTTACGGGAGCGGTAGCAGCATCGAAGCCACCCTGATTCGCCTGCGCCGTCTTCACATGGATCAGGCTTTCATGCATCTGCGACACACTTTCTACCGGCTTTTCACAACATTTGGCGGACTGTGTATAAGGCTTGGTTTGAGCACGCATTAGCTGCAGTGGTGCCGTTTCATCTTCGGCCCGAGATCCGAACATGGCAGGGTCCTCCGACACCGCCTCACGTCCTCCAATGCTTCGCAACGCGCAACCATGTTCACCATAGTACTGGACAGTCAGTATTAGTCTTGGAGCACGTGGCTGTGTCGCTGGTCGTTCTGCATAGGAGAACTTGAGGTCCAAATGCGTCACTCTAACCCTGCTTCCGAATGGATACCTCACCGCACATGCAAAGGTGCTGAAAGGCTGGCTATTCGGAACCCATCAATTAAGGCGCCGGTGCTGTCTCGCTGGGCCTGCTGCCTGCATACTCACGTGTCGAGCATGAACCATCGGGCCAGCCGATATCTGCATATGGTGGATTGCACGGTTCCGTGCACAAGGCTGCCGTCAGTCTCGGAACCTTTAGAACAGCTATGGACTATGTAAGTCCGCCGCGATGATCGTCAATATGTGGACGAGTGTTTCGATAACGTAGAGTTGCTGCTTCTTGGTCAGCGCCCTAATGTCGTGTGAATCTGCTGTTCTCTCTATCTTTCTTCGAGCAAACTCGATGCTACCGCCATCTGGCCCACTTCTCACATCCGTCGTCCATCAGAGACCGCTATCTAACAATCAGTCCAGCGCGTACGGTTGTTGACCGTGGGTAGTGAGGAAGTCCAACCGAAGCCAACAGGTTCCCACAGCTCGACAAGCGTCAACGAACAAAGCCTTTTCCACAAACACCATGCCGCGCAACATTCAATATATCTTGCCAAGCGCTTTGGCTTCGTGGTCTACGTCTAGCTCTGCGCATTCACAGGACGAGCGGACCTCGCTGACAAGTTATGCATGCATCCTCCAGGTGGTTTGCACAATGCTGGTGGGAATGCGAAATCGCGCAGCTACCGATTGGTACAGTCCTCCACGAGCGCCATAGCAGCGTTGCAGAGTATGAGTGCTGTCGGAAGATCCAAAGGATATTGGCTGTGCTATACACAATCGCTTAGATACTTTAAGTGAATACGCCCTTCTCCGGCTGCTGTTCGGCGTCTTTCTGTAGCTCAAGGAAGATCCCCTCATCATGACCCGGTATCACCCTCCCGCGCGTCAATCGCACAAGATGTTTCAGGCGTTGGGTCGAGCGGAACCAAGCAGGATGGTCACGAGCAAGCCAGCCCTGCGGAATGCCATCGCGCCACTAAAAGGCTAGATTAGCGTTGTACGAACCTATATCGATCCTTCCACTCACGTTCTCAATCACATGGCAGTGATCGCTAATGAAGAGGAACGTGCCGCTGTTGGGAAGATTGATCTGCATGCCGATCAAACCATCAGTGTGCCCCGGCAGGTGATGCAACGTTATGCCTTGGCAGAAATCCATAGTCCGTTCATCGAACGTCTTCCAATTGAGATCAAGTCTGAGATAATGCTTGAGGTAGACGCCGACGTCTGCGCCCGTGGCTACACTCCAGAATGCTGAGCGGAGCTCAAGATCGTGCACCCAGATCTCGACATCCTTCCTGTCCAAAAACATATCAAGACCGCCTGCATGGTCTAGATGCAGGTGACCAATGATGATCTTCTTTACATCCTCCAGCTTGTGGCCCGTTGCCTCGATGGCAGCGTCGAGCTCATGCCTGGGCTCATACTTGACGCGAGAGAAGACGTCACTAAGCTGGGGTCTACAGCACGAAAGGTCGCATCAGCGCCATCAAGCATGCCATGAACGTTCAATACGCACCCCCAGACCTCAGGGTAGTCCTTGCCGCATCCAGTCTCCCACAGGATCACGCCTTCGATTGGATGGTCGATGAGGACACAGTACATGGGCAGTTGACGCCTCTTGTTTACGAACGGCTTGTCCTTCGTGCTTGTCAGGGAGGTGTTGCCACCTCGGATGACAAAGCCTTCATCTGCTTCTAACCACCCAACCTCCAAAAGCCACATCTTCGTGCCATCGGGACAGACGTTGGAAACATGGTTTGGAACTGCACCATGGTCAAGTTGTTCCTGAATCTTCTTTGAAGTAGCCATAGTGATGGAACGCACTTGAGACGTCTCTTGCAGTATCACCTTGGTGGTTCTTACTGTACAACTTACGGTGCCGTACCCTACAACGCACACTGGCCGTTCACGACGTCTTAGCCATTGACCTGCCACGGTCGAGCATACGCCATCTGAGGGGCAGATGGAGGTAAAGTGCGGGGATGCATAGGGAGGATGCTGGTTCTGACGAACGAGAGGTGCTGATCTGCTTGTTCCCGCGCCGGTGATCCGGCGATGTGGCTCATGGTTGACAGCACGAGAGCACCTGCCCTTCTGGCCAACACGTTGCCGCGTGACCAGATGTCCAGCCGATACAGACCATTGAAAGTCGGGGTCGAGGCTTCGCGGATGCAATATCGTCCTTGATCGAGCCGTCTTTGCCGCTGCTGATCGGCCCAAGCCCGGTTCCGGCAAGAAGCGTGGGGGTCACCGTGCCAAGAGAGGAGAAGGACGACTCCACCTGTTCCTCTACGGCGAGAGCAGATGGAAAGCTACGGGTTGCGACTCTCCAAAGGATCTTGCAGGGCGCTTGCTGGGCACGACCGAACCCGTCTGGTGGTACTGCACCTCACCTTCCCCGCCCACAGTGCCCAGCGTTGCCGCGACGCACGCAGTTGCGCGATCATCCGCAAAAACCGGGGACACCCCGACGCCCACGCGATGTGGCGCTGCATGACTTGACTACAAGCTCACATGGCCAATTCACTTCCTTCGAGTAACGGCCTCCTGCGCTTCCCACGTTGCCTCTCGCGACGTACTCGGATCCGCTTGGTCCATGTGTCATCACTAGCGCTTCATGTACGTACTTGCTATTTGCCGGTTCGCCTTTCGCTGCAAAATGAATTGCCTTTTCCGGTCATCAAACCGCGTGGGATGGGGCAACGAACGGGAGGGGGAAATCGCAATCAGCTGCATCTCTGAAGTCAGTACCTGTCGAGGCTCACCACAGTAGGGCCCACCGCGTGACAGCGGATGATAGGCCTGGCTCTCAAAAGGTGCAGCAACCCTAACTTGTGTGCCTTCTTCTGTACGACCGCCTTCCGTCGACAGCCTTCCCAACAGTATGCGCCACATCTACCATCCTAGTCTGCTTCCTGCACGGTCCGATCTCTTCTCTCCAAGCGACTCATCAGACCTGCCATAGCAACATCTCTTTGCTTTCCTCGTTCTGATCCTTGCTGGCGTTTGACCTTTGTCGGTCCAACCGTTTCAACACGCAAGAAGCGACTATCAGCAGTGACCGGCTCGATCAGCATTGGCAAGATGCCGTTGATGCTCGATCCTGGAAGCCCTAGCAGCTCGTCAACAAGCAGCAAAAGACTTTCGCATTTCACCATCGGCTCCGTCAGTGTTGACGATGTCCGCCGCATTGTTGACATAGAATTCCACGCTTTTGAGGACGAACGGACCAACCAGCAGCTCTCGTTCAGAGACTACCAGAAGCCCGAGCATTTCGAACGATCCGTCAACATATATACCAATATTCTGACTGCCGCGCAAAGAAGAGATACCGGTTTGGGTGGCAAGCAAGCCCAGGTCTACTGCGATGAGGCGTTGCGGCATAATTACGTCAAGTTCTACAAGGTGGAAGACACGGAGTCAGAAGATGTCGTCTCGTTCGCGAAGATGGAGGTTAAGACGTACACTGTTGACGAGCTTCTCTCACCTGCAGATACTGGACATGAACGAGAGCCTAAAATGAATAGGGATTGGTTTGCCCTCAACGAGAGAATGCGGAGGAGCTACGTCGGCCTTACGAAGCATTGCTGTACGTTCGAAGTTACGTTCTTGCACACGATATTGCCAGTACTAACGGACCGGTAGATATCGCCATGCTTGCGACGGAGCCGTGCTATCAGCATAACGGTGCAGGGACCATGCTCCTGAAGACCATGCTCTCTGAGGCCGACGATGCGGGTATTGAAGTCTACCTCGAAGGCACAGATACCGCCAAGGCGCTGTACGAGAAGCACGGCTTTGTCGCCGTCAATGAGATTCGCTTCGACCCTGCGGAGTACGGCCAACATGATATTGGGAAGGAGCGTCAAACAATAATGGTACGTGGAGCTTTAGCCAAGAATGGCGCGAGGCGAGATGTGCGGGCGTGGTCCTTAGCCGCGGCGCAAGCACAGGCGGAGTGTAAAGCAAACATCGGTTCCAGGTAACCGGTAGCGAACAGGTGCCTACACAGTGGAGATTTAGCTTTGGCGGGAGAAAGTCGCAGAACGTTTCGTAAGACAGAACCCACGGGGACAACAGCACGGGGCAGACGAAACAGCGTCCAATATCTAAGATAACCCGAGTCTATCCTTTATCATGGTATCTCCAGCGTGCTCAAGCTCGACAATGACTCTACGAACAGCCAGCCAACAGTATCATATGGATGTACATCAGATGGACATATGAGACTCATCTACATCCAAGTCCTCGACTGAGCTGCCATCAGTGCGTCATGACCTGCTTAATGGTCTTCTTGTGCCATCGCGAAAGCCATGTGCCTGCATAGAACGTCCTGATCCGTTTCCCGAAAGCCATGAAGACAAACACGAACAGGTTGTTGGCAAGTAGCACTCCGCAGAAGACGCCAGCAATGATCACAGCATACCCGGACTCGATAACCCACTCCAGGAGGTACAAGCCGAAGGCGAATGAGATCATCTGCTTGCCGACACACATAGCAATAAGCATCTCGGAGGTGTTGGCGTTGTAAGAGTCGACAGCGTAGGCAAGGGTAAAGGTGAAGAAGCTAGTGTTTCTCTGTCAGCGTTCTGAACAACATGTTGGCTTAGAGCTTGGAGAGCGGCTTACAAGTAGCTGCCCCAGTCACACATCGCGACACCAGCAAAGTAGCCGATCCAATGAAGCTGGTATTGCGCCGTAAGTCCGTATACGATGAGTCCGACAGGCGCGATGATGGCTGCAGGGATCAAGTTGCCGAGACGCATTTCCGCCTCACGAATGCCATTGTTACGCTTCGTGTAGTATGCGGCGAGTCGATCAGACGTCCAAGTGAGCGGCACTGCCAAACCGTAGCCGATCAGGTTGCCAAGTGCGATTAAACCAGCGTTCTCCTGCTTCCAGCCGTACGGCGGTTGCACGATAATGGAGGGGAAGGTGTAGTTGAAGACGAGCGCGCCGAGACCAATGTAGATTCCGAAACTGCAAGAAGACGTAAGCATATGGCCTGGCAAGTGCTAAATGGTCTGCAATTCGAAAACAACGCGCGCTCTCACTTACCTAGTAACGACCCAGAGGACAGCAGGCACAAGGAAGTAGCTGAACGAGCGGATTATGGTCAAGAAGAACGACTCGTCGTGGTTAATAGCTGACCATGGCTTGAGCGTCTCGATGAACGTTCGTCTTGGCGGCACCAGAGTCTGCACCTCGACATGGTGGGTTGCTGTCTTGCTGTCGAGTACCTCGTCTTGGCCGAAAACCCTCTTCTCGCCGTCGGGATTCGGCAACGCTGGGCCGCTCGGCGAGTCTCGTTTGTAGGTAGTCTCTTCGACGAAGAGGAAAGCAAGAATCAAGAGCAGACCGGCAAACGCAGTCTCCACGTAGAAGAACAGGCGCCAGCTGTATCCGCCAGCGAGCATATAGCCCGCATACAGTGGCCCTGTCGAGCCCCAGCAGAGGCAGACGGTGTAGTATCCAAGCTTGCTTCCGCGCTCGTGCACTAGCACCTGTCAGTCTGTCTTCCCGCCGAATTGAGGAGCGACACCTACAGAAGAAGATATCATTAACCAGCTGCACGGGTAAGGCCTCGCAGACGCCGCTTGCGAAAGCGTGAATGATACGAGCTGCCATGAGGCCACTAAAGCTTGTGCTGCAGCCGCAACCAATAAGACCGGCAAGGTATACGACGAGCGAGAGGAGCATAACTGGTCGACGTCCGAATTTCAGGTACATCGGTACCTAAGAGTATTGGTGGTAAACGTTAGCGTTGTGTCGGCCAGCAACCGAGGCCTGAGGTTTGATCTTTGCATACCGTGATGAGCGTGCCAAGGCCATAGACGATGTTTGGGTATGAGATCAACCCGGAGGCAACCACTGGAGAGATGCCGAAGTACTCGGCAAATACGCCAATGTAGACGGAGGGGCCAAGAAGCGCAGAATTGCTGAGGAAGGAGTAGAGGCTGCAAATGCTCAAGATCATATTCTTTCTCCATGACGGCCATTGTAGTGGATCGTTAGGATCTTCCGCAGGTACAGGGAACAAAGCCTGTCCGTAGGCAGTGTCGTCTCCCTCTGCAGCTCTCAGGTTGACGGTGCCCGGAATTGCCTCCTCGTGGGCATGACTGCAAACGTGTCAGTGACTATTCGCGTCACAGTACCGAGCTGTTAGCGTTACCTGTGGACAAGGTGTTTCTCGTGAGGAGCCATGGTGGACCAGCACTACGAGATCTGGTGGAAGTTGGCTGTATTACGAGTAGAGCGGGGAGGAGTGATGTAGGAGGAAATGAAGGGAAGTAGATCATTCATGAAGGCCATCCTTCGGCACCCATTCACCGCGCCTGATAACGAACTGCCGTCCTGCCATCTCCGGGCGTGGCAACTATTGGCAGCATGGGATGCTCGCGGCGCCGCACATGCGCATCTCACCCTTGGCTAGAGCAAACCAGGCATGCGGGACCCCAGCTCAGGAGCCACCTGCTGGTTGGAACCGAGCCGAAAGCATGCTCTAATTCGGCCCTAGCCCCAACGTGGAGGTTAGCAGCATGGAGCGGACGCTCACCCGCGGCCCCTGTCGATATTAGTCTTGCAGACTGCTGCGGGGTGCCCATAGCAGACGGCGACTGCACCTGACACGTGCTGTGTCCTGGTTTCAGCCTAATTGTATCTTGACCGGAGCCGCCTTCGCAGACGGCTTTTTAGCATTGGGTTATTACCAGCTTGTGCTTCCAAAGCACCCGTGGAATATTGCTCGAGCCTGTGCAAAGCGGCCGTTGTACCTCTTGTGGGGTAGGACAGATCTATCGTAACGGAGTGCAGCTGCATTGGTGCGGTTAGTGGATGCACTCAAGTCGCGACGCGCGCGCGGGCCTAGACGGCCTGTCTTCGCTAAGGTCAAAGCTAATCTATTCGACCAGACTACAGTAGCTGGCATAGTCGCTAACCGCAGGCATTAGTGTCTTAGTTGGACGCAACTGCAGAGACGCTAGATTGTCGACACGAGATGGAAACGACAACGACACAAAAAGAGCCCCAAGATCTAGATCTTCTTGGTTTAATGTTAGAAGCTGGTTCGCCATCACCACCTCTCTGCCAATCTACGGATTACTTAAGCCGTTCCCAAGCTTGAGAACATTCAGCCGTGATGGCGCTCGCGCCGCTCCCTTACTTCTCGGAAGGCTGTACGAGCCGAACTAGCATCATCTTCCCCGTGAGTGCCAAGACTGACTGCCGTTTGGTGTTCGGCACAGCAATGTTGGGGAGCTCATGCAACAAGCTTCGTTTCAACGAGGTCCGACCGCGAGATCGGTTGACCGACCAGTAGCGATCATAACAGCCTGCTCGCTGTAGTTGGACCGTTACAAGCGATCCAGGCAAGAAGGCGTTCAGTTCCAGCCGATTATGCCCTGACCGATGACTTTATGATCTTGAAGCAGGGACACTCGCCTCCCAACGACTCCGGTTCTGCCAACTTCTAAAGCGAAGCTGCACGGAAGCGAGCAAGGCGTACCGCTATTTGCTGGTTGCGGCAATGTAAAACGGTGCATTATCGTTCGGCCATCGATGTCTCGGGACCGAAGATCTCCGTCGTTGCTACAGGGGCAATTAGCAGTAACTATGCCAACAGCTGACTATGCACTGCCGCGTCGTCGCCTACACAACATAGAAATGACTTACTGTATGACAATCTCCATATAAGCCGCCGATGCTGGCCCTCCGCTCAAGCACACTGTTGTGCCTTCGTTCTGAGCCGAGTTGGCAAACTTCAAGGTCACTTCGGACGGAGACCGCGCCTGGCTTTCTGCATAGGGCTTCAGGATAGCGATCGTACCGCCTTCGCTTGCTCGAGCGCTGTTCTCCGCGCACATTGCCAGTGTACTAGGGTTCACAGGCGTGCTCGAGTGGCTGCTTTGAGAACGAAGTCTATGTGGTGCCGTCTACCGCATGGTATGGTCGTGAGGGTACCGAGGCCAAAGCGTCAACCTTGGTGGAGTCCTATGGTGGGCAGCAACGTTGTTGTCTCCGCCATTTGCAGATAGCCCTTGGTTGTGATATAACGAGGTACTTATCTAGTCGAACCGTTTGGACAATGCTTTGGCGCAGCAAATACTCGCTCGCTTTTGCGACAATATGAGCAAGTTTCTTCGGCCATTCTGCAAAAGCTTGGTTGCACTTACGCTGGCAAAATAGCATGCGTCCTTGATTTGACGAAGCCAGGACGGATACCTAAAAGCATCAGATCGTTACGCTACCCACCTACTGTAAGACGTGTCTCAACGGCGGCCGCCTTCGGTCAACATGGGAAAGTGCATCGGTACAATGGTAGCAAGCGTCCGGCATTTACGAGCAATATCGAAAGACTATCAACATAGCGTTTTATAGTTTGCTTCGTTAGATCGTCCACACGTCACCGTGCCGCGAGTCCGTCAGGGCAACGTTAGAAATATCTACTCGCTCTCGATATCGTTGTGCAGGGCGCCGGACTTCTCGCCCAAGACGTCCCGCGACTTCTCCGGCTCGGCGACGCTGCCTTTGCGGACAATGTCGTCAAGACCAACCTCGCGGTTGATCTCGCGCATACGCTCAGCATCAGCCGCAGCTACACCGACAGAGCCGAAGAGGATATCCATCTCCTCCAGACTGAGACCCTTGGTCTCGGGGAAGAAGATCCAGATGAAGGCGGCACCCATGAAGATGAGAACGCCGAAGAGGATGAAAGTACCGTACGTCATACCAGTGAACATGTCGGGCGTGACTTGTCCGACGATGAAGCTGTCCGCACGTTAGTAACGGAACCATCCGGAAGTGATGAGAGACATTGTACTTACTTGTTCATCCAGTTGGACGATGCACCGAGAGAGATACCGTACGGGCGTTGTGAGATGGGCCAGATTTCAGCAATGACGATCCAGGCGCAAGGTCCCCAGGAGTAACCGAAGTGTACGACGAAAAGCCAGACCATGACGATAGCAGCCCAACCGGCGCCGACGTGGTTTGGCCAGTCGTGCTGGAAAGCTCCCTGGAGGCCAGCAACAATAATGTGGCAGATACCCATACCGATGGCACCGGTAATGAGGACTGGCTTACGGCCAAGTTTGTCGACGTACATGACGGCAGGGAAAGTGGCGATCCACATTACGATACCAACCACACCAGTAGCGAGCAGTGAGGTTGTGTTACCAGACAGGCCGAGGCCGGCGAAGATCTGAGGTGCGTAGTACAGGATTGCGTTGATACCTACACCGCATTAGCATCGCACCGTCTCGCTTCTCGGAAGTTGTGACTTACCAGTCCACTGCTGGAAGAACATGGTCACTGTGGCCAAGGCGACGCGGCGAAGCATGGGCTTGGACTTGAATAGCGACCCCATTGCGACGAACTGGAGCTTGACGGTCGACCATGCGGAACCATCGGCAAGATGAGGGAAGTGCTCAGCTACGGTACGCTTCTCGAAAAGCGACTGGGCTCGGATCTCAGTGAACTCGAGCTCAATCAGCTCGTGGTCCGGTGACAAACTGCGCAGACTGGCCAGCGTCTTGCGAGCCTCGGCCTCACGACCGTGGTGGACGAGCCATCTTGGCGAGAACGGCACTAATGCGCGTTAGTCCGGCTTAAATATGTGCTGTGGCGTACGACTTACTGAACAGAACACCAACGCCCAAGATGACCGCCGGAGCCAACTGAAGGCAGAGGGGCAAGATCCAGGCAGTCGACGTTTGGGTTTCACCGGTTCCGCCGATGTAGTTGGTGCCGTAGTCCTAAAGTACAACAACATGATCAGCCTCGTCCGAACCAAGGGTGGCATCAATTGACACGTACGATCCAGAAAGCGATCATGATACCAGTAGTGATGGCAAGCTGCTGAAGACCGACCAATCCACCACGAACCTCAGGCGGTGCACACTCAGAGTTGTACATGGGCACAATCATGGAAAGCGAGCCGACACCCATACCTTGTTCGAATTAGTCGAAATGCCGCCAAACGAGGGGTGGATTCAATCTCACCCGTAATGAAACGTCCTCCCAGGATTGAGTTGTGTCCAGCAGCGACAGCCGTGACCTGAACGACAACACCAATAATGAAGATGACTGTGTTCACCAGAATTGCGTATTTGCGGGAAATGATCTCGGCCATGAAACCACCGTAGAGGGTACCCAACCAGGCGCCAAGTTCGAAGATGGAAGTAAGCCAACCCTTCAGAGTCTGGTTCGACACGTAGGGCCCCATAGCTGCATGCATGTTAGGCTCTCACTGGCTTTACTGGGTTATTGCTCAGGGCAATTTACCTCGTCCGAAAGAATTCATCGCCAGCACACCAGAGAAAACGCCCTGATTGTATCCATAGAGAAGACCACCGAGACAGGCGAAGCAGGCGATGCCGAAGACTTTGGCGTTCCTGACTAGGGCAGCTGGACCAGCAGAACCTGTCAACTCCTGGCGGCGCTGGAGGGCATGCTGATCGAACTGCGAAGCTGTACCGGCGGGCGCCATGGCTTCTTGTTCCCGGACAAGGAGTTAAAGACGAGAGTTTAATCAAGCTGTGTGCTCTTGAAGAGATGGGGAACAAGTGGAAGAGAAAGCTTGGGTGGCCGGTATATAATACTTACGAAGGAACCACTGCTCACGAGCCCTGTCGGCCCCGAGATTCGTAGAAGCGGTTAGGGTCGAGCAGCGGGGTGCTAGGTTAGTCCATTGTACGAGCTAGCGCTGCCTCACGTGTCCCATTATATGCCGGCTAAAGGCGTCTTTGCATCTGGAGTTGGCGCCCATCCTACGCTTATATGGTCAAACTTCTATGGTTGCAGCTAGCAATACTTGTGAAGTGCGGCAAAGGCGCGCACAAATTCAGGACAATAGACTGCTTCTCGTTGACGATATCCCAACTGCTCGTTTACGGATCCGAGACAACGAGGAACGCGGACAGCCCTGTCTCCATACAAGCTGCACAGACTAATGATCGCCGTCCTGGCCAGCCCTCCACGCAGTGGAGCTTCAGCCATGTGATTTGCCAACGACATGGGGACGGGTGGCTTCTGGGGTGTGGAGACGAGGAGGCGAGATGGTCATCCGGCTGAATGCATTTTGTTGCAGTCCGTGTTGTGGTCACGCCGGTCAGAAACTGGCAGGTTGGCGCCGTCGTATTCTGCCTGAATGCATTCATCCCGGCGCAACCGTGGGTCTAGCGCGTTTTGACGAATTAATACACCAAGAACGTGTCGTCGCTCGCCGGCACCAAGCGGGTTTCGGCACCAAGCCAAAGGCTACTTCACAGGATGCTTGTCCAGCGTGGCCGTTTGGATGTGTTTCGCGCAATCATGAGCAATGAACTCCTCACTCGTCGCCGCCCAAATCCTCCCGCATCGCCCCACGACCCGACCTCAAGTTCGCTGACACTGCCGTGCAGGGAGAGTTGCAGACTTCATGCGTTCTCGTTGGTAAGCACTGGAGCAGGAAGAATGAGGCGACTGCGCTGTTGAGCCACACATCATCAAAGAGCTCAAGTGGACAACACGGGGGCATTAAAGCCTTTCGGCCAAAATTCGGTCTGGCGATCTCGCCTTGCCCAGAGTCGGCGGCCGGAGATTCCAACTCAGAGAGCCAGTGTGACTGACTCATGCTACACGTTCTTGGAGTCGTCCTTCATATTCGGCTCCTGACCGTAATCTGGACATATGCAGTGACGGCAACAACGCAGACCCTGACGTTTTCCTTCATTAACCGTAATGCTGAAGGCGCATGTAATATTCATTGAAAGCTTCCGGAAGCACATGGCCTTGCTATAGCACTGAACCTTCATTGGTCACAATGCTTCTGTCTGTCTGTCCACACGCAATCGGCATCGGCGATCATTTGCACGCGAGAATAACAACTGTGGTCAAGTCGAGAAATGCTCAACGCCTATGCCACGCACGGCCATCTACCGTAACGTAACCAACATCCTTTCAATCGAACAGGAACATCTTACGCGACGCTTGTCCTATTGAGCCTCGGTGGACGAGCATTACGTCCATCAGGCCCATTACTGCCCCACCTGAAGCCGCTGCTACAACAAGTGCGAGAGTGACACCCAAGCCTGTGCGATATTCTCGTTTCCGGTACGCGCAAAGTCGAGAACAATCGATCTCAAGATTAACAGACTCACCGAGGCGCAGCATCAATGCGATGTCGGGTTGGACCAAGGGCTACAGGTATGAGAAGTATGGCTCTCCGTTGCACTTCTTTCTCAGCAGCGCCCGCGAGCGAGCGCAGACCTTAACATTCCATCTTTCCAAACAGCCTCTTCGCTTTCCTGAGCAGAAGTGAAGCAGCGAAAGCGTCGCTGTCTCTGATCGCTATCGGACCTATCGATTGGTACCGTTCAAAACTCTGACGCATTTCTTCCACTCAATGTCTAGGACTTTTGTACCTATACACTGGTAGAGGGTATCGTGTTGCCAGCCATCTTCGGTTTTGCTAACGACCAGGTTCTACGGAAGACCACTATGTCGACACAATCATAGGCAATTGAGCGCCGCACAACCTGTCACAGCTAAAGTCTGCACTTGGATTGTGAGACGCGCGACGGGGTGGTTCTGGCATGCAAGCGAAGCGTGCGGGGATGCAAGTTCTTGGTAAAGAACATGCAGCAGTGGAGGACAGTGACGAGCAGGGCAAGCACCACTTGGAAACCGCTCACGGTTACAACATACCTCACATGCGCAGCGGCGCAGACAGTAGCAGCACCGCTCAAAGCTGTGGCAAGGCAGACATTGCGACATTGAGTAGCGAGGTGGAGTACCGCAAACTTGACTTCATCGTGCCGCGCGAGGATGCGATGTACCGGGTCACGGCATGCGGACAGGATCGACGAGATATATTCAGCAAGCGCGCCTTGCATCCGCTGCACTTTGGGATATGGTACATGCCTAGGGAGTCCACACAAAGCGCGCGATTGAGTACGGGTTGGCCTCTAGTTTCACAATGCTGCGGCATCGTTGGAAGATGCACATATACGACCTTCATGCTGACTCTGGTCAGTATGCGACGGTGCGCAAAGGAACGGCTTCGTACCGACGACAGCAGCAGGCAGAAATCACTGGCATCCTTCATTCTGTGCAAAGCACGATACACCGCGAAGTCTTTCTGCTGTCGACGATGCACAGCTAACTGAGCCTCTTGCGCCACTCAGCGGGCTCGTTGCCAATACTGGCGGCTAGCACAATGTCACAGACAACTGTAAGGTCGTACCTCTCGCCAAGGCTGGCCTGGTATCACCGGATATGCTTCACCCAAATGATCGACTAATGGCTAGCATGCCTCGAGCAAGATCTCCGTCTTGCGGCTCTTCACGTCGCTGGACACGAGGCTCTATACATTCGCGCGTGGTTGGCGGAACGTCAGAAGCCGTAATGTGAGTGTGGAGACAACAGCAGCGAATCAGTTGCGGAGCTGTGAAGCTGTATGAGTGATATCTACTTGCGAGATGAGACGTCCATGCTATCAGCGGACTTTCTCCTAGCGTGCAGACCAGGCAGTCATACGTGTTTGTAAAGATATCACAACTCCAGCGTTGTCAGTTGTAGCGCGACAAGCAATGATACAACAGGAATAAACTGTGCTTGGCCTGCAAGACTGTAGCGTACCACGTGATCGGGTTACCTGAATAGGTAGGGGAAGCTTTCGAGCTCCTCCTCGGTGACTGTAAGCCCCACCTACCGAACCCGTGGCATTCATTGTGGCAGCTTACTGACAAACGAGGAGCAAGTGATCGTTAGCCGTAGGAAACCCTCGTGGTGTGCCGAACAGCTTGATGTGCGCATAACCAGGGCAAGGTTGCCGTCCAACCTTACCACTATGTGGACGAAACAGTGACGCTTACCTTCCGGCCACCGCAAAGGTTAGTTACGTCTCTTCATTCCATTACATTGTCCCTCAACCGTGTAGAAACAGCTTGGCAGCAGTGCTCATTGTCAGGACTGATCTATGGCATTCCTCGCCCGGTCCCTTCTCCGAAAAACTCATTCATCGGCACGCGCGAGTCGGGCTCTCCCCTACCATCAATGCCGCCTTCAGCACGATGTCCATGATCCACCACGCGGCAACCCTCCGATAGCCGGACGCGGGCCACCAGGACCGCCAAAGGAGGAAGCAGCTTCGCTACGAGACAATGGCAGGCCGAGCTCGTACCTCGGTACTACCAGGCGTCTACCAGAGTTCAACCTGAATGACAAAGTAGTGCTCGTGACGGGAGCAGCAAGAGGCTTGGGCCTTGTGCAAGCAGAGGCGTTGCTTGAAGCTGGAGCCACAGTATACGCGCTGGATCGACTGACGGAACCCTCGCCCGACTTTTACAGAGTGCAGAAACGAGCGGCCGAAGAGCTAGGGACAACGTTGCACTACCGGCAGATTGATGTTCGCGATGTCCCACGCTTGAACGAGATTGTTCGCAATATCTCCGAGTCTCAGGGAAAGCTCGATGGCTTGATCGCTGCGGCGGGTATACAGCAAGAGACGCCAGCGTTGGAATACTCCCCAAAGGATGCCAACACCATGTTCGAGGTGAGTAGGCGATCAAACGAGAAAAAGTCGAGCTTGGCTAACTACACTAAGGTCAACATTACTGGCGTATTCATGACAGCTCAAGCGGCAGCCAAGGAGATGATCAGGTGGGGTAACGGTGGCAGCATAGTCATGATCGCGTCGATGAGCGGCACCGTGGCGAACCGGGTAAGTCTTGAAGTATGCCAAACATCTTGATGCAATCTCGCTAACTCTCCTCGACTCACCCAGGGCTTGATTTGCTCTGCATACAATGCTAGTAAGGCCGGCGTGATACAGCTCGCGAGAAATCTCGCCGCAGAGTGGGGACCACACGGTATACGAGTGAACACACTGAGTCCGGGCTACATTGTTACTGCCATGGTTGAGGCACTTTTCGAGCAGTTCCCAGAGCGAAAAAGAGATTGGCCAACACAAAATATGCTGGGTAAGCTGAGCAAACCGGAAGAATACCGCGGTGCCGGTGTCTTTCTGATCAGCGATGCGAGCTCGTTCATGACGGGAAGTGATCTCAGAATAGATGGCGGTCATGCTGCATGGTAGACGCTGCTGTTCGCGTTGGTGAACCAGAATTTGGACAGCGAACGTAGACGGAACATTCATCAAGTATTCCTCGTCAGATAATGCGACAAGAGGTACTATATGAATCAGTTGTGCGTCTATGGATATTGTTCTGATGTTGTCGGTGGCTGATCGCTGTTGTGCCCGATGGTCGGTCCAGTCGCGATGATCGATTCCGACCGTAACAGCACTCCATTCGAGGACTTTCAAATATGCACAACGTCGCCGCCGCAAAGCTGCACTGTCTCCTCACCGCCGTGCGTTTCTCATGCGTGAATCTTGCGAGTCTTACGGTCACGGAGCTGCACCGCTGAACTCTAGCGTGCAGAGTCTCCGTCTGGCTGGCAGTCCGATTCGCCCAAGCAGTACTCCACAAGCACACATCCCACAGGTCGCCAGCGAAGCAGCTGCGGAGCCGACGGAAACCTACCTTGCGCCACGCACTTACCGCTGCCTATCTTGAGCTCCGGCATGCTTTGGGGCACGCACCGTTCCACAGCGTCCCGCTCGCAGCAGCAAATGGTCACGTGCGCTGCAGGTGCAATGTGCACGCTCAACGCCATTGGCCGCTGCGTACGTCTTGTGGTCTCAGACGTGGCTGCTCCTGCGCACACCTGCTGCCATTAGTACCGCCCCTATGCATTTGCGGTCGTGTTCGGCGATGACGCCAGGCTAGGCCGCGGGAGTTGGTCCGCACGACATGGCTTTCCTTCTTTCGCCTCTAACCATCGTTGAAGACGGAGACGAAGAGGGTGATCAAACTTGCCTTCCCACATGACGTCGTCACACCTGCAGCATGCGTTGTACTTAGTGCAGTCCTGACTGGGCATGGCTAATGGGCCATACCACACGCTGTTCGGACCACGGAATGAAGATGCAGCGACATACCCTCGACAACCTTCCAGACGATGTCTTGCTCAAAATCCGGGACCAGATCGAACCCCATCCGGAGAAGACAGTTCCTATTGACCGGCGACAATTTCTGTCTGAAGAGAGCTTCGAGCGTCCGCTACCGCCGGCGAGGCATTCGCTTCGTGACATAGGCCATTTCAGATGCGCTTGTCGAAGGTTCGCAGAAATTGGGGAACCCCTGCTCTTTACCAAAGTTGTGACGAGGTTCTCCAAGAACGGGCTGTGGAGACTGGAGCAGTTGACCGCATGGCCGCATTTAGCACGTCATGTGAAGAAGTTTTCTTACCTTGTACCTTACTTCTATACCCACGGTACTAATCTCTCCGAATGCGACTTCTCACATTGCTGATCAATAATAGACGACGATTCGGTGCGGTTCCGGCTACCAAACGCTGGCGCAGCTACGGCACACCTTGATCTTAGCAGTCTGCGGCAGAAGATCGCAGAACAGCACGAGATCGTCCGAACCGAACAGGACGTTCGTGTGCTGAAGGGAGCCGTTGCAAAGTTCACGGCCCTGCAGCAAATCCAGCTACTGCGTGTTGCTGATGACGAAGATACTGCATTACTTGCATATATCCGTAGACACGAGGATTATAGGCAGTTTGTGAATCTGGAGTGGGCGCCGGCATGCTTGAGGGGCTCAATGACAATAGGTACAGCCCTTGCGCACGCCAACGTGCCAGAGATACGATTCTCATCACCAGTGCTGAGCCCCCAGAGCGCAGAATTCCTTTCAGCTCATAGACCGCAGTCTCTGACTACCCTTGCTGCACGACTCACATGCCTAACATTGCACTTCGATGATGGACAGGACCTGGATCGGAAGATGAGCGATCTTTCCGGCTTATTCCACAGCGTGTTCCACAGCGCTGTCAATCTACAAGCGGTGCATGTTGGTTTTCCGCCACGCAGACCCCTCAATCTTCCCCTGGACTCCGTCTTCCATAACGTGACTTGGAGCAGGTTGGTGGCGTTTGGGGTACAGAGCTGGTTATTGGACGCTGAGGAGATCGTCGACCTTGCTCTACGACACAAGAGTGGTTTGAAAGGGCTTCGGCTTCGGGATGTCCAGCTCAGAGAAGGCAGTATGTGGAAAGACGTCTTAGGACCGTTGAGGGACTCGATGTACAGGCTCGAATGGGTCAGCTTACGCGGTATTGGGTATGCACGCGACTTCGACGAGACGTGGTCCGGAGCCGAATTGCCAGACGACATTCCACCTGGTGAGAGTGACAGCGAGAGTAGCGAGGAAGAGGAGACGCCGATGCCCGGACCGAGCACGAGTCACCATAACACCACCAACGATCGCTTGGAGGATGAAGACGAGCATTGGAGCGCTGATACGGATTCGGACGACGAGCAACGACCGGAAGAAGCCAACGAAATGGATTTTCCACCCCTCAACTCACCTGATACTCCGGCCTCTGCGCCGTGGTGTAACTGCAACGGTTCCGGGCATACGGACTCCGCAGAGCATCTTGGCGATGACGGAGAACGAGTTGATAATCGACAGCGCAAAGCGTGGGAGAAGTGGGTTCTCAAGCGATGTCCGGAACACGATCGCCAACATTGACCTTACAACGAGCGCGTGCTTCAGGCCACTGAACACCGAGCACAAACTTAAATCACGTGATTACAGGTGTTCGTACGGCTCTTCGCGCGAACTTGCTCATTACTATGCTGAGAGCGCGCATCTGGTGGCAAGCGGCTGTCACCCTTACTCGGCCATTCTACCCTCCGTTGAAACTTGGCCAGCACCACTCAGCCGATCTGTTCACTCACCGGAGAATACCAGCTACAACCACGATCTTAACAAAAAGGAAGCGTCCGAGGTACATCAGTCACAACAGCAGCGAAGCTCGTTCACCAACTCATATGCACGCTTCACGTGCTTGGTGCATGCGTGACTGCCTGATTACTGGCCCACCTTCACCGATGTTTTCTGGTGACAATAATATGCCCTTTCGACAGAGACACTGCGTAAACCACTCGTTGCTCCCCTGACAGGATCCTGGTCACGCGCTGTCTTCCTAGCATACATTCCTTTCCCAGCAAGACTCTGGAATCGAGAACAATGGGTGGTCCCAAATTCCGGACGCGACCTGAAGTGGATCTGGTTGCTGAGCTCCTACGACGTGATATCAACATGTACCGTACCAGGAGCTTCGACGATTTCATGAATGAAGGAATCAACGTCAATGTATACCCGGCACGCGAGGCACAGCGCATCAATGACTCATTGGGTCACCTTCTTGGCTTCACTCACTACAACTTCGAGGTTTGGGGTGACCAGGAGAAGGCCATGCAAGTTCGGCTCACTGGAGCGCATCAAGCTCTCGTTCACTGTCGGGCCAGATGGGTCCATGTAGAGGCTTACCTGCGGTATCTGCCTCACAGACAGAGACCTGATGCAGCGCATGCAATCAATAGGCCGCGTCTTCAATGGGAATGGTGGCTTGCCAACGGGAAGCTGTTTTCGTTCCTGACCCTACCCCGGGAGATACGAGATCAGATATATATCCATACATTTGGCTTCACTACTGAACCCTATCCGACGTGTAAGAGCCGAAGGCTAATGGGCCGTTTCGCTGGCATGCAAATCCAGAAACCGAGTGTCGCCTTTCTTAGACTGAACAAGCAAGTCAGTGCAGAAGCGGTAAAGGTGTTGTACTTGTATAGCACATTCGTTGCGGCACAGACTCGCGTCCTTGCTCGACTTCTATCTAAGCGGTACCCACAAGATAGCATCCGCCGACTCGAAATAGCACTGAGTCACCAAGAATTTCTCAGGCTCTTCGGCTTCGCTCATGCGGGGTTTGCAATATATGAGCGGCAGGAGACTGCAGAGGCCTTGCGGCAGATGAAACTCGACAACCTTACACTCACATTCGCAGCTCCATCCCTGACCGCCGTAAGCCAGAATCTTGACGGTGCCTGTCAGAGAGTCGTGGTCGACTGGATCCTTGAAGCCGCCTGGCCTTCGGTCCGTGGCCTTTTTGTGACAGTGGCCGGCTACGTCAAAACTGCGCAAAAGGCAAAGTTCGAGACTGCTTGCGGGACGGTGCGGGCGCAGATCAGTCGGTGGAACAGATTGCGAAGGGCATTGGGCTTGTTCGAGGGCACCTTGCCAGAGTATGATCAGTGGCTGGCGGAGGCGGAGGGAGACTCTGAAGGGGGTGTCAGCATTGTCGACTTATCCAAATGTGCCAATGGATACCTATCATTGACCGCTAAACAGGAGATACCACCGGTATGTCGATGCAGAGTACTGTGCACAGCTGAAAAGTGGTCGGCGGATGACTGAGGGCGGAAACGATGGCTCGGGAGCTGGGAGATGGCTAGAAGTTTTGCTTTGTCAGAAAGATGTCTACTACACGGACAAAAGCCGATCAAATCTATATCCTCAAGGGCCATCAACATCACTAGAGCTCATTGGCAGCGTTTATATAGGCGCGCGAAATCCGTTCTGCGATATGGTAACATTGCGAATCGAAAGATAGCCATGTGTAGGTACGATACAACATACACTACGTACAATCACAGCGGATCTCAGCACGCCAATGTACGTGACACTGCGCGGCGCCTAGGCGGCCGTGACGTCCAACGGACGTCTTTCAGTCGGGGTGCTCCGCGCTTGCGCGCAGTATGGCCGCTCAGCTTATTGTCCGTCCACGCTCCGCCACTGAGAAGGTTCGAAAGGGCACCTTCTTTGGCCAGGAGCTCCTCGAAGCCGCCTTCTTCTACGACGTTCCCTTGATCAAGAACAACGACATGCTTGGCCATCTCCATCATGTCTCTGCTGTGCGTTATCATGATCACTGTCATTGCTCGGCTCTTGTCGTCTACGAGGCTCTTGATCGCCTGCCGCACTAGCGCTGCTGACTCGACGTCTAAAGCCGATGTTGCTTCATCCAGAATTAGTACTGAAGGGTTCCGGACCAAGGCTCGCGCAATGGCAACACGCTGTGCTTGACCACCTGACAAGCCCATGCCACCATCGCCTATGGGAGTATCATAACCTAAAGGAAGGCTGTTTATGAAGTCATGAATACCAGCCCTTTGTGCAGCATCGATGATGACGACCTCGCTGCAGTATGGAGAGCCGGTAGGAAGCCCATACGTGATGTTCTCTGCGACAGTCGCCGCGAAGACGGTTGGATTCTGTAGCACAGGTACAATCGCAGTCCGCAAGGACGGAGTTGAGAGGGTTGTGATGTCCCGGCCACAAATGATCAACTCGCCAGCAGCCGCTGCATCTGTCTCCGGCATCTGAGCTGTGTTCCAGATATCCAGCAACAGGGTCGCAATGGTCGACTTTCCTGAGCCCGATTCCCCGACTATGGCTGTTGAGACGCCGGGGTGCAAACGGAGGTTGATACGATTGAGAACTGTACGTGCTGGTCGGCTCGGATACGCAAAGCGCAGATTGTTGAACAGGATTTCGCCAACACTCTCCACTCGCGTATCACCAAGATGTTCGTGTGAGTCTTGAGGTAGATGCGCTAGGCGAAGTAGACGGGACGCGGCATCACGCGAGCTGCCGACCTGCGGTATGCATTCCAGAATGACGCTAATGTTTGCAAGAGCGAACATCAGCATAACAATTACCTGTATCACGTCGTTGACGGCTGTGCCTCTGCATACTAGCCACGTGCCGATGTAGAAGACAAGCGCATTGGCAAAACTCACGGCTGAGTCGGACAAGCCAAAGAAGAAGCCGGTGTAGAACGATCGCTGGAACCCTACTACCAGGGCGTGATTTGTAGCTCTGATGTACTTGTCCTTGAAATGAGATTCCAGCGCTAACGCGCGCACGGTCTTGATGTTGGTGAAGACTTCAGTGAAGATGGAAGAGGCGATCTCGGCTGCGTCATTGCTGCGAGTCTCCCATCTGGCACTAACCGCTGCAAAAAGCCTGGACACGCCCAGAATGTAAGGCCCGACGGAAAGTGCGATTAGGGTCATCTTCCACTGCGCAGAGAGTGCCCACACGACAGATATGGCACACATTATAAGTGCAATGAATGCCAGTGCAGTGAATGTACCCAAGAGCTCTCGCATGGCTTCCGCATTACGGTCAAGACAGTCAACAAGATGCGACACCGAATTCTGCTCGTCGTCGAAGAACGCTTTCGGCTGGTCCAGGACACGCTTAACTGCTCGATCACGGAAGCTGTCGACCCAGTGTTGACCGACCTGGCCAAGGAGAAATCTTTGAAGGCCAGTGTGTGCCGCATCGAGAGCGGAGACCGTGAGAATGATCAAGGCGTAAATCAGCTGTTTGCGGCCTTCGCCATGAGGCATTGCATATGTCCCGAGCAGTTTGGCCAGTATGTACGAAAACACCGGCGTTGCGATGGCATGCACAGTACAGCCGTAGAACCCTGCCAAGATCATAAGCTTCCCCGAGGCGCTGGCATTGGGCCAGATCGTGCCCAATATACGAGACAAACCCCAATTATGGGTATTGGCTACATCTGCCTGGACATGGTTGATACCCCTATCAACAACTGGCTTCTTGCCGCTTTCAGCCAAGTCCAGTACTGCGCTCATAGATAGGGGTTGTCTGCTGTGTTCAGAGCCAACTGCGCGTATCCTACTGTCCGCGGCTGCCTTCCCGGTGCGGTCGACAAGCTGCTGAAGAACTGCGGACAATCGATCCCCATGAGGGTGAGCTGGTGCCTCATATGCATCAGACTTCCAACCCCAGCGTTGAAAGTCGGTCGAGAGTGGCGGGGGAGCCATGGTCAGGCGTTTGTAAGCTACAGCGGCACCTGGCACCACTCTCCCCAAGTGGCCCATTACGGGCACAGGAATATCATGTTCCCAAACAGCTGGTAGAAAGGAGGAGCGATCGTTCTCAATGACCGTGAGATGGACTTCGAGCGGATCGTGGGCGATGTGGCTGCTCCGCAGGTCCGTGGTATCAATGTTCAGAGACGAGCCTCTAGTGTACACGGACTCCCAATCTGGAGTTCTACGCGAATCGAAATGCGACGCTTTTGCGCGGAAATCTTCAGGTAAGAGGTCCTGGAACGGCGTATCTTTGAGCTTCTCGAGATGCTTGCGGTAGCCTTCTTGTACAAGCTTTCCGTGCTCGAGTAGATATACGTAGTCTTCTGGTTGGATCTGCGAGATATCGTGGGTGATGACAATCGTAGTCTTACCACGCCGCCAGAGTCGGATCGCATCCATCATCAAAGCCCGGCTGATGTGGTCAAGAGCGCTTGTTGATTCGTCCAGGAGTAGTATTGGCGTGTCGCGCAATCTGGCTCGCGCCAAAGCCATCCTTTGGCGCTGACCACCAGAGATAGATCCGCCATCGTAGCCTACCAGTGTATCCAATCCATTCGGCATATCTGTAATCATAAGCTGCAGTAAAGCGAACTCGGCTGCAGCCATCACCTCAGATTTGCTTACTTCGCTATAGTCCTTACGACCAAAAGCGATGTTGCGGAACACGGTGTCGCTGAACAGAAAACTCTGCTGCTCCACAAGCGCGATATTGGAGCGAAGCCACTCGGTATCCAAAGCGTGGACAGGTATGCCATCAACAGCTAACTCACCACTGGTGACTCGATAGAAGCCCATGAGTAATTGACTGATCGTACTCTTACCAGACCCGCTCCTTCCGATCAAGAACGTCATCTCCCCAGCAGGTATCAACATACTAACATCGTCCAGAGCGAGATGATCGGACCGCGAAGGGTACGCGAAGCTGAGATTCGTGATACTTATCTCGCCACGACAGGTCGAGGGAGAATGGAGTCCAGGTTTCTGCCAAACATTGGAGCCACGCTGTACCTCCGCCATGACTGCTCGTAATGTTGTACCCGCTCTCCGACCCTTTTCGAGATTGATTACCTGTGGCAAAATCATTTGCAGGGCCTGAAAGGCTCCGATCGCGCCCAGGAATGTGATGATGACCCGAGCGACGGTTGCTTCACCGTTGCGGATCAGTACGCCACCATAGTAGAAGCCTTGTACAAACATTGCCGAAGCGAAGAACACTCCCGTAGCCATCTGCAACCCGCTCGCCCGAGCCACCTTCAGATACCAATTGCCAGCTTCGCGCACCTTCGTCATGTACTTCTGCCGCTCCAGGGTCTGACCGTTGAAGCACTTGACGGTCTCAATTGCGGTGAATGCACTGGTCGTGCACTTCTGCGCTTCGCCTAGCTTTTCCTGCTGTTGTGTGATAGCGGCTTGCATGATACGAGCAAGTAGACCGAACAGAACGATGATCACCGGCACGGTCGACAGGATGACAAAGGTGAGCTTCCACTGGTAGAAGAACGCCTCTCCCAGGCACAAAAGACATTGCGCAGCTGCGGAGAACAGCAAACCTAGCGGCTGGGATGTGGCAAGCTGCAAGTCGCGGATCTGCGTCTGCAAACGAGGGAGCAGTGCACCGATGCCATTTTTTCGCATGTCGTACCACTCAATATCCCTCTCGAGAAGGCCGTGGAAGAGGCGGTCGCGCGCACTCTTCGCTTGAAGCTCACCGAAGGTAAGCCAGAGCATGAATTCAAGTGAATGGAAGATCCAGCTACCGCCAGCGACAGCGACCAAGTAGAGAACGTGTTTCTTTTGCTCCTGCATAAGTGTGATAGTTGTCCAGGCTCCGCTCGCGTACTGTGTGAAGCCCTCGAAGAGCCTTCCGATAAGGAAGGATTGGACAGGATTGGCCGCACCGGCAATGGCTGAGCATATGACGCCGCAAATGAGTACCGGCAGGTTGGCACTAGTGGTGAAGAAGAAAAGTGCCTTCCATGGCGTCGCAGATGGTGCGTTGCCTTCGCCGTACTCTGTCTTGTCGGGAGAGTCAGAGGCATGGTCGTCCTTTTCCGTGGTCATTAGCTCGCCATTAGTTTTGGATGAGCGTGCCATGGAGGACGGTGATTCTGAGTGGAGCTCATAGCCATGCGCCGACCAAGTCATTTGCTCTTCCGAGATCTATGTTCGCGATACACGTCTGCGTGTTACGAGCGGCCCAAGTGTCAAAGATTGTGGTCCGGGCATATGTAAAAGCGGAGCGGATACTTCCGCTTCATATTGTTGTCGCAGCGCCACATGGTACCAATCAATCCTGCACCGATCCTGGAACATCCACCCACCGCGAAGGAACATGGTCCTGCACTTGCTTTCCCGCGACCGCAGCACCACGATGTGCCCACCCATTGTCTTTGCCCACAGGGACGCGCTTGAAGGCTCTCGCGGGAATGCCTCGTAAGTACCCCGTGCGCTCTCACGTGGCACATCTCTCCCGAGCGTTTTCTCACGATCCCTCGTTGTTCGGTCTCTACGGCATCGTAGCGTTGTGCTGACCTCGGCACATAGGGTCGACGCACTTCTTGCAACCCGGAAGCAATGCCGTAATTCTAGGACTCAAGCTCCCTTGGCTTTCTGCGCTTTCTCATAAATCCAGTCGTTCAGACCTGCGCGATTTCTACCCATTGTCAGCAACCGCGAATCAGCAGAATCGAAACACTGTGAGTTACCTGGCGATCTCGACAGCATAGAACTGCATACGAACGGCTGAACAGTCTTGTCAGTATGAATATAGGCGAATTAGTATCGGACATACCACCTACCGAAGATGGTCTCCTTCTCGCCATATTCCCAGGCTGGGTTCGCCCGCAACATTGTGCCGAAATTGTAGTCCTCCACTTTCTTCTCGTACTCGTTGATGAAATTGCGCCACCTCTCCTTGCCCTCCTTACTCTTCATCTCATCCTCGTTAATCGTGGCCTTGAGATCAAAGTCTGGAAACTCTCGCCTGAAATGCTCCAGTATGTCATCGTCATACTTTGTGAGGCGTAGCTTCGAGCCCGGCAGCTTCTCGAGTATGGACCAGTATGTGCTCATGTGTTCAACAACTTATATAGCTGTCAGTAGATGCTGGAGACCAAGTACTACAGTCGAACGAACCTTTCACGGCGAACTGTTTCTCGATTTCCTCGAAGTTGTCCGCTTCCTCGGGATTGATGGGACCGCCAGGCGCGCTGAGAGACATGTTGCACAGGCACAATCAGCTATTGGATACCGTACACTTGTATCACAAGAAGTCAAGAATATCAATGCTAGCAAACCTCACTATCTGGTGAGCCAACGAATAGTGGTCAAATCTCGAAAATGACGCCAACCTCGCATGCCCGCTGAGTCAGCGACACTGTGGGTATTTTCCACGTGATGCGGCTCCACGGTATCTTGCGATCAACCATCTCAGATTCCTGAACGCATGATAAGGACGCGACCACGCGATCGGCCCATCTGCGTTTCGATCCGGTAGTCTCACGTCGATGTGCTCCGCGGCAACGTCATTTCACTCCTTCCCGTGTGTCTGCAATTTGGAAGAATACAATCCTTCAAGTGGGCGGCGAAGACTGTCATACAGATCAGCAAGCCACTGAGGGAAACATGCTGAGAGAAAGCTTCGCTCAGATCTCGTGGGTACTCTACCTTCGACGCAGTGCCATTTCCTGTTCTCGAATCTTGTGTCCTCCGTCCTCTTTCGTACGTCTATGGTAGTTCGTAACCTCTGTCCTCTCTCTACGACTAGCAATATGGACGCCTTCACGCCCCAGCAGACCATCGAACTCGTCAGTCGCATTGGGTGCAAGAAAGCCCACATGCGTATTGACAAGCTGTGGTGGAACTCTTTCATGACCGGACCGCTCCTAGGATTTGGCTGCGCAGTGCTCGTGTCTACAAACGCTGCGCCTTGGTACCAGCAGAATGCCCCAGGCTTGATACGCTCGATAGCAGCACTGTTCTTCCCGATCGGACTCGTAATGATTGTGTTAAGCGGAGCGGATCTTTTCACGAGCAATATCATGTTCATGACGACGGCTTTTTTGCGTAGGTCGACATCGTATCTTCACGAAGGTTGTCTGGCGCGCTGACAATACTACAGACCGAAGGGTAAGCGTGCTGGATGTCGCTCAGAGCTGGGCCGTATCGTTCTTCGGCAACCTGGCAGGCTCACTATTTTTCATGGCGATCATCATGGGCTATGGCGGCGTCTTCCAGGAGACGAGTGGCTATGCATCAGCCGCTATTATGATTGCTGAACAAAAGGTACGGCCAGGTTGCGAGCTCGGTAAGCGTGCGAACAATCGCTGACCTGTGGCTCCCTCGGTTTGTAGGCTGTGCAGCCGCAGTGGCATCAGATATTTCTACGTGCAATAGGCGCGAACTGGCTTGTCTGCTTCGCTGTATTCATTTCGATAAGCAGCCGCGAAATCTCCAGTAAGATCATTGCTATCTGGTGGCCAACGGCAACCTTCGTGGCCCTGGCGTTGGACCATGTCGTTGCGTCAGTACAAACCCACTGCAACGATCGGTGCTTTTGCGAAGCTGACCTACGTGGCATATAGCAACATGTTCTTCATACCTATGGGAATCTGGTGTGGCGCAGATATCGGAGTCGGCTACTATATCTGGAAGTCCATGATACCGACCATGATGGGCAACATGGTGGGCGGAGGCCTCTTCGTCGGCACTGTGTATTGGTATCTTTACCTCACTGGCGAAGATGGCGTAGGTGTGGACTTCAACATTGGTTCCTTGGCCACAGCGATGGAGGCTGGAGGCCCAATGCGGAGGACGACGGACGAGAAGCAGCGCAACGTAAGGCACATGAGCGACGGGACCATTGTTGGGCAAGACCCAGATGCCATTTTACCACATTCAAGCGGCCAGATGATCAGCGCCATTGGCGTGGAGTTGAGCGATGACAGTCCGTATACCAAGTCGCACGCCGAGCGGACGAAACGTCCGGTGAAAGGGTCCGTGGACGGAAAGGTGTAGATATTCAGCACCGTGCTCACGGCCATCGTGTCGCTGTCATGGTAGGTGCTCGACTTCGCCTGGGCAGACTGTCCGTTGCTGTCGGCGGAGAAGGAACGGGTCGTGGTTTGTTTCGGGAAACTTTGAAGGACATACTATAAGTGAGCGATCAATGCTGTTTACTCAGCGATATCAACTGCGGCGCATCCGAGCACTGTATCCGGCGTTACACCAGCCATCAAAAGCCTCCGAAGACTGTGTGGTGGCGCGCACCGAACACCCGCAGATCTGCAGGGGGTAAGAGTGGAGACTCCACAGGCCTCGATACATGTACTTGCTCCACTGGCCTGGCAATCTTAGTTTTTCCTCATCCCAATCAACCCTCCACTAGTATCACGTATGGTCACATACGACCTTGATGTCGGACGATCGCGAGAACAAGCCACGCGGTGGCTGCCATGAGCAATGGATCGGTCTCGCCAGTGTGTCAATCGCTTACACAATGGCTGCAGGAGGACGAAATGAGACGTGTACTCCGGTGCTTGTAACGCGTGTTATGCATCGCCCACCAGCAGCTCCTCTGCAGTGCGTCTCGGATCCCGCTGCCGTTGTTGCCACAGATGCATTCAAGCAAGAGAACTCAATCAAAGCCATGTGCAGATCGTAGCTCTACGGTCACGGTCGCGTGGATGCTCTTCCAATGTTGAAGCTGCAGCTCGCCGACCCCAACGTGAGAAATGCTCTCAGCGCTGTGACCGGCAATCAACGAAAATGACCGGATGTCGAGGGTGCTGCCGCTCCCTTGCTTGCATTGCGAGTGCCGTCGCTGTGCAACGCCCGTGTCTGGAGACCACAAAGTGCGACCACATCGTCCAGTCATCTTATCAGGGAAATGGTTGGCCGTCCATCTACCTCTCCTCTCCCTTCTTCTCATTCTCGAGTCCATGGCTCTGATTGCTCAGTCTGTGCGACATACACCATCACGCTTACCTTACGACCCGACAGATACCACGTTCTTCCATTCAATAAGCGCGCGGAGCACTTTCGTATCGCTTGCGCGCTGCGAAGACGCTGCTTTCAGTCTTTGCAGGCGACTGAGTAATAACGGGTCATGAGCATGGCCGACTCCTGCTCACCATCTGAAACACCGTCGAGGCGAAGATAGTACAGATCGACAGCCACAATGAGGATACCTCCTATAGACATACTTCTCTTATGGCCGACTTCCAACTACATCGACCCGGTCACACACGGTCCGGCTTTGCTCATTGTCAACCTAATCTGTATCACGCTGGTCGCTATTGCGGTTATAGGTCGGCTATACTCGAGGCTAGTAATAAAGCAGTGGTATGGCGCGGATGATTCCCTGATCATCCTGTCACTTGTACGATACCGCCAACCCTGCTGAGGCTTGCAACAAGAGCTACAGCTGATGTAGAGCTATTAGATCTTCACCATGGGCATGACTATTGTGGTCATCCTCGCGAACGAGGCATACGGCTGGAATAGACACGAATGGGATATTCCAGCAGGAATGATCATTGGCGCCAACAAAATTGCCTTCGTCGCCAAACTCATGTTCACGCTCGCGGCCACCTTCACAAGACTGTCACTCATTTGCTTCTACTACCGCCTCGTCAAAGACACCGGTATGACGTGGTTCAGATGGGTGCTGCACGCTAGCGTAGCCTGGAGCATTGCCGTCTGCATCCAATTCGTTTGCGAGACAATCTGGCTTTGCGTCCCTATCGAAGCGTATTGGATCTACCCTCCCATGCCAAACATCCGTTGCCTCGATGAAGGCAAAGTCATGCTCGGTGGTGGCATAATCAACTGCTTTTCGGACCTACTTACTACCGTCCTGCCGATCCCCATCGTTGTGCGCCTGCAAATGCCGCTTCGCCAGCGCGTCGGTGTCTGCCTCCTCCTCTGCCTAGGCTTCATCGTCACCGTCGCTGGTGTCGTCCGCACGTTTTACATCTGGAAGTCGCTCATCGCAGACTACGACGAGACGTGGTTTGCTTACCCGCTGTGGATCGCCGCGGCGGTGGAGATAGATCTTGCGGTAATATGCGCCTGTGCGCCGGCATGGAAGAGTCTGCTGGCAAGACCTATCGCGAAGCTCTCGAGTAAGCTGTCCAGCCTGCGAAGCCCGCCGAATTCTGCAGGGACGCCGTCATCGACTTCGAAAGGCAAAGCCTCGACGCTCTTCTTCAACCCTTTACGGAGTCTGCCTTGGTTCCAGATTACTCGCCTGGAGTTCGAAGCAAGCCGAAATCAAACTCAACTAGAGAAAGGCTCCGCCTCCGTTCACGAAGAAGAGGACAACCTGCCACCTCCGCGCCCGTCCTCCCGCGCCCCTCGTATTCCCTCAGACCAATTCCACTTCGATTTCAGCAGCGACCCCGGCGCACGGGAGTTTCGACATTCCGAAATCGTTCCCTTGCCCTCTCCTTCACATTCAGATGATGACGACATGGCCATTCGGCCCGCCACACCGGGCACGCCGTCGTTGATGATCATGAAACGGCAGTCAGTGGAGCAAAAGAGCTCGTACCTCGGCCCAAACCATGCGATACCACCTCACCCACGAGGTGGGAGTAGTCCACGCAGGTCGATGGGGCTGCTAAAGCCGGGACAGTGAGTCAAATGAAAGCCATAAGCCTTGGTTGCTCTTTGAGATGATGCTAATGGAGGCACCTATCGCTTTAGGTGGTTCGGAGAGAGTAAGACTCTCATCAAGAGCGGAGGTGAGAGGAATGGTCCACTGACAAAGAAATGGCCAAGAATTGAAGAAGCTAGGGGTGCATGCGACATGAGTGTGAAGGGAACTTACTGTTGAGCTGTGACGAGATACCGTGTGCAGCTTCTTGCTGTGTTGTTAGCGGCAGCATTTGGAGATTATGTAGGTTACAACCATTCGTCAGCGCAGATATGCACCAAGAGATGTCGCGCTAGAGTTTGGCGAGGTGGTCCAGAGGGTGGGGACATTGCCATTCCTCAGAGCGAACGGGGAAAGAACACAACAAACAGGACATTTTGGGATGCTAGGTACACTCACATTCCGCAGTAAGTCGCTAGCTTGGCCACTGCAGAAGTCCCGATTGTGATTGAACAAGAACACCTGCAGTGAAGTGCTGTTGAGCCTCCCAGTCGCTCCTTCCGTGTTCGCATTCACAACAAACACGGAGCCAAGCGCGGAAAGCACGTTGCCACTGCCGCCGTCAACCACCTCTGCAGTTACCCGGAGGCGAACCAAAAGCGTCAAGTAGGTGGACAACGTGACTGACCTCGTTGGATCGCCAACTGTAAGATATTTCTTTCGTCACTCGTTCGAATCTTGGTCCGCTGTCGAAACGTCAGAGTGCGTCCGCCGACGTTCATACGCAACTGTCTATTTACCGGACGAGTAAGGCTACGTCCGAAGAGCCTTGGACGCGTTGTTGTAAGGCTTGGTTAGTGAAGCGATATACCGCACTACGTGCGTTACAAAGCATCCCAACAAACATCAGCAAGCCGTTCGCTTGTACGCCTTACGCACATGCTATATTTGGCCAGTCGGTTGCGATGGCCGAGCGTCACCGGCACCACCGCCCCAGTGGGAGAAGGCAGCCCTTGAGTGAAATACGCACTGGGGCCAACACCGCGCCACCGCACTCGAAGGAGCCAACAAAGATGGGTAGAGCCGCGCCATCATCGTCGCCCGCACAACACCTGCCACACAATGAATCTTTGGAGGCGAATGGCTCACTTACGGTCCGCACGAGTCTGCCGTCCTCGCCAGAGCAGAAGCGGGTCTCGCAGATCGCGAGTGAGCATGACCACGACTCAAAGCGAAACTCCGCCATCTCCACAACCTCGACAAACGCATCGGGTCGGAGGCGCAAGACGTACATCGGTCACTGGCAACTTGGCAAAACGATCGGCAAAGGCGGCTGCTCGAGGGTCAGAGTGGTGCGGCACCGCTTCAAGGATCAGTATGGCGCGGTCAAGATCATCACGCGTTCTACCGCCGAAAGCACCCGTGCCCAGAGCCTGGCCAACCTTATTGAGAGCACCAAAGGAACCGCCTCCGCTACCTCGACCGGTCACAGGCCGATCCCGCATGGCCTGGAACGGGAGATCGCTGTCATGAAGCTGCTGGAACATCCCAACATTGTGCGGCTGTACGATGTGTGGGAGAACCGGAATGAGCTCTATCTTATAATGGAGTATGTTGACGGTGGCGAGCTCTTCCATTACGTCGATCTGCGGAAAGGCTTGCCGGAAGACGAGACGATATACATCTTCCGGCAGATCGTGTCCGCCTTACTTTACTGCCACCGACTCTTGATATGCCATCGCGATCTAAAGCCGGAGAACATCTTGTTGAATCAGCAAGACATGACAGTCAAGCTCATCGACTTCGGTATGGCAGCCTTGCAGCCAAAGGGCAGGCTTCTAAGCACCCCTTGCGGCAGCCCTCACTATGCTGCACCTGAGGTTGTAAGCAGCAAACCCTACGATGGCATGCAAGCGGATGTTTGGAGCTGCGGTGTCATTCTTTATGTGATGCTGACTGGCACTACACCTTACAACTACTCGCCTGATGGAGACATTCGCGTTCTTTTCCGTGACATTGCGCGAGCGAAGTATTGGATGCCGCCCGATCTGACCTTGGAGGCAAAGGACCTGATCAAGAAGATCTTCCATCCGAACCCTCACCTTCGTATCACTATGGACGGAATATGGGAGCATGCACTTCTCCATAAGCATGACCAGACTTTCGGCTATACTGGCGATGTTGCAACTAAAGAAGCAGCGATTGGTCCTATGACATCTATTGATCACTGGAAGATAGAGCGCATTCAGGACATCGACCGGGAGATACTGCGCAACATGCGCACGCTATGGCACAGCGAGACAGAGCAAAGTCTGATACGGAAACTACTGAACAACGACCACAACCAAGAGAAGCTTTTCTATGCAGCGCTTGTAAAGCATAAAGAGGAACAGTACGAGAACTTTGCCGGCTATGGGGATAATATGGAGTACTCCACGAGCGACTATCATCATAGCCAACCACCAAGAGCAGCAGATGCACCGCCGTTACCTGCCGCTCAGCGCACCCAATCGCAATACTCAATCTTGAACGACGAGCATCTCAGACGGACTCATAGCTTCGTGGAACCGCCACCGTCCGTCAGCAGCTACGATCCTTATCGTGCGTCGAGAACTCCGTTCGTCAACAGCGGGGGTGAGTATATCAACGTGACCCTCCATCGTCACGGAAGCGCCAGCACGAGGAAGGCAAGCATGCAGCGTAGCCTGCGCCATCCGAACGGCCTTCGCGTAGAGATGCTGAAGAATGGTACACGGCGAGCGTCGAAAGAGTCCAGCTCTAGCCTCCCTCGTTCGCAACGCAGCAGAGCCTCTGTTCAACGGTCTTCGAACTCTCGTAACTCCATTACAAGCTCCCCGTGGCCTAGCAGTCCGCCGATCATCGCTATTAGGCCTTCAGACAACTATAAGCGTGGTGTCAGCTTCAGCCATCTTCGCCGCACCTCTACCACAAGCGCTCTTACGTCCCTCCCCTCGACCAAAGCTACACCGGCAACACCGCGTCTGCTTGGCAACAATGGTGACATGAAGACGCTTCGTGCGCTTGAGGCCGGGCAGCCTGGAGCGGCAACAAGTCCAACCGTGCAGGCTGCTCATGCAGTGCGCTCACGCAAGGAGCGTGCAGTGCCAATTGACCTGCCGAAGATCAAGGTGAGGCGGCCAGAGTCGACGAATAAGCACATGCGCAGTGAGATAAGGAAACACAGCGCTGAGCTCGAGAAGGCGTGCGAGGAAGCCTTCTATCGCAGCTCCGTCGGCTCGAATCTGAGCGTCAACACTACGGCGACAGAGAAGCAGTCTCCGTTGGATACGCCTCCCTCGTCCATATCAGCTTACTGCTCATCTTCGCAACCTCCACCAACAAGACCAGCTACTCGCCCGCTCCCTGATGTCCCAAAGGACACCCCCAATACGTACCTAACGAAGACGTTAGAGGAGACGCGGGAGAAGCTTGCAGCGTACAAGCCGTCTAATGAAGACGGTAATATAGCCAAGTTCGACGAGGTCATGCGCATGCTCGATAATATCATGCCAAGCGGACGGCAACAAACTCCGCCATTGGCAGAGAAGCGCATGTTCACCGCACCAGATGCCCGGACGCCCGATCACTTAGGCGGCTTCCTACCTGTGATCTCTGAAGAGAGCGACAATCAGCGCAGCAGCCGAGATGGCGCCAACTGGCATCGTTCCGTAACAGCACCTGTACATAACGTGCACAAGCCTGGAGGCCGGACGATCCGCGCCGTGCCACCGTCCTCGCCTGGCGTTGTGGCACCTCTCAACGTGCGCAACCGTAGCAGCGGCAGCGAAGCCAGTGACGAGACCCAGCATAGATTGAACGTTCACAGGTCGCAAGAGCGTCTCACGCGCAAGCGCACATCAGAGCACGTCGGCAACTTGACTGTCATTGACGAAGACAGTACACTGCCTCCCACGCCACAGCTTGTGCGCAAGAAACGGTCAGCTTGGTTGAGATTGGTGGCAAAACCGGATATCTCGGCGAGTCCGTCCACTTCAGAAACATCAGCACCAACAACAAACGGCCGTCTCGGTGGCCGACCAGGTAATGTGCTTCGGAAAGAGAAGGGTTTGCCCACTGAGCCACCGTCCTCGGATCTATCCAGTGAGTTCCCGCTGCGAAAGAAGCGCTTTGGCGCTGGTAAAGTTGGGTTCGGCAAATGGCTGGGTCGGAAGATGGTCGACAGGCAGAAAGAGGACATCGACGACACTACCTTGATGAGCGGTCAGTATTCGATCGAGCTCTTATGGTGCTGACGAGCCATACGCTGACTGTTGGTAGGAGGAAACGCCACGTTTCGAACACAGACGCATACTCAGCGCTCACTCGACTCACTCTTCTCCGCTTCCTCACCAGCGCCATCGAGCAATGACGGTCCGCCAGACTCTGCCGAAGCAGAGCGCTCATGGTTCAGCCGCTTTTTCAACCTCAAGCCGGCCGCCAAGATTCTTTGCTTCTCGATCCCGCGTGGACGCGCACGCCAAGAGCTGGTTATCCTCTTCCGCGAGTGGCAACGTCATGGTATCCGGGATTTACAGTATAGCCGAGAGACGAATACCATTACCGCCCGTGTGGATAAGCAGAATACGCTCGACATCAAGGCTGTCAGCTTCCGCGTTGAGATGTTTGCGGTGCTGGAGCATGGTCGAAAAGCCGGCTTGAGCATCGCGCGCTTTGTGCAGATCAAAGGTGCAGCGAGCGCTTTCAGCAAAGTTATCGAGGTCGTTGACGGGGTGATGAGGTGCAGAGGGTGGATGGTGGAGGATGGAGATAAGTGGAGAGCTTTATGTGAAGTTGTTGGGAGGTAAATTTGGTGCCTTCGCAAACCTTGCTGGGTGGTTACATCAGGCTCGTTGGAGGAGCAGATCTTACCGCTCATCAGTAATTGTGCCTTGGTGAGCTGCTTCTCCTGGACATGGGTTCTGCGCTTGGGGATGGAGCATAACATGGCGCGGCAACGCCAACGGAGTTACAGTACATGACTAGGGGTCAATCTTCGAGGGACAAGGTTTGTCCACAACGAACAGGGCCAAGATGGGCTGTCTGTCCTTGCATGGTCGTAGTCCAAGTAGTAATGTCTAAATGCAGCACCCAGGTCGAGAGGCTCCAAGCGTGTGTCGATCGTGCTGCTTCTCGGCCAGCATAACGCAACAAACGTACACCTGGACCTTGTAAGATTGGGCAAGCACATCGGCGAAAGAAGCTTGCGGGAGGCGGCGCAACGGCGGACCTGCAGCGAGCCAGTCGAAGTCAATGGCCATGCGTAAGCGCGATGCAGTGCCTCGTCATTTCTTTCACTTCTTGCTGCTGAGGAAGCACAATGGCAGAGCGCATGACTGCTCTAGTGTGATTGACTGCCCAAGAGCGAGTAAGCGCAACACACGATTCTTGTGCGCTTCGAAGATCGCGGCGCTTGGTGATATCACGCTGCTTGTGTAACCCTTGCAAACGCGCACTCGCTGGACCGCACATACCGATATCAAGTAGGCTTATTTGTTCTTACTTGCTTCCCTGAGAAACCATCTGCTCTATACCCTATGGACTTTGTCACCTCACAGAACGGCTTCGACTTTGTGAGACATAACTCGTGAGTTTGAGTCCTGTGACCGAAGCAGTATAAACAGATCGAGCGCCCCAAGCAACCAACATTCTTGCGCCCAACCCTGAGCTACCACACACAATTGGCAACAAAGCGGACAAGTCTGGAAAAGAGCAGCTGCGACGGGGATGGCAGGGCTGATCCATGAATTCCTTCTCAAGACGTTGGTACAATAAGCAAGCACACGACGTCCGAGTATACTTTATTAACGCTACTCTACCTCACTTCACTTCACTCATCCAACTCTGAAGTCACCCGACCTCACTCCTTGACAACCCTCACTCCGCGGAACACAATCTAGCCATAAACAAAGCTCGCGCTATGGAGAAGCTAATCCTCCGTAGCATCATGTGGGGCGCCGACAAGATTCCTGACACCTGGTTCGAAAAGGTGCCCGGCGGTTACTACAAAGCAAAAGAAGAGGCCGAAGCAAAGGCCAAGAAGGCCGAAGGCAAGCCCGCCTCGTCTGGGAGTGGCGGTGGCGACGAAGAACGTAGCCGACGCCATAGCATGGGTGACACGAGCCGTAGACCGTCCCGTATAGACACTCGTGATGAAGGCTACCGATCTGACGGCCCCCGCCGTCGCCGTCAGCGAGACAATCAACGAGATTCGTATGATGGGCCGGATGATGACTACTACAGCGGAGATGATAGGCATCGTCGCCGAAACCACGGGAGCTACCGGCCAGGGCGCACTTACGATGACGACCAACGGTATGGCCACGAAGATGAATATGGTAGGCCATCGCGCTATGACCGGCAGAAAGACCGACGCACGAACGGCACTGCGCAATCTCAGCAGCCTACACCGGATCGTCTTGCTGCACCGCTAGGTGCCGCTACAGCAGGTGCATACTTTGGTACGGCAGGTACGCAGGCAACGCCTTATCCGCAGAGCAATCTTGCTTCTCTGCAGGCGCACTATTCGCAGCCTGCGGCCAACGGCACGACCAGCGTAGCAAACGGCTACGTACCTTACGCCGATATCTATGGTCATCCAGCTTCGTCTACTCGCAGCAGTGTGCTTTCGCCTCCACCGCAGTCGAATAACGGCTCGGTAAAGCCGAACGAGACCAACCGTCTCGGACATCCTGTCGCGCCACAGACGTACTATCAGAACCCGTATGCACAGGATGGAGCCACTTCTGCTACTGCCAGCGCGGGTGCAGCTTACAGTGGTCATGCCAACCACACCACCGCACGTTACGAGGACGATTACAACAGTTCACAATATGACCATCATGACGACGATCGATATTTAGGGTATGATGACACTGGTCGACCCTACTCCCTGTCTCCAAATCCCCACGGTCGTTCGAAACGCAATTACTCACCTTCTTTCGATAGCTACAATTCCCGTGACCACGCGTCTCGCCGAGCACGGAGTGCACGCCATCGTGCAGAAGATGAGCCCATACGATCGAAATCTCAAGGTGGTCGTGGTAAGTCTGGACTGCGTGAGGCCTTCGACACTTCACAGCGAGGTCTTGGTTATGGCGCGTTCGGCGCAATCGCAGGCGGGTTGTTTGCCAGCGAGTTTGCAGAAGGACCAATTCCAATAGCGATAGGAGCTACTGTCGGTGCGCTCGGTGCTAACGCCTATGAAGCTAGAGAACGGTACGTTCCACCCGGCTACGACCTCTCGGGCGGCATTCGAAGTCCGCCGCCTCCAACAGGCGATCCGCGCAAGCCATTTAACACGCGATTTGGTGCGGACGGCATGCCGCCGCCGTCAAGGTAAGCCTCAACGTTTGCCTTACGGCTTGGCTGGCAATTTTACCATGCGGTGCTCTTATGCCTAAGAGCTCAGTGGCGCGTAAAGCTGACAACGCTCGTAGGCGCCAAGATGATAGACGGGACGCCCACTATGCGGGGGATTGTACATACGGGAGCCGTCGCGATGGTCACTACTCAGACTAGCAGCCTGGGCAACGTATGACTGCTGGACATCTCACCGATGAGGAGTTGTGGCGACAGAAGGCTCGCGAGAGGCTTCGTGCTTCTGGCTCCGAGTGAAACACCATTGAGGTGACGGTCAGACGACTTATGCAATCATAACTATGAGCACATGAGCCACCTACGATGGTACGAGAGCATGGTGCACGCTAGAGGATTAACTTCTAAGCATGCATGGCCTGACTCAGGAAGTTAGCCGCAGAGGCTTCGTTGCAGCATAATATAACCTAGCGTAACAGTTTGCATCAAAGCAGCCAAGCACTCGCAGCAATCCCGTTAATCAACGGGCTGCTCTCAATGTCCGCTGCAAGGCCTTTTCGTCAGCCTTTGGACCCGCTCCACCCACTCTGCACCAATTACGGCTGCACTTCTGCACATCTCGCGCTCAATTATATCACGAACTTTCTCCTGCCGGTTTTCTGCCGTCTCTGGCTCCTCGTTGCTGCGCCGGCGACCCACGATGCAGTTGTTCCGCGTACTAGGGATTCGTAGCACATCGGTCTCCGGCATGAATCCTACGTCGTGGGCTAAGCTGCTCACGTACGAGCAGAGGCTCGAATACGCGGATGGCATCTTCTTATCGGCGTCACCACGCTTGAGTGAACCGGACTCCGCCGCCTGCACCTTCCGAACACCATGTAAGCAGTCAGCGGCCGCCGGCGGTTCCAGCTGCTCCTGCGACAGCCTTCGTAGTGCCGTCTTGCTCCCTTTCGTGCTCATGGGAGCGCGAAAGCGGGCGCCAGACAGGTCGTGACTGCAGCATGGGATCGCAATGAAGGCGGAGTTGTTGAGGTAAGCAAGCAGCGGTGTCCAGGCTGTGAGTTCGTCTGCGTGGTTGGAGATTATGAATGTCCCTTCTGCAAAAAAGCCGTCGTGATACGCTTCGCTTTCTTCAGTACTGACCTTGGAGCGGAGGACGTCAGGTACGAGCACTCTTTGCTGAAGCTCACTTTGGGTAGATGGAGGGAAGATGGACCATGTCTTCCGCTGCCTTGCATCGAAGCCATATCCGCGATAGCCCTCGGAGAGAAGGACATGTACGAGCACGCCATTCCCACAGCCGATGTCGACAAAGCCGGGAAAGGGCGGCTTATCGCTCGGCGTGCTTTGAGGCTGGCAGTGAATGCGGTGCATCGGCTGGGGCAGGTGGAACATGTCGCGCCAAAGCTCGATCAAAAAGGCAGCAATACCAAGGTCTTCAAAGACATGCTTTCCAGGATCGGTGACTTCGACCCATTGCTCCGCCAGACGCCTTCCATATCTTGTCTTAAGCTTCGAGTAGGTGTCTTGATACCGCTTTTGCAGAATGATGCGGTCCAGATGCACGCGCTTCTCGTAGCCTGCCAGCTGGCCTTTGCCGTGCTTGTGGACTGTTTGTAGCAGACGTAGGGCTGTGCGCTGGAGCTTGTCTGTCAAGCCTACTTCGGGAAACAAGGAGTAGGCGACGGACACGTTACCGGAAGCGCATCGGTCGTCTGTAGTGGATGGAACGTGCCAGCTGTGCAGAAATGCTAGCCTTGATACTGTTGGGTGGTAGAAGGGTACTTCACCCGCTTGCTTTACGTGCGGTATATATATGACCAGACTGTCCTCTCGACCTTCGTCGAAGCGCTGGAAGAAGTGGCAGGTCTGCACAAGCAGCCTGTCCAGTCGCGGGTTTCGTGGTATTAGCTGCCTTACCACCGTCCTGGATAATCTGTAGCCGGGCACGGCGACATTGATAGGTTGGTACTCCGCCTTCACCTGGCGCAGCAGGCCCGCGACGCCTGGTGTGCTTGGAACATCGTCATCGCACTCGCCAGAGTCGTAGAGAATGTCCGCCCGAAACAGGTAGGTGGAGGTTACATTTGGGTTCTTGATAAGGTTGAGCATAACATCGTGGAAGACGTCTGGCGGAAACGTACATTGACTCTCGAGTACAGTCAGCCACAATTCATCTGGTATTTGTATATCTGAGGGAGTGCTGGTCCGGTCTGTAGACTGAAATTCAGACATGCTGTCGCGCTCCGGCGGGCTTCCTTGACCGAACACACGTCTTCGTTGATCATGATCGAGGCTAGAGCATCAATGCCCTTCGAGTCCTGTAGGTGGCGTATGCTGTTCCAACATGATTTCAGAAGCTAAGCCGGCATTGATGATCTACCGCAGAACATCTCTCCTTGTGTTTCCGACATTGGGTAGTCTAGACAAAGTGACTGCCGTGCAACTCGAAAGTCTTGCGATGATGACGGACCACATGGGCAAATTCAGAGAACTGAGGTTGAGAGACTTGGCAAGCACGGGATGGCCATGGGTTGCTGCACATCCATTCAATGTGATATAGTACTATTGTGCAATGCCACATGGTCTATCTAGTCATCAACATGACTTTAGCTGACCATCTCGTGCCTTTCTGAAAGTGCCTAAGCGTGCTTTCCACTGCTCCTATCCTTAGAGCGCTTCAATGCCCGACAGCTTTCATACGCTCAGATGCCATAGCCCGGTTTCAGGGCATTAGTCCATGTCAGTCAGTCCTACCTCGCGTTAAGCGAGAAGCGTCGATCATATTTGCCCGTAGTAGTGTGCCATCTCCAAACCTGCTCGTTTAAAACCACACTTCACATAGAAACCTTCATTAGCCTCCGAGCAGTCCAAGATCGTTTTGTAGCAGCCTGTATTCTCGGCTACGAAGTCCAATGCCTGAATGATGCGAAGGCCAAGCTTCTTGCCCTGCTGGTCCTTCGCTACAGCAATGTCTTCGATATGACCAACCAAGCCAAGATGATGGATGCTATACAGTCGAAGTCAGACATTGCTCGCTCTCATTATGCCGTCCCTGGGTGAAACGTACAACTTTCGCTCCACAATGAGCGCTCCGGTGCCAACAATCTTGTGCTGACCATCAAGGATGACAAGCACGTGATATCCACCCGCACCTCCCTTCATCTCCTCCCAGCGCTGTTCAAACTCTTGCTTGGGAATGTCGCCAACATGTGTCAATACTCTCAGCACGTCTAGAAATCCTAGGTCATAGTCGCCTCGTTGCAGCGGCCGAATTGTATAGCCCTCCGGTAGCGCTTGAACAACTGCCGGAGAGATAAGAGACGAAGAGAAGAGAGACTCTGTCGCCATATCTCCGTTTGCAGCTGCCATGGTGGGTGAAAGGGCTGAGGGTGATGATAAAGAAAAATTTGGTTGATGCTATTATGTTACAAACTCCCAACGAGCTCCCGCGATGGGCGAACTTTGCTCGCCCTGTGAGAAATGCGAAACCACTTCAGCCTCACCTCTGAGTTCATGGTAGCATTACCCATTCCTGAAGGGCGACAGCCACCTGAAACAGCGGTGACTGTACGAGTGCTGGAGTGTACGATGCAGACTGTGTACCTGCATGGCAGTGCATTGGGAAGGCCTCGAAGCTGACTACGCGGGCCCCTTGTAGGTGGGCCCTCCACCCGCGCAATCCTTCGCACAGCCCAGCGAGCGAGCTGTTTCATCACTGGGCAGTAGCCTTCCATGACTAATTATGGTCATCCGAGGGCTGAAATGGCTAGCAACGTAGTGAATGTATTGTTTGTTGACTACAGAGCAATAAGTCGTACATAACAGACCCGCGTCGGGAGCTGTCGTCCTCCATGCCCATATCATATGCTCCAGCGGCCGCTAGTCAAACCCTTGCCACGAGCGCCTCGTCACCAGACGATCTCATATGCCTGTTTGCGCTGACTCCGTTGCGTGAACATTCGCATCATTAGACATATATCATGACCAGCTTTCCGCGCGTTCCCGTTGTTGTCAATAAAATTTGCCTCGTGGTACAGCGCAGAAGATGCCGACAAATATGCAAGAAAGGACAAACCCTCCAACGATTGCCTGCAGGAAGATCGTGTCCTGTATCTGTCTTAGCGCGGGTTCCCGGATCCAGATCTCGCGGTCGAAGACTTTGCGGATAATATTGCGCTTTCCATAACGAGCAATCCACGGCTCGTCTTCATACGAATTCGTCGACTCGCTCGTAAGGGACTCCATGGACATGTACTTCTCGTTGGTGACTTCCTCCGGGTCATCGGAGAACAGCTCCCACGGTCGAAGGTGGCGATGATGCAGGCCGTGTAGGACGACGCACATGCCCTTCCACGCTGCTATTAGAGTGGCAATGCCGATAAACCAGGCGAGGAAAGGTAGCACTCGCCACGGACGAGAAGCACGGCTGAGTGTTATCAGAAGATCTGCAACAAGGCCAGCCATGATGCCAGCCACGCCAAGACCCCGGGCGAAAACCACGCGTGGCCGATTACCGTTGCAGATAGTCCAGCGGATGAAGTTTGGATGACCTTGCCTTCGAAGAGTGTACTCGACGCTGGTAATCGCAATGTGGAAGGCGGATGGATGGGTCGTGTGTTGGAGAGCATGCAGGACGGACTTGCGTTCGGTGTCTGAGAGGTTGAGTTCCCTCGGGCTGTCCTCGGCGATATATATGCTGATGATGCGGTCGACCTCGGAACGGTATGGCTGAGTAGTGACTGCAGAGTGTCAGTACATGCGTGGATCAAGCGCATTACTCTCGACATACAAGGCTTCCACTTCATGCCAGCATCATCGAAGGCTTGGCTCGCTGTGGACTTGTGGTCATTGCTGCTCGCCCACGTCTTCTCGTCGCCAGTGGACGAGCCGTACTCGGACACCCCATCCCGCTTTTCATCGACGGATGACTTCTCCGGTGTGCCGAAAGGGTCGGCTTTATCAGAAGGCGGCCTCAATGAACCATCGGCAAACTCGGTGTCCTTGAGGACGGCGGCAATGTGAGGCTCGAGCCGCTTTTGTCTGGTTGCGTTACCAGAAGCATCTGACTCAGCTTGCTGGACACTCCAAACCGAAGAAAGCACTTTCTGGCTTTCAGGAAGCTTCTCCCAGCGGGCGCAATAGTCACGATACCACAAGAAGAATTGCAGATTCTCGGCGGAGTGCTCAATGTATTTCAGGTAATTCATGAAATCGCGAACAGTACATGGCTTGTGTTTGGGTCAGTGTCCGAAACTGGCGAAGCGCTCAAAAAAGACTTACAGGACAAACGCCACTGGAAACGATGCGATCGAAGGACAGAGCTTCCGGTATGCCACCGCTCATACATGAGCTGCAGGACTTGATTGAGTCGTTGATTGACTTCTGCTTCTCATCGCCGCTCAACGAGTCTCGAGATGGCGTGACGTAGGAAGGCCGGCGGTATGCCAATGAGTAAACCATTGTTTTAGCAGTGCGAACACCTTCCAACGGGTTAGAGGCAGGCTGCAGTTGAGGATGGCGAGGTCGTAATGGACACCGTGTATGAAGGACAGGACGAAGTGATGTAAATCAGCTTTGAAGCACCCTCAACCCCGAAGAGCGGCGTGTGCGGTTGCTCTTCGATATAATAAACTTCCGGTAGAGGGACCCAAGGTTTGTAAGTTCGCCTAGTAGAACCTTCAACAAGCTGTTTTCGATACAAGGAGTCAGGGGTGCAGCTGCCCGCAATGATAGGTTGAAAAAGCAGCTGGCGACAGCCTTGCGTTTCCGACTTGTCGTATTTTGTGACGAAAGTCTTGCCTGTGTGAAAGAGCAAGCTGCAGAGCACTGAACAAAGTGGAATTGACCAGGGTGGCTGTCGACTCGTGCTGCCATTGCGGCCAAAGCGCAAGCCACGTCCCGCGTGCACCGGACAGCTGGGTACCACCACAGCTACTGTATGTACTGAGGTCGCTAAGTAGCTTCAGAAGCTGCAGGTAGTAAGACCGGCGCATTGGCATCGGCGAAAACACACGGACGCACGCTCCTCAGTGCCGTAGCACATGGCAAAGACAGGTCTCATGTTTGCCGCATCTGCGACTCAACGAAAGATCGCTCTTGCTGCTCGATTCTTCGAAGTGGACAGGTCGCTGTGATTATTGACGCATCCGTGCCAGCCATGTGCGTCGCTACGCTTCTATCTTGGTCACACAATGGCTCGTCTGATGTGCGGGAAGAACGCCATCGGCCAAGCTGCACTTCCCGAACGGCTCCGAGCAGCGCTTGGCTGAAATCAACCACGAACCAATGGCTAGGTCAGAGCATTTTCTTCGAGATGCAGCGTCCAGACTGGGCGGTCCACCGAAGCGGGGAAGGAGTGAGGTAAGTGTCCGCCACGCTTGCGCGTCTCCCCGTGCTCGGCTTGACCTGAAGAAGAATAGACAAGCGACCCGCTGTAGTCGCTAACCCTATCTATTGAGATCCAGTCGCCACTAATCCCTGAACAACCACAGCATCCGAAGCTGCTGCACGTCAAATCTTCAAACCCCCTGGCTAGGTGATGCCCCTCAGCCGAGCATCAATCATCTCCATACCTTATCGACGGTGATGGGAATCCAGCACGCAGCGGCTCGTGCCACTTCTCGCAATATGCGCGTGGATTGCGTGAAGGGGGATGCTGTGCAGATGGTGGGTCGCAGATCGATGATCTTCGCTTGCTAGCACAGTAGCACGGAACCCGAGCCTTTGGGACCCGGAACGTGGGATGGAAGCAGTGCTGCCGCTCCTCCGCCCGAGACACTGGGAGAATCTGCTCTGTCTTCATCATCAGCTAACAGCATACCCACCGGATCCCAAGGCCGAATTCAGCGGTTGAGCACAACAGGGATACGTCTGCCATAACTCAGAGCGAGTCGTAGTCGGCCATACTGCCGCTTTCTGCGCGGACGGTACGTTCACCGCGTCCTCCATGCGATGTGTCGCAAAGTCATCAGGCGCGGCACAGTGTGCTACCGAGAGGGACTACTGCGCAATCAATGCAACGATCCGTAGCGACGGGGAGCGGGGAGCGATCAAGTGCTACAATGTTTCAAAGACATCCCACAGCACGCAACTCTCGTCCCGCTGCAGCCATACGCCGCTGTCATTCTGTCGGTCCGTAACGCCTCTTGCGTTCTCGGAAGGGGCTGCATACAAAGAACTGCGACTCGACAAGGCCGTCGAGGCGGAATTTCAACTCTTACATCACGCTATGCCATGTTTCTATTGCGTTTCGACCGCTGATCTTCAATGCTCCACGGTGGCGAAGTCAATCAGACATGAGATATCCTTCCAGCCATGCCAATCGTCTACCAGTGCTTGAGCTCTTTCCTTGCATACCATCAGATCGGAGCTTTTTAGACGAAAGGCTGGCGATGTTTGGAAGGACCGATTTGTCCACTTTATCTCCCACACGCCATGGACCTACCCCGAGTTCTGCGCTTGTTGGGTGCCCTATAGGAATCGTCATTCACCACCCTGGCTGCATTCGCACCGGAAGAGGACTACCTCTACCAATCGTAGAAAGTCCGAGCATCGAGGCCTTTGCTTCATTACCATGGAGAAGGCTAGCATTGACAGCCCAGGGAACGATCTCTGTCTGGTTGATGTTTCTAGTGGTTGTATCAATTACTAGCTCGGATGCTATCGCACATCTCGAGGAGTTGAAGCACAGCTTTCAAACATCGCAAAGTTCAGCCGGTGAGCGCAGTGTTTGTCTCTAGGTTTGTGATCTTCAAAGGTTCAATGGCTCAATTTCTGTTTCGTTGTGGGTTAATATGCTTATCTCAATATAGGTAGGATCAGCGGTTACGCAGTTGTCGTTAACGGTAGTGTTGCAATTCGACATCAGTAAGTACGATTGGCCATTCACGTTCGTTGGAACCGTGATCTGGAGGTTTATGCCGTCCGCACTCGGTGGCATCGGTGCCTATACCGGAAAAGACGAGGTTAGCATGAATCCCAATCATTCTAGAATGTATCTGTTTTACCAGTCCGCTCCGGTCGCAGTCATGAATGCCGCGTACAGATGCGCATTTGCGTCCGCTGCCTTGAGGACGAAGCCCTCGGTGTGCACACTAAGAACCTGGCCTGAAATGATCGTGCCTGTTGTCGCGATTGTGTTACCTGGGAACGCTTTCACCGGGCACGTTGGTTGCCAACCGGACACGACACGATGAAGCTACGTGCCCACGTATACACCTCCTTCAGCGAGCTGTTAGCTACACCGTGGCGTAACTCTGGCGTTCAACGCGCATCAGGCGTGAGCTCGTCATCCATCTTTTGCGAAAACGGACTTTGTGCCAGAGAGGCGCGCAAGTAAGCATTGGGTCTCGCTTCCACAGTTGCAATGCTGAGACCAGCGGCCAAGATCTGTTTGTGAGCAATCTGAGTGGCAGCGCCAGCATAGGCAGCTTGACCAATGCCTTCAAAGATACCCGCCGTTGCAACGAACTCGTCCACGCTTGTGATGCCGAAAGCGTATGCGCACTCCATGGTTGGTGTTTGGCCCATTGAGTGAAGTGCAGCGGTGATAAACTGTAAGTGAGCCGTCTCGTGAGCGCTTGTGGCTTGAAGGTTTCGCAGAAGGTAGAATCGAAGCCAGCCGTCAAGAACTGATCCACAGTGAAGTTTGCGAAGCCTTCACGGTAGAACCTGCGGAGGCGTCAGCAATGCTTGCTATCTGCGGTGCCTTCGAGCCTTTGTGAACCGGCCACTTACTTGTCCTCGAGATGTTCGAGCGTGAGCGCGTACCGCACAATGTCCACTATCTAGTATTCAGTGGCGGCACGGCTCGAGTGTTAGGGGAGCAGATCAGACCATCGGTCATCTGGCTTTCTACCTACCGGCACTATAGCTTTGACTGCGGGTTGGCATAGCATGAGCTCAACAGCGCAAGCAGCGCGAAGGAGGCATTAGGCTTCATGTTCGACGTCGGCATTCTTGCCGGACGAAGGTCGCTTGTTCGCTCGCTCACGATACTTATGACAGTAACATAATCACGGTAACAAGTGGATGCAGAACAACAACAAGCGACATCACGCGTATCTGTGCTGAGATTGGGTGAAGACGCCTGGAATGTAAGCATACCGCCACATCGGGCTTGAGACGTTTTCGTTGCCTTGAGGCTGCGAGGCGAAACGTTGTAGGATTGTATCATTCGCTGTAATGCATAAAGCGCTTGCATGTCGCTCGACATCTCAGTGATGGCCGTCCTCAAGCTGAGCATATCTACCGACAGCAAGCTCGCCCACGAACAAGCCAGCGAGGACGGAAAGAAAGTAGCCAACGTTGAGCGTCATAACCGCCAGCATGCTGCATTGGCAGAGTTAGCACTGACAACGAGTTTAGGATATACGAGGCGGACTCACAGCAAGTAGCCTACACCAGCCTGGACAGTGAAAATGCAAGCTCGAGGTAAGTCGGTGCTGTATCTCCACGGCGTAACCTCGAGTCCTCTCCGCGCCGAACGGACAACCTTTACACGCTCGTCCAGCCCGTTTGCAGTCAGAACCGCCTGGTCGACCTTCTCGCCACCCTTTCCGATTGCCTGCCTCTCGCGATCCGCCTCGGTTTGACCGGCAACGAGGACATAGCGCCGGTTGACAGCACGATCATGCCACTTCTGCTCGAGAACGTGTCGGTAGGCGAGCAGCAGCCGGCTAATGACAGCAAGCACGATGAGGAAGATGCAGGTTCCAGCATAAGCACCAGTTGTCGTTGGTGTCCATGCGGAAGAGAACAGGGGCGTGCTGTGGTCATTGGTGAAGACCATGGACATCGACATGCTGCCGCTGCTGCTCCCACTGTCAGAGCTCCCTCCCATGTCCATCCTTGTGGTCGTAGAGTGTAGGCTTTGGATGAAGGCGAACGACTTCCGGCCTCAATGCTTGTAATGGATGGGTCCAGCACTAATACCGCGGCAAGATTATAGCTTTGAACAATCCTCGAACGAGCAATTTTCAAGAGGGTAAGAGGCGCTGCTTGTGACGTTTGACCCGTGGCTGGCCCTTCAAGCGGACTTTGTGGACGCAGTTAGTCGCAATCAATGCCTGCGTGGTTCAAGTAGCAACGTGTTCAGGCAGGGCTCCGCACATGGGAAATCTATAACGGAGCAAACATGCTCGACGGCGTCTAGGAACAAAATGTTTCATTCTAAGACGCACACCAGCACGCAGCTGGCGGAGGTGGAGCGCTGACGCCGTCTGAGCACGTTTTGGTCGTGAAAGTGGTTTAGTCGTGAGCAGATTTGCGGCTCGCGGCACAAAGCCTATCCTAGCCCGCATTGGGAAGCGTCAGTGCCGATATTAGCATGACTAAGCTGCTGAAGCCTACTTCCACTATATTTTAAGATTGACGACAACCTTCGACCATGCGCAGAGCATAGATAGGTCTTGTGGCTTATTATCCGCGTAACAGCGTTGAGTCTAGACAATGCAACCCAGAACATGCGGTGGTGCACGCGCTTAGGACGGTGAGGTTGTCTGATATGGGTCGCTTACCTGAACGCCCCTTTTCACCAGGCAACAAGCCGATTTCTTCTTTCATGCAGCCTTTCCGAGACTTCAAACCACACGACTGCCCAAAGAATTAACAACTAGTAGTTGGTAGGATGCAGCTCCTGCGACCAGCTGGTATAATCATATTGCCAGAGATAGCAAATGGGCACTAACGCCGGGTCAAGGACTAAACGAGCGCCGATGCATCAGTCGGGATGTTCTCGGCCTGTACGGCTGCATCGTAACGTACGCCGTCTACACATGCACCTCGACTGATACAGACCCGCTCCGACATGACATGGTGATGCAAGCCCTGGCACGATGCTGCGCTGAGCACCATATGCTTGCAGCTGCCATCGTCGACTTCGAGATGGAGGCACCACAGTTCGCCAATCCACAGCGGATGGATCTGAAGGACCACGTACGTATGCTACAATCTACTGAAAGCCGAGATCACGGAGGGGATGATTTCTGTGGCTTTCTTGAAGCAATCCACAACGACTCGCTTTACGAAAACGGTGTTGTTCGTCAACCGTGGCGTCTCTACATCCAACCTTTTAGCACGGTGTCTCCGAGCTCCGTTAAGCGTTTTGGCGTGGCTTTCGCTTGCTCGCATGCCCTCGCGGATGGCGCGTCGGCGATCATGTTCCACACAAGCTTCCTCAAGGCGCTTCGCCATACTGGTGACCAGGGACTCGATGCAAAGCCTCTTTGGGACCCTATCCCCGCCCTGAACGTTCCGCCGCCACTCGAACGTGCAGCCTCTCTGAGCATTTCGTGGTTGTTCTTCTTGAAAGCGGTCAGTAGCAGCATCTTGCCGCGGACTGTAGCACAGGCGCTCGGCGCCTCTTCTGCAGGGACCGGCAATATATGGACGGGCTCTCCGCAAAGACCTGGACGGCCGAGCCTGCCACAACTGTTACGTACTACTCTATGTGTGCGACAGATCTGTGGGGTCGTGGTCGGCGAAGCTCTTGCAGCCTGCCGCAAGCGCAAGGTCCGGCTCACGGGCCTCCTCACCGTGCTGACATGTCGTGCACTTTGCGCAGCACTGCGCTTACGAGGGCAACAATACTCACGGTTCGCAGTTGAGACCGCACTCGATCTTCGAAGGTGTGTGCCTCAAGCTCAGAATCGCATGGGCAACATCGTCTCAGCAGTCAACGATACCATTGCCGTCTCTTCTTCCCGTACTATAACTCAGGAGGAGTGGACACAAGCGCAGCACCTCACCGCACGCCTGAGCGAGGCTTCGAGCACGCTTGCTGACCAGCCTGTGGCGCTGTTGAAGTACTTGAGCAACATCCGAGACTGGGTCGTCGAACGCGCCTCCAAGCCTTCCGACCTCTCCTTTGGGATTAGCAATGTCGGCGCTTTCGACGGCGGTAATGATGGTTCAAGTGCAGATATGCGTAAAGCATATCTAAGCGGAGCACAACAGCCCGACGCAGCGTCGTGGACAGTAGATGACATGGTATTCTCGCAATCTGCTGACGGCACGGGCCCACCTTTCAATCTCAATGTTGCCAGCACTAAAGGCGGGTCATTGAACCTTGTAGCAACGTGGTGGCCTGGCATGCTCGGAGTGAAGGGCGAAAGCGAATTCATGGATGCCGTACTTGACAGCCTCGAAGTGCAAATGCGAGAGCTCTCTTAACGATAGACACCTTGGTATTGTAAGGTCTACTTTATCCGTCCAACCCGAGATTCTCCATCAGCCGCTCAATCTTTCCCAACAAGATCTGGTAATTTATCGCATCCTGCGCAAACTCATCCCCAGCAATTTCGCCGTCCAACGTCCGTACCACACCCTGCGTCTCCAGGTGCTCAAGGTCTGGCGCAAGACCATCGCCCACCGCCTCTGGTGGCGAGCCGCTGTAGCCTTCATCATCATGTCCAGCTTTCGCACCTGAATCCTTGCCGTTCTCGGTCGTGGCAGAGACAGCGCCGTCGTTAGACTCATCCATCATTTCGTCCAGCCCGGTATCTTCGAAGCGCAGACGGAATCGGTCCGAGAGATAGTACCGAATGTCATCAATCAGCTCGACAGTGTCCGTTTCTTGACGTGCTTTGATTCGGGATGCAGACTCCTGCACCAGCTCTTTGAACTGCGGCTCGTCGATATACCGTTCGAGGCGGTATGCAATGTATCGAGCGCCAAACTCCTCGAGCCGATGTACGCGCGTGTCCCAGGAAGCGCGAATAACGTCGTAGATATTGATTAGATCTTCGAGGTCAGTCTCGCCGCGTGGGTTCTCCGACTCCACGACCGAAGCCGAGCCATTGCCGAGTGTTGAGATGAGCAAGGCGGCGCGCTGTTTCAACTTCTCGATGAAAAGCATGTCGGCCGCTTGAAGCACGTCTAGCGCCAGGCCGAGGCTGAAGTCTGCCTTTTCGGTGTATAGAAAGGTGAGTATCACCTCCAGTACGTCCGGTGCGCAGTCGACAGGTACAATATGGAGGTGTTTGCCCTCCTGGCCCTCTCGAAAAGGAGAAGCGAACATGGTGGCGAAGACTTCTGATCGGAGCAGCATGGCGCGGTGGCAAGGGTAAAGTACCGATCTTTTCGGGTTCCGTCTCCGTGAAGGTGATCGAGCCGCTTGTTGTGAGGATGGACCGATTGGGATGCCATTGAGAGGGCCGTCAGTCCGCCGAACTCTTTCTGCCGGCTCTAGTGGCTGCACCGCACTGACATCCTCTTCGGCTTCATCGTCTTCTTCGTCCGCTCGCAAGAGCACATCGGCGAAGATGCTGTTGTCTCGGTCCCACTTCACGTCGTTCGCCTTCTCCCGCGCTACTTCGACCTTGTGCTTAAGTACATTCCTTTGGAACCACCTTGCCATCTGATCTCGGCCTTTCTCTAGCTCTTCCGTCCGCCGCTGCCGTGCTTGTCGTCTATCACCCGGATGTAGTATGTTCTCGAACAGCTCCGGGATCTCTAGCTGCCGGCTCATCTTCTCAATGCCTTTCAGAACACCCTGCTCCTCCTCACCGTCACCAAGGTCGGCGCCAACATCACCGAGGTACAAGTATCGTATGCAGGTCTCGAATGACCGTGGGTGGACATTACTGGCTAACCTCCAGCTTGTCGTTTCCGGTGCTGCAGCTAGCTTGTGGGCGAAGAATGGGCTGCGTGCTGACAGAACAAACTTGTGCAAATCTAAGGTTGCCTCGCCAGTATGCACCGCAATGTCTGCTGTCTTCGGCGAATCTCTCGTGAGTAGGGAAGTGATATGCGCTGCCAGCGGTTGAAGAGCATCGGTCGCCTTAGAGTAGTCGTAGGAAAGCAGCAAGTTCCTTATCCGGTCATTCAGGGCATTGTATAAGCATCGCTCGCCTTGGAAGGTATCTCGCTCGCAGAGCGCTAGTGTTACCGTTAGCCACACAGTCTGCATTCAGGGTGATGAGAAACACATCAAGCTCACCACCTTGCTCAAGGAGCATCTGCGCGACCTCATAGTGGCCGCAGAGAGAAGCCTGCCTACCGCTTCAGTATCAGTCCCGCTAACAATCTCTGTACACTTGCATAGACATACCAGAATTAGTGGGGTATAATCGAACTCATCGCGCGAGTTGATGTTGATGCCTTTGCTGATTTGTTCTTGGCATACCCGCAGGTCTCCTCTTCGGCACGCCTCACAGAAGCGGCGAAAGTCTGCACTGGTGTCGAGTGGGTTCTCTTCCTTCAGACGTCCCGACGACACGGCCTTCTTCTCTTCGTAAAGCGCTCGCTCCAACTGATGCTTGCCCAAGACGGTGTCGGCCATGCTGAGACGTGAGGGTCGTGCGGCGAGCATGAACCAATGGTCCTCCGCACGAGAGAGTCTGTCTACGATGTGCCTCACACGGCAGCAAGTCCTTTACTGGTGTTAACGGCGCTGAGAAGTGTTGCCAGACTCCCAAGGGTAGTGTGAGCTGATGAGCTCATGCGTGACCGATGGGTAATTTACCAGTCTCGTTGATGTCGGGAAGGTTACGACAGAATCCCACCAGCAACGCCACTCGATGAGACGCTGTTCTTCCAACGGTTAACGGAGGTGTCAGTGGAAACAATTGAACATTCGAACCCTTCAGCGTAGATGACGCCACCCTCGTGCTCGTGTCTTAAGCGAGCGCCACTTCCCGCAAGCTTAAGCGCCAAGACGCTGTGCCGTGCCGTGGCAACGGTTGCTCGTTGTGTCCAGATGCAAACATCGAGCGCCACTGCCTCTAATCTTGCTAGGTGCAGTCCATGGGTTGCTTGATCCCAGCATTTCCTACTGCACACTCGCATAATGCCCAGCACCTGAGGACTGCAGGATATACTAGTCTGTCACTTTCGGTACACACACCACACATGGCATTGTCATCGCGACAGCTTTAACAAGGCTTGGTTTCGCGGATTAAGCGACGACGTAACGAAACGTAACGACAGACAGTCAAGCATACCTTACAATCACTCTGTAGTGCATACCGGAGACGAAACCAAAGACCAGTCGACAATAGTCATCAGAGTAAGGTAAGACACACAAGCATCACTTGCGTTGCGCAAGCGTCGCAGGCCAGAATATCAAATATGGCCGAAGAATCAGAAGATCAGAAGTATGAGGTGCTAGAGAAGATCGGTAAGCCATCTCACTACCGTTGCCTCATATATCATCACACACTCACCTTCATTTCAGGTCAGGGATCTTTTGGCATCATCCGCAAAGTCCGCCGCATCTCTACCAAGGACATCCTATGCCGGAAAGAGATTTCGTACTCTCGCATGTCTGATCGAGAAAAAATCCAACTCGCGGCCGAGCTCGACATTCTCAAGACGTTCAACCACCCGCATATCGTGCGTTACTTCCATCGGGAGCACATCAAGGCCAGCCATGACATTCACCTGTATATGGAGTATTGCGGCAATGGCGACCTGGGAGGGTACATTCGAAGGCTGAAGGAGAAGAATGTGTGGGCGGAGGAAGAGTTTGTCTGGGGTGTTATGGCGCAGTTGGTTGGAGCGTTGTATCGTTGTCATAATGGCGAGGATGCTCCAGGACCGAGTGAGGATGGGGAGCCGAAAGTGAACAACACCAAAGGGTTACAAAGCAAGGTCGGTCGGAGGGTTATATTGCATCGCGACCTGAAGCCTGAAAATGGTAAGTCGACGTCGACCGCAACCGTCAATCGGGGTGCTCTGCTTACGCTCGCACAGTCTTCCTCTCAACCAACAATGCCGTCAAGCTTGGCGACTTCGGGCTCTCCAAGATCATCGCCTCGCACGACTTCGCCTCGACTTACGTTGGCACACCGTTCTACATGTCGCCAGAGATTTGCGCAGCCGAGCGATATTCCACTGCTTCGGACGTCTGGTCGCTTGGGTGCATCATTTACGAGCTCGCCGCTCGCACCGTTCCATTTGACGCCCGCTCCCATGTCGAACTGGTCATGAAGATCAAGGCTGGACGCATCAAGCCGTTGCCGGACATGTATTCGAGGGAGCTGTGGGAGGTCATCTGTTGGTGTCTAAAAGTCGACCCGCGACAGAGGCCTGACACGGCAGGTTTGTTGCAGGTAGCGCAGATAAAACAGGCGAGAATGAGATTGGCAGACGCATCGAAGTTGGAGAGTTATGAGGCGGAACTAGAGAAGGTGAAGGCGGAGAAAGATGGTGCCCTGAGCAAGCTTAACGCGGCATTGAGTCAGATCCAGAGCTTGCAGGCAGAGGTGGCGAGCCTACGAGAAGTTGGCAAGAAGGTGGAGATGGAGTGGCATGCGAAGGCCACTTTAGCTATTGACCAGCGGGTTGCAGAGGCGGAGAAGGTTCAGAAGGCAGAGCTGGAGCGGCAGAAGGCACAGCTCCTGCTGCAATTCGAGGTGGCAGTGGAACAGCAGGTGGACGAGAAGCTGAAGCTGCATCAAGCCTCGCTGCCGCAGAACCATGGTCTCGGTCAGACGGGCGAAGTTGCCAGTCATGTGCGGTCCAGTACGCCGCCGCCTGGCAAGTCGCAATCCAGCTTCGCCACAACGGCTACCACGGGCGTGGACTCGGATGGTTCGTCTGTGGGCCAAGAGCGGGAGACAACGCTGGACACCGACATCTCCTCGCTCTCAATCATCGACATCGAAGCTGACGACGTTTCGCCCCTGGCTCAGCGCACCAAGTTGCCGCCGCCCAAAGCACGAAGTCGACAGCCGTTCGGCAGAGCCAAGACGCTCGCCAACTGCACCTTCGATATCACCTCCACCGCCTCGCCCATGGACGTGCACATGGCCGATCTATCTCCGATTGCTCCAGCAAGCATCAAGACGCTTGGTCTCTCGCCTCGCCACAACGTCCATGACCGTCTCTCGGCCGGCGGAGGCCTCCGCAAGAATATCTTCACCTTGGCTGCTGATCACAAAATGCGGCCCACCGTCCCCACCGATTTCGACAACAGCTTCGCCGACGATGATCTGCTCGATGAAGAAGACAACCTTAACAACTCGCCAAGCCGTCCCACAAGCGGCCTGTCCAACCACGGCGGTGATCCATTCAAGGCGATGAATGCACCTCCACCACGCCAACCAAGACCAAGTCTCACCCGTCAGGCAACCATGCCGGCAAACATGCAGCCAGCGGTCCACAATCGTCAGCGCAGCAACCTCTTCGCTCCCGTGAGCCGCTCGAAAGCGCCGTCCCCGGACAAGGAGAACCGTCCACCCTCATCCCGCACGTCCCACGTCCCGATCGTCTCCGCCACGTCGCCCAAGCGCACAGCAACAGTCAAGGACAGCAAAGCGCTGACACCGTCGCGCAAAGCACCGCCACCGCCTCCCGCGAACGGTCTACCCAGGGCAGCAACGGCGGCGAACCTCACAAAGCTAGCTCATGCGAACAACCTGGGCCCACTGTCACCAGGGAAGGCCGGCGTCAGAGGCCGTACGCTCGTCGAGCTTTCACAGGCGCTCCTAAACGCTTCGGAACCGGAGCTGGTCCTAGATGCCGCGCAGGAAGGCGATGTGATGCAGCAGCAGCAGCAGCGAAGGTTCAAACTCTTGCCCAGCCCTGCGAAGTGGGATGCCGAGATGATGGGAGACGACATGCCGAGTCCATTCCTAGCGAAGAAGGGGAGGGTGAGAGTGTAGTGCTCGTATCTGTGATCTAATCATCGTGGCTCGGTGTGCACTCTGAGCCATTGGGACTAGCGGGCGTTTTTGGCTACGGGATGACGGTAGCATAGCAGCCAGGCGCATCATGGCGGCGCTGCCATTGGTATGGCTTCTAAAACACGCGAGGAAGCAAGCTTCGTACACTGCTTCTCTTGCATGTCTTCTTCCTTGCCCGGTAACTGCATGGCTTACCGGTGCTTGCTGAGCGTCAAATCCCGCACGTGGAGCCTCTTCGTGACCTCAAGGTGCGTGTCTCCCACTCCGTGGACTGCTCAACGATGGGCAAACTTGCTACGTCTGAAACGCGCCGCCTCGGCATCGCAGTGAAGTTGCGCCGACTTCGTGCCTTTCAATCTCTCCGAACCGAGGCGTCGCCGAAGTCGCGCTGCATTCAAACGACATTCCACAGCTGTTCGAAGTGAAAGTCGACGAGTAGCAACGACGAACTGAAGGCTGCATGCAGTCAACAACCAGGCAGGACGAATAGCTGGCCGGCATGCAGTTGCCGCGATGCTTCGAAGCCTCGGTGCCCCAGTGATGCAATCGACGTCAATCAAACCCCACCATGGCTCTGGAAGCTCTTCAGACTTTTGGAATGGTCAATGGTATATAAGGTCTAGGTAGGTACGCAGGTGGTGAAATGCTGCGTTTCCCGATCACTCTGCCTTACCTTGTCAAGACCATCTCATCGTCCATCTCGGTCTCGAAGCCCTCCTCAAAGACTATACGACCTATAATCCACCACCAAACCGTCCGCATCAGAACATTAGCAAGCATGACTTCCACGCAGTCGAAGGCATGCTGCACGGTACCGCCCGTTGTGTCCGATGGCTACAAGGCCAAGGGCGAGTATACGCAGATCGCAAACATGCGCACCTATACAACTGGGCCCAAAGATGCGAAGCAAGCCTTGCTCGTGATCTATGACATTTTCGGGTTCTTTCCGCAAACGGAGCAAGGGTGTGATATCTTGGCCCATGGTGACAGCGAGAAGCAGTACCAGGTTTTCATGCCTGACTTCTTTGATGGTCAGCCGGCGGACATTAGCTGGTACCCGCCGGACAGCGAGGAGAAAGGTCAGAAGTTGGGGCAGTGAGTCCAGTCATCAGTGTCCTCATCGACAACAGGCCCAGCTCTTTGCTGACGTTACCGTTTGAAGGTTCTTCAAGAGTAAGGCCGCTCCACCGCAAACCCTAGAGCGCATACCTCAGGTTATTGGCGAAATCCAGAAGAAGCACTCCGAAATCAAGGAATGGGGAATTGTCGGCTTCTGCTGGGGCGGCAAGATTGTGAACCTCGCATCGCAGCAGGGCACACAGTTTAAGGCCGCCGCAGCCTGCCACCCAGCTATGGTAGACGCCAACGACGCCTCGGGTATCACCATTCCAATCGCAATGCTGCCCAGTAAGGACGAGCCAAAGGACGATGTGGAGAAGTGGGAGAAGAACCTCAAGGTGCCGCACATCGTTGAGTGGTTTGACCAGCAGGTGCATGGTTTCATGGCAGCGCGTGGCGACCTCAAGAATGAGTCCGTCAAGAAGGACTATGAGAAGGCGTACGGGCTGTTGCTTAACTTCTTCCACGAGCACATGTAAGCCCACCTTTTCCTTATCTCCAAAGTATTCTCATCTAACATCTGTTTTCAGGTGACCGCTATGTCGGACGGCTGATCATCTTTGTGAATAGGCAGGGTGGTGGCTCCAAGCTTTGATGTGGCGGCGGAGGCTCCGGTCTAGGCATGTGACGAAGGCGGCGCTGTCTTCACACTGTGGTTGTTACACACGGTACGAGCCAGACTAGCAATGAACAAGATGAGCAATACAACGAATGCACGATCTCACTCACCCTCATTGCCACGCAAGCAAATTCACCCTCTCATGGACAGAGAACAGCCACTTCGTGGTAACAGGAAACTGCAGCATGTGAAAGACTTGGTCCGCTGAGACGCAGACGGCGTGGTATCGCGTGCGCCAAGTTGGTAGGGATTCTGCTACCGAGACACAATAGTTGGGGCCGGTGAATGCTTGTCATTAAAAGAAAGCCACCTCCGCATCTCCGCCAAAGACGGTGGCAGTTGATATGGTGTCAACGCTGACTCGCATGGCGCAATCTCTTTGCGGTAAGCTTCGTCCCCAGCGAGCGATAAGGCGTAGGTCAAAACCTCGTGCGGTCAATGCTATCGGCTGAGATAGGCAAGTCCTTGAGAAGCTGCCACGAGGTCTAGTAAAACGCAGGGACGCGAGAGAGTTCTCGATCAGACTTCCAGCGATATGTCGTGCATAGGGGTAGACAAAGGGCATGGTACCGATTCGTTCAGGAGCGCTGGCGTCTTATCAGTGTCGTGGGGAGGTCAGATAGTGGTCTGGGGTCAGTAGGCATATATGGAGAGACTCAGTCCTCAGACTCGTGCACTTTAGCATCTCAACCGCTGCACAAACGAACTACAAGCGCCGAGGATTCCAAGGCCACCCTGAGAGAGGCTGCACGTGAGCTATCGCCATTCCATATTCGCGCATCGGCGATGGTCGCTGCACCCTCGTTGGGAGATCTCTCGTAGACGCAGCATCCGAACAGCTTTATCTCAAAGATGTGGCACGACAACGTCTCTACGGGATCTTGTTGCTCATCGAGATTCGAGCCACCATGACGGCTGCCGCGCCAAACGGAGCCTATAGCTGCCCACCATCCCGGGGACGCCATGGAGTCGAGCGCTCTGCCAAGCGCCATCTGATCGGCTTAGATGACTGCGAGCTGACGTTCGACATCCGGCATCTTCGAAGATGTGAAGCTGCACCGCATCTGGTTCTTTGTGAAAAGCTGAAAGCCATTTAGCCGGGTGTCGCACTGCTCTCCGCGCTCTTACGCAAAAGATGCAGCAAATACCGGCCGAGCTCGTCTACGGAGGGCAAGAAGGCCGCATCATCCCCACGCTCTCCGTTGATCGTCTCGACTCAATTGCCGCGAAGCGAGGCCGTTTTCGTCTGCCGCGTCTTCGGTCCGCCGAGACCCTGGCGCTGTCACCCCGTTGTCGCCCCACTGAGCTTACCATGAAGGCAATCGCGCATGTGACATCGACACAAACATCCCTTCACTAAGCCTGCAACCGTCGAGGGGCCTTTTGGACGACTCGTCAAGAGTACTATTCTAACCATCACCTTGTGTGATTTCGCAGCCAATTTTGGAGCAATGCGCGGCAGTTTGGATTTGGTAGAGTCATGCGCAGTCCGATGCTGACGGTGCCTGGCAGCCCTCGGATGGCCGCGCGGATCGAGGAAGCTACGCGACGCCGTCGCTTGCTCAACGCTGCACTTTCGGTGGCTGACTCCACCACAACAGCCAACAATGCGACGCAGCGCCTGCGCCGCCATCGATCCGCCTTCGGGACGCAGACCTGGTCGGACAGACGGGCGCGAAGTCAGTACCTTGAGTTCAAAGAGAACATTGCGCAGATGGTCGAGACTCACGCCATCTCAAGCGTTCTTTCTCTCCAACCTCCAGGAAGCTCAGACTGTGGAGTACCACTAAACGTCGTGTGCGCAGGATCGCGACTCACGGGCGAACCATCTACCAGCCTCATCTCCATCAATCGAGGGTCTAGAATCGTGTGGTCCTGTTAGATCATTGGCATATAACGACCTTGGAGACTGGACGAATCGCTGAGCTTGCATTACCGTCTTCGAACAGCTTGGGCTGGCGTTCTACTTCTAATCCGCAGTTCGCTTCCCGCTTGACAGTTCATGCTCTGTATGTAAGATATAAGCCGTTGTCACGACTACACACAGAAGACTGAAAAGTGGAAGCTTGGCTTGCGGTCCACAACGCGGTGGTAAGCGGATGAATTGGGAAGCAGGCAATAATTGTAGTGTGACCGATTTGCCTCCCTGCGCCGGCTCTTGAGCTTACCCGCAACGTCAAGCTGTCTCATAATCTTGCCGCAACCTTCACTGATGGAGCCTCGTCAATATCTCTGAAGCAGCGCTTTTCTATCAAAGTAGTCTACGAGGGCGGCCGTAGTTGGGAAGCGCAAAGTCCAGCATCGTTTTCGAACGCGAGAGCTCCACCTGTGTAAAGGCACTTTCTAGCCCATCCCCATCTGACAATTTAAAGCTTATGAAAATGCGAGACTGGTGGCGCACATTACCCTGCTCGAAATCGTCACTCGGTCGTCAATGCTTGGGTCTGTGCGGCCCGGTGAATATTCGTAGCTCGGAAGCTACCATTGCCGTGGGCGAGTGCTGCATGGTGCTGCCGGGTCGTAGGAAGATCATCGTGCTGTTGAAGACATCATCGCTTGTGAGGCATCGCCATCCTGTGGCAGAGGCTCGCTTGAATGAACCTTCCGTGTGAACGACATCAACATCGAAGCGTTCGGTTTGTGGGGACGGACACATGCTATTCGTTGCAAGGAAACGCAGATATGCAGCCGCTAATTGGGCGCAGGGATAGTTCGTCCCACATCCCACGCTACGGGAAGCCCCAAAACCATATGAGCCACGCAGAGGAGCAGTTAGACCGAGTTGTCTCCAGCAAAAGACAGCCCGCAGTGCAGCCGTGTGTGTAGTTCCATGAAGTTGTGTGCCGAGTGGGTACTGGTGCCGGTCTTGACCCTCGCGTCGCCTTGTAGTGGTTCCTCTCGCGAGAGCCGACAATAACCAGCCTGGCGCACTAGGGACGTATTATTACGCATACCCTCCTCCAGCGCGCGGGCCGTCTTGACTCTCTTTGCTTATGCCCATGCCCCTCACGTCGCGCGTTATCGCACATTGTCGGAGTAGTCAAAGAGAAGGGGTGCGGGAATCTGAGGCAAGCCTAGCTGGATGTCTAGGGTTGATTGTGCTCAGGACCAAGCGCCTCTAGGAGCTGGGGTGCGGCGTGGGGTGGATTCGGAGATGCGCTTGTCTGAAGCATTGTCAGACGACTCGGTGGACAATAGCGCCCTAGGCTTAGACAGCGGAGAAGCTGTGGTCTCGAATACCACGTCGTCGCCGCGCCACGTCCGCCTTCCGCCAGCGCACGCCAGCGACAACAGCTCCGGATCCTCATCCGCTATACAATCTCTGACGTCTGCCAGCAGCCTCAGCACGTTGGAGAGCAAGCTGGATCTGTCGCCAACCGAGGCATCTGCAACACGCGGTTTGTTGCGCGACAGCTTCTTCGGCGAGTGGAAGGATGATACAGCGGGACTCGAGTCTGAAAGTCCCGAAGACATGCAGAAGAACGATCCGCTAGGTACGCAGATATGGAAGCTGTATCACAAGACCAAGGGCCAGTTGCCCAACTCGGAACGACTGGAGAACCTTACGTGGCGCATGATGTCGATGAACCTGCGTCGCAAGGAAATGGAGCGGAAAAGGTGCGAGTCAAGATACTGGATTGTAGTCTACGTTGGATGAGTGCATTGTTACTGACCGGGATTCATTCAGTCTTGCCGCTCGCAACCAGCCGAATGCGCCGAGTGGCATTGCCCAGCTGCGCCAGTCGTCTGAACAAGTCAACATTACCAGCCCGGACTCGGACCGCATGAACCTCGATGACTTTATCGTGCCTTCCTCAATTGCTTCGCCCGCCACCGAGCAAGAACCTCCCACACCAGCACCTGCACCCGCGGCCGCATCTGCCGCCACTGCTTCGGCCATCTCAATCAAGCAGCAGCAGCATCGAAGGCTGCAGGCGCAGGAGCTGTCGCTCGCTCGTGCCTCCGCTCCCTCCCTGCCGCCACTGGAGCAAAGTCGAGCCAATGACGAATTCGCCTACGTACCCAGGCACGTGCGCAAGACGAGCATTGATGAGCGAAGGGTATGTGTAGTATATGTACATGACATTACATGTATATGAGTGAATCGTATCGTTACGTAGATGCTGACATGCTGCAGCCTCACAAGCGACGCGCAGAAGCATCGCCGCAGGTGCCACCCGTCAACAGCGCTTCGATGGTGTCACACGACCCCGCCGACGAGGCGGCTTTACACAACTACACGCTTGACCCGACTCCGACATTACTGCCTTTGCAGCAGCCGCAAGCGCAGCATCCTCCATTACCCTTCAATCTCAGCACCTTCGATCTCGACAATGACCCCATCATCAATTCCGCCGGACCTATGCAACAGCACTTCACCTTCTCGCCCGTGGGCTCCCCGTCTTTTACCGGCAGTCCGTTTAACCAGCTCTACCATCAAGGCACGTCAATGGCACCTCTTCAAAGTATATCTACCTTTCAGTCTCCGCAGCACTCGGCGTATCCGTCGACAGTCTCGACTCCGCAGCCAATGGCTGAGAGCGGCGACAGTATCTTTTTCGGCGGCGGCGGCTCTCAGCTACACCCCGGTCATGGCTCCATGTCCAACTTCCAGCACCGGAGCTTGAATCCGCCGTCAGTGCAGTCACAGCAACCGCAACAATTCATCTTCAACCCGAATGCAGAAACGATGTTCAGTGCCATATCGAGTAGCACGCCTTCGCATGCTTTCAGCAACCCCACTTTTCAAGTTCCCGGACCTCTCGACATGCCGCAAGGCGTTTCGGGAGATTTCAACCAGCAGACTGCCATGCAGCTACCACATCACGACAATATGTTCTCATTCGGGGGGGACTCGGACGAGGACGAAGAGGCTGCTCAAGTGCATGACTCGCAAATGTTCATGCAACAAGGCTACCCACAAATGGACGGATCTGGGATGGAGATGCCGGGCAATTACCAATGGGAAATCTCGATGCCAGAACAGTACCAACAGAACGCGCAGTATCTGGGTGGACCGCCCAGGAAGGCCGTGACGATTGGCTCGACCGAGATGATTCCGTCTCCTGACTGGGATGATGGGCTGCACAGAGGCCATGGCTCTACTGCATCCGTAAGCGATATTCGAAACCGTGGAGGTGACCCAAGGACAAGGAAGATACCGCGGACGACCTCGACACCAAATACGGTGGGCATGGCCACGGGGATGTTCTCCATCCGCACACAGTCCTCTCCTTCGTCTCCACCCGAGTCTGGATTTGCGTCTACCGTCCCTTCACGCCCTGGGAGCCCAAGACAAGGTGGCGACAATGGCGGCGTCCCAACCACCTGCACGAATTGCTTCACGCAGACGACACCACTGTGGCGCCGTAACCCGGAGGGTCACCCGTTGTGCAATGCTTGTGGCTTGTTTTTGAAGCTGCATGGCGTGGTGCGCCCACTCAGTTTGAAAACTGATGTGATCAAAAAGCGCAACCGCGGCAGTGGCAACTCTGGCCCGGTCGGCAGCTCAAGGTCGAAGAAAGGTTCTAGTCGCAAGAATTCTGTTGCTCAGACTGCAACGATTACGCCGACATCTGCTAAGGGCTCGAATAATGAAGGTGACTCGCCGAACTCCGCAACAGGTTCCGCAGGCTCCGCCACGGCCGCCACGACCCCAACAAGTTCCGGTGTAGCGGAAAAGCCGGTCAAGACTGTAGTGCCTATCGCGCCTGGTCCGCCAAAGCCGCCTTCACAACCGTCGACCTTGGCTCCTACCCGCGTGATGGCACCACGCAAAGCGAGGAGGCAGAGCAGAGCCGGCGCTGCTCTATTGTCCGGGGACACCGAGATGCAAGATGCCGAGGGAAGCAGCCCCGAGAAAGGTAGTCTTGGAAGCCAACGAGATCTCGCGCCCACGCCAATGCCCTTGCTACCTAACCTGATGCCTCAGCCTCCGCCCCAGCAACAAAACATGATGCAGATGCAAGGCCAACCAATGGGCGACATGGGGGGTCTGCCTATGCAAGGCCCAATGCTGCCCTTCGATGCTAACGGACCTCTTCCTCCAGGTGTTCACCCTGGCATGTTGACCGGACCTCAGGAGTGGGAGTGGTTGACGATGAGCTTATGAGCTCACGCTGTAGATGTTCGCCATCTTTTGGATGGCTCTATTTCACTGCGCTTTCGCTTTTGGCTATGATACCCATGGTTGTGGCTGTGGCTGTTGGATGACCAACATTTACCACGACGTATAGATGGCAGATGGTAAAGACGAGCTTCGAGAGGATCTCATTGTATATAGAACATGCCGTCGCTCGAGAGGGCTTTGAGGGAGTGCGCCGCTAGCGGGCGTAAACAGGCAGGCGGTCGTTATAGTGTGAGCGAGGTGCTGCCATGTCGCCAGAGCAGAGCGTGCCGAATGCTACGAGTAATGACATTGATCAGGTGATACTTATCTTCTAAATGCTCCATTAGTCGAGGCCCAGGTCGGAAGTCTTTCGTTCTACAGTCTATACTGATGACTACCAACAGGAGCAGTCCTACATCAACCTTGACACACGCAGATCCAAGTCGCTATAGCTACAGCCACATATCGTAATCAGTGCGCAAATTCCATCGGACAATGTTCGTGATGTATGTTGCATTCTACGTAGGCCGCCGCCGACATGCTACGCTTCGCGACTAAGGGTAGCTTCGGCCCTGTACTCTCTCGCCGTGATTACATAGGTGTGACGGGGCGACTGCCAGGACTGCTTCAAGCGCTCTCTGCTGTTCAGGTTCGGCGTTCTTTTGGTCTTACCTAACGCCAACAGGTTACACTGGCCGTCAACGCGCTTGACTCGCGGCTATGGCAAGTGTTCGGAGTCGCGTCAGGATGGTTCGCCATCGCGATTATCCTCGTCGCAGTCGCGCTCACCGGCGTCATGCCGTGTCTGCCTATCAACAAGTTCATTGGAGCCGTAATGTACGCGCTTAGCAAGAAGCTGAGGCCGGCTATGGCGGTGAATGCTGGAGGGCAATGCATTGCGGTGCTTGAAAAGGCATAAGTGTTTCGAGGTTACGGCGGATAGAGTTGGGGAGATGTTTCTCGAGGGGGGTTCGATGGGACACGTGAATCAGTCGGCAACCAAGCCCAGCTCAGGGCATGTCGGACATGGAGTCTGTGGTGCGATAGATTGAGCTGCGCAAAGAGCAATTATCAAGAAAGAAGGTGGTGCCAACGCGTCATGCTTGGAAGGCGCGTCCGTCACCTCGCCAACGACTTTGGTTTGGGGGGTTGATTGTGGGCCCGTGCGGAGACTGTGCTTCGCACATGCCGACCGGCTTGAATCATGAAGAATCACATGTCTTTCCCAGCTACCTTCGCATAGTGAACTCCCAGCATAAACTTCCTCACGATGGCTGCAACCGCGTCGATGAGCATTGGCGGCCAGAACCACGAGTTTACGCTGGCGATACCGCCGCCACTCTTGCACGCTCGCTCTACCAACAACATGAACGGACAAACACCGGGCACACCCAGCAATGATCACGATGCCTTCTTTTCCCCCCCTCATACCCCCCAGGGTAGTCCAAGCAAGAACAAGATGCCGCCTGGAGCTTTCGACCTGCCTGACGTGTTCTCCAACGCTATGAAGCTACAGCCAACCCAAGGTCAGCCAAACACGAAGGCGCTGCAGACGAAACAGCAAGGCTCGGCGTCACCGCAGAAGAACGTCGATTTCGACCCTTTTGCCGGTCAAGACGCAAAGGGTGGAGCGCTTGGCAGTCCGCTTCGGAAGCAAGGCAAGGAGAACACCCCACCAACTCACCGACCGCAGATGCAGCAAACACAATCATTCATCAACCAGGCTGCCGAGCGGAGACAAGAGCCATACCGCAACCGCGCAGAGGAGCACTCTCCGACTCGGCAGAAGCAGGGTACGATCACAGGGGCCTTGACGCCGGAGGACATCGAAAAACTGACGAAGCCGGCGGTAAAGCGTCTTGCAAATGTGACGCAACTGTACTTCTTGGACTACTACTTCGATCTCCTCTCATATACACATAGCCGGCAGAACAGACTGCAAGCTTTCAAGCAACACAACCCAAAGCCAACAGATGCAACATCGCAGGCTGAGAAGGAGCAGTATGATACGCTTTGGACCGATTATCTTGGCCGCGAGCGCGCCAATCTTCGCCAACGCCGCACGCGGATGAAGCACGGCGACTTTCAGATTCTGACTCAGATTGGCCAAGGCGGATACGGCCAGGTCTATCTTGCCAGCAAGAAGGACACTCGCGAGATTTGCGCGCTGAAAGTCATGTCGAAGAAGCTGCTGTACAAGCTTGACGAAGTCCGACATGTGCTTACCGAACGCGACATCTTGACCACCGCTAAGAGTGACTGGCTCGTGCGCTTACTTTATGCCTTCCAGGACGACAACAGCATCTACCTTGCCATGGAGTACGTGCCTGGTGGTGACTTCCGCACATTGCTCAACAACACCGGCGTTCTGCATAATCGCCACGCTCGCTTCTACATCTCCGAGATGTTCCTCTGCGTGGACTCTCTGCACAGCCTGGGCTACATCCACCGTGATCTCAAGCCCGAGAACTTCCTCATTGATGGCACCGGGCACGTCAAGCTGACCGACTTCGGTCTTGCAGCAGGCTTTCTCGCGCCAGCGAAGATTGAAAGCATGCGCATCAAGCTGTCCTCCGTTGGCGACATCCCAGCTTCCTCCATACCGTTTAGTCGACCGATGGAAGAGCGCACGCCTAGAGAGCGCCGTGAAGGCTACCGTTCCCTGCGAGAGCGCGAAGTCCACTACGCCAAGTCGATTGTGGGTTCGCCGGATTACATGGCTCCGGAAGTGCTGAAAGGCGAAGACTACGACTTCACAGTTGATTACTGGTCTCTCGGTTGTATGCTCTTCGAGGCTTTGGCCGGCTATCCACCGTTCGCCGGAGCCACTGTAGACGAGACGTGGCAGAACCTCAAGCGCTGGCAATCCGTCCTGCGCAAGCCGGAGTACGAAGATCCAAACTACTTCCTCTCTCGCCGCACGTGGGACCTTATCACCCGCCTAATCGCCACCAAGCCGAATAGATTGAAGGGCATTAAGGCCGTGCAAATGCACGACTACTTCCGTGAGGTGCAGTGGGATCGCTTGAGGCAGGAGCGTGCTCCATTTGTGCCCGAGCTGGACAGTGACACAGATGCAGGCTACTTCGACGACTTCGGCAATGAGAAGGACATGGCCAAGTACAAGGAGGTATTGGAGAAGCAGGAAGCGTTGGAGCGTATGGCCGACCGTGAGGGCGATATGGGCAGACAGATGTTTGTTGGCTTCACGTTCAGGTATGCACATCCTTCACCCCCCTCCTTAGGTTGGAACATGCTCATAAGTCGATATTTTAGGCACCGGAAGCCTGCGACAGACGAAAACGGCAGGCCAGCAAGCCCACGGAAACCGCTTTCGAATGTGACAGAGGAGACTTTCGGTACGATGTTCTAGGCAAAGAGCATTAGCTTGAGCGTGACATTGCAATGCACTCCAGGAGAGTGCTTTCAATTCGACAGTCGTATTGTATGCGCCGACGTAGGGTTCTAGCGATCACTGTTCGGCAAAGCAGGCGTCAGCATTGTGTAGGCGTTACTGGATGGGAGACAGAGCATGAGACAAGCGCATAATGATACGAGCAGAGCGCACATGGATCTGAGGTGGGCGCGATCATGAAGACTGGGACGTAACCTTCTATGATTATTTTGGACTCCTCGGTGCTATTCGGCTTATGATCCTGCCTATCCTCTGCCTCCATTTCTACGTCTTCATTACCAATGAGATATAGTCTTCGGCTTCTGTGAAGTCAGGACTGGCCTCTTCAAGTTTTGCGTTGCATGACCCCAGTAAGGAGTTGACTACCTCGTTATACCCTCGATGCTGTGAGGTCGAGTTGTGGTAAACTTGGCACAAAATTCAAAGTGTTGCGATTGTTGTGCTCAAATGCAGAGTATGGCTATCCGAACCATGTGTACTGCGGATCAACCAAAGACGAGCATGTGTCAACATCAATGGCGGCACCTTTTTGTTGCTTTGCCAGGATGCGAAATCGGACGGGGACGTAGCTGTTCGCTTGGCAACTACGGAGAGAGTTCGAAGAGCGTGCGATCGAGGAGGTGCTTTTGGAGAGATCTGTGGGCTGCTCAAGCACGCCCCCTAGCACCACCTTCTTGCATCAACACCACCGTATGCTGCCCGATTTATACATTACACACCACACTCCAGGGCTCCCGTAAGTGGACAGTACGGACAATGCCGCAAATATGCCGGATGTGGAAGGCACGAATCACAGAAGCCTCCATGGCTTTCCTTTGTGTATGCTCTCTGCCGTGCGCTGCTTTCCAGAATCGGAAGATCGCGCCTTCCGCACTCACGTCGATTCCGTTTCCAATTACTCAACCATGCACGTATAATGGAGTATGACGCTGCGAGATCACGTTGAGCGGTCACACGCCCCAGTCACCATTTTCGTGCTGGTCCGTGGAGCCGACTTGAGAGGTATAAGAACTGCGACGCCCCGCCTCCTTGCACGTTTTCTTCCTGTTCCTTACATGGTCGGGACAGTGTGACAGCTGGTTGATCGACCGAGATGGCTGGTTGCTTGGTCCATGCTTGAGGCTTATCACCTTCGGCATAGGTACCATGCTGAGCAAGGCGTTGGCTTGATGAGCCGGATGGTTTGTTTGCTGTGATACATGGCTGGACCTTCATTATTGGGCGTGAGAGTATACCAACTCATAATTCCTAGGTGAAACATGTTCAGTTTTTGCAGCTTACGCTTGAAGGCAAGAAGCTTGCTCGACAAATTCGAACGACTGCTTTACTGGTGTTGCAACACGTGCCTGGCAAGCACTAGGCAGCATCTGTAGGGTGGTTAACCGCTTTCTCGCCCTCTGGGACTTGTCGCCAACTTGGCCTGGAGAGCACATCTGCTGCTGTGGGATAGCTTGTGCTGCGGCACGTTTTGACTGTGGGATACCTTGTGCTTCGGCACCTTGTGGCTGTGAGTTGTTCTGTGCTTCGGCACGCTGGGGGCAATTTGGGTAGTCAAAGACTGCTTATGGGACCATTCGGTGCGGTCATGGGATCGTTCGGTGCGATCATAACAGCGATATGCTGTTCTACTTTTTCATCGTTAGCCTGGCCAATAATGGCAGGGAAGCGGAGAAGAAGCGGCGGTTGATGAGGACAGGAGACAGTCAAGTGGCCGCGACTCTCTAAGACATGTACAGACAAACACCCAACCCAGTCGAGATGCGGTTTGCAATTCATGATCGTTTGCAAAGCAGCAGGTTTACTCCATCACAAACCGGGAGACGTTCAATGTAAACACGCAGTGGTCCTATAAACGGAGCGAGCTCCGGCGCACCGTGCTTTCCAGGAGGCGGCATCCCTGCAAGAGCAATGTTCCGAAGATCTGGCAGCATCGATGTTTTTGGACGCCTGAAACCGACGCGACAACGGTAAGGCATGGCCGCTGTGTTAGCAGGTCAACAGGCCGGTCTCTAAACTTACTGGCTGATCTTGGAACCACGCACGGTAGCGTCCATTCATTAGTGAACTGTCCTCAAAGCTCATTGGCACCCATACCAAAGCCTTCGGTGAAGGGATTGGACGCGGCAAAACGATAACGGTCGTGTAGTAGGCATCTCGAAGGAGTTGCTGAACAGCAGGTCATTTCTGCCCTTCACCGCAACATCAGCCACGTGCAGCCAAGGAGCCCAGAGACTTAGACAGCTTTCCAGAGCCACACCGCACTTTGATGGTCTTTGAGTCGCTGACGGATAGAGGGATCGCTGCACAAACATCTGACTTCCGCAATGGCCCAGGTTGTCGTGCTCGAGACGTCTATGGGCAGCATAACTTGTGAGCTGTATACAGAGCACGCTCCGAAGACCTGCCGCAACTTCTCAACCTTGGCGTCTCGAAATTACTACAATGGCACCGTCTTCCATCGGATCATCCCAGACTTCATGATCCAGGGTGGTGATCCGACTGGCACCGGTCGTGGCGGCGCCAGCATCTATGGAGACAAGTTCGAAGACGAAATCCGCAACGATCTCAAGCATACAGGAGCTGGCGTACTGAGCATGGCTAATTCGGGTCCTAATACGAATGGCAGCCAGTTCTTTATCACACTGGCTCCCACTCCATGGTTAGACGGAAAGCATACCATCTTCGGTCGAGTCAAAAGCGGCATGAAGGTCGTCCAGCGCATGGGCATGGTGAAGACGGATGGCGACGACAGGCCAGCCGAGGAAGTCAGCATCGTGCGCGCAAGAGTGCTCGAAGGCGACGAAGAAGAGCGGTGAAGCCAACGCCCCCACTCAAAAGGAGATGGGCAAAATGCCCGTCAACTTGATCACTACGACTGAACACATGCGGCCGATGCACGGTCCCTTGAACACAACGCAGCTGAGTCTCGATGTTCGGGCCAATCGCTAGTTCATATGAGCCTTTCTACAGATGCCGTCGGTTTGCGCTGTTACAGTTCGACGCTCCAAGTTGTACCATCGTGTCGCTCTGACCTACGACAAGGAACCATTCGGATGCAACAAAACTTTGGTATACCTAGCGGTGATGGGTGTGACAGTTAGCAATATCTCAGCCGTTACGGATGACTTTGTACGCACCCATCCACTCTCCGGTCAAACTTATCGTAAGCGTCCGGCGCTTCATCTAGGCTATGATACGAGAAGTACTGGGTCAGCTGATGTCCTTCCTAGACAAGGAATACTGCACTTACCTGACCTCGTGGGACACTACGAAGGACGGCTTGGCACGGCCAGAGATGATAAGATCGCGCAGATAACGATTGTACGCCTTGACGTTGCATTGACCGGTGCCAAGGCTTAGACCTTTCTCGAACAGTTTGCCAAAAGAAAGCAGGATCTGGCAGTGTCAGTCAGTCCACCAACATCATCCGCATTGAGATTGTCACCTGGCCCTTTCCGCTCTGCTCGTCTGGTGCCCCAGGATCAGACGGCACATAGAGCCCTGGGATACCAAGTCCACCTGTAGGCCTGGTAACCATAATAAGTTGATCCAAAACGACATTCGGCTGCTCCTTTTTCCCACCTTTGTCAACAGCCTGATAGCCGACAGCATCAACCGCCCGATCGACCATGCCATCGTTTGCCTTGATGATTTGCTCTACAGGATCGCCTTCAGTGAAGTTGATCGGAATGCAACCGATCTTCTTCGCCGCATCCAGTCGCTCCTTGACCTGGTCAACCACGAACACCCGGCTTGCGCCTCGAATCACGCCGGAGTATGCAGCCATCTAAAACTCATGGGTACGACTGTCAGCAAAGACAACTCGGACGGCTCTACGCAGCACTCTGCTCACCAAGCCTACAGGCCCGGCACCAAAGACTGCTACGCTTTCGCCAGCTTGGAAGCCAGCGAGGACAAGACCGTGCCAGCCTGTCGGAAAAATGTCGGCAAGAAGCGCAAAGTCCGCCTCATGCTCGGTTCCTGGAGGCAGCTTGAGTGCATTGAAGTCCGCGTATGGCACTCGAAGATACTGTGCTTGACCACCTTGGTACGGTCCCATGGCGACGTAACCGTACGCACCACCAGCAAAGCCTGGATTGACCTGCAGATTGAAGGGTAGGTGGTCAGCTATGGCTCAGACAATCCAAAAGCGACTGCACATCGCTGCGCTTACTCCGGTGCAGAAGGCCGTCTTGCCCTCCTCGCAATTCCGACACCTGCCATCTGCAACGTTGAAGGGCAGCACGATGCGATCGCCCTTCTTCAGCAGCGTCACGCCTGGTCCGATTTCGGTGATGATGCCCATGTTCTCATGGCCGAACACTAATCCAGACTCGGCGGCCGTACCTACATACCGATGGGCAGGAGGGTCAGCTGTGCCTGAAACATAATGACGGGATCTACACATTGCTCTGCTTACGACCCTGATACATATCTGCATTGCACGGAACGGTCAGCAAACCCCCGGGCACGCTTCGCCGCATGCTTGGGTCCACTCACGCAGATCGGATCCGCAAATGCACGCAGTTGTCACCTTGATGATACAGTCATCCGGATGCTGGATGGAAGGGGTCTCGATCTCCCTGACCGCGACCTTGAAAGGCCCGTCATAGTGGAGGGCTTTCATCTTAGTCTGAGTCTCAGTCGCCATCTTTATCCTTGTGGATTGCTCACGCTGTGTTTCAGTATCCCAGCGTGATGATGAGGACTTGAGGTGGTCTTCTTACCTACAATCATGTCTGGCCCTGCTGCACGCAGACTGACTTCATGCGGGGAAACTTGCATGTGGAGGCGTTGCAATGCACATCATCCCGTTGCGGGGAGATGGAGGTTGGCTAGATCGCACTGACACAAAATCTTGCCACATAACTACCGAGGAGAAGCATCGTCCAGCTGTACGACGTCCTGTATGCGAAACTCTGACGCTGATGTACCCATGTTAATGGCATTAGCTATTTGGAGAGCATCACCACGAACGCTGACCATAGCTCGACTGCACTCTGGCTCTCATCAGGGAAAGACTGTATCCCGAGCATATCTACCACGCTACAAGCTCTACAGCTGTCTCTGTAACATCCACGTCATGGCCTCGCAGCGGAGATTACAGCAGATTGCCGGCCACGTGCAATCCAAGGATCACCTCCGTCGATCAGCTTCGAGCAGTATCAACGTTGAATCTGGAGTGCGTACGAGCACGGAACGGAGTCCGTCCGGCAACAACATTGCCACCGTCACCGTCTCCAATCCCTCTAAACTCAACATCGTGAACTCGCCGATTCTAGAGCAACTAATTGCATCATGCAACGACCTCGCCCAGGACTCTTCTCTTCGAGCTGTTGTGCTCACAGGCGGCCAGGCACCATCGGGCAAAGTGCCCTCCTTCATCGGCGGCGCAGACATCAAGGAAATGTACCAGCTCCCTTCATCATCCGAAGCCAAAGCTTTCATCACCCGCATACACCAAGCTTGCCAAGCCCTTCGTGACATTCCCGTCCCCGTCATTGCGCGCATCCACGGCCTTTGTCTCGGCGCTGGTCTTGAGATCGCAGCTGCTTGCGATCTGCGAGTGGCGACCAAGGACAGCACCTTCGCAATGCCAGAGGTCAAGGTAGGCATTCCTTCCGTGGTCGAAGCTGCTCTGCTGCCTAGCTTGATTGGGATGGGGAGAACGAGGAGACTGCTGTACCTTGCCGAGACTCTAGATGCCAGGATGGCTGAGCAATGGGGCTTGGTGGAAAAAGTTGTAGACAATGATGTCGAGCTGGACCGAGCGGTCGATGAGTGGACTGGGCAGATTGTGCAAATGGGACCTAAAGCTATCAGAAGTCAGAAGACGTTGATGCAGCGGTGGGAAAACAGTACGATTGACGAAGGTATCGCCGCTGGGGTCGAAGCCTTCGGTGAAGCTTATGAGGCTGGTGGCAAGGAGCCTAGGGAGCACATGGGTAGATTCATAAATCGCAAGAAGTGAGAAACCCGTCCACGTTACCCGTGACCGTCCTTCTCAAAGTCAGACCAGCGTCGAGTGACATATTTTAGCGACGACACCACGTAGGAGAGAAAAAAATGTGGGGAGAGCATGCGCGTGTGAAACGATGGGTGACATGCATTATTGGAAATCGTCACTTGCAATACCAAGGGTACTACAAACATGATACTGCCAGTAACACCTCGAACGCCACCCGTATGTGCAGATGCAAAAGCAAAGCCCGCACCCCGCAAGTGCAGGCAAAGAATAGCGCTATATGAACATCTCACCTCGTAGTCTTCGTCTCAGCATCCGGCCTGGCGCAGTCCTAGCGTTCCGCCGGCAGTTATCTAAGCAAACGAAGGCCGCGGCGACACCGATCCGCAAGTACGCTTCTTGCCACCGTATTTCTCGATGGGTACGCGGTACTTGTCGCGCCCAAGCATCTCTACCGGAGACTGCAGCTCCTTGGTATAGACGCCTGAGTGCGGTGCGGAGAGCATCCGGCCAACGTGAATGGCTGCCGGTGACTCTGACACAATGTAGTCGTCTTCGTCAACTTCCATCGTATCGTCGCAGTCCTCAGCAAGCTGAGCACGAATCTCCTCCTGCAAGTCTGACCGTCGTCCACCGCGTGGACGAGCGCGCTTGCGGCTAATGTCTGTGGACGTAGTAGTCGGAGCCGCAGCGTGATGTGGAGCGTGCTTGCTATGCCTGTGCGGGGCATGCATGGCCTTCTCGCTGATCGTGAAGTCGATGACCTCCGGGCTCGATGCCATGTCCGCATCATCAGCGATGATGATGGGCTTGGTTGGCGTCGAGCCTTCCTTCTCCTCTCTGACCGAGAAAGGTAGCGTTGAAACCCTCGCCAGGTTTCGGCACGTCGCCTGCCGAGCCAAGCAGGCTCTGAACGGCGCCGGTACCGAGTTCGTGGTCGAGACGGTCGTGACCGAAGAGATGGAAGAGGCGCGAGACGAGCGCGTCCGGTCGGACATCATAGACTCCGGGCTTGAGCCGGTGGATGTGGTGCTTACTGAAGGTCGTCGAGAGAGAGGGTACTTGTCGATTGCGCACCGGTTGATAGCGTTCCTGTCAACGATTGCCATCGCCGAGGCAATGGACGGGCGGCGCGAGCCACGGACACTGGCCGTAGGAGTGTTTACGCCCACAGTAGAAGGTGTCATGGAGGGCGTGTCCAATGGACCTTGCCGCAACAGATTTGGCGTCGGCGGTGCAATATTCGCCGACGGCTCCATAAAGGGAGGCGGTGCTGACATTGGCGTTGGCTTGCTCTCCTGCAGAGTAAGATCCAGCTGCAAGGCGTTCATGGCACTCGTGGTTTCTGTCGGGGTTACAGGTGGGGTCAAACTGAAGCCTGCCGGACACTCCGGAACAGAGACGGCTTGCTCGATAGGCAGCGGGACCTTGTCAAGCTCTGGGGTAAGGAGCGGTATGATTCTTCGCCATGCAACCGTACAATTACCAGATCCGGGCGAGGGCGGTTGCGTATGGAGCGTATACTCGACAACAATCTTGGCCCAGCGCGTGTAAGTCGGCTGGGGTACGTGCAGCTTCCACTGAATCTTGCTCAGGAAGGTACGCTCATTAATGTTGATCTCTGGTACCGGCAACCCCGACATCTTGCTCCACGCTTTGGCAGAATAGTTGCGATCCTGTAGATATTTCGACGCAAGGATAAGCGCAGCGAGGAACATTCGCCGACCGCACATGAGCGCTCGCTCGGCCGGGCAGTCAAACTCTTGCTCCATCGTAAAGTCTGTGCGTGGTACGAACGGCTTGATGAGCACCAAATAATAAAGGGCGACTTGTAATGTGGAATAACTTGTGCGCGAGCGTCGAAGGGTCTCTTCCACATATCTTCGCAACGGGAGAACCCCTCTGCCGGTGGCGCTGTCATTTCTGCACGGAACGATGGAAAGTGGCCAGATGACCTCAACCATCTGCGTTACCGTGTCTTCATTGAACATCTTAGCTGACGACTCGTAGGAGGAACGAACAAAACAGTGGAAGGCTTACCGACAAGATGATCCACGAAGAACGACTTGCGCTCGCATTGTCGAGGTAGTGCTGGAGGCTTCTGATTGCGAGGCAAGGACGTTCTCCGTGGGTGCTGTTGCTGCTGATACGTATCGGGTGCACCCGAAGTAACATGTGCGTAAGATTGCGGTTGAGATGATAGGGTTCCGATCTCACTGCTGCCAAAGAGATCGGTTGCGAGCAAGTGTTTCTCCAACGGAGCGTCGCCTCGTTGTGGACCAGTGGCTGAGAAGCGTTGGTACTGTTCAGTTCTGGTCTGACTAGATGGGCAGCTGCCGGACATGGAGCTTGCCGAGCTCTGGGTGCAGCTGTCTAAGGAGAAGACAGAGCTTTGCGACGACGCTGCGGATGCATTGGACGACGCTCCATACGTATCGTACGGTCGTGACAGGTGCGCAATAAACACATCCCAATTAATGCTCGGTATTACTCCAGCCGAGCTCATTATGCGTCGTCAATAGAAGTTCGTGAGCGTAAGTGGTAAGAGTAACTGGTCCAATATGAATGAATGCCGTGGATCCTTTCGCACCGTTGCAGGCGTGCCGTCTGTATGCCTCGTTCACGAGCGTACGTGCAGTGTCGGACGTGGTCGAGGATAGTAGATAGCGAACGACGCTTTGATCGATGTCCCCGTTCCTTGTGTCCTATCGTCTGAGCACGCGCAGTATGGCTAAGCGTTTCTTGTCTCTTTCTCCGTTTGCGATAGTACACAACTTCTTGATCAGGCCTAAGGCCAACTTGACAAGCTGATGGTGGTAGTAGTGGCTGCTGGCGGATCTAGCAGCAACTAGTCCCAGTAACGGATTCGATGGACTTGGACGGTACTTTGCAGCTGACTTCGGGCTTGGTGATCTCCAGGGCTGGGGAGGACATTGCGTCTCCCGATAGTATATGACTCTTGGTAGGCTGGGCTAGTAAAAGCTGCTACTCAAAGTCGTTGTCACAGCTGTGACTGAGTGGAGAGTCCAGGGTCAGAATGAGTATGAGTGGATCTGTGGTATCAAGCAAGGCAGACTCGGGATGTTTCGCAGTGGTTGTGTTGCGGAGCCGGTAGTGGTGGTGCGGCGGGCGCAAAGCGGCGAAGCAGTCCGTCCTTGCAGCCGGGTCTGATAGTGAACGGCGGTGGTGGTATTATACGAAACTAGTCGTTGAAGGCGGAAGAGGGAGGTGGTGTTATTGTTGGGGTGAGTGAGAATGAGTCGCCACAATATGAATCAGAGGTCAGATTGGTGGTGTGGCCAACACAGGCAGCAGAGCGCAAACTGGTAGAGCGTGCTTAGGCGACCGAGTGCCTTTCGCGTCTTCCACCCTCACGTTCTCTGCACTGCGCCGGTCCATACTGACGGGAGTGGGTAGTGTCGGCTGGCCATCGTTGCTGTTGTTGCATCAGTTTCCGCTTGACGCTGGAAATGTGTCGCAACGTCAAGGCTGGCTGCTTTGGCTTCCTCCTTGGCCTTTGACTCACAATCCCGCCGCCGCCACCTTCGTGGTCCGTGCGACTCGCCCGATGATCGCTGCGGCGACGACGCACATTTCCGGCGGCAACACTTTGGCGATCAAGGACACCATGCTATAGTCAGGCCGAATCATTTAAGTGCAATAACACTCAAACACGGAATCTTCACGGTTGGGTCGCATATTCTTATGTATTCTCGATCTACGAATAGTCGCCTATGGGGATGAAACCCTACTGCTACTCTCTTACGGGTTTGGGATAATCAAACGACCTCTAAACGCTCTTAATCTTCGCTCACGATCTGATAGACTGTGACAGGCGAGAGCCTATGCTTCCATGCAAAGGTCACACATCCTTTTGGTACTTTGCGTAGGAAAGAAATACTGCATGTTGCGTGACCGCAAAGCGTTCCAGAGCAGCTATGAGTGCCAAGGTTTGCTGACATACAGCCAGTGAGTTTCACCTTTACGATGATTGGCTAGCTCCAGCCACCAACTCTTGCACTCGTTCCCGTCTCAGCTGCGCAACGTCACCTCCGCCACCACGCCTTGCAAGCAAACACGTGAGATAAAGCTCGTCGCAGCAGCTAGCCTTCCTCGCGCAACACATGTTGCACTTGCCGGCCAAGAGCCTCAGCAACGGCGTAGGCTTCCGAAACGGCACGCCTCATGTCGGAGCGCGCCGTTCGTGAAGGACCGTGTGACCGCTGGCGCTCGGCTGTACTTTCGGCATAGCAGACCCGTCCAACAGCGCGATGGCGACTGCGCCGAGATACTGCCCTATGGCCGTCCATCACGGTGGGCTCCGTGAAGGCTCCATTGCGGATCATGTCGTATGCCACGCGCCTCATGCCGGCTTGAATCAATCACAAGTCACATTCCTCGCAGTAAAGCGGTACGATGGCATGCTTACCTCGCTCGCAAGCGCGTGTTGTGGCTCTCATGATGCGCCGCTGATATACCGTAACCCGTGAGTAGCGCAAGCTGTCACGGCGCTGGATGAAGCACCAATAGCAGATCTTGCTGGGCGATTGCAGGAACGGCGACAAGGCTTGTACCGCGCTGGTGTCATCCAACAGCAAGGCGCACCGATACGATGACTCATTTGGGTCGCTCGTATCGAACTTTGCAAAGTGGCGAGTTGAGGAATAGTCATAACGATGGCCGATACGGTCACAAACCAGTACTGAGCAGATGCAAGAGAGCGTTCGGGATGGATGGTTATAGGTACAGAACCAGTTCACCTAGACTAACCAGAGTATCGCAATGTGTCGTGCGCCTTCCCATCGCCAAGCACTCCCATCGCCTGTCACAAGATCGCGCTCAGCCGTGGACGGTGACCTTGCGCGTCCACCCGCTTACTCTCGGTTCATCAAGAACGGGCACTCGGCAGCCGTAATGTTACTCATCTCCTCATGCGTTACTCGTGTCTCCTCTGACTGCGCCGGAACAGCAACAGCCTCACCAGGCTGTGGCTGCACAGCCTGCTCAGTGTCGTGTGGGTGAGGGTGGACCTTGTCCGAGGGACCCTCTAAATGCTCATCTACCGCGTCGCGGATGTGGCGCGACTCGTCCTGAAAGTCGCCGGTTCGGCCCATTCGGACTCTATCCTCGAGGTTACCAGTAACGGATGAGGAGTACATGGAGCGAGGAACGTCGGTGCTGATGCCCTGCGGTGCAGTATCTTTCTTGGCTTCGTGGTAGTTCGACGCTGGCTTCTCAATCTCAGCGTTAGCACCATGGGTTGCGGCAGCTTCGACGGCTTGCTGAGCCGCAGAAAGCTCCGTTGGGGCAGACGCAGCGGCTGACTTTTCAGTGTCAGCTCCTTGATGCGGCACAAACTCATCTGCCGGCTTGCCAGTGCTCTCCGAGATGTGCTTCTGTATTACGGCCTCGGGCGCTTGCACATCCTTTTCGTTGTCTTGTTGCGGCTTGCCGAAGTGCTCTGCAATCTTCACACCGTCATTGGAAAAGTCAGCGGGCTTCTTCGCGCCGTCAGTGGCTTGTTGCTCAGGCGTGTGATTAGCGCCAACGTCCATGGCCGCAGAGAAGTCGACGTTGCGATTCATCTTCTCCTTAGTGACAACTCCATACGGTGCAATCTGCCGGAACATGTCGAGCGGGTCGAAGTAGGTGTCCAGCGCTTGAAGACGTAGCTTGTCATCAACCGTAGCTGTGGTGATGCCAAAGATCTCAATAGGACCGCCGTGTGCTTTTGCTACGACTTTCTCGCCCTTGCTATGTAAGATCAGCATGCTGATGCGAACAGTGTCGGATAGGATGAGAGGACATACTCATTGAAACCCACATAGTCATTCTTCATTACACCCCAGTGACGCCACTTCAAGGCAACCTTAGGTGGACCACTGTAGACCTCAATGACCTCCCAAGCGAACGTCGGCATCATCCGCTTGAACGTCTTGTGACTCGATGCGAAGTCCGAGTTCTCCGGACTGTAGTACTCGTTGGGTGCCACGATGGCATTGTACGTCCCGACTTTCAGCATGTGCTCGGCACCCTGGCCGGGCCCACCGTTCATGGCAAAGCTGTAATTAGCGTGGTCGATTGTACGCCAGTCCTGTAACCGCGGCTTGAAGGAAGCTTCGACTTCCCAGTTCTTGACGAGGTTTTCTACCAGCTGAGGAAGACTTCCAGCTGCGTGGTTCATCTTCTTGCCTGGGATATCGTCAGCTACAGAATCTCACGGCACCGCTTCCTCAGGCTCTGAGGCTGGGTTGAGGTGCAATTAGACGTCTTCATGCAAGTGGATACGGGCAAGCCGCGGTTTCATCGAGCTCCTATACGTTTAGACGACGCCTCGTTGTGGCTAGAACACTAGGTCTTCGCTTGGGAACGGTCAATATGGTGCGAATGCCTCATTCGGTCGTGAATTCGTAGCCGCCGGAGAGAGCGTTCCTGGTTGCGACAGAAGGAGGCAAAAAGACTCGTACCTTCTTCCCATACTTTGCGCGTCTTACTGTAGTCAGGCGCTTTCCCATAGCGCCATTCCACTCCCTCGTCAGCGAAGACAGCGTTGGGCGAGGTGACATAGTCGGGTAAGGCAGGCGCAGGCTCAGCTGGCGGAGCCTGTACGTCAGCTGCAGCCATATGATTGAAACGATTGATGCGGTATAGAACAATGTAGGAGCGATGCTCGTCAGATGTTCCAAGCTGGATTCGTGGTTTCAGCAGCGGAAAGACGCCTCGGGCCTGGTTTATGCGACTTCGAGGAAGGAACGTAGGCGCAGAGCAGACAGCTCTGGAAGGAAGGAGACCGGATACTTTATGAAGCCGAACTTACTGATACCTGAGCGTCTTACCCATGACGGCTGATCCACGGACACGGGCGACTGCACGGCACGACGCTCTGACAGGGAGCATTATCGTTAATGGAATGCTTGCTGGATAGCTGCATGGCCACATGGGTGTACCCTTGTCAACCGCTTTAGAGGTGGAGCAGACACGCTATCAAGGCGACGGTCCAGATCGTGTGTAGCTATGCTTATGCAGCGGTGCATCTTATGAGTGCCCAGCAGTTCCCAGGATCGTGTCCGAGCCTAGATTGGGTAAATACGCGTCAGCAGGAGCCAGAGGAAGCGTAAACATCCTGGGACTTGGCGCCGTGCGGATTAGATCCACTAAGCGATACGTCTTGTTGCGTCCGACCTTCGGTGCCGTGATGGTGCCGTGGCTCCTGAGATGGCGGGATCCGCGACTCCAGAACGAAGGATGATTTACCTAACGCCTAGAGGCCACGCTATAAGCAAACGCTTTATCCTGGGGATCCATTCGCCTGCAGACGGAAGCAAGGGAGTTTACGCCAGCGCGCGGCAGGTTTACTAGCGGGTTATTACTGTGCCTCATCCAACAACATGTCAGTGTCACTGCATTCATGAGCTAAGATATTGGGACCTCGGTCGGCAAATGCCCCGCTTGATCTCACGAACACAATCCCAGATCTTCCTCACGCGCGTTTGGCGCATTCTGTGCATGCAGAGACGGAGAATATGTTGAGCATGACATTGATGCACCGCCGACTGATACCTTCGGGCCCACTCTGGTTGGAAGCGAGACACGCCGTCACTGTAATCTGCCCCTCCCTGCATACATAGATTGCTTAAGCCTCGCGAGCCGCAGGGTATCGCCATTTCCGAGGCTCGTCCCGAGCATGGGGCGAGGCTCTAGATTCCCTCCAACCGGTGCTCGAGAATGGGGCAGAGCTGTAAGGTGTTGAGTTCTCCAGAACTATCTGAGATAGGCAATGGACTAAGCAGAGCATACGCTCCCCAACACTGTACCGTTGCATACACATAGTCAGCACATCCCATTTGCAAGAATTGAAGCTCAAGGTCCCAGATGCATGCTTCCGTGGGCTAATATCAGAAGCGAAGCCCACGTGCGTTCGATGGTTGTCAAGACTGCATACGCCGTTGCACAGCAGCTTGGCAGGTTGACGGAAGTAAGTACACCGTTCTCGTACGACCAAGAAAGCTTCAGCGGATGTCCGCTTGCATCCGCGCTTGCTTGATCATTGACCGATGGCCAGTGAATGTGCACCAAATTGCCCTTCTCGCAGTCTCGCATCGGTTGAACCGCGTCAATCCGTGGTATGATGATCGCAGCAGTTTATGGACCATGCCGTTCTTATCCGTTGCCTTGGTAGTGTACAGTGTTCCCAATACATCTCTCAAAACGTAGTCCCGTCCTTACTTGTCTCTTCCACTTACTAAGCCTCCGCTTCCTGCACTAGTTCGATTGTAAGAATAATGGGTTATATCGACACCTTCGCGGCAGAGGCTGCACGAAATGCAATTTGATACGTGCTCGACGTTAACGGCAGTCTGCTATCTGCACGGTTCAGCGGACTGCAGCCTTCGAGCGTCACTAGATTCCAACACAAAAGTCTGACTGAGGTCATCGTACGCTTGGTAGCCCTCCTGTTGTGGACCATGGACTTGGGAGGAGGCTTCCGCCGTTGAGACCTGAAGTGAGTCGAACAGCCATCCAGTTAAGGAGCGCTGTGTCTGACAGAGAGCCGAAGTGCCTGCGATTCATGTTCATACTCGCTCCACAATAGGTTGACTACGTGAGTGTTGGCCTTTCTCATAAGCGTCTCGTGCGAAGACGCTCTACGCCGCAGCTCCACCGCTTGCTGTTGGTTCTTTCGCGGCTTGTGGAGAGCGGCCAGACACCCGCTACAGAGTTCAATGCCGGACTTGCCGTCTTCCCCCCCACTAGCCCGGCTGATACAGTCATCCCATGGTACTTTGACTGCTGAATGGGGTCCATGCTGCCTTGCGAGGCTGCTTTATTGGCTTTCATTTACTTTAGTTGTCTTGTTCTCCCACGTGTTTGGTCGTACTTGGTGATCTGAGAATGCGGTTGCCTTGGTCGGATGTCAGGTGATGCCCAAAACAGCACACCACTCGCCTGCACGGTTCCGCGTGGCCTGGACGCATCGGAGTAGTGCGACATTGTCGACTATACCTCCACCATGTTTTTCAACCCGAAGGATGCCGCTTTTCTTTCCATCCATGTGATGAGATAGCACCACGGTAACGCTTTCGTGACACACATCCTCCTCGAAGCCATCGGGGTCCGCCAACACCCAACTCTCAGCATGGGCCCGTTGCTTCAGCGGTGATGATGTCGAATAAACCGCGAACGTTGAAGCCATCGGCAAATTTCGTAGTCGGAGTCTGCTCGCCTCAGCTTCAAGAGGTGAGCATAGTATTATCTCCCGGTCTGGGTCCCACCATGCTCTCGGTAGAGACGTATCTCGCAAAGCTGCAATGACTGCTGTCCATGCAGCATCGAAGGGGTTGCCGTCCATAGCTATGCATAAGATGTCAATGTACAGCGTCCAGTACGCTTTGACGACTGTCTTTGGACCTGCATCCGGAAGATCGTCGTCCGTCTGCGGTACAGTATATTCAATTTGAAGATCTTGTAAATTTACCAAGTCAGATACGTGCAGGAGCGAGAGTATACGGTAGCTCAGTGCCTGAGCCAAAATGCCAGGTGGGTTTCCAGGTAGATGCGTCGGTGAGCATCCGGTGCTGAGCTCTACATTAGGCACAAGCAACCCGAGGTCTTCTAGTAGATGCTCAGCATCGGCATCTCCGTTCGGCGGGTGCGGAATGTCAGAGGCAAGCAAAATCTCGGCACGGACTCCGCACACCACAGCGGTGTCTCCCACCCTAACGACTGCGCTGCCGTTGCTATAGCTGAGTGAGCCGGTGTTGACGGTTGGCTTTCTGACTTCTTCGGGCCTACGTCCGTTTGGCCGAATGGAGTCTTTGTGTTGGAGGTGGGCTTGTAGAAATGGACGTGGAGTGAGCTTAGCGAATGTCTCCGGCGGGAATGTCAAACCTGGAGCCGGTGGTGTGCCGTTCGCCATATCAGATCGAGCGTCCGTAGTGAGCCTTCTACCGCACCTATGCCATGATGCGTGGTAGTTGTTGGATTCAGGTAGTGAGACCAATTCAGTAAGGCTGTCAACCCCCGAAACGCTAGAGGCTTGGCATCCGTAGGGTACGCCCTTGGAAGCAAGTGCTCCCTTTCAACTTCATCCCTAAATCAAAGACATGGATATCGACTTCGACAAGACAAGCTGAGCAGCTTGTGGAGTGGGTAAGAGCACTTGATGGGATATCTTGTTATGAGCTGACGTGCGCTAGCCTACCGGGTGGGTTCTCGTAACCCAATGGCAAAAGCTCGGCTGCATCATCTGCTTATATGAGTCCCGTGACGCAAAATTCTCGTCGAATCAACTCCATCCCACGGTACGAAACTTGGAGTTCAAGGATATTGGTCAATTCTAACTGGAAATTAGTGGCACAATTGGCTAGCGCGTGAGACTTTTAAATGGAGGTCCATGAATGAGATCTCAAGGTTGAGAGTTCGAGTAAGACCTACCGCATACAAACTGGTAACTCACTCGAGACTGACCCAACTTAGGCCTCTCCGTGGGAGAAATAAGATCATGCCACGCACGTTCAAACCGTGCTCCAGGAGTTTCTTTTTGCCTCTTGATCCAGAAAGCGCTCTGGATCTGAGAAGCTGCCTTAATTTGTTACCCGGAAACGTTTTCATGGGGTAGAACACCACCAGGCAGCAATGACCACTATAGTCGTGATGAGTAGGGAGAAAGATCCGACTGAAGTTATCTATTGTGAGCAACCACAAAGGTGAAGCGGAACAACATCGAGAAAATGATATTGATTACATTACGGTTACAGCTTGGCACTACCAGTCACTATTCTGTCCCACTCTTGTTTTCCAAAAGGCTCGTAGCTCTCAGCACCTGGTGGCAGCCAGAACAGCTCATCACCTTCCACCTTGCTGGGATCCACACCCTGATTCCTTAGCGCCACTTTCTGATGCTTCAGCGTGCCTGTCACTTCCAGCTCGTCGCCCATTACCCGCAAAAAGATCGGTACAGCGTACCGGGGCAATCGGTTTCTCACATGGCTTGCCAGCTCCCTTCTCAGCCCAGCATCGAGCGCCTTCCCACTCGCGAACCCAACGGCCGCACAACCTGCTCTTCCGTCATGGTTCGGTAGTTGTACTCCATACACATTTGCTTCTCGTATCGCAGGGTGCGACCCAAGTGCTTCTGAGACTTCCGCCGTACTCACATTCTCCGACTTCCATCTAAACGTATCTCCCACACGATCGACGAACCACCAACGCCCATCCTTGTCGTGCCTTTGCAGATCGCCAGCACGGTAATAAGCATCTCCCTTCTTGAACACATTCCGTAATACTTTCGATTCCGTCGCCTTCTCGTTGCCCAGGTACCCTTGGTACTTCTCCTCGACAGCTGCTGCATCCAGAAGGTTGAGGAGCTCGCCGACTTCGTCCCGTTTGCACTTGACGCAAAAGCCGGTCTTAGGGTCTCGATACGGCATGTCGGTGTTGTGGTCGTGCTTGACCAGTACAGCGTTGCTGCCGAACAGCGCTTCGAACAAAGCACCGGTTCGCCCTATGCTGCCCCGTAGGAAGCCATTCCGCTCGTAGACAATGGAGGATCCGGGGGCTTCGGTTGCACCGTAAAACTCGCAGACATCTGGGATATTGAAGCGATCTTTGAACTTTTGCCATACTTGAAAGGAGTGTCAGTACTACTCTTTACCCAACAATATCAAGTTCAACAAACTTACCATCTGGTCTCATGCCGTTGCCAAACGCCAATCGGACTGTGTGTGCTTTATCATACGGTGTAGGCGGACTTGACACCAGATAACGGCATGCTTCCCCGATATACTGGATGATTGTCGCCTTCGTCTCAACAACCATCTTCATGTACGTGCGGGGGGAGAACTTCGGCGCTACGATGAGAGTACAGCCGGCTCCTAGAACCTGACATACACCAAGCAATGCTGCAGAAGAGTGGTACTAACGCCAATAAAGTGTAACGGTCAGTAAAGTCTCCGGCTGGCTGGCCTTTCCAAAGGTTGTTCTGCTTACCAGTGGCATAGCGGTAAAGTAACGATCGTCGGCAGTGAGTCTCAGTAGCTTTGGGAAGACATACATGCCCCCCAAAGCCCTTGCCCAGCCGACATTGGCGGCCTTGGGTAGCCCGGTGGTTCCGGACGTATAGATCAAGAGGCCGCCATGCTTGGGGAGTTCACCAGAACGCGCTTCATCTGGTGCACGGTAAATCGGACCAGCTAGAATGCGCTCTTCTTCGGTGTCGTCAAGAATGTGCGCCTGTACGCCCCTACCTCTGCCGTCTGGACTCAGCTCAGCGTGAGTATCGTCGTTCATCACTTCGCGTATTGAAGCATCCACAACAAGCAGCCGGGCTGTTGAGATGCGCACGCAATGCACGAAAGCGTTACCGCGCAGATTGCTATTGATGAACGCCGGCTTTGCGCCCAAGGACCACAGAGCAAACCATACCCAGATGAACTGCGGCTGGTTTGTGAAGTCGATCGCCACTATCTCGTTCTTCTGAATGCCATGCTCATCCTTCAGCCATCGTGCATATTTCAGTACAGTTTCGTACGCTTCCGCATAGGTCCACTGCGTCCGTTGCCTTGAGTTGGCCTCTTCTTTGGGAACAACCAGGAACACCTTCGCCGCAGTCTTTGGGTCTTTAGCGAGTTCCTCGAACCTGTAGAAGATGTTGACGCGATCTTGCTTCGCTAGCCTTTCCAGCAGTCTTCTGTAGCTAAGCAGGAGAGGGACAGTGGAGAGGTCACTGGCGACTCCAAATCGTGCATTGAGGTAAGCCAAGCCTGCTGCGGCGGCAGGAACAGCGATTGACACAGGTATGCCTACTGCGGGATCAGTCCACCACCTCCTTCTACGTCTTCCAGTAATACGTACTGGCCATGGCAACGTCTTGAACTTTTGCCTTGTCTCAAGAGACTCAACGGGCTTCTAGCCTGGCACTTGGGGCTGAACGCAATCCGCCAGCGAAAGGGTCGGACGCAGAAGGTGTCATGTTGCGTTCAAGTCTAGTCTTGCGCCCGAAATGGAATGCTATGCGCATGAACAGACTCGCCTTTGGCCGCGGCAGCTAGCGTTATCGAGTATGCGAGTAGCAGCGCCTCCGCCTTCGATTGAGCCGAGGCACCGCGGCAGCCATTGTGTGTTTGAAGACGCCAACCATGCAAGCGCGGCTCGTATTCCCTTGCGGCTGAGAGCAAACATCGCCGGGTCTTGGGCGCTGAGAAATGGTCGCTTCGCAGGGTTATATCTAAGCCGTGCACATACAGTTGCTTCAAAGGCAGCCTGATCCTCTAGGGAGCTAAGCTCCTGAATTGGCAAGAGTGACCCACCGCGGTGGCTGCTTACGTATACATACAATTCGCTACAACATCAATGCTTCGATTGTTGTTGAGCGTTATGGAATTACTGATATCGCCGACAAGCGCAATCTTGTCCACCACATACCTGTTCTCAGACACTTCAGCTTTTGCCCCAATCTTCGACGTTGCACACCTTCGGCTCTCTGCCGGAGCGGACAATGCACCACACCACCTCCTCATCGCCGTCATTCACCTCCTGATGTTCTGCGTATGCGGGAATGAGAGCATAGTCGCCAGGTGCTAACTCTTGCCTCTTCTTTCCGCCGTCGCTCACCACAGCCCCATGTCCAGAGAAGGCGAAAACAATCGTATCCTGATCTTCGTGATGATGGATTGCTGAAGAAGAATGCGGCTTCGCAATCATACGGGACGCGCAGATGTTGTCTGTGAGATCTACAAGTGCGTTCTGACGGATCATGCCTTCAGTCTGGCCGCCTGATGTCTGAAGATCGGAAGACCGGGTGACGACCACTGCTTTCTGCTCGGGCATTGTTGATATGTCGGCGTCTAGTGCGTTCTTGTGTTGATGGTATATGTGCACCGTTCCCGCTTGTGCACACCACTTTCCGCTTCCGCTTACGCTTCTACTGTAGCAATTATGAAAATCAATACTACAGCTTCTGCAGATGTGCAGAGTACGTGTTAGCAAACATCACTGACGTAGCAGAGCGGGGCAGTCTTCCATCCTGACGACCGCCGTACGGGTCAGCCAGGGATGGCTTAGCCGTGGAGACCTCGATTCGACGTCGATGTTGTGGGTTGATAACGCGGCTGAGGAGTGCGTGTAGTCAGCGGTCCCAAGACTGGCAACAAAACACCTGCCATCGTTGGTTCCCCAGATGCTCTCCATCCGTCCACCGTTGTGAAAGCGGGGAACCTCGATTCGAAGTTGATGCTGAGGGTTGATAACGCGACTGAGGAGTGCGTCTAGTCAGCGGTCCCAAGACTGGCAACAAAACACCTGCTGCCATCATTGGTTCCCAAGATGCTCTCCCATCCGTCCACCGTTGTGAAAGCGGGGAAAGTAGTGGTTCCTCAACTCATTTCAGGGCTGGCTCAGACTTCCACGCCGAATACCGTATTGCTAGTGGAGCCGTTCGACAATTGCACTCTCATGACCGCTACGTCCGTGATGGAGGAGTTGAAGAACAGGAACGCTTATTTGAAAGCGACTAATGCTGACGGGATATGCGTGCTCGAGGCTACTGTAGGTCACCCCAGCAGTCTTCAAGCAGCTCCAGTCAGTCTCGCTTGGAAGGCATGCGCCCCATGTAGTATGCTTCTCACCCCATGCAGGCACCCTGGTGCACGCAGTGCAAGGCTATTCAGCCTTTCGTCGAGAAGATGATCAAGAAGTACCCTGATGTCCGGTTCTATAACTACAATACCGACACTGCGGAGGATATCAGTCAAGAACTGGGAGCCAGGCAGATGCCGACATTCAACCTCTTCAAGGATGGCGAGATCATGGGCGGTGTTACCGGCGCGAAGGCGGCCCAGCTAGAGAAGTTGATTCAGGACAGTTACGATGGGAAGGTGGTAGATGTTAACGAGTAGATTTACGCCGGGGCAACTGGTTGCGGCCTTTTACCATACCCCAAGAATATATCTTTCTCTTCTAGTGCCTCGGCGGCTTTTCGAGTCGCGCTACCACTGGATCGTCTCACCAAACCTGTCATAAAACGACCCGCTGTCCTGCGCACCCCACCGCTCAATGAGTGGCAGCAAGCCTGCAACGCTCTCCCCAGGCGAGATAGCGCCCTCCTCTTTCCACTTCACCAGCTTCGTCTCGACTCGACCAGGATGGCAGAGTACAAACGCAACTTCCGGTACATCCACCACGAACGACCGGACAATGGCATTGAGAGCGGCCTTGGATGCACGATATGCGTACGCCGATCCCGCAGCACGGTTACCGGTGAAGTTGTTGCCGAGGCTCCCCATCCTCGAAGACATGATGATGACTTTGGCATGTTCGACGGCCCGTAAGTTTGGCAGTATCGCTCGCAGTAGGAGAAACGTGCCTGCGGTGTTGATCTGGAAAGTTTTCATCATAGTGGCAAGGTCCATGACCTCAAGCGTCTCACAGGCATTGACATCGCCTCGCTTTTCGGCTTCAAGATGTGGTACCAGTCCACGAATGCCTGCGGAGTGTATTACCACATCGATAGGCTTGGCCCCAAGCTGCTTCGCGAAAGCATCAATCGACTTCTCATCGGTAACGTCGACGGTGAATGGTTGTACATTATCGCGCTGCACGTCAATCGCGTCCTTGTCAATAGCAACCACTTGCGTGTCAGTCTGAGTCCTGTAGGCTTCCACGAAAGCTTCGCCAAGACCATTCGCTGCACCCGACACGAGAACAGTCTTCATATTAGAAGCAATCGTATCTGCAGAAGCAAAATCCCCCAATCAACCCTGCAGCGGCAGCAGCGGTTCATGGGGTGTCCGATGATGTTGGCCTTGGCGATGCGCGCACAGACTGGCTCACCTCCGTCACAGCGCCTACTCCCCTCCAACTGCACTGTGCTTTGACGCTCTCACTTCATCGGCGCTTTCTTCACCAGAGCGCAGGCTGACATACGATGCTTCCTGACTCCGATGAGTCACGCCTGAAACTCAGCAGTATGCGCCAATCGCCAGCAAGCGCATGCGCCGCGCCGACAGCTAAAGCCGAGATGCCATGAGAGGCAGCTCTTATTGTGCTGCACCCACGACCACAAACTTCGGTCCAATGAATGAACAGGTAGGCGTCAGTGCTCGTTCTGCATAGCTTCCTATTGTTACTTCACGCGTACTACGTCGCGTGCATACATCACTCGCTCGCACCGTGCCCACATCTCACACAATAACCTATCGCAGACATCACCCGCCCCACGCCCGCTCGCTACTAAGATGCGCGGCACTACTCGTTCGCGGCCTGTCTCGCAGCATGGCACGCCGCCAGTCTATGCGCAACCCATGACTCAGGCGCCAAGGAAGATCTTCAACTGCATTGTCGACGACACTGCGCTGGTGGCGGGCGTTAAGCGGAGCACGAGGAACGGTATCCGCCAGTGGGTGAAGAACGGACAGATACGCCTCTTCGTGCCGCTGCATGGTATGCACCCAGTCTCGCACCCGGGACGTGACTTGCAAGCACGCTGACTTCTTCAGCACTCGAGCAGCTCAGTCAGCAGAAAAGCGCCGTCAGCCGGCACGGGGAAGATGTGCGTGAGACGCTACAGTGGCTGGATGACGCAACTAGCAAGTTTCCGAATTTCGTCACGCTCCAAGGCGGTGACCAGTATTACGAAAGGTGGGTGGAAGTAGAGCGCTTCACTGTACCGCGCACTCTTTTCTCCGAAAACGATCACTATGCCGCACTCGAGGACGATGCCGCTACTGAGAGTCTTCCGCAACGGACTGCCAAGGTCACTATCTCACATGAGCCACCACGCTCACCGGCCAGCTCCGCAGCTTCTGTCGGCTCAGGCGCTGCGTCACCCTCGTCGCTGCAGAGTGTGCGCTCGAGCATCAGCCAGGTTTCGCCTCCCACGAGTCCAGCTAAGGCTCTATCCTCGCCCAGTCAGCCGCCGCACATCGACTATGCCACGGCGAGCGGGTCCGCGAGTACCAGCGTGCCGATGAAGCTACAACCACTGTTCAACTATATCCTGTGGCGCATTCACCAGGAACTGGATCCAATTGCTGCTTTAGAATCCTTCATCTTCCTCTGCAACGATGCCGACAAAGTGCATTACGCGAAAGGATTCGATATCAAGTGCAAGCGGCTTGAGCAGCTGCGCGAAGCTATAGGCCGCGAAGAGCGTGACTTCCGTAACCGAATAAGCATGCAGAACCGCGAGAACCAGCAAGCTTTGACTGCCCCGTCCAGCGGCACCCTCAATGAGAAGTCGGTTGACGACGAAGAAGTGACGTACGAGCCACCGCCGCGTGCACCAGCAGCCATGCTGCCAAAGCCGGTCACGACTGTCATTGACCCAAACGCCTTCAGTCGTGCGTCGCACCCTGAGCAAGGAGTTGTCCAGTCAGCACCGCCGCGTTTCGATAGCGACGTTCCACTCGCGCAGCAAAGCCGTGGCGGAGCCAATCTACCGTTCAACAACCGCGGTGCAATGCGTGGTAACTACCGGGGAAGCCGGGGCCGCGCGAACTTCGTGCCTGGGCGTGGCGGTTTGATCGCTAACGCGCCTCGCACACCGAACGGGCAGATTGACCCGGATAGCTTCACACGGCCGCGTGGTGGTTATTCTACTCAGGGCAGGAAGCTGTGGGTTCCAACGTAAGTCACTCACTCCTTTCGTAGACAATCGAGGCCGTAACATGAACGATTACGGGCATCGTGCGCTAGCCTTGTCGCTGACCAGCACGGTGATCCTAGGTAACGAAATAAGCTCATCCGTTGCATAACCTGCAGGCGGAAGAGATCAGCAAAATCCAATGCACACTGTGCGTACACACCTAGGCAAGTGCCCGAGAGCAAGCAGGCACTATTGCCTAAGCACACACGGCCCGAGATAGCCCAAACAAGTGGCCTACAATTTCCAGGTGGCGAGTCGGTTTCGATTCTTGGCGCGACGGAGGGGAGTCTCAAAGACGGCGGTGAACAGAAGAGGATGTGAAAGATGGGGGGGTTACTCGGACCAGATTGCCAGATTCTTTACCTGCGTTCGTTACCAGATTGCTGCGTTGAGTTACCATTTCAGGATCCTATATTGAAATGACAGACTGCATGGCTGCGAATGTTCCTTTGTTACAACACACAGCAGCGATGTCTTTCCAACTTCCATCCCAGGTGCGTTGCCACTACGGCAGACTGTTGTGAGGCGTCAGGGCACAGGCTTAACGCCTTCTCCATTAAAATGAGCTAAACGCATGGAATTACTTGGATACACGAAGCCGAACCGCTAATGACTTGCTGTGCGTGCTACCTACTGCGCCGACTTAGCTGTGCCGCTCTGCACCTCCGCTCCTCGCGCCTCCCCTCGTGGGCCTTCCTCCATAAACACTCCGCCGCCTCTCTGCCCCTCCTTCTCACCTTCACGATCCAGCACAAGCTTTTCCATCCGGTCGAAACCCTTGACAGCTTCACCATACGTCTCAAACACGCCCTCCTTGTACCCATTCGCGACCTTCTTGACAAATTTCTCCTCATCCCACCGCGAGCCAATGAGATCCTCGAAAGTCTGCCCGGGTTTCCGCTCACAGGCCCAAACGGCCTTGTACGCAGAGCCAAGCGCGCAAGCGTTGCCGCCAATGTCGAGCTTGAAGACACCCTCGACACTACCGAGCACCTCGCCACAGATCTTGGCGATGGCTGGGTTGGCGGAGCCGCCGCCCACGAGGTAGACCCGACGCGGTTGCGCTGGGAGCAATCGGCCAGTCTGAGGGTCCTTCTCTGGCTTCACCAGGCTGCCGGAGCGGAGTCGCAAGGAAAGCATCTGACTCTCAACAATGTTACGGCAGTCGTCGGGGGTGAACTCGGAAGGTTGCTCCATCAGGTTGCCCGACGTTGGGCGGTACTGAAAGCGCCATTGGCCAGAGCGGAGATTGGGAACGATCTCTGGGCGCGGGAAGTAAAGGCCAAGCCGCATGGGATCACTAGGTGTTCGTTGAGAGACTGGAGGTGTGGATAGGGCGGTGTGGTTGAACTTGGACCAATCATTGCTTTTGTCGTTGTTGACCTGGTCGCGTATCTGCTCGCGGGCTAGACCGCCGTTCTTGTAGCACAGCATAAACATGTAGAGGCCAGCGGTGGTTGGGTGATTCATAAAGTGGTATGCCGGGTCCGGACGCCAGGTTGATGTGCTCATCAAGAATGTTGTGCTCGTGCCCAGCGACACCATGGCATCTGATGGTCGTAGGGGCAGTGCTAAGATGGTTGAGGGATTGTCGCCGGTGAATGGGATAATCATGCAGTCTGCCGGAAAGCCATAGCGTTGGACGAAGTACTTGCTGATAGAGCCGAACGAGTCGCCGCCAGACTCAGGCACATGACCAAGCTTCTTGCGAAGTTCTGCGACGCCTTCCTTGCCACCGGCGGCGAGCTCGAGCAGATCATCGTTGAACTTGCCCTTGCCGACGTCCCAAAGATTCATGCCCGTGACGTCGCTAATGTCCATCGGTGCAATCTTGCCAAGGAAGACGGAAGCTAGGAATGCCGATACGAGAGAGATGCGTGCTGTCTGTTCGTAATGTGAAGGATACTTTGTCCGATACCTTAGGATCTGTGGACCGCTGAAACGATGATGCGCTTTGCTGCCCGTGGCTTCCGCGAGCTTCATAGGGTCGCCAAGACGGTCATCGAATAGGTCGCACTGCCGTTGGGTGCTCGCATCCTGCCAGTTCGGGCTCATTGGGTGGGCGAAGGCACCTCTCCGCTCGCCTTTACCGCCAGCTTCTAGCTGTTCGACCAAAGATTTGCTCGGATCAAGATTTGCCAATAGATTCTCTGCGTCCGGAGACCAGAAGACGGTGCCGTGCTGCATGCCGGCTCCAGAGAGACCCTTGACTTTGCTGAAGTCCAGCCCGTCGGCTTGCAACCGATCAAGCACAAGGTTGACGGCTTCGAGCCACATAGCTGGCGGAGCGAAGACCTCGCCTTCTGCTGGGTTGGTCAAGACGCCTTTCTCGATGCCATACTTCTTGAGGTCTGCATCGAAGTCCACCTTCGCCTCGTAGACTAGTTTGAGGTTAGAGTCAACACAGATCCCTTTCAGTTGCTGCGTTGACAGATCAAACCCCATGTAGAGAGCATCTTTGGTGCTTGAAGTATCACTCATCACAAGACGCTTCAGACTCTCCCATGGTGCTGCTGGTAAAGAGTCCATTCTGCTCACGCAGCCGGAAGCTCTCTGGTGCTGTTCTGAGTGATATGGTCCGTCTGATGGTGCTCAAATATCAGAGGGGCCGCGCTTCAATCAAGCGTATCGGTGTGCCACAGAGATTGAGGTATGGCAAGCGGATGCTGCATATAGCTGTCCGACCGTTGGCTCTGCAAACATGCTAGTGAAATAGAGCCTTTTTCATTGATAGCTCAACCATATCCGTTGAACAACAGACAGAGCTGCGTGGGTCTGATGCCACAGTTGACGCCGGCTAAACCGGCTAATTAGGCTTACAACATGGGGCACTGCGAATCGAGCATAGAGCTCTACGCTGCTTGCAGTCTGCTTGGTGCTTTGGCTACTAATATGGTACAATGATTCGTAAACTTTGTGCCTTCTATGAAGCAGGTTTGCAATGTGAGGTTTACGTAGATTCCTATGCTACTAGGTGCCAAGCGGGCAACCACTTCAAATCTGCGCTGCTCGTTGGGATGTCTTCTTGCATCAGGGATTTTACCTCCTCATCTATCCTTGTTCTATTCCCAAGCAAGATTTCACGTTCAAGCTTTCTCATCATTTCCAGCTCCTTGAGGCTCCCATCAAGAAGCGTGCTGCAAACCCCCAAGACTGTGCGCAGGCTCGAACTGGCATCCTCGGTGTCGCCGGAGTTGGTAGGCACGGGTGGCAACACAGCGGAATCCCTTTGCAGGGAGCGCAGACGAAGAGTGAGGGAGCTATGGGCGTTGTGCCACTCCGGCGGTAGAGGCTCGATGGCATTTGGCTGTGCATCACTGCGGGCAATCCACCCCTCGAAACCTTGCAGCAATTGCATGAATTTGCTGTTAGCATTATGCAAGAGGTCTGATAGCTCCGAATGTACTCTAGTCAAGACAGAGAGTTGCTCAGACAACAGATCGAAGTCAGGACACCAAGCGTTCAGCGTCGAGAGGTCCGCGATACGCTGCTGTTCGTATGTGAGGGAGGCGATATCGCCGTAGCCTTTCCGTAACTTTGCTTGCTTCCTGGTTAGCTTGCGGTTCGCACTTGCGGCGTACTCCCGTGATACTGCAATGGAAGCCTGATGCAGTAGTGACAATTGCAGCAGTTCAACTTGCTGTACGGTCGTTACAAAATCGGATGGCTCGACGTCACACACACTCACGTCCTTCCTGCTACGTCCTGTCGGTACCGGCGGCTTTGGCAGCGATGACTTTGCGGGACTGTAATGCTGCTGAAACGTTGTGAATGCTGCGCGCGAAGGCTGCAAAACTTGCGACTGGGATATTGTGCTTTGCCGAGACGAGGCAGATCGGGCAGGCGAGGTAGGGGAGCACACACCCGGTGGGAGTGCCGTTGCTGCCCCATCGATCGACGGTGGGCGAGCTTTGAATGCTAGGGAGCGGTGCTCGGGCACTCTTGTATTGACGCTGTTCATAGGGGCTGCTGGCTCCTTGGTACGAACGTTCGCCCCGCGTGTCGAGCCATTTGCTGCCGGTGACTGTGGGGCTCTAGTTGAGTGCGTTCGTTTGACGTACGCTTCTTTCAATGGGGGATTCGCTTCCGCCACGGCTCGTGCTCCAGTCAAAACCGCCAGTGCTTCAGCGCGAGCATCTTGGGATTTAGGCCTACGTTCTTTATCTGATCGCACAGACGGCGTGCGTCCTGGTCCATTCGGCCCATAGATGGATGCTGGCCTGCTTAGCTTAGACGGAGGAGGTGGCATGGCTCGTCTATCAGCGGAGTCCATAGCTTGGCGTGGCTCGTCTGACACAGCACTCGTCACACTGACAGAGTCTGCTGTACTGTCTGCAAGGCTGACTGGCCGGCTGCCGGCCTCTTCTGTCACATCATTCTCCCGAATTGTCCCTTCTCCCCCGGAAGTCTTTCGAGCGAAGGTCGGCAGCAGGCTTCTCCTTTTCGCCTGCCGAGTAGAGGTGCTACGTTCCGTCAGGGAGTCAGGGAGCATGTTCAGCGCTGGGCCCTGGCTGCTATCAGCAATCAGCGATGCGAGCAATGCAGGCGTTGGGGCTATAAACATACTTCGATCATTGTTACGGGTCGGCTACGCCGCGAAGGCAGCCGAGTCGGGCTTGCCATGCCAATAGGGCGTTCGGAGAACCCTTAGAATTAGTTGCAAGGTGAAAATCTGGAGTCTGAAGTGACAAAGCAGAGGTGGCAGACGACGAGGAACTCTGGAGACCCTGATCGTTCGGTGGCTGTTTTGCTACTGCCCCATTCGGAAGTAGTGGCACGCGCTCTAGTGTCACGAGGGACACCTTGCACTCTCAACCACCTCGACTGTCTATATCCAAACGGAGAAGACGAACATGTCACTGTCCACCTCAACAGAGGAGTCGGCGAGCGCTGTAGTGTGGTGATCAGTAGGTCACCTCTTCCCAACCTAGGTTTACCCGACGCAAAAACCTGTAGACCTACTCTCCCTGAACCGTACGACACCCTCCCCTGAATGCTGATCACGGCTCGCAACGGGCTGTCCTCTTCTCTTCTCGCAGCTGAAGGTTGTGTTGAACCTGTTCTGTCACGCGGAACACTTATCGCAGATCATGTCATTTTGCCCAATTACAGTAACTGCAGACGAGCGAGCTGCAAGGTACAAACGGCTTTTGGCCGCTCGTCTATACCCTCTGTAAAGGCGGACCGAATCGCACCGCTATCCCAGCAGTACACGGGACCATACGTATACGCAGTTCGCTACCCAACGACTGGCCCTGTGTCTGTCTTCATTGAGATGCCAACGCTATCAGGCGCGACGAGCCCATCGGTGCTACCGCAAGACATTAAGGTCCACTTGATGTACCTGAGAGACGATCCACTGTACAAAACGGTCAAACCACTGCAGATTACTCCTAACTTCGCCGATCGAGACGGCCGGACCAACGTGCGGCTTGCGCCTGGTAAGAAGGAGACCATTAGAGACGTTCGCGGAGTCAGTGACGCGCCACTAGGCAACTTCTCGCTGGACGATAACGGATTTAGATATGTCAAGGCGCCGACTACGTTCAAAGCGTGGAGTTCACAGCCAAGAATTGCGCAAGAGTATCTCCCGGAGCTGGAGGCGCTACTCAAACGTGAAGTCGATGGATGCGACGAGATCTTGTTCTACGATGCACGGATCCGACAGGAAGCTGACGAAGGTCTGCGAGTCAAAGGTCTTTCCTACAACCCGTTCGCACGTCAAGTGCATACCGACAATACTGAGCGGAGCGTGCTCGACAAGATCCGCAACATGACTGATATGAAGGCGGACTATCTTCTTTCCGGTCGAGCTCGCATTATCAACATCTGGCGGCCTATCAAGCATCCAGTATACGACTGTGGGCTCGCGATAGCTGACGGCGGCAAGCTGCGCGATGATGACGTGCTGGAATGTGATCGCCATCGAGCTGATACCGGCCAGTATTGGGACACGATGGGTGTGATCAAGTACCGTGACGGCTACGATTGGTACTACTGCAGCGAACAAGCAGAAGAAGATGTGCTACTCTTCAAGAACTACGACAGCGACACATCCGTTAAGGCACGAATATGCCTGCACACAGCCTTCGACCTGCCACCAGAAACGGTCCCACCTGATGCACCCACGCGAGAGAGCATCGAGGTCCGAGCACTCATCTTTACGTACCCAGAGGCTGGCCCTAGGCCAGCTGGCGGAACTATCGAACACCCTCTTGCCATAACCTTGCAGCAAGGCAAACTCAAGCGAATAGACGATGAATTCAGCCTTGTGGACAAGCTGCGAACCGATATTGATGAGGGCAATGAGGTGAAAGATGCCGTACTGTTGCTCCGAAGACAGGAGATACGGAGGCTAGAACATGTGCGAGACGCACTGATCGAAGAGCGAGAGAGTCTGGCAGCAGACTTGGCCCAAGCGAACACCGAGAAGGACTTACTGCATCAGACAATCCAGCGTCAGGAGCTAGAGATCCAGAAGTGGAAGGCTGAGGCGATGGGCCGTGGTAGTGAAGCTGTCAGCCGGTGTTGGCAGAGCAGCATTGATGAGGCTGTTCGTTAGGAGCATGAGAAAGACGTGCATGTCATCCAGGCTTTGCGTGACGACGTTGAGCGACTGCGATCGAGATGATATCCATGGCGAGTTACATTTGCATGTTGGGGAGTTGAGGCGCTGCATATGCCTCACCCAACATCGCCTGGCCAATTTGGCGGCAATTGCCAGAGATCGAGCAAGTTCTGCACGCGGTAGTCGCTGGCCCAGCCCGTATCCTTCTCGATTGCTCTTAGTTGGGTAATGATGATCCTGCGCCAGCCTTCTGTCTCCTTGCTGACTTCCTCACTTGCGTTACCTAGGACAAGCCCAGCCGTCCACAACGGTTGCACGGAGTGGACAAGTGCAGCTTCATCAGTACCACCGAGAGCAATGCTCATAATTTCCTTAGCGTGCGCACGTGAGTGCTCGAGGATCGTGGCGTACGATGCATGGCGGGCCGCAAGCGACGTTGCGCGGAAGTCGAGCGCCCCCAGTGCAGATGTAGCACCGGTAGAGAGATGAGGCTTGTTGTGCAAGAGCTGGATCCGTGCGAAATGGTAGCTTTGCATCGTGCTGGCACACATGGGGCGTGCAAACCATCTCTCCTCCATGTTAAGGATCCCGTAGTGGCTCGTCTTCGACTGGGTAACGGCAGCAGGTCGGAAGCTATCCGGCAAGCCTTCATACCACGCCCGTAGCTGCTCATCCAAGCTTTTCCAGTACTCGAGGAGCTCCTGCTGCCGCATTCCGAGGCCATTGGGAGATAGAGCTTCAGGAACATCATCCCCAGCTGCGATGAAGTTGACGAGCTTCTGCAAAAGCCAGATCAGTGCGTTTGATATAAGATCGTCGGGCATAGCATTCTCGGCCGTGTAGTCCGGGTGCTGTGGCTTCGAAGGACAGACGAAACCATCTGCGGTCAGCTTCAAACCTGCAATCCGCCACATTTCCAAGTCCGAAGTATCGAGGCGTGTGACGTGATTGTTAATGAAGGCATGCAGCATGTCTTGCCTTGCGAAATTCCAGAAGACAGCTCGACGAGCTTGGCTAGAGGTTCGAGGTGGTGCTACGGTGATGCTTGATTGATGATCCGATTGGCGAAAAGCTTGCTGGGCTACGGACACTGGCGATAGAGGTAAATTTAGTGGCACCACGCTGTCGTTCGCAATGTCGAAAAGTGATTTTGCACCGTCAAGGTGACGACTCCACTCGAAGGTAGAAGTATCGATGAATTCGTATACACAGAGTATGGCGGTTGCGGCGAAAACCTCATCTGACTCAATCGAAGGTAGCGAAACGCTTTGTGCAGTGCTTACTGCGTCTAGTGATATGGCTTGGGGCAGCGATAATGTTGGTGGCCGTGTCACTCCCGCAAGTGCTTGCCGGACAAGCGATACTGCCAAATCGTAGTACTCGCAGGCTTTGCGCGACCAGCCTTGCGCGCTCAGGAGCGGACTGGGCCAGCTCTCGTTTCCGCTTCGCCTACTGGATGAGATCAGACCAACGGAACTTCCACCATAGACCCGAGCCAAGCGTTTCGCCGAACATGCGACCGCTGCGTAGAGCAGTAGTGGGCACTGTGTAGCAAGTTCCGGCACCCTTGTAGCAAAGAACAAGCGATGGTCGAACAGATCCATCCATCTCCCCGCCCGCTCTGAGAAGTCTCGCAGCAAGAAAGCTAGTTCCGGTTCGTAGATGCAGGAGCCGTAGGAGAGGGACCCTTTGGAACGTGAGCTGGGCCTGCTAAAGGCGTTAATGTACGATGGGCTACGTACATGGGAGTCCAATCGTGGATCGATGTTACCGTCAGGCGCTTTGTCGGTGGCACTATGGTGGCGTGTAGTGACAGGTTCGCTTCGTGCGTGGCTAAGAGCGTGCTGGTCATACCAGCTTGCTGAGAGCGAGGGGGGAGGCTGTTGCGAAGCATCTCTCACATCTCGGCTCATATTTGGCGTTGGAACAACGTAACTGCAAGGATCCTGGCTTGCGGCATTGCTAAGAGCCTCTAGCCCTTGCGTAGCATAAGCGGGATAAGCCGATCGTCTGTCCTCCGAGAGCCGCGAAGCATTATTTGCGAGTAAAGCCAGACGCTCGGCAAGATTGTCGTCTACCAACGGCACGTCCGCCTGCCTGTAATCGCGGCTTTCGAAAGAATTGGTCTCTGGCGTTGGACTCTCATCGTCATCGTCGTAAGGGTTGATTGTGTTTACGAACTTCAGATCACGCGGTACAGAAACCCACGTCACGTCCTTGTCGAATGTTTCTTTGTAGCCGTAAAAGCGTTTGAGGCCACTCTCACCGATGCCCACGCCGTTCAGAGATGGGTTCTGCTGGTGCCGGAAGGTGATGCCTGAGCTTGGCACACATGTGCGGTTGGCCTTGATACACTGTGCGCATACTGGCTTCTCTTCGCTGCACTTGAGCTGCGATGCATAGTGAGATGAAGTCTCGGAAGTAACATGGACGATGATCAACATACCTTCCTTTGGCGACAGGTGAGACTGAAGGCAGGTTAGCCGACTCGATAGTGACGCCCCCAAACTAGCACGGTCTTACCAACCAGTCCTTGATCGTGGCATACTGTATCTTCTTGTCTAACTGCGGCTTTTGCGCATCATGACTTTGGTATGGTTTGTCATTTGGCACGTTGACGCTTCCAAATACAAGTGCAAAGGAGGGAGTCTTCACCAACGTGTGTCTTCGAGACTCGAGAGATCCCCGAGGTTTTGCCGGTGCTATACAGACGTATTCTCTCCGCTCATAATTACTAGCCTAATTCACGTATCGCCGACGCAACACTGGGACCGAATATGGCAACATTCAGAGAACCCTATGACCCACTACGTAGGGCACACGTTGTTCTACAGCTCTTCCTCCAATATGTACGCGACTTGTCGAGTCGTGAGCTGCTTCGACCCTCTGTCGATTCTTTCTGCTGTCTGCCCGCCATCGCCGCCGGCACTAAACTCGAGCACACTGACACTATAGGCCGGCACCTGCCAACTGAATACACTCTGCGCGCCGAAAGCACCCAACCCATCAATCGCCTGCGGCACCACCGCCGTCGGATTGCCAAAGTAATTGAACGCGTTCAGATCACCAGCCACTGGCGGTTCCAGAATCGTGCCGTTGACATATCCATACTCCATATCCAGCTCCACTGTCAACTTCTGCGTGGTGTGTCCTGCATTGACCACCTTGAGGTATACCACCTCCTTGGCCACATCAATCTGCGCAGCGAAAAACAACGGGTTGAAGCCACCTTGTGTGATGTTGAATGGCAGCGTCTGCGTGCCATAGTACGTATTGAACATCTGCTCCTGGTAGTAGCCTGTACTCAACACCGTGTCGTTTGGGTTCGCGGAGAACAGCATAAGGTACGGCGTGTTGCGGTAGAAGTTCACGTTCTGGATTGCCGGAGCAAAGGCCGACAGCTTAAAGGTATCTGGATTGCGCTCCCAGCCTAGTGCGTATACCGCTTCTGCTACAGCAGACAGCATGCGTGGGTGGTTCACGGAGGCTAAGGCATAGTCGAATGTTGGGTCGCCAGTCCGGTTGTCGATGGAGCTAACGTGGTATTCCATTAGAGAAGCATATACGTCGTTGGAGGCGGAGATGTTGTTTTCGTATGTATAGCTTTGCCAGTTGTCGAACTGGTCGAACGACTCGACAAAGTAGCTCGCTGCGGCGTAGACGTGGTCATCCCAGATCACAGCTTTCGGAAGGGTGATATTGAACTTGGCCGGCTGGGTAGCGTAAAGGTCCGCTGTGGTGTAAATGTAGGTGATGTTTGGATAGGCGGCTTTCAAACCATTGAGCATGAAAGCTGCGCGGGCCGGGTAGTCGTATGAAAAGAAGTCCTCGTTACCAATCTCCACGAATGGTATGTCGAAAGGCTCTACATGGCCGTGTGCCGCACGTTGGGCGCCCCAGTACGTGCTCGTATTGCCGGTCAGATACTCTAGCTCATCCAACGCTTCTTGCAGAACGTGCTGCATTAGTTCTACGGGCCATTCATTGGCGTTCGTGTAGCCGGTGTCGTAGGTCGCTATATCTAAGCTGAACCCGGCGTAGACACCCAATACAGGTACGAGATCCATGTCCTCGCACCAGTCTGGAAAGCGTCAGTACCTGTCACGGACACCCAGACACATACACCCACACATATACTCCAACAGTCCGAGTCCGTCGGTGTTATAGTACGTCCAATCACCCGGCCTGCCAGGGCGGTCCATGAGCGGCCTGCAGATTGATGGATAGGAAGATCAGCTCTGTCTTAGGCAACTCAGCACGCATTTGAAATCGCTCTCCTTACCCTGTCGTCTGCCACCATTTCCATCTCCGTTGGATCGAGTAACCTTCGAGGTTGTTGCCGCCCGGAAACCGCAGGAACCGGAAATTGCCCGCCTTAAAGTTCTCCGCCAGGTCCTTGCGTAGGCCGTTCGGCCGGTTCTTGTAGGTCTCTGGAAACAGACTGATGAGGTCGAAGTACAGTGTTTGCCCTCTAAGCTCCTCGGCATTCATGGTAATGTACAAACTGTTATTGCTTGTTGGCGCTGTGACGTTGTTCACTAATTGCACGGAGTAGTTGCGGTACTGGTAAGCCACTGGTTGGTAGGAGCTTGCCATGTCGATAGTACTCGACACGAAAACGTCGCTGCCAGTAGCGTTGCCGCGCAGACTGACGTCGATGTGGGTGATTGTACTGTTCCACCGGAAGCCGTTGGCTTGGACGAAGAAGCTTGCATTGTACGTCTGTGGCGTGACGGCCATGCCCCAGAAGCCATCATTGTGGAAGCCGACTTCACCGGTCGCGTTGAGTGGTATATCAACTTGCAGAGATACTTGTAAGGCATCGGATAATGGGTGGAGTAAGTCCAGGCTCAGGCGAGCATCACCTACAGGGTACCAGCCCTCCAGTGTCGGTGCAAAGGGGATGATCAGGTTCTCCGCTGTCAGAATCTGCTGGCCCGGTAGTAAAGGCTCTGCGCTGCCAATGCTGACACCGCTACCTTGGAAGGCTCGGTTGCGGACAAGCTCAGCGTAAATGCCGCCATCGCCAGAGTGGGAGATGTCCTCAAACAAGATGCCGGACAGGTAGGGTGCGGTGTTGTTCCTCAACGCCTTGTCCTTCGTGTTGATGCTCACGCTGGCGCCAGTGCCGTTTGTCCACGCAGCGTTGATGTATGGAGCAGGTTCGAACTGTCCAGGCGTAAGCTGCACTTGAGGTCGTACTAAGGGAAGAAGGGTGAGAAAAGACCAAAAGAAAGCGAGACGCTTCCGGAGAGTTGCCATCGGAGGCGGGATGAGAGGGAAGGGACGAGAGTAGAGGCCGGACGAAGCGACTGCGCGTACCTACAGTAGCCGCGCTGATCACCTAGTCTGACTGGACGTTCTTTGTGCGGGGATTTGAAATAAGGAAAGCACGACATCGAATGCAAGCCTTATGTCCCACTCGGCCATGTCCATGTCAGCCAAAGGCAGTGTAGCTGGTAAGTAAACTGAAGGGGTGCTGGGAAGGTAGCAAGGGCAGAGAAGCTGATGAAGAGTGCAACGGGACCGCGTATATAGAACATGTCTGCCATGTCAAGCGTGAACGCCAGGAGCTCTTCTGACGTGAAAGGGACGAAGTCAAGCTTGCCATGCGCGTGGGATAGTGACAGCGCTGAACATGTGACTTCCAATTAAGGACAACAAACATTCACAGCCAACAGTGAATAAAAACTTCATGTAGTGAATGCGATGTCGCGTGTGTAAGAGACACGTTCGCGCGTGACGGCGCGTGCTCTCCCAAACCCACCCACGTCATGAGCCGAAGTTTGTTCGCAGTTTCAGCCATCGCTTTTCCAACCAGCCGTTCTCCTGAACCAAATCTTTCAACTAAATAACATCCTTTCTGCATTGCGAAGCGCTCTTCTGGTACTCACACATTGATATTGGAACCAAGTGGCAAACTCACCATGCCGCCGAAACGCAAGACCCAAGCTCCATCAGCTTCGCAACCCCTTCCCGAGCCGAAGCAGCCCGCGCGGACGTCGGGCAGGAAGCGCAGATACAGCGATGCCTCCAACGTTTCCGACCGTCCATCCAGTAGCCAAAGCATGACAGCGGCTGCCCCAGTAAAGCGTCGGAAGAAAGGCAGGCCGGCCAAGTTTGCCGCTTCCAGTGTCGAGCCGGAGCCGGAGCCGATTGTGGAAGAGGAGGAGAATGAGGAAGATCTGGAGCAGCATCACCAAGCCATGCAGTTCGGCGGTGATGCTACCGACGAGAGGATGCCCGTGATGGAAACAGACGACTCCATCCAAGTCACCCATCCCCAGTCGAAGCATGTGCACTTCGGTGGTGCAGTCCGGGACGCCGACGGTGAAGATTACTCCACTGCTACCAACATCACTCCGCACCCACGAAAGACGATGACGATGAGCCGCCGCTTCACTTTCTCGCCCTCTGCAGCTGCCTCCATGGCCAAGCAATTCATTACATCGACTCTTACGCGGACCTCGCTCCCTCCAGCCATGAACATCGATCAGGCGGCGAACATCATCAAGGAGTACCATTACTCTCCGTTGCACACGGTCATCGAAGAGCGCAAGCGTCGCCGTTTGGAGGTCGAGGAAGACGGTCGCTCCCAAGCTGAGATCAAGCGCTTGAGGCAGGAAGCATCCCAGAAGCAAAAGCGCATCCGTGAGATCGAGTCCGAGCTTAAAGAAGAGAAGAATCTTTTGGCCAATTACGAGGATGATGCCGAGGATGAAGAGGCGCAACAGCGCGTGATTGCGCTTGAGCAAGAGCGTGACGAGCTGCGTCTGGAGCTCGAGAGCCACCTTGCCTCTCATCGTTTACATGTTGACGAGCAGATGCTTGTCCTGGACACGCAGGAGGATGTAGGTTACTCCGAGATGAAGGGAGAGAGCGCGTCGCTCCAGACTAACGGCTTCCACGGCAAGTCGCGCGAAAACGCGGAGTACGACCTGCCGGAAATCACTACGGTGACTGGTCGCGCATCGTCGAGCCTCAAAGAGATGACCGCCGCCTGGGACAAAGAACGTAGAGAGTTTCAGGACGCCATTCTCGCTCTTAACCGCGAAGCCAACGATGCCAAGGCGCAGCTGCAGATCTGGCGTATTGAGGCAGAAGCTCTGGGTTTCGGACCGGATGGTGCGAGCGTTGAGGTTATCCTCACAAGCATTCGCGAGTCGATGATTGCCATGCGCGAGAAGATCGAGGCTGCTCTGCCGGACACTCTGCCAGAAGGTGCCACAAATGCGGACATTGTCGACATCCTGGTAGCCAACTTGGAGTCGTTTTCAAGCCAGCTGCGCCGTCAGCACGGTGAGATCCGTGACAAGGAAACCGTCATCGCAGATCTAAGCGCGCAGATTGACGGCTTGCTCGAGCACCTCACAAACGAAAAGCTCCGCTCCGAGAGGCTTCAAGACCAGTGGCAGCATCTCGACCGAGAGCATGATGATAAGGCTCGCAACATCAAGGAGCTGGAGGAGGAGTTGGAGACGCTAATCGCTGAGCGCGACGATTTGCAAAAGGATTTGACGGACAAGGTCGAGGAGGGAAGGCTGATGAGTGAAGACAATGCTCAGAAAGCCAGTGACCTCGAGAAGCTTCGTCTCAGCCTCGATGGCTACATCCTGGAAGAGGGCCGGCTGACGGAGCTCATTCGGAGGATGGAGATCGAGCACCAAGACCAAATCATGAAAATGAACCGCGAGCGTGAAGACACCATTGCCGAGTACGACGGTCGTCTAGAGACCGAGATCAACATGCGGAGCGAGGCCGAGAGGCTTGGAGATGAGCGCCAAACTACCATCACAGAGCTTGAAGTCAAGATCGAGGAGCTTGCCACCGAGCGAGACACCTTGCGCGACGAGCTTGGCGCTGTCAAAGCGGAGCGCGACGCCGAGTCGGAAGGCCGCCAGCAGGCCGAAGCTTCCCTTGAGGAGAAGAACGTCGAGATCGAAGACCTCGAGACTCGCGTCAGCCGTCTCGAAGAGGAGCTTGATGCCCTCAATACCCAGGTCGACGAGCTACGTCGCAACAACGAGACCATCAAGACGCAGCTTGCCAGTGCCGAGACTGATCTTGACGAACGCATTACCCAAATCAGTGTGCTTGACCACAAGCTCGAAGAGCAAGGTAAACAAGCCAACGAGCTGCGCATGAAGCTTTTCCAGGTCCAGCAGGAAAACGAAACCAGGGTGAAGAACCTCGAGCTGCAGATGTCAGAGCGTGACGATCGGTTCCAGACTGATATGGCCGCCGAGATCGAGCGACGTGAGGCCGCTGACACACTGGCGCAGCAGCGTGCGACTGTCATCATAGAACTCGAGGAGCGCATCGAGGCCATCGAGCTGCAGATGCGTGCGGATCTTGCCTCGAGAGACGAGAGGATTGCTGCGCTCAAGGACGAGCTTGTAGATGTTAAGACCGACCTCGAGAACGAGCAGATGGACCACCGTGCTGCCGAGAGTACGCTGGAGAACGAACGTGAGCAGAATACTGAACGCGTGGAGGAGCTCAACAGTACCATACTTGCTTTACAGGAGACGCGGGATGAGCTCGAGGGTCGCATCCAAGAGCTTACCACTGAAGCGCAGAATGCGACCGAGCTTCACGACTCCGAGATGGAGGACCGTAACGCCGAGATCGCCCGTCTGCACGCCACCATCACCGAACTGAATGGGGAAGTACAAGACCTAAAGGCGGAGGTTAACAGCCTGGAAAGCCGCGTCGAGCAAGAGGCCGCCAACATGCTCGATCTGCAGAACGCCAAGGAGGACGAGATCGACGACCTCAAGCTCCAACTCAAAGAGAAGCAGGAAAAGATTCTCGTTGTCCAGCAAACAGCCGCCGAAGCTGATGCGGCCTGGACTGAGGTGTATCAGGCGAAGGAACAAGAACTTGCCGAAATGACCGCAAAAGCAGTGGCGGGCCAGGAGGTCATTACTACACTTCAAAGCAATCTCGTGGACTGGAAGCAGAAGTTCCGCGAGTACGCCGCTCGCAATAATAAGCGGATCAGCGGGTTGGCGGCGGAGGTGGCCCGGCTGCAAGCGAACAGTCAAGAGGAGGTTGAGGCGGAGAGGATGGATGGCGAGGCGGTGCTGGAGGAAATTGAGAGCTTCGATTTTGAGGCGGTCGTGGAGGTCAGAAAGACTGCGTCACAACGGAGTGTGATTTCGAGCTCGAGCCAGAGTCAAAGCCAGAGCTCGGGTGGCGCTACGAGGAATACCAGGGTGTCACGCAAGAGCAACAAGTTTGGTGATAGTGGGATTGGCATGGATGGGGAGGTTGAAAGCTTTATGGTAAATTGAGCGGATTCCGCTTCGCTTGAGAGTGGTGGAAGCAACATGTCTGGGAGCATCCCAGGAGAGTATTAGTAGCTGAGATTGGTACGTGAAGCGGTGCGTGACTATAGCAGCGTAATGTGCAAGAGACAGTAAAGGCGGAATCAATGCTAGAGTATCAGGACGTATGCGGTTTCGGTACGGTCTGCATCTCCCATTCACTGTATGTACGCACACTCTCAAACAAGCCGACCCAGGATTGACTTATGCCAGCGGACTGAGTTTTGGACATGCTTCTTGCACATCTGCCATACGAAGTCCCAAGAAAGCAGGAAGAGAAGTCTCATAGTAGGGCGGATATTGTTCGCCTCGTCAACGACCTGGAGCGCCATCACGCTGATACCGTCACCTTTAGCCGCTCGTCAACCAATATCACAGAAAAGGATCCAGGACCGGTACGTCACGCATCGGAAGGCTTCCAACCTACAACTAACGCGTTTGCTTTGGTGAATGGTCGTCCACAAACGCGCACCTTAGCGACCAAAATGTCCATAGGGAACGTAGACCGCATCTAGTTACTTACATTCACTCCCCCGCCCACCAAACAAGCTCCCAAGGTCAGGTAACAGCGCCCGCCCAGCCTTTTCCACCAAAGTCTTTTCCTTCCGCGCCGCCTTCCCTAGATCCTTAGCTCGAGCCAAGGCAGCATCTTCCCCGAGCCCCATCTCATTGCGCATTACTTGTTGCGCTTCCTGCACCTTCTTGTCGGCCCACTTGGCTACATGCAGGTCTCGAGGCGTTTCAGGGGCGTGGTGGTAGGGTGCGGGCGCCACGAGGGCCTCGGCTTTTGAATGAAGTGCATTAGTGATAGGGGAGACGAGCGTGTCAAGAATGTGGGGTGTGAAGCCTTGGAGCATCCCTGTGAGGGCTATTGCCGAAGGCACAGTATTGCGATCCGGCGAGGCAGATGCCGCTCGCGAAGAAGGTGACGCTTGAGGGCTGGTAGGGGGTGGCAGATGTGCTTCGAAGGTAGGGACGCTTGACTGCGTAGTGGTGATAGTAGGTACGTTGAATTTCGGGTCTCCGCGAGTATCAACTGCCTTTGTACCTGCTAGCTGACCGGGGCTGGGCACTGATGGCAGGGCTGCTGCAGCCGGCCATTCAGAGTGATGATATGCTGGATGCTTACCTCCAGCCTGCAGGTCTTTGAGTGTAGTCTCCATCTGTCGAGAAGCGTCCGGTGCTGCAATGGCACTGTGACCTAGAACGGGATCAACGGAGCCGGGAGCCTGTTGCACGATCTGTTGTTGCTGCTGCTGCGGCTGCAGGGCGCCCATAGTATGGTCTAGGAGATCCAGCAGTTCAGAGACCGAATACCGTCGGCGCTGCGAACTCCAAGTACCAAGCACTACAGCATGTTGCTGCGTCGTACGCACGGCCGCTGAAGCAGGGTTCGCGTTGGCAGCTGAACCGAGCAAAGCCAGTGCATGCGAGACAGCCAGCATGTCCTTCGAAAGCTTTTGCAAGTTGTCGTAGACAGAGACGCCAGGCTTGATAACGACACGACCAAGCTCTCCACCGTGCTGCAGAACAACCACATCGAGGTCGTGTGCAAGCTCCGACACACTGATCATATGATTGTCGGTGGTAGGCGGCAGCTGGCTCGCCGGACCGACAGCACGCGACATCACCGCATCGGCCGGCCGCATAACCGTCTGCATGGCCTCTCGTCGCTTGATGCCAAGCTCAGCCCGACAATCCGGACAGACATCCGATGACGCACCTTGACTATTAGTCAGAGAAACCGCATACATCCAAGGACTGGTAGCCTCCATCTGCCGACGCGTGGCGATACCTGTGGGATGGTACGCACCGGTTCTGCCCTTCTCCATGCCACGCGTCGTACCCTGAGACGTCGGCTTGCGGCCATGGCGCACACAACGGTTCTTGGTCCCGTGCAGATAGGCGGCTGGAGAGTGGAGTGCGTGGCTATTGCGAGCGGTTTGGCGGTTGGTGCGATCTGAAGCCTGCATGCTTGTCGGGCCGCTTAGGACAGCGTCGATGCTGTCTGTGGGTTGGCCGTAGCCTGAAGAGACGTTTTGATGGTCGAGTAATGGGATGCTTCGTCTTGGCTTGGGTGCGTGGAAGTCGGTTCCTTCCGCCGACGACCTCAGCAGTGGAGTGTCTGGCCGTACTGGTGTGGCTCTGCTCGACCGCCTGACGAAGCGTTTGATATGTAGAGGATAGACCGGAGACGTGGTTCCACTGCCATCACCGGCGACTGCTCGAACCGGCTTACGCTTGATCGCTTGCTGCAGTTGTTGACGGTGGGCAGTATCTTTCTGCTCAAGCTGCCGTATACGATCAGCCACTCTGCCAATACCACTGCTGTCAACGGCCTTCCTCGGGATAAAGTAAGCTGGGCCGTCAGCGGCTCCATCCAGGCCGACCAGCGAAGTAAGTCTGCGCATCCAGCTCACAGCTGCTTCACTACCTTCTTCACCTTCCGCTCCTCTCGGTCCACCCAGAGCTTGGCCTTCACCGCCGCCCAAAAGAGCCCAGCCTTCGTGAGTAGCTTTGAGGCGGCGCCCGTATGGTGATGGTTCTTCTCGGCACCCGGAGCACCATCGTGGCCCTCCGCCTGCGACTCCTCCAGGAGGTAGTGATGGTCTTCTTGGCGCTGGTTCTTCGGCATGGCTTCCTGATACCGACCTTCGCTCTCCGGGTAGATGGCGTTCTTGCCGCTCGAAGCCTGCGTGCGCTCCCGTGCCAAGGCTTTTTCTCTCTCCGTTGCGGTGGCGCTGGTTGCTGTAGCTGCCTCCGTGGCTGCCGCTGTCGTGGTGCTTTGTGCTGCTGAGCTCGCAGTCGTCCTCGTAGACGGGGTGGTAGCAGGCGTGAGAGTATGCTGCGAGACTTCCGACGGGCTGCGAGAACGTCCCGTAAAGAGAGTTCTGATGGAGGAGGGGATGGAGCGCTGCTTGTCGAGCTTGCCTTTCTTGCGTAGAGTGCGGTAGCTGCCGTGGGTGGAGGAGGAGTTGTTGCTCCGCAGGGGTTGGGCCGCCGCGCTGCTAGCTGCGGACTGACCGGTTGCTGTTGTTCGGCCAGTCGCTTGAGTGGCACTGCTGAGGTTGCTCGGTTTGGAACGTAGGGATGGTAGGGATAGTTTCTCGCGCTAACCCAGTTAACTGTTCGATTAGGCGACATTTGCTTCAAGAGCATACGTACAAGCCTCTCGCCAATGGACATGCCTGTCCAAGTCCGGGATGTAGTCTGCGCTGCTGGCAGAGAAGCTGGCGGGCTCCGCCGAGTCGCACGTGAACGAGCTCCATAAGCTCAACATGTGCCGGCATCAAGGTCTGCCGCAACACCAATGGAGACAAGAGCACTAATCTGCCGGGAAATAACGAATGTAAGCTGTGGTACACTACATGCTTTGAGATGCCAATGTATGGTCCGATACATGAGATGCGAGCCCAGATCGATTGGAATGTAGCTGCTCAAATACTTCAGCAGGTTCGTTGCGGTACGATGCTTCTTCGTCAGATGTCAGACCAGGCACGACCGATGTCGCAGAACGTTTCATTGTCCAGCAGGCGCTGCGACCTGATCACGGCAGTCGCATTTGCGGAACAAAGAGAAGTCGACTTCAGTAAGACTGGGGGTCAAAGCAAGAACATCGCATTGTAGAGTACAATATGTACATGCACTAGCCGCCCTATTTCATCGCTGCCTGGAGACTCTCGAGCACCTGTAGAGCACGTTAGCGTCAGTAGTTACCAGGTATAGCATGGGATCAAAGTTGGTACGCACCTCAAGCTCAATCCTCGCTTCTGCGATATCCTGTTCGCTACCACTTCCACCCGCAATCTTCTGCGCCTCCGAGATCTGATTCCTTACGGCGTCCGCGCTGAAGTCGTCAAGCGGGTAGCCTTCGACAGCGTTGATGCTGAGTACGGAGTTGGGCTGCACGGTCGCGAAGCCGCCAGAAACTGTCGCAAGCACGTATTAGCTCTTCCTCTTAACTCCCTCTTCACCTCGTCATCGTGTGGTATCTTGTCGTATGTGCTTCGCCATGGATGGATTGGACATACGGAAGAACTGCTTGCTGCCGCCAGCCTCCTCAATGACCTCCACCAAACCCGGCTTCAACTGCTCAATGGACGGCACGTGCTGAGCGAGGATACCCATCTCTCCAGACTCCGCGGGAATGTTGACCTGGACGCTGTAACAGTGATGGTTAGTCCTTCCTCATCATGTGTGTATCGTTACTGCGGCGACACATATGACGGAGGACGGCGCGGATGTCAGAACGTACACATCTTGGGACCGGTAGATAGCCTGTCATATCCTCTTGTCAGTCTAGTGTCCTTTTCCAAAGCTCCATCACTCGTCTTCAACCCTTCCGGTACTTGTGGCATACACACCTGATGCGGCAGAGCCAAGCTCAACTTGATCTTGTCCGGGGCGACGTCGGCGTAGCTGCGCTTCTGCAGTGTCCGCACCGCAGTGGAGCGCGTTCTCAACGCTACACGAGCGACCTTGAGGGAGTTCATGGTGGATGGAAGATGATTCGCTTAGTGCCAATGGCTCACTACAGTCTTCGTCTGCAAAGGAGAGCTTCAGCAGACGGCACCTCCCGCAAATGGCCGGCGGGGCGTTTCCGCTGGCAAGAACGACTAGGCCGAAAAAAGACTGAAGGACGAGAGCGCGAGCAATTCGGAGAGGCGATACTCCTCAGACTTGGAGACCGGCATACTGTACGAGATTGCGAACTGAACGCGGACAACTAAGCCCTTGGAAACATGGTTACAATGCACATGCTGTACTTCTCATACCACTATGCTACAGTCTTGCTTCCTAAAATGTCACCCGTTCAGCTAAACTTGGCCTGCGAAAAGTCCATCTCAGGGTGCTGCTCCTGGAACTTCTTCAGCATCTCCATCTTCTTCTCCTCCTCACTCGTCGGCTTGCCCATCTCCTTCTGCCGCTGATCATACATCATCTTCTCCACCATACTCCTCGTCTCCCCGTCCAAATCACTCAACTTGCTGTTCTCCGGCGTGATCTTCGTCGTGTCGATCTTGGGCGCCGAGGTGACGACGTGAGCCCACCACTCCATCTTGTTGGCCTTGTCAAGGTGAATGTTGAGTTCTTTGCCGGATTTGGTCGTTTCTAGTGTCCAGGCAGACTCGTCCACGTGGATGCTGTGGGGGAGGGTGCCCTTTGCGGTCGATCAGCATTTTGTTCGTGTAGGTAGTGTGGGTTATGCTTCGTACATCTATGATAAGTTCTTGACCTTTGATGCCAGCCTTCAGGCTGGTCTTGGTAATCTTCACATCGAGATCTCTACCCTTGATGTTCGCGGGGATGGACGCAGATATGTCGAGGTCACCGATTGTCTGCGTCCATTTGTACGGCAGCCTGCTCTGCTCCTCTTGCTCCTTCTTTTTTGCTTCCGCGTCGAGCTTCTCACGCTCTTCTGGCGTAGGCGACGATGGCCGCTCAATGTCCGCCATTGCAAGGTTCGTGTTTGCTCGTGTGCAAGAGTTGCAGAGGCGGAAATGGTCCGCACTCCGAAGGACGTATATCAGTCACGTGGGCCGCCGATGGCAGCAGAGATGTGGAACAAACAATAGTAGTATATATAAACAGTAGGAGCTTCCTGAAGCGCCTTAACCGTACGTATGTGCATACAGTGGTCTGTTGCAGACTTGCCATCAACCCACGAATCCACAGCCCATGAGCCTCGCCTCACCAAATGTATACAGCCCAAGACACTGGATCCGAGGTCAGCTATCCATCTCCCAATACTGTCCACGCAATACGAGGCGTACCTGCATTCGGGCGCTTCCATACGACACCCCACAAGCGTCCGATGTTTACACGCGGTAATCCTAAGTAGCTTACCACAGTGCAGTCACACAGCCATGCCTTAAATTCAGACAGTTGCTGAATGTGGGAGTGCTATGCAATCCCTTAACCATTGATTGTCGGCCTGGATGTGGCGTCATGATCCATGACCGATGGCTCACGTCCCAATAGATGGTTTACGAGCACTACCACTCCCCTCCCTCCTCTCCGTCCCTTCCGAGCTCCTCTCACTTCCACTCCATAAACTCCGACTTTCCCCCTCAACGCCCTTCATAGCCTCCGCAACCACCTCAAGCTTAGCGACCACATCCTTCACCCCCTCATCGACCTTCTTAAAGTACGCCTCATTCGCCGCCCTCCGCTCCGAAGCGAGCTTAATGTCCTGCGCCGTCTCATCCTCCAGCTTCTCCGGCCCCTTCTTCTGCGCCGTGCTCTCCCCGCTCTCGACGGTAGAAACCGAAGCATTCGTACCGGCTCGCGTACGGGTCGTCTTCGTGCGGTCATTGATCAGATCCTGCGCGCCAGAATACCGCCCCATGACCTCCGCGTCTTCCTGCCGTGCGCGGTCGGCGGCGGCCTGGCGCGCATTATCCTCGTTACCACGACCCCATGCCCTCGCCAGCTCGACCTGCGCTTTCCGCAGCTGGTCCAGAGCGGCGGCATGACTGGCGCCGAAGACGTGCGTGGAGCTCTGCGCGGTGAGCTCGACTTCGTTGAGCGTGCTTTGTAGCTCTCGCCATCGTGCGTCGACCTCCCTTTCGCTCTGTTTCTTGAGGCGTGGGAAGTCCTTCGGATCCGGGTCTTTGGCTAGAGCCGACTTCTGGCGTAATAGCGGGTCACGCGTGGCTTTTTGCTCGATGCCTTGCCGGGAGACGGAGAGCTGCGAGGCATTGCGGGACGGTGGGCCGACGAAGAGGGTCGGTGCTGGCAGACGGTTGGCTTTGGTATTGGCGGTCGGTGATGGTTTGATTGGGGCGGACGATGATGCTTCTTTGCTGGCCATGCTTGACGGCCGCAGCCGAACGACTACATTGTGTGTCTGTCACCTTTGCTAAGTACGATCACAAGATGTCGCGCTTGGAGTTACGGTAGTTACTCTGGTACTGACTCTACGCAAGAAGTTCCCACATGAACTCACAGCTCCAGCTAGACTTAATGTGCGACACACGGATTGATGCACAGTATGAGACAGCAAGATGATCTTCACTGCTGAGCCTTCTACGTCTGCTGTTCTGTGTCCAGAGGAGGAGAACCATCACCCCTGCCCGTTCTCTCGAAGATTTCCTCCCAGTAACTCTTTTCCCTTGGCGCTCCTTTTTTGACCATCTCTTCTGGTACCTTCTCAAAGTCATCACACCTCTCAGCCCACTTCCGACTACACATCTTCTCCTCGTCGATCACTGACACGCCCAGTCATGAAACAACGTCGTTAATCTCAATGTTCGGGACCAGATACGGCTGGACATCATTCCGGTGGAAAGTCCGCTGCTCGTATGCATAAGCAAAGCCGATGAGGTCCGCCTCGCTCCACTTCGCGCCCATGAACGACAGGCCGAAAGGAAAGTTCGGTCCGCGAGCGACTAGGTTGCCGAAGCCGTTCATCACAACCGATGTGTTGGCGGGGTAGAAACCCATGGGCACCGTTATCACCGGGCTGCCAATGAGTGCCGGAATGCCAGGGCTAAGCGGCGTGGGGAGGAGGACGGCGCTGACATTGTTGTCGGCAATGGCTCCCAGGATGCCACCCACGCCTCCGAAGTACGTCGTCACGTTGTATGCGGCCGCAAACCTGGCGTCGCTGTTATTGAAGCCGAGTGCGAGTGCGGCGTCCCAGATCCTGGTGTCACGCGTCGGGTACATCTCCGCCGGGAAGGACTGGGTAAAGTTACGCTCGTCGGTGAGGTTGTGAATGTTGTTTGGATTGTATGTTAGCTGGCTGAGATAGTTGGCCAAATCGGAGACGAAGTCGGCTTCCAATACGATCGAAGAGTTGCCATTGCTCAGATACTGCTGGTATCCCGTGAAGTTGGCATCGACGATCGTGGCGCCAGCGGCTTTGATCTGAGCGACAGCCGTGTTGAATGCGGCAAGGACAGCCGGCTGCGGTGGGTTGAGAGCGAGGACGTTGCGTGCGATACCAATGCGTTTGCCGGCGAATGCATTATAGTTGCACGCGGCCACGTAGTCCGGAGCAGCGCCCGTCTTTGCCCACGGGATGGCGGAAGTGTAGTTGTCGTACTGATCCGGCCCGGCAATGGCTTGGAGCAGGTAGGCAGCGTCCTTAACGGAGCGAGCCATAGGGCCAATGGTATCCTGATGTTCGCTGATCGGAATGACCAAGTAGCGGCTCGTCAAGCCCACTGTGGGCTTGATACCCACCAGATTGTTCTGACTGCTGGGGCTGAGAATGGAGCCAGAAGTCTCGGTTCCGAGCGCAGCCAGAGCGAGACCAATCGAGCTCGAGACACCAGAGCCCGATGAGCTGCCGCTCGGATCTTGACCTGGGAAGTACGCCCCATAAGTCTGACCTCCGTATGCTGACCAACCGTTGCTGGTGTTCTGCGACCGGTAATTCGCCCACTGGCTAAGGTTGGTCTTGCCGAGAATGATGGCGCCAGCCTTCCTCAGCTTCGCAGCCATTGTGCTGTCTCTGGGAACCTTGCTGCCCACCAGCGACCAGGATCCAGCCGTGTTGTTCATCTTGTCGTTTGTGGCAATGTTGTTCTTAATGAGGATCGGGATGCCGTGGAGAGGCCCGAGGAGCGTGCCATTGGCGCGCAGAGCATCTGCAGTCTTCGCAATGGCCATTGCGTCGGGGTTGAGCTCCGTAACCATGTGAAGCGTGCTGTTGACCTCATTGATGCGGGCGACGTATGCCGCGACCAGATCTTGGGAGGTGAAAAGACCGCTCTCAAGGCCATCTTGGAGCTGCTCAAGGTCCACCTCTATCAAAGTAGGGAATTGCTGGCCTTTGATGATGGTACCTGTGAAGGGACCAACGGTGCGGGCAGAGGCAAAAGTTACGGCGCTCACGAGCGCTGAGAGAACTACGAAACGCATTTTTCTCGTCTTGAGGGTACAGTTTAGACGGATGGAAGGTCACTCACCTTGCTCTTCCGCTCTTCATGGGCGTTCTTATACGCGCCAAATCGAGAAGACGAAAACGCGTTCAACGGGAAGCTGATAAGGAAGCCCGTCTTGACAGCAGCCTAAACAAGCATAGTCGACACAGCAACGACTTCCGTTCCTGCAGCTTCCCAGTATCTGCTCCACACTTTACTGGAAAAGCATGAGGAAGCCGCTTGTGGATCATCGAGACGGAGCAAATCGCACATGGCAGGAGACGCCGGGGTGGGCTCTGGGGAGATCGCGCATATCGATAATGCAAACAATGACGTTTATTCGACGAGTCGTTCGGTAGCTGCATGCTTGGCAAGGCTGCTCCCATCAGTTCGAGGACGACGATAGGAAGATAGGACCATGTATGACTGATGTAGTTCGGCGAAAGTCGAAGATTGTCCTGAAGAGGAAGCTCGGGAGATGCAATGGAGTTCTTGGCGAAAGTTGGCCCGCGGGCTCGGTTCGGAAGCTGCCGCTGACAGGTGACTGGTAAGCTAGGCGAGGGAATTTGCTAACAGGTACATTACGTTTTGTGTAATAGCGGTTCAATCATTTGATAGCTTATCTAATGCTTCCCAGTCGTGAAGTGCGAGACCAGCAAATGTAGGACAGAGCTGCAGCATCGCCTCAAGGCTGGAAATGTCTTTCGTGATCTTTACGATTGCTTCTCGGTGAGACTCTTTCTGACCAGCGCTATCCGTGACAGGAAAGCTACCAAGCACATGCGGCATCCTCTGCCCAGACCCAGCCATATCGGACGCGTACTCAGCGGGCGCTGAAATGAATTTAGCAACGTTCGCGAACTCTGTCTTGTGATTTAGAACGAGATATTCATCCACCACCGGCATGATGAGCTCCATTACGCACATACGTGTGCCGTGCTTGCCCGTGTAGGCAACGGTGACAGGCTCGCCTTCGTAGTCCTGGAGCCAGAAAGGCATGGCAACGGCAAACGGCATGTCGAGACTGTGCACCATGTTGCTTGTCCGGGTAAGAAGGTTGAGCAGCTTCTGCAGGACCATCGTGCGCTCAATGTGCTGCTGCTGTGTAAGCCTTGACTCCGCGACACGCTTATGGAAGCAGCCTGTACGCCCAGCGGAGTCTTCGGGTTGCAAGTCCGCTTGGAAGCCATGAAAGCGTGCGCATGGTTCGGAGCGGTCATTGAATTCGCCCAGGCTGCGCAAACCGGCAATGAAGGCATCGCCTGCGGCGAGCGTGTCGAGGTAAGCCGGGCCGCCATCGACAGCCCAGACCTGGATGCTGTGGGCATGCAGACGACTGTTGAAAGCTGCGAGCTTGCTGTTCTTCCCGTCGTACCACGCTGGCACGACGTATAGGTAGATATCGTTAACATCAATTGCGCTAGCACACAGAATCAGGCGGTCTATCTGTGCAGTGTCCTCAATGATGGTGGCAGTGTTCCACACCCACATGCCTCTTCGCATAGCCCTCCGTGCTGAGTCGTCAGGGTCGCTCGCATCGCTCATCATCCCGCAGTCCTAGCTACACTGCGAAATAGACAATGTGCCGTTAGCGGCATCGGCACTTATGGTAACATGCCGCCATTATCAATAGCTGCGATCTTGCCTGCCAAGCTGCCACCACTTCTGCTGGAGGTTTAAGAAAACAATCGAGCAAGACGGGATGCATGGATGCGGCGGCACAGCTCATGCATTGGACGAGGAGAGTGAACGGTTCAAGGGTGGGAGCTGAAGCTTGCGCACAGACATCCAAGTCGGCATCATTGCAACTCGCCTTGTCGTTTGCTCAAACCTGCATTACAGCTTGTTATGGGCTCCTCTACTTCCAAAGCAGCGCGTGCGACGGGCAGCGCTGCTCGCCGATACCCAAGCAGAACATCACCATCGACGTCTACCAATGCTCCGCCACGACGACCACCACCTGCGCCAGAACATCGACCAGGACCCACCGTTCGCCCACAGCCGCAAGTGAGCACTACAAGGGACGAAGCAATCAACCTCGACGCCTCAGACCCTGCGTTTGCTCGCTCCCTACGGTCCATCGGGCCCGTCCAGCCCAATCCAACGCTTTCGCCGTCATCCGCATTTCCACAGCCCAACAACTCCAACAACCCATCCCAAGCGCCGCGGCCGGCAGGCCCTGACCCTCGAAGGAATCCAGCTTTAGCCGTTCTGGATGCTAGAGCCCGGTTGCAAGATCAGGCGGACAAGGAACTTCAGCAGGCGGGCAGAAGGGGCCATGAAGGTCGGCAGTTCTTGGATGTCTTCATGATCAGAGAGATCTTGGTGCAGCGGGATGAGAAGGGTAAGAGCGCTGCAGAGATCGAACGGGGAATGGGTCTACGGAGTGGCGTCGTAGAGAGACTGGGTCCAGCGGGTATGGTGGGAGTTGCGCAGGAGCAGGGTCGGGCGCAGAAAGGTGTGGATATGGTATGAAGGACTGATGACCTTCGCCATACAGGCTGTCGGGCTCACGTAAACGTCCCGTCGCCTTTAATGGAAGATATGCAATCGATATTGCTGCCCGTGGGGAGCACGGCACTACGGCATCACGGTCCGATGGTCACATGACTGGACATGTATTATCGACGTCATCCAAGGCGACAAGCGAATACCGTAAGCAGAGCGATATGTATGTTTTACGCTGCCTTTTCTGCCATGTCGAACATAGCTGACCCGGACACCAGTCACCCGCCAGGTAATCTCGCCTCCATCTCGAAGCTTCCAGTGCGGCCGAAGCAGGTACAAGCCAAGTGGAACATGCTTCGACTACAAGATGTACTTCTTGGGAGACCGAGATCGGGACCGTCGCTACTAACATACTCACGGCACGCAAGTAACAAACGTTATGAAGCTTAGCAGCTGATGAATGTCTGAAGCGCAAGCACCCGCAAATAGCCGATCAATCCGTACGTGACTGACTGCGCTCGACCTACCAGATTCGAGCGCTATACAGCTCCTGCTTGCTTCGGGCCAGTCGGCGGCGCGCTCTGTACTACACATTAGCACGTTCTCGCGGCGTACGAAGGCGGCCAAGGCTTGTAAACCTACCATGCCCATATTCCAATACACAGTCTTCACCTCTGTGTAGTTCTCCAGCGCGGCATCACCACACTCTCGTCCGATCCCAGACTCTTTGTAACCTCCAAATGGTAGAGACCAATGTACAAAGTTGAATAGATTGACCCATGTGGTGCCGGCTTTCAGAGCGCTGGTCACGCGAACGGCTCGCTCGTAGTCTTTGGTGAAGATGCCGGCTGCGAGACCATAACTGGTATCATTGGCGAGCTCAAGCACTTCTTCCTCAGATGTGAACTTAGCCACAGCGACGACGGGACCGAATATCTCTTCGCGCATGATCTTCATGTGCGGTTTCACGTCCGTGAAGATGGTTGGCTGGAGAATGCTGTTAGCAAGAAGCGCGAAGTGAATTTTAGCTCACGTGACGGCGTACCTCGATGAAGTACCCACCACCCTGCGTCTCCACCTTGTTGCCGCCCAGGTGCAACTTGGCGCCCTCCTCCTTACCCTTCTCAATATAGCCCATGATCCTTTCATACTGCACTTTGCTATTTTGTGGCCCTTGATCAGTCTCCTTGCCAAAGTTGTCACCTACGGTGATGGCCTTCATCTTGGCCGTGTAAGCGTCCAAAAACTTGTCGTATACATCCTCGTGCACGTAAATACGGGTACCGGCATGGCAGGTTTGGCCGAAGTTCATGTGTATGCCCCAGACAGACCAGTCAACAGCTTGTTCGATATCTGCGTCCGGGAAGACTATATTGGGGCTCTTGCCGCCGAGCTCAAGCGTGACTTTCTTAAGATTGGAGTTTGCGGCTGCGCGGAGGATGGCACGGCCGGTTGCCGTCGACCCAGTGAAGGCGACTTTGTCAATGTCCATGTGTTGCGCGATCGCTGCGCCGGCTGTCTTGCCGTAACCGCTAACGAGGTTGATGGAGCCCTTGGGGAAACCGGCCTTTTGGATGAGCTCGCACATCTTAAGTGCGTTAAGCGGCGTGGTCTCGGCGGACTTGATGACAACGGTATTGCCGGTTGCGAATGCAGGAGCGATCTTCCAGGTGAACATGAGTAGGGGGAAGTTCCACGGGATAATCTGGCCGCAGACGCCGACGGGCTCTCGCTTCGTGTAGCCGAAGACCTTGGGGATATCGAAGGAGCTCTGACCTAGGATCTTATCCGCCCAGCCAGCGTAATACCTCAGTGTGCCGATGCTGGCTGGCACGTCAAGTGTGCTGGCTTGAAGCTGGGTCTTGCCGGTATCGATCATTTCAATGGCGACAAGCTCGTCAAAGTGTTCCTCCATCAGATCCGCAAGTTTGTGAAGGCATTTCGCCCGGTTGGTAGCACCGTATTCTTGGAACTCTTTCGAGCTGAAGAGCTTGCGAGCGACTCGGACGGCCTCGTCAACATCTTCCGGAAGGCCTTCTTGGACTTGGATGATCTCCTTGCCTGTGGCTGGGTTCTCTACCGGGAAAGTCTTGCCAGCTTGTGCTTTGCGGAACTCACCACCTATGAAGAGGCCGGTAGGCAAGGAGATCTGCTTCCCGCTGATCTCAAGTGTTTCTGAAGACATAGCGACGGCTGAGGAGGGCTACAATTGCAGACGGTGTGAAATATGAGAAGACGCTGTGGAATAGCTGAGTGCCGAACTTACGAGAGCGGCAGCGCGATGCCTCATTTTACCACTGTGGTTATACGTTCTGCTTCGTGCTGGCCAGACCGTCGAAGACCGCTTGCGTAGTTCGTCCACATGGCAGCTCTGTACCGTGATTGAGTTATTCCCGAGCTGGGGACTCCACGGGTGGTACGGTACATCATAGCGCATGGTTTCCCCATACCCCGCAACCTCAAGGTCGCCTTGGCCGCAGGTATACCATGGTAACTGTCCAGTGATCGAGCCTACCCCGAACCATTCTCCAGTCGCGATGCTGGAAGGCATAGCAATGGACACGGTTCCTTTAGTAGGCTTGCTCAGTGACTGGATGTCCTCCTGATGCAACCTTTGCGCAGTGTTCCCTTACGTGACTGGTGCTCCGGGTAGTGTCACAAACTATCACTATATGCGCGGGAAGCGTACATCGAATATGAGCAGAGTTGTTCTTCTTGACGCGCAAGATGTGAGGTCTGGGACCATAGCGGAGCCAGACGGAGGAGACCCAGCAGTGGGGACGGAATGCAGCCAAGCCTGTCTCAGCTTGAAAGTGCATGCATGTCCCGGATTCGCCACATTCGTGGCTGCACAAGATACACAAGCAGCAGGTACGCGCGTGCAGAAGATGATGGGAAAGTCGTCGATGACAGGACGGTGTGAGACGTGAGACAGGAAGTTCGTCAGCCCTGCAGGTTGGTCGGTGCTGAGACTGGGATTTGCCCAGCAACGGTGGGCTTGGCGTTTGTTGATTCGAGACGCATTAGTGGAGCTCATGCACGAAGCCATTCAACTTCTTGTGTGCTTCCACGCAAGACTAGCGCCACAGTCATCGTATCTCGAACCTTGACTTCTACCTTCGCTCTCACCAGTCAGCAGACTAGCCATCGTTAAGTGCGTCGCAAACTAAGCGGCCGGGGAAGTAACCAGCTTCAATCGACAGGTCAATACCCCACCGTAACAACGTCTAAACCGTTTGCCCGTCTGCCATACACACCTGGGTTGGAATTAGATTGCGGAGGACACACGTTGCCGCATGTCGACAGCAACAGAGCCCGGATAGCGCGCGGCGCACCTCCTCCAGTCGACCATGTCATCCAACCTTTCCCCCGTGGGCAGCTCAACCTACTCCTCCAACACCCTTCATGTCGGCGACGGTACTTGGGATGACGGTCGCGATGACTTCCTCCTGCCGCCGCTGGTTGGTCTCGACTTTGCTACGATGCGGTACAACGGGATGGGTAATCGCTTCGCTGCCCTGCCCGAGTACCACCGCCTCATCATCGGACACGGGGTGCTCGCTGCTATCACATTCTTGGCTGTGATACCTGCGGCAGTCTTCGTCGCCAAGTTCTACACAAACAACCCGCGCATGGCTGTGAAGCTGCATGTGTACCTGCAGATCATTACTGTATTCTTAACGACGGTGATAATAATACTGGGCTGGATGGCAGTGGGACCGGAAAGAGCATTGACAAATCCACACCACGGAATCGGCATTGCACTCTACGTTTTGATCCTATTCCAGTTTCTGTTCGGTTGGATCATGGCACGGATTGAAAGCAGAAGACGAAATCCGGAAAGGTTGATCAGGACGCCGACGAAGGTATGGATACACAAGCTGATGGGACGATCAATCGCATTGCTGGGCATCGTCCAAATTGCGCTCGGTCTGACGCTGTATGGGAGTCCTAAGGTGTTGTTCGTGCTGTATGCACTGGCAGGAGCTCTGCTGCTCTTCCTGTACCTTGCACTCGACCGCGTGTATTTCGAGAAGCGCCAGTTAATGTTCGGCATTGGCGGCGGGCAACCCGAGTTCTACTCGGACTATGGCAGCTACCTTTCGGGGTCACGCGTGGATAGCAGACCGCCTCCACCTGGTGCGCCACCAATGCGAGAACGGAGAGACAGGAACCATTGGGGTAGAGATGCGCTTGCCGGAGTCGGTGCGCTTGGAGCGTACGAATGGTGGCGGAACAGGCAGGATCGGCGGCGAGGAGATCGGGAGCAGGAGTCGTACGACGCTGACGAGGAGATGAGACGGCGAGAAGAGCGTGAGCAGGCGGAGCTGGATGCAGAACGAAGAGCGCGACCACCACCAGGTGCTGCAGCATCTACGGCACTATCTTCGAGACCCTCAAGCCGTCCGCCACCAGGAGTCAGCTATGGAGCTGGTGGCGTGCCAAGTGGACCAGCGGGTTTTGGACCGCCTCCACCGGGTCCGCGAACACCGAGCCGTGTTCGCCGGACGGAGGAAGAGCGGTTTAGTCCTGAGTCATGGGAGGATGAGAAGTACGAACAGCGCCCTGCGCGAAACTCATGGCGAGACAGACTGCTCGGTGCTGGCGCCGGAATTGGCGCTTTTGAAGGCGCGAGACGGTTGTTCAACCGACGGCGGGATCGAGAAGACGACTACATCGAAGATGACAGGAGGTACAGACCAGCTCTAGGTGGCAACCAGAATATGGTCAACCAAACAGACGTCTCGCGGGTCGAGGCTGGCCAGACGCCTCTGTCGCCGAACGACCCAAGGAGAGCTGGAGGAGAGCGTATGAATGTTGCGGGCGTGCAGCCTATGACGCCTACTGCGACGCCATTACGGCCGCGACACGGACAGCGGCCAAGCGCTGAGACGATGTCGTACGATGACGAGGAGAGCATGATGGATCAGGGAAGGCAACGTCTGTCGACTCACCATGAGGGTGACAACCACACACTCCGCAACAGCATTGCTACTCTTGGCACTATTGCAGGTTTCCGAGAGTGGAATAAGCATCGCCGGGAACGACGCGAGCGACAACGGCTCGACCGTATTCGGCAGCAGGAGCTTGACGACGAGACGGAGATGTACAACCGACGCAACTCCGCGAACTATCCCACCGCGCATGATGCTGGAGGGCGGCGACCGAGCGACGGCACGCTTTTGACTGGAGCTTCTGGACCTGTAGATCCAGGCTTCGGTGGTAGCAACCCTGAGCTGTCGAGAAGGCGCTTCGAAGAGGTTGACACATCACACCCGCCTTTGCCAGCTTCTGCGGGTGCTGTACCCAGTCCGATGCTCAACCAGCAGCGTGTGAACGAACCGCCACTCCAGCACTTCCCACCTCCTCCACCAGGCCCACCACCAGGCGGCATAAGACCGACAGACTATCACGCGCCTGACCCAGGCACGTTGCAGATGCCACAGGGTGCCGTAAACCCAGACCCATCAAGGCTAGTCTCTACGGAGAACGTGGTACAGCAGGCTTCCTCAAGCCACCCTATCCACGACGTGTCCGCTGGCGCACTTTTCGGCGCCGCAGCTGCAGACGTCGCGAGTGGTCGAAGGCGAGACTCACAATCTCAATCACCATCACGGTACGGTCCGAGGCAACAGTCTCGCACGCGATTCGCAGACCAGCCTCAGCGCCAAGGGACGACTGCTTCCGGCTCCGCACCGGAAATATTGACAGATCTTCCCGCAGCTTCCGACGCGCCTGGCAGCCCACCCGTTAGCGTCAAGGTTAAGATGCACGGCGATGGTCGCCACGTAACTCTCCGCCGTCTTAATGAAGAGGAAGCGGCCGCCGAACGCGCTGCCCGACGGTCAGAGCGACGGCAGCGAAGAAGAAGGAGCAGCGAAGTCTCGTCAGGTGGGCTCGAAGACGAAGCACCACCTGGCTCAAACGCTCGTTATCGCCGAAACGGCGGGAGTAGCATTGCTCGCCGACGCTCAAGCGCAGATCAGCCCATAACGAACGTCCCGCCTCCGCCGCCAATGTCCTCTACCTCACATGTAGGATCCCATCGGCCACCCTCGGAGCTGAACTTACCGTCGCCACCAATAGCAGGGCAGGGTCTAAGTCCGCCGGGTGCGATGCCGGCGGGAAGCGGGATGACGAGTCCCGGCGATGGCACCGGAACGGATGTCAGTGCGTTTGCCGACAATAGAAGGAGGAGGAGGGCAGAGAGGGCGAGGAGATTGGAGGCTGCGAGAGGTGCCGGTGCTGGGCAAAGTAGGGTCGACTTTACGTAAAGCTATGGGTGTACATGAATGCAGGTTGGTAGATTTGGGAATGGCGTTCTGGAGCATCGAAGCATCAGCGTGCAGTCTTGGAAGGCATGGAGGGGATACAGGGACATACTGTTCACACATGCCGGAAGGTTTACGATGAAACGCAGCGCTTTGTAGCATTTTTTTACGGAATCACTGATGTTTCCACTCCGCTGCTTAGTCGGTTATGCGTTGCTTTGACATGCAGTGCATTCCACAGCCATGATGTGTGCCGAAGCACTTGGGATGGCCTCGCGCACCAAAGACTTTCTGTGATCTCTTTAGCTCTCATCTAGGTTCGATAGGCATATGGAGGAATGCAGGCCATTAACGCCTATAGCGCGTGGATCGTGTTGGGAAGCAGGCGCGTGGTAAGCGATTGACTCGGCAGCATTCGCTTGTCCCACCTCCATCGGGTGACTATATGCAGACCTTGATACTACCATCCATGTTGTCATCGTGGAAAAGTTGTGACCAAGGGGCTTCTGACTGTTCTTCGACCTGTTGCCGAGTTCATTATAGCGCCACACGCTGATATTATGGCCACGAGAGCTTTAATTGTCTCAGTGCTCTGGTATAATCGCTCGCCAGGTAGACAAAGAATGGAGCCTTCATAATTTGGTACGCTTCGAAGTTGACCACTTGCCGTATGTCTCAATGGCAACTTACAATCCTTCTACTTTCAGAAACGTGTGGTATCTTCTCAACCGCCTTCAGCATATGAGGATAACATTGCCGCACTACCATTCCGGAGCTATTGCGTCTTTGGTATGGTCCTGTAATGGGGAGCGTTGATTAGTAGGGAGCGTACAGAAAAATGATGGGCCGACAGTGTCCAGTCGCCGGCGACGTCTAGTTCCACCAACTCGGGCAGTAAGCTAAGTAACGAACGCTCAAGCGCTGTAACGAGTATCTTGTATGACTCTGGAAGTATACGCATATTTCCAGAACAGTGATTGAAAACAAGTCCTTTGTACTGATACAGATATCCGAGGCGGTGGCGCACGGACATGGTTTTTCTTCGCGTTGCTTCGAGGTTCAGAGAAGCTACCTCACTTCAACATCAGCCTACCCAACCACGGACCTGGACCGTTAGCGTGGAGGACAGAGGCTCATTTTGCCTATGCCATCCATCTCTCCGGTACCTTGCTGGTCATGTTGTCCACGTTGCCTACCTACACGCTTTCCAAACACACACCGTTACCCTCCGTGCTTCACCTGCACTTCGACATGACTCCACGCTCGCTAGTCGTTCATTGCGGCGGAGGGTTCAGGGTGGCTGGTCTGCGTTGGACCACCGAGTGTGCGTAAGGTGGGTCGCTAACTGCTCCATTCACTCATCACATCATTGCGATCTTGAACAACTGGGACTGAGTGCCGTATGCTGACCTCCGGAAGTGCATATCCAGTTTCACTGCTATATATGTAATCGAGATCCTCACCACCCACTTAAAATATGAGCAATCTACCTGAGTAAATGTCGAGCGAGACCACACCGTTTCGGAGAGCGACCATATAGACTCCAACGGTGGATCTGAGATCCGCCACCGTCCGTTCAATGAAGCTCGCGTCCTTCGACAGCTGCTTGCCAGCTAGCAACTTGTGAGCTTATATCGCCGCCGCCTCAGAGTGGGCTGGATCCCAGTGTAGTTGTGCTTGAATCGTCGAGTTTACCGGCGTTGGCAAACTGGACGTACCAGCTGGCGGTTGAGCCTGGCCTGCAAGTTTCTGAGCTTCTACGCTGCGATACGGTTCCTTGTCTGCACAAAGATCTTGAGAATTGTTGTCAAGGTCGGCAGGATGCTGTGATTGTGTGCGAAAGCCCCAAGACTTGGCGGCTTGGTACTCACTCGAATGCTGTAGCTCGAGAGACGGTAGGCCGTAAAATGTCCGGTCAGGGTAGGAAGTTCGTAACGGTTGTGCTTGCTGCGATACTGGATCTGAGCTACCGTTGATCGAGGAGATAAAGGCCAACGCGCATCGAGAACGCACGAGTGCCGCCGTAATTTTGCAGGAGTGAACGCGTGAAAGTGCACGGAGAAAGCGGCTGCACCGCGCTTCTTCATGAGTGTCACTCGCCGATCGAAGCACTCCCTGCCTTGCCGCGTCCTGGCTATGTTAACTCTCACATGGTTGTAGTTGAAGTATCAGTGGGCTACCGCATGTCTGGCACCGTTCCCAATACCGCTGTTCGACTAGTCTCGGCAAAGTTTGAGTTTGCTCCGAAGAGGAATGCAGATGTCATTGGGAGGAGTCAAAGGTATGCCGTGACCGTTGGGCAGGTGGTCCAGTGGCCGTGAAAACACCCCGGCACCGGGAACGGTGACATGGTGTTATGCGGAAGAGGCAGGGTTTATCGACATCGAGGCTCGCCACATTTTGTCCCGGCTTTGTCTCGCCAGCAGTGGCGGTCATGTTGCACCGCTTGCGAAGACAATCGGCAACCGCTTGGACAGCAAGATAGAGCCGGCTTTGAGGACCACATACACAAAAGCTAAGGGTTCGCCATCATGCTCGAAGTAGGTCTGGTCTAACTGTACCAGCGCTAGAACATTGAGCGGAGTTGCTGCGCTCTAACTGAAAAGGTTGTGGCCGCAACGATGTCATGTCGGAGGAAGGACGTTGATACAACCGTTTCCAAAAACCTTGTCGCACGGCGGCTGTCTCCGCGTCGCGGGGTCGCCTATAGTAATATAGACGCGCAACATGTATCTTCATCCACACCTCGCTGCCGCTCGTGATTGAAGCCAAAATCAGTATAAGGATCTTGATATCGCTTGTTTTTGAGGTATTACTAGTCACTAGTGGCCGTAGCTGCTATGCCTACTATACGGTACCCGCTATACGTTACAGCGCAAGCCTATAACCTTCTTTATAATAGTACAGAGTCCTGTTGTGTTATTGCAGTAGCTCCTCCTCCTCTACCGGCGGCGACGACGGTATTAATAGCTGTTTCTGCTTCTGCTACTGCTTCTTCTTCTTCTTCTTCTTCTTCTTCTTCTTCTTCTTCGTAGGACGAGGTGTACGCGGCTAGGAGCGTTCGAAAGGCGTAGGCATACTGCGCTTACGCCTACTAGCACGCTGAGACATTGCTAACACTTTAGAAATTGCTATAACACGACTTCTCACACAAACAATGGCTTCAACTTCCGAATTAGGACATCGACGACGAGCTGAGAATTGGAAGACATAGAACGCGTCTATACTACTATGGGCGACCCCGCGACGCGGAGACAGCCGCCGTGCGACAAGGTTTTTGGAAACGGTTGTAGAAGTGTGAGCCCCGCCGCGCTGTGAGCCAAGTGAAAATACTACGACCGTGCCTGACTGGAAATTTCAAGCCAGCGTGGCCGCGTTCTGCATGAGAGGGTCTTCGGCAAAATTGTGTTCCGAGACTGATTTGAGCAGCAGAGTGGAGATCGGCGCGCTCTGAGTAGGGAGGTTGTCACCGCGACCATGTTCCAGTTGAGAAGTTGAAGGAACGTCGCAGCGTTCTAAACGAAAGGGCTGCCGCCACAAACGGGCCTTGAAAGAAGTAGTGTGCGAGCTCCGCCGCGCTCTGGTAGACAACTTTGACGCCGCAACCGCGTCTTGAAATGGTTCGCCATGAACCAGGTGTGCACTCACGAATCGTTGGTGGCACGAGAGCCTAAGTGGGCTCGCGATGTTCTCTCCACGAGGCAGCAGGCACAGTGCTGCAAGGAGCGTTGGGGCTGGCGTAACGATACCGCATTTGGCGGATGATGGGACTGTCGTTGAGTTGTGCCAGAGGTCGGGTGTGGTGTTACGGAGGAAGAGCCGCATCTGGAAGACGGTGTTTCGTCGTGAACATTGCTTTCTTTGCCAAACAATACGTCACAGCAGTGCATCGATAGCAGCAATTAACTTGGATGACGATTTTGCGGTTGTATTGTCTCGTGTACATATTGTTAGGGATGTTGATGATGTTGGTGGGTTCGAGCATTTGAAGTACGGTGAAGAGGCTGTTGTGCTGGCATGAGATGTTGCAGTTGCAAGCCATGCTCGAAGGATGGCGCAAGACGGTTTGATGTCGTCTTGATTGCCATGGCCGATGGTCCTGCAGCGACAACGCGTTTGATGAGAGTTGTGCTGTGGTGACAGGACCGAATCGATCTTAGCTTCGTCTGTGGTAGCGGGCTTGATGGTGGGTAATGTGAGATTGCCGCTGAGTGGTCTTTCATATGATGTCCACAGAGTTACTAATCTTCAACAGTGCGTAGAACTGTCGAGTCGTCGTTGAAGTTCCAGATGGTTTGGCCAGACCCATCCGGCCCCTCGTGGTCGCCCGTTCTGAGAACGTGTTGAGACAGCGATACCACTCCGGGGATTTCATTTAATACGTCCGAAGCTCACCTAACAGTCGCGTCTCTATTGTGGGTGCACGCCCTAAGGCGGGAATGACTGCAGAGCCACGAGACAATGGATTTACCCCTTATCCCGCATACCTAGGGGGTGCGTCGTCTCTCTCGGACTGCACGCTTCCCGTCGTCGAGCACATGGTTAAGAGCTGCGGTAGCAGCATCCGTCCCATGCCTCAACGAGAGTCGGGTTACGCCGCCTCAAGTAGGATTCTGCCACCCTTGGGGAAGAGTTTGACGAGCTGGACGGCCTGTGACCTGACCGCCAGTTGTCGAGGACGTGGTGACGAAGGCGCCCGACCCGCGCTCTTCGGTATCACGCTGTCCTCTCCTCCTCTCCTCCATCTCCCTTTTCTTCTGCTCCTTACGCTCCTCCTTCTCCTTCTTCTCCGCCTCCGTCTGCAATCGAAGGGCGCTATTCGCCCGACACCACTTCCAGGTGGCATTGCCCATGCCGAAAAGGGCGACAACGATCTTGATCGAGAACATCGTCTCGTCGCTCCCAAACGCATTCTTGCAATGCAGCTGGATGCAGAGGAAGACGATGTCGGCACAGCCGGCAACGCAGATGACCAACATCCGCCAGAACTTCAGCCACGCCGTGGTGGACAGGGTGGCGTCCGGGAAGAGCTCCAACTCGGCCAGGTCGAAGACCTGGTTACCCCCGCCAAACAACGCGAACAAACCAACCGACGTCCAGGCGGAAGCCTTTTGCGCCACCAGCGCGCACAATTCCCTTACCAAAAGCTTACCCCAACTAGGGAGACGGGACGAAGTGTCCGTACCATTCATGGCTGGCGGAGCCATGGTGACTCCAAGTTGTTCAGACGACAAAGCTGCGGTGCGGTGTGGTGCGGTCGATGCGATCCTGTCTCTTCCCAAGCCAAACGAAAAGCGGATGAGAGAAGGCGTGACTTTGCACATCGCACTTACACTGCTCCATGTCATCTGCTTAGAATTCGGGAAGAGACACTGCAACCCACTCACCATACAGATGGCGCACTTCACCATTCTGGAAGGCACGACCCTACCCTTCCCATCCCGCTTCCCAAATTACATGTACATGTATACAAGCTGGTAGCCCCTATAGCTCCGTATGAACTCAGTAGATTGAGGAAGAAGCACTCCTACGTCTGGCCAGGAAGCACTTGTCGGCAGATTGTCGCACGCGGTTGCCTTCCCGTTGCAGTGGCATGCGAGAGTTGCTTGTGGTGGCGCCACCTCCACATAGGCGACGGCCTGGCATTGAGGTGCTAAGATTTTGCTTCCCTATCATGGGGCGTCTGGTCAACATTCCCATTAAATCAGTACATACACTTGCTGCTGCCATGGCCATGGTACGGATAGAGCTAGTTCTTGGAGATGGACATGGTAGTCCGCATTGCTTGGCTTTCCGGTCCCCGGTCACTCCAAGGAGTATGTGTCTATGATTGCCTAGCCCTCTCAACCGCCCTGCTATGCACAGGCGACTCTCAGGGATCGTGCCACGTCGCCTATTGTAAATCAGCAAGAGCTACTGGCTCAATCGTAGCCTGATTCAGGGGTATCACTCCCACCTTCGTACCATGCGCCTTTGCACAGGGTCATCGTCTCGGGATCTCGGTTCGCCTGACTGTCTCAGCGTACTGGCAAACAGTGGGATGGTGCATCTACCTCTACCGTGATACTTACATGCTCTAGGACTGCTAGGGGCTCCCCTGAGCAGTCGGATGCTGCATATGAAGATAGAACACAATTGCCGTATCCTTCCAAGTCTTCTCCATCCTTCTGCATGAGCATGCAGTGTTAGCCTTGCTACACATCAGAAGGCTAAGGCCATCAGGGATACTCACCTTGTGCTGGCTCCATCCATAACGAAACCCCTGGAATGGAGGGTAGGTACCGCAGTGGCCATGTTTCAGGATGTGGGCGGGCCCTTCCTGTGGCGAAGGCCACAGAGCGCCTGAACTGCAATCCCTAGCCGTGTAGGGCTGCACAGCGATGTTAAAGTGCCAGTACGAAAAATTACCACGGCGCTGTAATCTCGTCCCATCAACCGGGAGAGAGTACACCATCGTGATGAGCGCTACGAGAGGGAACAGTAGGATAAAGAAGCGTGCCATGTTGGACTGCCGATAGACTGGAGAAGGCGCGGTTGAAGAGATCAGCTTGGAGGACGTCCAACCTTTATATCTTGCATGAGCTGCGAAACCTGATGGGCCCGACCACCACCTCGCGATCTCAGCCTGAGAAAGGGATGAGAAAGCTACGTAGACCTTACCCAACAGCGAGACATCTGAATGTCATCATGCTACATAACCGAGATTACAAGCCCGCAGTAGGCCTCTTGCAACGAAACAGATATCATCGAGGTGGTCAAAGATAGGTAATGGCAGCTGTCGGATGAATACTCAGGCAGGTCAGACGCACCACACTTCGCAGAGTGCCGTTGATATGCGACGAGCTAGTCGTGGCAACGACGACAACTTTAAGTGCACGTGGAATGGTCAGACGCTCACATGCCGGCGTGTTACGAGCCGCGAAATGGTATCTCGAAGCGTGAAGTCACGGAGACACGCGGTGAAACTACGGATGGCAAGACCCCTCGACCGCCACGTGACTGTAAGTGAGATGTCTTTGAGCTGAACATCGACCGAGTGCCACGCTCACTAATGCAAGCGCACGGCAATTTGGACGATCGATGGGTTAATTTGCTTGTAGTAAGCTACCTGGTCAACCCACCATGATAGCATCAACAAACGGCGTTCCCGTCATCTGGAATATCGTCACCCAATTATTACCCCTAAGCATATCCACTTCCACCGTAATATTCGCAACCCCCGCAAACACCACAGTCGTATTCCTCGCCCAGTTCAACTGCACAGCCACCGTGCCGAATCCACCGCCCATAACCGTCAACGGGACCCGCCCAGCCTGCCCGCTAGTCGTCCTGACACCACTGATCTCAATCCAAGCACCGCTATGTAACGTCACACCTCCCTTCTCAATGGTGCCGTTCAGGCCCGTAGCCCTACCCTCGTAGCTCCCAATGAATGTCCCAACAACGCCGTCCTCCGCTTCGTAGCGCGGACCCGGGTTCGGAGCGACCCAGATCTGCACCTCGCTGATCGCGGTCGTGTAGCGGAGTTTGTCGCTCAGCGTGACGAATAGAGTATCCGTCTCGATCACGTAATCAGCATCCGGTGTCGTGACATTATCCGTGTAATTCGCCGTCGGTGCCGCAAATGGAATCGTATTGAGCGCATTAGGCACGCAGTCATCCCACGGGTCTTTAAACGCTACCGTGTTGTTAGTCCTGCCATCCACGACTCTGATGCCGGCGGGGCAGTCCACGACGCCTCCACGCTCGACGTCGGCGAAGATGGCGAGGCTGACGCTGTGGATTCTGCGTGGGCGTGGGAGAGTGAGCGTGAGGGTGGAGTAAGGCACTTCGGACTGGTTGTTCGTCCAGCGATTGTCGGGCGTGGTGTCGTACCAGAGCAAGCCGTCGTTCAGCTTCCACGCTTCATATGAGGAGATGTCGCCGTTCGGCAGAAGGGTCCAGTCTGCGGAGACCGAGGGGAGGTTGTAGGGTGCTGTGACAATGAGGGTCAGGTCGTGAAGGTAAGGTGGGAGTGGAAGGCTTACAGTTGGGGTTGGCGAGGATGTTCTGGTACTCGGGCTGGGCGGCTAGCATTTGCGCAGCGGTTGTGGTATTGAATGGTAGCGTGCAGTTTACCGGGCCAAGGGCGGCTTGACGGTGAAAGAGCGTACCGTTAGAGTAGATGCTTAAGCCAGCAGATACGTTGGCATAGTGCGTGCCGTTCTGATCCCAGATGATGCTTAGAAGCGAGCCATGGTATGGCAGACTCTCGACCGCGAAGTGTGTCCAGTTGTGCGGAATCAGTGGCTGCATGACGAGAGTGTCACCGAACGCAGGTACGATACCGAAGAGGTTGGTAAAGACGTTGTCTAAGTAGGTAGAGTGTAGGTAGTTCTCTGAGTGATTGGTCGTGTCACCACTCCACATATCAAGCGTGGGATAGTGAGACTCTGCGGTATACGGTAAGCCATCCTTGTAGTTCGTTGCGGTGTACTTGGCCATCTCTTGGTAGAAGAAGGCCGGCGTAATGATAGTGCTCAGCCCAGTTCGCGCTATTCGCGCGAGGGTGCCAAGATAGACCGAGGTAGAGAACGGCCAGCTTTGCCCATTCCATAGACAGCAGTAGGTGGTGTTCTTGAGGGCGGTGTAGTACGGGTCACTCTGCTCCAGCGTCGTGGGTCCAAACTTGGTCAAGAACCCTTCCGGGGTCAAGGCTGCCTCGAGGCCTCGTATTTGCGTGGAGTTGGTACCTACATCGAACCTATACGGGTAGTAACCGATGAGTTCCCGGCCTTGGCATGGCAGATTAGTGCCCGCGACGACGTCGATCCAGAAATTGAGCTCCTGGCTGTAAATTTGGCTCTCCATTCGGCTGTACAGATCGGCTGCGTATGTGGCCCATGTCTGCGCAAGCGAGGCGTTGCCGGCAAGGGAAGCCACCTCGCTGATGGCGTATGCGTTGGCTACCATGTATGCATTGAAGCTTGGGCGATACGTCTCCGGACCAAGCCAGATGAGGTTGTAGTCATTGCCACCGCCCCGAGCTGCACTCAGGCCGAAGTCGTTCCATTCCTGCATCGGACCGCCTGCGGGTCCTCCAACGAGAAAGCCAGGCAAGCTGTACTCTTGCGCATCCGAAAGCGGAGTACGATGGTAGAGGCCCGTAATGTTATCGCGTGTGACGTTCCAGAGATTGTACATCTGAACCAAGCCATCAAGCTGCGAGACAAGGAACGGAATGTCGCCAGTCGTCTGCGCGTGCTCCAGAATAGCGCGGTGCATGTAGTGAGTGTACGTGATTCCGCTGAGCTTCTCGACTCCGCCCCGGGTGTACTGCTCTATGAAGTTCTTCACGTAGTTCGGATCCCGCAGCCATCGCAATTCGACGACATGGTGAGGCGCACTATCTGGGATGGTCTGGAATTTGCTAGCCCACGAGACCGGATGGATGAATTCCGTCACCACCCATCCCTCGCCCTCAGCCACCCACTTCAGGTGCCGCTTGATGACGCTGGCGCGGTAGTAGTACACATCCTGCAGCGACTGGTCCGGAAAATCGATGAAGGGAATGTTGTCGAGGTACCACTGGTTGTCATCCAGCCCGGTCAGGTAGGCTGGATGGTTAAGGAAGTGCGTGGTCTGAAGGTAACCATCGACGGGAGGATAGGGTCTGGGATTCGCTGCGTGTGCGACTTGCACAGCCCATAGCAGCAAGGTCGCCCGTGGGAGAATCCTCATGCTGGACAATGGCAAAGGAAAGCGATTGGGGCAAGAGCAGGAAGAAAGACCTACCCTAGACTCATCCCATTCATTCAAAGTCACACCCTTAGCCGCAGAGCTTCCTATGACGTGACAAGGTACTACCTGTCACCAGCGTGGTAGGCATGCTGCCACCTCGAATGATGGAGCCGGTGACGGCGTGGAGAACGTTTGGATGCAAGAACGCCCCCGCCATCGGACGGTTGATCGACAGTGGAGAGAGTGCGGGAGTGGAGAGTGTTGGTCAGCAGGCTCATGTTGAGGGAGAGAATGCAATACGACAATGGGCACCGGGAGGTGTATTGCGATGTGTACTTCGCCTACCTTGGCCGTCTATAGACTGGGGTAATATGCATGGGTGATTGCATGATGGACGTTCAGGAAGCCGTCTGCTGGCGAAGACATTCCATGGCCTTGTTAAATGGCAGCCGTGTGCCGTCTAGTCAGCTGGTAGCTCGATAGCGGCGCGTCTGCCATCCCGAGGCTTCCAGGGAAATGGACGTGCGCGTGGTTCAAGCAGCGCTACCCCTGTTAAAACAGTGCAAAGGGTATCAAATAAGGTACGCCTTGAACGCGGAGTGCATGGCCCGTTGTGACCCGTTGTACAGCCATTGAAGTGACAGTGTAAGTCGGCCACCATTCCCCTCGCTCCCTCGTCAGCTCTGGACTGACAGCAATTGGGGAAACGGCAGCCATGTCCGCGGAGGATCGCTCTTCCTCCGCAGTACGCAGCCTTCGCTCCATCTTCGAGACCAAATCCGCCGAAGGGTCACCTGACACACGCGGACGGTCCATAACCGTCTTCAGTGATCAACAAAGCAGCAGGCCAACCTCCAGCATACGAGCCAGCTTCGTTCCCGTGGAAGCACCCGCCAAGATGGCCGACGAGGAAGGTGGGGAGAAGAAGGGCCTGCCCGAGGCGAAACGAGAGAGCAGTGCAGGCCTCCGACGGGGCAGCTTTAGCGAATCGAACGACGGTGGGTCGTTGCTTGCGCTGAAGAAGACGGTGTCCAAGGAAGCGGAGCGCCGAGAGAAGGACTCCAACGTTGCGGAAGCCATTCCGGAAATCGCGGCCGAGTCAGCTGCTGTGACGCCATTGATGCCACCTCAGAGTAAGGACAAGGCGGACGAAACGATAGAAGACAGCCCGCTGGCACAAAAGGTCGACAGGCAGCCTGCCAACCCGGACAAGCCTACCACGGCCGCCGAGGAGGAGCCGGTGGAAATGAAGCCCGGTATACCGACAGATGAGGATGCCGTAAGCGGTGGACAAGCTCTGCCACCAGTAGCTGAGAATCTCAAGCCTGACGCCATGGACGAGGATATCGTGGAGACACAGCCAAGCGCAGAAGGCACAAGTCACGAGGAGACCCCGGCTGCGAAGACAACGGGAAACGTAACACGGACGCCGAAGAAGGAGCAGAAAGCAGTTACGAAAGGTGGAAGCATTGGGAAGCCGAAGTCCGTGTCGACCAAGGCACCCTCGAAAGCGGCGCCGAACTCGCCGAGGTCACCAATAAGCCACCCGAAGACACCAATCTCTGCTAAGGCACATACCACGACAGATAGGACCGTTTCGTCAAGTGAGCAACCGGCCAAGAAGTCCAGCCGCAGCTCTCTTACAAACCCAACAGCTGCGTCCGTTGCACGGGCTGCCGCCTCCTCTGACCGATCAGTCTCCACAAGCAGCAAACCATCACCGCAGTCGAAGTCGTCTAGACCGCGAGAAGGCACGAAGCCGGTAGAGCTACCCTCACGACTCACAGCTCCAACCGCGTCGTCCCGGGCGAGGCACGAAGCTGCCACCGTCCCACTAACAACGAACGGTAACAGACATGCATCCGCGTCCTCACGGAATCCCATGTCAGCCGCCACACGCTCATCACGGCCCACCCCTCGCTCGTCATTAGGCGCTCCCGGCCCGCGACCAGAGAGTCGAACGTCAGGGGCCGCGAACAAGAAGCCGCACGCGGACGGCAGCTTTCTGGAGCGCATGATGAGACCCACGGCCGCGTCGTCGAACAGGACGCACGAGAAGGTGGAGGTCAAAAGTCCGCCCAGACTGAACAGGAGCGCCTCCATCGCCAAGCCCAGGATGAACGGGCATGTGAAGAAGCCGTCGGCAGCGGCTTCCAAGCTGAAAGGACTTGGGAAGTCGGAGACAGCTACTGTTCCCGAGAAGGGCGTGGTGGAAGGACAGGGTGCTGCTCCGATCACGAATGGCGTATCACATAAAGCCGAGCAATCCCTTCACGCCGACCAGCAGACGCCGGTAGCGCATACCAACGGCGTTGATGGAGAGATGGAAACAACTTCGGCGTTTGCGGGCGAGGACACGATCCGCTAGGAGCTGAGCGTTCTCGAATGCTACTGAGCACACTGTCTTCACTAGCCAGGCGCCGAGGGTTGCGCTTGGGCGGGATAGGGCAGGGCAGGGCAGGGGTAGGTATGCTTGGTAGACACACTATCTACGTATGCATTGACAGCGACATCAAATTGTACTCGGGCCTTCGAGTCTGCAGGTCAAACTCCGCAACGCCACGCTCAAGTACAGATACCGTGCAGACATTCAATCATTACACATCACGCCAACTCCCCTGCACAGGCTTCCTGGCGATGCCGCCCGTACCCTGCTGCTGCTGCTGCGGGGGAGGAAATCGACTCGCCACACTATCCGGCCTCGTCCGATACGAAGGCGGAATACTCGCCGCATACCCTTGACCCCACTGCGCTCTCGCAGCGGGCTCATACACAGTCGACGTCGGACTCCTCGTGTGGTACGTAGGCGGGTACTCTGAATGTCGCGCCGTCGACGTGGGCGAGGAGACGAATTGTTGGTGCTGGTCGTAGTCGTGGTAGGGGTTTGCGCTCATGGCGCCTAGATCTCCACCAACGTCTTGCTGGCGGGAGTAGGCGGGCTGTTGAGCGTAACCATGTTGCTGCTGCTGCTGCTGCTGTTGTTGTGGGAGGAGACGCTGCTCTTGCGAATCGGGGTGATTCAGTTTCTCCATCTCCACGTCTTCGTCTTCTGCTTCTTCGGCCATGACGTGTTTGTCTGTCGCGTGGCTCCAGCTCGGCATGGCGGGTAACGCGTCCTCGTTGTACGCTTGACTGCCAGCCTTGTTGGACGGTGCGTCGAAGGTTGCTGTTTGCGCTGCCGGGGGCCCTCGGTAGCCCATCCCTTGCGCGTACATTGGTGGCGCAGGACTCTGGTACTGTGGGTACTGCTGATACTGCTGGGGCCTTGGTTGTGGTGGAGGATAGTAGTCGTCTTTGTTGTCACGTCCGCGTTGTCTTCGCCGAGGCGATGGGCAGCAGGCATTGCAGCAGGCGCAGATGCCGCAACAGCATTCGAGGCCGCAGCAAAGACATCGCGAAAGGCAGACAAGCAGCGAGAGGACTATCAGGGAGCCGACGATGATTCCGACAATTGCGGGCCATTTGCTGTGGAACATATCAGTCGGTCTGGCCTTGGTAGGAGAGGAGGGAAGGGATGGACGGACCAGTACGCCTCACTCATGCACGAGTCCCACGATGAATACGTATGTTCGACGCCGCTAAGATCTGAGCTGATGTCTCGCTGCCATAGTAGTGTCGCCATCTCGTCTTCAACAAGGCAGTAAACCCGTAGATCGTTGTGTATATCGATGCGAGACCGCTGAACAGGTGGCACTTCGCCCGGATGAGGTAGAAGCTATGCTTCGGACTGTTGTTCACAGTTGTGCGATCGAAACATTGGCATCAGCGCACGTCAGGAGGTTATGGAAGACGAGGCGCATCGAAGTGGGCGCGAGGTGCATGAAGATTGCGCGTTCCTGAATCGCTCAGCCACTGCATCGAGGGTTCACAGGCATCGGGTGGCGGAGGGGCTGCGTTTCAGGCTATTCCAAACGAGGCAGTGAAACTGAGGTAAGCCTCGGAGGCGCACGTGACGCTCTTACCTCACATCACGTATGGAGGATGTAATCTGCGTGGCAATACTATGGTATTCTCCCGCGCGTGAGCAGACGTACACCATGCCATGATACCGCAGTCTGTCCAGCATCTGCTCTGCTCTGGTCTCTTAGTAGCGGCGTTTGCGGTGTTAATCATGGTGACGATATATCCGTCGCCGCTCATTACATCACCACGGTAGAGTGTACGAAGCATGTATATACTGGTTGTACCATCCAACATGTCCTAGATCCCGACCGCCAAATAACATGAACATGGCTCGCGTCTTCATCACCGGCTCCTCTGACGGCATCGGGCAGGCGGCGGCCAAGCGCTTGGTCGAGCAGGGTCACAAGGTCACTCTCCATGCTCGCAACGAAAGCCGTGCAGCTCAGGCCCAAGACGCCGTACCAGGCGCCGAAGGTGTGCTCATCGGCGACCTCTCCACCATCGCTGGCGCCAAAAGCCTAGCTGAAAAGGCCAACAAAGCCGGACCATGGGACTCAGTGGTGCACAATGCAGGAATAGGAATGTCCGGACCCAGTACCAAAAACGAAGACGGCTTCGCACCGACCTTCGCCGTCAACACTCTGGCACCGTACATCATGACCTGCGTCATGGATAAGCCGAAGCGGCTCCTCTATCTCTCCTCTGGCCTGCATACGGGTGGCGACATCAGCTTGAAGGATGTTACGTGGCAACAGCGTTCCTTTAGCCCCTTCCAAGCATACAGCGATACCAAGCTTCAGGATGTCCTCCTCGCATTTGCCGTTGCACGGAGATGGCCGGATGTGCAGTCCTGCTCGCTAGATCCGGGATGGGTGCGTGATAGAAGCCCGGGGTGCTGACTTTGCCGTTTGACCAGCTCACTGACCCATTCTGCAGGTACAAACGAAGATGGGCGGGATGGGTGCGCCAGGCACCGTCGCAGCACCCGCGAAGGCCATTGCGGACTTCGCGAGCGGTGAGAGGAAGATTGCGGGCGAGAAGTCTGGGGTGCATCTTGGAGTAAGTGGACCAAAGGCGCCTCACAAGGGTACTCTGGACGTCGCGAAACAGGATGAGTTGATGGGATTGCTTGAAAAGCTGAGTGGAAACAGCTTCCCGTCTAAGTGACTGCTGGGGTCCCATTTGTGAGGTCACTTGTCGTTTGTGCTCCTTCCGAATGCACAGCTTCCGCTGAACCTTGTTCTGGCTAGGCATCGATCGATGCCGATAGCACATCTCACATTTGTCTCAGTTGACTTGGTTCCACTACAGTGAGCTTTCAAACTGCTCCTTCACTTCGACTTGCACAAAACACTTGTACATTGTTCCTACTGCTATCATACCTCTTAACCTCTCATCCTTCTACCCACTATCCACACACTATCTGACCCGCGCAACTACCACCTTACACATCGTACGTATACCGAGCTGATCTCTGCATGCACGTTGGCTGACCCGGTCTCATCAAAGCATCATGGCGGAGAAGGACTTCACGGAACGTGAGAACGAGATCCTCGCAAAGGCCTGGACATGCATGACGGAGGAGCCGAAGGTACGCTGATGGCAAGGGTGTCACTGAGTATCGCACTAACAGCACCGACAGGTCGACTATAACAAGCTCGCGGAAGCCACGGGCATGACCAACCCAAAGTCCGCTTCCAATGCCTGGGCTGCCATTAAGAAGAAGATCATGTTCAGAGCGGGCCTGAGCAAGGACGGCGGCAAGGATGGGTCTGCTTCTCCCAGCAAGGAGGACACGCCGGTCGCTACACCGAAGAAGCGTGGTAAGTCTCCGCATTTCCATCATGGCGTCCGGAATTACTGACGATGTTGAAGGTCGGCCGAAGAAGGCTGATGCTGACGGCAGTCCTGCGAAGAAGGCGAAGGGGAAGGGTGGCAAAGCTGCCGCGAAGGACGAGCAAGAGGAAGGTGCGCCGGCCGAAGATGCCGATGAAGTGGACGTGGGAGTGAAGGATGAGCCGGTGGAGGACGACGAATCGTAGGCCCGGCGTCGCAACTGCGGTCTTACGCGATACCGTTGTCGCCTACGGCATGCTGCCTCAAGCAATAACCCTGGAAAGTGGTAGTAAGCACATGAGCAGCGATTACTTGGCCCTGTTGCGGCTGTCAAATGAATCACGATCAAGCTATAGCTCCGCTCGACTCTGCGTTCACAACGCCTAGACCCTCCCATACAGCCTAGTGTGAATGAACGTCACATGCAAACGTATCGTCGCCTGGCACAACAACGACATGTACATCAAGCCAAGCTCACATACCCCTTCCGAACACCTACAGCGTCAACCCTTCGTTATCAGCTCAATACCATACCACCTCAAGTCATAGTACCTGTCGACGACATGTCCAAAGAGATCGGTTTCACCAGCCGTGACTTCGAGTTGTTCGCTGGAGCTCTCATGTGCGCCAAAGTCCCCGTCGAGATCGACTACAAGGCGTTCGCCGAGAAGTTCGGCTTCAAGAACGCAAACAGCGGCAAGGCCTCATGGCACACCCTGAAGAAGAAGCTCGACAAGCTTGCCGCAAGCACTGGCGGTTCGTCCCTCACTTCACCCGCATATCACTAGGCTGTCCAAAGCTGACTGAAAAGCTCCAGAGTCCACGACGACTGAGGGTGCAGAGGAGGTTGACAAGAAAGGCAAGAAGCGCAAGGCCGTCGCTCCCGCCGATGATGCGGAGGACGAGGTCGCGGATGAGATCGCGGTCCAGAAGCCAGCTACTAAGAAGAAGGTAAGCAAGGTTACAGCCGCCAGTGGCAAGAAAGGGAAGAAGACGGCCGAAGCGGTCAAGGACGGGGAGGAGACGGAGGACGACATGGCGGTCGATTCGAAGGCCGGTGATGGTGAGGTGAAGGCTGAGGATGAAGACTAGCTGCACCACTATGGCAGTACCGCTTGAGACTGCGACTGCAGCACCGGTAACCGTGAGAGAAGGTAGTAGAGCTGTTCCCCGGTGCACCGCTCAATTGGTGGCCCACTGCATTATGCGACTGACGCTCCGTCGTAACGTCATCAGACACTGTGACGAGGCGCTCGAGAAGTCTTGCATGGTATTAGGAATCTATAGATCAGCTAGGGTATAAAGCTCGAAAGCAAGGTCACGCCGTAGTGAGCCAGATTCTGCCCCTTCCGCACAGTTTGCTGCGGTCACAATGCCGCTATAGCCTTCCTCAGTACATCGAGGCTGCGGTCAGTCCAGGCAGACCCGTTACACCCATCTTCGCTGCGCTCCTTGAGCAGCCAGCTTACATCACTTAGCAAGCCCAGCGGAAGCCAGTCGCTCTTCTTGGCCTTCTCCACGCTCTCTGCGATACGTCCAGTATGCTCCCATGCTTGTGCAGCCTCCTCAGCACGGGAGATCACACGGTTCGGTATGCCGCACATGGCGGCGCAATGCATGCCGTAGCTGCCTTCCGCAATGCCATTCTCGAGCTTGTAAAGAAACGTCACATCGCGAATGTCGTGTTCGACGCGGACGGCCATGCGCTTAGGTGCGATTTCCGGATGCGGCGCGAACTCTGCAGCGAGTGAGTGATAGTGTGTCGCGAAGTAGCCGAGTGCGCCGACATGCGTGGCGACATGGTGCAGGACCGCTTGAGCAACGGCAACGCCATCGTAGCTGCTTGTGCCACGGCCGAGTTCGTCCAGAATGACGAGAGAGCGAGGTGTGGCTTCCGAGAGGATCTTCTTCGTCTCTGATAGCTCCACCATGAAGGTACTTTGACCGGCAAAGATGTTGTCTTGCGCCCCTAGACGAGACATGATGCGGTCGACGGGTGTCATACGCGCTGAGTTGCAGGGCACGTAACAGCCTATCTGGGCCAGTATGACTGCAACACAGGTCATGCGGAGGACCGTAGACTTGCCAGCCGCGTTGGCACCAGTGAGCAGTGTTATTGACGGTTCATCACCGCCAAGCAAGATGTCATTCGGGATGAAGTTCGTTGTCGTCTCGATGCACGGATGGCGCAGCTCTGTGAAGTCTAACACGCTGCGCGCACTATCGTCGTCGACAAACTCCGGTCGGCAGGAGGGCGCACCAAGCGAACTGGACGCCTTAGCGAGCGAGATCAAGCAGTCGAGTTGAGCAATGATTTTCACCGCAGCCAGCCAAATGGAATAGTCTTCGTCGAAGCGGGCGTAGAAACGACCGTTCAGCGCTTTAACGACCTGTGCATGCGTCTCCTGTGCCTCCTTGAGATCCCGCACCAGCCGCTCGAGCTCCGGCGAGTACCATCGCTTGACTGCTTTGGTGGAAGACATCTGCTTCCAGTTCGACGGAATCGTACCTTTGACTTTGATGGGTACTTCGAGCTGGTAGATCTCCTTGCCGTTGTCCGTAAACTTGATCGCGCTGGACCCAAGATCTTTGCGGGCCTTGTTAAGCAGCTTCTGCAGGTCTTTTTCAATATTGTCGATGCGCTCCTGGCTCTCGTCGAACTCTGCTTCTACACCTGGCTGAGGTATGAAGATGCCATCGTCTTTGGCTTTCGGTCGGTCGAAAGCGTCTTTCCAGTCATGCAAAGCACCTGCCAGATTTGGCATGGAGGTGATGAGCTGGCCGAGCATACCTTCACCCGAGCCGAAAGAGCCAAGCAGTGACATGGTGTACTCGATCTGCTCAAAACCTTCCAGCACTTTAACGAAGTCTTGCGGCCTGCATCTACCGGCATGAACGCGGGAAATGAGGCGCTCCAGGTCTGGCAGCCGAGAGAGCGAAGCAGTAAAGCGATCCATTACCGTGCTGTCAGCGTTCAAAGCATCGACAGCGTCAAGGCGCTGATCGATCCTCCGAGGGTCTGCTAACGGATGGCAAACCCATTGTCTCAAAGTACGCTTGCCAAAAGGCGTGATGCAGCGATTGAGCATATTGAAAAGCGTACCCTCCGTGCTGCCGTCGAAAGTGTTGGCGAAGATCTCGAGGTTGATCAAGCTTTGGCCATCTAGCACAAGGCTCGAAGCCTTCCGTATTGGATCATACCAAGCGAAGTTGCCACAGGTGACAAGATCACGCTCGATCTTTAGCGTGCTGAGATACCAGATAAGCGCGCCGACAGCGGAAAAGGTGAGATCTTTGTCCTTCGCCTGACGGAGAGCAGCCGGCCATGTATCGATACCGTCCTCCACGAACTTGTCAAAGTAGGCCTCCCCGTCGATTGTCATCCGTGCCTTTTCAGCGGTCAAGAACTCCTTGTCCGGCTTCAGGTGGTTCCAGATGGTGGTGGGTGCCGTGTTGTTCTTCAATATGCGCAGCGCTTTGGTGGAGATGCAACTCTTCTCCAGTATCAGCTCGCCTGGCCTGGTTTGGGCAACGAACGTCTCGAAGCGAGTCATTTCGGCATCGTCGACAATATCCGCTAAGTGGAACTGTGCTGTTGCAGTATCAACGAAAGCGATGCCAAAGCATGGCCTGCCATCTCGCTCAACCTCTTTGATCGCGGCGCAGTATGTAGCCATGTCGTCTTGCAGCATGCCACCATCAACGAGCGTGCCAGATGTGAGTACCGAAGCTAGTTCGCGCCGAATGACCTTCTCCTCCTTCTTCTTGCCGCCATCGTCACGCTCACGCATGTCCTTGCCAAGTGCTGTCTCCAGCTGATCCACTCGGGCGATCTTGTAACCTTTTGCCACAAACTGGTTCGCCCAGTGGTCAAGGCTTGCTTCAGGCACGCCTACCATACGCATGTTGACACGATCGGTGAGCTTCAGGTCAAACAGCTGATGGCCAATAGTGGCGTCATTCTCGTATAGCTCGTAGAATTTGCCCTTTTTGAAGAAAACGATGGTGTTCCAGAATTTCTGCTTGATCTCCCAGTATTGCTTCTCGAAGGGTGAGAACTTGTTCCATGCTAGTGGAGGAATATATAACGTTCTTGGATCGTAATCAGGGTGGTCGGGAGGATGTCGATCTGCGTCTAAGATATGAGCCAGCCATGTATAACGCTCGGATGGATCGGTAGTATGAGCCTTCTGCTTCTTGTTAGGGTCCGGTTGAGGCCTCTTTGGCGGTAGTTTGCGCGGCTGGTTCGAAGGTGGCGCATCGGGGTCAAACGTCCACTGCTGTGCTGTGGACACAGTGGGTATCTCTTCACTCTCTTCACGCATGTCGACGTCCAAAACCGGTGGCGAAGGTGGCTTGGACGTGCTTTTACGCCCGTTGGATCCTCTTGAGCGCTTGCGGCTCGCCACAGGTCTGACATCTTCCTCTTCGTCATCAACGACGAAGCTACCGGCGTCTGAAAGCACAGTCAGCAATGACAATGTTTAGGAGCGCTCCCTCAGGTGGAGGGCAGGACGAGCGTACCGTCGGCACTATCCATTGCAGCCTGGGTCGCCGCATCGAAGCCATATTCGTCCTCCGACTCATCCTTAACACTGATTCGTCGCCGCTTGGAAGCCCGACCTTTGCCAGGGAGTGGCCGGGGCTCCTCGTCGCCGTCATCGTCAGACTCTGCATAGTTGACCTGCTTCTTCGCTTTACGGGAAGGGCTCGAGTATGATGTGCCTGGGGCCTCTATCAGCACGTTAGTGGCCGCGGTGGTCTTAGTAGGCTGGGCGCCCTACCGTTCTCTTTGTTGCATGCATCACCCGCTGAGCTCTGCTGAGAAAGACCGGGTGCTGCAGGCGGGCTTGAGACTGTGTTACTGCTGGGCGCAGGCGTGATGTCTGCGCTCGATCTCGGAATGTTGGACGTGAGAGGCGTGTCCTTACTTACGAGACCCTTCTTCGCCGGCGTCACAGCACTGCGTGGTGCTTCGGGGCGCTTCTGGAAGAAGGAAGCAATGCCCTTTTGTTTCGGGTTCGGCTTCGATGATTGCGTACTGCCTGGCTTCTTCGGTGCTGTCCGTGGCGTTGCGATCTCGTTCCCTTCTATACCTCTCGCCATGTCTGCGATCACTGTGGGCGACTCCTACTCCTGTCGACGATGACACAACAGGAACAAGACACGATGTGGTCAAGACTGGGTGAAGTCGAGACGAGAGATCACGTCTCGACGCGCACTTCGTGTCACTAGCGCGCTTCCGGAGATTGCCGTCACCGCGGTTCCCAGAAATGTTCCCATCCATCCCGTTAGACTCTCGACGACATGAACATGAACCTCTGACTAGGCATGAAGCGGCTGCGGTCACTACGGTGCCCGCTTCATCATGATGGTCGTGCTCGGAGTCGCAGGTACAGTACGAATATGGAAGTGCGTGACTATGCTTCTGCCGTGCAGGCACTCAACACGCTCCAAAGCAACTTCTCTGCTGTGGAGGCCATTCGAAAGCAAGGCCCGGGTTGGAATGAGCGTGCCCTACCCGAAATGCGCGCTTGGGTGCGACGCATGGGTTACGAGGTCAGCAACGCTGGTCAAGGAACAGACGAATGGCGTAGCTGATAGCTACGACAGCCTTCTGACTTCGACAAGCTGAACCTCATCCACGTAGCCGGCACGAAAGGGAAGGGCTCCACATCCACTTTCATCTCCTCCATTCTTGCGCAGTACCTGCCCAGTAAGCTGAGCATACACGCTGAGCGTCTACCCACAAGCGTTGGCCTGTATACTTCGCCTCACTTACGTTTCGTACGCGAACGCATAAAGATTGACAATCGGCCCATCCCTGAAGACCTCTTCGCAAAGCTTTTCTGGGACGTTTGGGACAGGCTAGAGGCCACGCGGCCGACTGACGATACAGTCTATGCCAGAAGCGCCGATGGCAAACCAGTTTATTTCCACTATCTGACCCTCATGGCTTTTCACTGCTATATGCAGGAGAAAGTAGGTTCAGCTGTCATCGAATGCGGAATCGGGGGCGAGTATGACACCACAAACATACTCGAGCGTCCCCTGACCACCGGCGTCACGAGCCTTGGCATTGACCATGAGGCGATGCTTGGTAACACGCTCGAGTCGATTGCCTGGCACAAAGGAGGTATCTTCAAACAAAACATACCTGCATTTACCGTTCCGCAGCCCACAGCAGCCTTGCAAGTGCTACACGAACGTGCCCAGGAGAGAGGGACAATGCTGCAGGTCGTACAGGAGTATGACGCTCTCAAAAGTGTCAATCTAGGATTGCAAGGTGATTTTCAGAGAGTCAATGCTTCGTTAGCAGTTGCAATGTGCGCTGCTCATCTCTCGCGGCTTGGCTACAGCAATATGCCTGACCCCACCGACTCGGCCGCGCCACTGCCAGTGGAGTTTAGGTCCGGTCTCGAGAAGGCTCGGTTGGGCGGCCGTTGTGATATCCGGCTGGACGTCAAGGTCGAAAACCTAAGATGGTACATTGACGGCGGTCATACATTAGAAAGTATTGAAATGGCAGGACGCTGGTTCGCCCAAGCCCGAAGGGAGACCGAAGCACAGTTGCGGATCCTCATATTCAATCAGCAGACCCGCGATGCCCCAGCATTAGCTCGACGGTTGTTTGCAACATTGGCGTCAGCGATTCGAACTGCTGCACCTTTCAAGCATGCGATCTTCTGTACGAACACCACGTATGTAATGACCCCAATCATGCCACAGTCTGCGCGCTGATTAGGACGGGCACCCGTTCTTCGACTTGCTCACAAATCGCCCAGTTATCAAGACGGTGGCTACAAGCCAGATCTTGTCTCCATCAACACAAGTCGGCAGGATGTGGACAGCTTAAAAGTCCAGCGTGAGCTGGCTTCGGCTTACGATACGATCGACCCGCTCGCTACTGTTCACGTCGTCGGTAGGGCATGACTATTTTCCTACAATTCGCCCAATCTTTGTCGAATGATCGAAGGGCTTGAGCTGATCCGTTCTAATGTAGGCACGATCGAAGAGGGAGTTGCACGTGCTCGCAGCATTGCCACCGAAAGCAGTCAAGACACCGATGTCCTAGTCACTGGAAGTCTGCATCTTGTTGGTGGCCTCATCGAGGTCCTGGAGGCTGGGTTCGAGGGCACCGACAAAGCACACGCTTGACGAACGGTCAATTTCACCCGAGCCCAAAGGCTTTCTGGGATATGCGTTGCGGACTTGCACCGGGTATCTACATTCTGCGGGGCCGCTACCCTGCCTTAGCGAAGTCTACCAATTTATCATGAAGGGACACGTTCATCACAAGGTTCAGATCGAGGTTGTGTCTGAGTTGACGGTGGTCGCAGCGTAGCTCTTCAAGGGTGGTTCAAGCTGCGGGGAAACTGCGAAGTATACCGCCGACTAGACCGCTCGGCACGAACGTAAAGTCGCCAGTGGTTGCATAGCCACTGACTTCGGGTTTCTGGCCCGATGACCCTTGACGCAGGACACCGCTGTTATCTAACGGCACTGCAGGGCCTGAATAGTGGCTTGTTAGGCTGATCTCTTCGGAGACATCTGTAGTTCACAGGAGCCACGAGTCAGTTGATCCTAGGGTACATGCTTTAGGCATCATCGAGGCCTCATCACCAGCCATCATGTTGTCATGTGCGAACCTACTGCACATCAGCGGCAGCTATTGGTGAGCTGCCGCATCCAGTTTTTGCCTGCATTTGCCGATCACGCTTTACACGGCGTGTTAGAGCGCTAAGGGCGCTGGTAAGGCAACAGAAGGGAAAGCGGTGGCATCCCGGTGCGTCTTTCTCTCAGTCTCGACGGCTAGGGCCTCTTTCATGTATCCCGGTACGCGGCGTCAGCCACATAAGTGTTATGCGCAGGTGGCAGTCGACGTTGGCGTAAGCGTCGAACACCTTCAAGTGTTAGTCTTGCGGCGTCCGCCGGACATTTGGACCTGAGTTGGCAGGCTCTGCACGAGTAGCGTAAACGCATGACCTTTAACAGAGACGTTAGGGCCGTGGAGGAGATAGTGCTGCACTACGTAATGATTGTGATAGGTCCAGATCAGACGATGCATGAGCCTCGACGGAAGCGTTGTTAGTCTGCTTGGGAAAGCCGTAGTCGACCATCCTGGTACGACTGCCATGAATCGGGAGCTCGTTGAGCCGGAATGGCCACTGACGCGAGCTGCAAGGAGGAAAGTATCGCTGCGTAGCTGTATGCCGCGGCTGTTGTTCATCTGACACTAAAGATTGCGGGTGCTAGATCCACCCGCGGTTGTTCCATGTCGTAAAACCGCAGATCTACTTTGGAGCAGCCAGTAGAACATGTGCACTATCGGCAAATAAACTAACGGTCAACGACACTCGACGTGCTCCTGATATTCCCTGTCTGGTAAGACAAGAATTATATCAGCACATCTTCCAGATCTCTGATGGACAGTTATGAACTCTCAAAACGGGTTCTCGGTCATGATGCAGGTGCCTTAAGGTATTGTCCGTCTCGTCTTGAGCACAACCCTCACAAGGTTGGCTTCCCTACAGTACACTCACGGCAAGAAGTCCACAATGTCGATCTCAATGAACCTCGGCTGTTTCAAGACTGAAAGCCTCGTTTCCATTGAGCGATGCTTCGACACAGTCGGAAAATGCTAGGGTGTCGGTGCATCGAATTGGGTTTCGGACATTTGAGAAGCAACAACGCAACATCTTGGGATATCGCGAGTTGCACCTTGTTGGGAGTATTACCGCCAATCCGAAATGCACGGGAGGCGGACAGGGATACATTTTTGACAGTCCAGAAGCGGCCGTCGCTTGATCTCGCTGCCGCAGATCATCCAACATCCCCGGCTGCTCGGTTGCGGGTTGTGCCGGATGAGTCTCGAGCCTGAACAGGCTTGACAGCGCCGATCCTCCTTCCTAAGGACGGTGTGGCTGGCATATCGCAACCTTGTAAGTCAGAAGTACGACTGCTCCAAGCTGGAAAACTCTCGGGCACCGTGCGACTGTGCACAAGTGGCTTGCGTTGAGCTGGAGGTGAGCTGAGGCGCCCCGATTTCACATCAGGGAGCAGCGCCAACACGCATAGAAACCAGTAACGGTGTGAACTCTACTACCCGCAACGACGGAGGAGGTTGGAAGGAGGAAACGTTGGCTAGTGCAAGTCTGCAGCTGATATAGCACCAATGCAGCATGGATGTTTTTTAAAGGCGAGCAAAACCGTCAGGCATGACACTTGGCCCGAAAGAGGCAAGGTCAATTCGAAGCGGAACCGCTTCAACATCAACTCGTGACTGGCGCACAGTGACCTCTATCAGTAGACATTGTGCCCAGAGCTCGGGCTATGTCAAGCAAGCAAGCATGACCATGACGCCATTGGAGATGGTAAAGGCATCTACCATAACAATCTCTACCGATAAAGTACATGCTAGAGCGCAACGCAGACGGCTTCGGTAAGAAGGTGCTGTTGGCCCGTCCTTATGCTTCGTATACATGATCGTGAGATCCAGAAATCTAAGGTCGAACGCCGACCGCGAAATGCGTAATCATTGTAAATCAATGCTTGTGGGTATTTTGATACGACCGCCCAGCAGAAATGCCAACGTAATATGCAGTAACCACGCGGAGAGGGTATCGAAAATTCACGTCTTTTCCTCGCATTCGCTGAGTCCGATATATCAGGACGTCCGGTTGCGCCGTCCAACACGTATGCCGAAGGGCGACCGTCCAAAATTGTAAATACAGTGGAAATGTTTGGGATGTGCAGACGCACCAAGGGCCGGTCCGTGCTCGTATCATTCTCGTGATCTAGACGGATCATGAACTCGGCGTTCCGGCGCGTATGGGTTGTAAGGGCCCGTCTGAGGAAGGGCTTGCATCAACGGTGGATGTTGAGGGACGCTGGAGTGGAGGGGCGGTAAAGGGGCGGCAGTACTTAAGCGCCTTGTTGGTGGAGGCCCCAGAGGCACGCTGCTTTGCTGCACCTGAGGCACAGAGTGCGGCGCGATCGGTGCGCCGTATCCGTAAACGGGCGCGTAAGATGCACCTAGTGTCGCGCTCTGGGGTGGCGGAGGCGGTAGTGAGATGGTGGACGGCCTACTCCCTATACTACGCTCTTCCTCTGGGCTTCGTGCCGATGACTCCGTTGCACTGCCGTAACCCGTGCTCGTCGGAATGCTCGAGCCTGGCATTGCTGAAGAAGAGCGGCGGCGTTTTGGAGACAGCGGTCGTGGGAAATGTCGTTCCCCACCAGGGCTTTGTATCAGAGCGTTTGCGAGGTAATCGCGCTCCCGCCTGTAGAATTCCGCATTTTCAGCCAGTTCCTTAGCCCGCTGCTCCAGCTTGGATATTGTCGTTGCTGCCTCTTTCTCCTTCTCCTTCCGCCGTTGCCTGAAACGTGCACTCGCCCCAGCGTTGCGGCGGCGTTTTTCATCTGCCATTTTCGACGCCGCTTGCACATCAACCGGCAGTTGCACTGTACCCGACGTTGTCTCCAATGTCATCATCTGGTAGACATTCGGACCTCCAGACGACGAGATCGGGATACCGAGTGGTCGCTGCCTTTCTCCGGAAGTTGTGAAACCAATGGAACCTTCACCGGCAGCGGAATATGGTCCGGAGAGTGCAGCCGTGGGCGCATACTGCGTTACAGGAGACGTCTGTTCAGCCTGGCTGTAGGAAGAGTACGATGTCGCCGGGCTGGCACTATCAGATGTGTTCCTTGTGCCCCTAGTCACGCCAGAGCTGGCTCTGCGAGCAGCTTCTGAGGGTGTTACAGGTATTGGAAACCCGTAGTTAGGTCGAACCCCAGCAGGCGGTGTGGGCAAAGGAGGAGCGCCGGCAACGCCGGGTTCGATCGTATACGTCCGCACACGAGGAGAGCCCGGGAAAGGAGCTTGTTGTGCGCTGATGGTGCCTGTTGATGATTGCAATTGGCCCAGGCTAGCTGCGCGGTGCAAAGATGGAGATCTAGGAGTCAATATGCGCCTGATGGAGCGCTCATTACTGGCGACTGGTGAGCCGCCGTGTCTTGGAGCTGGGGGTGGAGCCGGGGGAGGTCGCGAGCTCATAGCGAGCGGCGGAAGAGTACGTGTGATTCCTCGAGGCGACTCTAATTCGGATAGTTTGCGACGCCGTAGTTGCCCCGGGTCCTCTGCCATGGAATTCAATATCGACGAGACTCCCGCCAACCGCGGAGCCGGTGGAAACATAGAACTATCTGTACTGCCATGGACTGTGGCGGGTAGTGGAGGTAGGTCGAAGCCGGATGTCCGAACCACCTGCGCGGCTTGCGGTGGCGAAGGTGGAGCTGAAGATCCAGCAGCAGTGTACTGTACATGCTGGACAATAGGTGCGACGGTCCTTGGACGCTTCGATCGTTCGCTATCAAGTGAGAACTTTCCCAATGGACCTTCGTCATCTGGTCGCCCTGACATGAAATCCCTCCTTGGGTACCCTTCCCGGTCTCGAGAGCCGGTACATGGACGTTGATATTGTGCCTTCAATGAGTTGCGGCTGTTCGAGAATCGAGACCGGGAGGAATCGTCGTGTGGCGACGACGAGTGTTCGAAAGTATCAAACGGACGATCGTAAACAGATGGCCCTTGGTAGTAGTGATTACAACGATCAATGTCCGGGGCAGCCACGTTGACTGGTTACGTGCGACGCTGGAGAGCGTCCCACAGTAGGCAACTTGCGCCTGGAGTTAGTCGTGAACGCCGCCGAGTCGTCCCTGAAGCTCGTCACTGCCGAGAGTGCGTAACCGTGCGCATTCGCGGTGCGAGTGTTGTGCTTTACAAGAATAGTGATAGACAACCTGATACGAGAAGAAGTAGAGTTTGTTGTGGTCAGCTGAGACTGTAAGAGACCTGTCAGACAACGACGGCCCTATGAGCTTAGAGAGAAGGGTCAATCGTTAAGGACTGGACCATCTCCAGCAGGAGGTCATGAGCCAGTAATAATATGAGGCGGCGGTGTATGTATGATGCTAGCAATAAGTAGCCTACCCCATTCATGCCGGTCCCACGGCGACGCGAAGCCGGGTTTGCTGGCGCACTGCCGTACAGGCTACAGCATCATGGCGCGCCAACGTCGCCCACCGACTCATGGTCTGACAAGGGTGGGAGTGACCATGCTGTCAATCACACAAGTTGCAGCCCAAGGGAACAGGCTTCGCTTCGCCGCTCGGCCCGCGGGAAGCGGGATGAAAGACTAGCATCTTGCTCGAGCTTCGTTATGATGAAGACCGTGTTTATTCGAGTAAACAAGACGCTAGCGCGGAAGTTGCCTGCGAAGGGACGCGGACGTCGCGCCTCAGTCGTGTAAGGGACCGGTGCATGCAAGAGAGCAGCGCAACCGAAGCGGGCAAGCAACGTGCAGTATCAGCGACTGAGCATGTCACCCCAAGCCTCCAGGTGGCAGTGGCAGCTCGGCAGAGCCAGCAGCCCGACGAGATGAATGGTGAGCCCTCGAACCCGCAAGCCGGGCTCAGGCACGTCTCAGCAGGGGTAGCCGTCATCAAGGCTTAATCGAAGCAAGTGCCGTTCAAGTGGCTTGCTCGGTGTGGAAACCCAAGGTTTCTTAGATCAACGATCGAGCATGAACGGCCGAACGCCGGCTCGAGCCACCGGATTTAGCACGCTGACATCTGTGCGGAGAGTCCGGCCACCATGCTGGCAACAAGTGGACAGTACCGTAGGCTACCAGTGAGGCAGCACCGCCGAACGTAGTTACCGAGGCAATTCACTGTCCGTAGTAGGTATATATGCTTCTTTCGCCATGTTCATGGAGTGTGTTGGCCGAAGGATCACTGCTACGCTCAATTGCGACTCACTTTTTGATTAGCTATGGCGATCACGCCCCCTTTCTGCTACCGAAATACTTTTGAGAATCACGCACTATCTACGTTTTGTGATGAGACTTGCGCAACCGTGCCGCCGTCGCGCTAGTCCCGAGTGGTGGTTCGGTTGCCAACGGGTAGCGTTGTTGGCGGCGAGAGCTGGAGCTGACATATATTTCCCTTCATTGCATATTCACACCTGTTGCTACCGAGACCGCCATTCCTGTACTACTACATGCCGTAAGTACAGCCTGAACATATTGACAAAGTACTCACCTGCGGACTTCCATTCGGCGCAGCATTATGCAGCGCATCTTCTGGCGAACAGTATTGCACCAATTTCGCGGGGAATTCCGGGACATGCGACGGTTGTCGAGCGCTGACCGGACCATGGATCACAGACCGCACAGTTGACGTCGTGTAAACTACCCAGCCGACTGGCGGTGCAGATGCAGAGACCTTGACGGTGTCCGTGGTTAGTGCATTGCGCATATGGCCAATAAACTCGGCCGCTGTGAGATGAGAGTGAGACCTGTGCGTGGACCTGTGCGTTGGCGCATGCGTCTCGCATGCACGTAAGGTCAGGTGGGTTCGGCTAAAGAGTGGGCGTCTTCCGCAAGAGCGTTAGCTGCTCGTAACTTTATAGTTTACCTGACGTTGGGCATCTACGCCAGCACAGTGAACCCCCTCAAACGTTGTAAATTCTACAATTGGTCCAGGTGCTCGATCGCTTAGGGCTGATCTTGCAGTAAGCTGCAGTAGTGCGCCATACTGATTGCTCGCGTTTCCGCGGCCGTAATGGTGAGACCACACACCATGGCTGGCACAGCGTCCGTGTCCGAAATTGGAAGATGAGACAGCGACGCCATGTATGGTGTGGTATGCACGCTAACACATATGGCGAATCGATGGACGCCACAAATACACCGGCACAAGTTCCAGAAACCTTGAAGCGACGGGTATGGCGTCCATCGGTCGTCATCGTGCTTCTAACGCGGAAGGCGAGTAGCTTCACGAAGCGCAGCGCCCTGCCGTGGAAGACACAAGGAAGCGCACGCGAAGCGGCTCCCTGTGCCATGCAAGCCATGAGCTAGTTTCGCCGGCAGACGCTTGCAGATGACAATTATGGCGCACACGGAAGACATGCCGCAGGAGGCTAGTTGATTGAAACGGCAAGTCAGATATCGACAAGGCTGCACAGCTCCGTCCCGGTTAGATCATGTATAGTGGTGCAGGTTGCTTCGAGCAAATACGGCCCAGGGTTCAGTCGTGTCCCCGACGTTCACCCGTGCCCATTTCACAGTGCGATGGTTCGGTTCGACTTGCATGGCTGCGAGCTGGTTGCTACGCCAGATGACATGGTGCACTGCACGGTCTTTGACTCGTTGTGTCTTGTTGCACCCTGCGGCACGCTCCCTCCGCTAGGAATGCAAGCCTACGACGAAGATGGCGGCCATGTCTTTGGATCACGCTCCAACCCAACCTGCTTTCTTGCCAGATCATATGGTCAGTCTGCCCTGAGCTTGTCGTACTGTACTTCAGCCATGGTGCAGCTCAACAGCGTGGAGTGTGAATTGCCGAATGCAAGGATCCCAGCCGCCACGAGGCATCCACGTTTTACGCTAGTTGCGCCACCCCAATACCGTTGCGCAATCTCCGGGGACACGATTGACGGGGTGATGCAGCTGACCGTCTTTGGCCAACAACGCAGAGCTGTAAGCGAGTTATGTGGCTTGCTTTGGGCGATTCAACAGCGCGCTCCCCTCTTGCCCAGAAACTGTGGCTTTAGACTTTTAACGGGTGCTGGATCTGCGCAAAATTATGACACCCTGTCTGGTTGACCATAGAAGCACAGAAAGCGCAGCTGCAGCATTGGCACTGACGGGAAATTGGCGCGACCTTACAATGACCGCGTGGCTGAACAGACCATGGAAGGACTACTGTCGCTTCCGTGGCCATTCCCAACACGGTGATCGCAATGGCGACATCCTTCCTATAGCAGTGATACCATCCCGCTGGTTCTCTTCGTCAACGCAACATTCTATCTTTGGTACATTCAAGTGATCACCCCGTGATCGCCCACTCATCACAGGGTGTGGCATGCAAGCGGCATCGAACGTCACCACACATTAGATACGTCAGACCCGAAGACGGTCCTACATGACCTGCAGGGCGCATACGAGCTCGTACGCCATGCAGAGGAACATTGGAGAAATGTTATGTTAAGTATGGATTCCCTTGGCAAGATGCGTTTTGGCTATCGTTGGTCGCTGCTCGACAGTCGCATTACTATACCGCGCCCAAAAGCACTGCTTCGAGATTTTATTCTTAGTCTTGTATTGCCATATATCTTACCAGCTCCGAGACTCTGCATCCATCGCTTGTCAAGGGTTTGTAGGTCTGGAGGATGTCAAAGCCTCAAACTACGGTGTGCTTCCCTTGTCTTGACCTCGTTACCATGATCAAATATCTTAAGGGCGAAAGCGCCAATGCCTGCGCTCAGCGCGGACGGCAATAGGCTACGAGCAGTCCACAGCGGTGAGGGTGTTGTGCGTTGATAGGCGCGGAAATGCGTGGAACACAGTGCCGTTCGTTGGGTGGTGTCGACAAAATTGACCCGTCGCAAGCCTACGGTTAATAATGCATACAGTAGAGTTAATCACCTGCAACGGCCATTGAGATTCTAGCAGATCTGCAGAGGCTAACGCCACTATGCAACGCATGCGGTGTGGGTACGGAGCCTTCTTTCCATCGACTTGTAACACATGGCACACTGAGGCGCGCGGCGTATGCAGTGCCAGGACGCACGTTGTCCGCCGGAGACACGTGTTTAGCGCTGTATGCCGCATGTGATGGAGGCGTTCGTAGACCAGGTATCTGGGCCACTGTTGTGCGCCATGGCACGATACGAATGTGTGAACGGCGTAGGTCGCACGGTGAGAGTGGAGTGAGCACCCCCCAATAGCTGTCAACCTAGCCTAATGCGCCGTCTCAGCAGCGATGCGACCGTTGTGATCGAGTGTGATTATTGCAGGTCACGGCATCAGCAATTTTGGTCAGCTAGTGCATTGGTAGAGCAACCATCCACTTCTTCTTTGAGGTGGCGTGGCAGGCGTACAGATGCAACTGGCTGCAGGAGCAGCGCGCTCGCCGTCACGGCGTGGGATGGTTGGACACTTAATCCCCACAGAGTACTTGCTTTTGCAAACCTCCTTGCAAGAGTAGCTGAACTCAGGAGGGTAAGCCCGGTTCGAGCTCTTCAGACTGCGACCTGCCGTATGTGGTTGCGTGTATGAAGCGTTCTAGGCGACTTGTTGCAGCGCAGTCTCCTTGGTCTCGCGCTTTAGATGAGATTGACGTGAGACGGAGAAGAGATCGCTCTAGACATTGTGGGGGAAAGGCGAAAGTCTCCACGTGCCGATGTGACGATCCCACCATTGACGGAAGAATGACACGGTAGGGTAGATATTGAGTGTTCATTTCAAGCACTAGCTTCTAAGCATTGGCGACGTGAGGCCATACACTTGTAAATCCGCAACAATGCCAGAAGTCAAGCAGTACAAGATTACAGAGCCTTATCTTGACACGAAATGCGGTCTAGGTGAAGCTCCCTTCTGGGAGGAGGAACGAAATAGCCTTCGCTTCTCAGATATCGTAAACAAGAAACTGCACTTTATAGACTTAGAGAAGGGTCCATCTTCGCACAAGCGGTTTGATCTCGACTTCAGTGTCGGGACGACTGCAGACATTGAAGGCAATGACAAGGAGTTCATATTTGGTGGCAAATATGGCTACGGTGTTATGAATCGTGAAACCGGCGAAAGCCGGTGGGTGCAAAAGATGTGGACGGATGAAGAGAGGAAGGAAGATGGTGGTGGGAAGCCCGGTGTTGGGAAGACCAGGGAGGAGCGGATGAGGAGTAATGATGGTGCCGTCGACATCAATGGAAGGTATTGGGTGGGTGCTATGAACGACCCTCTTGTCGTTGAAGGCAACATTACCGACGAAGGTTAGCTGAGTGGATGCCTACCTGCTGTTCTACCGTAGCTGACCGCTCGCAGGCGTGCTCTTCTGTCTCGAGCCTGACCTCTCGATTAAAAGAAAGAAGGAATCGGTTTCAATCCCAAATGGCATGTCCTGGACGCTCGACAACAAGTACATGTACTTCACTGACTCCCCGTCCGGCAAGATCATCAAATATCCATTCGACGCCACTACTGGTGCCGTCTCGTGGGACAAAGGTGTGGATTTCTTCACTTGTCCCATCGAGGGTGGTGTACCGGACGGTCACGCCCAGGACGAAGAAGGTTGCTTCTGGATCGCTTGTTTCGGTACCGGCAAGGTCTTGCGAGTCAATACTCAGGGCGAGGTGATTGCCGAAATTGAGTGCCCAACCCGGTGCGTCACTTGCCCGGGCTTTTGCGGCACCAAGCTGTTCATCACCAGTGCGGAGGAAGAGGCTCCCAAGGAGTACCCGTGGTCTACGAAATACCAAGGGGCGCTGTTTATGGTCGACGTTGGCGTACGAGGCTGTCCGCTGAACAAGTTCAAAATGGCGACGAAGGCTTGAGCGAACAGAATCGTTGGCGGAATCGCTCGTCGTTGTGCGTTACTTGCAGGTGCGCCGATCACCATTTACAGATAGAGTGCAATATAAGTTGGGAACGCGACACTGCCACCCTCCTATGCTATCGCCTTCCTAAGCATCCTTCTCTCAGCATCTGTCTAGACAAAGTGGGTCTGGAACCGCCATGCGGACTCGGAATATGGCGCGGCGACAATAGTTCGCAATGACAATCTTTGCGACATACAAGAGCTCTTTGCTCGGCGATGGGTATCTCGGTGGGTGCAAATCCTGAGCTTCCCAATAATATGCAAACCGTCATGAGGCTTCGTGCATTGCGTTACTACGGGTACAATCATGCGTGTGCCACCCGCAACACTTCATCTGCATCCCTAACCACATCTCTCATGTCGTGCGTGTCTTCGTGACCAAGAGCAGCGACGCTATTATCCAGGTCTGCAACAGCGGCTTCTAGGCCCGCCATGAGTGCCGAGATGTCTTTCCGCTGCCACTGCACCCGCGCCAGTAGCTCGAAGTTCTCCGCTTGGACCTGCTGTTGCTGGCTCCTTATGTCTTGTGAGTAGATGGCCAGCTGGGGGGCTAGGTGTGCGAGGTACAAGGTCTGTGGGGCCAGCGTATGAGGTCTACTCTAATCGTCAGTAACGCGCTGGTTGCGGCATAACAGCTTCACGCGCCACATACGGAACAGGCACACCCCCCACAGCCCCGTCCCTCCGTCTTCTAGCATCCTCGACCATGCCATCCAATGCATTCAGACTTCGCACCACGCCCCTCACGCCCAAAGTGTGCTCAAAGTTCTGCCGTAACTGCTGTCCCAGCTTCTCTGTGAATTGTGCATGTAGCAGCTTCATGCTGCCAGGTACTTCGCGACTGGGCGTCGGAAAGCAGGCGGCAAAGTTGGCATAGGAGCAGGTCTTGATAATGTGCGCTACGGCATCGCTGAAGAGCTTTTGGAGGGCGGTGGCGCGTGGCCCAGGTGCGGAGGCAATTGGTGGTTCAGAGTATGTTAGTGAGGGTGAGCGATCTCCGTCATACTCGTTGTGCACTGTGTCCATGCCGTATGAACGAATCGTGTTCGCATTGATCAACTGCTTGATTCAGCGCGCTTGTGTTTGGATACTGCCTCTTTGGGAAGCTGTGTGCACGTATAGATGACTCAGCAGGGTCGCGTTACTTGGCGCGCAGAGGGTGCATTCCAGTAGTAGTGTACATTCAACTCCGACCTTGTCAACCATCTTCTTCACTTCATACCAACCACCCCAAGCGAGAGTGACCAGAAGCAGACGTGTTGATCAAGCTGTTCCTTCTGCCAACGTGCAAATCTGACTAGCAATGGCCGACTATAGCAAGAAGAAGAATGAAGAGCTCATTGCTCTCTGCAAAGAGCGCGGCTTGCCTCACACTGGCAAGAAGGCAGACTTCGTCAAGCGACTGGAAGACGATGATGCCAAGCAGTCAATAACCGGTCCGGCTTCAGCAGCCTCCGCTAAGCCTCCAATCGAGGACGAGATTGACTGGGATGACGAGCCAGCAAACGATACGGCAAAAGCAGCGACAACCACCCAAGCCGCCAAAGCCATAGCAGCGGGTGGGATTGGCGAAGTTCCCAATCCCGTAGCTGTGCCCAATCAGGTCCTTGCTGAAGACCCAGCCAAAACCGATGACCTTACAGTAGCCGCCGCGCCTGCTGCGAATGGTGAAGCAGCTGCCGAGGAGCCTGTACCGGCAAAAGATTTCACCAGCGGCATCTCCGAGCGAACTATTGACGAAGAGATCGAGAAGCGGAAAGCGCGCGCTCGCAAATACGGCTTACCCGAAGACAGCGACGAAATCAAGATGCTCGAGCGCGCGAAAAAGTATGGCGTGCAAGATGCTTCCGCCGTGCCAGGTATGTTGAACAAGGCGTTGAGTGAGGGTAGAGAGAGGAAGAGGGCGCTGGATGCGCCGTTGTCTGAGGGCGGCGTGAGGAAGCGAAGTAGAGGACCGCGGCGAGGCGGCGCTGCTGGTGCTGGTGCCGGTGGCAGCAGACAAGCTAGTGGCAAGCCTTCGGAAAAGAAGGAGAACGGAGCAACGTGGATGTCTGACGTTGACAGACAGAAGGCCGAGGCGAGAAAGGCGAAGTTCGCAGCGCCTGCTTAAGCGGCGAGCGTTGGGAGTGGTACTGGTCTCACCTATTTCAAGCCTCGAGAGCATCTCCTCGACTGGCCTCTGTAACCTTAACATCGACGCGCGAGACATCTGGAATTAAGCGGAGAACGCCACTTGGGCGACGGTATATGTCTAATGCAGCAAGCTCTGCGTGTCTTTCCCAGCCGTGCCCCATCATCACGCTGCGTTCAAGTCATCCTCAGGGCATCATTATTCAATCTGGCTGCTGCCCGGTAATGGTGCCTCGATCTGGTGCGTTACAGCTTGGCTTTCGGCTTCCAGCTCTGCTCTTCTCTTGGGCTCCACACCTGGACCTCAGCTAGCGTGCGGTAATTGCTTGGGAAGAATTGTGGACCAAGTACTTTCTTCACGACCTTGCCCGTCCCCGATTTCGGGAGTTCGCCTTCTATGACCCTCAGCATCGTGGGCATCTTGTACCCAGCAAGCCGGCTCCGGAGGTCCTGCCTTAGCCGGTCAACGGTAAGCTTCGACAGGGGATCCTCCATATCCGCCGCATCCTTCAGGCAAATGGCGCCCGCAACTCGCTCACCAAACTCTTCATCGGGCACACCCACCACCATTACCTCCGCCACATACGGCAGGGCCATGATCTCACGCTCGATGTCGAGCGCTGAGATCTTGTACCCACCGCTCTTGATAATGTCGACACTGGCACGGCCCATGATCCAGTAATGCTCGCCCTCTCTCCGCGCTATGTCTCCGGTCTTGTAATAACCTTCTGGCGTATGAGCTGCGCTCGTCGCATCGGGATCGAAGAGGTATTTGCTGAACATTTCCGGGCTTTTGACAAGAATCTCACCCTCGTTACCTTCTGACAACTTCACATCGCAGCCAGCGAACAGTGTCCCAACCGAGCCATCTGGCACGATAGACCACTGGTCGTATTCTACTTTGAAGACTGCGCCAATCTCCGTCGCACCGTACCGGAGCAGAATCTTCTTGCCCAAGATGTCCGTCCAGAAGTCCGCAATGGGTTTGGGCAGAGCGCTTGTTCCGCATAAGCATGCTCTCAACTTCCGTGCGCCAGCGATGTATCGGTTCACGTCCGGTCGCTTGGACAGAGTCTGCTCGTAGTACCGCCTCATACGCATGTAGATCGTCGGCACACCGGAGAAAAATGTCAGACCTCCTTTACGCCACCTCTCCCATGTCCATTCAGGGCTGAAGCCACTACTCCGGTACTCTATCAATGCGCCGGAGATGAGGAACGGGAAGAACATTATGCCCAGACCCGTGGCGTGGTGGACGGGAAGCACATGGAGAAGCACGTCTTCCTGCGTTATTCGGTAATGATCAGCGACGGAGAGTGCGCCGTCGAATGTATAGCCTCGTCGCATAACAGCGCCTTTGGGTGGGCCCGTAGTCCCGGACGTGAAGATCACGACGCCGGGCTCGTTGTCGCTGAGGAAGAGATCAGAAGATATGATGAGCTCGCTGGGGTGCAGGCAACGTGTGAATGTTGAAGGCCCGACTGGTATGCAGGAGAAGGTGCTGTAAGGGTTTTGGTCTCTGATCAGACGTTCCAGTGCCAGACCAAGACGTAGGGCGCCGGAAGACACGAGGATTGCCGCTGCTCGAGACTTCTTTACGAAGTACAGCGCCTCCTCTGGCGGAAGCGCAACAGTCATCGGCACCACGGCTGCACCGAGCGCAAGAACAGCAAGCATAGCGACCGTATACTCGTAACCGCCCGGCGCAAGAACGGCGATGTAAACTTCCTGCTTCCACTCCAGCGCCTGACGGACATCCTGGCCAAGGTTGCTCCATATGCGCTGTCGGAGTGCAAGAACATCGGACATCAGCTGCAAATGTGTTGCTTCGTGTCCAGTGTTGTCATCCCGAACACATAGCCGTGGTGGCGATTGATGTGCGAAGCGTACGAGCCGATTGAAGAGGCCATGACATGGAAAGATGTTGCGCCCAGCGTGCTTGGGCACGTACGCGGTTCGATCGCCCTCCATTCTCTCGGCGTGCAAGGTATGCAGGTACGCTTCTACGCTGATCGTAGGTCCACGTCCAGCATGTTTCGGAGACTCGTCGTTCACCGCCAATTGCTCGATCGAGTCGAAGATGCTGTCAAAAGACGGAGAGGCTTGGTCCGGATGAATCATGTCTTTGAGCAGTCGTCCAGCGACTCTACTTGTGTAACCTCACACCAACAGCGAGCCGAGCATATGTCGATCCGTCATACCCGGGACTTGCGATTGTTTGCGACATCGCCCGTGCTATCTCCAAGGCGGCTGGGACTGCGGGGTGCGGGTGTGGAGAGTGGGTTGCCCCGCTACCGCTGGAAAGTTTAGTGGAGTTCGCTGAAGGAAGACCGAGGATATACCTTGCATGCTGTATCTCGCTGCTCGGTGGACCTAGGCTCAACACGAAACAGCATGGTCAATTTGACATGGGCTCGCTAACGCTTTGTCGCAGTGGTAACTCGGACGTCTTCCAATACAAACCGGAGTGTCTTGGTACACTTACCAGTGTTGATGATGCCTGACTTTACAGACAACCTCAAGCCAGCTTCCCCAACTGGGCCAGACATTCTGAACAAAGAGCGAAGCCAGTCGGATGTACCTGTTGACCAACTAGCACAACATCTATTCCGCGATGGCTTCATGGAACGGCAAAAGCGTATACTACGAGTGCTGGAGAAGGACGTGCTCTTTGTCAAGGTCAAACAACTGAATCTGTCTCGACCCGAGCGTTACCAGCTGGGACTCGCGCGAGCGAAGAAGCTCCGACGCTATGCTGACCAGTACAATTGGAACAATGACGAACGCAGTATGTCACAGTACCTCTGCGACGATGTCAGCCCGTTCATGGTGCATGACTCGATGTTCATCACCACGGTACGGGAGCAGGGAGATGAGCAGCAGAGAAAGTACTGGTTGCCGAAGATCGAGGCTTCCGAGGCTATAGGATGCTACGCTCAGACTGAGCTTGGTCACGGTAGCAACGTGCGAGGAATTGAGTGCCAGGCTCGGTTCGATCCGAAGACTAAACAGTTCGTGCTCCATAGTCCAACGTTAACCAGCAGCAAGTGGTGGAACGGCAGTATGGGTCGGACTGCCAACCACGCCATTGTTGTAGCGCAGTTGCTTGTACCCAAGGCAAGAGACACGACCGAATACAATAGTCTTGGCCCACACGCATTCATCGTGCAGATCCGAGATCTCAAGACTCATAAGGAGCTCCCAGGTATTGCTGTGGGCGATATCAATGTGAAATACGGTTACGCTCCGATGGACAACGGCTATATGCTGTTCGACAACTACCGCATACCGCACTCCGCCATGCTGTCCAATTACTCAAGAGTCGATCCGAATACTTGCACATACAGCAAGCCGGCCAACCCTGCAGTCGTGTATGGCAGTCTTACTGCGGTTCGAGCAGCCATCATTATGCACGCACGCTTGATCATGGCACGTGCAGTGACCATCGCTGTTCGCTATACCTGCGTAAGAAGGCAGTTCCAGGATAGGGACAGCAACGACCCGCGAGCGCCAGAGCTCTCAGTTCTGGACTATCCGACGGTACAAATCCGCATACTACCATTGCTTGCTACCGCATTCGCTCTGCACTACACTGGTGCGGCAATGCAGGCATTATACCAGACTACCCGAGCCCAAATCGACAAAGGCGACTTCGGCAAGCTCGCAGTCTTGCATGCACAGTCATCCGGGTTGAAAAGCTTGTGCACGGAGCTTGCGGCTAACAGTATAGAGACCTGTCGCAGGGCCATGGGCGGGCACGGCTTTGGCGGAGGCTCTGGGTTCATCCAGTTGAATCACGATTATCTGTCCAAGCCAACAGTAGAGGGAGACAACTGGATGATTACCCAACAGACGGCGAGCTACCTCATCAAACGCATGGCGGCAGCTGTTGCCAATAAAGGCAAGCCGCAGGACGAGATTGAGCAGGCGTGCAGACACTGGCTTCAGCACGAACAGAAGACCGCACCTTTGCCAGTTTTCGAGGATGACATGATGATCGTGAAAGCGTTCCACAAGCGATCAAGGTATCTCACGTACCAAGCGTACGTCGAGAGAGAAGTCAACAAGCGCAGTTGGAACAGCTTGCTTATACAGCTGAGGAAAGTCAGTCATGCGGAGTCACAATCAATACTTGTTACCAACTTCCACAACGCGCTGCACGACAACAACTCCGGGATCTCAGAGAATTTGAAAGCGCATCTCCAGACGTTATTCCAGCTCTTCGCAATGTACACAATGGACTCAGATGCGCGCGACTTCCACAAGGCCGGCGCTGTCTCCGACGCTGATCTAGACGAGCTGCCAGCGCGGATACAGGAGCTGATGGCACAGATCAGGCCGCACGCTGTCCTGCTTGTGGACTCGTGGAAGATTCCAGATTTTCTGCTGGATTCTGCGCTGGGCAGGTACGACGGAAAGGTGTACGAAGACCTGTTCAATCGGGCGCACAGGCTCAATCCCTTGAATGAGCTGACATTCAATCCGTATTATAAGAGCGATGAGATAGTGATGGGGAGGGGGGACGATGAGCTGAAGAAGATCATGGCGAAGCTCTAGGTTCAGTGGGTTTGTTTTGTGTTCACGGAAAGCCCGCAGCTTCAGATCTTTGCTTTAGCCGGGCGATCCTTGGGCGTCGTCCTATAGGATATTTCACGGAATGCTTTACCTGCCTCGCCGTACAGTTCGTTTCTTAGGAGCGAGTAAACTCCCATTTTCGCCTTTGGCGCCCATTGACGAGCGATCATGAGAGCCTCATCGAACATGTTAGCCGGCTCGGCGATAGCGTCAACGATGCCGTCCTTGAGTGCTTCCTCTCCCGTCCAGCGGTGAGCTTCAAGCAGCATCTTGCGAGCAACCTTGGGGCTAGAAGTATTGACCATAACACGTCAGCATTGTCCCAGACAGGAGGGCTATGGCCGATAGCCAACGGCTTACGAACTGTAGCTTGAGCCGAATCAGGGCGCCGATTCCGGGAAAATGGAGACCGAGGTTCACAGGCGGCATTGAGAAGAAGCCTCGCTTACTGTTCATCACACGGTAGTCGTGGCTCAATGCGAAGGGTCCAGCGCCGCCGAACGTGTGACCAGTGATACATGCTATGGTTGGGAACGGAAAGTCGACAAGCGTGGCAAGAAGTGGGAAGAAGCCTTCTGAGTTGGCGTGCGGGTTGGTGTCTGCCTCATCGAGTTCCAGGCCCTTCATACCACTGCATTAGCATCTCCAGACTCGGCCTGCTTCGCTAGGGTGCCGCGCTTACTGTGCACCAGAACTTCGCATCGTTGCCTTTCGTGATGACAGCACCTTCGCTGTCTGTACCGAGCAGTCGTCTGACCGTGTTGTAAGCGTTGATGAGCTTCTGGCAATAAGCGCTGTTCAGTCTATTCTCGGGGGCCTTGCGCAGCGTAACCACAAAGATGTTGCCGTCGTGGCGGTCGAGGGCCAGGTCTGTGTCGTTGATGATTGATTCCGGCATTGCGTAGTCGCCGAGCTTCCAAGCAGGACTGCCGCCTCTACCACATGCAGACCAATTCACAACGTAAAATATGATATGCGATCGTGAGAGGAAGACATGCCGTCAAGCACTCAATGCTTGAGCCGAGGCTGCTGTCCCCGCCCTGTCTTTAACTCCTGCCGACTTCGCTGTGTTCTCAAAGGGCTCAGCTTTCGACAACAGCATAGCGAGAGCATGTAGCCACCATGTAGGTCGAAGTTGATAGCTCGATGGTTCTCGAGATCAAGACGATACCCTAGGCGTACCAAATCCTCAAGCTGTCCAGAACGGCGGATACCCCACCAAGCTTCATGATGTCCATCTCCCAGCTTCCCTTAGGTCAGGTGCTGGTTCCTCGATATACAAGACATTTCATGAAAAAAGATCATCGCTTGTCTCATATGACACTTTCTTGGAACGCTCTGCTCCTCAAGTAAGTGTCCGTGAAAACTTGACAGGTTGAGTTCCACCCACTATGCCGACAGCGTTCCTCTGGGACGTAAGTATTGTCAAGGATTCGTAGTAGTCTCATGGAAGCCTGATCCGAATAGGTTGTGCTATACTACCATAGATGGCGCCATGGCATTCAGCACGTCACCGCTTCTCTCCAGAAGACATCCTCGCCATTACAGATAGGTGTTCTAGGTGCTGCGGCCATTAACACCATAGCTATCTATGACGCTGTCTCTACGCACCCTGACGCTACCATAGCTGGCGTGGCAGCTCGGTCAAGAGCAAAGGCCGAAGCTCAGATAGCAAGGTACAAGCTGAAGGATGCGAAAGGGTACGGCAGCTACGACGAGCTGCTGGCCGTCCCCAACATCGATGCGGTATATATCCCTTTGCCCAACGGCCTCCATTGTGAGTGGACATGCAAGGCTATGCGCGCTGGGAAGCATGTCCTTTGCGAGAAGCCGCTGGCAAGCAATGCCGAGCAGGTGCGGGAGATTATGAAGGTCAGTCAACAGACCGGAAAGGTCGTCTTGGAAGCGTTCCACTGGCGGCTGTACCCCGCCGCTCATGTTCTCAAGGATATCGTGGAAAGCGGTCGGTACGGTAAGGTCCGCGAAGTCAGGGCTCATCTAGGCCTACCTGCTTGGGTGATTGGCAAGGACGACATCCGCTTTAACTATGATTTAGCCGGAGGTGCTTCCATGGATATGCTTTACGTCTTCAGTACGTCTTCCTATTACGCGGCGCCTTCGCTACGTGGAGCTGAAGTAGAAGTGTTGGAGGCAAAGCCAAGAAAGAATGGGAAGGATGCCAGGATTGACGATGCAATGGAGGCAACTTACACTGTCCGAACCGGAGAGCATGCTGTCGTGTGTCATGTCCGTGCTGATCTTGGTGCACCGCCACTGTATGGCTTCATTCCCAAAATTTGGGCAGCGGGTGATGGGGTTGGAATCGACCTGGAAAAGGCCACCATATCGTATGGTAGCTACGCGGCACCGTACGCAGGCCATGCAATCACAATCACAGACAAGGCCACGGGCAACATAGAGAAGCTTACCGCTTTTACGGACGGTCCACAGTGGAAGAAGCGTGGTCAGCCATGGTGGACAACGTACCGGTATCAGCTGGAAGCCTTTGTAGACCGCGTCAGAGCAGTGCAGGGTGGCGCGGCTCTGCAAGATCTAGCGGCTGTGGAAGGCCCGTGGATCAGCTTGGAGGAAAGCGAAGCCGTCATGGAGCTTGTCGACAAGGTATACACCAAGGCCGGCATGCCGAAGCGGGTTTGGAAGCTCAACGCGGAGAGTACAGTACTGAAGTCGTCGATGTATGCACGAGTTCTAACGGCTTTACCCGCTGCCCTGACGTGAGTGCCGTCACTTGTGCTTTACGGTTGTAGGCTAGCAAACCTTCCAGTCTGACTGTTAGGGGAGCTCTTGAGCATGATATAACCATAAGTGGTCGTTTTACAATGTTGTGTCTGTGATCTGTCTACATTTATCAAGAACAACAACGAGGTGCAACGGACGCTGCCCACACCGCCGACGCCACATGCACCGCTAGCGCTGGCGAGCTCGGAACAGTGCAACCACCCCACTCTGTTAGCTATCCTTCGCAAAACTCTTGCCAATGGTAGCCTCCACCGACCATGCAAGACCGAGCCAGCGCCCGGATATATACCAACGGCAGTCCTCTACGCTCCACTATCAGACTTTTCCTACAGCACCGCCAAGGCATCCGGGACCACGACAGGGAAGTGACAGGAACATGAAGAGCAACGGCGCCGCATCGCCGCAGGAGGAAAGGCATGCTCAGCACGATGACGGCAGGCACGATTCGAGAGGATCTGGCGAGCGTCGGGAAACTCCGCTACCGAAAGGTCAACTTGCGGTTTTAGCTATCATTGCGTTGGCGGAACAGACAGCTTTGAACAGCATCAGTCCGTACATACCAGAAATGGCATCGACGTTTCCCGAGGTCAAGGCTGGTCAAGTTGGGATGTATGTGGGTGTGATCGCATCATCCTTTGCTTTGGCACAATTTGCAACGAATTTCGCATGGGGCTGGCTATCAGATCGGATTGGGCGCAAACCTGTGGTCTTAACAGGCACTTTCCTGACAGCATGCTGCTTTGTCGCCTTCGGTTTCAGTAGAAGGCTTTGGCATGCTATACTCATACAGGCGCTGATGGGTCTTGTGAACGGAAACCAAGGCGTTATCAGCACCTGCTTGGGTGAGATCACGGACCGAAGCAACCAATCTCGGGCGTTCACATATCTGCCTGTGATATATGGTCTGGGCGGTATCACAGGCCCTATCGTCGGTGGTCTGTTGGTAATGAGGCAGGATCCTTCTCATCCTGACCGACCAAATCCCTACCCGTACCTAGCGCCAAACCTGCTATCAGCTGCTATTCTCTTCGTAGACCTCATCGTGACGGCCATCTTTCTGCGCGAGTCGCTGGACTGCGCAAAAGATCTGCCTCCGATCGGTAAGCGCATCGGCAGCCTCTTCGCATGGATGTGGCAATTCACGAGCTCGCACCGGCCTACCTACTTGCGGCGAGCGAAAAAAGCGCAGGAAAGCCATCGTCATGCAAACGAGCACTCTCACCTCATTGACGAGGATGAAGATGACGAGGATGAGGACGATAACGAGACCGACGAACATCCTCACCTCTTTCCCGAAGTGAGCGAGGACCTGCTTCATAGCAAGGATGTGTTTAACCGCGATACCATCTTGTTGCTCGCAACGTTCCTTATCTTCCAGCTCAGCAACATCAGCTACAATAGCTTGTACCCTGTCTTCGCGCAAGCAGACCCACCCACTGGCCGTAACCTCAGTCCGTCCGAAATAGGATTAAGCTTGGCCTTTGCAGGTGTCGTCACAATCCTGTGGCAAGTTGGCATCTTTGGTCGGGTACGAGAAAAGATCGGAAACAGAATAACTTACCGAGCAAGTCTGGCTGGCTTCGTAATCGCCTTCGTACTCATGCCGTTCGTGGGCTACAAATCCGGCACGTCAGACCCGCACGATCTTCCAACCAAATCCGGCAAGGCTTGGCTGTGGGCGGAGTTGGGTATCGTGCTGATCATTAAAACCGTCGCCGCTGTAGGCGGGCTGACAAGCGCGCTACTCCTCATCACCAACTCCGCCCCATCACACGCAGTCCTTGGCACGCTGAACGGGTTGGCGCAGACATTGTCCGCGGGAGGTAGAGCTATCGGACCGGTCATCAGTGGCAGTCTGTTCTCGGCTGCAACGCGAGTACAACCCAAGGGCGAGGCGCTTGCTTTCGGCATCTTCGGAGGCATTGCTTTCCTTGGCTTCTTGCTCGCCTTCGGCATTAGGGGTGCTAGCCTCGAGGGTGAAGGCTGGGTTGAGCATGATGAAGAGGAGGGTGAAGAGGATGAAGAGGACGATGACGATGACGAGCACACTCAAGAGCATCGTGCCAGGTGATTCGAAACGACGGGAGCGAAATGTCACCATAAGCAGTATTTAACTCACAGAATTAGCGAGGCGTCCGGCGGTGTAGCTTATGTAAATTGGTCAAAACAGGCCTGACAAAAGCAGACCGTATTACGTTCTCTCCCTCCGCCTTATGCTGACGGCTGCACCAAACACGCCAGGTACTCTGGTTATGGAAGAATATCAGATCACGTGCTGGCACCAACCTCGCCCGTGTAAGGTGATAACCGGATTGGCGAAAAAGATCGCTACCCAGATACCTCTGGACCCGTCCGCCCATACCGCTGGCTTTGTTGCATTTGATTAGCACGCATTCGATATGCGGGAATATGAAGCAGAGCAGGCGGAGCGGTAAGGCCGATCTTGAGCCAAACATGCCTCACTGTTCCAACGCGCGCTCAGGCTATGCTTCCACGATCAGTCAACCCCAGCTCGAGCAGATAATGGCGAGCTTCCCACGGAAGCCTGGCACTTCATTTGAGGACTGGCAAGCCTTGAGACAATTGCATGCAAAGCTCAAACATTAAACGGAAGCTAGCAGTAAGTCAGAGAGTTCGCTGTCTTCATGCGAACTGACTTATCTATAATGTACTACTATTGTCTAGAGTATCGCTGAATCGATCAGCAGCTGATACGGTCTTCATGCGTAAAAGGTCCGCAATCATTAATGGTTCGCTGTAGGAATTGAGCCTTTCTCTCACAATGTTTACGTCACCTCCACGAATTCATTGCACATCGCCAGGAATCTCTGGCGATATTCCGGTGCGTCCGTGGTAATGCTCATTGGGCCCTGCCTATCGACTGCATTGTAGGCATTGATCAAGCCGGTCATTGCCAGGGCTTGTGTCTTGTGCTTGGCCCAGAAAAAGTCAAGTACTGCCGCGCGATACGCATAATTTCCGTCGGCCGATGAGACGCCTGTCCTCCAGCTCGGTGGAGAAGGAGGGGCAAAAGGTGGTTCCGGAGGAGGTGCAGCGCCACCTTCTGTTGCCTCGATTGGAATCCGAACCAGGAAGAGGGAGTAATCAACGGCGTTACAGTCGGCCTGTCAATTGTTAGCAGAGGGTCCCGTATTGCGTGCGTGAAGATGGGCTCAACGAACAAGGAGCTTTGTATCTTTCTCAAGCTGCGCCTTGAAGTCCTCAGCATCGTCTAGGGAGAGGACGAGCTTGTCGTGAAACTCGTCCGCGAGCTTACTCTTGGTCTCGTCGCTAGTCAGAGCGCCTCCCGCGACGTCGCGCTCGGGGTAGAAGTAGCTCATGGGTTTCAAGTCCCAGCTTTCCCACTTCTGCTTGCCCTCATGATCCTGCTCGTCATGCTTGTCCTGCCCGTACAGGATGTTCTCCATGACAAGTTGGTGGCTGGGAGCCGTCCCCAGCGCTGTACCAATGGTATGTGACACAGGCTGCAGGAAGTCAGTGATGCGAACCAGCAGACTCGTCTCAGTGCGTTGCATGTAGTCTGCATAGGGACGCAATAGGTCATCCTTGAAGAAGCTGTATTCGAATTGCCTAGGGACAGACTTCACCAAGTATCGTCCGTCCGACGTCCTGAAGAAGGTGGACCCTGAGAAACCCATGTCGCCCATGGAAACGAGAGCATCTTCGCTCTCGAAACTTTTAAGATAGTCGCGATAGTCTATGGCCCAGGCGTTGCGCAGAGCTGCAAAGAGATCTTCTTGAAACGCCTGGTAGGCCGGCGTGTCGATGTGAAATGAACTTGAGAAGGTCTCCGCCTCACTTGCCCTCTGCCCACCGCGCAAGATCCCATATCGTATTTCTTGCGCGATGGCCGATTCTCGCTTCGGCGCCATGTCGATGGCACAAACTGGGCCTGTACCTCGCTTTGGTTCGCGACATTTCGGTTGAGATATGTCGCATGTATGTAACTGCACCAAGCCAGCACGCTACTGTAGCGTCACACGTGGGTGGTGGAGCCGCGGCATCGGTCCGCTCCAGAGCGTAACTTCCTCTTTGAGCTCGCGCGATGCCATCAATATCATCGTTAGTGGCGATAAGTCTGGATTCGAAGGATCACAATGCCGAAGGAGCGTTCAATCAATCCTGCAGCGGCTCAGCGCAAGGCTGACAAGCAGAAAGAGATTGCGCGCTCCAAGAAGCAGCAGCAGGCCAGCCGAAATGAGAAGCTTGCGCGACGCAACCCGGAGCGTTTGCAACGGCAGATTGATGAGTTGAGGGAGCTTCAGGCGAGTGGTGCATTGCGGCCTAAAGACGCGGATACTCTCCTTCAGCTTGAGCGGGATCTGAAGGGTGTACGGAGGGCAAAAGAGGCATTAGGTGTGAAGGACGAGCCAAGGCCGGAGCGGAGACACGACGCACGAGACGAGCAGAGAGAGCGCCGACAGCATCTTGGAAAGCGCAGGCGAGATCAAGAAGACGCGGAGGATGGCGGCGACACCGATCCGGAAGTCAGAGCGATTCCCATGCCACGCGATACACCTCCACCAATACCAAGGGACAAGTTTGTCGATCCTCAGGTAGGCGCAGACGGACACAGAGTCCCGCATTCGCTGCCCACCAAACCTGCCGCTCCGGCATCAAAGACAGTGTACTCCTCCGCACCGCAGATACGAGACCTCAAAAGGGAAGCCGTCCGCTTCATGCCCTCCGTAGTATCACAACAGCGGAGCAGAATCAAAGGTCAAGGCAGGTTGTTGGAACCTGAGGAGCTTGACAAGCTGGAAAAGGGCGGGTACGCCGCAGCGGAGAAGGCTGCTGAGGAGGCGGGACTGGAGGCGAGGCATGAGCGTATTGCGAGCAAGCTGGAAGCGGAGACGAAACGGGACGGTGACATTGATGATGAGATGAAGCGTTTTGAGGAAGAAATCAACAACATCTACCCTGTAAAAGTCGAGCGAGTGGGCGCTCGTAGGCACATGCAAGTGGAGGACGTAGAAGACGAAGGCACATGATAAGAAGCGCTGATTGCAGGCTGCAAGACAGACATATGTATGGCTGTACGAACTCGTCAGCGTACTGTCGATACCATGCCGCCACAGATCTCACCGATGTTATCGGGCACGTGGCGATTAGGAAGCACACAGTAACTGTGTCAATCTCCGGCCGCACAAACATGACTGAATCAAGCAAGATCCTGGTGACTGCACGAGACGTGGAACAACAAATTCCTGCGCAACAGCCTCGCGGCTTAGGTACGTTAAGCAAGGAAACCAACGCGGCACCTATGGAGATTGCGCCAGCTGCACCTACTCCAATTCTGGTCATTCGGAACGGTTTGCTCGGTGACGACGGAGCGTTTCTGGAAGACGAGCACGAGAACGGCCTCGATCTACCAGACGCTCCGTTCCCCCATTGGGGCTTCATGGCCACCTCTCTCGCATACCTCGGTGGCGTTTTGACAAGCATAGTTCTGCTAGGACTCCTGGCCCCCATCCGCCGGCTTCTCACCACGCTGTACGGCTTTCGCCATGTCCATGTCCTCTCCGTGCACCACTCAAGCAAGACCCGCAATAGGCCAGCGAAGCACGATATCATCGGCGTATTTGACTCGGAGAATGCAGCACGAGTTGTTATTACGGAGCTCATGGGTCAGCCAGAGTTCGAAGGCCGGAACGTGAGCATCGGTTTTCCTGTTATCGGAGGGGACGACGTTGGGGTGAGCATAATGGACGACTGGAACGGTGATGCCGAGGATGGAGGGCTTGTGGTCCTGGTGCAGAAGATGTACGTCAGAGGGAGATGATCACAACGGCTGTGTGGAAGGCTTATAGCCTCTATCACACCTCGGAGACAAGGCTATGAAGTTGGGAGTCTGTAGATGCATCTCCGAATCATTGAATGACCGCCAGGCATTCCCATCTGCTAGTCCTGCCGCAATAGGCATCTATAGTGCACACAGCACCGTATGGTCGTGGCATGATGTTGGGGATCTGCCGCAGCAGTATTTTGTAAAAAGACGTCTTGCTCGTAACCCCAACGCCGTAGCAAGGGCTAAAAACCACTCATGGCATGCATATCACTTTGAAGGCAGGCTACGAGTTTGAGATGACGCCCAGGGGTCTCCGGAAATTTTACAAACCGAATGGCTTCCCACCGCCGTAGCGAGAGCAAAGAGAATGCTCATGGCATGTATATCACGTTGGGCGCAAGCTGTTACTTCGGGAGGCCGCCAAAACGTCTCTGTGGGATCTGGGACCTACCCATCTTCCGAACATCGTAACCAGCACTCATAGTGTTGACAGCGCGTTGAGAGCGGGCTATAATATTGGGAGTGAGCCAAGCAGTTCTGCGTAACCTGGCTATCTGCAGCTGTTCCCCACATCCTGATCATCACATCATGAGTGCTCGTAGCGATTTTATCACGCTCACGCCGTGCTATGCCAATGAAGGGCTGCCAATATCTAACGCCTTACACCCTCATCCGGCTTTTTGCCCGTCATCTCCTCCACCATCTTCTCGTGGCCCCATCTCTCCATCACCCTACGAGGAAGAGGTACTGTGTCAGCGATGAACAAGTTTGGGAAACCTATGCTTTAGGGGTGATGCCACTCACTTCATGCAGATGTCTCCTCTGATATCACCCTCGTCATCGTGAGCGGGTACGTAGAACCATGCATCGCGCTTCTTCTTCAGCTTCTCCAGCTCCTTGGTATGCGCCTTCATCTGCTCCTTGATGGACGCCTTAAGCTTTAGATCGGTGATGTACAGCAAAGCCTCGAGCTCGGCTTTGGAGAGATCAGCACGCCACACATGCTTGTGTAGGCTCTCCATCTCCGGGTTATCGAAGGCGGTCGCAGGGAGCGATATGATGCGCTTGATTTCTGGGAGGACACATGCGCTCTGGGTAGTGCTGGCTTGGATGGACGCTTCGTTGACGCTGGGGTTTGCGCCGATGGGGGAGGCAGACATGCTGGCTGCGCCTTGATGACGGTTTAAACTCAAAGCCGGGACGCGGTGGGCGCCTGAATAGACGGTGCTTCTTGGTCGATCAGCTTCAGTGGTCGGGAGTGGTGGGAAGTCGCCGTCATCAAACTGGAAGATGGCGGAGTCACCGTCAAAGAAGCTTTCGATGGGGTCATCGTACTGGCGGGAGCGGGGCATCTTATGCAAGTGAATGGGGTGTTCTCAGCCACGCGGCTGCTCGTGCGGTGACTGTCGTGTCCTTGTGTGGCGATCGGTGCTGTTTGCGATATCGGGACGTGGAATGTTTGCTTTCACTATGGACAGTAGATTAGCGATTGATCTCCACGTGTAATGGTACAGCAAGCAGTACCGGCAGCAGCAGCATGAAGGGAGAAAAGGGAAGAGAGGCAGCGAGAAGAAACTTACTTATGACTACTGTCCAGCCACGTGGCTACGGCAGCTGATGAGCGTATTTGTTCTAGATGCGGAAGGCACGCTACAGGAGGCAGTTGCGATGGACGTAGATCATCGTTCTGTTGTAGGGCATCCCAAGGTCTTAGGGCAGCAATGAGGTCTTCGATGTTCCATATGGCAGTGAAGGAAGTACAGTAGCCTTGGGATGGTGCTCTGGTATTCGTAAGTAGCCAGATGCACGTTTTCGAACCGTAGGCGCAGTGACAAGGTGATCGGTGGTCTGATGGATTGCTAACAGCTCTCAGTGATACCGAGATGGTACAAATAAATAGCCATATGCGAAGTTTGTTGATTCTTAACGGAGTGAGTAGATGGAAAAGCTGGTTAAGGTGCCCATCGGCAATGGGAGCGGAAGACGTAATACTCATGCATTGATATACTACGATGAACGGAACCATGTCGCTCAGCTTATTGTAGCAGACAAGCGGCGTGACGGACTTACTAGGACAGCATATGTGTGAGAGCAGACTCGTCTTCACGATCTTCCCGCCACTACCCATCATCTGCTTCATCTTCATCAATGCCTTCCCGCGGCTCAAATTTCATAAAGGCTCCCTCGCTCCCTCCAGTGATCATCTGCCACACTTCCTTAGTGCTGTTCAGTAACTTGTCCTCATATACTGCGTCAATCGACAAGGACGGCAAAGTGACTATCGGTCCATCGACCGAGAGACCATTGTCACTCTGGTCATGCGAAGTTTGCACATAATCCATCCGCCAGAGGATATCCGGGACTGGCTCTTCACCAATACTCCGAAGCAGTGAGCTTATCGCTTCGTCAATGACATCCAATCCGTCGGAGCCAGTGGATGTAGCGTAGAGAACACCTGGAGTCACAAATCAGCAATGCACCCAGCATTTAAAGGTATCATGATATGTGAGTAGTGTATATGTGACAGCATCAGGTTGTCAGAGATATAGCATCGTCAATGAAGTTCGGACAATGTAGATAAGTATTCAAAATGAGTGTTCATCAGATCACAGGGTACGTGGATTGTTGATTGGTAGAGATATGGATACTCACATTGACCTGTAGGACACTCTCCGGACTCGCTTGAATGGGCCAGAATCTGCACGGTAGCGCGAGGTGAAGTTGCGCTTTTTGCGACAACCACCGCGCCCGCAGGTAGTGGACCGCCCTCGGATGTTGGCGGAAAGAGCGACGTTAGTGGTGATGAAATTACTGCCACTCTTTTCGCGATGGCACCACTATTGTCCTTCAGGTCGGACGTGTAAGACCCTGATGTTGGGAGGTCTTTGGAGCAGCCGACCAACCACTGGGTCTTGATCTTCTCACCAGGACTGAGCTCCAAAGTCACTCCAACTTCAGACTTGGTAGCATTTGTAATGCCTTTACCAAGCACATACACCCCGCCGCCTACAGCGCACGCACGGCAAGCAACCTGTGCTATCTCCGCCAGGCCGCCCCACTTCGGCAAGACTGCTGCAAAGCCTGCACCAAACACGCCGATGCTCTGTAAATGCTGTCTGACGCGCGGTACGACAGTCGCCATAGTCGGTTCGATATTCGCATACGGCGGTAAAGCTAGGGCTAGTAAAGCTTCTATCGCAGCGTCTGGCAGGCTGAATTGGTCCCTTAGGCATGAATGGACAGGCTGCTCTCTGAACTGGACCCACTTCTCGCGCTCGCCATCCTCATCGTAGCTGCCGACGAAGCGGATGAAGCGCATCAACGAACGCTTGGCGCGAAGGTCGAGCGTGGCGTCCCGGAAGACGTCTTCTCTTCCGCTCGGGACGCGTATAAGGCGTGGGGCAGCATCTGGGTCGTTCTGATCGTTGACGACGGCGAACCATGAGCCGACGGCTTGGAAGTCGAGCTGGCTGTGGGTACGGGAGGAGACCAGAGCCTGCAGCAGGTTCGATCGAGTGTAAATGAGCTGAGGCGCAAGCGCGAAAGAGTATGCTCGTGGGGTTCCCAGCTTGGACTTCACCGCATCGTTGACTTCCAAGGTCCTGACGGCAGCCTTACTGAAGACGGATTGCTCAGATGTGCTGTTACTGTGTTTTCGCGCCCATCCTTCCGCTTCGGTCAACGAGAACGCCGCCTCGTCCCCACCATAATAGTCATTGTGGTCAATGTGGAGTACTTTCTTGCCGGAACGTGATAGCGCGCTTCACGAAGCTTCTGTCAGTCAGCCCGAGTCGTATGGCGGAAGGAGTCTGGTAGACGCACAGGGCGAGTAGAGACTGCGGCAAGCCTGTGCCGGAGATGACTACATCCCATTCAGTGTTGTCGAGGGTCTCCATAGTGTCCCCCTACGCCACCCTCCGACTCTGTGCAACATGCTGCAGCGACATGCCTGGGAAAGAAGAAGTGAAGGAAGCCTTGACGTCGGAGCAGACGTCCGTTTAACGCGGGTCTTGGCACGCTAGCGAATGCAGTGGCATCGAGTTTCGTGCAAACGGGCTTCTTTCGGACTCCATCGCATCTGTACCGGACAATGCGCCTGTACATACGACGCGTACTGACCGGTCAAATCCCTTCATTGGGGTTGAGGACGATGCGACAGATGGATCTTCCACGTCCTGTATCTCCTGCTCTTAACCTGACGGACTGAAATAGCGGGTCGACTGCGACGTTACATACATTTTCACCATTGAGCAATCATATGGTCGGGACAGCATTCGGAGACATGTTATGTTTCGCATGGGGGCGACTCGTATTACTCGTTCTACGTCAGTAACGTTGGGGGGTATCTATCACTATGCTCGTACCCAGCCAACGACTTTCATATCGATTACCAACCGCGCCTCATGAACGCCAACTTGCTCGCTCGCTCGCTAAACCCTTCAGAAGCCACGCCATCTAATCATCATCATACGCCATCAAGCGTCCTTCTTCCCCTCCCCATCCTCCTCCTCCGCATCCGTAACACTCTGACTCGCGTCCGTGTCTCCAGCTCTCCCATTCAGATTCGGAATATCATTAGGTCCAACCTGCGTCTCCGGGTTCAACGCGCCCAGCGTCTTCTTCAACTCCAACCCAGGCGTCTCCGGCGCACTGACAAGCCCATCATGACCCATACCGCCATCAGACAAGTACGTCGACGACGCCTCGCTCAAAACACGCCGATGCTTCGGCCCATCCTTCTCCCCACCATCCGCCGCACTGGGCCCAATATCCAACGCACTCGTCTTCCCCGCGCCATCAGCGGCACCATCAACTCCCTGCGGACCCGCCGGGCTGGTGAAGGGACTGGCACCATTCTGCCCTCCCATTTCGGGACTCTTCGCTCCCATCCTCGCCACCTCCTTCCGTAACTGCTCCAGTTCCTTCTCCATCCTCTTCCCAAACACATCGATATAAAACGTTGCGCCATTCCACGTCGCCCACGCAAACACCACCATCATGAACCCCGCGCTCGCCCAGCGGTACCAAAACCATAGCGGACACGGCAGCATCGTCAGTAACGCGTACACATACTGCACGGCCATGAACACGGCTTCTTGGTACTTCTCCGGAAAGCCCAAGACGAACTTGCCGAGGAAGTTCCCGCGGTAGGAGCGACGGAGCCAGGTGAAGGAGGTTGGGCGGCCGGCGGCGATTTTGCTGCGTTTGCGCACGGTGATGAGGAAGTGGTAGGAGAGCTGCCAGATGGCGTAGGGGAGGGTGGCCCAGACGATCATGTCGAGGAGGGTGTAGTGTTCCGGGGCGGAGGGGGGGCTGTATTTGATGGTGTGGATCGCGGGGAAGTGGGCGAGTTGCATGGATTCGGGGATGAGGTGGACGAGGACGTGGAGGGTGGCGCAGGGCATGATGTGGATGAAGAGGCTGGATATGGATGGTTAGCGTTGTTCGTTTGGAGTATAGCAGGAGTGGGGTAAGACGTACGAGGTTACTTTGTCCAAGCTGTGAAACACAAGACTATTACGCCACATGGCGATGGCAACGGCGTTGTTGCCGAAGGCGAGGCAGTAGGTGCTGATGAGTAAGCGTTTCGATTGCGGGAAGAACCATATCGAGAGGATGAGCAGGAGGTTGACGAAGTAGCAGAGATCGGCGAGGAAGTAGTGGAAGCCGATTTTGTGGTAGTTGTACCATCGCAGGGGCATGAAGTATCTACCACCAATTAGCAGAGAATACGACATAGATCAAGGGTGCAGCTCCGTACGCCAGTTGCAGGGTATACCAATAATGGAAGTACTGCGGAAAGGCGCCGATGAGGTAGCCGGAGATGAAGATGTTAAGCACAGCGGTGACGAAGGAGATCTTCTCCTTCAGCGTGACGCTCTTCGCATCGTTCCATCGCCGGCCGAGCCGATCGACGGAGTCTCGCATGCGCTTGCGGTACTTATCCAGTTGCTCCTCCGGTCGCAAGGGCACCGTCTTCCGCCATTGTTCGACGAGGTTGTTCTTGCTCGACAGGGCGCGCGACGCCAGCTTCGCTCGCTGCCGCCGCACCTTCTCCGCTTGCGCATGCACCGCATTCTGCATCTTCTCCAACCGCTGCGGCAGAGCCAGGTTCTCGAGGATGTCGAACATGGTCAGGCGATCGACGGGCGGAAAGTCGTGCTGTCCGAACGAGTCGAAATGGCTCGAAACGTCGGTCGAGCTGGTCGCTCTCGACAGATAGCCTGGTGTGCCGGGTGTACTAAGCCCGTCATATGTGCTGTGGTTCACGGAGAGGTAGTCGGCAGCGCCGCCATCGTCCCATGGCGTATGCGCTCCATTCGTCTTGCCATCGCCGGGTCTCTGCTTGAAGCTCTCCTCCTTCGCCGCCGCCATCTGGTCCACATCCGACGGCATCGACAGACTCTTCTTCATCCGCGGCGCATCGATGATATCGTCCATCCTGGCGAAGCGCTCCAACTCGGCGTCCGAGATGGGGTCGTCGTCGTCGTCCTCGCCTTCCTCTTCGGGGATGAGGTCTAGATAGCTGGAGCCGTGGCCGGGGAAGTATGGATAGCGTAGCTTCTGATTGACGGACAAGGCGTCGGGCATATCCAGCGGGCGCAGGGCGTTAGCATGACTTGCGACACATGACCCGGATGTCTACACAAGTGTGACGGAGTTGAGGAGGAACATGAAGCAAGGTGGCCTGAGAAGAGGGAGAGAGTCTCTCTATTACAAGAAGCGGCGCGGGTTGGTGATGGCGTGCGAACAGTCGTACACCTTAACGCGCATGTCAAGCATCAATTGCATACTCGAGCATAGCTGTGGCTCATGCCCTCCTGGAGTCCTGCTGCTGCTCGCTCCCCTGCTCTTTGCTCCCGCCTTCACCGCAACCGCGTGGCGCATCGATTGGCCAAGCCGCATCTCGTCACTTTACGGCTACGGCCTGAGGCATTCCAAACGCGCCGCGACGCGTCGCCTTTCCGAGGTCCCGAAAGTCGACAAACTCATCGCGACAATAAGTATCACAACGAGCCACGGGCGAACAGGGCACGGTCGACATGCGCATGTAAAACGTTGGACGATAGCTCATGTGACTCTGTCTCGCGCCGTCGGGGTGTTTGCGACAAGATGGGCAAGCTGATCGCGCTCGAGCTGAACAACTTCAAGTCATACAAAGGCCACCATGTCCTGCAGTTCGGCGACTCCTACTTCACCTCCATCATCGGCCCCAATGGTTCCGGCAAGTCCAACTCCATGGATGCCATCTCCTTCGTCCTCGGCATCAAATCCTCTCACCTCCGCTCCACCCACCTCAAGGAGCTCATCTACCGCGGCCGTGTGTTGAAGCATTCCAAGGTCGACCTGGACGGTATCGAAGCGAACGGGATCAACGGACACGTCAACGGCGACTTGAACGGTCATGCGGATGCCGAGGCCGGCGCGTCCGACGATGAGGAAGCCGACACTCAAACGAGCACTCAGCGCCACGATCCGCAGACGGCGTGGGTGATGGCCGTGTATGAGGATGATGCAGGCGATGAGCAGCGCTGGAAGCGCACCATCACCGCCGCCGGTCAAAGCGAGTATCGCATCAACAATCGCATCGTCACCGCCAAGCAGTATAACGAGGCCCTCGAAGCGGAGAACATTCTGATCAAAGCGCGCAACTTCCTCGTCTTTCAAGGTGACGTCGAGTCCATCGCAAACCAAGATCCCAAGGATCTCACACGCTTGCTAGAGCAGATCAGCGGCTCGGGCGAGTACAAGGCCGAGTATGAGCGTCTGAGGGCGGAGAAGGACAAAGCAGAAGACGACCAGCATCACCAGCTGATCCAACGTCGAGGCATCAATGGCGAAATTAAGCAGTATCAGCAGCAGAAGGACGAGCTGGATCGCTTCAATGCGTTGGAAGACGAGCGAGATGACGCGGTCGTTACGCAGGTGCTGTGGAAGCTCTACCACTTCCAACGCACCATCGAAGACAGCACAGCCGAGATCCAGAAGCATCAAGCGGAGCTGAAGGAGTTTAGGCGCAACGTGAAGAAGTACGAAGACAAGCTCGACGAGGCCAAGCGAGAGCAAGCCAAAATCGGCAGGGACGTGAGCAAGTACGAGCGCGAGATTAAGCGCAAGGAGAAGGCTGTAGAGGAGAAGACCAACGCCTTGCTTCCGATCGATGAGAAGCTCGCGCTTATGGACAAGAAGCTCAAGAAACAGCGCCGCGCCTTGCAGGACGTCCAGCAAGATTTCGACTCGCAGCGAAGGCAGAAAGACCATCTAGACAGCCAGCTTGCGACCGTACAGAAGGCTCAGCACCGATGGGACGATGAATGGCGCGCACAGCAACAGCAAGCGGGCCGCGAGTTGGGTGAAGAGGACATGCTGGAGTATCAGCAGCTCCGTGCTGAGGTCTACAAACGTTCGGGTAGCGACCAAATCAAGGTCGACAACATCACGCGCCAGTTGAAGACTGACGAAGAAACCGTCAAGAGCTTGAAGTCGAAGGTCGACAGCACCCGAGCACATGTTGACAGCTTGACCGCCGAAGTGAACGGCCTTAAAGAGCGACGCGCCGAGGTCGCCTCGCGCGTCAAGTCCACCACGAAGGACATCGAAGGCAAGAAGAAAGCCATCAATGCTCTGGCCAGTGAGCGGGAACGCACAGCTCAGAAGCAGCGGGAGCTGGACGAGAAGCTCCTCGAAGTCCTGCAGAAGCTGGCCGTCGCGACCGACTTCCAGCGCGAGACGCAGAAAGAGACTCAACAGCGCGAGATAGTGGCCCAAATGAAGCGCATCTTCACCGGCGTCCGAGGCATGGTACACCAGCTCTGTACTCCAAAGCAGAAGAAGTACGAAAGTGCCGTTGTGACTGCGCTTGGCCGTAACTGGGACTCGGTCATTGTCGACTCGGAAAAGGTGGCGAAGGAGTGCATACAGTACCTCCGTGACCAGCGCATCCCGCAGATCACATTCATTCCTCTGGACACTATCATCCATGAGCAGCCGAATGCCAATCTGCGTGGTCTACACCAGGGTATGCGGCTGGCTATCGACACGATCGAGTTTGACACGAACATTGAACGGGCGATGAACTTTGTCTGCGGCAACGCCATGGTCACCGACACGCTGAAGATTGCGCGTTACCTCTGCTACGAGCGCAACATTGATGCCAAAGCAGTCACGCTTGATGGAACAGTCATCCACAAAGGTGGCAACATGACCGGCGGCTCCGAGCCGGCGGACAGAAAGCGGCGGTTCGAGGAGACTGAGGTCGAGAACCTGCGTACTCTTGCAGAGAAATTCAGAGCCGACATCGAGGCCTTGCCGCGTGGCCATAAGCGCCAGGCGGAGGAGGAGCAGCTGCAGGCTGATCTGAGCGGGCTGGACAATCAGCTGAAGTTCTTGCAGGACGAGCTGAGGGCACTCGACCGCAACATTGAGTCCAAGTCCAAGGAGCTGGAGCACGAGCGTGCGCAGCTCGCTGATGCGAAGCCCAAGTACGAGGAGCAAGCGCGTGGGCTTGAGACGCTGAGGCAGTCGCTCGAAGAGTACACCAGTGCCATCGCGGAGGTGGAGGACGAAGTATTTGCCGACTTCTGCGACCGGCTGGGCTACGAGAGCATCCGCGAGTACGAGAGGTTGCAGGGCTCGCTGCAGCAAGAGGCCAACCAGAAGAAGCAGGAGTTCAAGCGACAGATCTCACGTCTGCAGAATCAGTTGAGCTTCGAAACGCAGCGGGTGGCGGGCACGGAGCAGCGCCTGCGTGTCATCGAAGCCCAGATTCAGCGGGACGAGGAGAATGTCGCCGCGCTTGAGCAGGAGAGGGCGGCGATCGCGGGTGAGACGGACGAGTTGAATGCGGAGATTGAGCAGCTTCAAGAACAATTAGCTGAGACTATGAAGCAGTATGAACGGCACGGGGCAGCGGTGAACGAGGCGCGAAAGGAAGTGCAGAAGCGCAGTAAGTCGGTCGAGAAGACGCTGAAGGAGGTCGGCGGGCTGGAGGCGGAGGTGCAGAAGGCGGCGAGCGAGCGGTATGCGACGCTCAAGGAGTGCAAGCTCTCCAATATCGCCATCCCGTTGGAGCGAAAGAGTCGCAAGCTGGATGCTTTGCCGCTTGAAGATGCCATTCTTGAAGAAGAGGAAGACGCGAGCGCGATGGAAGTTGATGGCGAGGATACAACTACCGCGCCGCCGAAGGTATCAGACTATGGCATTCACATTGACTTCAGCAAGCTGGACGACGAGCTGAAAGAAGCAGACGATGACGAGACAGCGGGAACGCTCGCCTCGCGCATCGCAGACCTCGAAGCGGACTTGGCGAAGATGACCGTCAACTCCCGCTCAGCGACCCGCCTCGCGGCGACATCTGAGCGCTTGCACGCCACCGACCGCGAGTTCAACGATGCCCGCACCGCCGCGAAGAAAGCGACGAAAGCGTTTGAGACCTTGAGACAGCAACGCTACGACGCTTTCCAAAAAGCCCTCGAGCACATCACCGAGCAAATCGGGCCCGTGTACCGCGAACTCACCAAAACAGCCTCCTTCCCTCTGGGCGGCCAAGCGCATCTGGACGTGGAGAATGAGGACGAACCGTACCTCGCTGGGGTCAAGTACTCCGCCACACCCCCCCTTAAGCGCTTCAGGGACATGGAACACCTGTCCGGGGGCGAAAAGACAATGGCCGCATTGGCCTTACTGTTCGCCGTGCATACATTCGCACCAAGTCCCTTCTTCGTGCTGGACGAGGTGGACGCCGCGCTCGATCATGCGAATACGACGCAGTTGGCGAATTATGTGCGCGAGCATGCGGGGCCGGGAATGCAGTTTGTGGTTATCTCGCTGAAGACGGGGTTGTTTCAGGAGAGTGAGACGTTGGTTGGGGTTATGAGGGATCAGGGGGTCAATAGCAGTCGGGCGCTCACCCTTGATGTGAGTACTCATCTATCCCTCTTGGATGTAAGAATGTACGAATGCTGACTTGTTTGCAGTTGCGGAAGTATCAAGCGGTCTGAAGAGTGGGACAACTGGATATGGTACAGAGTCTGCAAGGTGTTGATTAGTTTCTGAGCGTTCATGCGGGTCTCGTCACTGCGCTTTCTGCAACTTCGTCGATTGCTGCGCGTCCAATGCTATACGGGCATGAAGAACGTGATTGAGAGCGCTGCGCTGTTATCGAAGCTGAACGACGATACTTCGCGCAATGGATGGGTATGTGACGAATCTTCGCTCACATCGACCGCGATCTTTCTTTCTCTCCACGCTTGACGTTGACGTGCTTCACCCTGCTGCACCCTTGACGCAAAGAGTCCGAATAGGGCAACGCCACCGCAACGGCCGCTTTGTTCTGGAAATCGAACAGAAGGTAAAATTGTGCCCCACGCTTGCCCTTGCCAAATGAGAGCGCGGGAACAGGGCGCGTGCCTGAGACCCCTACCTGAGATCTACAATGCTTGCACCGCTCAAGCTACGACTACTCTGAATTTTCAGCCGCTCATGCAGGCACATCACCCATTGCCATCGCCATTGTAGGTGGACCTGACGGGCGGCACGGCGAGGACGGGCATACTGGATGCTTTTGCTGCTCTTAGCGTGGCGATTCTGACGTTGTCCATGACCGAGACCTTGCTAGTTGCGATGCGTTTCGAATGGGAGAGCATCATTGGCGTGGTGGTTAGTAGGGGAAGGACGAGGGAGTATTGATATAGGCAAGTGAGGCTCTGCTTCCATTTCGTTGTTCCTCCTCTCACACCGACAAGATATTGTACCATCTCATCATGCATTTCTCACGAACACTGCTGGCCGCAGCGCCAGCTGCTCTCGCACTCGTCTCATCAGTCTCTGCCCTTCCCCACGCTACGCGGACAACGACCACGAACACCACCGCGGTCAACACGACGACTTGCAATGGCGAGACGTACGTCTACCAGCAGCTTGCCGGCTACGGTTTCATCCCCAGTAACGACCGTGACAAGTTTGGAGACACCATTGGCGGCATTGGCAGCTCTGTTGCTATTGACCGCTTGAGCTGGATCCAACTGTTTAACGGTAGCTACACCGGCACACTCTGGGCAATCCCGGATCGAGGATGGAACACACAAGGTACGTAGCAGCCGAGGGTTGGAGGAATGAGATCTCAGTTGCTGATGGGAGTGCAGGCACGTTGAACTACCAAAACCGAGTACACAAGTTCAAGATCATCTTCACACCAAACAAGACCGCCTCGGTGTCGAGCCCATCTGGACCTAACCTCAACCTGATTTACCAGGATACCATTCTTTTCACCGACCCGTCAGGCAATCCTACATCCGGTCTCGATGCGAACGTTCGCGGTCCATACCTCACGTTCCCTAACTTCCCATTTGACCTGCCAAGCGTCAACTACACCGGTGACGGCTTCGGCGGTGCAGGAAGTGGCGGCACTCGCGTGGTCATGGACACCGAGGGCCTCTTCCTTGGCATTGACGGCTCGTTCTGGGTATCTGACGAATATGGTAAGCGTAGAAAATTTCGTAATGTCCAAACCATTGCTGACCCTCCAACCAGGTCCATACATCTACCATTTCTCAACCAGCGGCCGCATGATCGGTGCCATCCGACCACCAAATGCTGTTATTCCATTGAGGAATGGCACGGAGAGCTTCTCGGCCGATAGCCCGCCCATCTACAACTCTGCACTGGCTCCAGTCCCTACCGACAACCCGACCGGCCGTGACAACAACCAAGGTCTTGAGGGTCTCACTACCAACCCCCTGCGCACCCGTCTCTACGCTCTGATGCAGTCTGCTCTCAACCAAGAAGGTGGCCTCAAGAACAAGAACAGCCGCTACGCCCGCCTCCTTGAGTACGACATCACCAAGTCTCAACCAACCCTCGTCGGCGAGTACGTCGTTCCAGAGAACCACGTCACTCCATCCGACAGCGGCTCGAAAGTCGCTCACCAGAGTGAGATTCACTACGTCAGTGACACACAGTTCATGATCCTCGCTCGTGACTCAAACGCTGGACGTGGTCAAGCCTCAAGCACGAGCATCTACCGCCAAGTCGACATTTTTGACATCTCAAACGCCACCAACATCTCGCCAGGCTCTGACTGCTACACTTGCTCCATCGCGGACAACAACGGAAACTTGCGCAGCAACGTGACGGCGGCCCAGTACTGCCAATGGCTCGACTACAACGACAACGCCCAACTGAACCGCTTTGGCCTGCACAATGGTGGTGGCCAAGATACTGGTCTCTTGAACGAGAAGTGGGAATCGCTTGCTCTTGTGCCAGTCAACATTCTCACCCTCGGACTGGACGGAGAGTACTTCCTCTTCTCGCTGAGCGACAACGACTTCATCACGCAGAACGGTTACCTCAATGGCGGCAAGTACCAGTACGCGGATAGCAGTGGCTTCAACTTGGATAACCAGGCTTTGGTCTTCCAGGTGAAGCTGCCGGGTGGAGCGCTCCCGCTTCAGTCGTAGAGTGAGAGTGGGTTGCAACTTTGGCATGATGCAATACGAAACCAATATGTAGGATATGTGTAGATCATTTTTACGACTTTATGTTCGATTGATGTTTCCAACTGACACTATATGTGCGGTGATGTCATGCTTATCAATCATCGTCTAGACGTCCCGTCTATGGAGACGACCTTCAGGAGCGCAGTAGGCCTTCGTATCTCAGATGCTAAAGTTCAGACAGTTGACATGATGGGCTCTTCAGTTTCACCCTTGGCGACCCTTGGCATTCTCTCCATTGGAGATATGGGTGTCGGAATTGCAAAGCTACTCTCCGCCCACCAATATCGCGTTATTACGAACGCAGAAGGCAGGAGGTGAGTCTGTCCGCTTGGCAGCGGTTGCGTGCTTATGCTGAGCTGCCACTAGCCAGTCGACGAAAGATCGTGCTCGGAATAATTCAATTGACCTTGTTACGACGGACGTCGATCTTTGCAATCAAGCTGATTATATCCTGTCCATCGTCCCGCCTCGCGATGCCCTCGGAACTGCACGGCGTGTCATCGACGCCTCCTCTAATTCCTCGTTTGCGAAGCGTGGCAATCCACTATACTTCATCGACTTGAACGCAATCAGCCCACGTTCAGCGCGTGAGATAAACGACCTCTTCTCGAAGTCATCGCCCGATGTCCGTTTAATCGACGGTGGAATCATCGGCGGTCCACCAAAGCGTCAAGAAGACGGCAAGTGGACCCGCCCAAGTGTCGTCGTTTCCGGACCTCACCGCTTGGTTGATGCGCAACCTTCCGGCAAACATCTAGCGGAGGTGTTGAGCATGAAGCATGTGAACGACACTATCGGGTCCGCAACAGGCCTGAAGATGTGTTTCGCATCGCTTTCCAAGGGCTTTACAGCGCTGGCCATCGAGTCGTTCACTACAGCACACAACTTGGGCGTGACTGAGCAGCTCAAGGAGCATCTCGAGCAGTTCAATCCCATGGCTGCGAAGACTGCGGAGCGCGGGCTTGTCAGTATGCCGCCGAAGGCATATAGATGGGTCCGGGAAATGGAGGAAATTGCTGAGACTTTTGAAGCGGATGGTGGTTTCGAGGATGACGAGTCCATCTTCCGGCCAATTGCGAGGGTCTACGAATTGGTGGCGAATGGTACGGAGCTTGGAAGGGAGGTTACTGAGGATCGAAAGCGTGGCAAGACAGCAGGTGACGTGGCGACTTTGATGAGCGAAGGGACGCAGCGGCGGAAGCAGAAGACTGAATGAAGCTAGGACAATCATATGGATTCCTTGTCGCCACCGTCATAAGGCTAGCCGTCAATCCTGTCTCGGCGTCTTTGCCCGCCCGGTTTGTCGTCTCAATCGATTGCGTGAAGTCGGTTCTCCGCTCCTTCACTGTGGATCCAGCCCGTCGTCTCGAGGATACCGCCGCCTGTTACCGCTGTGTCAAGAGGCCATTTGCGGATTGGACCGACATCGAGGCTTGTGGTGTAGCCGGCGGCGTACATTTCGATGCCAGCCCATGCGATCATCAATGCATTATCCGTGCATAACTCGATAGGCGGAAACATCAGTTTGATGTGAGAGAACCCTCTGGCGTCGAGGATGCCACGTACGACATGGCGTAGGAATTTGTTCGCTGCTACACCGCCAGATACAACAACTGTATTGATACTGACGTCGCCATCCGGAGACGTTAGGTAGAGCAAAAGGCGAGATGCCAAATGCTCGAATGCTACTCGCTGCACTTCTCGTGCCATCGCTTGGCGTTCGCTCAAGCTGATCTTGTCCGGGTCCCGTGCAGTTCGTGTGAGTTCGCCATGCGGACCGAGTTCAAACTTCATGAATCGCTCGACTGAGCTCTGTAAGCCTGCAAACGAGTACACCATACGTCTAGAGCTCTTTTCTCCGCCTTTGCTTTCCGAGAGTGGCGGAGCCAGGGACCAGCCCCAGTCACTTCGTCGTCGCTCAAGCTCGTCCTGCCGTCGTGTAGGCACTGCGTATATCGAGACAGATGCATCTTTGTATGCAGCCGTGTCCCGCGTGGCTATGTACTCCCCAGCCGATGAACCTGGGGCATCTTCGTACGTTTCATGATCCAGCAGATCGCTAAGATCCTTTACGTCGGTATGCCAAGCGAACCGTTCAAGCGCTGCGCCATATGGCGGTCTCAAAAGATTAGCCGGTAATATAGCACGAGCCGCTTTGTCAAGACAATCGCCCAAGGCAATGTCGTGCGTCTCAGCTAGTATAGCATGGTCGGTCAAGCTCTGCGACTGCATGAGCATCGTGTGGCCACCACTTACAAGAATGCTCAAGTATGGGAACTCGGGTTTCGTTGCTTCCAAGTTCATTGATTTCCTGTCGTAGCCATCACGGTTCGCTTGTGCCACGAGAAGCCGCGGTGTAAGTGCATGAGCCTGCATGTGGTGAACTCCGACGAGAGGAACGTCTTGTGCAAGAGCGATGCCCTTCGCGAGGTCTAGCCCCACGGCAAGATTACTCCGCATACCGGGACCTCTCGTGACGGCGACAAACTCCAAATGCGGTACCTTAGGAATGAGATCGTCGCCCCCAGGATCGTTTGGGACCAGTAGTCTCTGCTGCTCCTGCCAGGATCGAAAGGCCTTTTGTACCAGAGGAGCCAGGTGTGCCCGGTGCGAGTCCAACGCGACAAGGGGATGAATGCCTGAGAATGCATCATTGTTCGCGGTCACCGTCTCGTGGAAAATGACACGGAGCTGCCAGCGCTTGTGACTTGCAATCACATCGCTAGTGGGCAAGTCCAGATCGAGTTCACCGTGGTTATGTTTGCTCACTTCTACCAGCGCTACAGAGCTATCATCGCACGAGGACTCAATGCCAAGGACGAGTTTGGGTGCAAGGCGGCGCGAGTGCAGATGAAGGGTAGCAGACCTCTGCCGGCAGACATGCTTTTCCGGTGTCAGAAAAGGGCGCCATTGCAACTTGCTCGCCATCCAGATCCGGACGGAACGCAGTTCACCCTCGAGCGGAAGCATTTTGAACGTCGGCCAGAGTGAGTGTCAATAATCATGGTCAATCTCCTTTCCAGGTCGAGATGATAGGCTAGAAAGCATTTCCGAAGCAGCAGCGATACCATAGCTACGCTGTAACACAATGAGAAGGCATTGTCTACCTACACTCTGCTCTCGTTCAAAGGCAATTGGCTATCGTGATAACGAAACGAATTGTCGATGTTACTCGGCTTGCTCCGATTTGAGCATAGACACAATGATCGCTAGTTGTCAGTCAGCGGGTTTGGCAAGCCTACGACTCAACTGTCACTGTGAGCAGCCTGAAATGAGGTTAAGGGACATGGAAGGCGTAGAGTGCTAGTTGATCAATGGCTAACTACCCTCAACCGAAAGTCACCGTTACTGCATCTGCACCATTGACCCCGTTCCATAGGCGTGAGCCTGATGCGTCTGCATTCCCAAACCTCGCTCGCTATGCTGTGGAATGTTGTTTACAAACCGTCCGTGCGACGGATTAATAGCCATGGTATCGTGGTGACATCGTTGCATATTGCTCGCTAGAACGCTCAATGTGGTAAGAAGAGATCATTGCCTATTGTCCTTCAAAACCCAGTCGAATTAGGTCCAGCCTTACTTGCGTGAATAGGAAATGCATTACACCTAAGCGAGCCAGTGATGCTGGTGGCGGGTTTAGACGCTTACAGTCCGGCGCCGTGCTTGCATTGGTTTCTGCGCATGGCAGATGAGCAGCCTGAAGCTCGTGCCTTGTTTCTGACACTCGCGCAAGAGGGCTTGGTCCGCCCATATGCTTCGATCGCCCGGTGGAAGCCTGGTCTCATAACAGGTCGAATACCACCAACGGCCAACCTTGGCCACCATTTTCGTGATGCCTTCATCTGTATTTTTGCCTTCGCCTGACTGACTCAGGCTGACATCGCTAAGGAGCTCTGCGAAGCTGACCTCATGCTTGGAACTGCCGCGCTTATCTGTCCGACGTAGATGCGGCTTGACTGATTCGCCCGAGCTCCGACTGCTGTGATCCTGACTGCGTGGGATCTGCCCAGCTGCTGGGATCCCAACGACACAGCGCTGCACATCCTCGAACCCTCTCTTACCGATCAAACGCAAGATCAGATCACTCGAGTTCCGAAGGCTGACATTAAGATCATGCGCCTGCATCCTGGTCTTCAGCCCGCGCACTGCATTCCGCGTTCTGGTGCCCATGTTCATTAGGTCCAGATCGAGAACTGCTACCTCGAGGTGGCCACCAGGTCTCAACACCCGCTTGCACTCATAGATGCAAGCGTGGTATGCGGCATCTGTGGTAGCGACCGGGAAGCGAAACAACACTGCAGAGAAGAAGCCTTTCGGAAACGGGAAAGCAGCCGTGATCGAAGTGTGGGGGTAATGCTTGTGGTTGGACGGTGGCGTCTGATTGATGCCAGGCCACGCCGTGCTGCCGTTAGTCAGAGCTGGGCCAAGACTGAAGACCTTGGCAGCCGGATACGTCAGCGCGACATAGTACGACCAGTCGCTTCCGAGGCCATCCAGAACGAGCACCTTGGGTTCGTCGGCAAGTCGCATCTCATTGTGGGCGGGACTGAATAGCACTCTGCCGAATGAGAGCCATTTGCTCGTCATCAAGGCCGCAAATCGCAAATTAGCTTGAGCAGCCTGCCCCTCACCATTGTCCTCTGCTATACCCAAAAGCTGGGTATCTCGCTTGAAGCGAGCGCTCGGAGTGAGGCTAGACTGCGAGTTGCGAAGGTTTGTCTCAGGCAGTGACGCTGATCTTGAATGCGCAGACGCCCGACTATAGCGCGATGACGATATGCTGGCTCGTGTGCCCGAAACGATAGCTCGTTGTGATTGTGTGGCGATGTTTGGGTTCACCTGTGATAGTCCGGTGTGATGGCGAGCGCTGTATACGCTCGAACGGTGCTCGCTGCTCGCAACAGGGTCAGGCAGAGCATTCGGAGTCGGAGCCGGCGACGGCGACGGCGACGGCTGCCTGAACCGAGCCATCTGTTGCGGTACACTTAGTACAGCAGGCACTGTGTTCGCTCGTGGCGGTGGCGGAAGCGTGGTCGCTGGCGGCTGGCTGTGATACAAAGGTGTCGGCATAGACGGACTATTAGGGTCGTACAGCGTATTCGCATACTGGAACGGCGCGCCAAGCGATAAACCCGTCAAGAGTGGTGTCGGCTGAGGCATCATATCGTCTAAAAGATCATTGTATTCAGCCCAAGGGTCATCCAGTTGAGGTAGTGGCGCAGCAGCAAGCGCGGCCAACCAACTGCCATTGCCAGAGCTACTAGAATAAGACAACTCGGAGTTTTTACGAGGCGCGAACGACATAAACTCCGGCGTCGGGTTGACGTCCATGCTTGTTCGATTCGTGGAGACGCTGGGCGGGTTAGTGTTGACGCTGCTCTTTTGCTCGCCGGTAAGCCCATCGGACTTTGTGCTTGTGCTTGAGACCGGCTGAGAGCCGGAGTCTATAGGACTGGCAAGCTCACGGATCTGGTTGTACAGAGTTCCGGGCGGTTTCACGCTGGGATGGGGCTGATTTCGGACGAATGGCCTGGAGAAGGAGTTGTCCGGCAGCTTTCGATCTCGGTCGCGCTTGGACACGACATTCGGTATTCGCCCAATGGGTGACAGGCGCGGTTGCCGTGGCGAGCCGTCTTGGGGCTTCTCCGGAGTACCGAATGGTGCAGTTGACGTATCGGGAGTGGTCATCAGCTGCGGTGCTGGATGATTGTTCGGCCGGGCGGTTGGGTCGATTCGAAGCTGCGGCAACTGCGACGACCTCGGAATCTCTACCATGTGAGGGGACAGTCGCGGAACTGCTGCCTCAGCACGTAGCAACTCCGGCGACTCGGAATAGTCTTGTCGCACCATGATGCGAGGCGGAGTCGGCTTCGCCCGAAAGTCGGGGTCTTTGCCATATTCGGATTTCGGTGGCGATGGTAGGAGACTAGCATGCCTGAGCTCGTAGGGGACGACTTTGGAAGCCCTCGTATCTTCGTACGCGGAGTCTTCCGGTGAACTCTCGTTCTCGTGCAGAAGTTGTTCGACCTCATACAGATCGACAGTATCGACAGAGTCGAGCATAGCATAATGCGCAACGGCCTGATAGGGGCCTTGTCCTGGCTCAGGTTTTGCCGAATCTTCCACTGGGGCTGCTCTTTGCTTACCTTTTGGACGAGGAGACGCCTGGGCGCGCTGTAAGAAGTTCCACTTGGGGTTCGGCTTTAAGGTTTGGGAAGGCTGGTGCCGCAGCCACAAGCCCTCCCTGCCTTCGAAAGGGTCGCCTCTGCCAGGCAGGGTGCTGTCGGTCTGTGGCCAGGCAGAAATTTCGTTGTCGTAACTGTCAGTGGACTGATGCTTTTGCGTAATGCTTGTGTTGATCGGCGCGAGAGCTTTTCCCGCCAGCCTACTCTCTGACTGCGGCTTTCGATAGGAAGGTCCATGCATTATCCGGCTCGGATAGCGCACTGACACATCATCCTCGCTGCTCTCAGCAGCAGAGTGCGTGCCGATGCTTCGCTTTACAGGCGAGATGCCACGCTCGGAGCCCATGGCGGATGGTAGCAGCTGCGGCTGTGGATAGCTACTTACGGAGGACGAAGTTGAGGAGTTTACCGTACTGATTCGTTTTAAGTCGGGAGTTGACACGGCATTGTCCGATGTAATTCCACTGCCGCGCAAGATGACCGGAGCTTGGCGTTCACGGAGAAACTCTTCGTGCTCTGATTCGACCTGGCTGCTGCCCACGCTGCTCTTGCGCGAAGCCGGGGGTGCAGGCATGCTGCTGTTCGTGCTATCCGTGCTTGGTGAACGCAGAGCAGTATTGCTCCCGGTGCTGCCACTGCGGCTGCGGAAGCCGAACCTACCATAGCCTTCATGCCCAGTGCCGGCGGCAGGACCTTTAGCAGGTGGCCGCTTGGGCTTCTCTGCGACTTTGCTAACATCCGCCTTGAATTTGCGGGAGAAGAAACCGAAGCGAGGCGATTTGCTTGGGCTTGGGGCTACGCTGACCACTGGAGAGTCCTGACGGTGTTGGCGATGCGTGGCCAGAATCTGATGGTCCGGCGTTGGCGCCCGTGTAAATTGTCGGGCAGAGGGTGGAGGCGAGACCGCAGAGTCGATACGCGGTGACGGCTGCCTCGAGGACGCTTTCGAAGCAAAGCCAAAGCGTTGCTTGAACGTTGGTGATGAGATTGATGTTGGCGTCTCTTGTGACGGAGTACGTTTATGGTAAGTGGTGTAGAGCGGTGGCAAGTCGCTTTGAACTACTCGAGTCTGGTACTGCATGTCGCCGAGGCTGGGCGTGCCTTCTCTGCTTGGCCGTAATGGCGGCAAAGGCTTCAAGGTATTAGGCTTCGTCGGTTCCACGTTGAGATGTGCAAGCTCAGGCGGAATGTGTCCAGGTGGTTTTGCACTTCGTGTCGATGACGCAGTCGGTCTTGCATATGAAGGCATCGACGAACCGTCTACACTATCAGTTGATGTCGATGTTCGCCGTGGCAGCTCCTTCCGACGAGGTACCTTTGCCGACACCGTCGGCTTGACAGTCGAGTTCGACGAGGATGTGGATGTCTCTCGGACAGGCGGCAGGCCGAGACGTGATGTGCCATTTCTTACAGTCGAATCGTCTGCTTGAAGAGGCTTCCTTTGGTCAGGCGTCTTCCGCGAGGCTCGAGAATCTCCTTTACTCAAGGCTGTTATGGCCGGTGAGTAAGACGAGACTGAGCTCGGAGTCGGTACGTGACTGAACGGTGAAGTGGTGTATCTTGTTGAAGGCGTCGCCGAAGGTACATAACGTGGACCTGTCGGCGAAGCCATGTTGCGGGTCACTGACGGTCGTCGACTGATCTCGTATTCTGACTCAGGGTTTGGCGTGTATCGTACGCTGGTCGAAGCATGAAGGGTGGTAGATGGCAGCGAAATACCCAATACCGTGTGGTCGAAAGTCCCACTGTGTCGCTCCTCCCGAGTGTATGCAGACGCTCTGTCTAACTCTCCTGGCTCAATGTGTGCCTTCCTCTGGAGTGTGTAGTAGGAAGGCTTCTTCCGCAAAACATTAGATCTAGGGCTGTCGAATGTGGAGGCGGACGATCCAGATACCAGAGAAGGTGTACGTATGACTGGCGATGTGTAGCGATTTGTCGAAACTGTGGTCATCAGAGGCCGAAAGTGTTCGGATGGTATTAGCATGGATGTCCTTTCCGGCGCGGAGGGCCCATTAGCGTTGTTAGTCGCCGTTGGTGTCCTTGACGATGCGCTCCTTGCACTATGCTCGGCCTTATCCGAGCTTCTCGCCTTCTTCGCCAGCCGTGATACATGCTGCGCTGCATTGCTCTTATACTCTGGCCCACCAGAGCCGCTCGGGTTGCGAGTTAATTGTTCGCGTGACACCTCGGAAGGATACTGAGTCTGTTGGGTTATGTGTCCAGAGTGCGATTTGTGCGGTCTTGACATTGCAATCTGCGTTCGCGATCTGCCTTGGGCAATAGAGAACGAAGTCGAGTACCTGGGAAGACCAACATCAGGCTCATTAGGTCATTTATGATTCGTATCCCGTGTGCGCATATAAGCTGAAGATGTAAGCTGAACGTCTATAGTGACAGGCTCGTCAGCGACCAGCGCCCAACGAAGAGAGTAGAAGATAAGCTTTGATGCGACAACACAGTACGAGGTTGAGGCGAGAAAATAGAATAGGCACCTTTGTACACCGAAGCGTATAGTGGCCAGAGAGTTCGGTCGCGTGCTGCGTTGGCGTCCTCGGAATCCCAAAGCCGCTACTGCATACAGTTTGCACCGCCACCCACGTCGGAAGTACCGACATGCGGCAAGCTGCACTTGCGCAAGTTCTGCCACAATCCAACGGCCGATGAATACGTGTTCGATGCACACTGGACACGGCGGACCTGTCTTGTGCAAGTAATCAAGATGACTTGCTGCTCTTGTGCCGATCTTCGTGTGGAGCCTCGGGCCTCGCGGGCAGCGTCGCGGCTCGCTTTAGGGTACCGACACGAAGCAGAGAAGATTTCGAGTTAGCCTGTCGCCTCTGCCGAGCAACACGTCGTGTATAGTTAGGTGTTTGATCCCTTGGTGAGGTTTGTCGAAAGTGATGTCAAAGAAACAGTAGAGGTAGAAGGTCGACCAGACAAGCTCACAAGCCCACCATAAGCCGTTAATACTTGCAGTCTTGCCCAGGAAGGATCACGAGCGCAGCTCAGCGCATCGGGAGCGTGCATCCGCAGACATGGGCAGCTAGGCGCCGCGCGCGAGGAAGAAAGTTGGCCTGCATAGTTGTCATCGCGCGATCCTGACAATAGGCATTTCTGCTGCAATGTTGAGCCATTCACGAGGAGAGAGAGAAGGAGGGGCTGCCGATTGGCGAGACTGTGCAGGACAAGCTGCATGCAACGTGAGCATGGAGTGCCGGTGGGCCTATGCGTCCCCGGTCATTTCGGTTTCCTGAGCTCATCGCGTCGGCCACAGCTGGATAACCTCACCAGGTTTCGAAGAAGGCTGCCTGAAAGATGCTTAGATGCGCGGCTGAGTGCGTAGACATAGTCGTTGAGGGCCTTTGCTGTGGTGAAGTCAAGATGGTCTACTTTCCACGCGTTTGCGGACCTCCGCCCGATGAAAGACCGCATCACTCTCAACCACTCGTGCTGTCCTTTGGCAGACTCTCTGTCTCAGGCTCCACTGTAACTGCCATGCGGTCCGCCGGCGGCTCGTGGCAGCAGTCTCGAGTCTCAATCCATCTGTCAGCGGAGACTCGCAATGCCCTCGGCGCGTCTACGCGTGGCTATTGGACAGCTCCCTCATCTTCGTAAGATACTTCATTACCGTTTGTGGCGGCACAATCTAACAATGTTTACATTTTGGGATGGCATATCGTTCCGACCAACGTCATTCAAGGTGAGGTCAATCGTGAAATCATCAATGGACGTGTACCTGCAATGACGGCAGCAGCAGCGTACGGTCGCGTTCTCGGACGATACACTGTATTCGACAACGCGCATGGGACATGTGATCCCCCAATGACGGCACACCATCCCAATTTAAGTGATCCGTCGTTGTGACAGTCGGAGACATTCTGCCACGCCTCTTCGCTCTCGTGGACCTTATCCGCCCTATACTACCACCATGACGGATCCAAGATGCCATCCCGAGTGTGGGAGCCTGCCTAAGCGCCCGAGGATTGCATCCTGGTTGACACACCCTCGATGAGCTCTGACTGGTTCGCGCTGACGGAGGCTAAACGCTGGCGTACATGAGCCCTCGATCACATGACGTGATGGAGGATGGGCTCGAGATCTGACTCGTGGCCGGCTGATTTGTGCCGAGTTCTACCGATGGTAACAGTCTTACCAACATGGGCACCACCCAACCGGGTCCTCCGCATTTTGGTAGACGGCGTGGTGTGGAGGAGTCGCCCGCTGCTGCCGTACGACGCTCGATGCGTGCACAGTATGTGGAGACCTCGAGAAGGCGAGGTGCTTCTCCACCGTAGCACCCTCGGCAAGCATGACTGTCATGGGTGGACGTGAGGGTACAAGCTACAAGGTGGCGTCCGTTCATTACCGTCATGTGGAAATATGTCCAGGGCGAATGTGCCTCGTTGACAAGTCCAAGCCACCGGAGACCGTACCAGGACGTTGGCCCCGCCCGGCCGTTCTCCATTCTCGGACCGCTATGTCAATTTGCGGGCCGCATCCACTGTTTGTTCAAGTAGCACGCTATCGGAGCGTTGCTAGTGTCAAAGTCTGTCCTCACCTGGGTCGAGAGCGGCACGAACCTTACGGCCTCGAAATCCCCAGTCGTTTCAGCTAGCGACACGAGTGTCTGTGGCGTACACCGAAGTGTTCATTGCTCCGTTCATTGACTTGCGCAACAACTGAGTTCGAAAGTAGTCTTCTCGGTACGTGCAATATCATAGAAGATCACAATATCCACCGGAGATGAAAGGGTTTGGTGGGTGTCTTAGGTAAAACGAACGATCTGTGACTGCTCGTCGTGCTTGAAGCTTGTGGTATTGCCGATCCTGTCGAACGGCAGTGCACACATTATAGCCAGTGTAAGCTCATGACATCGATCTGAACAGTGTCGCGCCGAATGTGACTAGACTGATTAGGCAGGCACGAATACAAAAAGCGGCTATACCCGCGTCAAAGCTTCGGTTTCGCAAGATGCTGCCATCGCAACAAGCATCTGCTTCGAGAAGGAGATACTACAAGGTCTCAAATTGTGAATTGCTCCTCACAGAACCGTCGCTCTAGTCATTGCTTGCTGGGCTATCCATATTGAGCAGTAGAAGACTTCGCTCGATATCGTTCGAATTTGCCGAACGAGTAGTGTATTAGCCAGTAGTCTCAGCATCAGACGTGAACCACAGATACCGTTTCGACCTGCTCGTGTAGTCTCACAAGTCAGCACAAGCATGTGAAGCAAGGTAACAGTCGCAACGTTCAATGCTCAAGGTTACTGAACACGATGGACCCTTTGACGCCCTCGCAATGGAGCTGCTTCCGGACTTCTACCGAAGGAGTGAGACTTCGTTACCATCGCAAATCGTAGTGTTGTCCGCGCACAGGTCACCGTCATGTCGACAGCCAGCGACGTAGTTCTACCGCGAGTCGCTATTACTTATTGCACTCAATGTCGATGGATGCTAAGGGCTGGATACTTTGCCCAAGAGCTGCTCTCCACATTTGGTACCAGCATCGGCGAGATCGCGTTGATTCCGGCCACGGGTGGCATCTTCACAGTATACCTCACACACCAGTCTGAGGCCGCAAGTGAAGTACAGCAGATACTGCTGTGGGATCGGAAGGCTGAGGGTGGCTTCCCGGAGACGAAGATACTGAAACAGAGGCTAAGAAATCATATTGAGCCTGATAAGAAGCTCGGACATTCGGACACGCCGTCCTCGAAGGCTGGCGCAAAGGTGAATGGCGACGGGCAGAGTAGTGTGGACAGTCAACCCGATGGCAGCATGAACGTGTCGAAGATGGCGTCGCATGGAGACCGTGTTGCAGCGAAGCTGGCCGGAGAAGTTGCGCCCCAGCTTGCATCGCAAGAAACCTCGAATGCGCAATGCGAGGATTGCAAGTGACACGACCTTAGAAATCACAATACTGTTTGACAGCGCCGGCTAATCAGGAAGAAAGTCGCACAACAGGTGTATTTGGAGGAGGAACAGTGAAGCTCAATGGGGACTTTCCTAACATGTCATACCTAGCATGTCGAGCACCATGACGCTGAACCGTACCGCGATGTTGCGAGTCCCAATTCCTGTTCTGCTGCGCCCGCACTACGTGGCTACTTCTGCCCGCCAGTGATCAAGCTCAAATACACGCCCCACCCCAAGCCAACCAGGCTGCCCACGAGCGTCCTGTACTCGAAGGGCACGAGCGTAAACTGCACGACACTGACCGCGGGCCACAGTTTCTGTCCCGCGAAAATCATGGGCCAGAATTGCTCGTGGACATCCTGCTGGATCCGCGCCAGACTATAGCCGCGGAGCAGCGCGATGCCGGCGATGAAGAGGAGGGTATTCACCGCGGCGCCGATGGTCTGGTCGAGGGAGAACTTGATGGCGGTGTTCTTTACATTGAGCTTTTTGCTCGCCTTTTGCGGGGTGAGTGGTACCGTGGAGGCGGTCATGGCGCCATCGGTTGTGCGCTTCTCGAGCGAGCCATTGCCCTTACCGTCGACGCCCGAGCTTTGGCCGCTGACGGCGTCATCGACCAGCTTCTCTTTCTCCGGTGGGGAGAGCTTCTCCGTGTAGCCTGGGAATTGCGCTTCGAGCCAGCTTTGCCAGATGTAGTTGGGTGGGCAGGAGATGAGGGTGAAGAGGATGAAGTTGATGAAGTCGGCGCGGTTGAAGGTGGTGAAGAGGGATTGCTGTGCGTTTGCGTCAGTGCAGACCTGATGTGAGGTGTCATGATTCAGCCCACCTCGCCTCTATAGGCAGTGATGCTCTGGGCTAGGATATTGGAAATACCGCTCAGAATAGCTGCCTGAATCGTCGCCCGGACTATAGGTGCGTCCATTGTTGGGAATAGGTGGAGGACTGATATAGGCTTAGGGACGGTGGTAGACTATGCGGCTGTTCGTTTGCGCTTGCTACTGCGATGCTGCTATCGGGGTCGTTGGCGACATCTCAACAGATGTCTCTTGAGTGCGACAAGCAATAGCTACAGTCCTCACCCTGTTTACCCACTACCCTTTGCGGAAGGTGTGGCTGATGACGTCGACCTCGCAGCGACTCCTTCATGGCATCCCTTTCCCTCTTGCTCGCCCGAAGGCCATCGCCAAACACCTTCATACGTAGAGATGGATACGGTCGCACGCGCAAGCACTGCACCATCCACACGCGTGCAGATGGCGTACCTCGTCGTTACCGTCAGAGTTTATGCGCGATGGCCGTCTCCCAAGCGTGACGTAGGCGGGGGCACATAAGAGTAAACATTTGCCCCTCCAAACGCTCCATGAAGCCGTGGAGGTGGACATCAACTGCCGAAGCTCCGTGTTAACAGTCATTTCTGGACAGTAGCCATAGCCCATATCATTCACTGACGCTGACATCGCACATCCGGCATACCACTCACTCCACGATGGCATTTGAGACAACCGCAACCATCGCCAGCTTCGGCGGCAAGCTGCTCAAGCTCGCTCACAATGTATGCCACGCCGGCTCGAGGGAAGTACCTATGGCTGACGGACGGGTTACCAGGCCAAGTCCACCTCGTGTCAGATGAAGTTGAACCTCTACCTCCCGCCCTCAGCGTCAGCCTCAAAGCCAGCACCCGTTCTCTTTTACCTCGCTGGCCTAACCTGCACCGGCGACAACGGTGCAGAGAAAGGCTTCTTCCAGCACAAGGCCAGCCAACACGGCATCGCAATCGTCTACCCGGACACCTCCCCTCGAGGCCTGGGAATCCAGGGCGAAGACGAGTCGTACGACTTCGGCAGCGGCGCCGGCTTCTACGTCGACGCGACCAAGGACCCGTGGAAGCATGGCTACCGAATGTACACCTACATCACCGAAGAGCTACCGCACGCCCTCTTCGAGCACTTCAAGGAGCTGGACGGCAAGCGCGTGAGCATCACGGGGCACAGCATGGGCGGCCACGGCGCCCTGACGCTGTTCCTCAAGAACCCCGGCAAGTACAAGTCCGTCTCCGCCTTCGCGCCCATTACGAACCCGACAAAATGTCCGTGGGGAGAGAAGGCGTTCATGGGCTACTTCGGCGAGGATCAGAAGCAGAAGTGGGCGGAACACGATGCGACGGAGCTCTTGCCCAAATTCAAGGGCGACACGGATATCTTGATCGATGTTGGAACGGGCGACAACTTCTACAAGCAAGGCCAGCTGCTGCCCGAGAACTTTGAGAAGGCGGCGAAGGACTCGGGCAAGAAAGTGAATGTGCGGTACCAGGACGGCTACGATCACAGCTACTACTTCATTTCGACGTTTGCAGGCGACCATGTGGATCATGCGGCGAAGTATTTGTTGGCACAGTAAGTATATTTCGCCGCCCTGAATAGGCTTTCGTGAAATGGCAAATATGCTGGTACTGATGAGGCTAGGAAGCGGTAGGGACGCAGCGACCGTGCGGCAAAAGCTATAGACTTTCTACCTTCAGTACACAAGCTTAAGCAATACGTGCATCATGCGTAGCGCTTCGAGGTGTATAGCTCCTCTCCCGACTCAGACCTCGAGCCCATACCGTCTGCCCACCATCTTAACATTCCTACTCTCACCTAGGGAATCCTTGGTCAACCCGCTATATGCAGGGTACATCGATTTGGTAGTTCCGCCGCAGTGGGATTGCACATGGAAGCAGCTGGGCATTCACTAGATAATTGCTCATTGCAGTACGGCCATGGCAAGAAAAGCACCAGGAGCGTTTGATATGGTTTTCATCACCGCTGAGCTACGGTACTCACAAGCTGTAATCCTCGCATGAGCCACACTTGACGCTCTAAGCACAATACTCATATCGCCACGCCTCAGCGCCTCAAATCGCAGCCCATTGCGCGCACTCATGAGTAACAAGAAGCTCGGGAAGGCACGCAGCTCATCAACACGACCGCGCAATAACAAGCATCAATAACCTTAGAGCCCACACAATAGTGGCTAACATGCACAAAAGGCCTCTCCATGATGCTCACAACCAGCCCACGCTACGTTATGTGGACGAGGTCGCACCAAACTCCACCGCCGGACAATATGGACAAGATGGCCCACCACGCATCCCCACTCGCCCTCCTGTCTATAGTTTCGTTGCTGCTGTGTGCCGGCAGGTAGAAGTACATGGCCTGTGGTAAGGTGCCGAAAAGGAAAGAAATACGCTCTTTAGTCTCTCTCGTGAGAGATCTGCCGTTGTCGCGTCCATGACCGCGTTTGCATCCGTCTTCTCTTCCAAACGGGCTTGCGTTTCGGGACTCGTCCGTTGCGTCGTCGATATTATGTTGCTGTTATCGTAGTGTACCTCGCGTGCTGCGTCGCGAGAAGGGGTATCATCGCACTGATTGGTTGGGTACATGCCGTGTTTCGCTCCAGCAACCGACACGTCCCTGACTCACTCGACCTTGACCCCGGCAGAAGCCGGGCTGGCACTATCAACAGCATCCGCCCGCTTCTCCGTCGACTCCTCCACAACACACTGCTCCCCAAGCTTCCTCTCCATCTCCTCCAGCATCCTCCGCAACCGCAAGTTCTCCGCAGCCTCCTCCTGCTGCTTCTTCTGCATGTTTCGAATGTACACATTAGCAGACTCGACGGTGGCAGCCTTGCTGCTGTTACTCTTCGCCGTGGCGTCTTCCTTGCTCTCCTTACTGTCGCCGTCCGCGCCTGGGCCGGTCTCGGGGCTCTCGTCACCATTACCGCAGCCTTTCGCTTTGCCCATTAGGTACTCGCGTGGGAGTAGAGATTGCATCTCCTTCAGTGCTTCGTTGATGCGGTTCCGCCGGCCTTGTTCGGCAACCTTGTGCGACGTCCGTTTTGAGGTCAGACCGGTGGAAAGAGAATCCGGGTATGTAACGCCAGGTAGATGATTGCCCTCGAGCAGATTCTGATAATTAGACTTTGAGGCCAGTAGAAGAGCGTGGGTACTTGAGTTTAGAGACGCTGCCGAGTCATCAGCCACGATGCCAGATCCGTTAAAGCGATATTGCAGTGACCTACAGCCTTCAGGGAGCAGTGGCTTTATGCTTGGACTGATCTTTGGACGTAGCGCTGGTGAAGTCAGAGCGGAGCCGCCGGCTCCTACGCTGGACCGCTTCTTCGCGGGGCCTTTGAAGGCGGACTTCTTGTCCTTTAGGAGAGCGCCCGGAGTGCTGGCAGAGACAGGCGACGCAACCACAACTGGGCTGGGTAGTGCCGAGGGCGGGCGAGCTGAAGACGGAGTGCTTAGTGCATCCAGCTTTGGTGTTTTGCGAGCAGACATACGTGGAGTCGGCTGCGCTGAGCCCGCTGGTGGTATTTGTGTGTTGATTTGCGAAAGCGCGGGCCGTTGCGAAGCCTGCTGGGAAGCTGCTTCTGGCAGCTGTAGTTCATCCAACACTATAGGTTCGCTCGCGCCCCGGTCGTGATGGGGTGCTTCGTGTAACTGTTGCTGGACACCGTTCCTTTGTAGCAGAGACTTCGGTGTGGCGGCCGCTCCGACTCCCGCACCGTTTATCCGATGCTGCTGCTGCTGCTGTGCCATTACTACTGGCGAATGATGCATCGCGGAGCCTGGTCTTGGTGGCGGACCCATCAACGCCTCGCTAAGTGGTTCAGGGCTGATGCTGCCATCGTCCGAACTGGCCTGGAAAGCCGCTGGTATGTGCAAGCCCGCAGATCCAGGCTGGAACTTGGCCGACTTCGGCGCCTCCACAATTAGACTCTCCATCTCTTTAGGAGGCACAAGCGCGGAAAGCATAGTCCCAGACTTGCGTTTCTGCGGCTTCTGAATCGGACTCTGCGTTACTCTGCCATTCATACCAGCGCTTCGTGGGGTTGCCACCTTCCTTCTCGGCTTCCTGGACTGAGCGGTCGCCGACTCCGGCAACGCGATACCAGCATCGCCCATGTCCACATCCAAGTTTGGGTCTGTCGGTGAGGTTGCATTAGAGCTAGGTGCCGTGCTTGGGTTGGTGTAGTATCCTTGCAGATGTTGCTGGGTCTGCTGGTGCGCCTTGGCTGCGTTTTGAGCATGGAGCATAGGCGAAGTAAGAGGCGAGAAGTACGCGCCAGGGATTGTGAATTCCGGCTGCACGTTATACTGCGGGGTGCCTGCGGGCGATACCATAGGCGTGAACGCAATCGCGTCGTCCTTCCGGATCTGGTAGCGCTGCTCCAGCATGGCACGCTGCTGTGCATCTAGCTGTTGGTTCTGCTGCATGAAGCGGCCAGCTTCTCCATGCATGTTGTAGCTGTTGGGCGTGGGCGGGATGTGGTCGGTTGGAAAAGCCTGCTGGTGCTGGAACTGGAACGGATGTGTTGTGGGATGTTGTTGATATCGCATGCTCGCCTGATACATTGCATCCGTCGCAAAAGGCACGCTTGTAGGCACCTGGGTGGTAGGGAGAGACATGAACTGTTGCGGATGATGCTCCATACCCTGATGCACGCCAAAGTGATCGTGTCCGCCAAAGTCTTGTGTTGCAGTACCGGGAGGCTGAGCCACTGGACTAATCCCAGCAAAGGGCGTGCCTGAGTGTGACAGCCTCTCGGCCTGCTGCATCTGCTCCATCAAGTGCGTGGCATTGCCATTCTGAAGGGTGTTCAGGTCCATGTCCCCGAAGTCCAAGAGGTTGGCAAAGTCTTCCAGATCCCCGTTCGACATTTGCGCCATGGCGTCAAGCTGCTGCTCTGTCTGCGGCCATGGCTGATGGGCGGCGGTGTTCATCCCAGCGGCCCACTCAGAGGACCGCGCGAGATGACGAAGCTGCCTGTATGCGACAATATCCCGTCTCTGTTACAATGGTGACTCGCCGTTCGATGTATGACTCGCGAACAGCCTTTAGGCTCCCGCGCGCCGCATCGGGAGCAATGAAGTTTCGTTCCTGTCGTTGGCGTAGGCCTCGGGCTCGGCTAACGGTCCGGCCGAATTGAGCAGGTTGCGACACGGGCAGTGAAGCTGACTCAGTCACTGAGCAAGATCCGCTGTCGGTCGTGATATGAGGTGTGGTATGGGGTGAATTGGCTCCGGTAGGTAGCGACAGATGAAGAGTGAAGGTGAGGTCGGATTGGAGCAATGAACGCAGAGCGGGACCCAAAAGCCTCGCCTTCGCTCGTGTGCGGCAGATTTTCTGGGATTACCCACTTTGCGCGCTAAACGGCTAGCAAGGCTAATGCTAATGCTAATAACCCTCCGAACCGTTGGAACAATATTCGCGCTCTCCAATGCGATGGGTGGAGCAGGCGAGAGGGCATGGAATTCTCTGCTTGCGCAAGGGAACAATGGTCGCTGCAGAGAAAGCGGGAAGAGTGTGGGAGGGCTGACATTAGCCTCTAGCGCGGTACCAATCCGGCAGGAGGGTGGACAAGGGCCCCCACGAATTACGTTCTGTTCGGTCGGAGTTTGTGCGAGGATGGCAATGTGAAGTCGCTCCCTCATCAGCGATGCAGCAGCGCTACGGTCGCAACGCTGGGTAAGAGCGGGCGAGCTGCGCCATCACGACTTTCCGGCCGCGGGCCATGGCGTCTTCTCTATGCCCTGCCGACGTCGACCCGGGCGAATAACGCGACCCGTGGCGTCAAAGTTCCCCGGTCTCGTCAGCTTTTGCGGGCAAGTGCGAACGGCATGTCAACTGCTTGCGTGCGCATCGGCGTGGAGTAAGGGCGTCAATGCTGAGATGCTGCATACAACAAAGCAAGCTCCGCGCCCACCATCCTGGCACCGGACATTGCACACGCTGCAAAAGCGCATCATGGTGCCTGCAGCTTTGACATCCTTGCCGTAGGTGACCCGGCGATGTGGATGTGGTGGAGCTCGTTCACGTGATGGAGCCTATCGCGCTTTCTCACCACCTGAGCGGATGATAATGTCGCTCAGGGTCAAGGGGACGGACAGCAAGGTGGTCACGCCTTGGGGCCGTCCGATGCCATGGCACAGGTGTCTCTCTGCCTTTGAAAGTACTGGTTGGCAGCATCATACGCGCTACTGAGGCTAGCCGCGCCAGCCGCTCGCCGATCGTCGGAAGCATCGAGCAGTCCGTCGCGCAGCTGTAAGTCATGTTGCCTTCTGGTGGTGAGACATGGTGAGAAGAAGGCGCAAGTCATCTTCCATTGGACTTCATTACAGCAGCGTGAATGCCGCCAGTCTCACTGTACCGAAGATACTGTATTGGTACAACCCTCTCCCGCTCGGCCGTGCTTGTCTCGAAGCACAACATTTTCGCAGATGCGCAGAATGTTGGGCGATGTGGCCATGTTCAGCAGCTCGGGCCTCTTCGAGTGACTCCCAGGATGTACCTGAGCAGCCACCCCTAGTTACGTCCAAATTGCAAAGTGTGGGGAAGCAGTTCGCGCAAGATATACACCTCCCATAACGCCGCTGCTATAAACATCGAACAGGCAAGCTAAGACCGCCTTGTACGGCTTTACATCATGGTGCAGCAGCCGCCCTGGGGTTGTGGCGCATATGGGTCATCGCGCTTGTCAACCTGCACGGTGGTTAGTTGATGGAGTAGTTGCAAATAACCGCGAAACATACAGTGCCCCATCGACTTGGTACCATGAAGTCCTTTGGCTCTTTATCTGTAAACGCGATCAAGCTGTGAAATACTGGGTCAGCAATGTTCCTTCACGAACACTGAAACCGAGGCATGGAGCCACTACAGCGTTACGAGTGGTTGCTCGGGAGTGACCTACTCCGCAGCAGCCTCCGAGACTGGTATCCTTCTCCGGTTCAGGTCTTCTTGCAGTCGTTGATTGAGCTCAGTAAGCCGCCTAAGCTTAAGCTCTGCCATCGACTGTTTCTTGCTCTTGCCGTTATCGTTCATGCGGACTTCATAAGGTGCGGCCATCATGCTTCTTCCTGTGCTTGCAGTTGTCGTGGACACCCTGCGAGGTTCTGGCGAAGGTGCAAGAGTAATATGTATACGGGGGGTCTCGGGTCGTTGCGTAGTCACGTTGAAGAATGCCGACGAGTAATCAATCGAAAACGCGATCGCTTAGATGCGCTGGCGCTGGCACAGAAGGTTGGTGTTCTCGTGTGAAAGACAGATGATGTGTGATATGCGCTGCCGTGTTCGCGTGGGACGGTGGGCTTCATTTCGAATTAGTACTTCGCGCATGGTCAAGCGAGCTGAAATGGACTGTCATGGGTGGAGTGTGGTTCGTGCGACATGCCTTTGCGAATCTTGGCCCCGCGCCTCAGATCATGTACAGGAGCAAAGTATGATAAGGCCTTCTACAAACGGAGCTGAGGACTGGTCGTTATGCTGTTGTAAGGAGCAGCCGTGCGGAGCGTCTCCACGTGAAGAAGGCGTCGGTGGCGGCGTCAGGGGCGGATCGAGAGCTCTTCACCACGCTGTTGGCACGAGATGTGGATCACTGTACGTTGGACAGGATCGCGGGTGTGGGAGATGGAGTGTGAAACATTGACTATGGGCGCGCTGCCTCCAGTGGATCGACCTCGTCTCGCCCCATCTCCCATCTACGGCTAGTTCCGTCGCCGTTGGGCAGCGTCTTGGCGACATTCACTTTCGCAAGACGGCACATCCCGTCTTTCACGAATGCCGCTCACTCTACGGACACAGTGACTGATGACGGTAACTGAGGCCTCCTGCGACGTTAGAGTACTCTGACGGGTTACAGTTTACATTACTATATATGTGGATAAGTCGTTGCGCTCTCATGTGTGCTGAACGGTGACTCAGAAACACGACTGTGACTGAAGTCGCGACCGCCAAGCTCGCCCGCACACAATATCTGCCGAGCTCCGACGCTGCAGAAACAGCCTGCTAGCATCATCAGCTTCACTTCCTCAACGCTGGCGAGTGTATCAATACGCGACTACTGCCATCGCCATATCTTGCTCGCTTGATCGCCACGTCAACGCTCGTTCAGAGGAGGCTGCCCATCATGCCTCCTCCACACATGCAGATACGTCCAGAAAACGTGCATAAACGGGCTCAGGAACTCATCGGAGTCGGCCAGCAGCAGGCTGCCCTCTCCCTTCTTCACGAACATGTGACCTCCAAGAGGACCCGGAACAGCACCATCGCGGCCTTGGAGCCGGTGATGCTGCTGTTTGTAGAGCTTTGTGTGGATCTCAAGAAAGGAAAGTCTGCCAAGGATGGCTTGTACAACTACAAGAACACAAGCCAGAACACAAATGTCGCCACCATCGAACTTGTCTTCAGGAGGTTCATCGAGCTTGCGGAGCAGAAAGTGAAGGAGGCTCAGAAGAAAGCGGATGAGGTGTCCGGCAAGGATGAATCAAAGGAAGGCGGTGATGTCGATGCGTCACTGGCCAATGTTGGAGACTTGGAGGCCATGGAAACGCCCGAGTCTATTCTGCTTTCTACCGTGTCCGGCGAGCAGTCAAAGGACAGGACTGATCGCGCGATTGTTACGCCATGGCTCAAGTTCTTGTGGGAGGCGTACCGGACCGTTCTCGATGTCTTCAAAAACAATGCTCGCTTAGAGGTCATGTATCAGACCACGGCTCATCAAGCTTTCGACTTCTGCAAGCGGTACACGCGTAAGACGGAGTTCAGGCGACTTTGTGAGCTTCTTCGTAACCACTTGCAGAACGCTGCCAAGTACTCGCAACAGGTACATGCCATCAACCTCAGCGACCCAGAGACTCTGCAGCGCCACCTGGACACTCGCTTCGAGCAGCTCAATGTGGCTGTTGAGCTTGAGCTGTGGCAAGAGGCGTTCAAGAGTGTCGAAGATATTCACACTTTGCTCAGCTTGTCGAAAAGGCAACCAAAGAACTCGATGATGGCGACGTACTTTGAGCGTCTAACGCGGATCTTCCTGGTCAGCGAGAACTACTTGTTCCATGCGGCAGCTTGGAGTCGCTACTACAATTTGCTCAACATGTCTGCACGTGCTGTGGCGGCTGGTGCACCCAAGAAGGACAACCCGAGCAACGTTGCGGATGCGGACCTGTCCAAGGCAGCTACATTTGTCCTGCTCTCCGCACTGTCGATCCCGGTTATAAGCACGTCACGCTCTCGCGGCGCGCTTATCGACGTGGACACTGCCCGCAACACCAAGAATGCACGCCTTACCCACCTACTCGGGATGAACGTCGCGCCAAGTCGTGCAAGCTTGTTCAAAGACGTCCTCAACAGGGACATTCTGCACCGTGCGCGTCCTGAGATCCGCGATTTATACAATATCCTGGAAACCGACTTCCATCCCAAGTCGATCTGCGAGAAGGTGTCTCCTGTGCTATCTCAGATTGGCGCCGACGAGGAGCTGCAGAAGTACATTGTGCCCCTCCAGCAGGTCATCTTGACACGTCTTTTCCAGCAGTTGTCCCAGGTCTACACCGACGTCAAGTTGGAAGACGTGTTAGCCCTTGCGCAGTTTCCGGACCCATTCCAGGTCACCGCTGCAACTATCGAGAAGTTCATCATGAACGGCTGCAAAAAAGGCGATTTGTCTATCCGTATCGATCATTCGACCGGCATCCTCACTTTTGACTCTGACGTCTTCTCTTCGTCCAAGGCGGTCCACTCTGGATCCGCAGCTGGTTCGGCCGAAACTGAAGTCGGCTCGGTGCAGCGCTTGCAGAGCACTCCATCGGAGATTGTTCGGTCCCAGCTGTCCCGCTTGTCCAAGGCCTTGTATCTGGCCGTACAGTACGTGGACCCATCCTTCAACGAGGACCGCTACAAGGCCAAGCTCGCAGCTCTGAAGCGGGCGGAAGCTGGTGCAGAACAGGAGCACCAGGACTTACTAGCACGACGTGAGGTCATCCAGAAGAAGAAGGAGTCAGCTGCCACGGCCCAAGCTGCTCGTCTGCGTGAAGAAGAGCAGCGCAAGAAGGTTCGGCAGCAGGAATTGCTAGCTGCCGAGAGCGAGCGTTTGGCTCAGGAAGCCAAGGACCGCGATGAGCGCAGGGTTCAAGCCGAGCGGAAGCGTGTACAGCGTGAAGAGACAGAGAAACAGCTCAATGAGTTGAAGAAGGGCGTCAAGGGCGTTGATGTGTCCAACATCGATATCGATGACTTGGACACCAACCGCATTCGGATGCTGAAACTGCAGGCTTTGGAGCGCGAGAAGAACGAGCTCAATGATAAGCTTCGAGTCACTGGCAAGCGTATCGACCATCTGGAGCGCGCCTACCGTCGCGAGGAGATCAAGCATTTGGCGGAAGACTACGCTGCGCAGAGGGACCAGGACCTCAAAGCGTACGAGCTGAGCAAAGAAGAAACGCTACGGGAAGCGGAGCAGAAGCACAAAGAAGATGTTTCGCTTAAGCACCGCCTTAGTAGGCTCGTCACGCCGTATGAAAAGTTTAAACGGGACATCACTGAACAGCGCCATGCCGAGTTCGAGAAGCGGAACAGAGAAGCCCAGAAGGAGCTCAACAGGAAGATGGATCAGCGTAGGCAGGAGATCCGCGCGCAGAAGGCCGCGGAGAAGCGTCGTCTCGAAGAAGAGGAGCGCCAGCGGCGCGAGGAAGAAGAAAGACAGGCTAGAGAGGAGGAAGAGGCGGAGCGTGCTGCGGAGGAGAAGCGGCGCAAGGATGCTGAGGCAAAGGCCGAGGCTGAGCAACGCAGGGCCGAGCGTGCCGAAGCAGCAAGGAAGCAGATGGAGCGCGAGGAGGAGGCGGAGAGGAGACGGTTGGAGCGGAAGCAGGGTGGCGCTGCTGCTGCTGCTCCGTCCAGAGGCTTCGATCGTGCGTCAGAGCGAGAGAAGCCGTCATTCGACAGTGCCCGGAGGGCTGCACCAACCGAGGAGCAGCCCACCGAAGCTCGTGGTGGCCCACCGAGACTGGCACTCGCAGGCAACAAGCCAAGCTGGCGTGAGCGCGAGGCTATGAAAGCTCGTGGCGAGTTGCCACCGGACGTTTCTAGTCCACCGGCTGCACCACCGGTTGATGAACGCGTGACGACGGAAGAGACAGCCTTGCCGAAGAAGACGGGCTACGTTCCACCCCACCTCCGCGGCAAAGCGCCAGCTGCTGACGCGACGCCGCCACCGCCGGCTGAGGCCGCGAGAGATACATCTGATAGATGGGCTCCGAGGTCACGACAGGGTGCGGATGGGGAAGGCGAGAAGAGCGAGAGGTGGGCTCCACGGCCGAGGCAGGGTGCAGATGGGGAGGGTGAGAAGACCGAGAGATGGGCTCCGAGGCCGAGGCAGGGTGCGGATGCGGAGAGCAAGAGTCCTGCTCCTCCGGCCAGCAGCGGTGGTGCCTACCGTCCGCCGGGCGGCCGGACTGGCGGTGCCAGTGGTGGAGCGTACCGACCTCCAGGGGCAAGGTAAGGGGGCAAGGGAAGGTTATGGGGTGTTTGGGTGGTTATGCTCTCTCGCTGGTGAAGAACATGCGAGCGTGTGATGATTGGCTTCGCATTGCTCGCAGAGCGCGGCAACGTGGTCTACTGTATCTAGCGCTTCCTAACGCACACGCTCTTCGCTCTCTTCACTTGCCATTTCCTTCCACACATCGCTTCGCGGTGACCACGTGCTCGACTTCTCTCTCGAGGCCGCAGAATCCCAGCCGCGGAGGCGGAAACAGCCGACGGCTTTGGCTTTTCGACCGTGCTCTTCGAGGTTTTGACAAGCTCCGCAAACCTCCTCCGCGGCGCACACGAGCGACACTCTTCACACAGCAAACACTTGTCTCCAACGTGCATTATCGAGGGCAGTCCTGCATCCACGTTGAGCGATCAACATACACGTCTTCCGGTCAGAACGTCGAAACTTCTCCAACTAACATCAACCCACATCGACTGTAAAGGTTCGCGATACCTTGGTGGCATTGGATATCCATACGCGCAGCAAGTGTACTGACTTAACTCCGCTAGTCCCCGCTCGATTGACTGTAGTCGAGAAGCACTCGCTGTAAACCGGTGCTCCTCGAGTCATTACTGTCTCCACCGCCTCAGAACCCACGGGTATAAGTGCGTTTTTATCGAACATTGCCATTGAGAAGATGGCGAGCGACGTGTCAGCGATGCCTACGGTCAACGGGTACGGCAACCATGGCGGGTACTCGGGTGGCGATCAACAGAGCATGAGTGCGTTCAACGGTACTGGCTCAGCATCATCGATGTACGAGCAGCCACGTGCCGAGCACGCATCGAGCGCTTCGAGCCAACCGGAGATACCCAAGGACGAGGTTGGATGGTATTTCGTTGAGCAGTACTACACCACCCTTAGCCGGAGTCCGGAGAAGCTGTATCTCTTCTACAACAAGCGGTCACAGTTCGTATCCGGACAGGAGACCGACAAGGTGCCTGTGTGTGTCGGTCAACGCGCCATCAACGATCGAATACGGGAGCTTGACTACCATGACTGCAAGGTTCGCGTCACGAACGTTGACTCGCAAGCTTCCGATCAGAATATCGTCATTCAAGTCATTGGCGAGATCTCGAATAAGTCACAGCCCCACAAGAAGTTCACGCAGACCTTCGTACTCGCCACTCAGACCAACGGCTACTTCGTCCTCAACGACATCTTCCGGTACCTGGTCGAAGAAGATGAGGAGCCGGAGCAAGAATCGGAGGCGGCGCAGGAGACAGTAGCTCCACAGGAAGCACATGTTCAGGAGCTGGAGCAGGTACAGCAGGTGCCAGCTGCAGAGAGCGGATATCAGGAGCCCCCGGGAACCGCCGAGGAGGTCGAGCCCAAGACTCTGTCAAGCTCTATGGATCCGAAGGCGGTCGAGCATGATGCCCGAGCGGTCGATCAGCAGCTTGAGGAGAAGGTGTTAAAGAATGAGGAGCCGCCGGCTGCGATAACGAACGGCGACCAAACGGGAGAGGATGATCATGTCGAGGAGGCTGAGCAAGCTGCGCCGGAAGTCGAGGATACGGCAGAGCAGTCGGCCATCGATGAGCCAGAGCAGCAGGTAACAAGTAACGAACAGCTCGAGTCTGAGAAGCCGCAGGACCCCGTACCGTCACCAGCACCTGCGCCAGCCCAGCAAGCAACTCCGACAGAACAGCCCGCTGCCCCGTCTAAACCTGCCGCACCGAAGACGTGGGCTAGCTTGGCTGCCTCTGCTGCTCGCGTTGCCACCCCAGCCGCCTCGTCGGCGCCGTCTGCTCCAGCTCAGCCACGTGCTAACCCAGCCCCAAGACCGTCGCAACCGCAGCAGCAATCACAAACGCAGCCGCAGCCGCAGCCGCAGCCGCAGGCTCAAGCACCAGCGCCCACTACGCCATCCGCGCCGACTGCACCTGCCGTACAGCGCGAGGAGCAGTCTGGCGGACAGCAGGATGAATGGACTGCCGTCGGCGGTGGCCACAATCGTCATCATTCGCAGTCTCGGCAGAACAACGTACCCCAGCACCAGCCGCAGGACCAAGGAGAGAAAAACCGCGGCTACATTAAGAACGTTCACGAGGGCATCAACTTCAATGATCTCGAAGCACATCTAAAGCAGTTCGGAGAGCTTACCTACTTCGACATTGCGCGGCAGAAGGTCAGACCCCACCAAACCAACCCCGGATTTTCTTCCGTGCTGACATGGAAACAGAATTGCGCGTTTGTCGACTTCAAGACCCCGGATGGCTACCAGGCAGCCGTCGCCGCCAACCCTCATCAGCTCGGCAACGACAAGCTATTCGTAGAAGAGCGCCGCATGCGGCCAGGATCGACGCCGTACATTCCCAACCGTGGCCCATACAGTCACAACCGCGGTCGTGGCGACTTCCGGGGTGGCCGTGGTGGCTTCCCTCCTAGAGGTCGTGGCGCGCCACGGGGTGCTCGAGGCGGTACGCCGCAGGCTGCATAGCGAAAAGCAATTGCTCTCGCGCTAACATCTGTGAATGGCTTAATGGGAGCCATACCAGCGAAAGACGGAGAGAAAAAGCGGGAAGGGGAACGGTGTGCGGTGTGAAAAGTAAGCCTTGCTATCTTCTAGCGCTTGCATAGCCTGGCCTTTGTGCGATACCATTGAGCTGCGTATGGTGGGTAATCTTGCAGCTGTTCACATTGTATGTTAAGCGCGCCGCTGTGGAAAGCGTTCGATTCTGGACAGTAGCATGTAGTGTAAAAACTGTGTACCTCATCTCGCATTCGTTGTGTTCTTCGCCCAGACTGAAGAGCTTCCGCATAGCGGCTTAGGCTATAGTGTTATGCGCCAAAGATTAGCACCGAGACACAGCTGGCCAATTGTGGCACGTACTTCAGTCAGGGTCTGGCAGCTGCGGACATCGGCAATGGCTCCTCTTCGCTTCTCAACCTCATATGCTTCGTAACCAGCTATTTCTCACAATATGTGCCCCAGCTCACCTCACCTCACGCTCGCTTCCTGCTCTTATGAACAGACAAACAGCCTTATTGTAGAAGGTTGGGGTTGATACATTGCGTGTTCTTCATGATCGTGTACAAGATGTGAACGTCTTCCTGCTGAAGCATGACGCGATTCGCATGGGTTGCAAGGAGGTTCGCATCTACTCGACGGTCAGCTTATGCAACCTTGGTTCCCAGTACACCTACTAGCGAGAAAGGTAGTGAGGAACTCTTCCGCAAAGCCCTGAAGTGCCTCAACAGCTAAGCCTTGAAAGCGAACCTCGGCGTTGAAATCTCGCACTATCTCCTGGACCAGACGCTGAAACGGGACCCTGGATATCACTGAGCATGTTAGCAGTCAATCACAAAGGTAGACAGTCAAACACACCACTTACCGCTTGGCCTGTAGCTCCTCCGCTTCGGCATCCGCCCCACCCTCTTCCACGCCTTTGTCGCCAACACTCCCTTCCTCAGTGGCTTTCCTGCTGTGCCGGCCGATCTGGCCTCCCTCGCTGCCTGGCCATCTTATTGCTGATTTCTGCTTGCTTATGACCATTACCCTGGGCAGCCTCGGTACGCTTCTTGGCCGTCTCACCTCTGCCACGTCCGGTTCTGGGGCCTTGCGGAACCTCTGCGAACGGTGTTCGATTGAAGCAGCCTTGCTTGTTGCTGCCACGTAGGGTGTCTGAGACAAAAGAGAACTGGGAGATGTGGAGAGTGGTGAAGATGTGGAGGGTGATGGATCGATGGTGAGCGGAACTGCTAAACGAACCGAGTGAGCTCGAAGTGAGATTTTTATCATACCTTCCGCATCGACCGCCTCAGCTCATATCTTCTATTTTCTGCACTTCTATGCAATGTAAACCACCCACTGCGGTCGATAGTAGCGAGGTAGCTACAAGTCTTAAGGCAGCGAATAGTGCGACATTGTTGTTCAGAGCTAGGCGGACTGCAACATGCTGGATCGTCTGAGGCTCGAAACCATTGACTGCGAAAAGTCTGCTTTCGCCGCCGAAGGGTTAGCTGCTGCGTGCCAGTGCCAATTTGATCGGGCCAACCGGTCAAAAAGTCACGATATGCGGAAGTGCCTACTTACAACACCACCGCTGTGATGACGTACCCTCGCAAGCCAATGGTTCCGTATCAGTTGGACAGCTTGCAACTTGGATCGGAAACCCAAGACCCACGTGTTGCTCCTTGCACTTGGCTGGAGCAAGTCAGCTTGCGCGTAAAACAAGTGATTTTTTCATTGAGGCTCTAATTGCTTGAACGCTACCACTTCTCCTCGTTTTTGCAGGACAGGGAAAGTGAATGAGCTAACACAAAACATGGTCATGCAGACAGGTTGGCTGGTGGAAAGACCACAGTGAGGACGCAGTCTTGCGTGGCCTATAGGTCGTCAGTGGCTGCGATACAAGGTAAATAGTGTTCAGACTGAACATACATTCTTCAGATTCTCCTCATTCAACTGTATACCAGCCGTAATGTCGCTCTTGAGGCTATCCAGCGCGGTGACATCGACAGCATAAACACCCGTGAGGTCCTCGGCAAGCGCTTGCTCCGTCTGCTGCGCAGCCTCGTACTTGGCCAGACCGGCGATGGCAGCATTCCCAGTAGGCGCGATCTCCTGGTTAAACAGCCTGATGTTCATTCCTGCTTGGATGTCCGAAAGTAATTCACCTTTGGCAATGTAGAAGGCAGTCTGGTTGACGGATGAGGCACTCTCGATGTTGATCAGGTTGACCGTGCCATTGAACTCGGAATACTGGCCCTGGATGTTCAGGTGAATGCCAGCAGCGAGCGCAACAACAGCCTGACTACACTGCTGGTGCCCTTGGTAGTTTGGTCCTGGCCACTGAGGTGCGGCGAGCGTGAGACTAGAAAGAAGGAACGCGGGCAGCAAGGCAGAGAACATCTTCGTATGCAATCAATGGATAGACGACCACGAATGCAGAGCCTTTGTGAGAAAACGAACGCGATGTATTATACTGTCCAATTGGGGCCGGAGTGAAGCTCTCCACGTCATCTAAGCAGCCCATGGCCTGATCGACTCGACGAAGGCTTGAAGGAGTGGATTTGGAATGTAGAACAAGGTAATAAGCATCCTGGGGTCAGGGTAGCGTGGCTTCAAGCAAAAGCTTGACAGCCTGTCTCGGGATGCGGAGGCGGAGGTGAAGATCAGCACCCCATTGCAGCTTCCGTCTCATACGCGAGCGACTTAGCTTATACATGCCTCCTTTTTGACGCTGTAGATGCGACATGCATGAATCAGCAAAAGTCTCACTGCGCGTGTTAGCGGTGTATGCGGGTGCCGAAGTGTTGTCCACTCTGGGTCTGAGCGTTGGAAAGCCGACTTCGTTGGCTGTCAATCCTCAGCACGCAGTCATACCCCGCCAGCCGCACATTACTATGGTCTTAGCATCCATCGTTGTCGTCAATCAACCACCAGGGGCAATCGGCATGGCTAAGCACCGCTTAGTGCTGTCAATGGGGAAAGCCCGTGTGCGAAGAAACTTACATGCACGGCTTGAGTTCACGAAAGCGGATACACCCAGACCTGCCCTTTGGCATGCTATATCTGGTTGTAAGTCGCGAAAGGATCGTCTCGCGTCCCAGAAGCAAGCTCTCCAAAGCACCCGTTGCGTCCTTGTGAGGTTTCATGATAGCAGCATCAACAACGACGGTGCAGTAGGATGATTGGGCTCGGTACCCGTCAATCGCTGGGTCTAAATGTAGCTGCCATCGTGGCCACGGGCGGCATCGATTCCTTCACAGGGCAGCTACTTCAATTTGGCCCTATCTCAGGAGTCCCCGTGCTCTTATGAGTTTTCAACCGCCAATTGACGTCTTCGAATGCTGGGAACCATAGTCGTTAGCTACAAGCTGCTTCAGTTCGTACAGGAGCAGCCAAACTTCTGGCTGGCTTGCACCGTGTCATCGTTCCGGAATGAGGTACAGCAGTCTTGACATAGTATCGGCTGATGAACTTTTCCCGGTCTAATGTCGGCGATGCTGGAGCTTGGCGCGTCTGCGATGCAGACCCCTCGTCCTTTGCCCCACCAATAGCGCGAATGGCGTAATTACTTGCCTTCATTATTTTTCAGTGAATGCCATTTTGTGATTACAAAACAGGCCTCTGGTCACACTTAAGACTCCGCTGATCAGTTGTGAGCTTCCTGCACTTGGAATTGCAAGATTGACACCGACTGCGCATCTACCACCAAACCCGAAACGAACAGCATCCGCACACCATGTCTGAAGGCCGCCCAGAACCCCTCCGTACGTTAAGACCCCGAACAACGATCCCGGCCGTGCACCCAAGCAGTTCACTGACGAAGGCGTCCACACACAGGCCTCGGGACAGTTGCTCCCAACTTCAAGGCAGATACCACCGCAGGGTACGCATGTCGTTGGAGTCGACCGCTAGCCTACGATCGTTCGTAGACTAACACCGCTGCCAGACCCATCGACTTCCACGAGTTCATTGGTGACAAATGGTACGGTATCGCATAGATCTGGTCACCGTGGTGCAGTGCTAATAGCGTGAAGGGTTGTCTTGTTCTCACACCCGGAAGACTACACGTACGAAGTCCCTAATCCTAGCCATTTGCGCGTTGGCGACTGATAGGCAGATAGTCCCGTTTGCACAACCGAGCTTGGCGTGAGTGCTACTGATCTTGATCTACTGCGTCGGCAGCCTGCTAACACACGCGGCTCCCATTCAGGCCTTCGCGAAGCTTGAGCCAGAGTTCACGAAGCGCGGTGTCAAGCTCATCGGCCTAAGCGCAAACACAATCGAGAGCCATGGCGGGTGGATCAAGGATATTAATGAGATCTCGGGGAGCAATCTTCGCTTTCCCATCATTGGCGACAAGGAGAGGAAGGTCGCGTTGATGTACGACATGTATGTGGCCGCAACAGAAAGAGTCAAGAGTTGGATGGCGAGCCAGCACTGACACTAGTGGCACAGGATCGATCACCAAGATGCTACCAACGTAGACCAGAAGGGCATCGCTTTCACCATCCGCTCCGTCTTCGTCATTGACCCGAAGAAGACCATCCGCACGATTCTGTCCTATCCCGCTTCCACCGGCCGCAACACCGCAGAGGTTCTACGTATCGTTGACAGCCTACAGACTGGGGACAAGCACAAGGTCACTACGCCAATCAACTGGGTCCCGGGTGCGTACATACCATGAGTGGAGCTGAATCGGAGGTAGTGTCACTTTGGCTGACCATGCATAACAGGCGACGATGTCATTGTGCACCCTAGCATCAAGGGTGCCGAGGCGGAGAAGATGTTCCCGAAGATGCAGGTCGTCAAGCCATACTTGCGCTTCACGCCGCTGCCGAAGGAGGAGACGAGCGCGGCAGTCTGACTGAGAGGCCAGTGGTGGCAGGAAATGTTGTTTAGAGAGACATGGCAGAGCGAATGGGGTAGGCCAGTCACTGGTTACTAAATGACCTGAGGACTGTTGTTGTTGCTCTGAGCACGCGCACGGGATGACGCTCGCAAGAGACCCCATAGCCGCAGCAGTGTAGCGACTTCCAACCACGGAATCAATCTTGTTTACTTCACATTCGCGGAGCGCGCATACCTTAAGATTTGGTGCGCAGAATATGTTGCACCAGTAGACCTGCGATCCGCTACAAAGATCCGCAGACAACCACGAACACAACCACCGAACACGTCCACTGGTAACGCTCCTCAAATGCATGCCGTTTGTGCAGCAGCGTAGCGTATCAACAGCCTGACCTGCATTTCTTTGTTGATCGGGCTGCCATGGATGTGATTGGCTGGCGGACGGAATGTGGAGCTTCGCAAAAACACCGCCTTCTGTGCCAACGGCAAACGTTACACGGTGTTTTACGTGAGGTGATCGATTGTCGTAGGCTCAGAGGCTCGAACACAACCTAGACCGACTACTGGACGATCGTTCGGAGGTGAGTCATGTCCTGCAAATAGCCATGTGCATTCAGGTGATCAGAATGCACTTTCCAGTCCAATATGACAAGCCCAGTGTGGCAAGCACAAACCGCTGAGAAACGGCCAATGTTCTCTCGTGATCTCCGGCGGGCGACCGCATGCAGCACATGGCGTGGTCGGTGGACGTGCGTTTCTGCTGCCGAGACGTTTCTTCCTTTGCTGTCGTGGGAAGAGAACGCCCACTGTTGCTAGCCACAAGCGTTCCAGAACGATGGGTAGCATGCGAGAGCAGGAGCGAAGGAGTTCCTTCCTTGACGGAGTCTCGATCCGGGCGTTCTCGACATCGTTTCATGATTTCCAGCGCCTTTTACTAGCAAATCCTCGACCTCGCCTCGGAAGGATCGTTACTGACACCATGTCCTTTCCAGTAGGCACCGGAGGGTTCGTTTTCCGGGCAGAAGGCTCAGACAAAGCAGACACAAGCTTCAAGAGCGCCTCGTCAAGCAAGACTATCTCGACAGGAGCCGAACCATCACCGAAGAAGTGGAAACGTCTTAAAAAGCACTCGAAGTCACTATCCGACAGAGCTACAGCACCAAACAAGCGTCCTCGAGCAGAGCCCACGTCAAAGGCCGCGCCCAAGGCTGAGGAAGCAGCCTCTAAGCATACCCACCCAGAGTTGCAGCCCTCGAGTCAAGCTGAGCCTCTTGCCGGTGAGGTTTTCGAGCTTCCAGAGACTTCGCCGAGGGGCCAGAGCTCTACCAGACCGAAGCATATCCCAATAGTGATTCCGGAGTATGCATCTTTAGCCAGCAAGCGTACCGCCGAACGCCACGAGTCTTGCTCAACTTGGCTGTCAAGTGATAGTGACTCACCTACAGTTTCCGCTCCAGATTCACAACAAGATACTACAGCAGTTGTTGAACGGCCGAAACCAAGGCATGTGGAGATACAGATCCCAGCCTGGGCACTACCCGTGCTGAAGCAGCCATTGAGACTCACACCGTCGACGTTTATTGATCCGTTTGCAGACATCTGCGCTCTGTCGCCACCGGATATGTCTCGACCAACCCCAGACTCAAACCGAGCCAGTACCCTCGATTCGAATGGCTCAACACCTTCGCCCAGTCGACTCTATGCCAACCACTCCAACAGCGGATCTCAAGCACGACTGGCAAGTGCTAACAGTAGCCATCTGAACCTTGTTGGCTTGCGTGCAGAGTACGAGTCAGCTTCTGAAGCAGAATCAGCCTACGAGGAGCAAGACGGTGGCACTCACACTCCATCGCAGTCGGCAGATCCTTCGTCGGCCAATGGAGCGCTCCCTGCGCAAACGCCTAGCGGCACAAACACCATCAATTTATCAGGCTTGGTCTGTAACGTACACAGGACGACCGGCAAGGAACCGCATCCACTCGTTGGCGCTACAACCACGATTCTGGGTGACAAGCTCTACGTTTTCGGAGGGCGTCGTCTTTCCCGGACGAAACCGCAGCTTACTTCAAGCATCTATGAACTGGACCTTGTGCACCGTCACTGGGAGAAACTGGACGTGAAGGGCGAGATACCGGCAGCCAGGTATTTCCACAGCGTATGTGCGCTTGGCGATACGAAGCTGGTCTGCTACGGCGGAATGTCGCCTGCACCGGTGTCGGACGATGCTCCTGAGGGTCAGGGTGAAGTCATTGTCATGTCTGATATCCATATATTCGACGTACCCTCACGTACTTGGACGAAGCTTAACACGGCAGAATCACCCCAAGGACGGTACGCCCATTGCGCCTCTATATTGCCTTCATCGGCGGTTTTTGCATCCGGTAACGCGACAATGTCTGCAGTGCAGCATAATCCATCCGGGCTTAACCCAAACCAGGGGACATTGGGCGTCGCACTGAATGGCGCAGGGGGAGCGGAGATGGTTGTTGTTGGCGGGCAAGACAGTGCCAATCATTACATTGAGCAAGTCAGCGTCTTCAACCTGCGTAGCCTGAAATGGACTGGCACAACTGGCATGGGCCGCAGCTGCGGCGCGTATCGGAGCGTTGTAACACCACTGACTACCATGAGTGCGTCACAAGTCGGCGCAGGACCGCATGCGCCTGCAGATGACGAGGAAGAAGATGAGCCGGCCGAGATTGGCTCTGGGGCACCGCTGCTCATCTACTCAAACTACAACTTCCTGGATGTCAAGTTGGAGCTACAGCTGCGATTGACAGACGGTACACTTACGGAGAAGCCTATGCAGACCGGAGTCTCGCCACCTGGGTTACGCTTCCCTAATGGAGGAGTCATTGACAACCACTTCGTCGTCTCCGGTACCTTTCTGACCTCTTCGAAGCAGGAGTACGCACTGTGGGCTTTGGACCTACGCACACTGATATGGAGTCGAATTGACGCGGGAGGTAGTATATTCAGCCAAGGCAGCTGGAACCGCGGCGTGCTGTGGAGCCGGCAGAGTGTCTTCGTTATTCTGGGTAACAGGAAGCGGAATCTGGTCGATGACTACAACAACCGCCGTATCAACTTTACCAATATCTGTCTCGTGGAGCTAGAACCGTGCTCTTTGTACGAAAACCCACGCAGAGCAGAACCCACTTCGAACTTCATCTCAGCAAGTGCCAGTCCACTTTCTCGAGGCCAGGCCGACTTCTCAGCGTCGGGTAGAGCACTGTTTTACGCCGCGGAGGAGCTTGGTGCCTTGTCGCTGGGTGTCCGAGAATTGACTGACATGGACTTTCTGGCAATCGACGGCACACGGATACCAGTCAACTCGAGGCTATTGGCCCGTCGGTGGGGCCCTCATTTCGCGACGCTTCTCAAAGAGTCGCTTGTTTTAGCCCCCGAAACCGACACTGCCACGCTACGGCCGAGCATCGCGAGCGTGCCGTCACGGAACTCGAGTATAACCATAACCGCGTCTGTGACCTCGGGGGCGACGACATTGACCAACAACACGGCCGTAAAAGTGCCTGACACTCGCTCTGTCCCACCAACGTTGAGACCGCGGCTACTCTATCTTCCACATACTGCGCCAACGTTGCAAGCACTGTTGCACTATCTTTACACATCCACGCTACCGTCCCCACCATCCGCATTAGCGACTCCGCAGATTTTCTGCTCTCTCCTGCAGCTTGCGCGACCGTACAGAATCGACGGTTTGCTCGAGGCTACAGTTCAGCGTCTGCATGAGTCGCTCGACGGCAGGAATGCTGCGGCCATCTTTAATGCCGCCGCCATGGCTGCGGGTGGCGGTGAAAGCGTGCACTTCGCTTCAAGTACCAACAACGTGCGTGAGAGTGGCGTACCCTTACGCGGGACCAGTCTTTCGACTCTCGATGATGTCACCAGAAACGGCGCAGCGCGTGGCCCTGCAGGATTGCGTATAGACACAGATATGGCGAACGGCAGAACGACTCGTGCAACTTTACGCCCGGGTGAAGATGGCTTTGCCGACAGAATAGATGAGGGAGAGGTGCCTATGAGCGCGGCGACCGACGCTAGTATGAGTGAAAGCGAGGCGAGCCTTAGCAGTCGAGCCTTGAATGGCCGGACAGACCGTGACCAGGAGATCTGGAATGGCGCCCTAAGCTCGGTTGTCGGCCTGCAAAAACGAGGGCTAAGAGGGCTTATGGAGGGAAGAAAAATGCGAGTACGTGGCAGGAGCGAAGGCGTGGAAGGCGCCAGGGTGGGCTTAGGCATTGTATGAGAGTGTCTATACAAGCTACGCTTAAGCTCCGATTCATAGGCTGCCGTCCTCTTCGCAACGTGCCTAGAAGATGGCTATGGCATTGGGGGGCGATGCCACTCCTCCGACCACGTTGAGTGGTGCCGATGTGAAGAAGAAGCTCCAGCGCTTTAACTCCTCACATGTCTTGGCCAGTTTCTCCAGATCCCATATTTCGCCAATTGGGGAGCCCCAAAAAGCTAGTTGATACTTGTGTAGGATGCACTCTGGATTGAATGGCCATTGCTAAGGCTCACGTCAGCCTTTCGTATGAAGTTAGCTTTGCTCGAGCTACCTGCCTCGAAAGAAATGCAATCACCAGCCACTGCCGCAAAATGATGGTTCCACAGCCACTCGACTGTCCGCATGCTGCCTTCGACACCGGTCCAGGCTAACTTCGAGCCATCTGCGTTTTGAATCTTCGCCACCCGGTCCTCTTGCGAAGCGCTCTCGTACCTGATCAGATGGGCGGAAGAGTCAGCTATGCCTGGGACCTGTCGGAGGGGACGAAACATCGCTCAGCTTTACCATTTTGTGAATCCGCTACGAACTATGAATATGTCTCCTGGCTTCAGCTCGACGTTCTGCTCCCGAGCCATGTCTTCCAGAGCGTCCACAGAGATCTGATGTCTGGTCATGACGTCGTATTTGATGCCTTTCATGTCCGCGTACCGCACATAATCGAGCAGAACACCACGACCGACGATGCCGCCACGATCGTTCCAGTGATGGATTCCGTTGTCCAGAGACTCTGGTGCCTCCCGGTGCTTCTGGCCATTGTAGAAACATCCACTCTCGGGATCACCAAAGTGTTTGAAGCCTGAGCATGCCGTTAGCGACAGTCCTCCACCATTCACAGCAACCTTCCCTCCGCGTGGCATTGCACAGCCTGGTCTGCGTCCACGCCGGATGCTCTTATAGACATTTCGTGTGAAGCTACCTACAAATCTTCACGAGCCTGCCAAAGCAGTGCTTGTGGATTGGAGTATTGAAGGAGAAGGGTGTAACATGCCATCCCATTGACTTCCGCTCTGCGTGTTGATATGGATCTCGTCGTCGTACACAGGCCGACCATGTCCAATATCCACGAAACGATGATCAAGGGCTTTGCGGCCAAAACCGGGGCTATGCACTTTGTGCAACGGCCAGTTAACAGACACACTGCGGCCGGTCTGGATCTCGTCTTTCGCTGCTTTCACGACGTCCGGAGTCAGTAGATTGAGGGTACCTAAATTGTCCCGTTCACCGTCCTTGTCGAACAATCCCCATGCACAACCATGCGGCATCCCCTTAACAGTCGGTAAGGACTTGAAGTCCGGAAGCTCGCTCGCCATCATCGTAAACACTACTCTTTTCGCTACGATGGCGATATGCCGGCAAGTAGCAACACGAGAGACTTGCTATAGGAGACGCGACTTGCAGAAGCGGGGCATTGCCACTTACCGCGGTTCATTGAAATTTCCCGAAACGAGTACGGTGTATGCGGTTGATGTCGGCTCATCAACCCCAATGTGAAGTGAAAGCTCCGTTGAGAAGGCTAACCCTTCGTCATGCCTAGGATAGGCGGTCTTTCATGATTCCCGTGGCATGCGGGCCTGCGTAGATTCTCCGCCGCAACACGTGGGCTTTGCAGCCCGGCAGATACCACCACAAGGTGACGTGAAGATCCCGTTGTTTAACTCTGCTATCATCATAGCTTGTCATCGCCGTCGTTGTGGGCTTTTGGAGTCAGCCAAAACCGGGAAAAGTCGCTATCTCGGTATTCGGCGGCTTCATTGCGGTCAACACAAAGATGGTGGCGAATCCCACGCGAAGGTCGCTTGTAGCTCACTGCCGGTAGCTGCTCGGGTGCTTGGGTGAGTAATTAAAGACCATTCAGAGATGCCTGTCACCTCACAACGCACTTATTGTCTCCTAGACAAGCTGTCAATGATTATGGACCGCATCATCACTCCCCGCCGGTCTTAGCTCCGAAGCCAATCAGAAAGCAATGGCCTAGATGGGCCTACGCCACAGCTTGTTACACGTACATGCAATCCTCAAGTACGATCCCCCACGTAGCAGTTCCGTAATACAGTTCATTGGAGGGCGATGTATGTAGCGACCTAGGAGAGGAAGGGCACATATAGACCCCCCCAGATCGCAGAAGCCAAAATCTGCCCAGCGTCTCCGAAAAGCTCAGAATCATGTTCCCTCCACGGAGCAAGATCTGCCCCACAACTTTAAACCGCGATGTATGCGATAAAAAGGCCATCGTCCGATTGGCGAGCGACCTGCCGATTCGACGTTTCTTCTGGAGATGGTGGCGGTACCTGTCGATGGCTGGGTCCGCAGGTTGAAATTAGAAATTGCGTACACGTACATAGGCTCAGTCTAGACAACTTGATCGTTTGTACCTGGCCAAATCCACGTGGTTCAAGTGATCGGGTAATGCGGATATCGCGACATCTACTCCCGGCAAGCTTCTCAGGGATCACGGCAGGTCGTCAGCCCGAAGACTCCCGAACGCTCCCTCAATAACGTAAGTGGACTTCAAGGTGTGATGTCCGGGCTTAGCTCCGCTGCCTGCGCATGAGTAATGCCCTACAACTCCTCGACTGTGTCGATCACCGGAGGCGGGATGGGCTCCGACAAGCGCGTAGAAGGTGCATTGGCCACCTGGAACGAGGGTTGCTCGCTCCGCTTGCTGGGTTTGAACCACTCATCCGCTGCATGTACGAATTAAGACAACAGACAGTGGCATACAGGACATGCTTGGTGACAAACCTTCAGGGTCCCTTTCCAGAACCACGGTTTTCTAGATTCCAGTGGGACCAGCCATGCCCGGCATCGAGTGCCGAGCTTCCAGTGGCGAGAAGGGTACGGTATCCATAAACGGTCATGGTGGTTGTTGACTACGCAGTAATATCGTGCCTTCCTCGCTAATCCCCACGTACGATATGACCTTTTCGCGTGGCTGTGCGACTAATGGTGAGCGGTAATGCGACCGTCGCCGGAGTCTATCCTAGTGACATTTCGGATATGCCTGCCGCTAAGGAAAATGAGGTCGCGGTTTGCCACCCTGCCCTCGATATCTCGGCCACCTGTGGTAGATGCTCCTATATGCTGTTGATTCAATTTCTCTCCCGCGCCTCATACACGAACGCACACGATCGCGTGGAGGTCATCCCATCTGTGCGCTTTTTCTTGGGGAAGCCTTACTGGTTTTGGACTTTCCCGAACGATCTTGAGTTTCTGACAGATTCCGATGGAGCAGAATGAGCACGAGCGGACGTATCAATTTATCTCGGATCCCTCACACAAGGAAAACGTCTCTGGCCGAGTTACCGCTGCCTGCCTGAACTGTCGCAAGAAGAAGATCAAGTGCAGTGGGCTGGTCAACTGTGTTCAGTGTCAGGAGAAAGGACTCGTGTGCGAAGGCCCGCCGTCACGCAAGCGTCCAAAACGCGAACACCACGGCTCTTCGAGCAGCCATGACCTGACACAAGAGGGCAACCCGACATCCAGTCGGCCTCGGGAACTGCCTGCGTTGGTCGAGCATGACTCCGGCTACTCAACGATACAACCAGATGGGCAGAGTTCCACCCCGGGAGCCAGCCCCTCCACGACAGGCAACCCCGGGCCTCTGCCAACGACAATCGAGACCAGCGGCTCGATGACTGTCCCATCCGCATATGTATCGCAATTCTTACACTCGAGCTCCCTGCAGTCGCCATCTTCGTACAATGAGCAGCCTTCCACCTTAACAGGACAGTGGGATTCGTCTACGACCTATACACCCGGCGCGTCAAGCTTCGGAACAGCTTCCATCGCCTCCGGCTTGTCCGAGCTGCCTGACTATACGACATTGGAAGCGGGCCGAATACCATTACAAAACTATGATACGTCAACCTACGGCTTCTGGCCATCGAATGATGACCTGAACAGAAGACCTTCGAGCTTCCTGGTCCAGACTGCCGAAGCGCTGGAAAGTCAGGCCCAGCGGCTTCGCGGGATAGTGCAGGACAGGCAAAACGAGGAATTGGACACAACACTGTCGCACTTTCCGCTTCGGGATCTGCCATTGCACGACGCTTCTTACCCCCAAGGCTTTGAGCAACCCTTCCGCGACGATGGCTCGCTTCGAAGTGACCAGACGCCAGACATCAGGATTTATGGCGTATGGCCGGGCCAGCGGATACAGGCACAGCTGAACCATCCCATGATGCAGAATCAGTCCCGCACATCACAGTCTGCCGGTCACAGTGCTGCATCTTCTTGGCCACCGCAACCGTCGTTAAGCACGAATCAAGATGTAAAACCTGGTGATCTCAATATACCAAACCCTGCCCTCAGATATAACGCCGCAAACGAGCAGTCACGAGGACCGCACGCCGGAAGCAGTGCAGCGAGTCGACACCGGAGACCTTCCGGCTCTCAACAGTAAAGTTCTGATTGCGATCAATGAGCCCGCGAAGTCTCGTGTTAGCCGCACATAGACCCGACATGCTCCCGGAAGCTCTTCGCGTTTGCGTGCGTGGCTGCTCTTGCAGCCTCTTACTGGACAGCAGAGGTCATGCGTGACAATGGTACTGCCGCACTCTCATTGCAAGCTGTCCAGAAGACGAACGGGACAACGAGCGCCTGCATGGACTGGAAGAGCGTGTGCGTATTGTTAAGTTTATGGCGGTAAGATGTTCGCCTGTGAGGCAGACGCAGGCCAGAACGCAGTGCTGAGCATTGTGCTGTCTGCACGTTCAACGAACGGTCGAGCGCATGAGTACACATGAATAATGCATGGGGATGTTGCGGCAATGAAACATGGCGCGCGTGTGCGAGGGTGAAATTGCCATTTATTAACACATGACAAGTCTGTGTCCGAGCATGATTGAGTCGAAGGCGGCAGGCTCTAAGATACACATTTACAATGCTTTTCAAGCCGACAAGCTGCTCATGAAACCGTGGAACTTTCCTTATATATGTGTAAACGAGTGAAACCGTGTTGGGGTCGCCGTAGGCTTTGACATGCCATCTCCGACCCTTTGCCAAGCCGCAAGCTGCTCGAGACCATATAGGGCCCTAAGAGGCGCAGAAATGCGTGAGATGTTTTCGAGCTCCTGCAGGGATTGATGTACAATCCCAAGACAATTTTCCGTCGACAAGCTACTCAGCAAGTCACCAAAACGTGTGAGCGTACGATTGCCCTGCAACAACAGCAAGCCCGTATTTACAAGAAGGTGATGGGCTCACTTGTGCGCACGCCTTCCAGAAATGAATGACGAAACACGAGGCAGCTTTGATGTAATTGCACTGCACTGATGGCTTGCTTGTTCTCCGTATAGCAGCTTCGCCTTTACCACGATCGACCACGCCTCCTACTCTGCAGTTACATCGAAGATGGCATGCACCCCAAGGTGATCCGTAATCCATGGCTTGTCGAACCCCAGGCTCACAACGTGCTCCCTCTCACTCGCATCTTCAAGCTCAACGCCCATGCCAAAGCGTTCGAAAGATCGAATACGGATCCCACCACAGAAGAGGATCTTATCCATACGACTGCCGCCAAAGCGCTCACGTTGCGATGTGGCGGCCTGCTGCCCCCAGGTGTGCCCTTCGACGTCGTCTTCCCTGCCGCCCATCTCTAGGTAAGCATCACGCAGCTCATTGTCGGTATGTAGATGCCTGTCAAAGTCCTGAATAGCGTTCAAATCCCCCGCAAGGACGGCTCCACTTATTTTCTCATCTTGCATGTACTGGCTACAGAGCTTGAGTTGGGCCGGTCTGAAGGGCGGATCCAGTGCCAGTGACTCTGCGTGGGTGTTGCAAAGCCGTACAGTTTTGCCGGGTCCGAGAGCGACATCGAGAAAGAGACCATCACGCTCCATACGCGTCTGCTTGTAATGCACCCGAAAGCATGCACGTACTGGAAGGCGTTGATCCACAAGAATAGTAGTTCCATAATGGCCAGACTGCCAGTAGCTACCATCGACATCCGTAATATTGAACCGCTTCCTCACCCACGAATCGCCCGCTATGAGCTTCAGATCTGACTCCAGGCACTCGGCGAAGAAAATGACAGTAGGTATCTCCTGTTCAACGAGCGTCTCCAGGTGACGAATGGCCAGGCGCATACGCGAGTCTGGAAAGGGTAGCATAAAGTCGATGTTCCAGCTATACAGCGCTATGGATGGGATCCTTGTTTCTCCATAGGTACGACTAGGTTGAGTTGACTGCCATCCGTTTAAGCGCCATACGTGGTACGGTTGATCGTAGGGAACATCCAAGTCCCAAGGAACCTGGCCTTTCTTCTTCGCTTCAACGGTCGCAATCGAAGCCTTCACGAGCTCATCCATTTTCCAGCGCGGTCTCCAGCGAGGCGCCTGTCGCAATACGTGAGCCAGCTTTGACAGCATCAGCGACTTTTTGCGGGCGGATTCGGACGTGTCTTATGAGGCATTTCTACGGATGAAAGAATGTTTGCTCCGCAACTTTGCTCCTCTTACCTCTGGGCAGGTGTTGTTACACGGCGCACCAAGCTGTGCCGCCCAAGCTGCATTCACAACGCTACCATCACAGTGCGTACTCGCAGTCTTTTTTTCCCGAGAAAATGTTCCCGTGAAGTGATGTTCGTCGGAGGTGAAGCTCCACACCAGGCACGCCTGCTGTGACGCTTCCCCACGGGAACGAGCCCGCAGAAAGTCCGGTGGCTGGTTGGACGGTATAAGAACATGTAATGGACGCGAAGAGTATCGAGGTTTTCTCTGATCTTCAGATCGTCGAACCGCTCCCGTCTCAGTTCGCTTCAGTGTGAAAATGCTGGTTGGCAACACCCAGGACGCTATTGAGCCTTTACGGCAGAGGGATGGGCAGCAACCATCTTGAAGTATCGCAACGTTCATTTGCTCCTCTCCGAGACTCATTGCTTGTACAGAGGCTGGTTCGCACCGGTAACCAGCTCTTCACAGCCGGTCTGCTAGCGATCAGGATCTGCGCAGCAATCACTGGCGGGTAAGTCTCTGAGCCCGCCGACATTGCCAGCTGCTTTCGCAAGCCGTCGGCACCCTCTTGTCAAACCCTGGAACCATCGAGCTCTTCTACGTTGTACGTCACGCCAGGTTTAGTGGCCGTTGCGCTCTCGGGCTGCCATCTGATCACACCTCTTCACCGCCAGTAGCGCAGATAGCCAAGCACACTCATGCTGTGCTCATGCTGGTTGACATCCAGTTCGTGACAGCCTTGCCCAAGGCCGAGCTACACGCTCACCTCTCTGGAAGCATTAGCAGAGATACCCTACATGACATATGGGTGCAGAAGAGACAGCGAGGCCAATTTTGCCATCTCGACGACCCGCTGGACGTTATACAACCAGGCCATGGCCTAGTGGATGTAGTCTCCTTCTTCCCTCTGTTTGACCGGTATATTTATGAGCTGGTGAATGATGTCGAGACGGTGCAGCGCGTCACAAAACGGGTCATCGAAGACTTCGCCTTAGATGGCGTGAGATACCTCGAACTTCGAACAACGCCGCGCGAAGCTCCCGGTTTCACCAAAGCAGAATACGTCGCTGCTGTGCACGATGCCATCGTGCAACACGCTGTCGCTCAGAGACGGCGTAGTGACAGTGATGAGAGTGCTATTGATGTTCGACTTATCCTCTGCATCGACCGGAGAATGTCACTCTCTCAGGCGCATGAAGTGGTTGATCTAGCACTCCATTACCAACACCACGAGCAAGGGAACTCATCCGGTGCCGGGAAGGTAGCGCAAGCCCAAGACGGACTTGTTGTGGCAGTCGATCTGTGCGGCAACCCAGCCAAAGGCGACGTCTTTACATTTTCTGAAGCATTTGCACGAGTAAAGGTTGTTGGCTTGGGCGTCACTGTCCACTTCGCCGAGATACCTCAGTCGGGAGCCGAAACGGAGCTCGAAACGCTACTGTCGTGGAAGCCGGACAGATTAGGCCATGTCATACACGTTCCCGAGAAGTTCAAGTACATCATTGAGGAGCGCAAGCTGGGTCTGGAGCTTTGTCTATCTTGCAATGTGCTCGCCAAGCTTACCATGGGATCGTATGCCGACCATCATCTTGCCAAATGGAGGAAGACCCAATGCTCGATAGCGCTATGTGTCCGTTGACTGGCAGAAGTTCTTTGTTGAACAGTGACTGACAGAGCATCAGACCGACGACGTCGCAATCTTCGGCAGTCCATTGTCAAATGAGTATCTGTCAGTTTCCGGCACCGCGATATGTGAGCTGCAGCTGACTGGCTTATACAGACTTGCCGCAGAGCACCACGGACTAGATCACCACGACCTGATAGCACTGAGCAGAAGCGCCGCAAGCATTGCTTTCAGCGGCCGGGAGCGGATGAGGCGACTTATTGACAGCTTCGAGCAGACTTGCGACAGTGTTGCGGCTGTGCTCGAAGCATGACTGATTATTGCTCAAGTAGCTCTCTTAGTCTACGGCTCAGGAAATACCAGTGACTGTAAGCCGCAGACGGGTATGCTGGTCTTCACTCTCGTCACTGACACCAGCCTGTCAACGTTCAAATACTTCGGCTTGATGGAACAACCTGCAGCTAACAACCTAAGCGAGCCTCCATCACCCGCATCCGTCGATGTTGGACCTCAGCACTGCACGCGATCATTCTCTGCGGTTAAAGGATACCGTGCTTGCCTCGAACAATAGGCGACTCCCAAACCTTCTGTTCCTTTGATGAGCTGTGGTGCCCCCGTACGGCGAACCCTCAGCATCCGCAACGACCCGGGAGCAACATCAGCCTCCGCATAGGGCTGTCAACGGAAATGGATGACCCGGAACGATTGCGTTCGACAATGCACAAGTCACAAGTCTGGGGATGCTCGGGATGGGACGGTAGTCATTCGCGGGCATGCGCAGCGTAATCCTCTTACCAGTGGCTTCTTCGATTTCTCCCTGTCCGAGGCACCGCCGACATTGGTACAGGCACTCAAAGTTCGGTGTTCAGATGTTATAGATGAGGAGTAATATATTGTATCACTGTATCGGCCGCTTGTCGATCCCTTCATGCGCTTTCGCCACTCCGATTAAGATACCAACGGGATGGCGGTGCTGATGGTAGCTCAGCTCGCCAAGATTCACCGCACATGGAGTTTGCATGGCCTCAGTGGAGCCGAAAGGATTCTAGCGGGGGCTCCTTGGCCACGTGTCGAACAAGGATACTGTGTTTCATGGTGCCCCGTAACAGCTGGGTGCAGATGCAGCACCGGCAGTAGTCTACCAGAGAAGCGAGACGATCAACATCCATTCTCTACCGTCCGATCTGTTTACCACCGTGAAGCGTGCACGGGAAGTTGCGTTGTAGCGATCTTCATCTGCGCATCATTGAAGCCATACGAAACTTGCCGGTTTCATTTCTACGAAGGGCAGATCGTCGAGCGATCATTCCGAGGCGCCTTGGCAGGTTCCTGCCTGCTGTGAAACGTTGGACCAGGGCCAGGGCCGGGGCCGAGCCTGCAACACCCTCCACTTCCGACCTCCTACATAGATTACCTGTCACCCATTGCTTATATCGAAGCGCCCTTTGCCACCGACTTCTACTCATCTTATTCTGCACTGTACCTCGTTCCTCAAGGTTTCTCCTGGTCACGACAGAACCAAGACGCTGCTACCCGCGACCCGCTGCTGTGTTATTAGAAGGGTGTGCACAGTGAGAGAGTTAGTGAGACCTAGATCACATTCCATCGGTAAACAACAAGCGCACGTTCCCCGGGCGAACGCTGCGACTTTATAAAAAGGGTGTCCACAGCGCCGGAGGTGCGAAAACAACAACCATACCTGCCACGTGCCGCGGGAACTAACACGCCTTGACCTAGACGAACAAAGGAAACCTCAGTCACGAGTGGCTGGCACGAGGCCCTACGTTTCGCCAAAAATGGTACGCCGTGCATACCTCCACTACCTCAATCATGTTTCACTTGGAATATCTACTTACACCACACCATGCAGGCCTCGCGCACCGAAGCACGCTTCAGCACCTACTCCGGCGCCCCTTCCCTCCAACCCTCTCTCGCGCCCACCTTCGAGACACAAAACACCTCCGCCCGCTCTCGCTCCCGCATGAGCCAACGGACCTCCACCATCAACGAAAGGATGCCATATCGCAACACGGACCCATCGGTCAATGCCAGCAGCTCTACGCTCTCCACAACCGATCCCCGATCGCAAGACCTCAAAGCATTCGCCGGCTTCTTGGACCGAATGCAAGACGGTCGACTCGATAAGCAACGGTACGAGATGACCAGCAATAAGAGCGAGGAGGTCAGTAAGCTCGCGCTGGGCGCCAAGGTGGAAAGGGCGCTCGCGAGACGGATGACGGCGCAAGATGCGCAGTTCACGAACAAGAAAGCATTGGATATTGAGAAGAGGAGTCTAGAGGTCGAGGCGAACTAGCAGTCCGTGTGCCGTGTGCGGGCGGACGGGTGTTTGATGGACATGCTTGATATACTGAGGGAGGGACCGGCGGCGTCTGCTTGAGAAGGATAATTGTGGGCTCTTGGCGAGGCGGACAGCATAACTGCAGTCATGGCGTTCGGTGGGAGTTTCACGAATACGCGAGTCACTTATTATGCGATATGGCTGCTCCTGAGCGTACAAGACTCAATCTCCAGATTCTGCGGGATTTTGCACCCGTACCTTGCATTCTATATCTGATGAGCCAATTCTAACACGCGATTGTGCCATGATGGCCGTGATAACCGTGTCGTGGTGACTCCGTCGCATACCGGTGAGTCCTCTGATTTCACACTGCTGACCATCCGGGTGTGTAGGAAGCCCATTACAAAACCTGCAATGAACGAGACCTGCTCCATGCATACATCAGGTCATCACATGTGGCCACTAGCACGCAATCTTCGCTTAGCCTCTGGCTTCCTGATGCTCCAGTATTAATGGTCACTGGTTCTCAACAGCATGCATGAGCACCTGCTCGCCATACTCATGCCTGCTCGACATCCTCGTGAAGTACGGTGACGTGCGGGAGAATCAAGATCATGACCGTACCATTCGCGAATCACTACGCGACCCTAGGCATGCCAGTATGGGCGAGGCGTCATGAGACCCTTGAAGCGTATCTTGGGCGGCTTGAACGCACTGGAGGACGTGGCGAGCGCCCCGAAATCTGGTCTCGACCACACCTCGATCCTTCCGAAAGGCGGATGGCGACGCATTAGCCTGGTCGAAATCACAGCCTGCGCCACTCTTCTCCAAGACGACCTGATCTGGCGCCCATTGAGCTCTGCAGTCGTTGTCGAACGCAACAAACCTAGCAATGCCTACCAAATTCTCAGCCATCCGGTAATGAAGACCGTCTACGAGAATACATTCTTCACACGCCTTCCGAAGCTACGAAAAGCTGCGTATAAGTACAACGATTATGCATGGGACGCGCCAGGAAGCGGCAGCACATCGAAGCACGTCTGTGGAGCGCGTGTGTCTGGGGCGGCAAGGCCGATGGCAAGGTGCCTGAAGTGGAAGCGTACAATCGCGTCGACTGCTTGACATGGTATTCGGAGACGGAGAAGTGCATCATCGCTCCTTCAACGATGTGTGGGGAGACAGTGGCTGGGTTTGTCGAAGCGATGCAGCTGTGAGGAGGAGGAGGAGGAGGAGGAGGAGAGGTGAGGTGAGGTGTGAGGGAAGGTGGTAGCATCCGTCGCCACCCCAAAGCAACAATCATAACTGCCGACACACAGTAGCTCAATGTTGTATGAGGTCGAGTACACGCGTTTCAAGATATTTCGTCGAAGCCTACGAGCACGGGCTTGTCAGACGGCCATCCATTTCCCTCCATACCTGCAATAAACGCCGCACGCCTCGCTCCGCACGACATCGAATACATTACACAGTAACAAGCACCCCATCACTCACTCCCCCGACCCCTCCATCTTCACCTCCCCACCCCCCTCCCTCCCCAGATTCTTCAACATAAAACTCCGCTTGAAATACCCATTCGGATGCAAGATCGTGTCCAGCTCACTCGCCGGCCACAACGCCTCATCCTTGACCTTCTTAATCGGCCCCTTATGCGCATGCTCAAACACACGGTTACACGCGATATGATACCTCTGCTTCCCCACGTCCTCTCGCACCCCTTGCAGCAATGCCCGGTCCGTCACGCCGAAGGACTGGAGGAGGGTGATGAGGTTGTCGGGCGCGTAGGTGCGGTAGGGGCAGCCGTGGGTTTGGCCCGCGGCGGGGGCGGGCTCGGTGAGCAGTTTTTGGCAGGAGTACGGGGTGTAGCCGCGGCCGCGCCGGTTGGCGTCGCCGCCTACTTCGCCGTAGGCGTGGCGGATGTTGTAGAGGTATTCGGCTTTGAATTTGTCTGTGTGTTGCGATGCTGTCAGCTAGAGATTTCGGGGTGTTGGGGAGTAGAACTATTTCGTACCGTCTGCGATCAGCTTGAAGCTTTTGCGCCAGAAGATGATGCATTCTTGTAAGCTCAATCCGATGCCTTTCAAGAATAAAGTGTACTGTAAGCGGCCGAAATGCTTGAGATGGTTGTTCTTGCGTAGCTCGCGGTGCAGGTTCTGCATGCACAGGGGAAAGTGCTGACTTAGGCCGTCGATGCTTGCTGCTGTGGGTGTGGTGATGTCGCCGATACTGCTGGCTTCGGTGTAGCCTGCGTCGGGGGCGACGAAAGACTGGCTGAGGTGATGCAATATGGGCGAGAGACGGTTGTCCTCATCCATACGTGGCAGGAAGCGGGCTGCTTGTTCCAGGCCGAGTTCTAGCTGCCGCGCGAACTCGTTAACGACCATGGTTTGTTGCTCGCGGACATGGACATATGCCTTGCCCTTCTTGAGCAAACATTGTCGTCGCTCAACCAGGTCTGGCACGTGCTCCCACTCTGTCTTGAACCAGCTCTCTTCCTCGTCTCTTCTCAACCCCGTGGCAGCAACCAGCTCACTGTGCCACGTCTTCTTCTCTTCTTCCGTCACCACCTCCCACGACATGGGCAAGCTTTCGATGAACGCCTTCCGCTCATCTGCGCGGTCCAGCCGCAGCCGTAGCTTGAACAGTTGTGCCTCCAGTCGCGAAAAACGTTGCCTCAGGTCTGCAGTCGCGCTGAATGCAAGCCTGAGCGTCCAGTGGCTGTAGTGGTCCCTCTTCCTCTCCACCTCCACCTCGCTGCTCTGACTGGAATTCGGACTCAAGCGCAGGTGCTTGTCCAAGACGGGCTTCATGTACTCGGCCGTCTCGTCCGCGGTGCGATTGCGGAACTGACATGCTTCCAGCTCCGCCAGCACCTTCAGCCGCGCGATCGCCCACTCTTCGAACTGCTCGAGGGTGATGTCGTCGAGGGGCGGGATGGGGTACATGTTCATGCGGTGAGGGTACGCTTCCGCCTGCCATTTCGTCGTCACGAACTCTTGCCGGCGGCGATCAAGCACCGCGCGCTTCTTGGCGTCTATACGCGGGGCGGAGGTGACGGCGAGCATCTTGGCTTTACTGTCTCTCACACAGCGTGCAACCTCTCTACAGTTGTTCGTTGACGTGTATGTCAAATCCAAGTTACGCGCCGGAAGACGCGTTCGCGATGTGGGGAAAGGATCAGAGCTCCATGCCGGAGTCGGAGGCAACGCTTGGCCGATCAGGGCGGGCTGGTCACGATACCTACCCGAGTAACCCGACCGAGCGCTCCAGCGTGGGGTCCCAGTCCGTTGTCGTCAACACATCCAGTCCATACATTCCAGGCTGCATTCAATCTGCTGACTTCACCATGCACCGAAGCAGCAGCATGCCCGTCACTTGACACGTGTGTTGGCCAATATCACCCGCCCACACTCCTCCACGCCTGACATTTAACAGCTTCGCCAATTGTTGGATAACGATTGAAGCTTGCCCTCCATCAAGCAAGGCGGTCACAAGAGCACAACGCGATGAGTGCAAGTCAGCCATACGATACACGCACCGTCAAGGGCAACAAATCCGCTGCCAAACCTCCTCCGCTCATCAATCCAGGCCACTCCGGCCCCACCACCTTCTTCCTCCGCAGCGAGAAGGAGCTCGAACAGAGTGCGCCGCGAGGGCGGACGATGTCAAGCAATGCACCATCGACCGACGAGCAGCCTCAGCAGGCGCCGACGATAGGGATGATGGGAGAGAGTAGCTTTGGCGTGGAGAGCCTGGCAGACACCATCAGCTCGGCATTCTCCACGAAGAGTCGCTTGTCCCGAGCAAACAGCAACAGCAACAGCAACAGCACCGAGTCTGCCACCGAAGCCGGTGCAGAAGGCAACACCGGCAACCGCCCTGGCCGCAAGCGCAAGGTGAACCCGGTGCATCCTCGCATAGCCGCCACCGGTCAGCGCATCATCTCCGCCGAGCATCCATCCACCCACGCTTCCTCGTCCGCATCCCCAGTCTCCTTTCGCTCATCGGAGTCGCCCTTCAGATCACACCTCCGACGCGCATCCACGTCATCGTCCATTAACCTTGCCAGCCAGCCACTGACGCCGCTGAAGATGAGCCCTCAGCCTGCTTCGGCTATGCCGAGTACACCACGCTCAGGCTCGCCCAAGTCTTTCCGACTGAGCGATGAGGAAGGCAGCGTGATCGATGACACTGGTAGCCAAGTGATACAGTCATCAAATGGCGATGACGAGGAAGATGCTACCGCCGAAGACAGCAGGGACAGCTCGATGCCGCAGCTCGTGATGCCAAGCATCGCGATTCCATCGCGTCGACCATTCACCGAGCAAGGCAAGCGCATCGGCAGACTGAAGGTCATGGTGGTTGGCCGTGACGGTGTTGGGAAGACCAGCCTCATCCACAGCATCTGCCGCATCTGCGAGCATATCGTGCATGTCGATCAGCCAACCATCACCCCTAGCGTGGATCAAGCCGACGTACCAAGACGCGGCGTTGACTACGAAATCACTCAAGACATCACAGAGACGTACGCCTCGACTCGGCCTTACCCGGCTTGGTGGACGGACTTTGATGGCCGCCGGATGCTGCACCGGCGCAGAAGTATCGGTGACGGCGTGCTTGAGCGGAATGTGTGCTTCACAGATACTGTTGGCATCAGTAAAGACTCTGGCGCTCGTACAGTCCTGGAATACTTCAACAACACACTTCGGAGAACGCTAAACATGCAGAAGATGAGTGACAGCGAAGTCATTGGTATGCTAAGCGGAGAAGGCGGCGTCCACGTGGACGCGGTACTATGGCTGTTCGACACTACTGGCCCTACTGATGCTGTTCCGGAGCTCGAAGGGCCGCAAAGGGACCTCTTCGAAACGCTGTGCAACGCCACGAACGTAATTCCGCTTCTTGCGCGTGGCGACAAACTCGACGCTGAAAAGGCATCGGCTCGCAAGGATCAGATTGTGGACTTGATCCAAGACTGCGGGCTGGAGACATACTCGCTTGCGGATGGCGAGCAGGATGTGCTTCCCGAGCATGCAGACCCACTACTCATCTCGTCCGCACTCAGCGACGATGCAGAGACAATCGACGCAAGCGTGCTGATGTCCTCGCAGTACGTGCAACCACTCATCCCCAGCGAGCTGGCATACCTCGTCGAGCGACTTTTCCATCCAGAGAACGTCGCCCGTATGCGCCATCTCTCCGCCGTCAAGTTCCTGCTCTGGCGTCAGAACAACCTCGGTCAAGCGCTCAACCTGCACCAGCAAACACTGCTCCTATCACCGCAATTCGACGCGACCCTACCATCAGTGACAAGCACCGGCAGCCTGCTCGACGAGCCCAGCAAAGTGCTCGTTCCCTACGGCACATCAAGCTATTACCGCTCCGCATCGCCTTCCGCATCCGAGCTGTCAAACGATGGAGCGGCGGTGAATACCTCGCAATACGCCCTCGCAAAGCACAACGAGCAGACGCAAGGAGCGCTACCCTACCGTCAAGTCCGCCTCGCCAAATGGGCGCAGGATCTCCAGCGCAGTCTCAACAACGAGCGCAAGCGGTACCAGCAGATCTACCTCAACCCGCTGACCGACACGACGTACCCCTCTTCCTCCACGGACGCTGACGAGAAGGCACTCGTCACCACCCTCTCTGCTCCCAACCAGCGGCAGCGTCCCGCCCGCGGCCGCCTGGGCGGCGACATCGCCATCATTGACCCGCGCGACCCTCTTGGCGTGTTGGCGTTCAGCCAAGCACTTGGACGCCGAGGCTGGCTCGCTTTAAGGGTCGCGGGTGGTTGTGGCTTGATTGGGGCCGTGGCGTGGTGGGTCACGAGGAACTGGGTCGAGGTGCAGGAATGGTTTGGGGTGGGGCCTGTGGTGCCTACGCCTGCGGTGCCGGCGCCGACGAAGGGGGCGTTTGAGTCGTTGGTGGATTTGGGGTGGAGGGTTATGGGTGGTTGGTGAGCGGAGTGGTAGGGTGGTATACGCGTGAGGTTTTGATGTGTGGATGTGATGTGATGTGATGTTTACCATCCTTAGGGCTCCTCTTAGGCATCATGAAATAGAATGATTTAAAGTTTCAACGGCTTTTTGACATTTCAATGTATGTGACATTTCGTGCTGGAGACAGCCTTCAGGAGCACAAGCGCGCCGCTGATCGTTATGCTTGGCTATAGCCAAACAGGAAGTAGGCTAACGTCCGGTCAGAACGCGGTCGTGTGGTACAAGGCGCGGACTCGCCGACCGATGTCATATAAGCTGCCGTGAGGTGTTGTTCATTGCATCAAGCGGGCGTCTAACGACCACAACCCGCTGTTGATTCATTCTGATTCTTCGTTTTTGCCTCGGTTGAGTACCGTATGAGACGAGCACACGCCAGCTGTTGGAAATGGATGGAGTGCAACGCCGTGAAATGGGGTTTCAGCTATTGGCATTCTGTGGTCGGGTAAGGAGGACAACTTCGACGACGACGTTAGGAACGGGAAAGCTGCTGCTCAATGTTGTCTCCGTGACCGCTGGGCGCAATTACAGCACCGGCAGCAGTCTTCATACCAGCGATTGATACCTTTTTGTGCACGTCAACCGCTGCACAGGTCACTCGTCACCCCTCAGTCCGCAAAAGTCTGTCCCCACGAGCTTATCAATCCAGTAGAACAATCGCCAGTAAAGACTGGCCTTCTCGAGGTCGAACGTGCCGTCATCCTTGCGCGGCACTGTCGTACCAATCAGCTCGCTCGCTCCCACCCATGTCGCCCACGACTGCCTCGGTTGCTTAGGCATCAAGGCTTGCTCGGCTGGTAGTAGCATGGCCACCTGTGCGCCAGGAATGCGCAACGTGCCGGTGCCTGCTCCTCTTCGCTGTAATTGCTGAGATGGAACTGTGAGCTGCGCGCCGGTGCTGCCAGATGACGATGTTGACGATGACGGATGAAGTCGTGGTGGATCTCGTGACTCTCCATCTCCGCCATCCTGCGCGGTCATGGTAGCCGATGTTGCGGTTTGGCTGCTGTTCGGGCTCGCACCGTTAGTAGAGAAGGTCTGCGGCAGCGCTCCGCTCACAATCTGCGCTCCTGCTTGTGTCGCTGGAATAGCCTCGTCTCTAGCCGGTCCTCTGCCCTGGTAAGCTTCTGCGTAGATCAGATGGCCTTTAATGATATGCGGGCTTCTCGCGCATGCCAGCTCAGCAGCCTCGCGCGAGGAGAAAGTGACCTTGATCCAGTGCTCTCCACCAGCGTACCTGTTCTTCTTCCTCAATGCTGCCTTGCTGAGACTGCGCTGCAGCGTCGCACGACCGTATGCGTGCGTAGGATCATACGATCGTAGCTGCCCCGGCGCCGTGCGGTCGTAGTCTTCCAGCACCACCCCACCACTCACTCGCTCGAAGAAGTCGATAGCAGCCCACTGCAGGTCGGTACCGAACCCGTAAAGTAGCACCTCCGTTGCCTCCTGCTCACCACTCATGCCAGCGGTCATGGCGGCTGGAGCCTGCGCGACCGTGTTTGCTTCCACCTCACCCAATGCTTGTCTACCCTCGTCCCTCGTTCGCCTCATACTCCCGAAAACAGCATCCTCGGCAGCGACCTGCTCTCTGCGTACCCTATCTTCTTCCTTCTGGGGTTCGGCTGTCTTGCTACGACTCCTGCTGCTGCCCCTTCTGTTCCCTCTATTGCGGCCGAACGGGCCCTTCTCAGCCGGCTCGCGACTTGTACGGTCAGGGTCGCCATCCCGGTACGTTGTTGAGACTGCATCATACGCCCACGGTAGCTTCTTGCCTGACGAGTCGAGTGCTCTCTCGTTCTCGGGCACGTGATGTATCTGTGGGCCTGGCGCTCCTCTTCTCTGAAAGCGGTCCATGTGTGCAGCGTAACTTGGAAAGTGTAGCCGTAACAGGATACGTGAATCCACTGATTTCAGCGTGTAGATTACTGTGACTACTTTGACCAAGGATGAAGCGAGCCAATGGATATGTTGCAGGAATATATCATATTCACTTTCCAGACGCGTGCGCAGACGCGGGTGTTACTGGAGGACTTCAGCCGCTCCGCTTCAATGCTGGGTAACACTACGTGTAGGTCCTCTCTTTCCGCCCACGTTTGTGACGGACTCGTCGGTCCAAAAAGGCGTACAGAGAGCATACGTCAGTGGGATCAAGGTCGTGTACCTAAATGTGACATAGACAAGGCAGCTGTAACACTGCCAGGTGACCTGCAACGAGACGGTGAGATGCAATCTTGGACGCAATCAGTGCTTCGTTACCATTCTAGAAGTACAATTTTCGCGCGAGCCCCGATGTAAGTTTCACCACCCGATGTAGCACTCCACTCTCTCGTGCTCATGACCACCGCTGGGACCAATTTCTGCTTGCCTCGGCGCAATATCACCTTCGGTCTGCTACCCTACTCGCCCATGACGTCGATTCCTTGACCACCCTCCGGATACTCCTCGATCTTGCGCTCGAAGCGTGTTTCAATGGCCTTAAGGACCGCCTCATCGCGCTCACTGCTGACGAAGCTAACGGCCACACCCTTGGTACCGAAACGACCAGCACGACCAACGCGATGGAGGTAGGTGTCGGCAGCTTGTGCCAAGCTCTCCTTGTCTGACGAGCCTGGGTTCTGCGGCGAGTCGGGCATATCGTAGTTGACAGCCATGTTGATGCGTTCGATGTCGATGCCACGACCGAAGACGTCCGTGCTGACACAAATGCGGTGCTTGAAAGCCTTAAACTCCTGATAGCGCTTGATGCTGTTGACTGTCAGTATCCGGTGATTGTGCTGCGGGAAAGGATGGGCTTACCGCTCCTCTTGGCTGATACCTGAATGGACTGCCGTGGCTGGGAAGTTGCACTCGATAAGGAGCTTGGCCAGCTCGTTTGCACGGACAGTGCTCTTGACAAAGATGATGACCTGGTTGAAGGTGACCTCATCCAGTAAGTCATTCAAACGCCGGTTCTTCTCGGACTCTGAGAGCTTGCAGTAAAATTGCCTCAAACCGTGGAGCGTAAGCTTGGTTTCGTCATCCACGTAGATCTCCAGGGGGTTGCGCATGAACTTCTTGCAAATAGGGCGTGTAGCTTGCGACAGGGTCGCCGAAAACATCATTACTTGCTTGTTGGTCGGTGTGGCGCGGAAGATCTCTTGAACATCGCGGCGCATGTCTGTATAGGGTTGATTAGCTTGGGCCACGGAGAAGGCAGGCGGTACTTCAGCATACCAATTTGATCGAGCATCTTGTCGCACTCATCAAGAACGAAGAACTTGACGGTGCCAAGTCTCAGCTTCTTCTCACGTACGAGCGCATTAAGACGGCCAGGCGTGGCCACTATGATGTTGGGGTACGTTTCCTTGCTGGACAGAAGCTTCTCGTTCTCCTTGATGTCGGTACCGCCGTAGAAGACCGCAGTCTTCACGTCAGGCATGTACTTGGTGAACCGGTTGTACTCGTTCTTGATCTGGAATGCAAGCTCGCGCGTGTGGCACATTACCAGGACTGACGCTTCGCCAGGCACAACATCGATCTGCTGGAGGGTCGAAATGACGAAGACTGCTGTTTTGCCGAGACCAGATTTCGCTTGGCAAAGGACGTCGGTGCCAACGATGGCTTGTGGAATGCACACTTGCTGGACTGTTGTATGAGAGTGTTAGAGTAGGTTCGTCCAAGCAAGAAGCGTGAGCGAGCGGCGAGCGAGCAAGCGAGACGTCCGACATTGATCCTTGATTCACGTCATAAGAGCAGTAACTTGCAAACGGAGGTCGCCACCCTTTGCAGCCATAGTACAATCATGGACTCGCGCTTGGATGGTGGACCGACAGACACTTGAGGCCAGACAGCTCACTCGAAGTGAGAATGCTTGCTCCATAGCGGCGCCCGAGACCCTGTCCCGGGAGTAGGCAGTATGTTCTGGTACCCGTAGAGACAGCCGTAGCTTGCGAATCCGCAGACGTGCGCAAAACGGGTGCTGACGGGGCTGCTCGAGGCCTTCCCGCCATGCCTCTCTACTCTCACGCTCGTCACTTCTCGCACACCCCGTTGCAGCATTGTGTTGGGGACGTTGTAATCATTCGCTGCCGGCAGACGCTCTCGCTTGCTCGCTCACTCGCTCGTATTCGCTGAAGGACCGTAGGCATGTAAAGACGTGACTAACCCTCTGATGGATGCTCGAAGCCGCAGTCCGTGATGGCTTTCATGATCTCAGGCTTAAGAAGCAGGTCCCGGAATGAGGTTGAATGAATGCCGACATAGCTGCCTTTACCCTGAGCGGCGCCTGCGCCGGTCACCGTGAGGTCGCCCTTCTTAGCATCGCCGTTTGTGGCCGCACCAGTGGCCGCAGCGCCATCGGTAGGTGCGATTTCCTCGTCGGAGTAGTCGATCAGATCCTCCTCAGCGGACATGGTGACGGTTGAGATGGGGTGGATGTGTCGTGTGTCGCGTGAGGCTGACGCCTCTTCGCAAGTTTCCGGGTGACGGCTGTTGGTAGGAAGAGGAAGATGCACGACAGACTGTCAATGCCGGAGCGGCTGAATGCAGATCGATGTCGGGGTGAAGGTGGGAGGGAGATGGTGTATTGGAAGGGGTAAGGCAGTTGCTGCAAGGCGCGCGTTTCAAACTTTGGTTCACAGCGAAGAAGGTGCGCGGAGACTGCCGGATTAGTCACACGTGGTTGGCGCGTGCGTACTCATGGTTCTTTCACCTCAGGGTTCCATGTAGCCTGCTACTGCTCGTACAGCGTTGACTAGATACATCAATGATGTATTGTGTGTTCGAGACATGGCAAAGAACAAAACGAAAGGTGGTGTGCCCAACAAACATCTACGTGCTCGCCTCTCATACCTCCAACAAGCGGCAATCTATCTCACAGCCAGGAATGCACACCATCCGGATAGCGGACGGTGTTGTGACGCTACTGGACATCCCAGCAATAGAGCTGTCGAAAGGGACTATGCTGTCAAACGTGATGATGATCTGAGCCCAGGTTCATCGCTCAACTTCCCTGCCACTGGCGGTCTGCCACTGTACCTTAATAGCCATCTTCGCCAAGTTGCGTTGAAGTCGCAGATCCGCTTGCATACCGACGTCAAGCATGCCTTCTGCAAGGCTTGCAATACCGCTCTAGTAGAGGGACAGACATGCCGAAGGTACATCGAGAACTTATCGAAAGGCGGCAAGAAGCCTCATGCAGATGTTTCGGTGCTCCAATGCAATGCTTGTGGTGCAGCCAAACGATTTCCCATCGGCGCGAAACGACAGAAAAGGAAGGGTGAGAGGCAACCATGCTTACCATCTGCTGAAGAGCCGCTGCCGGCACAATCACGAGCTCCATGCAGGATTTGATTTGACAACGACGCTGCCTTCGGCTACTCGCCCCTGAGCGGGAAAACATGGTATTTCATATACGACATGTGATTCTCCCCTCACAGCATCAATAGTAACGGAGATCGCAGCGTGTAGGGAAGGTGCTCCACATGCCCGTGCCTTCCTCGTTCGCGTGAAGGGACGCTTCACTTTCTGGCAGGCTCGACACGTCTGCTCCGATCACACAACCACCAACACTCGTCATTCGCCCTTTGTTTGCCTCAGAACACAAGAGGCCAGTATACAGTGCGTTCCTCCCCACTACCTAAGAACATGGACCACGCTGCGAGGGCAGCATTCAAGGGAGCGAAGAAATGCTTCGGCCACCTTGTCCAAGGTCTGGAGAATGTCAGCTGGGGAGAGTTGCCTAACCACACCAAGAACCACATCGGAAAGGATCCGGGAATGACAAGTCTTCAAGTCATTCTTGTTGTCGTGGCATTGACGCCAGGCGTTGTCGCTACGCCTCTGCTATACACGTTGGGGTTTAGCGGGTTGGGTCCGTTGGCGGGTAAGTCGACACGGTTTTGGGGAAGCGCTATTGCGTGCTAATTGACGTTAGGTTCGGCGGCAGCCGCTTTCCAGTCCACCTTCGGCACGATAGCCGGATTCAGCACTCTTCAAAGTGCGGCTATGGCTGGCTATGGTGCACCAGTCGCGAATGCAGCCATATCCGGCATGACAGCAGGCTCGGCGCTCTTTGCCGAGCTGCTCGAGAAGCGCACGGTAGGATAATGCGAGAACGGATCCAGACAGCGGCAAGCTTGCAGACCCGGCTGGGTTGCAATAACCGGTAGCGGAATGATGTGACACGGCGCACATGCTAATGGCCAAGCTCTGAAACTGTAGAAGGCAGCGGGGAGTTCATGATATTCAATACCCTGCCTGGGCCGTGCGGATCCGAGGGTATCCATGACGGAAATGCAGTCACTATGGATGACAAAGTGCAGAGTCTCAGCGGGCTGCGTGGGCTAACACTCCGCCGCGCTAGAGTGATTCGACATCTATCTGGATCGCCTACGCCTTGCCAAAGACAGCGCTTTCTTACAAAATCTTCTCCTTTACATACAAATCCATGTACTCGTCTACTGGCATCTTGTACAGTTGGCTGGGATCGTTGCCAAGATCCACCAGCTTCTTCACGTGATCCTTTGGGAAATGCGGCTCCAAATGCCGCAAGTACTTCGCCAGGATCTCCGGCTTGGCCTCTTCTCTCCGGAGCCTGTGGCCAAGAGGTGCCTCCACTACCTCCTCTTCCAGCGTTGTGCCATCCTTCAACCGCACAGTCAAGGCGTTGGAAATGGTCCGCTTGGACGGGTCGTGGTAGTCCTTGGTGAATTGCGGGTCTTCAACGCACTTGATCCGCTTCCGCAGCGACTCTACCAACGGCGACTGCGCGGCCTCCGAGTTATCGGGATAATCGCTCGCCTCAAGTCTGTCGTAGCAGAACATGACGGAGACCATGTACTGCACGCAGTGGTCACGGTCGGCGTAGTTGTCCATAGGCTTGAACTGCTTGTCGATGATACGGATACAAGCCTCGTGTGTGCGGTTGGTGACATCTTCGATGTCCTCTGCCGTCTTGCCCATGGACTTAAGCTTCTTATTGATTCGCTGTGCCGCTTCAACGGCGGTCTGTGAGTGGAACTCGGCCGGATAGGACACTTTGAAAAGGACGTTCTCCATGACGTAGCTGCCGTATGGTCGCTGGAAGTCGAAACGCTTGCCATGGAAGTTGACATCGTAGAAACCCCAGGTCGGCGCCGTTAGAACGGTTGCCATGCCACCTTCGCCACCCATCACCTTCAAGCACAGGTTCACAGCCTTCTGGCATGCATCACCGGCGGCCCAGGACTTGCGGCTCATGGTGTTGGGGCTGTGGCGGTATGTACGCATGCTTTGGCCGTCAACCCACGCTTGCGAAATGGCGTCCCGAACCTGCCCTTCTGAGAGTCCAAGCATCTGAGCACAGACGGCAGTCGATGCAACCTTGACAAGGACAACATGGTCGAGGCCGACTTTGTTGAAGCTGTTCTCAAGCGCCATGCAACCCTGAATTTCGTGTGCCTTCACCATAGCCTCGAGGACATCCTTGACAGTGAAGATCTTGCCTCCAGCGAGTTTCTCGCCGCCCGCCTTGTTCGTCCGGTTGACCCAATCCGCAACTGCAAGGATGGCACCAAGGTTGTCCGAAGGGTGACCCCACTCAGCTGCGAGCCAGCAGTCGTTGAAGTCCAGCCATCTGATCATGGCGCCGATGTTGAAGGCCCCTAATATGGGATCGAGGACGTATGGTGTACCTGGTACGCGAGTGCCATTGGGAACAGTGGTGCCTGGTACGACCGGGCCGAGCAGCTTGGTGCACTGTGGGAATTCGAGGGCTTTAAGACCACAGCCAAGAGTGTCCAAGAAGACGAATCGAGCAGTGTCAATCTACAAAATGTACACGTAAGTCTGGGACATTGAGAGGTCCGACATGCTTTCATAACGTACAGCGAGCTCACTGTCGACATTGTAACTATGTGCATACTTGGCCATCTCCACAATCTCCTTGTCGAACTCTTGTGGAGCGGCGGGGGCGGCCATTGCATCCGATTTTGGATTCATCGCTGCTGAGAATGCTCGTGTTGTCTGTCGGGGGATCTGCTGGAAGGACTGAGGTCTGAGTGATCGTTGGGCTGTGTAGGAGCTGTTGCAAAGTGGAGCTCTGCTTTGCCGGAGAGCAGAACGAGTTGATCGAGCAAGCGTACGGGTTGCGAGAGAGGACATTGCTGCTCGCTAAGGTGTAAACAGTAGTGTTCTTGTCGCACTTGCGAGAACTTTACACACGGCTTGTCCGAGCTCACCAGGAGCCCAAAGCAACTCACTTTCTCTGCTGTAACTTTGTCAAGCTTGACTGAACGGACCTCGGATGCAAGCTCCCTCGCAGCAGCAGCAGACGGCTGTCCCCGCTCTCCAATGCCTTCCTCGGATACGGGGTTGCCGATTTCGGAGCGCTCTACCATGTACATTTCAAGGCCATTATGCGATTTCGTGCCTACCTAATTTGTCCGTAGGCTGTTGCACGTGAAATCGTTGATTTGGGATCGGAGATGATGATGCCGGCTCTTGTGCTGCGGTCACCAACGCGCCGCGAACGCGTGGCAGCAGGTGGTGTTGCATCCAGCGATGGCTAGCACTTGACGGGTTCACGTGCAGCAACCTGATCCGCATCAGAGCGGCCGGAAACCGCTCGGGCTGTATATGCCCACCACGAATCTGTAGTTACCTCGCAACATGTCGGCTGCCGAGCACCCTGATGGCCAAGAAGTTTTCTATGAGCCTCCTCCAGGCTTGCCACCTGATGCTGAAGAGGCAGCCGATGGCGTCGCGAACAAGATGAGGTCGTACTTGGCCCGGCTAGTCCAAGACGTGAGAGACTACCAACTCACTCACGGTCATGTCCTCAAAATGGTACGCTTCCAGAATAGCTACCATGTCCCATCAACTGGCATCAATGTAAGCCTTGCTCCAACACCCTTCCCACGCCGCCTCTACGATGAGGCTGTGGCGCTGCAACATTGCATGAACGAGCTGTATATCAAAGCGGCTGCGGATGAGGCGTGGTTGTACTCCGTTCTTAGGCCGGAGATCGAAGGTGACAAGGACGGTTTGCTTGCCAGTCTCTGGGACGTTCACATGAAGTGTAAGGAAGCTGGGTCAGTGCAGGATGTCAAATGTGGGTTGTTCAGAAGCGACTACATGCTTCATGGCAATGTCGACGGCAACAGCAGACTGAAGCAGGTCGAGATGAATACATTTTCAGTTGCCGGAGGTTGTCACTCAGAACGAGTCTCGGATATGCATGGTTACCTCAGACGGAAGCGCGGATACGAGCAGGTAAGTCTACTCTAGTGTCATGGTTATCAAGCGCGAATCGGCAAATCGTCCGCTGATGTGCATTTCCAGGAAGGAAGAGAGCTCTCGGCGATGCAGATGAACCTGCTACCTCGAAACACGAACATTGCTTCAATGACCGCTGGCTTGACGGCTGCGCACTACAAGTACCTTGAAACCCACCCAAAGCTTGCGGACAACCCGGCCAATACTGTCCTAACGTGCGTGCTTATGGTTGTGCAGCCGCTCAACTTTAATGTCGCAGACGAGCGCCCTATCGAGTATGGATTGTGGGAAGCCAATGTTCCGTGCTACCGCTGCGAGTGGCATGCCATTCTGGCACAGACAAGGCTCGACGAGAACAGACACCTGATTTTCATGCCGGCCGGCAGCTCCACAGAGTTCGAGGTAAGCGTGGTCTACTACAAAGGCGGATATGACCCCGCGGAGTATGGCCCAGAGGCGGATGGGAAAAGCACCCGTCTCATGTTGGAGATGTCCTACGCCATCAAGTGCCCCGACATACTGACGCACCTGACCACGTTCAAGGCCGTACAGCAGGCGCTCGCAGAACCTGGAGTAGCAGAGAGCTTCCTCGCCTCTCCACAGACTGTCAACCAGCGGGCTGCGGTGAGAGACAAGTTCATGCCCATGTATCCTCTGGGCGCAACACCTTCCGGACGAGAAGCTCGCAGACTGGCCACGGATCCCAGAGAGGTCGAGCGTTACGTCCTGAAGCCCAACCTAGAGGGCGGTGGACATAATGTCTTCGGTTCCGACATTCCGGACTTTCTATCCGGGAAGCCTGAGGATCATTGGTACAAGTACATCCTCCAACGCCGGATCGAGCCACCAACTGCCATTACGGGCGCCCTGCTTATGGCCGAGGAGCTGTATGAAGGAGCTGTAGTCTCCGAGCTAGGCATTCTAGGCTTTGTCATGTGGAAGCAACTTCCGTCTGGCGGGAATGAGGTCACAAATGTTGAGACTGTGCGGAACGAGGCAGCTGGCTGGACGTTTAAGACGAAGCCTCAAGAAATCAACGAGATGAGTGTTGTCAAGGGCTACGGTTGCTTCGACTGCCCGCTACTCGTGTGATTCAAGGTACTTTTGAGAAGAGTTTGAAACTGCTCATGGTGACATTTAAGAAGCCTCGGACCGTAACCAATTGTGAAAGTGGGACGGTAAACACGCGCACGACAGAGTGGAAGAGGACAGGGAGGCTTCCTGAACGCACCGCGTATGCGAAAGCGTCCATCGACCGCCTAAGACTCTTGAACGCGGTACACCGTTTGTGAAAGAGTATGTCTAGTGCTCCTTCGCTGGTCACTCGTGTGTGCGTGCCAAGTGAATGTCCGTCATTCACATGCTTGATATGCCTCCTGATCACCTGCAACTTCTAGGCAACCACCAAAGCTGAGCCTTGAACCTCTCCACGCCGTCAACACACTCTGATACCACATCTCGCTCCGATCTAGTTTACGCCCAATCAAACCCTCCGGCGTGGAGTACCAACGACATAACTCGCGGAACCGAGCACTCTAGCCGTCTTCTGACCGTGGCGGAAAATCGCAAAGCCTCATTCAACCCTCTGCATGTTCTCGCTTGAGGTGTCACTCTCCTTGGGAGACGAGCAATGGCAGCACAAATGGAGCATCGGAGATGGCAAAAGCAGTCTTGACTCGACTCCAGAAGATGCGCGCCATCCACCCCCTCGGTCCATCATAAGACCGCCACCGGCCAACTACGCCACTCCGGATGTCAGTATCCGCGCGAAACGTGCCAGCAGGATACCAAAGCCGCCATCCGGGTCCGAGCAGAGCTCGATAGATATGGACAGGAGCTTCAGCTCACTGTCTCCGCACGCGCAGCAGCTACAACAGTCCGTCCGTCACCGTCAATTTGAGCAATATCTTGGCAGTGTCCGCTCGGAAACGGCAGCAACGAGCATCACGACGGTTGCCAAGCCTAGTCGCTTGGGTCAAAGAAGAGACCGCGAAAGCTTGCGCTTACTCGAGACTGCGTACCGTAGGCTGCCCCGTTCTGGTCGAGCACCGGTTCGTAGGACGAGAACCGATACAAGCACCAATGGAGACTGGCAGATGATCAGTCTGCTCGACTCGGAAGGGTACTGCGACGGCTTAGATGAGCCGGGCTTCAAGTCCGGTCTCACGCCGCTTGCTGGTCGCAGCACGTCCGGGTCGCCGGCTTTCCAGTCTCTTCACAGTGTAGCTTGGGGGCCTTTCCACGGGGGTGTAAACGGCCAGACCGACGTAGATATTGCCACCGAAAGGACTGACGCACCGCATGGGCACAACCACGACTGCTCGAGCGGATCTGGTCTAGCAGCCTCCCACGCCTACACGCAGCAAATGCAAGGCAGTCTGGAGAACAAGCTGCCGGAGCACATGCACTCAGTGCACATGCTCTTCGAGCGGCTTCAGCGCCAGCATGATGCGCCGAAGCAGCTCGGGAACCGCGAGGAAGAGTGGCAGGCTTTTAGTACGTTTGAGGAGCGGCACAGCTTACCATCCAATGCAGTGGAAAGGTCTGAACATGAATTGCAGTTGGATGATGCCGGCACTGCTCGTCTTTGCGACAGCAACCTCCAATCAGCCGAGAACTTCTTGGAAATTGTCAAGGCGCAGCAGGCCGCAATTGTCGGGCAGGAACGCGATATCGCAGATGGTGGAATCGATGATGATAATGATGATGAATGGCAGTTCATCTGACGAATCTCTCAAGTTGCTGGCCCGGTGGATCTGTGGGCTTCGTTATGCTACTGTGCAATTGGAGCGGTTCGATGTGCTAGCCACAGTGCATGTGCTGGATCTGGAGCCGTCTCCGGTTGTAACGCGCGCTGGGCGACGTATGTCTATGAACATTACATGAATTCTAAAACCCGCTCCCTTCGTACCGTACATACGTATGAGCATCTATCTGAACTCCCTATGCGCCAAGCGTAGATCAAACGGGAAACGCTAACCGGTGCAACCGTTATACCCCTTTTGCTGCCACATCTTCACGCTCTTGATGATCATCTCACCGCTCTTCTGCCACGTTGGGTACCACTGGTTCCTCGCATTCCAGAAGTCATGCTTGGCGGATGGGGAGGCATCAACCCACGGCTTGCTTGCGACTCCGTCATCGAACCAGCCGTTGGTGCTACCCACTGCGACGTTGAGGATCAAATAAAAGTCCTGATCAAAGGGTGTGCTGTCATGGCCGGTCTGGCTCCAGGGGTCGACAAGCCGGGTGCCGTTCGTGTCAGAGACGGGGAATTTGCCCTTTTGCCAGAATGGCTTGTTGAAGTTGGTGTACAGTACCTGCAGGAGACGAGTGTCGATGTACGAAAAGATGTACTTCTCGCTCCACTCCAGACCGAATGTGTGGAAACCCGAGGAATAGGTCGTGTGCAACGCCTCGCGCTTTACGTTGTTCTGCCACCAAGCATCGTTGTCGGCATCAGGTCCCCAATGGAGTGTAGAGGAGACGATGTTGTTGCCACCCTGGGGATAGGTGTAGTTGTTGCCGCGAGCTTCCATGATGTCAATCTCACCGCTCGCAGGCCAGTCACCGTAGGTGTTGTTTACGGGCAACATCCAAATCGCTGGCCACATCCAATCACCAGCGGGTAGCTGCGCGACGACTTCGACACGGCCGTATTTGATGGAAGCACCAACCTTCGTGTTGAGGCGGGCGGACTTAACAGGGTTGATGATAGTGCCGTTTGTGGTATTCGTAACAGCCACACAAGCGTACCAATCCGTGGCCGTGCAGGAACCATCCTGGAGCAGGTTCAGGACGTTGTTGTTGTTAATAAGTGACTCGTCTTGCAAGGTGGGCTTGATGTATAGCATGCCATCCTTGACGTAGGAGTTCTCGTTGGTGTTGGTCGTCTCCTCGAACTGACCGTTGCTGCTAAAGGTCAGTATGCTAGGGGCTGAATAGATTGGTATGCTCGCTTACCCATAGCCACCGACTTCTACTTCCCTCGTCCAGACCTTGGAGTTTAGGTCGGCGCCCGAAAAGTCCTCGTCCAGCACGGGGCAGTACACATGGTTTGTTACGCCTTGCAGACCTTCATAGATGAGGAAACCAGAGAGCGCTAAGCCCACAAAGATTCCGATCAATGGGATGATGGTCACCCACTTCTCTTTAGGATCTTTCTTGCCCAGCCACGGCCGCTCGAGTTCACCCTTCTTTATCCGTCTCGAATGGAAGTATGTGGGCGGTTGTGCTTGTTGGAAACCAGTGCTGGAGCCCCTTGCCGAGCCAAAGCCATAAGGTGAGTTGTAGCCGACAGGCGTGCTAAAGGGATTCCTTGCGGGAGGAACTGGTTCGATCTCGTCGTGGTCGGATGAGCCTGACGTCCGTTCCGCGAGTGTGGCCGTGGCCGAGCCAGTCTGGAAGCGATCCATACTTGAGGATCTTCTCTTTTCCGGTGATGTCGGTATGCTGCTTTAGACTTGTAGGCAGAGAAAGCAGAACGATGATGAAGGGGCGGGAAGCCTCACGACACTATAAAGATAAGCGACACGGCGATGTGTGGCCAGAGAACAGAGATATGCGAGCTACAAGGTTATCACGGACGCAATGGCGTAACAAGTCGCCATTGCGTCGAACTCACCCGTATCTTAATGCGGTACTATTGGGTGAGGCGCCACTCTAGCCAGAATGTCTGGTTTGAGTTTTCTGAACCCATCGAGGTATGACTTGTCAGAAATGAGATAGGTCGGCGTTGGGATGCCGGTCGGGTTTGGCGCCCGAACGAGTCCAGCGCAAGACAACCCGGGATGTGTGGAAATGTAAGAAACCATGTCCAGAAGGGGAGCTGTGGAGCAAGTGTACTAACCTAATGTTAGCGTTTCGGGATGCGTACAGTCAAGAGTTGTGTAGTACTGGAGGCGGGCAGGTTCTATTCTCGTCGACTGCACTGTACAGCAGCGACTGCAATATAGTGTTGCTGCAATATGCAAGGTTTCGCATATGCCTGTGGCGGCGTATCAGCGCCTCGTTACGATACGCAAATCGTATTCGCAAGCGAGAGAGGTTTCGTTGTGCTTCAGATTAACCTTTGGCTTCCGGCGGGATGGTTATGGGTACCTGAGGGCAGACCAGTCTGTGGCGGACGCGGTGAACGACGCATAATCGTGGCTCATGTCCGTTACAGTAGCTGCCGCGTGAGTGTGACAGGTCGCACTTTCCCGATGGAACCTTGATGCTCGCTGGCGGAAGACAAGTGCCCCATTAGGCGAAGGGAAAGGGGTCTGTTGCCGGTGCGGGATCGGTGGCTCAAGCCTGAACTGGAAAACACTGCACTGTACCATCTGAATGCGATCGCACGCCGAAAAGCTGCTGCCGAGCCGTTCCAATCTACCTCAAGATTCGGTGCAGATCACATGGCAGTTTAAGCAGAACGGCGCCGAACTCTGCGAGCTTGGCGACCGTTGGCCCGCGATCGCGCCGGCTCCTTTGACAAATGGGGCAACGCCACCTTGCACTAGAATGGTCTTCAGAGCTTGTTATGATGGCAGAACGGTTGAACGGCGGTGCCAGCTTCGATGTTTCTTCGACGTCGATGCAGCGTCCCGCCGGTGGATCTGTGAAACGCCTAGTTTCTATATCCATCCGCCATTATGCGCGAAGCTAGAGCGACTTGGCGTACTGGCGACGCGTGGTTGACCCGACAGCCAGTCGCAGTCTAACGGCGGCTTGCCTTTTTGTGGCTGCATTAATCACCCGCGCGCAGAGGCTCTCTGAACGTCAGATGGGTTACGCTAGTGACACAGCATCACCGCTACTGCGCGTAGTAAATGATATTCTTATCTTTGAGCGACGATGGACCGCCATTCGCACACGTCAGAGTGACCTGCAACAACGGCCATGTCGGGACCGACGACACGGCAAGGTTCCTACAGCCTTCCCTGCACAGCGTGCAGCTGCACCTCTGGAATCTTGAGGCCACTATCACGGGCTTGTAAAAGTAGGCGGAAGCTTTTGCGCTTCTCGGCACCAGTACGGGCACCCTACCTGGAAGGCCGCGGGAATGGATTCGGGCGACGGCTCGTTGCATCATGAAGTGCATCCTGCCACGCATGCGGCGAAGACGGTGTGGAGTACTCTCCTGCTAACCGCTCGGTACCTGAGAGCCAGGACGCGAAATCCTCGTGTCCGGCACTGTCGCAGAGATTATGCTTATCAGGCTTATCATTGGTACTGCAGGCGTTTGACTGTGCAGATGGTGGAGGATGCCTCTATCCTGTGCCTTCTTCCGGTGAGTGCATTAAGCGGCAACCAACAGCCAGCAGGAACTCATCTACGTGTCTGCAATGTTGCACGTCCCATGCCTGCATGCCATTCTCGCAAGGCAGCCGACTCCCCGAACTTGGAACTCTGTGCTAATCTAGGAACAAAGGGCAAGGATATTGCGGAGCTTTTTATGCAATGCATTCCGCCATGCATGGCAACGTGAAACGTTAAAGCGACCTGGGCCTGGCCTATCTGCGAGGGAGTTGTACCGGCGATGAGGATTAAGCAACTTCAACAGACGCCCATGTAATCAGGCTTCCAATGCATCCAACTTCATCATGCACGAAGCACGCGACCGCTATACGTTGATGTTCTCTCTGCTGAAAGCAGCGCGTAGGAGCAGCGCTGAGGCATCTCGCCACGTCCGCCAATTGCTTCAATCTGCCTCTGGGAGCAATGTATAACGGTTCAGATATTGCGTGGCAAAGTGTCGCGAGAACCGAGTGCTGAGAGGGATTGAGCTGCAGTCGGAATGTCACTGCCAGATTAGGTGGATGCCCGGCACCTTGTTGCCAAGCATTGTGCCGAGCACCTACAATGGATACGACTGCGTGGATCCCAAAAACTCAAGGTTTATGCCGCCAGAACACCGCATCAGTCTACGGACCGCTTGGACACACGCGCAGCATGCTGTGCCTGCTGCAACACCATGACCCGCTTTCCCACTTGGGGTCTCCCAATTTAGGTTTTATCGACTGGGGTTCCGACTATGCTGTGACACAACCCTTACACAGGATGGCCATGTATGGATCACGGTCGCCACAATGCCAACACGCTGGTAGCAGAACTCAAGCCGGGTCCGTGACATCGCTTGGTATACGCGCTTGATAACGCATACCTAATTCAGGGCGGCTCGGTCTCAATCAGGCCGATGTGCTCTGGACGTTCTACCTTACTCTCATCATCTCCCGTCTTGCTGTTTCGTAGCTCAGCATACCTCTCGCTGTTGCCAGTATTGATATTTCGCTTGTCGTTCGCTTTCATATCGATTATCTTGCAATAGGCTACCCTAGTAAGAGAGGTCTTACAGTAAAAGACCGGCAACAGCCCTTTCAGCCACTGACTGGCCACAATGGGCCTCCTTGGGTACTTGAAGTCGAGTAAGAAAGCGGAGAAGGAGAAGGCACCACAAGCGTCAGACACATCGAACAACGAGCAACCAGACTGGCGTGAGAAGCCACACCCACCCTTCGCACAAGATGGTTCGGAAAACCCAAGGGCATCATTATCTTCAACCAAGTCTGGAACGCCACGCACAAGCTTCATGGAAGACATCAGACACGAGGTCATGGTTAACTACCTGTTCCAGCAGCAGTGTGCGAACTTGTGGATTGGCGACAGCACGGGCTACACGGAAGGCATACTGATCCGCAAGCTAAGAGGCAGCTATCTCGCCTGTCCTCCGGATCTCATTCACTCGCAGTTCGCCGCTGGTGTCATGGCGTTGAACCTAATGTGTGCCATGACTGTCAACAGCCGTGTCGTGAAGACGTACCTTTCGTGGGTCCCTGATGGCGCTGATGTGCCGTTGAAAAACGGTCTTCATGTGCAAGTCCTTCCCACCATGGAGGACTTCAAGAAAGCAAGAAGTGCTCAGTCGGCGGCCTTTATTCTTAACGAAGGTCTGCTGGTAGTTTGGGATGATGGTGCGTTGACCTGCAATGTCATCGACCTGTAACAATAGCTGACACCATTCAGAGGCCGCTAACCTGATACCCCGGGCAAAAGCAATTGAGTCTGAGCTTATGAACATGATCTGGAGTGCCGGAGATGAGCTCCAGGACGACGACACCAGCCCTGACCAGGACAACAATAAGAAGGTGCCGCGAGTAACTTTCGAAGAAGTGGACGAAGAGAGCGGCGAACTGCTACCCGAAAAGCGACCCACCCACCTCATGAACACAGTCCTGGTTGGTGTGACACTCTTCCTGATCACGGTCATGTTAGGCGCTGGCTTTCGCCAGATTGGCATCGCCACCGCGGTCGATCACAACTACCTGAGGGTAGCCTTCGTTCTCCTCACTCCGGTGCAGATCTTCTTCACGCTTTTCTTCGCACAAGTCATTGTGGGTTGCGTCGCTCAATGTATTGGGCCTATCAAGCAGATGCGGGAGAACAGTCGCTTCTATTCCGCCATGCTGCCTCGACGACTGACCACCCGACCGTTGCCGCACGTCACCGTGCAGTGTCCAGTCTACAAAGAAGGTCTCGCCGGCGTCATTGCGCCAACTGTCCGCTCAGTGAAGAAGGCAATTTCCACATACGAACTTCAGGGTGGTACAGCTAATATATTCATCAATGATGATGGACTGCAGCTTATTGACGCCGAAGAGAGGCGAGCACGGATCAACTTCTATGCAGACAACTGCATCGGCTGGACAGCTAGACCGAAGCATAACTCGGACGGCTTCATCCGCCGTGGTAAGTTCAAGAAAGCTAGCAATATGAACTTTGGCCTTATGTTGAGCAACAATGTTGAGACGAAGCTCGCTGAGGTGCAAAGGCACGAGCTCTGGACCCAGAACGACGAAGCGGCCGAGTATGAGAGATGTTTGCAGGAAGTAGTCCAAGAACATGGCCGGGCTTGGGCGGATGGCAATATCCGAATTGGAGACTACATCCTCATTATTGACAGTGATACCCGTGTTCCCGAAGATTGTCTGCTTGACGCAGTCAGCGAGATGGAGCAATCACCACAAGTCGGCATCATGCAGTTCAGCTCTGGTGTGATGCAAGTGGTTGGCGACTTCTTCGAGAACGGTATCACATTCTTCGTAAGTCCATGGTCGTCCGGACCCGCACGCCTCAACCAGCACTAATCGTAATCCCAGACGAACCTTATCTACACCGCCATCAAATACACCGTCTCCAACGGCGACGTTGCACCCTTCGTCGGTCATAATGCCATCCTCCGCTGGAGCGCCATACAACAGATCGGCTACTTTGACGATGACGGTTACGAGAAGTTCTGGTCCGAAGCGCACGTTTCGGAAGACTTTGAAATGTCCCTCAAGCTCCAGACCAACGGCTACATCATCCGTCTTGCCGCCTGGGCAGGCGAAGGCTTCAAAGAAGGCGTCAGCTTGACCGTCTACGACGAGCTTGCCAGATGGGAAAAGTACGCCTACGGCTGCAACGAATTGCTCTTCCATCCCATCCGCACATGGCTGTGGAGAGGGTAAGTCTCTTGACCCGCCCTACTATGTTATCTTCGGGTACATCATACTGACACGTACTTGACAGCCCATTCACTCCCCTCTTCCGCAAATTCCTCTTTTCCAACATCCGCATGACCTCCAAGATCACTATCATCTCCTACATCGGAACTTACTACGCCATTGGTGCCGCGTGGATCCTCACCTTGGCCAACTACTTCGCCATAGGCTGGTTCAACGGCTACCTGGACAAGTACTACATCGACTCCTGGAAAGTCTGGTTCTCCATCGTCATCGTCTTCAACGGGTTGGGCAACTTCGCGTTGGCTACAATGCGTTACCGGATTGGCGAGCGCAGCTGGTTCGGGAGCTTCATCGAGAACATCAAATGGACGCTCATGCTTGCCGTCTTCCTGGGTGGGCTAAGTCTGCACGTCAGCCAGGCGCTGTAAGTACACCCCTGCTTCTACCCATGATACCGCCACACATCGTGCTGACATTCTCTCTTCACTACAGCCTATCACATATGTTCGAAATCAACATGACCTGGGGCGCCACGTCCAAGGAGGCGACACAGACCAACTTCTTCATCGAGGTCCCGCGTGTGCTCAAGAACTTCAAAGGCAGCATCGGCTTCTCCCTCTTCGGCATCGTCATGATGGTCATACTGGCCACCGCCGATTTCGTACCCTACAGCTGGCGCATCAACGACTTCATTGCCATCCTGCCGATGAGTACTGTGTGTGTCAGTCACTTTTTGCTGCCGATCGCCTTGAACAGTGGTTTGATGCAGTTTACTTTCTAAACCGGCATTGATTGCCGTGGTATTGAGCAAAGGGCGTTGGTGTACCTTGTTCTTGCGTGTATAGGTTCTCGACTTATTAGCGATGAGCGCTGGCACGGCTTACGGGTCGACAACGCATGGAGCGGACATTTCGGGCGGGATAGATTGCGGGTGGCTCTCGCCATGTGCAAGGCACTCGGTTATAGCACTATACAGACGGCTTACAAGCGCCATCTATCATTCCATTGACACGCTTCAAGTCCTTCACCAACAAAGAGCGATCGGCTCATGCCTTTTCCGCCGCATCAAGTAGTCCCTGCAAGTTAATGCTCTTGGGCCGCTCAATCGGCAGACCCAGCGCACGGTCCCAGATTAGCTGCGCAAGCGGACCGAGACCTCTCGATACGCCGAAGGTGGCGGTATAGTACAATGTTTCCTTGAAGCCGTAGTGGTGGAAAAGCACGCCAGAGCTCGAGTCTACATTGGGGAACGGATTCTTCGTCTTGCCATGCTCGGTCAAGACTGCGGGCGCAATTTCGCTGTTCTTCTTGACAAGTTGGAAGACAGGATCTTGTGCAATCTCCGGCCGGGCAGAGGCGAAGTCCATAAGGGCCTCGAAGCGTGGGTCAGGTTTGCGCAGGACAGCGTGACCGTACCCTGGGATTACGCGGCCGGACTTTAGCGTGCTCCATAGGTAGTCCTTGACATCCTGGTCGCTGAATTGCGTGCCAACAGTTTCTTGCATCTGCAGGATCCAGCGTAGCACTTCTTGCGCGGCGAGGCCGTGCAGGGGGCCGGCAAGGCCTTGCAGACCGGCAGAGTAGGAGAGGAAAGGGTCGCTCAGTGCGGAGCCCACGAGGTGAGTGGCATGTGCCGAGACGTTGCCACCCTCGTGGTCGCCATGTAGGGCAAGGTAAAGGCGGAGCAGGTCCTGGAAGCCTTCGTTCTCGCTGCCGCCTTTTCCGAGCATGGCGGCGAAGTTGTAGGACCAGTCTTGGCTCTCATCTACCTGGGCTGGGAGGGCTCCACCGCCACGGTACGCATTCTGGTAGATCTTGGCAGCGATGGTGGGAAGCTTGGCGAGCAGGCTGATGCAGTCGTCGAAGGTCGGTTCCCAGTAATCGGCCTTGTTCATGCCCTTCTCGTACATCTTCGCGAAGACGGACTCGTAGTTGAGCGCGGATACGGCGCAAGCAAACTGAGTCATGGGATGCAGGTCGGTAGGAAAGTCGTCAAGCATCTTTTCTATGAAAGCGGGTATGCTGGACTTTTGCGCCAGCTCTTTGCTGAACGCTCGTACTTGGTTCACGCTGGGCACTTTGCCCGTGAGTAGTAGCCAGAACATGGACTCGGGCAGCATCTCCGTCCCGCTCGTGCCTTTGGGGAGCTCTTTCTGGCATTCCTTGATTGTGCGGCCGTGAAAACGGATGCCTTCGTTGGCGTCTAGCACGGAGCCTTCCCATACCATAGCCTTGAGGCCACGCATGCCGCCGATCGTGTTCTCGATCTTGACATCGCCAATCTTCTTGTCTGCGTGAGAACGAACTTTCTTGAAGAGCTCCCGCTTCTCGGGTATGACTTCTTTGAGCGTTGCCTTGAGATCAGGCTCTGCTGTGGCATATGTGCGTATGGCGTTGTAGGTGATACTGCTTCTCGAAGCTCTCAGCGCCCTCGTCACTGCGCTGGTGGAGAGCGCCATTATGTGAGGGCAATGGCTGAAACGGCTAACCTGACCCCGCTCTCGGGGGGTTCTTACGATGCTCTGCTCTGCCTAATACCTCCCGCACACAACCCGTCTGTCGATGGAGCGGTCGTGAGCCCGAGCAGGCGAGTAGGCGAAGGCTGTACAGAAAAGTTGAGCAGAGTTAGTGCCTGCAGTAGTTGCACGTCACAACCGAGCTGCGAGCTCATTGTGAGCTCCCACTCATCCAACCTCGGCTCAACGACTCATGCTGGCGGAGCGGAAGCCTCTCCGATGTCGCTCCGACAGCGACGGCGAGGTCTGCTTTTCCACCTCTTCCAAGTGCACCCCACAAAGTCGGAGAGTATCCTGAAGCGACATTTCTGAAGCCGAAATCGAGCATGGAACGCTAGGTACATTCGAGCATTTCCCATCTATGACGGTGGCAAGACTTCTGAGGCTCAGCGCATAATAACCGAGAGGAGTCGACATGTTCAGAACCGGGGCGCGAGCGTTACGGCAGGCGAGGAGATGCCCTCATACTGCTGCTGTACCTCGAAGCATACCTTGTCCGCGAAGTCGATGCATATCCTACCCTGCCGCTCGCATGTCGTCTACTGTTACCCCAGTGAGCCCGCCATTACCAGGCACGCATCCTACTGACTCCTTTCATTTGCTGCCGGAGTCAGAGAAGCCGGCCGCAGAGGAGGAGATCTTCAATCAGCAAGTCCAGCAGGTCAACGAGTGGTGGACCAGCCCGCGGTACAAGGGCATCAAGCGACCCTACAGCGCCGAAGATGTGGTGTCGAAACGCGGCACGCTGCAGCAAGTCTACCCTTCTTCGCTAATGGCTCGCAAGCTGTTCAATCTGCTCGAAGCGCGGGCATCGCAGGGTCAGCCCGTTCACACTATGGGTGCCATCGATCCAGTGCAGATGACCCAACAGGCACCGTACCAGGAGATCCTGTACGTCTCCGGCTGGGCCTGCAGTAGCGTACTGACATCGACAAACGAAGTCTCGCCGGATTTTGGTGACTATCCGTATAACACCGTGCCAAACCAAGTGCAGAGATTGTTCAAGGCGCAGCAGCTGCACGACCGGAAGCATTACGATGCCCGGCGGGCAATGAGCGCAGGGCAGCGAGGCAAGACGCCTTACATCGACTACCTACGGCCTATTGTTGCGGACGGTGATACTGGTCACGGTGGCTTGAGCGCGGTGCTAAAGCTGGCGAAGCTGTTTGCGGAGAATGGTGCGGCGGCAGTGCACTTCGAAGACCAGCTGCATGGCGGCAAGAAGTGTGGGCACTTGGCCGGTAAGGTGCTCGTGCCCGTGGGCGAGCACATCAACAGACTAGTTGCTGCACGCTTTCAGTGGGATCTGATGGGCTGCGAGAACCTCGTCATTGCTCGTACGGACAGTGAGAGCGGCAAGCTGCTAAGCTCAGCCGTCGACGCGCGGGACCACGAGTACATCCTCGGTATCACCGAAGACGACGTTGAGCCCTTGGCGGACACACTGCAGATCATGGAGCAATCTGGTGCCACCAGTGCCGAGATTGACGCCTTCGAGGCCGACTGGGTGAAGAAGTACAAACTCGTCACCTTCAATGAAGCGGCCGAAGCCCACATTAAGGCACAAGGCAAAGACGCACAACCCTATCTCGACCGCATGAGTCAAGAGCGCAACACGCCGCTCCACCGCCGCAGAAAGCTTGCAGCAGAGATCGCGGGCAGCCCAGTGAGCTTCAACTGGGACACCCCTCGCACGCGGGAAGGCTTCTACCATTACCGCGCCGGCCTGCCCGCAGCGACCAAGCGCGCCATCGAGTTCGGTCCATATGCCGACCTGCTCTGGCTCGAAACAGCAGACCCTAGCGTCCAAAAAGCCGCCTCCTTCTCCGCCGAGATCCACGAACAGCTCCCCGGCAAGAAGCTCGTCTACAACCTCTCCCCGTCCTTCAACTGGTCCGGCCATGGCTTCACAGAGACTGACCTCAAGGGCTTCATCTGGGATCTCGCGAAGCATGGCTTCGTGTTACAGCTTATTTCGCTTGCGGGTCTGCATTCTACCGCTACCATCACGTCGGAGTTGGCCCGCAAGTACAAGGACGAAGGGATGAAGGCGTATGTGGACCTTGTCCAAAAGAGGGAGAAGGAGCTGGGCGTCGATGTGTTAACACATCAGAAGTGGAGTGGAGCTGGGTATTTGGATGGAATCATTGGCGCTATCCAGGCGGGCAGTTCGGGGAGTAAGTCGATGGGTGAAGGGAATACTGAAGGGCAGTTCTAAGCGTGTGCGCTTATTTGTGGAAACGTTCTGTGGCATGGCGAAGGTGTTAGGTTATGTACAGGGTATCTGGATGCGGATATGGTACACTACATGTTACATTGTGCATTACGGCACGGCCAACTTGCATGACCCTTACTGTCCTCCTTGATAATATGCACTGTGTCAGTTGTCTCTACTTAGCGCTCCTCCTCTTCCAGCGCATCGCTCAATTCACTCTCCTCCGCCTCCACCTCCGCCTCTGCAATCTTCCCCGCCTCCTCCGCTCCCAACCCGGCAGCCTCCATCGCCTTCTTCCTCTCCACCACCGACACCCCACCCTTTTTAGTCCCATGCCGCTTAACTAAATGCTCAATCGGGCAGCCCTGTTCCCATCCCGCACTACTCTGTCCCGTGATGGCTCTACACCTGGGACACGTTTTGCCATGCTTGATCAATAACTGATGGAGTGGGTACTTGTACTCATCCGGAATCCGCACATCGCAGTGACTGTACGTCGTGTTGCGATCGACTTTCGGTTGGCCCTTCTTGACTGTTTTGGGCACCCATCCAAGGTACTGGCAGAGACGGAAGACGTGCGTGTCGACTGCGAAGCTGGGTCGTTGCAGGCAGAAGAGCGCGACGCAGGAGGCAGTTTTGGGGCCGATGCCGGGGTAAGACAGCATCTTTTCGATGGCGGCTGAGGTGCTGAGAAGGTGGAGATGGTCGAGGGAGATGATGTTCTGACTAGCTTTCTCGACTTCGGCGTGCTTTTCGGACTCTGCTTCCTGCTCGGCGCCTACTGCCGTGGCGTTGGCGGACTCGGCAGTCAAGGCTGCTTTCCGCTCTTGATTCTCTTCGTAGGCGAGCTGTAGGATGGCTTGTATGTCTTTGGACTTGCGGTCGGCTAGACCACCACGCTCAATAGCCTTGAAGACTTCCTTCTGTGGGGCTCGACGAACGGCGTCCCAGTCCACGCTGCCCTTGCCTATGCCCTCTTGAAGCGTGCCGAAACGCTTCACAAGGCCTTGGAAGGCGGTACTGCTATTCTTGTTCGTCGTGTTTGCGCTCAGCCGGGTGCGAACAAGCGCATCAAGTACGGAAGGCACCTCACCACACCCTGACACGTCAAGAGATGGAGGCGGTACGGCTTTGGGAACTACCACCTTGCCGTGCACTTTCTCGAGCAGACGAACGACTTCACGACATTCTTCGGCCGTGGGGCGGAGGTAGTCAGGGTAGGGTGAGGCGCCGGGAGTCAGGCCGTAGTTCGCTTTCTTCGGTGTCTTCTTGGGAGTTGCTTTGGCGTCATCGTCGGCTTCAGGTTTAACAGCAGCATCTGCCGCATCGTCCTTGAGCACCTTGGTACGCTCATTCCTCACAGCTCGCTTAGCTCGCTTCTTGGGTGGCGAATTATCCAGATCAGGATCGTCGTCCGCTCCCGGAGTGGGCATGGCCGTCCCAAGATTGTGTGGGAGAGCATTGACATCTCCATCGTCCTCGGTCTTGATGGCTTTGCGAGCACGCTTGCCACGGTTGGGGACCGGAGTTGTTGGCGGACTCGAGAGCTGCTGAGGCTCCACCTGTACTGCTGCTGCTCTTGCAGCTGAGGCGCGAGTGGCACGGGGCATTGTGTCTTGTGCGATAGGTACTGGCAGGAATGCCTTTACGCAGACAATAGTAGGTCTTCGGGCAAGACCGAACAAGGCGACGGCAGGCTTGTGAAGCTGAGGGAGTCACATGTGCTGATACCGGTGTTCAATTCATGACGCAGAAATCAGGATGGGATAGTCGTACGGCGACGGGCGAGGACAACGTCCATTGACTGTGAGGTGAGAGGGTTCGCAGTCCGAAAGTCACTCCTTCATGTTGCCTTCGAGTCGCGCGCCGCATGACGCAGCAGACGGCGAGATCGACGCCGCCGCTTGGGCCGCTGCAAGGTACGATCTTAAAGCCACATTCAAGCAGCCCTTTTTCGCATGATCGTGTCATTGTTGGGCCTACAGATGCTCACTAGATGGCACTACAAGTTCTGCATAAAATGCTGAGATGGTCTGAGGGTGTTGTGGGTAGCTGAATGCTCATGGGTTGTGTTCGCGTGCTGTGCAGCATAGATGCTATTTCGATGCACCGCACGGACCGTTTCCCCGTATTATGCAGACCCCTACGTGCGCTGCTGCATGCTTGTTGCCAGTCCACCAGCATCAGCAGACCGGCTGCTACCGAGCACAGCCAACGACGAGCACCCGGTATCGACGCCGAACCAATTCTACGCCTTCACTAACACCCTTCAACCCCTTCCACTCGTTGCATTTCGTAGAAACGCCGCAGACTGCAAGGGAACGACCACCTTCGCCACACCCTCTGCGACGCGCCGCTGACCCAAGCCTGCCGAGACCTTGGACTTTGCGTAATCACTCAAATAAACACACAACTACGGTTGTGGCATACCCCACAGTACAGCACGCATTCGAGTAGACCATCAACTGTCAAGCAGGTATCGAGAGGCTGCGGCTCAAGAGTAGGGTCACCGCCACGTTTCGGCGAATTTGAACCCAGAAGGCGATCTCACACATATCCACAAGATGAAGCCCAGGTTAGGCATGGTAGCAGGCGTGTTGCTGGCTGCACGGTCTGCGAGTGCCATTGTGCTCAACAGGCAGGATCCGAACAGCATCAAGCAGGTGGCCTCGGTGATAGCGCACGGCATGATGAGCTACTACAGCGGTAACACGACCGGTGGCACACCGGGTTTACTACCAGGACCGTACTATTGGTGGGAGGCAGGCGCGATGTGGGGATCTCTGATCGATTATTGGTACTACACGGGTGACGCGACTTACAATGTAAATCCACTGGAGAACGTTCGCTACGGCAACTTGCTGACCTTGCACAGGATGTTGTGACGCAAGCGATGCTCTTCCAGACTGGTACAGATAACAGCTTCATGCCGTCAAACCAGACCAAGTCCGAAGGCAACGACGACCAAGGCTTCTGGGGCATGGCGGCAATGTCCGCAGCTGAGGTCAAGTTTCCCAATCCGCCCGACAACCAACCGCAGTGGCTCGAGCTGGCACAAGCTGTCTTCAACTCGCAAGCACTGCGGTGGGACACCAGCTCTTGCGGAGGAGGACTGAAATGGCAAATCTTCGCCTTCAACAACGGGTACAACTACAAGAACTCGATCTCGAACGGCGCCTTCTTCAATTTGGCAGCAAGATTGGGTTATTATACGAAGAACCAAACGTACTTTGATTGGGCAAACCAGATGTATGACTGGGTTGAGTCCGTTGGCTTGATGAGCCCAACGTATCAGGTCTTTGACGGCACAGACGACAATTTGAACTGCTCGCAACTGAATCATCTACAATGGACCTACAACGCGGGTGTTTTCCTGCTTGGAGCGTCCGTGATGTGGAACCAAGTGAGCATCAACAGCCAACTTTCCTTAACGTGACTTGTGTGCTGATACGCTTGTCATAGACGACTGGAGCTGAACAGGCAAACTGGGAGAAACGCATCAGAGGCATCATTGCAGCCTCGGTTGTCTTCTTTGAGAATGGCATCATGTAAGCAAACGTTCCGCTCACAGTTCACTCGTTCTCCGTGCAGCCGCTGACTCTTTGCAGGTACGAGGTTGCATGCGAGCCGCAGGGCAACTGCGACACCGACCAGCTGTCGTTCAAAGCATACCTTTCCCGGTGGATGGCAGCTTCCTCCAAAGTAGCGCCGTTCGTCATTCCACTGGTTTCTGGATGGCTGCAGACGTCTGCGGCGGCTGCGGCAGCCAGCTGTTCGGGCGGCACAGACGGCGTAACGTGCGGCACGAAGTGGACCGTCAACGCCTGGGATAACACTTGGGGTGTTGGCCAGCAAATGAGTGCATTGGAAGTTGTTCAGGGGCTGTTGATCAATGGATCTGCAGGGCCGGTATCGAACCTGACGGGCGGGATATCTAGGGGTAATCCTGCTGCCGGCACGGGTGGCGACGGCGCTCCTGGTGCACCGACGACGGCTATCACGACGGGTGATAAAGCCGGCGCGGGCATACTGACGGCCGTGGTTTTGGTTGGACTGATAGGCGGCGCATGGTAAGTCAGACGCATCTTGTGTGATGTGTTATCATAGGCTGACCCGATACAGGTGGATGGTTGCTTGATCTTCGCGATCCTTTGTATGGGGTACGGCGTAGTATGTGTACTAGAAAAGTGCAAGCTGCGGTCGTGGCTGGAGTTACAAGAGTGAGACGGCATGCATAGCCAGGTGTGACTCCCTCGGTTCCATTGTGCGGGCGTTTTGGTGACGGGCGTGCGGTATGCTTGGAGACTACCCCACGTGGATATGCTGAATCAGAAGCTTTTGACAACATCCTATTCACCAGAGTGCTAGGTGGTAGACGCCATCTTCGCTGATCGGTTTAGCTTGGAGGGATATTCGGAGGCCCATCGCTCTTTCCCAAGATGCTAATGAGCAGGATGTCAACGGAACGTCACTTCACCGCGTCGCGGACGCGTCGCTCATCCGACACGTCTCAGACCAGACAACGATATCTCTACTCACGAACATCACCACAAAATAGAGCAATCGTCAGACTACAATATCCGTATGCTCACTTGAAGAGCACCCTCAGCTCAGCATGTTCTACTCCCACGAAGGTACGCGTTGCAATGAGCCAGCAGATGGCCTTACCGCTGCTCACTGGCCCTCGTACATTGTCAGCATGGTCGCTGACTGTCTGCAAGTCCTTACGAGCCGCAAGTATGGCGTGGCGACCATCTGGCTTGTCGCGACGCTTGGCTCCAAGTCTACACTCAAGAAGGTATCGCGCAAAGCAATTCTCGATGTCGATGTGCAGAAGGCGTGCGAGACCATCGTCACGCCAGAGGCGCCAATGGCATTACGTTTGCAGAGCAGCCTCTTGTACGTAGTGCTCACAACCTGCGTAGTAATAGATGCGTGGTTGACTGACGTAGTAGCAGGTACGGCGTCGCACGCGTTTACTCTCAGCAGTGTGGATACGTACTGAATGATGCGGAGACGGCGAAGACTAACATGCGGACGATCTTCAATGTCATGCGAACCAGTGCATTAGAGGCTGAGGGAGGGCGCAAGGGGCGGTAAGTTGTAATTCCTGAAGACTGCGCTTCTCGAATGCCTACTGATGCAGTCGCAGCGCCGACCAGCTCATCTTGCAGGATGACCCAAACTTCCTGCCGGATTTTGACCTGATACCCCTCGATCTGGAGCAGTTGAATCTCGATCTGAGTGCTACTGGCGAAGAGTCCCAGCAATCCCTCTTTTCACCGTACAACTCACAAGTGTCTATGGGCTCTGAGCGCAGCATGCCGCAACTCGACATTCCGGGTCGCTCTAGCTCATGGATTGGAGGCGCCGTCACTGGATCCCGAGGCAGTTTCGGGATGCGTGGCGAATCCGGTCATGTCAGCGCGGCAGGCTTGATGCTCGAGGACGACATCGGAATGGATGTACTGGCTGACGGAACGATCGTATTCAGGGACGTGCCTTCAAGGCAGCCTGACGCGCCGAGAAGTAGATTTGAGCGCACAGATCTCGAAAGCCCCGGCGTGAATGAAAGTCGGGCGTATGAGGCTGGTTTGGAAGTACAAGACGCCGTAAGTGCGATCGGCGCTTTGTGTTCGCCCGATGCTAATCTACAGGCAGCTCGCTCGAATGGATAATGACGGCTTCTTCCCACTACAAGACGACTTTGGCCTAGACTACGGTGTCGAGCCCTTCCCCCAACCTCGCAATGCAGAACAGCAAGCTCAGCAGCAGACGACGTCAGAGAGTGCAAAGGCACCAGCTCGCCGCCGCAGAAAGCCGGAGCCCAAGGTCATTCCGGTTGACACCACGCTCGAGGTGCGCAACACTGATCTGGCGCGCTGGAACCAGGAGTATATCGCCACAATGCACGACCTCGCACGTCAGAAGCGGGCCAAGCACGCTGCTGCAATCGCCAAAGAAAATGCCAAGTTCTGGGTGCTTGGAGCGGGCAGTTTGGACCTGGTGGGCCAGGCTAACACGCTCCTCAAGGGACCGCTAGATATGTTCTCCGGCGCAAAGCTGCTTGAGACTCTTACAGGCGTCAACCTTCTCGGCACAGGTGACAAGCGCAGCAGAGAGACAACGGACGGAGGTGAAGAAGGCCGCCGCAAACGCTCGCGCGGCCTGGAGCCATCGTCTGACGAGCAAGGTCGCGCCCTCCAGGATGATGACGGCTACGTGCCGATAGGCATTGATGAGTACACTGGCATCGAGCAAGGTCGAGAAGCGCCGACGCCGCTTGACGACCGTCATCTTTCGAGCATCTTCCCGTGGAACCAGAGTGCTGGCTCTCGTCGTCCGACTGGTCATTTTACTTCAGCCTCCATTTCCGGCATGGGTATCATGCCTGGTTCGTTGAGTCGTCGCGGAAGCCGTATGCGATCTGCTTCTCCGCTGATCAGCCGTGGGATGTTCGGCGGCGAAGCAGTAGTCACAAACGAATCGCAGCAAGGGCTCGGCAGCGTTCAAGCTGGCTCTGGCGATATTGATATGGAAGAATTCGAGAAGTACGGTCCGGCTGCCCAGGTGGACACGCAAACTGCCGCCCAGTCACAGTGGCAGCGTGCCGTGCTCGACAGCGAGAGTATCAATTTCCTCGGATTCGTCCAGGCTGCCATAGCCGATGAAGAGAAGATTCGTGAAAACGCTGGTCAGGAAAATGAAAACCTCCAGGCCGTCCAGGGGTTCGTCGAATTCGCGACACTGCTGCCGGCGGAGCGCAACAGTCGCATAGTCGCAGCTCAAGGTTTCCTGCACATTCTCACGCTCGGGACAAAGCATTTGCTCGACGTTCAACAAGACCGTCCCTTCGAAGCAATAACTATGCGCTGTGTCTGAGCACGATTAGAGGGATGGAATGATCAGTACTGTTGAAACATATGCGTGACGATGTATGCGGCAATAGTGGGCGCGAATCATGGATGGCTAAATGTTTTGCTTTCTGTACGTTCAAGTATCTGTGGCATATCGCGCCTGTGGAAAGCATGGTGGAAAGCGCTTAGCGGTTTTCCGGAACGTTCTTTGCTTCTCATGTTGCACCTCAGCAAATGTCCGGCGGTGCAATGTTTGTGAATGCTTCGGTCTGTTACGGCCCCCCCACGCAAACGAGTTACGTGACTCAGCCGAAACAGCTTCCAAGACTCCAAATGCAGTGCCTCCAATTCCTCGCTCGCAAACCCTCACCGATCCTGATCATTGGGCCCCCTACGTCGCTGACATGCAACAATGCTTGATTTCTGTCCTAGCCGCGAGCGAAGCTGATTTATACACAAGCGGCTGACATTACAAAACATCAATGCAGGCTTGTGATAACATATCTTTTCTCACTGCTCTCCTTCGCCGTCCCCATCCCAGCCATGGGCGTGCCGTTGAGCGTCCTGTGGACACAATATTTCCCTCCACCACCATCGCTTACTGAGAAGACCCTACCAAGACAGCAAGGCAAAGTTTTCTTAGTTACCGGCGGCAATACTGGTATCGGGCTCGAGCTCTGCAAGGTCCTCTACTCTGCTGGCGCCAAGGTGTATCTCGCGGCTCGCTCAGCCCCGAAGGCGCAAGAGGCCATCAAACGGATCCTCTCTTCATCTAGCGCACTACCTGCCCGGGAAGGTGGCGAGCTGGTTTACTTACCACTCGATCTCGCGGATTTAGACTCTGTCAAGCAAGCGGCACGGGAGTTTCAGGCCAAGGAGAAACTGTTGCATGTGCTCTTCAACAATGCCGGTGCAAGCGTGCTGCCCGTCGGCAGTGTCTCAAAGCAAGGCCACGAGCTGACAACGGCAACGAACTGTCTCGGCGCCTTCTTACTCACGCAGCTACTGCTTCCACAGCTAGAAGCTGCTGCATCGTCGGCCCCCGAGGCGTCGGTGCGGGTGATTTGGACGAGCTCGATATTAGTCGAGATGGCGGCGCCGAAAGATGGCCTCAATATTTCCACCATTGATAAGCCATGTACCGCGACGCAGCGTACACCGAGATACTGCGAGACCAAGGCTGGGAATTACTTTCTTGCTTCGGAGTTTGCACGGCGCTATACAAAGCGTACTGGCATTGTGAGCTTGACGCAGAATCCTGGAAATGTAAGTGAAACGTATTAGGCCAACATGCTATTACCCTGCTGACTCTCTCACCAATTGATGGTAGCTTAAGTCGGACGTGTGGCGGAATGTCGACGTTTTCACTTACTATGCAGTTGCCTGGACTCTGTGGGAGTCGGTCAAGGGTGCATACACAGAGCTCTGGGCCGGACTGTCAGAGGAGGTGAAGCTGGACGATAGCGGGCGGTACGTTATGCCATTTGGCCGCTGGCATCCCGGCCAGAGAGCGGATATCGAGCTAGCGCTGAGAAGCAAGGACGAAGGTGGGAGCGGCCGGGCTGCTGAGTTCTGGGATTGGTGCGCCGAGCAGACTAGGAACTACGTGTGAAGTGCTTGAGTAATTACTGGGTCTGCTCATATGTACACTGTCTATATCGTCAGTCTATATGCAAGCTATATGCACTTCTTAGTCCGGTGTAAATCCGATGCTGTTTTGGCGATTGATCATAGCTTGGACAGAACTGCATCGACACTCGAGACCTAGATGCCGTGTAAGCGGAGCATTGCAACGGCGAAGATGCAATACTAACCTTGACCTCACGAGGGCTGGACTCTTGCTCCGCATAGCTGACGGTGCCATCCTTCTCGATGATCATCGCCCAACGGCCGTTTCGCTCGCCCATACCAGCCATCCACCCGATGTCCTTGGCGAAGAAGCTCTTCGAGTCGCTCATGAACAGGACCTTGCTGTCCGGCTTGACACCATTGACCTTAGCCCATGCGCTCATGACCCAGCCGTCATTGAATGCAATCACGACAACCAGATCGACGCCCTTCGACGTGAGCTTGTCAAAGTTCTCGAGGTAAGGCGGGATATGGTAGGCCTGGCAGCCAGGCGTAAATGCGCCAGGAACCGAGACTAGTACAACCTGGACGGTCGTTAATCAGCATCGTGCAGGTTGATCGATGGCAGACACGTGTGAGGTCCACGCACCTTCTTCCCTTTGAACTCCTTGCTGGCGTCGTATTCTTGCGGCATGCCACATGCCTTCGGGTCTGGGTCCGTGATTGGCACATACCTGGACCGTTAGCGAGACTTGTCCACGACCTGTATACCGGTTTCGGAAGTTACGCACTCGAACTTGACGCCCTCCGGGAACTTGTCGCCTGTCTTGAGTGGTGGCATTGTGCTGATATTCTCTATAGTCTTGACTGCTTAGTGAGTTACGGTGCGATTGCTATTGCGATCGTTACAGTGTCGGAGCAACAAAGATCACTAAACGGTTCCTGCATCTTATTCCCGCGAAGAAGGCTCGAAGCGCTACTCTGCGCTCTTGCCCCACCATCAGGGATGACGCTGATCGCTCACTGGCACATACCGAGGCGCGGTAGCTTTATGAAGTGCCAATGGACCTCGAAATCTTTGGACGCGCTGGGGCCACTCTTGTCGAATTCAGGACGCAGTTCAACGCCGCCGTTGTCGTCTTCGTTCTCTGGCTGTTTTACAGGCTATCGAAACGCGATCACGAACGCGCAGTAGCCTTCACCGCCACAACCCCCGAGCAGTGTGCGCCAGGCTGGCAAGGCAAGGTGTTGAACGACCCGACCATCAAGGTACCCGATTCGCATATAATCCAGTGCTATGCTCCAGCTACGGGCGAATTGCTTGGCCATATCAACCCTGTCACCCCCGACGGTGTCGATCGAGCAATTATTCGGGCTGCTGCAGCACAGATTCAGTGGGCTAAGTCTACGTTCGCTCAACGCAGGAGAGTGCTCAAGACTCTTCTGAAGTTTATCCTCGAGAACCAGGATGAAATCGTGCAAGCAGCATGCATTGACAGTGGCAAAACGCGCGTCGACGCGTTATTTGGTGAGGTTTTGGTGACAGCAGAGAAGCTCAAATGGACGATCGATCATGGCGAGAAGGCGCTCCGGCCGTCGCAGCGCCCAACGAATCTACTGATGTTCTACAAGAAGAATGAAGTCCGCTACGAAGCTCTGGGTGTGGTGGCTGCTTGTGTGAGCTGGAAGTAGGCTTGCGCTCATCGACTGATCATGTGCCAGGTGCTGACCGCCGGATGTCACAGTTATCCGTTCCACAACTTCCTCGGACCGGTAATCTCTGCGCTGTTTGCAGGCAATGGCATTGTGGTCAAGGTCAGCGAGCAAGTAGCATGGAGTTCGGCTTACTTCGCCAACATTGTTCGTTCTGCACTGACGGCTTGCGGTCACGACCCAAACCTCGTGCAAGCAATTGCCTGCTGGCCGCAGACTGCTGCTCACTTGACCAGTCATCCTGGAATCAATCATCTAACCTTCATCGGAAGCCGACCAGTCGCGCATGAAGTTGCGAAATGTGCAGCAAAGGCACTTACACCGCTATGTGTCGAGCTCGGAGGCAAAGACGCGGCCATCATTCTCGACCATCCCTCCAAAACACCTACGAGCGACGGTGAGATGCACCGAGTAGCATCCATCATCATGCGTGGAGTGTTCCAGTCCGCCGGTCAGAATTGCATTGGAATTGAGCGGGTGATCGCCATGCCAATCGCTTACGACAGGCTTGTCGGCTTACTGGAGCCACGGATCAAGGCTCTCAGATTGGGCAGCGATTTGACGGAAGAAGGTGTGGATATGGGTGCAATGGTATCTAGCGCATCATTCGCGAGGCTGGAGACGCTGGTAGCGGAAGCCGTCGCTCAAGGGGCGAGGTTACTCGCGGGTGGAGGCAGGTATGAGCATCCGAAACATTCCAAAGGGCACTATTTCGAGCCCACTCTGCTCGTGGACATCCTTCCGAGCATGAGGATCGCGCAGGAAGAACTCTTCGGACCGGTGTGCGTAATGATGCAGGCAAAGAGCGTGGACGACGCTGTCCGCATGACAAACAGCAGCTCCTACGGTCTTGGTTGCTCTGTCTTTGGGCCAACAACGAATGCAAAGGCACGCGCAAACCTTGAAGACGTGGCACGTGGGGTAAGGGCGGGTATGGCGGCTATCAATGATTTTGCCGTGTTCTACGCTGTGCAGCTGCCGTTTGGTGGTACAAAAGGCTCCGGTTATGGCAGATTTGCCGGCGAGGAAGGGTTGAGAAGTTTGTGCAACTTGAAGAGTGTGTGCAGCGACAGATGGCCAAGCCTCATCAAGACGGCTATCCCGGAAGCTCTGGACTACCCAATGAAACCCCACGCTTTCAGCATGGGCAGAGGGATTGTCGAAGTGGGATATGGCGAGACTCTCAAACGGCAAGCCGGAGGCCTGCGACGCATACTGCACATGTGATTGTGAATGCAGCACGCGCAGCTGTAAGCTCGGCAGCGGCCATGCCTCGTGCCGCAATGCCACTATCGACCCTTGCAATATGCACTATCTGCCCAATAGCAGTAATCACAAAAAAGCACGCCAATTTGCAGCTTGGGTCCAGCTGTGCAGGAAGACTGCTCCTCAGCTCACCCCCCACCCACGCGGCCAATTGCACGCGCGCATAACACACCATCCCACTCACTGTGTCTCCGCGGTGCCTAGAATGCCACCACCGTAGCTCCACAACGACACCTATAGAAGAGCACCTTTGGTACACCCTTTTCTGCTTTCCTCCATAGCAGACGCAACAATTTCACCTATATACCAAAACCAAAAACTGCAACTTCGCTCCCAAGCTTCAATCAAGCACCACATTATCAAAATGGGCTGCTCATCCTGCTCCAACGATAACTGCAGCTGTGCCGAGGGCAAGTGCACTTGCGCGGTTAGTAATCTCGAACACTGTTCCGTGTTATTTGTGAGCGGTAGCTGACTGTTTTACACAGAAGTAGAGGTACATCATGAAGGGGCCCGATGACTGACGAGGTTGGCTTGGTGGTGAGGAGTACATTGGATGACGTTCATTAAACGAGTCTCGAGGGCTTGTTCTTGGCAGTCGGCCATGTTTGCGTTGAGAATGTGATGTGCGCAGTGGGCGAGAGGTGATGGAGGACGAGTCCGGCAGATTGACAGAATCATAACAACTCTCTGCGGTTCACCACCTCTGCGACACGCTCATATTGTTCTTGACAAACCTGCAAGCTGTAAGGCACCGTCCGTGTCGTCTTCGTCCGGAAGACCAGTGCTACTCTGATATACTACGTTGCTGTCAGACTTGCCTGACTCGAAGATTGTGAGGTCGTGACTGGGTGTCAACAAGCGTCATTTGGCCCCTCTTGACCCCGCCGGATTTGCAGCAGAGTACGCAATAGGCTTCCATTATTGCACTTTCTCTCAATGCCACCAAAGCAAACCGTGGCATCCCACAGCAAGCCGAAAGGTCCAACTGACAAGGAACTCGCCGCCATCGAAGCTTACCTCAAGCAAAAGCCGGACTTCGAGAAGCTGATCGCTGAAGCCAGAGAGCATCCGCAAAACCCGACGGTCGAGAAACAGCAGGTTACGGAGTACGATCGAAAGACGGAGGCTGCTGTGAGGGACAGCATCCGAAAAGCACAAAGCGACGCTACTGCAGAAAAGGTCACGAGTACTGCATAAGCAGCAAATCGATCAACATGCCGGTCTTGCCGCAGGAAGAAGAAGCGCCCAGCAGTGAGTCACTTCAATGGTATATGTCGCGATGAGAGCTTACACCGTATGTAGACCTTACCGATCAGGTTGCGAAGGAGTCTAAGGACTCCACTGCCTCCACTCACGAGCACCACCATGAGGGTGGGCAGAAGGCGACCATCGAACAGCACAAGGCAACTCCAGGCCCAGTGATGGCAGAGAATCTCGGGGAGCCGGCGAGCAAGGAGGAGCTACGAAAGAGAGCAGCAGAGCTCAATAAGTGAGCCTTGTCATTGCTCTCCAGTGGCGGAGAAGGTGGATAAGTGCAGGAGCGGGGCTGCCGAGACGAAATGATACTGGCAGCTGCATTGCAACGTACCGGGACGGTATCGTATTGACCGTGCTCGCATCATGGCGGTATCTCTTCGCCCTTCCAATCCCAACACCGTCCTCTGTCGTCAATCGTTCGACTGTTGATCACATCCAGCAGCTTCTCCGCCGCAAACTCGGGACTGAACAGCTTCTCCCCCTTCACATTGTTCCAAAACTCTTGGCTCAAGCCCGTTTTTACCGTGCCTGGATGCAGCGCGATACTCATTGCCTTGTCGCCGGCGCTTGTGCGCAGGTAGTTGTCGAAGGTCTTCGTTGTCTGATTCACTGCGGCTTTGCTACTGCGGTAGCTGTACCAGCCGCCCAATCGGTTGTCGGTTATGCTTCCCACACGGGCAGACATATTCGCCCATATAGCTTGCTTGGGCAGGTCAGGTGAAGCTAACACGCTCGTAGATTTGCGTGGCAGAAAGTTTGAGAAATGCTTCATGAGCATCATTGGGCCCAGCGTGTTTGTTCGAAAGGTGAGCAGTGCATCGTCGTAATCGATCTGGGAAGGCGCCTTCTCAGGGTACAGTAGGCCCGGAACGCAAAGACCAAGATGGAGGTATGAGTCCTTCTTTGGAAAGAGCTTTCCGGCCTCTTGCGCAGCATTCTGTATGGTCTGCTCCTCTGTGTTGATCTTTCAGTGGCCGTCTGAGACTGCACGTTTCGCAAATCCTACCGAGAACATCCAATTCCAGCATATGAAGCCTGTCCTCTTCGACGTTCCTCAAATCACCGAGTATCTGCGCTCTTGTATGATCAACATCCTTTCTAGCAGTTGCAACGACCGGTATGGAGGTGGTCCTCAAGAGCCGCCGCGCAAGCTCAAGGCCGATGCCGCGCGACGCCGGTGATACGAGCGCCCACGCTTGCATCGTGAAGCTGTCGGCAGAGGCGGAAACGCAGGCGACACTGCATCTCGCTTGTGCGACCACGGTATACCGTGAAGATCGAACCCTCTCTCGTAGCACAGATTACCTGAGCTTTGGGATCGGAGATCGGCCGCAGCGGAAGCGGGAGTGACCGCGGCACCGAGACAAGTTGCACTGGTCTGGACTCCATATCTGTGTCCAGCCATTGCGGTCTGCATCTGCGATGTGGCGTCTCTACTTTGTCGATTAAGTATTGCGAGGCGTAGATCTCTCAACCAAACGGCCAGGAATACTGGAGGAATACTGGACTGACTCCCAGTAAGCAGACTGGCAAGCCCACTCGCCACCATGTTCTCTGTGGCCACTGTCGCGCCCTTGCGCCCTTCCACCTGTGATCTTGCGACGGTGCAAGCTGCGCAGGCGGACTTACACCTGGTTCATTGAGAGGTCTGGGCGGATAGACGGCGGCAGCAGAACGTTGCCTTGGCGCCGTGCCTTGCAGTATCTCATGCCATTTCAGTGCGTAAAGCAACAGGACCATCATTGTGTATGCGGCATCGTTGCTTGCGTTATGTACGCCTCTGACGTCAAGCTTGAGAGGATTGTGGTAGCGCGGGTCTACGCCCAGCCATCGAGCAACAGGTCCTAGCCTCGCAGATGGCAGGTCGATGCCGCGTTGTCTGATCCAGTCGGAGAATGCTAATGTCTCGAACGTCTTCTCAAAGCGTACGTTGCTGGTGGGCTCATGATTCTGCAAGTCAATGTACAAAGGTCGCTTTCCGAGAGCGGCGACATCAGTCGCAATAGATTGTCCGACTAGATACACGGTAGGGTCTGGTATAAGAGCTGTCACATCACGAAGGATCGTCTGAACCGTTCTAGCGGCTTCTTGTATGGTCATGAGCTTGCTTTCTCCGAAGAGGGAAGAACGCATCCTTGCATCCGCATAACGACTGATGTCAACCACAATGTGGTGGTGTCGAAAATTCGGCATCCATGCTTGCATGTGAGGTCCAGGCTCCGTGCCCATAATGTCAACGACTTTCAGCGTCGTGATTCCCACTTCGACAACATTGTTGATCAAGCCGTGCCTCTCGGACTCTGTATCGATCGCGACTAGGATCGCGTTCTGCGCTTTCGTGGAGCTAGACGGCTGTAGTCCGAGAAGTGATCGCAAATAATGAATGTCAGGGTAGCCTTTCCACGAAGGGCCTTCGTAGGATCCCTTACGCCACCTGATGGTCCTTCTGCCCGAACTTGCAAATGCCTGCTGTAAAGGGTGTTTAGAGACAGCTCTCTTCACCAGGCTAGGTTGCTGTGCTGTAGATGAGACGGCATTTTCGCCACCCGGTAGTACTCGCAGACGTGGAAGACGGGTTGCGAAAATGCTCAGAGGTGGCGGAGGACGCGCCTTGATGAACGAGCGGGGAGCCAATGGCTTTGCAAGACGATCACGGACGGGCTGCTGAACAATTATGGTGGTGTCCAGAACATGCTGCCTGGTTTGCCGCTCCTCCGCTCTCTGCTTCGCGGACTTCGCTCGCTGCCTTGCGATTTCCGCGCGTTGCTTGAGCGAGATGGTCTTTCCGGCGGTGGTTTTCAGACCCATACCAATAGCCGCGATACGGCAATGGTCGCCATCATTCCATACTCCAATGTCAACAGACGATCGTGTATGGAAACGTTGAACTGCGCAAGCAGTCTACATTCGTATCCGAAGATGGAATCGGCGAAGTTCGGGCTTTGAGCACAGACCTCAAGATGTTATATCACCAACCTTGATGAGCCACGGCCCTTAGCCCGACACACGCCTCAAGATCATATATTAGCGTCGTAGCTGCCGGTGTTCAACTTGCTGAAGGGGCCATTATCAGGCCAACGTGAACAGCTTGAACAGATATGGAAATAGCGACCAGTTTCATGGTAGGAGCGAGATGGCGGCGCAAGGCTGTATTACGGCAAGGTGGTTTCCACCGTGTTCTCGTACTATGCAGATCTTTGTCATGCACTGCGAAACCAAATTGTGTATCACTTACATTTCAAACTCTTTCTTCGGCCATTATATGCACCCGCAGACGGCAACGAGCCCATCCGTGGGCCCTCACATAAGTCAGCTTACACGCATAGAGCGTTGATCCCACGCCATGCTCCCGAAAGTTCGTCAACCAATATCCCAACCCAATACGTTAATCGACTGCTGGCTCTGACGGGCTGGCTTGGGGCACCGACGAGCAAATGAGCCGCGGGGCTTGACATCCTGCCACGCGCGAAAGAAGTCGCTAAAGGCAAAGGATGTAGGCGGTTGTACGAAGTGTTCAGGTTCGGCCCGGTCATAGCGGTCACGGCTATCGTGCGCAAACATAGCTTGAAATGGTTGCTGGTTCGATGTGCCACGAGGCGGCTGAACCACGCTGTTTGCATTCGAACGAGAGCTCGTAGTCCTGTCACTGGGTCCGGCACAGTCTCCATGGATTGAGATATGGTCTTTGGCGTCTGATAGTGGGGTGGGTGCGCAACTGGAATGGTTTGATGTGGCATCTCCAGCGTCTTGCGCGCCATCAAGTTTGTTGCCTGCATATAGCGCGGGTTGCGGCCTTGCAGCAGAAGAGGTAGGCGTCAAGTCAAGACCGAGGGCTTTCTGATCGCGAAGTTGGGGGAACGCATCTGTGATGGCATCTCCGAACGCCGCGCGCGTGACGTTGCTGTCGTTTGCATGGAGCCGACGGTACACGGCACATATCTCATCGTCCCTGATCGCGCTACCCTTGCGACACATACAGTTCGCTTGCAACCTGCAAAGAGACTCAGAGTAGTTCACACCTAACGAACTGGTAGTGGTACTTACCAGCGACGTCGTTGGGCCAACTTCATGAACTCTGAGCGCCGTTGCCGTTGTACTATTGCTGGGTCCACCAGTGGCCGCGGAACGTCTAACTCCATATCGTCGCGGTCTTCAGCGTATTGAGTACTTCTGACGACTGCACCTAAAGCAGAGCTTGGTGGGAGCGGCTTTGGGGCCAAAGGGTGCTTCATTGGCGAGCGGACAGGCAGTGATTGTAGTTTTGGTGATGTCGGTTGCGGCGTTGTAGGAGAGAGCCGGGTCAGGTTGCCGGGCGACGGGATGGTCTTAAGGGAAGGAGGACCAATGTGATGGGATGGTCTCGCACGCTGTTGCCCAAATAGTCCGCTTTCCACGGTGCTATCAGGTGGAAGCATGCTTCGCTTTGGCGGTGATTGTGATTGAGGCCATTGTGAGCCGCTGAACTGTTCACCTTCAGATGAAGATCGAAGTGAAGAAGCATCAGCCTCGCGTGATTCTGGTTCTTCGGCCTTTCGTTTGGCTGGCGTACCAAGCATTGTTGCCGGAGATTGCGCTTTTGTAGCTGGAGATGCATCTGGTTGCACTTGATTGTTCCAGTCCTTCAGAAGGTCAATTGGGACGCTTGGCTTTGGGAACTGCTGACCAGGCGGAGACGGATACCACGAGTCACTCCGCTCCAGTAGACGTTGTTGCACAAAGGGCACTCTGCGGCGGCCGTAAGGAACGCGCGGGATTCGAGGGCTAGGTGTGCTCTGATGTTGGAGGGTGACGGACTGCGAGAAGGATTCTGGCTGGCCGGAGGCGTCGACGTGGCGAGTCTCACCCTGCGCAGCCATTTTCGGCTTTCCGACACCGAGCAAGCTCAGCAGCGCTGCACCCTGAGCTGCCATCGGTTGCACAGCCGTCACCTTCAATGACTGATTAGGAGGGAGAGGTGATGCTAAGTTGATGCCTCGTTCTACCTCGAAGCCGTCCCTGGCCAGTGAAGGCACACGCGGCCGCTTGCGTCGACCGACCTGGGATGTTGAAGCCTGTGTCTCCTTGACACTGCCAGACTGCTTTTCAAAAGCAGGTCCCGCCGATTGCGCGAAATGGTTATCGTCCTCGCTAGCTTCTTCACGGTTAGCGAGAGTGTGTCCACGGATTCGCTCTATCTCGCGCAGGTGGCGTACAATATCTTCATGCTGGGAAATTAGGCTTGGTTCGCCTTGCTTCTTTCGCAGATGATATTGATAATGCACGTTGCCAACATGGAGCTGTACCAACCCATGCAACGGTCCGTACGGCGTACTGATTACAGTAATGTCGTCAATGGAGAATACGTCTCCCCTCGTTTCCTGGGTCAACTTCTCACCCATCTCGACTTCCAAAGCCTTGACAGCTTGCTCGGATAGTTCGCACCGGATGGAATGTCGACCATCGGAAAGCGAGACCTTACACGGTCCCACACTGTCTACGCTGATTAATTGCACCTTCCGATCACTAGTCGTTGTATGGGCGAGCACAATGCTCTTGAAATTGCTGCCATCGTCGCTGAATCGACCATCAGGATCGTTCTTGATTTTGGGAGCGCCCCTCAGCGCCTTGCTCCATGCTAAGACGGCTTGTAACTCTGCTACAATGAATGGGGCAAGCCACTCGGTGAGTGATCCAGCCATGCTCACATTTGCCTACAGTTGAAGTCCTTTGCCGGGGACAACAAATGGCTGTCGGTCTAAGCCCACTCTTCAGACCTCGAGATCGCGAACTGCCAATGGTCGGTTTTAGGAAGTCGCGTGTGGAATCCGCGTCGCGTATTCCGGCCCGCAAACCTCGGCCCGCAACGCCTCTGATCCTCGACATTGCCGGAAGGGAGAAAACATGCTCTATCTAGCACTTTTAGATTCACGATAAGCCTCCATCTTGGATGCCGCGCTTTCAGACATGACCAGGTGATCACAGAATGAGGGGCGAGACGGCGTCGCAAACTCCCAATAATGAGTAGGCTGACCAGGACCTCCGGCTAAGGGACATGGCTCGACCAACGTCGCCTTCCGCCTCGTCCGCACTGTTGCCCTTTCTTTCGCCAAGGGAACGAAGAGGCTCTTTGGCATCGATCAGTTCACGCAAAGAAATTGACAAAGAAGTATTGGCGCAGGCGCTGGATCATATTCATACTTCAGCATCCAAATCAGAGGCTTTGACTTCATTCCATGACTTCGACGGAGGCAGTCGGCCTGGAGCCAAAGAGCTGGTCAGTAGCGGAGTCAGTGGCCTGTACAACAGATTAAAGCAGAGCGTCGGGGGCGGAGCCCCTGGTAAAGACGGGAAAGAACGACCTAAAAGCCGCGGCTCGAGAGATTCTGGGGAGACGGAGTCTGTTCGGAGTGTTAGATCGACAAGTCGCAAGCTCGCAGCCAGTCCCTCTTCAAGGAAGCCCGGCACAGACGCTGCGTCTACATCGACGATCAGCGTCGCAGCGTCGCCTGTCGTAGTCACTTTCACAGGCAGTGGCTCAATGAATGAGGCTGTGCGGCATCCACTTGATGAACGGCCGATATCTGCTCATGAGTCAGTCTTGCCAGGAGCGCCAGATGTCAGTGTGAGGGACTATAGCCATGACCCGACTGAAACGAATCTCGGTCAAGAAGCACCTAGTCAACAAGACCTAGTGCGCGCGAGAAGTGCTCTGTTAGACAACGATCGCAGTGCCTCGGCGACTCAAGCGCTTGCTCGAGTCCTCTCCCATCACGAGGTTCCACCTGGCGACCGGGTACGACAGCCTCTCGTCGTGCACAATGGCCAAAGCGTAGAACCTAGTAGCAAAGCGAGTGTAGACCGCGATGTATCTGCACGGTTGGCTTCATTACCGCAGACGGCATCTAATACTGGCGCAGGCGTTGCAATCCCTGCGAACCGAGTTGAAGCTGAGCCTAAAAGTCCACGAGAGGCGCAGCGACCGCCCATGGTGCATGTTGGGCCCTCTCATCTTCCAGGCTGGGAGCCGTCACGGGCATCCTCGGCTACAGATGTTGGCGATGTCGTCTCATCAAGCTCAACACAAACCCGAACGCGGAAGCCCACGCTCAATCCATCGCCTAATCTCAATACGGCATTGCAGCGGAAACGGGCAAGCGCGAAATTGCAGCCGAGTTTGCACCACCACGGTCACACTGGACAGGTACCGCACCATCTGAAACGTCGGGTGATCAGCAAGGAGTTCTGGATGCGGGATGAGAACGCCAAGGATTGCTTTTCTTGTGGCCAGAGCTTTTCTACGTTTAGACGCAAGCATCACTGCCGGACTTGCGGACAGATTTTTGACGCAAAGTGCACTTCCCTCGTACCAGGAAGGCCTTTCGCACAACCTGGCACGATCCGGCTTTGCAGGCCTTGTGAAGCGATGATCTACGGATCCGATGATGACTCTACTGTGTTCTCGGATGATGGAGACGATATTACTCGTAGCCCGGTCACGCGCCGGTCCTCAGTCTTCGGTGACGAGCAGGTCGATGGGGCTGCATCTAGCCGGGCGGAGAACGGCGAGTTTGGGACGCCTTCTATCGGCATTCCTGCGTCGCGACGCAACCGAGAAGCCAAGCGACGTTCTGCGGTGATTGAATTTGATGCGCAGCCTACCCTTGCACGCCCGAACTCATCTCATTCGCTAGTCTCGCTAAGTCGCCGGCCCAGATCGTCGAGTCACCGGCGTTACCATTCTCGGCATCAAACCCTCCGTAGCTTGCGAGGCAGTGTGGACGAGCGCGGCCCATTCCACCAGGAACTTAATGGTGATCCCGTGAAGAAAGACGCTCTTCCGGCTTTCCACAACGACAATATAATCGACCCTGATCTTGCCCCTTTCATGTCCGATGAAGGGTCGGACGACGAAGAAGAGCAACCTACCATCATGTCGGCTTTGGAGCAAGGAGTGTCGCCCGGCGAGCGGGACAAGCATGGACTTGGCGGTCTCTTTGCGGCGGCCATGAAAAAGGGACGCTCGAAGTATGGCGAGAAGACCACCGCCCCCTCTAGCGTCAAGGGTGTGAAGGATACGGAATCAGCGCATCAAGTTGTGAGTTCTCCGGCGAGGGCATTGAGAAGACGCAACCCTAGCATCAGCAGTATTACGCACAGCCGCCCATCACCTCGTCGCAGTCGCAGCAACATTCTCCTTAAGACTATCGAAGCAGACACGACGATAACTCGGCCCGTCACACCAGCATTAATACCAACCGCTGACGGGTCCCGCATTATGCGTAGTTCAGCTATGCATGGCTCGGATGCACCTCCTGTGGAGCTCAATAGAGCCAGCTTGGACCACGTTAGGAGATTGCTGGCGCAGCTACTTCACGACAGCAAGGTGGAAGCTCCAGCCGCGTGGGAAAGGGCGCTCTTGCCAATTCTCTTACAGTGCACCGACGACGTACAACCCGACGTGCAGCGAGGTGACGACATGGATATACGACATTACGTCAAGCTGAAAAAGATACCTGGCGGCAAGCCTGGAGATACAAGCTATGTTTCCGGCGTTGTCTTTAGTAAGAACATCGCTCTCAAGAGCATGGCGCGATCCATCCGCAACCCGCGAATTGCGATTGTTACCTTTTCAATCGAGTATGCAAGACACCAGACGCACTTCATGAGTCTGGAGCCTGTTATTGCTCAGGAGCGCGAATACTTGCATAATCTGGTTGGGCGAATAGCGGCTCTCAAGCCACAGGTGCTGCTTGTACAGAAGAACGTCTCTGGGCTTGCACTCCGCCTACTCGAGCAGGCTGGCATTACCGTCGCTTTCAACATCAAAGATTCAGTCCTTGCTGCCGTTGCACGCGTCACTCAAACTACCGTTATAAAGTCGGTCGATAAGCTGGCAATCGATCCCTTGCACCTCGGACACTGCGAGAGCTTCGAAGTCAAGACATATATGTCGCACGGCGCGCGGAAGACTTACATCTTTCTTTCTGGTTGTCAACGAGACCTCGGCTGCACGATCGTATTGCGAGGTGCTGACACCAAAGCCCTACGCCAAATCAAGCGCGTTACCGAGTTCATGTGCTACGTAGTCTACAACCTCAAACTAGAAACGAACCTCTTGCGGGACGAGTTTATCTCAATCCCGTCCAACACCGAAGCCCAGCTTGCTGCACACGACTCAGCTCAAGCGAACAGAACAGCGCGAAGTGGCGATACCCCATCCGTATATGAAGAGCTCGAGGAGCAATTGCACACCCGAATATTATCAGCGTCACCATTTGTTAAATTCATGCAGCCTTATCTGCTCACACAACTTCGGGAGCAAGAAAGGAAGCTCGCAACGTACAAGAGGCTTCGTGATCAGCACGCCGCTGCAGATGAAGATGGCAACGAGGAAAAGCATGGTGATGACCGCTTCGCATTAGTGAAGCCTGAGATGGTGCATGGACCAGCGTCAAAAGAGCAGCCGAAGGCTGTCCGGGAGTATCTGCACGCCGTCCATCAAGCGCAGTTTGACCGGACTATGCATGCTTACGAGACCCAGAAAAGACTCTGGGAAACCTTCAGATCGGGAACCGTCAATCCTTTCGACCCCTTCGCCCACCAAAGCATTGCAGTCCTTCATTCCATCGTCTCTAGGATAACCTCCGTTCCGTGTTCTGGACCAGAAGTGCTGGGCATCGGCTTCTACGCTGGTTTCAATCGTGCTGAGCCGCAATTTGAAGAAGACTGCACATTAGGACAGTATGTTGAAGATATGTGTCTCAACGCAGGCAGCACTTGCAAAGAGTGTGGCAAGAGAATGCATGAGCACCACCGTCAATACGTGCACGGTTATGGTGCACTGTCAATTTCAGTGCAACGATACCCAGCCAAACTACGAGGACTCAACCAATCGATTCTGATGTGGTCAGCCTGTCGAATCTGCCGCAACGAGACGCCGCTCATCCCGATGTCGGACAATACTTGGAAATACTCGTTCGCGAAGTACCTCGAGCTGAGCTTCTGGAGCGTGCCGCTTCATCCGAGAGCCGATGTATGCGAGCATGACATACACAAGGACTTCTTGAGGTGCTTCGGATTCCAAGACATGGCTGTACGGATACAATACGATCCAATCGATACATACGACATCGTTGTGCCTCGGACGACTGTTACTTGGAAGGTCGAGGGAGATCTGACTGTCAAAAACGAGCAGTTTTTACACTGCCTCAACCGATTGAACGCCTTCATCGAGTCTGTACGGAAAAGGCTAGACTCCATCAATGTGGACACACTCGACGAGAAGAAAGCAATAGAAGCGCATGAAAGAACTGACGTCCTCCGGAAGCGAGTGGAGACCGATCATGCCGAACTGCTTGCCAAGCTGCAACAAAAGTACTCATGCTCCCGCTACTACGAGCTCATCCCACTTAACCGAGCATTGCGCCAGATGGACGAGAAGGCAATTGCTTGGGATGATGAGTTCAATAACTTTGAGCGCGACTACTTTCCCTCAGAGACCGATATCCGCAAGCTTGCAACCCTTCAGTTACGCAACATGTTCCTCGAGTCTCAGCCGTCTGCTAGTAGTGTGGCGAGCGATGCTAGCGACACCGAGGACGGTACCGAATTGGTAGATCTGCGTAGAGACCCTCTCGTAAGCGCGGACGGCATTTTAAGCGAAAAAGCTCATGATGTGATGACCTCGACTGCCCTCGAGCACCGAGCCACTTACGACATCCCTGATGGGCCGCCATTTCTACCAAAAGAGAGGTCGGAGGAGCTATTAGGACCCCACCTTAGTCGACGGCTGACTCCGCAGGAGGAACGCGAGGCTGTAGATCGAGACACTGTCAAGCACCTAGACTTGGCTGTTGCCGTACGATCCACCGACCCCTTGTCTTCAGAGGACCGCCCGTCTAGCAGTGAGCAGTCGACGTCGACTAGTCGACCAGCCACTAGAGACGAGGCGAGCACCGATGAGCCTTTCGCAACCCAGCCAAAGCCGTTAAGCTCAGGATTACTTGAGCGCATTGAGCAGATACGGAGCAATCTCAGCTCTGGGGGCAACGAGGCAGGTGACTTACCAGAGTCGAGGATTCCGCGACCAGTAGACCGGCATCGGCGGGATGTCAGCCCTCTTCCTGCACCACTATTGCTCCGTGCGCAATCACAGCCATCCCACATGGTTGGACATGGGCAGGATGTAGACACTGATGTTGCGTCAGACCCAGCAACCATGGCGCTGCCTAGTCCTGAGGCCCAGGCGCAGGCCTCTGATAAAAGGCTTGGAGAGCGACTCGGCCTGACTCGCCTGGCGAACAAAGTGGGAAAGGTTGCACCTTCGCTCATACCCAGGTCCATTCCACGCTCTGACGAGTCAACAAACAACGTTTCCGCGCTTGCCCGGCACTTTGAGCAGATGTCGCGCGAATTCGAGAAAGAGCGCCTGAAAGAGCGCCGTCAGCGCGCTATGCGGAGCCGGCAGGCTCGTGCTAACCCTCTGGCGAGCAGCAGGCCTGTTGTCGAGGTCTACCGTAATGCGACAGAGGCGGTAGGCGAAAGGATGGTTGAGAACATGCAACAGCAGACAGAACCGCAGGAGTCGACCGAGCGTGATGGTGATCCGTCAACCACAGCAACGCATGAAACACAGTCTAGCAGCTCAGATGACACATCATATCCGCAGCCCCCGACGGAGGCTACCGATCTGACTTCGAGTGAACAGACCATTGCCCTTCGGCATCATGGCTTCCTTCAGGAAGAAGATGAAGGTCTTGACGTCGATGCGTCGGATAGCCGACCACGCGATCTCTCTGACCCTACTACAGTGGCGTCTTCGTCATTGCTTTCACCTTCCTCAGTGCCTGAGTCAGAACTTCACTCTGACATTTCGATTCCCGAACACAGAAAGAACGTGTGGTTCAAGTACCTTGCGGACTTCTGGTCCAAGCGCTCGGCATCAGGCTGGACAAACTTGGAGTACCCTTTGCACGCCACGGAGCATGTCTTCGAAGACTCTGATATCATCGTCCGGGAAGATGAGCCGTCATCGGTGATAGCGCTATCTCTGGCATCCGCAGACTACCTCACCAAGGTAAAGGAGTTCCGTAGCCACCCGTCCAAGCAGACGAAGAAACATACCCACACTGCATCTCAAGCGAGCAACATCACTGCAGATCACAGCGACTATGAGAACCCGATCGAGGCCTCCTTGCTCAGTGACACTGGCACGCACATGAAGTACTCTTTCGCGCACGGTTCGGTCAAGGCGTCCTGTAAGATCTTCTACGCCGAAGCGTTTGATGCACTCAGACGACGCTGTGGGGTTGCCGAACGATTCGTGGAATCGATGTCGCGGTGCCTCAAGTTCGATTCCAAGGGCGGTAAAACGAAGTCACTCTTCTTGAAAACGCTCGATGGTCGCTTCATCATTAAGAGCTTACAGGAAGTGGAGCTGAAGGCTTTCACCAAATTTGCACCGGACTACTTCGACTTCATGAGCCACACACTGTTTCACGGTGTGCCAAGCGTCATCGCGAAGATGTTCGGCCTGTTCCAGATCGTCATCAAGAATCCAGCAACCGGCATGGACTTTTCGTACTACCTTCTCGTCATGGAGAATTTGTTCTACGAGCGTAACCCGAACCGTCGCTTCGATCTGAAAGGCAGCATGCGCAACCGCAAGATCGAGAGTACAGGCCAGCCAGATGAAGTGCTGCTCGACGAGAATCTTGTGGAGACGATCTTCGAGTCGCCGCTCTTCGTACGCGAACATGCGCGCCGTCTTCTACAAGCGAGCGTCTGGAACGATACCATGTTCCTTTGCAGGCAGAATGTGATGGACTACAGTCTCATGGCTGGCTTTGATGATGATCGCAAAGAGCTAATCGTCGGTATCATTGACTGCATCCGGACTTATACCTGGGACAAGAAGCTGGAGTCTTGGATCAAGGATCGCGGCAAGAACAAGCCTACGATCACCAGTCCGAAAGACTACCGTAACAGGTTTCGTGTAAGCATGATGGCATACGCTCTTGTTGCACCCAACTGCTGGCATCAATTCCAGACGCAGATGGCGTTACCAAAGACACTCAAGGATCGCGAGGAGAAGGAGGAGACGGAAGACACCGAGGCGGAAGGAAGCCTCATCACTTGAGGTTGCGATGTTAGCGAGGACGGCGACATGAGCCGGGCCACGAGTAATGGTTTACGAGGTTGTTGATGATACCCATGTTTGCATTGAGGCGCATACGATAAGCGCATAGCGACGGTAACGGAGAAAGTGAGCTTTGCGGCATGCAGTATTAGATACTGATCGGAGGTGTTCACTTTTCATCCCCGTCTCCGCCGCCTGAACTTCAGCCCGTCATCGTCGTCCTCGTCAATGTTGATCGTGGTAGTCGTCGGCAATCGTGTTTGTCTTGCCTTCTTCGCTGGGCCCCCCACCTGCTCCACTGCGTGCCTCTTGCCTGCCGCCGTACGCTGGGTTTCCGTGCCGAGCGTCTGGCTAGGCGCGGTGTCTGCCATAGACTGCAGGTTGCCATCACGGGCGGTACCAGCGATCTCGGCAGGATTGAACCGGTTCGTATCGTCTTCCGCATCCTCTTCGCGACTGCGCTGAATCCTTCGATGAAAGCGTGTCGTTTCGCTGTGGTCCTCGTTGCCCGGCTCGGCAGCACGTAGAGTCTGGGACTGCGACTGACTCTTCGAGTTGCCTTTGCCAGACGAAGCATGACCGAGCAACCAGTATTCGTGCCCGATGCCATGGCCTTTGCGCGGAACTTCTTCAAGCTGCACAATCACACGCTGCAGACGCGGCGGCGCATCTTGCCGTTGACCCTGCGGCCGGAACTTCTTGAAGTTCTTACGTCCGTTCCATGCTGGATCCCAGCGGTCACCATTCCCTTTCGCCGCGTCACGCGGAGTCGGCTCACGAACAGGCATCTCCTCAATCACGATTTTGTTCCGTATCTCGTTGAGGTCAACGCCCTCGAGCTGATCGCGGAGGACTTCTTCGTCTAGGCGTCTGCGCTCCTCTTCCTCCTCCTTCCGCTTGGCGAGCTCTGCTCTCACATCGATCTGCTTTCCTACGCGCTTCTTAGCTCCCGCATTCTTCTTCGTGGTGGTGCTGTCTTCGTCTTCGATGGATGCCGCGAACGAAGCCTTCCGGCCGTTTTCCAACGCCTCGGTTCTCCGGCGCTTGAAGGCCGTTTGGCCTTTTAGCAGGTCATCGAATGGGTCCTTTTCCTCGTCCTCGGCGGGTGCGAGTCGCTTGCGCTGACTCTGCCCGTGACCTGGCTCATCCACATCCATACTTTGCACGCTTGCAGCCTGACTAGGTTCCTGGACACTAGGGACAGGCTCTGGCGATGGAGATCTGTTCTTCGTAAACTGGCTGGGATCGAAGTCATTTTGGAAACCTTGCCACCTCGATTTCGTGACGGCGCGCCTGTTCCATTTCTTCTTCACAGGTGAGGCTGCTAACTGCTCTGCCTCTTGCACATCTTCCATTGGCACACCGTTGGGACGCTGTGAAGTTTCTGCCGGCGCCTCGTTTGGTGGTGGAGGAGTTGGAGACCTTCGCAGATTCCGCGGTGGCGACGCTTGTACCTCTCCGACACCGTCTTGCGGCAGGCTTTCGGCCTCTTTAAGCGGCCTCCGTAGATCACTTGTATCAAGTGTTATGATCGGATCAAGAAATTCACTCTGCTCTATTGCTCGCTGACCCGAAGCTAATTCGACCTCCTGCATGAAGTTTCTGCTCCATTCTCCTCGACCCTCGCTGAGTCGGACGACGACCACACCCCCACTACCTGATTGTTGGCTTAGCTGGAACTGCCTGTTGCCCTTCTTGCCCGCCACTTCGCCAAGATAGCTAACGAGCTCTTCTGGCCTACTCTCGCCATCGTGCACTTCCCAGAGTAAAGCTTTGCCATGCGCGCATGTAATCACCGGGAGCAGCTGATCATACTGGCCCTGCGCTAAGAACACAAACGTAAAGTCCTGGAGAACCTCAGCTCGCTCAGTCAGTGGCTTGAGTAGATCACTTGGTCTAGGCACGGGCTCCGCGCCAGCTGGTAGGAGATGATCCTCTTCCCTTGGCCAGTGGACATCGAAGTCATCTTCCAGCAGGCTTGGAGTCGCCTCGTCAGCCAGATTCCTTTCTGCTGGTTTCGTGACAGCAGCTAAGGCATCGAACCAGCTCTGGGCAACAAGCCATCGACCCTGCACGAGCGCTTGCAGTCCAGGAGCGGTGTTGCGTTTCTTCGCCACTACATGCGTCGTCTCGTTTGAGACATACTCGCCCAACAGCTTAACATCCGTGCCATCCACCTGCCGACCATGCTTTGCCAACACCTCGCTTTTATCCTTCTTTCCGAGTCCAGTTAGAGTGATAATGACAGGATGCCACACTAGGTGGAACAAGGGCTCATAGTGGCCCAGCCTGATGGTATACTCCTTCCCTTCCAATGTCCTGATACCTTTCTGAAACCTCTCGTCATTGCACGTTGTCCCAGCCTTCGAGTTATCCTCGAGTGTAATGCCAGTTCGCTGGTGTAGTTTGAATTGGTCTCCGGCTCCTAGCTGCGCTACGCTTATGACTAGATGCTTCCGGGAAACGCTTTTGTGATCGATGTACCGGATCTTCTCGCCCGCCTGTGGGTGTCCTGTTGTACGGCCAAGCAGATGGACGGAGCCTGGTCGAAGCCATAAGCGTTTGCCGGCGAAGAGATCGCCGTCGCAACTTAGTAACCACATCGCCACATGTTACGGCAAGATGGGTGCATCGGTACGGCGTTCACATATGTATTGCTCGACTGAAGCTCTACACGATGATTCACTGGAAGCGAAGTGTGACGTGAAGCCTCGGCACGAAGTAGGCACGCTAGGCTACAGCAGCACGTGACAGAGTGCCTGGCGGAGCTGTCACCGGGGACGACATGGACGAGAGTTTTTGAGATCTTCATCTGCGAGAGTATATATCGATATTACAGTATATTACATGCAGGCAGGATACCAGCTAGTGTTGTGGGTCTTTCCCCTGTCCTGTTGCACTGAGCGACTCGAGCGCAATACGCCCACATTGTAGCCTCACGGTGTACCGAGCTCTGCTGCGGCGCAGTGTGAGATCACCCGTCGCTCATGCCCTTCCCCGGCCTAGACCTCACTGCTGGGGTTCGCGGTACCGTCGGGCTGCAAAGTCGCGCTGTCAAAGGTCTCCGGGTTATCATGACTCTGCTTGTGCTCGCTGCCGCCATTGGCGCCTTCCTCGTCGGCGGTACCTCCAGACTGTGGCTGTGCGCCATCCGCAGCGGCCACTGTATCGTTCGCGACATTATCAGCCTCGTAGCCTTCGACGAGCTCGTCAATGATAAACTCCCACTCAGCCTTTGACACCTTCGATACACTCAAGCGCGACTGCTTGAAGAGCTGCATGTTCTCCAGCACCGCACCTGCAGCCTTGTACTTCTGGAGCTCCTTGAGTGAGACAGGGTGGGATAGCTTCTTGCGGAATGCAACGCCGACAACGACCCACTTATTGCGGGCTTTCTCATCTTCAACATAGCCATAAGTGCTTGCGTTCGCCGTGGTCACATCCGGCTCCGCTTCAGAGACAACCTCCATGACGCCTACAATGCCCGGCGTGCGACCTCCCTTACCGCCGCTAGCGTAGAAGAACGCCAGATCGCCTTGCTTCATTGCGCGCATGTTCTTAGCGGCGACCACATTACGCACGCCATCCCAGAGCTCAGGCTTAGTCTTTGCGCGCAGATCGTCAATGGTAAACTTGGTGTTGATGACCGTGCCATCGTGAGTCTTCTCCTCACGATCCTCCTGCTCAGCTTTCATCAGCCAGTACTGTTGGCTTGTTCCCGTCTGCTCGGCTTCATGGTTGGCAGGTTTCTTGGCTTGAGATTTGAAAGGGGCTTTGCGCTTACTGGTGACCGCTTCCTGCTTCTCCGCTGCCTCGGCGGTCTCGTTCAGCTCACCCTCAAGCTGATCTGCAGCTGCCTCATCGTCCTCGGCTTGCTTGGTCGTCTCGCCACCCTTCGGCGGTCTACCGCGCTTGCGACGCGGCTCAGTCTCGAGCTCGGCCGGTGCAGCCTTCGCCGGACGACCGCGCTTCTTCGGCGTTGCAGTGGTGCCGACTTTGGTGGCGGGCTTGGGTTCTGCGGTCTCCGCCACAATCGCAGCCTTCGCGGGGCGTCCGCGCTTCTTCGGCGGCTCCTCTGCTTCAGTGACGATCTCCTTAGCCGGTCTGCCGCGCTTCTTTGGCGCTGACGCAGTGCTGGTAGTTGTAGTGGTAGCTGAATTATTGTTAGCTCAACTCCTTGCATTCAGTTCACAACAATGCAATGCACACTCTTCTCTGTCGCGGTCTCTCTACGAGGGCGACCAGACGCGGCCGTCGCAGTCGCCGCCGACTTTGCAGCCTTTTTAGGAGGCATCGTTGATATTGATGTCGCGCAATACGTTGACCGTCAGTGCGAACGCGAACAGGGGAGAGATATCTGTTAATGTTGGACGCGGAGTGACGTTGTTGTCGTTTGCTTGGGTTGTCGCAACAAGCAAGAACGGGGAAAGCGCGATTGACTGCGACCAGCTAATGATCCCTGCTCTGCATGTGCCTACAGACGCCGACAACAACAACAACACTTGGCGAGCACTTGGCGCGTCAACCTCACCTCAATCAAGTTCACGGGACATTAGCAAACAACTGACGATACGGGAGATGTTTCAATCTGTCGACAATTGTCCTTGCGGCATCGTGTCCGCGACAAAGTACCGCGCTGATCACTGTTCCTCTACGAATGGAAGCGTGCGTCATCCGTGGCTTTCCGTAGCACCGCCCTGCTTCGTGGACTGTCGCGTCAAGTGTCTCGAAAGGGTCCAGCGTACGTGTTGCTCAAAGCCTCGAAGAGTGGATCTCAATGGCACCTAGGTAAGAGACGTTGCTCGCTTTCTCACGTCCTTATCTCCCCATGTAATCGGAGTTCGCCCGCTATGGCTTTGCCTTCCGACGCGACTTTTCTTATTGCCTTGAGATTCGGAAACCAATCTACGAACCATGGAAAGTGCTACCAGTTTGGATGGTGTAACAGGTCGTAAGCGTGCGATGTCGCACAACGACTACCTAAACAGCTTATTACGACCTTCAGGCGATGAGGTAGCCCGCATTACTGGCGTCCAGTTACAGCATGAGCGCGACATATGTGCAAAGTACCACAACCCCAGTGGTGAGGTCGAGGGAGCAGCCACCACGATCCAGAAGGCTTACCGCGGCTACCGTGACCGCAGACAGTTGGAAGGCCTGACATTGGATCCTTCTGCAAGATGGCTGGAAACGATCAAAGAACTTCGGTATCGGACTGCAACTTCATCTAGATACTCTAACGTTTCTGGACCGGAGTCAGAATCATCGCGATTTGACCAGGCACGAACCAAGTGGAAGCGAGCCGGCGTGATTGCAGAGCATGCTGCTAGTGACGGAAGTCCTCCTCGGCGTTTCATGAGCAGCACTGGCAGCAACAGCTCGGCTGTAAGTCATGTGAAGGGCTCCATGTTGCTTGATCAAAGGTACTTCTTGGAAATGGTTGATCAGCGTCACCGCTACGGTACTAACCTCCAGGTGTATCATGAGGAATGGCTGCGCTCAGACAGCAATGTCAACTTCTTTGAGTGGCTGGACCACGGTCCAGGTCGTCAGCTCGATCTGGTAGGCTGCAGCCGCGAGAAGCTCGATCGTGAGCGCATTCGCTACCTGAGTCGAGAAGAGCGCCAAGACTACCTCGTCGACATTGATCATGCGGGCAAGCTACGCTGGCACAAGAATGGTGAGCTTATCTCTACCGATGGCAATATCTACAGGGACTCAATCCACGGTATCGTTGCCAAGGACGCTGCCGACCCAATGTACGCGGAAACAAACGGTACAATCGACCACATCGAAGATAGCGACGTCAGCCTATCCGAGAGCGAGCCAGAAAAGCATCATGCACATCAGCAAGTTACGAAGGATCGCACGCCACAGCATAGACGTTTCCGCGTGTCACCAGCAACCGTACTGAATCACATACTCAGAGCGTCCGTGAAGCCCGGCACCTGGATTTACGTTGCGGACACAGTCGGGAGGCTGTACGTCGGCATCAAGTCGAGTGGCGCCTTCCAACATGCTTCCTTCCTAGCCGGTGGTCGCATATCCTCTGCAGGCTTGATTGGTATCGAGAATGGCCAGCTAGTGTACCTGTCTCCGCTCAGTGGCCATTACCGACCCACAACGAAGTCTTTCAAGACATTCATCCAGAGTCTCAAAAGCGATGGCGCTGATCTGTCACACCTGAAGGTTTCGCATGCGTACGGCGTCTTGCTAGGCATGGAGTATTACGATAAGGCAGCGAAAGGCATCAGCAAAGTCCTACATCACAAGAAAGCGGACTGATATGAAGTTCCATCGTCGACAGAATCGAGCTACCAGTGCTCCGAGTATGCGGAGGGTAATGACCGCTTGATCGGATAGGACGCTAAGGCGTGGTATATGATGGACGTGGATAGTTGTCTTGGCTCAAGCTATGCTACGTGAAAAGCTCCATCTTGTGGAGCACGAAGCACAACGATCGCCGAATTCAGACATCATTCCTCGACCATCCGTATATGATACGGCATAGTTCGAACGATCTTCGCAACGCCTTCACACTGCTTGCGAAGCTTCACCGCGATCAAGTGACGTCTAGTAGCGCTTGCCCTCGCGGAGAACATCGCTGTACTCCTCAAGTGGGCTGCGCGTGAGCTTCATCTCGGTCCACAGGTTGGGAGTGAGGAAGCCGTAGGTGTTGGTGATGGCGACGAAGGTGGCCTTGAGCGTGTTCTCAAGGGTCTTGGTGGAGCCGGAAGAAGCGGTGTAGATATCATTGACACCAGCGAGCTGGAGCAGACGCTTGACCGCTGGGGAGGCCACGAGACCGGTACCGCGAGGAGCAGGAATGAGCTGCAAGCTGTTAGCGCCATCGCCTCGGAAGAAGGATATTGGTACATACCCTGACGGTGACGGAACCGCACTTGCCGCTCTCCTTGACGGGAATGGAGTGCGGCTCACCGAGGTTGGTACCCCAGTAGCCGCGACGGATTGGCATGACGGAGAGCTTGGCGATGATAATGGCGGCGCGAATCGCAGTGGCCACTTCCTTTGACGTCTTGATGCCAAGGCCGATGTGGCCCTCGCTGTCACCAATGACGACGATAGCCTTGAAACGAGTACGCTGACCAGCGCGAGTCTGCTTCTGGACGGGCTTGATCTGTTCCATTCGTTAGCATCTGACCTTTCAGTAGTCCATGGTTAGCTGAAACGCACCTTCATAACCTCGTCCTTGAGCTTCGGCAGGAAGAAATCGACGATCTGATACTCCTTGATGGGGAGCGAGTGCAGGTAGATCTCCTCCATACTCTTGATCTTGCCAGCCTTGACGAGGCGGCCAAGCTTGGTGACGGGTTGCCATTCCTTCTCGTCGCTCTTCGCACCACCGCGCCTTGGGCGGCCACGTCCGCGTCCACGATCACCACGACCTCTGTCCCCACCGCCACGATCGCCGCGCGAGCCAAAGCCACCGCCACCACGTTCTGCCATGGCTGATTCTTGTGGGTTGGTGAGTGTGGTTATTGGATAGCTTCCTGGTCGGATGCGAAGCCTTCAATTTGTTGGTGGGGTGAAGCCGAGAGTTGTGTGCCCGCCAAGATTCGCTAGCCGGCAAGTTCCGCTGCCCGCTAACTCCCATGTACTCCACGTTTCAAGCAGGCCACTTCTGCGTCACACGGCCAACCTGGCGTTGATCAAGCACGCTACCTCGGTGCCTTGCTGAGCCTCATCCGACTGTACCTTCTATATCGCCTGTCAAGTAGAGAAGGTACGTATTGTGCTGTGCATACTCATGTCGAGCTCGTGACCTGAGCGGGCCGCACACGGCTGGTTGCGGGTTTAGAAGTCGATCATTGATTACATACAATAGGCTGACCTTCCGTGACCGTTGCCTTCCAGACCCCAACAACCACCACACATCTCCGATATCGCAAACATCGGGCGACTCCTCTGCAGTCGTTCACTCATTCCACCTTCCACACGCTGTGAGCAGTATCAACGCTGGCCCGCCGGCAGGAGCGAGACGAGCCTCCACCAGCGCGCCAATCAACACCTGGCGGAGCAGGCCACAACAGTCTCCATGCGAAGTCACTACTGACCGCGTCCGCCGAGATACACTGCCTTGCCTATCTGGCAAGACTGTTCAAGCCGCCTTAAGCCCCGGTAGTGGCAGAGCGCTACTCTACCTTTCTAATCCCATCTACTCTCGATCACGGCACTGCAGAGACTAATTAACAGACCTCTTGTGCGCTGGGAACAGCGCAGCGATTATGGGCAATCAGCCATCAAAGGACGGAAGGAGTAACGGATCACAAACACCTACAGGCAGCGGACCGAACCTCGACTCATACCCCTCTTTCAGTAAGTCGGATACCAAAGAATCAATGCGGTCATTCAGGACTGCGCTGCGGACGAAGATTCCGGGCGTCAAATCGTCAGACAGTCCGCGCGCTTCATCGTCGAACCTCGCGGGTGATTCTACGACTAGTCTTGTCGACAGGTCGGATGCGCAATCAGCCCGATCCACATCACGGCGCGGCAGCTTGGTAGAGGATGCTAGCAACGCGCCAAAGGTCGTCCCGAAAGGGGCGGCCAAGGCTCGTGCCAGCAGTGAGCCCGACTTGGCCCCAATGGACGACCCACAACCTCCGCCGTCGCCAACCATGTCTGCATCGGTGGGTGCGGGACACAGCGATATCTCGGCTGCACAAAGGAGCGGAGAGGTTGACGCGGTGTCCGACGCACCTCCCACCGGAGCGGTAGGACCGTCTACAAACAGAGAGCCAGGAGAGTCCATCTTAATGAAGAAGAGTCCAGCCTCCACGTCTTCTCATGGTGCGGCTGCGGCACTGGCTATCGCGGATAGTACTGCGACCAGCGATACGCAGTCGTCGATGGAGATCGGTACGCTCAAGCCGGCTGATCTAGACGATATGATCAAGCGGCTAGTGGACGCTGGATATGCCGGCAAAGTTACGAAGACTGTCTGCCTGAAGAACGCCGAGATCACAGCCGTCTGCCTTGCTGCCCGCGAGGTCTTCCTTTCCCAGCCATCGCTCCTCGAGCTGTCTCCACCCGTCAAGATAGTGGGCGATGTACACGGCCAGTACACCGACCTAATCCGCATGTTCGAGATGTGCGGGTTTCCACCGAACAGCAACTTTCTCTTCCTCGGCGACTACGTCGACCGCGGCAAGCAGTCACTCGAGACCATCCTACTGCTTCTCTGCTATAAGCTTCGTTTTCCGGAAAACTTCTTCCTTCTGCGCGGGAACCACGAATGTGCCAACGTCACACGGGTTTACGGTTTCTACGACGAATGCAAACGACGTTGTAACATCAAGGTCTGGAAAACGTTCGTCGACACCTTCAACGCTCTTCCGATTGCTGCCATAGTAGCCAGCAAGATCTTTTGCGTGCACGGTGGTCTCTCCCCAAGCTTGACGCATATGGACGACATCCGCAATATTGCGCGTCCGACCGACGTTCCCGATTACGGATTGCTGAACGACCTACTCTGGTCCGACCCGGCGGATATGGAGTCCGATTGGGAGGCCAACGAGCGAGGTGTCAGCTACTGTTTCGGGAAGAAAGTAATCATGGAGTTTCTCCAGAAGCATGACTTCGACCTTGTGTGCCGGGCGCACATGGTTGTCGAGGATGGATATGAGTTCTTCACTGACCGTATCCTGGTCACGGTGTTCAGTGCGCCGAACTATTGCGGCGAGTTCGACAACTGGGGCGCGATTATGAGTGTGAGCGGCGAGTTGCTTTGTTCATTTGAACTGCTCAAGCCGCTCGACTCGAGTGCGCTCAAAAGCCACATCAAGAAGGGACGGAACAAGAGGCAGAACATGCTCAACTCGCCGGTGAGTTTCGGCCCGCGTGCAAGACTTCAATTACGGACAGAGACTGACGTGTTATACCAGCCGGCCAACCAGTACCCACAGAGTTATTGAGCTAGCCTGGCGGAATTCATTCTGGAGCCCGCTAATACTAAGAACATGCAAAGCTGTCCGCAACCCGTGCATCACGGCTTGTTGCATCAGTTAGGTTGGGATTTGGCACGGCCGAGAAGAGCAGACGACGGCAAGCACACAGCTTACATTCAGCTGTGCCGGCGTAGCTGACACGAAGTCAGAGTCGCGCGAAAGAATGCTAGCAAGGGTGGTAGTGTTATGAAGGGCAGCATCACAGGCCAGGGGCTGCTGTGTTACGATAGTAGATTGAGTAGGATTCAGTAGTGTCTGAGCGGGTAGAATTCAACAATCTCCTCTTGCGATGTATGAGCTTGTCTTTTGGCCCGGAAACGACGAGAATGTATCCTAATGTTGCGCACTGCCAGGGTCAGTTTCATGGATGACCCTACACTTTCAGAACCTTCGGTGATTGACCAGAAGTCGAACCATGTCTACAGTCTCAAGCTTGCTCTAGCCAACGGCAATCGGATTGTTCGGTCACAACCTCACGCCCGAACACTGCCCCGCGGGAGTCTTCGTCTGAAAGGAAGACAGAGCTGGAGAACCAAAGTCTAGCTCCGGGAGAGCTTGTCGCGAATGTTAACAGCTTTCACTACACTACCCATGACTTCGCCTGTCACGCCTCGCTAGTATGCAATCCCTACGAACACCAAAGCGCAACCAAGTAACTCCATCAAAGCAGTCAAGAAACTTTGACCGCGTTCGGTAGCGCCAGAGCCTCGAGACCGCCAGGCTTTTATTAACCGAACCAATGACCCGCCGTCGCTCCGTATGCGAAGATGATCGCGATGACGATGATGATTATAGCGACTGTGAAATAATCAATAGTCAGCGACTCGGGTTTTCGAACCAGCAGTAACCTCGAGGACGACCAGCCGGTGACTGATGCGCTCAGCAGCTCGGTTCGAGTACGTACCAACGATGCCCAAGCAAATCCACTTCTTCTTCCTCGCCGCGCGAGCGCTGACCACCGCTTTCGCAACGTGGACGTTGCCGGCCTCAAGGTGCGTGTTAGTCTCCTCGGCCTTGGTCTCGATGTTTTGCACCATCGGCTCTTGCTCCACGATCATCGTGTCGAGGTCTTGGAACAATTGCTGCAGTTCCATAAGTGTGCGCTCGATTTGCTGGATAGCCTCGTGCCGTTGTTGCACATTCCGAAGCGTGCTCTGAGCCTGACCGCGTCGGTCGGCGTTCATCAAAGCTTGCTGGAAGATCTGCACGTCTGTGCCGGCTGCCGTGACTTCGTCTAGTTCCTGTTCGGTCGCGCTCGGGTTGACGATCATGTATTGGCGGCGCTGTTGCTCCTGCACTTCCTTGCGGAACTGCGACTCGGCTTGCTGGAATTGGTTGATTGATCTCTTCATCCTCCTATCCAGCACGTCGATCTGCGGCCTGTTGCGCGGGTTGCCGGCATCAGGTTGGCCCTTGATCCTGCGAACGCGATCGGCGAGACCGCGGTATTGGGTCATGATGTCCGCGCTCAGTCCGTCGACCTGTTGCGCTGACGCTCCACCACCTGACGTGAAGTTCTTCTGTAGCCTTTGCAGCTCAGGCAGCCGCGTCTCCACAATGTCCAGATTTCGGCTGACCTCGCGGCATTCGTTGAGTAGAGCATTTGGATCGCGCTGAGGTACGGGCGTGCTAGACTGCGAGTAGGGAGCGCCAGGCGCGCCGGTAAGAGGTTGCATCTCCATACTGCCTTCCCTGCCGTATCCCTGCCCGCCGTATGATGGTGGGTTGTCGTAGCTGAGAGAAGAAGTGTTAGCGGATGCTCCAGGTCGGTTGGACAAGAAATAATCGTCGATCAGTGGTTGTAGCGCGGTTGTACACTTACGGATTCGACTGCTGCTGGCCGTAGCCGGAGTTATAGTTATACTGTTACCGATTGACGTCAGTTACGGTACGATATGGTGCATCTGCTAAGGCCGAGTTGGTGCTTCTTCCTGATCGCACAGGCCTGCTCTTATATGCCTACATGTGCTGGTATATGGCTGCCTGTGCTATGGTTCGACTTACTGCCATCTCTGCTGGCGCCTGCTGCTGCGCAGACCCTGAGCGATCTGTTTACTCCTGTATCGCAACTTCTTCGCCGAGGCAACCGAGTTTGATGGTTCGGTGACGGTGTTGAAATTGAAGACTTATAGATTAGGTGGGTGGCGAATGGCGCTTCCTTTCACAACAACAGCTCTTCGAAGACATAACGGAGAGTAAGGCTGAAGAATGCAATATAAGCTGATCTTCCCCGTTGCGGCTTGCGCTGCAGGGACGACGCCTTGACACGCGCCAGCTCCCCGGCCCGCTGCGGCGCAGCCGAAGATGGACCAGAAATAGAGTCAGCGTCGCGTGCTGGGTGGCTTTTCATCTCGAACATCGCCATCACAGCCATCACGGCCATCTGCTACGATATTGTGGCACCATACGTCGTCATGACCCGCGTAGTCGCTTCAGCGAAGCCGGATTAAAGATCATGCGACTTCAACACCAGGCCGACGTTGTTCGATAATCGGTCCTCGGCGACGGAAACAGAGCGATTCCCTATCACGGCCATGAGCTTTGACAAAAGCGCAAGCAAATCAACACGAGACAAGATCGTGGACAATGCCGGCCTGGGGCGTCTCGGCTTCTTCAGGCTAGATACTCGAAGCTGGCCGAGTAATTCATAATCAGCCTGCCTAAGACTTCGATGATGCCTGCTCGTCTTGGACTCGTAAGTCCTGATCGATTAATGCCCGGACAAAATGGCTTAACGAAGCACGGTGCTTCGGCTACTGTCGTGATCCTCCTGCGAGGGGCGAAAACGAAGAACAGACGAACACAACTTTCACCGGCCAACTTCCGCCCAACCGTGCACTTTCCGACTCACGTGAGCACGCGAAAGCAGCAAGTGGGGTCGATGGGTCGTCTCCGATGATCGTACCCCACAGCTCCACATTGTGGCGTGTCGGAAGCTACTTTGCCCTCTTCCATCAACTGCCGATTCTGCGGCACAGCATGTTGCGCATGCTCTTGCGCATTGGCAGGACAGCTTGGCCATGCCGCATTCCGCGGTCGTAACGGGCGCTTCGAAAACTGCAAGATACAGGCTGCGCTTCCGCCCCATGCGGCATTAGAAGCTCAGCAATTGCCGATAGCCTGGTTGTTGATATTATAGAGGGGTCTCGCCCGTGTTTGGTAGAGGTAAGAGCGGCTTTCTGTTGTTTCCTCGCTTCTTCGTTACTCGCCTACCATTGTGCTATAATCTACGAGGGTCACTTGAAGTTAGCGACAAGCTCACCATGGCGGTCACGGTTGGTGGTGGTGGCGAGGCTGGCATTCTCCAAGCTCTCAGATTGCTGCGGACATACTGGCCGCTGCTTCTACCGATCGTACTTGTGGTGCGGTTCTTCTACTATAAGTACTCCTCACCCCTCCGAAACTACCCAGGACCGTTTCTTGCATCCGGCAGCCGGGCATGGAAAGGTAAGGAAGGCCAATCTCTGCAGATGCTCTACCTGCATCATTAACGCTCTGAGCAGTCATAAGCACATGGGGCGGCAAGACAGAAACGGACCACATTAAGCTCCACGAACAGTACGGTTCCATCGTCCGTATCGCACCCAATGAGCTCTCCTTCTCCAGCCCGAACGCCGCGCGAGAAGTTCTCGCTGCGGGCAAGGGCTTCCACAAGACCGATTTCTACGCGGTCTTTCCTCCACCAGAAAACCCGGATATCTTCACCGAGACCCGCGAGGCCGTTCATGCGGTCAAGAAGCGCTATGCCTCAAATCCGTACAGCATGGCCAGCATGCAGCAGTGCTCAGGCTACATTGAGGATACCGAACGGTTACTCATGAAGAAGCTCGACGGAATGTGCCAATCTCGCGATCAGTACTGCAATCTAGGCGACTACCTGCACTACTACGCTTTCGATGTTCTCGGCGAGATCGCGTTTTCGCGCAAGTTTGGCTTCATCGAGGCCGGTTATGATTTGGAGAGGGCGATCAAGACTATTGACGACATGCAATGGTACGATGGTATTGTTGGTCAGGTTCCAGAGTGGGATTGGATGTTCAGACGGAATCCCTTGAGGAAATTCATACCCGGACTCAACCCTAGTCAGTTCCTCATTACGCGCATGGCGCTGGAGGAGATTGGCAAGAGGAAGAAGCTCGGCAGCAAGGAGATTGCAGACCGCAAAGACTTGATGAGTTCTCTGATGGCGGCGCACGAGAAGGCACCGGATGCGTTCAAAGAGGGCGACGTCTTTGCCGTTGCTCACGGCGCGATGTGAGTGTTTATCCAGCGCACAGTAGGCGGATCCCACAGACTGACAGCAAATCACAGCTTCGCCGGCTCCGACTCCACAGCCTCGACAATGCAATCCTTCTGCCACCACGTCCTCCGCGAACCAGCCATCTACGCTCGCCTGAAGCAAGAAATCGACACCGCAAGCGCGGAAGGCAAGCTCTCTGAAATGCCGACATGGAACGAAGCCCAAGCCCTGCCATACTTCCAGGCGTGTCTGCGTGAAGCCATGCGCGTACGTCCCGCCGTGGGTCTGAACATTACCCGCTTGGTCCCGCCCGAGGGTGCAGAAATCGACGGTCGCCGCTTCCCGGGTGGAACGAGGGTCGCGCTGAACGCTTGGGTGTTGCATCGCGATGCCAGTATCTTCGGCAACGATCCGAAGGTCTACCGGCCGGAGAGGTGGCTGGAGGGTGATGCGAAGATGATGGATCGGTATATGTATCAGGTGAGCCGAGCATCAGAATTACCTCGAGGGAATGGGTTGCATGTGTGCTAACGACTTTCGCTCAGTTTGGCGGTGGCTCTCACCTCTGCATCGGCAAGAATCTTGCTCTGTTGGAGATGAACAAGACACTTCCACTGCTCTTCCGCGAGTACGAGTTCGAGCTGCTGAAGCCGCACGAGGATCTGAAGTATCACTCCACCTTCTTCGTTGTGCAGCAAGGGCTGGAGGTTCGCATTTCGAAGCGGAGTACTAAGGCGCAGTGAGTGTGGCTGAGGCGGAGTGTTTGAGATTGAAGTAGCGTTCCAAGCGGTCCTTCCACTCAATTTGTTCTCTCATGTTTCTGAGGTTTTGTTTCAATCTCACCGAAGATCATACACCTACTGCCATGAGCGCTGCAACGGGAACTTCCGTCTCCGCTACTCTTCTTACCCCAAGGGATTTAACCGTTGCGTGAGTGGTTAAATATACACCTTGTAATGGGCGTCAAACGTTCCCGTGGCGAGATGGAAAGTCAGAGTAAGGACGGAGTTGCGCCGTCTACTTCCCCGTTCATGCCTATGTTTGAACGTTTTCGCGCCGAGCTGGACGAGCACCACGACCGCCGCGAGAGAATCATCAAGGCGAGTCGAGACATTACGGCCGCTTCGAAGAAGATGTCAGTATAAAGATCAGCTTGTCTATAGAGTATGTAGCTGATTGCTCACAAGCATTTTCACACTGCAACGGTAATGTTTCTCGACCTACGGCATTGGGTTTTGGACGCCACTAACGACGTTGTAGAATACGCAAGCTCAACGAAGCTCTCCCACAACATGCGATCAAATCCAACAAGCAGTATCAAGACACCATACAATCTCAAATCGCTTCCGTCTCCGGCGACCTGCAATGTCTACATACGTACCGTTACAGCCGCCAGATCAGCGGAGGCTGCCAGGAATGGATGGAGGCGGCGTGCTTCCAGCATTACCTGGAAACCACAACCCTACTGTCCTACGACGATGCGGCGGAGAAGTTCCGCCAACTCGATGAAGCCGGTTCGGGCATCGAGCTGAGCCCGGAGGACTGGTTACTGGGCGTCTATGACATGACTGGAGAATTGATGCGGTTCGCTATTACGACTATGGCGACTACGGGCGAGCTTCTTAAGCCTTCTGGATCAAGTCAAAGTGATGACGATGGAATGGATGTGGACGGTCAAGCGCATCGCCAACGAAGCGTTCTTACGGATTTACGGGAGCTTCGTGCCGCTCTCGAGAGCCTGAATGTTGGGACGGGACCGTTTGCCAAGGATTGCGAGAAGAAGCTTGCAGTCATGCAGACGAGCGTGGAGAAGGTTGAGAAGGCGTTGTATGGACTTGTTGTGCGGGGTGCTGAGCGGCCGAAGGGGTGGATGCCGGAGATTGGGGATGCGGGTGGAGGGGGGCGGGCGGTGGAGGTCGAAGGGTAGGCGGGAGAGTTTTCCTCGAACATTCACAGATGCACCTCATCGGTGGCTGCCGATGGATGAGACCGTGGACACAAAGACTACGATCAGGTCGACGACACGAGCGGACATCATTGGCGGGCAGCTAACTCGACTACACCGCCACAACCCTATCATTACTCCCCGCCATCTCAGACTCAATACAACACGCCCTTTCCAAGCCAGCAGCCATTCAGAGCTACGATACAGGCCCATCAAACCCCTTCTCGAGCACCATATCAATCTGCCATCCGTTAGGACCCACCCATAAAACCAACGGTCTCTCTCTCTCGTGCGCTGAACACTCACCATAATGATTATCCCCACACTCAACACGAATACTCTGCACCGACCCCCCAATACTCAAGCACTTATTCAGATGACTCGTCGCATCGAACGCCTTGCCATTCCCCTTGCAATCCCGCTCGGGATACGCAATCACCGAGCACACCGTGTCCTCCGGCTTGTCGGGCGGGTTACCGTGGTGCGGGTAGTAGCTGTAGCTGAAGCCGGTGAAGGGCGGGGCGTCGTGCTGGCATAGTTAGCGCTGTGAGTACGTCCGTCGATATGAGAGCTTGGGATGGAGTGATGAGTTGAGGGGTGGGGAGGGATGAGGTACCTTCCAATCCTTGCAATGCCCACTGCGCAAGGTATCTTCGTCGCGCGGGACCTGCTCGCGACACGTGGAGTCGAAGAAGCGGGTGAAGTGGATGCGGTAGCGGGATTTCCCTGCTGCTTCGGCGTTGACGGCTGTTGCGCCCAGGGCGAGGATGAGGCTGGTGAGGAGGGTCTTGATGGAAACCATGGTGGGTGGTTGTCGGGAATTGGGATGGCTAGTTCCTGGAGATGAGGGGAGGATGTGTAGGTTGGAGAGACTGGGAAGGTGAGAGGAGATGAAATGGGAGATGGGAGGTTATGAAGTACACCTACCTATTTACCACCTCATTTTCTGCCAAACCTTCTCGTGTGCGTGAGGCTAGCAAGAGAATATCTCAACGCTTTGTTTCTTGATGAACGCTACGATGGTCATGAAGGCGTAGCAATGCAACAGTGGTAAAGCAACGGAGAGTTGACTTTCGCTTACTCGCTTTCCTTGGCTTGTCGACGGCTCGAGACCACTGGACAACAAGGCAGATGTCAGCTTATTCACACTCACCCGTGTCCGACATGGGGATGCTTTCATTAATCACTACCATTTCACAACATCAAAGGTCGCTTACTAGCTGCTGCGCACCGCAGGGCTTCGGAGCTGGTGGGCACAGGACATGTGCGCTTCAGGGTGGATAGTATTACCGTTAGGCTTGGTGCTGTGCACTCATCTCCCAACCAACCGCGATAGACCTCACAAGATCTGACGCTGGCTTGGCGAAGTTGCGTCGTTGGTGCCCGAGACTGGTGGAGGAAAAGAAGAACCTGCCTCTTTGGCACGTCTCGACCTCTGAGGTCACTGCCCTCTCAATCCCAATACTTAACAACCCCCTCCACATCCCCCGACGCAACCCGACTCCCCTCCCGGCCCTGCCACCCCACACACCCCACCGCCGCCTCCCCGGCCTTCACCCGCCGGCCCAACCGTCCCGTCTTCCAATCCCAGAAACACAACCACCCCCCACTATCCCCACTCGCCACCACGCCCCCATCGGGACTCACACTCACATCCACCGCATACCCGGCCGTATTGTGCCCGCGGAAATCCTTCTTCCGGTTCGCGCGGATTTTGTCGCCGGTGTTGTAGACTTGGATGGTGTTATCCGCGGATTGGTACAGGACGGAAGGTTTGGTGGGGTGGGGGAAGGATTTCACGAGGGGGTACATGGACGGGTCGGAGATGAGTTTTATGGGGACGGGGATGTTGTACTCCCATGCCCGTAGGGACTTGTCGTCGGAGGTGGTGAGGAAGCGACGGGACTCGTCGCAGAAGGTTATCGTGTTGATGGGGCCGAGGTGGTGGTCGTATTCTTGGACGGGGGTTTTCTTGTCCCCGTTGGGTGGCAAGCGAGTGTCGAATTGCACGATCTTGTTGTCGTGCATCCCCGCCAGAAACTCCCCTCCCGAGGCGTGTTGGGACGGGTGCCAGCGGATGACGTGGGGGGTACTGCCGGTGCTGTACCGGCCAAGGCAGGTTCCTGTTTCCGTGTCCCAGACTTTCATTTGGCGGTCGTAGGAGGCGGAGAGGAAGCGGGTGCCGTCGGGGGAGAAGTCGACGTCCGCGACGGATTTGGTGTGGCCGGAGTAGGAGCGCAGTAGTTCGCGGGCGTGGTAGACATCCCAGAGTTTCACTTTGCCGTCTGCTCCGGAAGATAATAATAAGTGACCGGAATGGGGGAAGAATTTGAGGGCGGTTATGGCGCGGTCGTGTGCGTTTTTGCCGTTGGGAGGGGTGAAGGTGTGGATTTGCTTTTTGGGCGAGTAGCATTTCAGGTTGAGGCTGTCGAAGTCGGAGGTTAGATCCACGTCGAGGTCTTGCGGGACGTGCATGTAGGTGCGGCCTTGGTAGTCGTATTGTTGCGTGCCTTCGAAGACGCTGGTTTCTTTGTCCGCGCTGATTTGTTCGTAGCTCGTGCCTGCGAGTGATCCTTTGGTGGGGACGGGGGCGATGGCGTCTTCTTCGTACACAGTCTCTACTCCATCTTCGTCCGCACTCACTTCCACCTCCTCCCCGCTGTCGCTGTCTATCCGCCGCTCCTCGTACTTGGCCCACGGTCCTTTGTAGGCTTCCGCGCCGTAGACGACGCCGCTGTCGCCCCTGGCTTCGCGTTTTCGCTTCCTGCCTGCGGATTGCCGTGATTGCACGTCGCGATGGAGGGTGCGGAAGGATTGTTCGGAGATGGCGATCTCTTGCGCATACCCGGTGGGGACTTTGCCTTTGGTGGATGTCTTCTGAGGGCCTTGGACGAGGTCGGCGGCGCGGGTGGGCGGAGCGTTGGCGCCGTTGCGGGCGGGGACGAGCGACATGGCTACGACTATATGCTTGATGAGCTTGTGTATCGTAGTATTCGCCGAAGTGCTGTTGCCCTACCTTGACCAAGTCAATAGCGTCCGTCGGTGGTGAAGAGACTCTCGGGTGAACTCGGTAGATCTCCGGCCGGATTTCCATCTCAAAGTCGAATAATCTTGACGGTGGTGTGAATTGTTCCCATCGGCCGGCACCAGTCACTCGTTCGGCGTGGGAATCGTCATGAGGAGCAAGACACTCGTTCGCGCATCACTGCGCAATGCTGCTCTCCGGCCGGGAGAATGGACGGGTGCTAGGAGAAGTTTCACATCGTTGCCCCTTCACACCCAATGCCCGGCCGGACAGAGGCACGAGAGAATAGCGCACACACACGCACGATCATGGCAGACGCAGCGGAGATGGCAGGCAACGGCAACGGCAGCGGCAGCAGTGTTGCAGACGGCAATGCACGACCCGTCCGCCTTATCCCAAGACACCATCGTCGACAACCTCGACCCCAAGGAAGCCGCTCGCCTGGACAAAGTGCGGAACATCGGCATCGCAGCGCACATCGACTCCGGCAAGACGACGGTAACAGAGCGAGTCCTCTTCTACACCGGGCGCATCAATGCCATCCACGAAGTCCGCGGCCGAGATGCTGTTGGCGCAAAGATGGACAGTATGGACCTGGAGCGAGAGAAGGGCATCACCATCAAGTCTGCTGCCACGTACTGCGATTGGATCAAGAAGCAGCCAGACCCCGTATCGGGCGAGATGAAGAACGAGAACTACAATATCAATCTCATCGATACCCCGGGGCACATCGACTTTACTATCGAGGTGGAGCGGGCGTTGCGCGTGCTGGATGGCGCGGTGATGATCCTATGCGCCGTGTCGGGCGTGCAGAGTCAGACCGTGACGGTGGATCGGCAAATGCGGCGCTACAATGTCCCGCGTATCTCGTTCGTTAACAAGATGGACCGAGCGGGCGCAAACCCTTGGAAGGCTGTCGACGGCATCAACCAGAAGCTCAGGATCCCGGCGGCGGCTGTGCAAGTGCCCATTGGTGCGGAAGATGATTTCAAAGGCGTGGTGGATCTGGTGCGGATGAAGGCAATCTACTCCGAGGGACAGCGTGGCGAGATTGTGCGCGAGGATGAAGTACCCAACGATCTCAGAGAGTTTGCGCAGGAGAAACGAAGACTACTCATCGAGACCCTGGCTGATGTGGACGAGGAGATTGCCAACGCCTTCTTGGACGAGCGCACGCCCAGCCCACAAGAAATCAAGGCGGCCATCCGCCGCGCCACCCTAAGCCTAAAGTTCACCCCCGTCCTAATGGGATCCGCACTCGCAGACAAAGGCGTGCAACCCATGCTCGACGCCGTGTGCGACTATCTCCCCAACCCGTCGGAAGTGGAAAACCTCGCCCTCGACCAACGCCGGCAAGAAACGCCCGTCAAACTCGTCTCCTACAACAGCCTCCCATTTGTCGGTCTCGCCTTCAAGCTGGAAGAATCAAACTTCGGCCAACTGACCTACATCCGCGTCTACCAGGGCCAACTCCGCAAAGGCCTCAACGTCACCAACGCCCGCACCGGCCAGAAAGTGAAAATCCCGCGCATCGTCCGCATGCACTCGAACGAGATGGAAGACGTGCAGGACATCGGCGCGGGGGAGATCTGCGCCGTTTTCGGCGTCGACTGCGCGAGTGGTGATACTTTCACCGACGGCGGATTGGGGTACAGCATGACCTCCATGTACGTCCCCGATCCGGTGATCAGCCTTTCCATCAAACCGAAACACACAAAAGACACCCCCAACTTCAGCAAAGCCATCGCCCGCTTCCAGCGCGAAGACCCGACCTTCCGCGTGCACGTCGATACCGAGAGCGGGGAGTCCATCATAAGCGGGATGGGCGAACTACACCTGAGCATCTACATTGAACGCATGAAACGCGAATACGGCGTCGAAGTCATCACGGGCCAACCGCAAGTCGCGTACCGCGAGACCATCACCAACCATACCCCCTTCGACCACCTGCTGAAGAAACAAACCGGCGGCGCGGGCGATTACGCGCGGGTGGTCGGGTTCATGGAACCCACGGGCCAACTCGGGGAGAATGCGTTCGAGCAGCGGATCGTGGGCGGCACGATTTCGGAGAAGTTCTTGTTTGCGTGCGAGAAGGGGTTCCAGGATTCGTGTCACACGGGGCCGTTGATCGGCCATCGCGTCCTCGGCGCTCGCATGATCATCAACGACGGCGCGACGCACATGACCGATTCCTCCGAACACGCCTTCCGCACCGCCACGCGCCAAGCCTTCCGAAAGGCCTTCATGGCCGCCGGACCGCAGGTGCTCGAACCGCTGATGAAGACCGTCATCACCGCCCCCAACGAGTTCCAGGGGAATATCGTGGGGATCTTGAATAAACGGAATGCGGTCATCTCTGATACGGAGATTGGGCCCGAGGAGTTCACGGTCACGGCGGATTGTTCGCTGAATGCCATGTTCGGCTTCAGCAGTCAGTTGCGCGCGAGTAGTCAGGGCAAAGGCGAGTTTAGCATGGAGTTTAGTCATTATGCCCCTGCGCCGGGCCAGCTGCAGAAGGAACTGGTGGCGAAGTATGAGAAGGAGCGGGCGGGGAAGAAGTGATGAAGCAATCTCTTTGTTCTTGTCTTCGTGGGATCGACGTGAGCGGTTGGTGATGGCGCTGTTGGGGGCGGAGGAGAAGGATGACGGCTTGGCGTTCCCGAGACTGAACGCTTGTTGCTCTTGTTGCTGGAGGCGGCTTGTGGAAGGCCTTGGGGGCTCGCTCTTTCAGCGAGAGTATACCCTCGGCGGTCGCGTGCGGTGGGGACGACGGCAGGGTTCATCTGCGATGGTACGCTTGTGAGGTAGACTGGAGAGCTTGAGCTTGCATTCAGGCCTTGAGATGCTCTCTTGGCTTAGGTGTGGGCTGGGTGTGAGCCCCTTGGTATGGTGGGGGCTTGGGCGCATAACATTCGGTGCGGCTGGAACGTCTTTCGATGCATTGCGTGGATTGCACGGAAGGCGGATGCATTTGCCGGAGTTGTCTACGGGGCTGCTGCGTTCGACCATGTACATTTGGTGGACGACGGCGATGGAGAGTCTCCGCTTCGGGGTGTACAGTATGTAGATCTAGCTATATAGATTCACGGCGATGTATTATCTATCATGCCCTGACAAGACTCCGACTCCGCTCAACAAGCATCCGTACTACCCTCTCAACCACCCCCCTCGTCTCCGCCAACCCACCTGCCCGCCTCACGCCCACCGCGCCCGCAGCCAACACGCCCACGAGCAACGCCATACTCACAAACTGCTGCACCCCCTTCCACCCACCCACAACCAAACTCTTGTACGTATGCTTTCCCTGCCGTGTATCCAGAACATCGTACAAAAAGTCTCTACTGGGAACCCACACGCTGCGCCACCAGAACATGAACTGATACTGCGGGTACATGGCGATATTGAGGCCCGTTTCCGGATCAAGCGCCCAGCTCGTGCAGCCAGAAGACCAGACGAGTTTTTGCAGCTTCGCTTGCATCCAGTTACTGTCGCGTGTCGCCGCTTCGGCCTTGACATCCACCGCTTCGATCTCCTGGCTCGATGAGAGGAGGCCGGTATGTGGGGAGTGCATGCTTCTTAGTATTGGTCCGACCAGGCGCAGGACAAAGTTGATCTGGCATTCGACTGTGTAGATGACGGAGAGATGGCCGGTGACGGTGTTGGGACCCATGAGCGTGAAGAACGAAGGGAAGCCCGGGACGCAGGTGCCTAGGTAGGCTTGGGCAGCGCCCTTGTGGTATTTGTCCCAATAGTCGTTTAGACTGTGGCCGTCTTTGCCGTAGATTTCCATGGGGAAGAGCATGCGGAAGACTTCGAAGCCGGTTGCGAGGACGATTGCGTCGGCAGTGACTTCTCGGCCGCTTTGCGTGCGGACGCCGGTTTCTGTAATCTCCTTTACTGGATCGTCGTGGATGAGCTCCACGTTCTCTCGATGCAGAGTGGCGAGGTAGTCGGTGTCCATCACCTTGCGCTTACAGCCGATCTCGTGCTTCGGTGTCACCGCGTCCCAGTACTTTTGCGGTGCCATCTTCTTCACGTACCGCTCGTTCTCCGCCCGGAGCGCGTCACGGATCTTGTGGCCAGTCTCGGTGTCGAAGCCGGCAAAGTCCTTCTCCATGTCCGCGTACAGCTTGAAACGGTACAATCGCATCGCGCCCGGCACGTAGCGCATGAGGGCCTTGAAGAGCGGACCGTAGACCGGGTTTGGTCGCTCCGCGAGATAGTGAGCTTGGCGTGCGAATTGAGTGAGGCGTTTTGTGTCAGGCGCCATGATCGGCACAAATTGCGTCGCTGAGCAGCCGTTTCCGATGACAACGACGTTCCTACCTTTCCAATCGAAACTGCGATCCCATGTTGCTGAGTGGAAGAGCGGTCCTTTGAAGCTGTCCGCGCCGGGGATCTGGCACTTTCGTGGCACGCTGAGAGAGCCGACACCGCTTACAAGAACCTTTGCGCGGCGCATGGAGGTCTCCTTAGTGGCCAAGTTCCGGACGGTAACTTCCCAGTACTGCTCGCTCTCATTCCAGCGCGCAACATCAACTTGCGACTTGAAGCGGATATGAGGGAGGATGTTGTATTTCTCCGCGACACCGCGAAAGTAGGCCTGGATCTCGCTTCGCATGCTGAACTTTTGGCTCCAGTCCGGGTTCAAGGCGAAGCTGTATGAGTAGAAGTGGCTTGCTACATCACAGCCGCATCCTGGATATGTATTTACCAGCCTGGTCTTTCGTGAGCGATCATGGCCTGGCGATCGGGAGAGGCAGGGGAGCTTACCACGTCCCTCCAACGTCTTCACACTTCTCGATCAGCTCAAATGAGTTACTGTAGCGGTGTCGTAGAAGTTGGACCGCAAGACCAAGGCCGGACATGCCGGCACCGATGATGAGCACATCTACATCGATTGGAGCCATGGTGAGCGAGCTACAAAACAGTGAAGGAAAAGGATGGGGATATGTGAGAGGGAGGATAAGAGGTATGTGGAAGCTGCAGATATATGTACTTGGACTTGCCTGATTCGACATCCCGCCATCGTGCAGCTAGGATCGCGCTTCCTGCGATTGCGTTGGTCTGTGATGCACTGTAAAGGTGAAGGTGTTGTCCGAGACGGGGTACTGGGGCTTAACCTGGGGTGGTGGAGCTCGGCTCAGTTACTCGACACGCCAGCCGATCAAAGCAGTGGAAGGTGTGCCGATAGAACTAACCCACGCTCTGGGAAGCTCTTGGTCTCATCAATCAAACCCTGAGCGACAATCCACCGCTGATACTACGCATTCACTATGGCAAGCCGTCCACTTGACTCAGTGCTAGCCAGTGAACAACCAGTACAACATGCCGATAAGACAGCTCGATACCGAGAGGAGATCGAGGCTCGTACTCTGGCAGGCGAGTCCTGCAAACAGATCTCCGATGCCTTGCTCGCTCGAGGCATTGTCCTCAGCGACAAAACCATCTCTCGGCGACGGATAGAATGGGGCTTCCGCCAGCGTGCTGAAAATAAAATGAAAGGTCGCTCTGCACCGAGACCGGGCAAAAGCCATTCTGCTAGATGGCGTGAAAGGTCCGAGCGGACGAAACAGATCCTTATGCAGTTGACGGCTGAAGGCAAACCTGCTGAGCAGATAGCTGAGCACTGTGAGTCTCAAGGTATCGTCTTCAAGGCTGGTGTACGTACTGTATGGCGACTGCAAGCTCATTATGGCTTAATCCCGTACGACGAGGATCGAGCGAAAGCTAGAGGTGCCTATAGAAAGCAGGCAGTGAATCACCCGAAGCCGCTGCGCCAGAAGAAGTCAATGGCGAATGTTCTCGAGAATGGGCAGCGTAGTGAGACGCTGCACTACCCTTCGAACTGCAGCTTTGGTCCGAAGCGAGGCGTGACAGGGAGGCAACCGTCTGCCCAGAGTAATCTTGACATGTCAGACGATGTCGTACAGATAGATTCCGATATTCCTGATGCCGAGCCGCTCGATACACGGTGGGGCGACGAGATGCAGTTTACTAGTGCAGCAGACGAGTTCAACGCTAGCCATAACATTTCTGAACCAATTCCCGGTCAAGCGCCGCGACCGCGGCCGGCAGTACTATTCCAGCGAATCAGACGTACAGCACGGTAGCAGGATGGCGGACTGACAATCCCGCCGTGTCGTCGGCACCCAATGATATTGATGAAGTTGAAGTGACACCGAGCGATCTGATGTCTGCAGGAACTGTTGGTAGACCTGGCTAATAGTACCCTCGTAGCCGCAATTGAGCTCAAGAACGTGCTGCGTGCGGTTCACATGCGCAGCCCGCTGCCGGGGAGTACATCTGGCATGGCACCCTCAGCGCAGGATGTAGCGATGGCGAGGTTGAAGCTGCAGAAGGCCGGGCAGGTGGTGATTGACTTATCTTTCGGCTAGAGACTTCTCTGATCTGAGAACAGATTGACTGTTACATTATGACAAGACCGCCGGTCGTTGGTAATTGTTGACTATGCACGCTAGCACGCTATCAATACAATGGTGAAGAAGAGTACCACCATACTTCCATGACCCGCTGATGCCGACTCCCTAATGTGCTGAGATCCATCCATGCCTGCCACACTTGGGCGTTGACTGTCTCTGGGTGTTACTGTTGCAGATAGTGCTCACGTGTCAAGGTACTTCGACGCCAAAGCACCCAACATAGGCTTCGCAATCGGCTCGACCTTACTCCAGTGCTTCTTTCCCGTCTCGAGCATTTTACCAAGATCAAGATCCTTATCCTTATCCTTGTCCTTATCCCTCTTCTGGCCCGAAGACCGTCTCCCGCTCGAGCGGCGCCTGTCACGATCACGGCGATCATAGTCATCATCCCGATCACGCGCTCTCTCCTTCTCACGTCGCCGCTCACGGTCTCGCCTCGATGACTCCCGCCCATCTGTCCTATACCCACGATCACGGTCGTCGCGAGAGCCTCGCTTGGGCGCCTCACTGCGGTAGCCACGGTCGTCATACCGATCTTTATCGTGGTCCCGAGTACTGCGACGGCGAGGCTTCGCATCGTAATCGGTCTCTTCGTCATCATACGGGCGGTGAGAGCGACGTGGTCGGGGCTCGTCGGGAGGGTAGTCTCGCGGTGGAGGATCTCTCCGGCGCGGCGCGCCCAGGTCTTCGGAATCCCGGCCGTGTCTTCTGCGGTCGCGAGAGGGCGGCGGTGCGTCCATGTCATCTAGGTTTTTACTGCCACCATGTCTTCTGCGGTCACGCGAAGGCGGTGGGCCGTCACGGTGGCCGTTCTCGACCGGCCTGCGCATTGGCTGCACCCCATCATCATAATCGTTGTGCGACCTCTCCTTGCCGATGGGGGGCGGTGGGATAGATGAGTCGTTGGAGCCTCGGTGGCGTCGAGGTCGCCTACTACCGGTGTCGAGACTGGTAGGTGAGCGCAAGGGTGGCACATCATCCTCATCGCTCGCATCGTAGTTGTCCCGTCTCCTGGGCTTCGGAGCTCTACCTAGGTCTCGCGGACTGTCTGGGTCCGGACGCGAGCGCGTTGAAGGACGGCGATCATAGTCATCATCGTAGTCTCGTGAGCGCGCACTCATGGGCGAGCGTATATCTCGTTCGGACATGGTAACATGCCCGGGTGAGAGGATGAAGATGACTTGGCGGTGTGGAGCTCGCAGAGCTTACTATAATACTTCATCCAATATGCACGTCGGACGTAATGGGTGGCACGGACCTAAGACCCGAGGCATCGGGCATCAGGAGCCGTGCCGGACAGTAGATTGTGCAGGGGTCTCTGGCCTCATGACCGCATGCGATACGCACCACGTAGCAAAGCCTCCGTAAGCAGAGGGCCGCCGAGCAGCAGAAGCTTCACAGAAGACAGCGATCCGCTCGTTCGAGGCATACGAATTAAGATCTACACATCGCCGCCTAGCTCGCCACCGCTCTCTACGTCGGTCTCCGCGTACGCTTGTAGCTCACGCCGCTTATTGAGATCGTGCACGGACTGATGTCGGAATATGTCGCGCCTCATCTCCCCATCATTGCGAGAACCCTCCCTCATTTGAGCCATAGAACGCGCTCTGTATGGTGGCGCAGGTACAGATGAAGTCGGCCGGTCGGGAACATCTACATTCCTGGATGCAGTTGAGGCGAACATTCTCTGCCGCCTGTCTTTGGCGGCGGCTTCGCCAGCACGTCGTTCGCATGCGTGTCTGCGCTCGACGGATGAGTCACGCTGAGCCGCTATGCCTATTGGACTGGGTTGCCCAAACACCGGTGTTGTGTCAGCATCACGTGCCAAGGCTGACGCCCTGCGTTGCTCGCTCACTAGCCTCCGGTGACCTTGTGTTGGGGCAGGCGACCAAGCAAACGCCGTCCCACGCTGATCCGCAGGTGCGACAAGGTATGGTGAGGCGTTAGCGGCACCATGTCTACTCCCCGATTGCAGCAGCTCGAAAACCTCGCGTGAAGCACTAGGCTGCTGTGCGCGAGACTCCTTGGTGTAAAGCGATGAATAAGCGTCTTTGACTTGCTGCGCTTGAACGTTCTGCGCGGGAATGTCTCGTTCAACCAGCTGCCCATCTCCACTCTGAACCATCACTCGACCTTTACTCAGTTGTTGAGCGGGTGACTCTGCATGTGGCGGCGAACGCTTTGGGAAGTCTTCATGCGGCCCATTCGAACCACCACCTTGCCGCTGCGCAGACGGACCTTGTTTACCCTCCTTCGCCGCACGCTGGGAAGCTTCGGCCAGCAAAGCATTGCGGTGATCGAGCAACCCAGCTAAACGCAAAGTTTGCCGCCTTTGGTCGTGGAGGTCAGCCTGCAACGCCTCTGACGTGCGGTTCAACGACGTGAGCATGTCGTCCTTCTCCTCTAAGAGCTGAGCGCCTAGATCAATAAGGGTCGCAGGGTCAGCCATGTCTTAAACCCTCGCGACTGCATGCATTATGGGTGCGCTTACCTCGGGCAATCACGTGGCCTTGATTCTGCAGAAGTACATCCTTTTGCTCGCAGAACCGCTGCAAATCGCTGACGGTCTGATCAAATCGCTCTCTGCCGGCGTCAACATCACGCAGCGTCCGCTCCAGCTCCTCGGCCCGCACTTTACTCGCGTAGAGAGCGGAGCTCTTCTCTTTGTAGCCTCTAAGAAGCTCGTCATGCTTCTGCTGTAAGGATCGGGTCTCATCTTGTTGGTCTCGAAAGGCACGTTCGACGCCCTCTGCATGCGCAGACGGCGTCTTACCCAAGTAAGCGCCGGTCACGAGACGATGCTGAAGTTGTTCCACCATATCACTGTTATTGTTCCCTTTAGCGAGCTGTTCCTCAATGCGGGAAAGAGCGTCTTGAACGGGCAGTAATTGCTGGAACATCTGCTGCGACCAGGCTGGTTGTCCATCCGAAGGGTGCAACGAAGGATTACAAGTTGTCTTGGTTGAGAGACCAGGTGTGCGAGATGGAGAACAAGGCAGCTCAAGCGTCCACGCGTTTTGCGAGACATCTGGTAAGGACGGCGGCATCGCGCTCTCCTCCCATGCTTCGTGGCCCCCGACATCAAACAGCTGTGAGTGCAGCTTCACAATCTTACGCACCACCTTTGCGTTGTCACCATCTAGCAGCGTCATATCCCTGTTCATCACTGTGTTATATGTGCGTAACATATGAACAGACGCTTGAACTGCGTCAAGCTGAGTGCGCGTAAGTTCTTCGATCATTCGGTCTTTACTGCGTAGCTTGACGTCGCTTCCGTGTATGGGTGTGGTTGGCATTGCGGCGTGAACAGGCTCCAACCCTGAAGAAGCTACGCCATCGCCCTCCTCCCCTGCACATCTCCATGTGTCGGTTGGAAAGGCTGCGGTGTTAGATCCTGGAGTGTAGTCCGAGGAACAACGCGTGTGATGGATAGCATTCTCCGCCGCCCTTGCTACACTACTTGCGGGCGTGAACCGGTCGGGGTTCCAGCGGTCGACCTTGTCTTCGAGATCAGACACAGTTTGCTCCAGGTTCGAGACGCGCATGTCTATACTCTGCACATCACTTCGCAGGCTTGAGAAGAGTTGCCAGAACAGCGGACCTGATGGGAGCGACATGCGATCATTATGTGGTAGCCAAGAGCTCTGCTGTACCTCTGGAATGCTGCTTCTGAATAGCGATGTCATAACGGCTTCTTTGCCAGCCTCTGGATTGGTCAAAGCTGCTCTCGTAGAAGTGTCGAGGCGGTGCAGATGGTTCTTAACATCTCGAACCTGCCTAGTGAAATCGCGCTCACCAGAATGTCGTGATGAGCGTGGCGACGTTGCAAAGTGCTTCATCGTCAGATCATCAATCCTTGCCTTGAGCTCATGGAGCTGACTTTGGAATGTCTGCTCGTCCATGGCGGGAAGTTGAGAGGATGCAGTGGCGTTACGAACAGCTACTACTGCGGCGGTCAACGATGGTTAGCACGAGATTATCGGACGTGGTGATGTATTGTAGTCGTGTGAACAGTCCAGACGGATCACGCCAAGTTCTGCTGGCAGTGCATGTTGCCGGGAGCACAAGTGAGGCTGTGGTGCGGAGTTGATGACAAGGGTGACCTCTTGCTACCAATGACGCTGCCGGCATGTGACACAGGCAGCAGCTGCTCCGTAGGCCAAGATCAGGCACTAAGGCACTGACGCTTCGTCTCCTCGTTTCTCGTCAGCAAGCGGCCATAGCGGCCGCTCTGCGTCCAGTGGCGCTCTCCGTCAAACCTTCAGTGATGCGCTCAAGCACGCCGCGGTCCACTTGCAAGTCAATGAACCATCTTGGCAGCGGTTGACCATGTAGTGCGTTGCTGATGGTCTACCTGTAGCGGGAGCTGGTTAACAGAGCGCCATCTGCGGAAGTATATCAAGGTAGGAAAGAGCTGCCTCTCCTCCGTCTTTCATCTCCCTCACATCATCTCGAACACGGGTCAGCCTTTCACTTCATCGGCCATGGTCAAGATCATTGTTGGCTTGATGGGCTCTTCGGCGTCGTCCGGTTCAGCATCGATGAATGGCGCGAACCAGCTCCGGCCGTTCCTCAACATGCTGAAGCAGCACGGAGTCCGTGAGCTCGATACTGCGCGTGTGTACAACAAAGGCAAGAGCGAAGAAGATCTGGGCGGCATTGCAGAGGCTAAAACGCAGTTCATGATCGCCACAAAAGCACCGGGCTACGGTCCAGACACGCTCAGTTACCAGAATGTGATCGATAACTGTAATGCATCGCTCAAAGCGCTGAAGCAAGACAAAATCGAACTGTACTACTTCCATGGCCCAGATAGGAAGACACCTTTGGAAGAGTCATGTCGGGCCATTTCCCAGCTTCACCGTGATGGCAAGATTGATAGATTCGCCATCAGTGGCTTCAATGTGCAGGAAGTGGAGGACATTCATGCCATCTGTACTCGGAATTCGTGGATCGCACCAAGCGTCTACCAAGGTACTCAACGATTTCTCCATATACGCACAATGACTAAATATCATTAAGGCATCTATAATCCACTAGCCAGGGCGGCTGAGCAGAGCCTAATCCCCACGGTGCACAAGTTCAACATGGCATACTACGCCTGGAGTCCGTTAGCAGGCGGCTTCTTCGCAAAATCTGCTGAGCAGCTCCGCACGCCAGCGGCAGGCGGAAGGTTCGATCAAATGAAGCATTTCTCGAGCATGTTCGTCAACGACGTGTCACTAGCACTGCATGATGATTTAACGAAAGCGAGCGAGGCGGAAGGCCTTAGCGTGAAGGAAGCCACGTTGAGGTGGCTCATGCACCACTCTGCGCTTGGCAAGGAAGACGGTGTCATCCTTGGAGGCTCGAGCATCGAGCAGATGGAGCAAAACCTTCGCGCTTGCGAGGGTGGTCCGCTACCAGAAAGCGTGGTGCAGTCTTTTGCTAATATGTGGACAAAGTGGCAGGAAGCTGGCAAGGCTTTGCCGGCAAGCTCGTAGCTGTAAAAAGTGCCCGCGCATGAGCTTCCTCGGTGCGTTCTGCACTGTACACATGATCTTCCGTCTCGTATATTCAAAGTATCCAACACGTGCTGCTGATTTTCTCGTGCCTACGTGTAGTTGTTTGGAGGGGGTGGCCGATTCTGATTGTACTTGGATCACTATCTCCGGGCAAAAAGCATGATGACCAAGGCCGGGCTAATGAATGTATTAGTTACATTCGACCTTGTCGTTATCTCGGTATGTGCTACTCACATCGAACCGGCGACCTTTTCGGAGCATGTTCGCATTGAGATGTAAACGAAACGTGATAACCACTACACCACTCGGCCATAGTGAAGATTCATCGAGCGGGAGCACCCGCACAGTACATAAGCCTTCCAATAGTAGCCGAGCATTGTCTGCCAGTCTATGGAGCGCAATATCTTGACTTCCGAGTAATGGACTCAGACGATGCGAAGCAAGTGGTTAGTGCAAAAGGCCAGCGCTTGAGCAGCTTTGCCACCCTACCCAGGCTTCTCGTTCTCGGCTCGCGATGAGACTTTGACTGTGCTGGCCTACCGACTTCGGCTCGCGGTGAGACCTCGATCCTAGAGCACCGTGGCTGATACCAGACGGTGAATGTGCATTGTGCAGAACCGAAGTGCTCATCTTGTACTTGCACAACCCAAGCATATCCGCCGATCGCCCGAGACAGAGCACGTATCGCACACTCGTCTTCGACAACACACACAAGCCGTCTCTTGCTCAATCATGCTTTCTACAATAAGTCCGCCTTCATCATCCATCAACCGCCTGTCACAATCCTCGCAACGCAAAGATTCGAGCACCAGGCGTTGCGCTCCGTCGTCCACGTCCATTGCGTCTAGATCTCGTCGTGAAGGCTCGCTTGGGAGCTTCCAAAAAGAATGTAGTGTGCTTCTTTGTGGGGTCCCATGCCCTGCACTAGGAGTCGGCAAGCTCTGGCTTGACGGCATGGGACTGGCATCAGGGTGGCGTTTCTGTGCGTCAAATAACCGTTTCAGGGTGGATGCTGCAAGGAAATGCTATCAGCGGGTGCCACGAATAGCGTCTTGATCAATGGGTTTGACAGACCGTACACATCCCCTTCCTCCGGTCGATCGTCTCGATGTCGTTTCCGTGTTCGAGAGCCTAGATGTTGGCCGGCTTGTCCGTCATCGTAGGTTGGCCATGACCATGTTGTCTTTCCGTAGTATGGCACTGTCGGCTTCTGTTGTTGGTAGAGTAACGATATGGGCTCTGGCGAGTTGGTGGTTGTGTAGTCGGAGTTGACTGAGGGCGAGGAGAAGGTGGGTGAAGATCGCTTACGCTTGAGCGCCATGATGTGAAGGTAGTTATGTTGCTGCGTTGCGACTATCTCGGGATCCTGGTAGATGCTCTGCCACAAGAATGGTTATTGGCACTGCTACAGACACTGTTGCCCTTCTGCCACACTTCACGGCCATGAGGGGGAGACGCGACAAGCGAAAGACGCGCGCGCGCGCCGAACGGCAAAGTCCGAACACTCACGACTCTTCGACATCCTCGAGCTCATTTATAGTTCCTCTTAGACCAGAGGACACAGTGTTGGACTAATGATACACAACATAACATGGCCAGTCCCTCATCTAGCAAAGTTCGGACCTACATACTGACCGGCTGCGTCGCCGCAATCACCGCCACCGGAGCATGGTATGGCGCCGGACTGAAGACACGACAGGAACACGGTCAGGTACGAACAATGTTGATCCCCGTTAGTAGATGTCTCGACTTACTCGTCTCAAGGAGGTTAAGAAGATTGTTACTGCTTCCACGGCAGAGCGGATAGAGCAGATGGAGCTTGCGAAGGCTCGTCTACTGCGCCATCGAGCAGAGCTGCGGACGAAGATCGACAAGCTTACGATGACCGCTACGGAAGGCGGAAGTACTGTGACTGGATCTCTAGGAAAGGTGTGACGGGCATTGACCTGCGGATTGTGACTTCATGATGTTATATCGCTATCACGCCGACTCCGCTGTGATGGATGGCTCGGCTATACGCCATTTGATCATCATAACATCTTGACCTCGTGATCGCATACTCGTTGCGCTCAAGGAGCGCCCTTGACCCCGATGCTGCCCGCACGCCATGCCTTGGGAGAATATGAAGGCCCCGATCCTAACTACGCCATGCATCAATGCCATGCCACCAACTCTCAAATCTTCATTCATCGAAACTGCGACGGTCCCGCAACGGATTCATCCTGCTCGACAGCCGGACTAAGCGCCGACCTACTATGACGCTTCGGCGTACCAACCTGCTTGTACGCCACGTCCGTGCCAAGCCACTCCGAGCCTTTGCTCGAATCTGAGCTCTCACCAGACTCAGGGTTCTCAATCACAGCGAGCATATCGCTCCGACTATTGCGCACGGAGCCGTGCGTACCAGCTCTGGGCCGCATCGTAGGTGCCGGCACCCGCCCGATCGTATCGCGTGTGCTCACGTCTCCGCCAACGCGCAGCTCATCTCCACTGGTCTGCGGGCGAATTTTCGGGTTCGGCAGGGTGGAACTGCGCGTTGGCGCTCTCAGGTAGGCGCCTTTGGCCGCAGATGGAGGTGCGGTGGGCTCGTCGTCCGCAAGGCTCTGGCTCATATCAACTGGCAGCATTGACCGGTCGCTATCATCCAGGTTGACCACACTCCAGCTTGGCCGGTGCGGGCGAGCACCAAAAGGCAGGTTAGTTTGGCTGACGCTGTACAAGCTCGCGGTTCGACCCGGGTTGACGCCGGTGGGCGTGGCGGTACCGCTCCTGAACATGCTGTGAGTGCTCTGAGGCCGCTGCGGGGTCGGTGTCGAGTCGTCTATACTCATGTATGATGCAGCTGGGTCATAGGAGCGCATTTCCGTGGCGAACTCCTCATCCTCGTCTTCAATCTTGGCCAGACGACGCACACTCTTCATCTCGAAGTTGGGCTCCTTGAAATCTTCAGCCTCAGCTTTGACCGGTTCGGGCTTGGGCTCAGGCGGCAGATCATTCACTGCCTTGTCGAGGTGGTCAAAGTAGCGTTCTCGGAGGCCTGCCCATTTGCGGGGCCGGAAGTCCTCGTGGTTGCGGGAGACAGACATGTAGCTGCTGATAGCGCCGACAACGATTGCGATCAAGGTGATGATCGTCAGAATGCCCTGAACAATGATGATCGCAATACCAATGACGGTAGTGGTAATGCGCTCCAGGTTGAACTGCACGTCGAACGCAGCAGAAAGCGCCACGGAGATCACTTTGCTGAAGCCGAGGCAGTACACAACAAGCACATTGAGCCTCTGGCCCTCGAATGGCCTGGCCCAGACGATGAAGCAGAAAGCCGCCACTTCGATAATGAGCAGACCGAAGACCTGAGCAAGCGGGTACCCAGAAGCGCCGGCGTAAAAGATGGCGCGTACGAGCTCGTAGAACAGCCATACGGTGAAAAACCACCACCGTGTGCGCCGGAAGCGAGCTGCAAGCCAGCCGAATTTGGCTGTGTAATCCTCATTGTCGTGGATGCTGTGCAAATGGCCTTCTTGATCGATGCTGCTGCCGTGGGTGGACGTCCGCTTCCAGAAAGGCCTCGACTTCTCCTTCGTGCCGGGTTGATGCATCTCTTCGCCCTCTTCAGTGTAATCCTCAGCGCGGGTAGCCTTCTTACGGCCCAACCATGGCACCTTTGTGAGCAGATTCTTGCGCTCGCTTGGAGCACTTTGAGCACTACCACCATGGCCGTCCACTCTGCTCTTGTAAACGCAGGCGTAAATCGCAGTGCCAGGTATACCGATCAGGAAAACAGCGAAAACGATCGCTGCGATCGCCTTGACGCCGCCCGAGGACTGGTACGTGAATTGGAAGATGGACAAGAACATGATCATGAAGAACGCCAGGTAGCAGGTCCGGAGTGCCAACGCAGCGCTGTAGCCTAGCCAATGCTTGCGGAAATAGTTGAAACGGCCTTCCCGGAGCTTGTTGATGCGTGCAAGGCCTTCGAGTATCAGCTTGAACGCCATCAGTGAGCCGACGAGGAGAGCAAGTAAGATCAAAAACCAGAGAAAGCCGGTCATGAAGGCGTTGCTGGCGCGGATGCCTTCCTCGGCCAGGGTACCTGCGAATCCGGAGTAGTTGCCTGGTAGCGGTAAACCATTGCCGACGGGGTGCCCGTACCATCTATAACCGGTGCTGGAGTTGGCAAGGTCTCGGCGGTATACCGTGCGCTCGACGTTGCGTTGCATGACGTCCCGTTTGACCATACCGTGCGGGCGGCCATAGATTTCGTATGTAAGATCACGCATCAGCGGGTGCGAACTCACTTGCTTGATTCCGGAGCTGACCGCGCGCTTGTAGATTTGCGTGATGTCGTAGCCACCGCCAAGCGAGTCTTGGTTCGAGCCTGCCGCAGCGGCGCCGACCTGGGATGTATTGCCGACGTTGTTTCCTATCAGGTGGTTGATGCTGTTCTGCATACTCTGGCTGTAGATCATGCCGCCTGCCCACGCGAAGTTGCTCCACCATGCTACCAACACAGAAGGCCAGTTCATCGAGAGCGCTCCAGTGTAGAAGATGTGTTGAAATACAGCAAAAACCACGCCGACTGAAAGTGAGTGTGCATAGTGTAGCCGCATTGTCGTGACCGCCTCTCCGTATACTGCTGTGGCAGTCGACGCAACCAGAGCAACGAAGGTGAAGATGCCGAGCACGGACCCTACAGACGCTGGCTGGCTGAAAGAATTGCCGTTTGTTACAACAGCGGAATAGCAGCCGATTTCGCTTTCGGTACTGTTGGCGAAGATGCGCAAAATAGCTTCACCCTCGAAGTCCGGGATGGAAAGAGCGATGGCAGGGATGTTAGCCACGTCAGACTCCGAAATGGGGATGATGCCGTTGGCTTGGATGGGTACACTTCGGTTGAGTGGACATAGACTGCCGCGCGGTTAGTACTCTGCAGAGTCCAGCCACGCCAAGCGCATGCATACATACCTGTGGATGTTCGCAAAGCACGGGTTGAACGTCAGATCGAATCTGCTCTCGCCGTATGCGTAGACCCCAATGTACATCATCAGGCTCTCGTTCATCAGCTGTGAGCTGCCTGCCAAATGGAACAGCACTGTCATGTTGTCTCTATAGTATGCGGCATCGAACCGGGTGACATCGATCAAGCTGTTGCCCAAGCAATCCCCAAAGTTCTGTGTGTACAGTGCCGGCTTCCGGTCATCCAGTAGGTACAATGTCTCGCCACTGTTGTCCTGATATGTAATCCATTGCTCGGTTGAGGTGTTATTCTTCGCGGCAAGCGCTGTTGGGAGGAGAGCGAAGGCTGCGGTGACGGCGAGCAGGCTGCTCGCTATTCGAGGCTTCATCGTAGCTGTGGGCTGAGTGTTCTCCGGTGCGGTGACGATTGGGGGGGCGGTGCTATCGAGTGTCGACAGCCGTGCAGCTGTTTTGGCTCATAAGTGAGTAGTGCCAATGTCTGGAATGTGCACGGACTGTCCAATCACCTCCGGCTGTGCAAATGCGGTGGAACGTCTTAGAGAGCAACAACGATGGACGTTGAGGTGATCTCCTTGAGCACCGGCTTCCCTTGGCCTCTCGCTCTTGCCCAGCGACGGTGAAGGATGTACGCAGATTTGGCCCGTGGAGTGGAAGTCGGTGACTGCGGCCGCCAGCGAAGCACGGGTCTCTTGTGATTCTCCGGCCTCACACGTTCACGTTGCGGGCTCTCCTCAGCTCCTTCTCGAACTGTCGGTCGAGCGTCAGTTTGCAGTAATGGACACGCAGTTGGTCGTGGTAGAAAGAGCAGTTCGTCCCTCTTCCTTGCTCTCGCCGAGCGGACGACGCGGAATCGCTTGCGCTAGTCAATCGGAAAAGGCAGTCAGGCGGGCCTTGACTCCATAAAAAACGCGGGGAATTCACTAGTGCATGTGGCTCTGAGTGCATGCATCATCTGAACCACATTTTCATGGACTAACAACCGCGTCCAAGCTACATCTACTTGGGGCGCTTACGTTAGAGCAAGCTCAAGCAGCGGTGATGTGCACACGACTGTATCGCAGAGTGAGTAGGAGCACGCGAGGTGTTGCCATCAGCAGGCCGCTGACGTCTATTCCGATAGCTTGGCATTCGCTCGCTTCAAATCCTCCCTGCCGATCTGCTCGTTTGGCACGGCCGTTCGGATTCGGCGTCGATTGGATCGTGTGGCACACCGCCGCAGCGGCCTAAAGCATGCTACGGTGTGCGGCATAGAAACCTTGTTTCTGCGACATTTCCGGCCTTGGAACTGCATGACTTTATGCACACGGTTTTATTTCAAAGGACATTATGTAGCTTGTGCGCCGGACACGAACAAGGCGCACTTGTGCTGAGAAAGCAGATACGTCCCACAGCCTTCGCAGCTTCCGGGGGCGGCGGGTGATGAGAAGCATCTGCTTGTCCGGTTTGCCGCAAATCCATCGACATACCATGCTATACCCGAGACAGTTGTACTTAGTGCATGCAGTATTCAATTTGTAGGCTCCACGAACGTTCAGTACCTGCATGGAAGTTGAACTGCAGCGAGGCCACTGCATCCGCCGTCTCCGCTTCCCATCCGTTCCCACAGCTTGCGTGTACGAAAGCTCGGCGCTGGCGCAACAGTAGTAACTATGCCGCAACCTATAGACTTGGCTCGGGTGGACTCACCTATAGACGTAGCAGGCTTGTGGCTGTATGGCGCCATGATGGCTGTGCTTCCGGACTTCACTCCTCCAAGAAGACACGATCCCACCTTCATAGATTCTGAAGACACTGTTGTGGTTGTCTGAGCATGTTGCGTCGCCGACCTCTTGTGTGGGATCGCTGGCGTCACCACAACAGATTCCCAAGTTCGTCCTAATAAGGTGCAGAAGCGTCATAATAACCGTGACCGTGATGCTGTTGTATTACTGTCTTTGTGACCAATTCAGTTCATAACATCAATCGCCATTTCCCTAGTGATTGTGGCAAGATTAGACCCTTCACAGCACTTCCGCGTTGTTTTGATTATGCAGTACTGTGTGCCATCAACAATCGGCCAATAATCGAATCTTCTCCGTCGTAAAAGTCAGACGTAACACTTATCATGGGCAGCACAGATGTCAATGCTCCGCTGATACCTATTAATTGTATTATCGAACCATCAACCCTACGTCCAGGGTCTCTTGTATCAGCTAAAGCGACCGGTCTCGTTACCGCTGTAGATTAAGGCCACGAGGTACAGTCGAACGTACAAATCACAGTCTTTGCTGCATTATTGCAGCGTCACGATGGCGATGAAGAAAGTCATGCTCTTGGGTGCAGACGGCACACTTGGACCGTCCATGCTCAACGCTCTACTAGCCCACGACTTCGACGTTACAGTGTTGAAACGTGAAGGATCCAGGTCTCTAGACAACTACCCACCCAATGTCAAGGTAGCAAGAGTACACGACGACATGCCCATCCACTCTCTCACGACTGCGCTCAAAGGCCAAGACGCTCTAATCGCCACCATTAAGGGCAGCCAAACAGAGGTCCAGAAACGTCTCGCAGACGCCTGCGTTGCATCAGGAGTCCACCGTTTCATCCCAGCCGACTTCGGGTCATGCGACTCCTCAAGTCCGCTAACGCAGGAGCTGGTGCCACTGTACAAGCACAAGGCCGAATTACGAGAGTACCTCACTCAACTTGCCACCTCTCACGAATCCTTCAGCTGGACAAGTCTAGTCTGCGGCCACTTCTTCGACTGGGATCCCGCCTTCATCCACCTTTGGCCTCAAGAACACCGTGCCGACATCTTGGACGACGGAGAGAAGAAGTTCTCGATCAGCACGCTCTCTCGTGTTGGCGAAGCTACGGCGCGGATCCTGCAGCATGCCGACGAGACGGCGAACCAGATGTTGTACGTGCAGAGCTTTTGTGTGACGCAGAATGAGATTATTAGTGCGTTCGAGAAGGCGACGAATAGCAAGTGGCATATTTCGAGCTTGGAGGCGGAGAAATATAAGGTTGAGCAGAAGGCTAAAGCTGATGCGGGCGACAAGGATGCTGTCGAGCACTTGGTGTGGTACCTTGGTACTGTTGATGCCGACTGGACTCGTAACGAAGGCTTCGCGATGCAGATGCTTGGTCTGCAGGACGAAGACCTGCATGAAGTGGTGTCGAAGATGGTCAAGCAGTCATCATAATTCGACATGACAGTGCAACTAAATCTGGCGACCAAGCCCAGCGTCACATAGCCTTGACAGGCGGCAAATGGACGTCAGAGTGGCGTACGCCGCTGAGAGCCTATTCGAGCGGTCCAGAATATTGGACCTCCTCACAGGGGCCGATGTGTTAAGCATAACTACCTATCTTCACTATATGCCTGGAGACGCAATATATCGGAGTAGGACAATAGGCAGCAAAGGCTACTGCCGATGGCATCATCTACCAGCTTCGATACAGGAGCACAATAACGGCAGTGCTTGGTTCATCCTACCAACTCTATGATCTCATTTTTGCGCCCTCTGACAGCCACACCTAAGCATCGTCATCCTCCTGACTCGGCGGCTTAATCTCCTGGCAATTCTCAATATCCTTCACCGTCTCATTAAACGCCTCCTTAACCGCATGCAACACATGATTCCGGTTCCAATCTCCGCGTAGCCTCCAAACCACATCCATCAAACTCGCATTCACCTGTTCCAGTTGCTCCACACTCATGCCGGAACTATACCGCACGAGGAAACCATGCAGGAGTGCCAAATCGGCTTGGTCGAGGATGATGCGGGACATCGCCGCAGCGGTCTTGTTCGCCGTCGTGGTTGTCGTGGGAGCAGCGTCCTCGGCATTGTTAAGGATCGAATGGATGCTCGCTTGGCGGTGGTTCTGCGACGGGGCGGCGGGTGGAGGCATGTTCTGTGATGATTGCGATGGCTGCGATGGCTCGAAAGCCGGCGCTTCTTCTTGCGGCTGTGTGTCGGGAAGCTGACTGCCGCCGACGGCAGGTGTGAAGGTGTTGAAGTTCGGATGGTTGTTGTGGACGCCGTTCGAGTACTGCGAGTACGGATCACTACTCCGTCCACTTCGGTCACTCGTCTTCTGTCCTGAGGTTGTAGTTGATGCGCTGTTGTGATATTGATCTAGCTGTGAGCCTTGTGCGATCTGTGTATGCGCGCTCTTCTGCGACCGTTGACCCTGCGTGTTCTGCTGGCTGGACGTGATGTGCGGATCTCGCTGCGACTGTTGCTGCTGCTGCTCAAACACCTCGTGCTGACTGTCCAACATCTCGGAGTCCTCTTGCGGTCGCGAAGGCACCGTGGAGCCGTTCGTCTGGTGCGACGGATGGCTACCATTGGTAGTACTCCAGGGGTTCGAGTTCGGACTTGGCCCACCGGCTGGCATACGACTCGGCGTTATTGGAAACAGCGCGGGTCGACCAGGCACCTCCTGGCCAAGCATAACCGGCCCGGATGTCTCTGTCGTCGTCTTCGATGCGTTCGGCGGCGGAACGTTGGGCACAATCCTTGGTACATCCAAGCCAGCGCGCTCGGCCTCTCGCATCTTCCGCACCTGCTCCCTCTCCCGCTCAAGCTCACGTTCGTACACGGCCTCGCATTCGGCGACAAGCGCCGCTTGCTGAGTCTCCAGCATGGCCATGTCAACCTCAACATTGGCCAGCATCTCATTCGCCTTGAGTGTCCGGTCCTGGTCGCCCGAGGTTTTGGCATCTTTAGCTAAGCGCTTGATATCCGCCGTGAAGTCCTTCGGCCGCTTATAGTACCCATTTGAGAGCCGCTTCTCGATCGTGACAATCTCAAGATTGTAGTAGAACTTGCCGCTAGCGACCTCGCGCAAGCCTGCCACACCCTTCTCATCCTTGTCAAGCTCATACGGCCGAAATAGTTGCTGTTGCTGCCTCTGCTCCTCACTCAGGTCGGTCGTAACTAGGTCCGGATTCTGCTCATCGTATAGATAGGTGATAGCGGCCTCATCGACGATCGGAGTCCGAAACTTCTTGTGCACTCTCTTGATTTGATCCATCACAGGCTGGATGCTGATCTTGAGCATGTTAAGTGTGAGTTGATCCTTCTTCTTCTGCGCTTTCTGCTCATCTTTCGTCGGACCACGCTTTGGCTCTTCCTGCGCCTGCGCAACAGGCAGCTCAGCAAGCTTGCGGCGCTTTCGAGTTTCTTGCTCCGGGAACTCCGACGGCGGCTTGCTGATGAGGTCGATGACGGCGTTGAAGAACTCCCGCCGTTCCGGATCGGTAGGCCGAACGAGCATGTAGCGATTCTTGCCGGAATATGCGAAGAGGTCTTGCATCATCTTCCTGTCGGATCTGGTGACTTGGGTTTTGTTGGTAAGATCCTTGTTCACTATGCCAAGGAGCAAGACCGGCTCAGTGGGTGGCAAGCTGCGTAGTAGGCCGGTGAAGGTGCGGATTGTAGCGTCACTCATGGTCTGATGCCAAAGGTCGATGTCGGGTATGTAGATGACACTGGGTTTGTGGCGCTTGACCTCTTCGAAAAGTTGGATGACCGCTGCTTCGGGTGACTATAGCATTCGTCAGTTGTTGTGAGATGCGTTACGGAATACTGCGTGCTCACCCTTGTCGAATCCTTCATCAGCGTGGCCATGTCGAAGCTCTGAACGTGTATGCCCTCAAGCTTGCCGAGCAATGCGGCACCCAGGTACTGCTGTCCCATACCCTGAAGACCGTGAATCAGTAGCCGTGGACGGAAGATCCGCGAAGACTCAAACTGCCTCTGCATTGTCTCTCGCTCAAATCCTAGCTCGTCATCCCTATCATCGTACATAGCCTCTTCCAGCGCCGTAGCCTTCCGCTTCCGTGGTATGGCCTCATTCATGCGATCCGTGAGCTCCTGGAGTGGCCGTCTGAGGAGTGGCTCAACATCCTTTTTCAGCGGAGCAGCGCCAGAAGAAGCCGAACGCTCCGAAGACGGCACAATCTTATTAACGGAGATCATGAAGTCTTTCGCCAGCACCTTGATCGTACTGGCATCGATGACGAGCTTCTTGTCGCTTGCGTATATCTGCGGATACGTTCCCTGTACAGCATTGAGTGCCGCCTCTGTGCACAATGCACGTAGATCCGCACCACCGTAGCCTCGTGTAATCTCCGCAAGCTGATCCTTGAACGCCGGCTGCAGTGGAGGTTCCCAGCCTTTGGTATGAATGTCGATGATGGCGCGTCTTGCCTTCTCATCCGGCAGCGGGAAGTAGAACTCACGGTCAAAGCGTCCAGGACGACGCAAGGCAGGATCAACAGAGTCTGGTCGATTCGTTGCACCGATGACGATAACTTGCCCGCGACCATCCATACCATCCATAAGCGCCAAAAGTGTAGCCACAATGGAAGCATGAATCTGCTCCTGCTTGCTCGAGCGCACGGGGGCTAGGCCATCAATCTCATCGAAGAAGATGATACTGGGCTGATTCTTCCTCGCCTCTTCGAAAAGCAATCGAAGCTGTCTCTCGGCTTCACCAACCCACTTACTGAGAGCATCCGCGCCTTTACGCATGTAGAATGTCACCTTCTTACCATGCGAACTAACGCTGGATGCGAGAGCGCGAGCAAGCAATGTTTTACCCGTACCTGGTGGGCCGTGAAAGAGCACACCACGTGGCGGCGTAACGTGGAAGCGTTGAAAGACCTCCGGATACAACAGTGGTAGCGCCACCATCTCCTTCAGCTGATTGATGTGGTTGTCAAGACCACCAACGCCGTCGAAGGTCACGTTCGTGTCGACGCCCAAAGGATCGGCATCCGCCAGAGCTCGCTTGTCCTTGACTTTACCGAGTCCAGGCGGCCCGCCACCGGGTCCTTGGATAGGGTCGTTGCTGTGAGTCTGCGGCACGTACGGTTTGGGGAAGGCGGAGGTGGGTGTCATGCCAACAGCGCCTCCTACGCCCTGCTGACCGCCTCTTGCATCGTCATCGCTACTATCGGAATCTACACCACCTGCCGCGGCTGCGCCGTCCGGTCCGCCAAAGACAGGCGCAGGACCTCCGGCGCCACCAAATGGTCCGTAAGTGGAGAACAAGCTGCGATAGACGCCGCCTCCTCCTCCACGCCGGTTACGCTGCGGTGTACCCGAAGGCGCAGCCGGAGCGTCGTCATCTTCCATGGGTAGTAAGAGCTCAGGGCGTAGAATACGGTAATCAGGACGGTTGCTACGATTGCGTAGATTGGGCTCGAACGCGATTTCGGAGCGTGTGGCTGGCCCCTTGCGAGTGCGTTTGTTGCGGCGATGGTCTTCCTCAAGATCAGCTGCTTCATCCGCAATCTCTTCCGGATCCAGCTCCTCGTCAGCTTCATCTTCCGACTGATTACGCCGGGACCGACTGCGCTGCGACGCTGTTTTGCGAGCCAGTCTGCCCGACCGTCTGCCGGTTTGACTGTCGTCATTACTGCTATCGTGCCGTTGAGGTATCTTGAGATGGCCATCGGAGTCAGATATGTTCTCTTCCACGTCTGCTTCACCTTCCGCATCTGGCTCGAAGTCACTGCTCGGTTCGCCAACACCAGGCTTCCTCGTACGTAGGTTACGACGAGAGCCGCGGGCAGGTTGCGAAGTTGGTGGCGTGGACGCTTTCCGACGCGGCCTCAGTGAGCGGCCGGCGCCTGCAATCGGGCCATCGTCTTCATCATCATCGTCCATAGATTCTTGTACGACAACCTCATCTTCGTCCACACGCTCCATGCGGATGTCGTCATCATCATCGTTCTCCGCCTGCGCGGCAGCTTCCGGAGACGTGGGGTCCACTTCTAGTCGTGTGTGGGTTGCTGCCTGGTTGAGCTGTGACAGCAGGTCTTCACCTTGGGTCTGAGATTGCAATTGCTGGGAGTCTTCCTGAGACGCCTCCATGATCGCACTCGGCGGCTTTTTGAGACCTTTACTGCCTCGTGTTGGTCTTCGAGACGGAGGCTCTGGTGTTGCTGTTCCTGGCCTGGTGATTGTCTCGTGCCTGCCCGAGTCGGTCAACGCTACCAGCGGCTCTTGATCATCGTGCGATATCCGGCTGCTCCTACGCATTGCCATCCCGCGATACTCCTGTGGTGTGGGCTCACGCTTCGTTAGGCTTTTGCTGCCGGTGCGTGGCCGCAAAGCGCGGCCACCTTCTGCCATGCTGGGTAACTTCAGCTTCACCATGAGAGACCGCTTCTTCAAGCCCGCTGCCTGCCTGCTTCGAGCTGCTGGAGACGGTTGTAAAGAGTCGCGATCGCTGTCCTCATCCGCAAGCTCGACATCTGATGGCTCTTCTTCGTACTTGACGGGCTTCCGAGCGGCTGCACGCACCCTCCTGCCAGTCTTCGCACTCGTGGCAAACTCTTCGTCCGCGTCGGACTCGGCAAAGGAAGCTTCTTCCTCTTCGTCCTCCTCTATCTCATCACTGTCCGGCTCGATGTCGCTGTCGTCTCCGTATGTTTCTCTTCGTCGCTTGACCGGTTTGCGCACGGCACCACTCTTACGTTTCGAAGACCGGCCTTGTGGCCGTGCTCGAGGTGACGATCGACGGTTGTCATAGTCCTCCTATCGTGCCATCAGCCTGGTTGTACATGAATGGACAAATGTGACTGGTAACGTACGTCTTCGGGGTCGGACTTCAAGAGACTCTCGATGTCGTCAAGCTTGCGCTTTCTGTAACCTGCCATGCCAAAGCGCTATCATGTGACTGGACGTTGCCTGCTGAAAGCGCATGTGAGTCGGTCGCGCCTTCCAACTCTACGCGCAAAAGGTAGCGTGACTACCGATGGGATGGAAAATGACAGGGACGGCAGAAAGTCGAGGGCAGTGTTGACGACAGTCGAAGACAAAACCCGCGTGGCGAAGAGAGAAGAACAGGAGGGTGCGAAGGCAGCAAGCCCGCCATCTGCGCAGTCATTGGTCCTCAGTCTCCGCTCGCAACGCCAAGCCCACGTGACTCGGCTTTCTGATAGACGCATCGCACGCTAGCGCCGCTTCTCCAGCTTCGCGCTTTGCACGCCGATATACACTCGCAACGATGCACTAGAACAACAATACAGCACAACGAACGCCTACATACAAAATCACCATCATCGTTGTCGCCTCGACTCTGTGAGCACATTAGTCCGACTTTGGTGGCCTCAAACCCCGCTGAATGGTGCAATGCTGGGTGTACATAAAATTCATTCTGTTCGCATCGTACCTGACTGCTGTCACCGTCCTGCCGCCCGGCAGATCCGCAACCATGCTGCCACGAGCTTATCTGGACTGCAGCCGTCACTTGCTCCGCTTAGAGATGTCGCTCACGTGACGCCCCTACTCAGACCCCTCGAGCTTAGCATCTGATACACACATTTCATTTCTTGGGCTAACACTTCCCTGGCACCGTTCACTGAGAGCTATATATTACTTCTGTGCTGACCTCACAATCTCACTGTGGCTATGGTGCTGTTAGATCTTATTCACATCACTGCAGCAGGCTCACCCTATTACAGGTACAGTGTGGAATGGCCGACCACTTGCTGTAGTAGTTTGGAAAGTCTGCGTTTCGACGACATGCCTTTCCCGGCCATGGTCAGCGATGTGACAACGAGCAATGATCACCTTGGTTGTGTCCTCGGCAAGGCGCTGCGAGGCAGGTTAAGCGAGCATGTCGGTTGGCGCCACAGCCGAGGCAGCCGGCGTTCCTGGCGACTCCCATCGGTGGTAAGGTTTTTCCGACGCTCAGAAAAGTTGGGCTTCGAAGCTCGGATTCAACTCCAGTTCGATGTCAAGACTGACGTGCATATAGACCATCAAGCGTGGAAGCTGTATCTCACCCTATACATTCGCTACCGATCTCACGACTCATAGTGCACACGATCCCTCCGTACTCTCTCCGCACCTCAACGGTGCATTTGCGGAGAGTTTCCCCCCTGGCCATCCGTGCTTTGGCGCCGTTGCTGGCGCAATAACGGTTCAGCGGATCTGCGAAGCCTCCACTGCAGAAGGATCACATCAATCTGGCACTCGGCGTGTTCTTGACCTATCCATTCAGGTGAGGCATTGCAGTGCCACAAGGCCGCCGTCATGGCGAGAGTAGCGACTGCGGTCAAGGAGTCGCTGGTTGGGACAGAGGAGGAACCCTCGCTGTCGAGAGAGACGAGGTCGGACTTCATGCAGCATGCGATCAAAGATGACGCCACCGAAGAGTACTACCTCGATGAGAAGAGGTTCATCGATGCAATAGCGCCAGAAGGCGAGGATTATGTACGTATTGCACTCGCGATGGAACCGCAATCTCTTCACCTAGAATGCAAGCTTACGGCCAGGGTAGCACAAGATCAAGCGGGAACAGTATTCCATCCTCTTCGACATCGCCGACCGCAGTCATAAAGGTCGCATAAGCCTACAAGACTGGTCTGTCTTTAATAATCTGCTCGCCAAACCCGACGCCGAATATGACATCGCTTTCCGACTCTTCGCAGACCCAGGTACAGGCCACGTGGACTTCAACAGCTTCAAAGATACATACGCCCGCAACAAGACCAGCGACACAATACCATTCAACTGGGACAGCGATTGGGCGACGCTATATCTTGGTGGGAAGAAGCACCGGCATTCTATGACCTACCCGCAGTTTGCGCAGATGCTACGTGGGCTGCAAGGCGAGAGAGTGCGGCAAGCCTTCCTTCACTTCGATAAGAACGGAGATGGATACATAGAACCGGAGGACTTCCAGCGCATCATACAAGAGACGGCTGCGCACAAGCTGTCAGACCACCTTCTCACTAACCTACCAACACTGTGTAACATCAGCCCTGGGTCAAAAATCAGCTATGCGAATGTGCGCGCCTTCCAGAACGTGATACGAGAGATGGACCTGGTGGAGCTGGTGATACGAAACGCGATCGGCAAGAGTGGCGATGGCAAGATTACGAGAGTGGACTTCCTAAATGAGGCAGCACGGATAACGAGGTTCACGCTATTCACACCGATGGAGGCGGACATCCTTTTCCACTTTGCGTCCTTAGACCAGCCGTCAGGAAGACTGGGACTATCGGACTTTGCGCGGGTGCTGGATGCGAGCTGGCACTCAAATGGACGCGCTCACGACACAAGCCAGGTTGCCGGCGCAGCAGAGAAGGCTGTCGCAGGCTCGAAGACATTCCTCCACGACCTGTTAATATCAGCGCACCATTTCGGTCTCGGCTCGATCGCCGGAGCGTTCGGTGCGTTCATGGTGTATCCGATTGATCTGGTGAAGACGCGCATGCAGAACCAGCGAAGCTCCAGAGTAGGCCAGGTGCTGTATAAGAACAGCATTGACTGCTTCCAAAAAGTCATCCGCAACGAAGGCTTTCGCGGCCTTTACTCTGGTGTCGTGCCGCAACTCGTGGGCGTGGCGCCGGAAAAGGCTATCAAACTTACCGTCAATGATCTTGTACGAGGCAAGTTCACCGATAGACAGACCGGCCAAATCCCTCTCTGGGCGGAGATCATGGCAGGAGGATCGGCAGGTGGCTGTCAAGTCATCTTCACCAACCCACTCGAGATCGTCAAGATCCGACTGCAAGTGCAAGGTGAGGCGCTCAAGGCTGCCGCCCGAGAGGGCGAGGAACTCACGAAGCGCTCCGCTCTGTGGATCGTCCGCCATCTCGGCTTGGTCGGCCTCTACAAGGGCGCATCGGCCTGCCTACTCCGCGATGTCCCGTTCTCCGCCATATACTTTCCGACCTACTCCCACTTGAAGCGCGATTTCTTCGGCGAGTCACCGGCCAAAAAGCTGGGTATCCTGCAGCTACTCACTGCAGGTGCTATAGCAGGTATGCCAGCTGCTTACCTCACAACACCTTGCGATGTGATCAAGACGCGGCTACAGGTTGAAGCGCGGAAAGGCGACACATCTTACACCGGCCTCCGAGATGCGGCAACCAAGGTCTTCCGGGAAGAAGGATTCAGCGCCTTTTTCAAAGGCGGTCTGGCGCGTGTGCTGAGGAGTTCGCCACAGTTCGGCTTCACGTTGGCCGGTTACGAACTTCTACAAGGGCTGCTACCGTTACCTGGGGAGCAGACCGCGGGGAAGGGGCTGGGACCGAGGGGTAGTATCGAGCCAGCGACGGGCTTGCAGGAGGCCAAGGCCCCATTGCCTTATCTGCGGAGTCGAAATGCGCTCAAGATCATTCTTGATCTTGACTTGGGCTTTGGACGGCCGAGGTTGAATGAGGGTTCGAGACGATCGGGATGGATGCCCAGCGCGCTGGGGATGAAGGGCGCTGCTGCTTCACCGTCACCGGAGGCCTAAGACGACTGGCCATTGAGCTTGATTTTTGTGGTAGGTGTTGGGCGTTTCTGCTGTGGATCATGCGACCATAGAACATGATTACGGCAGTGTATGCATAGTAGCCAACGGCGGCTGTGGAAGCATAGCGAGGCTTGGATCTTTAAGGCCGCGCAAAGTAAATGGGTCGAGATGTAGCTGTAGAGTACTTTGTGAAAACACACTAGACCGTTACCACGTTTCTTAAGTGTATTGGAGCAACTGTGTGGAGTTGATGATAGATAAGCACGCTGCAGGATCATTCAGATAGCGCCATGCCGGCTAAAGGTTTTCATGCAGGTTGCCTATAGCCAAACTATAAATAGTCGTGCGGCTTGGGGGGTTTCAAGTTCGCCAAATCCCACTGCCCGACCTCAACGGGCACGCAAAACTGGCCCTTTTTAGTTACTTACCGAACAAAAGGCTAAGCGCACCCGAAAAGGAATCAGTCGACTACTGTGGGGGTTGTTGACAAGGCGAGGTCCGCATAGCGTCTTCTAGAGGCAGAGACGACCGCCCGAAGCCTCAGTCCGAATGTGCCTAATTCATCGCCCGATATTTGTCTCAGGTGGCTTTCAACCGTCTATATGCCGGCATTCACGCCGTACACGACATCTAGGTGGTCAGGGCGAGTGCGGGATTGGGGCATACAGCAAGGATCCGAATGCCGCTAACGCGTCCCTTACGCGTCGTCAAGCGCCATGAAAAGGAGAGATAGCACTACTCTCCCTTGGGATCACATGGGTCCGTGTTGAACGAAGGTGGATAAGCTTTTTCGAGGTTCGACAGTCTCTTTACCACAAGGTCTTGTTTTCCACCTCACATTCACACTCCCTCCACACACACACTCGCTTTGTTACCATGCATTTTCTATCTTTTTCCGTGTCTTTGGCCCTTTCGCTCTGCTGCGCAGGCGTTGCACGGGCTCAGGATCCGTGTTCTTACTGCGATGATGTGCATTTCTTCCTAGCCCGTGGCAACAACGAGCCGTATCCTGGACGGCAGGCAGCGCTTGTTCAAGCGACCTGCGATGGCATCAAGAATTGCGGATATGAGAACCTGTACTTTTCGGCCCTGTATACGGATCTGTACTGCCAGACGGCGTATGACGGTGCTGTTGCCGGCCATGTGCAGATGACTGCCTACGCGGAACGGTGTCCGAACTCCAAGCTCATCCTGGCTGGCTACTCGCAAGGCGGACAGATCGCCAGCGATATCCTCGGCGGTGGTGGTGGGTACTCCTTCAATGGATGTTATCAGCCGCAGACTCCACCACTGAACCGATCGACCAGCCCTGGAAACAAGAGTAAGTGCCACCCATCGTTGCCCACCACATGAGTTGGGCCGGTTCTAACGACACGCAGTCGCTGCCGTTATCATCTTCGGCGACACCCGTCATACCGCGAACCAGCCCTACAACTACGGCAACGGCTCAAACCTCCAAGGCTACTTCCCGCGTCCCGACTACCAAGTTCAGAACTTATTATCTTATGCTCCCATCATGAGGAACTGGTGTGTCTCCACCGACCCTATCTGTGCCGCAAACCAAACCTGGTTCAGCGAGACGAGCCATCTGTCGTACTACAACACGGACTCGCAAGCAGCAGCATCCTGGATCCAGTCCGTCGCCTCGCTGAGCTTGAACGACCCGTCGTTTACCACTTCAATCTTCACCAGCTACTCTGGCACAGTGCAGAACTACGCCACCGTGGGCACGGCGACACCGTCCGGTACCGTCACCACCGATGCTACTTGGACCCAGATGACCACTTACTCCGCGTGTACTGCTACCTCATACAGCCGGAGCAGCTCTTCCATCAACTCAACCTCTTTCTACTTGGCCACCAGCGCGGCGGCGATCAACTCTGCGAACGCAACCGCCAGTCAGAGCATCTTCCCGATCACGTCGAGCACCGGCGTAGCAAAGATTGCCGCTACGACGAGCGCAAGCATCGCTACTGCGTCGGCAACTGCACAGTCTGCTGGTGTCACACTTTCAATGGGAGCTCAAGGCATTGTAATGGCGTTCGTCGTCTTAGCATTGGCGCTATATTAAGCATACGCGTTGGGGGACACAAAAGGCATCGACTTTCTGGGTTCATGGGAGCATTGCGCGGGAGCATCTAGGCGCCAGATAATGACAATAATGTCGGAATTGGTTGGGTCGGTGCCATGGGTACAGACACTGTACATACATTTTACATCTAGACACTCGCTCTGCTATAGACATTAATGATCGATAACTTAAGCGAGCGCTTGCCGTAGGCATGTTTTATTTGACTTGGGATGCTTGGGACCACATCTGAACATGTTGTTCGTCGCTGCTCGCTGGTCCAATATGGCCTGCGGCCTAGGGAGCAGGGACAACGTGCCTGTTCCTGCTCGCTGATTAGTGCCATGTCTGCGGCGGTATTGATCGACTTGACCAAGATGGGAGTGAGATTGGTACAGCGCTAGGGCGAGTAATACAACTAGAGCTTCTGGTCTGCAACGCGTGCGCTAAAGCACGTACAAATCCCCAGTTGAGGGTCGCGCGTCTGCAGACAGCGTAGCTTTCGGGCACCCACTACCACTTGACGGAGAACTCACAGCCGCCCCTCATACAGTCGCTGCTGAACTTTTATCCATTGCTTAAGCTTACTCTTGCAACACCTTCTGGCACCGTTCGCAGGCCACCCCTTCCTCCTCAGCGGTATATTTCCAGCAGCGCACACATTTCTTGCCTTCGGGTGGTACCACCACTACCGTGACAGAGTCGTCACGGCCATCGGACCCGGCATGGACCGCCTGTGAGAATCGCCATGCTGCCACTACGTCGGCTTTAGTACCGTGCTCGAGCACATGCGCTTTGCTGACGACCAACAAGTCTGCAAGCTCGCCGTTCTGGTGCCATTCGCGTACACGGTGGCCAAGCGGATGATGTTTGTCTGCAGGCATGATAATCTGGACTTCACAAGCAAGCCCGCTCTTCACCTTGCCGGCGCGCCGAGCCTCCTCTTGCGCGAGCTTCACCGCTCCGCTCAGTCTCTCGAAGTCTTGCACAGCCCGCTCAAGCTCAGTCGCCGCCTCGTCTGTCAGGAAGCGCGGTTGGTATGGCGCATTCCAAATCCGTCGTAGCGGATGCTCCTCGGTTTCTTTCAGATATAACGGCATATGCTCCCACACCTCCACCACTAGGTGCGGTGTAGGTGCAGCCAACATCCTCAGCAACTCTCGTAATACGATGACAAGCACAGCTTGTGTCTTCTGTCTCTCTGCTGCAGAGCCAGTGTACAGCGTATCCTTGCATATCTCGAAGTAGAAAGCGCTGAGATCGTTGTTCACGAAGTTGCTGATTTCCTTCGTTGCTTTATGGAATGCATACTCGCCATATGCCGTATAGGCGGCGGCGCTCGCCTTGGACAGTCGGTAGAGGCTAGCTTTGTCGGAGAAGGTGAGCTTCAAGTCGTTCTCATCTTTGCGAGTGGACGGCTTGTAGTCCGCCAGCACACCTAGCAGCCATTTCACCGTCACCCTGTACTTCTGCAACGTATTTTGCACATCTTGCAAGAGCGGCACCGCTATCGTGACGTCCCGCGTGTAGTCAGAAGAAGCTACCCAGAGGCGAAGAACATCTGGACCTAACGAATCGTACTTTGGCTGCTCGGTAGACGCGTCGGATACCTCGTGCTTACTGCCACCCTTCTGCTTCCTTGGCTTGATTGGAGGTAACAGGCTCCCATTGATGATCTGCTCCGGCGCAATGACATTGCCTATGCTCTTACTCATCTTGCGGCCTTCTGCATCAAGCGTGAATCCATGCGTGATCAGCTTGGCGTAAGGCGCCTTCGCATTGTGCGACTCGCTTACATCTTGCACGGCAACGTGCGTGAGAAGGCTGCTCTGAAACCAGCCACGGTGCTGATCTGTGCCTTCGATATAGACGTCGGCCACATTACGTCCATCCATTCTTGGCTCGAGCGTCGTCCAAGTCGTACCGGAATCGAACCACACGTCCATTGTGTCTCTACCACGGACCCATTTGCCCGGCTCCAAGGCAGGATACAGCCATGCCGGATCGTCTTCGGGGCCGTCAAACCAGGCGTCTGTGCCTCGCTCCTCAAGGACGGCAATGATATGCTCAATGCTTTCTTCGGTGATGCAGGCTTCTCCCGTCTCTTTGTGGTAAAGCGCAGGTATCGGCACGCCCCAGGCTCTTTGCCGGGAGATGCACCACTGACTCCTACCAGATAAGAAGGCACTAAGCCTTGTCTTACCATTTTCTGGTATGAAGACGACATCCTCGAGAGCACTGAGTGCAGGCTGCTGGAGCGCAGACGCATCAGCGAACCATTGAGCCGTCGCCCGAACGATAACCGGCTGCTTGGTCCGCCAATCGATCGGGTTCTTGTGGACAAAATGATGGCTTGCGAGAAGAAGGCTAGGATTGGTATGACTAGGGAGCCTGGAGAAATGCGTTCCAGGCTCCCGAAGCACGTCAAGAACCGCCTTTGCGCCATCGCTCTGAACATCAAGCCCCATCAGTGCACTCCTGAGTTCTGCACTGCCTTCCGAAACAACTTCAGCGGTGTACCTGCCTTCATCGTCGACTGGGGCAAGAATCGGTCCAATACCATTTGCTTGGCACACCTGGTAATCCTCCATGCCGTGACCAGGCGCCATGTGTACTAAGCCTGTGCCAGAGCTTGCGGTGACAAAGCCGGCTGTCAGTATTGGCGAGTGGCTGTGTTGAAAGGGATTGAGGCATGCTGCTTTCTTGCCGGCCAGCTGAGATCCAGATATGCCACCGCGTATGGCCTTCACACGCATGGTAGTGGGAAGGTATTTAACGACGTGGTCAATGCGATCCGTCGCAACGAGTAGATGCTCTGTGCTTTCATCGGAGTCAAGTGAGCATGATCCGGTGAGCCTATCAAGCTCAAGAAGACTATAATTAATGTACTCGTGTACAGCAATGGCTTGGTTGGCTGGCAAAGTCCACGGCGTGGTCGTCCAGATCAGTGCGAAGACTCTGGCCGGTTGAAGCAAGCCGGTCGCGACCAACACCTCTGGGAGGGTTACGAACGGCATCTTCACAAAAGCTGCCGTACATTGGTGATGGTCGTCATACTCAAGCTCCGCTTCTGCTAGGGCGGTGCGGGATGATGAAGACCAATAGACGGGTCGATGATGCCTCGAGATCAGACCTAAATGGTATCATTAGCACCTTGATTCATATGCGGCGTGCAGCGTGCGTGCTGACCTTCAGCGTACCTTTCTTCACCATTTCCTTGAAAACGCCAAGCTGCTTGACTTCAAACCCCTGGTCCATAGTCTTGTATGGCTCGTCCCAACAGCCCATAACACCCCATTCTCTGAAGCTTGCCTTCTGCACCTTGACCGTCTCAGTGGCCAGCTCACGTGCTCTTCTTCTGATCTCGCTAGCACTCAAGCCAACTCCTGCGGCTGCATTTGCCTCTTTCCGTGGCGCGTCTTTCAGCGCTCTCGCTCCGTCTGTCGGGGTCCTTGCTTGCTGCAAAGCCTTCAGCTCTATGGGTAAGCCATGACAGTCCCATCCTGGGCGGTAGTGCACCCGTCTACCCCTTGCAAGCTCCGACCGTAGTACGAGATCCTTGAGCACCTTGTTCAGCGCATGTCCCACGTGTACCGCCCCATTAGCATAGGGTGGACCATCATGCAGCACGAAGCTGTTCCGCTCTGGTCTGTTGGCGCGCTGCCAAGCATACAGGTCATCTGCGCATCGTTGACGGTACTTCTGAAGCTGCTCTGGCGAAGCGCGAGCCGGAAACGCTGATCGAGGAAGCTTCAGTGTCGAAGGCCAGTTCAGATCCTTACCCGGCTGCAATGCGGCTCGTAGGACGCGGGAGGGTCCACTTGCCTGCATCTGTCCAAAGCAACATCGTTGGGTTGTTGTAATGTGCCATTCGCGGATTGCCCGGTCAGACGTGACAGCGAATTTGCAGGCTTCTTAACATTGATCAACTTTATATTGCAACCAATAGCTGGATTTAAGCACATATGGCCATAGGTCGCAGAGAACAGAGGATCCCGTCCGCTCTCCTGTACTTAAGCTGCGATCCGGTGGATTAGTACTGCGGTGGGTGACCACGTGGGAATACCCGCTGCTGTATGTTTTATTTTGTTGGTCCATCTCAATTAGCGTTTATCAGCACCTGGATATTTCTCCGTTATGGATCCCGAACGCGTATCCTTCATACAGGACTACAAGAGAAATCGTGAAGGCAATTAGGCGGAGCGAGAGCTGTCGAAGCACAAAGCCGCTCCCTCGAGGTCGAACACTTTCATCGCTCATGGAAAAGCAGGAAAATAATTCAACTTTGAAGCATAGACATTAGAAGAACTCATGCTGGAGACAGCTACGAAGGTTTGCTACACTCTTCGCTATGCTGAGGGAGGCTTGTTTGATCCATGCTAAACCTGCTTTTACTCGAAGCCTTCCATAGCCCTCACGACGTACATATCGGACACGGATGGGGATGGAGTCTTTCCGGCCAATCTCTTTTCCGCATGGTGGCGACGACGGCGTGCGTCAAGCGTTTAGCGGCGATTCAACGCCAAAAAGCCAGCCGATTGTGATGCGGTAGGACTTAGAACGCGACAAACTCTAGACCGTCTCGATGTACCGTTTCACCTCCCTTTTCAAATTGTTAGTGCTTGCTATTGCGTCTGGACAACAATGCGTTGTACTTACCAGTCCGTCACCGCCTCATCCCACAACCTGATTTCGTGCTCTCTCGTCCCCGCAAAATGCTCGACGAAGTCATCGCCAAACACTTCCCTGGCCACACTACCATTCCTGTTGAACCGCGCCGTCGCCTCCTTCAAACTCTTGGCAAGCCTCGCTCCGCCGTCTCCAGCAGTCCCTACTTCCTCCCCCTTGCCGAGGGGTTTGACTGGAATAGACAGTTTCTTCTCGATGCCTCGCAAACCAAGCGCTAGTATGGCAGACATGACGAGATATGGATTTGCATCGGCACCGGCCACTCTGACTTCTAGTCGCGTACCCTTCGCCGGGGCTGTCGGAGGCGCAATCAGCCGTATAGATGCAGCGCGATGTTCAAGACCCCAGGACACAGTGACCGGTGCCCAGAAGTTCTCCACCAGACGTTTGTAGCTATTGATCGTTGGTGCTACGATGGGCATGACGTCCGCTAATCCATCGAGTACGCCAGCTAGGAAGTGTCGGCCCAGGTCGCTTATATGCCGCAGATCCTCGTATGGCGGGTTCGGATCAGGCTTCTCCCGCGCAAGGAGGTTCTTGCCCGTCTTCGTGTCTGTCAGCGAGACATGTATATGCCCGCTGTTACCCGGCAAACCCTCCCTTGGCTTAGCCATGAAGCACGGGGTGATGCCGTACGTACTACTCGTACTCTTGACCGCAAGCTTGAACAGTGCGGCTCTGTCTGCCATTTGCTTGATCTCACCATACTCGAGTGCCGCCTCGTAGACTCCGGGGCCAGACTCGGTGTGCCAGCCTTCAATGTCGCATCTGAAAGCTTTACAGCTGGAGAAGATGTCGTAGTACCAGTCCTTGTTGTGTACCGGTCGTGTCAGCGAATAGCCAAACATGCCTTCTTCCAGGCTTGGTAGGCTGTTGACAGGATTCTCTTGTAGAAAGGTTGCGGTCGTGCTCGAGTTGCGTTCGCTCAGCCTTGGCGCAGCAGAAGCCGCTTGTGGTGCTCGGAACGTGAAGAACTCGTACTCGGCTGATAGTACAGCAGTATCTGATTAGCCAGTCTCTCTCAATGGACATGGCAGGGCACTGAATGGGAAAGTCAGGCCCGAGATAGCCAACGGCGTTGCTTGGGAAAGACTCACCGCCAGCCAGCGCACCCATGCCCATTGCCTCCAGCTTAGCACATTGTCTCTCCAGTAGGCTCCGCGGACATGCGCTCAGGCTCTCGCCTTCTGGCTCGCGGAAGCTGCAAAGGAAGAAGGGTGTATTGCTTTCCCACGGAATGCGTCTGAAGGAGGATAGGTCAACTTCCGCCAAGATATCTCGGTATCCATTTTCTTTGTTGCTGATCTTGAGCTCCTTGAAATACGTCTTGTCGTGCATGTCCCAGCCGAAAATCACGCTGCAGAAGCCGAAGCCAGATTCGGCGATGGACAAGAATTTCTTCTTCGACATCAGCTTGCCCCGAATGATGCCGTCAATGTCGACCCCGCCCACTTTGACACTGACATCGTTCTGAAGCAACTTCGGGAGGTCGGAGTGTGTGAGTTCGGAAGGGTCGTCGGTAATAGCCATGCTCGCGTGCGTGCTCGCGTGACCCGATGTTTCCGCCTGGTAGCTGGACTATCACACGGCGGAGTCCGGCTGCTCTGGCTAGCCACGACGTTATCCGAAACAGTCTGAGATCCCTTTAAGGCCCTCCTCTATCGTAGAGGTGCGCGAAAGCATATGAGTTCAAGATCGTGGACGGAACTTGGAATGATCGCCCGCTAGCGCTGATCATGGTCGCGTGGCTAATGCGGAGGCGCTCGGCTCCAGCCGTTGGTCCGACCTCCTCTTTGCGAGGTGTTCGCTCTTTATGATCCTATACCAATGCTGACTACATTACCCCTTTGAGAAGCCACGGCGTATGCCACAGTCAGCCTCGCCTTGTACGATGTTAACATGGAGCATAGTGTCAGGCTCCGCTCACGAGCTGAATCGTAACCCTATGCGCCAAACTCCTAGCGATTCGGACGGCGATCGACCGAGCTCTGCCACGAGCCCGGCCATAGTAGTTGTCGATATATGATATTCATAAGCATCCGGCAGCGCTGGTGGCCCATATCCAATCTTTCTCTGCGCTGCAGTGTTACAAGGTTCCATCGCTGAAGGTCTCGTCGGTAGGCTTGGCAATGTTACGCCAACGCTAGGGTTCGGGCGGGACTCGGCGACTAATCAAGGTTATCATTTCCGGCGGTGACAGCAACATCACTCCAACAGTGACTGAAGCCTCGTCCGGGTCCACGCATAGCGGTCTACGATCGCTTCGCTCTCTTGCCTCTGTCAACATCTTCTGCTCCTAACAGGATTCGCTGCACTCTCCCAACCTCAACGGAGATATGGTTCGTTACATTGCCACCGACCAGTGATCAGATCCAGATGGACTAACAAAGCGGATAAGGCTGACATGAATGGCACTTCTGCCCATGCCACGCGAGGCCGTCTCGCTGGAAAGAACGCCCTCATCACTGGCGCTGCAGGCGGGATTGGCCTTGAAACGACCATCCTATTTCTGCGTGAGGGAGCATCCGTCCTGATGTGCGACATTTCGGAGCCAGCGTTAGCCAAAGCGATCACTAAGGCCAAGGAAACAACGCCGCATATGGCCGGCAAACTCGAGACGCTGAAGTGTGATGTCTCCAAGGAGTCAGACGTCCAGGCTGCAGTTGAGCAGCTCGATGCGTGGGGTGGCGTTGACATCATGTTCAACAATGCTGGTATCATGCATGGTGATGATGCGGGTGTGTCCTGCCCTCTATAGGGTCGTTTGATTACTATTGCTGATACTGCCGAAAGACGCCATTGACACGCCCGAGAAAATTTGGGACCTAACTCAAGCCATTAACGTCAAAGGGGTTTGGTACGGCAGCAAACACGCAGTCATATCATTGCGCAAGCACAAGAAGAATCGAGGCAGCATCATCAACACAGCTTCGGTGGTCGCACTTGTGGGCTCCGCGACACCGCAGTTGGCTTATACTGCGTCGAAGGGTGCAGTCCTCGCCATGACCAGAGAGCTTGCCATCGTGCATGCGCGCGAAGGCTACCGATTCAACGCTCTTTGTCCCGCACCGCTCAACACTCCGCTGCTGCAGGATTGGCTTGGCGACGACCAAGCGAAGCGGCACCGGCGGGAGGTGCATTTCCCCACGGGCAGGTTTGGAGAGGCGATCGAGCTGGCGCACGCGGTAGTATTCCTGGCGAGTGATGAAAGTTCGTTTGTCAACGGCACGGACTTTGTGGTGGACGGTGGCATGACCAAGGCATACGTGACGCCGGAAGGGCCAGCCACGGAGCCGCCAAAGAATCTGGCGAGGTGAACGAATACCTTGGGTAGCAATCATAGACATGGGTGTTTGCTTACCAGCGTGGCGCTGGCTCGGCGGTTTGCTGGGGCACAGATGGCGCTATAAACTAGAACGGTATTCATAGAACACCCTCATTCACATCACTTACTCCGCCTTAGCAGGGCTCGGCCCACAGCCCTACTAAACAATCAACGCCAGCCTCTTCACGTTATATACGGACTTCGACTGACCTATCTGAACTCGACACCATCTTCGAACTCTCAACAAACACGAAGAAGATGACCTCTATGGATCTTCACCAGAGGGTTTCCCAGACTTTGCCTTCTTCCCTATCACGGACAAGCAAGCCGTTGGTCTCGCCTACGGTGGCTACTGCGCGGATCCATGTCATCGTGAGCTAACGTGAGGCCGCCAACTCCCGAGGTACACGGTTTCAGGAGACCACTCAAGTACTGACGTGAAATGCTATGGCGCAATCGAGGCGTGCCTTAAACCGAAAGTGCTTGTGCTTCCGAGACGCAAGTCCGACATCGGGCAATTCAGTATTGTGCATGCAGCTATTGCGACCAGCCCGGCCATCCACGCCTACATGCTCATACCGGATGCCCTCCGGATCATTGATCAACTTGAAGCTTCACGGAAGATGCAGGCTGCACCCTCATCCGCAGCCCCGCATGCCAGCGGTATGTTTTCTCCGACCTGCATCGTTCACCATCCCAAGAGGCCTTCTTGCACCGCCCTGAGCACTGAGGAAATCAACGTCGTGACTGGGTCCAAGAAGCTCTTCGCAGATGAAGCGACTACTTAGGACTTTCTGCCTGGCAACGGATCCGAGAAGCCGCGTTCGAACAGTAAGATGGCAAAGGCGTAGCGAGGCCTTACAGGACATGTACCGCCCAACCACCCATCAAGTCTCAATGGCAGATGGTTGAGGTCCCGGAGGAGGATGACTTTGTGGTCGTCTAACGGGGAGGTCCTGACGTGGGTCACACTTTGAGCACAAGAGGCGGGAAGCGTCCATGGGCGGCTAGGCTTGAGGCGAACAATCCAGGGGACGACTTTTGCTCAGCGATTCCCTTAGCAGTCATGCGCTCTGAGTACGGCAATGGGCGAGCCGCCGCACGGCGCCGTTACAGCGTCATGCTCCAGCGGAATTTAGATTGTCTCATTAGACCACATCGCTCCGCCACCAGCAACACAAATCGGCGAGCTTGCCAGCCTTTGTACAATGAAAGCCGAACGCATGCGCTGTCCCACAACCAACCGCATTATCAGCGTTGTCGGCTTTGCGTTGTGGCATTCACTAATATCATGCTCAGCCTTGCATTCACCATGCACTTCACGTGAAAGGCACGGGCCGGCGCTCACGACACATTCGGTGATTTGATACAACACTCACACGCACTTTGCAAACCTGCTATATAAATTTCCGGATTCGACCATCGCTCCCACGTACGCTCCAGCCAGCGTTTACGACTTGCCGATGGCAGGCCTAATGCGTAAAAGGACGGTCTCCAAGGAGAGCTACTGCAGTCCAATTACCCAAGCCTTTGCGGTTACTTTAACGGAGAACGGTCGCTGTGGCGACTCTTCACACTCAAAGACAGCGTGAGTCTAGCTTCTGTGCACATGATCCCTAAAATTGGTACTGACACCGGCCACTTAGCTCGGTCACCTTCTGCGCCGAAGAGAAGGCGGCCATCATCTTCTCGAAGGATGCCTCATACGCTGTCGTCCATAATAGCTTGGCATCCAGAGTTACGACGGAAACCCGGCCGGCGACATCACTTTCACTGACGCTGCTACGGCAGTTTCAGCGTGCCGAGTTAGCGGAGTCTGGCAAGCTTGGTCCGCCGCCAAACGCCAAGCTGGTGTCTCCTGTCAAGACAAACAGTGAGCAGGCGAAGCCATCGTCGACACCGTTTAAGAAAGGAGCGGGTGGGCCATGTGCGCCGGCTACTGCAGCGCCAAGGATCTCTTCTCATACGGAGCCAGACCTCGCCTCCGACTCAAAGGTGGCCGGAACAACGCAGGTCTCCGATATGGGAGCTTCTCTCGCAGACGCAGATGCGGATGATGAGTGGGAAAGGATCGAGGAGGCCGAGACTGAGGACAAATGCTACGTCCTCGTTTCGAAGATTTGTTAAGATGTGCCCAGGTATGATGGCCTAGTGGCCCGCGGGAGTCAGCGAGGTGGTGTTGCAACGTTCTCAGCGTGGCTGTCGAAGCCTTGCGCCCGTGAATAAGGCCAATTTGAGTATACATCTTCACGTCTGTGGGATGCTGTGACGCGGAACTCCGTCGCCGACAGCTCCTTACCAGTATGCTAGATGCCCAAGAACGGTATCACCTGTCAACTCCAGGCATCAAGACCGTTCACAGCGTCGTGCGACCGACATCTACTTCGCGTCTCTCTCTCAAGGCACGGCCCGCCGCTTTACGGCATTTCCGACGACTCGGTACGCGCGCTCCGCGAAGGGCGTATAAACCTTCCCGTACCTAGATGTTGTTCGGTCTCCAACTGTGTGCGGCTCAGACTTTCGGATCCTGCACGCAAGATGACGACGACGGACAAGATGGTGCCCAGCCAAATCAGCGGAGATGGCTACATCAAGCCGGTTAGCCAAGAACTCGCGCAGGAGATCGCGTCTGTCGGCATCTGCGGAGATCCAGAGCATTTTAAGCGGACGCAAGTTGCCTGCCACTCAATCGAACGAGGTGTTGCTGACACAGACACCACAGTCCGATCGCGCGATGCACCAAGGAGAAGAGCGTCGTCGTGTTCATCGAGGACGCGTCGTACGGCGGGATTCACCGCCAGATGGCCCCGAATCGTCCTATTCTACTCGGCCAGCTTGCGCCCAGTGGCTGAAGCTTATGCACGACCTCCAACACGCCCGGCTAGGGCTGGGAGCCAGCACGGAGAGAACCAGTCCGGCAATTGTGCCAGGTGCCGAGCATGTTAAGGGTGCGGCCGCCGTTCGTGCAGGCAGCGTGAAGATCGAGCCTGCAGCGACCTCCAAGCCAGCCGGGGCCGATGCGGTAAAGGCTGCCAACCAAGTCCATAAAGCCAAGAGAGAATCGCCTAGTCGCATCGTCCTTGGTCCGAGTAATAAGCAAACAAACGACCAGGACAATGCAAAGACCTCCAAGCTGTCAGTTGCTCTCAAAGAAGCTGCGGACTCGTGTTAAGCCGCGAAGAAAGCAGAACAGGACAAGGCCGGTCGCAAGGTCGCAGCGGAGGTTGGAGAACCGGACTGGGTAATGGTCAACATGAGTGAGAACCTGAATTGAGTTTTCGTTTGACCGATATCGAAAGCGCCGGAGGTTCGCGCATTCTGCAGAGGTCCGATGAGTTGGTGCTCAACATCCTGCTAAACTGGGCAGCAGTGAGCTGAAGTCAGAGCAAGCATTCAGCCATTTTGACTCGGGATAGGACGTTTCCGGGCAGATGTACACCCGCTGTAAACCGTAACCTAACACTTGTAACGAAGACATACCCATTGAACCATCGAACAGCATTCACAGTTGTTTCCACACTCTCAACTTCCGACACGCTATTTCGGGTTCTTCACGCCCTCAACCACACTCTCCGGCTTCGTCACCACTTTCTCCAGAACACCGCCCTCCTTCTTCAGCTCATTCTTTACGCCCTCCTGGCCCTTGAGACTCTGCTGGTACATCAACGCCCTCGTGACTTGCGTCAGACCTACACAGGCCAACAGCGCGTTGACGGATGCTAGGAACAGATTCCGGGGCTTGATGACGAAGCACCAGCGGGTCCAGATAGCGCCGGTGGTCATGAGTGCGGCATTCTGAGGGATGGACAATGCAGAGGCTGGCCGGGCGAAGTCGGCGGCGCCGGCTAGGACGAGACCCCACTGTACACCATAGCCTTTAGTACAGGTCTCCAGACTAAGGGCTGCGTGCCTTCCTGATACGGAGGTGGATGACATACCTTCATAATGGGAGCCCAGAAGTGCACCGTCTTTGGTCCGACGGGGCTGTTCCAGAACTTGGTGAAGCCGCTCTCCTCTACTACCTTGGGTGCCTCAACCGCGGAGGCGCTCTCCGTTGCGCTGGCGTAGGCTCGTCGTTGGGCGAAGGTGCGGAAGGGTTGTGGGCGCAGAGCGCGCAGACCGAAGCGGGTAGCTGTCGCCATATTGACAGAGTGGAAAATCGGCGAGGAGTGAAGATGCGTCGTAGAGTGAGGGAGCTGGAATGAGAGTTGATGGAGGTGAGATGGTCGTCAGAGGGGGTTGCCGGAGATGCCAAGACCTGGCGATCTCTCGGAGTTAAGGGTACTGGAGGATCACCTTTGAAGATGCGACTTCAAGCTCTCTCAAACAGACAGCTCCAGCTCCAACCCTTCGATTGCGCGTCGTCGCTGGTACAATGTCAGGGAAGTACGCCTTCACAAAGGCGCTGAAAGAGTTGCGTTTCCATCACTGCCAAACAAGCGACCACTCCAATGCCGTACGGTACGAAAAGCACACATCACACGAATAGGAAGCGATCATTAAACGGCTTCAGTCACTGACAGCTTGCTGAAATGGATGCCAGATCATTCCTTACGCGCGCATACCCGACGATGAAGCACCACAACCCGCACACTCCCATTATGATCCGGGAAGCATTGGACATACAGCCTCGTGTGTTTGCGCGGTATGAGTTCGGCAGGGAGAAGCGGGTAGACCTCAATGGTGCAGTCACAAACGAAGCTATTGTGGGTCGCGCACATCGCCGCTAACATGGAGGTAGGGCTGGACGACAAAGGGATCGAAGATGCAGTCACAAAGCTGGTGAAGGACGCATAATGACCGCACAGTTACCGTCACGGCTAGCAAGGCACAACCACTCGGTCATGCGAGTAGCTTCTCGGGATGGACGAGCTGCTTGAGTGTACATAATGTACAATAACAACCAATTGATAACCGGCGATCTGCTGAACCCGTAGCACACAAGCGCCACCCTGGTGATACAAAGCATTTTTGACAGCCACACTGGACGTGGCGACCTTGACCAAACATCTAGAATATCATGAAGCAACAACTTCGCCAAACCGGTACTGACCCCACGCCAAACCTCCCTCTGCCATAGTCCACAACTGCTTGCCACTTTCACCGCCAGCCGCACCCGCCACAACGTGTACTGGCAGGAGGTGCTCGAAGCTTGGATGCGCCTTTCTCGCATCAGGCCTTTTGAGCAGCTCAGTCATGGCCTCCCTCCTCTCCTCCGGCTTCGTCTCGACTGCCGCTTTTAGGCCATCTTCGAAAGTGACGGCATAGTTTGTTGAACCTCCGAGGCGTCTACCAAGATCGCGCAAGTTATGCACCGCCATGCCCGACCCGATAATCTGCACGCCCTCGTCGCGCAGCGAAGAGAGTGCCTGACCGAGAGCGTAGTGCCGCTCCGGGTCTTCGGAATCATACAGACTGACCTGCACAATAGGCACATTCAACGGGTTCGTCTTCGGATCGAACATTACCATGAAGCCAGCCCAGACGCCATGATCCAGGCCGCGGCTCACACCCTCGGCATGGACGCCGTTCTTTCGGAAGGTTTCGATGACCTTACCAGCCAACTGTGGGGAGCCGCGGTGCGGATACTGCATCTTGTAGTAATGCGCCGGGAAGCCGTAGAAGTCGTAGATAAGATCCATGTCCGTCGCTGTGTTGACCTCGACGGCATTCGGTCCATCCGCTTGCCAGTGAGCGGAGAAGACCACGACGGCTTTCGGCTTCACCTCTTGCGTGATTTCACGACCGATGGCTTGCAGCTTTGCGTACGCAGGATGCGAAGTTTCTTCCATGATGGTTGGGCCGCCGTGGCTGACAAAGTATACTGGCGTGCGAGGCATCGCTCGTGAGTTCGCGATCGAAGCTGTCGAAATGTCTTGAAGCTTCCACCAGTCCAGGTCCAACCCGAAGCGTTCGTACAGGGGCTTAGCAATGTTCGTGTCGTTGGTCCTACGGTAGAATGGCTGGAACGAACAGTCCTTGCGGTTGACGCCTACGGAGTCGCAGACAACGATACCTAGGTATTGATGCGGGAAGGCTAAGGAGTAGTGATCTGTCCAAACACCAAGAGGAATGGGAATGGCGGCAAGAAGGACACCCAGAAAGAAGAGAGTGTGCGCGTTGAGGAAGTTGGGCATCGCGAAGGACTTATCGGAGTACGGAGGTCTACGGAAGATATAGACGCTACCTTACCTTAGCACCTACTTTGCTCGCGGAACGAGGCTTAAGCGCTCCGAATCAGGCGTTAGCCATTTGATACCTATCTTACGATACTCTGCTTTCGTAAGCTTGAGTTTTGATACAGTCAACAGCGGAAGGCTTCCGCCGATGGAATAGACGTCATTCGATGTCCAACGTGGACGACAAACAGATCAATTAGCTAAGATTGCTTTGATATCACAGAGAAGCCAGCTTAGCGTTCGCAAACGGCAGAGTATCGGCGGAGATGTCTTCCTCGAAGGCAGCCTTGGTGGTACCGGCCCTCAAGCGCCACACCTCCACAGTTATTGTAGCGCACGGATTGGGAGACAGGTGAGGCTCTAGCCTACCGTCTTGCCACCGCACAACGTAGGCTGACAGTGATGTAGCGGCGCAGGGTGGTAAGCTGGTATCTCATTTTCGGACTTCCTTTCTCCAGCTCACACGGAATGGCGTAGGATGTTCCTGGCGGACCAATGGCGATCCGCCAACAAGTTCCCGGAAACCAAGTTCATCTTTCCCAATGCGCCCCAGATACCGATCACTGTGAACATGGGCATGCGTATGCCGGGTTGGTATGACATAGCCGACTTCGGCGACCTTGCCAACCGATCTGAAGACGAAGCGGGCATTCTACGATCGCAGAAAGTCTTCCACACACTCATCTCAGACGAGATCAAGGCCGGCATCCCAACCGAGCGGATCGTGTTGGGTGGTTTCAGTCAAGGTGGTGCCATGAGTCTGATGGCTGGGATTACCTGTCCTTCAAAGCTCGGCGGTATCTTTGGGCTTAGCTGTTATTTGTTGCTGAAGGATAAGGTGCAGTCACTGGTGCCTAAGGAGAGTCCCAACAAGGATACGCCTATCTTCATGGGCCATGGCGACGCAGATCCGGTCGTTAGGCATGAGTGGGGACAGTTGACGGCGAATATGCTGAAGCAGTGGGGTTGGAATGTCGACTTCAAGACGTACAAGGGCTTGCCCCACAGTGCCGCTCCACGAGAGATTGAGGATCTAGAGAAGTATCTGACCGAGAGAATACCGCCTGTCGGTGACAAGAGTGGCTATTGACTAGAGCCCGGAACGGAGAAGGCGCCGTACGATGCAGGCGAGACTAAGATTGTGATTGCTGTTGCTTTGCTCGTGGTTTCATGGCTTGCCACTGTCGCCCTATGGCGGGTGTGGAGGGGTCGGTAACGGGCAGCTGCCCGTCTTACGTCCAGAGACGACCATCTGGCCGGCGTGCGAACTGCGGACCCCCTGCAAAAAGCTGCAACAATGCCACTGAAGCATAAGCACATGACGCTACATGAAGGTCAACAGCGGAAGGTCATCATTGAGTGCAAGCATCGAGTCGTTCATCGGTTCATGAAATATACACAACAGACTGACGCGCTTAGTATACGTAGATGAAGTCCTCATTCTTCAGGTCAGTCAAGTCATCAAAACCCTTCTCACCGACGCCTCCAGTCTGATGCGTGTCATTGACAGCCTCGTCATGCTTCTCAAGCGCCTTCTTATCCTCCATACTCAAATCGACAACCTTCGCCGCCTTGCCTAGCCTAACTCTCTCCGCCGCATGTTTCTGGTTCAAAATGCGAACCCAGATGACCCCCAAGCCCACAAGCACAATGATGACGACGAAGAGCGCCAAGTCAGCGCTAAGCCCGCGGTGGTAGTAGGGCGCATCGCTCGGTTTGAAAAGGTTAGGGCCGATAATATTGCCCGCGGACGCGCCTATGAAAAGCACGGCGGTGGTGACCTTGCGCTTGGTGTCGCCACCGGTGTTCTGGCCACTCCAGCTGTAGATCAGCGGGCTGATGGCCGGGTAGACCGAGGTGATGTAGTAGCCGAAGAGTAGGATGCCACGGTTGTTCTTAGTACGCGGAATGCTGAGCATGAGTGACAGCCCGATGATGGGCGGAATGCAGAGAAGGGCCAGCATGAGCGACTTGGACTTGAAGCGGGTTGCGCCGAAAGCGGCTCCAAGCGTCACGACGAGCTGCACGGCGCCAAAGGGCATGTTGAAAAGAAGCGTTTTGAACGAGCTGAAGCCGAAACTCTTGACAATGAGTGGGCCGTAAGTCGTAATGCCGCCGGATGGGATCGAGACCGCGGTCAGAAGGCAGAACCAGATCCAAGTCTTGACGTCCGTAAGGCACTCCCAGACATGATCCCACCGCCACACACCAGATGAGACACCCATTTGATTCATCCTAAGCCGCTCAATAGCTATAAGCTTGTCGTCACCCTTAAGGAAGCGTGCCTGCATTGGAGAGTCTGGTAGGAAGATGAGGACGATGACCGAGAACGCAGCGGTCAGGCAGCCACAAAAGAGGAAGATGATCTGCCATGGGCGGAGTGTGTGGGAATCAATGTGGGCAAGGCCCCAGCTAAGAAGGCTGCCGAACTGCATAATACGTCAGTAGGCGTGGCACAATGTTTGGCAAGGTGAGCTTACGATGTTGACTATCCCCAACATAGAGTACCAAGCGGCGTTGCGATTGGTCTGCTCGTTTCTCCGATACCACATTTGTACCAATGCGATGAATGTGGGTGCGACAGACGCCTCGAACGATCCGAGGACGAACCGTGAAGCCATCAGACCGCCAAAGTTCTTGCTGCCAACCATGCCGCACAGCGTGATGCCCCAGCAGAGCACCATGACACCGATGAACTTTCCAAGCGGAAGCTTTACCAGGGCGAGAGCAATAAGTGGCTGCCAGATGAGCTGGGCAACATACACGATGGCACCCGTCCAGCTGTATTCCAGGCCGACGAGGTGGGTGTCCTGGATGATGCCGAAGACGGAGGCATAGCTCAAGGCGGTCTTGTCGAGTGATTGCAAGCAGTAAATGACGAGTATGATGGGAAGGATATGTAGGTCGATGGAACGCAAGATGCGCGAGTTGTCCGCTGGTGTCACAATGACGGAGTGGCCAGCTTCCTTAAGGAGGAGGGCTGCCTTGTCCTTGCCTTTGACGGCCTCATAGTCGGCCGCGCCAATGGCTTCGACAGTCTCAGCGTTGATATCGCCAGGCTTCTGGTCGCGCGGGTCTACCATTTCAATGGCAGTGTCGTTGTGATGAGCCGCCATGAGTGGTATGGAGTCCGCGTGGCTTTCGTCGCTTGAGTCTGTGAAGGTGAGCGCAGGAGGATGCCGTCTCATCTCACCTCACCCGCGCTCTAGCCCGTTCTTATAGCGTGAATGGCCACACGGCAGCCCTCGTCCCTCAATCCCCGCGTCTAGATGGCAATCAATTGCCGCTCTGGGGACGTATTCGGAGACTCCGCATGGGCAATTGCCTTACGGACGCCGCCACATGCACCGAAATGCGTCGACTGGTCGGGTGTACACACGGCCGAGACTCGCCTCGTGATGAAGCATGGTTCGCCGCGGCCATGGTTTAGCGATCCTTAGCGGTACTTGTCATCAATGTGCAGCCAATCATTTGGTGTGGGGTACTCCACACTCGACAACGGCTTGCTTCGGACTCTCGTCGGCAAAGACGTCCACGGAATAGCGTCGGCCTCTGACAGTGGGCCTCGTCTCGAGCGTTGCCGAGGAGAGAGTCAACTTCATTTCTGATCACGGTTGGTTTGACCGACAGTGAAGAAGATATTACTTGGCCAGCGTCATGTCATCAACTGGAGTGCGCCCGCCACGCCATATCATACAGACATGTTGTCGGCTTTTGAGAGGACAGCACGGTCATTGAAAGACGGCTCCTGCTCCTCTTACGAACCTTCTGTGGATCCATCTCGGTAGGTTGTTGCTCTTGCTGCGGAGTCAAGAGAGGTCCGCTCATATAACCTATGATGGATCCGGCCGTTGGCGTGAATATGCTTAATACAGTTCATATATGACATCCTAGCATACTGTACCGGGGCATTGCTTTTCCCTAGATCGTGTTCAAAGACTTTCGTTTCCAAGATGCCGCAGAAAGAACTGGTTCTGTATCGCTATGAGCTCAATCCTTCCAGCAAGGCCGAGGGAGCTTCCGTCCGACTTACAAGCACAGAGAGCGGCAAGCCTGTAATTTTCTCCTTCCAAGCCGTAAAGCCTGGGCTATTCAGGACAACGTTCTCCTCTGCAGACCACCCGTTGCCACCCTTTCCAAGTGCTCACAAGCCCACAACTGACAACTCAGCATTCGTGGTCTCCGAACCCGATAAAGACTCCAGGACGTTTCAGTGTGACAACGTGGAAGCTAAAGTGCAATGGAAGAACGAGCCCATCGTCTCGGTTGGCTTCTCTGGGGAGAAGCCACTTCACGAGGACCTACCGTTACGCTCATACGCACTGGATGGCCCGGGAGTCGCCCACTATACCAAGTATGCCCGCGGTGACCTCCACGTCGGACTAGGCGAGAAGTCAGCACCTATGGATCTGTCCAATCGACATTTCACGCTCACCGCAACCGATTGCTTCGGTTACGACGTCCTTCGGAGCGATCCAATGTACAAGCATATTCCACTTCTCATACGCGCAACTCCGAACGGGGTAGTTGCGACATTTTCAACTTCTCACGCCCGGGGTTACTACTCCGTTGGTTCTGAAATGGATGGCATGTGGGGCTACTTCAAGGTCTACCGCCAGGACTTTGGTGGACTCGAGGAGTACACGATGATTGGCCGAACACTGCAGGAAGTTATCACTTTATACGCTGGGCTCATTGGATATCCTCTGCTTGTGCCACGGTGGGCTTTTGGTTACCTTGGTGGCGGGATGAGGTACTCTATGCTGGATGAGCCGCGAGCTAGCGAAGCCCTGATCGATTTCGCCGACAAGCTCAAGAAGTACGATATTCCGTGCTCAGGCTTTCAGATGAGCTCCGGCTACACTGTTGCGGAGCAGGAGCCCAAAACTCGGAACGTGTTTACGTGGAACAAGCACAGATTTCCCGATCCCAAGGGCTTCTGTGACGAGTACCATAAGCGTGGTATCAGACTGATAGCCAACATCAAGCCCTACATTCTCGCCAACCACCCTGCCTACGAAGGTCTAAAGAAGGATGGTGCTTTCTTCACCGACCCGCGCACGGGCGAGACAGGTATCGCCCGTCTTTGGAGCGCTGGTGGCGGCACAAGCGGAGAAGGCGGTCACATTGACTTCACATCCACGGCCGGCTACGACTTCTGGTACAACAACGTACGGAAGCTTCGGTTGGAGGGCATGGACTGTATGTGGAATGACAACAATGAGTACCTTCTTCCCTCCGACAACTGGCAGATAGCCCTAAACAGTCAAGCTGCACACGAAGGCGCTATACCCGAAGCTGACCAAAAGCGTAACAACGTCGGATTTTGGGGACGCGCAATGCACACCGAGCTCATGGGCAAAGCCTCCCACGATGCGCTGCTCGAGGCGGTCCCGCATGAGCGTCCTTTCGTCCTTACTCGATCTGCCACAGCCGGCACGATGCGATACGCCTGCTCATCCTGGTCCGGCGACAATGTTACAAGCTGGGATGGCATGCGTGGCGCCAACGCCTTGTCCCTCAACGCAGGTATGTCTCTTCTCCAATGTTACGGCCACGACATTGGCGGCTTCGAGGGCCCACAGCCATCGCCCGAACTGCTGGTGCGATGGGTGCAGCTCGGATGCCACAGCCCGCGGTTTGCTATCAACTGCTACAAGACCGGTAATGACAGCCTGATTGGTGATGTGATCGAGCCGTGGATGTACCCAGAAACCCTACCGGAAGTGCGGAAGGCTATCATGAGGCGGTATGAAATGATACCGTACATATACGGCCTGATGCTGCTGAGCACACGTACCGCATTGCCTCCGCAGCGCTGGACAGGCTGGGGCTACGAGAGCGATCCGGAGGTGTGGACTAGTAAGCTCATCAAGGACGGCGAGACACAGTACTGGCTCGGCGATACTCTGCTGATTGGTGGTGTATACGAGCCTGGCGTTCGTGACGCCAAGGTTTACTTACCTCGCAAGAGTACGGAAGACGCAGGCTTTTTAAACACGAACGCACCGTATCAGTACCTCTCCGCCGGCCGCTGGCATACCATCTCCTCGCCATGGAGGGACAGCATACCAGTTCTCGCACGCGTTGGCGGAGCCGTTCCCGTGGGTCTGAACCGACAAGTGGTGGCGCCTGGTGACAAAGCTAATGAAGCGAGCCTACCTGCCGACGACTGGCGTGGAGTGGAGATCTTCCCGCCACCTGAAGAGATGAGTGATAGCAAGACGTGGTATAGCAATACTTGGTTGGAAGACGATGGCATCTCACCCCCACCCGCGAAAATCGCAGGGCTCACGGTCAGCTATGTCGCGTCACCGAAAGAGGTCGCGGTAAAGTTTCAGCAGGATGTGGGTGCTTTCGAGCCGCCTTGGGTCGAGAAGGGTCTTACTGTCGTTCTGCCAGTAGGCGATAGCAGGAGCGTAGCATCTGCTGGTGGCGCTACGGTCGAGCCCAGAAGACCGGACGAGCAGGGCCGTAGGAGATACCACCTCGTAGTGCAACCCGAGGCTAACGGGCACGCTGAGGTCAATGGCTATGCCAAAGTGAACGGACATGCGTCCGTTCGTGCGCACGGTAAGTGAGTAGTTGCAACTGAAATGGAAAGTATTGTCCGGCATCGCGGACGAATTGTTGGTCAGAAGACATCAATAGGATGCGATGGCAAGACCCATGTAGTATCCACAGCGTCGAAAAGTCTGGGAATCTACATCGCGGTCATCGCGATCCTGTTTTGAGCGTGAGAAATGCTTATACTGGTGTGAACGGTGTGCATAAATAGTGGGCATTGAGGACTCATCGACGTCTACGCCTGCCAACCCACAAACGCCCAGCAACGGCACTCTGCAGCGATGCTGCCGCCAGATACTACTTCCTCAAGGTTGCAAACAATGTGCACATGTTGATCTTAGCGAGTTGTAGCCTTGACCTTGGGCGCTGCACCCTTAGCGGCCTGCTTGCCAACAATGCTACAAACCATGTTAGCACAATCTCTGCACGGCCAGGCATCTCAAAATGATGAAACTCACCTTCCCTTCACCTGACCCGTGGCAGCCTTGGCCGCACCCTTGGCCTTCTCCGCCTTCTTCTCACTCTCCGACAGCTTCTTCTTCTCCTTGCCCTCAGCAATAGCCTTCTGGCGAGCAGCCGAGCGAGCTTCGGGTCGCATGGAACGGCGCTCCTTGATCACATCAAGCGAAGCACCAACAACGGCACGCTGGCTCTTCACTTGACGGCGACGGCGGGTCTTGGCTTGCTCCTACAACAGACTGTCAATAAGTGAACTATTACATTGTCCAGTGTATGGAGATAGTACCTCTGAAATACCCTTCCTCCGCTGCCTCCGGCATAGCACTGTCCAAGCGATACGGCGCGGGTTCTTGCGTTGTAGGAAGAGAGACTCGCTCTTGCCCCTCTGGAAGCGGAAGATCTTGCTGTCGGCACGGACGAAGAGTTTGCCCTGGAACGTCCGTCAGCGTCTTCCATTCTGGTGTTTCTGCTGCAATATCGCCTTGCTATGTCCGCCTTCTGTGGTTGAATATGGTGATAGGATGGTGCCGTACCTTGCCAGGGTAGATCTTCTGTCCGGAGAAGGTATCGTCGTACGTCCTCATCGTGACGATAGTTCTTTATTTAAGTTGCTGTCGAAAGTCCTGGCTTTGTCGCCGAGTTGAAGTCGTATGCTCTCCCGTAGTCACCGCGATGAGGTGTTGCATGCGGGCCATGTGCGGGCGTGCCAAGAAGCGAAATTATGGGCCGAACATCCACCGAGGCGCACCACCACAAGCCGAACTTCAATCACTGGCGACGACCGACTAGGCGGTTACCAGCGACTACAACAACACCTTTCCACACTCCGGTACGCCTTGCAGCAGCAATCAGACAGCTCTCGGATCATTCTGACAGTATTGCATAGCCTCTCACAGCTACTACATCCGCGATGGGCGAGGCTACCGTCACTCAAGCCAAATGGCGCCTTGTCGAGGTCGGCCGTGTCGCGGTCTTCGCAAGAGGGCCATATATAGGCAGACTCGCCGCCATTGTTCAGATCATAGACCACAAGCGCGTACGTTGGAGCTACCACATCGCCACAGCTACGGAGAAGACTTGAGCCGTTGCTAACATTCTCCCACAGGCACTCGTGGAAGGCCCGTCGTCCGACAAGTCCAAGATTGTCCCGCGCCACGCCGCACCACTCTCACAACTATCACTCACTGCGATCGTCATTCCCGATACACCGCTCGCAGTTGGCCATGCGGCCCTGAAGAAGCGCTGGGATAGCTCGGACGTGGAGGGCAAGTTCTTCAACTCCACATATGCCAAGAATCAGGCCAAATTCGCACGGAGGAGGGAGTTGAACGACTTTGAGCGGTTCAAGGCAATGGTGCTGAGGCGGCAGACGAGGTTCGAGGAGCGGAAGGCGTTGGCACAGGCGAAAGCGGCGAAGGCATAGAGCTCGCCGTTCGACATACGACTACGACTACCTGCCGTTTCGGACTGGTGCTTACTGTCTGCACAAAGTGTAGTACCTGACATTTTCAGCGCATGGTTGGCTGGCGCAGAGTGGAAATGCTGGCTTGAGCGTACAGTAGCTCTCTACCCTAAGTAGCGATCGCCGAGAGGCTCGCAAACAATTTCGATGCAATGAGTGAATGCGGACCAGCCTTCCTTCCCACCGTGAAGCGTGCTATGTATACAGCATGCTGTCAGATGTTCTGCACGTGATCTTCAATATGACGCCGCGCGCACGGACGCGTGCCTGAAATTCTGTGTGAGCCGAAGCCGAAACTGCCAAGCCCATTGCACCTATCACTGTAGGCAAGAGACACCTGCTGGACCTCATTACCCGGCATTGACTGCTATTCGTACGAGAAGCCGACGGCCTAGACAACGGTGTCTCAAGCTGACTGCACCTACAGTCAGCCTTCTTCACCACCACTCATAACAGCATGGCCAACCCTCGCGTCGAGGAGCTTCCCGACGAGCCCGAGAAGAAGGACGGCCCTGAAGTCGAGGACGACGATGACAGCTCCGATGATGACGCTGGCGAGGCTAACATTCCTGCCGGCGCCACCGTGACCGTGCATAGCCGCAATGAGAAGAAGGCACGCAAGGCCATTGCCAAGCTGGGTCTGAAGCACATCGAGGGCATTACGAGGGTGACGTTGCGACGGCCGAAGAATATTCTGTTCGTCATCAGTCAGCCCGATGTGTACAAGAGTCCGAGCAGCAATACGTGGATGTGAGTTGCGACCAACAACTAGATAATTGATTGTGGTGGTGGAAGATTGATTACTGACAGGTGTGGATTGTAGCATCTTCGGTGAGGCCAAGATTGAGGACCTGAACTCGCAGGCACAAGCTTCTGCTGCGCAGCAATTGGCTGCTCAGTCTGCGCATGAGGCTTCGGGACAGGAGAACGGTGCTGCGGACAAGGGTAAGGCGGTTGAGGACAAGAAGCCCGCCGATGACGACGACGACGACAATGAGGAGGTTGATGAGACCGGGCTTGAGGCCAAGGACATCGAGCTGGTCATGGCTCAGGCCAGCGTCAGCCGAAAGAAGGCTGTCAAGGCATTGCAGGAGAATGACAAGGATATTGGTAAGTCGCAAATCACATCCCCAATTGTGCGAATGTTCTAACGTTTCATAAAGTCAACAGTATCATGGCATTGTCGATATAGCGTCAGTAAGCGCCTCAGGGGACTGTACATAGGCCCTGGCGAAAGCTCGAATGGTTTCGCACAACGACTTTCGGCGCTGTATAGTCAAGTGCCGTTCATTTACTTAAATCAATCGTCCCCCAGGTCTCAGTACCTTTGCTCGCCTACCGCCACCCTGAACAGTGGCACCTCTTGCTCGGCCACGTGAGGCCAGATGAATATGAAAGCGAGCGTCAGTGAATTGCCGACGCTGGATTGTATTTACGTCGCGAACTCCTTTCAATTTGTAAAGGACCTCTAGAATGTCGAGACTGCTGCTACACTTCTAAGACTCTGTCAGAGACAGATGGTGCTTCATGTATCGGACCCTCGCGCGGCTGTTTAGATACAGTCACGTGTCGTAGCCAGGTCTTGGCATTGGCTTCGGCGCCAGTGAAGCTTCGGCAACTTCGACCTCATCTCCTTGCGACGACTTCAGCGTGTATTTTCCGCCCATTGCACCCATCAACGCTTACAATGGCGGCAACGGTACGTACATCCAGTGTCACGGCCTGGTGCAATTGCACAAATGGCGCACACAGGCTCCGCCTGAGTGTCCCATCACCGAAGCTTCGCACCTCCGCACACAGCGCCTCACTAATACACTTCACAGCGCTCCGCCGCCCTCAAAGTTGACTGGGCCAACCTCGGCCAGAAGCTCGGTCTCCGTGGCAGCACCGCCCAAGCCCTCGCCAGCTTCAAAAAGCGTAACGACGACGCGCGCCGCAAAGTCCAGGTCCTCTCCGACCAACCCCAACAAGTCGACTTCGCCCACTACCGCTCCGTCCTCAAGAACCAGTCCGTCATCGACGACATCGAGAAGCAGTTCAAGGGCTTCCAGGTGAAGAAGTATGATGTAAACAGACAGATCAAGGCCATTGAGGCCTTTGAGGCGCAGGCTGTGCAGAGCGCCGAGGCGACCAAGGGCAAGGTCGATGCGGAGTTGGAGGACTTGGAGAAGACCTTGAAGAACATTGAGACGGCTAGGCCATTCGAGGATCTCACTGTGGTATGTACTTGCTCCTAATGGCTTGTGGCGGCCTCAATGGCTCCTGGTCACGTGCTTGAGTCTCGCTTGCTGACTTTGCTCTCCCTAGGATGACGTGGTTGCCGCGCGTCCAGAGATTGATGACCGTGTCTCGCAGCTTGTGCAGAAGGGCCGCTGGCAAGTACCTGGTTACAAGGAGAAGTTCGGCGACTTGTCCGTGCTATAAGTGGACGGTTCATTGTGCAATTAGAGAACAGCGTTTGTATATATGCATTGTCCTGCTACTGTCCCTTCCTTTATCGTCCCTTTAGCAACCGTAACCGCGTTGGGAGCAGCATCGTCGAGATCTTAATACTCTGCACCGGACGGATGCGCAACGATGATGCGCTGACCCTCCAGCAAAAGAACACTCACGCGTCTGGCCAGTGTCAACAGCTTCGCTACCGCATAAGGCGGTATTGCACGTCGCAACAAGTGCAAAGTATTTACTTCGGGGAAGTAGTGTGTCGTTCATACGTCGTGCATACACAGATCCACTACAAAGATTCAGGATTGGACTAAATTAATCTACATAGTCACCACAGCCGTATAACAGCTGCGCGCAGCTTGCTCAACGTAGCCGCATCGTGAGATGCCCACTGGCACACATCGAGCGCCTGAGAAGGTCTCGTTGGTTGCGCAGCAAAGCAATGATTGACCCACCAACGCCTCGCTTGCATAACAAACACCCATCATAACCAGGAGCGTACATCACTCGTCCCCGCCACTGCCAGGCCCTGTATGACATCCTCTCTCATGCCTCTTCATATTACTCCTCACGCTAAACGCCTTCCCGCAACCCGTATGCGGACATTTGAAAGGCTTCTCACCCGAGTGCGAATGACTGTGAATCTTCAGACTGCTTGGTCGACTGAAAGCCTTATTGCAAGTCGGACAGATATACCGGTCCTGCGACGCTGGGTAAGTGGCTGATGACGAGGTGCCGATGTAGTGATGATGGCTCTGCCACGGGATGCCGTCCACGAGCGGTCCTGGTGGAGGTGGGGGGAAGTTGGAAGGAAGCGGTCGTTGGAGATGAAGGCTTGGACCTGCGACTGAGTGTCCGGAGGCGTTGACGGGCGAGTAGATGGAGCCAGCTGAGAGCGCGCCGGGAGAGTTTGAGTAGGGCGAGGTAGAGTAAGGCGATGTGCGGTACGGAGAAGTGTTGGGTTGCGAATGCACGGAATGACGCTTGTTGAGGAGACCGATCTGCAAGACAGTCCGCTGATTTTCTGCGTCCACGTTGTTGAAGGCAGAACCAATGTAGTAAGGTTGCACTGGGAGTGACGGCGTCGCAAACGCTGTAGACGGGCTATGCCTGCTATCAATCACCGAGTCGTTACGAAGCGGCGGTGCTGGCAACGGCGGGACGGCAGTCCGTTGACCGCTTGGAAGCTCGTGTAATGCATCCATAGGTTGGTATCGTGAAGAAGGATCATCTGCTTCAGCGTCTACCGACTGAGGTGTTTGCTGCGTCTGCTCGTTTGACGGCGTGCCTTCTATGGTAAGCGGCCTTGAATGTAGAATCATGTTATTCTAGGTTTCATACCTTGTTGGTGGCTTGACTTCTCGCCATCGGCAATGTGGAGTAGATTCGATATCGACGGCAGTGTTCGCCGGTTCCCGTCAGAAGACCGGCGTCTGTCGGACGATTGCGACGCACTCGATAAATCTCGCCGATATCGAGTCTGCTGCGTATGGGGCGTTGTGGGTGGAGCGAAGTTTGCGAATGGGTTGACGGGTTGTGTTGGAGCGCTTCCCGTGTAAATGTGGTGCGTAGTCGACTGTATCCCAGCATATTGCGGCGGATAGCTTTGGAAGTTATCGCGCACAGGGTAGGCCATGACTTCCAAGGCTGCCATTCAGCCGGATGGGAGTGTGTCAAGACCGTCGTCCAGTCGAGAGGTGTGAAAGCCGGGAGCAGTATCTGGAAGTGAATGGCTAGACAAATGAGCTGTTGGTGGAACGACCAACGCGTGAGTGGCTTAGAGGACTTGCAAAGCTGGTGGAGGTGGCCAGCGATTGCCGGTATAGGTGCAAACTCGCAGAGGCGCCGAAGGGACGATCAACACTCTCGTTTCGAAGCGTCAGTTGGGCGTGCTGTGGGAGCGCTCTGCAGAGAGACCGCATGCAAGAGTAAACCGTGCTGCTGAGCACAGAGCCTGAGGTTGAATGGCAGCGTTGACCCTTGAGTCTCCGGGCAAGCACTAACGATTCGATAGATGAGGACAGGGAGTCGAATCACTGCGACAGCAGATGCGAACAAACTTGCCGGAATGCCGTTTGTACATTCGTGGCTTGGTCGCAGGACCTTGCATATGGGGAACCTTGCCGTCAATCTATCGACGCCGGGAGATTTACTGCTTAAAGGATCAAAAGTGGAGCTTCAGCGTCGCATGGACTCGCGTGGTGATCGTCGTCAAAGCAGGGCAATGCTGATCGGCTCCGAGCAAGTGTAGGCGCGTATTGAGAAGCGCCGGCGTTCGAGGTAGAGCGCGGGCTTTTCGACTGCACAATCTAATTGTCCTGTGACAGGTCGGCCCGTCACTGAAGCCTACTACTCGTAGTTTATTGCTCTGACCAGGCTCTACAGCTCAGCATGGGTGACAACTTGTACACGACGGATAAAGTGTTCAGCCGGGCCTGGGTAAAAATTCGTTAGGCCGAAGCGGTGCAGGGTTAGAGCCGGGGTGAAGGTCGCAGTGAAGCTAGGACGATCTGTAGGCCGTGACACGGCCACACGGTGGAGGGCACCGAAAGTGGCTAGGCGACCAGTGAAGGCGGAAGGGAAAGTCTAGAGTCGATCTACAATGGTTCGAGAGCCATCAGCGGCAGCCTCCAAACGTCGGACACCTGCTGATGGGAACTTTGAGCCGAACGTATCGACATGGTCATGGCAATTCGGGCCATGTGAAGTGACAAGGCAATCGAGCGACACAACTCTGATCCTCACACCACTCGATACCACAATAGCTCTGTGAGCTCCATAATCGCTTCAACAATCAAAGCGCAAACGTTGTACCTCACAAATTGCCAATCCCTTGGTTGAATACGGATACAGTAGCAGTCTGGTGGGATGTCTCAGTCTACAACGTTCTCCGCGAAGGATTGCAATGGTGGCGGATAGCGTGCGGCGTTCCTGAGATCCAACACACACTCGTCATTCGTTAGCTGCAGCCACGGCCTGTTCACAGAGCGGATGGTTGGATTGAGCACGATCATCAGCTGCGCTCATCTCGCTACACACCCTTCAAACCTTCCAGCATGTATCAGGCAAATGATGACCGCAAACGTTCGCTTGAGAATGGTGAGGCTTTGATCCTGCGTTTCATTGTCACAGGGGTCTGGAACTGGCACTGGATGGTCGCAGGTCTCATCAGGACACTGTACACGGAAGACCGGCTCTCATAGTTTGCTGGTCTAACGAGCTTGATCTACAACCAACAGGAGGAAGCCGTTAAGACTGGCTAAGCGACGTTAGGAAGCATGCGGGACGTCGATCGCCGGAAGCATGGCTGACAGGGGCTGTATTTTAGCTCGACTCTCCCAACGGCCACCCTGATATTGAGCTCGTTCCGGAATCTGTGGAGATCAGCCACGCGAGCTCAGGCCCACCGGGCAATATATACGTCTTTGCATCGCGATCTCCCGTCCTGTCCTTCGCTACAAGCGCCCAGGTACCAGCAATCGCGTGACTCGCTGCTATCGAGCCTCATGATACCATCTCTTGGCAGTCAGATGTCGCGAAGGTTTGCAGAGTCACAGCCGGCACGATGTAGTTAGGGTCGCTACGAAACCTGTGGTTGGTTCGCCATTTCTTCAGCCATTCGTGATTTAGTCCTGGTTTCTCTGGCGCTCGCTATTTGCCTTTCGCCAGCGCTCGCCGGTTTTGGCCCGGCTGCAGAGGTCGACCCAGACTGATATCCCTCTATCGTCTGCCCGACCTGCGCTTACCGGTACCGTCCGTCATACAAGACCGGTCTGTTTACACCCAATCGTGAATGTGAATATTTCATTCATTCGCTACTCGTATATCGTACCCACGCTTCCTTCAATTTGTGCCTCGACAGCCAGATGTCTAGCCGTAGTAGATCGTGGCTCAAACAAGGTAGAACGGCACACCCGCGTCGATCATGCCGTCAGCGAGTAAGCCGTCCCCTGCAATATGCGGAGTCAATTCTGGAAGGACTGTCCACCAGACGGAGTCACAACGCTATCAACGTTCCCTCTTCGCCCAGTTGCGTTAGTACGTCCTCTGCTCGTGCGCACACTTGAAGCTGATCGTAGTATCTCCAGCGTACTCTATGTCAACAGAATCTCGGAGCTCGACCTACATGAGTAACTGCAGATACGACAGGCTGCCGCAGCCGCGCGATCGATGATCTGCATTGTGATCGGCGGTAACGTGGAGCTAGCTCTCTCACGCGGCGGACACGTGAGCTCCTCACTGCATGTCTCACCTTCTTCGCACCGCACCTTGTGCCGGCAGTTTGACGCGGACGCCTTTGGACTGCATGAAGAGGACGCTTTCGCTCGTATCTTGTTCCATGCTTGAGAATGATGGCGTGCGTTGGCAGATCACGCAAAACAGGGGTATTGCGCTATCTTACTGCTTTGCAGCCCTACCTTGGTGGAGATTGAGACAGGAGCGGAACAATGATCTTCGGCAGGGAGGAAAAAATGAGACTCGGTGAAGCATACGGTAGACTTGCCTTGTCTAGCCGCAGAAACGAGCATGACAGAATACCCTACCGTCTCCATGCTACATTCGCTGCACGAATTGCTATTCGAGACAGCTGTAATAAGGCTTTCCCTGTTCAAGGCGTGTCCTTCTACTTTGAATGAAGCACTAACCGGCCACTCCGAGCCCGGTACCCTTGCTTTCTCGCTACAGCAGCATCTTAGAACAAATAGACTCATTTCAATTGAAAGTTTCGAATAATCTCCAGGTCACAACCAGTGCCCGTTGCACGAGCCTTGGATGGCCGGTCGTTGAATCGTGTAGCACGCACAAATGTGTGGCAGCAGTCACAATGACGAAGGGTGCATGCAGTGCAGAGATCCTTGCGTCTCTGGCTTTGCGTAACAAACCAGCAGAGCCTACAGGCACCGACCCAGCCTAAGGGGGCGGAGCACAGGCACAGCCGCACAGGACCCCATCTAAACCATCGGCCGAGCTCATCGGAAGATGCTAAAGTCGATCCTTAACGCTCACTTGGACAGCCAGGCGCGCCTGCTGTCACTGCTCACCGTACTCTTGGTAGGCCCAGATGTGGACAGTGCTCGGAGAGCAGTACGCCGCTGCGTTGGGTTATTTCTGATCAAGATCCTGTTAATACATGTATCGATGCACAGCGAGTTGCATACGCAATGCATTTATCTCAGTTTCAAGATACGAGTTTCTTGGCGCATTTATCGGAATTGCTCGGCATTGGTGCGATCTTGTGCCTCCACCTCACGGTGCCTAAGGTAGCCCTGCGTTCTGGTAAAGGACCTGGCCTTCTTAGCGCTGGCGTTGCGGGTGTTCGATACGTGCACGCCATGGAGGTGACTTCGGGACGACCATCCGCCGAAAATCTTGGCATCGTACAGTAGAGCCGCCTGTATCGGTATGCTTCAGCGCACAGTCGTACGCGGACGAGAGCGACTCGAAGCTGAGCGTCGAACGGATCTGCAGGATGCGACTGAATGCATGTTCACGTCTGTGCTGCACAAATGGGGGAATGAAATGAGTATAGACGATGCAAAGATAGTAGGAACATGACGAGCAGCAAGTTGCATGCTTAAGGCTACATTGTTGACGCGCTTTCGCACTACCAGTCATCGTCGTCTTTCTCGTCATCTATAGCATTGCGTCAGCTTCTAAGGCCCCAATCACACTATTCACCACGTGCAGTAGGTTGAAAGGTAGAGCACTTACCAGAATGACTGACTTTACTCTTCCTTGCCGCGAGCGCACTGGCAAGCGCGCCAGCCAACCCCCCGCCAGCCGCCGCATCACTTCCGCCCGCACCGCCTCCCGACGGCGCAGCAGGGGTAGCGGCAGTCTCACTCCCAGGTACCATCGCTGCACTCCTATCCCTCTTCTCCGCGTCACTTACCTTCTTTAACCTCGCTCCGCCACGGATGTCAGCTAGCAATCCATCACGACCAGGTACCGGCGCTTTCGGCAAAGTTGGAGCGCCTGGCAGAGGCGGACCACCTGCGCCAGTTGGTGGTAAAGGTGGTGGCGGAGGCGGACCGCCTGCGCCGGTTGGTGGCAAAGGTGGCGGTGGTGGTGCGCCGTTCATCATTGTTGGAGGCGGTGGAACTGCACGCGCGCTAGTGGGTGGTAATGGTGGAGGTGGCGGAGGCCCGGTAGAGTCTGGAAATCCGGATGGTGTCCCTCGCGGTGGCGGAGGTGGCGGGATGCCTGCTGCTGGCGCGTGTGCTGAGTCTCGAGGTGGAGGTGGAGGAGGCACGCCACCAGTCCGTGCCGGCGGAGGAGGAGGGTTCGAAACTGTGATACGTTTGCCATCGAAGGGTGGCGGTACGCCGAACCTGCCACCTGCTGGCTGATGCGCTGGGCCATCGTCGTCCAGGGGTGTCTTCGGCGGCCGCGGTGGAGGTGGGGGACCTGCATTGCTACTTGCACGGTTGCGCGCGGGAAGAGATGCCTCATGCGCAAACTTACCGGCATCTGCAATAGGCGGCGGCGCTCTGAAGCGCGGTCGTGGTGGAGAAGGCTCGCGAGGTGGAGGACTCGGGCTTGGGCTGGGCGGTCTTTGCGGGACGGCCGCACTGCCAGCTGTTCGTCTCGAGGGTGGTGGGGCAGGCGGAGGCCCTCTGGTACTGCTACCGGTGTGCTGCGGGCTTAGATCGGCGATCGACGCCGCAGGACCAGGTGGAGGCGGCGGAGGCGCTCTTGACTTCTTCTCTGCTTGCGCTGCCGCTGTCGCTTTGTTTTGCTCAAGGTAGCTTTTGATGAAGCCGGCGTGCTCTTCGATCTGGTCTTCCGTGATGCCCATCTGTAGCAGATCCTGCAACACTGCCTGTACTGCCGGATCGTTCAGATCAATTCCGCTAGCGCTAGCGGGCCGACTTTGGGTTGGAGTAGCAGCAGCCGGAGCAGCATATGGTGAGTTGATCTCAATCCCTCTTGGCGGTATTATGCTTTGCGCCGGCTGTGCCTGCTGTCCCACACTTCCATGCCTGTGAGTGGAGAAGAAGCTTCCAAATCTACCCTTCCCTCCACTACTCACACTCTGCGTCACTTGCTGCTGCCCATAGCCGGTCTGTTGCGGCCCGCTCGCAAAAGCCTTCGCCCTCGTGGCCTTACTAGCGTTCTTCTCCCGCTCGTCGACCTTCTTGCGAAACTGTTTCGCCTCCTTCTCATCCACGAAGCTCAAGCCAAAGAGACATCCTTCACCCTCAAAGCTGTGGAAGAAGGTGCGGTCCTGGTTGTATTGGAAGGTATCGTAGATCTCTTGGTCCCACAGCACGCCCCGGTTGGCAGGCGAGACGTCGACCAGCTTAATCCAGAAGGTATTGCCCACGAGGTCGTTCGCAAGGACTGCGGCACCCTGGAGGCCGGTATACGTCCATTGTCTCCGGTTTGGGAGGCAGAGGTAAAGCTTGGCAACGGCGACAGCGTGGATTTTGTTGGCTGGCTTGGGAACACTGCGTTTGACCGTCTGCTTGTCATCGTCGGAGAGGATGGATGGCATTGCTCGAGCTTGTTCAGTTCCGGGTAATGCAGTACTGCGTAGACAGAAACAGAAGCCTGCAACTCGTCTCAAGTGCATGTGCGCAGCAAGTCAAGCCGGGGCGGCTTCGTCATCTTCGCGCCTGAGGCACACGTTCATGCCAAGAACGCCGCAATATATTCAGGCAGGCACGCACGAGTGTCACATGGTGAGAGCGGCGCAAGCGGTGACAGTGAGGAGAGCGCACTCGTATGTTTGTATGCTAGACGATCTCACTAACGCCGCTTAACTCTCAACTCCGAGCGTAACTCATCGTCGCATGTGCGGAGGTAGGTTCTGCATGCCAGGCTGCCTCACGGCCAGCCTTCAAGATGCCATGCATCCGCAGCGTTCATAGGTCGTCCATTCTTTGTCCGGCCTCTGGCCATCTGCTCGATGATCTGCTGCCCAGCATGCATTCCAGCCGCAGCGAGTAACAGCAACGCATACAGCACGCCCGCCCACATTGTCCACTCCGCATGCGGCCGTGGCAAACATCAAATCTCATCCACGTCAATATCGGCACCACTGCCACTGTCGTCCTCGTCCTCTCCGAAGTCGAACCCAATGCCGCCTTCCTCGTCTCCACCGTAGGTGTCGGTCTCGTTGATCTTCGCACTCTCCGGCAACTCTCCGTAAGCTTTCAGTGACCGCGCCTCATCGGCCGAGTATTTGAGTATGACGTCGCCCTTCTCGTCCTGATAATCGCGGAGCGACAGTAGAATAATGTCGCCTTGGTTGATCCAGACTTTTTTGCGCAGTTTGCCGCGAATGTGTGCGAGGCGCTTGCTGCCGTCGAAGCACATCGCTTCTAGCCGACCGTTACCCAGCATCTTGAGGACCTGAGCGTACTCTATATGGCCATGTCAGAAACTGAATACTGGTAGACGCGGATGGACTGCTGAGTGGCATACCTTGGCCTTCTTCCTTGAATGTGAGTTCACGTTTCTCGTTATCGTTTTCGTTTTTTCCTCGTCTCCTGTTCTTACCACCCTGCACAGACGGCATCGTCAGTACTGTGCTCTTTCACTAATCCATTCCACATCGTGGACCCACCTTTCCCTTGTTCTTAGGCATGTTGTTCGCTTAGTTGGCGCGCAGACGTTCAGCGGCGACTTCAAGTGCGGCTTCGTCGCCTGGTGGATGGTTGCCTTGTGTGAGTGGTAGGCTGAATTACGTTTCTATGATGGCAAAATCGAACAATGGCAAAGAATATGGACAACAGTCAACGCCCACCAAGGGTCCCTCGGTTGGGTATGACACAGCGCTTTGTGGCGTACGCTTGCTTAGAGTTGTCGCGTTCCGATTGGCTAAGCTAATTGCGTAGGGCGAGTTGTATTCACTCACGAACACTCTCACAACCGCAAGATCTTTCGCGCAGGCAGGCATATGTCGCGCGCTACTAGCGTAGCCAGCAAGGTTGCCAAAGAATCTGCCACGCCTACAGCAGATAGATCCAAGCAACAGTATCTTCGCTTCGTTTACGAACCTTTCCCGAAACCAATCAACTGCACGACCCACACCATAACGAAAGACATCGCAGCGGAGCCGTGGCATCCGTTGCATATCCGCATACAGCGGAAGTTGGCAGACTTCGACCCGAAGCGTCTGCACTGGCGTGTTGTTTGTCCCAGTGACGTCTCGAAGAAAAGCTTCATCCGCCATTGGGCGGCCAAGAGGGTGCGGTTCGCTGTTGCCGCAAGGCTGGACGATCTTAGTGGGACTAGGGTCGACAACGAACAGAACAACCGCGATAGCTCCAATGAGAGCAAGCTGTCAACAGCTAGCGGCAGAGATCCTGATACAAGGGGCGGCGGGGACGCTGCTCTGCGAACTATGAACCCTTCTAGAGCTGGGCAGCGAAACGGTGACCTTACTGGAGCCCTCTTGATCATCTTACCCAAAGACCCTAAGCTTGCTTTGACAGCTGACGGGCAAGAAATAGAGAGGAGCGTGACGCATATGCTGCGTCAGGTGCAAGCGAAGTGGATGCAAGTCTCTCGGCGCGCGCGATGACTGCAAATAGAAGTAAGTACGCAAGCACAGTGCTTACGTCGCTTTGAAAGTCCACGCTCGGCCAGGCTGCTCCTTCATCCTGACTGTCATCCCACCGACGGCGCGCTGGATGCCCTTGTACTTGTACACCTGCCCGTAGCTTGCCTCCTTCGCAGCATGATCAATATCGAACAGCAGCAACGTCAACGGGCTCCCCTTCCACGGCGCCACCGGACTTAACGCAGTCCTCACCATGACCGTAAGCAAGAACACAATTGAAAGCACTACCAGCGTCGTCGGCAGGGAGATCCAAGTCCAGCGAACATTGACACCAAGCTGGTACGCCGTGCCGTTGTATTCGTCCCGATTGGTCTGGTTGTACACACGTACGACGTTGGTCAAGCTGGTTGCGATATCTTGAATCCAGGCTTGTGGGTTTCGTGTCCCATTCCAAACACCTCCCATCACGTCGCTGGAGAAGTTCTGTGCTGTCTCTAAAAGCCCGATCGAGCCATTGAGTTCTTTACTCATCCACATCTGGATGACGTCGACTGCTACGCTGCCTGCAGTGCTGTATGTCGTCGCGTTCTTAGGGTCTGCGGCAGAGCCTACTAAAGTGAAGGATCGAGAGCTCATATTTGCCTCGTTGATTGTCGAGACGACGTTGTGGATGTATTTGTTATCCACCACAGAATCGTTATAAGTCTCGACGCAGAACCACAGAGCGCATTCATGGTGAGTGAAGTTCACGGCTGCGCTTCGGTACGTGGGCTGGTATGAGTTAAACGGTACGCCGAACAGGTCGAAGTTGGCAATGTACATGCGGTCCTCTTTGCTGCTGTTATAGTAAGCACCTTTGCTTGAGATTGACTGGAAGCCGGTTTGTCTGAGACGTTGAGCGAAAAGTCAGCAGTGCTTCAGGTTCCCAATGTCAATCCCTCACTCACCCCCAGGTGGAGAACAGATTTGTCGCAGTCTTGTTTCCAAAGTTCCATATTGTAGCAACAGCGCCCGACGGTAGGGTGTAGTCACAAAACGCGAAAAGTGCCGCGCCGAGGCTGCTGCAATTTTGCGATGGGGGACAAGTAGTGTAGCATCTTGGAGGGGGCAGTGTGATGTTCACTTGACAACTGCCGCAGACGGCGAGTGAAGGTGTCAAGAGCCAAGTGCAGTTGCCAGAAGCGCAAGGAGCGGTAATAGGTGGAATGGACCCGCCGAGTACGCCATTGTAAAATCTGTATGCAAGCTTCAGCGTCAGCGAGTCTTTGATATCCAAAGATCACCTTAAGGTAGGCCGATCGAGCAAGGATAATGAAGCTGTGCGCTCTGTGGACAATCATTGCAGTGAGGCTGCCGTACCCAGCGATCATTTGGAAAGTTGGACTAGAATCTGATGGAAGATAAGCGACGACTCGTGCAATGTAACCCACGCCAACGTACATCCTTCCGCCGGGTTGCCCTGGTATCGATTGTACTTCTCGGTCCGTGGGATATTGCCCGGCGCCAAATCAGAGTCGGCAGGAGCCACAACCAGGCGATCGTATGCGACAAGCTGCTGCGTGAAGGTACCAAACGCTAGAGACACCACCATTATTAAGCCTCCCACTCCAGCCAGAAGCCTTCGGGGACGGATCGAAAACAAAAGAGCTAGACTGCCAAAAGCTCCCCGGGAGGCGGAGTCGAACAGCTCAAGATCTGCAAGTTGACTCGACGGGGCTGATTTCTTTCCTTCGCTAGCGAACAAGAGCCAAACTTCCTGCATGATTGCGGATCCGACTGGCGCAACAAGGAACGCTCTGTTGAGTGTGGCTAGGGCGGCAATAATACCGTTCAGCGTAAGATAGGCCGGAAGCCGCAGATCGGTGAGAGCCTTCCCATTATAAGCGCGCAACACGCCTACGATTGACGCGAGTGTCGCCACAGATAGTAGGGAGCCTATGAGTTCCGGTGCCCACCAGAGAAGGACAGTGCCCAGAGTCTGCCGGACTGGTGTCGTTCCACGAGAAGTTTGATTATGGGACCGTCCGAAGTCGACCAGAGGTATCTCGTCGTTGCTCACAGCGCTATTTCCAAAGTCAAGCTCCGTTTCATGCGCTCCACCTTTGGGTGTGAGTCTCGAGTAGGTCGGGTTGATAGGTTCCATAACGCAATCTCTATCTATCACGATTGTGCACAGATCCGACTACACAGCAATGCAAAGGAAGGGAGAGCGACATGAGAAGGCGAGCAGATACCATGTTGGGTTAGCAGAAGCGTTGCATGCACAGCATGCACATGCGGCTGAAACCCAAGGCCACCCGCGCGGATCTGGACTGGTCTTCCAAGTGCAGATTGAATACGAGGTCTTGCCGCGCTCCTCATTGATGTTGTCTGAGAGCAGCAGCGGAAATCATTCACGTAACTTACTCGACTTGATCTACTATCGTTTACGTCGTTGTATGGTGACCATTTTGTTAACTCCAATGATGGTCAAATGAGAGGGCGCTTTCATTTCATGTCCATGGAGCTGACAGCGGGAACGCCACCAGATTAATGACCACGTGACTCCACAAGGTTGCTAGCCGCCGGGCGGTCTTACAACTAGCGGATGGATCGACCAACAGAATAACCAACCAACCTTCGACAACTGGCCTGAGAAGTATTGCAATGATTCCGGCCACTTGCAAACGCGACGTGCTAAAGCAGCCTTGACAAGTTCTTCGGGGCGGCAAGTCTAAAAGTCGAATTGGTCAAGGTCTGCCGTTCAACCAGCCTGCAACCACAGCATCAGAGAGCAGCGACAACCCTGCTCAGGTCACGCATGTCCAACAGGTAAGCATCATTCTCCTCCCTTACGATCTCTTGATCCTCTCGAATATCATCGGTCCATCTATAAATATACACCGTCTTCATCCCAGCAGCTTTTGCGCCTCGCAGATCGTACGCATGAGCAGCCACCATCACGCACTCTTCGGGTTCAACCTGCAACAATCTCATCACCTTCGCATAGCTTTCTGGCGCAGGTTTGTAACAACCCAGCAGCTCGCTCGAGAAGAGCATATCGAACCTCAAGCCGGCGAACTTTACAAGGTCGAGCTGCAAGCGCGTACTGCCGTTGGCGTAGACGTAGATCTCCAGGCCGTTGTCTTTCAGTCGCTGCAGTGCTACGGATACCTCGGGCCACGCGCTTTGATGGTGCCATGCAGCGATCAATTGTGCTTTGACGTCCGATGAGAACAGATGCTTGGTATCTGAGTGTTGTACGAGGTACGAATCAAGAACTCGACGTTGGGTCTCGTCGAAATCCAGCACCGCTTGGCCTTCGCTCAAACGCTTTGCGTTGAAGTCGAAATAAGCTTGCCTGTAATGCAGAGCGAACGTTGATTTTTTATCATCGGAAAGCGAAGCTGGTAATGCCTGGATTATGCTTGTATGCCAGTCAAGGCATGTGCCCATGAAGTCGAACAATACAACCTTGATCATGATGTCACGATTTCGATCCGCGAAGCCTTACAGCATATCATATGTTGAGTTGTGTTATTACCGGAGAGTGAAGGTGGTGATCCTGTATACTACAGATGCCTTGTAATAGGGCGTGTCGCCATGTTACCTGCAGGTACTACCCGTCAAGATCCGAAGATTAGGTTTTGGAATGGCATGTGCATCGGCGTACAAATGATGAAGTGCAACAATCGCACATGGCTTCGGAAGTAAGTGATACTGCGATATCATCAATTCATTCTGGCGAAGCGAACTTGCACTGTACCACAGCGGCAGCGAGTTCGGGACCGAGGTGCACGATCGTTCGGCAAATAAACGCCATCAGGAGCTGCTCGTCCCTAAGAACGTATGTTGAACGTGCAACACCTGCTGCGCTCCACACTAGGGTAAACGGGGAGTGCTAGGCTCTAGTCCTGCGGCGGAAAGTGCGCCGAATCTATACAACGCGGTTGCCAGAGGTACTTCTCCAAAGCGTCCATGCCAATTCCTCGCCGTGGATAGCCACGTCCTGTCCCGTTGCTTCCTGGTCCCGGACGACCCATGATTCCGATAGCTGGCCATGTAGGGATATAACAAGTCTGTCCCCAACCGCAGCCCGGAGAACAGGCTGTCCATTGATCCATCCACCCCAGCCATGCCATGAGCTCCTCTACAGCATCGAGGTTATGCTGCGTAATACTCTGCAACTCTGTCTTCGACTCAGCAGTTAGAGTCACGTGCGGTGATACTGTCGCATTGTTGAAGTACGTAAACCAGAGCGTCTCCGTACTGAGAAAGACGGGAAGTAGTGTGCCGCAGATAGCTGCAAGAACGGCTAAGATGGCTCGGTATGTCACATGCTCGCTGTCGGACAGATCTGATGTGCTGAAAGATTCAACCTGGTTCCGGCAACGTTCGAGTGCCGCCTGAGACACCGGTGCGTTAAGGCTAAACGTTCGCCGCAGGTTACCTCGGTCGAGTACTGGATATTCATAGTAGGCAATCCATGTCCCATGGATCGACTCGCGTAGACGCCTCATCGTTGCTCGCAGCTTGGTGCGATCAGACTCGGAGACTGTCGTGGAAAGTGCAGCAGAGATGTCGTGGAGAGCAATGCCATATCTTGCCACCACCTCCTCTACTGCGAGCACCCAGTCAATGCCGCTACTATAAGGCCTCTCCGTCTCCAGGCTCTGGCGCAACCGCTGAAGAACTGTCGAACGCATGAACACGCCGTCAGACTTCGTAATGTTGCGGATCCTCTGGTAACGACGACGTCGGGTTAGTTCTCTCAACGCAGCTCGGCGGTCATCTGTCGATGCTGGACCGCGCCAATATCCATGTGCTGTGATGTTGTAGTGCTTCTGCTCCAACGCCTGCCTTGCAGATTCCTGGTCGACAAGCGCTGGATCGTAGAAGCTGAACAGACTACCACTATTGATGCGTACTCTGGCTTCGCCACGGCCCGGCGCGCCACCTACAAACCCATACCGCTTTGTAGCGGAGCGAAACCACTCGTAGGTGCTGGACTCGCGAAAGGGACCCAATGGGAACGGAGACCTTCCATGAGGGCCATCCGAACGGCCACGATCTCCGTATCCATAATATGGCTGAGGAGGAGTGCCCGACTGCACGCCTCCTGGCTCAGACTGCGCAGCCTGCGGATTATGCTCGTCGTCCACCGGCGGCGCAGAGACGTTGATATGTGATACAAGCCTAGCTGAAGGTGAGCTAAAGTTACACCAGATAAGCTCGAAGCCGGCATTCATCCGAACAATACCCTCGTAGCCCCAACCGAGACCGCCAAGGCCTTGCTCGCGTATCAGTTTGCACAAGCCGCTGGCACGATCATACTCGGCTTGGAGAAAGTTCCAGCGCGTACAATTGGCGATTGGATAGCCAGGCCTGCAGAAATCAGTTCCATCCCTAGGCGAAGACGGAGGAGGGCCGAAGGCAGGACTGTCTGGCACATTCGAGCTGTCATTGTGTAGAAGCAGCATCTGCGACTCCATAGAGCCATCATTCATTAGGGAAGCGCTGGTCCCGTCGAAGTAGATGCACCTCACCGGTCGGGTTGTCCTATATGTGAGCAGATACGAGTTCAGGCCGGTCCCTGCAATAGAGTACGACATTTCAGAATCGAAAGCAAACCACTCTGGGCTGGGCGGCAAGGTAGACCCTATTCGAGCGTGGTACAAGTTGGTATTTGTGCCGATGACGCAAGGTGCGATGGTATGCCCATTCGTCACGAAGGTGTTCGTCCATTGTTGCAACAAGCCAAAGGTTGAATGGAAGATATGCGGTGACGCTGACAGGAAGTTCAGTCTTGGAAAGGGGTTGTCATGTTCGACATCGAAAACGTGCTGCTGCACTCTCGATGCCTAGATTTGGATGGATAATATGGTCAGAGACGTTTCAGACCTCATGAAGGTTCTCTACATCAGTCTGCTTACCCATGTCAGACCTGCCAAGAAGGCGATACGAAATAGCCGCAAAGGCATGTCCAGGAGTGTCAGCGGCCTTCGCACATTCGCAGGCCTGATGAAGCTGCTCCAAGCATATACTGATAGGGATATGCGTTGTTGTTCAGTGATATCGAGCCTTACGCGGCCTTTCCAGGCACCACAATTCCTTATCAAACCACATACGGACCCTATGCTACATGTCGTCAACTTACCGATCCGCCGACGGGCAGTGAACAATGACCGTAGCTATCAGAGCGGCCAGAGCGCTTCCTCAGATACTACCAGCAGTGGCTCGAGAGTTGCTCAAAGTGAGATGGCGGCAGGAATCTCTACTGCTTCTGGCGTTCCTATCGCGGTTGGAGAAACGCCACCTCCACAGCCGGCACGAGGCAGCCGGGTGGCGCCGCTGCAGGGTTGTGAGATCGCCTGCTGCAGGTGCCACGCGACTCGTACCAGGAACGAGATGCGGAGACGCGGGAAGTCATTGCTTACCACTGCGTCGGCAATCATGGCTGGACTCAGCATGCTGACCTTCGCAAACATCGCCTCGGTGCTGCAAGAACGGCCGCACATATTCTCACGTCTTCGCGAAGCTGTATCGTAGCAACGCGTGTCCGCCTTCCTCCTGCCCTCCCACCTCGTCTCCCCTACGACGCAACATCCGGGACCCAAGCGAACACTACGAACAGTGGTACACCTCTCGACGGCGCCATATAGGGCAGAGGAGGTGCAGCGTCTGCACCGATCTTCTCCAGTGGCGACACTATCATGGCCTCGAAGGAGCAGCAACCTGATCTGAAGCAGATCGCTACTAAGCTTCTGCAAGATCTCTTCGATAATGTCATCCACGACCTTGTAATCAATGAGCACCGCAAGCACAAGCTCATGCTTGCGGCATTGGACCCGCAAACAAAGCTCCCACATTGCGACAACTGCAAGCTTCCACGCTTGCTCGACCCACCCCTGGCACCGAAAGTGCGCGGCGCAACCAGCGATCCCCCAAGCGACACCCAGTACTGCGATCGCAAGCCATGGTCACGAATACCTGGTCACGACATTTACGGTAACCCATTCCCCAAAGCCGATGCGACAGGACGACCTCCCACCAAGAAAGAGCGAGAGGCAGCTAAGAACGCTAAGAAGGATGGGTTCGAGGGCACACCAGCGTCTGAAGAGACAGGGCAGAATGGTACGGGCCCGCCAAGTCCGTCCGAGAACGGTGAGCAGCCGGACAGGAAGTTGGAAAAGGGCGAGAAGAAGGCCAACAAGATTGACGAGAAGCTCAAGAAGGGCGAGTATGTGCCGTGGCATACGTGTCCGCAATGCAAGCGCTCGCTCCTCATCACGCGCTTCGCGAAGCACCTCGAGCAATGCATGGGGTTGAGCGGGAGAGCGGCTAGTCGTAACGCAATGGCTAAGATCAACGGCTCAACCCCCATGGGCAGTAGGTCAGGCACGCCTGGTCCGAGTCAGGATAGTGCCAGTAAGACGGGCGCTGGCGACGATGATGACGACGATGATCTGGCAGTGAAGGGACCGGGAGGTGTACGGAAGAAGCTACTTAAGAAAGGCTTGACGACCAAGCTCAAGAAGGAGAAGAGTCTCACGCCCAGCGCGAACGGCAAACTCCCGAAAGGTCTGGCTGCGAAACGGCCGCCGGGGAGCGGACCGAGAGCGAGTCCCGCGCCCTCCTCTCTGGCAGAAAAGCGTTACCGGGACGAGATGCTACTGGGTGAGGAAGGAGACGAAGGTGAAGAGATCCACGTCAAGAAGCGGCAGAAGCTGGCACGAGTCGGCAGCACGACTAGCGTCACCTCGCAACTCACTGCGCCGACAGGTAGCGCGGCCATGGAGAGGGGGGAAAGCCGAGACGGGAGCTTTGTGGGCGACGGAAGCGTTGTGGAGGAATGAAGTAAGCGTGGTGTCTTGGCGTCGGTTGCGGGTCATGGTCCGTGGAACGGGCAGGACGCATAGTGCTTTTGGCATGTTACGCGGCTCACAGTACATTCACGTTACTTGCATTCGCTGTTCGAGACGCGAGCAGTATCAATGCGTTCCATAGTAAATGCCTGACCCTGCCGCGTGAACATAATTGTGCTGTCTGTAACTGCAGCTACATAACTTCTCACAAAGCATGTTAGATGGGTTGCGCGTTCGCGTGTAAACATGGCTCGGGCTGGGCCTGAACCTCGGCCGATGTAGTCGTAAGGTAGCTGACGTATGCCGATCAACCTGGAGAACTCTCGTCATCACTATTTGCCCGTGGCAATCCGTAGGCATCCACTTAACCTGCCCTTTACCACTTCGTTCGACCGTCTTTGCTACTTCATCCCACCACCCAACTACTCGTAACAAAATGAAGTTCTCACACGTTTTGCCGCTGGCGGCATTGAGCACGGCTCTGGTTGTGCCACCGCAGGAAGTCTTCGAGAATGTAGCTATTGAAGACAATCACCGCCAAAGCGGCTGGTACCAGGAGGTGAAGGAGACCGAGAATGAGATCCTCTCCGGCTTCAAAAAGCACTTCAACGAAGTGACCGAGACTTCCAAGAACGCCTGGAACAAGCTCGCCTTGAGCTCCAAGAGTGCACTTGATCAGGCATGGGAGACGGCCACGGAGACCGCAGAGGTTGCAAAGGACAAGGTCCATGAAACTGCTTTTGACATGGAGTCATGGTTGTCATCAGAGGCAAACAGCTTGTACGAGTCTCTCGATGACCCGCACCACGGTCCTCCCCATGATGGCCCGCCACACGACGGTCCTCCACATGACGGTCCCGGCCACCACCCACACCACCCGCCACACCACGGCAAGCCGAACATGACCGTCTACCAGCTCATCAACGAGTCCAAGTACACGACCAAGCTTGCCAAGCTCATCAACAAGTTCCCGGAAATTGCCAAGGGCTTGAACAGCACCGAGCACAACTACACCATCTTCGCTCCGTCCGATAAGGCTTTCGAGAAAATTCCAGAGCACGCCCCTGAGCCCGACGAGGAGAAGCTCAAGCAGATCCTCAGCTACCACGTCGTCGATGGCTTCTACCCCGCTGGCCGTGTCCTCAAGACGCACACGGCACCCACTTACCTCAAGGTCGACTCTCTGGCCTCCGAGCAGAAGCCGCAGCGCGTGGCCTTCAAGATCACCCTCCGTGGCCTGACCGTCAACTTCTACAGCCGCATCGTCGCCGTCGACATCTTCGGCACCAACGGTGTCATCCACGGCGTCGACACGCTCCTCATCCCACCACCAAACGTCATCAAGGTCATTGACCTCCTGCCAACTGAGTTCAGCACCCTCGAGCTCGGTCTCGGAAAGACCGGTCTGCTTGAGACCCTCAACACCACCGAACACGCCGGTGGCACCTTCTTCGCGCCTTCCAACTTCGCCTTCCAGAAGCTTGGCCCGCGGATCAATGCCTTCCTCTTCTCCCAGGTCGGCCTCAAGTACCTCAAGGCTCTCCTCGAGTACCACGTCGTGCCGGACAACACCCTTTACAGCGACGCCTACTACAAGGCGGGGACGTCCGAGCAGGATGTACCCAAGGGTCTCTTCCATGTCGACCTACCGACCATGCTCGAGGATCACAGCCTGGCCGTCGATATCGCCCGCTACGGTGGTTTCATCACCATGAAGGTCAACGCCTTCGCACGCGTTGTCGTACAGGATGGCATTGCGGAGGATGGCGTGATCCAGGTTGTCTCGGATGTGCTTGTGCCGCCGAAGAAGCTTGGAGGAGCTGCCAGTGAGAAGGTCGAATACTGGAGCGGCGAGGACATGAGTGTAGAGGAGTTCAAGGAACGCCTTGAGCCCTACATCCAGCAACATGACTTGTAGTCTCGACATTAGTCTTGACTGCATGATTGGTGTTGGCGACACTGTAATATAATGCAGCTAGAAGCTTGTAGCATAGCACACAACAAATGACGTGCACTAGAACGCTTTACCTGCACACGCCATCTGAGATGTCCAATTTACATTCATCCGGCCATCTCGTAGCGAATCCTGGAAAATCGCAAGCAACATACACAAGCCATGTGCGTGTTGAATCAAATCGGCAGGCAGTACATATATGGTATGATCGGCTAGTGATTCATGTTCGAACACGGTACACTTCAATGGTGGCGAAAGGACGTGATTAATAGGCGTGAAATGACCAGTGTGGCGATTAGCTTTTCGTTGTATTCATTCGCATGTGATCAAGTCTACAACCGTCTTTCCATCGGGCTTTGGGATATCAGTAACCGTCCATTGATTGAAGCACCATTGCATCATCTAGTACCTATGGCCGCAGCCGGTTTACAGCACGCTATTCGGGTATCAAGAAGCTGGACTACTCTATTTCTCTGTGGCCGCTGTCAGCTTCGAAACGTTTGTCGATAAGCATACCACTTTACGTACTGTTAAGGCCAAGGGCGTCTTGAGCCTGCTTGAGGCCGCTCTGGGCGTACTCGCCCGCCGTGTTGTAGGCTTGGGTGGCTGCAGCTTTGCGTTAGCAAAATCGTTTCATGCAGTGCTCTTAGAGAAGCCACGTACCGGTCTCCTGAGCTTGCTTCAGAAGGTCGTTGCCTTGCTCTTGGGCCTGCTTGGTGTAGTCGGAGGCGGTATTCTGAGCCTGGCCGGTGTAGTCGGAAGCAGTCTTCGCAGCTTGGTCGTAGGTTTGCTTCGCTTGGTCCTGAGCCTGGTCGGTGTACTCCTGAGCAGTCTTTCCTGCCTGGTCGTACGTTTGCTTTGCCTGGTCCTGAGCTTGGCCAGTGTAGTCTTGAGCGGTCTTCGATGCCTGGTCGTATGTCTGGCCTGCCTGGTGTTGGGCCTGCTTGCTATAGTCGGATGCGGTGTCCTGAGCCTTGCCAGTGTAGTCTTGAGCAGTCTTTGATGCCTGATCGTAGGTCTGACCGGCCTGGTGTTGGGCCTGCTTGCTGTAGTCGGATGCGGTATCCTGCGCCTGGCCAGTATAACCCTGAGCAGCCTTGGACGTCTGCTCGTAGGTCTTGCCTGCTTGATCCTGAGCCTGGCCGGTGTAATCCTGAGCAGTTTTTGACGCTTGGTCATATGTCTTTCCTGCTTGGTCCTGAGTCTGGCTGGTGTAGTCAGATGCCTTGTCCTGGGCAGTGCCAGCATGACCCTGCGTCGCTTTGGAGGTTTGTTCGTAAGACTTGGACGCCTGGTCCGACGCCTTGTCACCGAACTCTTGGGCCTTGCCCTTCATTTCATCACTGGTTCACGGTCAGAAAGGTGAATATAAGAGTACCGATTCTCATTGGGTGCACCCACATGTTCGACATGTTTGATTGGTTGTTGTGAGGGTCCTTGTTTTGGGTGGAAAGTTATGAAGCTTATTTGACAGTACGTTATGACGGGCACTTGGTACTTGAAAACATGTAGTCGGCGGAGAGAAAGTGAAAAGGGAGGTATAAGCAAACACAGAGCGGGGCACATGGAGGGGCAGATTTGGGCGAACGTCATACCAGGCATATCTCACGAGTGCTGCCTGTTCAACCCATGTGCGTGCTCTTCATTGGCCACGTCTATATCAGAAGCGCGAGGATATGTGCACCCTGCATGAGCTGGCCGATAGTTCGCTGACCACTGTGCGCACAAATATCACGCCATCACATTAGGCGCTACGTCACATTGACGCTGCTCTACCATCGTCGATGCATAGCCTAGACCCTGCTCAGCTGAATGCCCCCCAGCGCATGAAGCATGTCGATCTTTAAGGACAACAGGACAGGGTGGCGTTGAGTTGTTGATTCGGCCCGATTAATCGCACATCAAATGACTCATGCTTGTTGACTGGGTACAAGCAGCATAAGCACCCAAGCCTGACCTTGTTCGTGAGACTGATCTGAGCCGGAAGCAGGCACGCCTACCCGTTTTCCAACGGCAGTATCGGCAGGACAGGCGCCATAGCAGTAGTCCTCCTTAGGCACGCTATTAGTTGTATATTTTATCCATTGCTGTGACCCTGTCGCTGCGTAGGGAAGTGAACCAATGTGAGAACAGTCTGCGTCTTGAAGCCATTGCGTGACTTGCCTACCATTGTCATTATCACCTCAGCACGCGACAGTGCAGTCGATATTTGCATCTTTGCTTGCAGAGCGGTTCGTGCTCTCGTCGATAAGCGTGCAATCGCGGTTGCTGGAGAAAAGGAACGCATCTATGTATGCGTTAAACGTGGCCGCAGAGGCCCAAGTGACATGCATTCCATAGTACGCGCTGCGAATCCAATGGTAACTGTCTTCGCCACAAATTGGTGACATTCCTTGGCCTCGTAGATCGCGTCTCCTCCCCAAGTGCTCGATAAAACTGAATCTACAGCGTCCAAACCCTCGCCTCCAGCCTGGTTTGGTATGTAGTAAGGGGATTAACTTTGTGTAGCAGTGATGCCTGTCGTCCTTTGGCATCGGTACGCACCCTAAAAACTTCAATGCAGTCGTCGCGTCGTACAAAAGTCGTTTGTGCAGGTTCGGCATGGAACACAGTGCTGTTGAGCGTGTCTGATGGCTGGCCCCGTTAAGGCGCATCTTTCAACCAGTGCTGTTTTTCCCGGTGGTCGCGCGCCTCTTCTTCCCTTCTGCGTCTTAAGATCGCGATTTCGCGGTCCATAGCAGCTGTCTGTTGGGCCGCGACCTTTCGAGGATCGCCTTGCTCTCCTGATAGAGGACATCGTTCGACTTACCCAGGGAAGTCGAAGAGTGTGGTCCGCACGACATACTCTCTAATGTTAGCCGCGACAGAAGGCCAACAGGCGCCCACACAGCGACACGGCTAATTGTATAAACCCTGATACACTCATAGATGTTACGGCGCCTCAGCCCGGTCTCTGTTGCCCGCTACCGTAATTCTCTGGCTCTTCTGCAAGTGGGCCGAACGCAGTGTGATCCGTATACCAACCCGTCGGATATGACTGGGATTGGAACAAAGGCGCGCCGTCCGGGTGACCTGTTGGCTGCGGGAATGAAAAGGCCTGTGGCTGCCCCAAGGAACGTATTGGTCCTCCAACTGGCGCCGAATGTGGTCCATTTGTATGCGCCGCCATCGGTAAGGTGGATAGGGCAAGCGATGTCGGCGGGTATCGCATAGCCGCATTATGAGGGTCTTGCATCTGCTGAAATGAATTTGGATACGCCGCATGGGGACTTTGCATTGTATCAAGCTGATTGTATGATGAAGACCGTAGTGGCTGCGAATGTTGCCATGCGGCCTCGGACCGAGAATGAGGGTATGAGAAACCCTGCGCAGGATGGATTGAGCCTGAGTTCGCAGTGTTGTTCGTGGGGTATGGAGCAAAATCGCCAGTCATGCCAGCCTGGGCAAACGGCGACGCTTGCGAAACGTGTAATTGGGTTTCGGGGCCTGCGTGTATTGAAGACGCGTCCGAAGGCCTGCTTGTTGGCCAAGAACGAGGATCATGTGCCATGCGATAACTGTACTCGGGCTGGGAAAACCCGCCAGGTAATGCGTCAGCACGCCCAGCCCTTTCTGGAGCGTCAATCAGACTACCATGGCCAGAGAGCGCACTCCCGGTCTCGAAAGGCATGCCCTGAAAGGTTAGAGGCGCATTCGAAGGCAGAGTAGAAAAGCGGAAGTCCGCGGCGGAGTCGAACCCTCTATCCATACCACCGTGTTGCGGTGATACTGACACCACAGACGGCGGGTCGGAACCTGGAATGATCGGACCTCCGAGCTCTGTACCATTTTCCATGGCAGCCTGTTGCTCTACCGGGTAGAAGTGGCAGTCCTTCTTCAGACGTATGCAGTTCTGACATCTGCGCTGAGGGTCTCCTTCGGCGAGCAGACATCTGATTTTCCGTCGACGGCAGTGCGCTGCGTACATTAGCATGAGCTGTCATGAGTGCTCCGGGGGCAGGTCCCAGAGCACCTAGTCTCGCGTGAGCGCGACGACTTACCACAAGCAATGGAGATCCTTTGATAGCCGAGCTTGTTGCGCTTCTTGTCCAGCTCCAGATCAGACATGGCAGCCTCTCGCAGCTGCGGCGTGGAAGCAGAGCGGGAAAGCTGCCTCGGGGGTTTGTACTTCGAAGGCCTGCGTTTCTTGCCGGTCGCCGGAGAAGGCGGCGAAGGCAAGGGAGGCTGTACTGCAGAATCAGTGGCAGTTCGATCAACGTTTGGCGTTCCAGTAGACACGGAATCTGCATCGCTAGACGTCCCAAAGGTGGCGCCTGTCATATCATGCTGATGTATGTAGTGTGACATCCCGTAAAGTATATAGAACTGTTAATGGCGACAACTACGCGCTTCGGCCACATTAGCAGCGTGGTAGTGGAACGTTCGCCGAGGCGTACATTAACGCTCGTCGAGCATGGCGGCGTCCGCAGCCGCAAGAGTAGGTCTCCGGAGAGGTGCAATGGCCGCTCGTAGAGGAAGCCGACGGAATGAAGTTGAGATGGCGCAAGGTTTTGGCACGAGTCTTGTTTACCGCCACGAGGCCAAGTTCAAGCTGGGTGTGATCGAGCGCCTGGCGTTACCGGCCTGCTGGTAACGCTAGCCCGGCAGTAGCAGAAGGTGATAGACCGTAACAATTCGGATGAAAGGTAGTAACGGAGAAGTTAGGTTTCGAAATGCGTAGGGGAAAGAGCACATAGTGCGTTCTTTGGCCATCGCGAAGGAGGTCAGTGACCCCACAGGGCACCTGGCTTCTGTGAGCAATAGTGCCGAACAAGCTTGCTGGTCCAGCCTGAGGAAGGAAATGATCCACAGTGCAGTAAATCGTCAAGAGGAGATTGCAGTGGCAAAGGGCCCTACCAGGTAGGAGAGTTCTCTTGCGATCAAACTCCTGCGGCACTCGGTCTCCGGATTGGCCAAGGGAAGCTCCATCAAGCTAAGAGGTAAAAGCGTCAAGGATAGGTGGCTTCGCTAACAGTAACGGCATCAAAGTGGCTTCGGGAAACGGTCGAGGCGCAACGATCCTGGAGAAGCGAAGTCAGTCGGATTGCGATAGCCATATGGCCGCACATGGGACCCACGAGACGCAACCTAACCGAACCCGTTGGCGAGTTCCTAGTTCTGGTCACCAACTTTCGCGATATCCACTTCGGTCATTGATTCGCCACATCAACGATCGGTATAGTGGCTTGAATGCAGCCTAAACAGAGCTGTCAAAGGCTGTGCCACAGACGTCGGGTAGCGGCGAGGATCTGGCCCCTCCGACCCCTGCAGCGACTCTTAAGCATCCTAAAGCGAACCGGACCAATGATGGACCGCAGGAATGCTCGGCACTGGGCGGGCAACGACAGGCGTGATGCCCACTAGGAATTATCTACTCCTCTGGCGGCCCGGAATGTTCGACAAAATGATAGAACGGCCATGTCGGCCAGACCGTCCTCAATATCAACCGTTCCCTTGGCACTCCGCGAATACCCTCGCGTAGTGTGCTGTAGCAATAATTCCTACGAAATCGCTCCCGACAGACGTTGTATGAGCTGTGCCACAAGCGCTGACGGTGTGAGATCGGCAGCCAGTGATGACGACGATCATGCGGTTGGCGCCGATGTTGGTCGCTTGCTGGTGGCATGACATCTCTCATTGCAATGGTTTCTGGTTTCTCAGCGCTCACGACCGTTCCTTATCTGTAGCAACCCGTAAGGCACCATGTACCTCCACGAGCCTCGCTACATACACGATGCATGCGCTACTACAACGTAGCGGAGTTGTTGTAACAATGTGGCTTGACCGTTAGCCTCCTACGCCATTGATCCGCGCTAAGGGATGGCGCTGAGCTTCATCCGGTCGATATCATTAAGCATATGTGACCGAGCTTCCGTGCATCGTCCATACCCCACGAGCTCGCAATCGCTCCACCGAAGCTCGGCGATAGGTGTAAATTGAGATGCGGGTATTGAGATGCTGCTCGCGGTGTTACGGCAGAGTGACTGGACGGTAGGTAATACAGCATTGTGTACACCACCAGGTTTATCGGGACGTGACATCCACGGCATCTTCCGAGGTAGATGTATCCCCACCCACCAGCCGCGTGGCGCTCAAATTGTCATCTAAACCGCACCGCCCTCCAGCTTGGTACGGAATATCTGCTCACACCGCGGGCGCAAAATGGGCCTTCGTCTGTGCTTTGTGCTTCACCACCTGTCACTACGACATGCACCATAATTAGCAATCCAGCGAACCGAGCACCGCGCACCCGGCCAGAACCTGATCGTGTGCGCAGATCTCTCATGCCTCTGCAACGGTCCGGCGGTCTAAGCACTGATTCAGTGTTCGACACGAGGTACCCCTGCAGTTATGGCACGTTTTGATCGTCGCGTAAGCGTTCTATCAAGGCGCGGACGGGGAGGCGGTTCGCCACTTTCAAGGGAGCACCTGTGGCTTGAACCTTCAGCTCCACTGCCGTTCAACGTCCCTCATACCACGCTTTACCAGGGCGTGCCATCTGAACTTGGCCCTGGAGACGTCCTTATCGAGTAAGTCCATTGTACAAATCATAGGTAGATCCAGAGCGCATTAGCCCTTGGCTGGGCATTGACATCATGCAAATGAGCATTCCGGCACCTCGCCGTCGATTATCCCGGGCCGTCGAGCCACACCTATATCTGCCCTTTAAGTACATGTATAATGTACATACTGCCACATTGCGCGCTTCACCTTGCAGATTGTGTGTACCGCACCGGCTGCGTCTGCCACCTACGCATAGGGTGGAGTATCCTCTCGGCAGCGTATTATCTGCGGCGTGCTACATGTACAGCGGAGCGCTTCAATACTCCTTGAACGCGCCTTAACTTCGAAGTCAGTGTGGCTGATAGCGGAACGTAATGCCGCATGCTGCTTGACAAGGATCAGCAATTAGGCTGAGGTTGACAGGCTACCATGCATCACAGATGCGCTGGAGCTGAGTACCGCGGATGGGATCGTTATTCTTACGACCCGGTACTGGGTGCAATAGGTTTTCCAACGTTGTCCACCACACGATAATATTTGATGGAGGGGCTTGACGCACGACTCTACATGATCGTACATTCCGCCTCATCCCGCTTTTGATCCTTTCGTGTGAGCTTGCCATTGACCGGGGTGGGCCTAGCCTTGCCACTCTTCTTCAGCTCCTCCAGCCTCTCCAATGCTCTCGGGAACTTGTAGGCTGCAAGAGCATTCGTTAGCGAACAGCGTTAGACACAGGCACGACTTAGCACTTACAAGCAGCCCTCCCATACCACCGCCGCGCCTCTTCGACGTTGGCGGGACAGCCAATACCGACTTCCGAGAAATAACCCATTGCGAACATGGCTTTAGCAAGTGGCGGCTCCGACTGCGCTGCCTTACGTGCCCATAGGTACGCTTCAGTGTCGCTGGGCTGCAGTATGCCTTCGGCCCCAGTAAGGTACCAACCGCTGAGCGCAAGCTCTGCTTGATGCTCGCCCTGCGCGGCTGCTTTGCTATACCATTGAATGCTGGTCCTGTTGTCCATGGGCACCCCCAGAGTGCCATACTCAAAGGCCTGGCCAAGCCTAAATTGACTGAACTTATAGCCAAGTCCGGCAGCCTGCTTGAAAAGTGAAAGGGCGTAGGCATTGTCCGCTATTATTTTCACCCGCACCTCCCGGTCAGTGTTCGTAGAGTCGTACAGTGTCCCCAGTTCGTGCAAAGCATGCGGGTTCTCGTGATCTGCACGCTCGGCGGCGCGCTTCAACCAAATTACCGCCTCGCCAACATTGCGCTGCTGACCCAGCAGGCTCTTGAGAAGGATCATGCCGAGCTTGTACATAGCCGCCGTCTCGCCAAGTGCGGCGGCGCGGCGATACCATTGCAAGGCTTTGGCGAAGTCTTTCCGGGTGCCGCCGCCTTCCTCAGGACCCATCTCGCAGCATACTGCCGTGCGGTATGCGGCCTGCGCATGACCCTGCTTGGCAGCAGCTTGGTACAGATTGAACGCTTCTTTCGTGTCAACTTCGAGGCCCAGTGAACCTTGACCATAGCAGTCAGCAAGGTAAAACTGTGCGTCTGGGTAGCCAGCGGACGCAAGCTTCTTGATGCGTTTGTGAGCGTCAAGTATGTAACGTTCGCGGTTCTTGGCCGTCGTCTTTGCGTCGGCTCGACCGCCGTCAGAGGCCAAGACACTAGCTGCTTCGACAAGCTTCTTCGCAAGCTTCAATGCGAGCTTGTTATCGCCCGGGTTAGCAGACAGCTGGGCGCCAAGCTGCTCCAACTCCTGCCGCGTGACGGGTTGAGCGGGCTTCTCGGACGAAGCGGGACGCGTTGTCTGGCCATTAGTGGTTGTGGAGACATTGTCGTAGACCCGTACGGGAGGTGGCTTGGCAGGCTGCGGGCTACTCTCCGCCAAACCCGGCCTTACCGGCACGGGGTGGTGCGGCAAAGCGTCCGGATTGCTGCTCCGATGTTGTTCCTGCTGCTCGGGTGCCGACCTTTGTTGCGACAGCGGCGCGCCACTCTCTTGTGGCGGAGGCGGCTCTTGCAGTCCTTGTCGGAGAGGTGGTGCGCTTCCCATGCGCTGCTGGCCCGGATGTGACCACGCACTTTGCGAGCTCTGCGCAGAGTAGTCCCGTTGCACATGGGGTCGCTGTTGCGGTGAGATTTGGGTTCGGGGAGGCTGGCTATTGGCACCAAACCGCGGGCCAGGTAGCTCGCCTTGGCGGTATGGCATTTGCCTTGCGTCGTCCATCGAGCGGCGTACTGCGGGTTCCTGTACGAACGGCGGCTGTGGAGGCCGCATTTGGGGCACACGCTGCCCATATTCATCCATAGATCTGCGTACAGGAGGCTCCTGCGCATATGGAGGTTGCGGTGGCCGCATGGGTGGCGCTCGTTGTCGGTCATCATACTGATACTGCGGCTGCTGAGAGCCTACACCGAAGTCGAAGCCTGCATGAGCAAGGCTGGCTTTGCCAGCGCCGGGGTTTGCCAGTGTTGTTTGTGGATCCTGCCCATTCCTGACTTGATACTGTCCCGGTTCAGGGTTGTCAATCGGCGATGCATACTGCTCTGCTTGCTGGAGTCGCATCGGGGAGGTGGGCATGGGCGGTGGAGCCTGCTCGTTCGGCCTGTGGTTGGGCTGTCCGCGGCCCTTCTGGCTACGCTTGTGCAGCATACTGGTCTGCTCTGGAGCAGCGCTATCAAAATCCGGCATGTCTGCTTCGATCTCCGCTGCACTCCGTGGTGCTGCTGATTGTGGAGTCTTTGGCTCGATCGTCGACCTTTCATGATAATCGTCATACACTTTGCCAATATCATGAGATGCAGTCCGCGGATGATGAGGGTACGAGTTCACCGTCGTCTCGCCGCCTTCTGCATAGCCGGTTGGAGTTTGAGAGAAAGACATCTGGGAGCTTGCGCTCTGTACCATATGCAGGTTCGAGACGACAGATGGTGAGCCCTGTGTGCCAGACAGCCGGCCCGAAACGTATGCGGGACTAAAAGGCTGACGGTCATTGGAAGCAGACGTCTGCAGAGGTCTTGTCTGAGTAGTGTCAATGGTGGGAACAGTTGGACGGGCACCTCTTGGAGCTGGTTGTGGCTGTGCGGGAGCTGGCAATTGCTGCGGACTCGGACTATAACGGTATGCAGAGTGGTTTTGCGGAGGTGGCGTCTGCCGGTAATCTTGCGCTTGTGGCGAGCCTCTGCGGTCCTCTTGGGGAGGCGTTCGTCTGTACTCCTGCTGGGTGCGCTCGTCCATCCTGTCAAGCATCCGCAGTTGCGAAGCTTGCTGACCAGACGGGCGTCTGTCATACATTGGCCTATCCTGCGTCATCTGTCGCGGCGCAGACGAGTGGGCTGGATCTTGACGATTTGCATTTGGCTCATATGAAAACGGTTTGTGATCCAGAGATGGGCGTGGTTGAGGCGACACTCCAAGTTGCGTTGGTGGCTGCTCGCTATGGTTACTGTTCCCTCTTAAGGGGGCTGGTCGCTGTCCATTTAATCTGGGCTCACCAGAGTGCTGGGTGTTTGGAGTTGCGCACGTCCGTGGCGGGAGGTCTTCACTCGATCTGCCGCTGGCTCGGCTTGCACTACCCGAACGGTCATCTGGTCGCATGCGGTCTTTCTTCAGGTTTGGGAATGTTGGGAAGGCGTTGTCTTGAGCTAGAAAGTCCGGTGAGACTGGTCCTTGGTGGAGCTTAGCTTTCTCCTGTGCCTTCCACTCAACCATGGTCAACTTCTTAAACTCCGGCATGACAGCTGGAGGAGCCTGGTGAGCTGCGGGACCGTCCTGACGCCGTGGAGGAGGCCTCTGCCCATTTGGTTGTGTCTCTGCAGGTCGCTGTGTCCTGGAAGGCTGCTGTTGAGGAAGGTAGTTGTTCCGCGGTTCAGGCTGAGGCTGCCGCGACGCACCATTACCGGACTGCGGCGGAGCAGCACGGTGCTGTGTCGATTGGTAGCCTTGCCGATCTGGGGATGCCCGAGCTTGTTGTCGATCCTGCTGCAGTGGCTGGCGATTCGGTTCCGGCTGTCGTTGCCCTGGAGGGCGTCCGTAGCCGGGCGAGCCTACACGACCTGGCCGTTGCTGGAAGCGAGGGTCGTAATTGCGATCGAATTGGGGCTGCGATTGCGCGGATTGCACATGTTGCTGGAACTGGGCTTGTGGCGGCTCTTCGTACTGCGCTCGTTGAGCCTGCTGTTGTCCAAGTCTATCTCCGCTTGTTGGCCGAGGCGTCGCACCCGGGTAGCCTCCCGTGTAGCCATTGCCGTACTGCTCCACGTTGTTCTGATAGCTGTTGATGTTCCCACCGTAGCCGATACCTTGGGCGTGTCCCTGATCAAGCGGGTAGCGTTGATCGTACGGGTCAGCGTACGGGCTCCGTCCCCGGGAGTCATACTCGCCTTGCACTGCGTATCCAGTTGGTTGCTGAGAGGGCTCTTGCTCCTGCCTCTGGCCGTAGTATGCCCTTGGCGGAGGTTTGTATGCTGTGTTGGCATCGTACGCCATATCTTCGAGGTTCCTACAACGCTATCACAGCAAGCATTTCCTTGTAGGCGTTTAGAAGTCGAAGACTTCAATCCATCTTCGGTTGGGAGCACCTCGCAAATCCAGCCTATCACCCTTTAAAACGAAGCGCATGCAAAGAGGCTTGAGGCAGAGAACGCGCGGAGGCTGAGTGAACCCTCCAAAGACTGTGCGCTGTAAGCAATGCAACATACCGCCAGAGTAACAACGAGCAATCAGGGAAGAGATGGGATAAGGCGAGCGCCGGATTCACAGCCGTGCCTGGCGATCGCCGTCCGGAATCGATGTTTATTTCAGCGGCGTCAGGCTCAAGACTCCATACTAATTGGAGACATCCAAGCTGGCGAAACAAGCCATCTCGGTCACGCGATCCATGCTGAGTTTCACGGGCGTCACACGCCTTCTCCACCAAGTGGCCGTCCGCCAGAAGTGGACCGGTAGAAGCAGGAGCAGCAGGTTTGCTCGCACAACTTCCCCGCCAATCAATTGCTCGCTGACGGTTTCGAGGCATTCAACTTCGCCAACTCAGCCACAGTTGGCGGGACGATGAAACGGCGGGACCGAGGCCGTTCGGTGCTTGTGGCTCAGCTCCGTGCAATTATCGAGAAGCTCACATGCACTCAGGGAGCTCGAAAACGCGCTGCAGCTACTGCGAACCCTTGCCCGCACCACTGGTGAAGACCTCTTACCTCCTCGACGCTTTCTTGTTGCGTAGCTTGTAACAATGCTTCCCATCGTGTTACCACGAACTCTTCCCTTAGCCCAGCTTCAACTTGCACATGCAACGAAAGCTTCCTGCCTCCCCGCTGCTGTAGTAGCTCGAAGAAGCTTCGCAGTAGCTCGTAGAGACCCATCAAACCTGCAGCACCGCCTTCCACGATCCGTGAGAGTACCACATACCACTTCTGCGGCAGCAAGGGCCTTTACGTCGACCTGCAGAATGTCGGCTTCAACAAGAACCGAAAGCGATGCTTTCGGCGAGATCCAAGTCCCAAGCGACAAGTACTGGGGTGCGCAAACAGAACGATCGCTAGAGAACTTCAAGATCAATCAGCCACAAGACCGCATGCCGCCGCCCATTGTACGAGCATTTGGCATACTCAAGGGAGCAGCAGCGACAGTCAACATGAAGTTCGGCCTCGGTAAGCCGGCCACCCAGCATTGAACGCTCGGAATGGAAGATGGCTGACAGATGGCATCACCAGACCCGAAGCTTGGCGAAGCAATCAAGGAAGCAGCATCCGAGGTTGCCTCGTTGAAGCTGGTTGACCACTTCCCGTTGGTCGTTTGGCAGACGGGATCGGGCACGCAGTCGAATATGAACGCCAACGAGGTCATCTCGAACCGTGCCATTGAGATCCTCGGCGGTACAATGGGTAGCAAAAAGCCTGTGCACCCGAACGATCACGTCAACATGTCCGCTTCTTCCAACGACACCTTTCCCACAGTCATGCACATTGCTGCTGTGCTTGAGTTTGAAGAGCAACTTCTGCCAGCCATCAAAGCGCTGCGAGACGCCATGGAGAAGAAGCGCGAGAGTTTCGAGAAGATAATCAAAATCGGCCGAACACACTTACAGGACGCCACACCACTCACACTTGGTCAGGAATTTTCCGGCTACATTACCCAGCTCGAGTACGGGATTGAGCGCATCCAGTCTGCTCTACCACGGCTGCGCTACCTTGCGCAGGGTGGCACAGCTGTCGGCACCGGGCTGAACACCTTCAAAGGCTTTGCCGAAGATATTGCGTCTGAAGTCAGCAGCATGACAGGTCACGAATTCCAGACAGCACCGAACAAGTTCGAGGCACTCGCCGCACACGACGCCATTGTCGAAGCGCACGGTCAGCTGAACGTCCTCGCCACGTCGCTTTTCAAGATCGCGCAGGACATTCGCTTCCTTGGCTCTGGTCCACGGTGCGGGCTGGGTGAGCTGAAGCTGCCGGAGAACGAGCCCGGAAGCAGTATCATGCCTGGCAAAGTCAACCCAACACAGTGCGAGAGCATGACCATGCTTTGCTGCCAGGTTTTCGGAAATCAGGCCGCAGTTACATTTGCCGGCAGCCAAGGCAACTTTGAGCTGAACGTGTTTAAGCCGGTCATGATTCGCAATCTGCTGCATAGCTCGCGACTGCTCACAGATGGCATGAACTCCTTCCGACTCCACTTGGTTGAGGGACTGGAGGCAGATGAGCGGAGGATCGCATCGCTGCTCCACGAGAGCTTGATGCTGGTGACCTGCTTGAACCCAGTCATTGGATACGACATGGCAAGTAAGGTTGCCAAGAATGCACACAAGAAGGGCCTTTCGCTCAAAGAGAGCGCGATGGAGCTGAAAGCGCTAAGCGAGGAGGACTTCGACAAGACGGTGCGGCCGGAGCTGATGATTGCGCCGAAAGAGAAGAAGTAGAGAGGCATAAAGCCATATCTTGTACAGATACATACGTGTATTTGTCGGCCTTGTGTTTACAACCGTCTGCGTAAGTGTTCTCGTGGCAAAACACGAAGACTGTCTCGCGTCAGTCGCACTTCATGTGTTTAACCTTCTTCTAAGCCACGCTCGGGAGCAACCCGGCCCGATCGCTCCCAGTCCGTCAGCGCGCCTTGGCTCTCGTGAAGGCAGTAAGCTTCCAGCGTTGCGACCACTCAACCCTGATTCACCATCACCTTTACTGCCCAACACACTCTCTCCCAACCATCGACAGACTTTCCGCACACCTTCGATACAGTCAAAGGCTTCCCATACTCAGCAACCTTATATCAGCACACCTCCGCCAGCAGCCTAGCCTCTTCCGCCTTGCCGTGACTCTGCCATCATGTCGAACAACCAAGGACTCTACGACCCGCACCCAAGCGATTCGGCGCAGGGCGGCCGCGGTCTCACACACGCAGAGGCTGTCCAACGGGTGAGTGCGCCATGACTATAGCATCTACGCGGCGGGCGGCGGCCGTGAAAAGCAAAGAGCACGCAGGCATCGTGCCTGCGCCACGCGGCTAGGCTAGGCCTATCCGTATACGGGTCACAAAGCACTACAGTGCTAACGCTGCTTGCTCTCAGGAAATCAACGATGTCACCAATATCGTGCGCCAGAACCTGCAAGCCACCAGTCAGCGCGGCGAGCGCCTGGACAACCTCGAGAACAAGACGAATGCGCTCTCCGGCTCGGCGAACCAGTTCCGCACTCGCGCCAACCGGGTGCGGAAGGATATGTGGTGGAAGGACATGAAGATGCGCATGTGTATCATCATCGCCGTCATCATCCTGCTTGTGGTCATTATTGTGCCTTCCGGTAAGTCTATGCTGCCTCTCGTAAGGCAGTGAACAGGCGCGGGCTAATGCATCGCAGTCATTTACGGCAGGGGTCATCACAACTAAGCGAGCAACCAACGAAGGGTGTCAATGTGGCTGAGGATGATATGCACTTGGCAAGCAGTGATAAGCGAGAAAGAGGCAATGCGGCTGTTCATACGATAGCGGGAAGCACAAACGAGATCGATACCATACCCTTTCATGCGATCGGGAAGCAATCTTCATGTGCGATATGCTGGCGTTCAACGGAGCATCCGGTCTTGCGTGCTTGCGTCACCGTCTTTTGAGCCAGAGCAGTGTTCTTGTGTAGCACATTAATGATTTCGACCTTACGAACAAGCGTCAGAGCACCACTAGGAAGAGCGTCCACAAGGCGGCCTTTCGGAATGGTTTATTACATTACAGAATCCGCTATGCTATAGTACGCAAACTGTATGCCGCTCCAGGGTATCACTGCTCAAGTTTCCGTTATCAGACCCGTAACCTACCACTACTACTGCAGCGGTAGCAGCAGCAGCGTACGCCTATGGCGTCTCCTGGCCTTGCGTGCCGTAAGAACAGCACGCTGCTATGCTGATGCCACGCCTCGGTATCTTCATAGGTTGAAGAGGTACGCTTGTCGTCATGCGCATGCCAAAGTCGAAGAATCCTCCGTCATACCGCACTCGTTGTTGCCGCTCCACGCCGCCCTGCTCGGCCGCATGTGAGGCAGCTGATGAGTGCCATGAAGACAGCCACAATGCCCTGTCCTCGGCGTCAGCGCAGCACGTGTTGCGAAGATGAAATGGAGCCAGCCTACATTGATGATGGCCATGCAGACGGATGCGATGGCGTTGACGACCGCCATGATACAGCTGCCGATCGCGCCGAAGACGCTCTCGATCTGTGTGCGGTATGGTCAGTAGAAGCCGGGATGAAGGGGTGAGAGGTGGCGTACGCAAGATAGTACGGCACCCATGTTGGAAGTGGTGATTGTATGATGGGTCTGAGAGGTTTCTGCACAACAGTCAGTGGCATATGAGTGATTTGATCCTGGCGACACTGACAAGTTCGGGGAGAAGCTCCGTTTGTTGTTCGAATAGTCTGCTCGGTTGCAATGCGCTTTCGGGACGGTATGCTTCACCCGCTGAAGATGTGTTGCGAGAAAAGTTTCACGGCAAAGCGGAAGTAGAAGTACAAGTGTTGTTGACAAGCGGAAAATGAAGGAAGGTGCATAGCAAACGCTTCTCATGCTGGCGCGCGGCTGCCCGCGGTAAATGCCTGCGCTCGACCACGCATCATCGTTCCTCTGCACCTACCGTTTGGGGTCTGTGAGACACGTCAAGCGGTACCGTGCTCTTAGTTGTGGGCACGTTCGATGCTGCAATGTCCAAGAAATAAGCGAGCACGCGTTACACAAGAAACAGGGTAGGAGCGGCGCTATGGCGGGATAGTGCATGAGCTTACCTGCTGTCATGGGAACAACATGTCCATCGAAGACCCACGATGAGAAGGGCAACACCTTCCCCTCTTGACCACAAGGTGTGACGGAGCTGGAAAGGAGATGAAGTCTGACGAGGAAGCGTTGGCGCAGGGTGATCGACAGCAGGGTTGCTTCCTTGGCTGGAAGGCGCGCTTGGACATTGCTCACTATCCGGCGTTAACCTTCATGTTCCCAAGCTCTTCATGTTCTGTGACAACTTTCGCGTGGGTTCGTGGGATTGCCGTGCACGAAGAGAACCCACATCATTGCACAGTGGTACGTGTGTGTGGAACAGCTTCCTGCAGCATCAATCGTTGTCCTGTAAATCGCCACTCCTACCTTCTCACGGCGACAGCGCGCTTCACCAGTCTAACCGCGACGGCCGTTCAAACCCTTCGTGAAGAGAGCGACGGTGACAAGCCAAGTCAACTGCGGCGTGTTAGCCTGCGCGCAGAGGTTTGTACATGCACTTACAAACACGAGTATCAGCACGAAGTGGCACAGCTTGATGTCGCAAAAATGTCCACACCGAACCTGATTGGTGCTGTCTCCGGCTTCGATGTCGATGCTTCCATAGTCTCGTCGATGAGTCTCCAGCGTGCTCGGAGTAGACTGTCACGCTTCGTCGTGAGCTGGCTTTTGGCGACGGAGTCGCGGCGATGTTGCTGATCATGAAGATCGCTGAGCATCCGACTGGTCACAACGTCCCGAGAGGAAACCATATTGAAACATTGATTCCAGACCTCGAGGCTTCATTGATGGCTGTCGTATATTGTGCTGTGGTGAGTATTACAGATATAGATCGGGAACTATAGTGGTTGTACCGCAGCTTCTCGTGCATGGCGAGGTGTGGTAAGCTTTGACGAAGCTACTCACGTGTGTCGTTACACTGCGTGGTAAGCCACCTGACGCTACCCTCGATAGGGCCTGACGCAATCACCTGGTCGGATCGGAAGGCTTGCTGCCTTGTCAAAGAGCCCCACAACAAACGGTCTGGCCGGTAGGATAGGTTATTGATCAGAAGGCCTTGTTACGACCCGCAGCTGTATAGCGTATTGGCTTTGAAGATGTTATACCGGTCAAGACTCTCTGAACCAGCTGTCCTTCTCCATCGCCCCCTTTCGCTCACTCTTACCGCCGGCCTGTCCACCTCTACCAGAACCGCTTCCACGATTTCTTCCCCGACCACGATACGAACCCTCGCCACGCGCACCCCTAGGACCAGCACCACGTCGGTTAACGTTGAAGTCGATTCGCACTAGAGGCTTCTCAACCCATTCTACGCCTGCAAGGCCCAGTCGTTCCTTCTCCTCATGCGGAATGCGCCAAGCTTGAAAAATACCCATCAAGTCTTGCATATTGCTTTCGCCACTCGACACCGAATCTCGCCGGCTCATGCCAACGCCTCGTAACTCAGGAACCCAGGCGCGAACGTAATCGGCGTTAGAGTCGTAATCTAAAGCTTGTTTGACTGGATTGAACACTCGAGCCTCACCACGAGGATCATTGCCCACGCCGGAGTTATACTGCCAGTTACCCCAGTTGTTATGGACGTCGTAGTCGATGAGGTTGGTTTCGTACCATTCGGCGCCTAGTCTCCAGTCGATGTTAAGGTGTTTAGCGAGGTACGATGCGACATTTTGACGCGCACGGTTGGAAGTCCACCCGGTAAGGAAAAGTTCGCGCTGCGAAGCATCGATCAGTCCAGTACCGGTCTGGCCTCGCAAAAAGCGCTCAACAACGACCGTGGTGTCTTCGTCGTTGACGCCTTTCCTATTCTTCCTTTCCGTGGAAGTCGTCCACGGGCTACTGATCATCTTGAATTTGGCACTTTTGTCGTGTCGATATCCGGGTAGGTAGAACAGACGCTTTCCGAACTTGCGTGTACACAGCCGCATGTAGTCCCGCCACAGCAGCTCGAACCGCACAGCGGCCGTACCTTTGTTCTCGCCCTTGCCATATCCTGGTGCGTCTTTTCCGAGATCTGTCGTACCATCCTCGAACTCAACGAGCCGCCAATGCACTTGCCGTGCGGTAATGCAACCTAACGCTAACCAAGCCGAAAGCTTTGTGCTGAAGTCAAGGCCAAGCAGACCGTTCCGTGTGTCTTTATATGCCGTCATTGACCCAGATTCGATCAGATGGTGTATACGTTCACGGCCCGGTTGGGAGCCACCTACGAAGGGATGAGCCGATTGCGTGCCTGGCGGCATTGTTGGCATATCAGTTATCTCCAGATTCTCATCCAGAGGTTCGAACAGTGCCGCAATCGTGCCGTCCAGGGAGTCAGGAATGGTGAAAGGTGGTGCTTGCGGAGGGACAAAATCGGGCAAAGGAGGCAGCTTTTCCGGTCTAGGAAGCTCTTTACGTGGTGCTTCCCGGAGAGGCTCAACTGTTTTCCGGAAAGAAGTGAAAACGTCCGAAAGTTCCCGTGCATCCTGGAATGGAAGGTCTCGGTCATCCACGAGGTACTTCTCGTCCGTCCAGATTTTAAACTCCTTACCTTCGGCGGTCATGAGGTCTCCGACGCGTTCTTCTTCTTCGTACTCCTCCCACGCATCCTCCTTCGTCATCCACAGGCCGTGAACCTCGCAATCGTGTCGCTCCCGGTAGCCATCGAGTATGCTCTGAACCACGTCGCGCACTGACCCTACACGGATCTGTAGGCCACTTCCAGTACTCTCAAGATCCCGCTTGAGGTCCCAGACACTCTCTGCAATGAACTGGGCACGCAGCCTGCCGCAACGCCAGAAGCCGCCCACGTAACTTCTCGCTTCCGGGTACGGGGAGCGCGTTACGCCTGGTGACAGGAAACCTGACACCTCGATTTGCTCGGCGGGGAAAATGTAGATCGGCAGAACATGAGTAAATGGCTGGTGTGACTGCGAAAACAAGCGTCCAATCTCGTGGAATACTGGATTGTCCGCGAGGCGAAGGTCGCGCCGGACAAGATAAATAAGTATACGTGCAATTCGTGACATCGTGATAGCGTTCAATCGTCCCAGTGTACAGTCTTCTCTATGTTGCTTGGAGAAATGACAGTCCGTATGTACCTTTCTTATTGCATGTTACTCAGAGGAAGTGATAATCATCCAAAATCTCAGTCCTTTCGGCCATGGGGCGTGTGAGGAAACATGTAGCGATGTGTCCTGTAGAAAGACAATGCTCGTCCCGCCACCGGTCTCATGGAGACGAGGACTATGCAGCAAGCCTCGGAGAAGGAGAGAAGCAAGACGCAGGAACAGGCCTTGTATAGTGGGACCCTACCGGCATTTTGTGCATCGACAGCCTTGTAGATCCTCCCGCAGATAGAGGAGCACACGAGACGCAGAGCTAGCAAGGAGAAATGCATGTTGTCATTGCCCGCTGCTAGCCGCAGGCTGAAGCGATTATACAGCACGCTTGGTCGCGCGGATTCGGTTCGCTCGAAACGTCTTGACAACGCTGCGTACTGTTGCAGGGTTAAGCGCATACGATCATGAGGCATAGTATCAAAGGGTCACAGTGTAGTGGCAGTTGCTTGGCATCGACAAGGAGAGGTGGGTGGTGTGCATGCAAGATCGAATCTCACCGTCGCTTGTAACGCTCGAGAATCTACGGCTTGGCACAACTGGTGTGCGATTTGATCCAGATCTGCGACTCGATTTCTGGTAACGATCTCTAGATCATGCGAATAAACACTCTGCGGATCTGTACATCGCAACCTGCCTTGACCGAAAAGCGTCTAGCCACCATAGAAATCATCCGGTTTCTTCACAGCTCTACGTCATCCCACGGCTGAGCTAAGCTCACAAGCTTTTTTCGACTTCAAGGGTCGTCGGTCACCCAACACGACCGCAAAGATGCGTGCATATGCAGGGCTTTCGAAATCGCAGGACGCGTATCCGATCCGGCTGAGGGGCCGAGACAGCAACCGTCTGCTGCATGATCAGCCTGGAAGCGCAATCCAGGCTCAGGAGTGTACTCCGGTACTGATCCATGTACGTGACCGACTACCGCCAGTTCATCTCCAACCCTTTTCACTTCAGCGTTGGCAGTCGTTGACCCTCTCAATCGAAACGAGGGTATAGAGCTACCAGTGCGCCCCATGATGCCCCGGACGTTCCCGCAGGCGACCAGGTTCGTAATTACGCAAAGGATGCATTGCCACGAGCTTCCGGACACGAGCTGACTATGCACGCTGCAGGTACCGTACAACGTGCAGCTTCGGTGCCGCTCCACGTAAATCTAGCGGCGCTCCATTGCCATGCCTGGACAGCATGTCCCAACACTTGCTATAGTCCAGTCCAGCGCTACGGCATGTCTTCATTGCTGCCTTGCTCTACTATGCGATAGCATGCGCAGCACGCACGACACACGCCATATGCATTCCGAGATTCTGCCAGCATCCAGTTATGTGACCACTTCCACCGCAATATCAAAGCTCAGGCTGCCGTGCCACTCATTGTAGACTGCAACGTTGCAGTACTCGGCAAAGTCAGGACTTGCCAATACCTGTAGACAACTTTAGCGGTTTCGGCTCAATGTAGCCTACGAGCCTCTGTTGAGCTGACCAAGCACGGACTCAGGGTTTGTGTGCACAGATGCACATCGCTTCGAAACACCTTTGTCAAGGAACGGCAAGCTGGCACAATCAGAATCCTGTGCAATGTACGGTTCTATGTCGCATCATACCTTCTTGCCGCATTTCGGCAGCGGCTGTGGACATTATCATTATAGACAGGAGACTCAGTGCACTTCCCTTTTCGGGATCACGTCCGTTGGAGCTCAAACAGCGCATCGTTAGCACGGGCGACTCAGATTGTACACATTCAGCTAGCCGATTGAACAGCCAAGCTGAAGCTTCCTGGTGCACGTCACCACTGGCATCCAGTGCCTGATAGACACAGCTGCAGGACTGGGGGACATGTCCGTATACACACGAGTCTGAAGTTGGGAGAGCATCTCAGAACCCGTTCTGCTCGCCCGAGTTTCGGCGTTCCCCCACTTTGAGCGGCACCTTCCCGCCGCAACCGCTCGCGCGGACGAAGCTTGTATCCTTCTTGTGTCCTGTAGACGGGAAGCTTGGAAGCAAACAGCGAAGGGCAAATTACGATGAGTAGTACGACCAGGCGTGGGACATAGACAACGATTCAAACAAGCGCTGAGAACATAGTACCAAACCGCCTATGATCAGTGACTAGAATTTTACGCCGCCGCGATGCGCAGTTAACATGTTGATTTCGACACCGACAGCGGGAATAATGTAATGTGGCTCCGGACAGATGCGCACGTCAACGCAGGTAAAGGTGGGTTCTCAATGGCATTCTTAGTCACTCACGCTATCGTCCTTTTACGGCGTTTTATACTTACTCCGCACGCTGACCTTATGCTCACCGTCCATTGAAAGTCAAAGGAGTTCACACACGCTACCAAACGTCTGAGGCAAAGTGCCCGGATTTTGCGGAGTGCACCACTATCTTCGGCCTGTTGGACAGCGAATATCACAATATAGTGACCTGTAGCGCAGACACGCATGATTGTCTTGCTGTTAAAGGAGCTTTCTAGGGGCAAGGGCCGGTGCGTAGAGCAGCCGTGCCTCACGAACCGAACTAGTCTTGCACGTCCCATACGGAGCGCGCCAGCTTGACAGATCCCCCCATCAATCTTGCTTGCCGGCCGCTCATATCGCTACCCTGGGTTGCGAGAGATCTAGCAGATCGACAATGGGCGATCTAGTTCCCAACTTGGCCCCGAAGTTTTCTGACCAATTCGCCCATCTCTCGGATCCGGAGGTTGACAAGCTGGAACAAGACAAGAGCCCGAAACTTGACTCGTCAAGCAGCTCCCTAGATGACGGCCGAATAGGGCCAGAAACCGAGATTCTGTGGCATTATTTGACCTTCGAGACGGAGTTACCACCGCCTGCGGATGTGCGACAACTAACAGTACCAAGCTCCGAGCAGCCACGGCCCGAGGGCCCTAATCTGGTGAAGTATACGTCGCCATTCCTGTGGTCCGAAACACGCAAGAGCCTCTTGACATGGCTATCTGTCGTCTGCACCACGTTCACAGCCTATACGGCGGGGTCATACGAGGCCGCCGTCCCACAGATGACTGAGCTATGGCATGTTTCCGACGTCGCAGCGTCAGTCGGCATCACGATATTCACTTGTGGATTCGCCGTAGCACCGATGGTTCTAGCACCGTTCAGTGAGATCAATGGTCGCCAGCCAATGTTCGTGGTCACGGGCGTGCTCTTCGTCATCTTCCAGATCGTGTGCGCAGTGACACCAAGCTACGCAGGCATGATTGTCGCTCGCTTTCTAGTCGGCTGTGCTGGTAGCACCTTCTCAACGATGGTTGGCGGCGTGGTCAGCGACATATATCATGCGGAAGACCGAAACACTGCAATGGCGCTTTTCTCCGGAGCAGCATTGCTTGGGACCGGACTGGGCCCGCTTGTATCCGGCTTCATTGCACAGCACACTACTTGGCGCTGGGTGTTCTACCTGCAGGTCGTTGTGGATGGAGTGCTGATGGTGTTCATCGTTCTGTTCTTCCAGGAAACGCGTGGTTCAGTCTTGCTGTCGCGCAAGGCTAAGGCGGTCAACAAGTGGTACGAACAGTTGGAGAACGCAGGCTACTTTGGAGTCATGATGCCTGCTGGGCCTGGACTAGAGAAGAAGATCGCACCACAACGGATACGATGGAAGGTCAAGTCGGACGAAGAGCGCGCCAGCCTCGGGAGGATGATCACCATCAGCTTATACCGGCCATTCCATCTTCTATTGACCGAACCCGTGGTCTTCTTCTTCAGCCTCTGGATCAGTTTCAGCTGGGCAGTACTGTACTTGCTGATTGCCGCTATACCGCTTGTGTTCCAAACCAACCATGGCTTCAGCCTCGAGCAGGCCGATGCCGTCTTCACCGCCGTTAGCGTGGCCGCGATCATTAGCACAGTCATAAGCATCTACCAAGAGAAGCTGGCAAGGCGGATACTGAGTCCTGAGCGCTGTGTCGTCCTTGACAGCCCGGAAGGCCGCTTGTACTTCGCCTGCGTGCAGTCTGCGCTACTACCAATCGGGTGCTTCTGGTTCGGCTGGACATCCTTTCCATCCATACCATGGATCGTCCCTGCTTTGGCGACCGGGTGCGCCACAATGGGCATCTTCTCCATCTATCTGGCAGTCTTTAATTACCTCGCTGATACGTACCATCGGTACGCAAGCTCAGCTCTGGCGGCGCAAAGCTTTTGCCGCAACATGCTTGGCGGAGCCTTTCCATTATTTACAAGGCAGATGTTTACCAAGCTGACCTACCAAGGTGCAGGCAGCTTCTTGGGCGGCTTTAGTGCACTATTGACCGTTGTGCCGTGCGTGCTGTTTCTCTATGGACCCAAAATCAGAGCGCGAAGCAAGTTTGCCAGCGAGATCATGAAAGGTAGCAGCGGCGAATAATTCCGTATAGACATGTGCATCGCGCTCATAGCCGCAAACTCGGTCACATTGTGTACTCTCGCTCCAGTACTTGACATCCACAATCTTGGGGAACACGCTCGGAAGTACATATTTCTGTTCGTGAGATAGAGTTGGATCTCGCGTGCGGATGGCGTCCGGCGGGAAGCCACCGAAAGCCACATCCCTGATCCTCGGCGTCACGACTGCATGAGCGCATCACTGCAATAATAACAATGAGGACTTGATGGTGGATTACTTCCACACAACCCTGCAACGGTTACTAGAGACGAGCTTGGCTACTGATAATCGGCAGTCGAGTGAGATCTTACTGACTGCGTAGCCTTGTTCTGACATACGTGGACGTCAACAAGTGCGGCGTGTACTTTGGCACGCGCCCAAGGGCGTCCCGGCATCCCGTCGCTTAGGACCCTTCGAGAGACTGGAGGGTAGCGAGAACCTCTTGATACTACACACAGTTGGATGAGGTTGGGACAAGGTTTTCCGCCAGCATGATAGCATGATATGGTGATGACAGACGCTTCGAGCAACGCTCATGGACCGCTGAAACCAACACTCGCTTCCAAACGCGCTCCGCGCACGCCTCTCACTCCTCGAATCGCAGGCAACGCGGTACCAACGACGAGACCCTTAGCCTCGAAGCCGGCGTCAGCCATATCTACAAAGTCTGAGCCCCTGCGGCTTACGCCACGACTGAAGCAGGAGGAGTCGTCGCTCACGGATGCGCTGACGACCGGCAACGTCACGCCGCGATCTTCAGCCCGGAATTCACGAGCAGACAGCAGTCAGAGCACGCCCACACGGGCAGATGAGACGCCGAGCTTGTCTCGACCGCGTACGACAATAGGTGGCGAGACCGGCGGCGCAATCAAGACGGCACCATGCAATGTAAGGTCTAGTCGAGCGAGCAGTGTGGCGAGCAATAAGGGTTCAGTGAGAGGCCCTTCACCACCCTTGGTACGCTCATCAGGACGCCTCGATCTCCACCAGGCAGACGAAGATGGTGGCACTGATAGCCGTTTCTTCCATGCGAGCGACGTAACGAAACAAGAGGCCCCGCCGAAGAAGGTAGCGAACCGGAAAACGCCGACATTCTTCTATGCAGACGGCAAGCTGGAGAATGGCAAACGTACTTCACCTCGATCAACTTCTCCGGTCCTATCTGCAGTTTCGGAGAAACGCTTCTCGGCTTCCAGGATACGTCCAGATACAGCATCGAATCCGTCTCGGAGCCCGCCAATGCTTTCACCCGCTCTAAGCTCTGTGTCAACCAACTCACCCTTCTTCACCGCCGCAGTCGGCCACCAAAAGCCGCGCTCGCCATCGCCGAGCAAGGAAAACATTCACCTGTCCTACCGTAAAGGCGCATCCCAAATCATTGGTACGCGGCCTCCACCGCGCGGCACCGATGGCTCTTCGAATCTGCAGTCTCTTACCGAAGAGAGACGAAGCAGTCTTTCCAGCGCTTTCACACCTCACCGCAAGTCGCCAAGTCTATCTTCGATCGATTCAGGCCATTCCACTCAGTCGCGACGTCGTTCGGCCACGCATATCGATACGACGCCAACACCATCTCCCCTTAACCACGAGGTCAAGTCGGCGACGATACCACGCATGACGAAGCAAGCGCCATCTATTGACACAGCCCTAACAAGCGAAGCGTCCTCGGCCACCGAATCCATGTTGAGTCCGACCAAATCCGTGTCTGAGCTCGCTGCCGATGCTCGTCGAGAGCGCAAAGTGCTCGATCTGGAGATCTCAAACAGCTCTTTGCTCGCCATTAACTCTTCCCTTGAACGCGAAGTGCGACGACAGAAAGCAGAACTCAAGCGCTTCCGTCGGCTGTCGCGCGCAGGACGCTTTTCCTTCCATGCGAGTGGACGCTCAGCACGGTTCTCCGAAGGTTTATCTGTGCATGGCGAAGACGAGATTGAGGACGGTGATTACGCCGCTTTCGGACCGCCGTCGGGCTTCACCGATGTGTACGATGACTTCAGCGACGATGATGAGAGTGAGAGCACCGCCTCTGGCGCGCCTTTGAGCCCAACAGCTTCAGCGAATCGGGAAAGCGACCGCTTAGTCAAAGACGAGCGGCGGCTGCGCGTTGATCTGGAGAAGCACAAGGAGCTTCTTGTGCAAAGCCAGATGATGAACCAGAGTCTAAAGCGCTGTACGTATGCTACGGAGCAGATGATACGGGACGGCAACAGAGCACTAGTATATAGGGTCAAAGTGTCAGACGTCAAGCTTGGGGGTCGGATCCTGAGCGATCGCAACGAGGACGAGCTAGACGAAGTCGATTTCGAAGAGGACACGCAGTCAGGTGCGGAGGATTTTGATCACGCAAAAGACTTCCTTGAGACATGGCGCGGTGTTGGTGGAAGGGTGACATTCGACAGCAGTGAAGGCGGTGACAGAGACTCGGGGATTGAAGTTGAGAAACCAGCTGGGATGCCCAGTGCGGAGGATGAAGGAGCAATGGAAGACAGCGGCAGGCCGCCCGATGGTGTTGCCACGTGACGCTCGCTCGGCGGAAGGCGCCCATTGGTTAGTATGTTGCTGCAGACTAAGATACCCCCCTTCCCGTATGTGCTTTGGAACAATTGGCGCGTGATGTATCTCTCCTCTATGTCTACATATGACAGCAAAGCTATGATCTGCTACATGCTCTTCTCCCAAAAGCTGGTCATGGCACCGACGCACCCTTCGGCGTTCACAATCGGTACGTCGTGAGCTCCCTTCAGCGTCACTACCTTCACGTTCTCCGAACCCAATGCCGCTGTCGCGTCAGGTCCAACTTCTTCTGCAATTATGACTTGATCGTCACGGCCTAAGAGGATCAACACTTTCCCCTCTTTCAGGGCCTCCCTACTTGCAGCAGCTGAAGACGGAGAGGCTCGCTGCGCTGCCTGCCGACTCCCAATCATCTTCCATCGCTCATGCTGCGCTGTGATGGGTGCATGCTTCAATGAAGACGAGAACGATGGCGCGAAACCGGGATGTACTCTGGCCAGCCACGCCACCGTCTGAAGCGGAGAAATGTTCGGACGACCTGGGAACAATAAGGCTGTGGAGTGCTCCGCATGCGCGGGATGCGCAGGGACCTCGGACTCTGCAGCTTTGGCCGGATCGGTTTTGCTGTCTTTTCTCGCTGCCATATGCGTGGGGCCTGCTGCCAGACGCCTCCTTACGACAGCGTTCACGAGCGAATGCGGCACTACATCTCCGTACAGTAGCTTACTGCTGAAGCTGATATGGTTGAGTCTGATCAGACCAGCAGGCGCAATCAGGGTCAACGATCCAACAAGTCGTGGGAAGTAGTACGTGAAAGCAGCAGCTATACAGCCACCGAGCGAATAGCCCACTAATGTGAACCGCTCCGATCCCGTCCATGCCAGATCAGACGACGCAAGGACGAGCAATATCTGGCTGGTGAAGAGCCTTATGTCCTGGTGGTACTCTTCCGGGTCAGGTGCGTCAGAGTAGCCTCGCCCGAAGAGATCGAACAGCATCACCCGACAACCATGACCATCGACAAGTCGTTTGGCCAGGCCTGCGAACGCTATACACGGAGTGGTGATACCATGCACGAACAGCACTTTGCGCCCATCTTCTGGGCCCCACTCGTACACACGAATGTTGCCGTACGGTGAGTCGACGTCTCTGGCTCCAGGTAATGCATCTGGGGGATAAGGTAAATCGTCAAGTTCTTGCGCACTGAGAAGTTGAAGGGACTTCCTCGGAGAGACAAAGATTTTTGGATTTCGCTCTCTGGGATGTGATGAGCTGAGCACTGTCCATAGTGCCCGCGCGGTGTAGTAGGTTAGGATCGGTGTAGTAAGAGCAATGTAGAAGTTCCGTCTGTCGCGTATGTCAAAATGCTGCAACCAGGTGGTCATGTGTTGCAGAGACATCGCAGTGGTCGTCGCAATCAGACGCTTTGGGCCAATGCGCCTTAGATATGCGGAGAGACTGGCCTGGGCGGGAGAAGGATGCTCAGACTGTTCCTGAAGGAAGAAGTCCTGGGGTTTACGCTTCGTGCTTGATAGTGTGGGTCTGCGGATCATGTTGCCGTACCTCGGTACATCTCTATCGACGTTCTGCGATGAGAACGCATGAGCTTCCAGAAGCACAACCATTGCGATTGTACTTTTGCAGAATTTCGCCATAAGAAGTCGTGCGGGAAACGAGACGGTGTATGACCTGCGATGCCCATCAGCGCCACGCTTGCTACCTCGTTAATGCATAGCTCATATACCGCGCCAAACCCGTCCCCACCTGACTTGCATCCCTACAACTTGACGCCCCATATGCCACGACCAGCGCAGACACCGAGCCAGTCACCGCCTTGCGCCGTAAGCGCACTTTGCGGCGCCCAGCTGACATTCCCAACTTCGTAATCGCACCGCCAGCTGGCCGACGGTCCCTTACCTTGCACTTCTCCGGCGGCGCTCACCATGCCGCTTCCGTTAAGCGCGGGGATGGCAGCCTGGTTAGAGGAATTGAGGAGGTCCCAAGTCAAGACTAGCGAGTCGTCTGCGCCTGATGCAAGCATGCCTCTTCGGCTGGGGTTCCATTCAACGCTGTTAAGGTTCCCTTGATGGCCGCGCAGCTCCAAGAGAGCTGTGCCCGGTTGTCGAACGTCCAGGATACGAACGAGGTTGCTTTCGGAGGCGAAAGTGGCGAGCAAATGTGCATCATGCGGAGATGCTGCAAGGCGGAGCAAGGGCGGCGCCGTTTGCATGGTTTGACCTTGGCCCTTTGTTGGTGACGATGCCGATGGTGATGTGGCTAGGGCTAGTTAGCGTTGGCCATTACTTGATGCTTGCATATATACACTTACGCTTGTCCGTCTTCTCCGCCGGCTCATAGATGATGGTCGAGTGCTCTAGACTTCGCAAGTCGAACATGCGAACACTACCATCTGCGCCACACGAGACGAAGACATCCACGGAACCAGCACAAAATCGTACGTCGAATACCTCCTTATCGTGCGCAATCAGCTGTGTTTTGGCGGTCAAGGTCGGTATATCCCAGATGGTGCAGGTCGTGTCGATGGACGAAGTAATGATTAGCTTCGGTGAGAGCGTGTTCCAATCCAAAGATGTCAAGGGCGCGGTATGCTCAGGCGTCTTGCTATTGGACAACAGTGCCAAGGGCTGCAGTTTCTGCGGCGCAGGGTCTCGCAAATTTGCCGTTGCGCTGCGGTTGATGTTACTCGAGTGCGGTGTGGATGGTTGCGGTAGGCTCCATAGCCGCAGATGGTCACCACTTGTCGCTAGTAAGTCCGTACTCGTCTTCTGCGAGCTAGGCGGCTCCCACAATATCCGTGTAACAGGGTATGCGCAGGTGGCTTCTGCTACCTTTGAGTACTCCAGCCCGTATGGTGGTGTACCTGGTACGGTTACCTCTTGAGGTATTATATGCGTGTCCAGTATCTGTATGAAGTTGTGCGGATCTTCTAGGTAGCTCCCAATGGCCATCTTGCCAGCGCTGCCAGCACCCATTACCGGCCATTTACACCAATCGTATGCATATGTTGGGAATGGTGCCAAGTAGTTTGAATTGGTGGGAGCATCTGAGTACGCGAGCATTGACCCTGGTCCACCTACACTCTCATTGGCGTCACTAACGGCACGGGAACGTATGTCCGTGAGATTGAGCGGACTGTGCGACGGTCCAGCCGGAGTGTGCGTGTGTGAAATGTTATATGCCTTTGGGTTGGATATATTCGGTGTCTGCGTCGGAGTCTGGTTGAACGGGACGTATCTTTGCGAGGCACCATTGTCCATACCAGACGGACTGCTCCTCGAGTGACTGTGCAAAGTACCGGACCGCTGCGGTTGCGACTGCATGGTCGGCACCGTGGTCGGTGCAGTGTAGGCCGATGATGGGCCGGGTCTTGAGGTTCCACCAGGTTGAAGTGTATTGGGTACATTAGAAGGCACTACGCTCGAGGGTTGCGAAGCATGTGGTGTGGCCTGCTGGAGACTGAACGCAGGTGGAGCATTGGCAGTATATGCCAGCTCCTGGTAGACAGCAGCGGGCTGAGGAGAGTATTGCATGGCTGTGTCTGCTCGAAGATCGTATGACTGCCTCTGTGTATGCGCTCGGCGTGGTGCTCCGAATTGCTGGGCTTCATTGGGCATGGCAGACACTGGCGCAGACATTGGCGCTGAAGGATCCATGGCCATCCTACCGGACTGGACTGGGAGCGCCATATCCATCTCTCGATCACCTACATCCGCGCCGTTGCCCGCGAGGTCGCTCATAAAACTGTCCGTACCGGACGCAGTCGTCCCTAGCCTTCCAAGGTTCGGAATGCCCACCGCGCCTAGTGTACCACCCACTGGGAAAAGACCAGAAGAGATACTGTATCCAGATTGTGTCTTGGCGCTGTTTGGTTGACCACTCATGCTTCAGCCAAGGTTAGAAGAGGGTATCCGAGCTATCGTCTTCGTTGCAAGGCACACACACACATGCGGATCACATGCAAAGCGGGCCTTGAGTGCACGGACCAGATATCGCAGATCTCAGACAACACTGCTCCTTCGTGATTGCAACACTTACTCATCCCATTCCTGACAAGTTTGGCTGCCAACGAATCACACATGCTCCGGCATGTGCAACATCACGTCCCCGTCACCGCTTTGGCCTATCTTGGTGGCGATGTGATCCTGTCTGGCGAAGGCCACCTGCTGCGGGCCTATGGTACTACGATACAGAGGCAGTTGGCTAGTATAGCAACCTTCTCTCGTCAGGCCATACACGGCATCATTATCCCGCAGCGAGAGGCTGCCACCTTCGCTCTAGTATGGGGTGGGTCACTTATCAGATCCGTGAAATGCTTGGAAGCGTCTGAGGGACGTCTATCCCTCGAGCTGGGCTCGCTGAGCGTCCTCGATGACTGGATCCTGGACGCAGCCTTTTCGCCAGGACAATATCTCGCACTCGTTACGGCCCACAATGCTCTTGTCGTCACCCACAGATCAATACTCAATAGGGAGGCCCATCCGGCGGATGATGTGCTTATGCCGCTTGTTCCAGGCTCAAATTGCATCCTCTATTCAGCTCACATACAATGGCTAAGTGCTTCTCATTGTCTCATTACATCAGGCACCGCTTTTGGAGACGTTATTGTCTGGTCCGCTACTATCTCATCTCAAGCTGACGGCAAGCTACGTGCGGAGTCTCAAACACACTATACATTCTCTGCTCACGACGGGTCTGTCTTTGGCGTACGCACATCGCCGCCGTTGTCTAGCTCCGGCGATCGCAAGTCGCTGCTCGCGACATGCAGCGACGATCGCTCAGTAAGGATCTGGGATATTTCCGATCTGTCAGCAGAGAGTCCGTCTATGGAACAGCTTCAACAGGAAACCGGCTTCGGCGCTAAGCAGACCGTAAGACAGCACAGCCCCAACCGTGTTGCAAGCGCCATGGGTCACACATCAAGAATATGGCAGGTCAGATTTCTGCCTCCGAATGTCAGCACCCAGAATGTACTACAGATTATGTCCTTCGGTGAAGACGCATCAAACATCAAATGGTCGCTCCTCTCGCCAACCGCTGCCAGTACGGTCAGCACATTGCGGCAGGACGGTGTCGAAACTGCCCATCAAGGCAAGCATATTTGGTCTGCCGCAGTATCGGTCGACAACTCTATCGCCACTGGTGGAGCAGATGGAGCTGTTGCTCTCCGTCCAATCCACCGGCGGCAGGCGATTACCCGCAAGGTTGATGATACCTTGTTTTCAGGCCCTTCTGGCACGGACAATGTCAAGTCATACTGCTTCGTTGACAGCAAGACCTTGTTTGCCACTACCGCAGAAGGTATGATGATCACTTTGCGGATCGAAGACGATGACTTGCCTAGAGTCACGGAAGTCTCACCGCCGCTTACCGGGCTACAGAAGTACTCTGTAAGCATCAGTGTTTCGGGGATTGCGTTCGCCGCAGGTACCGAAGGCGTAGTGTATATGTACACTCATGAGCACCGGCGAGTGTTCGAGATCGTGAAGCTCGGCCGCAAGGCAGCGGGCTTGTTCGCCGACACAGCGAAAAGGCCTAACGATCAGGATGAGGTTTGTCTGCTGATCACAAGCGTTGGTTGTACAGCGGCCACCTTGTTGTTCCTAGCGCCCTACCTCGGTCCCAACATCGACCTCGTGCCAGTTCTGCAGCAAAAATGGCAGTTTGCTCTGCCGCAGACCTTTGTCGTGACGAGCTTCACGCAATTCGCTGTGGAAGGCTGCCGTAGCGTGGCATTAGGTGCCCGGAACGGCGCCATTTGCATCTTCGACATACCAAGTGCCCATACATCAGAGGCAGTGGAGCCGTCAGTCACTCTACCACACTTATGTGCAGCCGAAGCCGTGACATCCCTACACTGGATGCTCGACGAATGGGCATCTTCCGAAGGGTACCTACACTGCACCAAAAGGGACAGCACACACGCGGTGTACTCGTTGCGCAACACGGAGCTTGGCTGGGTGGCTCAACTCGTTCACCAGCTCACACTGCCCTTTGGTCCCAACATTGAGGGTTTGTCCTTCCGACAAAAACAGCGTGTCTGCATCTGGGGCTTTAGAAGCAAGCACTTCATCGTCTACGACGTAACCGCACAACGAGAGATCATGACCGTTGAATGCGGCGGTGCGCATCGCTTTTGGGCATTCGCACCAGCTGATGAAGGTGGTACCCTCGTGTGGACGAAGGCATCGCAGCTTTTCCAGCAGTCTCAGACCAAGCTAGCGTACAATCTCATTAGTTCAGGCGGACATGGTAGGGAGATCAAAGCGGCTGCCGTCTCATCTACAACGCCGCAGCTAATTGCCACTGGCGCTGAAGATACGAACATCAAACTTTGGAGTACCAGTGGTGAAGCCAGCTTGCTGTGCTTGCAGACTCTCCGGAAACACAACACGGGCATACAGCACCTGCAGTGGTCGAACGATGGTCGCTATTTATTCTCTAGCGGCGGCTTTGAAGAATTCCACGTCTGGGCTGTCACGCTTGATGTGCCATATATCGGCGTTGGTGTGGTCTGCCAAAGCTCACATCCACGTAGTGGCACCTCTGACTTACGTATCATGAGCTTCGACATAGAGAAACAGGACGAAGTGGAGGCCGCCTTCACCATTGTCATGGTGTACTCCGACTCCACCTTGAAGCGGTGGAGCTACAACTGCGAGAACGGGGATTGGCGGCTTCTGGCAGAAGGCGACTATCTTACCGCTTGCTTGACGAATGTACATACCATCGATGCGGACAGTGGCAAGCTCATGACTGCCGCGACCGACGGTAATCTTTCGCTGTGGACCTCTGACAACTCCAGCTTGGCGTTGCGTTGGCATACAAGACACTCAGTCCATCAGAACGCGATACTGATTGCTATCACTCATACGCTTCCCGACGGCTCGATCATGGCGATCACAGGCGGCGACGATAACGCGATTGGCATTACGCGGATCTCTGGAGCAGGCAGCGAACCGAAGACGTTGCTCGTGTCACGCGCTCACGCAGCTGCCATTACTGGACTCGTCATCGTCCCAGCTGGCGAGGCGACTCTTATGCTTGCGTCAGCCGCTATTGATCAGCGCGTGAAGCTCTGGCGGGTCGATCTAGACTTTGCTCAACCTGGCGTTCATGGTGTGGACCTCAAGTTCCTAGCAAGTGCCTCTACTGCTGTTGCTGATGTCTCTAGCCTGACTATGCTACGGCCCGAGGACCAAAACGCACGCTTGCTGGTGTGTGGTGTTGGAATGGACATTTGGACAGTTGGAATATAAGATCCCGAGGCAGTTTTGCTACACAATGCTCCTGGTAGGGTTCGGGCGGTGTCCGAGCACTACAGACACTTCCCCAGAAAAAGTGCTTGGTGCCGGTCGCACCTTCCAGAAATAATCACCGCGCCTTCCACTTTGGCCGTCTCTCCCTTTCAAAACGAAACTAGCGGGAGTCTCTCATAACTGCACATCGCCTCCCTGATAAGCTATTTAACGCAACTCGTATTCTATGCATTGCACTTTTGCATATGATCACAGCTCCACAGGACAAGTCGAACTGGCTGGCTCCCCTGCCATGTGGGCGAGGTTCTAACCCTGACAAGCATGTCAGACCCGAGAGAGAAGCGATTACCATCTAAGCAGCGTCTTCAAATATTCGCAAGTTGTTGATGGAGGCGCCGGCTTCCCGCGCCAACTCCAACGCGAGTGGAGAGTTGCGAGCCCACTGGTCTACGGGTGCTAAATGTCTGTACGTGAACCGGTAAGGCAAAAGTCGTCGACCCGCGGGTTGCAAATCAATATGCTGTGATGTTGTGGCAAGTGTTGCGCAACCATTTCTCAGCTACGCGTTCGCCTTGTGGAGACCGACCGTTGGTTGGCCTGATCACGAGACAGGTACGCACGACTCGGCCTTGCTAACGTTCTCCACGCGCTGGGATTGTGGAGATTGCGCAGAAGCACCGGCGGCGTTGTTTCAGATCATAATGTCCCGATCCAAGGAAGCTCGCCAACATCAGTAATACCTCTTGTCTTGTAGCTTCACTGGCATTGGCGCAAGGCTTGACAATGATATGATAACATGAGCGAACATATTGTCATAATAGCCCTCTCAACGATGTCTTTTGCTTGGAGCGTCGATCAGCCACTCACGATAGGGTCAGATTAGACGCGTCATTGCCTACTACGGGTGCAGGGGTCTACATGTAGGTACGCTTTTGCATTCTCGCCTGTGTTTCAGCATTGTGAAGCAGAGAGTTCTCCTAAGCGCAGGAGAATGATATAGTTAGACAGACAGAGCGTTCGTAACAATGGAACGTTCACAGCCATGGCAGCGACTACCGTTGCACATAAACACGTAGTGAGGCGAGAACGCTGAATTGGAGATGGCTTCGCTTGGCAAGGCTGGCTTACGTGTCGACGTACGGAGCGTACGCGGCCGACCGGTTCACTCTTGTGCTTTCGCAACCGTTGTGCTTCCCTATCAGACTCGAATACTGCTGCACAAAGTATACCGCCGTTCTCCTCGTCGTCCATATTGTCTACATTGTGTTGTGGTGGTGTTCCTGGTCGCTGTGGTATTTGGGGTGTCGTGGAGCAGGCGCAGCTCGTCGGCAAAAGGATCAGCCACACCGCGCGGCCGCAGCTCATCCCCTCACTATCTTCGATAACCACCTTTTCCCACTCATCACGACTGCAGTGACTGCAGACACCACCGACGGCGACCGGGTCAGCAAACATGGCGGATCCTGCTCGCAATGGCGTTCCAAGGCGAAAACCAGTCCCACAGTCGAGACAGGCAGCGCCGCTACCGGACAACTGGGCAGCAGATTTGACGACGCAGTTCCGGCGCACATTGTCCTCGAAGCGCATGAACGAGCTGAGCGGCAGGTCCTCCTCCCAACGGCGCTCTTCTGCGCGCATATCTACCGATTACTTTGTCGATCGATCACCGCCGCCACAACTACCGCCTCGGCACGCATACGACGAAGCAACCCAGCTTTTCTCGTCTCCGCCTCCACCATTACCCGCACGAGCGGCACCGTCTGTGCCTAATGTCCCCGACCACTCCCACCAAGAAGCAGCGCCTCCGCTGCCGCCGCCACCCGCTTACAGCACGCTGAAGAACCTACCAACCGTACCCACTCCGCCTGAAGACCAGAAATCGCTTCGCTTCCGTAGCCAACTTTTATCACTATCGAATACGCCGTGCAAATGGGAGAACCCAGGTCTGCTAGACGAAGCGATGAGCGTGATCCCGCTGCAGCGGATATACGACCAAGCCCAATACGAGGCCGACTTCTTCGTTGCCGAAGCCGCCTCAATGGGCCCGCACATAACCCCACAATGGGATTACCAGGACTGCGTGGTTCGAGCGTTGATGAAGTGGTTCAAGCGCGAGTTCTTCGAGTGGGTCAATAACCCGCTGTGCTCGACCTGTCGGACACGGACTGTCGCTCGCGGCATTACCGCGCCATTACCCGATGAGTCTGCTCGTGGTGCGAGCCGCGTGGAACTCTACCAATGCGCGAACCAGCACTGCCTGTCGTACGAACGATTCCCGAGGTATAATGACGCTTTCGTCCTGATGCAGACACGACGTGGACGATGCGGCGAATGGGTGAACTGCTTCAGCATGCTTTGCCGGGCCGTGGGCAGCAGAGTGCGGTGGGTGTGGAATGCAGAAGATCACGTTTGGTCGGAAGTGTACAGCGCTCACCGTAAGCGGTGGGTGCATGTGGACCCTTGCGAGGAGCAATGGGATACACCTTTGCTTTACTCACACGGTACGTCCCAGCTCCTTTCGCCCCAGCGATTGTCCTATGCTAACGCTTTTACCAGGCTGGGGCAAGAAGATGTCCTACTGCATTGCCTTCTCCGCCGAGGGCTGCTGCGATGTTACACGACGCTACGTTCGAAGCCCCGCGGAGCATGCACTGCCACGCAACCGCTGTTCTGAGGGCGTACTGATGCACATCACACGTGAGATCACCTCGCTACGTCGCCGCGACATGGACAAGAAGGAGAAGTTCCGTCTCAATGCCGACGACATGCGAGAAGACACCGAGCTGAGGAAGATGATCATCGAAGCGCTCGCGCTCAACATCAGCCGGATACTACCGGGCAGTACCGGTACCCGGCCGATTGACGCAGACGCGCAAAAATCGCTGGAAGGCAGACAATCTGGTACGGTGGAGTGGGTGCGCACGCGAGGCGAAGGAGGTAACCAAACGACCGGACCACGCAATCAACATCAGCAATGAGTACCTGAAGGGTTGACATGCCACGACGTTATAACGTAATCGAATCTTCTCCGCGATCTAGCATGGCGCTTTCTGGATCTTCCGCGTAGCTTTATACACCCTGCCGTTTTTTATAGCACTGTTGGCTGAAGACTTGCTTGGAGTTCTTCGAGTGCGTGGCGCTCAGCACTGGAGCATGGGCGCTTGCTGTTTGGTGCATCTGTTGGCGCAATTGCAGGATGGCGTTGAAAGCGAGGGGATTCCACGGAAGGCAGCCTAGTCTACGCGTTGTACGGCTCTTGTTTGTTGCAACGCGGCTATGATCGAAGAAGTACCGTTCACTGACTATGAGAAAGGAGGCTTTGGATGGTCAAAATTACTATTTATGCTGTAGCAGATAAGGGGTGCACAAACCCATCACCATTTGCATTCATCGTGCTTTCGCGAGGATTGCTCCTCCTCAACATCGAGTGCGGTGCTGAAATACCAAGTTCTTTTAGTCTCTGCCAGGGGAAGTCCAGACTACATGTACCCTCTACCTGTGTGCGGCGTGCACGTGATCGAACGCCAATGCCTCGAAACGGCAGGCACGACTGACTAAGCCTGGTGATGCTATACATAGCTACAAGCCATGTGCCTTCATCCCACGTGTGCTAGTTCAAACATGGCTGTAGATGCGATGGAGTCAGTGTAGCATTTCTTGCTGACTTGGCGACAAGGCAAAGGATGCTAACGGCTCAGTGACAACCCATAAAGTTTGTGCGCGTGGTTTGCGATGCAGGGCAAGATGACGCTCGGATTCAGGGCAGGCCGCCACGGCTGTGTAAGTACCCTTTGCGATCAACCAAAATAACAGTGAACAGTCCCTGGCGCGCGTGCGAGTACATAGAAGCCCTTCAGAGATACAGAAGTGCGAGCGCGTGCAGCCGATCATTGAGCCACACGAAGGCGGTATCATCTGCGGCGGGCAAGGCGTTGTCAGCCTTCATTAACGGCGTGTAAACGAGGCTGTGTCAAGCCTTGGCCCAACGACCGCGTATGGTAAAGGCTCACAGTGCTACTCTGCGGCGTCGACAGCAGCTGGAGAGCCTCACATAAGGCAGCTGTTTCCTTCCCCTCTATTCGCGTACCTTCGTAGACTGTTGTCTTCGCTCTCTACCTCGTATAACTTCTACCGAGTAACTAGCAAAGATGGGAAAGGCGGGCAGAATAGCTTGCATGTGAGCAGAGACCCAACCGTGCCCGCGCTCGACTGGATACTGATCAAGGCATTACAGCTTCACGCCATGGGCGTTGACCATAGCGTCCTTCGTCTGCCTCATCCTAATCGAAGTCTCGGGCTGGGGCTCAAAAGGAACCTTCAACAGTTTCTACTTCATGGAAGCGAACTTCACCAACCTCACCACAGCCTCCGCAAGTACGCTTCAGAACACCACCACCCTCACCGCCGCACTAGAACTCGCGAAGAGCGAGGGTAAGCTATCGGAGATCTACCAGGTCCATCTCTGGAATTACTGCTCGTCCAAGAGCAGCGACGGCGACATCGACTACTGCTCACCGAAAACTGCGCACTTCTACTTCGATCCAATCGCGATATGGGCGTTGAACGGCAGCAATGCTACGTCGACATCAGGCTCAGGCTCCAACACTAACGCAATTACGACGGAGTTGTCGAAGTTGCAGAATAACACGGAGAAGTTGGAGAACGAAATGCTAGGCAAGAGCGGTCAGGCGGCGGTGGATGCATACCGGCACGTGGCAATATGGATGTTCATCGCGTATGAGATATCATTCTGGACCACGCTGGCCACGATAGTGTGCGGCATCTTGGCCATCTTCAGCCGCATCGGCAGCTTCTTGACATGGCTGTGCAGCATAGTAAGTCGTGGACGGCAATTGTTGCCCTTCTGTGCGCGCTGACTGAGCGTATAGGCCTCAACTCTATTCACCTTCGCCGCAGTCCTCACCAGCACTATCCTCTTCGCCGCTCTAACGGGCGCCCTACAAGGCATACTGCACCCCTACGGGGTCAAGCTTTCACTTGGCACCCAAGCCTTGACCGTGACCTGGCTCGCCGTAGCATTCTCGCTGGCAGCGACACTGTTCTGGCTATTTAGCGTCTGCTGGTGCTCCGGTCGCAGCAACCCCCATCACCGATCAAACAAAGGTGGGCTCTGGAACGCCGAGCCGAAGGGCCAAGGCTACGGCGACTACAGTCGCGGCCGCGGTCTTCGCGTCGAGAAGACCGGTGGCTACGAGAGGGTGTCGAGTCCAGTTTGGGGTGGAGCCGATGTGCCGCTGCATGATTACTCGCAGAGGGGTCATTCGAGCAACCCTAGTGGAGCGTTCGAGTCGATGAGACACCATCAGGGCGCGTAATGTGTCACGATGGCCAATGCATTGGATGAGGCGTTGCGATGAGGCGTATGGCATGCAGAAGCTCATAAGCGCATAGCGATGCGGCGTTCGAGAGCTGTATGCATTCTGCGTTGCTGTATCAACGGTCTCCCAGAGGCCTTTCCACGATCGCTACTTCTAATGGCTTTTCAGGATCCGTATCCGCCTCATCCTCCAACGGTACGATGCCCAAGATCGGACGGTAGTTGAAGGTGAGCCAATATCTGCGGTGCGCTGCATGGGTACCGTTCGGCTTAGGCGCCTCGCCTGCAGAGTCACCGCTTCGCAAGCGTGCCAGCTGCGAATTCCCACCATTCTCGAGCTCGTCATCGTTTTGCGCCACCTGCGCTAAAGAGTGTAGGTCCACGTTTGTGGCACGGCCGTTCTCCACACGTATTATAGTGTCAGGTGTTCCAAGTGACTGATGCTGTTCGGTTCTGTCGCCAGCACCGCTGCTGATCCTTGGCCGCTTCGTGGCGTCCTCGCTTTCGTCGCCGCCCTTTGGCTTCCTGCGCTTTCTCTTCAAGGACCGCTCATTAAGGTCCGCTATATCGCCGCCTACATTGAGCATGAACACCCAGCTGCTACCGTAGAGCCAGAGCCTTTCGCGTTCACGCGTCACGTCCCAGACGAAACCTATCGCTCGGTCTTTGATCTGCCAAAACTCTTCTGGCAACGCAGCAGTGGGATTGCGCTTACTCCATTCGTCCAGTCTTCCGGCCAGCACGTCAAGCTCGTACATCTGATGCCGGGCTGTTAAGACCCACAAGCGATACTGACCACGCGGTAGTCCGTGCCAATGAGCATGCGGGTCATGGCGTGTGGCATGAACGCCAGGGTTACCATTAACAATCGCAGCAGGCTTTTGTGGCTGAGGTCTGAATGTGAGTATTAGCGGCGCAGTATCCAGCTTGGGCAGCATGTGTGTGGATGGGCCGGTCGACCAATGCTGGCCATAGAAAATGACTATCCCATCCTCATCGTCGTCGCCCGAGCTGTCATCAAGTACCATTCGTCCATCTTCTGACGTGGCCTTCTGCAAGTCGTGCTTCGCCTTGTCGACTGCGAGTGCAGTTACGTCTTCGTGACCGTTTAACACCCAGCAGTCCAGGCAACCGCTTACATCTCCAGCTGCTATTACTGAACTGTCACCCGAGAATGCAAGCCTGGTGATGGTCCGGTCATAGTCCCTGAATGCGCTAGGTGTCGTCCTGCGGTGCTGCCTCTCAAGCTCGACAGTCTCTGGCAGGCACACAACTCGCTTGGGTTCGTCTTCGTCCGCTGCAAACCGGGCTAGGTGCACCTCGCGTTCGGGTGTCACACCAGCCAACCACTTGTTGTCCGGCGAGAATGTAAGCAGACGTGCGCCGAGCATTCCGAACTCAGTTGGGATGTCTATTTTTCGCACAGCCAAAGCGTCACCCCCAAGTCGCTTGCGGAGCTGGAAGACCTTAATCTCGAAGCTGGTGGCAACCGCAAGCAGCTTACCGTTGGCCGACACGGAAACATGGCGGATGCGGTGTGATACGTCGAGCGCAAGCTTGGCGACGAGCTTACGAGGTATTTGCGGTTCCGTCATATTCCCTTCCCCAGCCTGCCGCGCAATGCGCCAGATGTAAATTTGTTTGTTCCACCAGCTGACCAACAGTCTCGCTCTCGGCGCGCTCGCAACTCTCAATTCTTGAGGCAGCCCAGGCAGCGTTCGATGATTTTCCTTGCTAAACTCTCTCATCGGTGTAAGCACGGGTGCAACGTCTCGGCCTCCAGACACGACAACGCTTAGTCCGGCTTTCGCATCGAAAGAAGCCAGCACCTTAGCCTCGCCTTGATGCACTCGACGCTGCCCAACTTTGCCCCAGCTTCGACGAGCGCCATCACTGCCCGCCTGTCTAAACATCGCGACTTTGCCATCCAGGCTGCTGGAGAAGACTGTCCTGCCGTCCGTACTCGTCGTAATGTCTAAGCAGTCACAATCATGTCCCGACAGTCGCTGCAGCAGAGCGAAGTTCCTTCCGTCCCAAAAGCGCAATTCTCCATTTGAGTCACATGAGACAAGGTCACCGTTCGCCAGTGTTCGGACCTGCCAGACAATTGCCGTCTTCGGCGCACCCGGTACGCTGGTGCCCAGATACATTTGCCGTATTTGCGTTCCGTTGCGAGTGTCGAAGACCCTCAAGACGCCATCGGCAAAGCCTGCAACAACCACGTCTTGGTTTTGGTATGCAATGCACATGCAGCGCGAGCGCTTGCCGCTTACTCGAGCCAGGAAACGTTTGAATTGCAGGTCATTATCGGCGGTACTTAGCAAAACAATGGTACCGTCAGCGCAGCCGGCGATGATGTCTTGCGCTCTGGCAGTCTCCACCAAGTTCTTACTCGGTTTCCACCTCGGCTGCACGCCGAAGCACCACACCTCACTGAAGTTACCGGTCGACTTTCTCTTCACGTCACCAGTGGCAAGGTCCCATTCTATGACATCAGGCGACGCCGCAATGGAGAACAATCGTTGCTGGCCTGGAGTTACTTCGTCTCCAGCAGTATCCTCGTCTGGATCTTGAGTCCAGGCAAGGCCATCAATGCTTTTCCCGTCGCCAACGAAGGTAGTCTCATGCGCCCATATGCCTCTCAATGGGTTCCACAGCTCGATATCTCCGTTTGCGCGACCTATAGCAAGTCTTAGAGCCGGCAGAGGCCCTGCGTAGCCGCTGTCATTGGACCGTGAGAAGGCGAGCGCTGATATTGCCGATGCCGGATACGGTACGAATCTCGAGCGATGGACGTCCATAGTGTGCGTCTGGCTGCTCACGGGCGGGGGAGGGTCTCCATATCCGCGGAAGTCTCTATGGTGGTAGTAGCTGCGATATCTTCGAAGCAATGTGCTCGATTTACAAGCCAAAATTTCTAGCCCACGCACGATAAGGTTTTCGGCTCCACGTCCCGCGCCAGGCGGCGTGCGTAGCGCGAGCCTTCACCGAGCTGTCGGAATTGCCAAGGCTTCAAACATGTCCACAGTGCACGAGCAGTCGACAACGACAGCGCAAGGACGAGAACATGAACGCAGGCTTGTTAGATGCCGCAAAAAGCTATGGTATACGAACATGGGTATCTGGTGCTAACAACATAAGCAAGACCACACCCATCTTATCCACCGACTGAAGATCGTTCGCCTCGCTATTGTAGCGCAGCAGCAATGACCTTCTTTAATATTGTGCAAACTTGGCCGATGCACTGTAGTGATGCTTGTTGCTTTTGAGCCGCTCCACCTTCGCTAAAAATATTTTAAGCCTCACGATACGCCGTAGACCGACCCAGTCCTCGTTGAGGCAGGCTCGGCCGGTGTAGTCGGATAATACAGATGAGATGTTAGCCCCCTCAAAGCAACGCTTGCAATGCTAGTGACGCTCATACACGGTTATACAAACAGTAGCTGGTGCCCATGAGTCCAGTCGGCCTGGATGGTGCAGACGTTAGATCATTCAGATCTATCGCTATTGGACAAATTGTGGTTGCGGGATATATTGTGGCATCATGAAGCCCACGTAGCGTGGGTGCTCTTCGCTTGGAGGGGGTGTCGGCGTGCAAGCCATCATTCGCGACGGCATATGCTGGCCGACACCATACGCAGTTACACTGCGTAGATCCTTATCCGGGGTGATAGGCGGCGTCAGTACGCCAGTTGGCACGCTTGGATACACGCCCTTCTGTGGCGTTTGTGGTGTGAGGTAAGTCGGCGCCGACGACTCGATTTCCATGCTTGTCGGTTCTTGTGCGGCGTGGACGACACGCTGGGCAATTATAGCTTGTTGTTGCAGGAACCGCTCAATCACAGTCGATACACTCGACAAATGTGGCGACGAGTACTTCCTCAGCAAGGCTTGTGAAGGCTGATTGAGGTAATTCGACAGATTGAGTACCACTTGGGGGTCATAGTGTGCCGACCAGTCACAGTAACGTGGCTGAGACCGAGCTAGAATGCAACGTGCCAATGCCAGAGCAGACCGCGCCATCACCGAAGGCCGAACAGGAATGAAGTCCTTGTGGTATAGAGCGAGCTCGGTGAGATACCATGACATATGTTCAAGCTCCAGGTCAGGAGTGATCTCGTTTAGGGCAAGTTGCAGGAAGCTGGTGACGGTGGGATGACCGACGATCCATCCGAGCGTTTGGAGGACGTGCCATTCCATTTGCGTGAACATATCATCATCGTAGAGAGAGCAGCACATTGACTTGAGCTCTCGGATGGTTGGTACGCGCTCTTTGCGATCGCCGTACTTGGCAGCGATCAACAATGATGCACAGCCAACGAGCTGATAGTGGCGTTTGTAGACGACCCTTCGAGAGCAGTATCGGTCGAGGAGGTTAGCAGCAAGGTGCAGCGTCTCCGGGAGGAGCTGGAATGCGTGATGAGCCTCAAGCAGAAAGTCCAGAAGATATGGTCTCATAAACCACTGAATCTCGGTCTGGATTTCGATGGATTGAATATCGGGCATCGTTTCCGCCTCCATGCGTTCCATGTGGTCTAGGATGTCTTCTTGATACTCCTCAGCTGTAGCGCGAGATAGCTCCTCAGCGATAGCTTTCTGCCGGAGCTTAGCAACGCCCCGAGCCCGCTCGCGCTCAGCAGCTGCTCTGGCGTAGGTGCCGTCGTCGTCGTCGTGGCTTTCTACAAAGTAAGATTCGCAGTATCCGTATGCTGGAAATGGGTGAGGAGGTTGCTGAGCCTGGAGGTTGAAGTTGATGTTCATGTTCATGTTGACAGCCATGATGGTAAATGGTCGCAGTACCGGTTTGTGTCGGTAAGAGTGCAGTGGTTGACTTTCAAGTAGCAGAGCAAAGGCGTCACGTGGATGGTACGAATGAGCGGACGTTTAGCGAATGAACGGGATTAAAGAGTGTGGTACCCGTTGGAAAGGTAAGTGAAGGACTGTAATTAGTTGGTAGCGAAGGACCAAAAGAATGACGGCGTAGAGCAGTGATGCTTCGGCGGGCAGGCCAAGCGTCTTTGTTACGAATCGTTCCCCAGTGGATCCTGCTCTCCCCGGTATTAGCTTTCAGTCGCGTGAGTTGTTAAGGCATCTCTGCCCTGAGTGATGTAAGGCCAGGGCCGAGCATGCATATTCTGGGGATTAGATTGCACTGCGAAAGGGCAAGAATGGTGACTGTGCACGCCAGCTTTTCCAATACCGAGAGCGGCAATGCTCCTTGCAAGCCCGAGTGGCGGCAAGAATGCGAGACGACTGACCTGGTATGCCAGCGCAATCTGCAGAGAACGAGCTAACGCCTCCGCGAGTTCAGCTGAATATTGGTATGGTCTACCGCCGATCTGGACCGTCCTTCAAGGGATAACCTGGATACGTGCTTAGCTACAAACATGACCATATCGGCACAAGCTGGGACAAGGGGCACCAATGCCCATTGTTGGCCTTCACTTATGTGGGCTCACTTACCTCGAGGCGTGGGGTCGGAAGGTCCTCGAATAAGATGATCAGGAAGGGAGATGCGCGAGAGTCAGACAGTGCGGAAACGGTAGTAGGCGTGAACGCTGCAAGACTAGTAGCGCAAGGTGTCAGCGAGTGCTTGAGGGCGTCTCATTGGCAAGATTCTTTGCGAGGGAGGGTTCTCGATGCCGAGTGACGTGACCGTGTCAAGGGAATTTGTCCTTGGTATGGAAAGCGGTGGGGGTGGACGCCATAGGTGAGGAATGCGGAGTGGCAATGTCGGTAGAAGCAGCCGACGATGCTAAGAGTCATGATGGTGCCGCAATTTCGTAGTCTGCTGGATCGTGCCTGCCAGAGCTGTTGAAGCAGGAAGAATCTGTACCTGTACGGTCTCCCACAGCCGCCTTGTTGGAGAGAACTTGGGCGGTTCGTGTTCACTACAGCCTGTGCATGATGCCTTAGACCGTGTCTCTTTGTAGTCTTCCTTGAAACTCCAGCATCCGAGATGGTCTTGCTTTAGTTGGCAGATCGCCCCCGAGTCGCTCCTTCCAGATTAAACAGTCGGTGATGGATAATGTAACTGTGACACCACGAACCCAGTCTCGGAGTTCGATTACACACAGTGTTTCTTACCTTTTCGTATGAAAGGAGCAACAAGCTCCTGACAGCCCACTCAACGCCGAGTAATCGTACAGGGTGCGGATGGCTGGAGGAAAGCGTTCGAGTCCCGTCAAGATGCTCTACGATCAACGAAGAGGAGAGGTCGACGCAAGGGTCCAGTGATTGATGGAGCGAAGTGAGATGTGACCGGGCAAGTCTACAGACTATAGCACAGGTCACACTACCTCTCGTAAGGCCGGGGGGTGAGGCACGGGTAAAGGAGATGAGCTTGCCGAAAGACCAGGCAGCGCTTGCAAAGACGGGGCCGTCTTCTAGCAAATTGCACTCCTAGTCCTCAGAACTCCATGTCGAAGAGAGGATCAGAGGGAGAGAGATTGACGCGGTGGAGAGAGATGAAAGAACGACGAGCTCGACACGACCACGAGTGGAGATTATTCACTGTGAGCATGGCTGGTTGCCAGTGCTTGCCGTTTCAGGCTCGCTCAGGCGCACTAAGACATGGCTCCCTGCAAGCTACCCCGTGCAGTACCCGTCGGACTTTACGACCTTTTCACCATGCTCACGGTTCACCGGCGGACTGGCCTGCAGTGCTTTCCGTTCTTAACGCTACACGCTCTGCTAGCGTTCTGCGCGTGAGATGGATCTCCCGCAGATCAAGGATCCGCAGGCTTGGTCATTCGTGGCTTGCGTGAGCACGCGAGCCTCTAGCAGTGCTTCCAAAAATGCAAGCATTGCAAACCACGATGCAACACGTGCAATCATCTGCAAACCGTGTTTCGTTGCTCGACTGGACGCTATACCACAGCGTAATTGACTCGTTAGAGCCGTTGACACGTAGTTTGAGATGACCAAATAGGGGCACTTCTGGGCTCCTGCAGCTAAGGACATAGAGTTGTTACGCCAGAAGCTGTCCTCCAGTCGTCCCGGAACCCGCAACCTTGCACCTGCAGGCTATTCGCCAAGGTTTCACGGTTCTGCAAGCACTCCGACTGCGCTACAGAGTTTCGACGCGTCTTTTGCGACGATACGTGGATCCTCGAAGTTCCGCAATGATGCAGTTACGCAGCTTGCTTCTGAAGTACTGCCGATTGGACCACGGCTTCATCATATCAAGCGCTTGATATTCCCGAATAGTCTGTCCGTGCTATTAAGGCATGTTCCAGCTTTCTCAAATTCTTAATTTGCAGAGGGGCATTATACTGGAGCAACAGGTGGCCGTAATTCATACTGTCCACGCTGCATGATATGGGACCGTACGAACTATATCAGATACACTTGCCTAGCATGCATGCATGCTTCTCGATGCCGCGACCCTGCACGCACGGCAGGACGCCTAGCGTCGCACGGTATGGATTGATACGGGCCTTCGTAATGAAGATCCTCGGCACGGTAGATACACATCATCGCAACTGACCGGACGCTTGAGACGATGTGAAGTGTACAGCATGTGCTGCAATGACAGCTGCTCCACCGTCCCTTGCATGAGTGACCGTCGAAGCACCCAAGCAGGCATTGCACCCCATCAGCCAACTCAACTCTATCCTCATCCTCCCAGGATAACCCATCGTGGCCGCCGAGATACAACTCGCCTAGGTAGAGCGGACCTGCGTATGGCGGTGGCGCCGGGACACAGCTTTAGGGACCCACGCTTGTAAACGCGAGTGAGACCACCAAATCTCATACTATCCCGAGGACCACGCTACGCGTGTGTCGCGTGCTTCACAGAATTGCACATGACGTAGGCGTCTAGCCGTAGTCCCTTCGAAATCCTACTGAACCACGACAATCTTACCAGTAGATAGGCAGTAGCAGACAGCCGCTGTTAAGGAAGAAGCAACGGAAAGAGTCGAGACTGTTGGAAACAAGACTTTCAGTTCCCGTCTCAGGGTTCAGCAGACCCCTCCTGTGCCTCGAGAGCTGGAGGGGTCGTCCAGAAGCAGCCCTCCCGCCGAACAGAGAGCACTTGGAAGCTATTTTCCTCAACGGTCCCGTTTACGATGGGAGAAACGGATGATGGTCTATAATTTGGCTTGAGTATGTCTGCAGCATCGACTGCTGCGTCTGGACTTCGATCGCCTTCTCCAATATGTCCTCACCTTCGGCGTCGCTTGCCTACTGTCACAGTCAAAGACTGACGAACACGGCCGTGTCAAAGCTTCACGGCCCACAAAGACTGGGCTTGCGGAGTGCAAGGCCGTCTGGTATCGCTTGCTGCAATGGCTGAGTGCATACGCACTGCGAGGTTAGCCCATGGCTCGGATTCAGGCGCCATCTCCATAACCGCGGCCGGTAGTGCCTCTCGCGTGCTCGATTACGCGTTATAGCGCGTTGTCAAGCCGCCGAGCAACGCCGCACGAATTGCGGGCTTCATTTGCGTCTCCGCAACGGCTTGTGGCGCAGCTCACTCAATCCTTCACCTTGATTTTTCTGGGCTCGGCGATGGCAACCTCCGTCTTGAGCTGGCCGCTCGTTCCGAAGCTCGAAAGTGCTGCAATAGTTGCTTGCAATAATGCCCTCAGGCGAACTGTGCACGGCGACGGTGTCCGACACCGTTTTTTCCCGCTGGCGCATGGTCAGAATCATTAGCAAAACACCAAGGAACGTTAATAAGATCGCTCGATCACCTGGCAATGGTCTGAGAAGGCGAACTTGGCTAACAGCTCACTTTTTCATAACATGATTGCTTGTCATTGACGGTGACAAGCAATCTGTCGCCGTGGTAACGCACACAGACATTCAACCGTGCGTTCCGCGTATGAAGGTGTTGTTGATCTCCCACCGGGCTTCAGGCTGGCAAGAGAAAAGATACGCTCCACAAGTCTGCAATATAACCTTCTCTTCATAGCACAACAGACAGCCAATCTGCCACTTCTGCTTGCAAAGCCCGCATCGCCCCGTCTTCGGTCCAGAAGTGGCCAGCTCCTCCAACTTGACGCCATCTGAACGAAGACGCTTTCGACAGCTGTGCTTGCTTCTCCGCCCATGATCGCAATCTGCGGCTTGACGTAAAGCTGTCAGTCGTACCAAATACTGCCAAAGTCGGATGCTGCAGGAACAGCGAGCCGGATGTGCCGTTTGCCGCTGATGACTTGCTGACGCTCAGTGCGACTGACGGCGGACCTGGAGGACAGAGCAGAGTCGTGAAGGGCAAGACGACCGGTGAAGCTATCAGGTAGCTGACATTCACGGGCACCAACAGGTGCATCCCATGGCCCGTGGCTGTTCCACCATGCTCACCATGCTCACCATTCCAACGGCTATGCTCCCCCAGGTCGCTGCTTCGCCGTACACGGGGCAGAATGCGACGGGCAACGCCTGCTGCGCTGACCCGCACAAGGTCGGCACTCCGTTTGGAGTCCCTACTATGTCTCCTGGTCATAGGTTCCGTTTCTTCACCCCCCACCACGACAGGCGAGGCTTTAGCACGCTTGGGAGAATCTGATGTTGCATCCTCTGGCTTCCAGTTTCGGCCCCGTGATGCTGGTTGACTGCTAGTATCTTCGAGTGTCTGCAATGTCTGATGTGCAAAGCTACTGGCACGTAACATAGTCTCCCAAGACGCAGTACCCTCCAGTGCACGCTCAAAGCGGGCAACGATAGCGGACACTGGTGGTAGCCTCGCAAGAACTAGCGAACCGTACGAGTACCCGCCTAATAGTAGGCGTAAGCCCGGCAGTTCGTGCGCTTCTGCAGAGTCTGAGGGTTTGCTTTGCCGTAGATCACTCTGTTTCAGTTGATGTAGGTAGTGCATCATGAAGCCTATGAAAGTCGTATAGTCTTCCGTCTCAGCTCGTCCGGACCAAGTAGTCTTTCCTTTCGAGTTACCGGCTCCCCTGGACTCTAATCAGCTGCGATAGTAAGTTGTGGGATGTATGATCCTGACCTGAAGTTGAACGTGCCCACGATGAAGCCAGCAGATAGCATTGTATTTGCTAAGCTGAGCACGACATGATCATCGAAGCATCCGCCCAGCGGAGCATACGGATGGGCTAGAATAGCTCCTTTAAGGGAGGCACTGCCTCCGCAGAGTCCTTTCGACAGATCAGGGGGGTGATAGAGACGGCCCTCGAGAGTCATGTCACCTCCAATCGAAGGGAGGGTGAAATTGTACACCGGCTCGATCATTGCTGTCGTTCATTACTGCCAACAGTCGCTATATATGTTTTCGAGGCTCATAGAATCCTCTAGCTGCTTTCGACGGCATTGAGGTTTACGTATTTTGCAAAGTCAAAGCAAGTTTGTGTCGTGGTGTGGCAAGTCCTTGACACAGAAGTGCAGAGCTAAAGCGTGCCTACCCTGGCGCGCGACGTGGGACTCATAATGGGCATAAATGATATTTTGCCTTGCAATACTGCACAAAATACTACTGAAGGCACAGTTATTTGAAGCGGATTACAAAGATTCCAGTTTGATGGTAGTCGCTGTAGTACGGCGAGATGCGTACATGCCCCGGTCAACTTATGGATCACATTTCCCGTTCGACAACCCAGGCTCTGATACTAACGGCATTAAAGCGCGGCCAAAGCTATTAGACCTGCACCAAGCGCACCACCCATAGCCCACGATCCAGCAGCCGTCTCGGCGTGAGCAGAGCTAGTTGAAGTGCTAGAGCTGGACGTCGTCGATGGCCTCGCGGTCACTGTGACGGTCACAGGCATCGTACTGGTGTTGTTCAGGGTTTGCGTGACGTCTACGGCCTGAAATACAATCTGACTGGCTCCCAGTGTGGAGCTAGTGCGGACGATGTTGCCGCCACCTGCCTGGGCTTGGGTGCATATTGCGGACGTCGTGCCCGTCAGATCGCAATCAAGGGTTGCGGCGCTACAGATGTTAGGCCGTGTGCCAGGTAACGATGTCCAGCAAAACACTCACCCGTTCGAATTGGAAGTGATATATCGGACCGTCGATGGTCCTTCCGTAAGTGTGAGGTTGGGCGCTAGGGCGCATTGTGGTGATGCGGTCGGGCACGAGAGGACATATACTGTGACATTCCCGGTACTGTTGGCGGCTACCGACGCAAGCGGAGTTCCAGTGAGCGTTTGAAAGGGTATCTGGCAAGGCATTAGCATGTTAATGCCCTTCCGGAAGGTGCCGGACGCGTCTATTGCTCACCCAGAGCGATCGAACTCCTGTGACCATCTGGAACGACGTCTGCTGCGCCGCTACTAAGCTCAAGAGAGCTGTCAGAATGAAAGAGAGTGTCAACATCATTGCGACTTCGACTCCGATAATGGAGAATATGGAAGCAGTTACAGTTAAGTGGTCCATACATGTATGGGCAAATGACCAAAGCACGGACCATATACAACTGTTGTACCTTATTTCGGCTTCGCTAACACTAACACCCGCGAATGCTCATACAGACGAGATAAGGCGAGAGACGATCGTGGCGCAGCTATGGCATTGTCTAACGACCAACTGCGTGCTTTCGACGATCTGCGACAGCGTCTTTCACAGCTATCCATCTTCATCGAAACCCGCAAAGCCAACCTTCGCAACAGCGATCCGCTCCCATCATGGTATGGCTCTCACTCCCGCTGATTCTCTCTGTACTGCTCCATCCCTCATTAAACTTTACGTGCTGTTATTTGGTAGCGAATGGATGAGCTAAGGTAAGTCTGGACCGCGTAGGCCAGATCTTCAAGGCGACCATGACCACATCGTCCGGAACCTGAGCGAAGTGCAAGAGACATTGAGCAAACACCGCGAGCTGTTCACGTCTGCACATGCGTATCCACTTCCCACCTTTCCCGGTCGTACCAAGGAAGGCACGCTCAGCGCTGTGCTAAGGAAAAAGCTTGAGACACGGGGCGAGGACTGGATTGCAGAGCATCTTAAATTCGGCACGGAGACCAGTGGGCAGGCGAACGGATCAGTCGACGGGACGACCACCGCGCATCCTCTCAACACCAGCGAAGCGAAACAACTTTGGGGCGAGGCAAGTCAAAGCCATAGAGATATGCTGGGCGACTTCCTTCAGGGCGGAGTCTTTGATGACGACTACACTATCGCAGAGCGTGAGGCTGGTATTGAGAGCGTAGTGACAGGTCTACGACGGAAGCTGAACGACGAGGACGAGAGTGACGAGGAGGATGATGATGAAGGCGGCGACGAAGATGAGAAGATGGAGGATGTCCTGCCCGCCAAGCCTGCCTCTACCGTCGAACCCTCCAAAGGCAATACCGTGCAGCCTCTGCGACTCGAGACGCTGCTGAGATTCATGACCACGGGCCAACTTCCGCCTGATAGATGACCTGCAGCCAGCAGCAAGCTAGCTGGATTGAGCTTTAAAGCGCCGTTGCAAAGCGTAACCATGCCATAGGTCTAGGATAAATTCTATCAAGAGTCTAGCACAAGCCAAGCATATCTTAATTACAACTTCATACCCAATGCCTTGTGCACCCTCAAAGCCTGCCGAATGCTCAAATCGAGCATGATCTCCTCACTGCCACCCGGGATCGCATAGGCCCTGACATCCCTATATAACCGTTCGACCTTCGCACCCTGCCCGCCACGGCTGTAGCTCAACCCACCAAAGATTTGACTGGCTTCTCGCGCGCAGAACTCAAACGTCACCGTAGCCTGAGCTTTCAACCCCGCAATGGCGCCGCCGAGTTTGAGCATAGCCTCCATATCCGACATCTTCTGGCATTGGTAGATCAAGCTCTCCAGCCATGAATAGCTAGCCTCAATCTGACGCGCCATATGCGCCAACTTTAAGCGGATGACGGCGTGGTTGATCAGCTTCTGGCCGAAAGTGCGCCGCTTGTGGGCGTACTTGATGCTTTCTTCGTAGCAGACCCGACTGAAGCGCAGACATTGGATGATGATGCCAATGCGCTCGTGGTTGAAGTTGGTCATGATGACTTTGAAGCCTTGGTTCTCCTTGCCGATGAGGTTCTCCACGGGGACTTTTACGTCTTCAAAGGTGATGTAAGTGGTGCCAGAGGACCAGACGCCTTGGCAGTCCATGCGACGGGTGCTGACGCCGCCCATGCTACGTTCGATGAGGAGCACGGAGACGCCGTTCATACCTTCGCCACCAGTGCGAACGGCGGTGGTGAAGTATTCGCACCTAGTGGACGTTAGCGTGAAGCGACGAACAAGATGACTGGCCGCCTTACCAAATGCCGTTGGTGATCCACTTCTTCTCGCCATTGACGATGTAGTGCTTGCCGTCCTCGGTAAGCTTCGCCTTGCACGTAAGGTTCGCGACGTCGGATCCAGCATCAGGCTCGGTGATGGCGAGGCAAATACGCTTGTCACCGCTTAGGATATCCGGTACGATACGTTGCACAAGCTCCTTCTTGCCATGCTTGACAACGGGCGGGCAGCCAATACCGAAGCCACCGATCAGATTCCACACGAACCCACCAGAGCCGGAGCGAGAGAGCTCATCCGTCAGCAGCATCTCGTGGAAGAGATCCCAGTCCTTGGGTTGCACGGACTTGACGCTCCTGCCACCAGCGAGCTTCTGCGGATACGGGTGGATGCCGAGAAGACCAGCCAAATAGCCGCGCTCGCCCATTGCCTTGTACACGCTATCTGGTACCTTCTTTGCCTCATCCCACTCGGTGACGTTGGGCATGATATCCTCTTCCATCCATTGGCGGACCTCGTCGCGGAGAGCTGCGTGTGACTGGTTGAAGTACGGGGTGTGGTAGCTTTGATACCACGACGGATCTGCGTAAGGCACGAGATCGCCGTACGGGTCCATTGCCTCGGCCTCTTCCTCTGCTCCCGGACCAGGCGCAGGAGCCACGGTGCCAGGCTCGGGAGATGGAACAACTATCTCCTTCCTCTCTGAGGGTTCGGGTGTGGCAGACGGGGTGGGTGGGGTGACTTGCGCGGGCTTCGGCTTGCTGTCTAGCGAGCCAACCTGTAGCTGCTTCTGGTACTTCTTCAGAATGCTCTCATTGTGGTACTTCCAGAACTGCTTGCTCGCATCCTTGCCTGCAACGCGCTGGAGGACTGCCAATTGTTAGACTGCATTAAGCGAGTATGATCATGCTGATGAGATTGCATACTCTTCTTTCCTCCTGTGTATTCATTAGCGATCTCTCCATTACCTCGTGGCTTCTATTACTCACCTGGATGCTCCTCCTGAAACTTGGTCAGATCATAGACATCTTGGTCAACAATGATCCAGAGATTGTCGGGCTTGTTGTGCGATGATACATCGCTCGGGGAGAAGGTCTGCGACATGGTGGTAGGAATGGTAGATGAATGAAAGGCTGCACAGCAATGAGAAGGACCGTAGGTAGTGAAGAGAGAGTATACAAGAGAAATGATAGCGCTGAAGGCTAGTCACCTGCTCGGTCACGCTCCGACTTGCCTCGGCGATCGTTCACATGAGAATCTCAGCCCTTAGCTCCTAGAATAAAGCATGTGCCGACAGAAGTGTGCCCTGCAGCATGACGCCTCCATGCCCCATGTGACTCCCCACGGCATGCTGCGGAGCCGCATTGATGCGGGTAAGCTGCGATATCAAGTAAGACATGCGATTGGTTTACTGTCCACCGCTCACGCCGGCCTCGTGAAGCATATACCGAGGCAGCTTCGAGAGGCGATGGCGCTCAGGTACACTAGCAGACAGAAGTCTTTCTCGCTTGCTGTGACAAATCCCACAACTTCTACGTGCTTGTGTCTGCTCCAAGTCCATATGCTCTACTGTCCTGAGAGTTGACCAGTCGATATGTCCACTTGGCGGACCGACAGCATGCCTGACGAGGTGACTTCCGAAGACCAGACGGGTTCGGTGGCTGACGGTGGATCGAAGCCTGGTAAGCCAGAGCTGCCGCCAGAGCCACCATCGGTGCAATGGACGCGCCGCTTGATCATCGTCGCCTTCTGGGTCGTAGTGGCATGTCTTGGCTTGCCTTACTGGTTATGGACGACATCGACGTATCGAGCTCATTTGCCGTTAGAGGTCATGGAGAGTTGGTCCGAAGGCCGAGCTTGTAGCATGCACTTCCCAATGTACATTCGTCTTAGCGTACATGGCTGGAGCGATAGTATGGAAGCTGAGCTGATAACCCAGGTCCAGCGAAGGTGGGATGCTGTGCCCGAAACGTATCCTTTGGACTTCCGTCTGGCATTTGGCCACTACAACGATTCTGAGTTGCAGCGGGATTGGAGCATGACAGTTACTGTTAAAACCGAACCGGGTGTGCAGCCGCAGGCAAAGCTTCAGCCGATGAGCCGTAGCCTCGACTTGTTGTACGGTTACGGCAGGTCCGAGGAGCTCAGGCTTGACGCTCTTGGCAGCTTTATTGCAGAGGAGATTCGCAATGTCTTCAAGGATGAGCGCGAGACGTTGTCGTACATGCTGGGTAACAGTCCCTTCGCAGGCGATCAAGAGGTTCTACTCAGTACAGAGGCACGTGCGGACCTTGAGGCAAGAGTTACAAGGGCCTTCAGCTACGCTTCAACATATCATCTGACGTTCTCTCTATTCACTTCTGGTGCCTCCCCCTCCACATGGGATATAGATGCCGCCCTAGAGCGGTACATGAATCCACTCATCCGCGCCCTCTCGAACATCAGCCACTTCACAGTTGACACGCAAGTCCAGCTGCACGCCTCCATCTCGCCTTCCATAGCTGGCCCACAGTTTGATGCGACAACGAGGGATTGGAAGCTTCAGAAGACCGACCTCAGCGGGTTCGTCAACTCCGCTGAATGGCCGCTAAGTCCTAGCATCGGCAGTGGACCTACCATCAACTTTGTCCTCTACGTGCCTGCGCCGGATCATAGCCCGCTTGTCCTAGCTGAGACTGGAGGCACAAGCTGGCTTATCCCGCAATGGGGCGGTGTCCAGATCCTTAACCTAGGGTCGAAACAGTCCGACCAGCTTACAATTGGCAACCTGGAGCCTATCATGCTCACCTTCGCCAATCAGCTGACATCTTTGATTGGCCTCCCGCCGTCTCCGCCCTCGTTAGCACTACGCATATCTAGCCTGACCCGAGAGCGAGCAACTTCACTCATCATCTCCGCGTCGTCAACGCTCGGGGCTCTGGCCAGGTTGACGCTCAAACTGACATCCATCGCGATCCCAAACACGGTGGCAAAGTCCGTGGAGGACACGATCTTCCACCTCGAGCAAGCTTGCAAAGACATCCACGTTGGCGATTTCCAGTGCGCTCTTGAGAATGCTCGGATAGCCAACGATCAAGCCGAGCGTGCGTTCTTTGAGCCGTCGATGGTTGGTCAGGTCTATTTTCCGGACGAGCATAAAGTAGCTGTCTACGTGCCGTTGCTAGGACCCTTGGCAGTGCCGATGGTCATGGCTGCGCTGAAGGAGATTCGCCAATGGAGGGCTGCCAGAAAGCTGAAGACGCGCTAAAGTTGTATGGTATTTCCCGAAGTTCCAGGAATCATAATCGGCGCAGGTTAGTGCATAAGCATCAACTCTTTAGACAACTATGCAAGCTTTGCAACACCTGCGGCTATGCAGTAACTAATATCGAGGCCTCCTATGCCAATGCGCATAACAGCCTCCAGCCATGCCATTGACTTGAGCGATGCTTGAGCACCTTTCACCGCGGCCGAAAGCGCCAGCGCTAGCTATAAGGCGCAGATTCGGGAAGCCGCATGTGGATTCTGCAGGCAGATGGCAGGCTACTGAGGACAAGCTTTGTAAGGTCTTCGTACATTGCAAGCTGAAGGTGATGGCACAAGGGTGAAGCGTTTATGCAGATATTGGTAGCACGCGCAAGCGGAGCCAGCAATCAATTATAGAAGGTCTTCTGTGATTTGATAAGGACCATTACAAAGAAGATTGGCACAACGTCGCAGGGCAGATCAACACGCCTTTCAGGAGGCTGCCTTGACCAGCTCGGTCACCCATGCTGGCACCTTTGGCCTCTTCTCCCATTCCGACTTCCATTTGTCCTGCCAACCCTCCGCACTGGTCGGTATCGCGAAGACTGCAGTACCGAACCATGTCGTAGAGCCCGCCGTCAGGTCGGCATACATCGTTGGTAGGATCGTTCGCGACTCAATCAGGTTACTGTTGGCATCAACATTGCAGATGCCACCCTTCCTACCAGTGGCTTGCAACAGTTCTGCAACACCGGATGCACCTGCCCTAGAGACGACTACTGCATCACATTCGGTCGACTGAATGCCTTCGTTAGGTGACTCGGACGACAATGCGGTCAACGCTCGCCCATCCCTCTGCCTCATACCATATATTGCGAAGCCGCCTTCGGCACTTTGCAGATCGCGCCCTGTCTTGATATTGTGTATTCGGAGATGCCAGCATGGAGCGTCATCTGTGGGCGGAGCGAGCCATGTCTTCACTTCTACGTCTTTCCAGGGATGCATAGTTGAGTACAGCACAGGCAAGCCGTCCTTCTCCAGGAACTGCGCGTTCTCCACCTCCCGCCTCATCTTCCAGATTTCGCCACGGTCATCACTGAGCGCCAGTGCACTCTCCGGCACCCATTGCTCAAGCGTGTAAGAGCCGGTAGGAACAGAGTAGCCGAATGCGGAAGAGTAAGCGAAATGGCCATACTTGGCTTGTGTCGCCTTGAGCGGGTAATGGCATTTCTGTCCGCTGCTAAGCAGAAATGTGTGCCCTCCTTTGTGTACCATTATATGCTGCGGGTGCTTCAGTGCTTTGATGGCTGGCAGAGGACTGGATGACTGTGTGAACGGATGTGGCTCCTCCGTACTGGACCAGAAGGGGTGAGAAGCCGGTTGAGCAAGGGCAGCAAAAGCGAGCATGCACCAATACGGTGAGCCCGGGCTGTTGTAGTTTTCTGCCAGATAGTAGTTGGGATAGGTGTAGCCGATGTTTAGCATGCCATTCGGCTGGAAGATGTGAGGTTGCTTACTCCACCAACGGAAGTTGCGTAGTAGAAGACCTTTGATCATGCCCCAGGTGAGCGGCTCTGGCGGTTCAACATCGGCGAAAGCAAAGGCAGACCAGAAGCCTATGGTGGCGAAACGGTAGGTCAAGCTTCTGCCGAACGGAATGCTGTGGCCGTCAGGTGCTTGATAGTGCACGAAGTCCAAGGCATACTGCCTCGCGCGGCGCTTGTACTCCTCCGCACGCTTGGGATCGAAGGAAGCTGCAAGCTTGGCGTACAGTAGCTGCAGATACTGGATAGCGTACGAGCCAGAGTAGTAATCCATCTGCGTGTAGCCTTCGGGACCGTCATTCGACCAACCATCACCGCGGTGAAAAGTGTCAAGGTGATCCATGTCTTTCTCAATCCGCTCGTGTGAGTAAGGAGCATTATTGGCCTTCAGACCGAGGTTTGCGAAGACCCGGAACCAGAGCCAGTTGGTGTTGGGCATCTCTTTGTCGTTCATGCTGCCGATCCAGGTGGCAACGTTCTTCTTCTCCTGCTCAGTGAGTGGGTCCCAGAAGTCTTTACCAGCAACGGCGAGGGTGTAGCCAATCGGGCAGGACTCAACCATTCGCTGGTCTAAGTCTTCCATGTTGCCCCAGAACTCGGGACCGTCTGGGTTCGTGCCTGACACGATGCCTTTAACGAATATGTGCGTGTTCCTATACGTCGAGTTTCCGGTAAGTAGCGCGGCGAGGCCCCATAATGGGCGTGCATAACCCTCAATCTGTGCCGCCGTCTCGTCGACTGCTATTCGTTAGGGGCACAGCCTCGGCTTTGGGAAAGGTCGAGGACATACACCTTGTCCCGGTACCACCAACCCTGACAAGTGCACATTCTGGAGAGAAGCCAGCCTCTAGCGGATCGAGAAGGGAGGCACAAGCAGCTACGACATCTTCCCTTGTCTTCAGAGCGTTCTTAGAGAATGGATGAGCAGGAAAAGGTTGATTCGCTTCTGCTATCTGCGCTGTAGACATTGTGAGGGGAATATTGGTAGGAGAAAGGTACTGGAGACGATGACCTACCCTGGAGAGACTTATGCTATGTAGTAGTGGTGCTATTGTCTGCTTCGGCGAGCGACCCACGAAGATTACAGCTCCGTACCTGTACCTGCAGTAGTTGTCATTATCGGCATATGGTTCTCTCGAGCTCGACGCGCCGGCTAAATGCAGACGGAGAAATTACAGCGCTGTGATTCCACACCACACCTAAGGCATCCAACCTGATGGCGATAGCACTCCGTCCACATTGGTATACGTACTCTCCAGAGCATCATCTGACAGTCACTGACCGCCAAAGCCGAGTCAGGATGTCAACCGCAGAATCGGCAATGCCTTCATCGGCCTTGCACCAACGATCAAAGGCGGCAGAGTACTTGGAAGGCTACCTCAACAAGACACTCCACGTTCAGATCGCGGATGGCCGCACGTTTGTTGGACAGCTCAAATGTACTGACAATGAATGCAACCTCATCCTGGCAATGACCCACGAGTACCGACAGCCTTCTGAGGCAGCCGTGAAGCTGGCCGCTGACCGCCATGAGGCGTCTAGGGAGGAAGGAAACGTCAAAGTAGACATGAAGAAACGCTTCGTAGGGCTCGTTGTGGTGCCTGGCCAATACATCAGCAAGATGGAGGTTGAAGACTGAAGTACTACTGAGCTATCGTGCGATTAATTGTAGGCCGGCGCGAATGACATGTTTCGCCTTGATACGCAGAAACGTGGCATGTCCAGCGGAAAGCGGAGCGGCTGCGTAAGACTACATGGGCCTTGTTTCACATTGGGCGACAGCACGAGGATATGATTCGCCGGGAGCCTTCGCTGTTTGCGATGTCCGGACAGTCATTGAGGCTTCTCCAGGATATTTCTGGTTCAAGGTTGCTCCCCTGGAGAAAGTGCAGGAGGCTGTCGGATCGAATACTCCGGTTGTTGTATCTCAATGACCCCAGGTTTGAGCGCTCGCCCAGTCCGCACGATGCCGGGGACAAGTGGTACTGGCTAATTCAAATGGCACCGGAGGAAGCGCTGTGCATCAAGTGCTTGGACAGCCGTGACAACGGGAAGACGGCAGGGCGGGCTAAGCACTGGACGTTTCATTTTGATGCAGGAAATCACAACCCAAATGCGCCGACAAGGCAGAGGGTGGAGGTTTGTTGTTCAGTATCCCGGGAAGACCAGCTTTGAGCGGGACGGCTAGAGTAAAAGGACGTCGACACAGTGTCAGGTCAATATTGCGTAAACGTGATATGTCTTCCCATTCAATGTATATGCTCCCTTGGGGTAATCATTACCAAACGGAGTACTTATGTCCATCTCTACTGATGGGGATCATAAGCTAGCACCTCCGCACCCAGATACGGCAAGAGAACCTCGCGTACTCCGGGTTTCGTGTTGCTATTGTGCCGCTCCTCCACACTACGACTGTATCGGTCGTGCCTGCTCCGGATCGACGTCTCCGCCCACCATATTGTGTCCGTGTGCGCCCTTGATATTGTCGTCGAAGTAGCCTTGCTAACGTGTCAGCTGTAATACTCAGCTACTAGCAGCAGAACACACCGAAGAAGCCGTCTTGTCCATTGCCTCGCCATCGACTCCGCCGTTCAAACTCCTTGCTGAAGACGAGGAATGGGTGACTCGTGACCTCCTCCCCATGATGAGTGACCCACTTCCGCTCGATCCACACTATCCAGACGTAGGTCGCATGAATGCTGGCGGGAATGAGGCCGAAGAAGCAGAGAATGACGTTGATCCAGAAGTCAATCTGGAAGCCTTCGGTGAACCAGATGGCAAGGGGCGGGATAAAGAAGGAGAGAATGAAGCCGAGGATCTGGGCAACTGAGTATTTGCGCATGATTGCGTTCGCGGGCGAAGTTGATAGCCTGCGGGCGGATAGAAAAGTGCTTAAGGAAGGGTGTGTGTTTGGGGGAGGGTAGGCTAGGGATGCGAAAGACAGGAATGCACTCACACTGTCTGTTGCTGACTCACCTACATCGACACCGCAACCGGCGGCCACTGATGACACGTCAAACAGCAACGTGTGAAGGATTAAGATTAGTTGAGTACTCGCAGCTTGATCTAAGATGGTGATGGCCAAGGTAAATGCACGCGCGTATTGCGATGACATCCGCGAGCGTTCCGAAACGCGCCTCTGCCGGCACAGCCGAGACGCCGGCGTCAGTGGGGAGGGGCCAGGGTGCCGACATGACACGGAGGCTCGAATCGTCTGGCTTGATCGCACACCAACGTCGATCACATAACAACATCTATCACACAACAACGTCGAGGTCTGGTGGCCTTTACGATGTTTTTACCAGATGAGCTGTGGCTTGCGATTGTCTCACAGTGTGAACCTCGTGATGCTTGGCTTGGTTTGCGTCCCCTGAACCGCCAGCTCCGCAGTTGTGTCGAAGGGTTCGTCGTAAGTGAGATGATACCGCTCATCAAGATCCAACTTCCTATAGCGCTACCGAGCTACGACGTGCGCCAGAGAGTGCAAGGGCGAGCGATATTTGTGCCCAACATGAACCGGAGACGTGACGAAAGCGTAGACCATTGCAGCACTGCAAACGGCCGTCTACTGCTGCGTCTGAAGAAATTGGAGCCGGAGCACTACCGTTCCCAACTGAAGGTGCGTTGGGAGTCTATGCAGGAAGCCAGCGCGCACTCACTTCTGCCGGGATCTCTGGATGGCCGTTTACGTTGGCGGGTGCAGCTTCATGCAAGAACGGTCGAGATGCGCTTGCCATGGGCGCGCATTGACTGGGCCTCTGACCTGATGGAGGCGGAGAAGCCAGGTATCTCGACTGAGTGGATGCCAATGTTCACCGCATACTGGCGGAGAGAGTAATTGATAGGAGCATTATGTACTCAAACATCTTGGAAACAACTACGCTGTATGCAAACGTACACACTTCTCTGGCGCTGGCGGGAATGTCAGCGGCCGTTGCTGCCAACGGAGCGTTTGCACCGCGCCGGTGGGGATGCGGCACTTGGCAACCTCAAGCGAACGAAATGTCCTGCCACACAATTGCGCTTCTGAACCGACAAGTTCCCGAGCGACTGCACGAGTTTGCTTCCTGGCTCAAAGAGGTTCCATGAGGCACCAGGCGAAGCGTTCACGCCAGCAGCAAGCGTCATGGCACCCGAGGCACTATGCTCGTGACGCCGCGATACCGACCGAGCGAACATAGGGCTGCACTTGTCCCACGAACACGTGGGCTGTTGATAGAGGGCTCATGCAATCCAGGCTTTGCAAGTAACAATGTGTGAATTGATAGGCAGTTCGGATCGCGCTGTAGCCATTGCTTGGATGCGGAGGGAGGTGAGATAGAAGTGGAGTCATCGAGGGAGGTGGAGAAGGATGAGGTGGAGAGTTGGTTGGAGAAGATCGGGGAGGAAGGGTTGTGGGAGGAGGGAGGAGGAGGTCGGAGCTCAGAAGGGTGATGAGAAAGTCGGCGAGGGGGAGTGTGATGGGGAGATCGTGTTCGCTTCTCAGGCATGATGGCGACGATGATAACTATGAGCTTCTGGCGCGGCTAGTACGCCTGAAGTACATGTTTGTAACTTTGGCATGAGATCGATGCGCAAACATCATCAACCCATAAATACCTCAATCCCAACCTCATTACTCCACCCGGCCCTCTCCCCACTCTCCCTCCAAGCCTTCTCAACATCGATCTCCAACACCTTCTCGCTCATGTCACTCACCCTCACACATCCCACACCAATGGGCTTCCCAAAAATCAGCACCATGAACTGCTCTTCAATGTTGCGCTTTCCCAAATCCTCGATCCACAATCCCATGACACCCAGAGCCTTGAGACTCGTCCAAATCCTCAAGCGCCCATTGCTTTCAACCTTGATCTCATATCCGGTCATAGCAGCACAACCCGTCATCTTCCCTAACAAGCCCAGCAACGCCACTCTCACCGCTGCACCCTTCACCTCGAGTCTGTGAAGAGGGTATGCAGACAGGATATCCCACCCTTGCACCTCCAGCTCTACGCCCACCATCGCCCTCGGCCCACCCCTGGTCATAGGTGGGGAGATCCTCTCCCCCTGGAACGAAGCAACGATGTACTCCCCCTCTTCCGTGCCCGGAATGGCGCTGAGACCTACGAACTCACTCAGGTGCGTTCCACTCACGTTGAAGATGCCCAGAATGCCGGTGCCCTTTCTGGCACCGCCGGAATACGTTCCCACCTTCAGCAAGGCTTGCGACTCATATCCGTTGTACGGATCCGTGCTCCGGCCTACCACGCTTGGGCGTAGTATCACCGTCTTGCCTCTCGGAGTCTGCGCGGTCATTTGCCGGATGAGAGCTATATCATGCTTACCCGGCGCGTCGGTGAAGTAGATGGGTCCGCCGCTCACACACCTTGCCGCGGCATGAAACCCGGCCCATGAATGCGAGGTCTGAAACATGTCCCAGTCCGGCAGGACGTTGAGGTGCTGCGTAAAGAGGCTGTTGTGAGCGTTGCAGAAGATGTGCCAGGGATGGCTGGCCGGCACCTCCGGGAAGAAGTCGTCACTATTTCGCACTAGAAGACGAGGTTTGTTGTGTGGGAGTTGGGAGTGGAACATGATTGCCGGAGTTTGGCTCATGCAACTTATGGCTCGACTGCTAAAGTGGCGGAGATGGGCTAAAGTCCAGGCGTCTTGGTATTGCGTTGTCATTGTTCGTCGATCGGGCGCATGTAAGAGCAAGTCGAGGAAGAACTGCGCATCTGTCTTCACGCTGTCGACTCCGGAGGACGAGAGGAAGCGGTAGAAGTCATCATACATCTGTTTGGCATCGTCCGGGTGCACGACTGTGAATTTGCCGCCTGCGACTCCCGCTTCCTTCTGCACTTCGATCGTTCTGTACCGTTTTGCGAGCCCGCCTTCTGGTGAGACGCCGCCCCAGTAGCCCAAGATGGCGTGCCAAACGGCGATGTGGTTGACATTTGGATGTCGCGTTCGGATCTCAGAGGTTGTCTTCTTCAGTCCGTCAGGAAAGCCTTCCTTGTTCGCTTCGAAGTCCAACCAGCCTCGGTGGAATTGTGTATCGGCGTGCGAGAGGCTCTGCCAGTTATCGTCAATGATAAGATTTGTAATATTGATGTTGTGTTGCGACAGCTCGTCAAGTGCGTGGTATATCTTGTCAGATGTGAGATCTTGGCCTAATCCGTTCCAGGTGCAGTAAGTGAGGCCATCATACCACTCCTCCAGCCACTCCGGCTTGACTTCACCGTCCATAAGCGTCTTGGTTTCTGCGTCAGCGTTGGTCGCTCCTAGCGTGATCATTACTTTACGAGAATGATAGAAGACCGCCGCATTGGCCACCTCGAAGCTCTCTGCGACAGCCACAAGAACCCGACTCGTTCCGGTAGACGTCCGGTCGTTGCGACCTCTGATCACGACTTCGCCTTCAGCATGACTTGGAAACGTCGTCGTAACATCCTCAACGCCACTAATAGCCAAGCAAACCACATGTAGCCCATCGTCACGCAAGAACGAAAGTAGAACTGCATCCTTGTCTAGCCGAAGGTTGCCCTGACCCTGCCTTGGTGCAAGCCAAGGACTCCAGAGCCGGATAAGTGCGAACCATCTGGAGCTGTGCCGGGGAGTTCCCAAACGATGGTGCTGGTAGCCGCTATCCGGATCACTTGCGCCTTGAACAGGGCACGTCAGCGAATACAATAGAGTGTCGTCTGTGTCTGGTTGTTCATTCTTGATTTTGATGTCGGGACTCATGTTGTCAAAAAATTCAGTCAGGGCAAGCTTTGACGACGCCCGCAAGTTCAGACTACTGGATCCATGGTAGTGGAGTTCGCCATCTTCGGTTCCAGTTGAGTCCTTGACCCATCGCCAGCCCTTAGCTGTGGACAGTCGGAACTTGACAGTGAAGCTGACGATCTGCGCATTCTTTGGTAAGCCGGGCAGCTCAGCCGTGAACCAGCTTCTCGTAAGGCTCCTATCATTGGGTCTATTGAGCAAAAGGACTTCGTGCATCGACTTCGTTGGTTCCAGTGTAAGTTCGCTCCAGTCGTAAACGCCACGGTGATTGTGCCACAGGCATATGGCGGGCTGCTCGTCCGCATCTTCGAGAAGGGAAGGCGTCGAAGTCTCTAAGAGGACTGTGAAGCGTACACTCCCGCGAGAGCGGGCGATCTGGGACGCTTGGCCTAGCGGCGGGTCGCATGTGATTTTGGCGTACATTTCGCCCTCTTGGTCGTTGTTCGGGTAGAACGCTGGCTTGGATTGTTCTGGCGGTTGTTGCTCGGGGAGTAGATCGGTCATATCATTGAGTGCAGGGTAGACTCTTTGGCCGGAGCGCGTGTCACAATCTAGTCACCATCAGCATTAATGCCGATACCATTAGCTACGCTCGGGGCAGACGTACATCCAAAGGAGATGCCTTTCTGCTTGACAGGTTTCAGCACCATTGGGAGAGACAAGGTGCAAACGTTTCGTAAGGGAAAGAAGAGATGGTACTTAACCTTTGCTATCTCTATCTAGGTAGGCACGCAGCCCATCCTCCTTCCTGTTGACATCGTGCAGTTAGTACGTCAGCGTCTAATGCAGGAACACTCCACCCCAGTGTTCGCCAGCGGAAGCAGCTCCGCCCCACACTTCAGCGAGCAATCGCGATCAACGTACCACCACCTTCCCCCAATGTTCGACACCATTTGCACATTTCCCCTCTCCGCCGAGCTCTTCGCCCAGGCTGTGCATCCCAGCGAACCGTTGGTGGCGGTGGGCTTGAGCAGCGGACATGTTGCGACGCTAAAATTGCCCGCTGTGGATGAGGAGCTGGGTGGAGAGTCGTTTGGCAAACGTAGGGGCAGCAATGGCACAGATTTTGTCGATACGACTTGGAAGACGAAGCGGCATAAGGCGAGTTGCAGGTGCCTGGCGTATAGCGTGGATGGGAGGCAACTGTATTCGGCAGGCACGGATGGGGTGGTGAAAGCGGCAGACAGCGAGACGGGCAAGGTGACGGGTAAGGTCTCCATACCGTCGGACTCATCTTCCGCGAGTGCGAACGTAGATGGACCGACAGTCATCCATGCATTGAGCCCGCAGACGCTGCTCCTTGCAACAGATTCCGGCGCCCTGCACCTGTATGATCTCCGAGATCCAACTCCCACCTTGCCGCTTGACGAGGCCAAGACAGCATTCATAAACCCCACCCCGGCACAAACGCATCACCCACACACTGATTATGTCTCGTCGCTCTCCCCCATCCCGGCTTCATCCACCAGTACGTCGGGTTACAGCAAGCAATGGCTTACTACGGGCGGCACTACATTGGCGCTTACCGATTTACGCCGTGGAGTCCTTGTCAAGAGCGAAGACCAGGAGGAGATCTTGCTCTCCTCCCTCTACGTCACAGGTCTGCCAGTCAAGAAGAGTAGCGGCAGCACCGGCGAGAAAGCGCTTGTAGGTGGCGGTGACGGCGTGATCACACTGTGGGAGAAGGGCCAGTGGGATGACCAGGATGAGCGAATCACCGTCAGCGCCGAAGGGGAGACGCTAGATGTCATGGCTGCCGTGCCGGCCGCTGTTGGTGGTATGGGCAGGAAAATTGCAGTAGGGCTGGGAGATGGGAAGGTGCGAATCGTGCAGCTTGGCATCAACAAGGTCGTCGCAGGGGTGCAGCATGATGATGTGGAAGGCGTGACCGGGCTGAGCTTCGATGTGGGCGGGAGGATGATCAGTGGGGGTGGACAGGTGGTTAAGGTGTGGCAGGAGCATATGGCGGCTGAGGATGGAGAGGAAGAAGAAAGCGCGGTGGCTGCTAGGCGTAGTGCAGATGCCGACGGTGATGAAGAGGATGCGGATGATGCGGATGACGATGAGGAGGAAAGTGGCGAAGACGGAGAGGAGAAGCCGCGAAAGCGACGCAAGAAGAGAAAGCGCGGCAAAGGGCCTGCGGCTGCGAGTAGTTTCAGTTTTGCGGGACTGGACTGAGGTACGTTTCGGTTCGTACACCATGATGCGCATATAGCGGTTGCCAACAGCATCACTTTGGTTCTGGTACTATGAGCACCTTAGGTCATCAACAGAGCTTACTGCTGGTGTAAGTTCACAAGAAAGTACACTACAATACATGAATAATGAAATTATGGCCAACAAAGCACAAGTTGCCTGGTGGCGATGAACCTGGGAAGCTACGACTCACCATGCGGTATCTTGTTCTGGAAGCGCGCGTTGCTTGCAAAGCTTACTACGGGTACGTGAATGTCTTGGAAACAAGCAACGACTCAGGGTTGCAGTGAATGTGATGAAGCCGCGCTTCACACATGTATTTCACGCGCCCCTTAACTATCTGAATTATACGGCGCAGCAAAGAACAACAACCGCTGGTCAACGCGGCCTACTTGGCCTTTGCGGCACTGGCATCTACCTCACCCTGAGCATCACTACGGAAAGGACCTCGTCGCCGTTGATGGCTCCCCATGTGTCGGCACCTGCCTTCGACTGCGCCGTCTGCCTTCTATCACATCCCTCGGCGAAAGGTATCCGAGTCACGCCTACCGACGATTTACTCTGCTCCGACTGCTTCGAGCAAGGTGTCAAACCGCAGTTCGTAGCGGCACTGAAGCATGAACATGCCTATCCCGTAAAATGGGGTGGCAAGGTCCTAGACCCTGCAGACTTCGCCGCGCATCTCCCTCCCGGCTTTGCACTGAGGTATCTCTTCGCTGCACGCGAATACCAAATTCCGGTTAGGGAGAGGGTGTATTGCAACCATCTCCTCTACACCGAAGAGTCTACCGGATGGCTCAGCGAGATCAAGATCATGGAAGCCGTCGATGCCAATGACCCTCTATGTGAATGCGGCAGCTTCCTCGGCGCTCTTATGCCGCCTAGCGAGGCACGAGCTACGTATGTTTGCCTCAAATGCAACGGCAGTACGTGCGGTATCTGCGCAAGTAGCATCCTGGAGCGACCGCAACAGCACGTCTGCGAGGATGTGACTGAGGAGTGCAAGGAAGAAGACGCCTTTGAGGGGCTGGTGAAAGGCCAGGACTACCAAATTTGCCCCGGATGCGCCGCGCGTGTTGAATTGAGGGATGGTTGTAATCACATTTTCTGCATGGGCCCGGGTTGTAGAGCGACCTTCTGCTTTGTTTGCGGAGCCAAGCTCGAACCTCACGAGACCGAGCATTTCAGGCAGGGCAAGTGTCCACGGTGGAATCAACCCGGCTCCAGATATGCCCACTTCGACCCGCCTGCACAACCCCAACGTCGTAATCAAAGAGAAGCAGTGCAAGCCGGAGCTAGGGCCGCACATGTCGATCCGTTCGCAGCACCAGAGCCCTGGCAGGTTCAGCCCGCAGCCAGCAACGCGCGCTTCGACCCGCCTCCTCCAAGGCAACCACGTAATGGAGGAAATCCGTTTCCAGTCCAGCGCGGAGTCAGGAATATTGACGACCATTCTGACCCAAGGGCGCAACTACAGCCACGCGATGGAGGAAGACTGATCCAGCCCGCAGCCAGGACCATGCAGTTCGACGTGCCTCCGCCGGCGCAGCCACGGGCTGAACGCATAGCTCAGACCGCACCCCGAAACGTGCATTCTGATCTGCCTGCGCCGCCACAGCCCACCGGCGCTGTGGAAGCCCTCAAGCCGATCGCCCAAGTGATGCAGGCTGATGAGGTTTTTCGCGATGCCATGAACGCCGCTCAGCGTCACCAGAACGTGACTCGAGGCATCCGTCGCTTTGCTGATGATGACACAAACCGCCCCGACCTTATAACCATGGGACACTTTACCGAGCGACTCATTGAAGGGCTTTCACAGCAGGTCAACGGCCTCTCCCTCAATATCGGTACCGAGCATCCCTTGGTACTGGAGCGGAGGCTCGACAGGTATTTGGACCTGCATCGCGAGATCCTGGCGCACGCACAGTTCCGAGGTCCGGGGCCGCTTGTAAGCGTGCTGGAGGGAAGATGGGACTTGAGGCGCGCCGTGCAGGTGTTCCTGGGCAGGCATGATGCGGTGATACTCGTGCTAGAGGCCTGGGCTACGGATACTAGAAACTTGAGGAGGGCGCTAAGGGGGGCTGACGGTGGAGGTGGAGGGGGTGTTATATGAAGATGTGTTAGTCGTGAGGGTGAGGCTGGTGCCAGTCAACTACGCTTGCCCCGAACAGTGCGAGATTGCGGATCGCTGTAACATAGCGTCAGAGTGCGAGTATAGATTCAAACTGAAGCGAAGCGTTCGCGCTCAGTATGGAACAATGTTATACCTGTGAACTTCGCTCCGGTTATACTACTTCGCTTTATCGAACTCAGCCAGCATCCTGTCAGTTTCTGTGTCAAACTCCTCCCATCTCGGCACATTATCGTCCGGGATGCTGTACCAGACAGGCTTGTTTTTGGTGAAGATATGCATCTCCACCTGCGGCAAACCGTCTCCGCCTTCGGTCACGGAGCCAGCCGCGACATGTGTCCGGTCAGGGAAGCAGTGATATTGCATTGTCATTGTCGAGCCACACTCACCGCAGCAGGACCGTGCCGCCAAGTCATTGACCGTAAACGTATGCAACTGGCCGGACCATGTGAGCGTCGCCTTCGGAATACCAAGCCATGCGATGAACGGCGCCCCAGAAATTTGCTGGCACGTCTTGCAGTAGCAGTAGTCGAGGTTCTGCGCAGGCTGGGAAGAAGTCCAGGTGATTGCGCCGCAGGCACAGCTTCCCTTGAGCGTGCTCGCCATCAAGGTGTGGAATAATGGCGCACAGATCGGTCTATTGTGACGCTCGCCTTTCTGCTCCCCAGTAGAGGCGGAGCTTCACCGTTTTGGAAAGAGGTCCAAGTTTGGCAATCAGTATTCTGGTACGAACGGTCTTGCAGTGGATACCTCAGTTGAGTGAGACCTTACTGCAAGTACCTGGACGGGAGCGGATCGGCGATAAGGTGCATAGGGGCTTTCGGTGTAATATAGTGGAGTTTCTATATTCTCACTGTACATTGACGTAAAACTAGCCGGGAAGGCAGCGCTACTGTACTTACGGGGGAAGTAAGCAGCCCCAAGCGTAACCCCGGCGATGAGACGGGGCCAATGAAGATTTTCAGAACTGGTGCGACAGATTACATGAAGATAGTTTGTGTGATACGATGCGGTCAACGACCGACTGTAGTAAGCTGCAGACAATCGTGTTACGTGTTTCGTTGAGTACAGCTCACAAGCCCGTAGGCAGCTCATAACTACTCAACTGCGCGCTTGAGGGCCGCCTCGGAGGCGGCGGCGGCATGGAGACCTCCATTTGCTCACGCTTCGGTTCCTGAGTCCATTGCCTAAAGCTTGCTACATTGGAACCTGAGCCCAGCGCATGTGGTGGCGATTGTGAGCTCCGCACGGATCTCGGCGAGCTGTGGTCCGATGCTGATGACTTCGAAGAAGCCTGCTGTCCATGCCGCACTGGATACGGAGAAGGCAGATGCCTGTATGGAGACTGATGCATTGTGGGTATCGGACCGAGAGCCTTGACGAGCTCTTCAGGAGTTAAATCGGTCGGCTTCACCTTGACCCCCAACTCCTCGGCACCTGGTGTGGAAGCTCTACCAGCAATAGCCATCTCAGCCACCGACGGAGCGACGGCGGATGTTGGAGTCAGTAATGAATTATGAATGTAGCTTCTCGCATTGCCTGATATTCCAATAAGCGGTGGCAGTGTTGACGGGGAGCGTAGGGGCTTCGATTCCGTTGGGCTTCCCTGAATCTGGGCCGGTCTTATAACTGGTCCGTCGTGTATCCCCAGGTTATGCGTGTTGCTTGAAGCTGCTGTATCGGGCGATAGTGCGCTCCGTAAGAGAGGGGGAGGACAGGAAATTTGGTGCACCCCAGCGTGGTTGTTATTCCCGAATGCTGTTGTATCGGCGGATGGGGCGTTTTGCTGGGCACCGGAGATTGAAATCCTTGGTGTGTCTGTCTTTTCGTCTTTTAACGCATGGTCAATAACTGCGCAAATCTGATCGCTCCCATGACTCAAGTTCCGGGAGTCTGCTAATATGGCCCGGCTACTGCGTTGTGCTTCTTGTAAAGCTCGCGTTAGCATCGTGACTTTGTCACTTAGTCGCACGACTTCACGTCTTAGATCAGACGAGTCACGTCGCACGAGGGTGTCCGCTTCATTATGAGCGTTCTGCAGGCCATTGTCGCTCCCACCAGCCTGCGGAGAATGCCCGGCTTCAAGAATCGCCAACCGTCGTTTCAGCGACAAGCACTCATCAGCCTAAACATTGCGGGGTTAGAAGTGTAATCTGTGTGGCACGGGAATGTACATCTCTGCTTACCAGTGCTTGCCTTTCGCGAGCGAGCTTTGCTTGTAATCGACTGCCCATGTCGAGCATACGACCCCACTGCTCCTTCTCCTTGACAGTTTCAGCACGCTCAACGTCACGCTTGCGATCGCTCTCATAGAGTTGCATCTCCAAAGACTTGACTTGCTCACTTAAGTCTTCATTCTTTCCGGTGAGGTCATTGACCTCTTGCTCGGAGACGTTGGTCTTCTTTTCGATTGTCTGACTCTTCACCTTCTCTCGCTGCAACTTCTGGAGCAAGCTAGAATACTCCGACTGCAGTGTCTGCAAGGCTAGCGATTTCAATGTCACCTGGTGCTGGAGGTCGGCAATATGAGCGGAGGTTGCAGAGCTAGTCGACGCAGTATGAACGGACGCTGACGGTGGATAAGACGGAGCCGGTGAGCCAGGGTGGACCGTGGGTGCTGGCAGAGAAGCAGCCACCGAGGGTGGGTACACGAGCGAAGACGGAGACGGCAGTGGACGGAGTTGCTGTCCAGCTTGTCCTGGCGATCCAATGCGCGGGTATGCAGACTGCGGTGCTGAGTCGCCTGGCTGAGGGGAGTAAGTTTGATGGGGGACAAAGTCCAGCGATGCTCGCCGATCGGGATGATAGGCGGTAGCAAACATGCGCAGACCAGCAGCTTCAGGAGAGTCGCCTGATCGAGGACGCTTAAGTGCGCGTGGATCGTCCCAGCTTCCGACACGCTTGACACCGTCTCCCGGCGGCGAGGCAGCACGAGACGCTGACGGAAGTTGAGGAGGCTGAGGCCAAAAGTAGGCTGGTTGACAACGGCGAGCGGTGAAATCCTGCATATCCCGCTTTGCATTGCGTAGTCTGTCAATAATCCATTGCACAGTCCTAACTGGACTATCGGTTGGTATGTCCAATGATCGGGTGACGGCCTGGTTACAGTAGGACTGTACGTTCTCGTCCAGCTCGGCGACAGCGATAGCTGCTTCTCGCACCATCGGCTTCAATTTCGTGCAAAGGTAGCATGAGATACGCGAATTCATCGGAGCAATCTCCGGTCCATCGGCATCTGGCTCGGACAGCCGGCTGGTATGCTCTTGGAGTGTAGCGAAGGACGGCAGCGATGGTACATTTCGCTGCTCATGGCTCGGTCGGCCATTAGTTTCGGATCGTAAAACCTGTGTTGAAGGTGCTGTTTCTTCCAACGCCACCGACCGTCAGCGTAACTTTCGCAATGGATGCATTCGTCATATTTCCACACGATTAGGGACGAAGCTACTCGAGCATCTCACTGGTTCTTGAAATGAGCATGGCATGAGGAAGTGCCCGGCAGAGTTTGTAGTACTTTCAATGGCAGAGGAGTCACTCAACTATGCGATATGTCGCCAACCTGCTGTAGGAAGGACAACATAATGTCGATGGCAGATCAAGGGTACAGAACGCCGCAAAAGGAATTCTCACACTGACCTGGAGTAGTAGGAATATAGAGCGCCAGTGGTTCGGTAAGCCGGGTGCCAGCGGCACCATGGTGCTGACGGTGATCGACGTGATCTTGGTACGAACTCTGCCAAGCGCCGGCTGTCGTCGTACGCTGACGAGGTGAAGTCGCCGCTAGTTGCTGCGGGCCGTAGTTGCCACTGGAAGCCGAGCTTTGGCGCTCGTAGGCAGGTCCGGAGTAGGGCTCGGAAGGCGGGCGTTTCTCGGAAGGCGGTCGGTCAGTTGCTGGACGCAGAGGTCGATTGTCCTTTGGGAAAGCGTCCAAGAATGTGCGTTGTTGATTAGGATGAATCGCTGTCGGGGCGGACATCGGAGGCTGGGCGACTAAGTTGCTTGCTTCACCGTGATGTGGTTGGCCCGGGGTACCGCTGCCTCTCCATCGTGTCGAGTCCCACGAAGGCGCCGTGCTCATTGCTTGCAAAAACTGGCAGAAACAGAGCACAAAAGCTCACACTACCGAGGTGTCATGTATGTGTTATATTAGTTGTACGATCGAGCATAAGGTCAAGTAACCCTCTCGAACGAGGAAGTTTACAGGAGGAGGCTCCGGTCAGGTTATTATGAGGCACTACGCAGGTCAAGTACCAGGACGATCTTAGTAGCTCTTACGGAGATGACATCCTCTGGCAAGTCCGAGCCTGTGAAAGAGTGACCTCGCCCAATGCAGCAAAAGCGCTAGCCGAACGCTGACTTGCACGTTACGCCACACTCAGATGCGACGGAGCCGCGAGTCGAAGGAAGCACAGGCGACAGATCGTGTTGCAGCAAAGTCCATTTGCCCGGTGCGGGCCCGAACATGCATGTCAGATCAAGCGAGGTGATGAAGCAGGGTGTGTGCAACCCAAGCGGGCCCGGGAGCAAGGTAGCGACAGCCTACAGGCGGAGCGTTGATGATGCGTGCGACTTAGTCAGTCCAGCTGCGATGAGTTGAAGCTGGAAGTGTCGCGGCCGCACAACTTAACAGGCAATAGAGTCAGACGCCTGTAGGGAACGGGGCCGAACGCTTGTCAGATTGCCTTTGTCTTGCTTCAATCCTAATGGCGGCTCTATAAAGGTCGACGAATAGAGATCGTTTGGTATCCTAAACTGCCGAGGTACCTTCAAGCCAAGTCGTCGTGAGCGTGGGGCGCCCTGCCATTAATCAGCTGGAGTGTGTCAGCATACTATTCAGCACGGACGGCTCGGCCGTGAGCCTCGATCCAGATAGGTGTGTTGGCCCAAAGAAGCAGCTTGTCCGCGATGCTTGCATAAAGTCCTCCAAGACCGTTCGGCCACAGCAGGAGTCTGATCTTCACGCAGCGTCTCCCGGCCCGTTGATCTACGCGACATAATTCAGGATGCATATGCAAGTGCCTCGGTTCCAAGGAATGTGATACTCCCAAAAGAGTACGGACTTTGAAGGTATACCAGCCGACGGCGCGAATTCAGAGCTGACGCGAGCTGCAGGCGCATTAGGTGGACGATCAGCGGTCTTGGTCCCTTTTCGCGCCTGCTGCACCACCTGATACAACAGCACCTGACTCTCGCAGGATGGTGGGTTGTACCGACGGACTTCGATTAGCTGTGACAGCATTCAATTTGGCTTGCTAAAAGCGGCTGTCAGTTGCAACCCGCGGCGGGAGAAAGACTCAGCATTCGCCCGCTGACACATCTAGTCTTTGTCTCACTTGCATAGCGTATCGTGCCCTGCTATTTTCATCACTAATTAAACAGGGTCATAGGGAGAGGTACTTGAGGCAGTATAGGGGTGTAGCATTCCATCCTTCTCTACAGTAATCTTCCGCGGCTTGGAACGTCACATCTCATGTGCAGATTCCTGATATCATTGCAGGAGGATGATTCGTCGCAATTGTTAACATCCGGATCCTAGGATTGCGGGCAAGTGAAAGAAGTAAGCTTCTCGCAATACGCGATCGTGCTCATGAGGCCTTGTTTCCTGACGAATGCGGCAAAGGTTCGTCACGTTGACGTTGACCTACCTTAAGGAAATACCCATTTCCATCCTTGGCGCGTTCTAAGCCATCTGCTAGCCAGCAGGCTACAATAGACAGTGCATAGCCGCCGGTTTGCTGTAGGATAGCGGTTAGCAGTAGTCAGTGACAATGACCCTCGCAGTGTTTACCGCATACACATCGAAGGTATATTAGTACCTCCACGAACAAGGTTCTTAACCATTCACCCTTAGACTGGCTATTTGGCGGAGACGCTCTTCCACACACTTGGTGGATGCTGGTGGGAGTCAGCGGGGGCGTGAACGCTCAGTCACGCGGTGGATGTTTTCGACTACATTGAAGCTGAGCAAGGTATCACCGAAGAGTTGCAATGTGAAACCCTTGCGCAATGGCAAGATCTTCACTACCGCTCTGGAGCGGCATCTTCGCATCAACGGTCCCTACCCCACGAGGTCCACGCGACTACCAAGGGTTAGTGACTTTGAGCGTGCTGGCACCGAGGCGCCCGTGGCCGCGCGGCGTACACGTGATCTTGTCCAGCCAGATACCCTTAAGCGATGGTGCTGCTCAAGCCTTCCGTATGTCTACCGAGTGCAATCTGCTTCTCCCCAACTGCACGCGTGTTAGTACGCAGAGAGATGACCCCACTGTCGCTGTACGCGTTGGTCGCGATTCTGTGGTCGACTACAATGCTCTTCTTCATGCGCTGGCTTCCTGCAGATTTGTTCGAAGGCTACATTGCATGTACCTGCAGCAGCCCGGGCAAACCTGATGCGAACCGACGCAGCACCCAGCACAAGTGCCACCACCTCCTCTGGAGTCCCAGAAATTTTGACTTAGGCATGCCAGTGGGTCACGAAGACATTGATCTGATATTGTAGGCGTCACCGAGTGAACATTCCTGATGAATGGGCAATGAGGCCGCCTAAGGCTGGTGTGTGTTTTGCACAGCCTGGTGCGGATGGCTGCCTGTGACCGGTCAAGGAAACAGACCGGTCACAATCCGGATTGCGCAACAACACATTCATACGATGGCGCCTCCTAATCGTCTTGCGAAAAAGTTCCAACGCTTCACACTATAGAGTCTTCTGCAAAAGTTTTTGGTTGCTCACAGACCCAAACGCAGGTCACCCCACGCGCAGCTCAGGACGTGAGGCGCAAGGTCAGCCTCTTACAATATCCCACCGAGCCGACTACAACCTGCAGATCTTCGAGACGAGATTTGTTTCCGGAGAGGACATCCACCCAAATGGCCCCGCGCGGTGGCTTTCTGGCCTGTAACAGCGGTATTCATGCCGCCTATGCATTACTGAAGCACGTCACCAGCCACGTGGAAGCCGCCACCTGTGAAGAAGCTCTTGCGAACCTCATGAAAATGTTGAAGCAGTCTAGCGCGATGATGCGCCTGGTCATCCCATTAGCAATGCTGGTCATGGCGCTATCGCGATACTCCTGGATCGCTCAGCCTTGCACAAGCCTGAGGGACTACCTTTACAGCTTCGTGAGTGCACGGGTAACCATCAGCGGATCTCATCCACTCCAGAAACAAGTAATGGCCTGGATGATCGAGCACGGTCTAGGCGAGCGGGCCAGAACGCTTGCACTCACTCCGCCACAAGATATCAAGGTTCACAAGTCGCGTGATTACGACCAAATCTACGGCCTCCGCTCGGTAAAGCGGAAGTCATCTGATTCCGAGGAGAAGAGGAGAGACACTCTGGTCTACGTCCCGGATGTTGGTCGATATTCATTCACATTCGAGGGCTCCCGCATGACGTTCGAGAAGCAGACGCTCAAGCGTGACGAGTACGACCAAAGCTCGTTCCACCGATACACCAAGGACGATGATACGATCATCATCTCCTGTTTCTCGCCGCCATGGTCAGGAGCTAGACCCATTCAGGCATTCCTTGATCATGTCAAAACAACGGCAGCAGCAGGCGAAGAGACCATGACGAAGATTTTCCGTCCCGCCGGCAGTATGCGTGATGGCAACTACTGGGATGAGGGCATGGCGAGACCTAGCCGCAAGCTCTCTGCCGTCACGCTCGATGCTCACATCAAAGACCCGCTAGTCAAAGATATTGAGAGCTATCTTGATCCACGCACTAAACGTTTCTACGTCCAGAACGGCATACCGTACAGGAAAGGCTATCTCTTGTATGGACCACCAGGTACTGGCAAGACGAGCTTTTCGACGGCACTGGCGGGAGAGTACGGGCTGAATGTCTACCTGCTGAGTCTCTCCGACTCCCAAATGACGGATCGCCGGCTAGAAGAGCTCTTCGAGCAACTACCTCCCAAGTGCGTCGTGTTGATGGAAGATATCGATAGCGCTGGAATCAAGCGCGAAGACATGCGTATAGAAGGAAAGTCAGAGAAAAGGAGAAGAAAGTCTCACCTTCCTCCGCCAATTATGGACCTTGTGGTTGCCGACTCTGACTCGGAGAATGGCGCAATGCTGCCGCCGCCGCCGCCATTTCCATTTGCTAGTTTCGCACCTGCGGGCGTCACTCTTAGTGGACTACTCAATGTTCTCGATGGCATCCACGCGGCTGAAGGTCGCATTGTACTGATGACATCCAACAATCCGAACAGTCTTGATAAAGCACTCATTCGACCAGGCCGCATTGATCGGAAAGTCCTGTTCGGCTACACATCACAAGAAGTAGCAGCAAAACTCTTTATGCGCATATTCACCAAATCGCCTGATCAGCTCCTAGGTGGCGAGAAGCCGTTCGAGAACGTGCCGCAACTGGCCACGGCTTTCGCGGAGCAGATTCCACCAGACGAAATCACTCCAGCGGCAGTACAAGGCCATCTCCTACAATACCGCGCGGATCCAGAAGCTGCTGTAGCGGCGACTGCGGAGATGGTAGCGCAGGAGATTGAGGAGAGAAGAAAGGGTCTGGTTGTTGCCGGTTTTGACGAAGACGCTGCACGTCACAGCAGGATAGACTCTGAGTCTGAGTCTGAGTCGGACTCGGTGTCACAGCCTGAGCCTGATACAAGACCTGCATCTCGTGGCAGAAGCAGAAAGGCGAGGCGCAAGAAGGCGGCCGCGAAGAAAGGGCACGCACACTCACGGCACAACGTAGCTATACCGCACAGTCACGATGGTTCGCAGTCAGCTTCGCGGGCTTCTGCGGTCAGAAACCAAGCGGACAAGGCAGCGCTGTACTCATCACCAGAACCAGGACCGTCGCTGTCACGGCCTGAGACGCCTGCATCAAGCGTTGGCAGCGTTCGAGCGAAGTCGAACAGCAACGGAAGGAAGTGCACTTAAACTTATGTTCATACTGGTACAAACAGAGCATCTGTGATTCGTCTCAGAGTCTGAAGGTACCGCGACACCGATCGGGAAACGAGCACTATGTCAATACAAGATGGCACAAAGGAGGGGTTCGAAGTGGCTCTACAGCGCTAGATATGAGCCGCTAAGCTATCGAGTGGAGCCTACGTGGCCTGGCAAAGGCTTGTCGTCATTACGGTGTTCTTTAGCGCGATATCCAACCTTGGCAGCCCTCGCATTAACCTCCACAACCCACTGCCACCTCATGCATGGCATTGCATGCTATGCAAGTTCCCACACGTAGACCTTACAATGCAGGGACAAGCCGCTGAGAGTAATGGTGATTGCGCAGGCACTGCCATTGTCAATGTGCTCTGCTCTCGGTCCACCCAAGCTTTCAGTATAAACCAGATTGTCCACATCACCGGCTACAGCGGCTTCAGTAATGAAGCCATTGGTTGTTCGCCAGTATCGACACGCGTGCAGCACCCCGCCGACGTCATGTGCGATTCTCAACCATGCTGCTTGCTGTGCGTTCCATGTTTTGTGTGTTCCAAGTTTCATCATTCTCCCGAGGGGCTTGCTCTCCTCGTTTTCGTCACCCTCTTATCTCATCTACTTCGTGACAACCAGCTTTTATCTCAATTTTCCCAAAGATGTCTAACTTTCTGAAAGAAGCCGAAGGTGCCCTTGAGGGCCGTTTAAACCAGGGCGGAATGGGCCAGCAAGGCGGCATGGGAAGCGGCATGTGTCAGCCAGGCGGTACGGGCGGCGGTTACGACAACCAGCAAAGTGGTATGGGCGGTGGCATGGGCGGTGGCTTCGACCAGTCCAACCAGCAAGGCGGTATGGGCGGTGGCTTCGACCAGTCCAACCAGCAGGCGGGAATGGGTGGTGATTACGGCCAGCAGAGCGGCTTCGACCAGCAGTCGGGAGGTATGGGCAGTATGGGCAGTCAGCAAGGCGACATGGGCCAACAAAGTGGCTCCACCGGCCAGCAGAAGAGCGGTGGCTTCATGTCCTCCATGGAGTCAGCGGGCAAGGATGGCATGCTGAACAATGGTGAGTCGTCGAAGTGGCGAGCTCTCGCTTCACAGTAGATTCTGATCTTCATGCCACAGAGATGAACCAGTTCCTTACCAAGGAAGGCGTCCCTCAAGGAGCCGATCAAACAGTAAGTATGTGAGTGCCTAGAGCGCCGTGCACGACTAACTTGCCTTGTTGTAGATTGACAAGTACGTCGACCAGGAAGCCAACAAGTTCATGTGAAACCAGCAGGCGTTGCGACGAAATGGACGTGAGCCCAGCGTCAACAAGCAATGTTCAATGACGAATGGGCTCGATAGACCGCCGGGTGCAGAGTTTCAACAGGGCGTCGAAGTCTACTAGATGGCTACGACGAAGCTTTTACGAACTTCGAGATCACGTCGTCATGCATAAACCTTGCCATGGCATCCCCCTTCAGCGTCACCATCACCTCCTACTCACTCCTCTCCTTGTCCACCGGGAAAAGCACGCATCCGAGACTAGGTAGCCTTCGTCGGACCGCTCTTCTCGATGCTGCCTTTGCAAGGCCTAAGCCGAGATGTGACGGAACCAGTGGGAGTATACTGTGGTCTTAGACAACAAGGGCACTCCTCGGGTAATTGGTCGCTTCGGCGTCCCCAACGTTGGTGAGCCTGTCACTGACGCTAGCATCTATTACAAGACGCATTCGCGTTACGTATCGGTCTAGGGACATGGCCGACATTTGACATGTCATAAGCTTTGTTTGGCTGAGTGATGCTTATGTGGGCTTTGGCGTATGAGGTGGTGTTTCCCACATAGTCGCTCGAAAGTCCAGCTTTTCGTGAATGCTCCCTTACATTCTGGGGTCCCCAAAGCCGTGGGCGCTGCCCTGCGTCCTCGTCACTAGCCTCTAGAGAGTGGAACAGTCATGTTGCTCAGACTACAGCCGCCTACAGAAGGGCGGTGACAACGTTAATGAGTAAGCCGTGAATGCATCCCCCGGTGAAGGTAATGGAAGCGGCTGTTGATTGTGTGCATAAGTGCTTCGATAGCAGCTGTGTCGGATGGGAGTATACGGCACATGCTCCGCGGCTGCTCATTGACATGCAAGTCAGTGGCCAGCTTTGCTGTGAGACCTCTGTCACGTGGAGGGACAAGCACCGTCATTGCGCTAAGCAGGTCGCATAGCCGCCTACGCATCTTGTTTTCAGCAATGCTGTTCGCAAGCGGGTAACTCTCCGACAGATCTCTTTGCGGCCGTTTGCGGACATGATGCGAACGATCTCCGCCAGGCCCAGTAGGCCAGGTACAACATGATGAAGAAACATTGCCACAACCAAGCCGCCTCCAATGAAGATAGGCTGTACAACAAAGGCGGGTATTGTACTAGGACACCCAGACAATGCCGGCAATGGTGTGGGAGTCGAGTTGAAGAAGACCTCGGGCCACATCGTTTCTCGAGATAAGCCAGAGCACGCCCACGAATTATACCTCAGTAAAACGCACTGCTTCGCCACGCGGAAGGGGCGCACGGAAGTGAGATTGACCTGGAGATTGGTAGGCAGATAAGTCAGCTGTATCTCTTGGCCTCCCCGCAGGTTTCGCTCACCGTGGTCTCAAGACAACGCTCCTGTTTGCAATTCCGTGGAGTAGCTAGTTGGGTGATAGTCGCCAAAATAGGCATGTGCGCTGCAGTCTATCGCACAGCGGCCTCGGATTCCGCAAATGCTTAGTCGCGCTCCATTCCGGCGTTACGACACCGAAAGCAGAGATAACAAGTAATGGAGTTGCTGCTTTGGAATATATCCGAAGCCGACCGACCTTAGATGTATTCCTGCTCGGAAAGGTCACAAATGGCTAGAGGCGCTCCATCTTGGCGAGTCTCTTGTGAAGTCGAGCAAACTCATGGTCCTTAGCTGTAACGTTTGCGTAGGGAAGCCCACGAACGACGTTTTCATGATCGCGCGCTCAAGCACCTATATCAACAGGTTGGGCTTCGGTTACCGGTACCCGTCGGCCTCGGCGCCGTAAGCGTGCAGTAGGTACTGGCTGAGCTGCTTGCTACCACCCTGAGACAGAGAGCCTTGCGTTAGCTGGATGTGATACTTGGCACCTTGTAGCACGCCACAACTGCAACGCGACCAAGCGCGATATTCGTGGGCAAAACTTACACTTCTCACACAGCACCCTCTCCGCCGCCATGCCCGGCTGCTTCCGCAATACGGCGACAAACTCGTCGGTCATCCTCGGCGGCCCACAGACGTAGACAACTGTCCCCTGGCGGTCATTCTCGGCTCCGTACAGGCTGTTTTGGTAGCCATCGAGCGCGTGAACAAGGTCCGCCTCGGTGATTCTGCGGCCAAACGTGCGATTGGGGAACTTGCCGTGCTCGACGAGTCCTTGATCCCCATTGCCTAAGCCTGTCAAGAAAAGACTTAGCGTGACGTTGGAGGGTTCTGCAACCGCCGCAACAAGATCCATAAGCCTTGGGAGAAATAGGATGCTCTGTTGGTCGAGATCGGGTTCTGCCTTTGTACCGTACAGAAAGTGGATCTCTCGTGGCCTCACAGCGGAGCGAACGAGGTGCGAAAAGATAGATATTAGAGGGCTGTCATGGTTAAACGAATAGGTTGAGCTGCGTTCAGATCAAGATAGCTTACTTGATACCGACTCCGCCTGCCACTAGAATGAGTCGATCAATCTTGGAGACACCGAGGTGAGGCGGGGGCCAGACGAAGCTCCCGCCTACTCTCACAACGAGATGCGTCCCGAGGATCTCATGCTCTGGTCGCGACAGGTATTGAGCCGGAGGGTTGGAGCTCTTCTGGACTGCCAACTCGAGGTAAGGTAGAGAGTGATTACTCGGCTTCGCATCCGATGGCGTAGACGTAATAGTGAAACCGCCAGCTCTCGGCAGGCCTGGAATGAACGTATCTAGCCATTGACCTGGTTGGAACTTTACTGGCTCCGCATCAGCGGTGATAAAGCTAAGGACTTCACCATGGCAGGCGGACTCTGATGGTATGACTCGGGTCCATAGCATTTAGTCTTAGCAATCGTACAGATGCATTGACCTGGCGGATATGCGCCAGTACGACCGGTTCGAGCCTGTTCTCCCGCGGCTCGGCTGCCGTTCGATCTTCGTGCGGGAGAGACGAGCGCACGGTTGCCATGCCTCTTGACAAGCGTAATTGCGAGGACGAAGCGCGGTATGAGATAAAGGCACGTCGAACTGGACTGCGAAGAATGGTCATGGCTTATATGAGAGAATGTAACGCGCAAGAACACCGGAAGCATTGACGTCGTCTCTGGCACCAATAAAGAACCGGCGGTGGCTGCAATCTCACGGCCCGAGGCGCAATCGGTTCGCAGGAATGACGCCGCGCCTTTGTCACAAGTCGACGTCAAAGCTGTGCAGAGTTGAGGTATGGCATCAGTCTCCACCGCACCGATACATATAGTACCCCAAAGCGACGATGCGATACTTCAGACTCCGCGATCGCCTCTATCCGCACCTGTAACACCGGATCTAGCCTGAGAATCCGGCAGCCTTCCAAGATGGCTAGCAAACCTGTGGACTCGAGCGAGGCGTGGGACTTCCACAACTTACCGGACTGGGACGATGATCTGTACGATGAGGATGACATGCTCGCATTCGCTTCTGCTTTGGCTGCTCCAGAACCTTCGCCTTCAGAAGAGGATCTTCGTAACCCTCAGCATAAGCCGGGTATGGAGTTCATCACAGCTCTCAACGACTGGCGACCGATACGCCAGAGAGTGCGAAGTAGCAACCCTTCCAAGCCCAGCCATGCCAGCAGCAAAGCCAAGCGACGAAAAAAGCCACGACGAGGCAAAGACGAGACTCGAGAGGGGTGGACATACTCGGTTCTCAAATATCCGTTCTTGCTTACAGTTTTCGTGTGGATTGCTTGTCTTGGAGCATCGTACTTCGCTACGAGGCTCTACATCTACGTTTACGAGCAATGGTTCGCGTGGCGAGGGAAGAAAGCCCGACTTCGAAAGCGTCTGCGAGAGCAGACTACGTACGAGGATTGGGTGAAGGCTGCCAAGGAACTTGATACGTACCTTGGCAGTGACAAGTGGAAGGCCGAGGACGAGTACGCATACTACGACGACAGGACGATCAGTAGAGTGCTGAGGCAGATGAGAGATCTTCGCGAACAGGCTGAGGAGCAAGATGGGCGACCAACAGCCAAAGGGATGGAGGGACACAGACCGATCGATGACCTAAGTGGACTGTTGGAAGCTTGCGTGAAGAATAACTTCGCTGGTTTTGAAAACCCTAGACTATACTCTGAGACTTATTACGGCACGAAAGATCTTGTGCAGGACTACGTGGACGAAGTCTCAGCCACATTAAAGTTCCTGCTTTCAGCCAGACAGCTTACGCAAGAGAACAAGCGCAACCTCTTCCAGCATCTGAGCACCAACTTTGGCCGCACAGCTTTGTGTCTGAGTGGGGGCGCAACTTTCGCGTACTACCATTTCGGAATAGCCAAAGCGCTCCTTGAAGCGGACCAACTGCCAACAATCATCACGGGTACCTCTGGCGGCGCGCTCGTTGCAGCCCTTTTGACCACTCGCACAGATGACGAACTACGCAAACTGCTCATTCCAGCCCTGGCCTACCGGATCAGAGCTTGTAGCGAGCCAATGCGCGTATGGGTACCACGCTACTGGCGGACCGGCGCTCGTTTCGACAACGTAGACTGGGCGAAACGATGCTCCTGGTTCTGCAATGGCTCTCTCACCTTCCTGGAAGCGTATCAACGCACTGGCCGAATACTAAACGTCAGCTGTGTTCCATCTGACCCGCATAGCCCAAGCATTCTTGCTAATTATCTTACCGCACCGGACTGTGTGATCTGGTCTGCAGTTTTGGCCTCGGCAGCCGTACCAGGGATCCTTAACCCTGTGATTTTGATGCGAAAGAACCGTGCAGGCAAGCTCGAGCCTTACAGTTTCGGCCACAAGTGGAAAGATGGCAGCTTGCGAACAGACATACCACTCAAGAGCCTCAACTTGCACTTCAATGTTAACTTTTCCATTGTCTCGCAAGTGAACCCGCATATCAGCTTGTTCTTCTTCTCTTCTCGCGGCACTGTTGGACGACCGGTGACTCACCGTCGTGGCCGCGGCTGGCGAGGTGGCTTCCTCGGCTCAGCAATCGAGCAGTATCTCAAGCTTGACCTGAACAAGTGGCTGAAAGTTCTGCGGCATCTGGAGTTACTGCCACGTCCGTTAGGTCAGGACTGGTCTGAAGTCTACCTTCAGCGCTTCAGCGGCACCGTCACCATATGGCCGAGAACCAAATTATCTGACTTTTGGTACATCCTCTCCGATCCAACAATGGAACGCTTGGCGCGCATGCTTCACTACGGTCAGCTTGCGGCCTGGCCGAAGCTCAAGTTCATCAGCAACCGCATGGCTATCGAGAAAGTTATTGAGACTGCTCGCGAGGAACTGCGGCCTCCAACGCAACCTCTTCCAACGCCCTTGCCGAATGACCGTAGCTTAAGGAATGTGCTGAGTGAAGAAGACCTGCAGACTCTGCTTGATCGCGCGAAAGAAACGCATGCGGCCGTGGAAATACCTAATGAGATGTTTACGCCCAGGAATGAGCGGCCGCAACCTGCCTTCCACCGAGAGAACAGTCCGAGTCTGGGCAAGCGCTTCACGGGCTGGCTAGGCTCACTGCAAGTACCTTCGTCGCCACGAGCGAGCGCAGAAACTGTACGTCCGGCTTCACGTGACCCCGCACTCGATCGTCGGCGAGGCAGCGTCATTGAGGAGCTCAAGCGCCAGTCGGGCGTCTTCTGGGATGATCCTTATGTGGACATGGAGACGGCGAGTGAGACCGAGCACGAGGATGGAGCAACGGACGATGAGCATTCGCTGCTGCCGGAAGATGACGTTGCTCCGTATGAGGCGTACAATGGCAATGGTACCGTCATTCGAAGGAAGCCCCAAGGTGGGAGTAGGCCAATGATATTTGTGGCAGATCATGAGGAGCATGGGGAGAATGGTGAGAAGATGGAGTGAAGTATGATTGTTTGGCCGGCCGGTCTTGGAGCGTTCAAGCGAGCGACGTGATCGCGTATGATTGCTCTTTATTTTGGTGTACTGCTGCTATCCAACCTAGGGATGGCGAGTAAGTCCACCTTGTCGTGCACTGCAATGCGATGCGCCATAGAATGCACGCTCAAGTATCAGACTGCGCTCACTTTGCCGAGATGCGACCTCGCTCGATTGGAACCATGCTCAAAATTATTTGCCGCCTCTCAGGCCTCTCTACGTAAGTGAACCCGATCAAACCTCCTTCCACTTCTTGGCACATGCCGCGCCCGCGAACGGATACGAACCACCATGACGCTGAACATGACGGGCAATGCTCTGCCACGGCAGCTTAACCGAACGTGCAGCAGGCGTGTAGTAAGCGACCGCCCGGCGAAGGAGCTGGACCTAAATCATCTGTCAGTACCGGGATAACAGCAGCTGACATGTCGTGCACTGGAACGTACGTCGTTCGCTGTCCATTGAGGTTGACGAATTCTTTCAGCCTTCGGCTTGGTCATATTCCGATAAATGCCGCGGATGGTTGACTCCGCACAGCGAAGATTGAGCCGTTTCCTGATGTCCTTGTATGAGAGGCCTTCGGAACGGAGCTGGACGATCATCCGGTTACGCCACTTAACATTGACGCTATCCGAAGTGCTGGCAGTGCGCGTCGGTAGTGGCGAAGTCGCAGACTCCGAGCTGCTGTACTCTTCTGATGACTTCTGAAGACTGTCAATGGTATCTGCTGAAACATTCCGGACAGCCTGCGGTGCCACGTAGACCGGTGCTGCCTGTCTGGAGCATTGGACAACGTCCTGTGGATTGACCTGCATTATTTGCTGTTGAGCAACTGGCTGCGCTGGCCAAGCAAGACCGCGGAAGCTGCTATACCGCACCCCGCTGAAGCTGTCTACAGCAGGCGTACCGTAGTCCGGTGTGCGGAAGATGATGGGTATTGCGGCTGAAGCAAGCGCCATTGGTGCCGGCTTGAAGTCGACACAATGCTGGTCAGCAGTAGGTTCTAAGTACATGCTGTTGGCTGGCCGGCTGTCGCCGTGGAATTGAGCAAAAGAGCCCATCGTATCCGCGCCGGGAGTTGCTGGGTGGTCGTTGCGGGTCTCGACAGAGGCTGGTGACGTTGCATCGTAGTCGATAGATGCGCGCGCCCAGTCGTCGTAACTGACCGCAGAGTAGGCTCGAGCGTCGACATAGCGATCTATAACGCCAGGTACGGGAATCTGCACGTCATTCGCAGCAAGCGATGTCTGTGCTTGGGCAATTGGGACGGCTGCTGGCGAGCTCACCGGCGGATACAGTGGGCGGAAAGCGCCATACAAGGCGCCTTGTTCGATATCGTGATGGTACATTTCATCAGCAAAATAACTGTGCTGGGGTGCCCCATCGGCCATGATATGCCGATGCGGAAATAATGGTCGTGGAAAGAGTGCTTGTGGAGGGTGTTGATATGTCTGTGGCGGCGGAGGGAGTGGGACGAGAGTATGGGTGAAGTTGCGACGATCCATCGCGCTTTCTCTCACCGCCGTAACGCAAGGCTGATGCTGTTGTAGGGTGCAATAGGTTGATGCTGGATGGCGGATGCTGTAGGAGCTCCGCACGTGAACCTCGCCAATGCGCAGATAAGTTCTGCAAGCACGGAATAGTGCAGCTGTTCGCGGCGTGAAGTTGCAGGGGCGGTGAACTGTACGTGAGCTCTCCTGCGTAGGCAATAGTCTTGGCGTCGAGATACGTGAAGTCTTTGTGTAACCGGTGAGCGCTCCCCACCTAGGAGGGCCTAACGTTTGTACCGCAGCTGTGAAGCGGACGAGTCGGTGTCAGCGTACAAGCATTCGACGAGCTGCAAGATATCCGCCTAGGCTTGAGGAGGACGTACATATCTGCAATCCATTTGGTCACCAGAGATGACTTCCGGACTTGTCCAGTGCAGCGACAGGGATAGTCCACCGCCCGCACTCAGTAGCCCGCGTGTTACTTGCGTCAGAGGAGGAAAAGTCAAGAAATTGCAGCCGCCAGATAAGACGCAGAAAGCCCTGTAACCCACTGCAACTGCGAAAAGAAGCGAAGCAAAATGAACCGACCGCCAAAGCACTTGATCCTCACCAGACTCGAACAGTTCACAAGGCAAAGATAAGACAGCAGCGCTCTTTGTAGGTCATGTGTTCAGCCTCCACCCCCTTGATGCATACAACAAAGAGTCTTCCAGGTGTCGTTTGGTCGTGCGGGTAGAGAGACGGGGAAGCTGCGAACATCTCCGCTGACCCGTCCGGCAAGACATTCCGACCTCAGGCAATGAAGCGGCTAGGTCGAAGAGAAGTGCAGGAACGAGTTCCGCGCGGCAAGCAGACAAGATCATACCGGGCCGACGGTGCTGCTAGTGCACGAGCAGCTGGCAAGATAGGTCGCGAAGGCAAGCGTCTCCTGGCAACGTAGCGGCATCCCGTGAGCGATCAACTCACCCCTGGATTCTGACACGGGTTCACGCACAAGCGTCACCTGTCAACAACGGTGGGCTAATGCGAGCGGCCGCAGCTCTCTGTCGGATTGCAGCGTTCACAGAGCAATATTGCAGCGTTTGGCATTTCATGAGGAAGAACCAGAATCGAGATACAGCCTCTGGTATTTTGGTAGGCGTGGCCTCTGCGCTTTAAGTTCAGTATGTTACAAGATGTCCGCAGCGAAGGCTTTGCGACCGAATAGAGAGGCATTAGGGTTGTTCAGGCAGCATGGAGACCCGCAGTCTACTACGCCGGAGCCACGGCCGCGGCAACAAGCATTTGAACGAGCGTCTGCCGGGCTTCTGTTGTCTGGAATTGCCTTGCGAGCAGCGAAGACTTCGTTGTTCATGGGAGAAGGCAACGCTGCCGTATGTCCTGAAGGCCAAACGCCGGCTGGTCGTCTACACTATCCACTGCGCAAAGCAAGGACCGAAGGCGGTCTCGGCGGCAGTCAGATGAGACGTCTTACTCCTGAGTGATGCCTGTGCTATCGGGCCGATGCAGGTGTCCGGTACCCTGGTGCATGTGAGCCGAATCTGGTCCAGCAGGGGCAGGGCACAAAACCATGATGAGCTACCCACGCCGGAAAGCCTGGAGTGATTAGACCACATAATGCACGGAGATGACTCCATAATCCTGGGCTACTGTATCCTTAAAAAGTTATCATTTCTAAGTTGTCCGGCGCGCTTGCCTTTCAGATTTAAGGGCGTCAAACGGGTACGAAAATGCTGTACCCTCGCTCGACGGTGGTAGCGTGTCAGAGAAGCTGTTTGACCATCCTATTCAGTATGTGGCAGTGCGTATTGCAGGAAAGGAAAAGGAGCGAAGTGAGGTCTGAAGAGTCGGGCAACCCAAATGAACACTTGACTCCTCAGGCATTCAACGGTCCAAACTACACATTCATCGTGGCCGCCCTGAATGCTTGCCTTCTACAATGCTCGCTCTCTGTCTTTGCACTATCTATTATCGCGACGACTGTAGAAATGGAGGCTGTTGCCACTGAAGAAGGCTGGCTTACGACTCCAGACAACGCTAAGTTATACACAAAACACTGGCGATCCAACACTGCGCAACCTAGAGCACGATTAGTCTTCATCCATGGCTTCTCGGACCATTGCAACTTCTATGGTATCCTGTTCCCTTCACTAGCTTGCCAAGGCGTCATAGTGCACTCTTTTGATCAGCGTGGATGGGGACGCAGCGTCCACGACCCTGCGCAGAAGGGTCGCTCAGGCCCGACCAAGCAGGTTCTCGAAGACATTACTACGTTTATCAACAGTCTGCCCACGGCTGACGCTAGCGTGCCGTTGTTCCTTATGGGACACAGCATGGGCGGTGCTGAAGTGCTGCACTATGCTGCTGCAGGACCGAGGGATATAGTCAGCAGCATTCGAGGCTTCTTGGTTGAGAGTCCCTTTATTGCATTGTCCCCTGCTGCCAGACCCTGGACAGGTACCGTAGTTCTTGGACGTATGGCCGCCCGAGTCCTCCCGCACCAGCAGATGGTGCAGAAGCTTGATGCCAAGAAGACATGCCGTGACCCGGATGTGTGCAAGCAGTTCGATAACGACCCCTTGTGTCACGATACTGGCACTCTGGAAGGCCTAGCGGGTATGCTTGATCGTGCTCTTGCGTTGGAAGAAGGGAACGTCACGCTTACGGAAGGTTTGGGGGATGGTGGCAAGACGAGACTCTGGCTCGGTCACGGAAGCGGCGATGCAATCTGCGACTTTAACGCATCTCGAAAGTGGTTCGAGAGCGTGGCGATCGAAGACAAGGAGATGCGGGTCTATGAAGGATGGTACCATAAGCTGCATGCGGAGCCAGGCGAAGACAAGGTCAGGTTCGCAAACGACGTTGCCAAATGGATTCTGGATCACAGTGAGCCATCCAGAGGGGCCGACGGAGCTGACCAGAGGGCGAAGTTGTAGTCATTTAAGCACTTCACTTTCGATGGCAGCCTCACTAGACTGCCGTCAACCCGCTGCAGCTCCACGCTGCTCAGAAGCTGCCATCCTCCCAAAGCCCATCTATCACTGGAGGCTTAGTGACGGAAATCTCAGCTCGATCTGCACGCCGTCGAAGCCGTTTGCTGACCGCTTTAGGGAAAGTATCTTTGGCAGTGGTAACTGACAGTGAGAGTTAGCGTAAGACGCAGCCAGAACGACATATCATCTTTTACCCAGTATACAGTTCCAGTCACCGACGCCTTGGCACAAACGATATAGAGCTTCGTCTTTGGGTACTGGCCACACATTTCGACCTTGAGCTCCCCCTTCAAGGTGTCAAAGCGCTCGTGACAACCCTGCATGAGCCCAACGACCTCTCTGACAGCCTGCGGAAGCGCGAGAGCTTTGTCGCGAGCAAGCATTAGTGTGATATTCTCTGCTTGTGCAGTTTCTGCCTCCTTCTGCAGAGAATGCAGCTCGTTTGTTGACGAATCAAGCTCGGCCGTAAGACGGAGAACCTCTTTCATTGCGCTGAAATTGTACGCTTCACTCGGCACCTTGGCTTACCGTGCTCCCATATGAAGAGCCAGTACCTGAATTTGCTGAGCAAGAAGCGGGGAAATTGCGGGCACCGTGTCGCTTCGCAGAGCGGTAGACTTGGGTGCTGTCGCCCGAATAGAGGGTGATGCGATGTTTATATTGCTTGTTGAAAGTGGACTGGACATCTATCATGGTGGTTAGGGTGCAGAGTAGGAGACTTAGGTAGGGTTTGAGGTCCTAGGTTGCCCATTCCTTAGCCCAGAACGAGGTTCGCGGAAGGTGGCGTCGAGCACCTGCTGCTAGATCTTCTTAAGCACCTCGCCTAGAAGAGTTTCGGGAACGGAGGGCCTCGGGCAGTCCACGGTGCCTACGAGACAGTCGAGGCGAACAGTGGCAGGTCTGTGCTGGGTTGGAGGTGTGGAAAGCGTTGAGCTCAGATTGTGAATTCGCTTGGGATGTGCTTGAGAGGTGAACCGTTGTCGGCACGACAGAGGCGTCACCAGGGTTCTTCGGACTCTTTGACTCAAATGATACAACGACCATGCTCAGTCCTACCTCTCTTCGGCTACCGACTAAGCAATCTAGTGCAGACGCTGGGGTCAGCCTACATCCCACATGCTGCCGTCTCCATCTTATGGTACCTGACTTGGCAAGATCACGGCAGCCGCATTGTCGCTCGGTGCAAATCCCCAACAAGACCACCCAAAGCCAAGACACTCTCTTCCCGGCCGTCTTCGCTTCTCACGTGATGTTCGCCTACGAATCCTTTCATCTCACACTCGCATAATACCACTATGTGGAGTTCGCCGGCTTCCGTCCTGTAGATGCGGACATGGCCGCCTTTGGCCTCAACTCGTGACTGTCGGTTGCCAGGATATGGCCCGAGCGCAGCTCGGTTGAACACGGAAAGTGAGAGGTACGCAGTTTCGAGCTCGCTGTAGGATCTTCCAAAGTATTTGGCGAGAAAGAAATCGGTTGGACGCCGCTCTAGCTTACGCTCGTTCAATTTGGCGGTCGAACCACGGAGCTTGAAGTGGAAGACGTCCGCGCCCTTACGTTCGGCAAAGCTGCGCAGTAGGTGCGCGAAGTCGAAGTAGAGTGTAATTGTTGGCCGGAATGTCCCTTCGAACAGCGAAATGACTTCCGGAGATGGTACGGTTGCTAAGTAGCAGTGTAAGATATGGCTTGAATTCGTATGATGGCCATGAGGTGGTCCATATTGAAGGCTCCCCGTGGAAGATGTCGTTGAGCACATCGTGGTAGATCTTGTTGCGCATCTCGGCGGGAAGCTTCTCGAATGGGAACACGTTCGTCAACGCCGCCATGGCTACAGAGTGTGTTGGCTATAGCCTTGTGTGAGATCGTAGGAGTACTGAAAAGCTTGTCTGTGACGAGGAAATCAGATGGCCGCGGGATCAGATGTCTGCCACTTGTGCCGAGCGTGATGCATCACGTCTATGTGCCTGAGCAGAGAGTAGGAGTAATTGTAGTGCAGATGGATCCAAAGTGATGTCTCGCTTGCTTCTCTCTGCTGGCTAATCAGCAGGCGCGACCAGCCGAGTGAAATCCGCGCAAATCGCCACCAACGTGAAGAGACTGTACAGCGTGTACAAACTTATCTTCTCCCATCCCACAATAGCCTCACTGCCTCCATGATCGGTCTTTCTCTTCTCTCACTCTCTTCCAATGCGCTCCGGATGATGCCCCAACTACCCTTCTTACTCTGGCCAGCTTGTGCCGTAGCACCAGGCTCCAACGCTGCCCTCTCATCTGCTTCCGACGGCACCCTCTGCATGGCTAGTCTCTCCGCTGCCAGCTTCTCAGCTACTCTCGCCTCAATCATCCTATCTCTGGTCTTCCTCAACTCAACCTCCTCTTCCTCGCGTGCTTCCAACTCCCTCAGCCACGCTTCGTGCTTCTCCTTCTTCCGCTTGTCCTCTACTAACGTATCATATTCCGCTCGCTTCTTGCGATCGGTCTCCCAGTACGCAGAACCGCCAACTACAGCGAGAATAGTAAGACCCTGAGCGTAAATACGTCGCCGGAACATGCGGTTCGTTCGGTGCTTGTCGCCGCGACGGATCGATCTCGTACTGTCACACATCGCGATGGGTTAGTCTGGACTGGCACAGGATGGTAGCATATTCCTTACGCTTCAAGGAGCGCCCAACATGTCAACGCGCAGCCGAGAGGGACGAGTGGCTCCTCAAACACTCTGCGCTGAAGCTTTTGCATACGTGACTCCTCATAGAAGTCGGCTTCTTCGTCGAACGACGATGGAGGCGGAGCCGTGTTGACGTTGCCGGGAACCGACATGGCTGTATGCGAAGACTGAAGGTCGTGTGCTCAGTGGATGAGACTCGGTTGAAGTGTTGATCGTAGGAGCGGTATTTCACAGGCTGCCGACTTGTTATACCCGCACGTCAATTGACTGCGCTCACAAGATGGATTGTATAACACAGTCGCAACATGGACATGCAACGGCGTTTAGCTGATCGATGAAGAACATCAGCTCAGTATCTGTTCCGTCTCAACTCCGCACTTGATGATGCGCATGCGGTCAGTCGGCCCGCATAGGCGTCCGCCTTGTCCGCATGCAGGGATCTACGGTGCATAGACCGCACATTGAATAAACACAGCATGCGCCAACGATCTCGCACCGTCGGTGAAATGGCTGTTCATGTACAATAGATTGATTGTCAGGCGAACAAGATGACAGACGTGGTCGCCAACGGCACACGGACGCCGGAGACGCCAAAGCCTTCACACAGCAGTCTCGCATTGACCGAGTATACCGCCAACCCGTCGCCTCCTTCGGCAACACCTCGAGACAAGGTTGTTGACGCCGGCGTACCAGAGGACTTCCTTTTACCTACGGGCTACCCAGACGTATTCGTTATCTTACCCGTGCTTCCCAGTTTGTGGTGCTAATTAGGCTTCAGTATCTCCGTCTGATCTTGACCGCCAAGGTGTACGACGTGGTCGAGACGACACCCCTGACCCATGCTGTTAACCTCAGTAATCGCCTTGAATGCAATGTACTCCTCAAGCGAGAGGATCTCCAACCGGTCTTCTCCTTCAAGCTTAGGGGCGCCTACAACAAGATGGCCCACTTAAGCGAAGCCCAGCGCTGGAAGGGCGTTATTGCAAGCTCGGCAGGTACGAAACCCTTCCACTGCAAGCCTGAATTCGATCCTCGTCATGCTGAATCAAGCATAGGCTGAGCATGTAGCCAGGCAATCACGCTCAAGGCGTCGCCTACTCTGCCCGCAAGCTTCGCATCCCCGCCACCATCACCATGCCTCTCGGCACACCAGCCATCAAGCATACCGCCGTCGCTCGTATGGGCGGTAACGTTGTGCTACACGGCGCTGACTTTGATGCGGCAAAGGCTGAGTGTGCACGACTCGCGCAGATCCATGGCCTGACGAACATTCCGCCGTTCGACGACCCTTACGTGATCGCCGGTCAGGGCACGATTGGAGCCGAGATCCTCCGCCAAGCTGATCTCAGCCGACTCGAAGCCATCTTCTGCTGCGTGGGTGGCGGTGGGTTGATTGCCGGGACGGGTGTCTACGTGAAACGCATCGCTCCTCACGTCAAGATCATTGGTGTCGAGACATACGATGCTAATGCTCTAGTCCAGTCACTAAAGCTTGGCCGCCGTGTCACGCTGAAAGAAGTAGGACTGTTTGCGGACGGTGCTGCGGTCAAGGTTGTAGGCGAAGAAACCTTCCGTATCTGCCAAGAAGTCGTCGACGACGTGATCCAAGTCGACACCGACGACATCTGCGCCGCCATCAAAGACGTCTTTGAAGACACACGCTCGATTCTGGAACCGGCCGGGGCACTCTCACTAGCCGGACTGAAGAAGTACATCGAAGCGCATCCCTCACCCGACCCAAGGCGACAGGTCGTCGCGGTCGCAAGCGGCGCAAACATGAACTTCGACCGCCTCCGCTTCGTCGCAGAGCGTGCAGCCATAGGCGAAAAGAAAGAGGCGCTACTCGCCGTTTCCATCCCGGAACGACCTGGCTCCTTCGCCAAGCTCGTCGCAGCCGTAAACCCAATGGCGGTGACAGAGTTCAGCTACCGCTACTCCTCACCCGCTCATGCCGACGTCCTGATAGGTATCCAGCTTACTGCATCAGCCCGGGACCGTGGTCTCAGATCTCTAATCTCCCGACTCGAAGCGGACGGAATGCGCGCTAGTGATCTAAGCGGCGACGAACTCGCCAAATCGCATATCCGATATCTTGTCGGTGGGCGCTCGAATGCGGAGAACGAGCGTCTGTTCAGCTTTGAGTTCCCGGAGCGGCAGGGCGCACTTTATAAGTTTCTTACTACTCTGCAGCCCGGCTTCAACATCTCGCTGTTCCATTATCGTAACTATGGCGGAGATCTGGGCAAGGTGCTAGTGGCGATTCAATGTCCGCCCGGCGCGGAAGCTGAGTTGGAGAAGTTCCTCAGGGATATTGGGTATGGGTATCGGGAAGAGACTGCGAGTGAGAGCTACAGGCTGTTTATGCGATACTGACCAAACTCATTTCATCCGGTTGCTGGAGCAAGAATGAAACGATGTAGATAGAGACCACTCCTAGCTGCCGCATAACGCGGACCACGCTCACGGAACAACGTATGACTCCAGAGTAGCACGATCGGAAACTGGGACTACTCGTTGAAGCCTGTGGTGCTGTGTTTATTACTACAGGCATGTAATCATTAAGCAATCCGATTCTGAGCCGTCTATACTTTTGATCATTTCCGTCGTTCAGTCCTTAGACACTACGATCACACCATCTGCTCAACGTCCCCAACTTTACGGCTTCACTGTAGCCAAGTGGCTCCGCACTGGCACGTTCTCCTTTCGCCCTGGCTGCGGGAAGCCTTCAACCTTGACATGCTTGCGGAATAGCAAAACGTGGGAACTTCCGCCGAAGTGAAACATCCCCGTCTGCTCGCCCTTCTTTACGTGCTGGCCCTCCTTCACTGTGATCTCGCAGGTAGACACCTCGTCCATACCTACGCCGATGAAAGCCATCAAGCCGATAGCCGGGTTGTCCGCCTCAATGAAGATGATGGCACGGGTGGCAAGCGCAGTCAAGTAGCCCTGGCCAGTACTAATGCCACCACGGTCGATTTCCTGCGTGCTGGGGTCGCCGAGACCTTCGAACAGTGGCTCGGAGAAGTAGGTACCGTCTTGCACGAAGGCCTTCTTGATGGTGCCGCTGACGGGCGAGTGCCAGCGGTGGTAGGAGAGAGCGGACAGGAAGGCCTGGTACACGGTCCCACCGGCGAAGTTGTCTGCTAGCTCATGGTGAGCCAACATGTCCGAGACGGAGTAAGGTTGGCCTTTAATCCAGAAGCGGTCGCGGAGCTTGACGTTGGTCGCAACGTTGAACACTTTACTCTCACAGGCGTTGGCGATGACATTGTCATCGTCTGGGGATGCGACGGGACGGACTTCGGGCTTGAATTCGCGAGTGAAGAAGTGGTCCCACGACTTGTAGCCATAGTGCTTGGCCTTCGGGTCGGGTACGACGAAGAAGTCTTCGAACGAGTGGTTAGTCCCGGCCGCGGCGTTGGCGACCTCCATCATATCCTTCTTGCCGTGAGGGCTGAACCAGCCCGAGTTGTGCTCACCGAGCACTTCTGCGGACTTCGGGGACATGAGGAACTTGCCCCATTCGTTGAGAATCTTCTTCAAGTGAACATTGACCTCAGGGTCGAGGAAAGCCGCATAACCCGATGCAGTACCCATCGGGTAGTCGAAGATGGCGCACATCGGGACACCTACCATCCCCACTGCTTCTGCTTTGTCCGTCCAATGGGGTGCAGTGGTGAATGTGTGGTTGAGAATTTCAAGCATGTGGGGGTAGTCCCGGATTTGCTTGTGTCCGGTCGGGTCTTTGTCGTAAGGCTTCTTGACTGGCACTTCACTGAACATGGAGTTGAAGTACATGTAGATGCGGGAGTTGCTCTCAATGAAGGTTTTGAAGTCCTTCAAAACGGGTACAAGTTCCTTCTTGTGCTTCGCAGCCTCGTCGATCTGGTTGCCGAGCCAGGCCTTCTGAGTCCGGTGGTCGGCTGGAAGCCATGCACCGGGGCTATCATGTCACGTTAGAGACCTTGTACCATGAACGCTTCACTTGTGTCATGCACTCACCGATGCACATGGTGCTCGTCCGGGATGTCGTGCTCGTCTCCGTGTTGGTGCACCATGTTGCGGTTAATCTGCACAAATTCCCCAAAAAGCTGTTCACAAGTTCTCTAAACACGAACTATAAGTCCTTTGAAAGACTACGAATGTAAGCGACGAGGAGGGTGTAGTAGTTAAGAAATGCCAAGCATAGCAAACCAAAGCTTCTTCAAGTGAATAGTGTTCTGTGGCCACGGCAAAGAGCTAGAACTATGACGAATTTGACGTCACATAATGAACCTTGCTCAATGGCACTCGGCCCGCGACGCGTATGGCAGCTTGTTTCGCTGGTTTTCGTTGATGGGACCGGAGACGCAGGGAATGACTACCGCAAAATGACGACGTGTCGTTGAGTGAAGCGTCGTAGGATGACATTGACGTGAAGGGTGCCGCGCCGCCACACCCGCTTAGCCACACTGTGTCTTGAGCGTGAACGTGAAGTTTGTGATTGACCTGTCGCCACTGACATGGATCAACGACAGCGTTTTCCTGCATCTCTGCTTGTGGTCGTAAGACAGGTAGAAAGTGAGGCGATGACGGGACAAAAGTCACGCTGCTATATGATATGCATTTCGCAAGCGGACAACAATGCAGCTTGGCAACTTGTTAACTTCAAATTGCAGCCATGTTGTCTGAGCCATTTCCAGCAAACATGCAAGCCGCCGGCGACATTCTCTGATGTAGTAAGAGCCGATGAGCTCTGCGACAATTGATGCGAGGTCTAAGCCTGACCTGGTCCGTGGGAACTGCCCAAGACCTCACGAACTGGTGTTGCCCACGCGGATCCCAAGTTCGCGTATAGATTTGGATCGCTGGAGGCACGATCAGACAACGATGCCGCGTTGTTACGGCGTTTTGATGGACTCTAGCCATCCTGGTGGCCTGATATTTCGACAACTGACTGCCGGAGGGTCTCCTTGCGGGGCTAATGTCTTCCCTCGCCATCTCTGCACCTTGCTTTGCGTTGGGCAATGTATCTTCGACATGAAGTCGGGGGATAAGCTTCACAGGTCACTCTGTCACTACCTGGCTCTCCCAACAGAGACTCCCACTCACAACATCACTGGCTGTCTTCAGCACAAATATAACTCGCAGGCCGTTGACCGTACGGTACATATATTCCCATGCCTGCTGTCAATCACCCGTCTCATATTTTCCTGTCCGTTTCGGAGCTTCCACCTCAGTTCAGTCTCTTTTGCTACCCTCAACATCTCCCAGTCATGGCTCGGGCAGAAGAAAGGTAAGGTTCTGCACCGCACAAAGGTTAATGCGTACATCATCTTTCTCCTATATATGCTTGGCTAGGCTCAATCAGCTACAAGCACAACCTAATGCAAGTATCACCGGCACGGCGTTAGGTAGGTGCCTGCCGACACCTCTGGTTCCTCCAAGGCACTGACGGACGCAGGCCAGCCGTCTTTCATCAAGTACATGAGTATCGACACCCATGCAGATGCGGCGAATTTTGAAGCCACGACGAACGGGCTGTTCCAGGCGGGCGGTGCCAGTGTTGCTCAGCAAAATCAACATCAGGAGACAGATTGGAGCGCTGACAGCTGATGGACATCAGACACTCGGCACCCTGACTCTCCCCTTCTTCGCGGCCATGTTCGGCCGCAGATGGGGCTGCGCAGTGCCGTGCACCGTTGCTCGTCATCCCCAGCACCGTCACGACTGGATTGACCAGCATCGGCGTGTTCATTGCTTTTCAAATCTTCTCCGGCGCTGGGCGCTTCACATTATAGCAGCTGCGCCCATCCATATGAAAGCAACTGTACCGGTCGGGTTCCGAGGAGCACTAGTCGATTCCCATGCCATTGTGCTCGTCCTTCGGCCATACCACCCAGGGCTGGTTGGAGCAATGATGATGTGATGCTCTTCCCGGATAGTGAGAGAAACACATATTCTCCGGCAGGACATAACACTGATATACCGACTAGCCAAAGGCATCCCCTCGGAAGAGGTTGCTGCCATACTCGGTGATACCAAGTAGGTTGCGGTATACGTGCGAGAGCTGGACATCGACCCAACAACGCACGCTGTAAGGATGGCGCTGGGTGAGAACAGACCGGTGGAGGTGGAGAAGGTTGAGAAGGAGGTTTACGAGAGAAAGAGGCCGTTCGGGTAGTTGACCCTCTTGGGACTACTTGACTACTGAAGGTGCGCCGCCGAAGCACATCCTCGCGTCACACAACCCATTGGTCTTCATATGTTCGCTCACTTCCAGAAAAATGTGCCTTCCACTTTCAGTTTTAGCTGCTCTTTCCTTAGGTGATGCGTAGGAGTCCGTTCGTTTTGCATACACAGGTCAGCTTCTCACATGCTGAACACGCATGTTTCTGCCCGCTTAATTTCCATACGCATAACAGACAAGAGACATGGCGTTCGAGGACCCGCAACGGCTCACCATCGTACTCAAATACAAGACAAGCTTTTGCAGCAACCAACACAACGGGCCCGACCAACATGCTCTAACCCGATTCACAAAGCAGGATGCCAGTGGCGGGCACGCGCCCATCACATCTAACGCAGGCTACCGTCACTCATTCTTCGTACACCCAGGGTGTTACATTGGCTACGGAACAGGAGTCGGCTGAAGACGCGCAAGTCCTGCCGCTCTACAACCTGAATCCATTCGAATTGACACAGCGCAGACAGCGGCCACGCAAGGCTCCCTGATCTCGGAGCTCCGACGGGAAGGCCCTGCAGCTACGCCAGCAGCTCGAACGCAAACGCAGCGCGTACGATGAGCTTTTGGAAGAGTACCGTACGGTTCAGGCCGATGATGAAGAGCTTGAGGAGGTGGAGAGAGAGATCATATTGACCTCGAGAACGAGCATGAAGAGCTCAAGGCTGAGTACGATCGACTGCGGTGTTCGAAGCGGCGGTGGCGGGCACGGGAGCAGAAGTCTTGGACTGAGATTGAAGCAATCACGTTAGAGAACCAGGCGGTCAAGGACAATCTCGCAGGGAATGCAATTGTCGCCACTGCTCAGAAGGTCGCTTGGAGCGAGGCGATGGGCGAGCTGTCTCGGAGGAATCTGGAGCTCCACGGCAGCCTTGCTGCTCATACGTTGACAGTGGCGCAGTTTGTGCATGGTCTTGAGCCTGTTGCAGATGGGCTGAAGGAGGAGCACGAAGTCCTCAAGCGACTTGTGAGAGGCGCAGATGCAGGTGGCGAGGATTGAGTCCCACACGGCACTCTCGTCCTCCGGCAGCCTCGCCCGCATGACATGGTCAGGAGTCCGTCATGCGGGATATGAGATACAGACCCTGCATGGCCACATAGCCGGGTAGAGAACCGATAGATGTCGCCCGAAGTCCAAGACCAGTTGCTCCAGGAATTCTTGAGACGCGACGTATTGGACTTGACTTGACGTGCATAAATCATAACCCACACTACCACCCTCCCAACAACGCCATCCAGACTCCACCCAGACTCCCGCGTACACCATCCCCTCCTATCAAACCAACCCCTCCCCAGCCAGCAGACCGTCGTTTCCTACCGTTTCCGCTCGAAATACCCACTCGAGCTCATCAACGCCACGCTCTGATCCATGATCGACTCGCCCACCCAGAGGTAATTCTCGATCCACTTCTTGACGCCGGGGGATTCGGAGAGGGAGTCGGGTTTGAGACTAGGGCTGGATAGGTTAGGTCAGAACGGTCATCACGCTGGACAGAATGGGATATGTATCGTTGAAAGGGGGTTGGTGTGGAGGGAAGGTGGTGGGGGGAAGAGTGGGAGTAGATGACGGACGTAGACGTACGTTAGACCGGTCGACCGCCGGACGCCGGCGAGGAAGGCGGAGAGGAGGACGGCGTCGAAGGTCCAGTGGGCTAGGCGGCCGAGCTGGGGAGTCGTTAGTATAACGATCTTTGCGCGAGCCAGACCGTGATATCATGCCTACCACCATGTTGATACTGCCTGTTGCGCGGGCCGATATATATAGCGGCGCTTGTCCTTCTTGGACTATAGCCGGCGTCTCTCACTACGATTTCTGTTTGATGGACTCCTCTTCCCAAATGGGGGTGACCGTTCAACCACCCTGCAGTGACAGACGTGCCCGGCTGATCGCACGTTCAGACCGAGTTTGATCTAAGGACAGGCGACTAGGAGTCTTCGGGCCACGAGTAATTGTACGTTAACCGTATATGGCAGGCACGCGGATCCAACTATTGATTGACACTCGGGCTGTCGCTGTCGTCGCGGAGATGGGACGCCGCATGCTGACTGTGCTGTGATATGCGCAGTGCTCACGCGTACGCCTACGGTGGTAGCGAAAGGCAATGGGATTACGTAGCTTTCGCGCGTGGAAGGCGCGCGGATTCAGGGTTTCTTTCTAGCGCATCTTAAGCTCTTCATGGCGGTCAGGAACGTGAGACATCCATATAAGGATCAGGCAAAATGTCGAGCCATTTGATTGGGGATTTGATTGGGGGCATTGGAGGAAAAGCTCCAAAGTGTTGATGTAGGCTGTGATGGACGACCAGGCAGAACGTCATTGATGTGGGAGAGGGTGGGATAAGGGGATGGCGGTATCGATTAGCGACAAAAGCGTTGGTTGAGTGGAGGGGGGGGCGCCGAAGCTCCATGTCTGCTTGGAGGAGCTCATCGAGAAATTTAATTCACCGACAAGTCAACACCTCCTTCTTCCCATAGCAACAGATCAATTCAGCTTGTCCATCACCCCTTCCCTCACCGACCCGTCACACAGCACCTTCCTCGTGCTGTCTCTTTCCCCCGTACGTGCGGTACTCGACGCGGTTGAGCGCTGACAAGCTGACGTTGAGCTTCACGGCGTAGGGAAAGAACAAGTGAAGAAGGGCAGGGCACCATGGCCGACTCCCTCGCCCACCAGGCGTATGGCAAGACGCGGATAGAATGGCTGTCGAACCTCAACACCGAGTACAAGCCACCCACCGCCTTCCGCCGCACGAGCATCATCTGCACCATTGGTATGTGCACCCCCGCCGCCGGCAACATCCACCACCGCACTGACTGTATGCTATGACAGGCCCCAAGACGAACTCGGCCGAGAAGATCAACATGCTCCGCCGCGCCGGCCTCAACGTCGTGCGCATGAACTTCTCCCACGGCAGCTACGAGTACCACCAGTCCGTCATCGACAACGCGCGTGAGGCCGAGAAGGCGCAACCCGGCCGCCCCGTCGCCATCGCCCTCGACACCAAGGGCCCCGAGATCCGCACCGGCAACACCCCCGGCGACGAGGACATCCCCATCTCCGCCGGCACCGAGCTGAACATCACCACCGACGACAAGTACGCCACCGCCAGCGACAACAAGAACATGTACGTCGACTACAAGAACATCACCAAGGTGATCGAGAAGGGGCGGACCATCTACGTCGACGACGGCGTGTTGGCGTTCGAAGTCGTGGATGTCGTCGACGACAAGACCATCCGCGCCCGCGCCGTCAACAACGGCAAGATCTGCAGCAAAAAGGGCGTCAACCTGCCCAAGACCGACGTCGACCTCCCCGCCCTGTCGGAAAAGGACAAGGCCGACCTCCGCTTCGGCGTGAAGAACAACGTCGACATGGTCTTCGCCTCCTTCATCCGCCGCAAGGAAGACATCCTGCACATCCGCGACGTGCTCGGCGAGGAAGGGAAGGACATCCAGATCATCGCCAAGATCGAGAACCAACAGGGCGTCAACAACTTCGACGAGATCCTGAAAGTGACCGACGGGGTGATGGTTGCGAGAGGGGATTTGGGCATCGAGATCCCGCCGGCGCAGGTGTTCATCGCGCAGAAGATGATGATCACCAAGTGCAACATCGCCGGCAAACCCGTCATCTGCGCCACGCAGATGCTGGAGAGTATGACGTACAACCCGCGCCCGACGCGGGCGGAAGTCAGTGACGTCGGCAATGCCGTCCTCGACGGCGCGGACTGCGTCATGTTGTCCGGCGAGACGGCCAAGGGCAACTATCCGCGAGAGGCGGTGACGATGATGCACGAGACGTGCTTGTTGGCCGAGGTCGCCATCCCCTACGTCAACGCCTTCGACGAGTTGAGGAGTCTCACCCCGCGACCGGTGCCGACGACGGAGACGTGCGCCATGGCGGCCGTGTCGGCGAGCTTGGAGCAGAATGCCGGTGCCATCCTCTGCCTGACCACTTCGTGAGTTCCTCCCCATCACCATCACCATCACCATCACCATACCCAACCGGCCCCCCTTCCCCTCCCCCACAAACACATCATTCCCGGTGACTAACCCAGACGTGTGTGACAGCGGCAACACCGCCCGCCTAATCTCCAAATACCGCCCCGTCTGCCCCATCATCATGGTCACGCGCAACGCGCGCGCCTCCCGCTACTCGCACCTGTACCGCGGCGTCTACCCCTTCCACTACCCGCAACCCAAACCGGACTTCCAGAAGAGCCCGTGGCAGGAGGATGTGGACAACCGGCTCAAGTGGGGGATCATGCACGCGATTGAGTTGGGCGTGCTGCAGAAGGGCGCCGCGGTGGTGTGCGTGCAGGGGTGGCGGGGCGGCATGGGGCATACGAATACCCTGCGTGTCGTGCCGGCGGAAGAGGATTTGGGGTTGGATTTGAGTGCGTGAGCCAACAAATCAACGCGGAGGTGTAGGGAACCCGGGGGGGGAGTAAGTGGAGGGAGGGGTGGGTCGGTGGGTGGGTGTGGCATGCTGACGGCCAAGGCCCCCGAGATGTGATAGATGCGACGCTTTGATTCGTAGCTTGGTGATTGCGTGAGGGTTTATGATGGGAGAGCGAGCGAGCGAGCGAGCGAAGCACAAAAAAGGCGCGGCATAGATACTCTCCTATAGTGCAGTCATGATGATGTTATCCGGAAAATACAAGATATGCCTACGCAAAGCCAGCAAAGGGTATCTCTTGCCCAGCACAGGCCACAGGCGCCAAACGCCACGCTTTCGGGGACAAAACGTACGGGAGAATAAGAATCGACTCTCACCCCTTCACAATCAACCCCTCCCCCTCCCGCACCCGCTGCGCCCACTCCGTCCAACTCCCATCATAGACCCTCCTCCCGCTTCCCTCTGCCTCTGCCTCCGCCCCGCCAAACCCGGCCTCCATAAGCGCAGTCTCCACCACCGCAGCCGTAACACCCGTCCCACAACTCGAAATCAACGGTCTACTCGGATCCACTCCTTTGGACGTAAATACTCTTTTCAATTCCTCAGCGGGTAGGAAGGCTTTTGTTGTAGGATCTAGTAAGTCCGGGACTGGGACGGAGATGGAACCGGGCATGTGGCCGCTGGGGAGACCGGGACGGGGTTCGGGGTCTGTGCCGGCGAAGCGGCCGGGGGAGCGGGCGTCGAGGATTTGGGGTTGTGTGGAGGGGGTTGCGGGTTCGTTGGTGTGGTGGCGGGTAGAGACTAGGGTCTTCATTTCTTCGAAGGGGATTACTTTGCTCATGTCCGGGTGGGAGAGGGGGTACTCGGTTCGTTCGACGGCTTGCGCCGCGCCTGTTTCGGTGGGGTAGTGCTGTTCGACCCATAGTTTGAAATTGTTGAGGACGTGTACGGCTGGGTGTCCGAAGACGCGGAAGGTCCAGGCCACGCGCGGGGCGGAGAAGATTCCCAATTCGGCGGTATCGTAGACTACGACTATATCTTCCCGGTTGATGCCCAGACTGCACATGGCTTCGCGGAAGGTTTCGGCGGAGGGAAGCATGTGCGGGTACGGACTCGAGGTGTCGGAGATGGCGTCCAAATCGAAGAAGCGGGCGGTGGGGATGTGCGCGGAGCGGAAGACTTGTAAGCCGGTTCGGCGTTGGGGGTCGTTGGGGAGGAACCAGCTGCCGCAGACTGGTACGGTTCTGGGGCCGGTGGAGGTTGTGCTGTTGGGATTCTGCTTTAGGGCGGTGGAGAGGTCGGCGGGGGTGACGAGGTAGGAGTGGAAGGGGCGGGCCATGGTGGACTTGCTGGTGGTGCTGTGTCTGAGGGTAGGGTGGATGTGGATGTGTGGGCGGCGGAGGAGGCGGAGGGTTGTGGCCATTGCGCGGCGCTGGCTACTCGGAGATGATTGGTAGCATGGTCGCTTTCAAACTCATGTGGCTGTTTCTACTCTCTCCAATCATGCTCGGTCGCGGAACGAAAGAGACGAAGCTGGACATTCGAAGCACGCAACTTTCTCCCCCACCTCACTCCATCATGAGGGAGAGGAGGGGCCAGGGTCCTTCCTTCTTGGGAAGAGCATCAATATTTTGATACCCACACAAACACTCTACCTAGACCATGCCTGCGCAGAAGGAGTATCAACAGTCAAGATGAAGGTGACTTTCACCGACTACCACGCCGTCGCCGAGTGGAAGTGGGATCTCCCCGAAGACTCCGACGACACCTGCGGTATCTGCCGTGTGCAGTTCGAGGGAACGTGTGCCAAATGCAAGTTTCCGGGCGATGATTGTCCGATCAGTAAGACACACATATAATCTAACGTCGATTCGCTTGACGACTAACGACGGCATTAGTAATCGGAGCATGTACACACTGCTTCCACATGCACTGCATCAGCGACTGGATCCAGTCCGAGTCAAGTCAAGGCAAATGTCCGATGTGCCGTCAACCGTTCAAGGAGAAGGTGGCTGCTCCTGCGAGCGAGCAGCCTGCCGGAACGTGAGATGAGATCGCCTTTCGAGACGACACTAGATTTCATGGGAAAGCATTTGCGAACGATTGCTCGCCACTCCATAGCATCTACTGCGCAAAAGCGCCTTCGCATCACTCTGGCATGACACGAAGCAAGCAGCACCGAGATTGTTCTCCTTGAGGCGATGCATCGCTCCACTCATAGTGGACGAGATGCCCCTGCTCCGACGCGATTCCACTACCGCGGCCCACCTTAAATATCGCCTGAACAGCATTACCATCATAAATCCTTCGTCCGCCTTCCTCGGCCGCGCGCCCCGCCTTGACCCGAAACCTGCGAGATCGAATCCTCCGGCCCAACCTCCCAAGATGCCACCGTAGATGGCCCGAACGGCGATACCGACGAAGACACCACAGAACCATCACCTTCCCGCCTCTCAGCAGTCGCCACCCCATCAAACAAGCCGCTATCAACCACCCTCCTGGCACCCGCCCACTTCTGCCTCTCATAAGGATCCCGACTTGCACCACTACTAAACCAATCCGGCGCGGGCATATCCTCTACGTACCCGATGCGTTGGCGCGGGTCGGAGATGCCGGCGTTGGTCATGCCGATGTGCGAGCCGGCGTGGCTGCGCGGTTGGTAGGTGCCTGATGAGCTTAGGCGGCTTTGGCGGCTGCTGGTGCTGGAGCTGGAGGCGGAGGAGTACACGCTACTGGCGGGTAGGTACACATCACTGTTACTGCCTGCGCCTGTCGTAGAGTAGGCACGGTTGGCCGGGCGGTAGCTGCTTGTGGTTGACATGGTGGAGTGACTCTAGAAGATGTGGAGGGCAAAGGCTTGTTCGGTCTTGGTGGAGAGTGGGTGTAGAAAAGGAAGTCGAAGTCCATTGCAGATCGCCAGAAAGGAGGAGGAAGGGAAATTGCGCTATACTTATCCTCGTTGCAGCAGATTGCGGTGCATGTTCATGCTGTTGCCCGGCTGCAAGGTAGAATCGAAAAGGCAACATAAGGCGGAAAAACGAGCTATACGATCCATTGTCACATTTTAAAAGCACCCCTGTTGCTATGCTTGCATGGTCTCGCCCTTGAAGCATGAACGCCACACAAGGCCGCCAACCCAACCAAGCGAATCACGTCCAAGCAGAAGCCGTCACGTGACCGAGCCGCAGCGCCTCACTCGGCGGTCCGCATACAGGCAACTACGCCCCAGCCGCCAAGCGCCCGAGACAATAGAATTCGAAGCTCCGGCTGCACTCGGGCGCAACGTCTTCCAATGTATGCATCATCTTCCAGACCCACCTCCATGTGAAGGCAGGCCAAAGTGTAATGCGACGCAAAAGTATCTCTCTTAGCACTTCTTCGAGCGGCACAACGGAAGCCATGGATGGGGCTGCATTGCAATTTGACATCCGTGCTGTAGAACGCGCATTGGAACCTGCATTTGGGGCGGGAGCGGGCTGCAGTGGTACTGGTACTGTACAATTGTACTTGCTGTACAAGAGTTTGACAACACAGGGCGCTGAACTATAACTCGCTATGACCCGCATTCGGTGCAGCAAGACTGCTCGAGGCGACGCCCTCGAATTGACTGGCCAGACTGGCGACTCCCTGCGGATTCTTAGGCGGGAAGAAGTTGCCCTTTTTGAGGGCGCTGATGGCGAGGTCGAAGCGGGCGCCTGCTAGGTATGCGGCGCCGATCTGTAGAAATAAGCGAAGGTAAGTAAGCTTCCGTAATGCGCGGATGTTTTGTGGGAGGACGACGTACCATCAAGAAGGATATGAGCGCCAGCACCGCCAGCACCGCGATCATGATGTAGATCATATCCCACTTTGTCTCCTCATCTTCTTTCTTCTTCCTCGCTATCTCTTCCGGCGTCATAGGTTTTCCATCCGGTCCGACCGCCGCGCCGTTCGCGCTCACGACCGCCCCGTTCGCATCTCGAGGTAGTGTTCTAGCGGTCTGTGTTGGGAAGATGGACTCGATGAACCGCTCGATCTTGCCACAGGCAATGCTGATCTCCAAGAACGAAGGATCGCGCGGACTGTTCTTCCGATGTATTTTCCTCGCGTACCGTCGGAAAACGTCGCAGACGACTTGGAGATTTTGTGTGCTTTCAAGCATAAGCTGGCATGCGCTGCCTTTCGTAATCTTGATATTGCGCTCGAACATGGCGTAATTCTGGAAGCAGAGCTCTAGCGTGGCAATCGCCATACTTTGCGGGATCGCGACGAAGTTGAAGACACTTTGCTCTTTCACGCCGGCCATGTAGAACAGACATTCATCCGCTCGTCGAAGTGCTATCAGGATCATTTCCGACTGGCAGTGGAGTGCTTTTTCCCTGTTCTCGGGCAAGAAGAGGTCGGCGAATTTGGGGACGTACTTTGACCACACCTCTTTCGGCCAGAAGTATCGCTTGTCTTCGTGGTCTTCTCGTATGTCACGGATGATGTTCGTTTGTTGCAGGAATTGGCCCATGGACTCCATGAGCTCCGGTCGTTGTAATAGCGCTGGGTTGGCTAGCTTCGCTTCCACGAATAATCGCGTGAGACCTTCACCCACTAGACCAGCAACGTAGTGGCAGTATAGCTCGTAGTCTTTGATCGTCCGCACGCCGTTGGCTTCGAGATCTTGGTTTTTCGCATAGTCTGCCATACCGTTGCCCATGCGTTTCGCTATGTCCCGGATGATGACTTTGTACGGCTCCTTAATCTTCACAAACTCCTTCGTAATGTTGTCAAACTTGACCAGTAGCTCTCGATCCTTCTCATGCGGGCCATTGCCGTTGTACGTCCACCGCTCGTCGTCAATGATTTCGTGGAAGTTCCGCAGTAAAGGCTCCTTCTCCTCTATCGCTATCGTCATGTCATCTTCGATCGTATCTAGCCCTCTTAGTACAAGGTAAAAGAGTGTGACGGGTACGAGAAGTTCGGGGTGCAGTTCTTGTATAACAGCGGCGAAGGAACGGGATGTGAGACCGAGCTGTCGGAAGCATTCTTTCAGCTCGGGCGACTCTTTCTTCTCATCGCGCTCATGAACAGGGTTGTGCCAGGTCTTCCATTGAATTATGGAGCGCAGTTCGGTGGGGTGGGTAGCGTAGTAGGCGAGTTCTGTGGCGGAGACCATGGTAAGTAGTGATGGCAAGGATGAATTAGCGATCCTGGGTATCTGATTGTGGTCGAAATGTTGCGTATAGGTAGTTGAAGGGAGTCGAAGCTCCCAATGCCCTCGAATGCAAGTAGACGAGGACTGTGTGGAGAAGATGGTTCGATGCTCGGCGGCATAATTTTCCGGAAGCCTGCTACTTCCCCTTTGGGAGAAAAAGAGGGTCTCATGCCCGAGCCTTGATAGTTTCGGAAACCCGGACAAGGAGCAAAAGTCAGCGTAAGCTTGCGTGGTCTCAGTTGCGCGAATCTATGTTGGAGCGGAAGACTATGACCACTTGAACACGCCTTGATCCTCAACGTTGACCTTGGGCCGTCATCTTCCAACGACGCTACGTCGATTGTCCTCCTACACCGCAAGCGCAATGCTCGCTGTCATACCGTCCGTTGCCCACGCGACTTCAAGACGCTGCCAGCCATCGTCGACAGTGAAAACAGCGGCGCCACAGAATGTACGCTTAGCTTGTGCTTGGTCCGCCAACGGTAACCGTGAGCACCTGCGGGCTCGCATCAGCGACGACACCGCTCTGGTTCACGTCGTCACTCGGGTTCACGTCGTCGTAGGCAAAAGCATAGCCTTTCCCATCAATAGAATGCATGTGGACGTGATGAGAGTAGTGGTTCGTAGCTATAGCGGCGCAATCAGCCATGAACGGCAGTACGACGCCAGAGCTGGCGCAGATTACTCACGTGTGCCTTGGTAGTAGTCTGCCGATGATAGACCAGGTTGAACACTACCACCTTCCAAAGTCAAGGTAGATCTATCGAAGGCGGCGCAGAGGCGAGGGACGACTGCATAATGTACAGCGTTGTCGCCATCCAAGATCGCGAAGGGTCCGGAATTACAGCCTGCGTACTGTCAGTGTTTGCTCGTAACAGCTTTCGAAGCATTGTTGACCTACCGAAGATATCACTGGCAGTAGGCTTAGCATAGCCTCTGTTGTCCCCAGCGCAAGTCAGGAGGTCGTTCTGCACCGTGCATTGAACCTCTCCTGCCGCGGCTTGCGTGTCGATCGTCAACGGGCTGTTTTCGTACTGCGCCCAAACAGCGTCGATGTATTCGCTGAAGTACTCATTGAAAGCAGTTGGATTCGTGGATAGGAAATCGCCTGGAGCGATGACGCGGAGCGGGTTGTCGTTCTCGTCAACCTGGCATAGGTCGTCCCAAGCTTGGCCGTCTTGCGCCGTCTGTGCCGCAAGAGCCGCGCAGATTACCGAGACAGCATCTGATTGTAACCCTAGAGCAGTCTGAGTGCTGCCATCTTCGGACAGAAGTGACATCCCAAGCACTAGGCCGACAAAGTCGACATAAGAGATGTTCGCATAGAGGCCACCCTCTTCCGTATTGGTAAGCTCAACAAAGCCCCAATTCACCGCTGCGCTAGGATCGGAGGGGTTAACGGCGGACGGCTCGACAAGAGATGGTCCGTTCGACGCGCCGGAGTAGACGGTGAAAAACTGCAGTTCGCCGACGGCAAACCAGACTCTTGCAGCGCTTATATAGTCAGGCAGGATCACGTTTGTGGTGCTTCCCTGCGGCCCAAGTGGAATCGCTATGTTCGCATTGATCGGTTGCGGCGTGCCTTGGCTGGGATCCGCAGTTGGGTAGTACCACTGCCCGTTAGGCTGAAGCATCACGAGCTCGTTATTACTGCTGAGACCGGTGACATAGGCGTTGACGCTTCCGTCAAGGTTGTTAATGAGAGCAAGTGGTAGCTGTCCGTTCGTAGAGACGTCTCGAACTGCCTTGATGCGACTCGGGCCTGTCGAAGACGTCGCAGGTGCTGGCTTTGTTGCGTTAACAGTGTTATTGCTTGTGATCACAATATCATGAACGCCGCCTGGGTGCACCTTTACCACCGGAGCGGCCAGCGATCCGGTTGTAAGGGTGAGAGCGAAGAGCGCAGCTAGTCGGATAAAGCCGCGCATTTTGTTCGTTGACGAGGAATATCCAGTGAACGCCTATAGTGGGATGATGGTAGAGACAGTGCTGCAACGAAATGAGCGACTCGGGTCAATGAAAACACAAAGAGAGTGGATCGCGCAGCAATCAGTAGGGACAGACAAAACCTGAAAAGCGTGAGAGTATGTTGATGCTGCGGCGGAATGTACAGGGAGGGCTCCTTATACAGCGTCTGAGCGCCCTGTATTTGGGCCTCATGGTGACCTTGATGCATGAGACAAGAATGCCATAGACGAGTCTCAGGGACTGCAAGTGGAGACGATGCCGATGTTTCATCACAGTGAGTGGAGAGCCTCCGTCGTCAAGACATACTCGATACCATGAGGGTAGTGTCGTGATTGGGAGGATGGAAAGAGGCTCATGAAGCCAAATCTCGGCGGAAGGGGCGTTGGTGGAGCCCTGATGGGAGTGGGAGGTGGAAGCCGGCGGCTCGTGAAGCTTGTATGCAGCGAGCGAGGAATAATTGTCGGCCGAGAACATTAAACGACCTTAGCCGAGCACATTTTGAATGCTAGCTGCTGAACTCGAGCGCGTAACGAACAGCTATTCATGCCGCGGCTGGAGAGCCGCCTCCTGAGGTCAGTCTTTTGGCCAGGCAAGAATGCCAACGCTAATGGAGATTCAATTATCCACCAGCTCACTGGAGGTCTGTCGCTCCCTCAATGCTTGAAGAGGGAGAGCTTACGTATGTGCTCCAGCGAATCCTGTTCACGAGTGCATGATAAGACCTTCTAGGCTAGTGGTGAGGATGAAGTGAAGCGCAGGAGAGTGCCGAATTGCTCGTTGATTGGTCAGTCGCGCAATTTCGCGCCACAAACCCGGACGGCGCCGAAAGTTAATGCCAATGCATCAAACCTCGAGAAATACAGCGCAGAACGATAGACAGGAAAACACTCCGGCACCCAGGAAGGTCTTCAGCACAATACAGATTGAGTGATCATCTTCGCTACGGCATGGAGGAGTGGAGAGAACCATTTGCTCAGTCCGGAGGCTCGACAACACCTCGCTGCCAAGTTGGCACGCCCAGCACGCCCAGCGGCAAATACGTTCAGCACAAGCGAAGCACTTGCGTCTTCCACTCCGCGTTAGCTATATCAAGGGCTATATGTTGTCGGCGTGTCGCATCGGCTCTGTCATCAGACGGATCGTAGCTGCTGCCTCCCAGGTCCCGCTTGAAAGTCACCATTTGCTGTCGCCGAAGGAAGTCTTCGATAGCGAGAAGGAACCCACTCATCTCCACTGTCAGTTGGCAAAGCCGCCTCCATTTACTGCAATCGGGATCACAGCTTTCGAGAAGCAAGCATTCTAGTTGAGTACCTGGCTCCTTATACAGCTTACTATTCCAAGTCAACAGCTTTAACAGCGCATACTCCGGCTGTTCTCCCCCTTCAAGGTCTTGGTGATGTTGGTACACTTCGGACGCCCTATCGTTGTCGAGCAATACCTGCTGGCGCACATATTGATGGAGGTTAGGGTGCTGATATCCAGCTAGACAAGGGCGGAAGATATCAGGAATTGGTAGGACAGGGCCTTTAATGTCCAGGTAGCCGTGGTCCAGCAGGCCAAAGCGGTCCAGAAAGCGAGGCTTCAGGTCCACTCGAAGAACTCTTGCGAGAGGTGTATGCTGGCCTAGCTGACCACGCTCATTAAAACATCTCACAGGGCTCCGAACAGATGCCCATGACCACGAAGGTGCCACGTACTCAGTTGCACGGATACCAGCTGGCCAATCATCAACCAGATAATTTGAGTTCGGCAGATAGCCGTCCGCTTGGATGCCATTCGCATTAATGAGTTGGCTCGTGCGCCAGGCAAGCGAAGGCAACAGGTCGCTCCACCAGAAGCCCGCGCAGTACGTGTCACCGGTGGCACGCTGCAATTCAGCTGCAAGCCCAGATAGCGCAGGTAAATGGTCTCTTGAGTGTGTTAATTGTCTGTCGGAGAATCTTTCGATAATGAGCCGCCAGTAGAGATCATAAGAGGCGTACAGATCACGGTAGATGAGGAGTTTACGGTGAGTCTCAAACAGGCCGAATGGAGTGTAGAGCTGAAAGCGAGGTAACCCCAGAGCCGCTGCGAGCCAGCGCATGGTAGAGAAGATGACGCCTTGGCTCTGCCGGATGTCAAGCATGCTTCGCTTGAGCAAGTAGTATTCTGTGCTCTGTGGCAGCATGGCCAGCCTTCCCGCCTCGTCTTTGTAGCCTTCAGCGCATTCGAAAGATATTTGCTGCTCACCAAAGCTCAGCGTTCTGGGCGCAAGCAGTCGCTCTTGTAGGGTCCACCCACGCGAGAAGATGGTAGTACTCGTGAGCTGTGTCTCCGATATATCGTAGATGGGGCGCATCTGCACGCTCTGTACTTCGGCCGACGACGATCGCCACTCAAGCTCGACGTACGGTTTCGAGCTTACGCGTGGCCGCAAGAATCCGTCACCGGCCCTGGAAGCAGACGCTGCCTCAATAGTTACCGCAGCCCCGCGATAGACCTGGCTCATCCGTCCGGCTTCCGCTGCCCAATCCTGCGCAGAATTTTGGATAATGCACATTGCATCAATCCAAAGGTATCGAAGGCCTAATATGCGGGTAGTAATTACTGCATCCTTAAGTGTTCCCGGAAGTTGTGGTAGTGCGAGGCCAGCGTAGAAATTCTCTAACGTTCCTTTGCCGTTATGATCATCCTCCGTAAGGATCAAAGTCGGCTCTGTACCCCAAACATAAGACAACGCGGCGTACTTGCCTGAGTGCGTTTGACCATTAATCAAGTAGACCTTGTCTGGCTCGTGGCTCACATCCAAGACCCTGGTGGGTAGATGTTGCGAAGGCGGCACCTGATTGCACAGTGCGTGACTATGCGTACAATCAGAAAGCCAGGCCTGCGCCTGCTCAATGCAAGGCGTTTCAAGCGGACTAGATGCCTGGACGCGGCCGAAGAGCTCTCGCTGTTCGCTAGGCTCGCGACCAGGCGTCTCGCATACCTCGAAGTAGGCAAGGCGTCTGCCAACGGGCTCCTCTCCTGTGTCGGTATCTTCCATCGGTGAGTACTGCGTCACAATAACGTGCGGGGCTCGAGAAACCCCTAGCTCCCAGTCATCGATATCTAGATACACAGGCTGCGTACTTACCCCAGACGATAGCTCTTCGTCTGTGATCTCCTTGCCTTCGCGCAACCGTAAGAATTGTGTGCAGATAGCCTTGCAGAAGTCGCACCAATTGGCCGACTCCTTCAGTACCCGGAGATTGGCGTGCAGTTGATAGAATCTAAACACACCGTCCCGGCGTCGGCGAGAGCGATCGCTGAGCGGCGGTGCCCAATGTGTGGGTGAACCTGGTGACGCTTTCGCAGCCGCCATGAACAGGGCACGGATATCCAACCCAGCACATGATGGACAGAGCCTGGTAGGCGACATCTCGTGCACATTCAGTGGGTATACCGTCCCTTCAACGCGAGTAGGCGTTAGTGATACATGTAGTTGAGGCCTGGCCAGGAGGGCAGCAGGAGTGTGCTGTGTCCTTCATTGATGTGCTTCCACATGCTCTATCAGACTTGCCTGTTAAGACACACAGAACCTACAGCAGTGAACACGATCCCATGCCCGGGAGCTAATCCGCAACCTCAGGCGAGATCGACCTGTCACCAGGGGTTCACCAGTTGAGGTTAGGGTTGGTTCATCAGAGAACGTGGAGCTTCCAGCTATGGTTCTACACCAAGCACGGCTTTCTCCGTGCGGCAGCGACCGGCGCGCGGAAAGCTTATTCGCCAGTGGTAACCTTGCCATAGCTACCTCGCGGTAGGATGGCAGGACATGTAGCTGTTAGCGGAAATCCTTGGGGTACAATGGACGAAGGAGGATCGCCATGGGACGGTAACAAGGTACACTTACCTGCTAAAAGTGCACGTGCTGACATAGTCTCCCAGACGTGCCATCAGCGTCCACGCCCGTCAAGGCAGCAGAGGATGAGGCGCCAAATGGTCAGCTTGGTACATCCGCGAAGCAGCGCACGAGGTATTGACGGGTATCTAGAAGAGAATTCACCAATAAAGCCATCCCAAGAACAATCAACACCCGCCGGTGTCAAGCCAGCGCCCTCAAAGTCACGGACACCGCGGCGATATGGCAACCTCACGCAATCTACCACCCTTGAGTCGCTGGACGACTCGATGGGCCCGCTCGGACCCTTAGGTGTCGAGTCATCAGACGAGCCACCTGCACCAACACCACCGGTAAAAGAAATAGCATCTAGAACTCGCGCCTCATCCCGACCTACTCCGGGAGCAGCATCTTTACACCTGCCAGACACAGCAGATTCGGAAGCATCTCTCAATGGCAGCGCTCGAGCTGCACCGGCAGTACAGCGGCCATACCAGCACCAACAACAACAACAACAGCCACCATCTCTACCCGTTGAGCAAGCCTCCAAACCCACCTTCTCCATTACCGTGGGCGATCCGCACACCGTTGGCAATGCAGCCAACAGCCACACTGTCTACTCCGTCATCACTCGTACCACCTCTAAAGCGTACAACACGCCTAGCTTTACCGTCACTCGTCGCTACCGAGACTTTCTTTGGCTGTATGAACGATTGCACGATAACAGTCCGGGCGTTGTCGTGCCGCCTCCTCCGGAAAAGCAAGCGGTGGGAAGATTCGATCCGCAATTTGTTGAGAGCAGGCGGATGGCATTGGAAAGAATGCTCAACAAGATTGCAGCGCATCCCGTGTTGCAGCATGACGGAGACCTTAAGACTTTCCTCGAAAGTGAAAGCTTCAATGTGGACATTAAGCACAGAGACCGCGGCAGGGATCCTCTGCTGGCATCAGAGCAGAAAGGTGGCTTCATGAGCGGTCTCGGCATGTCCGGCGGAGCAGGAGGCAAGTTCATTGAACACGATGACTGGTTCCATGATCGACGCATTTATCTGGACGCATTGGAAACCCAGCTTAAAGCTCTGCAAAAGTCTACGGACGCCGTGGTCGGCCAGCGAAAAGGCCTGGCGGAAGCATGCGGTGATTTTTCAGTGTCATTGCATGGTCTTGCAGCTGTGGAGCTGTCTCCGTCACTATCTGGACCGCTGGATGCACTGGGCGATCTCCAACTCCGTGTCCGTGAGTTATACACGCGCCAGGCCATGCAGGACATGCTCACCCTTGGCATCGTGATCGACGAGTACATTCGGCTCATCGGCAGCATCAAGAAGGCTTTCGAGCAGCGGCAGAAGTCATTCCACTCTTGGCATAGCGCAGAAGGGCGGCTGCAAGATATCAGGAAGCAACAAGAAAAGCTGCTGCGAGCAGGCCGATCGCAGCAAGACCGGATCCAGCAGATGCAAGCTGATGTTGCGGAGGCCGAGAGAAAGGTCCATAGTCAACGGCTTCTGTTTGAGGACATGGGACGCTTAATGAGAGCAGAGTTGGAGAGATTCGAAAGGGAGAAAGTTGAAGACTTCAAAAGTGGCGTGGAGACTTTCTTGGAGAGTGCGGTTGAGGCGCAGAAAGAGGTACGGCTCTCCTCGTGCTCGATATAGACATTGATTACTGACTGGGTACAGCTTATTGAACTGTGGGAAACGTATCTGTACCAGCTCGACATGGACGAAGACGGACCGCCCGTTATGCCTGCGGGCATTCGTGCGAACCCAGATCCGAACGCTGACGAGCACATGCGCCAAGACGCTGCTAAGGCGCAGCTTGACGATGAACAACCGACTGAGGCCACTGCGGCTGTTGGTGACGGCGAGCACGATGAGAGTGCTGACGAGCCGAGACTGTCCGGCACGACGGCTAGAGAGAGTGAGGACGGAGGGGAAGTCGGCATCGGCGACCAGCCTAGAGCGGCAGGTTTGCATGGAGCGGAGGTAGAGGAGTAGGTTGTGAAGATCATGCTGTGTATTTTCATCTTAGCCGGCTTGTACAGAAGCATTGGCGCTCGCTTTGTGCTTGACCCTGCCATTCAGTATAAGAGTCAAGCGAAGATATGGCTGCTCAATTCCTCTGCACCTTTCTTATTCAGCATGTGTAAGCGCAGTCTGTGGCGTTGGAGTTGCTTGGCTCACTTGGCGGCATTGGGAGCTGCCATCTTCCTCCATCCCACCGTCTTCGTTGCTCAGTATGCCGCTCATTCGGGCAAACTTCTTCACGGATTCCAATTCGCATGCGGTGGACGTACGAGCCTATCAGGCGTGGAACCCAGGATGACCACGCCAAATCTCCCCGACCCAGAGAAAGCCGTAGCGGCCTCCGGCCTAACCTTTGCGGAAGGCACGCAGACACCACAGCATCCAAGACCAGGCCATCCTCCCCGACACTATGGCGAGCGCGCGAGGGAGAAGCTTCGTCACTTCCTACATCCAACCGGCAAGAGAATACATGTAGCAACAGATCCAGAGGAAGCGCAGCGATTACGACTTAACCTCTCCCGGCTGCATCATGAGGACGAGTTTGATGTCTACATCTCGGGCACCCCAGAGCATTTGGAAGCCGTGCGACAGGCGCGGGAGCATCATGAAGGTAGGCGAGCAGAGTTGATGCAGCAGCATGCAGAGGTGTATGAGCGCTTCCGTGACGTGCATAATGAGCTTGACCTTCTGAGCAATGAGCTCGAGAGGGTGACGACCCATGGTGTCAGCCTTGAAGCGCATTTCGATCGGTTCGGCTATAGTGCACGCATTCGGAGCTACGAGGACGAAGATGAAGTACCAGATGTCAACAGTGGCATCTCCACGCCTAGATCCAGGTCACGGAGCGGAGACGGTGCAAGTGAGAAGCGAGGTAGCCTGGCAAGTGGTGCTGAGAGCAGTCAAGCAACGTCTCTCAAGCTCCTCAAAAGACCCATTCTCCGACAATACTTCCATAAAGGCATCTTATGGCGCGCCTCAAGATCGGAGGAGGTGCAGTCTTTCGAACTCTTCGTCGATCTGCTCTACGTCGGTATCCTCCAGATCAACGGCGATGCAGCTTCGGAAGACCCAACAGGTCTGTCCCTACTTCGCTTCGTTATTACCTTTACCCTCAGTTACAAAATCTGGAACGACATGGCGCAGATTATATCCTGGTTCGAGACGGACGACATCGTGCAACGCTTTAGCATCGTGTTTCTGCTTGTCTGCCTTTTCGGCTACACGACGAACATAACCCAGGCATTCGTCACCACCTACCCGACTCTTATAGGCTTCTATTTGTGCTCTCGCCTTTTCAATGCGAGCTACCTACTGATCATCTGTTTTGTCATACCCACAATCAAACCAGTCATGCTGTATCACGTCCTCAGTACCGTCGTTGGGGCCGCACTCTGGATTGGCAGCATCTACGTCTCCTGGCCGAATCAGCTCATCGTCATTTGGATGGCTCTCTTGGTTGACCTTACAGGCGCAGCCTGGTACCTTTTCACCAAGGTGCTCTGCGAGCGTGTGTCCGGTAGTCTCGGCGCTTGGTTTGAGAAAACATTCCAGTTCTGGCCCGCTGTAAATATCGAGCACCGCACTGAGCGCATGAACGCGTTCGTTACCTTGGTCTTCGGCTACACCGTCGTAGCCCTACTTTACCAGAGCACCGTCAACGGCATTGATGCCTTCTTTGGTAAAGCTGTGCTGGGACTCATTCAAGCATTCTGCTTCAATTGGTTGTACTTCGAAGTCGACGGTTCGAACCTGCATACTCACGCCATCCGTAGAGCAAAGTCAAGCGCAATGCTCTGGTCCTTCGCGCACCTGCCTTTCATTATGGCTTTCGTGCTGGGAGGCAGCGCGCTTAGTAGGCTGGTCGTAGCCACTGATACCACGCACGCTAATGTTGAAGACCTCACGGAGACCTACCAAGTCCGCTCCGAGCACGAAATCCGTGTGGGCACGCGCTGGTTCTACTGCGCCGGTTTCGCTCTTGCACTAGCTTGCATGGGCCTGATCTCTCTGGCTCACGTTCACAAGGAGATCTCAGGCTTGCGCTTAAAGAAACGGTACAGGCTCGCATGGCGGTTCTGCATTGCTATCGTGCTAATCCTACTACCACTGGCTGAGGACTTGGACTCTATCGAGCTGGTTGGCACGGTCACTGCTTTGATTGTGTTTGCACTAGGCACGGAACTTTGGGCGGCAAGTAGCTGTCAGGAGAAGTGGTGCGAGCGGTCACGGCCCTGTCAGTATGTGGGCAGGTGTGGCAAGGGGAAGTTGCACGCCGTGCTAATGGAGGGGAAGAATGTGGATGTCAGTCAGTTGGCTAGTGGGAACAACAGCCAGGATGGGCTGTTTGCTTGAGTCATAGCTCTCTCATCACAGTCTTGGATGTGTACTATTGTCTTCTCAATGTCAATGCCAACTCAGAAGCCTTTAGCGCAGCAAGAACCCCTCGTACTGCAGTACAACTTCTCGTTGGTACGGGCCCACAGCCCGCGTGTCTGCCACAAAAGCCCATTCCGAACGGACACCCTTCCCATGTCAAGCCGTCCATTGCTGCATAGGCCTGCCGTTAAGTGCGACCTCATTGGTTCTGAAGTCGGCACAAAGGAAGCTCCCGCGCAGATGACTTTCAGACGGTGTTTGTATGGGCAGCCGCTTAGACCTCTACCGGGATTTCTGCCTCCGATATAATATATCTGGAATGCCATCAAACGAGAATATGCCTACAACTCAGCCAATCTCTGCGCTCGCCCGAGCCATCTCCTGCCGTCCGAAGATGTGCTCGGCCAGATGCTCGAGCTCAGTCGCGCCGCCAGGCTGATTCAGCACGGTCCTCATGTGTTTCACGCCGCGCATAAAGCAGACGACAGCGCCAGACTGACCTCCCGTCCCGTTAATCGCGCCGCGCGTAGCTTGGTGGTATTGCGCGAGGCACGTCTCGACGATCGCTGGACCAAATAGAGCAAAGGCGGCGTTGGTGATCGCGTTACCGTAGTGCGCACCGTGGGCGCCGTCCGATCCGTGTGTCACGATCTCACCAGCTTGAACAAGCATCCCGCAAGTCTGCTGGAGGTCGTTCAGGTTGGCAGGCTGTGGGACAAGATGCGTGAACGAAAATGTGTAATTGCTCTCCTGTGAATGGAACGTTAGCTGGTGGATTGCAAACAGTGGATCTGAAGCCATTCACCCACCCTCACACGCCTCCGACGAAGACCCCAGATCAACCCAACTTGCTGTTGAACAGTCGTCTGCAGTCGTGTGACGTCTTCATTTAGCTGCTGAACATCATTGTTGTCTTGCGCAGTCTGGCTCTGCATCTGGTCGATTTGCTGGTGCAGCTGGCCATTTAACGTATTCACCTGAGTTACCTGATTGGCCAAACGGCCGATCTGCGTGCGTAAGTGACCGTTATGCTGGTCAAGGCGGGTGTTGGTTGCCTCCAGCTGACGGGCATGCTCGTTGGCCCAATCAACCTGGACAATCAGCTGAGCAATTTGCTCGTCAAGCTGGTTGATGGTCTGCGTGGCTCGCCGGGGGTTGAGATTGTTGAGATTCATCTCTGCGCCGGTGAAGCTATGTGGCTTCTCTGACTTATATAGTACCGGTGGAAACGTGGTAATATATCCTATAAGACAAGAGCTTCGTTGAAGAGGCCGGAGATGGTACACTTGTAATGATGTTGTTGATGCAGGATACGAGCGAACTGTTCAAGAGCGCAGCACCGGTTTATGAAGGGGCGACCACATGCGAGCAAACGGCCGGCTTTGGTTGTAAACCTTGGTTCATTGTTGACGTGAATGCACGTTTGGCGACTCAGAGAGTCATTATGTAATCGTTGTTGCGGTGGTTCTGTGTGTACCTTCTTCAAGCGGCGCAAGTCGGCATCAGGTAGTGTATGACCAGATGGACAACACTTAACGGACATCGAAAGCGGCAGGCCAACGTATTGACTGCCCGGCCTTCCATGCGCAAACGGGTTGATTGATAGCAGTCAAAGCAAGCCGTTAGTGGGGGCAGTTTGCCAGGCAGTACCTCACCGCACTCATCAAGTGCAGGCGGCCAATCAACGACCAAGCGCAGTGATCGTAAGGATCCAGCAAAGAATGTCTTTGCATATTGCGGACAGCAAGCGGTAAAAGGCCATCACATCATGAACTTCGGCCTTCCTTTCCTCAAACCCTCCTCCTCCAGAGGCTTCTGCTCCTCTACAGCCACCGGACTCGCTTCCCTCTCCCTCTGCCTCTTACGCTCCTCATCCCTTTGCCTCCTCTCCTCCGCCTTCTTGAGCTTCCTCTCCTCCAGCTTTCTCCTGCTTTCAGCCACCTGATCAGTCTCCGCAACCTCCCTCATGACCTCCTCCCACTCCGCTTCCTTCTCCGGGTCGCCCGTTCCCAATTCCTTCTTAACATCCACATCCTCCCCGTTCTGCACTCTCTTCAGCACTTCCCGCAGTAACTCCAGCTTCGCATCAGTCTTGCGGGAGAAGTTGGCCATGTCGTTTCTCAAAGCGATTAGATTAATGGCGTTGGAGCCTACAAGGATAGCGAGGAGGATGAAGGTTGTCGCTGGATTCCATCTTCGTCGCTCCTTAGGTGCTGGAGGAGAAGTAGGGTCTGTATCTGCGGGCTCGCGGGAGCGGCGGAAAGCTTTTGGGATCAGAGACGTCCAGAAGGATGGGGTTGCGACACGTGGTACACGGGAGTCGGTGCGGACGTCCTCGAAGCGGAGACGGGTGGAGTTGGTGAGGTGCCTTCGATCAGCCTGTTGAAGGCGTAGACACGATGTACATACAGCCTGGAGAGTTTTTGCGGCTCTTGAGGGCGCCATTGTTTTTGCAGTGAAGTTTAGAGAGTGGGCTTGATCTAGGTCCGCGTAGCGGAAGCGGAAGTTGAAGTTCGCGCCGGGGATACCTCGGCGAAACTGCGCTCCCAGTCGCAGACGGCAGCATATATATATGTACAGTGTGTGCTGTATGCCGCAAGGCTCTCAACGCACAATCCACTTGTGGAGTTACCAGAGTCTTCCGTCACCTCTCGCCGTCCACCTCGCTTGAGCTCAGTCTTCCGACTTGCGCCGTGCAGTCTCTCCTGATCACCGGCTGAGACCATTGTTTCCAATGCGGGCATGGTAGCTTGGCGCAGCCTGGCCCCTTCCATGTCGGTGAAGTTCACAAGCCAGCTTTGGCCTCACCAATCCCTATCCTGCAGCTTACTGGAAGCCACCTTCTCGTTAGGTAAGCGGGCACTAGCCAAGCGCGCAGCGATCAACCGATGGGAGTCTCGCGGTGCGTAACACTCCAATCACAAGCTCGAGACTGTGATGATCGATGGTTGGATGGGCGATGTCATACTCCAGATTGTCTTCTTGAGTCGGTCATCTTTCGTTCTCTCCTGTCCACGCTACCATATCCGACACAACGGCATCCCCCCAATCTGCCTCTCTACGCACTCTCTCGCATCCATGATACCCTTATCCGTGGTCACCGCCAGGATCTCACCGATCCTTGTTATCGGTTTCACCTGCCCAGCAGCCCTTCCTCTCACCAACCGTCCTAAGTCCCGCGAATCCAGCCATATCCGCTTAGTGGGCTTGCTCACCATCTGCGCTTTTCGTAACACAGGCATACCGTCCCAATACTTCAATCCCAACCATAAGCGCCTCGATGCGCGATTTGCTTGCGTTACGAGACCTTCCGACTCGAAATCATCCGGGTCCCGGTAGGCGGGAGGTAGCAATGTGATGGGTTGGTTGGCAATCTCCAGGCCCATGGCTGAGATTGTGAGACCGTCGCGCTCGATATGTCGTGGTGTCGCGAAGCGGGCAGGTCCTGCAAAGTAGGCGAGTGTGTTCTTATCGAAGCCTTCCCGGCGCATGTGCTGTCGTATGCGCTGCTCTAGCAGCGCACCTCTACTGAGCTCATCCTCGCTGAGACCTTCGCGCTCGAATTGACTGCGTAATGCAGCCACAGTGTCGTTGACATTGTAGCGTTGGAGAATAGCGGTTGCTTGAGGGTCGAAGCCTTCCTCTTGCAGTTGCTCTTCGCTCTTACCGCCATGATCGAGGATGAAGTCGATTGCCTTCCTATCCCAGCCGTCCGCCTCTAATTGCGCTTTGCTGAGCTCACGGTGCTCTAATGCGAACTGTATCGCTTCTTCGCCGAAGCCTTCCCGCCGCAACTGCTCCTCCGTTTGTCCCTTGTACACTACATCGTACAGCGCTGCTTCAGGTGAGCGTGGACTGCGATCTCGATGCGGTGCGGCGGTAATGCTGTGGTTGTCAGGTGTGGCTGCTGGAAAGCAGGAGGCTGGTGGTGAAGGCCCGCCCAGCTTGACTTGAGACAAGAACCCCTGCTTGTGCAGTAGCAGTGCTAAAGAGAGGTGTAGCTTGGTGTACGGTATTGAAGTGAGGCCGAGTCGAGCCAGCGATGCATTTTGCAGATGCGAGCAGACATGGGCCAGATTAACGAGGGACATTGGTGGTTGCTAAAGGCCTCGGAGGCCGGTAAGAATGTGCGCAGTTTCTGGTGAAGGGAATCGATCCTCGACACTTTCAGCGCTGCTTGTTCCAAACGCTTAGAAAGCAGTGTAGAGCGTCTCGTGTGCTGTACAGGCGATGGACGATCATTATGCGATCGCGTGCCTTCCTTCTTTTCGGGAATGCTTTCGCCGTACCTTCCCCTTTGAGGGTAAGCCCACGCTCGCTGCCCATTGGCTGCGTTGACGCGCATGTTGCATGCTCGTCTGCGCGCCTAAGCTTCTGACAGAGCTATATATGCCCAATATGGCCGCCGCCTCGTGGCCATGCATATGGTCGCCCCTTCAAAGACAGTGTTCGCCATCCTCGCGAAGGCGATCAAGGTCCGAGACGCCCACTAAGTGGCGATAGATACAATAACAGAGATCTGGGACTGGAACCCAGTGAAACACCTTAAAGTACAACAAATTACCCACAAGGAACTGGAGACACACCTGCTGAGAGACAAGAGAAGAGGTCAACATGCCTGCCGGCCCAGGTGAGACGCTTCTGACGACGCTGTATGAACGCCGCAAAACTTGGAGAAGGATGCACTAGCGACTAACGAGCAAGCCAGCTTTGCAGACGTCCACTATCACTTTGCCGAGCCGTCTCCCAGCAAGGCCCAGCATCACCGATTTGTTCGCGGCAGCTATGTCTACATCTACCACGATGCAATCCAGCATCAAGCCAAGCTAGAGGTAGCCAACCATGCGGGTACGCCAGAGCAAGATGCCTTCTCCGGTTATTTGCATTCGGCGACACTATCGTATTCGTACGCCCAGCCCACCGTCTGCACAATGCGAATAGATGCACATGTACCGGACGAGAAGCAGTGGCGACTGGCCAGCTATGACGAGAAGAACGAGCAGCGCTTTATGTACAAGCTGCATAGCCTGGACCTCTACTTGTGGACGGAGAAAGATGCTGCGATTCTGCTTGGCCATATGAAAGCCGTTATGCCGGCGAGTAGACTGGATGTCAGCGGTGCGCCCTCTGTTGCGAAGTCGCAGACACTAGCCGAGCATAGAGACACCATGAGCCCAGTAGTACAACAGCTAGAGAGGACTGCTATAGGGGCACAATTTCCGCCACGTGCTGAGAGCGTGGCTTCCATGAACAGTCTCCAAGGCCCAGTCACTCCCGCGACATCAGCCGGAGCAACGACAAGTCCACCGGTCAGTCCACCTCAAGCGCCGCCGATGGCCTACAATCCTGCTGCGCCACCAGCACCTGAACCTATCATGCACCGGGAGAAGACGCCTCCGCCACCTGATGGCAGCAATGGTACACCAATGGGAGGTGGAAGGCATGACCCGTCACCGCAGCCTCAGTACGCCAATGTTCCGCTAGGCTACCATCAAAACTCGAACCAGCCTACTCCGCAGCAAGCGTACTTCGGTGGCGCTGTGCAAACACCACCGCAGCTCCAGCAACCTCCCGTACAACGTACATACTCTGGGGGCGTGCCACCACCTCCACCGGGTGGACCGTCTTCCCAACCAGCCCAGCAACAGCCATATGCTCAGGCTTTTGCGCCACTACCTGTGAATCACCACTCCCAACCTACCTCTCCGCCTCCGCACCAGCAAAACTTCCACCGGCAATCCACTTTCGGCGGCCCACCTGGGCAGACACAATTCGCTTCGTATCCAACGCAGCAATTCGCCAACCACCCTGGCTCGCCTAGCTTCGGACCCTACGCAGCGGCGTCTCCTGGCATCGGAGGCGCATCAGGCTACATGTCAATGCAGCCGCCAACTCCATCCGCGCCACCTGCATACGCCGGACATACACCTCTACAATCACCGGGCCTCCCGCCTCCGCCACCTCAACAACCATACCAACCAGCTGTGGGAGGCTACAGCAATTACAACTACACGGCGGCCCAGCAACCAAACACGCAGCAACTGAACCAATACGGCGCTTACACCGGCGACATCCATAGCCAAGTCTACAGGCCGACGGAGGCGGAGCAAGCGCATGGCCACCATCCGCAACCGCCTAAGCCGCCGACGGTGAGGCAAGGGAGTGAGACGAAGGTGCGGATGGAGGAGAGGGTGACGAATGTGGAGAAGAAAGTCGGTGGCTTTCTGAAAAGGTTGGATAAACTTATATAGCATTCGTATGTGAGTGATCTATACCTTTCTCTAGCCGTCTCACGTCGGTAGTGTAGAAATTGACGACGATCGCACCTCTTGCCCTACTCCATCTCGAATGTAGTCCGTGCGTCATTCCCCATGCAAGGATCCCCAGTCAACTTCCGCTGCAGGTCCCGACCATCGAATGCGCTGGTCGCGTGAACTCTATACGGTTCCGGTCAATGCAGAATCCCGAGGAGCTTGTAGACTTTCCCTCAGTGTTGTCAGTGACGATCGCCGCCTTGTGCGCGCCCGAGCAAACTGGCGAACGCGTGCCTCTTCACGCAACCCAGCTCTATCACCCAAGCTCTGCGACCCAGGCGCCAGACATATACGTAGAGATGGAGACGGCATCACCACCTATGACACCAACGCGACAGTGGTCATCACCGTACGAGACTTCGCCGACGAACTCATTTCGCGAACACCTGCGCCGAAGAACGAGCAGTTTCTCCTCCAATCGCGACCGAAGTCCAACCACCCAGCGAAGCAAACACAGGTTTTCGAACGCGTCACAGTACTCGTACTCCAACGACATACCGACGGCTGGAGATGAGGGAAGCGGCGGCAACGAACTGGGTAATCTGGCCGATGAATTGGACCAGCTGGACGATGAGGAGGACTACGATGATGGTCCCTCAGAGGAAGCGATTGAACGACCACGAGAGAGCGAGAAGGAACCTCGCGACTCCGGTATAGATGTCAGCTACAACTCCAGAAAGAGCTCTCCACTCATGCGGAATTTCTCGAAACCTTTTGGGTCGACGGACAAGCCTCCCGACACCATCACTGCAACAGATCAGCAGGCGGCGATGGAAGACAGACTGTCGCCGGACCTGGAAGACGCGATCAACAGTATTGCGAGGATGACTTCTTATACTTCCACTTCCGAGGACCCGCTGGTGCCACGGACAATGGCTCTTTTACAGGACTTGGGCAACCAAGCAGGCTTGGAAGCGAGCGTGCAAAGGTTGGCTACGAGTACGAACAGTATGACGTCCCACTTGCTGGCGCAGGCGAAGGGTTTGCAAGCCCTCAGCTCCAATCTGTACCCGCCTTTGCTCGCGTTCTCCGCAAGCCTGAATACTGAGGCTGTGGAAGAAGCGATACCGTCCATCAATAACCTACTCCAGGATCTCCCGTTACCAGATTCAGCGCCGCTCCAAGGACTACAGAAGCTGTCACGCGAGACAAGCAACGTCATACAAACGCTTGGTCAGCTTATTGACACGTTACAAATGGGAAAACAGATCACCAATTCCGCCTCCCGGTGCCTGCGCACCACGCAGACAATGGTGGTTGACCTAAGGCTAGAACGAGAGAAGGCGGATCTGGCGCGTCATGAGCTCGCGAAAAGCAATGTTGAGAAGCGACTGCGCGAGCGAACCTGCGCGGCCGAGTGCCAGGACGTGATGGCGGGCTTTGAAGAGGTGTGTGATGCATTGAGAGCGAGCTTGGAGCAGGATATTTGAGGCATGATGCGGCTTAGGCGACGAATATGCTAGTGATACCCCTTGTATATGCTAATTGTGTGCGAAGCAACATGCTCCATACCAGCTATGGTCCTGTGAAAGTGCGTCAGCCTGTTGGGACTATGAGGCAGTTGACCGTTGTCAGCAAGAGTTGATGTGCAGGACGATATAGTCCTGCTTCGTCACTCCTCCGTTGCAACGCGCTGCTCGCTTTACAGTGTACACTCGGCTGCTTGTGACATGCTCTACCAACTCTCACGTCAGATGTAGAACGCATATGTCACAGCCCAGTCTAGCCAGCGACACGCAAGGGTCCTCTCAAAGCAACACAAGCGGACCGCAGATGCCGCATTGCCGTACGCTTACTCCAGGCTTGGCAGCAGCTTCAGTGGCAGTATGGCCTTTTTGATTGGGCGGCAGTGTGACGAGTCAGCGAAGCAAGACGGCATGCTTAGCGCTCACAGGATGCAGGTGTGATGGCTATGTGCTGCACGAGGCGGGCCCGAATGGGAGACCCTGCTCTTACTTCGAAGGTGCTCTCCTGTTTGTGTTTCACAGCCTTTGCGTGGGCAGCTGACACTAGATTCTGGAGGAGGAAAACGAGAATCGGAACTCTGAAAGGCGTCCAGAAGTAGGCCTCCACGGCGCAAAGACAAACACGAGAACTTAATAGCAGAGTGCGCGCATACATGTGAGGTCGCGAAGTGGGTGCAATAGGACCTCTCAGATAAGAGCTGGGAACCGACGGCCGAGATGGCGAGACTTCCGCCCATCTTCTTCACATACGAATGGCGCATACCGAAGCTCATGGCTGCGCTGCTTATCCTCGAGTTCCCATTGACCGTCGCTTGTCTGGCGCTCTATGGTATCGCGGATCCCAACACCTACCGCACCAAGCTGTGGCAGAATGGCGCGGATCAAGGCTTCAATAGTGCACCGAGCGTGATTCTGTACAGCTATGCAAATTACAAGCCGATCGCGACGCCGATGGTTTGGAGCTCATAGTAGGTCACGGAGCGCGATGCGCGAGCAATGGCGCCAACACTGACCGAATGTTTAGTATGGTGCAGTTCAACATTGCGATCTCGGTGCTGTCGATGTTCCTGCTGCTCATCAAGAGCACCATGTTCGTCTTGCACTCCTTCATCCCGATATTTGGAGTACTAGTCTCAGTACTTGAGCTCGCACTGTATGCGACGAGCATCAAGCATCAGTCGACACCAGACCTGAGCGATCCGCAACATCCGTCTCCGGGCTTACCTTGGTATTTGAGCAAAGGCTGCAAATATGCGACGCCCGCAAATTACGGCTTCTGCATGCAAGCGCGAGCGGTGTTTGCTGTGACTTGTGTCATGACGTATGTTGCTAGTTAGCATATTATGGCTGCGAGGTGCTGACGGTGTAAACAGTGCTCTCTTCGCCATGTACCTGATATGGTCAATAGTGTCAATGTGGCCAACTCCGGCTGAGAAGGCCGAGCGGGCGACGCAGCGAGAAGCTGACATCGAGATGAAGAAAGTGACAGAGTACAGTCCAGACTCTGAGCTCTCACGCGAGGAGGTCTGGGAACGGAACAGGCAGATGTTCCTCAACCTGCCCAAGACGCCAAATACCCCAGGTTTTGGCCTCAAGAATCCGATGACGCCGAGGACGGTTGCTTTCACGCAATTGACTGGCGGCGAGAATCCGGGTGTAGGGTCAAGTAGACGGCCAGTCGGCGGTCCTTCGGGAGGGTTGAAGTTCAGGGAGCAGTATGGCGATGGCAGATTGCCGGATGCCAGATGAATGTCCTAAGCATGTTTGTACAGATAGAACAAAATATCACGGCTTCTGTAATGACTCTGTTTTTGGCCCAAATGGTCCTTCCTGAAACCAAAGTCAAACAACATGTGACAGGGGACTTTCCACACTCTCCACACGTTTGAGTGGTGGGGCACATTTTTCGGAATGAAGCACGAGACCTCACATCGCAGCACATACACACACCTACACCACCCTCAGCATCCTGCCGAGACTGAAGCGGACTGTGTGTCAAACTACTCAGAGCCGATATCTGCTTCGTAACCATCCAGAGACTCGGTCAGCTACCTTACAGGGACGATCTGTTCAACTCACCCATACTGCATTCATAGCAAAACACCACATAAGAAAGGTTCGCGAATGGGTCAATAGGATCCCTTGGAAGATGCGGCATCTTCGCATGCTGCAGCCTTATAGAGCAGTGTCCGAACGGAAACGGGAGTTGACCTCCGGAGAATGGACACTCAAGTCGAGCAGGCCATCGAGCTCGCGTTCGATCCTCGCACGCAGCAACAGCTCAAGCTCCAGGCGTATGACTTCCTCAACCAGCTGCGGGAAAACTCAGACGGCTGGCAGGCATGCTTGTCACTTTTCACGAGGACACCTGCCCCCTCGGAGGTAGTAAGGCTGGTGTGCCTGGAGATAGTCAACAACGCGGTGCAGACGCAAAGATTAGACCAGCAGAGCTTGATCTACATTCGGGATAGTCTTATGGGCTACGTACGAAAGTGGTATGCTCCAGGCTCAACGAGCGTCGACTCTCCACCCATACAGAATAAGTTCACGCAGACGGTCACGTATCTCTTCACTCTGTTGTACCCTTCACAGTGGCGCAGCTTCTTCGACGACTTCAGAGAGTTGGCAGGGGACGCTTCTGCGCTAGGCGCAACTAATCCGGCCGGCACTATTGTCTATCTGCGAGTCATCGGCTCCATACACGACGAGATAGCCGATGTAATGATCCCACGAACACCAGACGAGCAAAAGCGGTGCAATGAGCTCAAGGATATGATACGCGTGCGTGATGTCAGCAAGGTAGCAGTCACGTTGCAAGAGATTCTATCGAGATGGCGGCAAATCGACCTTAGTATTACTGAGACGTGTCTACGAACTGTAGCAAAGTGGGTTAGCTGGGTTGATATCAATCTAGTCCTCAACAGTACAGTCCAAAGTGCGCTTCTTGAGCTTGCAGGACAACAAGGCAATCTCGACTCCGAGAGCAAAGAAGCGAAAGCTCGCGATGCCGCCATTGATACCTTTACTGAGACGGTCGGCAAGAAAATGCCACCAAACGACAAGATTGAGCTTATACGATATCTGAACCTTGAAGGCATTGTAGGACAGCTGCTTGCAAGTCCGGCTCTGTCTCAGTTGCGGAATACACCCGAGTACGACACTGATCTTGCAGAGACTGTTGCAAAGCTTGTCAACAACGCCATGTACGACGTTGTTAAGGTGTTGGACAACGACAGTGTGGAAGGCGACACGCGTGCGAACGCGGAGAAGCTTCTGCACGCTTTTATGCCTTATCTCTTACGCCTCTTTTCGGATGAGTATGACGAGATTTGTTCGGCGGTCATACCATCCTTGACCGACCTGCTCACAATGCTGAGACGCCATGTTAAGACGAAAGGCGTTGTGCCGTCGCAGTATTCGGGCATGCTACAACCGATCTTGGACGCAATCATAGCGAAGATGAAGTATGACGAAACCGCTACTTGGGGCGATGAGGATGATGTGACGGACGAAGCTGAGTTTCAAGAGCTTCGCAAGCGTCTGCACGTCCTGCAGCAGACCGTTGCAGCCATCGACGAGCAGCTATATGTGGACACGCTCACTCGTGTTGTTGCAAGCATCTTTTCTCGCCTAGACTCCACAGACAAGCCAAATTGGCGCGACCTTGACCTTGCCATGCACGAGATGTACCTTTTCGGTGAGCTCGCCATCAGGAATGGCGGCATGTGGGCGAAGAGCGCACCATCTTCTATTGCTTCTCAGCGGCTCATTGAGATGATGTCGAAGATTGTGGAGGCAGATCTTGCAACGTATCCGCATCCGGCTGTGCAGCTGCAATACATGGAGATCTCCGTCCGATACGTGCAGTTCTTTGAGCAGAATCCGTCAAGTATTGAGAAAGTACTCGAGAGCTTCGTACGCTTTGTGCATAGCGATCACAGCAAGGTCAGGCTGCGGTCGTGGTACCTGTTCCAGCGCTTCGTACGACATCTACGGACACAGCTCGGGAACATCGCGCAGACTGTCGTGCAAGCTATTGCCGACCTACTTACGGTTAAAGCGGAGCTGCCTGAAGACAGAGACGACGAAGACATATCTTCAGAAGACGGTGGCCAATCTGCGGATGCCGTGTTCAACAGCCAACTCTTCCTTTTCGAGGCTGTTGGCACGGTCGCTTCACCTTCAGCCGTGCCATTGGAGACGAAGGTGGCGATCGTGAAGTCCGTCATAGATCCTCTGGCCGACAGTCTTCGTGGACACTTGCAGCCGGCAAGAGCCGGTGACGCGCGAGCAGTGCTCCAGATCCATCATGTCATTATGGCTTTCGGCAGTATCGCTTACGGCTTTTCTGATTGGATGCCAGGCGTAAAGGGCGGTGGACCTCCTCCAGCACAGGTTTCTGCAGAGTTCATGATTGCGAGCGAAGCCAGTCTCACCGCGCTTAACGCGCTAAAGCAGTCCTCAGATGTGCGCAATGCCGCGCGTAACGCTTTCTCTAGGTATCTCGGCGTGCTCGGCGCACAGATACTCGTACAACTGCCACGATGGATCGATGGGCTATTATCCTCAGCATCTTCGAATGATGAGATGGCAATGTTCCTCCGCACCCTTGGACAAGTTGTGTATGGCTTCAAGAGCGAGATATCCGACATCCTCGACCAACTTTTGTCGCCGTTACTGCAGCAAGTCTTCACTGGCTTGTCTCAGCCCACGACTGGTACGGACGACGAAGTACAGTTGAAGGAGCTCAAGCAGCAGTACCTCAACTTTGTCCTCGTCATTCTCAACAACGACCTTGCTGCGGTGCTTGTCAGTCCAGCAAATCAGGCGACCTTTGACGCATTTCTTAGTACTCTTACGCGCTATTCTTGCGATCCAGCAGATCCACAGTCCGCTCGTCTCGCCTTCTCTGCTTTGGGCAGGATGGTCGCGATCTGGGGCGGGCCTGACATCGCTCTCGGCAGCACCGAAGCACCTTCGCCTGCTCTGCCAGGCTTTGACAGCTTCATCATGTCGCAATTTGCCCCGCTGCCGTGGACATTACTTGCAACACCAGGCTTCACGGCACATGATGCGCAGATGCGGAGCGTATTGCAGGAAGCTGCTGTGTTGCAATGGACCATTTCGCGGAAGGTCGGCACCGCGTACAGAGAGCAGCTACAACGTGAACTGAGGAACCTGGGCGCTGGGGAAGAAAGCATTCAGTCGTACATGACGAACATTAGCGGGGACGTGATAGGCTTCCGGAAATTCTTCGCTGCCTTCGTTCAGCAAGCCAAGCGATAGCGTCAGCATCAAAATTACTGCGAGCGATGGCATGTATGACCCTGACGATGTAGATACCATGAATTTCGAGCCTGCAAAATGCAGAAAACTCGAGTGGAAAAAGGGTCGTTCAGCAAATTGATTGGTTTCAATCTCCGTTGCTCATTCATCATCGTCGAAATGCTCATAATCCCAATGCCTCACGATCAAGCCAAAACGCCGCGCTAAAAATGATGCTCGCTGGCTGAAACCGCTTGATCAAGATATGCCCGCTTCAAACGCGGTCTCCAAACAGGTAGCCGCTCATCTATAACAGCACCGACATAGCCTACCCTGCAGAATGCCGAGAAGGCAGAAAACCCATCCCGCCGCGCCATGCTTTCAATGTTCCGCGAACAGATGCCGGAATGGAGTAAGACCGTAACGCCGTCGCTTGTGCAAATGATCCGATCGAAGGTTTTTTAGTGGAGATGGTTAGCCCAGAGTGCGCGCGCCCACACTGACGCCACGGACTTGGTCCCCTGATTTAACAGTTGATGTTCGGGATGTCGGACTGTAACTGCGATTCCGTGTCTGCTGCTCAGCAAACCGATCCTCGCTGAGAGCTGTTAACCAATTCGAGCCGAGCTCGCTCTTTAACGCCTCGATCTTCTGCCGGTACAGGTCACTGTTCGAGTCAACAGCTTCAGGCGACCGACTCGGTGCTTCGTCGTCGTCGGACACCTCGCGGATTCTAGGCGCTGGTGTGGGCGAAGCTAGCGAAGTATCCACCGTGGGCCGACGCACCGCTGTTTCAGTTTGGATCTGCGTTGTTGGCGCGGTATGGTAGGGTGTTGGCTCGGGGGTGGTCGGCTCATCAGCCTCTGATGGAGTCTGAGGCGGTACTTCCGCGGTATGAAGAAGCGATGGCTCCACTGGCGATGTTGAAAAAGCCTCTTGCTGCGAGAGCTCGACGATTCTCTTCCGCGGAGCTCGCTTCTTCCGCCGCAGCGACTGCGGACCCATGTCGCTCGTCGTTCGTCTATGACTGTAGCCTTGAAGCGACTGCTCTCGCTCCAATGCTGGCGGCTCGAGTCGCAAGTCGCTTACTGCATCTTCGACTTCCGGGGCCGCCTTCGCTTGCTCTTCTTCCTCCTCCTCCGCCGGCGGCTGAACCACGGGCACTGGCGAAGGCTCGGGGGCTTTGTCGTGCAAAAGCTTCTTCTCGTTGTATGTTGGACCCAGGGTATCAATTGTGAGCTCAGCATTATGGCCTGGAGTATCTCGAAAAGCGTTAAAGATGACGACTCGGTAGTCACCGTGCGTGCGAGTGAAAGGATTCTTCAGGACGTACACGTCCACCAGGTCCAATGCGGTTGTCAAGCGGCGCAGCTCCGTAGGATCATATAGCTTGTTGTCGCGCAGGTCGACCCTTTCGAGAGTCGGGACCTTTTCGATGCCCGCAAGCGAGAGCAAGCGGTTTGACCGCAAGTTCAGCGTCGTGATTGCGGGAAGCGGATACTTCGCAAGTGACTTCAAGCTATCGATCATGCAGTTGCTCATGTTGAGAGCGCGCAAGTGCGTCAAGCTTGCCAGCGCATCCGGTATTTCAGTGAACAGATTCCCAGAAAGATCGAGGGACTGCAGCGTAGCGGCGACTGGCCGCAAGCTTTCTGCCGTCAGAGAAGTAAGGCCATTCTCGGCTAAGCTCAGGTGTCTTAGCATCCGCCACTTCGATGGTGGTAGAACGTTCATAGCCAGTAAATCCGCGGTGCTATGTCGAGGCGTACCATCACTTTCGGCTGAGCTTCCAGATGACCTTCGGTAAACATGTGCAGCATTTCGGCGAGGCTTGTGCAGCGACCCATGTCTCGAGCTTGGAGGTCGGATTGGCGAGTTGCTTCGCTGTCGTACAGGCTGCATTGGCGTCCTCACGATTTCAGCCGATCCACCTGGCGTCAGAGAACCACCAAGAGAGCTTCGCCTCTGATCCGCAAGAGGCGAGTTTGGGGAAGAGAATGATCGTGCCAGCTCCGCGCCTCTTATTCGCGGACTGCCAGTGGGCCACGGTACGCCCGGCGTAGATGGCGTTGTGGGAGCCTGAGTCTTCGAAGAGCGCTTACGCCGCTTTTCAATGTCGTCCAGCACGATGTTCTGTAGTAGATCGATTGGATCGTCCAGGTGTGCTCGGCGCACTGTAAGACTCCGCAGCTGCTCCGCTAGCCTGTCCCAACCGTGGAATTGCCTGAAGTCAAGGTCGCATATTTCGAGTGCACTAAGATTCTTGAAGACAAACACTGGTACGGCAGTATCAAACGGGAACTCCTCGTACCCGGCAATCAGTCGTGCTCGGTGGTCTGGCGACAGCTTCAACGCCGGGATCTTCGTGAAGCATGAGTAGAGATATCTAATGTCGTCCTTGTATTGAGCCATTCGCTTCTCCTCTTTCGCTGCGCTATTCGATAGCGAGAAGCCTGACCACATGGAAGACACTGTCGATATCATGCTCCTTACGCTTGACACCGACTTTAGCGAGTCGGCGTCGGATTGCTTGCCTCGCGATTTTGGCGCATGCCCCAGGAAGGAGACATAGTTCGAAGGCGCGGCATCACTATGCAGATTCTCCAACCGCACATTCATCGGTCCGACATCGACACCGAGATCGACGAACTTGCTGAGCAAGAACCAAAGATGATGCGGTGTGAGTGTGAGTTTGGCGGGTCTGATCGTCTGCGACGAGAAGACAGAAGGTCGATTGAGGGCGTCCGCAAGGCTTATCGTGGATGTTGGAGCGGTAGCGGAGGCTGGCCCTACAGTGGCCTGCTGGACGCCATAGCGGGTGCGCTGTAACTGCAGCGCATTCGCCAGGGCTCGTTCATGTGTGCGTACGAAGTATGCTAGATTCTGTAGACGTAGACTGTCAGACAGCCTGCCCGATCGTATGATAGGCAATACAATGCTTGCCTTTACAAAAATCTGTCCATCCTCCGAGTCCATCGTAGAGCCGACGACTCGTATCCATACATGAGCGCGGACAAGCGAAGCGCTAAAAGAAACGGCAAACCGTGCGCAGCGTGTCCATACACAAAGATCGCGGCCTTGTGACGGAGCCTAGATGTGGTGTGACTATTCGGATAAGGAAGGCAGGCAATGCGTTGAAGCCGCACAAGCTGCTGTCAGATGTCTATCGCTCGATCGGAGACACCTACGCCGCCCTATTAGCACGACATGTACGTTCTACGCGTTTGAATCGCTGCGGAGGAGAGCATCGGACAAGGTAGAGGTTGGGTGAGTGCGAAGGCACCTTGATGAAGGACGCAGGACGCCGAGTCCGCGCCGGCGCTACCTATCCTCATCCATCATGCCCAAGTGTGCGCGCCCTCGCTGCCTTTGTCATGCTGCATTGGATGTCTTACCTGAGCTGGTCACGCCCACCATTTACCGCGAAATACACGTCAGCCACCTTCTCCTTCTTTGACCGTTCGAAGCCGGTGAAAGTCTATCTCACAACGATGTATAGAGAGCGACAGACGAGGCATCTACAGCTGCGCGCTTCCAAAGCTCCATTCTCACAACGTCGCAAATTTCTTACTTTGCGCGCCTCGCGGGCTGACCAATGAGAGGATCCTTGTATATGCAAGTAAAGGTTAGCGTGCATGGCGCTATTTTGATCGAGCTTTAAGATGTCAAGTGGAGCATGCCCGGATCCTCGCGTTTCGAAGACGCCCGGGAGACCAGCTCTCCGTGCCGTCGGGTTGCAGTACCTTACGCACTCATGGGAGCGGTGTGCAGAGGCGACATCTTCGAAGTATCGTTCGTCCTGCCATCGGGTCATGCAGTCAATTGTGCTGCAGCTCGACATGTGGGTTGGTGGGACTTGTCCAGACCTCACAGTCCGCTGTCGGGCCCATGCATACATGTAGCAAAGACGCCAGTGCGTCAACGCGCTTAATGGCACTGCTTCAAGCCAAGCTCACCATCTCAACGTCCTCGCCAATCAGGTCGGCACACCTTTGACTTCATTTCAGACGCGGGGTCTCTGCCAGCGCTTGTTGAACGTCATTTAGCCCTGTCCGCTCAATCCTGCCAGATATCTTCCTCCGCGCCCGTAGCCCCAACATATCTTCTTGATTATCTTGTGGGAGGATGCTAAGCTGCGCAGACTGCGCCAGAGTTGAGACATTAGAGCTATCCGATCCTGCAGCCAACTATTCATCAGCAGGGTTTGTTCGCTCCAGCAACCCCCACGCTATCAGCATTGTCGCCGGTGCAGCTTGCGCCGAGAGCTCCCGCCTCATTTCCCGCCCCTCAATGCGGGCAATGCAGACAGCGCTGAGGTTGGCATGCTGTACGGTGTACAAGTGCCTCGAGCATAACGACTCCGCACATCTCCAGTCTGCAAAGCTGTGTAACCTCATGGCCATGCTTCCCACCTCAGGATCCGCGGCTACCGCTGCAGACATCTGCAGCTTACTCCGCGCAAACGATGTGCGAGCTCGTCATTAACGCTAACGCGCACCTTCACATGCTCGAGCTGACATGCTCCGGTCGTCGGTAGCTTCCGAGGGACCCTAATGCAACTCATACCTTGTGAGCCGATGTGAAGCATTCAGAGTCAAGGTGCAGCTCAAGCTGCGGTAGGCTGTGACCGCCTCTCTACGACACAACATCTTTGACTCTTCCCCTAGCTTTTAAAGGCTTCCTCTTCAAGTGGTACTTAAGTAGGCGGCGCCGAAGAAGCAGCTACGGAAGCTCTAAAGGCAATGGAACTGAAAGTAGATATAGTAAACGGTAGGATTGTACCCCGAATGTACGTTTTCTTCGTTAAACGGTTAACGGTAGCTATGTAGGCAGGGTAACGTCCTTACTCCCAATCCGGTGCGCGGAGAAGGAGGGATTATGCTCTCGGGGTGTCAAGTTTCAGATCTCCGCGAGTAAGGTATGAAACACGAAGCTGGCCCGAGCTCTGTATAAGACCGGCGAACCTTTACCAATGGATGTCCAACCCCTAGCATAATTGCCGCCGTACCTTGTAACCGCGACTTCTGGAGGATCCCATCTCGCATCTGACTGCCGGTCCGTAGGCTGTAGTAAACGAAAGTAAGACGCTTTGTCGCAGTTTGTTATTTGTTATTGCCCGATCCGGTAGACGTGCCGAGACAGGCCAAACAGTCCTGTAAGGTGTACATATCGTCTGCAAGAGAGGTTTCTCTAAGCCTCGCGGCCGTACATGTGACCTCTAAGGAGCTGAGGCAGATGATGAACCTGACTACCTAACATTATGCCATGAAAAAGAGAGAAACAGTGATACTGGAAGCTTTCTGGGTTCGCGCACAGACGCGCCTCACGGTCCATGAGGCGCGACCCGCCTCCTATCGGAACCTTCAGCGAGCGGTCGTCAACCTCCACAATACAACATTCCGCAACAATCGATAACACCGCAACCACCGACGCTGGCAACTTTATCGCATAAGCACAAACTCGACGACCATCGCTCTCAAATAGTTGTCTTGAAATGGGTATGGAGAACGGTCGGAGTCCATAACGACCCGGTTTCCGTCATTCATTGGGTGAAGTGAGGTGCAAGGGCAGCACAAGGGGCCATACGGACTGCGCAGCAACGGCGGCTATACAGCTTGCGGACACTTTACAGACAAGCAAGGCTGCTGCGCAACTGCAAGGCCTTGTGCGACGGTGCCGCAGGCCTGTACGAGGGCGGTCTCGTCACGCTTCGGTCTTCTACGTTTCCTCCACCACTGCCACCAGTCGTGAGCTCACCAAACATGGAAGAGCCACCTCTCGTTGATACGGGAATACAACACGGAACCCACGATGTACAAACGCCAACACTCATGTCACCTCCAAGGAGTAAGACCCCGCCAACAATCATTGGCAAGCGGTCGCACAGCGGACAAGCTGCAAATGGACCAGGGCGAGGCGGAAGTGAGCCGGTGAGCGCAACGGCGCTCAACAAGGCGCTACAACATATGGAAGGTGCAGGCCGGGCTCGCAGCATAACACCAAGCGGCAGTCCAAGTAGGAAGCGACAAAAGGTGCATGGTGGAGGCGACCGCTTCATCCCGAATAGAGCTGGCCAAGATCTACAGGCGAGCTACAGCTTACTGCATGACGATGGCTCACCGGCGACACCATCGAAAGCTCACAAGAAGACGCCAAGTGATCTCCACTTCCAGAAGCGGGAGGCAAACCGAACCTATTCCAATATACTCAGGTCGGAGATGTTTGACGATGAGGTACCACAGGCGATTCCACAACAGTATGACACATTTGGGACGAAGACCAGAACGCCGCCGGCGAATGCCTCAGTGCTCTCAGGACCTAACCTGACGCCGTCAACCCCGCACAAGAACCTCTTCTCATACGGAGCAAATCCGACGCCTTCACTGACGCCTCGATCAACCTCGCGCACTGAGCGAGGGCCAAACATTAATGCTCGGTCGGAGATCTTCAGCCTGTCCCCAGTCAAGCATTCCTCACAAACAATGCTACTTTCTCCGCGAAAGACGCCACGAGCGGTAAGTAAAGTGCCGTATAAAGTTCTGGATGCGCCAGACTTACAGGACGACTTCTACCTTAATCTGGTAGACTGGGGCTCTACGGACGTACTGGCTGTAGGACTTGGACCTAGCGTTTACCTCTGGAACCGAGAGTCGGGCAAGGTCAACCAACTCTGCCAGCTAGAAGGCGACACAGTGACCAGTGTTAGCTGGATACAGCGAGGCTCGCATCTAGCAGTGGGTACGTCAAAAGGCCTTCTACAGATCTATGATACGGTCTCCGAACGGCGTCTCCGCACCATGACCGGTCATATTGCGCGAATAAGTAGTCTCGCCTGGAACGCCCATATCCTGTCAACGGGCTCTCGGGATCGTACAATACTACACCGAGACGTGCGCATGCCGGAGCAGTATCTTCGCAAACTGGTAGGTCACAAGCAAGAAGTTTGTGGCCTTAAATGGAATCCAGACACGGAGCAGCTAGCCTCTGGTGGAAACGATAACAAGATCTTCGTCTGGGACCGGATGGAGGAGCGCTGGATGCATCGCTGGGGCGAGCAGGAAGGCGGGCATAAAGCAGCAGTCAAGGCCATCGCGTGGAGTCCACATCAGCGCGGTCTGCTCGCTTCTGGAGGCGGTACGGCGGACAGGTGTATTAAGTTCTGGAACACCATCTCTCAAGCCCAGAACAGCAGCAGTACTGGCATCAATGGCGTCTCGCCTGCCGATTATACCAGCCTCGGCTTAGGTCTTACAGCGACCTCGCCACTGGTCGAATCACCACTTTCCCCGAACCAACCGAACCCTCACCTGATACGAAGCCACGATACCGGGAGCCAAGTTTGCAATCTCCTCTTCTCGACCCTTACGTCGGAGCTTGTATCTACGCACGGCTATTCCCAGCATGCAATCAACATCTGGAAGTACCCCTCCATGCAACAGGTGGTTAGCCTGACCGGTCACACCTATCGTGTGCTGTACCTCAGTATGAGTCCTGACGGTGCGGTAATTGTGACGGGAGCTGGAGATGAGACCCTCAGATTCTGGGATGTGTTTGGGAAGCGGGAGAAGGAGGGGAGAAAAGGGATCGTTGGGGAGTGGGGAGTCATCAGATGAGCTTCCACTGCATGAATGGTTACACCTCGTGCACGCCGGCCTGCATGGGCTGCTGGAGCCGACGCTCGCTTTAGCAGTCTATCTACTGTGTACAGCATTCACGACTTTCCCGCCCGGCGTAGCGGAACTATCTTACGTACCTCGAGACATGAAAATTGTTGTCGTAACAGCGTCCACCCGCCATTGATCAGTCCAGCTTCGTACGCACTCGCTATGACAGAATGTGACAACGTGTGTGAGAAATGAGACTGCGTCGTTAATAAAGGCCTTGCTCGCATAGAGGGGCGCGCCACGCCAAGCCATAGCGGCCCAGCTCTTTCCGAAAACCTGCGCAGCCAAAGCAACACTACATTTTGCGCGACTCATCGTGCAGACCACGCTACGACGCTGTCTGACGGACGACGGACGACGAACGACGACACAAGAATAGCATCGTCTTAGACATTGACGAACCGTGCAGTATTGACACGCGGCGGGTCTCAAGAGCTGACCAAAAGCCCCACCTTCGCCAAAGCGGTGAAAAACAACAACACCTGCCTTTTCGCGCCAGCAGCACAACCACGGAGAAAGCCAGAATCGACTACTTCGCATCGCCTTGGGCACGTATCTGACTATACCGAGTAAGGCAGGCACGAAGACGGCACAGGAGCAGTGTACAAGCAGGAAGAGGAGCAAAGTCGCGTGATCTTCACACCGGAAAGGGACGCCTGCACTCATCATACGGCGGAACTCCATCATCTTCGCTCAATCTAGTCGGTGAAGAGTACGTAAAGTACCACGGCGCCTTTGTCCGGAGCCCAAGCGCTCATCCCGCACATTCGGTACGTATACAGCAATTTCCTGCAAATGCCCCCTCAGTCACGAACACGGCCCAGGGAAGGCGTAAGGCGGACAATGAGCAAAGGCGCAACGTGCTCAGACTGCTTGTGCGATGGACTTGATGGCTGCGGGTCACAGCACAGTCACGGGCAGTAGTCACGTGTTGACCTGGTGTCACAAGGCTCAATATCATGGTCTCCGAGGCGGCTTTACTGACAGACCATAGCTCCTCGGCCACCAGGCCATTTGCAGAGCCACATCGAACCTAGGCTCTGCATCACGACCATCACAGTACCCTTCAACGCGAACCTCCGGCCATGGCCGAAAATGATGTGGACCTAGACTCAATCATTGACAGACTCCTCGAAGTGCGTGGAAGCAGACCGGGAAAGCAAGTGCAGTTACTTGAGACCGAGATCAGATACCTCTGCACAAAGTCACGTGAGATCTTCATCAGCCAGCCTATCTTGCTGGAGCTTGAAGCCCCGATCAAGGTACGCCCACCTGATGATTTCAGTTGTTCTCAAACTTGGACTAACATTGCGTAGATCTGCGGCGACATACACGGGCAGTACTATGACCTTCTGCGCCTCTTCGAATATGGCGGCTTCCCACCCGAAGCCAACTACCTCTTCCTCGGCGACTATGTAGACCGAGGCAAGCAGTCGCTCGAAACCATCTGTTTGCTGCTGGCCTACAAGATCAAGTACCCAGAGAACTTCTTCGTGCTCCGCGGCAATCACGAGTGTGCGTCGATCAATCGCATTTACGGGTTTTACGACGAGTGCAAGAGGCGCTACAACATCAAGCTATGGAAGACCTTCACGGACTGCTTCAACTGCTTGCCAATTGCGGCCATCATTGATGAGAAGATCTTCACCATGCACGGCGGTTTGAGCCCGGATCTCAACTCCATGGAGCAGATCCGACGTGTGATGCGACCGACGGATGTACGTAATCTGCTCAACAACTGTCCACTTTTTGTGCTAATAACGCTTTGATAGATTCCGGATTGCGGTCTCCTGTGCGACTTGCTCTGGTCCGATCCCGATAAAGACATTACGGGCTGGAGCGAAAACGACCGCGGCGTGTCATTTACCTTCGGCCCCGATGTGGTGTCCCGCTTCCTGCAAAAGCACGACATGGATCTGATATGCCGCGCTCACCAAGTCGTTGAGGATGGGTACGAGTTCTTCTCCAAGAGACAACTCGTCACGCTCTTCTCCGCGCCGAACTACTGTGGCGAGTTCGACAATGCCGGCGCTATGATGAGTGTTGATGAGAGCCTTCTCTGCTCGTTCCAGATACTGAAGCCAGCGGAGAAGAAGCAAAAGTACGCTCATTAATGCAGTAACCAGAGTCGCAATGCTGACGATAGCTCAATAGCAGGTTCGGACGCCGGTAGAAACGGGCGCCAAAGAAAGTTATATGGACAATGAACGAGTGACTGTTGACGCAGGATGGCCATTGCGACTTCAGCGGAGTTGCTTCCAACAATGGCTCCTCGGCTGCCATGCACCACTTGGGAGCCACACGCATATCGTGAGCAGGCATTGTACGATTGTTGGGGTGAGGCTGAGACGCTACACGAGCAGACTGGATCCAGGCTGTGGCGCCGAACATCGTTGACCTTGCGTTCAAATCGACTGGTAGTGCGGAAGCATAATTGTCAATCGTGTTAACCCTCTTAGCATTGGAGCGCATCGGCACTTGCCGCTCACTTGTCTCCTCCAAACCTAGCTGCTCGCTGCATTGTCTATCGTAGCTTCTTGGTGTCGCTACCCTTGAGTTTCCAGAGCTTGAAGGTTCTGCTGAAGTGCCAATCCTGGGAAGGTGAGCAAAGCACATAGAAGGATTGTAGTTGGTGTACTTACAAGAACTCGCCGCGGAAAGAACGTCAGGAACCATACCACCCATGCCATTCCACCCTCCCAGAGAGTGTCCTTAGCTGTCATATTCAGTACCTGCGGTACCACTGCGTGCGCATAGTCTTCGGCGGTGATGGCCTGGGCGGAGGTGTACTTCTGCCGCCTGGCATAGTCTTCCTCTATTGGCAAACAGATAGAGTCTCGTGGCAGGACTCGCTCGATACGACCAAGATCGCTCTTCACGCCACCTGTGATTACATTTACGACGCGTACGTCAAATGGCGCAAGCTCGACGCGCAGAGTGTCGCTGTAGCTGTGCAAGGCCGCTTTCGACGCGCCGTAGACGGATCCGAAGACGTAGGGCATGATACCCGCCAAGCTGTCGATTTGCACGATGGTCCCTTTGGCTGCGATGAGCAAGGGTGCGAAGGTCTGACACATGCGCATTACGGCGAAGACGTTTGTCTCGAAGACCGAGCGGACCTCATCAATATCAACGTCGAGAGCGGGCACGGTGTAGTTGCGGCCTGCATTGTTGACAAGATAGTCGAGCCCTCCACCAGTGCGAGAAGCAACCTCATCCTTCAACGCTTTGATACTGTCGATGCTGGTGACTTCAAGCGATAGTGGCTCAATGCCTCGAGCCTCCAAATCTGCCAGTGAGGATGCCTTTCTGGCGGTGGCGAAGACTCTCAGACCTTTTGCCTTGAACTCGAGGGCAAGTGCATGTCCTATGCCAGAGCTACAGCCAGTGATCAGAACGGTCTTAGTCATCCTAAGAGCGGTCTCTGATAATTGTTATGTTCCTGACAATGGATGGTCGGGAGCGAGCAAAGCGCCAAATATGGGGCCGATTCAAGGTTTCACGGAACGGCAGGGCGGGTCGGAGGCTGCTCCACTCGGCTTCGCGTTCTGCACGACTTCTCCTCATCACCGCTATGGGAGATTGAATGCATGCGATACATACATTCGCCGCCACGATGGCGTCACACGCCAATGCCGCGCGGGCTGCGCGTGATCAAGGCGTCCTCACTGGCCTCGGAGTTGTGAACAAGGCAAGGTGTGGCGGCGCAATGCCTGGCGGTGCTTGTCGCTTCAGGCTTCGGCCGCCGTCCCTCATTCACTGCTGTACACGAGGCTGAGACAGCTTGTTAAGACAACGATCTCCTTACATCCAGCCCGAACATGCTTTCCCGTAATCCCTGAGCGCAGCGCGTCACTTCGCTTCCCAAGTAAATAGTGCCGTGGCGGCGGAGCGGCGCAGAATGTCGCAGGTTAAGTGGCTCGAGCAGTCGACCGTGACCGAGCCGGCGCCTTTAGTGGAAGTAGACGCACATCTAGAGATCAACGACAAGTACCGAAGCCGGCTCTATACATTCGGCTTCTCCGTGGCGCTGGCTATCTTCACCAAGGCGCAAAGACAGGAGGTCTTCGCTGCTACTGCCGCGTGAGTATGCCCTCACGGCCCTCCGTTTTGACTCCGAGTCATTTTCAAGAGTACCTTACCACTTATAACGAGATGCGATGTACTTCTATCAGCGCGTTAGCTTTTATCATGTACGATAGTGTGTGGCACCGGCGAAGCGTTGAATGCTCGAGGTCTGTTCGATTGTACTCGATAAGTCACTGACAGATCGGTCAGCTCTTGCGCAGTCCTCGTCGTCTTTCTTTCGAACGTTGCTACATCACCGCGCGCAACTTCCCCACAAGCATGAGATGTCGATTAAAATCAAGGCTAGACGGGGCGAAAGCGAACGCGCAGTGGGTAGCTTACAGTCGGATTGGGAGCCTCTCAGGCATAAATGACGCCTCAGTGGGCAAGGAGGCCTCAATTCTACAAACTCAGCCAACACCCGACAGTTGCAAGGCTGACTTGCGACAGCTCAAAGCGGTAGCCTTGGTGAGACACATTGTACATGTCGCCGTCCGACAGTGTCCAATTCGCGCAACGCGTGGCGTTCCGTGGCTGGATTACGTCGGGCGCCTCGCCTTAGAGGGCGCCATCAGCGTGTTGCAGAAAAACTCACCATAGTTGAGCCGCTCTCTGGGACAACGTCATACAAAGCATTGAGAAAGACCATATCGTAACGTACGTGATCGCATTTGCGCGATGGTGTCGATTGGCTCCGATGCGAGTTGATGATGACAAGGAAATTATGCGCGCATACAAAATGCGAGGCGCAGGTGTCCAAGCTGCCCAAGGGCTCGTATATATCAGCACAATCAAGCAATTGAAGGCAGCAAGTCTGCGATGCCGACTTCTTTCCTCATCAATATTGCCCCACTAGGCTCCAGCTTGCGGTAGTACCCAAGCTCTGTCCCAACCTTTCGGAATCCACGCTTGCGGTACCATTCAAGGCCTTCAGCATTGGCTTCCCATACATGCGCACCGACTGAACCAATGCCATGATCGTTGATCGCTCTAGCAACGAGAGTGTTCAGCAGATGCGTGGCGATGCCATGCGAACGGTAAGGCGACAGCAGTACCAATGTGCTAAGGTAAAGCATGGGTTTGGTAGGGTGCTCAATCTGTCGAGTCGATGTCCCGACTGGCTGCCCAAGTAAGCGGCATCGAATGGCGCCGATCAAACGGCCTTTCTCCTTGCCTTTAAAGGAGGGGTCGTCGTGCCATGTCGCCACCTGCGTAATGTTGGCCGTCAACGGATCATTTAGGATTTCACGGTAAAAGCTGTCCGGGTAGGCGACGGGTAGCAGTAAGCTGTTGATTTGCCTGAACGCTGGAATGTCCGCCTTGGTGCAACTTCGAATGTCCACGTTGGCTGGAAGTGGCCGTCCAGGTGATGGTGGTGCGCGCTCCTTCAGGACGCCCTGGGCTAAAGACCGCGAACTTTCCTCTTGGATTGGGTCCAGTCCGCTGTTACTAGGCGGTAGAGGAGCAGACAGTGTCAAGATTGATTGCTGAGCATTGCGCTCTGACCGCGGCTTAGTTTTATAATCGTCCTTTGTACGCTTCCAGTCCGGCTTCGCGACAGGCACAGGCTTCTGCAGCCATGCTGTCAAGGACGACTGTGGCATAATGTTCCCTCATGATCGCACAACTCAGCCTGGAATAGCAAGTAGCGTAGCTGTCTTCTAGGTGAAGGAGCAGTAAGTCGCGAAAGACGAACGAGCGCTACGATGTTGCCGAAGATTGGCCGCCATTGGGGAAACTGCATGCTACGGGCCAAAACTTCAAGCTCCTGCCGCTTCAACACGCCAGCAATTGGTGTCCGTAGTCACTCCTTCAGCACCGTCGCTGCAGCTCAATGGGCAGCGGAGGCTCCAAGCCGGAGCAACACATCTTCAATGCGTACGTAGAGACCTTACCATTGGCCGATAAGCGGAAACTGACCGAGAAACCAGTGATGCGCCCGTGAGATTTAGCCAGTCCGTGCTAGACTCATTACAACGCAACCCTGAGGTCGGTTCGCCCTCATCAGGTGATCGATCAAGCTGACATCTACACCTAGACCGACTCGACGCGTGCGCAGAACCTGGAGCTCAAAGTGCAAGCCCGTGTCAACGAGGAATTGACCCGCCTAAGGAACGCTCAAGCCAAGCAGCTCTCCCAGCTCACGGACTCCCTGACTGTCTCTCCGCCTCCCGAGAAGCCCGCTCGCGAGTCTTCCGAGCCTTCGCGGCCCGTGGACAGCCTGGTTGGACATCTGAGCAGTCCTTTCTACCACGACTTCACCCCTGCGGCACCGACACCGGATGCACCACAGCCAGAATCAAACAACACGTCAGATTCCGTGAAAATGGAGATTGCAGAACTCAAGAAGAAGCTCGAGGGCAGAAAGAAGGTTGAGAAGGTGAGCCGGGAGGTCGAGCAAGCCAAGGATCGGGTGGTGCGGTGTTTAAGGGAGAAGGAAAGACGACCGCTAGACTGCTGGCAAGAAGTGGAAGAATTCAAAAGGGAGGTTGGCAGGCTAGAAGCTGCCTTTGTACAACGAGTCGGGCGGTGACAGCTCGTCTTATAGATATATCAGAGTGAGTTCGTATACCCTAATCGATGATGTTGTAGTTGTACAGAGTAGAAGGCACGTTTCCGAAAACTCTTTAGACGCAGCCGAAGCTTTCTCAGGGAAGTTAGAACACTCGGGAAGCGTATGCGAAGAGCTGAAGAGATAGACATGCCGAGGATTGTTCTCGGGACCTGCTGTGTTCCACCGTCTTCCTCACATTCCAGCCTTAAAAGACATTGTGGAACAGTCGTCATAACCAACGAACGCCCGTTTGTTGAATGAGGAGCGACCGACCCTACAATGTATCAAGGACATTGCCTGAGGTTCACTGGAGAAGCACCGGAAGGCAATGCACCACACTGTCTTTGCAACCTTCTTGGGCGCATCTATACAACGAGCGCTGACTACCGCGGTGCGACTTGCCCTTCGGTCTCCTTCCCACTGACCGCTGCCTTATGCTCTCTCCAGCGCTGGCCCCGCCATTGAATCACCATGGTGGGGATCCAGCTCACGACAAAGATCAGTCCAGCCATAATGCCACCACTGCCCGATCCTCTAACACTTGCAAGCATGTCTGGGAACCAGAATGGTCCGATGAAACCCCATGTACTCCTGACTACGTTGACGAATACGCCGATTGAGGCCGCGTGCTCGATGTGGCAATCCACGGCGTAGGTCACGAGGACGGTTGTAACTATTTGGTTCCCAACTGCAGAGATGGCGATACCAACCTGTTTAATTCTGTCAGTATTGGTGTTTGTCAGATGGTGAGTGGGCCGCTTACAATAGGCGTGACGTTCCAATGGCCCTGTGGTGCCTGCTCTTCTCGGATACCAAAAACCAGCAAACCCACCATAGCCAGCAAGAACCCGGCATAGCTCAGCCACAACCTGTACTCCGGCTGCGGCCTCTTGCCAATCTGCTTTGCGCGGCGGTTCATCCAGAGATCGCTGAGTCTGCCGCCGAGTTGCTCGCCAATGAGCGACCCAATGATGATGCCTAGAAATTGCAGACCGATCTCTTGTGCGTTGAAGCCAAACTTTGGTACGAACAGCTGCGGGATCTCTACCGTCAAGAGAACACTGCAGAATCCGAAGACGATGGTGTAAGCGACTGTCGGCACGAACACGGAAGCATACTTGAACAGGACGAAAGGCTGCACAAACTCCCACGCGCTGAAAGGGTTCGGGTCCAGACGGCCAAACGTCAAGTACTCTTGTTTAAACGCAGAGCCTTGATGATGTACACCTTGGCGCACGTAGCGAGTCTCTGGTCCGAGGAACAGGTAAGCGATGAATTGGACGCCGTTGATCTATCTGTGGGTCAGCAAGCGTTTGGAGTCTGATGTACTAGGTTCCTCTCACTATGGCCATCACCCAGTAGATCCACCTGTAGTTACCCGTCTGTTGGGCCACAAAGCCCATGATAAACGGGCCCCCGGGTGGGCCAAGGGTCACCATCAGCGTCCAGATACCCATGTAGTTGCCGCGCTGGCTCTTGAAAAAGGTCTCCGTCACGACACCACTGCCAATGGCAATAGCCGGGCTGATGAAAAACGAGCAGAAAGCGCGGCACACGCACATCGCAGTGTACGTGTGGCTAAGCGCACAGCCGACGTTGAACAGGAGGGCACCGATGGTGCTAATGAGCCAGATTGGCCGGCGCCCATAGCGGTTTGATAAAGGCTTCCAGAGGAGTGGCGCAAAACCTAGGACTGCGATCTGGAGACTGGTCAGGTAAGAGGCCTGTTGAATGGTGACGCCAAGGTCAAGGCTGATGTTCTCGTAGGCTGGGATAATGGCAGCGGCGATGAAGGTTGTCATCATGGCGTGGAAGGCTACACAGATGAGATTGGCAAGTTTCTTCCACTCAGGCCAATTGTAAGGGTCAGCCGGATCTGCAGAGGGTAAAGGTGAAAGTTCAAGTGTGCCATGGCGTTGCATGAGATAGTCTCGGTGCTCTTGTGAGAGGTGAGCCGCGGCGCCAGTGGGGATGTAGGTCGCTCGCGGTCCAAGTTCGAGATCTGAGCCATTGGGATTGTCCTCTTTCGCCGGCTCGACTGTGTCCAGTCTTTCCAGATTTGGAGCGGCAGCGAAGTCATGTCGCGCCGACTCGTCTTCGTACTTTTCTGCCATGCTGTGCTTTACCCTGCAATATCCGGTGAACTCTACTTCGGAAATGGAATAAATTGCAGGCTGCTGGTCGAGAAATGATTATGAGAGCAAGCGGGTAGAGAACGAGAAAACAGGACAGCGAAACAAAAGACTCAAGTGTAGTCGACACTCCCACACCGACAAGGATGAGCGCTACGCTCCAGTGTAGTACCGACGCTTATACATACTACACCACGTGCATTGATGATCCTCCCCACATAGCGAGGGGAATCCGTGGTGCTCCGCAGGCATCACTGGGGTGCTCTCCATACTCAATAGTGCCGTCTTCACGAACCGTCGGATTGATTGGGGATACGGCCGGGTTACTGGTGGATCATGGGCCTTCCATATCTACGACGGTGGAGCATGGGTGGAGCGTCATAAAACCAGCCAGTGAGCCATGGATCGTCCCCACAAGCGGCCGGTCGCGCGTGTCATCACCAGAAAAAATGGCAGGCAAACAATTACAAGCGACAAGCTTCGTAGTGAGGAAACCCAGCGTCGATCGTACGTCAAACCATGCTCATCGGCCGCCAGCCGCATGTACTTTTTCGAAGTACTTGTGTCGGAGTGAAGCGTAATTTTTCCCGCCTGTAACTATCAATCGGAGCGCCAAGAAGTGAGGTTGAGACAGTGGCGCAAGCCAACGCTGTCTGACAGCCGAGAGCGGGCTTGATGCAGTTAGGGTTGACACTTCACGTGCTCGGAGTGGGTCGTCAAGCACGACAAGCTTTTCTGCGGCTCTGCGAAACGGCATATCAAGCATCTGGCGGCGAAAGGTGCCGACATTGTTCCTGCAAATTGGGCCGAGGGCACCGGTTGTTGTTAACCGTGACCTGCTTGTTCGGTCACGGAGAGGTGCAGACGGCACTTGAATGGGGTTCAGCCAGCTCGATGATTACTGCGCGTGTCCTCGACTGCTCCGCTGATTTAGGCAGCCTTGAGAGGCCCGATGTTCAGTTTCAGTCTATGATACAGCAGTTTCGTTCGACGTACGGACAGTAATCGTTTGAATACGAAATATGTACATTTCAAACAACATCACAACCATTCCTTGCCACTATGGCGAAATCCGCCGTGGTGATGGCCCTAGCCTCTACAAAACAGCTCGCCGTGCCTGAGCATCTGGCGGTGTATACGCCGCCCAATGCTACGCTTCAGCAGTCAACGTGAACGCTCAAATCAAAGCAATCGTAAAACGACCGGCGCCGTAGGACTTCTACGCTTGGAACATGCGAGGGTGATGTCCTGGTGGACCACCTGGTCGCGTTGTTGTTGTGGTCTTGGACGACGTTGATGAAGTCTTGCTCGATGTCGAAGTCGTCGAGGTTACACTAGGCGTGCTCGTGCTGACAGTATTTGACACCGCCTTGCCTACGGTGCTGAGTGTAACGACTTGGCTCGCTGCTGTGCTTGCCGTCGCCGTTGATGTCGCGAAACCGTAGCCGGAACTGACAATGGCTGCAGTGGTGCTCGCCACGGCAGTCGCCATAGCATTGGTGGACTGCGCTGTTGCGTAATACGCGGTCTCTGCAGCAGCCAGGGCGGAGAATGCAGAGTAGGCACCAAGGTTTGCAAGGGATACCACGGCGCTGCTCACGGCAGCTGGCGCAAAAGCTGCGTCGCTATAGTCTTGCGCTGCAAACTGCGGGTTCATTGGATCCGCGAAGTCAGTGGTTTGGTTGTAGCCGAGCGCTTGCAAGTAAGTGACATTGAAAGCGTCCATCATGGTGTTGTCTTCGTGAATCAAGTTGTGGCAATGGAACATGTAGACGCCGTTCTCGGGTCCGAAGAAGGCAAGGACGCGTACCACCTCTCCAGGTTCGAGCAGAACGACGTCTTTCAAACCCGCCGCCTCGTAGGGCAGGACGCCTCGCGAGCCGCCAGTCCTGCTAATGATCTGCATGTTGACAAGGTGTACATGAACGGGATGCACGGCCGGGCCACCAGTGTGGCGGAGTTCCCAAAGTTGTGTCGAACCCTGCTGCGGCTTTGCCAAGATACGGTTGTTAACGTTGGAGAAATCGATGCCGTTGATGGTCCAAACGCTGTCGCCACCCATCTGGAAGTTGAAGGTGTGATCGACAGTCGTACGTGGTGTTGGCCATTCAATGTTGGCGTTCAACACCGACGGAACGGCTCCATTGTTGCTGCTATCACTGACGCGGTTACCGACAACGAATCGCATGACTTTGTTTGTGTTGTCGTATTCTTGGATCTGGCCCTGTTGCAGGTTGTTGCCGAGTGTAATGTTCTTGCCAGCGTAGCTGGAGAAGTCGACAACCACCTCGTAGCGCTCACCCATTGCGATCAAGAGGTTGTTCGTCGAGACAGGAGCGCCGAACAAACCGGAGTCGGAGCCAATAACCTGGAAAGGGATCCAGTTGCCGCTTGGGTCCGCGAAGTAAAGATCATATGGCCTACTGAGCGACATGTCGAAGAACCTCAGACGGTACTTGCGCGGTTCGACTGCAAGGTACGGCCATGGTTGGTCGTTAACGTGAATAACGTCACCGAAGAAGTTGATTGGGTTGCCGTTAGGCGAGGCAAGGTCACCATTGGACTGATACCTCTTGTCGCTAAGCGCAAGCGCTACGTCGTAGTCGCCACTCGGCAGGCCAAGGGCATCTTCTGCTGAGTCGGTGATGATGTAGACACCAGCTTGGCCATAGTAAGCATCAGTTGCAGTGTGGCCATCAGCGTGGTCGTGGTACCAAATCGGTCGTGCAGTTTCGGAGTTTGGGTAGTAGTAATCCTTCCACTGCCCCACTTGCATCTCATCGCTTGCCCAGCCGTCCCATACTGAATGGGTGTAAGAACCGTGAAGATGGACTGCTGCTGACAGTTCGCCTCGGTTCAGGTAACGGATAATCGTTTCGGTGCCTCTGGGGATCTTGAAGGTCGGGCCAGGTGCGGTGCCATTGTAGCCCGTCAGATGTGCTGGTCCTAGATTAGGGTAGACTTGTTGTGTGAAAGGCTCGATCGTGACTGAATAATATTGTACTGTTCGTCCATTGACGTTTACCGTCCTGTCGGTATGTCAGCTAGATCGCAGCGCAAATATCAGATCGAACATACAACTCCGGTTCTGCGACGGGACCAATGGGTAGCGGCATCTGGAACATGTAGTTGTATGCTGGACTGCCAGCCGACTGTCCTGCTCCTCTCCATGGCCCTTGTTGTGCGCTGACTTGTGAGAATGCTGCCAGGCCAAGAGCCAGCAGGTTTAAAGCGAATGCCATATTAAACTCGTGAAAACACCCAGAAACCGAGAGACGCAAAAGAATGGAAAACGTTTAGCGAGCGTATAGCAATATAGCACCCAGAAATGTATTCGATCAGCGATTGAAAAGAAGACGACAATGTATGATGAATTGAGGGTCCGAAACAAGCGAGAGTTGGATGGTTACAGGCTGGACAAACCGGCTCCTATTCACCGTCTGATCCGCGAAGGAATGATATATCAGGGTGGGCCATGGCGCCATGGACGAAGCATGACTGCGCGAGCCACAGCCAGCACTTGCCATCCAGGTCAGCCGCGACGTATCCGGGTCTTCGGAAGCGTTGCGCCTCCGTATCTTGCGGCTCTATGCATGAATGAGGAAACAGTTGTGCAAGGCGGAGCTTTCCTGGGCTCTTCGCTAGACCGCACCGCCTCTCAGTAGTCAGCCCGCATTAGTCCACATCCTTCTGAGGTGACGCTGAAAATGGAACGCTAAGACCTGCAAAGTCGGACAGGGATCATGTGCGAGCCAGTGCGCTTGGAACACGCGAAAACGGTTAGAGCCGCTGTAGCTAGAGGAAATTGCTTGGCTGACAGGCCACATCGCGCAGCTGAGAGACGCCAGAATGTATTCTAAGAGCACGCGACCTGCTGCGCAATACTGTACAATTGTTCGCAGCACCGTATCGCAACCTGCGAATCTGCGTCTTCGACCTTTGTTGTACCTTACCGGAATGCGTGAGCGACTAGTCTCGCACCTCGACAGTACGCGGGTGGCAAGCGACCGAGTGTCCGATCCAAGGCGTGTGTCTGTGCTGAACAAGACTCCAACGGGGGAAGTCACAGGCAGCTACCGAGATGGTGACGCCGACGAGATGGGCGCGACAAGCTTTGTAGCCCCGTTCTAGCTTCATCGTCGCTGATTTCACCGTCATGGTAGCGAAACGGGCGCTGTTAGATCCTCACCCTGAGAGGGACAGTGTCTGTTGTGGGTCTAGACCGGTCCGCCCTGAGCCTCATTCAGTAGCGATGCTGCGTTGCTACTGCTCTGCTGCTGCTGGTCACAGAAGACATCTAGTTCAAGTCCCCTTCAGACAAACTGTCATAAACGAACGATCGTGCACGGCGTAACACGGTCAGCCCGTCTGCTCACCGTGGCGTCTCACAGCTGAGATGGACGTGATCAGACCGCCCGGTTCGCACACAGTCTCTCGCCCGTTGTCAGCGAACAAACGCGGCTGGACTCTCTCGGTGCCGACCTGCTTTGACAGCGTTCATTGGCCGAAAGTGATTAACTGGGAGCAAAGTCTACTACCGATCGATCGACTGATACATCTTCGTCATTCTGTGCGAGGCACGGAAGTCTGACGCCAAGATCGTCAGCCGCTCGCTATTGCACGCAGTTCACTCACGGTAGTTTGTTGTCTGCATATACTGCCGTGGTACCAAGCCGTTCGCTCTATTGCCAAGTGCGTAGTGCCGCCTACGTCGAGAAGTTCGAGCCCGTGAAAGAATCGAAGATTGACGTCCATTTGCTCCATCGGGCAATTCGCCACCTCGGAGAGATGTTAGCCTTTGTACCAAGCCTTCGAGCCAAGAGGTCGTTCTGCTAAGAACCAACGTCTCCCAAACAGTTCACACGCGGTTGATCGGTTACCGGCAATGTTCGCATCGAATGTAGTAATCGAGACAGCGATGTCGACCATTGCGACACGTCAATATCGCAGCCAGCAAAAGTGACGCCACGATTTGGACATCCATGAATCTCCGAACTACGAGTTCTTGGCCCCACTGGTCAAGATCTTCGGCATCCCCAACGGCGTACCAAGTATTGCAAGGCTTCTTCGATTCCACAACTTCTCTGTACATTATGCATGTCTCATATCGATTGTACCGACCGCGAACCAATCGGTTGACTGACGGCTGTTTAGCAATCCCACTTTCTTCGCGCGACACGAGGTGTTCGAAAATACAAGGCTGAGTTGCGTGGGCGCAACGCTCAAACGGGACAGCCAAGAAGATGGCCTTACTGCAAGCCAAGGAAATACGACCTCGCGTGGCCTGCCACGCAAAACTAGACTTTAGTGGATTTCGCGTACTGCTGACACAACCATAGGGCATGTGGTCACGCGGCTCCGGCTCGCTTATTCAAGACTATTGATGCGTTCCGCACTCGACAGGGCAGTCACCGTCGAGTCTCGGCGGAAGTGCATCGCTAACTGCCATGCCAATGCCTTTTACCGAACTCACCGCCTCCGGGACCTAGTACTAGGACCAAGAACTACGCCTTTCAGGCCCGCGGCGAAGTCCACGCGACGAGCTTCTGATCAAAGCCGCCGCTCAGCATGACCTCCTCTACGTTCACGCTGCCTGCCCACAAACATCGCACTTTACTTCCTGCTTCATGCCCCTTCAACGTGGATATTACCTTACCCGTACTTGCCTCGATCCCACGCACTGCGCCATCATCACCGTTCACCCATACTCCGCTACCATCCGGTCTCCAAGCCACGGCTGGTGTAGAGTAAGCGGTTTGTGGCGCCATGGTAGTGCAGTGTATCTGGATAGCAGCTGCCTCGCGATCAGCGATGACCAGTGCGGCCCGGGCTTGCGAGGCTTGAGTATCAGTCGCTGGGCTGTCATCCAGCAACGATGTCCTGAGCGATTGAGGTGCCGTGGTCGTGTCTGAGGGCTGCTGATCGTACGGCGGTACTAGGAGGCGTACGAGTAGCAACTTCATGTGCGGTACGGATGAGGTACCCACTGCTAACAAAGTTGGGTCAGTCGGACAAAGCGCAAGTGCAGATGGCGTAAATGCAACCCAGGCATTGCTATGTGGTGCTAAATTCTGTCTACCGAGCAGTCGTGGCTCGCTCTCGCAGGTGTAATAGTATAGGAAACTTGAGTCCGTCCTGCTGAGCAGCAAGATCGGCAACCTCGCAATCGGATGCTGAATGAGAGCTATAGCCTCCGGCTTGGTCTGAAGCGTGATCGTTGCGATTGGCTCACCGAGAACCATACCGCGGTCAGACACAGTTGGTCTGTAAATGACAATCTTACAGTCCCATCCTGCCGTTGCAAGGAGAGGTTCGTCGCTTTCATCGTACATTGCGATCCTCACGATATACTTTGAGTGATCGCGGCGCCTCTCGGTTGGCCTCCCGTCCAGATCGCTAACCAGCAGTTGACCAGACATGGATGCCGTGAGCAGATGTTCGTGTCGAAACACGCATACCGACAAGACCGGGGAATCCTGAAGGCCAACAAGCGATGTCTGGATGGTCCTTGTCTTTGCGTCCAATAGATGAAGTCTCCTGTCGGCCGTGGTAACAAACATGACCGCCATTGATTCTTGATGAGATGCCATCCTGACACTGTGCACTGCTACACTAAGAATGTTGGAGCTGCTTGGTAGATCATCAACGATGGCTGCCGTCTCGGGCGCTGTTGGCAGTCAGTAAGTTCTGCAACCGCGACATTCCATGCTGGGTGTAGAAGTCTGTACCAGGCACTTTCCATCCCCTCTCGCCGCCATCGTGCACACCAAGTTTTTCAAACCTGACGCTCACATCGAACGTCTTCTTCTCCTCCAACAGCGTCTCGAGCGTCAAGTCTCCCTTCGAGATAACTCCGGCATCGGGTGGTAAGCCGGCCTCAGAGATGAACGCAGCGTAAGACTATATGATCGTCTTAGCATGGGTATTAGCGGCGACATGAGGACAAGCTCAGACCGCATGGGACATACTTCGGTGTAATTGTTCGCTTTCAAGAACCGGGCGACGATGATGGCTGGAGAGTCGGTCGCCGGCATCTTGAGTAGGTGTGCTCCGCGGGGTTTATTGTCGTGGCGTTGGTATCAGCTCGCACGCTTATCTCGGGGTGATGGATGAAACTAAGGTGGCGAAGAATTGATGCCAAGCCAAGTCAAGCGAATCCGGAAGTCACAGCGAGGCTACAATGTCCAGAGGATACACGTGGAACTAAACTGCTATTGTGTCCACAGTATACTGACTTACGGTGTCACGTTGTAAGCGGACACACTTCGTGAAAGACGGATTACACTGGCGTCCTTGGTCTCGCATGCAGTCAGAGGAGCATGAGCGATAGTCAATCAGTTCATTTCTAATTTCACACAACCACGCATTAGGCATACGCTCCCGCGAACAAATCCTGATATGTTCGTACGTAAATTAGTCAATTGGCACTACAAGGCTCTGTAGCTCGGGCAACCGAGCAGCACTACATGTCCAAAATACAATGGCTTCATTCGAGCGGTTGCTTCTCCCTCGCACCGCAGGATGATAGCAACCACCGTTCTACCCTCATCCTCCTGCACGGTCGTGGTAAGCGGAGCGAAAGTTCGTCCTAGCGCATTTCCCGCGGCATAGCTGACCTTCTTGCCCATTAATACCAGGCAGCAACGCCGAAGAGTTCGCTCGGGAGTTCCTAGAAACGCAAGATTCGTATGGCCAGTTCTTGTACCAGCTGTTACCGGAGACCAAGGTCGTCTTCCCCGAAGCCAACGTTCTACCCTCCGAGCAGATGGGAATCGGTCTCCACCAGTGGTTCGACATGTATTCGACCGCCAACCCTCACGAGCACGAGAACGAGCAACTCAGTGCGCTACTAGGGTCAGCCAACCGCATTGTTTCTATCATCCATGAGGAAGCGCGCATAGTTGGCTATCAGCATATCATCCTTGGTGGCATAAGCCAAGGCTGCGCTACGGCCGTTTACGCATTGCTTGGTCTGAACAGGCAGCTAGGTGGCTTTGTTGGGTTTGCAGGCTGGTTGCCACTGCCGGCCTATACTCTCGAACAATATGCGCAGGCCACAGAAGCACTGCACACGCCCGCTTTGCTCGAGCATTGTGATGATGATGCCATCATCGCGATGCGTTATGGCGAGGAACTGCACGTTAATCTCGAAGCTCTAGGTATAAAGGTGGAATGGAAAGCGTACGGAGACGGAGATCATTGGATCAATGAGCCGAAAGGCTTTGAAGACTTCGTAGAATTTGTCAAGACGTGCTTGCATGCCGGTAGCGTAATCCCCAAGCTGGACGGGTAGGCGCCGCGTCTTTCACAACCGCTCAGATGAAGTCGCTCGCCTTTGCCCGCCCAACTCTGCCGCCACCCATGAGGCCTCTTCGACTCGGATGGATGTGGCTCAGATCCTCTTCGGTGTCTCTCCTGACATCTTGCGCGGGGCCCTTACCATTCGGCTTCGGCGGCTCTTCCCGCCGTCTCGATGGTGGCGATCTCGAGCGTGAAACATCAGGACTGCTCGTGTTTCTCCTTCGCTTCCTTGCCGGTTCGTCACGTACAGCCCGGGTCCTGTTTGGTGGCGGCGACGCAGCTCTGGTTCGTGGTGGAGGCGAGCGAGAGTCATACGAGCTAGATGGGCTGCGCGCTCGCTTATGTGGTGGTGGCGAACGGTCTCGGACCCCATTCGTACGTCGGGGTCGAGGAGAAGGCGATTGTGTGAGCATTCTGCCGCGGTCACGGCGCGGTGGCGAAGGTGAACCGGACAGAGGGCGCTTGCCATTGGAGGTGCGCTTGGGCGGAGGTGAGCGGGATGCGGAATACCTGGCGGTCCGGCGAGATGGCGAACGAGAGCGCGAAATGTCGCTATAGCTGTTCTTCCTGTCCCTCCTGATCGGTGGTGAGCGAGATTTATACGGTGGACTTGTCGCCCGCCTACGCGGCGGAGTGCGCGAGCGCGAGTCATAGGACGGACTGCGTACTCGACGTCTGGGCAGGTTTGGCGAACGTGAGATACTGTCAGCTTGGTTGCGGCTCTTGTCAAGCGACCTGGACCTGGTTGGGCTCCTGGAGTCACGAGACGAGTAGCTGCTGTAGCTACTATAGCTTGAAACGCTCTCACTCCTGGCCCTGTCGCTTGGACTCAGACTTCTGGCCGGTAGTGGTGCAGGTGCCGGCTTCGGCATATTCCTGAGCCACTCACGCATGCCTTCGGTAAGCTGACCCATGCCGATCGCAGTGAAGAAGTTGATGCTGAAGCGAGTATCCTTCGGGTTGTCCGTCGGAAACATGCCAGCGAGTGCGGCTTGCAGCTCTTCGCTCGTGAGCTTGGCGACCAGCGACTTCATGCCCAAGCCTTGCGCAAGATCCTCGATCAATATCTTTATGAAGATGCGAGATGAGGATGTTGTGTCTTCTTCGTTGAGGTGAACGACGTTTAAAATCTGCCAGCTGATAGCGTCGGTTGTCAAAAGATGACCGAAGAATTGGGCGATAATCCGCAACCGATTCGTCTCGTATCGATGAATTGTGTCGTAATACTTTGCAAACATCTGCTCGAATAAGTCTTTCCACATTCGATTAAGCTTGCTGAAGCGCTCCCCAATCAGGCCAAAGAATTTGTTGTATGTTCGCTCTTGGGAGCAACACTCGATGATCATGCTGGGAAGCTCTTCCTCACGGCCAGATGGGAGATTGATACGCATCAGCTTGTGGCAAGCTTCTTCGAACCCGCCGGAAGACATGATCGTCAGGTAGATTGAACGTCGCAGGTTGACAAGGTCCGTATTCGATTGGTCCTTAATCTCCATCACCTTCTCCGCTTCGTTCTCTTCATCGCTGCTCTCCTCTTCCGCATCATCATCCCCTTCGTCTTCGCTGCCAGAGGCTTCACCCAGAATCTCCGCTTTGAGCTTCTTGTACGCCTCCTCGTTCGCCTCATATTCCGGATCGAACTTGAAGACATTTAGGCCGTCCTCGGTACCCAAATGGTCGTCCAAACCGGGTCTGTGAGTGATTTGGTCTTCCTCTTCTACCAAGTCAAGCTCCTCCTTGACCGCCTGATGGTCCTTGTACTTGTCCTTCCGGATCTGAAACAGCACTTCAATCATGTACTGCACACGCTTGTCGATGTCGGCTTCATGCAGAATGCTCCTGAACTGATCGTACACCGCAAGTGCAATTTGCGAGTTCATTTCTTCAATGTGTTGGCCAACCTCCTTCATCAAGCCTACCGCAATCTCCACGCTGTCGTCTGTTGGCTTGTGCAATAGCAGAAGTAGTATCTGGGCTGCCAACATCTCATGCGCAACTTGCTGGTTGATCAAGTGCGCAATGAATGTCGTCGCTGAATGACAGACGCTCTTGTCATTGCGTTTGTACGCCTTCCGGAACTGTATGATCAAGCGATGAATAAGTAGCTCGCCAACTTGCGGTAGCTTCGTGTTAACGATCGCGACCATTGCAGCCAAGATTGGCGTAAACGGCAAGCTTGCTGCCTGCGCCTTCATTATGCTCCTGCAGAACAACCCTCGACCACGGATCAAATTCTCGTTGAACAGTTCCGGCACAATGTCTTTTACGTTGCTGACGTTGACCTTGTTGATTAGACCGTGGATGCTCTTCTTCAGCGCCTCCCATGCCATACGCTGGTACTCCTTCGACGTCTTGTCCGTGATTTGCGCCTGCAGAGCCTTGAGCCTGGCGGGTGGTATGTATGTCCCGCCGGACCGCATAGTGAGCAGCTTTTCATACTCCGTCTTCGCCGCCGCCTGCTTTTCCGCCTCAGTAAGTGGCTTCGTAGGCTCGGCTTCCTGGCGCTGTCGCATCTCCAACTGTCGTTGCCGCTCCACGGCACGTGACCGATCTACGTCGCGCGGGAGAGGTCCATTACGGCGTGGTGGAGATCGTGAGTATGATCGTCGGCGTGGTGTCGGTGACCGGGACGTCTGCATGCGTTTCCGTGGCGGCGGACTCTCTGGTATTTCCGCAGCAAGCGCTGCATCGCCAGGCTGCGGAGATGGTAGGCGCACAGCCGACCTCATAACCTCCGCCATGGCAATAGCCGACTATTGCGCGCCGTTGGTCAGACTCTGACCGCCCACCGGAAGATGTCGATTTTGTTAGGATGGAGAAGTGTCTCGTGAGGATTGCGTAGCATGGCGTAGAGGCAGTGAATTTGGAAAGAGTCATGCGCAAACGGCACGGACCGTGCCCGAGTCATGATCAACTTACTGCATACTGTATATATGGATAAAAGAACGCACAATGTTACCACGTCGAGCAGAGTAACCCCAACTGGTGGCCAAGCATTTATATGAGAGCGGTTTTGCGACGAGTGCACTCCATGAATCGGCCTCGCAACCGTCAGCCGCGGCCACCGCGCGACAACAATGTCCGAGCCAGCGCCGGCCAGGGATCGCAATCCGCCTTTGGGAATGTACCAAGCGTTGCGCAAGTGGTACGGGGCGCCGCAGTCTCGATCGTACTAAAGGCAGATCAGCCCACCGGGCGTGAAGTTCAAGGTGTAGTACAGGATCTTCTCACACGTGGAAACCACCCACGAGGAATCAAAGTGCGTCTCCAAGATGGTCGCATAGGCAGGGTGCAACGGATGGCCAACGCTGCACAAGTGGTCAACTCTCATGGTCTCACACCGATGGGCGAAAGACTCAATCACGCCTTAGAGCACTTAGAGCCGGACCCATATCGTTCCGTGCACGGCGATGTTTCTGGTCGTCCACCGCGTATATTGCGTATGGAGAAGGACGCTAGGGTTCTCGACGCTGAATTTCCATCTGAACCCCCAGCCAGGTCGCTGGCTGCCTATTTTCCAGACAGTGACGATGGGGGAGCCACCGTGTCGCAATCCGTAACCGCTACATGTCCGATATGTGGCAACTTTGAAGGAGATGAAGTTGCTGTTAGCCGCCATGTGGACACGCATGTTACTTGATAGGAATCGGACTTGTGCACGCTACGAGGTGTATTATGCAGTCTCTACACAAGCAGAGGAGCGCGCTGTCGCTGTGTGACCGTGCTTCGCGCCACGTCGATTCCAGGCATTCTCGCAGGACAGCCCCTTGAAGATCTTGCTTAGCATGCATGAGTTCGACTGCGCTGAAGACTGCCATCTCAAAGCAATAGCTGGCAATGGCAGACAGTCTCAGTGTCAAGATCATTGCCAAATCTCTGCGCATCGGCGCTGTCATCTTAACGACAGTATACAATCACTCTAGAACCATTGCCAAAGGTAACGATGATAAGAAGACAGTGAGTGCGGGTCACCCGCTATGCAAGGTTGGCTGAGCTCTACGAAATGTAGTGCAGAACGAACCTTGTCCAAGCTCCATGAGTGGAGTTTTCCCACCGTCAACAACTTATCGGTAATAGTAACACCGGAGGAACAACGGAGGCCAGCATGACTCTGCTGGTGATCTTGCGCATGCTTTCATCACCCAAACACTCTGGATCGCCACAGGGTATCGTGGAACATTGTCACCCATGCGGTTGCCAGCACTAATCGCAGTGCCCGGCTACTACATGGCAAAAGGGTGCAGAAGGACCTCCTAGGGGTCTAAGCCTTGCGCTATTTGGGAGGAAGCCATCTCGGACATTGTGGTGTTGTCGAAAAGGGACATCATAGCCATCATGGTCACCTTATCCGACTGAAACGCCTCTCATATGCAAGATGACAGCTTATGTGCGGCACAGTTGGCAGAGTCGTTGTGTAACATGGTGTTAATTATTCGTACATAGGGCCATGAATCAGTATTTTCAGTGTTTACTTCTTGGTAGTCCAATAACAAGTCTGTCGTCGTCTTGGCAAAGAATGTGAGTTCCAAACAGTCATGCTTTGTAGTCACGCTCCGTAGTCATGACATCTGTAGATGTACGGGCCTGATACTGCTGATATCGCTCTGCGCTCGGGCCAGCTTGCGTCACTGGCGGGAAAAGGCAAGCTCTCAGGCCGAGCTTCAACGCAACTCCGGTACAACAGCTAACTACTCCACTCCCATTGACCCCCAGTGACTCCCACCACAACCCCTCCACCCACCTCCACATCTGCCTACTCCCAAACACCCTCCCCCACCACCACCGCAACCATGTCCCAACCCCACAGCATGACCGACGACCAAGTCGCGACCGAACTGCGCAAGATGACGGCCTTCATCCGACAAGAAGCGCTGGAGAAAGCGCGCGAGATCCACCTCAAAGCCGACGAGGAATTCTCCATCGAAAAGTCCAAACTCGTGCGCACGGAAACCTCGCGCATCGACGCCGACTACGCCAAGCGCCACACCCAGGCCGGCATGTCGCAGCAGATTGCCAAATCCACTCTCGCCAACAAAGTCCGGCTGCGGGTGCTCGGGGCGAAGCAGGAGATGTTGAATGACCTTTTCGAGCAAGCGGGGAAGAAGTTGAAGGAGGGGAAGCAGGCGAAGGAGGAAGGGGTGCTGAAGGGATTGGTGTTGGAGGGCTTGTACGCGCTGAATGAGAAGAAAGTGGTGGTGAGGTGTCGGAAGCAGGATGTGGAGGTTGTGGGCAAGGCGGTGGAGGCGGCGAGGGGGGAGTACAAGGAGAAGATGGGCGGGAGGGAGGTGGAGGTTGTGATTGATGAGAAGGAGCGGTTGCCGGAGGATTCGTATGGAATTCCCCCCAATATCTTTCCTCTTTTCAGCTGCCACGATGGGTGGTGGGTTGGATCACTGACTAACATGACTGCAGAGCCGGCGGCGTCTCAATCCTAAACGGCACCGGCAAAATCGACATCAACAACACCTTTGACGAGCGCCTCAAACTGCTCGAAACCGACGCCTTACCCAGCGTCCGAACGACGCTGTTTGGCGAGAACAAGAATCGCAAGTTCAAGGACTAACCCACCAACCACTCCAACCCAACCAATCGATCGAGCGTCCTTTGGTGTCTGTCCTCTTCGCATTCTGTTCAGTTTGCACGTGAGCGTACTGTTGCGCGCAGCTTGTGGAAGCTGGGCATTTGTAGATATGGGATTTTGTTTGCACCTGCGCGGGAGTTTGTTGCGGCGGGAGAAGCTATCTAGAGTACAGCCAAGCGTACGAGCTTTACGAGCCTCCATGCTACAGCCGCACGTCGTCGTCCAGTTGACTCCCGGATGCCTTTGGTGACTGTACACGCACCTGACCCGTCACCGTTTCGTTTGCCATGTCGTTCGGCACATCGCCTTCATACGGCGCAGCGCCTTCCACCACACCCGCTGACCCATCATCTCCGGCATGGAAGACTCGACTCGGCCGTGCATCTACGTCGTCATCCTCCGCTGCAACGACCTCCTCGCCCTCCCCCGCGAGTTTACCCTCGTCTATGACATTCACCCCCTCCCCGACCGCATCCAGATCACCCTTACCAAGATGCCGAACAAACCCCTCCATCGCCCCCTTCTCCCTCTCCCTCTCCCTCCCACCAGCGAAAACCCCCCTCCTCACCTTTAATTTCGTCCTAACACAACACTCCAATCGAATGACCACCCGCTCAATCGCCGCCTTACACTCCGTCCGCGCCAAATGCGTGGCGCCCGCGTCTTTGATCCGGGCAGCGAGGGACCTGAGGGCGGTGGTTATGGCGTCGATTTGCCGATTGAAGGATACTTCTATTTCTCCATTGGCATTGGATGGGGCGCATCGGGTTGAGGGTGTAGAGGGTGCTAACGCTGCCGACACCGGTGGCAGTGCCGAGTCGGATTGCAATGAGAGCTTGGATGGCGGTGGGGTGGTGGAAGACGTGAAGCCGGCGTCTATAGCGATATCTAGGACTTCCGTCAGGGAGTGCAGGAGGGCGTAATTTGTTGACTCCGAGATTAGAAAGTCCGGGTCGTTTTGCAGCGTCTTCAGTATGCGTTTGGCCCAAATGGGATGCGCACAATTCAACTCCTCCTTCTCCTTCTGTTTCTTGTGCTTATCCCACTTAGTGACACACCACAACGCCAACTTCCTCCTCACCTCCCGCGCCGTCGTTGTGGTGGCGGGTAAGGAGGTGATGAAGCGGCATTGGAGTAAGCGGGTCAACCCGTCTAAGCATTGTATCGCATGCGCGACGATTGAGGCCATGTAAGCGCTATCGTTGGTGGACTCTTCGAGGAGACTCCCGATGGCGCCCGCGATAGCTAAGCGGAGGTGTATGGTTTTCGTGACGTGGTGGTCGATGTTTAGGAGTGCTAGGTCCGTGAATGATGAAGGAGACGGGTTGGTGAGTTGCACGGCGCGGATGGCGTGGCGTAGGCCGGGGGGTAGATCCTTCGCTGGTCGTGGTCCACGCAAAGCAGGTGTAGACGCGCCCGTGTCGTGCTGTGCGAGGCGAGCTTGGCCAATCGAGGTGATACGAAACAACTCCCTCAGATCCGCAACTTCGCCTGCCGTTGACCTCCCAGATGCTGCATCACCCTCGATAATCCCAAGGTAAGCTTCACAAAGCTCCTCCCTCGATTCATGCACCAGCTGATGAATGAACCACCGAACAACTTTCCCCGGCAGCACGCCTTTCGCAGCAACATCCGCGACAAATCCAGTCAGACACGCCTGCCTCCTCGCCCTGTCATCCCTCAACAACCCCACCCATGGCGCATCCGGCAGCGCCGCGATCGGGAACGGCTCATCCGTCACCCTTACCCCAGGGTCGGTGAAGAAATGGAACCTCGTCTCATCCCTCCACGCCTCCGTGCGAGCCATAGCCTGCATCATCCTCTCCCCTCCCTCCGCATCGTCCGTCATCGCCAGCCCTCTCGATTCCACATCCTTACCACCCTCCGCAGCGATCCTGTCCTGCCGTTCTTTCTCAGCAGCCGCAACAGCGGCCTCCGCCCGCTCAACCCTCGCATCCAACTGCGCCCGCTTCTTCTGCTCGCGCACCATATGCGCCAGACTGTGCTTGTAGTCCATTGTCCGCGGCGGGGTGGACAGACAAGTACGTGGAGTATTGCTATTTCCACCCTGATCCAACAACCTCACGCACTTCCTCTTTCCCCCCGTTTTGACGTTGACGACGGTATCTGGCACGTCAATCGCATGGTCGGCACCTACGCCTGTCGGAGGGGTCATCTTGAGCCTCTTTCGCGCGGGGAGAAGTATGCTCATGTCGGCGAGATCATCGTCGTCGTCATCATCGTTGCTGGAGTCGGTGCCGGAGTCGGAGTTGGTGACGGCTTGGAGGCCGGCTTTGATGACGCGGCGGCTGGAGGATTGGGTGCTGGGGGGTACGCTGGTGAGGGTGGAGATTGTGGAGGTGAAGGAGGCGGAGGGCGCGGGAGGGGTGGGTGAGGGTGCTTTTGTAGGTGCTGGAGCGGCAGAAGTGTGTTGAGTGCTTTGGGTAAGTGGTGGTGGAGGTGGAGGTGAGGCTCTGCGCTTGGGTGATGCTGAGGGTATCTCGACGGCGCTCATGGTGCGGCGGATGGAGGGTGTCGGGCTGGAGTGGAAGAGGGAGTCATGGTCGTTGGCATCGTGCAAATGCAAAGAGGGAAGGTGCGACCGGGCTCGCGCCTTCCTAGACTTTCCGGTTGAAGGGACGCTGCTCAAGCTTGATTCACGTGTTGGTGGCAATATGGACGTCTGTTGCGGGGTCCTCCGTTTGCCGGGCGGAAGTGCGTGCTGCCGCTGTGGAGATGAGACATGCTTTGAGGGTGAGGGTGAACACTGCTTCGGCGCAGACTGTACATGTCGCTTGCGGAGAGGTGCAACAATGATCTCATCTTCTTCGCTGCTACCCCGCGGCACACGCTCTTTGGGGACGATGAATGGTTTGAAGAAGTCTGTTATAGCCCTGCCCTGCGCCTTCCTCATCCCATACAGTGGTCCTCTCGAATGCGTCCGTTCATCGATACAGCAAGCTTGCACGCGGAGAACCACATGCATTTACTATATGCGAGTCGCGTCGCGGCGCGCTTTCCGCCTTATGTCAGCGACACGCTAGAGACACAGTCACGGGAAGCAATGGATTGATCTTGGAACGTTATGGGCTGCCAAGGCCTGCTTACGAAGACCCAAGCAGCGGGTCGTTGCGACTATCGAACACAAAAGTCCGTCAGCTTAGCCCAAGTACTCGGCGCTGAGCCTGGGCATTTGTTCGAGGGGGGATGCATTGAAAGGCCACCGGCAGACTATTCGGTGTGGTGGCCCACACACCTGTCGTTCTCCTTCACGTGAGGCTATGGAATTTGAGCCATACGAGCAATTTGCACGTCGGGCGGAGTTTGATGGTTCAGCACGGTAAATCCGAAAAGCCCGTCTCTCCTTTGCCTTTGCATGTGCATTTTGCGCATCCTAACGGCGCTTGACGCGGGCGTGGCCGCATGTTTCTGTTGCTTCCGTTACCCGCCCACAACCCCTGCTTTGCACGGCCTCGCATTAAGGGCATGGCTCAGTCAGACGAATGCACATCCGCCCACATCCATCCACATCCACATCCTTCGCTGCCGCGCTGAGGGGGCGGAGTTGTCTCTGCATAGCCGTGACCATTTCCTTACATATCCACAGTACAGTACAGTACATGCAAGATATTGTGGTGGTTGTTATTCTGTATTGTATTTGCATCGTTCCCTGCCCTAACTCGCTCGAGTGAGATCTCGGAATTTTAGCGTGTGTCGGTGGGTACGGCATCTCAAGGTCCCGCACATTAGCCCTGGGCGACAATCCCGCTACCGCTGGCCCATACACTCGTGCATTACCAAGCACAAGCACAAGCACAAGCACAATCCCACAGTCCCGCGAGGGGGCATTACATACGCACAACACAACACAACACATTCACGTCGCAAAGAATACCATCGTGTATAGGGGGACTTACGAGTGACAGTACCTTGACGCGCTCACCCCATGTCGCTCGTTAGAAGGATGAGATAGCGGCTCGCAAATCAGCCCTACCGTCAGCAACACCCGTCTCACGCGGCGCATGCCACACCACCCATCGCCGCCTCGGCCTTGATCAGGCAACACTCACAGGGTTGTGATTCCTGCCATGGCCGTCTCCCCCTACGCCGAGTCCAGCGAGCGCACAAACCCCGTCAAACGCATCCGATGGGCCACCCAACGAGTCACCGGCCGGAAAGGCCTGCAAAAGCGCAAATCCATCTTCAACCGGCACAACGCGCGCCAGAACGGAAGCGAGAAGAAGCGCGAGTCCAACGGCACCGATCCGGAGCTGCAGAAGACGGAGGAGGATGCGCAGAATGGCGAGGCCGGCGAAGAGGGTGAAGGCAGTGCGAGTGGCAACAAGGCCGGTCGCACCATCTACTTCAACGTCCCCTTGCCTTCCTTTGCGCGCGACGAGGATGGCCGACCCCTGCAGCATTACAAGCGCAATAAGATCCGCACGGCCAAGTATACACCCATCAGCTTCATCCCGAAGAATTTGTGGTTTCAGTTCCACAATATCGCCAATGTCTACTTCTTGGCCGTCATTATCTTATCCGTATGTATGACCCAATGCAAGGCGAGGTGTGATACTGACTGACAGCACCGTGCAGGGCTTCTCCATCTTCGGCGCAACCAACCCCGGACTGTCCGCCGTCCCGCTGATCGTCATCATAGTGGTGACAGCCGTCAAGGATGGCATTGAAGATTGGGGCCGCACAGTCCTCGACAATGAACTGAACAATGCGCCCGTGCACCGCTTGATCGACTGGAATAATGTCAACACTGCAGAGGAGAAGATCTCGGCGTGGCGAAAGTTCAAAAAGGCCAACTCCCGCTTCATTCTGTCTGTCTGGCGGAGTTGGAGAGCCTCGAACTCGAAGCGGAAAGCGAAGAAGGAGGCGAAGAAGGGCAAGGGGTATGCGGAGCGGGCGGTGGATGACGAGCCGGTACCGGAAGAGAGTCAGAGGAGGAGGAGTGTGCTGAATGCACGGCTGGATGAAGAAATCGACAACGAGGGTCCGGTGGGGGGAGAAGATGGCGATGTCGAGATGACGCCGGTACCGTCGCCTGTGCCCGGGCAGGAACGGTCGGGAGAGCAGCACATGATTCAAGAAATGAGCAACGAAGCGTCACGATCGGGAGATGCGAAGCAGACGCTTGCCGTACCGCAGAGTGCGCTCGAAAATGGCAAGCCAGCAGACGCACCAGTGTTCAAACGCTTCTACGGCAGCCTCATCGACCCAACAATGGAAGTCCCGGAAACGGCCCGCTTCAAGCGAGACTACTGGAAGAACGTGCAAGTTGGCGACTTCGTCCGCTTATATAACGGGGAGGAAGTGCCAGCCGATATTGTGGTGTTATCCACCAGCGACTCAGACGGACAATGCTACGTGGAGACGAAAAACCTCGACGGCGAAACCAACCTCAAGGTCCGTAACGCCTTACACTCCGGCACCCGCGTCAAGCGCGCCCGCGACTGCGAACGCACAGCCTTCACCCTTGAATCCGAACCCCCTCACGCAAATCTCTACGCCTACTCAGGAGTAGTACGATGGAAACAACGCAACGCCTCCTCCTCCGACGGCTCACTCCGTGACATGGCCGAACCCGTCAGCATCAACAACCTCCTCCTCCGCGGCTGCACGCTGCGAAACACGGAATGGATTGTCGGCGTCGTCGCGTTCACGGGAGAAGAAACGAAAATCATGCTCAACTCCGGCATCACGCCGTCCAAGCGCGCGTACATTTCCAAGGAACTCAATTGGGACGTCATCTACAACTTCATCATCCTCTTCATCATGTGCCTCGTCGCCGGCATCGTGGAAGGAACCACCTGGGCGCGGCTTACGGAGAGCTGGTATTACTTCGAATACGGCAACTACGGCAACTCCCCCGCCACCGACGGCGTCATCACCTTCTGGGCCGCCATCATCTTATTCCAGAATTTGGTCCCCATCTCTCTATACATCAGCCTCGAGATCATCCGCACGGCGCAGGCCTTCTTCATCTACTCCGACACGTACATGTACTACGAGAAGATCGATTACCCCTGCACGCCGAAAAGCTGGAACATTAGCGACGATTTGGGACAGATCGAGTACATCTTCTCCGATAAGACGGGCACGCTGACGCAGAACGTGATGGAGTTTAAGAAGTGCACGATCAATGGTGTTCCGTATGGGGAAGCTTATACGGAAGCGCTGGCGGGCATGCAGAAGAGGCAGGGTGTGGATGTTGAGGAAGAAGGGAGGAAGGCGCGGGAACAGATTGCGGTCGATCGTGTGGCTATGATTCGCGGGATCAGGGCGATGCATGATAACCCTTACCTCCGCGATGATGAGCTCACGTTCGTCGCGCCCGGGTTTGTGGCGGATTTGGGTGGGGAGGCGGGGGAGAAGCAGAAGCGGGCGTGTGAGCAGTTCATGCTTGCCCTCGCGCTGTGTCATACTGTTATCACCGAGCGCACGCCCGGGTCACCGCCGAAGATCGAGTTCAAAGCCCAGTCCCCCGACGAGGCGGCGTTGGTGGCCACGGCGAGGGATGTCGGGTTTACGGTGATGGGACGGAGTAACGATGGGATTATCGTTAATGTCCTCGGCGAGGAACGGGAGTATACGGTGCTTAACACGCTGGAGTTTAACTCGGCGAGGAAGAGGATGAGCGCTGTTATCCGCATGCCGGATGGGAGGATTGTCCTGTTCTGCAAAGGGGCGGATAGTGTGATTTACTCCCGTCTCCGACGCGGCGAGCAGCCGGAGTTGCGAAAGAGCACGGCGGAGCATCTGGAGATGTTTGCTCGTGAGGGACTGAGGACGCTGTGTATCGCCCAACGCGAGCTGGGCGAGGAGGAGTACCAGAAGTGGAATGTTGAGCACGATCTCGCTGCCGCTGCCGTGCAGGATCGGGAGGAGAAGCTCGATGCCGTTTCGGATGCTATTGAGCGGGAACTGACGCTGCTGGGTGGTACGGCGATCGAGGATCGACTGCAAGATGGTGTCCCGGACGCTATCCAGCTTCTCGCGCAGGCGGGGATCAAGTTGTGGGTGCTGACGGGGGATAAGGTGGAGACGGCGATCAATATCGGCTTTTCCTGCAATTTGCTGGATAATGAGATGGATCTCATCGTCTTGAAAGTGGAGAGCGAGAGTCTGGAGGAGGCCGGGGCGGAGTTGGACCGGCAGTTGAAGGTGTTCGGCAAGACGGGGAGTGATGAGGAATTGAAGGCCGCGAAGAAGAACCACGAACCCCCCGCCCCGACGCACGCGCTCGTGATTGACGGGGAGACGCTCAAGCTCGCGCTGCATGAGTCGTTGCGGCAGAAGTTTTTGCTGTTGTGTAAGGAGTGTCGCTCCGTGCTGTGTTGTCGCGTCAGTCCGAGTCAGAAGGCGGCGGTGGTGCAGATGGTGAAGGCGGGGTTGGAGGTCATGACGCTGTCGATTGGCGATGGCGCGAATGATGTTGCTATGATTCAGGAGGCGGATGTGGGGGTGGGCATTGCCGGGGAGGAGGGCAGGCAGGCGGTGATGAGCTCCGATTATGCGATCGGGCAGTTTCGGTTCTTGTGCCGGTTGGTGCTGGTGCATGGCCGGTGGAGTTATCGGCGCATGGCGGAGACGATTGCGAATTTCTTTTATAAGGTGAGTCCTCCTCGATATTGGTGGATGGGGAGAGTGAGTGGGTGGATGGGTTTGAGAAAGAGGGTATGCTGACCATGCGAACGTGATTGTAGAACATCGTCTGGACCTTCGCCCTCTTCTGGTACCAGATCTACACCAACATGGACTGCTCCTATGCCTTCGACTACTCCTACATCCTCCTCTACAACCTGGCCTTCACCTCTCTACCAGTCATCTTCATGGGCATTCTCGACCAGGACGTCGACGACAAAGTCTCCCTCGCCGTGCCCCAACTCTACCGCCGCGGCATCGAGCGCCTCGAGTGGACACAAGTCAAGTTCTGGACGTACATGATCGACGGCCTGTACCAGAGCGTGATATGCTTCTACTTCACTTACCTCATCTTCCAACCCGCTACCTTTAATACCGAGGACGGCAGGACGATCAGCGATTACAAGCGCATGGGCGTGTACATCGGCAACCCGGTCGTGGTGGTGGTGAATATGTACGTGCTGCTGAACACGTACCGCTGGGACTGGTTCATGCTGCTCATCACCGCCATCTCGGTGTTGCTCATCTTCTTCTGGACCGGCGTCTACACTTCGGGAACGTTCGGTTTCACCTTCTACGGCGCCGCGTCGCAAGTTTACGGCGCGCTGAATTTCTGGGCTATGCTCTTACTCACCGTGATATTATGCTTACTGCCCCGCTTCGCGGCGAAGGCGTTTCAGAAGATTTATATGCCCCGCGACGTGGATATCGTGCGCGAGCAGATCCGGCAAGGGAAATTCGAGTACCTCAAGCATGTCGACCCGGAGAAAGTGGGTCCGACGAAACTCGCGCCCAGCGACGGCAGTACGTCGTCGAAGGACGAGTCGGAGACGAGCAAATCGACCGATCCGAAGAAGGGTTCGCATAATTCGGCGATGTCTGAGGATATGCGACCGATATACCCTCCTTCCATTGCTGCGACGGCGGCGACGACTCATAACGCGCGCAGTCAGAATGGCAGTGACGGGACGGATTATACGGGGCATAGGGATAGTCTGGACCGCGCTTTTCCGCACGGCGGTGCTGCTTCGCAAGCACAATCACAATCACAACAGCAGCAATATAATACCGCGCAGACACCCACCATCACGACCACCGACGAGATCGGCGGCACGGGACGACCGAGTATGGATCGTCCCCGGCCGAGTTTCGATCGGTTAAGGACGAGTATGGATCGTACCCGGGCGAGCTTTGAGGCGAGTCGGGATTTCACGAGCGCGGCGTATTTGGCACGGGTGGAGAGTAGTCAGTCGCAAGGGGAGAGAGGAGGAGGAGGAGGGGCGGGGAACAGTCGGTTGAAGGATGTTAGTGCGGATTTGAGACGATAGCGGGAGTAGAGCCTGCCGTTTTTGGGGGTGGTGAGAGGGTGTTTTGTCATGCGTGATGCGTGCGCGCCTGTATTAGATGCTGGGACTGGAACTGGTACTGGTACTGGACTGGATCTGTACATAGCGATTTCTTCGCGGTGCAAAAGGAAAGATTTCCAATCAACGTCACTGTCCCCTCGCGGCGGCTCGCTTGTCAGCATACTGTATTCATACGGCCGTTGCCGCGATCGGGTGGTTTTCTGTATAAGGCACGCCGTTCGGTGACATCCATAGGATGATGGAGGGAAGGAAAAAGACCAAAAGGAAATGCTCTCCATCTGGGAATCGAACCCAGGTCTCCCGCGCTTGACGTGCGAATCACATGACAAGCGGAAATCATGACCACCTGTTGAGAGTATTAGAATAATCGTTCGAACGCAAAGGTTAAGGGGATGACTTTCTAGACCAATGAAGATAAGCGGAGGTGTTAAAGTATTTATCGCACCAAGTATATTATATATCGAGTTTTTTCTAAGCCGAGAATCATCCGCGAAACATACCTCCACGACTCTTCCACCCTATCTAATGGCAAAACAGTGTTCGAACGCAAATGCAATGGGCGGGTCCGCAATCGTATGGTACTACATAGTCGCCACAATTATTGAAGGCGAACCAACTTCTCCCTTTGTTTTTGGAGCGAATACCAGATGCTCCATCAATTCCGCAGAAACGCGAACCAGCGCGTCCCCGCGCGCCTCGTCTCTCGGCTTCCGCTCGCCAATGCTGCCGACAGGAACCGTTGTGGAGTGACCGGATCACACTCGACTCGGTTGTAGACACCCGACCAATAACATGTCGGATGTAACAGCTGCAGTTGTCTGTGGCAGGATCCTCCCAGCTGCGGAAGTCACTTTGCTGCAGTCACCGATCAAAACGTTGTGCATGTTCAGAAGCCGGCGGTGATTGCAGCTCCACAGGCTGGCAGCTGGCTCTTGCTAATCCCTGGCAGCTAATGCAACCACTTCCACGCCAGCGAGACATCCACCAGCCGCCGTGTCGCTTTGTGGTCGGTGTCACGGGAGCCCGTTCAAATTGCTAATACTAACACAATTGCCTACTTGGATCCTGCTGTACTGCATTGCAAGTGTTGACAGTCCATTTTGTTCCGGTACAACTTCCTGGCTTCGAGCCAGCTTAAGCCACCATGAAAGCCGCAGCGTTGCTCGTAGCCTGGCACGATGAGAATGCACCTATTTACTCCGCACACTTCGAACTTCATGGCAAAGGGAGGCTGGCCACTGCGGGAGGTGACCATCATGTGAGGGTACGTCTACTTCACGTCGGCCCGCCCATACCTACCCTCTGCTGACTTCAACCAAGTTATGGCGAGTCGAACCTACTGGCGAAGATCGCAAGGTCACGTACCTGTCAACACTAGCGAAGCACACACAAGCCGTCAATGTTGTACGGTGGTGTCCCAAAGGCGAGCTGTTGGCTTCGGCGGGTGACGATGGCAATGTGCTGCTATGGACGCCGTCAGAGAACCCAGCTCTGCAGTCCAGCTTTGGGGAAGAGGACAGGGGTGACGTTGAGCACTGGCGTGTGAAGACGATGTGTAGGTCGAATACGGGAGCGGAGATATATGATCTGGCATGGTCACCAGATGGCCTGTTCTTCATCACTGGGAGCATGGACAATGTGGCACGCATATACAACGTTTCAAGCGGTGCGTAGACAACATGCATTGTGAGGTCCATCAGCTGACGTTCATAGGCACATGTGTACGGCAAATCGCAGAGCACAATCATTACGTGCAGGGTGTGGCCTGGGACCCGCTCAATGAATATGTAGCGACTCAGTCCTCTGATCGGTCGGTGCACATATACACTCTCAGATCGAAGGATGGCTCGTTCTCACTGGCACAACACAACAAGGTCACAAGGATGGATGTCCCTACCCGCCGCATCTCGTCAAACAGTCCGGCACCTCCGGACTTTACAAGCAATCACCGTGCCTCTCTCGCTCAAGATGGCGTAACGGAAGCAATAGGGTCACCTCGACCATCAGCACCTGGCACGCCACAATCTCTCGCCTTACCAATGAACCCACCACCCACCTCACATAGCCGGAAGTCGTCATTCGGGTCACAGATGGGCCAGTCGATGAGACGCTCAGTCTCGCCGAGCCCGTCAATGCCGTTGCCCGCCGTCATGCCATCTGCTTCCCCTAGCTTGTCTGGCGGACTCAGCTTTGGCACGCGCAACACGAACATCTACGCCAATGAGACATTTACCTCTTTCTTCCGCCGGCTGACGTTTGCTCCGGACGGCAGCTTGCTCTTCACACCTGCAGGCCAGTATAAGAGTTCGCATGCTGCGGCCGCGGACGGCTCGAAAGTGGCAGACGACATCATCAACACTGTGTATATATACACTCGAGGTGGGCTGAACAAGCCTCCTATGGCCTATCTGCCCGGTCACAAGAAGCCCTCGGTAGCCGTAAGATGCTCCCCGATATATTACACATTGCGCGGCGCAAGCACCGAGACCAAGGAGATCACGATCGATTCCGGGACAGAAGAAGATATAGCGCCGTTACCGGAACCAGCTATGCCATCGATGGCACCGCCGACTTCCTTGTCCACTATGGATCCTCCACCTCTTAGCGCACCTTCACCGTCACCCAGCGCAGCAGCCATGGCATCTCCGCGCAGCCACTTTTTGGATGCGGAGCCGACTGCTGGGACGCCAGTACCTCCTCCGCCCGGGCCGGCACCTGCGTTCGGCTTGCCGTACCGCCTCATCTATGCTGTGGCGACGCAAGATGCAGTGTACCTCTACGATACCCAGCAGCAGCGACCAGTCTGCATCGTCAGCAACTTACATTACGCCACCTTCACCGACCTGACATGGTCAACTGATGGCCAAACCCTCCTCATGACCTCATCCGACGGCTTCTGCTCGGCGCTCACATTCGCACCTGGTGAGCTAGGTAACATCTACCAACCACCTGCGACCGCCGCGAGACACACGCCAACCCCGATATCAGTAGCTGTAGCCAACTCGGCAGCTTCAACACCACAAGCAACACCCACAAACGCATCGGCGCCTACCCCGGCGTCATTCATGCCCACTCTCGTCCGCCAACCGTCCTCCCAAAACGGCACACCCGCACCACCCATACCAAACCCAACACCCTCACCCTTTACCTCCGCCCCCCGCCCAGCCTCACCCGCAAGAAGCATGTCAGCCTCAAGCATAGCAACCGAAGCCAGCTTCGCCCGCGCACCCGACCAAAACGCTCCACCCACCATGAACTACCCAACGCCGAGCCTAAGCTTCATGCCCTCCGTCGCAGCAGCAGGATCAAGTGTCCCGCTCTTCACGCCCCCGCAGACGCCGGGCCACCATGTTAATGGCTCGGTGGGGAGTGTGTCTAGTGTCTCTTTGGCGGGGATGAAACGGCCGAGCGATGCTTCCGAAGCTGCGGTTGAGGAGGGGCAGAGGGAGAAGAGGCGGAGGATTGCGCCTACGCCTGTTGTTGATTTTGACGCGCCTGCCGCTTCTGAACCGCGGCCGCCGGCTTCTGGAAAGGATGGTGGCGCAGGTGATGGCTGAGCTTGTCATGTTTTCTTAATGTCCGTGAGAAACGCGGGATTTAGCATGGTGTTGGGGTACACATAACGGCGATCGCCATACGGGTATGGCGTTGTGGTGTCTACACGAGGATGACGGCAATTTATGCTGAGGAGACTTGAACCGGAAATTAATGGTCGTACATTACTAATGGTTTGATCAATCTAGATACGCAGGGCTACATCTAAAAAGCTCCGTTGCAAACCCACATCCCTCCCCTTCCGCATCCGGCCGACGTGCGCATCCATTACATTACTTTTGCGACGACATTGTAGGCGGTTGGAATCCGACAGTCGCCGACGAGGGCCACGTAGCTGCCGGCTTGAAAGCCGGACCGGCGGAGGAAGTCCAGGACTGGTAGTTGACCGAGGTGGAGGGCATGGTGTAAGTCTTCCCACCCCAGGCGGAGCTAATGGCGCTGCATGCCTGAGCGGGAAGCTTCATGTAGCCGTTGCTGCCGCCGATCTACAGTCCCATTAGCGTTTCTTACCTTTCACAACATCTACAGTGGTTGCTTACCAGAACGTGAAAGTTCTCCTGCCACTGCCCAACGTTCGTCGCCTGCGCCGCCGTGACCGGTGACCCCCAAAGCGCACACTTGATCACCGTAATCGCATCCGGATCCGGACACGCGTCGCCAGGGACTTCACACGGATCGCGCTCAAAGTACAGATTCGTACCCACACATCCCGTCGTCTGATCGCACAGCGCGGTGCATGAGGCGGGATCGTACTGCTTGAGCTCGTAGTAGCCCATGTAGACGTTGGAGGCGGTGGCGAGCACGCTGCCGTTGAGGTTGACGAAGACGCGGCTGTAGAGGGCGGGGGTGACGGCGTTGTTGGCCAGGGTGGCGAGGGCGGTGAAGTTGGCCCAGTTTGCTTCGGTGTTGGGGGAGGGGAGGGGCCCGTAGCCGGGGGGCTCGGCGGTGCAGGGTTTCACCTGTGCGTGGGAGAGGGCGGCGAGGCCGAAGAGGGTGGCGGTGATGGATAACATGATGGTGGCAATGGTGTGATGGGGGGGGTTGGTGGGATGAGGATGGCGGGTGGAGCGGGTGTTATCTGTTGCGGCCGTGCCTTCATTGAGCGAGTATCCGTTTGCGGACGTAAGGGCCGGTATGGGGATGGACAAAGGAGAGTACTGTGCAAACACTGTCGAGTCTGCCTTGAACGGTCGCGGACAAAGCGTTCATCTTCATTCCTGCTATTCAAATGGGCTCACGTAGGCCGGTATTGTCGCAACGATCACGGTTTTAGTGCTTGTGCATTGGGTCGGACCGCTGACTGAAATGGTACCTCTAGGCATATAGTGGACGGGTGAGGGTTCATGCACTCCATCGCACGCTCTGCCGTACACGCCATTGATGTCTTTGTAGCTAGTCTTCGTTCCGGTTCTCTCAGAGTTGGGTTACAACGTTATGTTAGATACGCGAGAGTCACCGAGCGCAAGGCCACATAAAGTGTTAGGATTCCTTTCTGCAGCTTGTGTGAGAGGAGCGACATCGGTAGATGTCTGCACAGGATACTACTTTCGGGTTGTACTATCGATCGACTTGGATATTGCATGCCAGCAGAAGTGGCAAGCTCGTATGGCTTCCGTCAGCGCATCCCGGGTGGCTGCAGACCTCTGATACCTGTGCTGTTGCTGCGCTTTCTCTGTCGTGTCGGCTGCCCGCCTTTCGACAGGTCCAATTTGAGACCGAGCCTGTTCGTCTTTCGTGATAACTCCCCACTGCCGTCTGATCTCCCTTCACGCGCAGATTGTGCGAACTCGGTACGGGTATCTTGCTGCGGATTGGGACCGCTAAGCCTACTGAATCGCTTCCAATACCGTTCTTCAGGTACACTTGATTGACGCGAGGTCGACCGTTCCGTTCGCGTCATATGGAGAGATGGCGGGATGCCTGGAGTGGTGGCCCTGCTATCGTTGTCGAAATCAGGTTGTAATGCCTTGAAAGCCATGCTAGGTGATGTAGGTACGCTGTGCACTACCTTCGGTCCAGATACTTGCTGCGAAGTCTGTCGAGCGCTACGAGGAACCGGTGACGGTGGCGAAGTCTCGGACTCATCACTGTCAACGTCGCTTTGCTCTGCAGAAGGTCGGCGTGAGTGGCGTGAGGTAGTCTCATCCGACGACGACCCGTCCTCCGAAATAATGCTGCCTGCGACCTTCACTGCATTCAATGCGGGTAGCTTGGCCACAACGTCGTACGTGGATTTTCCAGGGCGGTGAGTCAGGCCCTCATCAGCACTCTGGCGAGCAGCGACCATCAGCCTGACACTCCGAATGCTCCCGCGGCTGCCGCGCCGTAGTCGTCCCCGTTCCGATGCTTGACTGAATGCCATCATGCGGAGATCTGTTTGACTTTGGCTGAAGTCCTTGTTCTCGATACACGCTAAGATCGCCGAGTCCAGTTTGAGCTCGATGGCCAACCGGTTCTTGATCAGGTTTATCTTCGGCCATGTTGCGCGCTCACCATTGCGCGAAGCGTTCTTCACAAAGTCTTCCGTGGGGTTCGTCAGAGCTTGCACGACTTCGGTCGAGGAAATAGGAGGCATTATCGTAATGTCGCCCACGTAACGCTGACCCAGTACAGACCTGGCTTTGTTCATAGCATTTGGAAAGATGCCAAGGTCAGCAAGGACGTGCATCCGGTGCAGCGCTTCACCTTTAGCCAAGTTGGCAATGCTGTGCAACCATGGCGGATCGCGCCCGAGGATAGAAGCGAAACCCTCTCCCCTTTCGCGGTCCAGAAAGGGCACAACATGCGGGTTGACTTGTGAGACAATGAAATGATTGACGTTGAACATCTCCGCCAGGCGCGTAATTGGGAGGTCGTTGTCGACGGAGCCGTCAATCCACCTGATCTGTGATAAGTCCCAGTCGGTAATTTCTCGTGTCCTTGCATCTTTCGCCTTGAGCGTACTGGCTTTGAAAATTGACGGTACGGCGCAGGAGGCGCAAACGGCAGAGACGATAATAACGTGTGGTGCTGTAACGTAGTTTAGCAGCCTTGCCATCTCGTATGCACCTTCTGTAGATACACAAATGTTAAGAATTCGTTGAGAGCGATTGTACGCCTCTAGGAAAGTCATGTCACCGAGAAGGTCCTCCATGACCCGCCGTAAATGACTGTCATCGTACCAAAAACCTTGTCTGAGAAACCGCTGAACAATCTGCCAGACGCCATCCGGATTGTCCTTCGCCGAGAAGACGTCAAGGTCGCCTTTCGAGAATTCTTCCAGTGCGCCTTGGAGCTCGTCATTCTTCTTCGTGCCGAGAACAGCGGCCACAATGCTGCCGGCTGAGGCTCCGGAGATGATGCGTGGGAGTAGGTTGACCTCGTAGAGAGCCTTCACCACACCAATATGGTTCATGCCGAGAGTACCTCCACCGGACAGCAAAAGCGCACTTCGTCCGAAAGACTGCCTAGCACGCTTGAGCTCTTCGTGCAAGGCCCGGTGATGCTCGCCGCTGAGCGAGCCAGTTCCAGACTCGTAGACAATGGTGTCGATCACATCAGATACCGTCTGAATGTAATCTTCGATGAGTCTCTTCGTACCGATACGGCTGTGCTTGTACAGGCTAGCGTTTCCCATGCCACCGAGGTCTCTAGTCAACGCCGTGCGGACGAGGTAGCGCATACGATCGTAGTCCCGGCTATGTAATGCATCCTTCAGATCGGTGAGACGTGTCTGCACTATGTGCACGTTGTAGTCATCGGAGGTGGTCACTTCTTTCCAAACATCGGATCCATCCAATCTGTCCAACTCGATGGCTGCAGCCTTCCATTTGTCGTACGTTTCGGCATGTACCAAGTTCGCTTCTTCATTTGCGACCTGCTGTTTGATACCGCCCTCGTCTGGCTGCCCGCCCAACTCATACGTGCGCAGGCCGGTGAACAGACTGTTCAGTCCTTCCAAAGTGTCTCCAACGGACCGAGTAACCGCACTGATTGACGAAGGAACAGCGGAGGATGTTCTCGATCTCTTTCTGGGCCTTTCGTCGAGATCCTCGGAACCTCCATTGCACTTGTTATACAGGAGCAGTCTTTGCAGCGATGCCATGAGGCCAGCAGGCCATATAATCACTGGCTTCGGACTGTAACGTCCGGTCCAATGTGGCAGGGTTTGCTCTTAGTAGACTGGAGATATGGTCGCGTGGTGCGAGCTTCGGCATACCGCATTGGCACGTAGCCTGTGTAGCCGTGGTCAGCATCTTTGCTTGAAACGGGAGTCGCTGAAGTCCCTAACTGACCGCTCTGCTGGTCATGTGCGTAGCGCAGCAGCGCTAACAAAGAGCCGGAGCTAGCGCCGGTAACCTAGGCAGCTATTCTGCCGGATATGCCCCTCTTGCGTCACCTCTGTGATATCTTACTTACATGTACCCTTGACTAGGAGGTGTGTATTCGGCCAGGTGAAGCGGACGAGAAGAAGAATGGGATCGTCTTCCATTCAACGATAGCGCAGAAGGGCAGACAGGCTCAGGAGACCTTTAAATGAACAGTTGATCAACACTGCAGGAGACACGTAACAATAGCGTGCCCGAACCAGTTGAAATACCTACATTCAGTGAATCATTTATATCATCCGCACTGCGGGGGCTATTTGCAGTAACCACGTCTATCTTATGCCTTCCAAAAGATTGGTCGGCACATATCAGATGCCTGCATGCGCTCGCGGCGCGATTCGCTCGGAGACGATCATTCCTGCCGTGTCAGCTTTAAGCGCGTGATCGTAGGTGCCGCATCTTGAAGCCTTCCCATGAACGATCTTGGACGATGTTGTGGCAGCAAAGCCCGGTGAGTCTCGCATTTGTTCGGATGGTGTTAGACGCTATGAAGATCATGCCAACAACTCCAAAACCTTTCTCCTCGACGTCAGCCCACCCTATCTCATTGGTAGGCGAGGCTGCATTATGCCGCTTCTTGAGGCATTTCACAGCTGAACCGCAGCAGCTCGTCAGCCGACCATACCAGCTGCCCAGCTCCTACCGAGTACGTGGGTCTCGTCAAGCAGCAACCGAGTCATCTTTGGCTGCAATCTGCACGTTATAGCCCCATACATCATGTCATGAGTTGCATAGACATGTGAAAGTACCTCGACAAGCGATCACGTGACATCTAAACAGTCGAGCTGCCTATTCCAACGACACGTTTGGAAGTATGTGGACGTGATGGACATGTTCTCTACAGGTAAATACTAGATCTATGTGACTACAGGAAGGAAGGACAGTCATATAATGGTCTTCGCCGGTCTTCGTACCAAACCGCAAACGCAGCTTCTGTGCACGGGCCACAGGCATCTGAGACCTTCAATGTTGCGCCTACGACTGAATGTCACGATGATTGCTTGATATCGGATACTGCGTCGCACATTCCCTAAGTCTTGCAGCAGAAGCGAAAGTCATGCGCGTACGTTTCGTGGCTCGGTCTGTCGTATAAGGTTTGGAATGTGAGCCGCCGAGATCCCAAGAGTCTGGGCCGCCCCGGCGTCTCACGCAATCGCCAATGTTCCGCCTGATCACCCATAACTTCATGTAGCGAGAATATTACCATTCATCCACCTCTGGAACCGCTGTCTCTACGGGGCTGTGAAAGATTATTGGCTAGCATCGCTGCAAGCCAGCAACAAACTGATCTTTACGGCATTGCAGAGAAGCAGCACCTGGCTTGAAGGCTCCAAGAACCTTACCACTTCTGACGTGCGCACTGCGCCAGGCGAGAAACGACTAGGAGCCATGGCGACCATTACGCAGACTGTGACCAGCACGGTCACAAAGACGCTCGCATCGGCCGCTGCGTCGAGTAGCTTGCGAGCAGCACCTCAAGGTGGCATTCTCGAAGGTGGCAATCCAAGCCAATACAGCTCGAGCAATCCGATCATCTTGTTCATTATACAGGTAAGCTGGTTTGGTCGAGATTTGGACTATACGAACTTATCCCCTTGTAGGCTGGCATTATCATCATCTTTTGCCGACTTCTTCACTACCCGCTGTCACGGCTCCGCCAGCCTCGTGTCATTGCTGAAGTCATCGGTGGCATACTGCTTGGTCCTTCGGTCATGGGCCATGTCCCAGGCTTTACGGCGGCTATCTTTCCGGCCGCAGCCATGCCGAACCTCAACCTCGTTGCTAATCTTGGACTGGTGCTCTTCCTGTTTTTGGTTGGCCTAGAGGTCGACCTGCGGTTCTTTGTCAGCAATTGGAAGGTCGCCATCAGTGTTGGGACCGCGGGCATGGTACTACCATTCGGTCTAGGTTGCGCAATCGCTTGGGGCCTCTATAACGAATTCAGACACGAACCTGGAACGGTACCCATCGCCTTCGGAACATACATGCTGTTCATCGGCGTGGCAATGTCCATCACGGCTTTCCCAGTCTTGTGTCGCATCTTGACGGAGCTGAAGCTGCTTTCGACTCCGGTGGGCATCATCGTGCTATCTGCTGGAGTCGGTAACGACGTTGTTGGCTGGATCCTCCTTGCGCTCTGTGTCGCGCTTGTGAACGCAGGAAGTGGTATTACGGCACTATGGGTGCTACTGACTTGCGTAGGGTATGCACTGTTCTTGGTTTTCGTAGTTCGGCCAGTTTTCTTGATGATCTTGCGCCGATCACGAGCGCTTCAAGATGGTCCGTCGCAGTCGATAGTAGCGCTTACACTCATGATTGCGCTCACATCGGCGTTCTTCACTGGTGTCATTGGCGTTCATCCCATCTTCGGCGCATTCATGGCAGGTCTAATCTGCCCTCACGAAGGTGGCTTTGCGATCAAAGTCACAGAGAAGGTCGAGGATCTTGTCAGCACGCTCTTTCTGCCGCTGTACTTCGCTCTCTCTGGCTTATCGACAAATCTCGGCTTACTCAACACTGGCATAACCTGGGCTTATGTTATCGGCGTCATTGCTGTCGCCTTCTGCGCCAAGTTCATTGGCGGGACGCTTGCCGCACGGTTGAACGGCCTGGTTTGGCGGGAGTCTGCTACCATTGGTGTTCTAATGTCCTGCAAAGGGTTGGTCGAGCTGATCGTACTCAATATTGGACTGTCAGCGAAGATTCTCAGCCAACGGACGTTTACAATCTTTGTCGTCATGGCGCTTGTCACGACATTTGCCACTACACCACTCACCGCAGCGCTGTATCCACCATGGTACCAGCGAAAGCTGGAGGCGTGGAAGCGTGGTGAGATCGATTGGGACACCGGAGCACCGAGCAGTGACGCAACGTTTGATGCGGACAGCATAGCCGCCCAGAAACTGGAGTCGGCACGCATTAAGAGCCTCCTGGTATACTTGCGACTTGACAACATGCCGACTTTACTGGCCTTGGTGTCTCTCCTCGGAGGCAAGCCTGACGATACTGTAGAGCTCAAGCACCCTTCGAAAACGCTAGAGTCAGCAGAGCTGGTAAGTGATTTCGGTTATTACTGCCCATTCTAATTGCATGGAACACACATAGGGTGCTATAGTCCTCGGAGCATGCTCTCCCGTGTAAGGTTGGCCTGAGATGTCAATCTCCTCAATACCTCTTCTCAAGATGTATTTCTGGGGATGCGACCCCTCTTGCGCAAATAGATGAGTGGCAATCGTCTTCAGGTTATAGAACAAGAAGGCGGCAATGATCATTGAGACTGACATTTCTGGCGCAGCAATCTCCCTCAAAGCAGCGCAAACAGCCAATCGAAGTACACGGTGTTCGGCTTGTCGAATTGACAGAGCGTGCCTCGACCGTCATGAAGGTATCCGAAGTGGACGAATACAGCATCTTCGATCCCGTCCTTAACGCCTTTCGCGTGCTTGGCCAACTCTACAGCCTGACCGTCTCCGGCGAAGTGTCCGTCGTTCCTGAGAACTTATACGCTGAAACACTCACTACGAAAGCTGCCGAAGATGGTTCGGACCTTTTGCTGCTCCCATGGAGTGAGACAGGAAGTATAAGCGAGTCAACGACGATCTCCACAGACAGTCGAAGAGACAGACTAGGTCTGAACGCATACACGACCTTCATCACCGAAGCACTGGACAAGGCGCAATGCAATACAGCAGTCTTCGTCAACAGGGGTTTCAGCGGCACACTTACGCAGCGTCCGTCCGCACTCCAGCGATCAATGAGCGCATTGAGCATCCGGAGCCAACGTGGACATTCCAAGATGCGACCGAGTGGTGACCGGAGACATCACATCTTCATGCCGTTCTTCGGTGGTGCAGATGGACGAATAGCATTACGGCTCGTTATGCAGCTATTGGAAAGCCCTGGAGTTACCGCGACAATCGTCCACTACACCACCAACGACGATACAGTCGGAGACAAGGGCGTGGAGCCGGCCGGCGTGCAGTCCGAGGTCATCGAAACAAAAGCTAGCCTCGCGCGGCATCAGATTACACACGAGAGTGACGCGGCCTTCTTCGCGACGATGCAGAAGTCCCTTCCCTCGGACATGGACGGTAGAGTGGTCTTTGAGACTGATTACGGTCCGTCAGCCATCGGTAAGGCCACATTGACAGCAGAGGCTGAGGTCGGACACGATCGTCGGGACGGAGGTGATATCGTTGTGCTTGGGCGGGACAACGAAATATTCGACGTGGGCCCTATGAGCTACAACAGATGTCTCGGTGCTGTCGCGTACAACATTATCGGCCGGAAGGCAATCACGGCGAGCTTGCTCATTGTCCAGGCGAAAGGCAATGACGTGGTTTAGAACTATGAAATCCAATTTGGGTACGGAGTACGAGTGACGACTTAGGATACCCATCAGGTTAGGCATACGAGAAGCGTATGAAAACCGCAGGCAGTGTTGGGTTCACCTTTATCGATCCCGATTCTGGGGGCAGCATAGCCCGCGCCAAACAACTTAGAACCGTGCCATATTAATGTTGCATTGGAGCAATCACTCTGTAAGCTCCGCAGCCTGGGGACAGTGCGTCCTTTCACAGATCAGCTTTAGCCTCTTCTCCAGCCCAGCATCGCCGGATAGTTTCCCTTAAAGGCTCCTTTTCGATTTCTCTAGGGTTCCAGTAAGGATTGCTAACCGCGATGTCTGCAGCCTTGTCGACATCCTCCTCCTTCATGCCGTACTCTTTCAATCCACGCTTGACTTTGAGCTTCGTAAGCAAAACATTAAGCCCCCGGATTGCGTCTCCATGCGATTCCGGGAGCACATCAGCAAGCCGCTGCATGGTTTCCGGGATCTTAGGAGAGTTATATGCTATGGCATGAGGCAGCACGATCGTATGCGTTTCCGCATGAGGTAAGTTGAAGGAGCCACCAAGCGTGTGACACAGCTTGTGATGGAGTGACATGCCGACAGAGCTGCACCGGATCGGTTAGCCTGTACCGTTACGTCGACATTTTGAGCTTGATTCCCTTACCCAAGGCACATGCCGCATAGCCAAGCGCCGTACTGTGCTTTAGACCGTGCGTCTACGTCATGAGGCTTGTTCACGATGATGGGTAATGATTCAGCCAGCGCCTTCGTGCCCTCGAGAGCCATGAGGTTGATGACAGGGTTCGTATTGCGAGCGTAGAGCGCCTCCACTGCAGCTATTCAGCATTGTTCAGAGCTTCAGCGTAAAGGACGCAAGCGTACCAGCATGAGCAATAGCATTGACACCACTCGTCGCACTCAACCCTTCCGGCAGCGTCATGGTGAAATCGACATCATAGATCACCGTTCCCGGCAAGATCTTAGGGTCGGATTTGGTAGTCTTTCGCCCTTCCGCCGTCTCACCCAGAATAGGTGTCATCTCGCTGCCCGCATACGTTGTCGGTACGCAGACATGCTCCAAGCCCGTCCGTATCGAGATGGCCTTGCCCAGTCCGATTGTACTGCCACCGCCAAAGCTAACCACACAGTCTGCGCCGCATTCTCTAGTGTACTGAAGCGCTTTCTCCGTGACGTGTGTAGGGGTGTGCATGGTGGCTTCGCTGAACAGCCCAGCTGGCGCGATAGAGCCATCTTTCAATATCGGCTCAAGCGCCTTGACCTGATCTGCCTGCTGCGGTGTCGAGAGGAGCAAAGGTTTCGACTTGTTCAAACGCTTGATCTCGTCCGGCAGTTTCTTGATGCTGCCGCTGCCAAAGACTACCCGGCCAGGGTTGGGATTGTATTCGAAAGGCTGCATCCTTGCTCGTTATGCTGCCTGTAGGGCGCCGATAACAGCTTACAAACGCCTAGGGCCTCCTCGAGCAGTTCTGGACACGCCATCATGTCGGCACTTGCACGGGTTATGTATGGTACCGCTACAGAGTGGAGGCCATTGAGCGGGGAGTAACGGGAGGACCAATTCCGCACGAACCATGCGGTCGGCATTACGCGTAGGGAGGTCGAGGCCAAGCATATGAAATCTGACAAGCGAGCCGGAGATGCTGATGATGTTAGGGTGCAATAGAAGGTCTCATCGAACTTTTACGGCAGCTACGCGAATGAGGTTGTACACCGTCGCTTAACACGGCTAACATTTGATTCCTTTTGCAACAAGAACGCCTTCACTCCTTCCTGCAGCGTCTTCAATCATGGCTCTTCGTCCATTAGTATGCGACGCTGCATAGAGAACTCGACACAGCACAGTCCCATCACTATACCTGCAATGACTGCCTCAGAGGTTACAACGGTCTGATGGCGATAGCTCCTGCTCGCGCTGTACCTTGAGCTTTTCATGCCGCATCCCCACGCCCACCTCTTTGCGACGGCCATGTTGTCGATAGACTTCAGCAGGCAGGCACCGTCTCAGAAACCCTCATCGTCTACATTCTCCTCTGCGAAGTCCATGCGGTTGCCGGTCCACTCGGCCTGGTGCAACGCAGACCTGGAAGGGCCCTGCGTGGACAGAGCTTCCAGGTTCTGAGTAAGCATACGTGCCCCTGCCATCGCCTGCTGCTCACGCGAAGACATGGTGAGTGCAAGTGGTTGAGGCAGAGCGAATGTGTGGGCATATGCCGCATCTGTGGTCGGGTAGGTTAGTCCGTTGTTATGATTGTTGAACCGAGGAGATTGCGATTCCAGAGTCTCGTTGGCAGCGTTGCCCACGTGAGAGAGTGTTGCGTAGCGGGCTGAGCTTATGGTTGATGGGGCTTCGCCCACATGTTGTCGGTTGTTCGCTGGAGTTGGTTGAGTTTCGTGCAGATGCAGATCGTGAGTAGACGGACGAACGCGGTGCTCAGCAGATGGGAACCTCACTTGAGGGCGAGATGTCTGATAGAACTCAGATGGGTAACGAGAGTGAGAATGCTGGTCACGTGCGCTTCCATCGGACGCCGCGGGACGATCGGGCCTGGACATCTGGATCGAGCGAACCCCACGGTAACGCTGGCCATATGCGCGCTCATTGGACGAGGCGGGATTTGTGTTGTACGTAGGCCTACCGAAGGGTGACGGCCTGGAAAGCATACCGTGACCCTGTCTACCACGTCCAGCAGATGAGCCATAGTGGGGATGACCATTTGGAAGCCCAGTAATGGTAACGAGGGTTGACTGGTCGGATTGAAGTGGAAACCCATGGCTCTGCGGGTGGACGGGGTGCGAACGAAGTGGCTCCGGCATCAGTAATGTGCCATCTTCGTGCGGCATAAAGTCAGTCGCTGCTGGCTGGACAGGGTGTGCGCGCAAAGGGTTCGGTATCCCACCGTTTGGACCGGCGAACTCGACGACGCTTCGGGTTGCTTGCTGTTGACGCTGCATGGCCGCCTGACTTGCTTGCATGACAATTACTTCTTGAGCCTCGATCTCACGCAGACGCTCAACTGATATGTTGTGGTCTCCGCTGAGCAAAATTTCTTGGCGCATGTAGTCAAGGCGTTCCAGAGTTGCGTTGAGGTGTTGGAACTCAGGTGCATGTCCCTCCCTCGGGGTACCGTAAATCGCGTTGCGCCTTGCAAAATTATGTCCGAAAGCTTCCTCATTGACGTAGCCAGCACGTTGCGCAGCGAGACGTTGTGCAGCACGGACTGTCTCTTGGTTGTTGGGATCCCACTGCGCATTGCCGTCGCCCAGTCGGTTGTATCTCGGGCAGGTCCTGACCCCGTGCCGCATAGTCCAATGTGGAGAACCATCCTTCGCCGGCTCGCCGCAGACGAAGCAGAGTTGAGTACCGCACACACAGACCAAGTGGTTACAGCCGTCAACCAACTGCAGCTTCCGTAAACAGTGCTTAGCTGGGCAGATTTGATAGTCTTTACCACGCTCTAGGCCGTCGAATGCTGCGTAATCCTGCCGTTCGTCGTTTGTGGGGTCACATTTGTGGAAATGGCTCTCAATGACACGCTTACAGCTCAGGCATGAGACGGTACAGCAGGTCTTGCAGTCGATGGTGCTCGGCGCCAGCGCAGACAGAGGAGCTGTACGCTTGCCAAGGAAGGCGTTACACCGCTCTGCATGCATTGGGTGGCTCGGGTTTTGACGCAGGCCTTCGCAATACACACGTGCCGGCACCGGACACGTGTACTCCCTCTCCTTTTCCTTGAATTCTTGTAGTAGCTTGGGCGTTAGGAACGGGCGGAAAGCGTCGATATCCAGCTTCTCGCCTTCCCACGTTGGGGGGTAATTGCATTCATTGCTGACAGCCCGCTCGAAGAGTTTGCTGACGCATTGTCCACAGACCAGATAGCCGCTGACCTGGGCGACAAGCTTTGAACCGCAGTCGAGAAAGCATATCGCACAGTGCATTCCTAGTGCCGGCGCGTCACCCACATCGGTGAGTGCCTCCATGCTGACTGGTTGTGTTATATCTCCGTCGAGTGACGGAAAGCCGGCGGGAGCTGGCGCTGGTCGTCGGAGTGGTGGCAACGATTATTCAGGTGTCGGATGTTGTGGGCGTGCCTTGGAGCGATGAATTCCAGCGTCAAGGGCGCTGCTGTTGTGTGAGGGGTCGGGTCGGACAGACAGCTTTTGTTGAGAAGAGTGGCTTAGTTATATTAGCGCCGAGTAATGTGAAAAGCTTGCAGGAAACACCTGTTGCGTTGAAAGAACGCAAGAGCACGTTGAGGAAAGAGCGTCCAGTGACGGAAGCATCCGTTGTCAGTTCCAAAAGAGGCAGGTGCGTAAACGTGGGCAATGCGGAACAACGCATGTTGTATGGCTGTAGTTAACGTATGGCATGACAGAGTTGCGAGCATTCACCATTTGTGTTCGTACTGCGAGGGCGCCGCTCTTCCATGCATGTGTCCAGCTCCTGAGGCTGCTTGATGCATTGCGCAACCATCGCCTAAACATCAAATCACAGCAAAAGCGCTTGCATAACTCACACTGCTCTGGCTCACCTTCTTTACCTCCTCGCTCCGCTCGTACCTCACAAACTTGAAAGCACCCGCATCCTTTTTCCCGGATGTCCTTCGCAATTCCTCTACTGCAGCCATCATCACGCCGATTGGATGCCGCCCGCATACGGTATTGCCGGTGCTCTCCAAGGTCTCAAGCCATTGTGAATGGTCGCCACTTTCGCAAGATGCGATGCAGTCAAAGTCTACAGCCTTGATCGACTCGTGGATGGCCGGGTTAGTGGGCGCTTTGGCTCCTGCGGCAAGGTTGACCTGCGAAGCCCCGGGCGAGCGGTAGAGAGTGTAGCGAAAGCGAAGGCCCCAGTGCGCGAAATCCGAAGATATCACGAAGGCGTTTGTCTCGTCGGCAAGATAAGGGGCGAGTAGCTTGCCAAGCGTGGCCTCCGTTGATGCGGAGGTATTGCCAACCATGACGGGCACTAGAAGCGGAAACTTCGCAGCGTTGCCAGAGAAAGTCCTACAGAGTGTTAGCTATACGACAGTAAGGGGCCAAAGGAAGCCTACTTTGAAAATATCTTGTGAATATATGGTAGATGCATTTCAAGGCTATGCTCATCTTCGTCCACTGATTGAGACATCCATTCGAACTTGCCAGACTTGTAGAGCTCTGTTGTCATCGCGCGGTCTATGGTGAGATGGCCAAGCGGCGTAGCATAGTGGGTGCAGCGGGTTAGCGCAGCCCGAGATGTGTAATGATGGTGCGATGGTCCTAGCAGAAAGACTCTCTTGCTGGTTCCACATCAGTCTGGCTCGACATCGTGCTTGCGATGTTGACCTGGAACTGTACAGAGAACGCTTGAATGGAGCGGCAACGCATGGTGTTGAAGGTGCTTAATGCAGGCAGCCGGGAGATCCATCTTGTACCAGTACGAACATCCTGCACATAATACGCGATGGCGGCACCTCTGTTGGCGCAATACGAAGGTTCTCGAAATGGTTCATCACTTACGCCTTGGACACATCCCAGCATCTGTAAGCCCAGGCTGCTGCTGGGCCTGAGTATGAGTAACCGGCGTGCCTACTCACCGTTAGGCACGCGAACTTACCTTTGCGCACAGCACTCCGTGACCTACGGTCCTATAATCACCCTCGCTCCGGAGATAGGCAGCTCGGATACTGATTGTCCCTCTGATTGTGGACCGATGCACTTAAGCGGAGGCTTGACTGCGGCGAGGTGGCCCTCAAGCTGTGAGTCGAGTTGAGACGCAGAAGCTGAGTACCATGAGCCGGCATGGCTGGCGTCCCGTACTATATCCTTGTCAGACATAGTATTTACTGATATTGAAGACGGGCGATAAAGATGTAGGAAGGAAGGTGGATGGGGCGTAGATAGTCTACATGTAGTTCTGAGCACTACGCTGCGGCTTGATGACGCGCTTGCACAACACGTCTATACACGTTCAGTTCAATTGCTTCACAGTCTCCAAGCTTAACTCATCTCTACACGCCAGAGGCGTTTTCAAGTCTCCACGACTACTGAGTCTCATTCAGTCAAAGATGTCGAACCCTACACGCGCACCTAGCGCCATGCAAGCTCGTCTGTCAACCGTGCCAACTTCAGCATCCAAGTCAAGACAACTTTCGCACCTTCACGCCCAGCTCGCTCAGTTGACCGCTAACATGTCTGACTTGGAAAACCTACTGCGCATGACAGCCGTGCAAGCGGAAGGTATAAGAGGTCTCGGAGGATATGCTGGGGCTATGTATGTCGGTTCAACTTGCCTCTAAATCATCAATCTGATGCAGAACTTGATTAGGTTTATGGCGGCTTCGAAAGTGCTCGGCGAGGAGACTGTCAACGGCACAAGTGCGGAATCTTCAAACCAGACCAGTACGAAGACTGTCGACAGGTGAAGCATGGCCATGACCCCGGATGGTCTACATGAGCCAAGAGAATTGGCTTAGTCTTCACTACGAAAACCCATCTTCGGTCTCTTTCCTCGGGCCCAAGCTACTGCATGCTACACTGGCGGTTGACCTTGTCGCCCGATTGGTGGCAGTGACCTGCCGACAATGAGAGGCCGAGTGAAGAGTCCATGACCTTCTTACCGCTTGGCGAGATCGAACGAATGCACGTTTCGGTCTACGACCGTATAATAAGGGTAGAAACGTTCGTGATCCGCGAACGCCTTGCAAATCTTCGATTGGGGGTTCTGCACGCGCTTGGTCTGTCTGCACCGTGCGGCATGCTGCGGACAAGAGGCATTTTCTCGACGGTGCACGCCTGGAATAGCGTAACGCATTCCGCAGACCATTACTGGAGTGATACAATTCCAAGTTGCAGCGGTATCGCGCCATCTTCAGAACCATTCTGTGCGCCACATTTGATACGCTGCGACACTCAAGGACAGGATCTTCAGCAAACGTTCGACTGCGGCGAGGTGCGGTTGGAGGTCCAGTAAAACAGCATGGTAAGGTCGAATAATGAGGACCGGAGTTGATGTGAATGAGTTCGAATCGGCTACAGTCGACTAGCTAGATCCGGATCTCCTTTGAACCTAAATGCAATGCGTTGCTCTGCCGATGGAGCCCTCGGTCCGTGCACGTGGGAAGCTGACAGTGGCTGATGATCCCCGCCTTCTTCGCGCAAGTCGTCCAGCATCGCAGCTGACAGAGCGAAACGAACGACAACATTGCCAGCAGCAAAAGCGTACACTTGAGCACCTCATCCATCGTCCGACTCGGCTCACATATGCTGCATCCCTAATTGCACGCCAGCCGTCGTCTCTGGGCTTCCGAGGAACAGTCCGCAGCAATAACTGCGACGTCTCTTGCCGAAATCGTACAAGCAACACTATAACCGTCTCTCCCTAAGCTCTTGGCCACGAAAGACATTTACGATATACATCATAGCGTACCTTCCTTGCGGAGCTTAGTGGCGATCACCGACCCACCGAAAAGCTTGTTCCTCCACGCCAAGCGCCTGGGCATCCATGCATGGTAGCTTGAGATACTTTGTCAACCACATCTTGAACCGTCAGCGTAGCTCATCCTCGTCAAGCATCCAAACTGTATCGAATGGCTGGCCGGAGACGGCACCTTCGACGCCGCAAATCCTGGGAGTACGGTGACGGCGCAATCAACATTCGAGTCGGCAGCAGACGGAGCCCGCGGCGCTTTTACGAGGTCACTGTCTCTGGAGCAAGAGATGCACCGCGGTTCGCCAGGTGTATCGATGACCAAGTCCGGGCTTTCCCACGGGATCCGATTGTCATTTCTATTAACGGATATCAGCCATGGCTGCAGAAAGTCCTAGGAACCTGCATCGAAGACTACTGGTCAGAAATTGCCGATTTAGCGCGCGAAGTGCAGTTCGCAGAAACCATGCAGTTCCCGGAAAAGGCATCCAAACGTGGGGACGACGTACCCTGGACTTTCATCCTAGACTACATGAATGTCCCTCATGTCTATTACTGGTCCGTAGATATGGAGCCTCCTGAAAGTGATGACTACGGTCTACCGGCGATTGACACGTATCGCTTCAGAGTCGGGGCGTGGGAATGCGGGAAAGGGGCCTGCCGCTTCGACCGTGAAGTTCCGGTAGCAATCATCTTTACCAAGCCTACCCCAGTGTGCGAGCACGTAGTCACCGAGCTTATGTTTCCCTTTTTGTACCGGGACAACGACTTCGATCAGCCTCGTGAGGACGAGGAAGGCATTTGCTGGTTGTTTTCACGCCTTTACTGGCTGCTAACAGATTGGCAAAACATCATCAGCGCAGTCTCCATCCGGCTTGAGGAAGCGGAGACTAACAGTCACGAACGCCATCTTCCTGTCAAGACCCGGACCAGAATGCTGCATCGAGAAGTCGACCGTCTGTACGAACTGAAGGAGTACATGCGCTTTCACAATCGCTCGTTCAAAAAGCTGCAGAAACTGAAGGACGACGTGCCAAAGCAAGAGCAGAAAGACCCGCTGTGGAACGACATGGATGACGCTGTCGAAGACCTCGAGCAGTATGACTCGACTATGGACAGTTTGAAAGAGCGTAGGTCACTCATCTCATCTAAACAGCAGGACGGAAGCACTGACCATCCATAGGCTTTAACAATTTGATTGAGCTGGAATTCAACATCCAAAACGCCCTACAGTCCGACCAAGGCCAGTTCCTGACGACCATAGCTACGCTGTTCCTGCCCTTATCATACCTGGCCTCTATATGGGGCATCACGACCATAACATGGCCGCCGATATGGTACTTGTATGCGGCCATACCTGTCCTGATCGTCAGCATCATTTTCACCGCGAGCTTCCCCTTCATAGTCCGTCGGATTCAAAAAGTCTTCTACCCTATTGAAGAATATCGCATCCAGCTGCAGCCGCGCAACTTCACAATGCTCGGGGAAGAGCTGCCCGCAAATGTTGACATTCCTGGAGGCGGTGGTCGACAAGGAAGGGTCAAGCACAAAGCTCCAAGAATGGCAGCGCACGAGAGCGCGAGGAGCAGGTCGAAATCGAGGATCAGGCCTGAGAAAGTCGATGATGAATGAGTAGATTCAACGCGAGATGTACGGCCTCTTAGGTCGTGCTTTTCATCCTGTCGGCCTCCACTCTCATGGTATCCTACAGCTAGCTGTGTGACAGAGCCGGCTTGCTTGATCCCAACACATCATTTGCCATCTGCCGGACTTTCCTTTGACCCTCCGTAAGACCGGGCTCATCTACCACGAACGGTTCAAATCCCATGGCTCGGCGACCTTCTGCGCTCAATATGTTCTCCATACGAGCACCATGGTCCTCGTGCTGGTTCTCCGCTTCGAATGATCCTAGCGACTTCGCGTAACCAGCAAAGTCCCGTGCTGGCCCCGCCTCGATGAAGGAAGCTCTTGTGGACTGTAAAGAGTCAATATTGTAGGGAACCAGTGGCGTGCAGGCATTGTAGACTACCGAAGAATCCAGCTTGCCAGGGTGGAATTTATCGACTTCATGGAGGAGATCGCAATGCCAGAAGACATAATCACCAGGTTTTACGGGAGGTATGCCGATCATCGACTTCTCCAAATGGAGGTCCGGATGAAGCTCCTTAGTTGGCAGTATCTGTGTAAAACCGGGCTTACCACCTGGAAACTGTGGTGTAACGTCGTCGAAAGCGTTCGCTCCATTGAGGAAGAACGGTTGGAGCATGAGATACGAGATGGAGGCCTTCAGGCTGGGTAGCAAGCGTAGTGTGCCTTCGCCGGTTCCGGTGTGCGAGAGGGAGAGCCAGCCTTGCATACTTCGCCAGCAAGAGCAGTTTCCGCCCATATGGTATAGGTCAGTCTCGGCCTCCAGACGAGTGTCGGCGGCCCAGCCGTCCCACTTCTCCCATTCGCCGTCAAAGGCGGCCTGATAGCAGGCTCGGTACTTCGGGCACTCCCAGCGCTCAATGCTGCCCGAGTCGACATGCGCATTCAGCGTGTACTCACTATCTGCTCGTTGTCAGAACACTCTTATCCGGTTAGTGACTGTTAACGGACTCACCTTTGGAGGGGACACGAATGCGGAACCGATCAGGGTAAGCCACCTGTGTGGTAAGATCGACTGGTAGCGTCGGGTCATTGACGTGCCACAGCTTGCTGATGGAGTTCATGGCCTCAAGGACGCGAGGATGGCTGCGTATTTGCACTTGAGGCCTCGTCCAGAACAGCGACCAGGTCTGGGGATTGTCTACTGGAAACCCACCGACAGCCCTGTGTCGGTTGGTGTAGTCTTTGAGCTCCGCCTCCCACGCAGATGCTTCATTCTCCGGGACAACATTCCTCACAATGACGCACCCTCGATCATGCACCACATCAACCAGGCTATCCGGCAGGTTGCCGCCTGTCGAAACCATCAGCTTACGAGCGTGCGATGCTGGTAGAAAGCATACCATTCTGGTGGATTGTTTCAAAATCGATCTCCGGAATCACTTGTGGACCAGCCTTATGGATGCCATCGGCCTCGCTTGCAAGCACCTTTACCAAGCGCTTATACGATTCAATGACCCGGACTTTCTTCTCGGGCTTAATGATCGATTGCTTGAGAACAGAGAAGCGATCTTCCAGCAACGGGCATCTTCAACCACGCGTCAGCTAGAGCAAGAACTACATACGCAAACAGCATCGTACTTGAGCTGCTCCTGGACCAGCACTTGAGTCTGCGACATTGTGAAGCCCTGTTATTGGGGTTTTGTGGCGTTGTATCGCGATAACAATGCAGCTACATCAGGTCGCGACAGATTCAAATACTGTGAAGCCTGAGCGCAGTCGCCGAAGCTGGACAGCTGGGCCCGTCGTTGAGGGCCACGGGGGTTGCCACGGTCCAGATGAGTACGATAGGCGAGCTGGAGCTCTTGGGCACTCCGTCTCGCCGTGCCCTTGCAGGACGCGAGTCATGCGGTTATCTCTCCACTGATAGCTTCAATGCATCGTCTCGGCCGAGATACACCATGCGCGCAACGGCCATATCTATGCAAGGTAGGCCGGCGACTGCACTAATCTCTAGGTGCACAAGTATGAGGTTGGCTTTAGGTTCGCCATGCGAGCGATAGCCTCGATAGGCCTACGGGGCATAACCCGAACGATGCTCCATTGGTCCCGACCAGCACAGGCCTGACAGCGGTAAACTCGTGTCGGGGAAGCTCGTTCATGTCTTGGCCGTCGGTTATGGACAGCCGTATCTCGCATGCTCTGTCTGGACAGGCCTGGCAGCATGCATTGCCTCAAAGGCATTATGATAAGGCAATTTGTGAAGAGCATAAAGGTACGGTCTTGCGACGCATCGTGTCCAGATCAAACTCAGCGGCCTCACGACTGCGCCCACCAACTTCACTTGACATTGCTGTGTCGCTTTCAAGATGCTGTCGAGGTTCCGAGGCTCGTTCAAGGAGCTGTCGCTCCCACTACTAGCCGTTAGCGTTTATGCCTCCCTCGCGGGTGCTTCCTTCGGATTAGATTTCAACTATTGGAATGGCTTCCAAGGCATGGCGCAATTCAAGAAAGACTTCGGCGTTTGGGATGCCGCAACCCAAGAGTGGACTTTACCGTCCACATGGCAGTCCGCAGCGACTGGCACTCCACAGGCGGGCCTGGCACTTGGTTGCTTCATATCAGGCGCGATTGGCAACCGAGTTGGCCGCGTGAAAGCCTTCTGGATTGCGGCCATCATTGGTCTCGTGGGCATCTTACTCCAGACTGCCAGCATCCACAGCTTCTGGCAGTTCACAGTTGGCAGGATTGTGAACGCTGTGTCAATGGGCATCATCTGCAAGTGAGTCATGTGGAGTCTACTCCCCTAGGACGTAGAACTGATCACTCTGGATCGCAGCGTGGTGCCGATGTACCAAGCGGAATGCGCTCCGGCGAAGTTGCGTGGCAGCCTTGTCAGTAAGTGAAGCGTGCAGCCATGCCAGAGCACTGTTTGAAGGATATGCTGACGTCCACGCCTATTATTTCAGACACATATCAGTTCTTCCTCCTCATCGGCGCGGTAATGGCTGCCACCGCTTGTTGGGGTCTCTACGAGCGTACTGACCAGTGGGCCTACCGTATCATTCTGATCATACAGTTCCTCATTCCCATCGTCATGATCGTAGGCGGCTTTATCCTCCCTGAGTCACCACGTTGGCTCGTACGACAGGGAAGAGCAGAGGAGGCGCGCAAAGTGCTTCTACTCCTGAGGAAGGACCAGCAGCCGGCCGACGTCGACGCCGAGATCGCACACCTCGCTGCAGCTGAGGAGCAGCAGAAGATGTTCTCTGCCGAATCCACTTGGCTGGATTGCTTTAAAGGACCCAACCTCCGGCGCACAGCAATTGCAGCTGGTGTGCAGTGCCTCCAGAACGCTCAAGGCAACAGCTTCATGGCCAACTACTCGATCCTCTTCTTGCAAGCTATTGGGATGACGGACGTCTACCGCATCCTTGTGCTGTTGTACTTTACGAACATGGCTGCCTCGGGTTTCGCTTTCTACTTCGCAGACAAGATTGGACGACGGCCGCTTATGTTCGTGGCTGCGTCAGTCATGGCAATCTGCATGTGTACCGTTGCCGGCATCGTCACTCGCACTCCCACTACCGCTGGTCAAAATGGAGCTCTCGCATGCCTTTTCATCTGGCAATTCGTGCAGGCTATTGGCTGGTCCTCCTGTGTCTGGATAGTCACGGCTGAAGTTCCCAGCACTCACCTCCGCGAGCGTACTGTCACAATCGCAACAGTCTCTGGCTTTATCGTTGGCGTTCTGGTTACTTACATTAACCCGTTTATGCAGAATCCAGGCTACGGTGACCTGGGTGGCAAGGTGGGCTTCGTCTATGGATCCTTCTCAGTGGTTGCAGCTGTCTGGGTAGCCCTCTTTCTGCCCGAGATGAAAGGTCGAAGTCTTGAGGAGCTTGACGAGCTCTTTGCGAAGAAGGTACCGACCTTCCGGTTCGGAGCTTACAAGCTAGAGGGTGGTGAAGTCGTCACCGAGAAGGTTGATGAGGAACAAGAGGTCACCATCACTAGCAAAGCGTAAGATTTTCAGCCACTGGCAATGGTGTATCGGCTCGCAAGTCTGAAGAAGCTCTCCATCATGTGATCTCTTATAGATCACGACAACTTCAATATCGTGCAAACGGCGTTAGCCTCATCGTTCCATGAGCCACTTCTCGTGAGGGACCTCTCATGATCCGAACTTTCCGTAGATCGACAGCTCGTCACGAGGTACATACCGTAGCAACGAATAGACCCACTACAAGGCTCAACGTCACATGCAGTCTTCGCATCGTTGGAGGACATGTTTTCCTACCGTCGCCATCATTAGCGCTGCCCATCGTTCCATTAACCTGGCAAGGGTGTCACGTCCAAGCAGCTTGCTGCTTCCACACAACCGAGATGCGCCTATGTCTGCAAGCAGAATTTCTCATTGTAAGACGAGGCAAGGTTTGATCAAGTGACGATCATATCTCGAACCGCTCCATCTGCGACGCTAGAGTCACCGAAGAACACCAAGCTCCACTGAAGCAATTTCATGGGTCCTGCATTGAGAGACCCACTACTGTGATGGTTGTTGGCCGTATGGACCGCACCCGTTCTCGAGCACACCACTTTTCCGCTTTATCTTAGTGGTTCGACAGCAACGGCGCCTTCGAGAGCTCCACCGGGTATGGGCGCTCAAAACGCGGACATCACGCGCCGCCATGCATCAACGCTGTACCTCTGTGGGAAATGGAGAGCCCGGGATGTGGATGAACACAAGGTTAGCTCTGACGGTGCATAAACCTAGCGATGGTGAAGATGAGCGGTCAATATGTAGGAAAGTTATCTTCCTTACTATATCCCACTGTTTGGCGTATCTGCCTCGAGATCTCTCTCTACTTAGAAGTCTCGTCTGTTCTCTTACCCCCTACTCATAATGTTTGACGAGAAAGCTACGAAGGATGATGTTACCAATCTTCAGCAACAAGAACAACACCACCAATACGAGGCCGCAACATACGATGAACGACGCCACATGTCAGCTGTAGAAGTTCAGGATGCCATCCGCTCTGGCAGCGTACCAAGTGTACGCACAAGGCAGGAAGCTCTGGATATAGCTCACGCCGGTGGCTGGGAAGCTGATGCTCTCATCGAATCGCTAGAGAAAGAGCGCCTCGAGAAGGGAGACAGCAAGTCCATCTTCAGCCTGGAGTTCGCAAACCCGAAGCACTTTACCTGGCTGCTCGTCGCGTTTGCCTCTATGGGTGGCCTCCTATCTGGTCTCGACCAATCACTAATCTCTGGCGCAAACCTCTTTCTGCCCGGCGATCTGGGTTTGAGTACCGCGCAGAACAGCCTGGTCAATTCCGGTATGCCTTTGGGCGCAGTAGGTGGAGCATTGATCTTGTCGCCTTGTAACGAATGGTTCGGACGTCGCTGGTATGTCGTAACTCCCAGAAGTCATATATGTGGATTATGTCATGCCTAACTGATGTGCTTGACGGTCTTAGGTCCATCATTATTGCCTGTATACTGTATACTGTTGGCGCTGCTCTCGAAGCTGGCAGCATTAACTACGGCATGATTGTGGCGGCACGTGTCGTGTTAGGCTTTGGGGTTGGCCTCGAAGGAGGCACCGTTCCCGTTTACGTAGGATAGGGAGAGACGCTGATCACCTCTAGAGTATGCTGACCGTTGATCAGGTTGCCGAGACCGTCGAGCGCAGACTGCGCGGTAATATGGTATCCCTCTACCAATTCAACATCGCTCTAGGTGAAGTGCTTGGTTATGCAGTTGCTGCCATGTTTCTTAGTGTGGAAGGGAACTGGCGCTATATTCTTGGATCCTCACTGGTCTTCAGCACCATCATGCTTGTTGGCATGCTGTTCATGCCCGAATCGCCTCGGTTCCTGATGCACAAAGGCAAGGTTCTCGATGCCTACTCTGTTTGGCGACGGATCCGTGGCACTCGGGATGTGGAGGCCAGAGAAGAGTTCTTCGTCATGAAGGTCTCCACGGAGGAGGAGCAGGCAGAAGTGGCTGCGGGTGCTGGTAGCAGACGCTTCCCATGGCTGGACTTCTTCACCAAGCCAAGGGCAAGGCGTGCCATCATCTACGCAAACATCATGATCTTTCTCGGTCAGTTTACTGGCATAAACGCTATGTGAGTGTTGATTTTGCTCGTTGGACACCCTGAGACTCTGCTGACAGTTCTAACAGCATGTATGCTGATATGACGGCTGCGGCCAGAATATCGTTGTATGAGGTCGCTAATTGTGAGCTGCCGCTACTAGGTACTACATGAGCACGTTAATGAACCAGATTGGGTTCGGGACGTGGCAGGTATGCAGTACTGATAGTGGTCTTTGCCTGCTGGCTGAGCTATTGCTGACAACGGCGTCAACACAAAAGGCAAACTATATGTCCCTCGTCGGCGGCGGATCTCTCCTCATCGGAACTATCCCTGTGAGAGCGACAGCATGACGGCGAACTAAAGGCGATCGCTAACGTTTTGTAGGCTATCTTCCTCATGGAGACATGCGGTCGTCGCTTCTGGGCCATTGCAATGCTTCCAGGATTCTTCATCGGGCTGGTCCTTGTTGGCGTTTCTTATCACGTGCCAGGTCTGCAAGGTACCGAAGGCGTCTATCTTACAGGTCTGATCATCTACGAGATCTTCTTCGGTTCATACGCTTGCTTGACTTGGGTACGGGCCTTCAATGAGCGTGATTCTCACCAACATCCACTGACATTGGTTGCTTAGGTGATTCCCGCTGAGGTATACCCGACATACCTACGGTCCTACGGAATGACGTCGAGTGACGGCTGGTTGTTCCTCAGCAGCTTCATTGTCACGTACAACTTCTCAGGAATGCAGAGGGCCATGACGCCAACTGGCCTCTCGTTAGGCTTCTATGGTGGCATCGCGGTTGTGGGATGGTTCTACCAAATCTTCTTTATGCCGGAGACGAAAGATAAGACACTTGAGGAAATTGACCTTATATTCCAAAGACCGACAATGGAGCTCGTCCGAGAGAATGCGACCAACGCGTGGCAAACGACCAAGGACTTGTTTGCGTTCAGGTGGAAGAAGGTTTTCATTGACGGCAACAAGCCTCCCGGTGCTAGCTTTGTGGATACGAGCGACATTAAGGTTGCTGCTTGATAGCGTGCTGGTGAACGGCGGCTGGTATTGTCCATCACGGGAAGGTTGTGTATAACGGCTTGTTCAGTGCTAAGACGCAGTCAACCGCAGGAGTCTCTGTCCGAGCCTTCCTTCACACGGGCTTCTTCGATGCCGCTCCTAACCCGCAGGGTGGTCCGCTATTTTAATCCTTGAATGTGCATAGCATCGCATAGGCGAGCCACGGCAGCGGCCAGGGAGCATGGCAATGGCGGAAGCGGCCTGTGTCTCCGACAACCTGCTGTTCACAAGATGGACTCTCTAAATCTTCCGCTCTTCAATGCTTGCCGTCTTCCACCTGATCAACGATATCGCTCATAAAGGCGCCACCAAGCAGTATTGCTGGCTCGTTCAGCGCATGGTGCTCGTAACTCAGCGTGCCAACGCCACCAGCCTCGAGCAGCAGGCTCGGGTTCTCTGCGATGTTCTTATTGACCCATCTAGCGGCAAAAGCTCGCAATATGTGGCCATGAGCCACTATCAGGACGTCGTATGGCTCAGTCACGGAGCCTTTGGGCTTACCGATAGCGTGTGCATGGAAACGTGACCGAACGTCAGCTATTAGTGCATCTAGACGTTCTGTGATTTGTTGTGGCGATCTGCAGCGACGTGTGAGCACCATATGCGACAATTAGTGCAGCTGGTAAGTGCTTACTCGCCGTTCGGACAACCATCCTTCCATATGTCCCACTTTGGCAGCCCGTCCTTCTCCCTTTGAGCCGCAATCTCCTTACTAGTAATGCCTTCATAGTCGCCATAGTCCCACTCACGTATAGCCTCCGTCACCTCGATCTTTGCCCTGGTGCCTTTTCCCGGGCCTATCTCAATACCGCCAACTTTTGCTCCCTCCACCTCGTCACCTTTGTTGGCCTTTGCGATGTCGCCGTGCGCCTGCCACGGCATGTCATCCTCTAAACCTAGTCCGAGCAGCTCAAGCGTCCGTTGCGCTCGTTTGCGCGGCGAGACATATATGTGAGCCAGGTTCCTCGGCACGATCAGCCTGTCCGCTCCCACAAGCGCGCGCCCGGTTGCCCTTATTCGTTTCTCGCCATTGGCGGTAAGTGGAATGTCGCTCATGCCAGTATGACGGCCGTTGAGCGACCATTCCGTCTCGCCATGCCGGATAATGAAGACACGAGGTGTGGTCATAACGGCGATATTTACTTGCTCTTCACAGCGTCCGGTACACAGAAAAGGACGAAGATATAGGAAGCTCTCTTAAACAGCTTAAGCGACTGAAAGACTAGCGATAACCAGGCAAGGCTCAATAGATCAATATTTACCGTCCTGTTCCTGGCGGGGCGTCATTCGACGTCACACCTTTTAGCTGGTACCTGGATCTAGCCTTGCCGGTGCATACTGTGCATAGCTCCGAAAGTAAACGTAAATAGCGGCATTCGACATGCTCTCATGTCTCTAGCGGTAATTGATGATCGGTGTAGAGTTGTACGATTGGCAAGCCGATGAGACGGTGACAAAGCATGGCATGAGATGCAAAGCGGAGGCAAGCCGTGACCAGCCTTGCAGCCACGCTCACTGCTGATCTGTGCCTTGACAGGATTGAAATAGGAGGTATACAGGTCTGTGTAAGTAGTAGTATGAGAGGAAGTCTGGATGCAGAGAAAGTAGACCCATCTCTCAATATATAGCTCGTAGCTCTCCCTTCGTGCGCACTCTTTCGCCAGGCCATACTCTGATTGCGATGCAAATTTTCCGTCTCGTCCACCACAACTGCCGCGCCTCCTCAGCAGCTGCAACAGCCCGCATTGAGCGCATAAAGACACTACTGCTGGTAGTAGTAGTACTACACACTGCTCAATGCTCTAAGCTCCTCCAAACGAACGTCAGCCACCCTCCGAACTTCTTCATCCACAGGAATCCAATGCATGACCAAGAACAGGCTAAATGCAAATGCACGTGCAAGGACTTGCAGAACTCCGGAAAAGGGTGGCCGGAGGGACGGTGCAGAGTCGGAAGAGAAGAAGAGGACCTGAAAATCTCCCGTCTCCAATGCAAACGCCGATGATGCTGAAAATTATGTGAGAGGTCCGGCGGATCAGCCAGTCCTCTATGCCCGCTGTACATACGCATTCGGCGCCGATGCCAAGCAAGGAAACAAGACCCCACCCATCTATATTACTGTCCGTCGGTTATCGTCGTCAACAAAGAGGTGGCGTCACGCCTGCGAGAGTAGTCGTTCGCAGAAGCTTGGGTGATGTGGCCGGCTGTGTAGTGTTCGGCGAGGCGGAAAGCGTGGGTATGCGGTTGTAATAGTCGGTAAGTCTCGTGAGATGCTCGCTGAAGAATCGCCGTCGAAGAAATACGCTGCCGTCAAATGCGCCCAGATGCGAGCTCGTCGAGCTCTTGCTCAATGACTCCCAACCCCATGCCTATCTTGAACGATTCCAATTCGCGGCGAAGGCGAGTATGTACAACAGGTCTTAACGCACGCCAACTGCCGGTCGCGGTCCTAAACTGCTGCTAGAGCTGTGGGCGCTCGGTTCCGAGTCGAGCGGTGCGGAGCGATTGCTATCACCACTGCCCGCGCTAGCGCTCGCGGAGCCAGTCAGACTGCGTACTTGACCACTTCGGTCGTGTTTGGGCGGGTATAAGTTGCTCACCCCTGTTTGCTCCTCAATCTGCTGCGGTGCGACGTGATTGCCGTGCCCGGGTGGATGGCGTGGAACCGGCTGCCTCATGCCTGGCGGACTAGGCCGGCCGTTTGGGCCGGACATCATGCCGGGTCCCGGTGGTGGTTGTCCATATCCATTGGGCGGAGACGGGCGGAAGGGTTGCCTCTGCTGCCCTGGGCTTAGAGGGTTGCCAGGGCTCTGGCTGCCGCGACGATTCATTGGCGGAAATGACCCGGGTGAAGGGCCGCCAAAACCACCTGGTCCATGAAGCTCGTTCAGACGCTCAGCCGTGAGTGAGTTACTGCGAGATTCTACGCCCAAGTTGGACCGGTCAACGATGCCATAGCGATCCGAGGAGTAGCCCATTAATGGGTTGTTGGACAGCTCTTCATGCACATTCGGCATCTGGGCCATCATGGCAGCACTGGTACGGTTCTTCACGGATGGTCGTTTCCACCCACCACGGCCGCCACGCATGGCCGGACCGTTCATGCCGTCTGGATTGTTGCGAAGTTGGCTCGCACTAGGAGCCTTCCGTGTTCTCCGAGAGGTCACGCTCATCATGTCAATGTTGTCAACCTCACCCGGCGGCATTTGCGGGCCAGCCATAGGATCGAAGTATTCCGCACCCTCTTCGTCATCATCATCATCATAACCACCGCGAGGTGCTTGTGGTGGCGGCGGCGGGCCTCTTCTGCGGCCCATGTTCAACTCCCGCTCACGTAACGCCAATTCCTTCTGTCGCAATGCAAGCTCACGCTCTCTGAGAGTAAAGTCGGAGGCAGATGCAGCAGCCATGGGATCGTAGCCATCCGCCGCTTGGCCCTCCGGTATGTCATCGTAAAGCATCAGGTGGCTGAACTCCTCCAGGTCACCGCCTTCGAACGACGGCCTCCGCGACAGCTGCTGAGGCCCACGGGGTCCATAGCCATTACCATTGACGCGTGGCGGGTAGTTATGCATTGACGGCGGGCCTCTCCTCATGGGAGGAGGGCCGGCCATGGGTCCAGGTCCTCGGCTAGCAGGGCGCATCACACCTGGTCTTTGTTGCGGCATGCCATTCATTGGTGGAGGGCCATTGCCGCGAGGTCCTTGAGATGTAGACATCCGGGGTGCCGGCGGCGCCTGTGCTTGTTGTCCATCCGGCACGGCAGCGTGCGATGCTTGTGGTTGTTGCGGTCGTTGCTGGTTTACAATGTTGATGTTGTGTAATAGCGCATACATGGTTTCGATGCGCGGGACTTGCATGCCTGCCTCCTGCGCAAGCTTGATTGGTGAACCGAGATAAGTCTCGACTTCCATGGGCCTCCTGGAGGTGAAGTCCTGGTACATGGTGCTCGTCGGTTCGCTCGAAACAACCATTTGCTCCATGACTTGCTCCTTGAAGCTCGATTTGAAGTTACAGCCCTGCGCTTTGGCTAGAGCCATGAGTTCGTCAATCACGCCACTGATAAGCGAGCGGACGCCGACCTTTTCCAAGAGGTCGGCGTGCGACGGAGTTTCGAAAACGATGCTTGCAGGGTGGAAGGCAATCGGCCTACGGACGGTCAGTAAGTTGACCGAATACGGAATGGGAATAAAGCGCTTACCCTATCATGCGGTCGTACTGCTGTTGTCGGATGTTCGGGGACACTTCGCAATCGACCTGACCAGACTTCAAGGTCATCGCAAGCGCCTCGGCCATGTCCGTTTGTATTGATGCCGGTATAGATGGGTTCGTGTTCGCCGCACCCACCCACAATTCCGTAGCGCCCTTGTGCTCAAATTCGCTGGCGCCGATTTGTGTGATCTCTGCTCCGGACACCAACGAAAGCACAACGTTGGTTGGGAAGCGCTGCTCCAGATACGACTCGATGCCGAGAGTATGTGTAGTATTGACGAGGATGCAGGTATGCTGTGGAGACACCACCGACTCAATGACGGAGGCAAGGTCGTAGACGTCGGGTAGCGCTTTTACGCAAAGGACGACATAATCGAATGACGCTCGGGAGGCTCCAGCGGCCTCTTCGGGTGTTCTGACCACTGCGGAGACATTAGCAATGACGGTGGTCTCACCGGTCAACGGTAGATGCGTACCATGTCTCGGCTTGAAGCGCTCATTGCCGAACTTGGGAGACCTGTCGCATTATCAGAACGAGACTTGTGACGAATGCATGGCTGTGACCGTGCTCTTGCCGTACCTGAATGATATCCCGTACTGCGAGACCTGTTCATAGCCGCTCTTCCACACCAATGTCACGTCGCATGCATTGGTCGCTGAAAGTCGCCAGGAAAGAAAGGCCGACACTGCGTTGCCGCCCACTGCGCATACATGCTTCGTCAGTAACATGGTCACCCAGAACACGCCAATGCGGCTTGGTTATGCGGTCATGTTAGGTGCTGCTGCGTGCGGCCGCAGTCAAGATTTCGAGCAGAGCTTATCAAGCGGAGACCCGACAACCAGGGCAGAGAAAGTGTGGTGCAAGTTATTTCACGCACCTGAAAGGATCCTCAGGCGAGGAGTCGAGGGCACCATGGTGAATGCGTGTCACTTCGCCAGCTTTCCTGCGTGCAATGAGTCGCCTGTCACGGCGGAGGATGGAGATGGAGCTTTGCGGCCTGCGAGGCTTGTCGTCGGGCTTGCTGCAGTGGTCTGCACCCGGCCGCGTCACGGCTTTCAGTAGTGCCCGATGCCGTCAACCTTTGCTTTCTTGTGGGCGCGCGCCTCGGCGTTGCAAAGCTTATCCAGAAATTGGGGGGTAAACGAGCGTGGTGGTATGTCGGGCAATACCAGAGTCGCCGCGAGAGTAGCCGTGCTGGGCGAGTGGTGAGAGAGTGGCCGCAGTATGGAAACGGCAGAAGGAGGGAGCCAGTGGATGATGATGTGGAGAGGCGCTAGGGCAGTAGCTGATCGCTCAACGACGCTTTCCCGCTATTGGCCGCAGGCAGTAGGGAGGCGATTGCTTTGCAATGTCCCTCTGCATGCACGTCCAAGTGCGTTGCAGGCACAAAGCGTTCTGTGTTGGCGAGAAAGAGTGTCACGGGACGAGGCGCCTGTCCAGATGTCGCCGCCCGCGTGGCAAGGTGGGCGTGGTTTGCGATATCAACCTCAGACGATGAAACAGTCGTGGTTTACCAAGCGGGAAGAGGCTGGTCAAGCAGCACCTTAATTGCATTCAGCATAGTCCGCGCCCGGACATTATTACTACGACTACGCACAACAGTCCCGTATGAGGGTACGCGATATTCGCCTGTCATGAATTCTGAGCCCCCTGTGGACCTCAGCAGCGGCATCAGCGCGGGTATTTGAAACGGCCAGACGTGCGAACTCCAGCAGGCGTCGGCTTGACACTCATCCGCCGCCCGCTCAACTTACACCGATATGCTAGCAACACTGGGATTGGCTGACGGACTTGATTTTGTTCAAGTCTTATGATACCGCATCGTGCAATACCCGTTCAAGCTATTGCACAAACAGCCGCACGCCGAAAACAACCCGACATTACTGGGATTTCACGATCGTATTTACCGCCTCCTTGAGGCCTACAATAGTCAGTAGACTTGACAAGTTATGCGCCTGCCTTATCTCAAATGCTGCTGACGATGACCGCGGTGGCTTGACTAGAAGATAGTGAATACGTCCATGCTTTTTAATGAAATAGACGCCGGGAGCAGCGGCTTCCAGGTTGTCCGAGCAGTTGCCTTTCAACGGCTGCCCAGTCCTGGTGGCTTGACGGGACAGGAAACGTGCAGGCATCATCGCGCCGCTGGTGCAATCCTTTTGTCACCACTGCGATGGTATGATGTCGCAGCGGAAGCATGCTTAGTAGTGCAGGTGCGTCTTTGCCGCTTCATCACAATGTAATGGCGCTATGGAACGATAGAAGCGAAGGGGCTCCTTTTCGGGATCCTAGATGTAGAAAACGACATCCCTGCCGCACTACGCCTTAACAGATGCTCCCCTTGGGCGGGTCACATTCCTGCGATCCACTTCGGTGTGAACTGCTGCTTGACCCCTGAGCAGAGAAAAGCGCTTCCGCATCCTACAATTGATTTCGTTGATGCGAGGAAGACTCGATGCCGCTCGATGGTGGGCTTGCAAAGTGCGTAGCAATGCAAGAGACATAAATAGCAATGTCCACCGCCTGCATATTGATCGACCTTCTCACTGCCGTCTACGGCACATCAGTCCAACAAAATGCTGACTTCCGGTCTTGGCTCCGCCGGTCGATCTGTTAGAGCTTTGCTGCTAGCGGCTTTCGCGCGGAGCCGTTTCGCACTTTATTGCATGGTGTCATTATTCATAGTTCAAAGTGGTGATGCCATGTCTACCGTGGCCTGTCGGCCCGTCGACAGTCAAGCATTTAGTCATTGGACGGTGGACTTGGGTTCGGAAGACCTGAAACCGCGCGAATTCTCCGTTCACTTCAGCACTGGAGGCTATAGCCGATCGAATTTATGTCCGCGCTTACGTGACTCGCGCTCGGATGAGTCCGGAATATGTTGTGTACTTCACGTTAGCGTAAGCGTAGGCCTCTAACTTGCGATAGCCTCGACCACGCCGTCTTGCCACGTTCTGGAGGGAGCACTGCCATATCGCCACCACTTGTCCAGCAACAAAATAACCATCATTCCAGTCATTGCTGGTCACCTTTCGCTTACCATGTGGTGCCACTTCATAGTCATCAATACACAAGCTGCTTAAATTACGCTTAAAACGCCACGCTATATTCTCCTTTCCTAATCGGCGTTCGCCACGTGAATATCGGCGTCGTTCCCTTGCCTATAGCGAATCTCCCACTCTTCGAGCCGGCACCTGGCAACTGTTCGATTTGGGATCCACTGTGCCCCCTCTAACAGGGTCTGCTACCGCTACAGTCGACATGCGACACGTGATATTCGAGCAGTCAGGGTCCACCGAACAACCGTCGCGGACGTTATACAAGGATGAATGGCCCAGTTGCCTGCCGTTTGACAACCCGCAGGACCGATCCACCCATTTCCCTGCGCCTGGCAAGGTGGAGCATCCGCATGCATACCAGTCTCGGCAACCTGGCGTCTCCAGAGTGTAACCAACACCCGTCCTGTAAGATGAAAGCGACGTACGGTTGTGGGCCTGCGCTATCCGAGGCGGCTCGTTCCGTCGTTCCACGGTGTGCACAGGTGAAGTGAGTATGGCTAACAAGCGCGCAGCAAGAGCGAGAACCAGCACTATGAGAGCCAGAAAGCTCTCCAAGGACTTCCGATGGAAGTGGTCGTTGACATTCCCCATACTAGAGGATGGCCGCCCCATTACACGTTGCAAGCCGCCCGTTCGGTGCGGTTCCAGGGTTATTCAGACCTGAGCAATAGTCACTCATTCAGCCCTGGCATGTGAGTGTTCGACTGTTTCCTCACGCACCTCGAGCTTACACCGCTCGCACATGCAGTCGAAGGCCCAAACCCGCTTCAAGCGCGCCCTGCGGTCTGCGACGTCCAGTTCTTTTTCGTCACCTCCGAGGTAGGTAATGCAGCATTGCTCACCCTTCTTGATCTCTCTTGTCGTCCAGAATGCCCAGCACCTTCCCATCCGACGCTTCAATAGATTTGGCGAGCACGAGTGGTTGAAGTAGCTTGCATCCGGATAAATCGCATAGCCCATGTACTCCTCGCCGTCTTCGCTGCCAGCACGGATCCCAAAGGCGTTGTGGCTACCTATACTTGCCAGCGTATGGCAAACTTCTGTCGTGCAACTCGACTGAAGCTCGTCTGGAACGAAGCTTGCCAGTTGTTGGAAGCTGGTGCAGTGCATCTGCAGCTCTTTAAAGCTCGTATATGGCTGATCGTCCGGCGCCAGGTCTAGCATTTCAGTCTGCCATCTCTGAGGTGACACGTGATGAGCAAGAACACCGGACAGTAAAAAGCTCAAAATATCAGGCTCAACCGAAACTTGCGGTTTTTGACCATGATTGCTACGCCCACCTTTGAAGCTGCTGGAACTGTTACCTGACCGACGACTTTGCACTTGCGAGTCTGCATTTGACCACTCTTGCCTTGTGGTGTTGGGAGTAGGCTTCCCGCCTACTACCTGCTCACAGATGAGACTCGTAACGGCCTTGTTTCTGCTTTGCACGAACGTTTGAAGAGCTCGCCAAGCATCTTTACCAAGGTCGCCTTGCTGCTCTAGCCATTTAGTGTGACATCTCAAGTTGCAGAACACCTTTCCGATCTCGTTATCTCGCACGGGTCGAGTTCGGCCTCGATCGTACTCAAAGCAGTAGGCGCAGACCTCCTTCCGATATTGTCGGAAAATCACGTGTGCGGCTGGTCCTTCGCTGTCGAGAATAACCGTACCACCAGGTATATCTTTACTCGCGATAACGCCCCGACCAGCGCCTGGCAGGTCCTGTACGACGAAGCACTCGGATGTTGGTGGACCCATTGTAGGGCGCTGCAAAGACTGTGGTTCTCTTAGGAACAACACAAGTCGGTGCACGGGCCGCAGTACATCACAGAATACCTCACACGCACAACAACCTTTCACCACGCATTGCAAGTCATCACAGCAGTCGCAGCAGCGCAGTGTGTACACAAGCGCTGTCGTCTATCTGCAGTGCGCGCCGGATGCACCACCGGTTTGGTAGAGGTGTGGCATTCCTGGTGGCTTTTGCAGCCTCCCGGAACGTAGCCACATACGCTCTGAGGACCATGTTGCGACCACGAACTATTTGCAACCTTTATCGCTGCCAGGTTATACAGAATACCTTGTACCACTGATATAGCAGATGATGAGGTTGGGTATTGGTATCCCACCGCGGTGGTCAAGCCACCCACCGAGAAATGACTGGAATGCACAATTTGTTTTCTTTTCCGCATTGCTCTTCGGTTTGCCCAGAACGTTCCGCTACTACCACGCGTCTCCCCTTCAGTCTCACTGTGTGTTAACGGCTACGCTCTACTTCGGTGCGCCGTCGCAATCATGGCGCGCATTCCGCTCGTCATTTCTGCGTTATTTACCACTGTGATACTTCCGATCGTGGCTGTAGCCCAGATCACGACTACTACGACAACTCCGGACTACGCTTGCCCTGCAGTGAACGGGCAGACAGTTGTCGATCCGAGTGGAGTCTCGTACATAATACAATGCAGCGGGGACACATCCATCGGCAACTATGGGGTGGCTTCGACCATGAATGGATTTGACGACTGCTTCTATAATTGCTCGAACCAGCTGGGTGACGCCTCTGCCCAACCATGCTACTCTTTCACCTTCTGGAGTCCTTTCTTCACCAACGGCGTCGGGCAAGGTACTTGTTTCTATCAGCACCAACCCGGGGGCTCTACGACATTCGTCAGAAGCGACAACTACCATGTCGCCGCTATTCAGGTGGCCCAATACGGTGGCGGAGCTTTCTCACTCGACACGACATCTACGTCGACCTCTTCCACATCAGCCACAGTCGACCCGATGCCTACAACGGCGAGCACGACTTCAGAAAGTGTTCCTAGCTACCCACAAGGTGGCACTTCTAGTTCCAGCAGCTCTACAACAACGGACAGCAGCTCTACAACAACGGATAGCAGCTCTATAACAACGGATAGCAGCTCTATAACAACGGATAGCAGCTCTATAACAACGGATAGCAGCTCTACAACAACGGACAGCAGCTCTATAACAACGGATAGCAGGTCTATAACAACGGACAGCAGCTCTATAACAATGGATAGCAGGTCTATAACAACGGACAGCAGCTCTACAACAACGGATAGCAGCTCTATAACAACGGATAGCAGCTCTATAACAACGGGCAGCAGCTCTACAACAACGGACAGCAGCTCTATAACAACGGGCAGCAGCTCTACAACAACGGACAGCAGCTCTATAACAACGGATAGCAGCTTTATAATGACGGACAGCAGCTCTATAACAACGGATAGCAGCTCTATAACAACGGATAGCAGCTCTATAACAACGGACAGCAGCTCTATAACAACGGATAGCAGCTCTATAACAACGGACAGCAGCTCTATAACAACGGATAGCAGCTCTATAACGACAGATAGCAGCTCTACAACAATGGAGCCGCCAGCATATACTCCATCTACCTCTGGCGGACTAGCCGATAACAACATACCGACAGTAGTGTTGTTGTCTACCTCAAGCATGCAATCAGGATCTTCCTCGAGCTCGTCCGCAATAACCATTCCAACAGTCGGACCATATGCTTGCCCTTCGAATGACGGGCAGACCGTTGTCGACTCCAACGGCCAGTCGTACGTCCTCCGCTGCGGTTGCGATACCTCCAATGGCGACTATCATCAGTTTAGTGCGGAAAGCTTCAATGACTGCTTTTTAGGGTGCGACGACACTACACTAGGTCCATGCTATGGATGGACCTTTCTGTATACACTCAAAACGTCAGGAGCCGGAACGTGCTTTCTCAAGAACTTCGCAACGGAAAGCTTCATCGGGTGTAATGAAGCAAGTAAGGTTGCGGGCATTCGGCCTGCCAATCTAGTAACGGTAACGTCATCCTCATTATCAGTGGCGAGTAAGACGCTATCCGTGGTGTCGTCACCAACTGCGAGCATTCAGTGCCCGGGTGGCTCCGACAACATGCCATATACCGACTCCTATGGCATCGAGTACATCATCTTCTGCGACTCTGACACGCAACCGCCGTCCGACGGTCCGGGTGTTCAGACCCCGGACTTCCCATCCTGTATCAATATGTGTGCAACCCAGGGTCAGACTTGCGTCGCTGTCACATGGAACAACGGCATGTGCTACTTCAAGGAGTCTTTCAGCAACACCGTCTCATCTTCCGGCATTGACTCGGCCGTTCTGCAATCAGTATTGCCACCCAATGACGCATACGGCGATGGCGCGTCGGGCAGCAGCAGCAGCAGCAGCATGTCTTCGACAGTCATTGCATCGACAGCGGCATCAACCGGGTCGAGCTCTTCAGTGATGTCACCGCCAATGGGGAGCAGCACATCAACCACGTCGGTCGGTCCATCTCCATACGCTTCCCAGAGCAGCACCTTTACTAGCTCCACCACCGCAAGCTCGCCAATGGCGCCGAACAATCCGCCAACCACTCCTGGACTCTACACAACACCAAGCGTACCTACTGCAAGTTTCTCGTCGAGCTCATCAATGCTGCCGAATAACTTGTCGACGCCTCCTGGACAGTATACTTCACCAAGCGTACCCACCACGAGTTCGACATTGAGCTCGCCGATAGCGCCAGCAAACTCGCCAACCAGTCCACAGTACACTGCACCAAGCATACCGACTATGAGTTCCTCGTCAAGCTCTCCAATGCTTCCTAACAATCCAGCGACCAGTCCGGGACAGTACACGTCACCGAGCGTACCCACTTCGACTACGTTTTCAAGCCCTCCGATGTTGCCTAGCATTTCTCCAACCAGTCCTGGACAATATACGCCACCAGATGTGGTCCCGACATTAAGCTCGCCAGTGGAGATAAGTACTTCTCCGGCGAACTCAGGACTGTACACTCCTCCAAGCGTGCCCATATCTTCTAGCTCACCCAACAACCCAGACCAATATGCACCACCCGTCGAATCTTATTACACCACCAGCTCGCTCTTGTCCACCTCTCAGCTTCCAGCCTGCGGTGCATCTGCAACCGGAACCGCCACAGCTGCTGGCAGCAACAACACCTGCGCAGACGCCTTCGGCAACACTTTCAACGTCACTACTAATACGATCTACGCTGGCCACATTCAAATCCGCGCCGCGAAAGCCAACCTTGGGAGCTGTCTCACCTTCTGCGACACCACACCCGGTTGTAGGGCTGCCAACTACAACCCCACCACGTCACAGTGCGAACTGCTCGACACCGTCACCGGTACTACGACGGTGACGGGCACCGGTCCGCCTGTGCAAGCTGCGACGCGACCCGTGGACGTCGCTACCGTGTACACAGCGCCGCCCAGTGTTGCTGCGATGACTACAACGAGCTCCAGCTCTGGTTTCTATGGCATTAACACACCTGGTCCGGCCTATACAGGCGACCTGAACGGAGTTAGTCCCATACCATCGAGTAGCAACACACCGGCTAGTGACGCAACGATGAACGGAGGCGGTTACGTGCCGCCGAATGCGAGCCTGAGCGGACCTTCCCTCTACAGCACTACTCCAACGCCCACGTCAAATGGTGGTGATTCTAATGTTCCCACGTATCCGAGCGGCAGCCAGGGTACAAACTCCGTCTCACTGGTCAACAGCGTCACACCTGCGAGCGGAGGCGGCAACACAGGCAGCATGCCAGGAAAGTACACCACAACGAACGGCGTGTCAGGATACGAACAATCCTCCGCTTCCTCGAGCAGCAGCGGTGGAGGACCGTCCTTCATAACTAATTACGGCCCCGGTCCCGCAACAGGAGGAGTAGGCGGCGTGAGTGGCTACAATAGTGGCGGCGGCGGTAGCGCAAGCTCATCCTCCAGCTTTCAAGGGACAAGGACCGGCGCCACAATCGTCAGCTACAGCCTGAACGGATCATCCGCTACCGGCAGCTCTTCTACGCCCACCGCAGCCGTCTCGGAGGGTCCACCATGTCCTGCCTACAATGGCGGCAGCTATACGGACGAGAACTACGCGACATACTCTGTGTCCTGCAATGAATCCTACACCGGCACGACATACGCTTCCTACAGCTCAAAACATAAACGCCAAATCTCTGTTGAACACGACGCCGACAATTTCGCACAGGCTTGTATGGCGCGCTGTGATGCCGTAGAAGCCTGCGTCGCTATCTCCAGCACGAGCACAGCCTGCACATTGTTCAGCAGCGTTACCGGTCTGGCTACTGAGGATGGAAGCGTAGCGGCATTGAAGGTGACTGCACCTTCAGGAGCATACGGAGGAGGAGAGGTGGTCACGGTCACGATTTCGTCTTGTCCGACGCAACGGACGAGCACGCTGACAACGACGGCGACGCTGACGCAGACGTGTCCGGCGAGTGGGTGTGAGATAGTGGGGATGGGACGATTGGATGGGGAGGAGGTTATTGGTTTTGAGCCAATGTGATAGTACGCGTAATGTTTGGCATCTCGTAATAGTGATGTTGTTTCTGGTAAGATGCGGGCTGTGGCATGGTAGTTGCATGGGTGGGGTAACGAGTGGGTAGTAGGTAGTTTGCTGAATCAGTTGTAATGCAAGCTCGAAAACGCTGCTCAACACATGTAGTCACGTCATTGCCCTAGATTGTGCTCAGAACGTTATGGGTCGGGCCAAGGCATCGAATGCTTTAATTGCATACTGCACACCGTGCCGAAGGTGTAGATAGTTAGGGTCAGGTCCGATCCAGGCCAAGAACCAAAGCCAGGGTATCCAAGGGCGCCAAACACCGGTTTGTGGACATCGTTCACCATCACCGCAAACACTCACAAACCAAGAACAGCTTCTTCAAAGCCAATCCCTCCCACCCCAACCCTTCCGCCTCTTCTCCTCCCCAGGTAACCGCATAGCCTCCACCTCGGCCCTAGTGACACTCCGCCACTCATCCACCGGCAACCAGCCAATCCGCGCCCGATCTCCAAACCCGCCAAACCAGTAAATGTGCTCCACCACGAAGCGCATGTACTGGCTCGTGTGAATGTCGTTACCTGGCTGCCATAAGGCGCTATCCGGATGCGCCGCCATGAAGCAAGCGGGTACCACGTGTCGGGCCAGGTCTGCGGCGGAGATGGGCTCGAGACGGCCGTGCAGGCTGAATCGAGGCAGTGCGGCGGGAGTGTGTGGGGTGGGAATGTCTTCTTCTTCTCGTGAGGATGAGAAGAGGGAGGAGAGGTAGGAGTTGGTTTGCGTGGGCCACCAACGGATGTGCATGCTGATATTGCTCCCGGCCGCGTAGTTCTTGTATGGTGATGCTATGTTGATGGCGAGTAATGTGGGATTGCCGCTCGCAGGCTCGCAGTCGGCGTAGTATTCCATCAGGCCTATGGGGCTACCAGCCATCTCTGGCGGCCGGTTCTCCCATGTGGTGAGTTGCTCATCGTCGGAGGCGTTGCCGCTAAGGATGGAGTGGAGGGAGGGGGCGGGGAAGGTGGTGATCAGGGTGCTAATGGAGGAGAGGTGCATTATTCGCCGGGCCATGACAGTGCTCTCATGGATGGTGGGGATGTGGTAGTCCTCATCTTGCACTGGGCCTTGCAGAGTCTCCTGGGTATGTTCGGAGGGAGGTAGTAGGTGAGCTGATGCTGAGGCAATAAGGAGTGCAAGGGACGCTATTGAGGGAAGCATTGTTGCGCAGGAATGACAGTTGTGCTGCGGCTATTCTACACGCTTTGCTTAGAAGACATACATCTTCGCATCCTCTATCTGTTTGTATGGTGGCAATCACGCTTCAACCGGAGCCGAGGTGCAGCGGCCGCTTCCGCCTCTCGCCGTGCCAAGACTGCCGCACTTACTCCGGGTATGGTAGGCGGAGATGGCATCAAATTCGCTCCATCAGTCATCGACAGTCACCTCATCAACATCCGCCACCAAATACAGCGCACTCAACGAGCAACACCGCATCCACAATAACCCGCAAACATGGGTAAAGTTCACGGTTCGTTGGCGCGTGCCGGTAAGGTCAAGTCGCAGACACCAAAGGTACGATACCATACTCCTGACTGGACACCAGCAATTGGGCGATGTGCTGTTGAGGGACAGAGTTGCGAAGGAAGTCCGGTAAGCTAACACGGTGATGAATAGGTCGAGAAGCAGGAGAAGAAGAAGACGCCAAAGGGCCGCGCGAAGAAGAGAATCACATACACTCGCCGCTTCGTCAACGTCACCATGACCGGTGGCAAGAGGAAGATGAACCCCAACCCGACTTCATAGACGCCAACTTCCTGATGGGGGAGGTTTGAGATGGTTGCAGAAATGCAGAGTCCAAGGATGAAATGAGGGGTGGGATGTCGCATGGGGCTGGCGTTCGGTGACGGGATGTTCACGGGGCCACATTGTCTCTAGAGCTGCTCAGCTGGACGAGGTATGCTGAAGGGACCCTTAAAGATGAGGTCGGTGACTGTGCGGAGCATGAGGCTGCGCTTTTCGCCAAATAGCCATTGACTCGCGATCAAACATCCAACCCACTACTCTTTGTGAACATACAATGGATCGCCATCGCTTCAGTGTAGTAGACAGGACTGCAAACCCAATGCAGATGACATGTCGAATGCTTTAATGATCCGGAGTACAATCCTTCAGAAACGCGAAGTATGAGGTTGCCGACATTATTCGTAATGCTGACCATCATGTGCAACATGGGTATATGTACGATCGAAGCATGGCTACGTCCGGATCACGACCTTAATATCCAACGCCTTCGCCTCTCTAATACAGCACGCCAAACACGTCCGCCCGCTCTTCCCGATTAACGCATTCTCGCCGACTTTCGAGCACCAGGACCGGCCCAGCAACTCCAGGTCATGCAAGCCACGGCAGTCCAGCACCACCACTTCGTTTGCGTCTGCGTTCGCGCTTGCCAGCTCGCGGTTGCCCGCTAGAACTCGCGGCAGCGTGCCCGGTTGTGAAACCAACAGACTCGTTGCCGGTACGATGCTGAAGTGGTAGTCTACGTGTAAAGGATGCGCGGGCGGAGCGGGTAACTCCTTCTCCGTGCGCGATGACATGGGAGAGCGAGGTGAGTCGACGGGCCTAGCTGTTGTAGTGCCGCCAAACTCCATAAGTGTTTGCGCACCGGCCGATGAGATCGACGAGGTCGCCCGTGAGTGGCGTCTTAGGCTAGTGTGGACACTGTCGCTTGCATTTGGAGTTGTCCGGACACTGTCACTTGCATTTGGTGTCCGCGGCACTTTCCACGCTGCCGTCTTCGGAGGGTGGCAAGGGTATGATGCGACGAATTGTATGTCGTACGTCAATGGTATCTCCAATGGAGTCGTTGCTGCTTTATTGGCTACTAGGATGAACGTCAGATGGGCGACGGATGTGCTCGCCGCTTCCAGTGCGTCTGCTTCGGAGCGGACCAGCTCAAAGCTCGTCTGCGAGTGTATGAAGGTGATGCCTTCGTATGTGACTTCGCTGCCTATCACTGAAGGGCTGTCGGTTGGAATGGTGAAGTCATGCGCTTGTAGCGAGGAGACTGGCGTGCCGTGGAATGGGTCGGAAGCTCTTGAGATGGCTTCGGTATCCTTGATCCTGACTGTCTCCGCGTCTGCCGTAGGTACATCCTTGACGTCCAGATTCACCCAGCCATCTGCCAACACCTCTGCGTTGCGGAAGGTCAGCGGTACGGAAACCCATCCCATGCACTCAACAGCGCCCTTCGAGGCAGCAAGTACTCTGCCCGCCACGCAGCCCTTGCTCCAGTAACTGCGCCCTTGGTAGACAAAGCCACCGTACAGGTTCGCGGAGTCACCGAGGGCCTCAATAGCCTCTGGACTGTTCTCGAGCAATGTGCTGATCAAGAAGTGGCCGGCAGGCTCTCCAGGCAGCACTAAGCCTGACAGCCAAGAGCGAGAGAGCCAGCCGCCGACTTCGAAACCAGTACGATCTTCGTCGAAAGTGACAGCAGCAGTAGCAGTCAGCAGTTGCATGCTACTTGCCGTCGTCATGCGGCTGGGCCCTGGTCTACGCGTATGATCGAGCAAGCCGCCAAAATAGCTGGTCCTGTTCGCACTCGGCGTGAAGGCTGGATGCATGGGACTACTGAGCGGTGTCGCATAGATGCTGAAGCCGCTCACAGGCCGTACGGTGGCGTTTGTTCTTCGTGCAACAGTCTGGGGAGTTTGTGATGAGCTCTCACCCAGCTTCGCTGCGAGCTCCAGTCGTACATCCTCCGAGTGCGGCCATTGGAGCACCCGAGCGAAATGCAATAGGCCGTCCAATTGCTCATCTGCCCTTTTTGGTAATATGACGGGTGTATGGGCGGCGTTAGCTGACCCGGTACCACCAATTGTCATGTTCTCCAAGAATGTCTGCGCAAGCAGTACGTCCCATTGGAGCTTCCTGCTGTGTGCAGCGTAGATGCCGGCTCGTTCGTCCTCAAACACCATCCACCCGGCGCTGTTCAGAGCTTCCAAGCGAATCATCAGCTCCGCCGCCAGCGTGATCTGCAAGAGCAGTATGTCGCGTTCAGACAGCTGCTGCTGTGGTTGTCCATCAAGCAATGCCGCTTCATCCTCCCCGCTCTTCCACAGCAGCTGGCCCACACGGATGCGCCACTCGACCTGGCTGAAGTCATGCCAGAGCTCGGTTTCGCCGAGGACGCGCTGTAGGGCCGAGATCTGGGTCTTGAGCGTCACGCTACCTGTACCGGCTCCTGTCGTGCCAAGTTCAGGATCGAGGCGCTTGGCGAAGAGTTCCTCGCCCATGTCTGCCACCTTCTCTTCGGTCCATGTTCGAACTCTCTCCGCAGCAGATTGACTCCGATGTACACTGTATATATGACCAAGCTCTGTCAGACGGTCGACAACAGTCTCTATATCCTGCTCTCGCAGCCCAAGCTCCTCCGGCTCGGTGGACAGCAGCTTCCGCTTTTCAAACAAGACAGGCTCGTCCGGGTACTTCGCGCTATCTGCGATGGGCAGCTGCAGGAAATGCTCGAAGCCGGTCGTGCCGAGATCCAAGCCGTTGGCGCTGAGCATGTTGGGAACCTCCAACATGGAGCCTCCAGGCCGCTGATTCGCCGTGTCATGACGAGATATGAGCGCCTCGGCACCCGTCTCCCTTGTCCTGTGCAGTCCAAGCGTACAAGCTGCGAAGCTCGGGTGTCCCAGGTCCACATAGTCGTGCGCATACTTCTTGCTCTCTTCCGCGTTGCCGCCTCGGAAGATGACCTGCGGTCTCCAGACACGGCCGCGTTCGACCTCTTCGACGGCGATGTGCGGTGCTCCGACGAACATCGACTCGACCTCCTCCTGAGTCGAAGAGTTGAGGTCGACATTTTCGCGACTGAAAGGCGTGTGATCGACCGCATTGCAGCTCATAGACTTGGGATCTACCGCGTCCTGGCTCAGAGGCTGAAGATCGACCTCCTGTGAGCTCAAAGGCTTGTGATCGGTTTCCACCTCGCTCCCATCAGAAGGCGATGATAAATCCGGATCTAAAGCTGGCGCTCTCGAAGTCACCTTCAATTTCTGCTTGATTAGAAAGTTCGGACTTTGTATCTTCGTGCCATCGTCACCCGTCGACCTCATAAGGCGATCCAGTACATCATCGCTAATGTCGAAAGACTGCACATGCCGGGAGTTACGCTTGGGCGAGAGTTCGGGCTTCGCAACGCGGGCTTTGCGGCCATGTGGGCGGGCTTTGCGTTCGCGGTGCGGTAACCTGGCTGTCTGGTAGGTGTGGCGGAAGAAGTCTTGAAGTGCACGCTTCTTGTTCGGCCTCGGCTCATTGCTGGTGTCCAGTGGGTTCGCATTGTCGCTCGAAGGACTCGGAGTCTCATCGTCATCCGTATTGAGCGCTGTTGTATGGACAGCAGCCTTCGACTTCTTGTGGCGTAGGGTGGGCATCTTGAATGCCATCCCTCGAGTCTCTGTTGGCATCTCGTTTTCTCTCGATGCATGGGGAACTTGAAACGATGTGCGGAACTTCATCGTGTCTGCAGAACGAAGAACTGCAAAGCGCAAGGAATAGAGGGAAGAGAGAAGAGCTCAGGAGAACACCTACTTCTAGAGCGGATAATGTAGTATTGGCGCAATAGCCAACCCCATGGCAGCCACGCAATCACCCACGTTCAGCTTAACGTCGCCATGAGGGCTGTACGCGGCCCAAAACCTGGTTCTTTCGGAGCCAAGAGGCGTGGCGGAGTGGGTGTCGAAACCTGGACAAGGAAAAGCGCAGCTGGGTTCGAGCCCCACCGCTTTCACTTGATAGCAACGGGTTTGCGCACGCGCAAATCGAAGACTCGCTTATCGCTCTTTCAATGCCGCCGAAACACGCGTTGCGCCACGAAGTGTCAACGTGAGACATTGAACGGGTGAACGTTGAAGTAAGGGAGATTGGAAGGGGTTCCTGCGGGGTGACCGCTTAGTCAGATGATAATGGTTCCTTGTGATGGACTTCGTGGTCTATTCCTCGAGGTTGCGAACACTCTTGGGTCTATAGGTCCCCTCGAGCGATCGAGCTGCAGTTGACTTAGCTCTCTAACGTGCGCTTTCAACATGCCAGTCAGCTTCTTTCCCTTAGCACCACCAGCCGCCCGGTCATGCTCCGCCCAGGCCCACAATGTAGGTTCTAAAGGATCGATCACAGGCTCCATGGCGTTTGGACTGTCTGTTGGTCTGCGAATGACCACCAGCAGATTTTCGTTAAGGATCGTCCGGACGACGTCCAGGTCACATGCACAAGAACAGACAGCGAAACGGATTAGCTCCGGGTCTGGTTCCAAACCCATGCTGAACAGGCCTTTTAGGGCGTCGGGTGATGCATCCTGCACCGCTCGTCGCAGGCCTGTCATGCCATATTCAGTATATCTGGGGCTCTCTTTACCGATGTAGCATGTCGTCACGATGGATTCGAGATATCCAAGATTGTCGGAGGTCCACGGCCCAGTGATCGCTCGTTTAGGAGGCAGAAGAGCGCCAGACGGTCGAAGCTGTGCAAGCATTGCCTGGAGACGAGGGACAGTACTGCACTGCCGCGAGTCATGCCGAACGCGGTCATCCTCCGTCGGGGTGAATGTCAAACACCACTCTGCTTCGACCCAGTCTCGGAAGAAGGCAAACGTCATGAACCGACAGTTGAGAAGTCGTGAGGCGGCCGCAAGGTCTGAATCTTTTGCTCTGGCACGGTCGGTACCTCGAGCAAAGCCAAGCACTGCGCGCATAGTGCGAGTAGTGAGCCGAAGGTACATGTGCTTGCTACATAATTGCAGTTTGAGCTCTAAGGACGCGAACGGCAGGTTGAGATTCCCTGAATACTCGAAGATGTCCTGCAGTATCTCTGTGGGTAGCTGCTCAAGCTTGGAGAGCTCCCGTGGGGGCGCTTTCCGCTCCCGTGAGGGCTTCGAGCAACTTGCAGTCGAGACGGTGGAAGCCGGAGTGCCGTCTCGAGTGGAGCACTCAGGATCATGATTCCGCGCGACTTTTCGCTTCTTAAATGAGTGCCACTTCTCCGCTTCCGAGGCGCCTCGTTTGCCGCGAATCTTGATCGGTGTCAATGGCGACATTCTCGCGATTACCAAGCCGCAAAATACAAGCGACTGATCTACATCGATATTGGTTTGCCTACGATAAACCGGTTAGCGACTATCGTTACTTGGAACGAGGTAAGAGATAGCGATTCGATTGAGACTCAGAGATCTTGGTAGTTTGGTAGTGATCATCCCCGCAGGTCAACTACATTTCTAGCGTTTTGTGCATCATGCGAGAAACAAGAGGCAATGTAGTCACACATACCAGCGGTTTAAAGATACAAGGCGAATGGAGTCGGCTACTGTGCGCTGGGTCCTTGTGGCGGGAAGACTTGGCCTGTCGATGGGTCAGTGGTCTTGCCTCTCGGTACAGATCGAGCAGATCGGGTGGACGAGGCTATGAGGTCAGAATATGTAAGAAGAGGAAGATCAGATTGACCGGACTGTTATGAGAATCAGGCGTGAAACTCCAGCACCGGCCATCAGTCGCAAATTATGTCATCCTTGAAACGAAAACAAAACCGGCCATCCTTACCAAAGACTGTTTCGAGGGTTAGTAGTAGGTTGGATAGCTGGGCACAGCAATAGAAGCGTGAAGTGAAATGTTTTAACGACTCTTTTGCGCATGTAGCGATGACTCGCGGTACAACGGCGCGTGCCGCTGCCGGCTCGACGTCAGGCTTGGCGCTTCCAGGTCCCGAACTTTCTTCGGAGGCTTCTTGCATGAACGAACTGATCGGTAGGCCTCCATTAGCGATGCGAGCCAGCAATGGCTTACAGGCCCCGTCGAAAGCACTCTTGCGCTTCCTGCGATCCCAGCTCAACTTACAAGCACAGTCATGTAGCTCGGTAACAACTTGCCAGAGACACTCAGCTAACGTGCCCTTAAGCCGCCATTGTCGTGCATTCTCCTCGAGCCCTACTATATGTGCAGCCTTCATCACGAACAACGACCACTTCAAATGCCGTGACAGACGCCTGCGTGGGCGACGAGACTTGACAACAACCTCGTCACTGCGCGAAGGCTTCTGGCGCCGCTTGAGGTCGCAAGGGAAAGATCCTAGGGACGATCTCAAGCAAGGCGACTTACCACCATTACCTGGCTTTTTGGACGACAACGCAGGCCTTGGTGGGAGGAGCATCAAGCCGGCCAATGATCTCAAGCTGCGATGTACGGAGCTGGACGAGAATGGGAATGTTGTACTTGTCAATGGAGAGTACAAGAAGAGCGAGCTCATAGCGAAGTACTCGCTCTTGACGCGAGATCTGCGCAAGATCGACAGCTCTGTCCTACCACACATTCTCATTCGACATTCTGCGATTCTGATAAATCTTCTCCACATACGATGCTTGATCAAGCATAACCGCGTCCTTATCTTTGACGTATACGGCAGCCAAGACTCTTACGCTCAGAGCCTTTTCATTTATGACTTGGAGGGGAAACTGCGGCAGAAGCAGTCATCGGCCGCGGCTGGTGGCAATTTGCCGTACGAGTTCCGCGCGCTGGAAGCGGTACTCGTGTCAGTCACGAGCGGGCTTGAGAGTGAGTTCGAGGGTGTCAGAGAACCAGTTGTGCGTGTGCTGCGAGACCTTGAAGAGGACATTGATCGAGATAAGCTCCGCCTTTTGCTCATCTACAGCAAGAAGCTAGGCACGTTCGAGCAAAAGGCGCGGCTGGTCCGTGACGCGATTGACGATCTTCTTGAAGCTGATGATGATCTGGCCGCGATGTACTTGACGGAGAAAGCTCAGGGTCACGAACGCGAGGAGGACAATCACGAAGACATCGAACTGCTTCTGGAATCGTACCATAAGGTCACGGACGAGATCGTGCAAGTCTCATCTAATCTAGTGTCTGCGATTCGCAATACGGAAGACATCGTCCGCGCAATCTTGGACGCAAACCGCAACTCACTTATGCTGCTCGACCTCAAATTCACCATTGGCACGCTTGGTATCACCGCAGGTATGTTCATCGCCGCGCTCTACGGTATGAACCTGGAGAACTTCATCGAGGAGACCAACTTTGGATTCTTCGGCATTTCCGGTCTGTCAACGTTGATTGCGATCCTCGCGTCAATGTATGGTTTACGGAAGCTTCGTGGTGTGCAAAGGCTCAGTATGTGGGGTGAGCGGTCTTCGCGTGGAAAGAAGAACAGGGTCGGTCAAGGCCGCGGAGGCAGAGGCAGCTGGCGCGAGGTCGAGAGCCCGATGGCAATGATGGCCGAGGGTGACCGAGGGCAGAGGCATCTGGGTGAAGCGGTGGCTGGTATTCGGCAGGCCGACCGAATGAAGGCCTGGAAGGAGATGATGAAGGCGCAAAAGGATCCGAGAGCACTGCCACCGCTAGTGCCTAAGCGGTGAGGTGCCTGGCTCGTCAGCCGACATACCCTCCACTCTATACTTTTACACTGTGCCTGCTGAATGTAATCTAAGCGTAGGCGCTGTGGGAGGCATGATCACATAGCGTGTACCATTGGTATCAGCACCATTCCGCAGTGTGTACGTCGACTGCTCACAAGCATTTTACGGACCACCACTTCGCTTTGCAGCCGCCGCAATCAGCTCAGGAACTCTCTCGGGAAAGTGCGAGGATGGCGAATGGTCGCTGTTCGACCACTCGACCTGCAGGTCCCTCACGTGAGCCTCTTCGACTTGCTTGCCAAACGTCACTGGAAGTCACGCTTGTGACTGCTATCCTGCGTGCAGCCATCACAGGGTTCGGCATGCAATCACAGCTTACTTCTTCCCAGTGGCTCTGATGGGGAGGAGGCCACTGCAGCATGCACCACATATAACATGCCTATTGGCACCGTACCAAACTTCTGCGAAAGCTCTCGAGCCGATAACCGCTCATAGTTGGTGACTACGCCGCACCGGGATCTAGCTTAAGGCTGCCAACAGGTTTCTATCGAGCTAGAAGGAATCGCAACTCATTGAAGCCTACTTTCAACATCACTCGGTTTCCAGGTTTCACCTTACACGTCCTTTGATGCGGGACTCGGACGCGCTGTAACAAGAATACGGCGAGCGGCCCTTCCTGCGCCAAGGGACTCTATTTGATGACCATCATGCGCTAACTAGCTATTGAACAGCACTACGACTACGGCAAGGTGTAGTCATACGGAGAAGTCCTAGTTAGAGCTCATCGCGCTCGAGAGCTGGAGGATGTCAGCCTACAACTTGGGTTTGCAGCATTAAGAAGACATACTCTGACTTTCATGGCCGCTCGTCCCGCTTTCACCATGTAGTATATCGTCCGCAATCTTCTCACCCATCATGTAAACTGTCGCTTGCGGCTGACCTGTCACGAGCGTCAGTATATTTTATTAAGAGGAGCGTCATGCTGTAGACGAACCTGGAGGTAAGAAAGGGAAAGCTGATATGTCGACAACCCTTAGACTGTTGACTCCGAACACCCTTGCCTTGCTATCCACTACAGCCATCCGATCATTGCTCAGGCCCATCTTGTTCGTCACCGATGCATGCGCGAAGGTGAAATATTGGCCTTGAATGGCAGACAATATGTCTTCGAAAGACGTGACATTCGGTCCAGGGAAGACTTCACCTTCGGGCGCGATCGCCTTCATTGCGTCCGTCGCCAGCAAATCTCGGATACGTCTGACGGTGGCCACAGCAACTTCCTGGTCCGTTGGGTCCGTAAGCATGTTGGGGTTTATGATTGGTAGGTCGGCCGTGTCGGAGCTATTGATCGTAACCCATCCTCGCGATAAGGGCGCGGTAATACTACCCACGATACCGCCGTAATTTCTTGCGTCTGGCGGCAACGATCCGAACGAAGCTCCAATCCAGACGGCGAAGGACCAGAACATCGCCTCCGGCCAGTCGTCCGGCAACCAGGACAAAGCCTGCTTAGCATGAGCCGAGATCCCGAGCTCCGATCGGTTTGAAAGCTTCTGGAAGGAGATGATATCCGCACCCGCAGATGTAAGATAGCCAGTACGGTCTGAGTTGTAATCCGCAATCGCTTGGGCAAACAAGGCAGGATTGTTTTGATAGCTGGAGCCCGTCGGCAGGTCGGCCGCGACGTTGACTGCGAAGAACGGGTTGTCTTCCATGTTCTGCCCTACGCCGGGCGCATTTCGTACGACAGGGATGTGGTACTTTTGCAGCGTCGCTGCCGGGCCGACTCCGCTAACCATGAGAAGCTGTGGGCTATTGAAGGCACCTGCAGATTGGTTGGTAGGAGAGTCAGCTAGATTCCGGACCACTCGAACGGGATTACAGGTTACTTTACTCACCAGCTGACAGGATCACTTCCCTTCTGGCGGAAATGGTGAAGGGGAGACCACGTGTCTCCACAACAACACCTGTTGCTGTCTTCGTGCTGTCGAAGAGGATACGCTTCGCAAGAGCATGCGTGTAGATCGTGAGCTGCGTTGCTTTCATCGCTAGGTTAATATATGATGTCTGCGCAGAGCTGCGCTCCTGACTCTGCGCGTCGAGGCTGCTGGGCAAAATGCTGTGGCCAAGGAGCTCGCCGCTCTGCATGCCTTGAGTTCGTATAGTGTCACCCGCCTGCTTCCAGCCAAGGTTGACCCAAGTGGCAAACGGCGCGATATAATTCGAATAGCTAAGGCGGTGATCAGCAGAACTCGTCAGGCTTCTGACACTGATTTCAACAAACCCGACCTGCAAAGGACCTTTGCCGAAAACGCTTGCGTCGCTGTATCAGAACTGAGGTCAGTGTCTGCTGGTGTCACGATCGTGCACAGGAAGCCGTACTAATAGGTGGTGGTGTTCGCCATCCGCAGCTTGGTGTTAGGCGGCGTAAGTGTTGAGCTCTGTTTGTAATACGGCAGAACATTTTCCTAGAAGACGGGTTTGATAAGCTAGTGCCTGTGAATCTGTTGGCTGTTGACGTACCCAAGTCCAGCTCTGATCGCCAACGACATCCGCCCAGCGCTGCATTGTGCCTACGGTAGGACGCTGGTAAACCATGTAATTCCTTGCACTGCTGCCGCCCAGACATCGGCCACGAGTATAATGAATGCTGATATTCTTGCCTCCTGCTTGCGGTGTAGTCATGAACTCCCAGTCGATCAGTGGGTTCACGCCTGCCAGAGTCGGACCACTTGAGTAGAAATCATAACCCGGTATTACACTTCGATTGCCATTCTCCAACTCGCTGTGACAGATTAATTTAGCTTCTACGGGTCAGGCATATCACTTACTAGAAACCACCTGCTTCCACGACGGCCACGGAGAATCGCCCGTCTTGTGCTAGACGAGCCGCGACCACTGAGCCTGCTGTGCCACCCCCGACCACGACGTAGTCGTACGTGGCATTCTCGTTGGGCACGCCGAAGCTAGAGCCCACTGGGAGCTGGTTGTGGATGAACTGGGAGTGAACTGACGCCGCAGCTAGGAGGAGAGGGGCCAAAAAACGAGCCATGGTAATTATGAGAGGCTCGAGGAGAGTAGAGGAACTTATAGCTCACCCCTAGAGTACTTTTTCAGCTCAGCCCAAGCCCAGAACCAGTGAGCAGTAGCAAGGTAACCCCATGTGGTACGCCGCGTTGGACGCGTGCTTGGTATGCCGACAGGCGTGAAGGTGGAGCAGTGATCCTACGAAGCTACCCAGTTAGGGTCAAGCACATAGACGTCAGGAAACACATCGAACAGACGACACGGGAGATTGACGGACGCAAAGCATACCGCTCTAGTGCAGCGCTGCGGTTCACGAGCAGTACCTGAATCCCGCAGAGAGCAAGCGGAAGGAGCAACAAGGTTGCGAACGCTGCATCAGCGGCTGAATCATCCAGAACGCGAATGCGTACGCCGATATGATGTGCCACAAAGCATTTTAGGAAAACGCTGCCATCGGAGTGATGGTCAGCTTCCCCTCCATACCCTGATGGCAAGGAAGCTACGCCGCCACGAGCGTTGGATTCCACATCTGGGACCGGGAAGCAAACTTTACATTATGGCAAGCTGGAACTTGTGGTTGGCAACGAACGTTACCGACAGTGCATGTATCTTGTCGTCTTCACGTGGATCTCATCGCTAAATCATAGAATCTTTGAGGGCAGCCAATGTACTCCATTGTGCTGCCGTCACAACGTCCGTCTATGCACCAGTCTCAACCGCCCAAGAGCATCACATCACACTCCCGCGTTTGGGAAAGCTGACGCCCTCAGTCGCCGCCGAGTCGCAAAACCAGCTCACCTTCTCACCGGCACCTTTGTTTACCAAACCGCACGGCAGCTCACTTCCTTCCTCCGTCTCGAAAATCTTCTTCAGAATGTCCTTCTTACCGCCGCCAGTCGCCACGAACCCAATCTTGGATCCATGTAACACGACCGGCAAGCTGAGCGTAATGCGCTTTGGCGGCGGCTTCGGCGAGTCCGATATCGACAGTACCCATGCATCCGTTTCCCGTAGCAGTGGATGGTCTGGAAACAGCGAGCATGTGTGACCGTCCGGTCCGCATCCGAGCAGTATCAGATCAAAGAGCGGTAGCTTGACAGAGTCCCGTGCAGCGAAGACTGATACGAGCTTCTTCTCATAATCATCTGCCATCTCCTGCGCGTTGTCCAGGTACTGCTCATCCACCGTGAAGACCTTTGGCTGCGGCATCTCCTTTGGTATCTTGTTGAGCAGCTCCTCCTGCACAAGCTTGTGGTTCGAGTCTTCGTGCGTGAGTGGCACGCACCGCTCGTCTGCGTAGAAAATCTCCCATTTGTCGAATTCAACCTTGTCCTCTTCGCTGCCGCTTGGAAGCGCAAGGAGCGCCTTAGCTAAAGTCTTTGGCAGTGAGCCACCAGAGATGGCAACGCGGAACACGCCATGCCGTTTGAGCGCTTCGTTCTGCTGTTCGAGGACATACTTGCGGAGGTTCGGCGCAAGTTCTTTGTCCACGTCGGTGAAGGAGTAGAGATTTGGCGGTCTCCCCATGATTGCAAGCAAGATAGTTGGAGTCTGCCTGTGTTATGTTGTCGCCGGTGATACTCACTTGTGGCTCGTTGTGATTCTGTCCAGTCAGTTGCCCTACGGACGAGGCGCGATGAAGATGCGAGATGCTAATCCTTGCCTTATCAATTCCTAGCCTGTGAAGCTATCTGACATGTCCCAAACAGCGAATGACGGCATGGCCTAACACATCCAAACTACTGCGGAAGCTTTTCGGCACGCCGTCCACCTCAACTCAACCAAACGACGAAGCTATCCGCAAGTCTTCCCTTGGGTTCTCTGCGCCCCACTTCCGCCCACTTCGTCGGCGTGCAGCAGTCCGGCTGTGCGCGGATTGGAGCGCGAGGAGCTCGCGCAGGCCATTTCCAAGATCGCCAACATCTCCAATGCTGCTACTTGCTGAGCGTGCCGTTGAGCTAGAAGCTAGATGGTTGCGTCTGAGTGCAGGAACAGGAAGGAGATGCAGCGTCAACTGCCAGACCGTTGGTAAGCTTGGTGGTGTCATGGCAAAGACCGTCGAGTGGTCCATGCTGCTCGCGAGGGTCATTCTCAATACTAACCACTGCCGCTTGCCTTGTCAAACACTACACCGCTGGCTGCCACTAACGTAGTCTGTTCAAGCAACGAAAGCGTTGAACGCTTTTGAGAGGGCGCCGCTAATGTTTTCGGTCGATACCAATCAGCTGTATTGCTAACTAAAACACCTACATGGTCGTATGGAAACCATGCACAACCACTTCAAGAAGCGACGTGTCCCGTTGCAGTAGTCACGGCTGAAGACTGTGGAGTCAAGCACGGTGCGCCGCACGAAATCAAAGACTGAAGATGCACGGCACGTAAACTATGCAGAAATCCTCGACAGACATTGGAAGCTCGGACGACTGCAAGGCGCAGTTCATCGACAACTGTCGTAGCTTGAGTACCCACTCAAGTCGACGTGTTCCGTTAGAAGATCGATCGTCTTGCGGTCACGTTCGTCCCAGTCTCGGTTCGTTTTCGTAAAGCTATGGTCCGGCGGTATCAGTATCAGAACCCAGGCCCTAATCATCTTAAACACTCACATTGTTTCATATGGGTGCATGCTTGAACCCTCCCATAAGCCAGTATGCAGTACATCGTTCGAAGGAGTCCCGACGCACCAATCTAGGAACGCCGTGGTATTCCTACCACTTTCGCCAGCATGAGCCTGGAAGCGACTCTCCATAGCGTACGCACCACCTCCTGCGTCAAGGACCCAACTCGTCATCGCCGTCTCACCATCTCTGATGGCACTATCCATGGACTCGTAACACTTCATTCTTGGCAAAAGAATCTCGTTCAACGTGCGCTGATCGAATGCTAGAATCATACTTTGCACGTGCGGCGGCAAGGGAATGTTGTTCGCGCAGTTCCAAGTCATGCCGACAATTTTCGTCCGAGCATCAAGCTTGTTCCAATATGCATCACTCCAACAAATATCGTTTGCCCATGGAGGGAAAAAGGGGCCTCGTAAGGATGCGTTCAAGAACATGAAGCGCTTATACCGCTTCGCCAAATGTGGTTCGTTTGTGAAGATCTCGTGAAGGCCTCCGAGATCGAAGCAGCGGTTCTCCCGCTCTATAATCCGGACATTTGGTAGGTACCGTAATGTTGCCAAGTCCATGCTGTGCCCTCCGTTGATCATGAGGATGAAGTCTGCTTCCGCGTGTAAACCATGGCGGAGGAAGAAATTGAAGTTTTGCGTCGCTTCCGGCGTCTCGAAGAAAGAGTACAAGACCAGGTCGCGGTTACGGTGCAGTCCGAGCGATCGAGCTAGACTCATGTTCAGCTCCTGGATGGGTTCGATGTGGACGAAGGACTTGAGTGCTATGAGGATGGCTAATGTTGCAAGGATGGCGGTTAAGAGGCTTGGCTTGGAGGATGAAATGACAGCCATTTGGAAACATACCAGAGAGCACGCCCTAAGGCCCTTAATGGGAAGTATGGAAGTAGAGAAGAAGGGTTAGATATGACCGGGAAAGTCAAGCCCACATTCCAGCGCGTCGCGAACGCGCCGCAGTCGTCCAAAAGTCGTTATATGTAGCCATTTTTAGGTGTATCATAGTTGTCGTGTGCCCTCTAGACACGAGCGTACGCCATCGCGCAAGCGTAAGAGCCTGTCCTTACAGTACTGTATGTTCGTGCTCCATCGAGCATTGAGCATTGGGCGCGGAGGTACTTAGGTTCGTCGCTGGGTTGCTATCTTGCTGTACGTACGTACAGTGTCATCTATCATTGGCATCCACTGGAACATGATCCAACATTGCGTAACAAACGATCTGTAAAAGCGTGGCGACAGTGGGATGGTGCGCCTACAAATGCCGAAGGTCTGATAAGGAGAGCTTCGAGATGGTGGATTACAGTACTGATCCCTCGTGCAACCTGCACGTTAATTGTCGTAAACACACGTCTTATTGTCGCCCGACATCAATTGGATCACGACCACCTCATGACCAACAACACAGCGGGTAAATCGGCAATGGTGTAGAAGCATTCATGCGTATCGGCACGTACAGACGCAGCTCACGACCTCGGATCATTGAAGGACACCAATGAACGAGGCTATTAGGATACTATGTGCAGACCATCTGCACCAATGCATGTGGCTATCGGCGACGCCCGAACATGAGAGGCTACGAATTACGTACGCTACTACCAGCAACTTCGCGGACAGTACATTGCCAGTGATACTATATTGTGGCCCGATGTTTGGTAGTCGCTATGGCTGCCTCGACATCAACCGGCTTGCCAACGAAATCGGCGTCCGAATAATCTGTGTCGACAGGTCAGTAAAGGTGGCCTGCGTGAAACTACAATGAGCATACTGATAAGCTGAAGGCCAGGCATGGGTGGTTCAACACTGTGTCCTCTCAACATAAGGATCAAGGTCTGGCTCGAAACGGTCCCTGCGCTATTGAAGAAGCTGAATGTCAAGCACGTGAGTCTGGTCAGCCACAGCGCTGGTACGATGTACCTCCTCAACACCATGTACTATCTCCGCGATATCCTCGATCCAAATGCGCCTTACGTAGCTCTCGCGGGACCATTCGCGAACAAGGAACACACACACGCGACCCTTCCGAGCCTAGGTTCAAGGCTGCCGATATCATGGCTCCATTCTTGGTCCAGTGTGAATCGGTTCATACTCAGCCGGGTTATGCCAGCTACTTCCTGGTCCGGAGGTTTGATAACCTCAACGGCTGAACTGTTCCAATCAGAGCCAGGCACCTCAAACTCGGGCGAGATGACCTTCGCGGAGAAGCTAGGCGTCAGCGAGGAAGTTGGAAACGCAGCCGAGAAGCTTCAGATCAAGTACTTCCTCGCTGAGAATACAGAAGCAGCTACCCAGGAGTTACTGCTTTGCCTGAACAAGGGCGAGGCTGGTTCGTGGGGTATCTGTGAGGATTATTCTGCCTACGTCAATCAACTGGTGCAATCGGAGAGGGAGCGCTGGGAATCGACGCAAAAGGCCAGCCCGGCGAAACTGCGGTTGAAGTTCTTCTTCGCCGAGTCCGACGTTATGATAGGCGAGGGAGGAAGACGGTACGTGGAGGAGTGCTGGAAGCAAACCGGCGTAGGCGACGTGATGGATGTCACCACCACCGTGCTTAAAGGTACCAACCACGACACCTGTATTATGGACCAGAAGAAAGGCGCTTGGCCGACGATTATGCAGGATGTTAAGAAGGGCCGGCACTGACGAAGCACCGTAGTCACGGAGTCTTAAGCCTTTCCACAGACGTCCAAGGCTCATGAAAACCAATCCACGAACCGCGGGGTTCAGTCGCCCCAGCTATGGGTCGAACAATCAAGGCTCCAGAAGACCTGCAGAGCCAGCGGGTTACGATTAGACGGTGCAAGTAGAAGCTCTCTCTACTCTACCGACTAGCGTACGCAGTACCGTCTCAGGCCAATTCATTTTAGCTGGGGACGTCGTTGTGCTCATAATTTGACCGTCGTCGAGCGCAGACCTATGCGAGCTTTATCACATCTATGTTCTCTCATGCAATTTTTACATAGTCAGCACTGAGCCAGTCCTCTCTATCACGCCGAAACAACGCTCCCAAATACCCTCTCTGTACACTGGCCGTGCCGACGTCCAGACACCCATCCTTACGTGTCGTTGATGTTGTACAGTGCTATATCCGAAGTGGGGGTATCTCTTGCTCTTACGCTGTCCGAGTGGCCATTGATGCCGCTCAACTTCGCCACTTGGTGCCTTTTAGGCATACGTGACTCGCCATCGCTGCCGCTGTCCCTAGCAACGATCTCGCCATGGTCGGAGACGTCGACACCGTTCGCGGCCATGCGCAGTTGCGTCTCATCTGCTGTGCCCTTCACCACAGCTTGTCTCACTTTGTCCATCACCTTGAGCTTTGCTGCCTCACCGCGTACCCGTTCGAGATGATCAAAGTATTCATCAGATACCGGCGTGATATATTTGCCGCAGAAGACGCCGACTTCGAAGCGCTGACCCTCCCGCGGACTTTCTTGTGCACAAGCTGACTCTAGGTCGTCCAAGCTTTGATAGATAACAGCATCAGCGCCAATGTGCTCGGCTATGTCATCGCTTGTCCGGTGGTGCGCGATGAGCTCCGACGGCGACGCCAGGTCGATGCCGTAGATGTGTGCATTGGTGATGGGCGGGGCGCAGCTGCTGAAATACACCTTCTTCGCTCCTGCCTCTTTCGCCATGTTGACGATTTCCCGCGACGTCGTGCCGCGAACGATGCTGTCATCCACGAGCAAAACGTTCTTGTCGCGGAACTCAACCGGTATAGCGTTGAGCTTCGCTCGGACGCCGCGTTGTCTCGCACGCTGTGAAGGCATGATGAATGTACGGAAGATGTATCGGTTCTTGACGAAGCCTTGACAGTAAGGCTTTTTGAGATGCTTGCTAACTGCATATGCTGATACAAGGGATGTCTCGGGAATGGGAATGACTGCATCGATTTCTCGGAGCTGATCCGGACCGAGCTGGTTTTTGATCGTCTCGGCTAGCCGATAGCCCATCAATTGCCTTGACCGATATACAGATATGCCATCGATAATGCTTTCTGGTCTCGCAAAGTAGACGTACTCGAAGATATCCGGTGCGTAAGCCTTCTGCTCGCTCACACTGGAAAAGACTGGCTCTTTGCCGCGCTCGATGATGACGGCTTGGCCGGGCAAGATGTCCCTGATGTTTCCGTAGCCGTTCTGGTTTAACGCAACAGATTCGGAAGCCATCATGTAGTCCTTGCCGATTCCGGACGATGAAGGTCGCTCGCCAAGTACCATTGGTCGAATGCCGAAGCTGTCTCTGAAGCCGATCAAGCCAAACCCGGCAAGCATGGCTATGCATGCCCAGCCGCCTTCGCACTTCTTGTACATCCTCTCCAGTGCAGCAAAAATGTCTTCGTTGTTGACGCGGGCCTTGCCGGTTTGGTTGAGCTCGTCTGCGAAGATATTAAGCATCAACTCACTGTCGGATTCAGTGTTGATGTGGCGATGCGCTTCTTGATCAAGATATCGCTTTAGCTCCGGTGCGTTGATAAGGTTACCATTGTGGGCGAGAAGGATACCATATGGCGAGTTGACGTAGAAAGGCTGCGCTTCAGCGTTTGCGGATGAGCCTGCTGTTGGATATCGCAAGTGAGCGACGCCCATATATCCGGAGAGCTCCTGAACCCTTTGACCATCTTGAAACACTTTGCTTGCTAGACCCTATGTATGGTGAGTGAACGGTTAGTTACATTCGGCAAAGTCGTGCCTTTACAGAGTGGTCCGCTTACATTGCCCTTGCACGAAAACACCTTGCCACCGCGAGAGCATGTCGCTATGCCACACGCATCTTGACCGCGGTGCTGCAAGTAGAACAGTGCCTGATGGAGTTCGGGCGCTGCCTCTTCGGTTCCTGAATTGAGCAGGCAAGCGATTATCTGCCACCCGAGTCAGACACGGACCAGTTCGATTGGGTGTGGATGGCATCTGGGCCCAAATAGTACGCACTCCGCACATTTTGGAACGTTTTTTCACCCAGGACTACTGTATTCGATGTGCTGGCTAAGGCTGGGTTAGCAACACGCTGTACGCAACGATGCATTGACTGATGAACCGTATTGAGTGTGTGGAGTTTCAGGAAGTGAATTTTCTTCAGAACAACCCAAAAGTCGTCTTCAAGAAGTCTAACATCATGCTTTGCAATCATCATAGCTCTGATGGAACCGTTAAGGAAACTTGATGCTCACTGACCTGATCGAGCGGTACCCTGCCTTTCACGAATGACTACCTGTAGACCGCAGTACTCACTGGTGACTCATTCGGCTCGCAGTCGGTCTCAGTCATTGTGAATTGGATATTTGATGGTGTGGCACTCACTCTGTACAGCAGTCACCTCTTGCTGGCGTATGCAGCATTTTTCGATTGCCTCCAGATTGACGTCGGCATCGGAATTCGGATATCCGATATTTGCCGAGCCAAAGCCGAACGAAGGTCACGCCTCCTGCGTTCACTTCACTTCACTTCGCTCCGCTCCCCACTACCGTTCACTCTAACAATTTTGTATACCGAATCAGGTGGACACATCACATACTGAAAGCCTGTTGCCAGGCATGTGAATGCACGCATACACATCCTAGCTACTACTGATGGCGTTGGCAGGCCATGATGGAGTTCTTACCAAGACGTTCGGTAGCAAGGCTGTTCCGGTGGACCATTGCAGCGGCTACAATAATGCTATTCTGGCAGTCTTCTCACCTACCGCGAAAAATCACTCGTAATGCAATGCGCAGTGTCTCCATTCTCCTAATCCAGAAGGCGCCCGCCGTAGAGCTTTCTGGCCTTCATACCCGCCTTCCGGGCTACAGATCTTCCGGTGACTTGCCATTCCATTCTCCAACGGCCCAGAGCTCGCGCGTACTAGGCTCTTCCGGCTCTTTGTTCACGTGTCGTAGAGCGATAGGGCATGATCAAGATGAAGTTTGGTTTCCCTCTCATGTCTCAGACCGTTCTCACTTTCACTCAGCCACATGCTAACCTACGCTCATCGCTCCTTCTTTCCTTGCTCTCACCGGTGGCGGCACGTCCCGGTTTCGTGTAACTCGGCCGCCTAATCTTTCGCTAATTATGTTGTCGTACCTCGTGCGTCCTTCCTCCACCACAATCATCCTTCCTCTACCTCGGTGCAATATACGAGTGCTTTATTCGCTGCACCCAACCCACTTGACATCCTCGCTTACGCTCAAACGTCCGGCAGCTGATTACCTTGGCGAGAAAATAAGCGCAGTCACTCTCACTTCTCTGAACGGAACATCAGCGGCAACTTACTACAGCCGCGATCAGAGTACGCTTGGGCATTACCAAATCGCCCATCGTGCTCGACGACGAGCTGACACAGCCGACAAGTATGTCATCTCTGAGTGAGGATCTGAAAGAGTTTGTTCCAGGTCTAGAGTTGATTGACTTAACGCATGACAACGATAGCGGCGATGCCATTGGAGAAATGGAAGAAGTACCGGTCATAATCATCGACGGTGTGCAAGCGGCCGCAGATGATGTACCGACCAGATATTTCCAACTGGAAAAAGTTCGAACCTTTGCTGGCGCTGTCCTCAACGTCGGAGACTGCGCCGAACTTGCTGATGGCCACTTTCTTGAGGTCAAGCGGATCCTCGACAGCTACAATGCAGGCTTAGAGGTACAGCTGCAGGGCGAACTCTACCGACGAGCATCGGACATGAACTATATGCTTTTACGCAGATGCAACGAGGTTTGCCGCATATCGAGAGCTGACGAGGACGACCGCGCAGGCCTCGCCGGCTCGAACAAGAGCTTTTCGTATCCGTTGTCTGCAGTTGTCGCCCTTCGCCGTTTGATCAAGACCAATCAGGTGTGGCCAGCGTGTGCTCCCAGATCTTTGTGGACAGACTTGCCGTACCTTGACACCGAAGACCTCAAAGTAAGAGGTCCGCTTGTCTGTCGCTGGGAGTATGTTGAGATATTCGACGACCACACAAAGAAGAATCCGAGTGGTGCGGTGCTTCGCCGCTTACATAACAGCGAGGCGAGCCCAGGACACGGTACAGCGGCAGCACAACTGCGCAAGCTGTGGCGCGGCAAGTTGGTGTCCAGAATCTCTGGTAATGCAACAGAGGCGGGCTTTAAGGCCAAGGCGAGGAGCAAGCGTGACGGGAAGCTTGATGTGCATATCGACCTAACCTTGGACGAGGATGAAGAGCCCGAAGAGGTCACAGAAGTTACTGTGACCGAGCACTACACTCGGGTGAACGTGAACGGCCGTATCACGAAGCGTACCCGGCCTGACAGCAGTATCACCGAGTCCTACAAGCGTCGTGTAAGCTCCAATAAGAGAAGACCAGCCCCGCCAGCACAGACGAACGAAACCAGCGATAACTTCACGTTCACCTTTGGTGATCTCTGCGCAGGAGCGGGCGGAGCGACTTGCGGGGCTGTACAAGCTGGCTTGAAGCCCAGCTTCGCCCTAGACCTTGACCCAAGTGCATGTGCGACCTACAAGTGGAACAACCCCAACGTCGCAGTCGAGCAACGTGATATCACTGATTTCGCGGCTGGGAGATCTGCGAAGTGGTATCACTTCGTAGACGTCTTGCATATCTCCTTTCCGTGCCAGCCATGGTCGCGCGCGCATACTTGTCAAGGGAAGGACGATGCGAAGCGTGAAGCACTCATTTGGAGTGTTCAGGCGATCTTACAGAAGTACCGGCCGAGAATCATCACGCTTGAGGAAGTCGATGGCCTTACCGAGCCACGCAACATTGACGTCTTTCGCTCTCTCATACATGAGTTTACGCAGGCAAGCTACAGCGTGAACTGGCGTACTCGCTTGAACTGTAAAGACTACGGCAACGCTGCCGAACGCCAACGCCTCTTCATAATCGCATCCGGGTAAGCTCTTCACTGTTCTTCGTAATCCGCTGTTACTAACATTTCTGTATAGTCCAGGTGAGCCTCTGCCATCATTCCCAAAACCAACACACGGACCCGGTTTGAAAGCCTTCACTAGCGTCCGTGACGCCCTTGCTCGTTCACCCAACGTTATCGATCTTGATATGGAAGCAGTCATCCAGCGGCATCACCGCCCATATGACTCGGGGCAGCCGCTCAAGTACACTATCACAACAAGCACCGGGATATGGGACCAGCATCCAGATGGCAAGCGCGGATTCTCTCTGCAAGAGTGCGCCTTACTTCAAGATTTCCCCACAAGGTACAGGTTCTTCGGGGGGAGGACTTCCATCAGGAGGCAGATAGGCAACGCTGTTCCTTCCTGCGTGGCCGCAGCGGTCTTCGGGGAAGTAGTCAAGACGCTGACAGAGCACGACGCGAGGGCTGCTGAGGAGAAGACGGAACCGGAGGTGATAGATCTTGAATCGGAGCTGGAGGCGATGGTCATTGATTGACCGATTGATCGAAGAAGGTAGAGAATTACTGGAGCTCTGCGCTTGCGCAGGACGCAGCTATCAGGAGGGCTGCGCTTGGGGCACTGGGAAGGAGGCAAACTTGGCATGCACATCAACAGCGGCGTTTTCGGGAAGAGAGCAACGCATTCAGGGCAGATTAGGAGCTGTCCAAAACCCTCAGCAGCACAGCGCGGGACAGGGTAGCACAAACTTTTGGCTGGACATCACCCTATAAAGGTGTAAGCATGTAAGCTGTAAGCGCAGAATGAGACCTTCACTCCCACCAACCCTGCACTAAGCAGCGCAAGAAAGCGAGGTCAATTTGCCACGCTCACACATCTCCATCTCGGAACGCTTGCAAAGAGGGCCCTGGGTCTACTACTGAGGAGTAGGAAGGGCGTGACAATGTGGTTCCTTTCCACTCACTACAGCGCCTGACAGTGGAGGAAAATGAAAAGAGATACTTTGTGTTATGCTTGTCAGCCTTCACTTCCGACCCAGCTGTATCAGCACGACGTCAAGCAGACGGGCAAAAACCACCTCCGCTCACGCTTTCACTCCATCCTGGCCTTTCTCGTCGATGACCGGCAACTCCACGGCCCGATACAGCAAGATCAACGCCGAATGCGACTCTCCACCCCCCGCCAACGTCTCAATCTTCTCACCCTCCACCTCAGAAACTTTCTCATCATTGAACCACCACCACTTCCCATCCTCCGCCTCACCCTTCCGCGCCGCAGTCTTCTTGACATATGCCGTATAATGTCCTGAATCGGCCGAAGAGCCCTGATGCGTCACCACGGCTCGGAGTTCATAGAGGCCCGTCTGGTTGGCGGTGGGATCCTTTTTCAGGTCCGGGTGGACGGCGGCGAGGAGGTCCTTTTTCATTGATAAGATTGTTTCTGCGCGTTCCTTCTCGATCTCCTCGTCGGTTTTGAACTTCTGCTCCTCCGTGCCAGCCATGGGCGTGTCCTCGCCGTCTTTCCGCGCCGTCTCCTTGTCCGCTTTCAGCTCTCCTTCCGTCGCCGGACCGCCCTTGGCTTTGAGTTCCCGCTCCTTCTCCTTCTCCTTCCGCTTCTGCATGGGTTCATCACCCCGCACCTTCCCCTCCGTCCCAACGGAATCCTCCCACTCCTTCTTCATGCGCCTCTGTCTCTTTTTCGCCCGCTCGACATCTTCCTCCTCCTTCCTAATCTCCCGCACCTTGTCGCGCACGGGAACAAGTTTCTTGCGCAGCTCATCGGTGCAGAACTCCGTCACATCGATCTCGTGCTGGAAGGTGATCTTTCGCAGAATCTTGGCCTTCTTCTTCGTGTCTTTGCGCCAGAAGAAGCGCACGAGGTGGATGGGTAAGTGTTTGGGTAGGCGGGAGATGCGTGATGTGCGGGTGTAAGTTGCTTCGCGGCCGAGCGTGGGTGAGTTCTTCTCCAGCTTCTCATTCAGGGCAATGCGCATGCCTTCGGAGAGATGATTCGTATCGCCTGCAATGTTGCATTTCAAGTCGTGGAAGTCTTCCTCTTGCACCTGCACCTCTTCCTCTTCCGTCTCGTCGCACTTGGTTGTGACCTCGAACTTGCCACCCATGTACTTCGCCACCCAGCTTCCAAAACCATCTTGCCCGCCGTTTTGTAGCTTGAGCGACTCGTGTAAGACTTGGATGAGCTGTGACCACACCTCTTCAGCATCTTGCTGTGCGTACCCATGGCCGGATTTCGCCCGTTCTGCGAATTGCGGGAACTTCTGGCGCAGAGTGGTGAGGAACATGATGGGTGGGAAGCCGTGCTGAGTCTCGCTCATCTGTTTGTACAAGTCTTTCAATGCTGACGCGAGGTCGTTACCTCCACCTAACCCGCCGATGCCGAAGTTGGCGAGCTGTTCGGCAGAGAAGAGGTTACTCGACGGTCCCGGAGCGGCGATGTTCGGCTTGTAACCCAGCAGCTCTTGTTGCAATTCCGGAATGGCACGCAATGTCTGCAACGTGGCGTTTGCGTAGCAGGTGTTGCCCGTGTTCTGCAAGCCCGCCGGCATCGCGCCCGCCTGCTGCGCCAGTTCTGCTTCCGTCATGTCTTCCGCAAACTTCATCTTCTCTGCAGGCCGATCCATCACGACGTCTGCCGAAGCCGAGCCCATTAATGTGATGGTTGTGCCGGGTTTGAGGAAGGAGAGGGGCGTATCATCTTTGATCATCTTCTTCGCCAGCAGCTTCTGGTTCTGCGGTTCCACGTTGGTGAGGCTGTACAGCTGCATCTTGAGCTCCTCGCCCGTCGACTCGGGGCTGATCTCGACATCGTACGTCTTCCCTTGCCACTTGACTTTGATCGCTACCTCTCCCATGATTGAAGCGTCGGACTAGCGAGCTATGGTAGTACGCTATTTGGGCAGACGTCAGTTATTGGAGGGTGTGGTGGAAGTTGTGGCAATAGAAAGCGTCGTGGAAACGGAAAGATGCTTGTTGACATGCTCGGAGGCGAAAGCTTGACGAGTGAGGAAGGTATGCCGGGATCTGGCATACCGAAGGCGAGGGGACGACAGCAGAAACACAAACGAAGCACTTGCAGGAGTATGCTATATGAGCAGCCGAATAGACTGTGAAAAATAGACACGCCCTCTATCCTTATTGCATTCATGCCATCCATTGCCGTTCATCTACTGGGGTATCATATCTATATTCCTTATCCCATCATCACAGCATCCAGTCGTCCATACATATACCATGCGCCCAAACGCCACCCGACCACCCATATCTCAACCATCCCACCTATGCGCCTCATCCCCACCCTCCCACGTCCTCTCCTCGTACCCAACTTCCTTCTTAATCCTCCGCACAAGCGCATCATCCCCCATATTCTTCCCCTTATCATCGCTCAACTTCACCGCCGGCCTCCCTGCCGCTTCACTAAGTTTGATAACAATGTTAAGCGGCACACTTTTCTTCTGCGGATCACTCGCGTGCCGGAAATCGTTCGTCAAGAACGTCCCTATCCCGAATGAAGGTGTCAGACCGGCTTCGTCGCAGGCGTGTTTGTATCGTATGCACTTGTCCACGTTGAGACTGTCGGAGAAGACAATGGCTTTCTTATCTTTGATCCCTTGCGCGGTATAGAAAGCTTTGACGTCCTTGATATACTGCATCGGATCACCAGAATCCTGCCGCACGCCCGCGAAGATCTCCGCGTACGACGGATCCTCGCCTTCCTGCTGCGTACCAAGTGTCTCGCTCTTCGGCGCCGGTTTCGTAAAGGAGCGCAGAAACGCGGCCGTGCCAAAAGTATCCGTCAGCGTAATACCGAGCACACCCCGTCCGAAAGTGGCGACCCAGCACTCCATCGCCTTTTCGTTCGCGTTGGCGTAATCGTCCGTCAATGCGGCGATGCCCATGTACCACTCGTGCGCCACTGTGCCGACCACACCGACGCCAAAGCGCATGGCCATGTGGACGTTTGAGGTGCCGCCGAGCTTGCCTCTCCAGTCTGGATGCTGCGAGGTGGCTTCCTTTTGTGCGGCGACAAGACCTTGCATGACCATTCCGTGGGCTTTGTAGTCGCGTCGGCGGCGTGTGCCAAATTCGCTGAAGACGCAGCCGTGTTCAAGGAGCTTGAGGCCTTTTTGTTTGGCGTTTTCTATTTGGCCGTCGTGTGTCCAGTCTCTGTCCACGAATTTGAAGTAGGCTTCCGAGGTGAGGGCGAGCAGTGGGATCTCGTAGAGTATTGTGTCTATCCACAGTCCGTGTGTCTCGATGTGCAAGTCGCCGAACGCTTCGTCGTCCTCATCGGCGTCTTTCGAGGCGTCAAAGCTGAGCTTGACGTGCTCGCTTGGCCGTAGGCTAAAGGTCTTCAGGAAATGCAGGTACTTTTCGCCGAAGAACAGGCACGTCTTCTTCAGCCACGCGATCTCTTCATCCGTTACGCGAATGTTGGCCAACAACCCTACTTGCTCTTGCAACCACTTGAATGCGCGGCGGTTGAGTTTCATGTGCGGTGTCCGATTGGTGAATTTGTATGACACGGGGATGTCTGGGAAGTGCTGGAGGACGGCGCATTGCATGGTCAGTTTGTACAGGTCGGTGTCGAGTAGTGAGAAGATACCCTCCGGATGAGGCTCGCCGTTCACTGTCGCCATATTGCTGGCTCACTGACTCAGCCCAGCCGGATGTTGTTTAGTAGCAACTAACTGTATCGTTAACCAGTCTCAAGGGAGGGGTGGTGAAGGTGTCGGCAGCCTTCCTCTAGTATGTTCCCTGAACATGACAATGAATATTTGGCGGGGCACACGAATGATGCACGCATTCGGGACGTCACCCACGAGCTACCCTTGGCTAGCGCCCACCTTACTGGAGCCGCAGGAACCCTGTCCCAAAAAGGAAGCTGTGGAATCAGGCTGAATGCTGAATGTGTTGAGCACTTGCTTGCGCTCCAACGTTTCTACACCGCGCGTGTGCTCATAAGAGGGCAACGCAAAGCGATACACGTCGCCATAAAACTTACACACCTCCAGCATCTCTTCAGACACAATCGCTCGTGCGGTTACAGTGCTCCTCAACCATCACACAACCTCCTGAGCCGTCAAGATGGCCTCGGCATTGCGATGGTAAGAGTCGCCCGCAGAACAGAAGATGGCTACGCAACATGAGCTTACAGCAGACACCATATATTAGGTACCAGGCTAGGTTGGCCTCGCGCCCCCTCCTCACTCAGTCAATCACCACCGCCGTCCTCTTCGCAACCGGCGACACCATGGCGCAACAGGGTGTCGAGCGCCGGGGTTTCAGAAACCAAGACCTGAATCGCACAGCCCGCATGGCCTTCTACGGCGGCTGCATCTTCGGCCCTGCGGCCACGACATGGTTCGGTCTACTCCAAAGCCGCGTCCGCTTCCCTGGCCGACCGAACCTCGAGATCGTTGCGCGGGTGGCGGCAGATCAGTGCATCTTCGCCAGCACGAACTTGTTCGTATTCTTGAGCACGATGGCGGTGTTGGAGGGCACGGATCCGAAGAAGAAGCTCGAAAGTACTTATTGGAATGCGTTGAGCAAGAATTGGATGGTGTGGCCGTGGGTACAGTTTACCAACTTCAAGTTTGTGCCGTTGGAGCATCGGGTTCTGGTTGTCAATGTCGTGTCGCTGGGTGAGATGTCGTTGCCTCACAAAATGTCTTATGACTACGTGCTGACTGAAAACTAGGTTGGAACTGCTACCTCAGCTATCTCAACAGCCAACCCTCTGCCGATGCCATGGCCGAGAAGACCTACCCGCCGGACGTTTAGTTGACGCTCGAAGAGTAGGGTGCGCTCGCCTACGGCTCCGCACACGGAGTGCATGAGATTGTACGTCGCGAGAGAGGCTGACTCTACACTGTACCATTGTCGAGGTAAAATGCATAGCGAGGCGTTTCGGGGCTCATGGTATGCACAGGCCTCATATGTTAGCCATCTGCAGGACGTTGCAGGGCGCGTTGCAAATGCTTGTACTTGATACAGCCTAAGACACACCATACAGTATAAAGCAATTCTTACTGAGGTCTCGACCTGCTTCTCGAATGTTAGCTGGTGGTTTGGCAGCCCGTCCCAGTGTCCGTCACGCTCAATTGACACGGCAATGTCTGCGGTTCACAACGTAGCGACAGCTACTGTTCACAATGCTTCAAGAAAGTCTACCACGGCAACCGCCCATCCCAGCTAGGAAGGTACGTCATTCGCCCCCCGCAATTTGCAGGGATGGTGCTTTCCAACTCGGGCGATGCGTCCGAATGAGTTCCTGTCGCTCGCTGATACACCTATTACGGGGATATTATGACGCTCAACAGCATAAGGCACGCAATGAAGCGCTTATAGTCGCCGCCCCCGTCTCGCACACTACCCGCCGCCCACCATGAAGTCTCTCCTCTCCATCCTGCTCTCCTCCTCACGTCCCGCCCTCCGCTCGCACATCCAACCCTCTAACCATCTACGGATACTACGCGCCTCCTACGCCATGCAGCACAGCGTCCCTCCCTTGAACGACCAGTCGTTGCTCAAGAACGAGACCTACATCAATGGGAAATGGGTCGGCGCCAAATCCGGCAAGACCTTCGAGGTCTTCGACCCGGCGTCGGGGAAGCTCATAGGCACGATGCCGGAGATGAATAAAGAGGATACTGAGGAAGCTATCAAAGCTGCGGCAGCCGCTCTGCCCGGCTTTAGGAAGTTGACGGCGAGGGAGCGGTCGCGGATGCTGCGGAAGTGGTATCAGTTGATGATGGACAACGCGGACGACCTGGCCCGGCTGATTACGTGGGAGAACGGCAAGCCGATGGCTGATGCGAAGGGTGAGGTTAGCTACGCAGCTGGGTTCTTTGAGTGGTTTGCAGAGGAAGCCCCGAGAGCGTATGGGGATACCATTGCTGCGACGGTGCCGGGGAACAGGGTGTTCACGATCAAGGAGCCGGTCGGAGTCTGTGGGTTGATCACGCCGTAAGTCCTAACCTTACGTACGACTGGATGAGTCGTGCTGACGTTCGCAGGTGGAACTTTCCCGCCGCAATGATCACCCGCAAGATTGGCCCAGCGCTGGCAGCGGGCTGCACCGTCGTCGCCAAATCTCCTGGCGAGACACCCTTCACAGCCGCCGCTCTCGCCGAACTCGCCCACCGTGCCGGCATCCCACCTGGCGTCGTCAACATCGTCACCGCAATGGCAAACACAGCCGAAGTCGGTGAAACCATCACCTCCTCCGACACGGTCAAGAAAGTCTCCTTCACCGGCTCTACGCGCGTCGGCAAACTCCTCATGAAGCAATCCGCCGACACGCTCAAGAAGCTCTCCTTCGAGCTCGGCGGCAACGCACCTTTCATCGTCTTCGATGACGCCGACCTTGACGTAGCTGTCGCAGGCGCTATCGCATCCAAATTCCGCTCCTCAGGCCAGACATGCGTTTGCGCGAATCGACTCTACATCCAAAAGGGCATCTACGACGACTTCGCCAAAGCCTTCACAGAAAAGGTCAATAACTTCAAAGTCGGGTCCGGTTACGAGGAAGGTGTCACCCACGGCCCGCTAATCCACGACCGCGCAGTCGACAAGGTCGAAGCACACGTTCAAGACGCCGTAAAGCAGGGCGGCAAAGTGTTAGCGGGCGGCCAGAAGATGCCAGACTTGGGATCGAATTACTTCCAACCGACCGTCATCCGCGACATGACGGACAAGATGCAGCTCTCGCACGAAGAAACTTTCGGTCCGGTGGCTGGACTATTCCCCTTCGACACCGAAGCTGAGGTCGTGAAGCAAGCGAACTCGGCGGAGGTGGGACTGGCGGGTTACTTCTTCTCGAAGGACGTGCAGAGGTGTTATCGCGTTGCGGAGGCGTTGGAGGTGGGGATGGTGGGTATTAATACGGGGTTGATTTCGGATCCCGCGGCGCCGTTTGGGGGTGTCAAGCACTCGGGCTTTGGTAGGGAGGGGAGTAAGTTGGGCATTGAGGAGTATATGATTACGAAGATGATTACATTGGGCGGGATGGGGCAGCCTTTGCAGGGGTCGTGATAGGAGGCGTAATAATCTAACCGTCCACCGTGTACAAGAGGATGGCAACATCACTTGGAATAGAACTGCTACCACTTGCAGTGGACTGCTGTCTTACCTTACCATCAGGGTTGGGTGAGGCTGCTTATGCACCTATGCATACTCCTCGACCAAGAGTGCACTTCCCCAGCCTCAGGCGCCAAAGGTGCCGTCTAGATCACCTTGGCACGCCTATCTTCGCCTACCGTTCCCCGAAATGCGATAGCACATAACCACTACACTCTTTCGCTTTGAACGGAGGCTTCGAAGGATCACTTGCCTCGTGAAGACACGATTGACGTCGCATGCTGGACGGCATACAGAGCCGTAGCGGTCAATATCTAGGTAACCAGGCCATCTGTACACTCACTCAATCCTGTGCCTACCCCCTCCCCTTCATTGTACAGCCATCTCTCCTCGTCCTCGACATTGCCAGCCATGTTTTTCTCACAACAACACATCACAATCGCCTTCTGGCTCCTCCAAGCCGCGGTAGCCCAAGTCCCCTCCCTCCCTCAGGATCCGCGCATCACAACGCCAACAGGCAGTCGCTCATACTGCTATGGAGTGATTGATATGCAACTCGCATGCCAGACGCTGACGCCCAACTGGACTACCCTCGCACCGAGCGATCAAGCATCATGTTACTGCTATGACGCGTCTGGGAGTTATGTTCCGAGCATTTACGACAACGCGGCTAGCAAGTGCTGGATTGGGTGAGCGAAGCAATACGTAGTGAGGTCTGTGTTGTCCTGAGACACAGCTGACCCTTCTGCCCTGTCGACATGTAGGTACATTCGAATCAACCAGACGGCAGATGTAGACTGGTACAGCAGCCGGAACATTGATGCCTGCTCTCGCTTCGCTTCGGCCACCAGTCTGGCTAGTTGGACTTCCTTTGTACCGCCAGCCGCTGCTGTGGTCAGCTCGGGAGAAGTCTCACTTTTGTTGGTAGACTGCTGATGTTGCTTGCAGGCCTCATCTACCCGCACAAACGCACCGAGCACTACTGGGGCTGGAACTGCTACCGCAGCCTCGACGACGGTGTCTGCTAGCGCGACGGTAAGGGCAGCGGCTGCACACGCGAAGATCCCTCTGTTCGGTGCGGGTGTTCTTGCTACGCTAGCATGGATGTTGACAGTGTAATAAAAAGCTTCTGATTGCGACTTCGAAGAGGCGTCCAGTAATGTAGATGTGGACTCTGCTTGAGCTCACATCTTCCTTTCACACATTCTGTCCTTTATCACTCGTGGCGTAAGCGCAACGCGATACTCGATTGAAGCTGTTGCATATCCATATAGGGATGAAACGTTCTTGACGACGATCCACTAAGGATGAGTAGAGTCTGTGAGGAAGCTCCGATTTCCAAGCCCGGTACCTGCGTCAAGACGGCACGAGCATTCTATTGTGCTAATAATGGTCTAAAGTGATGGCACCCAGGCCTTTTGCTTTGTGTATATCCGATATGACGGTCGCAGGAACATTGCCCGCTCGTTCCAGAGTGGCTTGCATGGTGTAGCTCTCCACTCCATGTTGTGGTGCCATTGAGGGACGCTCAATGACGCAAATCGTCGCTCACCGCGCGTCGACGAACATAAAGTGAACCACCAGCTTCCACGCATGTACCTCTCATAAAGTACTCTCCGAACCCATTGAACCGCTCTGTTCGTCGTAATCAGTAGTCGAGCACGCGACAGCCAAGATGTCGGCCGTGGAAACCATTAGAGGTCTTACTAACGTATGCTTGCACTCACAACCAGACAATGCATTGGACACTCGCAGCTAACCTTAGTCACAGACATACCATGCCTACGTCTTCGGTCAGTAGTGTCAACACAACGTAAGCAGTCAAGCTCTAACCAAGGCATAGGCACCGCCTTCTGGTACTTCCTTCGCGGCTTTATGCGCGTCGTTGCGCCAAAAACGGTCGCTGAATGGTTCCGGTGCGCATTACAGCAACACAGTCCTATGGTCAGTCTGACGCAGTGCTGATGGTATTACTCCGTCCTTTTAGCCCGCCATCGCAAGCCTACCTCACCCAAGGACTAGGTGTCACAGAAGCTAACGGTACGCCCCTCCCCTCCATCCCCTGCTGCAATTCACCTAGCTCGCTAACGCTGCCCTCAGACCTCGAGCTTTACAATGTGAGCATGGCGATCCACGGAGCCGTCCGAGTCGTCTTAGACATTGCTAACTTTCTCACCCATCAACTTCAAGATCCGCACCGACGCCTGGGGGCTGATAGCACTGGCTCTACTCCTGATTGCCCTGGCCGACGCGGTCCCACTCCCCTCCTCTCTGGTAGGCTCCTCACTAGTCAACTCCGCGCCATCTCAATACAAGAAGCCGTACGCCCGCGCGGCTGTGCTTATCACGATCTTCCACCATGTCACTACCGGAATCGGGGCTTACCAGCACTGGAGACTTCCAAGCCATCACAATGTCTCCATGGACATCGGCGTCTACGGCAACATTGGTTTGACCTTGCTGGGAATCGCGGCGTTGTACGGGCTGAGAGATGAAGGGCTAGATGCGGATGCGGCGGGCAAGAAGAAGGCTTGAGCGGGCGGGATGAGTGTTCACAGGCCTTGCGGTGCGCTAACGCAAGCAGACAGTGTCGCAGCGTGCTCACATGCTTCCAGATGGAGCGACCTTCTCCGCCCGGTCATGGCCGAGTAATGTAAGGCTACGCGGCAGAATCCGCGAACGATGCAAAGTAGCGGACCTTATGTGCGATGTAGAATGTACAACGTACAGCTTGTCCTGCGATGGGTGTCCCCTAAGTAACTCCACAGATTGTACGGAGAAGGCAGGAATCGAGCAATCAGCCTAGGTTGTCATTTCACGTCGCTGGCTTTTCGCTCGTCAAGGATCCCTCCGCACCTTTATCCCACCCACTCAACCTTTTGATAAAGTCTCCCGGCGTCTCCCTTCCCCTCTCCTTCCTAGCCAACCGCTTCTTCTGCTCCTCCGCCCAGTGCTCCCGCAAGCGATCCGCAATCTCAATCTTACTCCTCGTCTCGCCCGCCATCAACTGCAACTCAAGCTCCCGCTCCATCGGCGTCATTTTCTGCAACTTTTTCATCAACTGCTGTCGCGTCTCCGGCGTATAGTCCTCCAACTTCACGCCCTCCACGCCCAACTCCAACGCTCGCTGCCGATTCCGCGCCCAGGCCGAGTCAGGCCCCAACGCCTCAGTCAAGTTCTCCGGTGACAGCAAAGGAGGTAATGCAGGCACCTCCACGCCCGCCTTCTTCGCCTCCTCCGCCGCCTCCTCCCGCGCAAGCATCTCATGGTACAGCTTATCCGCATGCATCTGTATCCGCTCCTCCTCCTCCTCACTACGCTGCGCACTCAGATACCCCAGCGCCTTCAAGAATCGACTCTGCATCGTATAACACCTAAAGAACGCCCTGTTCTTGCCGCGGCACATGTTCATGAGCTCCCACGCACTCCCGTTTTCCCAGCAATCTCGCTCAGCCATTTGTTCTTGCACGCAGTTCTCGACCGCGGCGGTACCGATGGCGGCGCGTCGGTCTTGATAGGCGTCTATGACGTCGCGGAGGCGGTCTTGGTCAGTTTTCGCGGTATCGTCAATCTCGGCTTGTGGGCGGTAGGAGGCCCAAAGGTGGGCGTAGCGGCCATCTGGGTAGAGGGACTCGGCTGGGACGGCGGGGGCAGTGGTGGAGGCTTGTTGCTGGTCTAGTCGTGCTACCCGCGCTTCTTCCCTCTCGGCGGGCGACTTAAAGCCAAGTTGGGCGCGGTAGGTGTTGGGTGCGCCATCTGTGGACGGTGATGGTTGTGCTGCTGGGGAGGAAGCAGAGGGTCGGGTGGCCTGGCCATTGGAGGGAGATTCCTTGTCAAGAAAGTCGCGTAAAGTCGGGTCAAGCTTGCTGTATGGATCTGTTGCTGCTGGTGTCTCGCTGGCCGAGCCCCATAGCCATCCCATCCTGATGTGCTTTTCCTATTAGTACTTGTGGAGAAGGAGAGCTTAGAAAGGCTCAATATATACGTGTTAGGAACATCGTTTCTCCGGCGCAAGTCCCAATCCGGAAGTTGAACAACATACCCAGCGTTTCTCTATTTACTGCGCCCGCTGCACTCAGCCCTATCAGCATTTGATAGCTACAGCATGTCACAGAGTACTCCAGCTAAAGGTGAGTGTGCATTGCCTTCGGCTGGGATTATCACTTATTCGCTCGGCAGAAGCGCGCTATGAAAGACATCTTATGCGACAACGGGGCGCAGGGTACTTACATCGTGTGCATATTGGGGGATGGCAATAGCTTCTCTGACGCGTATACAGACCTCGAGGCGACATCTCGGCTAACTTTGGCTTCTCTTTCGACTTCCCTGCGCCAGCTGCGATCGCACCAGCAGTAGATCCCAGCGAGCCGCCTACCAAGCGGAGGAAGATACATGCGCCAAAGAATGATGTGCTCGTACCTACTGTCACCGTCGTGCCGGATAAGCACCCCAAAAAGGACGTGGACTTGGTGGCGGAGGTTGGGGGAGACGAAGCGGCACAAAAGAATGTCTTGCAGACGGCGCCATTAGAACTGCTACATGAGAAGCCCAGAGTTGGACCCGGCGATGATAGCTTCGTTGTCATGGTGAAGGCACGAACTTTTCGGGCGAGGCAGTGCAATCGATCTGCAAGGCCAACAGAAGGTCTCTCGCGGCCGCGTGTTGAACCCGATGCAAAGGAAAGCGAAGCAGAGAGGTCAGCCGAAGAGCAGGCGGCTGCTGTGACTTCGCAAGCCAGCCCAGCATCGCCGCAACTTTCAAGAAGGGGGCAAGGTCGGAAGCGTGGAGCGTTGCAAACGACCGACTATTCAGCAGCTCAGCCCAAGCCGGCAAAGCGTAGACAGAAGGCTGAAGACAGCGTGTCTGCGCCCGCAGCGGAAGCGTCCGCTCCTTCCCTGCGTAGAGCCATGCAGCGGTCAGCCGCAATGAACATTGAGCCGGAGGAAGCCGAGGCTTTAGGAGGAAACAATGTCCGCCGAGCACTGGCTGAAGCAGACGCCAACATCACGAGGAGGTCGGTATCGCCGGAGAAGCAAGCCAAGGCTGAAGTTACTGAGAGGCGAACCGTGGGCCGTAGAAAACCGCACCGTAAAGCAGAGCCGAAGAGCCAAATGGCTGCAACATCAACGAAGAAGCTCCGCATGATCCGTGTAGAGGCAGAATCAGAGCCGGAGGAACAGCAGCTGTTATCGGGTGCCCAGGTGCAGGCGGAGCCGCCGTCGGCCAATGAGCTGGCGGAGCTGGTTGCTGCGGGAGATGTCTTACGTATCGCACGCGTCTCGCCTGCGGTAGAGCCAGCAGCGAAGTTCAAAGGCGCGTTGCAGCGAGCTGCAACGAAGCCTAAGCGGTCACGCCAAGCAAAAGCTTTGGCCGGACCAGAAAGTCACGGACCTGACAACGCGCATCGAATCCCCGCAGCCAAAGAGAAGGCTTCCGTAGCAGGTACAGTGGAGAGTCAGGAAGCAATGGCGATCTCTCTTGGGGTGGCGCCAATAAAGCAAACCCCGGGGCTGGAAGCACAACCGGATCCTGCTAAGCAGACCGAAGCGCATTCGAGCGCGAAACATGCCGTCAAAGCGAAATCGGCCACAGGGAAGAGGCTGGTGCGTCTGCATAGCGCGACTACTACCGGCGAAGACAGCCTCGACTGGCTCCTCGCGCCTTGCAAGAACGATACTTCGCGCGCAAAACCTACAGTGCCCCCGACTCAGAAGCGTAGAAGCTTCGGTGAGCTCGCTGATGTGGACCTGGATGACTTGGTCACGAATATTGCGTTTATCGCTCCGGTATCGGCCGGTCGTGAGGAAGGCGGGTTGCAGAGTCGCCCGGTGTCAATGAAGTCGCGTAGGAGGTGAGAGGGTGCGTCCACAGCACAGCGTCACTCATCCTTCCTCTTGCAGCATCTTGAGCGCGGGTCCCACAAGATGCTGGCTGCCAGTAATGAGTGTGTGCACCTCGTCGTATTGGTCTCCTTGTCGCTTTGCTGCTTCAAGAGCCTGTCTCACTGTTGAATGGAACGTCACTTCGCCCTCTGGATGGTACTGGCGCCAGACCGGTTCGAACAAGGCGAGCGTTTCGTCTCCGGAACAGCCCTCGCCACCAGATACTTCAGGATAGGTAGTGAAGATAGCATGCCGTATGCTGGCTTCGGTATCCCGCAGAGCTTGGGCAAGGCTGGCCAATAGCGCAGTCGAGTCTCTTAGCTCGTTGATATGAGCGAAGACCAAGACTCGGGCTGTCTTCGAGCTTTGCTTTGACGCCGCGGAAGCTGCTTCTGCGTACCATTGAGCAGCAATGCGGACACTCATCTCGTTGTGGGCGGAATCCAGGAACCATGTGTTAAGACCATGCCGAACAACCTGAAAGCGTCCGGGCCATGTCCACTGCTCAACACCTTTCCGCACGTCGTCTGCGGTCAATCCCTGGGATGGCGCGTTGCGACTCAACCATGCTTCGGCGGCTGCAACGGCAAGAGAACCATTCGTCCGCTGCACGCTCGGACAAAGCTGTGTCGCATTCTGCGGCAACCTGTCATCCCTTTCCACAACACGCAAATCTACCCCCTTCTCTGCTGCTCGCTTTCGTAGAGCACTGGCAGCCATATCATCCTGCGTGACAGTCAAAGCCGTAGCACCCGCCTTGAAGATGCCGGCTTTATGCCATGCAATTGAGTCGAGCGTGCTTCCCAGCATCGCCGCATGATCTAAGCCTAGCGTCGTAATAGCCGTGACAACAGGTTTTCGTATCACGTTAGTAGCATCGTACTCACCGCCAGCATGTGTTTCGACAATCGCTACGTCTACTTGCTCGCGGAGGAAGACATGGAAGGCTAGTAGTGCAAACAGCTGCAAATAACGTGGTCCCCGCTGAAGAACTGGCCTAGATGGGTCGAGAGGGGCTTGAAGCTGCGGCAGACAGTCGTACAGCTCGAAGAAGTACTTGGCGAACAGTGTCCCGTTTAGAGGCTTAGAGTTTATGCGAATTCGTTCCTCGGGTACAATGAGATGCGGCGACGTATAAAGACCGGTCTTGCGAGGGTAGCCGGTTCTTCTTCCGTGAGCTCGCAGGATAGATTCTGTGAAGGAGCAAGTGCTACCTTTGCCTTTGGTGCCTGCAACGTGAATGATGTTGAGCTTGCTGAGTTCGGAAGCCTGCGATCACCATCAATTACCTAGCGTCAAGAAGCCTGAACTGTTCGGAAGCATACCGAATGCCCTATCTGCTGCAGCCACTCTGCCATCCCATCGATGCTGGGTACACCCTTCAAGCGTGGCGAACCTGCCTCGAGCTTGGGTAGCGACTCTGACAGCAGGTTGGTGGCATGGCTCGTTTCCGGTCTTACTGACCGTCTCCGACTCTCAAGGATATTGATAGCTTCCTATGGCGTTTGTTAGTCTCCTAGATATGGATGTCGGCGCTCGCGGGTGGGACAACCGCATAGGTCCGGTCCATGTGCTTGGTGCTGTACCGCTTGCAAGGGCCAGCTACAACGTAGGGTGTAATACCACAATGCATGCGGGCAGAGAAGCAGCGTAGCGTATTGTGGCAGGTCTCGAATGTATGAACTAGCATTGAAGTGAATGGTAAGAAAAAGAGAAGAATGATGCGGATTGGTTATGGGAGGCTTCAATCACTCACGAAATGCCCATCTGCACAGGAGTACCCGGTGGCATACTTATCACATTGCCCATGTCGTACAAGGACGCGCACGTGTGGGAAGAACAGAACAGAACCACAGCAGTGGGTTGAAAGAGTCATGGTGGTTCAACCAAGGTCCCGTCGGGCTCCACCTCCGCCCTCACCGACACCGATGCGGAGACACCTCCTCCTTCTCCGCACGACTTTACTTCGACAGAGTATATTGGCGAGAGCATTGCTACATTTGACAGAAGGCGACAATGCCGTCTCCGTCGCTGGACAAGCAGCCTTTCACCTTTGCTAATTTACCATATGGTATCATTTCGACGCCAACCGAGCCGAAACCCCGATGTGCAGTCGCCATTGGAGACCATGCCATCGATCTGGCCAAGTATTCGAAGAACGGGAGCCTGTTCGAAGTTGAATCAAGTCACAATTTCATTGCTCAACAAGCGTTTTCCGAAGTACAGCGTCGTTAACAATTTCCACGAGGACACACTTCGCTGATGCGTCGAACAGCCAGCGTTGAACACCTTCGCCGCACTACCTTGGTCTGCCCGACGAGCTGTGCGTGAGCGAATTCAGAAGGATCTCAAAGATGACAAAGTGCCCGCATCTTGTCTCGTTGAACTGAAGAATGTCACAAGTCATCTACCTATGAAAATGGGTGGCTTCTCCGACTTCTATACCTCGCTTGAGCACTGTCTCAACGTATAGCAGCGTCCTCCACACCTTTCAGCTTGTGTGGGGCACTGATTGATCATCCGTAGTGTTCAGGAGAAATGTCGGCGAATTCGATAGCAAAGAACTGGTGTTCGTTTCCCAACGTCCTTACTCAACCGAATGCTGATACTGTGCAGACTACGCTCCTTCGGTCTATAACTCTCGCGTTTCCTCCGTGCTGCCGACTCCTCGCGATATTCCGCGACCGAAGAACGTTTACTTCTCCGCCGGCATAGATTCAGAACCGAAATATGGTGAGCAATCCCATGCAAACCTTCGGAGACATGGCTGGTACTCATATCCGTCGATTTGTAGGGCCCACACGCAAGATGGACTTTGAGCTTGAGATGGGGTTCTTCGTTTCGCAGCCAGTCCCTTATGGCCAAGGTATGCCCATCGCTCAAGCCCGCGAGCACATTTTTGGATTTGTCATGCTCAATGACTGGTCTGCACGCGACCACCAGCTGTTCGAAATGCGGCCTTTAGGACCATTCCACTCCAAGGGCTTCGGAACTAGCATCAGCAATTGGATTGTCCCCATGGAAGCATTAGAGCAGTTCGCATGCCCACCGAACACCACACAAGATCCACCGCCATTTGACCATCTTGCCTGGCCAGATAAGGGAACTGGCGCGCTTGACATCAAGCTTCGGATCAAGCTTGTCCGTGACGGCAAGGAAAGCGTATTGGGAACGAGCAACCTAAAGTACCTATACTGGACGCCATACCAACAGTTGACACATCATGCGGCAAGCGGGTGTGGAATGCAAACGGGTGATCTGATCGGCACTGGAACAATCTCCGGGTCAGGTCGCAATGAACAGGGCGAGAAAGCGGAACTAGGCTGCTTGTATGAAGCAGAGCGGACAAAGACAAAGATCTTGCCACAGAGCAGTGGAAAGTATGAGGATGGGTACCTTGAGGACGGGGACGAGATCATCCTGGAAGGGTGGTGTGATGATGGGAAAGGTGGCATTGCGCTTGGGTTCGGCGAGTGCAGAGGTCGGATTCTACCGCCTAATTGACGGGACAGTAGGTTCATCCTCAGCAATCGCCACATGTACTCCCGCCGGACTGGCTAGCGAAAAGGAGATACAGTGGTACCAAAAGTTATAGAGCAGGACAAAGCTACCCTCTACGCCGAGTGCTTGGCGTAGTTCTGCTCTTATCTGTGCCTGTTGCCGTGCCCTTTGACGCTTGGCCATTCATGCCTGCAGCGCTTTTCGCTGCTTCCTGTCCGCTCGGCTGAAGCTTGCTCTGCGGCGTACTCTTGCTCTTGGGACTGTTCCAGTAGTACACCACTTGCGCCGCAAGCACAGCATTGAGCACAAAGCCGGCAATGAAACCGTACAGGATGAGTCTGTCAGGCACCTCCTGCAAAGTGGTGAAAATGCGGGAAAGGGAGCCTGCGAGGTAATTGAATACCTACCGTCCAGCACCGTCAGCGTACGCGAGGAGAAGGTGAGGGTACACATGCAACGTACTGCAAACGCGGACAGCTGTCCAGTGCCGCCCTCCCGAAAGATCGTAAGGATCTGTGGCAACTTGCTTGCTACACCCAGTATACCAGCGCCGGCTTGAAAGTACTGTAGCATACCCATCGAGGTAATGCTATTACTGTAGAGCGCAAACGCCGCCCCAGCTAAGCCCGCAATGAACACACCTGCTGCTGCTGCTCTTCCACTATACTGCAACACCAGCACACTGATCGCAACATTCTGGATGGCGATCAATGCGATCTCCCCGTACGTGCTAAAGGGGAACTGGTTCCGCACGTTGTAGATGAACGTGATCAGGTAACTCGCAGTCTCCAGAAGGTAGGACAAGAAGCTAATCCCCTCCGCTGATTGGGAGTTGAGAAGCTTGAGGAGCTGCGGGATCTTTACGATGGAGCTCGCGCCGATGATGCCTATCCCGAGTGCTTTCGAGATGGCCAGCTTCATACATTCCGCATCGGTTATGTTGATGTTGTCAACAAGGGATGCGTAGCACACCGGGCCAAGCAATTGCGCCGCTACATCGCTCAATGGCTTTGGGAGATTGTGCGTAATAGGCTGAAGAACAGGGCGGAGAGTCCGCTCGATCGTCTCCATTGTGTCGTGTGCTGTTATGGTGATCGTTCAAGCTGTGATCTCGAACAGCTGTCGCTAAGCGCATATGGAGCGTACAGGTGGCTGCTCCTAATACGTCACTCGATTGAATGCACACCCTCAGAGTTGAGAAACACTGCCCGTCAGCTGCCTACATAAGTCACTACATTGTAGTACTGTCAGCACCCCTCCCGTCACTGAGGTCCAGTCATCACTCAAGGTACCGACAGGCTACTTAAATTCCCATCTCTGTCTCGCATCTGTACAAACAATGCTCACTAGGTCTTGAATTCTGCAGCCTGCCAATTCCGGCTGAACTCCGTATTCCGTATCAACGTTGATGTGCTAAGTATACCCAGTCTGCTTCTTATGTCCTCTTGTCACACACCACGCTTTTGGAGCATTCGAGCTTCCTCCACGAACAATGAAGCGATGTCTCCTTGCACTGCTCCCAGCTGCCTCCGCACTCGAGACGTGGGTCGGCCTGGACCAGCAACCCATACAGGCAAACCTATCACAGGCATACGATCCTTTCGCGGGCGAGGGGTTTGACAGATACGTCAATGACGTACTCGCCGAACAGCATACACCTGGGATTGCCATTGCGGTCGTTCATGGCAACTCAACATATTCCCGAGCCTACGGTTATGCGGACCTTGAGTTGAAGATCCCAGTGACACCGAAGACCTTGTAAGCCCACTTGCGGTCCGCTTCAGATCACCTGAAGCACAGCTGATCATTCACGCGTAGGTTCTTCGCGGGGAGCACAACTAAATCGTTCACAGCAGCCACTACATCAAAGTTGGTCGACTCCAACGTTACCGAGTATGCTCACATCTCCTGGACTACCAAGCTTGTGGACCTCATCCGAGACGATTTCGTACTCGAGGATGACTACACAACCAACCACATTAATTTCGTTGATGCACTCTCGCACCGTACAGGGATGCCACGTCACGACTTGAGCTGGATCGGCCATGACCCATCGTTGCGGGATATCGTACGACAGATGCGATATCTACCGTTACATCGAGAGCTCAGAGATACCTGGGAGTACTGCAACATCATGTTCAGCGCTGTGAGTCACGCCATCGAGACGGTGACGGGAACTGCAATGAGCGTACTGCTACGTCAATGGATCTGGGAGCCACTTGGCATGACTGAGACTTTCTACGTTCTGGCTGATGCATTGGCCTACGTCGAACACTCACACGACATCACAATGGCTAGGAGCTATGAGTGGGTCAACGATACCTCAAGCTACAGCAAGTGGGCGCTCTCTGATCTACCTCCATCGAATGGCGCCGGAAGCGTAATAAGTAATGTGCTCGATTACACACACTGGGTTCGCATGTTTCTCCACCCGGAAAATGCATCCAATCCTATTAGCACAGCTGCAATCAAGCAAATGACCACCCGCCATATGATTGTGAACGGCGACTCTTCCCCCAGTCAAGATCTGACGTACGGTCTGGGACTTGAAATCGCCAGCTACCGTGGTCATCGCCTTGTCGAACATGGTGGCGAGATTGCGGGATATATGACAGGCATGTTCTGGCTACCTGACCTCGACTGGGGCGTAGTTCTCATGCAGAATACCGACTCTTTTGCTCATGTTAATATCATGTGGAGCATGATTGACGACTTTCTGGACACGCCGGAGAATGAGCGAGCTGATCCAGGTGCCATCGAGCGTCTTGCACGGAGCAAGAGGCTCGAGCAATCGAAGGACCCGAGAAAGTATCTATTTCCTGACGCTGGCGCATTGGCAACCGTAGGTCCGGCGCTATCCCTACCGCATTACGAGGGAATATACAGTCATCCTGCTTATGGAAATCTTACTATTTCGATCTCTTCTGAGGGGAAGTCGACGGCAGAGTCACGGTCAGGAGCTCCGCTGCCACTGTACGCGCGTCCATCAGCGAAGCATTACTGCGATCTCAGTACTATCTTCCATCACGTTAACGGAGAATATTGGTGTGTAGATGAAGGCTAGATAGCCTTACTTGCTGCTGGAACCTTGCTAACGGTCGTGTAGGTACGCTCACGTGAAGTCAGGGCCAGGTCACTGGTTGATCGATGAATATCAAAAAGCCAGATTTACCATAGGGTCCGATGGTAAGGTCAGCGGGCTTGGTCTGCAAGCCGAGAAGGCGCTCGATGAGCTTGCATGGTTTGAGAGACTTGCGTGAGCGTCTGACGACATCGCGAAATCATTCTAGACTCTGTTCGCAGGCTGCGGACACCGCGGGTTACCACAGGTTAATCAGTACCCTGCGTCCTTAATAGCATCATTGCCAACAGATCTCGTGCGTTGCGGTTGCTCGACACACGGGCGTTGGAGGCTGTTGAAACGAAGCTCGATTCAGTGATTCAACTGGGGTCTGCGCACCGTCCTACGGAAACGCCTTCTTTCTGTCATCGATTTGCCACCTCGCTCCGTCTGCGCTGCTAATTTGCCACCTCGCTCCGTCTGCGCTGCTAACCCGCCAAGCGCTGTTGCAAAGTCCGTAGTGGTTCCGGGGCAGTCCCCCGGACCCCTCTAGGATTCGTCGCTTGTAGTACTGAAGGGCTCGGGTCTTGTATTTGTCGCCATACACTGGGAGGCAGTGGCACAAGAGTGCTGCATTATGGAGATATCTGTGGTCACATTCGAACGAGGCACCCTCCAACTCGCACTTCGACCGAGGTGGTTGCTATGCCAGCCTTGAGGTCTGCATAGCGGCTATGATGAGGTATCCACTCTGTCATGCTTCGGGAGTAAGGATGCGATTTCGTGTTGGCGAAGATGACGAGGTGAAGTTTGAGGCGAAACGGCACAAAAGCGTAGGCGGAACTTGCCGTCAAGCTCACCTCCATTAATGACGCTTCAATTGTTCGGTAACTTGAATCGTTATGTGCCAGCTTCAAAGTCATCATGCACAATCCATGGGAATGACACGCTCTCCCGGTTGAGCACTGAGAACTCCACCGCAGCGAGCTACCATGGCCAAGGAAAACATGAAATGCCTGATTGTTGGCGCTGGACCCGTAGGCGCACTGGCGGCATTGTATGGTGCCCGGAGAGGATGGGATGTAGAGGTGTACGAACTGCGAAGCGACCTTCGCGATGTATCAACAACGCCGCTTAACTTCACCAAATCGATCAACCTTGCGCTGTCGGAACGGGGCATTAATGCGATGCGACAGTCGCAATCTCAAAACTTGCTCGATACGGTGCTTTCGGATACGATACCAATGTACGGCCGCATGATTCACGGTCAGGATACCGCTGGTCAGCTTACCGAACAGTCACAGCAATACGATGTGCATGGACGCTTCATTCGAGCCGTCGACCGCGCAAACCTGAACAAACTTCTTCTCGACGAGGTGGACGCCTTACCCAACGTCAAGCTTCATTTCCAGCATAGGCTCACGGGAGCCGACTTCAAGCGGCGGAAGGCATGGTTTGAACAGAAGTCGTCTCGAACACCTCAGACAGCAGATGCCGCTCAAGCTAACCAAGATCAACACGATGGCAGACCCAAAGAGATTGAATCTGATTTCGATCTCATCCTGGGCTGTGACGGCGCTCACAGCAGTGTCCGTTACCATATGATGAAGTACGTCCGCATGGACTACGAGCAGAGCTATATTGACACGCTTTGGTGCGAGTTCACCGTTCCGCCTGCGTCCGAAGGATCTGGTACCACGCCATCAGCGCGAGACGGCTTCGCTACCAGTCCTAATCATCTCCATATCTGGCCAACCGGCAACAACATGTTCATTGCGATACCGAGCGTGGACAAGTCCTTTACATGCACACTGTTCGCTCCATCTGCCGAATTTGCCACGCTTGAAAAAGATCCAGACAGCGTCCTGCCTTTCTTCCAGGCCAATTTCCCCGGCGCGGCCGAGTTGATTGGCTACAACGAGGTTCGCAAGCAGTTCCTGCAGAACCCTCATCTTCCGCTTATCAGCATTAAATGCTCACCACACACCCATTCCTCCACTGGCGTGATCATTGGGGATGCCGCACACGCTATGGTGCCGTTCTACGGTCAGGGCATGAACGCCGGCCTCGAAGATGTTCGAATTCTTTTTCAGCACCTTGACGCTAATCCTTCAACTAGTGCGGGCAGAGAGGCAGCACTAGCATCCTACAATGCCGAGCGGGTACCGGACGCGCACACAATCAACGACTTGGCGTTGGCGAACTACTGGGAGATGCACGCCGGCGTGCGCTCGCCTCTGTACCTTTTGCGAAAAAGCGTCGAAGAATTCCTTTCGGACAGGTTACCCAGCACTGGGTTTGCAACACAATACAGTCGTGTCAGCTTCAGCAACCAACGATACTCGGAAGTTGCGCGCACGGTGGCGAGGCAAGGCAAGATCTTGTTTGGCGGCATGCTTGGAGGTATCGTCCTGCCGATTGTTGGGTGGGCATCGTGGTGGGTTTGGCGGTGGCAGCGTGCGAGTAAGGCGACCAGAGGTGCAGCAAGGGGCGGAGCGTGGCTGGGCATGTGGTGGGAAAGGGTAGAAAGGGCATTCACATGATCAAGGGCCCAGTAGCATGCCTCGCAAGAGATCTATCTATGGTTTGGCTTTTGACGACGATCCTGACGCGGCTGTGTACGAACCACGACCGGCTTTATGCAGGTGCGTCCGATACGCCACGGCTCGATCGCCGCTTTCAGGGAGCTTCGATTCATTTCGCGAACTACTCGTAGCAGGACACGACTGGATTGGGCAAAGCATCTCGTCGTTTGCACGGCGAGAGCATTCCTCACTCTCCTCACATGACTATCATGCGTTGACAAGACAACAAGGCAGTTAAGACACAACTGCCGACAAAGGGAATGGATACGGATCCGGATCTTAGCGAGCTCTATGCCATAACCGAGGTAGGCGAGGAGTGTCTGGTTGAGTTCGACGACCACCTCTTCTTGCGTGACCCGACGTTTGTCGGGTTTCGAATCGTGGCCTCTTCGTGGACGGCCTTGAAGCACCCACGCTACGCGATACCTCGATCAGATCAAATGTTGGCTCGTGTCGGTGGATAATGCGGCGGGACACTACAACTTGCCGTACCGACAGTCCAAGCGGAAAACGTACTGGCCGTTCTCGGACAGTGAGTTATGCCGGGTCTTCACAGCAAACAGGTCACCAGGCTAGTTGAGCCGGCAGTCAGCATGAGAACAATGTTATGGACTACGATAAAGCTTCATTGCTGGCTCGTGTGCGGCGCAGGTCGATGTAGGATATCCTGGACACGCACATGAACGCGCAGGGACAGACTCCTCGTCGAACCTCCGTGACACTGGCCCTCGCTCTGAGATAAATGTACTACCCGTGAGACTTAAGGCCGCTGAGGAAATCTGAACCGAACCATCGAAAGGAATGAGATAGGTCGCATAGAGGACGTCGCAGAATCCGTCTAGAACATTCTGTAATTTGACGTGAGTGAAGGCTCATGAAGCGATACGGGCTTATTGTGATGAGCCCAGCCGTTCGCAGTTCAATCCACTGGAGGCCCGGATAGATTCACTCGCTTAGCCATGGGATTATAAGTGGAGCTCGTAGGTTCTTCCTCGCAGCTTACGCGAGAGCTTCAAGTCCCTCCACTTAAGGACCATTCGCAGATCCGTACCTGCAGTTCATTCGCTAGCCACATAGTAAGCGCTGGTGTCAATTAGTGGTTACGCTATGCGCAGCACTTCCCTACCTGACTACTACAGCACGGAGGTGCCTCCGAGCTTCATACCTACGTAAGCAATCCTTGCCTTTGCGCTATTGAGACCATTTCGTTCACTTGCGCTCGGCATGAAAAGCTTCCTCGGAACGCTTCCTTGGGAAGAGCTTCGATTGCTCTAAGCTTCCTTGTTAAGGCAGGCCCAGCCTAGAACTACTGTAGGGCCGAAGATCAACCATCCGCCAAGACCACGTGCAGTGTTTGATTCGCCTCGTGCCTCAACTTCTTCCAACCCACTTACCAAAACGAAAAAACACGCCCGCCGCTTGTGAAGAATCTGCAGTAATGCTGCCGCTGCTAATGCACGGTGCGCAGCTCACGATGCCGTTTGGGTGAGCTTAGATGGGTGCTTTTGGCAGCTCGCGACATAAAGGTACCGATCGCCGTTGTCATGGCTCGGACGGCACTTCACGGCTTTCGAACACCAAGCGAGCCGTAATCTTCACGATGTTGGTCACTCTTGCTGCACTCAGCGCCTTTGCCGTGACAGGGTGAGTAATTTGAAAGAGCTTCTCTGTCAATGTAGCTAAGTACAACACAGCACCGTTGCCAGCCCGCAATTCTGGGGCGGGCATAGGCCTCCATTCTGGGGCTCTGGACCCGAACCTTCCGGCTTCTGGGGCTCGCCTTTCTGGGGCTCGCCCTTCGGCCATGGCCCGGAGTGGGCACAAGGTGCATCTTCGTCTGTCGCCTCTACGACCTCGGGAACATCCTCCGCCTCGTCTTCTTTGGTAGTCGCAACGTCGTCTAGGACCTCCTCTGCTTCGGTTTCTGCGGCAACAGCAACTACATCAAGAGCGTCCTCCGCCTCTTCTTCCTTGGTGACGGGAACTTCATCGAAAGCGTCCTCTGCTTCGGCGGCGACTCCAATTTCATCAAGAGCCTCTTCCACTGCCTCTTCCGTGGTGATGATATCGACGTCGAGAGCCGCTTCTGCAACGAGTTCTTCGGCAGTCGCATCATCGCCGAGAGCGTCCTCCGCATCCTCTTCTTCGGCAGTCGCATCTTCGTCCAGAGGGTCATCCGCATTGTCTTCTTCAGCGGTCACATCGTCCTCGAGAGCGTCCTCTGCTTCGCCATCCTCGGTAGCCCCGTCGTCGTCGTTGAGAACATCCTCCTTTGCATCTTCCTTGGCTGTCCCGACACCCTCCGGCACTCCAGGCGTCGGCTCTACGCTTTGCGATACCATCGGATCCGGCTATCAATGCCAGAACAACATCTCCCATTTCTGGGGACAGTACAGCCCGTATTTCAGCGTGGCGTCTAACATCAGCGATCAGCTTCCAAGTGGCTGCAGCATCACTTTCGCTCAGATGTTGTCGCGTCATGGTGCCCGTGACCCCATCGCCTCGAAGACGACGTCGTACAACAACACCATCAACAAGATCCATGCTAATGTCAAAAACTACACTGCCGCTTACGCCTTCATCGCCAATTACTCGTACACCTTAGGTGCTGATCAGCTCACCATATTCGGCCAACAGGAGCTCATCAATTCCGGCATTAAGTACTTTGACCGGTACGCGACACTCACTAGCCGGTTGAGCCCGTTTGTCCGCTCCGCTGGAGAGGCGCGCGTTGTCGAAAGTGCACAAAACTGGACGCAGGGCTTTGACTCCGCTAAGCTGGCTGCTGGGCTGAGCGACCCGACCTACCCGTACCCAATCGTTGTCATTCCGGAAGATGCCGGCGTGAACAATACCCTGAACCATGACCTTTGCAATGCTTTCGAAAACGGCCCCGACAACAGCATTGCAAGCAGTGCCCAATCCAAGTGGACAGCCGTCTTCATTCCGCCCATCCAGGCCCGTCTCAATGCTGGCATGCCCGGTGCGAATCTTACCACGACTGACACTATCAACATGATGGATCTCTGCCCATTCAACACTGTTGCATCCTTGACCGGAGCCATCTCGCCATTTTGCTCTCTGTTCACGGAGGCTGAGTGGCACCAGTACAACTATTACGAGACCCTCAACAAGTACTACGGTTACAGCTATGGCAATCCCCTGGGACCTACTCAGGGTGTTGGCTTCGGCAACGAACTCATTGCACGCATGACGAACCAACCCGTCCATGACATGAGCAGCACCAACACTACTCTTGACAACAACTCTACAACCTTCCCCCTTGGCCGACAACTTTACGCAGACTTCTCGCACGACAACGACATGACCGCCATCTTCTCCGCGCTAGGCCTCTACAATGGCACCGGGCCTCTCTCAAACACCACCGTCGTCGAAGCTGAGCAAGCCAACTACTACAGCGCAGCCTACACCGTGCCTTTCGCTGCCCGAGCGTACTTTGAGAAGATGCAGTGCACCGGACAGTCTGAGGAGCTCGTACGCGTCATTGTCAACGATCGTGTCCTTCCTCTCACGCAGTGCGGTGGTGACAACCTCGGTCGTTGCACCCTCAGCAAGTTCGTTGGCAGCCTTGGCTTTGTACAGTCGAATGGTCTCTGGAACCAGTGCTTTGTCGGCAATTATTCCTCGTAAGCAGAGCAAGGCACTTGCGATGCAATTGCGAGGTCAGTTCCCTATATGGAGCGAGGGGGCAAGACTATGTACATATGAGTTCGAAAAGCAACAACTACGACTAATGAAAGATAATTCTTGAGTTACTGTCCGCTCGGCAATATGGATCATCGCCGCGGTACCTGACGCGTGCGAATCTTGACTTCATTCTGCCCCGCACATTGCACACTCACACTCTCGCCATAGAAGCGGGGACATCACAATGTTCATAACCAATGTACGACCACGTATGCCCTAGGTAAGTAAACTTCCCCGATTGTCAGATTTGTTCGCCATTTCTGTGGTGAAGTTGCGAAGAGTTTCATTTTCAGGGTGTCCTTTCCTTGATCTTTACACCATCTAGTTGTATTGGTCATCATGGTGAACCAAAAGGCTCAAGATGCTGTCCAGAAGTCCCTGGACAGTGTGACTGGAGACAAGTCGACAGGGGTTGCAGGCCTGGTGTTCGTAGCCATTGACAAGGAAGGCAAACAGATCGCAGCGCACGCATCCGGCAAAACGGGTCTGAACGATCGTCCACCGATGACAATGGATACCGTGTTCTGGATTGCGTCGTGCACAAAGCTCCTCGCCACGATGGCTTGTATGCAGGCAGTCGAGCAAGGCAAGCTCAAGCTCGACGATGCCCAGCAAGTCTACAAGCTTTGTCCGGAGTTGAAGGAGGTGAAGGTCCTTCAGGATGACGGCAAGCTAGTCGACAAGAAGAACGACATCACTCTGAGGATGTTGCTGTCTCATACTGCTGGATTCGGTTATGAGTTCTTCAATCCCAAGCTCCGTGATTACGGGCGACCTGCAGGCTTCGATGTTTTCCACGCCGATGTTGACGACCTTATGCGCATGCCGCTCGTCAATCAGCCCGGAGACACTTGGGAGTACGGTATGTGGTGGAAAGACTTCGATCTTGCTTGCGGCCTAAGCCGTGGCTGATGTGCTCCCTAGGCATCAACATTGACTGGGCGGGCATCGTCCTCGAGCGAGCGACTGGTGTGAAGCTCAATGACTGGATACAGCAGCAGATCATGCAGCCACTCGGGTTAAAGAGCGTCAATATGTTCCCGACAGCGGATATGAAGAAAGAGCTCGCATACATGCATCAGCGCTGGCCCGGTGACCCCAGCAAAAACGAAGAGCGAGACCACATGTACCGTGAGCCAATTCTGGCGGAAACGGACAAGCAGAAGGAGCGAGTCTTCCACAGTGGTGGCGCTGGAGCGTATGCCAAACCAGCGGAGTATGTGCAGGTCCTTGCTGCCCTGCTCAACGACGGCACAAGTCCGATTACTAAGAAACAGATTCTGAAGCCGGAGACTGTGAACATGATGTGGGAGAACCAGGTTCCGAAGATGGTTCGTATTTCCACAGCTGCTTAGGAGTGGTGCTGACGATGGGGAAGCCCGACTTTGCGCGACAGGGTGTCCCTGCCGCAAAACCCGAGCAGACAAATCCTTCACCAGAGTTCTACCCGCAAGAAGGCAATCCGCCTCAAGGCTGGGGTTTGAGTTTCATGCTCACTCAGGAGCCGGGAGCAACCGGTAGAGGACGCAATACTGCCTGGTGGGCAGGGATAGCGAACCTCTTCTGGTGGTGCGACCGCGAAAAGGGCGTTGCGGGTATGATCGCATCCCAGATAATGCCGTTTGGCGACCAGCATGTCATGGGCCAATGGGGCGCATGTGAGGCGGCAGTTTACTCCGCTCTTTCGTGACCGGATAGCAGGCTGTAACAGGGCTGGCGAAAAAGCGTTGAAATCGTACTCCATGTGGAGAAGCAGCTGTTCTTGTCCACCTCGGCTGCTGTGAATGTTGCAGCTCGCTCACGATTGGAGGACATGATTGCGCTACGCAAAGGATATGATTGCGCAGTGCGCAGGACATAACGTGGCGCCAATCAACGGCATTTCTATTCCATGCAATACTCACCGCCGTCGAGGCTGAGTTCTTCGCCGGTTCCTCTAATAGACACATGTTCCACCTGAACAAGGTTTTCCTTAACAATGCCGAGCCCATGATGGTGGCAGCTGGCTGTAGCGGTTCCATTGAAAATGATTTGGTATGCTGCAGACTCAGGTAGACGAAAGAAATGCCGAAGACGTGACACTGACAGAGTACTGCAACAATGGTATGTCTCTGTCGCAACCATCACTGCCGGATCTTGTTGCAGAGACGTTGCAGCAATGGATGCTGAGCGCCCACTTCGCCTCTTGCGACACTCAGCCTTCGACCATCCTGTCGCGCTGGGATGGGATTCTTCGCCAGCTGTCACATGGCTTGTAAGCGATTGTTCCCTCATTTCAGGGTTCTAGTTGCGGAACCGCTCGTCAGTGCTATGCACTCGGCACGGCACATGATGGCGCCAGTGATACAGCCAGTGACACAGAGAGGACGTAGGCTCGCTCGGAGTGGTCTTCATCAAGCCTGCGGCGCATCTTTCTAGTAGCCTGGGTTGCCGGACAATGACTGTACACTGACACAATGCTCTGGGTCGCGTGACCGAATTGACCCGTCCAGCATCATAGCCATTCATCGGTGGAGATCGGGAGCAAAGCTGGCTGCCCAGTAGCGCACAGCTCAAACTGGGGCATAGTCGTCGTCTCACTATTCACACCCGTGCGGGGCGACTGATAGTTTGGGACTTCAGCGTCGCTTACGTACGTTGCCGTTTGCTTCGGTATGCTTGCCGTTGCCGCTCGACTGGAATGCATCTTTCGCGTGGTTGTGCTCGTCGTGATCATGAGCGTGCTCCTCATCTTCGCTGTCACTCAGCCTCCCGGCGACGAACTCGTCTGCAAAGGCTGGAGCATCTGCCGCCTTGTCTGTGAAGCGCACCAAGACTCTCCGGACACCTCGTACCCTGGCAGAGACCTGTTGGCGCACAGCTTCTTCAATCTCTTGCGCACGACCAGTAGTCAAGTACGAAGGGGCAGCCACTTCGAGCTCTACCAGAAAGTTCTGCCCGGACTTTATGCCTTGCACGCCCTGTAGTTTGAGCTCGTCCTCAGCGTACTGTCCTAGAGCAGCATTGGCGGCGCTCTGAACACTTTGTTGGATATCGTTGTCCATGGCGACATCCGTGAGCTCAAGTACGGCTGCTCTAGTGTTCACCCACCCGGCTTGTACGATCATGCCACTTATGATCAGACCGCCGACAGGGTCAAGCCACTGCGCGTTGCGTATGAAGTTACTCATTGCAATCACAAGCAGCGCAACGAATGAGGTCAAGCTGTCGATGCGGTGGTGGTAAGCGTTACTGGCCAAGACGCTGCTTCGCTTCTGTCTCGCCACCTTTATGGTTGCTCGATACAGCCACTCCTTGATAACGATACTGCCACCAGCGAGCCACGCCGCGTTGATATCAGGACCCACGGACTCAACGCCAGCGTGACCATGGTGATGTCCATGCTCGAAGATGCCTAGAGACGAGAGGAACGATCCTACCTCTGGGAAGAACTGCTGGCAGAGCGCCATAATAGCTTGGAGACCGATCATGATGCCACCAGACAGTAGCAAGCCTGACACGCCCAATGCACCAAGCGACTCAACCTTACCGAAGCCCAGCGGGAAGCGCGAGGTCGGCGGTTTGAGAGAGTAAGAGATCGTGGCTAGTGTTGTGATGTCCGATACAAGGTCCGTCATTGCATGTAACGCGTCAGCGGTCAAACTGCGAGTAGTCATGGTTAGCCCCCCGTGCGAAAGAGAGTGTCGTGTGACTTTGTAGGTTGTCTTACGCCTGCGAATTGAACAGGATCCCTCCAGTCCCCTTTGCCAACGCCATGCCCAAGTTCACATACAGACCGATCCTTGTTATGCGGACACCGGGATCGCTCTTGTTCCGACTCGTTAAATACGTGTTGTCGTGATGGTGGTGACTGTGACCCGCATGCGTCCGGACCTGAGGCCCATTGAGACCGAGATCCACTGCCATGGTCCGTGGCGCTTTATGTATTGAGGGTTTGCGGATACGATGGACTATGGAAGCCCACTGGTGTGGACTACGTTGCGGAAGCGGCGATGTCGAATGAGCGTCGAAAGGGGCGGCTGAGACGGCTGAGCCAGACAGTAGCACCCGCCGCTGCTCTAAGGAGGGGTGAAGAATCTTGCAACTGAAGTCTGTAATGCGCAGTATGTTGTTGTTACATAGCAGGCTCCTGGAACCGTGCCGGCCGCAGGGCAGGGGCATCCGCGCTGAAACACACAGGAGAAAGCAAGAATGCGGTCGACCAGCGACGCACAGTATCTTCTAACCGCCTATAGCAGCATCGAGCTTGACCAACAATTGCGAAACAAACCGAAGGCGGCTGTTGGAGAATCCTACATTGAAATAGTAAACAGAATGCCTAAGCCTTGCCTCAGCGGACTCAGACGCTTCGCTGATTGGATGCCGAGACTCTGCTTCGGGTTAATGAGCTTCTCGATGGCGGCTGAATGCAAATGACACTGCAGCATCATGCTTACTCTAAGATGCTACTCTAGATGGTTATCTATCGTACATTATCTGCCACTTTGGCCTTTAGGGACAGCTCGCTATCGTACACACAAAGTCACGCCCGTTGACAATCCAATCGCGAAGTATCACGGCTAGAATACCTTTCTAATAATGCTGAGCGGTCTGGCGCACCGAAGGCGGCGCATCGTGAGGCGATAGTACTGACTGGATGCTGATACGCCCGTTAGAATCGGGTGAGTATCGAGAGAAGCTCGTGACCGGTTTGGGAAAGGTGGCTTCTTCCGGGCTCGTAGAGACGTCAGTGCCGCCGACACTACAACTGGCCCTGGCTATTGGCGGCGGAGGTTGATAGAGCGGCAACAGCTGTGGCAAGCTGTGCGAGCGTGCATGCTCTTGAGACGGTTGCGGAGTGTAAGTGTGGGCGTCCCATGAGGCAGACTTGACATGTTGGCCGGTCGGCTCGCCCAGAACTAAGTCCGTCTCAGTGTCTGAGCTGCTAAGGCCAATACCGGAGTCACTGGTCTGGTCTGAAGTACCTCGCTCCTCGAACGGTTGGGCCTGCGTTGCAGATGCTCGACGCTGAGCTGTTCGCGCCGTGGACTGTAAGCTCTTGAGTCCCTTCTCCATGCACTAGATGGTTGCATTAGCAAATACTGGCAGAAGAGTGGATGGATAAATGCTTACCTTGGCTTCCACTACCGTCCATTTCTCGCCTACCCGGTTGGCGAGGGTCTCCCACATCTCTTTCCGGATGAGCATGTACTGTTGAGCGAGTAACTCAAGCTTCTGTGCATCCCAGTCTTCGGCCTGACGTCGCTCCATCAACCGCTCGTACCGCTTCCGGCAAGCATTTGCCGTCTTGCTTGGGAAGTTGTGCTGAGCGATCGGACCCCAGTGCAGGCCAGAAGCGCGCGCTTGCAACAATACCTCGTCATCGGACGTGCTCCAGATTGCGGCGTTGCGAGAGCCAGAAGTAGAGGATATTGGATACGGTGTGGCTGTGACCGAGGAATGACGGGCAACAGCCGGCCTTATTTCCTTGGGCATGATCGTCGGAGACTCAAAGTGTGGCATAAATGGCGTTTCGTAAAGCGTAAGTCGTGAGTCGTGATGTCTTCGTGGTGCGGGACGTAACAATGATTTATGCGCTCCGCTGGTAATGGTAAGATCTGTAGACAAGAGCTGTGCGGTGCGTCAAGCACGGCGGGACAATCGCACGAAAGTGTAAAGTAACAATGATTAGTAGGAGTAATGCAACGATGCCAGACCGAGCCCACAGTGAATCGCAAACACAAAACAGACAAGGAAAGAAGTGGGAAAAGGTTGTATGAGTTGTAACTGAAGCTTGAACGCCTGTCGTTGCAGGCCCGGGTGACGGCGGACGACCTTATACCGACCGTGGTGATTGACGTCTAGGGGACGACTGCGACCTGGGCGGCCTGTATAGGCACATACGAAACTCCACAATGACATGTGCGCGTCTACGGCTCCAAGAGAGGGCTGCGAGCCTTCCATGCTTCGAAAGGCTGCGACCGGCGCGAGTGCTGTAACGGGCGCTATCTCATAACGCTTAGAGCAGAGCCATCTGAAGGAAGCGAATGGTCAAAGGATGTCGGTTGCGTCATGCTGTATGCACAGAACGTCTGCCCAAGGCGTCGCGCCTGTTTCGAGCTAAGTTGAGCTGTTCCTGCATGAAATGACATTGTTGTTACGATGGTGAACAGTGGCCGGCGTCTAATCTGCGGCCATCTGAGGTGGGCGGCTACGTCTACTTGACCGCAGGTCCTCGTGGGAGCTATTTCGGTCTGCGATCCTGCCGCCGACCCAGCAGTACGGGGAATGCACGTCAGTAAACAGCATCGCCAGAAGACGCTTACAATCGTGTTTCAACGCCGTCATGAGCAAAGGTTGGTGGCCACGGAGGAGTCCAGGAGGGAGGTGCCGATCATGGCCATAAGCGCCGACTTGCGCGCGACCATTCACCCGTCTCACATGACGGTGAGAGACAGATTGGAGGCGCATTCCCGGTCCATCTCGTCCCGCACTCGGTACGCTTCTCACCTGTACATATCGAGCGTCACATCCTAAGGAGCAACGTAGCCGTGTGAGAGAAGATGTTCTTCAAAATCTGAGATTAGAGGGAGTCTGTCTCGAATAAGGTACTGAGTCTTGGCCCGTGCGCGAGGTGAAACGCTACTAACTTTGATCGGCATGGTGAACTTCACGTCTTTGACCTCCAACTCTTCCATGAGACGCCAAAAAATAGATTCCATTTGCGCTGCTCTATCGATCGCCTGGCAGCAGTCGCTCGGTCGTAGTCATGGCGAAGCAGAAGCAACTCACCAAGCTTCCTAAAAAGCGTAAAGGTACTGTCGCAAGCCCACAGACGGCTGATGATTTCCTACAGCTTGCGGATCATGAAGAAGAGACTGGCGGTTTGTTTGTTCCGTACTTTCTGGTGACGGATGACACGTAGTGACTAAATGCACATGACAATAGGAAAGTGGCGTGCCGGGGACAGCCAGAAATCAGGCCGAGCGTACCTTCGAGCCTTGGACCTGTACGATCAAGGCTTACAACGCCATCCTTCGTCCTTCGACTTAGCTTACAACAAAGCTCGGTTGGAACTCGAAGTTACGCAACGTCCGGCTTTGATCACTCACATAGGCCTGCCCAGAGCGCAACTCCTGAGACAAGCCTTAGTATCCAATCGATATGCTTTGAGCCTGTCAACCGAGAATGCAGATGCACTTTTCAACACTGCGCAAGTCTTGATCAGTCTGGCGGAGGAACTCTCCGAAAGCGATGGTGACGACTCTGAAGCCGTTTCCAGCCTCCAGGGAGCACTCGAACTGCTGTCCGTATGCCTGTCGCGCCAGGAAATGTTACTGGAACAACAACGCGCGGCTTTCGAAGCTTTTGATGACCTCGAGGAGGGTGGCGTTCCAATTGAGACGGACCAAGAGCCAATCTCCAACAACGATTCCGATATTTCTGAGCAGACTGTGACCATTGAGCATCCAGTAGCTCCCAATGATCTGCTCGACACTATCTCCGCTTCGCTGTCAGCGTTGACCACATTAGCTGCGCTATGTCAGCCTAGTGCACTACAAAACCTCGCGGAAATGGCACAGTCACTTGCGGAGACTAAAGGTCCTGCGTACATTGCACTCCTATCTCCTGAAGCTCAAGCACCGTCTCGCCGGACTATAGCCGTGGAGCGAGCAAACTTCATCGCTGCGTATGCTGATGCTCAGTACAACGCCGGCATGATCGACCTGGAAACCTATACTGACAGGCTTGCCGTGTTCGACAACATCATCTGTCAAGACGATGTAAGTGCACTCACATCCGAAGCGGAAGCTAGAACTGAGCTGGTGCTTTCTGCGTTGATGCGTAAGGATGGCAGTTCTCAAAACAGACTCATCGATGCCTGCTGGAGACAATCGCGCCACGCACAGGACTTGTATGCTAAGGCTTCGAAGCTGGAGTCCTCGGCTTCGCTGTGGCTGTCTAGAGGGGATGTAGAGATGATCCGTCACCGCATCGCAGTGGTGCCGGACATCAACCTTCCAGGAAGCATACGCAAGAGTGCGCAAACGCTTGCCCAGAACGCCCAGACTTACTACAAGAGTGCAATCAGATGCGCAAGTGCAGATGATGCTGAAGTAGCGAATACGTTGCATTGGAAACTGAACATTGCGACTTGCCTGAGGCAGGTTTTGTATGGCGTTGAACCGTCAGCAGATATTACTGGGACCTTGAAGACGGCAGCAGGAGGGCTTTTGAAGTTACAAGCCGCGCTAGAAGCGGCTGTGGAACATGGTCTGCTTGACTTAAGGATGGCGGAAGAGCTGGCGAAGCAGACTTCGCAGCGTGGCTAAGGGTCGCGAGGCAGGGCGTATGGTAAAGCGAAGAAGACAGTTGTGAAACTCGACGCTCGTGCAGCAAAGGCATGGCGACGACTTGGAACCCAAACCGTCTTCTTAGCAGGGCATGTGTGCCCAGCGCCACTCACCTCCGTCAATCATCGGTGTCGACCATTGATCTGCGCTCCGTGTGACATTGCTTGCGATAGTCACCGCGTGCGCAGGGATGCTTGTCATCCAGCGTGAACTGAGGGTGATTGGAGGGTAGCGAGCTTCTTCCTGTCCCGCCAAGCATCTACGATAGGTATGGAAGGAGCGGCGTGCACGCGCCACCTACCGCCATCTCGCCATCGAAGTCGGGCGAAGAAGCGAAGATCAATGTATGGATTGGTATCAGTGAGTAGACGACCGTATCCCTAAACTTGTTGATACTCTGTTGAGCTCGGGTTGTCTAGAGACAAGCAGCGTCACCAGGCTGTACACGGCATTGAAACGCTTCAACCTTAGCCACCTGCCTTCCGCTCACCCTACCGGCACTCGCAGCGTGCTATCTCATACTAGGTTGAATGCTCAAGATTCATCCGACCGGCCACATCGCGTAGACAGCAAGCGCATCGCAACAGACGCCTCGAAAACACTGAGCGCTGAAGCGTTTAGCTACAACGCAGTACACCGACCAAAGACAAACATGGCGAACACGGATTACGACGAGAAATTGCCATATGTGCATTTCGAGACTGTACCTTCGGATCAGAGAATGTACGATGACTTCAACAGAGAGTTCGAGGTGACCGAATGGGACCTAAGCACTCGCGTTTTGAGAGGCCTAAGCCTGGGCTTCGATCCTGCAGCCGCACGTCGCTCGTATGAGCAAGGCGAGACGGACAAGCGCAGCAACCGAAAAGTCCAAGAGGAACTCAGGTCTGTTGCTGTGAGCCTTTACAACCATCAGAGAGTGACTGCGATTTTCCGAGCTAGGGTAATGCAAATGCATCTACTTGCTGCCACGCAAGTTTACTGACCTGTTGTAGACCACCGAAGGCAACAATGTCCTAGCCTATCTGCTTTGTGCCTCATACGAAGGAACTCCGCCGGGCACCCCGGAGAAGAACGGCCGTCCAAAGCTACGGCAGTGCGTTCCTCTGCCTCTGGGTCATTGGGTAAGCGAATACACCTTCAGCTATCTTGCAGCTAGTTCGCTCAGCGTACGTTCGCTGACACTAAATCTCGCTCAGGATCGCTTGTATTACGCCATTTGCGCCGAGATTCGGAGCATGTACGAGGCACTCCAGAGCAGTTTCGGCAACGGGTTCGAGGACGGCACCGTCGTCCTTCACAATGCAGGCCTCGACGCTGCTTCTTGCGAGAGACGCCCAATCAGCGCTGTCGGACTGGCCTCGCTACTGGAAGACAAGTGGCTACAGATCCACAGTGATGATCTGGTGGCAGCTCTAGATCTTGCCGTGCGCTTCCGAAACGCACAAGACGCCACTGGCAGTTGTGCTGGGTTTGACGCCTGCCCAAGTTTCTACTATAAGGATACCCTCTCTGGCTTGCGCTCATTCGACCACGAGCACGGCGAGAAGTGCTACGCGGTTCATGTCGCAGAAGGTCTCATCAACACAAACACAATGACCCCGGAGGGTATCATGCAGCTGGTGTGGACGAAGCAGGCGCATGAAGCGCACCGCAAGTCCGGGAAGGTGGCTGAGAAGGAGACGCTTTTGGCCCGCTGCCGCGCTTACGTCCGTGAATGCTCGCCAGAGACAACTAAAGTGAATGAGCAGGCTGCAGGCAAGCGTCTCAACACCGCTTTCTGTGGATGTGGTCCCGCTTGCTATTGTCGAGCAATATGCGACTTGCAAAGCAACGAACGTAGTTGCGCGCATCTCCATAACCAGGTTCGCAACATTGTCGGCGAGCAGGAGACTACTAAGAACGGAGTACATGACCTGGTTAGCGGTATGATGCAGCCACCGGACACGCCGGTGAATGATGAGCCTAAAGATGTCTACTGGGACCTGCAGTCACTGCCGAACAACATGCTCGGCGCGGTGTCTAATGGTCTTGCGCAGATGGAAGTTGCAGCTATGGCGCAGCCGGATCCATTGACAGTTCAGGCATGTCACATCGGGCGGCAAGCCGGCCAGGAGAACGACAGTGGAGAACATACGAGCTATCACCGGGCACCCTCCAACACCACCAACAGCGACCTTGCTTCCATTCCGCCACTGCGCACACCGTCCCGTGGTCGTACGAAAGACGCTTACCCCCTTGGCTTCTATGGCGACAGCTCCGGCCAACGCTACCCAACCCTCAGAAGCAACACCGCTCAAGACCTTCCGCCACCGGTTTATGGCGCTTCATTCTACAGCACCCATGTACCGGCGCGCAAGCCTGTCGCCACTGCAAGGGCTGTATACACTGCCCAGGCTGAGGACACGAAGCGAGCTTCGCCCATTAGGCATATTACATACCCAGCGATCCCCAAATCGGAGAGCCAAGGTTTGTTCACTCGGAGCTTCCCGGTTCCAGCCAGAGGCAATCCGCGCGACATCGAGCATGTAGACAACGTGAATGCCTACAACGATCTGGCTCAAGAAGCGCACAATGCGATTCGCCCTTTCTCCGACGAACCTACTATGTACGCCAAAAGCACCCCGACTCGTCACATGGCGCACACCGCAACAACCTCTCCAGATGGTCTCTACATCACGAAGACCCGCGAGAACAGCTTCGACATCATCAAGCACAAGGCACACCCGCCTCTACCCGAACCCGACTTCATGGCGCCCCGTCCGGCACTGAAGCAGCGTTACGTCTCCGCCGGCGGCAATGCTAAGCTTTCCGAGCGCGCCGAAATAGCCGGTCCCGCCTTCGGAATCACCCAGATTCCGAATGGTAGCGGCACTGCTATACCCAAGGAAGAGCTATTCCAGAAGCTCAGCGATCCCGAATTCATTCGAGGCAACTTCGGCGAGGAGGCGGTGGGCAAGATGAGCTTCGGTGTAGACAGGGAGAGGACGAGCTGTGAATCAAGTCCCAGCAAGCGGAGCAGTGGAGGCAGCCAGAAGAAGCAGCGCGCGTCTGCGGAGGGCTCAATGAAGGGTGGCGACAAGCGGGAGAGGACGGATAGTGGAGGCAGTGTGGAAAATGGGAGGTTTGAGAAGCTGAAGCGGGTGTTTTCGAGGAAGAATAGTGGATGTGAGTAGGTTATTGCTGACCGCTCATGGAGGAGAAGACCGGGCCTGCAACGCAGGAAATAGCAAGAAGGCGTTGTAAATGTTGTGGCCTGGATATGTAACGAAGCGAGTGCAGAATGTGATGAGAACGGGCCATTTAGAAGAGCATATTTAGCTCGACGCTGGCTGCATGAGAACGATGATTTGACGAAAGCATAAGATCGGAGTTGAATGTATTATCCCTGTGGCGCAGCAAAGCGGTCACGATCATGGGAGACTTGCTAGTTCAGATTTGCCTTCGACGACGCCGCTCTTCGCAGTCCAGACTACGTATCGGTCCTACATCCTCTGCTTCCGAAACACCCCCAAAAAGCCACCACCAACGACCATCTCGCCAACCTTAGGCCGACAAACCATTTTGAACCCGCCTTTATCCCCTTGTCGAGCCTTCTCCGCCCCTTCAACGGGTAGCTCATCATCATCACTAACCTCCACGCCACTGTCTTCGCCATCCCGCACCACCTCCCTCGCGGCCTCATTAGCCTTCACTGCAGCTCTCGGCCTCACAGCCCGCACGTCCCACTCCCGTCCACCGGTGCCGCCATTGACGCCTAGCTCCAACACGCGCTCAAGGTCAAGTGGAATCGCATCGGTCTTGACTTTCTCCATGCACGCCATGATTTGCGTGATACTTGGACAGAAGACGATGAGTGCACCGTCAACCCTTAATGCGGCGGTTACGGCGGAGAGATGTTCTTCTGTGGAGGGGAGATCGAGGAAAGCGTGAGATAGGAATGCTTCGCCCCCGCGTCTCTCGAGAGTGGCACGAGTCCATTCACTGACATTGGCGACGTGGAAGTCAACGTTGTGATGGTACATCCCTTTACGGAAGCCTTTCACGATTTTCTGGGCGTGGGTGGAATAGCGGGGCGAGACTTCGATTGTGTGAATGACCGCACGGCGGGTGGACTTCCACTGCCCCAGCGCCACATGATCTTCTTCGTCTTCCACGTCAGAGCATTTGAGCGGCAGAGGACGATTACCACCATGAATAGCGCGACTCAGATATAGCGTCAGCGCTCCGTGACCTGTTCCAGCTTCCAGAATTTCAATTTTCGGTCCCGCCGACTCGTGGCCCCATTGAGGCGCCTGAACGTGTAAGTCCAGTAAGTCAACGATCAGTCGTGCATCCTGCGGATACAGCGGGGTGACAAGACGTCTGGTGAAGCGGACGTACTCCTCGAGCCTTACTTCATAAAGGCGGAAGTCTGTGCCCTCCGGAGCAGATTTGGTTGGGCCAGTGCAAACGATGTCGCGGACACGTTTGCCGAGGATGTCGTCGTGTGTGATGCTTCCCTTGTGGGTGTCAAGGCGTAGACCCGGTTTCAGCGGTAAAGTGAGAGTAGCGGAAACATTGCGGCTAGATTTCGGTCGAAGCAGAACGCGATCGCCAGGCTGAAAGGGCCTTAGGTCGCTTATGTTCCGATACGGCGTCTTGGGTGAGGTGATTTGCTGTATGCTACGCCACAGTCGGCGCATCAAGCGGACATATAGCGTCCTGCTGGCGGACGAATAAGGAAGGCACGCATGACAGAGATACAAAGCTTGGTGCAGGCAAAGGGGCAGAAAACAAGAGCCTTAGGCAGCAATCATACGAATGTCCATTACAACGGAATCTTCCTAAACGCACATACAGCAATCCAATCACGTACCCTAACCTCGCTTGGGCTTCTCTTGGTGTTAGGAGAGCCATTGTAGACTGACGACATGCTGTGAATGACAGCCGAAAGGTTGTACAAGAGACAGCGATGACAAGTCAACAGCCAAAGTGGGACAACCGCAGCCGTATATATCTCATATACATGATCTGACGACTCGCAGCGCGTGGCAAACCGCAGGCCGCTCCCGCCACTCACAATCAGCTTCTCGGACGCCGCAAAACCGCTCCGGCACGGCATCACCAAGCCAGCAAACTCAGCCAACGCAGTCGCCACGGCAGGAAGGCGGACGAGCACCGCAAGTTAACAACGTCTGGACACAGCGTAGTAGCAGTGCCAGCGGAGCCAATGGACCACGTGTAGGGCAGCCGCAGCTGCAAGTCCAGCAGCAAGATGAGCAGTACACGCCCGCCAATGGATTTAATGCAGACGAGGTGAAGGCTGCGCTGGGTAAGGATGCCACACCGGCACCATACAAGCCTGCGGAGGTTGCTGGAGGGGCGAGAGTGAGTGGCGGCTCATGGGGAGCGAAAGGTTCGCATATGTCATATGGGTCATGATGAATAAGTTGCTGACACATTCCCAGCGAACCAAACTGCCAGTGGCCAAGCCTTCTTGGCTCAGCTTGCTAAGGAGATCGCTAAAGTAGAAGGCGGCGGGTGAACACTACGAGTGCGGCATAGTTGTACGCCTGGGAAAGCTCATAAAGACGTTCCTGTCCTACTTGCAGGACTCACATTGCAGCAATCTTCGTTGTCAACACAAACTGCATAAATTCATCACCCATTCACGCGAAAGATGCAAAGGTAAGCGCATAAGGGGACAGATCGCCGCGGAGGTTGAGCTAGAGGCGGCTGCCAGGCGGCGGAGAGTTCGAGCGAGGAAACTTGTGCAGAGCTCTCGGTACTCGAAGCTTCAGCAGACAAGCCAAGAATTTGGCGCTGGCACGCCTGAGCAGACTGGAAGAATGCTGTCTTTCAATGACAGATGTTACACAACTTGTCACTACCACGATGGGTATCACTCCGACCCTGGCCCGCACAAATTACGCTCAGCTGACCCCCCTCGGCCTTTCCTTTTCTACGCAGTGGCACTGCTGTTCAACTCCCCATCATCCAAGGCCCACGCGATGCTATTGAACTCGATATACATCGTCTGGATCTGTGGGCAGTCGTCCATCACGATGTAGTTGAATCCCTTCACCGGATACGGCGCGCGACCGACGGCGTTGAACTGCCACTGCCTAAGCACGAAACGCCACGGTTCAGCAACAGCCACAAGCAGCAGATGGATAAGGGCCGTGTGGTGCTCACCATAGAATCTTGTTCGGGCACACAACGCCGATATCCAACGTCGTTATATTGGTATCAGCCGGCGAATGCGAGATACCTTCGATCCACGCTTGCTTCGAAGGCGCGGATACGCCGCCGAGCTGCCAATCAACCACCGTCAGCCATCGTCCTCACATTGTCTTCACTACCACTGCCTTCCCACGACGGGGTGCACACTTACCGGAAGACTCTGCAACGAGAGTATCGAGTCCGAAATCTCTACAAAGTCGTCCGCGAGCAGCGCGTTGCCAATCTGAGTCACGTTGCCCACATGGGTCAAAGTGGCCTCGAGCGCGGCTACGACGTCGACGGCTAGGTTCTGGCTAATGCAGTCGGTGGATTGCGCGGATGTGGTGGCGATGAAGGCGCAGGTGGTGATGAGGAGGAAGTTCATGGTGACTGATTGGGATTGTGGCAATGTGAGTCGGGGCTGTAGTAAGCTTCCTAAAGAGCACAAATGACCGGGCTCATCTCTGTTTTCATGTGTGTTCGAATTCACTCTTGTAAGTTTTGTGTTGCCACAGGGATACTGCCTCGCCGTGGCAGCGTTTGAGAAAGGCGTACAAGACCTTTAATACGGACTAATGCCAAGCCGATGTTGTCAGGCAAGGACGTCGTACCTGCGGCCAGCCGCTTTCGATTTGGACGGTTGCATGTTAAGTCTAGTGCACCACGGCATGAATTTGTGGACTTGGATACTTAGTACGACCATGCTCCGTGCAAGGGGTGCGTTTCTAAGGGCTAATGGTGTCACAGTACATGCATGCGCTTCCTGAACGTCCGTTCGTGCGACAATCAACCATACAGCAGCAACAACATCACTCCCCTACCGATACCGCCTTCCCTTCCCCTTCTTCTTCGCACTCGCCTTCTTCGCACCACCCTTCGCTGGGGTCGCCGTCACCGCAGCCTTCCCACCACCACCATCATTAGCAGTAGGCGTCATCTCACCATTACCGGGCGCCAACTCGGTAAGCGTATCCTCGTCCATATCGCTCAACTCCTCCGACATGTCCCTCAGCACCGCGCGACCCATGTACCGCTCCTCGTGAATGGTCGTCCCCACCGGGTCGAAGGGTTCGAGATACCAAGGGACACCGCCTTGCGCGAAGGCGTCCGTCGCATAAGTCGTCTCTTCGTGCTCGGTTTGGCGATTGGCGGAGGGTAAGTCCGTAGATATCGGTGGGGAAAGCGGTTCGGTCGGCTTCGGCATACCACTCGTCGTTGTAGTCTTAGTAACCGCGTGACCCCCATGACCACTTGAGGCGCGCGAAGCGGGCGTGGTCTTCCTTAGCGGAACCGCTGCAGTATCTCCTTCTTCCACAAGACCGACGTCAGCAGCGTCCACCATCTCCACATCTTCCCTCCACACCCTCTCTCGGTCAAGGTCATCAGGCGACGCACCTGCAGTAGCAGCCTCCGCCTCCACCTCCTCATCCTCTTTACGCTCCCCAACCCCTACGTCACCGCCATTCTTAGCTGAAGCGAAGATGCCCATCTCGTCCAATTTGCGCAGCGCGTCCAGATGCTCGTGCCCCTTAAGCTCGGCTTCTTTCTTCAGCGCATCCTCTAGTGCTTCCTTGACGGCTTTGACGATGCGTTTCGCCAACTTCTTCACCTCCTTCTGCTCCTGACTCAAGGCATGGTGCTCCGCGGTGCCGGGTTTGATTTCGTGGAGGTGGTTGTGGATGGTTTCGATATCTTCGCCTGCCCCGCCGCTCGCACCCGTATGTACGCCGTCAACGTCAACGGCAGCCTCGTGTTGGTGATCGTCTGCGGCGGAAGAGGTAGTAGCAGTGGGGTGAGGGTAAGCGAGGAGCACTTTGCTGATCACCACCGAGAAATCGCGGGAGAAGTCCTGCACGGAGGTGTAATGTCGCTCGCGGAGGCGAAGGGCGATAGCGTCGAAGCCGGGGGTGAAGGTGCGGGTTTTCTCATCGAGCCTGTGGCTTTCATCAGTACTCACATCCCAATTCTACCAAAGGGAAGTGGGGTTCAACTCACTTGAAAGCCTTCTGCAGTATCGGCCCCAGCATCGCAGAGATGGGGAAATACACCGTATCGATCAACTCCCTCAGCACCTCCACTTCCCTCAACCTCTCCCCTTCCCTCCTCCTCACTAGTCCCGTCAACTCTCCCAACCTCCCCATCTCCTGCTGCAACATCCCCGCAAACTCAATCCTCCTGACCAACCTCACCCGCCCAATTGCGCCCATGCCCACAAAATTTCTTCGCGTAACCTCCATGGTCGAGAAACCTTCCAACTGCAACTGCAGCCTCTTCAACAACGCCGCGCCACGGCGGGCCTCGCGTTTAAGCGTCCAGTAGCGACAGCATTTCTCCACGAATTCCTTGCGTTTGCGGATGGTGAAGCGGGTTAGACTCGCGTCTACCGTGTTGAAGACGACGGCGGGGACAACGGGTGCGCCGGAGGGGAGGCGCCAGCTCATTTTCGCCGGGGCCAGTGTACGGCGGCGTTTGGTCACTGCGATTGTGTCGCCGGCTATCATGTTAGAACTGTCGTCCGCGCCGACCAGTCCGCCATCGGGGGGTGCGGGTGCGCCGAGTTCCAATGCTGCCGTTTGGCTGTCGGCCCATTTGCGGTCGCGGAAAGCGTGGCGGTACCAGCGTTTTGCCTCAATGATTGCGTGGTCAGTATCGTGGAGGCGGCGCCAGTCGGGGGGAACGTGTTTGTCGCAGAAGGCCTTCAGTGCTGTTGTGTCGATACCGCCTTGGTGTTGAGACTTCATCTTGAGGAACAGCTTCGCCCGCCTTGCGCATGTGACGTGGAAGGCAAGGTAGCAGTTCTTATTCCCGCACTGGATGCATGCTCCCATCCGCTGGTTGCAGATGTAACAGTTCAACTTCCATCGGCCCTTGGGCACTTTATCCACGTCCGTGATAGGTTCCATGAAGGTCATGTTCGCGATTGTAACCTCGGGGATCCAGATTGCACACAGCAAATGGCTCCAACGTAGTGTGTTGGTCTGCTTAAAGGCGCCGTCGACGTTAGGGCAGAAAATGCACGTCGGTGTACCTCTGCCAATCTCCTTGCATTTCCGGCAGAACCACTGGCCTTCCGGGATGAAGGGAACGCCGTAGCATTCTTGGTGCACTGCTAGATCACACCCATCGCAAAAGATGATGGCGTTAGCATTCTCACAGTCTCCATCATCACAGATGGAGCATTTGCTATCGGGCTCATCGCCGGGTGGGTTCGGGTCGCCGTTGACGGCTGCCTGGGAGCTCGAACGAGGCCTATGCGTTTGAGCGTGCCGAGGCTGCGGTTTGGGGATCCGTTTCTCGAGAGCGTGGTACTCTTTCTCGATCTGTGTCATGGTGATTTCGAAGATGGCGGGTTTGATGGCGTCGACGCCTTCAGTACGTCGTTGCTCGTTCAGCTCGTCCAGCCAGGCTACGTCCTGCTCATCCATGTCGTATTCGACTCTGCCGACCACTGGTGCAGTTTGTGGGACTTCGGCTGGGCCGTCACTTTCGAGTCGGAGGCTGACTTCTGCTTCGTCCTCCACTTGTTGCGCTTCGGAGAGGCGGATCAGGACTTTGGGCGGCAGCTCGTAGCGATCAGTTTCCTGATAGCCAATATGGGACATCGAGCGGTCGACGTAATTGACTTTGTTCTCTCGTGCGTCTTCTTCGTACTGTAGGAAGTGATTGTACTGCTTGAAAGATGGCTTTGGCAGATTTAGACGCTCCTTCGGGTTGTGTGTCGGCAGAGGTACGATTCGCGGCGCAGGCGGAGATCCAAGTCCCGTAAGCATAGACTCAGGTCTTCGTGGCGGACGTCCAGGCTTCCGTCTCGACGGCGTTAATGCGAGCGGAAGGAGCTCTTCAGTCTCTGCTGCAGCATCTCGCATATCAATATCCCCGTTAATGACCGGCTTCTCCTCGCCAAGTGTGCTTGCTGAATGCAGAAGTGGCTGCTTGAAGTCGTGACGAGGTGTGCGTCCGTCTACTTCATCTGCAGTGAAGAGGAATAGCTTTGCTTCTATATCCAGCTCCGGATGGAAGTCCTCCCAACTGCGCTCTTCTCTCGGCTTATAGCCGTCACTCGCCTGACTCGCCGCCGCCGCGGCAGCCGCATTGCTGTACCGCGGTCGTGGCGTGGTTGGCTGGGGCGCATATCTGCGCGTTGGCTCCCGTTCTCGCTGTGGCCTGGTGAGAGCGGTAGATCTCGGTGGTGCAGGCGCCTCCTCGCCGTCTTCCCGTGGTGCTTCGCCAGCCGCCTCACTCCGCTGACGTGCCGATCTCGACCTGGGCACAGATCGCACTGGAGGTGGGATGAGTGCGGGATCGGTGATCTCGTTGCCCTCTGCGTCCACCCAGCGGCCACCACCGCCTGGCCCGCCAGCGATATACTTTCGCTTCTTGTGGGGTGGCTCGCTGCTGACCCCCGTGTATGAGCGCGCGCGAGGGCTGCGAGCTGGAGTACGCGCCGGTGGGCGAGGTGCTATGGCGATGGTCGCAGCCATGATGGCGCAAAGTGAGAACGATCGAGCATGTGTGGTGTGGTGGGAGGTGACGCGCCGTGCCTCGCCCCGCTCTGCAGGATATTAAAAGCCCGCCGTTCACCCCTCACTCATCTGCGCCGTGAAAGTGCGCCAAGATCTAACATGCGTGGTGGATCCCTTGTTCAACTGTTACTCGTGTCCGGCCGTTGTGAGCTTCGACGGGTGCACGCGTAGTGGTGGAAGGCATAACGACGCTAACACTGATAGAGGCTAGTGTCAGCCCACCTGCCGGCATTGCAGAAACGGAGCGGATGCGACATTGACTGTATAATGAGTTTGTAGCATTCTCAACACATAACAGGTGGAACGAGATACTGCTATTACTAGGCATACCCTTATTTCCCCTGTATAGCATCATCTTTATCAGATAACATCCGTGGAAGGCCCAGCGGGTGCGCTCGCGGCGTGCCTTGACCGCAGTGCTATGGCATGTTTAAGGCGCTACGCTTTGCGCCCCTGTCACTCATCATTCTGTCGATGAGACCCTTCTTTTGATCTTGCGTTTGCCAGTTCCCCGCCTTATGGAGCCAGCGATGGAGCCAGTGAGACTAGACTAACGAGACGTTAGCAGGACGAGGACAATGTGGCAGTAGAGATTTACGTTCTATTCCTGTACGACGTCGTGGGGATCTGATAGCCGACAACATCGTGGAGGTTGCGAGCCGAAGGAGTGGTGGTAGAATTGATGCGGTTGTGCGAAAGCGACGGATGAGCCGTGGACTCCATCTCCGGCTTCGCTAGGGTTAGAGGGTAAGATGGTGTGCCTGACCTCGAGCAAGCGCCTTCGATTGCGTACTGGTCTCCGATCGCTGTAGACGGAGATGCTGTACCTACGAAGCCTCGGCAGCCTTGCTCTGGTCCAATTCCGGCATGTTGGTTTTGCTGTATGTGTTCTTGCCGAAGTTGACGGACTTGTGTTGATTCAGCTAAGGCTGCAAGATTGGCGAGCGTCCGGGCGTATCAACGAGAGACGGCGGATTAGTTGACTCGAATCAGGAGTGTTCGCGATGCTGCCGTTGCTTCCATTTCCACTCTCCTCTGCAAGGCGTAGCGCGATGCTTGTTAACCACTGCCCGCATCGAATCGACTTCCCTCGCTCTCAGCAAGGCAAGACCATTTCGGCGGACGTCACGCAGGCGACCGGGCGTGGGCTGCATCATACCAGGATGATCAAAATGCCAGACATAAGTGGACCAATTCAACGGCGGTATCAACAGTCCGGCTATGGCGTAGCTGCTCGAATGGCATGCCGAGGAGTACAATGCTCGTACGGGAGGTGTTCCGCATGCGCTCGTTGCGCAATTTCTGCATCTTCCTGGAGACGGGCGTGATGGTGTGTTCTAGCTATCACGGCGGAGCCAGGACGGTCCAGTCAATCAAGGGTAGCGCATCAGAATCACATGGGCATTGCTTTGTGGCGTCGCTTGCTGTACGGAGGAGTCGATACCAACAGTATGCTCACTTTCCACGTATTGCAGTACAGGCGTTGGAATAATGAACATAGCTGTCGCCTCCGCCGATGGCTGCTATATGCGTTGTCGCCTAAGGTATCAACAGTACCCTTCCTCGTAATTGGTTTCCTTCCTAGGTAAGTGCTTATGATTATTTTACCCGTTCACAGCCACTTACCCCGGTACATGTACATGTACCTGATCATAGCTTATAGGCTACTGTAAGCTTGCGCAAGATTCGACTTCATTCCATCTAGTCTACCCAGCGGAGACAGGCAAAGTTCCGGTCCACGATGTCCACTGGCAACGCGCCACGGGACGAACGACGTGTGAGGTAATTCTTGAATGTCACTGAAGTGTTTGTGCTTTTGGCTAGCCAGCCGCTTAAGCGACAGGTGTTGAAAGGCTTATGGAACTGAATGTCATCGCGGAGCGGGGTTGCCATATTTAGTTAGACTTCTATATGCGGATCGTGGAACGCTCAGACTGGTAATATCCATCCACCCATCATGAGCTAATATGCACTCCTAAACACCAATGCTAACGCAACGACAAAATCAAGCGGCGACTTTTCCGGAGAGGCGAAGGCACCGCCAAGTATCAGCGGCACAGTCATCCAGTGACAGTTGCGTCTTCCAATTGAGCTCTCGCATGGCACGATCGGTAGCCGCCACACAAAACCCGACATCTCCTGTTCTCCTGCCGGTACGTCGCACGGGTATCGATCGGCACGCTGCCTTCTCCATGCATGACACAACTTCAGCCACAGTCGAGCCAGACCCAGTCCCAAGGTTGTACGCGCGGAAGGCTAGCTCCGACGGTCGACCTCCCGCAGCCGCTAGGGCAGCAAGGTGGCCCCTTGCCAGATCGACAACATGTATGTAATCGCGCACAGCAGTGCCGTCACGAGTGTCCCAATCCGTCCCAAAGATGTCCAGAGCCGGCCTTTCTCCTGACAGCACTTGACACACCACAGGGAAAAGATTTGTGGGCTTTTGCCGTGGATCTTCTGCGAGCAGACCTGAGGGCTCACAGCCAACGGGGTTGAAGTACCGGAGCGCGGTGATTCGCCACGATGGGTCGGCGAGCGCTACGTCTGCCAGGATAGCCTCACTGAAATACTTTGTCCGGCCATACGGCGAGGTCAACCCTTTGATCCCCGGAGTGAGCGATGTCGCTTGGCCGTTGCTGTCAACACGTTGTGTCGGATGATGGACTAATTGCTCCTCCTCCACGGGCTCGCCATCTTCGCTGAGGACCGAGCCGTAGACAGTGGCGGATGATGAAAATACGAAGTTTTCTGCAACATTCTGTCAGCGGATGGCTTCGATGTGAACAGACGAATCTCTAGGCAGTTCAACTTACTGATGCCAAAGTCACCGAGCAGGATTAGCAATTCGATCATGCCAGCGACGTTGTTCAGGTAGTAGTCGAGTGGCCTCTGCGTGGATTCTTCGACGGACTTGTATGCCGCAAAGTGTATCACGCCGGTGATATGTGACAAGCGAGTCGTCGAGAGCGCAGGATCCTGGATGGCATACCCTCCCAGAACTGTTCGCATTATTGGACTTCGGTAGTCGACCTTGTGGAGCTTGAAATCAGGACATGCGGCACCTCGGGAAGCCCAGTGTTTGCGCGCCAATCGATGGATGTTGTTGAAGGCCGATTCGAAGGAGTTGCTCATGTTATCGACGACTACTACATTCTGGCCGTCCTTCAATAGCTCTAGTGTCGTGTGCGAGCCGATGAAGCCAAGTCCCCCAATGACTAGGATGTAATCTTTCGTGTCATTGCTTTCGCGAAGGCTGCTGGTGCTAAGACTGAGGAGATCATTGTCTAGATCTCGTTCCGAGACGGAAGAGCAACTCGAGACCGGAGATAGTGATCTGGAGACTGGAGAGAGTGATCTGGATACCGGAGACAGTGATGGTGACCGAGATGAAGAAGAGATACTGGAGCTGTATGAACGACGCATGGCTGCAGGTTATTTGCAAGGTGCGGTATGCGGTATTTGGAGGATTGACTCGCAAGGTAACCGGTTGAGATGTGGTATGGATTATTCGTGAACGCTCATGGTTATATACATCGACCGGGCTTGTAGTGCCAACATCTCAAATCTCGCCGGCACCTACCAAGGCCTAGACTGTAAGCCCGATCTCACGAAAGCACTGCCGGAGCATTAGGAGGCCTGAACTCAAGATCAATGCAAGCGGCGTTTGTATTAGCCGGGAACAGCACCGAGCAACAAGCTTGGCATTACTGTTCTTCAGCCCTACTCTACGGTAGGTTCGGCAGTCCCTTGGCACCGGACACTGTGGCAGAGACGAGACTAGTACACTGCACGAAAATTTAGACTAACCACCTGCTGGAAACCGTTCGGTACGGGCCAGACAAGGTTTGCCTACTACGCTCCGTGGCGGCTCGAGACCAGAGCGGGCTCACTGCAACGGACAACTTCCCATCCTGATCGCACAGGCGATCTCAAATGCTCACCAGTATGCGTTCAGACTCGGGCACACGTGGACATTGTTGTCTCTCATACAGATCTCGCCGCAGCGTCACGCTGCCGATATTATCGCCATTCCTGTGACAACCCAGCAACTCGTCCCTCATGCCTGGACTTCACAGCTTCGCTTTTCAGATGCACGTGTGTCTTCCGTTTGCTGCTGCACCCGATGGCCGGGATCTGGTTGCATCGATTTGGTCCACGCTCAGTCATGCTGTCAACAAATAGTGCTTAACAATGCAGACAAATCTGTATACAACGCTGATATACAATCTATATATGATGCCCAAATCAACCACGATTATCAAAGGAATTCAAATTCATATTGATCGCTGCTGGCTTGTCGCTGCGGTATGATCGCTGAGTAAAGCGTTCGTGGGCGGTCCTGAACGGCGCGACGTTTGGCACTCAAGTCTGGCGTATCGAGTATTCAGACTCGACCACGGAGGCGCCACAGATATGCCGTCCGAAAAGCCTGAGACACTGGTCTAGGCTCGGGGAGACGCCAGGCCATCCGTTCTGGATACGGCGTTGATACGCACCTCTCTGCGCTGAGCGTAAGTTGCTTGCTGGCAAACGAGAAATTGACAGCCACCAGTCCGTGGATCGTAAAGCGTGGATCGGTGTCCGCTTAGAGATGTGGAAATCCAGTGATTTGTTGATAGATCGAGTCGTGTTGCCACGAGACATCCAAAGGCCTTGATCTTTCCGTCGCAATGTGAATCATTCACGGCTTGCCAGTGGAGCAAGTGCAGATCGGAATTTGTGGTCGACGATCGCTAGAGAAGGATGCGCGAGGCGTGGGCAAGTTCGAGAGAGGTTTCATGAGCATTGCGAGTTCGGCTTCTGTAAATTCCTCGTCTTCGTCTTCGGGCCAAACCGGCGACGTAGGTGTGACAGGCGATGTAGGCAACGAAATAGTTGATGTAGGCGACGAGATACGTGATGCAGGCGTGAGGATCATCGCTGGTGCCATTGTGTATGCCATGAACAGTATTCTTCTACAAACAGGAGAATATCGCTTTGTGCCACGAAGGTTATCTGTTCGATATTATCCATGGGGAGTGAGGACATAGTATATGCTAATATCATTTCTGTCCACGCCTCTCCTCACTTCCATGGCATTGATCTGGAATCTTGTCAAGGAGCCTTACGCGACGCCAAGTGGCGCAAGAGAATGACCGGCATTAGTGGCGAAGCGGCTGGTTAGCGTCATGCAGGTACGTGAGCGGGCGGAATCTGCAAAACGGCAAAGCCAAGCAAACCTTATCCTTACATCTGTCACTCGGTCCGGTTCATTGGGCCTGTCCTATAAGGACAATGACATATCAGAGTCCCCTTTGAGTCCTAGTCCGCGCACCGGCGTACGTCAGTGACGGGTAGTGGTGATGGGACGCGATTCCAGTATCGACTGCTTGGCGGACAGGTCTGGATCCTTTTGCAGTGCCTCGAATGGTACAGCAAGGGTAGTCCGCTGCTCTCGAACACAGTCGACTCAGCCTTTACAACACGCACTTTTTGTACTACACAGTAAGCCATTGAGCTAACGGGGGACCATTCTATTGCTCCGCTTATCACTTTGTCGTCGCTGCTCTGAAGCAGTAACAACCAGGCCAAGCAGCACACGTAGCGCAGCAATGGCTCCGTTCCCTCATTTTCACTGCATTCTTCCGCTGATGCTTCTATTGCACCCACGTGCTTCCCTTTCCGCCGCGTCGAGCTCTGGTAGCAGCGACTGCACCCTTTTCGCGGTCAACGGCTCCTCCTCCGCAGCGGCGGCTTACTTCACACACTACCGCTTTTACGACTTCCGGAACGTTACGAACCCAAGGTCACCGCCCGCAGGGCAATCTTCTGGCCTGGCAGCGTCACACACCACGAACGACAGCTCATGGCTTCTGGACTGGAGCCCACGGAACCAAGCCAGAGGCGCAGCGAACCGAATGAGCATACCTGTGAACTACCTGCCTCAAAATGTCTTCATATCGCCGGCGAATGAGTCTTCGGCAGATTATGTGTCGTACCTCACGCTGGCCACCTCGCGCTTGAAGAACGACACCCAATCTGCTGCTGAGATCATCTTCCTACCCTCTACTAACGTTGTTCACGTCTCCCTTCGTGTCTTTGCTCGTGTCTCCGGTGCTCCAGGTGCCGTAGCCGGGATATTCACCTACAACTCCGATGAATCGGAGTCTGACATTGAGATTCTGACACGCGATCCGATCTCGCAAGTTCGATATTCAAATCAACCTACGACGGACCCAAACACCGGCGCGCCGATTGCCGGTGCCACTATCAACGCTACCATTCCTTCCGGCAATTGGCAGGAGTGGAACGTGCACAGGCTGGACTGGTTGCCGGGGCAGACTGCCGGATGGGCAGATGGCTCGCGCTTGCACACTTCCACTGTCAATGTGCAGAACGGTACAGCAGGGAGTCAGGTGATTCTCGACATGTGGGGTAATGGTGGCCTGTGGAGCGGTAACATGGATGTGGGCGGGAGAGCGATTATGGAGGTTCAGTGGATTGAGATGGCTTTCAATGTCTCGGGTGGGGCCGCCGGCCCTGGGGGTACTGTTTGCGACATCGACAAGGGTGTCGGATCGCCTGTGCCAGCCGTATCAGGCTGTGCTGGCAGTGGACTGGGTTCGCATACTTGGGCGATGATATACCTTACCGTTGTTTCGATGCTATGGCTTGCTTCCGAGCTATGATCATGATGCTTTGCGAGATCTGCAATTGTAGAGCGTTATAGCTAGTGACGAGCCGCATTTGGTTGTTTGTTGCCTGGTGCACAAACAATGGATGTTCTACCAACAGGAATGAATGATAGAGCATGCCGAATGCACCGTGAATCAATAGAGCCACGAGCGACCCGCGCAGTTATCGACTGCGACTACCAAGCGAGGAAGACTCGAAGGAGCGTCTTTCGAAATCTTCGGGTGATGAGAGGCTGGACGCGACTGTTGTTTCAAATGCAAAGAACTATGTTTTCCACTACTTGGTCCAGTCGAAGCAGTGACATTGCGGGTGACAATGATTCGAACGCTCGTGACGAAGTGACGTTCGGCGCAAGGCAGCTGGTCGGGCCGCCCGGCGTTGTTCGCTGCAAGGAACCAAGCAGATGGGTTCGCGCACGGATCGTGGCGAATCTGAGCCTGCAGCTTTTAGCGCGAGTAGATCTGGCAAAACGGTTGACGCCTATACCCAAACAGGGCATCCACGTGTGGCACTGGCAGGCACAATTGCACTACTTCCTATTACGTACTTTTGGGATTTTCTTGTGGTGGAGTAGGACCAATAAAGCATAGTAGTGCTGAGGTTTCTCCTTTCCACGGCTCAGCGCTGCTTTTGTGACAGCGTCCGGACTCCAGACCCATCCGCCATGACGACGAGGTTCGTTGACGATTTGGAAGGCGAAACAGAATCGACTCTCTCGGACCGATGCGCGTAGGGCAGCCTGTTCTTCGTCAGATGGCTCAGCCGGTCTGGTCCCTGGCTGTCTGTGGTATGTGTACATCTCTGTCAAGTGGCAGGCCTTCTTAGTCCTCGCCTTCCGCTCTCTACAGCCGTTCATCCTGCTGGTCCACACAAAGTCACTCGTTTCATCGCAGCGCCTTCGTTATACATTCACATTATTCTGCTTCTACAATTACACTCTTCCCCAGCCATATCTTGATACCCTCGGAGTTTGATGCACTCCAACCCTACAATGACAGGCAATATTCAGGAAAGACGGACCTCCAGGCCTGGACGATGGTTTCGAAGAGCATTCATGAGGACATCAGACGTAGAGTCCCAGCATGTCCCTCGTTTGGGCTCAGTCTCCCTTGTTGTCGACAACGCGCAAATGCCGCAAAACCAACATACAGAAGATCAACTCGCAGCCACCAAGACGAAGGCATCCGAGTCGAAGGTTGCCCAGGCCCGGGTCTCCGAAGTTGATATCCCGTCTGGAGAACCACTCATACCAGGCCTCCCGTCGCCCACGCCTCCTCCGGTCCCATATGGCCTGCAACAACAGGAAGCGAATGTACTCGAAGTTCCGAGGCCGGTGCTTACCACCAAGAACTCTTCCGCCTACTACCTTCCATGCGATATCTACCGAGCCGACATGAACACAGACGACGTTCACGGAAATGATGTTTACGCAAACCACAGTGCTGCACTGTCAAGCAGCAGTGTGACAAGCAGCGCCCCCAGCGAAGGTCGCCCTTTGGCGGCATCACCTACACCGAGACGCAAGCGACATTGTACGCTTAACCCTTGGACGCTGCTAAAGGCAGGTTGGGCACAATTCACATCGTGCTTCGACCCACAGTGCTTCTGGAAAATGATCGATATACGCGAGATCTTCTTTCCATTCACCTGGAAACGGTATATCACCTTGACGGTCATTGGTCTGCTGATCGGCGCCCTCATCGTTACGCAGCACTACTTTCACTGGATGGAGGCTTCGATGGCTATTACTCGAAGCAACATGCTGCCAGTGCTGGTTCTCGTTCTGGGGCTTGAGCCTATCATGATCACCATCATCATAATCTTCGCCAAGGTGCCAGACCTAGACACAACACCCATCTCTTCGACTGATGCAGAGAAGACTGTTGACATTGAAGCACGAGGAGGTGTGCTGTCTGAGAAAGCGGCGGCAGTCAACGACCATCGCACCGCGCTGGTCATTCCGTGCCACAACAGTGATCACGAAGCAATGCTCCGGGTTCTCGAGTCTGCCTACCCTCACTTTAGACCTTGCGACATCTTCGTCATTGACAACGCGCGTTCTATGCACCCCAAAGATAGCACCTTCCGCGAGTTCATCCGAAGCCAGCACGAGGAGATCAACTACATTTGGAGCCCGGTCGGTAGCAAGAACTACGCTCAGCTGGTTGGTGCTGTCGCCGCTGAACAATACGAGTTCATCATGACCGTCGATGACGATGTCTGCATTCCCGCCTCGTTCCGGCCCCCAATCCACAAGATCAACGACGTTATGAAGGGCGTTGCTTTCCCACTCAAGGCCACCAATGCCGCGGGCAAAGTGAGCTTCGGCATGGTGGCGTGGCAGGATTGCGAGTACCGCATGGCTGGACTTACGAAGCTCGCCGAAGAACAAATCTGCGGCGGCGCTGTCTTCCCGCACGGCGCCGGCTGGTTCTGCGAAAGGGCGACCATGATCGACCTCATCAGCAACTATCACAGTCTTGACTTCATCGCCGAAGATGTCAACACGGGCATCTCAATGATGCGGATGAAGAAGAGCCTTGGGTTTGATGCCACCTGCGTCCTCGAGACCGAAGTTCCAACGACTGTCTTCGGAAAGGGCCTCAATTGGTACCACCAGCGTGTGCGCAGCTGGGAGATGGGCCGTCACGGCCGCCTCCTCGCTTTCTTCGACCGCTTTTTCTGCTCCTTCAACGGTCTTACAAACCCCATCGCCATCTTCGCGCAAAAGTTCATCCTCTTCTACAGTATCGCTTGCATCATCGTTGACTGGGTCCGCATCCCAGTAATCGTCACGATGGGCGCCAACGGCGCCTACTGGCGACAAGCGGGTTTGCTCAGCCTCGTGTCCATCTTCCCGATTCTCTGGTTCAAGTACATCTCCTGCCGCCGCCGACCAGACCTCCAGCCGACCTTCTGGGGCGCCGTTACTATCCCGGTTTACAAGCAGCTCTACTACCTTGTCTCTGTCATTGGCGGTATCCGTGCGCTGGTGTACTACATTGGTGGACACAAGCGCCCGCTCACGGTCAAGCAGATGATCAAGGCTGGCGACGAGCGGGTGCTTTGGCTGGATCCGAGATGGGCAACAAACAAGGGTTACCTGGCTGACGAGGGCGAGAATCTTCGTCTGGCAAAGGAGGCTGCGACTGCCAGCGACGTAGCGACACTCTCAAGCGATGCGAAGAGGACATCATTGAGTATCAGCGAGAAGCAGAGCCTCCCAACGCTGATGGGCTCATCCCCGCCAAGTTATTCCACCTTACGGCCACCCACGGCTAGTCAGACGACTCTCGATATACTGCCGGCGCCGCCGAGGGCGTGGCTTGTATACTAACGCACACGATACATTGATCGGAGATGTCAACTTGACGAAGGAGTTCTGAACGCTCATTGCTGGCTCTCGTTCTTGCAGCGACCATTGTACTACAAAGACGCTCGTTTCTATCTAATGAGCAACATGATGTTGGTATTTGTTTGTGCAGCAGTGTAATGGCGAGCGAAAACTTTTGCCGAACATTCCTTTGATGTCATGCTGGTTGCGCAGCTGCGCTGGATGAGGAAACCCGCCTTCAATTAATTAGGAAGATCTACGTAGATCATACACACCATACTCTGGTACAGCCGCTAAATTAGCCGCACAATCCGTAACAGATACTTCATCCAAACTACACGGGCGTACATGTTTCTCGTCGGAGCAGCTATCCCGCTGGAAAACCGCTTAGAAAGCGGAGCGCACGGGCCATAGTGCTCCGCCGAGGAGTGTACACCCATTTGCAAACTCTCCCACGCTTTAAACGGGGCGTGGAGGTGGGATGTGGGCGTGGGCGTGATCACGTTGTTTACGTAGCCTGCCCCGGTGTCTCCATGAAGAAGTAACGGCGTACGATAGATAGCAAACAGGACAGGCAGGCAGTGTTCTCTTTTAACCATCAACGCCACCCTCATCACCTCTCCACCCCTTCGTGACCATGTCTGCAACTGACCTCAAGCTCTTTGCTCGCGTGCTCTCAGAGTAAGACCCCCACCACCCCTTCACACGCCACCTCACCAACCTAACAACCCCCCCAGCATCTCCGGTTGGCTCTACTTCGCCCTCTGGTCCCTCTCCTTCTACCCCCAACCCCTGCTCAATCACCGCCGCCGCACAACCACTGGCCTAACCCCGGACTTCCCCCTCCTCAACGTCTTCGGCTTCACCTGCTACACCCTTGCCACCGCCGCCCTCCTCTACTCTCCCGCAATCCGAAAACAATATGCTGCTCGCCACCCTTCCGCCCCGGAACCAACCGTCCGTTTCAACGACCTCGCTTTCGGCGTCCACGCTTGGGTTCTATGTGCGATAACGTTCTCCCAATTCTGGCCTAGCTTATGGGGCTGGAAGCCCGTCAAGGATGTGACGCGAAGACCCAACGCAATCACCTTGACCATCCTCTCGGCCAGCCTGCTCGCCATCGTGCTGGTAACCTTCCTCGTCCTAACCGAAACAAACGACCACCCAAACCAATGGGCGTGGCTCGACGTTGTCCGTTCTCCCTCCCCAACCCCCAATCAAAACCTTGGCCCCCCTCCCCCACCCAAAAGCCCCACAACACCCCACTGACATACACTCAGATCTACACCCTAGGCTACACAAAACTCCTCTTAACAATCTTCAAATACACCCCCCAAGTGCACTCCAACTTCCGCCGGCGCTCCACAGCGGGGTGGTCGATCCACCAAGTCTTACTCGACTTTGGCGGCGGGGTGCTGAGTATGCTGCAACTGGTCATTGACAGTGCGTTGCAGGCGGATTGGTCGGGACTTACTGGCAACCCGGCGAAATTCGGCCTGGCGAATATTAGTTTGGGGTTTGATGTAATCTTTCTAGTACAGCATTACGTGCTTTACGGGCCGGTGGAGCGGGGGCAGGGAGGGGGAGAGGGAGGGGATGGGAGGGATCTGAGCAAACGGGATGGTGTGGGATTTGAGGTGGTGGATGGGGAGAGGAGGCCGTTACTGCCCACGAGCAGATGATCAAGCGGTCAAGTTCACATACCAAATCGTAGGAGAGAGGCTCATTCCACGATCAGACCGTTCCAATGTACGTCTCGTAGCCGCGGCATCTATCATACATGCCGCCATGCCGGCAGTGGCAGTAGCAGTGGCTCTGCCTCTATGCACGCCCGCTATACCACCGCACCAGCAAGACTTGAACGCCTCCAAATTCTGACCTCCCATAACTGGACAAAAAGACGCCCAACAGCGCCTCGCTAGCTTTGCGCAACATACATTCATCAGCCAAACCCATGAAAATACCTCGCGCTTCCTCTCTTCTTTTACTCCGTTGCAAGCAATTGCTACTCAGTATGCCATCTGCCTCGGGCCCCTCTCATCCGGCGTGCGGATGTTGAACGTAAAGTCCGTCGCCTCCACACCCGAACCCACACCCGGCCCATCAGCTCGCTGGCCAATCGCACTCCCCGCCCCATCCCTCCCTGCCACACCACCACTAACCGGTACACCAACATGACTCCGCAGACTCTGCGCCCGACTCGTCGTGGTTGTGGTCGTCGTCGGCGCCCTCTCCCTCTCGCGTTCCATACCCCACTGATCGTACCTCCTCCTCTCCCCACTCCTCTCCCCCTGCACCCTCCCATGCCCACTCTCATCCCAATCCTTCCCACCCGTACCGATATCCGTCGCGACCGGCGGCGCAGGCCGAAACCTCCGTCCCCTACTAACAGCCCCTGCATCCTTGCTCCCCTCCTCATCAACAAGCACCACCATCCACACGCCCACGCTGCCACTGTGGCCCAAAAGCGGAGTGCAATGGATCCAGCGCGGTCGGCCCTCGCCTTCACCTTCTGCGTCTGCTTTTGTGAGCCAGCGGATTTTCGCCGTGACGCCGCGCCCTTCACCGAGCGCAGCGGCGAGATCGGAGCGGACGCGCGAGGAGCCGCCGATGCGGGAGAGGAAGGGAGATTGTAGGATTCCTGGGACGCGCAGGGAGGGGGAGGTGAAGAGGATGCGGAGGGAGGGGGCGGGGCGGACGAGGATGTACTGTTCCCACATCGACATACGTTAGCGCAAATACAGCCAATTTGCCCCTTAATCGGGCGGAAAGGTTTTGAAGGGTAAGACTCACGTGCTGATAGACCCCCTCCAACTTCCCATTCACCCGCGCCTTCAAATCCCCACCCACGACCCCAGCCAGCGCGGCAGAAGCGCCCAACGAGCTCGCCATGCTATCCCTCAACCGCTCATCCAACGCATCCTGACTCGGATCCGTCAAGAGCAGGCGTGGGCGGCCATGAGAGATACTCTCCGTGTCGCTCTCATCCACATACTCCTTATGCATCCTGCCTCCATACCTCCTCACCGTGTCCAATTCGGCACCATTGAACATCTCGCTCAACTCTTGGAACTCATCCTTTTTCGCTTCCCCACCACCACCACCACCACCACCACCACCACTCCCCGCAACACCCTCCTCACTCCCCTCCTGCTCCCTCCCCACAAGCCGTACCAGTCCATCCAATTCACTACAATCCTTCAACAACCCCGAAACATCCACCTGCGCCCCGATGAAATACCGGATACTCCCCCGACTATCCATCAACGGCGCAATCATGAGCAAATTCATAAACGGGCTGCCATCACGGCGATAATTGACGAACACCTCCGTCAACTCCTTCCCCGCCACACACGCCTCCGCCAGCCTCCTCACGCTGTTGGGGTTCGTGCGCGGACCCTGCAGGAAGCGACAGTTTCGGCCGATGGCGTAGCTCATGCCGTATTGCGTCGTGCGCGCGAATTCCTCCGAGGCGAAGACGATGGGGTTGTCCGGGCGGCTGGGGTCGGTGAGGCAGAAGACCTCGGCCAGGCCTTCCGAGGCTTCGCGGAGGTGTGGCGCCAAGGTGCCGGTGATGCGGCGTTGGATGGAGACGCTGACGACGCGGATCCAGGTGTACGCTATATAAGCGGGTAAGTCGTCGCGGACGAGGATGTCGAAGGCTTTTTTCGCTTTCTCTTCGAGTATGGTGTTGGCGGTGGGCTTGGCGGGGTGATCGGTGAAGGGATAGCCGCGGATGGGTTCGAGCGCTTCGGCGATGGCGTTTGCGTAACGGATTGCGCGGAGGGCTTTTAGCGCGTCGAGGTAGTAAATCAGGAGGGGGATGGTTTGGGGCCGGTGGGAGTTGAGGAAGCCGGTGAAGCGGAGGAGGAGTTTGGGGTCGGCGAAGATGAGTTGGAGATGTTCGGCGCTGAGGAGTTGTTCGGCGCGGCGCTCGAGGGCGTACATGCCCATCGTTTGGACGTCTTGCGCCGGTGCGACGAGGTCGAAGGAGCGGGGATCGTCTTCGATGACGGGTTCGAGGAATTGGGCGTCGCTGTTGTCGGGGCCTTTGGTTTGCAAGGGTGGGAGGGTGTGGATGGAGGTGGCGGATGTCTCCTGGGAGTAGATGGACTCCGCGCTGCTCCTATCACCGGGTCCGAATCCCCTCCCCGGCGTGGCATCGGGCGTGGTTGGTGTTGATTCGTTGGCATTCGCGAGGGACCGCTTGCGCACTATCGGCGGGCCCCTCGACGGCTGTCTCGTTTGCGGCTTCGCCATGCTGCTGGATGTGCGGTCTGGTATGTGCATGTTCCGCGCGGCGTAGTTCCGTGAGCGCACCCTTGGCCCGTTGTGGGCCTCCATGTCGGAGCTGTCTTGGGAGAAGAAGGCGGCGTCCGTCTCGGAGTCGGTGGCTTGGGCGTGGTAGTCGCCGGCCATTGCGTAGACTGGGGGTCGCGGACTGTATCTGTCTTGGAAGTCTTCCACCAACGGCTCATTGATCGCTCCCGACGGCTGCTCCAGCTCCGACGGATGCGCCTCGCTGCCAACACGGATCACATGATCAATCGAGTCGGGTTTGTGTCGCTGTCGCTCGGTGCGGGTCGAAGCTGCCGTATCCGGGCGGTCGTAGTGGTGTTTGTTGTCCATCCTATAGTCGCGCCTTCCGTCATTGGCCGATTGGGGGTACTGTTTCACAATGGACGTTAGACTACCGCCAAACCTCTTTTTGCGCTTGCCATCCCGAGACCGCGAACGTGGAATATTCGGCGCTTCCATGGTAGAGAAGAGAGAGACAGCGAAAGGGTAGAAGGAAATAGAGTTTGCGACTGCAACGGCGATGTGCAGACGCAATGCTGTATAAGGTTGGCAGATGTCCGCCGGACACGCGACCACAATGTACAGGTCGATGACGCGGGAGATAGTAAAGCGTAAAGCCACAGGACCACCCGTCGTCGCGATTCATGGGAGTCATGACGGCAAGTCTCCCACTGTTTGCGCGTGCGCGCGAGCATATCCATGCAAAGCGATGCAATGCTGGACGGCAGTGCGAAAGCGCTCACAGCCAATCAATTGCATATCGCAAAGCTGGCGGTGGGTGTAGCCGCACAAGCTACCATGAACAATACAGCGGAAAAAGACTTGGATCAATGTGCAAGACTCACTAATCGGTAGGTGGGCATGCTGGGAGCCGCGGTGGCCGGCGCAGGCGCAGGTACTTCCCGTGGTTCGCCTATAGCCTCGGGCGAGGCGGTGTTGGCAGTGGTGGTAAGGATGTGGCCTGATTGCCGCGATAGTCGATGCAGGGATAAGCTGCGCCGGAACAAGCCCGAGTCCCTCTTCGTCGCACTGCTCTTCTTCTTCGTCGTGGTCCAGCTGTCTCCGCCCGACGAAGACACCATCGAGCTGCGACGCGAGTCGTGGGGCGAGGTGGTGGAGGAGTCGAGCGAGGCGGATGTGGATGCGACGAGGATGAGGGGGTGCGGCGAGTATTGGTGCTCCACAAAGACGGATGAGGGTCGGCTGCCACCACCAGATGCTGATCTCATGGGACGGGAGTCGCGCCCGCTGCAACGACGGCGAAAGGGACAAGGCTCCGCATACGTAGGTGAGTGACAAGCAAGAGCGATGCAATGGAGTAGGTATATTGGAGAAGGAACAATGCTATCTCCTACCGTACCGTCCTACTTCCACACACTACCTCATCTCATCTCATCCCACAATCTCCTGAATCCCTGGGCGCATCAATCAACACCCCATTTCCCACGCTACTGCGGCACTGCATAAACCAGGCCATCACCATGAGAATCCAGGATCTTGCACGCCCGTCCCGCGGCAAGCCTGCAAGCTCGATCCGAAATCGACGGCTCGTGCCATTCGGCGAATAAGGAGCGTGAAGGTGAAGAAGCGAGGGAACCGTTGCCGAAGCAAATCTCGTGTGGCGGAGACGATTCGTTTGAGCAGGCGGATGTTGCTGCCAGCAATTCTTACACAATGCAATGGACATCTGATTGTATTCGTGGACGAGTCATTGGGCTCAAGTGCTACTGTATATCTCGTTGATCTACCCAGTCGATCTTAACAACCGTAGTAGATGAACAGTTTCTTGTCAAAACAGGCATCATAAGCCACCGCAAGCCCCCCGCCCCGCCAATCTGTGGCCCCTGCATGCCGATCGTCGCACGAGCCGTGTCGTTGGAAGACGAAAGCTATGATCAGCACATCGGTTGCCAGCGTGTCGGGAGTCGAATAGCGTGGCTTTTCACCGGTCCACGCGATCATAACTAACAAACCACGGTGGAACTTTCAATGATAAGTAACCATTGAAATTTCCAGAACGGTCGGGTATCGATTAAGAAGCGGCATGCTATTTCATACCGACGCGCCGGAGCGGGAAGCTCGAAAACCCCCACAGTACTCACTCACTACACATTTACTCCTCCGCTTTAAGGTGAACACCACCAGCTTCCTGCTTGCCTCAATCACTCCCCCGACTCCTCAACCTCCTCCCTGCACCCCCAGGCGCAACATTCTCCTTCTCCTTCTCCTTCTCCCTCCCCTCTCCCACCCCCATCCCCAACCCTACCCCAGCAACCGTCATCCTAACCCCCCGCTTCGTCATCGTCGGCACACCCAACAAGGCATCTCCCTGCACCTGTACATCTCCGATTAGATTAGCAGAGCGTTTCTTCATCGAAGGAGCAGCAGCGACGACTGCGCAAGTGAGGGGGTCCTTGCTTTCAACACCACCCTCTGCGCCGGTGGAGACAGTCCCATTCCCACCCCCAGCCCCCGCCTGTGCAGCGCCGACGAAGCCTGTAGAGAGCGCCACGTTCGCGTCGAGTTCGCGCAGACTGTGCGTGGAACTTGCTGTTTGCGGGCGGCTGGTGGGGGCCGAGGCGGGGCGGGTGAGGAGGGGAGGTGTGTCCATGCCGGTAGTGGCGTGGTCGGTGAAGACTTGGGTCTTGCTTGGGCTGGGTGGAGGTTTGGTAGGACTGCTTTTCATCGTTCCTGTTGACGTCGACGTCGGCTTGGTTGGTGAGCGCAGCAGCCGTTTGCTCGGTAATGTTTTCACCGGTGAGGATGGTCGTTGATTCACTCTTTCCACTTCGTCAGGCGGAGAAGAGACGCCACGAAGCCGGTTAAGGATGCTCTCGTGCGTTTCTGTCCGCGGAAGAACGGTGGGGTAGGTGTACTCCCTCTTCGCTGGCGTCTCGCCCGTCACGGTATACTCCATCATCTCTGCCGCTTCGACGTCCGAGCGGAGGTGAGACAGTGCTTGTCGCACTCCGCCTTCCGCCGCGAGCGTCTTGTTCGCGGTGTGAGACAGCTCCGTAGCACGCTCACTCATATCCGCGCCTACGGCTCTGACACGCTTATAGGACGTCTCGAAGTGTTGTCCAACGCTGTGGTAGCTTTCCTGTACGTCTGCGGCGAGTCGCTCAAGCGTGCGGGCGTGCGCGGCGTGGCCCTCTTCGTTCTGCGTACGGACTCGGGTGACGATCTCGTCGAGGGCGGTGAGCTGGTGATCCATTTGCTGCATCTGGCCTTCCACAATGCGGACGGTCTCGTCGTGGACGGTTCTCGTGGTGTCCTGGAGCATGCTCGTCCGCTCGTGAGCGCGTGCCCAGTCACTTCTCAATTTCGTCTTGACAGTCTCGCGTGATTTCACAGACGACTCCGTCAGCGTCTGAGCGTTTGCCGACCAAGAGTTCATCCCGCTGTCGTACGCCTGCTGCGCGGCCTGGTATGTATCTTCGGAAGTCTTGATGCGCTTATTCGCTGTTTCGAGGTAGCCAGCCATCCGTTCCTCTTGCGCGGTCGCAGAAGAATTAACGACATCTGTGATCTTAGCCAGCATCTCCGCGCGCTCAGACGCAGCGATCTGGCGTTCATTCTGGACAGCCTCTTGCAGCTGTTGCTGCGACAATTGGCCAGCCTCAACGAACGTTGCGTTAGCCTGCCTTATCTGTTGCCGCAACCGCTGCACCTCCTCTTGCTGCTCGCTCATCCGCTTGATCAGGCCGTCGAAGATATTTTTGAACTCCTTGCCTAACGAGGCATAGGCGTCCTGCAGTTGACTGTGGAAACCGTCCAACTCGGCAGCAATGCCGGCACTGATTCGCTGTGCAGCCGCAGAAAGATGGTTCAAGCCTTCACCGACCTTGTCCTTCACATCTGCGCGGAGCGTACCGATGCCTTCCAACACACGGTCCATTTCGTCCTTCGACTCAGTCCGCTGCGCCATGACTTCTGCCTGCGAACTCTCAAACGCGGCAGTCTTCGTCGCCAGCATATCGCGAGACACCTGCAGCTCCCTCAGCTCATCTTCCACATACACCCGCATACGTTCCGTCAAAGCCATCACCGACCCTTGCTGCCGTAACCGTAACTCCTCAATCCGCTCCTCCACCCCAACCGTACTCTCCACAACCCGCATCCTCGACTCCTTCCACCTCATCCGATTCGTACCCTGCAACTCCGACCTCCGCCTCAACTTCTCATGCAAGCGCCCAACATGCTCCGTCGTCGTCCCCAACGTCCCCAATAAATCCTCTCCCACCGCCGCCAACCGCTCCTCAGTCCGCTCGTGCGCTTCTCTCAGCTCCGTTTCCTCTTCCAGATGCTGTCGTGTATGGTGAAGCACGATCTCCGTTTTCTCTAACACGCTCTTCGTGCCCTCCAGCATCATCCGGGTCTGCTCGGTATCCCGCTTTAAGCTGTGGAATGTGTTCGTCAACGAGAATAGTTCTTGTACCTTGTTACGGAGGTTGCTCTCGATCGTTTCGATCTTGTCCTTTTGCTCCGCGGCGAGGATTCGTCGACTCTCGGATTCGGTTGTCATCTCTTCGTACGTCTCGGTGGTCAGGTAGACTCCGTTGCGTTGGCGGGTGGCAATGAGGTCGGACTTGAGCTTTTCGATCTCTGCGGTGAATTCTCGTAGCAGGGTTTTCTTGGAGACCATTTGGTTGACTTGGGGTTTGTTGCGGATGTTCTTCGCTCGGAAGGCGTAGTCGAGTGTGCTGATTGTTTCTTCTAGGTTGCTTTTCGCTGGCGATAAAGTGGCGATGATGCATGTTTTCGTCCGCCCGCCCAGAGAGTCTTGGAGTAGACGCGTGAGTTTCGACTCGCGGTATGGGATGTGGCTACTCTTGTCCACAAGCGCGTTTATCACGCGACCTAGTGTAAGTAGAGACTTGTTGATTAAGCCAGCTTCTGCGGCTCGCTTGTTCTCCGCTCCTGAGCGTTGTATGTTCTCTGACCCAGCCAAATCGACGAGATTGAGCTTGCCAGCCGAGACAAAATCCTCGCCCGTCTCGGAGGTGCGCTTCATGTAGACCGTCACAGTGAAGACGGTATGTGATCGCGAAGAGAGGTCGTTGCACTTGGTTGCTGCAACCTGCCGTCTCCGACTGCCATCGCGGAGGAGCTGGATACCCTTCGATGCGCTCTTGATATGGCTCTCTTCCATGCCTTGCACGAGCGTCGTCGTGCGTCCGTTCTTGTTGGCTTCGTCGAAGATCTTCAGCTTCGTTGCTGTACCCTCATCCGGTGCAAGCAAGTCGCGCAGCTCTTCATTGTATAGTTCGATGAACGAGCACTTGACACTGTTCTCCGTCTGCTCTTGCGTGCCGTCACCGCACAGGCGCTCAAACAGCCAATGCAGCACTCGAGGTACGATACCCGCCGCATCTGGGAGAGGTAGCGTGTCCATGATGTCGCCTGACATAGTGTATGTCTTCCCTGTACCTGTCTGTCCGTAGGCGAAGATGGTGCAGTTGAAGCCCGCGAGAACCTCGTCCAGTATAGGCGCCACGACTTCCTCAAAGATCATCCCTTGGTCCGCTGCAGGTGAGAAGACCTTGTCGAACTGATATGTCTTGTTGCTGAGCGCGCTCGGTCCCATTGAAAGCTCGACTTTGCGCCCTTTCACGCCGTCTGTGGATACGACCACGCCGCTGTTCTCGCGTACTTCACGGTCGTTGCGGCCGCGGCAACGGACGACGACGTGTATGTTCGTTTCTTCGCCCGCATCTTCGTCTATCGCCTGAGCCTGTCGTTTCGGAGTTCGTGTTTTCGATGATGCTACGCTTTCCGTGGGCGAGGCCCGGCCTGCCATGAGAGTTGGTGTTGCAGTCTGCGCGCGGTTGACGATGGGCCGTGCGGGCGGTGGGCGCATGGTCGATGATGAGGAGATCTTTTTGGAGACACTAGGCCTCGATGGTGCCGGAGCAGCCATATCTATGCTGGTCACCGCGACGCTGCTCCGCGGTGTCTTGTCGCTTGGTGGTAGCGCTGGGAAATTGTTGTCGAGAGCTCAAGCTTCGGTTGCTGCGGTGACCGCTGAGTCAGCGAGCTCGCAGCATCTCACCATGAATGACACTCTCGCTATCGGTTAAGGCTACTTACTGCGTTCACGTTCGTCTGTCCCTAGACGACTTGCGCTGAAAAGCATTGTTGTGGTGCTCTTCGTGGCATACTCGCAGCAAGCTCCGAACAAGCACGCTATCCTACCTGCTGACGCCTGGGCGATGGCTTCCACATGACCGCAAACGCCAGCATGCGGGCGCAGAAACACCCGCTCTATCTGCGCCCGCCTTGAATCACAATTACAGAGATCCTGCCTCCTACAACTATACGCTGCCTCCAACTTGACTGCCAAATCGAGACATGACTGCCATGACAGTAGCAGTCGTGCCAGGTCGCTCCCTAGGCCCCTTCGGTAGGAACAGCAGTACATTAAGTCGGTGTCGGGCTAATGGGTTGCAGCGCTTGGCGCATCGCTCCACGAGATCCTTGGCCTTGTTAAAGATGACAGACAGCAATACCCAGCAATCGACCTGCACTACTCCCAAGCCGAACCTCTTGTGTCCCCAGTCGTCGTCACCCTTCCCGGAAACGGCATCCGCATGCGCTTCGATGGTGCAGACCAACGTCTCCGCTTAATCGAAGTGCAAGACTTCAGCAAGATCAGACTGCAACATAAAGGCAGTGACCTCATCAAAAACCATGACGATACGGCGCATTCGGCAGGACCAGTCTTCAAGCGGGTGTACTCGCTCTTCGGACCATCTTATCCTGGAGAGTACGCTCCACCGAAAGATCGCTCGCCGTATGGCGCGTACGTGCTATCGTGGCCTGGTGTAGCTTTCAACTTCCCACTGCTGCATTCGGCTTGGTCAGAAGAGAAAGATCATGTCTCATTGCTCGGATCGCACGTCGCTTCGGCCGCGACAAGCCTGGCACTCTTCGAGGGCAGGAGCTGGCCGGAAGCACGTCGAGACTTGTTCGTCAAGCAGCCGTCAGGGCCTCGGATGTCTGCGCTGGCTAGCAGACCTAAGGAAGGTCTGCCGCCGGAGATTGAAGTAGCGGAGGTACGAGGAGACGGTCGCGTGGACTTCTTTCGACTCAATCCAGCATCTGCCTTTCCCATTACGCTCAACCAGACCACCACTCAGGACCTGATCAGCGAACTCGGGCCACCCGATACAACGTATCGACGCGAGGAAACTGCGCCTCCGACAGAGCAACCAGTCCACCGACGCGCAGGCAGCTCCTCGCGACCCATGTCAAACGGACGGCCCTACGGAGGTTCACCGTCGAGCTTCTCATCTACCGGCACAGATACATTCGAGACGGACTTCGACTCGAGCAACGCGGAAGAAGACGTGCATGATCGCGCTGCAAGGCAGAAGTTTTGGTGCTACTTCAGTCACGGTCTGGATATCCTTGTTGGCCCACCGACCGATCGAGCATCTAAGACTGGCGATGAAATTGTGCAGCGTACTCCACTTCTCGCCAGCACATCTACCGTCGTGCTCAAGGTTATCATACACGGCAATATCCCGGGTAGCTATGCATTCAACCGGCACAGACGCTTACGCTGGACTATCAATCTCCTCGATCCCACCTCGTCGGCACCAAACACTTCGGGCACGCATCTTACCTCTGAGCAGAACTTCGACGCCGACATCAAACCTGCACTCCTCTCCGTGTTCTCCGGTACGAGGTCCGAAGGCAAGGTTGTGAACCGGACTTGGTCCGGCGGCGGAAGCTCAAGTGACAGCTCCTTCTTCTTACCAGATGCTGACGAAGATGTGGAGGGGATGGAGATTGAAGGGGAGAGTGAGAACAGTGAGCAGTGGCTTGGTAACACTAAGCTTTATGCGTTCCCAGGGCTGGTGTTTGAGGTGCTGGAGAATGGGTGTGTGAGCGCTTTGACGGTGTGTTGAGCGAACATCCTCTTCAGAGTCCGAAAGATCATACTGTGCTCGCTATAGGGGTAGCAGCTCCGCCCCGTCGAAAGGAGAGCTTGGGGTAGCTCGATCAGCAAGGCCGCAATGATTCTGGAGGGTTAGGGTTTGAGTGAGCTGACCCGAGGCAATCCTCCAAACACAACAGCTAGGGCTCAACTCAGGCTGCTGCTTACCATTACTATTGATTGCCAGCGGGCTGCGATGCAGCAATGCGGCTGAAGCAATCAATATATCGCAATGAGTGCGACGTTAGCGATCTGCAACACTTCACCACCTATCTGCCATGCCGCGACACGCCTTTACTGCGGAGAAGAGTACCAATGGCATCCACTACTTGACCGCTGGACCTGCGCACAGCAAACAAGGCTTGGTTTGTGTTCATGGCTGGGGATGCCGGGGTTCCGACTACGTCTACAGTGTTCAGCACCTTCTCCAACATGCGCGAGGAGTTCGCGTCATCGCTCCTGACTTGCCCGGACATGGCAACACTACAACAGCCGTCTGTCCCAAGGCGACCGTCACTGGCTTCGCTACAATGCTTCTGGAGTTGGTGCGAGAAGTTGGTCTAGACAATGTCGTTCTCGCTGGCCATAGCATGGGCTGCAGAATCATCCTAGAAGCCTGGCAACAAGCCGAACATCAATCTGCCTTTTCCGACGTCACAATCAAGGGTCTTGTCTTCCTAGATGGTAGCCACTACAAGCTGAGAAGTCTGCATGCCTTTGACGACAAAGATCCACGTAGTCGTGGCATGACGGCGGAGGAGAAGGCGGCAGCCAAGACTCGGGTCTATGAGAGCATGTTCTCTGCCAATACACCCGTTGACTTTTGCACGAATACGCTTGCTCAACTCGATAAGTTGGACAAAGAGTATACTGCCGCGATCCGTGTCGACTTCCTAGATTATGATTACACCCGGATGGACGACGCTATGGCTGAGCTTGGTCGGTCAAGCACACCGGTGGTTAGTGTCACGAGTACAGATATCGGTCCCGACAATGAGCGTATGCCAGTGAGGTCGGAAGTGCCGACGAAGTTCATGCGGTATGTGGCTGAGAAGGTGCCGCAGGTGCAGATGAGGTCGGTGGAGAGGAGTGGGCATTTTCCGCACGTTGATCAGCCGGTTGTCATTGCGGAGTGTATGAAGGAGCTTGTTGCGGAGTGCGGCTTCGGCAAGGAGGAAGGAAGGTAGTTGCTTGAGTTTGGACAGCGTCCGGTACCGCACATTCTGCGAGAGTCGCTACTTGTTATCCAGGCTTCAAAGTAGTAGGCCTGCGTTTCCATGCTTGTTTTGGGTATACTCCTGACCTCTTGGCGATACGACTCATGCTTGTAACAGACCCGCATCAGGCCTTGTGCGGCCTTAGCCATGATAAGGTACCGGTGATATTATCTACGAAACTAGAGGCACTATAGCCATGGGCGAGGCTGCGTCAAAATGTGGTAGTGTACCAACCCTTGTGCTCCAGAGATGATAACACAGGCGCCCGCGTTTGTCAATGGTGAGGTTTTACGGCGGGCGCCGCAGGCGGATCGGTACGATGAGGGTATGCGCTGGCAGCGCTTAACGACCACAGTCGCGGTCGTGTTCGGGAGTCCTTCTTCTTCTATTTCTTGTTGATATGTAGGGCGAACATACACCGTGATGCTAGCCGTCGACCGAGGAAGCTTTGTGACGACAATGCAAGCGCCCATTGAAGCGCGCGGCTGCTCAGCCTTTCGTGAAGCGTTCCGTCTCGACCCTCCCGCAAGTACCGACCGCGGCGCAGGTCATCTGGAGAGCTGTGCAACCAGGGCGGCTGATTGACGAGCGCACATTGGCCTTGCAAACGAAGATCGAAAAGCCACACCACGTTCGTCAGAACACAAGCACGCGAGCTCGCGTGCTCACCCAAATGCAGCCGGCTCCCAGGTCGCAATAATGACCAGTGAGATGCGAGCGTGGGCGCTGCCCGCCCATGTAGCAGCAGATGCCGTCTTCACAGTCGCGCTCTCCACCACAAAGTGCTACACCAAGCTCCATACCGGACAATCGACTGGGCTTGTCGCCGCAAGATGTGGCCATTCTACGACAGCATCAACAGCTCGCCCATGCGCAGCAGCGAAGTCCGGCTGGCTCCCAGGCCAGCAGCCAAGGCAGGCTGCTACTGGATCCCGGAAGCTTGCAGTTACTGTCAAGACACTTCGATCGGGTGATGCAAGCAATTTCGCAAAGGCTGGAGCAGGTGGGTATGCCGCACGTCGTGATGAATGAGTGGTTGCTGATACGGAGACGCCAGCTTCACCACGCAACAGAGATCGCAACGCGCGCCCAGCACGACCGAACAGGAAATGCCATACAGGTCGCAGACGCGGGGATCGCCCGCTTTCATGCCATTCTGCGGCAGATCGACGAGCTAAACACGGAGTTTGACAAGATTAAGAGAATTCGAGAGATTGTGCGTGGCTTTCGCGCCAGAGTGGAACAGCTGGGACGTCGACTGGGTTAGATCACTTTGCAAGCTCACTCTCGCTGGCTGTTCTGGCTTCTAACAGGAACAAGCCACCAGCGGCGTTTGGGAAGATGGGAACGCCCCACGGCGACGTTATACCCTTGCGGAAATGGAGTTTCGTAGAACGGATATCAACCATTTCCAATACTGTTTGATCATTGTTAACTTCCTCTGCCGTCACACCATGACAAATAGTGGGCGAGAACGACCATGTCCCTTCTTGCCAACTAAATGCCCTTGACTTGCCACTGATCGTCGCCCAAAGTCGTCCAGGTGATAGAGGGGCGATCAGTAATAGAGGCGGAGTAGAAGTAGACCTTAAGCTGGGAAGAATTGTAGTTGACGTGTGCTGAAATCTGCGTTCCAGGCGTCGCTTGGAAATTGCTGTTGCCAAGCGAGCCAATAAACCATGGCCCGTTGTTATCGGAGCACAACTCCTGCATGATGTTGTCGCCGTCCGCAAAGTATAAACGAGTCTGTACGTCAGGGCGTGTGAGCTGAGATGGTTAGAGTCTTCGGGCAGACATACGCACGCTGGTGAGGCCCTGCCATTGGTACGCTAGGGCGGCAAGGTCCTTGCTAGAGCACGTGACCGCATTTCCATTCTGGTCCTTTACAGGGTCGTCTTGATAGCGGCGACCCACGTCTCTCGGCTTCTCAGGTTCGTCGCGCGCCGCGTACTGGAAGAGTATGTTGGCGTTGTTGACGAAGAATACCGCGCTGGCGCCGTTGGCTGCCTGCGCCGAGGTAATTGGGACCATCTATGCCTAGTTAGTGATCCAACTATCTCTGTGGGCGGGAGGTAGACGTACGGAACCCATGACGTCGCGTTTACCTACGACGCTTCGAAATGTTGTCGTTCAGAAATCGACGCCTGCTCGCCACGGAGGTGCTGTGCTTGCTTATCGAGTCTTTTTTACTCGAGGCATGATCAGTCCTTAAGTACCTTTGAAGCTAGGCCCGACGCAACATCCTCGTCGTTGCGTGACATGTCTGGCCAGCTTCAGTCGGGCTGGCTGGGGTGAGTTACTGTGGCTGCCTGATCGATAAAGCACCCTCGACCTAGTCGCGAAGGTATTGGCGGTGTTGCTGGGGAAGCCTGCTGGTAGATGCTGGGCCAGGTTCACAACCGAGAGCTGCGTGTCACAAGACGCTGTCGGTCTCCCACTCGCAAATCCAGACTGCCCGACGCCAGCACGAGCCCTACAAGGGAGCAGCCAGCCACATCTTACTGGCGTGTTCAGAATGTCTCTGACATGGCTCAACCGGTCGCCAGAGATTGGGTGGAAAAGGAAGAATGCTCGAGGTTTCTGTGCTGTCAGCACCTAATTCACGTGCTTGGGGCGCAATGGCTTGCAGCTATCCTGAAGGGGCAGTATGAGCTTGCTTCCGGAGCATGAGGTACGGTCTAGAGACTTTCTGCAAGCGAACGCATGGCGTTGCGGGGAACGTACCAGCGTACGATGAGCCACAATGCAACGTTAGAAGTAGCTAGGTAAGGCTGCAGGTCAGCTCATCCCATCGGCCGCTTCGACACAGAGATGGCATCAGATGCGTTGGTATTTACGTTGAGCTGACCAATCATCGCTGTAGCGCAGCTGCGCGACGGCAACGGCACTAGAGCGATAACGTTGCTTGCGTTTGCGATACAGTGACCGCTCGCCAGTAAAGGCGCCGCGTTGAGAGCTTTCGGTTACGCCACTTGGGAATATGGCTTGCAGCTTGACAGCTCGGATGGCGTGTCGTGTGTCAGCTCTGTGGACGCACGCTCGTTCGCCACAGTTGCTGAGACCCAACCTTAGAGCTGTCGGCCAGAGCAGGCCCAAGCGCATGTTTGAGCGTGCAGCATCTTTTATTCCTCCTCGTCCATTCCATCGACATTTGCCACTTGATAATGTGTGGGTCTTTGCCGTAGTGATCGATACTGACGTTGTCGACCGCGGAGGATGCGTCGCACAAGCTCAATAAGCATGCATAAAGTGTATAGGCTCAGAACCAGCCAAAAGAGCATGTCCGCACACTGTCGCCAGAATCTGATAAATGCGGCGCGTCCAGTCGGTCGGCTTTCATACTGGCCACCCTGTTACTGTTACGGTTGGCCTAGACCTTAACCGCAAAATGCCGCACCACGTCACCCTGCGGGACGGCAAGCATAAATGCCTCATAACAACCACATGTGCGACGATCTGTGCGTGCATGTACACTAAGATCCCACGCCAAAGTGTTCGTATTGAAATTATGACAGTCAAAGCGGAGTTCTTCACGACAACGCATGAGCACCGTTGTTTCGAGTGCGCTGGCGGAAGTCTTCCCAATCAGCCTGCGTGGTGGGGTACTGTCCATGCTTGTTGTAGTCGAAGACGCTCATGTCGAAGTCAAGATCAGCGAGAGGAACTTCGAGATCCATATCATTCGAGGTGTCCCAGAGTCCAGGCCCAAAGGCCACATCGCTGGGTCCGCGAGGTACAGTTACAGGACCAGTGCCGCCGGCAATGAGCGCATTGCCTGCAACGACTGGACCAGTTCCGCCAGTCATTGCATTGCCGGCCAAGAAGCTGGCCGGATCCAGCTCGCCGGAGTTCAAGAAAGCCATTTCGCCTTGGTTCTGAGTAGCTCCGCCTTTGGTGATCTGGCTGTCCCACATTTCCCAATCCACGTTTGACGCTTCGTTCATGTCGAGCATGTTACCGATCATGGAGAAGTCTGGCATGTGATCGAGCATCTGATCAGGAGTGGTGGTGTTCGCAAATGTGCTGCTACCGAAGGGGTTGAATGGCGGGCCAGCAGTAGACCCATCGTTCCATATAGAGTTCGGCAAGTTATTGACGACAGCAGGAGCGTTGGCCATTGCACTTCCTAAGTCAAGAGTGTCAGAGGCCTGCGGCACACCGCTCATGCTGTTCCAATCATAGCGAGAGACTACGCCATGGAATGGGCCGGTTTGTTGACGGACCGAGTCCAATATCGCATCTTTGCCTGATGCAGTGCTCGGGGTCGCGTTAACGTCAGCTTCAATGCTGGCCAGTCCCATCGCTGCGTTTCCGCTGTCGCCAGGTATGCTCGTAGTCTGATCTGCGGAACTAGTTGATCCTCGCGGGAACTGCGCTTTCACCTTCTCAATCATAACGGCCATTGCGCGTGCAGCTTTATCGGTCTCGTCAAACACGTGCTCGCCTTTGCTGGGCGCTTCAGAGCCCTGGAAGCGGATACCGCCCTTCCTCCTGCTCGCATCAGACCAGATCTTCTGACTCTTCTCGAGCGCGTCCATCAGTGCCACGCGACGAGGGCACTGCATGCCGCTGGCGGCCGCAAAACTTTGATCATGCAGCTGCTGTGAAAGCTCCAGGCAAATGACCATCGCGGCGAGAAGGAAATCATGGGTGCTTATTGAGCCCATGTACCATTTCACACTCTCTAGTTGCCCTCCAGGTTGAGACGCAGAGTAGATCGTATGATGATGTTGCAGCACACGCAGAGCACAATCAATGCAGATCTTTCTGCTGTTGCCTATACCTCTCACCTGCTCCTCAAGCGAGAGTTGAGAGAGCGGAGTGAGCATATACCGCCGATGTAACACGAGCTTCGTCTTGAGGTACAGAAGGTCTAGGTTGAAGCGACACATGAGCTGCTCGGCAGGGTCTGTGACCACCTCTGTGATGTCAGGCATCTGAAGTAATGGCGGCACAGCCTGCTTTGCCTCCTCCAGTCCGCGATCCAGCTGCGCCATTTCTTCTTCCGACGGTGGCACGGTGGCGTGGCTGGCCTCTGCTGCATCGCCGAAGATTCTAACGATTCGAAGCTTTGCCCGTGTGTATGACGAAGGCGTGAGCTCACCGATAGAGCGCCCTGGCGGCATAACCTGCGTACGAGGATTGAAGTCTCGGTCAAGCAGGTTACGCGGCGGCTGCGCATCGCTCTGTAGGGTCCGGACCATGCTTGGTAGGCCAAGCTGGAACGAGATGAGAACATCTATCATACTAATAACCGCCCAAATGCGCCGACGCATCTCGCCCTGAAACGGCGTGATGCTCGGGTAATGCTTCGAGTCGCGGTGACAGCCCGTCCGTAATGCTAAACGGATGATAAGTCCGATCATGAGCCATACATTGACAAATGCATTGTTGCTCCTAAGGCCGGCTGCGTATATGATCAAGCATTCCAGCGTGTACTCTTTGGGTTTGCTGAAGTCCGCCATGACTGCTGCAGAAGCCGAGAGCGAGTGGTACTTGTTGACCTCACCCAACACCTTCTGCGCCTGTTCGCTAGCAGGATCGGTATCGCGCAGAGCGAACGAGGTCGCCAGGCTCAGTATGGCGAAGAGCAAGCCCAGCCACATTGGAGGCGTATCTTGTGGGTTTCGCCAGAAGCGCTTATACTCTTCTTGGAATGTCGGCGCATGAATGATGGGCTTAAACGGATCCGGCGAGTTGAACCACAGGCTCAACAGCCTATCTGTTATCTTCTTGTCAGGTACAGCTGACACTAGATGGCTTTTGCTGACGGCCCCAACGTCGCCGAGCATGAAGCCGAGACCGTGCGTAGAGCCAGTGGCAGCGGGTATGAAACCACTGTCCCAGCCACCGCTCGCATTTGTATCACTATGACCGAGGGGGTTCTGTGGGCCTGTAGTCTCAAGCTCTTCTTCGTCGTCATCTTCGAGCTCGCGCTTCAAATCGGATATACTATTCAGTATAGCACCCCAATGCGACTCGCCAACATAGCTGATCTCGTTCTTGCTGATGCGCATGGAGCCAAAGAGCACGGCAGCTTCGCTGTCGTCCTCCTCTTGGGGCTGCGAATCGTCCGACGAGCCCGTCGGCTGCCCACCCGAGCTAGAGAATTGCGGACTTGTATCGTTGTCGCTGGGCGGAGTCGGTTGCTCGAAAGAGCTGAGACTCTGCCGCTGCTGCCTTTCTTCACTCTCATTCTCCTTGCTTCGATCTTTCTGACGTTGTGCGTGCTGTGCTGTCCGGTTTTGGTTCATGAGGTCCACCACCAAATCCTCCAGCTGCCGTATGCGACCCTTTACATTCTGCACCGGCTTGTTCTTCACCGGTGGAGGCACAAAGATACACTGGGCCTCCCTGTTCCGCTTGAGGCACTGATCACAGTACGGTTTCTCGCGATTACATTTCAGCTTGCCTGTCCTACATGGCGTACATGAGAGCTGTGAGCGGGCGCGCTTCTGCTTGAGGTGGTTGCCGTTGGCAAGAGCCGCAGCGGTCTGAGCAGTGTTGCTGCTCATTGTCGCTGTACCTACGGGTTGCGCGTTCGTGCTAGACTTACGCCGACAGAGGCTTGGTCTGAAGGATGATCAGGACAAACACACTGAGCCATCGCTTGCGCAAGATGGAAGCCTTCCGCTGCAGAGTGGGACCTACTTCCAGACTTGGCTGCGCGAAAGAGGAGCTAGACAAGTCGATCGATGTTCTTAACACCGGCATACGTCCGAGGCTACACCTCGCGAGGATGGAGTGCTTCGCGAGTACTACGTCCGGTATCAGTGGAGGTCCTGTTGCTTCATGCATACGTCAAGGACAATGCGACGGATTCGTGACTAATGGATCGGGACTTCATCAGCGGTTTGTCAGCTGAGCTAGTGGGGGCGATATGCACAGGGCTGAAGACCAATGGTGGACTCTCGGACAACAACAACGACAATATGAGCTTCGGAGTACACTCGGGCGAAGTAGACGCAACAGATGCAACAACTTCGTAATCGCTAGCGCGCACGGGAGACCGCTTGTACGTGGTAGCGAGAAGACCGGACTCAGATGCATGTCGTGGAAGCGTAGTGGAGAACAGCGGAGAAAGTTACCTTGCTGGAGGAGCGAATAGCGAGCTTCGCTTTCAACCACAGCGAGCATCAGCCTCTACTAAAGCTCAGCTGGAGTCACTGCTTCGATCGCCCTGCTATACGATACGATATTGAAGTCCCAACAAGCACAATGGCTGCTCCACCGTTCAATGCCGAGACGGCACAGCAAAGGGTGAAGAAAGCACAAGATTTGTGGAACACACAGTACGCTCGCCCCGTTCCGCTCCGCTTGAAGCTAAACCGACTCGCGTGCCTTCCACAACTGGTAGGGATCCGGAGAAGGTATCCAAAGCATATACCGAGGACTGCATCTGGCGCAATCGTGACCAGTTCTTCTCCGGCACTGACAAGATCATTGAGTTCTTAACCAAGAAGTGGCAGAAGGAGAAGAACTACAAGTACGCCGTCTCCGTGCTGGCACTCGCTTTAGGGTCACTGACCGTGCTGCTCTCGGTAGGCTGCGCAAGGAGCTGTTTACCTTCATGGGCAACAAGATCGCCGTCCAGTTTTGGTATGAGTATCAGGATGCCCACGACGATATGAAGTGGAAGCGCTGCTATGGCCTCGAGGATTGGACATTCTCCGAGGATGGCAGAAACTGCAAGCGGCAGATGAGCGGCAATGATATCGAGATCTCCGAAAACGAGCGGTGGTTCAAGGAAGGCGTCGATGTCAACGCCGTTCATATCTCCGAGCAGCATTGGTAGTCATCGTCTGAGGAGCTTGAAGATGTTAGCTGAGCTCCGAAGTAGGAACGTGAGAACCCTATTTGATGCTACCCACATCCACTGTATTACGGGTGCTCACCGCCAGTACGCCCAACGGCATATTCGTCCAGCGCAGTAGGGATCCTTACGCTAGTTCCAGTCCCTCCTTGAACGCTAAGCTGGCGGCGTATCATGGATGCAGACCAGCAAGAACTTCGCATCCGGTACAACAACGATCTCATTTCTCTTCGTCCTGATTCTCAACAACTTTGCCTCATCGTGGTCGCCGTTGAGTTCTTCAATCATACTACCCACGCTCTTCATGAATGTCCAGACAGACTGTGCCACTTCTTCGGCATTGCGGGTGCCTTGCTTCCTGACGGCCTCGCCATCTGTGCTGTTAACATACGTTCCATTAGTCGTAGAAGGCGCCACTTCTTCTTGTGCAAGCTCCTCAGCTGTGATCAGGCCAGAAGAGCGAACAATGGCCCCGGACTGCCTTGAAAGTATGAGGGTGCTCTGTACGCCAGGGCGCATTGACAGGCGAGCGAGCAGAGCCTCGGTCTCCGCTATGGGAGACGGTTGTTGCATTCTTCTAGAATGATGAAAGGCTCTCTACTTCATATGCACATGTCCAGCTACACTAGGCTTACATGTTGTGCTGACGCAGAAGCTGTGGATGCTAGAGCCTAAGAACTCATCGGAGTTGGTGAACGCCGACGTCTTGCCAAGACACGCTACTAGATTCGAACATCAAGCGAGCGACAGCACTCCTCTATTCGACTACCCACATCTCGGCCACATGTCACGCAACGTTGAAGATGGGCTCGTCAGCAAAAAAGAAACGAGAGAAGAAGGCCGATTTCCAAAAACCGAAGCTGAAGGTGGGCAAAGCCAGGCCAAAAAACACCAACGCCACCGACACCAGCTTCTCCTCGAAGTCCATCATCCTCAAGCAGCAGAATCTAAGCGAGTCTGGACGTGACTCCTCTGCGCTTTTCAACCACAACCTGTCCCTACTGAGTAGCAAGAACGATACGCAACGCCGGGATGCTTTGCAATATCTCACGACTGTCTGCGCCGCTACTACAAAGTCGGACCTGCCACAGCCTGCGTCAGCCATTGTGGCCAAGGCTCAGTCTTTGATCTTGGACGGCAGCAATGGAGTGCGAAGCCAAGTATTGAAGCTGTTCAAGGCCCTTCCTACGAATGACTTCGGCCCACTGGATCAGCTAGTCATCTACGTTCGCGCAGGCATGACCCATCTCTCAAGCGATATCCGACTTTCCGCTCTTGACGTACTGGACTGGCTCTTAGTAAGCAAGGGCACGGCAGTGATGGCTACGCCTGGCGGCTGGGTCAAAATGCTGCGCACTTTCCAGAACCTCCTATCATGGCAAAGTCAGAATGGCAAAGTAGCCTCTGCGCAAGGTGGCAGCTGGACTGCTACTAAAACCGGTAGCGGCAACCTTGGGAGCAGCAAATTACTTGTGCATCAGATAACTACGCTCTCAACCTTCCTCACGGTTGGTCTCACTTTGCCTGCCGCGGATCCACACGCCGCCGCAAAACGAGCATCTATGTGCTTCCCACTATACCAGATGCACGCACATATGTTACCATCACGAAGCAACGCATTCGGCTATCTCAACCTTTTTGGCGCGGTTCGGGACCAGGAAAGCGAAGGCTATGACGATGCCGATGAGCGTATTGCTGTTTTCAACGAGCTAGGTCTGCTCGATGCCTTCCGTTCTGGAGCGAAGGAGGCGAAACAGGAAGCCGGCGAGGTTGGCCGGGCTGCTAGTAACCTGGAGAAAGCGCTCAAGCTCGCAGACGTCGGATGAAGTGAACTTTCATGACACGTATTAGTCGCTTGACATGAGCTGCGCAAACCGGTTTCTCAGCTCAACCTGGAGAAGGCGCTCAAGCTCACAGATGCCGAATGAAGTGAGCTCTCGGTGCTGGTGGCGAGCGGGGCCGGGGCTGACGAAGACCGCACCGGATCATGCACGAAGCCACAATGAGAGCGGCAAGCCAGCCTACAGCGCGCAAACGTATGACCGCAAACTTCCAGCGGGGGCTGGAGGAACAAAGCTAGGAACGAGCGGGAGGATAATGTCTTGCAGGCGTGACACCATAAGCCTCAACAACCTGTGCATGGCGCTAAGGGCAAGAACCGTGTGGTGGCCGAACCGGACCACCGACCCCTTGAGAATGCTCTGTCCAAGGGGTCCGCGCTGGGTGCTATGGGGGCGGTAGAAGAGGAGAATTCTGCGTCATCCGGGTTGTGAGGCCCAAAATGACAGAGCTTGTAATCATCGAAGCGTCGAACCGGCTTCGCCCGCTCAAATCCCACGTGGCAAGAGATGGATACTCCTGAATGGTTCGGAGATTGACTTTGACAACAACGATAGTCACGGAGCTTGTTCTACTGATCTGTGGAAGGCGGTACATCATTCTGATCACACCAGCGTTGATGCTCGACGGCGAACAGGCCGTGATGCTGGCTCAGATGAACGTGACCTGAGCCCCTTCACCAAGATACCGTAACGACACCGAGGAGAATACTTCAGAGAAAGACATTAATGAGGGGGACAAGATCACTTACGAATGTACGATGAAACAAGCAAGGAAGTGGGAGCAAGCATCCGGAGCGTCGCGAAGTTCCTCGCGATACCCAAGCTGGCTGATACCTTGCACGATCGACTGCAGCCGACAGCTGGCGGCGTCGGTTCGAGGTCAAACAGGGTCGCCCTTGTCGTGGCTCTCAGACTCGTCGCATCCCAAGCAGAGTCAATAACGGCCAACAAGATCCTTCAGGTAGTCTAGTACTAGAAGACAAGCAGGCTCAACAACCCACGAATCCTAGTAATGACCCGCTAGCCCCCGCAGATAGCCCTTCGTTAAGCCTTAGGATTAATCCGTCGCCTACTGTACGTAGCGGGACTCCTATTGTGCGCAAAGCGCAGATTGCTCGACAACCCAAACCCTTCGAAGCAGCCGCTATAGAGCGTCTGGAGCGACAGATTGCGTTCCTCCAGAGCTAGTGGGACTCAGACTTGGCAAACCATCCTAGCTCGTACCCATCAACTTTGGGGTGGAGGAGTAGCTTGTGATCATGCTGTGGCTCCACGACCCTAGCCCTCGTTTCAGTTACAACTCTGCAGAACAGGATAGCAAGTGGGCCAGGTAACAGCTCGGAATTGAGCATTCATTTCAAGGATTTTGGTTCCCAAGTGCTTTACTTCCTTCTACTACGACAAGACGACAGACAAGCTTAGGCAAGGCAGAGTCCTAAGACAGGGCCTAGGCTTCAGGACTGACCGTTGTAGTGACTAATACAGAAGGACAAGACGTTAGCTCTCCCGACACCTGTGTATTCTAGGACTTAACGCCTATACAAGTCGATATCAAATCTCGACCTGTTACAGCTTCCCAGATACCAAACAGCAGTTTTAGACAAGCTATCGTTCCCGACCGGGCTAGTAGCGATAGGCACCTTACCTCGACAGGTTGCTATATGCGACTCACGAACGGTCGCGCGAACTACAGAGACACGGCGACAATACCGATAGCGACCGACATCAAACACCAGACGCTCAACACCTATCATCCTATCATTAGCCAGCCAGCTGCAATATCGGGATCGTAAGTAGAGCGGGTGAGCAGGACACTACTTACCGATGCCATCTTTGAAGTGCCAGGCGGACGACTCGTCGTAGCAGAGCTTGCTGCAGTCGAGCCTGCAGCTGCAGCAGCAGCAGAAGAGGAAGCAGGTACCGTTGTCGCTCTAGTCCCGTTAGTAATACCAACGACAGCGGTGCCCGCCGAAGAAGCCGCTCCAGTGCCCGAACCTCCAGCGCCGGTGCCAGTACCAGTACCCGTGCCCGACTCCGCCGCCGTGGCCGCCGCAGTCGAAGTAGCCGGGCTCGCGCCGGTGCTGGCTCTTGTCAATGAACTACTCGCCGCCACCGCCGTCCCACCGCCGCCACTGACCCGAGACGCAGACGCACTCGACCCACTGCTAACCACCGCGCCACCCGCATAACTCGAGCAAAAACCCCGATTACTCTGAAAGAACGCATACGCGCTCGGGTAAGCCGTGCTGGCATAAGTGATACAAGCGCTCCACGGACCGTCGAAGCCGTTCCCGTTGTAGCGGCCAGAACTGTCGTAGCAGACACAGCTTGCCTCGGCGCTGTTGGCGAGGTCGTCGAAATTGGCTATGGCGGCTTCGCAGGAGGAGATGGTGCTGAGGGCTGATTGGCAGGAGAGGGCGTTTGGGTCTGGGGTGGTGGGGGCAGAAGTGGTGAGAGGGGCGGCGGCGGCGGGAGCGGAGGCGAGGGCGGTTTGGAAGCAGGTTACCGGTGTGGCCGCGGAGCAGCAGCCGCGGATGGAGGAGGCGATCAGGCCGGGGCAGGCGGCGCAGAGGGGGCCCGGGCAGCCTGGGGAGGTGGTTGTTGTCAGTCGTTGTTAGGTTGGACATCCGCACCAGCTCGTTTTATGGGGAATTGAATGATAACATGAGGTCAAAACAAGGAGAATGAGCGAGGCGAAGAAGATCAAGTACAATGTGCGAGTGAAGGGTGAGGTGTACCGGTCTTGGTGAGCGCGCACGTTTGCTCCCAGCCGAGCACATAGGAATTGCACAAGGCGGCTTGGGAGAGGATGGCATCGGCGCCGCCATAGCCTGGGATGGGGAGAGGGTTGTCAAAGATATCACTCATCTTGATCTCCACTAAGTCCGTGTGAGGGTTCGGCCGGAGACGGAAACAAAGCAGAGTTGATGAGAGCTGGGAGGTGAATGCGCGAACAAAGTAGATGTAGGAGACGCCGCAGCTGAGAGGTGAAAAGACTCGGACTCGGACCTTAGTGCTATGTCTACCATGCCATACACGAAGAGCTTGGTACAATGCTCTCGGACATGTGCCTGCAAAGCGACTTACCGAAGCGCCAGGGCGTCTCGGGCTGATTCTCGCTGGGAGATGGAAGTAGTGAAGCTTTCGGGATGTTGCGGTAGCGACTCATGCTCCATCCAAGTCGGGTTACAGCCAAGCTTCACGCCTGTCCGAAGATGGGAAGAATGGCATGCAGCCTCGACCAAGAGGCAGTTGTGTAGAGTGGCGTGACCGGATGGATGCGCAGAGAATGTTAACGAGGTCCTTGTCTTAGCCATGAGGCTTGGCTCGTTTGGGTAGGGCTAAGCAGCATGGTGGCACGAAGCTTAGCGAGGGCTTGTTGCTTGAGTGTGCTTATCGGGGAGCGATGCGAAGGGTTATGCGTGCACTCGCCCAAGAGGTCCTGTGATCGTAATGGACCTTTCATTAGGGTGCAGGGTTATAGGGTCAGAGCGTGTCGTAGTCGCTGCCGTTGCGTGGGGGCCATCTATTACTGTTCTGCCGCTGATATACAGCTGTGCAATCGGTGGGTGTACGATGTTCAGGCGGCATTGCGGTACTTGCCATAACCAAGCCATCCGAGCATAATCTATGCACTTTGCCAATCTCATTGGGAGCTGAGGGAAAGGCGGCCTCAATTGAAGAGCTCTGGTGTTTAAGCGGAAGCCGCTCCGACTCCGGCACGGAACCGGCAACATGAAACTGCCGAGGCGCTCTCTGCTCCAAAACTTTGCGAGAGCGAATGGCTTGAAACAGCTCCCATGCAAAGCACCGCAATGGCCGCCTCACGAACCTTACGAATAGGCCTGATCCCCGGTGATGGCATCGGCCGAGAAGTCATACCGGCCGGTCGACGGATACTGGAGGCTCTACCCTCCTCGCTAGGACTCAAGTTCTCCTTTGTGGATTTGGATGCCGGCTTCGAGACGTTCAAGCAGACCGGCGTAGCCTTACCGGACAAGACGGTGGAGACGCTGAAGAAAGAATGTGATGGTGCATTGTTCGGAGCGGTGAGGTAGGATCATATGCATTGGCTTCTCTTGTAGGGGTCTCCCCTTCCTCATACGCCCAACCTTTGCGCAAACGGTTCTTCGACCTTCACTAGACCTTGTGCTGATGTTGCTGCCTCCTCCAGCTCCCCAACGACGCCCACAAAAGGCTACAGCAGCCCCATCGTCGCCCTCCGCAAGAAGCTCGACCTCTACGCCAACGTCCGGCCCGTCAAATCCGTCGCGCCTACCCCCGCCTTCCCGGACCCCATCGACCTCGTCATCGTCCGCGAGAACACGGAAGACCTTTACGTGAAGGAGGAGAAAACCTACGATGCTCCCGACGGTAGTGGCAAAGTCGCCGAAGCGATCAAACGGATCAGCGAGCGCGCATCGTCCCGCATCGCGACTATGGCCGGCGAGATCGCGTTGCGACGGCAGAAAGTACGACAGTCTACGGGCGCAGATACGGATGGGAAGAAAGCCATGGTAACCATTACTCACAAAAGCAACGTCCTCTCCCAGACAGACGGCCTGTTCCGACTCGCCGCTCGCGCCGCCCTCGAACAACCTCAATTCAAGGATGGGGGCGTGATTATTGACGAACAAATCGTCGACAGCATGGTCTACAAACTCTTCCGCCAGCCGGCCTCTTACGACGTCATCGTCGCGCCGAATTTGTACGGGGACATTCTGTCCGATGGCGCGGCGGCGCTGGTGGGGAGTTTGGGGTTGGTGCCGTCGGCGAATGTGGGTGATGGGTTTGCGATTGGGGAGCCATGCCATGGGTCTGCGCCAGATATTCAGGGGAAGGGAATCGCGAATCCGATTGCTACGCTGAGGAGTGTGGCGTTAATGTTGGAATTCTTGAACCAGGAGGAAGCGGCTGCTAAGATTTATGCAGCGGTGGATGCGAATTTGTTAGAGGGGAGGCTGTTGAGCCCGGATATGGGTGGGAGTGCGAAGACGGACGAGGTGGTGGAGGATATCATTAGGCGGATGTAGATACGTTATATCATACTCTGTCTATATGATATATAAAGTAAAGTAGTGGTTGCCGGATTACACGTCAAATTAGCCTTCCCTTTACGGCAAACTCAAAACAATGACGTTTCTGGCTCGTCAATTCTCCCGTCGTGAGCCGCTCATTCCTTGGTGCCACGTCAAGATGGATCACTTCAGCCACCATTACAACCGCACCACCTCCTTTGCCAATCTCGAGACCCTCACGATGGCGAGCAACTACTACCTGAAAGTCACCGCGGGACCCAACTATACCGAACAACATCCCCTTTCCATCAACACCGAACAACCCACCCGCATCACGTCGGACCATCTTACCGCCAACCTCGTCGTGCGCATCCAGAACTACCGTGGCCTCGACGTCGACGGCAAACCGTCGGAGCATAAGACGAGTCCTTACTTCTCCAAGCCACCGCACCAGCATGATCTGTACAGTATCCAGTTCAGCTTCACGCTGAAAGAGGACGTGAACGCACATGACTTGGTGTTTGGAAACGACTTCGATCACGCAATTCGAGATCGCTTGCCGCCGGGCTTTCAGCAGGCATTCAACATTGTGAAATGGTTCATCGATCCGGGGTTGTACGGGGATGTGAACGCGGATAAACCATACCTCTACGGCCCGCTACTCAGCTCAATCAACACCTTCCGTGTCGGTCCGAAAGATGACCGGGAACAAGAAAAGATTGAGGAGACTCGCGCGAACCAGGACTCCGAACTGAGTATCCTCTCCGAAGGTGGCGACGCCGACGGCGCCCAACTCCGGAAGGACGCGCATATCCCCCCCGATGCCGCGGCGAGGAAGAAGTACTTTCTCACCGAATCCCATCTCAAGGCTTTTACGTTTGAGAAGGGGAGGGAGTATAGTAATGACTTTTTCAACCCGTATCTGGACTTCAACGAGTTCGCGTTAAAGCTGCCTGGGTTTGGGGTGATTCCGGGAATCACGATGCCGATACTGCGGTATTGGGACGGGCAGCCGCTGAGGTATACGTTGAGGAAGAGGGGGGGTGACGTGCTGATGGTTGTCATGTTTACGCTTGTGCCGAGGGAGGAGGTGGAGGGTGAGGGTGCGAAGGAGGAGGTGGAGGGGAAGAAGGGTGGTGAGCCGGCGGCGGAGACGGCGGATGATGATGTAGATTGAATGTGGGACGTACGGCAGCGGCGAGGTCGCTGCGCTCTTGGAGAGGGACGGCAGGATCAAGTGTGGCAATGCAGAAGCTGCCTACCGTCCCCTTGTTACACCAAGCAAGTCGATCGAGATCGAGCGACAATGGGATCTGTCGATCCCTTCCAGGCAAAGCTCCTTCCAGGAACAGCAAAACGCTTTGGCATGCATACCATAAAACGCTACTTCGCCATCTATGGCCGCCCTCTCCCACTTCAAGCATCTCTGAGTGTAACATCCAAGCGGACGAATGATGCGGCTAACCATACTCTGCTGCAACCAATTGAATTCAATAAATACAGACGCCGGCACGGGCATCGGCTCCTCGACCGCTCCTCACCACGACGTTCTAATCCAGCAGTTCTTCGCTTTCGCCGCGGCGAAGGACCGCCAGATATTCGCGCTTTCGGTCTTGGATCCCGCAACTAGAACTCCGAACGCCAACCGCCGCCCTGGCATGGTCTCGGATGACATCCAGCCAGCTCTGAGCAGCAGTCCAACCCCACTTCTTCTGCTCGAGCTTCATGACTCAATGGGAATCCGGTATTTCACCGCTGCGCAGCCGGGCGATCTTACCCTTTCTGGCTTTACTACGTCTGATGCTGCGTTACGTTGGAGGTTTGAAGAGGTGATGTGGAATGATAACTATGTGAAGCAGCATTTTACGGTGCTTGTAGCACAGCGGGAGTACACGTGTGAGGTCCATGGTGACCAGTTTGAGGTGAGGATTATGCGGCGGAGGGGGTAGGGGTATTGGTGAAGTGAGAGAGAAGGAGGGATTCCACGCTTGCCATGTTCTGGCGCGGTAACGCAGTCTAGCGACATCCTTGGTCAGAGACCTCGCGGTCTACTTTGCAATCTCCATTTCATATTTCATTGCCTCTGCGACATTGTATCACCGAGACATTATTGAGCTTCTGGAGACAGATGTTGCACACGGCGGATAGAGCGCCCTGAGCCTCTGGTAGAGCTTATGGAGCTGGCTTTGTCGCCGGAACGTTCGACAAGACCAGCTTTGGCGATGGAACCCTACTATCGTCTTCGCATCCACGATTCAAGAGAAACCAGTTTCCTGTCACATACAACGGATGGCGCGACGCAGATGATGGTAAGACAACAATCCTTTGTCGCCATACCAAGCGACAGACGCATAACCAACAACTATCGACGCAAGACTCCTTCGCCTGCAGCAAACCGGTTCTGCGTGGACAAGTTACCTGGTTGTCGTGGTCATGGCTGTCATTCCTACTCAATCAAGAAACCTACCCAATCTCAGAGTTCTCGACTACCCCGATGGACAAGACGACCATCTTCTGCTGCGCGGGCGTCACTTACTCCCCGAATCTTGATGCTCCAATTGGTACGGCCCAGAACAACGCTCTCCTTGGCCGGTTTATCATTTTCGCTCTACAGCACGATCAGGAAGTACGAGATTCATTAGTTGTCGTAGGGGAGGATCATTTTGGGGATCGACTTGGTAAACGTCCGGCCGTGAATCCTACTCTGACTATCGCTACTGCTGCTGTGACTGCTACTGCTATGGGACGCGACTCGGATCCGACGGCTGTGGTCCAGGTTCGTGAGGTTGTTGATGGCGAGGCGGACGTCACAGGCAACTCGAATGACGTTCGGTACTTTACCGTCCATAACTCGCCTGCTGCGGCATTTGTGGAGGTCACGGGAGAGGAGAACTGTGTGCTGTATTCGGACGTGAAGGCCTCACTGGGCTACGAATGCGATATGCACGAGAAGAAATTCGAGGTCAAGCTGATGCACAAGCCTTGAGCTGACATACATCCGAAATTGCAGTGATGGTGTCACTTGTACGAAGTTACCCGAATTGCCAAGATATAGCACAAACCTCCCTTCAGTGGTCACGGCGACAGAGCAAGACATTACATTGATGTAGAAGCTAATATACACTCATCATGCGGACGGCGTCACGTAGTATGAGCTTGGTATCCGTTCAGAACACATTTCCACTGAACACGTCCGCCCTTGTTCCCAAATGAAACAATGGCACATGCTCCAACGGCGCCGGAACCGTGACATACTGTCCACCCGCATACGTGACATTCGTCCACCAGTACGTCCAAGGCTGCGCTCCTGCACTCGCCGCACCCGTCTGCGGCAAGTAAACAGACCACTGCGTCGCGTTCGGCAATGTAACAGGCGTGACCAACAATCTCGGCCCGAACATATACTGCTGCGTCGTCACATTGCTGTTATTCTGCGTCATTGCGACGACATTAGGGTCGGTGGTACTGAAGTCCATGAACAGCGGTCGCATGATCATGCGCCCTGTGGTTGAGAACTGAGTGAAGATGGCCTTGAGATAGTTGGCTAATTGGTACCGGAGATTGATGTACGAGACAACGATCGGCGTGTTGTTCGCTCCGTAAGTCCAGGGTTCGTTATTGCAGGTATACGCATCCTGAAAGTTGCAGGCCCGGGAGCCATGGTTACGCATGAATGGGAGGAAGGTGGCCCATTGCTGCCATCGAACGTAGAGTTCGCGGTACGCGTCTTCGTCGATGTTGTTGCTCCAGGGCACTGTGGGATCGGCCTGGAAGCCGCCAATGTCGAGGGTCCACCAGCCCCAGCCGGTGGAGGCAGCAGAGAGGCCACTAGCTACTTGAGCGGAAAGCGTCTCCCAGACGGCGGTGGTGTCGCCAGACCAGATCATGCTGCAGAAACGCTGGCTACCGATGTAGCCAGATCGGCTGAGGGAGAGAGAATCGCACGGCTGGCCCATCTGCGTGCCTGTGGCGTTGCGGAGGCCTTCTTCGATGGCTGCTTGGTGCGCCCAAGGGTACAGTTTACCCACTGACATCTGCGTGCCGGCGTGATATAAGACGTCCGCAAGCGGGTATGGTATGCTCGTGATATAGTTTGATTGCCCGTTGTTCTCATATGCCTCACCAAGGTTACCGCCATCAGCTTGGTCGATCCAGAAGTTCTTGATGCCGTTGAGGTAGTAGTGTTCGTATAGGTTGGACCAGAGGAAGCTGCGCGCCGCTGGATTTGTAGCGTCATAGTTGCGAATATAGGACCCATTCCACGAGTCGGTGGTGCCGGGTCCGGAACGTGTAGCTGACAGGTAGCCATCGACTTGCATAGTATTGTAGTTATCGCTGGCGTCTTCCACGCTTGGCCACAGGCTGGCCATGATTTCGGCTCCGGTCAAATTCTTCACCACTTCTGCCATGTAGCTCACGTTCGGCCAAAGTCCCGGATCGAGCGCCCAGTCTCCTTGGTGGGCCCAAGATTGGTAGTCGATAACCAGAAGCGATACGGGAATACCGTAGTTGTGGAAGTTCTGGGCCAGCTGGATGAACTCGGTCTGGTTCTCGTACCGGAGCTTACTGTGCAAATAGCCTAGCGACCAATCTGGTGGCAGTGGCGCGCGGCCGGTCATTGCAGACAGGCGCCTTTGAAGCGTATCATAATCCCCTGCAGGGGCGCTAGTGATGGCATAGTCGACTAAAGTTGTTGATTTGGACGTGAAGCGGTTTCGGAGCGTACCAAATTCCATCTCACCTTCTGCGGCAGAGTTCCAGATGAAGCCGTACCCGCGGCTGGACATGAACAACGGCGTCGGAATATGCGTGTTGAAGTTGATAAGGTCAATGGTCTGGCCCTTCTTGTTCACCATGTGATCCTGCTGCGTGCCGGTTCCATAGATTTGTTCGTCTGATGTTGTTGAGAAAGAGTAAGCGGTGAAGAACTCGTAGCCTGGTCCATTCCATGAGTAGTAGCGAGGATTCAGGGCCTTGAGCGGAGCATACTCGTTGGTTAACAGCGTCTGCGAACCGTCTCCGTTGAGGCGATAGAAGGCCAGACGGACCTGTGTCGTGTTGTCCCCGACACCGAGGGTACTGTACGTCTTCACCAGCGTATTGCCGTTGCGAATTACGAAGAACTGCGTCCCGTTAATGGTCGTGTCGTAAGTAAGAGCACTCGCTGTGGCATTACTCGGGCCTTCCACAGGCGGGTCCATCAAGAAGCTGATCTCGTTGCCGTTTGGTGGACGGAAAGGCCAGGCTCGGACGCGGAAACCATCGTACCCATACGGCTGCACAACGACGGTTTCGAATCCATGCTGCAGACGGAAGCCAGTTGAATTGGGTCGGAAGTAAGTAGAGTTGGAGAGCGCTGCCTGAGCGTTTGCAATAACAGAGCAGCTGAGGACAGCAACGAGCAATGAGTTTAGTAGCATGATTGCCGATGAGAAGAAGCCAAAACGTACCTTCTTCAGCTCGACATACGGCGTGCTTACTATCTATATCATGTTGTATTTCATCTTGAGTCGTGTTTTCCGGAGCGTTTGACCTCTGTATTCAGGCTATACAACAAGCACATACAAGATCTGCTCGCACAAGGTTTCACTATGCACCCTGTAGAGTGGAGGTGGTCAGCATGACTCTCTGGAAACCGTGCAATTGGCGACCCTCGTAAGGGGACGGTGGAGAGTCATCAGAGGACAGCATTTTCTCCGCAGGATCGGCGGTTGGCGGGGAAAGAATGGGCCGAGAGCGCGAAGGCGAACTCTGGTGTATGACAAAGTCTTCGGGCTTCACCCTTAAAAATCATAAACAGCATACGAAGTAAGTGTCAGGTTCGTAACGATAACTTGAGGTAGCGGTGTTTTCGGTAGGAGGCGTACATCAACTGTGCGGTGCCCCGCCGCCACGATCGTTAGGCTGCCGCACCACACTGCCGGCAGTGAAGGTGAAGCTCCCAGCCGACAAGCGAGGTCCGTGTGATCGTACCGTGGGAGCTCCAGACTGGACTATATCCCCAGTACGGAGTATCACGAATAGTGGTTGTTCCTCACACGCCAACTGACCGGTAGGCATCTGTTCTTCCATATCTGTTAGCGGTCCTCTTTGTACCTGTAGACGATCCTTCTTAACCACAGCGTACAGCAGAAGCAGCCATGGCGCTTGGTAAGTAAGCTGTCTCGATACTCGAGTATTAAAGAGCTCACTCCCAGTAGCAACCGCAGCAGTAGCTGGCACGGCAGCAGCGGCAGCATACCTCGATGGCCGCTATCACCTCGCCAAAGACATCGGCGACATCCGCGAGCGTCGACGAGTTGGCAAGCTTGCGCAAAAGCAAGCCAAGCAGCACCGGCTCTCGCTCTGGTATCTCTTCGAGGAACAGGCACAAAAGCTGAAAGACGAACAATGCATATGGTATCGCTCCAACCCCTCCGAGCCAATCACCACGTACACATGGACGCAGACGTACGAGCAATGTTGTCGTTGGGCCAACTTCCTCCTCGAGCAGGGTGTCAAGCCTGGTGAGCTCGTGGGGACGTATCTCGTCAACACCCCGGAGTTCATGTTCAACCTGGTCGGAAGCTGGGCGATCGGATCTGCACCGGCTATGATCAACTACAATCTTGGCGGAGACGGCTTGATTCACTCGCTCAAAGTTTCCGGCAGCAAAGTGCTTGTCGTAGACGAGGACGAAGGCTGTCAGGAGCGTGTCGAGGCCGTGCGGTCGAAGATCGAGAGTGAGCTCGACATGAAGATCGTCATCATCAATGCTGCGACCAAGGCAGCGATCGCCGCACGACCGTCAACCAGACCGGCCGACTCCTACCGCAAGGACTTGAACCCAAACTTTCCAATCTTTCTCTTCTATACGTCTGGTACTACAGGTCTCCCCAAAGCATGCGCAATGCCTACTGCCCGCTCATACGTGCTCACATCACCCCGACTCCGATCTACGGGCGTAAAGGCTGGCCGTCCACGAACAACCTTCTCCAGCGGCCGTAAGCCGGACGTTTGGTACGACTGCATGCCTCTGTATCACGGTACAGGCTGCACTGTCGCACTCAGCTGTCTCATCAACGGCGTTACACTTGCTATTGGCCGCAAATTCAGTGTGCGCAACTTCTGGCGAGATGTCCACGACAGTCAAGCCAATGCATTCGTATACGTTGGTGAGACAGCGCGCTACCTCCTTGCTGCACCACCGAGCCCGCTCGACAAGGGCCACAAACTCAAGGCGATGTATGGAAATGGAATGCGGCCAGACGTATGGTCCAAGTTTCAGGAGCGCTTCGATATACCTTGTGTCAACGAGTTCTTCAACAGCACAGAAGGCATGCTGCAGTTACTGAACGTCTGTCGAGGCCCGTTCCACGCCGCACATGTTGGCCATCACGGCGCTCTTGAGCGTCGGAGGCTGTGGAATAAAATCGTGCCGGTGCAGATTGATTACGAGAAGGGTGATCAGATATGGCGGGACCCGAAGACTGGATTTGCAAAGAGACAGAGCTATGAGGAAGGAGGTGAGGTCTTGATCAAGTGCGATAGTGAAAAGGACTTTGTCGGCTACTGGAACAATCCAGATGCGACTCAGAGAAGGTTCGAGAAGGACGTCTTTCAGACAGGAGACCTATACTACCGGACAGGCGATGCGCTACGACGAGATGCGGACGGTAGATGGTTTTTCCTTGACCGGCTGGGCGACACTTTCCGCTGGAAGTCGGAGAACGTCTCGACTGCTGAAGTGGCCGAAGTGCTTGGCCGCTTTCCCGGTATCGTCGAAGCCAACGTGTATGGTGTTGAGATACCTAACCATGATGGACGAGCTGGTTGCGCGGCGATCTTCATCCAGCCCGCAGACCCAGAACACTTCGATTGGACGGGGTTACTGGCACATGCAAGGAAACTATTGCCCCGGTATGCTGTGCCGGTGTTCTTGAGAGTGGTAAGGCAGCAGCAGGCCTCCCACAACAACAAGCAGCTCAAGGTACCTTTGCGGAAAGAAGGTGTGGATCCGAAGAAGGTCAGAGAGGGAGATGCTGGGAGCGAAGATATTTTGATGTGGGTCAGGCCGGGCTCCGACCGTTACGAGCCATTCACAGAGACCGAGTGGGAGACTCTGGGCGCTGGCAAGGCGAGGCTATGAGAGGCTGCGGAGATCGAGGACGGCGTAGTTGATCTGTGTATCCTGTATCGTCGGCTTCGCGTGAGCAATATGTACGTAGTTACACCGTCATTGGCGCCGGAGAAGGGCCGAAGCGCTCAGCGGTTGCAAGCGCACTTCACCTCATCCTCGATCGGCATTCATGCTCCCAAGAAGGCAGTCACGGTAAAGCTTAAAACAAGGCAATTCACCTCAACAATGTCGAGCGAACACTGCTGCGTCCAGACCACCCTATCGACCGCCGCGGAAGGCCATTCCACAAGACCGAAAGGGTACCAAGGAACCATCTGAATCCCCGCATTTCGGGAAGTCGGGAGCGCAAGTGCTAGCTCAAAGGAGCATCATCGCCTGTGGATCAAGCATTTGCTGTCCGGCTTGCATCGTTTGCTCGCTTGCTCCTCCTCGTGCTCAACCATTGCAGCTCTATATGCCTTAGCTGCAGGCCTACCTCAATCGCTGCCTCGCCCCCCACTTCTCCCTCTCTTATCACCTTATCAAGCTGGCAAGCCGTCCGCACCGCTCCCTCTCAGATCCGACCCTCAACGTTCCGTCCCGACGAATATCGGAAGCGTACAGCAAAGGTGACGAGCTCCCCTTCCTGGTCGAGCTGCGAAGGAAGAAGCCTCGTCTCCTCCCCTCGCCTTTCGGAGGCGTAAACCGCCCGTCAGCCACTGCGCTCGCGACCGCTGTACTACTATTCGTTGTAGTACTTGCCCAGCTCATCGTTATCCCGCGGCTGGTACCGCTGTTCCGCCAACCACCACCACCGGTACTCTCTTGTCCTGCGGTCCCGTTCAACAACACTTTCGTTCAGAGTCTGTACTGTCGAGCACCGCAACATCGTCCCGGGTCATTGTACGGCAAATCGGAGGCAAGCATGGCGCTCGCTGCAGGTGCTGAGCGGGTAGCCGCAGAGTTTGAGTATACGAAGGAAGATGTCAACCGTGGTGTGCAGGAGTTCATCCGACAGATGGACGAGGGCTTGCAGAAGCAGGGCGCGACGATGTCTCAGATTCCGACATATGTCACGGCTGTGCCTAATGGAACGGAGAAGGGCCTGTATATGGCGGTGGATCTGGGTGGGACGAACTTCCGAGTATGCAGTATTCAATTGCATGGCAACAGCACGTTTAGCTTGACGCAGAGTAAAGTCAAGATCCCGCAGCAGCTTATGGTGGCCAAGACGAGCCATGAGCTTTTTGCTTTCCTGGCAAAGCAGATCGAACTGTTCCTGAAGACGCACCACAACGATCACTATGTCACGCACGTGGAGAGACGGAAGAGCTACGTCGGCTTCACGGAGGAGCAAGTGTTCAGCCTTGGCTTCACCTTCTCCTTCCCCGTGCAACAGTCTGGCATTAACAAGGGCACACTCATCAGATGGACAAAGGGCTTCGACATCCACGATACAGTCGGCAAGGACGTCTGTGCGCTCTTGCAGAAGGAGATTGATGCGCTGCACTTACCAGTAAGGGTAGCAGCACTGGTCAACGATACCGTAGGCACCCTTATGGCTCGGTCATACACCAGCCCTGGCAAGACTGGCACGCTCCTAGGCGCCATCTTCGGCACGGGCACGAACGGTGCTTATGTGGAGAAGCTGGAGCGCATCACGAAGCTCAAGAAGATGGGCGGTGTTAGCGCGTTTGAGGGAGAAACCGGAGATATGATAATCAATACCGAATGGGGCAGCTTCGACAACAAGATGTCTGTCCTGCCCAACACGCCCTACGATCGAGCATTAGATAAGGAGAGCAATAACCCCGGCATTCAAATGTTCGAGAAACGCGTCAGCGGCATGTTTCTGGGCGAGATCCTGCGGCGTGCACTTCTAACTCTGGTTGAGGATAAGAGTGTGCCGTTGTTCAGCGACGAGCACAGCAACCAGAACGACTTCCACTCGACAACCACGATACACGAAGCGAGTCCGCTGTGGCGACAGTGGGGTCTAGATACTTCTTTCCTCTCCATCACTTCAGGAGATAACAGTGCCGGCCTGAAAGTTACGCGACAGACACTCGAGAACGATTACGAAGTCTCTGCGCCTTCTGCGGAAGATGCAGAGGCCGTCCGACTGATCGCTTCTGCCATCGGGAAGCGTGCCGCGCGGTTATCCGCTGTAGCCATAGCAGCTGTAGTGATCTCAACGGGCAAGCTCGAGAAGCCTGCAGACATAGCCACAAGCAACAACGCGAGTCTGGAAGTGAACGAAGATAACATCGTCGATATCGGGGTTGACGGGTCGTTGGTAGAGTTCTACCCTAACTTTGAGGACTACATTCGTGAAGCACTGCGGGAGATACCGCAGATTGGCCCGCAAGGCGAGAAAAGGATACGTATTGGCATCGCGAAGGACGGGTCTGGCGTTGGTGCTGCACTCATTGCGTTGGTTGCGGATCAGGGTCGGAAGAGTGAGTTTCACTGACTGGCGATCAACAACTAGTGATGGAAGCTGACTTCACTTTGGGTAGACCCGACGAGCCCCTTGGCCGCGCGAACCTTCACGGGCATGTGGGAGAACCTGCTGGGTGATCTCAACCGGAATTTGAGAATGAGGGTCTAGGTGTGAGCAGCGCAGATGTTGACACGGTTTGGATATGTGCCTAATCATTGAGAAGTGATGTTGCTGTGCTTAGCCGGTGCATAGGGTGTTCTGGCGCTTGATCTCGTGTACATATCTGTACTGTTAGCCTCTAACTGCCCGACTTCGCTAATTTGGCTTCACTTGTGGTGCGCTCACTTTGGTTCTCTTGCTTCACTGACCATCCACCTCGAGCAGTCTGCCAACCGTGTCACACGCTTACGACAACCACGACAGCTCTACATATACGTATCGGCGTCGCCCGCTTTGCCATATTATCTGGCTACCTGCACCCTGCAACACATACTACCACACGCCCTGTAACACAGTCCGAAACGGTGGTTCCGACCAACAGCACCAGCAAGCGATGGCAGAACCTCCAGAATACCTCTTCCGCGTGTGGTCAGCTTCGTCCAACGGTACGAACACCACAACCCTCTTCGCACCAGCCTCACTCGGCAAAGGAAGCCTCGTCGTGACGGTACCGAGAAACCCAAGCGTCACCGAACTACGAGTCGCCTTCAGAGGCGACGAGGTCTCAGCGAACCGCTTCGTCTTCTTCACCCCAAGTCTGCTGTTCGCCTTGCAATATGCTGCACAGCTTGCTTCCAAGGGCAGGACTGGCCTCCGCATCACCTGTCTTCGCACTGAGACGGCGCAGACGGGGTACCATAAGAAAGTCCGCTTCTGGCATGCTACCGAGCTCATCAAGATAGCGGGGATGGTGATGAGGAAGAACCGTGACGGCAAGGACATTGACTACAAAGACGAATGGCTCGCGATCGATTGCTCGGTCATTCCTGGACTCGGATCGTCAGTGGCGGATTTCGATACGCTGAAGAAGGTTGGCTTGTACGATCTCTATCCCGAGCTGGGTCAGGCGGCGCAGAGGAATAATGTGCATCTCTATTCGGCATTGCGTGATCTGCGGACGTATGCTTTCAGCACTGGACGTTGCTGGGCGTTGTGTGAGGAAGTGGTTGGGGTTGCCGGAAAGCTTGCTGCGGCGTTCGAGCCGATTCGCGGTCGATCTGACGAGCAAACAGCCCATGTGTACGCGTGGTTTCTGGCGCTGCGCAAGAGACGCGTAGACGATCTCGTGCTTGAAGGACGTTCAGCGTCTTCTGCCGGTCCAGCGCATACAGCTGAAAGCATTGTCGAGCTGGCCGAGGACGACAACGATGATGACGACAAGGCTTATGGCACCGCCGAAATCATCGATCTTACTGGGGAAGGCGAAGCTGCAGGCGATCCGGTGGCGGCTAATGGGCCACGTTCGAGTGCGCTGAGACGGACCCGCGTTTTGAGACCCAATGTGGTCGGGTCGAACGGTATGCCAGAGCTGGACCAATTCCTTGCCTTAAGCACACGGTACGGTTTGCTCATCGTTCGCGCCGCCGAAGCATCCACGGCTGCGAAGATCAGTCGCGTTACGGTTATGCGAGAGATTGATGAATGGAAAATGTACATTCGCCAAAGTCGAGCTGAGGACCGGGCAACAAGACCGAGCATCCAGCGTGGAAGTGGAGGAGGCAGATCATCCCGAGTCACGAAACCTGAGAGACGTGCAAGAAATGGCACATGGTTGCCGCGGCGGGTTGGGAAGATGGGTACGGGAGGTGCACGCGAGCGGCGTGGAGAGAGGTCCAGGCGCTGAAGGAAAGAAGGCTGATAGGCTCGAAGACTACGGTGTGTGGCTCACTACTCGTGTATAGTTAGTATACTACGCGCGCACAAGCAACAGGGCTGAAGTGGAACGCCGCCAGCTTCTGGAAGCGGAAGAGATGCTTCCCGAGATACCATTCTTGAAGCGCGACTATTTCCGCCCAGGTTTGGTTGGAACATTATTGAGTTCACTGCAGCAATACACAAGACTTTGTTCAGTAATGTTGCATTGGTGAACGTTCTGTGAATTGGTTTGCCCGAGCTGCAACTAACTCCTGAAGCTCAACGGATGCGGGTGTGTGAGTCTTCGGTAAGTGGTGTCTCTCTAGAGTATTTGCCCACGGGTCGGTGTAGATGCCCTGCGTGTCCAGAAAAACAGGTCGATGATGGAGTTAGAGAACACGAGAGCACTCTGGCCGACCGACAAACGGAGAGGGGCTACCATCTAAACGATTTGAAACTTCACGTGCATCTGAGGAGTCTGTCAGGCCTATTGGATTCGTGGCCAAGGTCACGGACAGTACAGTCGTTGACAGAACCGCTGCACCGAACAATCTCTCTCAATTACCGATCGAGGTCTGGACCGGAGCATATGGGAAGAGGTATCACGAAGACATCCGTTACGGCAGGAGACCGACGCAGGCGGTGATTCTCCTGCTCATGTCCATTAAGCTCGTAGCCGGCGTGGCACTACTGCTTCGCTGAAGCCGAAGCAGTGTCGACGCGGCTATCAGGCATCGTGCTTCCGTCTTGCAATTGTCTCGGAATGAAGGCTGTATGCTGCGGGCGTAGTGAGACCTGATCCGCCAGCGGCAGCAACCCTAGTGGTCGCGCGCATGGTTGGAATGGCGCGTTTCGGATGGCTTCTAGGCCCAGGATGGAGCATTAACGCTCCCTTGTGTCAGAGCAATTCCAGCTGGCATACGATGAGCTGACGGCGATTACGAAGGGACCGATATTTTGAAGTAGCAAGGGAAAAGGAGCGATGTGAGGTGTGTTTCGCTTTACCTTGGTGATACTGTACGTAAGTGGATCATGGGTGGGCAGAGCGTCATTTGTGATAGGCCTGCCGATGCTTGTTGCGGCTCGTCAAGTGTTGCGCGATATGCCACAAGTTTGCCCTCCTTAGTAACGTCCTGCGCGTCATGAGAGACATTCGAGATGGGTAGTTGCCATGGTAGGAAAGACGTTAGGTCAGGAGGCAGTATGCGCAATCTGTGTGATCGACTAGTGGCCTTCCCGAATGCCGCCTGTTCGTCATTGAACAATCAAGGCTCGTTAAAGCGGCGCGGGCTGCTACATCGAGTATGGGCTGAAAGTAAGCGTGGCTTCTTTCCGGCTTCCATTGCTTCGAGAAAACTCGGACCCCTGCTTGGTGCGGAGGGCTGTCGATTCGGTCACGCTCATTCAACCGCGATTTGCACGAGTGACTGCGCTCTTTCGTCCTGCTCCGCCGATCCTTTGTGCTGATCGCTCAAGCTCTCGACAGCCCTCCCTGCCCCTTCCCAGCAGGGCCGGTGAAGTCGCCGAAGATTGCCAGCAGCGTTGCCAAGGCGAGAATAGCGGATAGCGCAGAGTTGTGCCCTGAACGACGAGACATTCCAGTGACTACACCACCCCGCCCCGAGCTTGCACTTTTGCGCGACAACACTACATACCTGGCCATTATTGTGTACGTTGCCGTCGCATGAGTGCTCAGATGTCTGCGCGCTTGCCAGATTGTCTCCTTCCCCAGCGATAGTGCCTTCCGCAACATCCCAAACCCAACGTCAGCTCCTGCATGCGACCGACCGAACTCAACCTCACCTCGTTAGACATCAGCGAAGCGATCCGCAATCGGATGAGACGGAGACGACAAATATTGTGCGCTTAGACCTTGCGGTCTACATAGGACTCGAGAGCGCGGGGTCGCTCAGCAAATGGAAGAAAGAGCCGATGGGCAATGCAGTGTGGTTTACTTCTGCGCTAGCACACAGCAGGATGTGTGCGAACTCTACCATGCCCAGAGTCCGCCAGAGGCCACGATAACGGAGCAGGGTGCGGACCCCGCGCTGGAGAGTGTGTATCAAAACGTCCGCACGCTCCTGGATGAGGATCAAGGTGGCTTTCGGGAAGGTATGTACAGACTATAAGAGGCGCCGTGGTTTTACTATTTCGTATACTGATCTACCAGCAGTCTTCGTAAGCTCCGCGCCTGAGAAGTGCTTGGATAGGATCGAAAGCTACGCCAATGTGGTGCAGACTGTGGTTCTGGTAGAACTACATGATGCGCCATCTCGTGGCCCGGAGGTGTCCCAAGGCGATAAGGCGAACAGGTTTCCTTTCCTGCGTGCCCTCGCAGCGGACATCCACGGTGCCCGCTATCAGCGGCATGTCATGCCCTTTGCGCTCGTCACCCCTGCACCGACTGGAGGGGAGGCGTCTCTAGATGCAGAAGTGACAGCAAGCTGTTTGAATGCTGGCGCAATCGACATAGTGCACAGTCCGTTTGAGGATGAGGATCTTAATCGACTCGTGGGCCACGTTAAGGACATTACACGACCATCAGCAAGACTTTTGGGCACGAACATGGCACAGAACCTAGTCGACAGCATCCTTACAACAGTGCCCGCAAAAGTCGCCTCTCATCGACCTGACCAGACAGTGTCCGTTGCCCGGAAAAGGACCGTTGAGGACGCAGTTGGGCAATGGTACTTTCCAGCACAAGACTTCAGCATGGATGAGTTGACTTACGCTGCCCTGTTTATGCTCGAGCATATGCTGCAAGTACCCGAGCTCGAGCCGTACAGGATTCCGCGCTCGGAATTGATGACTTTCCTTCTGGCCACAAGGCGACAGTATAAGCATCAACGCGAAGTGCACTACCACAATTGGCGTCATGCGGTTGACGTGACGCAATCGATCTACTGCTTCTTGCTGGACATACGGCTTTGTGCGCCATTGCCATCAGATTCTAGAGAGTTCAAAGACCTGAATGCGGTAGAAAGCCTGCTAACACCCTTGGATGGCCTTATTCTCTTGATTTCGGCCATCGGTCATGACGTGGGTCACCCAGGAGTCAACAATGCCTTCCTAATAGCCTGTCATCATCCACTGGCACAGATGTACAACGACAAATCCGTGCTGGAGAACTACCACTGCGCAGCGTACTCGCAGCTACTACGGCGGCATTGGCCATCACTAGGCGATCTTACCGGCTTCCGACCGACAATGATCTCGAATATCCTCGCTACGGACATGCAGAGACACTTCGAGTACATGGGAAGCTTGGGCGAGTTGAAGAAGAAAGTCGAGAGCAGTAACACCAGTCTTAACAGTTGGTCCGACAAGGATCGAGATCATGCTCGGGAACTGATGATGGCTTTACTGATGAAAGCAGCCGACATCTCGAACGTAGCACGGCCATTCGACATTTCCTCGCGATGGGCGCGCACGCTCATGAATGAGTTCGCACGCCAAGGTGAGCTGGAAAGCGAGCTAAGCATGCCAACGTGTCTCTTTGGCGGGCCACCCAATAAGGAAGATATACTTGCCGCCGCTCAAAGTCAGAAAGGCTTCATGAGCTTATTCGGCTTTCCACTGTTTTCTGGCATGAGAGAAGTCATGCCAAGTGTGGCGTGCGCCATCGCGGAGTTGGAGAAAAACACCAAGATCTGGGAGGAGAAGATTGCTTACGAAAAGCAGCGACGAGAGACCGACGTTGAAAATGCGCCTCTGACTTTCAGTTCGGTTTCGAAGGAGGAGGTTGAGGAGGCCAAGATTAGACATCGTCGGTCAGAGCCACTTGCAGTGCCAGAGGCTATTCCTCACGTACCAACTTCACCGACCAAGCGAAAGCCAGTCTTGGACTCTGCACTCGCCTCCGAAGAACATCCCGCGCACGAGCAAAGACAACACCTGACGCTTGGCATGTCTGAAAACAGTGACTTGCGAGCTTCTTCACCAGCTCTGCCGGCACCGGCCATACCGATGAGTCAGCCCGGCGGAGCCTCACGAAGATCGAGTAAGGATGTCGCATTGGACTCGTTGCAGCATCACAGCACATTCGCTCATACTGCTCTCAGCCCTATCCGCAGCCCCGAGTCAAGAAGAGCCTCTGCAGACGCAGGCTGGTCAGTCCAACAGAGCTACCCCGGTTCAAGACGCGGAAGCAAAGACGAGAGCCTCACGGCCATCTTAGTGACGAGTCAGGGTAGCCCGCGGAAGAGCTCACCAAGCTCTCCAGGCATGACGCCGAGGCCGAGCGGCTCACCCAGCAAACAGAGTCGGAAGCGACATAGCATGTCGGCTGCGCCGGTGAGAGACAGTGCTTCGAGATATTCTGCGCCTTCTTCGAGATCGCATGCGACGAGTTCAGCAACGATGGCTACAACGACCCACCATTCGCCTTCCACGCAGCCGTCTTCGCTTACGCTTTCGGAAGATGACGCTACGCCACCCATACCGCAAAACCAGGGCCAGTCAGTGGCAGACGATCCATTTCTAGTACCTGGCAACTGGCCAAATGATCGAGATAGCACCCGATCGTCACCCTCTGACGTCTCTCTGCAACCGCCACCAGTACCGGGCGACAAAGTACGCAAGGCAGATTCACCTCGCAACGTAGCCCGGATGGCCAGTGGTGAGTCGGAGGATGCAAGCGGGCGCGGCACGCCTAGAAAGGATCGCGGTGTCCGGGAATCGCGGAGTCGGAGTCGGTTACGAGGCCTTACGAAGTTCTGGAAGAAGAAAAGAGATGTTTCTGGCGTTGAGGGCAATGGTGGTGACGGCGGCTCACCATGAGCCGCACTGTTTGCTCTCGCGCCCAAGGGTGGACGGGTTTCGCTTTGTACTGGCGCAATTGCTGCTTTGGTGGGTCTCAGCTACTTCTTCTATGCAGGCGTTTTGCCATACGGCACACGTGCGCTGCGGCGCTTTCTTCTGTTGCGATAATGATGGGAGGCAAGCATGGTTTACGCATACGAGTTCGTGATGAGGCGCGATGGCAGGCTGTGGTGGATCAGCTTCTTTGTACGATGTAACAGGGGCAGATAGAGCGAGGGGGGAGACGACTGCGATGACTGCGATAGTATTCTGCACTCTCTGAACGCAGAGTTTCCGGCAAACTATTCCTCACATTGCTGTCCACTACCTCAAACCATTCCGAATCTATTCTGCCTGCTCTTATTTGTCGGTGGGACTTCGGGTCAGCTCCACTTGCACATGCTCAACTCGACGTTCGTCCTCACCAAAGTACAGTGAACACAACATTCCAACAAGCGAGCCACCGAACTCTTCTCAAACGGCTGTAGCACAACAAATACAACATGCAGGCCGTTACCAGTCTCTTCACTGGCTCATCCGGCCCACAGTACCTTACTGGCAACAAGGCGGACATTGATGCCTTTATAGACAAGTTCGACGTACGTGAACTCAGCGATTCGCACGCGGGTAAACGAATACTCACTATCATCTACAGGTCTTCCTCTTTGATTGCGATGGTATGCTTACCCCCAGAATATCGTCCTCATGTCAGCAACCAGGTCAAACGCTGACCTGAAGAGAAGGATAGGCGTACTCTGGTCAGGCGATCACCTCTTCCCCAATGTCCCCGAAACAATCCAAATGCTGCGCGACAAGGGTAAACAACTCGTCTTTGTCACCAACAACAGCACCAAGAGTCGGGCAGACTACAAGAAGAAGTTTGACAGCATGGGCATCTCCGCCAACGAAGAGGAGGTGTTTGGGTCGAGCTACAGCGCCGCAGTATATATTTCGCGGATCCTTAAGCTCGAGCCGCCGAAGAATAAAGTCTTTGTCTTGGGTGAGAGCGGCGTGGAGCAGGAGTTGGAGAGCGAGAAAGTTCCGTATTGCGGTGGCACGGATCCGTTGTTGAGGAGGGAGATGATGCCGGAGGACTACAAGCACGTTGCGGACGGATCGTTACTGGACGACGATGTTGCGATCGTATTGACAGGACTCGATTACCATCCCAGCTACCTCAAGTATGCGCTCGGGATGGCCTATCTCCGCCGAGGCGCCAAGTTCCTCGCTACCAACATCGACTCCACGCTGCCTTCGGCCGGCACGCTGTTTCCGGGTGCTGGAGCGATCAGTGCGCCGCTGCTTCGAGCTTCCGCTCAGGAACCACTGGCGCTGGGAAAGCCGAGCCAGGCGATGATGGATGCGATTGAGGGCAAGTTCCAGTTCGATCGGAAGCAGGCGTGCATGATTGGTGATCGGCTGAATACTGACATTCAGTTCGGTATTGAGGGTGGATTGGGTGGGACACTGTGTGTGCTTACTGGTGTTAGCAAGAAGGAAGAGTTCTTAGCCAAGGGTGCAAAGGTGGTGCCGAGTGCGTATGTGGATGCGCTAGGAGATCTGTTGGGCTAGCAAAAGCAGCCTTTGCACTTTGTGCCAGCAGTGTCAGCAATCCTTGCGTGCGAAGTGTGAACCCACACCTTACGACACGAACTGCATACGAACATTCAGCATCACGTGTGCACAATGAGCAGGAGCGAGTGACATAGGCTGATACGGCAGCACTGCGCACAATCAACGACACTTTAGATACCAAGAAGATGACCGATATATTATTATACATACTAAAACATCGCCTGGAACATGCCTTTCCACCAGACGGTCAAGCTCACCGCACCAGATGATGTCTGCATTGGCCCCTTCATCGTAGCCACTCAGGATACCTTACAAGATACTGTTCGTAATCGAGAAGTACTGGCACTCATTGTTCCATCCGAACTTCTTCGTGCCAGCCGCACCAGTGGCATCACTATTTGCGCACACATTGTAGAACTGAGTCTGAAGACACGTTAGCAAATGGTCGTTACCACAGGGAGAGATGGAGAGGAAAAAATACTTACCAAGCACCAATACTGCGGCACCCATTGCGCGGGACTGCAGTTGCCAGAGATCTGTACGTGCGAGTCACCGTAGCTGGTGCCCTTCTGCGCGTAGTCAGAGGGCACCATGATGCCGGTGTTGCTGCAGAAGTTCTGGATGGCTTTGACGATGTCCCCACCGCCGTGCTTGGCGGCGCAAGCAGCCTGGTCATCGGCAATGGCGAGGCCGGCGAAACCGAGAGCGATGGTGTAGAAGAAGGCCTTCATGTTGAGGGTAGTCGTCGTGCGATGATGGTAGAGTGTGGTTTGGGACGTGGTGTTTGCTTGTCAGTTATGATATAGTAACACAATATGCCATCTCACATATCGTGGACCAGCCTCGAGATATGCACGGGCTGCTGGCTTTGCACAAAGAGGCAAGGCGAACAATACTAAGCTGCGTCGTTTAGCGTGACGTGCAGTGAACAAGGTCGTTTCTGGAGAACAATGCAGACAAAGCCTCGGGTTGCAGGCACGTGACATCCCATCTCGGGGACTAGGAAGACGCAGATACCGGCTTAGTTGGTAGACTGGTCCTCTTATCGGGTGTAGATGAACCGCTGGGCAATGTTGCATAACGTGAAAGAGACCTGGTTACTCTGCTCCCGTATGAGGCTCGGGCTTAACGCCAGCACGCCTTCTCCAGATAGCACTGCCGCCACCGACCAAGGCGACAGCGACTAGTAATATGCCGTTGAAGATCGCAAGCAAGAAGAACGGCGCGCCTGGCGTCCAGCTATCGAAAAGCGCTCCGCCGAGCTTCGTCAACAGCAGGATGCCAGCTCCGCCTGCGAAGCTGTACACTCCAGCTATGCTGCCTTTGAGATTCGACCGATCCAGCCTTTGCGTTTCTTTTGTCGTCGCCCGTGGGAGCAGCGGAGCAGTCTCTTCGCCGTTCACAGCACCAACATCACCAGGTCTTAGCGTGCCTGCTGTGGGTGGACGCTTTTGATCGGCCGACTTAGCGGGTGCACTTTCGGTTTCCTTGTTAACTCCACGGCTCAGCAGACCCAGGGAGCATACGATGGCGCCGATCTGGCTAATGCCAATCATGATGACAGCAAGGAAGGCCCACTGTCCGCCATCACCGTGAAAGGCGTCCGGGTTGCGTAAGAAGCCGAAGGCGATGTATCCGCCTATGCCGATTGCGGCCGCGCCCATTAAAGGCCACTCGTTACGGCCTTTGATGACCTTGCCACCTAGCCAGCCGAACAGAGGAGCACAAATCAACGCAGCAGTCTCGGCGACACCTGCCAGTGCTGACGCCAAGGTATATGCGCGTTTGCAGTGCTCTTTGATGTCGGTTATGTCATGCGGATCAGAATTACACAAGCCGCTACGCTTGAAATACGCGTTGACGAAAACGGGGATGAAAAGACTTATAGCAACTGACGAGGCACGAGCGACAAAACCTCCCATATAGCCGAGGCCGATAGCCGGGTCGGTGAAGCCTAGCTTGACTGCCTCCGTCACTAAACGAAGGTATGATGGAGCTGGTGTAAGTGTGGTGTGCAGGTGACCTTGAGCATCCGTCTTCGTGTCCTCTTCGTAAGGTGTTCGCCACAAGGCTGAGAAACTCTTGTCCTCCTCGCCGGGCAGGTGTCGAAGTCCGAAGTAGATGAAGATGGCAACGCAGAATGCTACGGCTCCGACAATGTAGAAGGTGGTTTGGACGCTTTGAGCACGGGTTTGCCCTTCGTTCTGGAAGTGTGCTGGCAAAGGTAGGAATGCGACAAGGGCTAGAAGTGCACCGGCTCCGGTGAAGAAGCCCACGAAGCCAGCCAGCTGCGAGGTGCCTGCTATGGTAGTGGTTGAGTCGTCCCTTGCTTGTCCGTCTTCGTTCTCGCTGTCGGCGTTCTGCGTACGGCCACTTGAATCAGAAGTCCAGCGATTCTGGGTAATGGTAAGCTCGCTGCTCACGCTCGGCGAAGTTGCGTGTCCAATGCTGCCGTTTCTGCCTGGCCGCTCCCCGTCCCGCAGTCGAGCAGCATGTCCATTTGCCGCCCCTTGAGCTTGCTGGCTCTCGGCACCATCTTCTGCCTTTGGTGGTATTCGTTTGGCCACCATAGCCGGCAGACACGCCGTGACCATGGTCGCTGTCGCAGCGCCACCAAGGCTGAACCCGAGCCTTCCCAGGAGCAATTCAGGGTAGACATTGGTGCTCTGTACCAAGCATATGAGGCTTATGCCTACGATGCAGTAGCCGATCACGGCTACCGTACGCACGCCTATCCGGTCGCTGAGAAGTCCCCATAACGGACACGCAACAAGTGCCAGTAGTTCGTCTGCAAATCCCAGTGTGCCTACAGCGTCACCCTCATGTTTGTCTTGCCCAATAACGTCGGTTATCACGAACGAAATGCTGCTGTTGAGGAAGACGAGGAATGTAATCGAGAAGAGGGCGACGCCAAGAAGGTATGTCGTCGCTTGTAGGGACGTTGCTGTGATCTGTGGGAACAGACGAGCCATGCTTGATCGAGCACGTTCAACAGAGGAATATAGCTCTGGCTAGAATGATGTCCAGAGAGTCGTTCCTGGGTCCAGACTGTCGTCCGCGATCCTACCCTTCCGTATACCGGCTCAACTCCTGGCACTGTGCTTCCCTCTCATGACTGTGGAGAATTGATACATGCAATTCTGATTCGTAGCGTTTGGAAGGCTGTGTGTGGGAAGCAAAGGTGTATATCCCTCGTATGTATACTATGCCACGACCTAGTCAGCCTACAGTCACATGCCCGAGGCTCAGTTTGGGAGCTTTGACCAAGCTACTGCGTCTACATCATAAGGGGATCGTGACGGGACGATAACTCTACAGCAAATATGCAAGTGTACCACATCACTGGAGCACATTCTAGTGGGGAATATTACAGCACAGCATAGCTACATCGTCGTAGGTGATGCCCAGCTTAGATCGACGTGATGGACCGTGCCGCAGTTACAGAGTCATGTCATGAGACTTCCTTGCAGCTTCAACTGCTGAGACTGGAACCGTGTGGTTGATAAAAGCACGCGACTCATGCTTAAATGTGTAGATGCGCACCGGCTCGATAAGCAATGCCAGGACCCTACAGGGGTTACAGTTGAGCTTCAAACAGCTTGGCCTATATGAGACAACTAATTGTGGTGTCCGAGCACTCCGTTCTCAAGACCACGTCAGCATTGAACTCTCCCTACCCGCTAATTCCCACCTAGAACCTCCTTGTGCTGGCACCCAAAACGAGCCACACCCTTCCCATGAGCTGCGCCCATGAGTGCAGCGAACTCATCATCGTCCGGCAGCCACGTTCTGTCTGGCCACTCACCAGTCTCGAAGCCTGCGGCTTGCTCAATGATGCCGATAGTCGCTGTCGTTACAATGTTCAGCGGCAGGATGTACCTCAATTGACTGGTCAGGTTCGGAGCACTAAGCTCTTGCCAGGTTAGCCAGACGACATCGCACCAGTGCTCAACAGCCGGAGTATGGTAGTCGGATGGTTGTCTCTCTCGCTGACCCGGGCTCATGCTATCCAGGCTAACGATAACACCAGCCTCAGGGTTATACAGGCAGTGAAACCTCGCGGGCGCAAAGTCGAAGCCTTATCGTCGACTGCAACCTCCTCCATGTTGTGGAATAACCACCTCACCCTGGACCAGCTCAGGTTGGACGGATTCTGGGCCAGACCTAAACCTTTGAAAATAGGCAAGGCGATGCTCTCTAGGCAGTTGCAGTCAATAGGCTATCCCGCTGCCAGCCCAAATTTGGTATTTCGACGTATGAGATGTGGTTGGTCTGCTCGGAAGGAGTTAGCTCCTGTGTGGCTACCGCGAAACAGCTGATCATTCGGCGCCCCTCGACGACGCATCTATCCAAAGCCGTGCGTTTGTTATCAGTCCGAGCTTCATACTCGTGGGAATAGTCGGTTTGGGGGCCTATTGTCACCTGGATCGAGCGCGGTGACTGCGCAGAAGTAGGCGTACCCTTATCCAATTCGATTGCTGCGAGTCAGCGCTCTTCGAAGACGCTGCGCTGCGTGTAAGATCACAAGGATTCAGTGACAGGATCCGCACTGCCTAGCACATGGGCACAAATACATACATCGACTGAAAGGCGAGCCAGCTTGCGTTTGTTTGTGCGCAAGACCTGCAAACTGTTTCTGAATGTCTTTATCCTTGGAGCCACGCTAGGCTCCATGAATGCAACGACAATAGGCTCTGGCACGGAATACCTCACTTCCAAAGGATAGCGCGCTTGCTGCAGCGCATGTGTGCTGCACAAGATCGTGACCCAACGATTGAGGTCGATTGTCGTTGTGCGATCAATGCTGACGTGTTAGCTCCACGCTGCTTTCACGCTGCCTCCAGAAGGTGCCCTGCGCATAACCAGATATGTGCATAGCATACTGAGCTGGGAGGAAGTTGAAGATCAGGTGCTTTCGTTTCGTGGCCGTTTGCTACCAGCCCAGACCGTTCGAATCATGCGCGTTTATTGCAAAGCCCTGCAGAGGACGGCTGCCTATAGTTTGGAGGCCGCGTCCCGGCTCAAGCTCTGCAAGGTTCTTGCTAGACCTTCTGGCTGGTCAGGAGATTTTGGCTACAAGTGGAAGTGTGGGCTGGCCGCTGTGTGGTTTGCTGCTGGAAGACGGGTTGGTTGCGACGATTTCTGAAATACTTCTCCGTTGAGAATCCTGGTCAGGCATATCCTGTGTGGCAGACAGCACCACTTGGCAATCGCATGTTCTCTGCGCAGTGTCGGGCACATATTGAACACACATACACCCGTAGATACTACGCAACAATGGTTGTCTTGGTGAATGCTTAACATTCAGAAGCATTCCTCCTGGACATACTCACCGCGCTGCCAATATCGTTTGCGGAGGCCTAGTCTGAGTCAGAGCAAGGATGTATTCATAGTCGGCTCCCCGAAATCATAATAGACTGTTGAGCAGCTATACGTCACGTCACGAGCGTTATTCAAAGGGCGGTACGGACTAGAAGGTTAGCAGCGGAGGAAGATCGTCTTGAGCCGAAGGTTCGATCGCACATATTCCCGTTGCCCGACCCCACTCTCTAGATCTCAGGATCTGGAGGGTCGTCATGGCAAAGCAATGCCTAGGTTAACCACTAGCGAAGATCCAGTGGAAAGTGTACGATGTAAGTGTCATTCTGTCTTGCTCTGTCTTTGCACTCTTGTCGTGTAAGCCTCTGAGTACCATCTGTTCCCTTTCTTGCCTATCTTCCTAGCATTGGTTTGAGAAGTGACAACAAGGCACGCGAGCAGCAAGGATTGGAAGTACTGGACAAGATGGTAGTCCGCAATGTCGACGGCGTGGGCGACCATGACCTCAACTGCCTCTCTATCGAGGAACTCGAACGCCACGCGTACAACATGATGGACAAGCAAACCCGTGACTACTACAACGAAGGCGCCGACTCCGGCTCAACCCTTCGCGAGAACATCGAAGCGTACCGCAAATACCGGATCCGACCTCGCGTGCTGCGTGATGTATCGAAGATAAATACCGAGGTCAAGCTCTTCGGGCATACGAATACCGCACCTATCGGTGTGGCACCAACAGCTATGCAAAGACTTGCACACTCCGACGGTGAGCTTGGGACTGCCAGAGCGTGCAGGAACATGGGTATAGCGATGGGCTTGAGCAGCTTCGCAACGACGACGCTGGAAGATGTGGCGGCGGAGTGCGCCGGCGAGGTCCCGAATGTGCTGCAGCTGTACCTGTTCGAAGAGCGAGAGCACAGCAAGAAGTTGATTGCTAGGGCGAAGAAGGCAGGTTTCAAAGCCGTCTTCCTGACCGTCGACACACCCTTTCTTGGCCGCCGGAATCTCGAGATCCGTAACCAATTCAAACTCCCACCGCACTTCAAGATCGCCAACTTCGCAGAGGAAGAAGAGCCAGCTTTAGCAGACGAGACCACCCCCAACGCGCCCAACCAATCGCGAACAAGGCAGAAAGCGAAGTCATCCTCAAAGCCTGGTTACCACGATGGCGAAAAGCGCGTCTACCCAACCGGACCCATTACTTTCCACAGTCACGCTGCTAATCCAACCCTCTGCTGGGAGAAGGACATCGAATGGCTGAAAGAAGAATGCTGTCCTGAGATGGAGGTCTGGGTCAAAGGCATCGCGACGGCCGAAGACGCGCTCCTAGCGGTGCACCACAACGTGCGAGGCATAGTCGTCTCGAACCATGGTGGCAGACAGCTCAATGGTGCTCTTGCTACGCTTGACGCGCTGCCTGAAGTTGTGGAGGCGGTTCAGGGCAAGATACCCGTGCACGTGGATGGTGGGATACGGCACGGAACGGATGTCTTCAAAGCGCTGGCACTGGGAGCGGACTTTGTCTGGGTCGGCCGGCCGGCGCTGTGGGGTCTGGCGTACAAGGGACAGGCTGGGGTAGAGCTGATGTTGAAGTTGATTAGCGATGAGTTCAAGCTGTGTATGGGACTTGCGGGTGTCATTAAAGTGGAGGATATCAGCAAGGATTATCTTGTCAAGGTGAGAGCTGGTCCGCACACTGTGGGCGGACGGAAGCTAACGATCATTAGGTCGACAGAAGCGGTTTCGTGTCCCGGCTATAGTATGGCTGCTACGCAAAGAACGCTCTCTTCCGCACCGCTTGTCCCAGTTCACCGTTGCTACCGCCAGGTGGCCGTCCCCGTTTCCGCTTTGCGCTATTTGCTGGCATCAGGCTGAGAACCTTCCTTTCCGGTTGCTCGTCTCTTTCGTTAGTTGTTGACACAATTTCTTTGATCGTCTGTCGTGAAAGACAGCCGTCAATGTGCTCATTAAATGTTCGCTCATCAGCCGTTTGCGGTGCTGCGCAGATGGGGCAGTTCCACTGTTCGATTGGCGGCCTTTCCTTCTTGGCTTCTCGCTCCGCCTGAGCAGCTTCTTCCTCAAGGATCGAGCGCCATGCGAAGCCGTTGCCATAGCGACGATAGTCAGAGGGAGCGCCATCGGGCTCATACTTGGGCTTCTCATCTTCCTCTTCACGACTAGTTTTGCTTTGGTGAGTCTGTGACAGCGTCTCGAGCTCCTCCATTTCTTCCTGCTGCTCCTGTCTCGCTTGGTCTTCGAACTCCTCATCAGGCCACTTCTGCCACCCGTCATCGTCCACTTCCACTTTAGGTAGCACTGAGCCCTGTGCCGTCTCCGCCGAGTCCCGCGAGGGCTGCCTCGCCCGACCGAAGAAGTCCACATCGCCCTTCTTCATATTGACCAGATGCGTACACCGCAAACCCATGAGTCGCAGCTTCATTCCCGGCATTTCCTTTTCCACCTTCTGCAGCATAGGCAGGCTGAAGTGGTACAGATCGTCTGCGGTATAGACGGCCTTCGGTGGTTGCACTTGCCTGGAGAAGACTTCATACGTATGCAGCTTGAGCTTCAGAACAAGCGTGCGGCCTTTGAACTCGGTGCGCTTGAGATCTTTCTCCAGCTCCTCGGCAGTCCAGCGGAGTTTGTCTCGCAGCTCCTTCGGATCGGAGATATCGTGGAAGGTGCTTTCCGTACCGACGCTTTTGCGCTCATACTCCTCGACGGGCCTCACGTCCGTTCGACCTAGACCTAGGTAGACCGACATCAAGAACTCGAAAGCCTTGTCGCCAAACAGCCTACTAAGGTAATGTCGCTGTTCGTAGATATCGCCGCATGTCTTGATACCGATGGCATCCAGCTCACGCTCGAACACCCGGCCGATGCCGTTCACTTTGCGAGTCGGCAGGTCGCGCATGAAGATCAAAATGCTCGTGCGCTCGGATGGCAGCCTGTATTGTCCATTTGGCTTGTTCTTGTTGCTGCATATTTTGGCAAGCTTCGCGTTAGCTGCGATTCCAGCAGATATGGTGATCTTGGCATGCTCGAACACTTGCGCCCGCATCTGCGCGACGGCTTCTTCGGGATCCATGTCATGGTCTTGGCAGTACTGAGTGATGTTCAGGTACGCCTCGTCGATGCTGGCAGACTCGAAGCGCGGATCGTATTGCTCCAGCACCGCCCGAACTTCCTTCGCCTTCGCTGTGTACTTCTCGAAGTTGAGCGGCAGGTGGATGAGTTCCGGGCATAGCTTGTCCGCCACGAACCCAGCCATGCCACTTCGACAGCCGTACTTCCTGGCGATATAGTTGCATGTCGTGAGCACGCCCACGCCAACGGCAAATGGCACTTCCTTCAGCTCTGGCCGATCCAACTCCTCCACTGCAGCGTAAAAAGCATCGCAGTCCACGTGTACGACCACTTGACTCAGATCACGGCCATACTCGAATTCGGCAATGTAGTCATCTGCGCGCTTCATCTCATTCTTGAGGCCACCTTGTGCCTCAATACGCTGCAACTCGCGCTTCTTGGCCAAGATGCGGTTGATCTTAATTGTGAGACTCTTGTCTTTGTGCTCCTCATTATTGAAGTATTTGCTACCCTTTGAAGCATTGTAGATGATCTCAGAGACCCTTTTCTGGTCCACTCCATCTTGGCCAGACTTTGTCAATGATGGTCCGAGTAGATGGTATTTCAGCGTATGGTGTTGGCTGGCTGCCGGCGCACAGCCTGTGGCGCCAACGGCGTTCTGGGCTTCATCCGCCAGATCATCGTTATGGCGAGGCATCCGTATCCTTCATCATCCTTCCCTCTAGCCTGTTTTAAATCCTAGGACTTGTGCTTGGGTGCTTTTCTGACGTGGAGTAATTGATGTGGTGACGCGACCTTGAATACGCGATTCGGAGCGGAATTAACCGAAGGCTTCACGTCCACCTCACGCATTTGAAGGAGCGGCTTCCTTCTCCTACACTGCCTGTACATTGATTTCAGCCTCCACTGTTTCCGTACGTTCGCGGGCCTTCATACGGTTCTGCCATCTGGAATACATGACGAAGTAAGCGCGCATACCGTCTGCTAGAGTACGTGACAATGATCATATACTATCTCGACATGCCGCAGCCTACATCAGTGCGGCAGCTTGTCCTCATCAGGCAGTCCACCACTCATGTTAACCTCCCGCCGCTTCCGCCTACCCGTCTGGCCTGCTACGGAGCCCTTTCGCTTCCTCCCCGCGGACCGTGACTTCCCCCTCTCACTGTCGAAGAAAGATCCCAATTCCTTCATAGCCTCCTCCACTTCGACATCGGGTACGGGCGGCAATGCCCAAGGCGACTCATAGACGTCTATTGACGACTCCGGCGTTGCTGCTGACGTGCGACTGAAGTAATTCACGGCGCTGGTTGCAGCTCCCTTGACCATGTCGAGAATGCCAGAGGTTCTGCGGCCGACGTTCTTCATCTCATCATCGTCTGCTGAAAGTTAGCTATGCACAGCATTATCATGGCTGATAGCTCACCTCTAGCAAGATCTTCTTCGATTTGCCGACTCATCTCCCGCGCAACAAAAGGTGTTTCGCCGAAAGGGAACAGATTTGGCATGCGCCTGTGCCACACTTCTGTCGCAGGCATCGTTTCGAAGAAAGGATTCTTCCTGTTCGTCGGCTTACCATTCGGTCCTGGGACCATGCGCGGGTTAGCGAACATAACCACGGGACCGCGCCCGGGCGCGGAAGGGCCCCTCGCAGGCTCCACGACAGTCTCTGGTTCGTTCGGAAAGGTGGTCGCCACACGCGGCCGGGCGGGCTTCTCCCGTGCCTGCTTTGGCTTCGCGCTTCCCCTATTTGGTGGTACTGGAGGTTCCGGCGCCTTCTGCCTTGTAGGAGAGTGCCGAGCTGGTGAGAAAGGTGTGTTACCGCCATCCGCCTCAATGGGACGAGCGTTCTCTGGTCCGTTGGGCTTTCGGGGCGATTCGCTTTTCTCACGCTTGCGTTCACCCGGCAGCATGACCATGTCGTGCTCCGTGCCAGCCATGCGCTGTTCTCGCGCGGTCGCAATGTGGCGAAGAGCCTGCTGGAGCTGCGTAGGCGTGCTCCTGGTCGAAGGTGCAGTCTGCGACGTACTGCGTACAGGTGAGTTCGATTGTAGTTCGTATGAGCCGAGCTGCTCTTTGCTTCCGCGCAGCCACGGAGCTGGACTCTTAGAAAGACGCCGCAATGGACTCCTGCTTTCTGTGTTGCTGAGCCACAGAGGCTCTGCTGGGGTACCCCATCTGTCGGACACCTGCTTCATGCGGCCTGTCTGCCCAAACAAGCTCTCGAAAGGACTTCTTGTCGCGCTTTCTGCTGGCCCCGGCGTAAACTCATATGTCGGACTAGGCTGCAGCATTCCGTGCTCCTGCGTATCTTCATATCTCGGACTAGGCTGCAGCGTTCCCCGGATGTGCTCAAGATCCCCAAGATCCAGGGTGCGCGGTTCCTTCCGACCTGGAGATTTCCTCGCTCGCTTACCCGGACTAGCTAATCGGCCGCTTGTCGCTCGACCTGGAAGCCCACTACCTGTGCGGCTACGTGACGGACTCTTCGAGGCACTGCGAACCTTGCTGCCGCTCCGAGAGCTTTTCTTGCGTGGAGACTGCCCGCTCTCATCTTCAATCGATCGTGGTATGTAGATGTGCTCATTGGCCTGCTCGCTCTCATCTTCAACAGATCGAGGTACGTAAATGTCCTCCCTTGCCTGCTCGCTCTCATCTTCAATAGATCGAGGTATGTAGGTGTCCTCCTTTGCCTGCTCGCTCTCACCTTCAATAAATTGAGGTGCGTAAGTGTCGTCTTTTGACTGCTCTAGAGATAGCGGCGGAACAGCTGGCTGCTCTTGTTTCGCGGCCTTTTCATCATCTTTGCGCTTGCTAGCAGTCCTCGTCTTCCTTGCAGGGGACGCTTTCTTCACAATCGTACGCTTCGGCGAGCCTGACATTGCCTTCGCGGCTGCCTTTGGGGCGATGCTTTCCTTCGGTGACGAAGTCCGGCCCTTCATCATCGAGATCTGCTCTGATAACTTGTTGGGGATCGACAACTCGGCATGGGTAGCTGCCGTTGCTGTTTTCTTCGCTGAGTGCGTCTCCGTCGCGGCAGTGGACCTTGCGGACTTTGGCCCTGGCTTCGTTGCTGCCTTCGTTGCTGCCTTCGTTGCTGCCTTCGTAGCTGGCTTCGAGGTATTGGCGCGTGATGAGGCTTTGCTGGGCGATGGTGACTTAGATAGTGCGCCGGCAGCTTTGCTCCTTTTCGCCGACGCGAACCCTCCCGCGGCAGCAGCTGTGATTGGGCTTGGTGTCGCTCTCGTCGCTGACTTTGAAGCTCTGGCTGGCTTTGGTACTGGGGTTACCTTCTTCGGCGGCGGCGGCTTACCCGTTTCGGCGGGCGTCTTCTTCGTCATTACACCGGGAGACGGCGATTTCGAGCGGCCTGTAGCGGCGTCGCTCTTCTTCGGCGACGGCGTGCCTTTCCTGGGCGATCGGCGTAGGGCACTCGTCCAAGCGCCAGGTTTTGCAGTGACTTTCGTTGGACTCGCTTTCTTCTTCGGGCCCATGGTGCTATGATGTCAGTCCTGCAATGTGCAGGCTACTGGAGAAGAAGGTAAGACTTTGGTTTGAACAAAGACATGTTGCGAACGCACGAACGGCGGTGGTTAAGAGGTGGAAGTGTAAACAAACGAAGGGATGCTGTTGCGAAGTGCAATTTCTGCAAAGGAATGCTGCATATGCATCCCTCTCACACACACAAACTCACCTGCTTATGGCTCGATGGGCCACTCGCGCAGCTTGCGGCATAAACATTCTGGCATATATCGCGTCGTGGAACAGCTGTGTGGTGGAAATAACGTACGTTCAGTCGTCCTCGTCATCTACTGCCTGCTTTCGTCGCCCTTGTCGAGCTTTGCGAGGCGCCGTCGTTCTCTTCTTAGCCTTCTGCGGCGCATCCTCTTCCTGACTCATGTCTTCATCAGATACACCTGTCGCTGCGGGTGCGCTTCGTTTCGTAGCTTTGCGCTTCGCCTTCGTGCCTGCCCGGCCGTTGACCGCAGCCTCGCCGTTCTCAGGAAGATCCACAGCGCTCATATCCACAACTGGCGCTCCACCATCCTCTTCACCATCAGCCCGACTTAGTGTTCTCTGAATCTTAGCCCTCTCCGCCATCTTGCCCAAAGCCTTGCCCATACGCTTACTACCGTCCACACGCTTCCGCGGCGCAAATGCCTCGCCTTTGTTATTAGTGCCGGCAGCGCCAATACCGACGCCACCGTCGAAGAAAGCAGTGATGTTCGCTTGCGTGCCCTCATCCGCACGTCTGTTCATGTCTCGTATGACCGGCACAAGAACTTCATCGGTCCGTTCCTGCGACCAGCCTATGGTAGCCATCAGGAACGAGCGCAACGCATCTAGATCCGGCACACCCCACTGGAAGGGTTGAGGGTCTGAGTCCACCTCCGGTGTCTCATAAGCGACGTCGACACGTTTGTCGGGGAAGGCAGGTGGCAAGAAAAGCTTTGTGGCGTTCTTGCGGAACTTCTTGCGGAAAGCGTTGTCCTTGTCAACATCCTTTGGGATAATGTTCATCTGTACGCCATTCCACCAGTCTTTGAAGTCTGACAGGCTCACAAACTCGCCTAGTATCTCGAGCGCTGTGACAGGTCCGACGCTGGGTAGGCCTTCTGTATAGTCGCTGCCTAGCAAGTGGGCGACCGCTATGAGCTTCTGGCGTGTGAGATCGAACTCCTTCTCTAGGTCGGATGATAAGTAGCATTCCACGAACTTGGCCTGGTTGAACATATTCTTGTAGATCCGCGTGCCGCCAAACAAGAAGCAATCGCTGTCGTCGGTGACGATACCATCGACCAGACCAAGCCTAACAAGTTCCGCGCACTGCGCTTCTGCTTCCATAGGTGCGGTAACGTATGGCAGGCCGAATAGTCTCAGCAGTTGCTGGCACTCCGTGACCATGATGTGAGTCACTTCGTCAGCGTCTCTGCGGTCCTTCTTTTGCTGGTTACGAAGCTGCTTAAGCTCTTTCTCATATTCGGCAATGTTCTCTGCCGCGCTTTTGTTGTTCAGCGTAGAAGCGAAGCGAGCGTGCTCTTCGGCTTCTTGCGCGAGAGCTGCTAACATAGCCTCTTCCTCCGGGTCGGAGAAGTCATCGAAGTCTTCGTCGCCTTCGGGGACAGATTGTTGGGCTACCAGGCCAGAGGCGGGTACAGGGCCAGCGTCTGCGTCGTCTACTTCCTCTGCCTCGATAGCTGGATCGGTTGCCCGTCTTTGACTCTTTGCGGACATATCCACATCCTCAAAGTCTGGCGAAGGTGACTTCGCGGGATGCCGTTCATCTGTTGAGCTTTGGAATTGTACTGGTGGTAGCGCTGGAGGCTGAGCTGGGACACGCTCGCCACCAGCGGGTTCGGCGTCGGCAGGTTGCGGCCTCGTTGCAGGACGGTCTTCACGATCACTGTCGCTCCACTCGAGTGTCTCCTCCTCATAAGGTGTCTCGGCGACTGCCCGCTTATCTGGTGCAGTAGGCTCGGACGGTCGTGTAGGCTCTAGGTCTTCATCCCCACTGTCATCCTCTTCTGCAAACGGTCCTCCTCCCGGAGCTTGCTTTGCCATTGGCCTCGCCTGGTCCGGTATCTCGCTGACGGGTGGCTCAACTCTCACCGCATCAGCCATGTCACCCATCCTCAATGCATCGTCTACAGGCTTCCCCGTCAGCTCTTCAGCGATCTGAGCTCCGCCTTGGCGTCTCTCGGTATCATCTCTACCAGTCTCGTCAGCCTCAAGGTCAATAACCTGTCCGTGCTTGAAGCCCTTCGGTCGCTCATCCTCCGCATCAACATCAATCACCTCGCCCGTCTCCTGCCTCCGCAGCGTAGCATCATCTCGGCTTTGGAACCGGAACTGCTTATTGAACTCTTTCGCGCGCTCCCTGTCCTCCCGCTCAAGCTCACTCTGCTTCTGTAGCCCATCATCCAAATTCCCGGAGAACCAAGGCGGCAGCGGTTCCACCTTCTTCGCTTCTCTTTCAGCCTCCGCAGCCTTGTCGAACCCTGCCTTCTCGAAGCCACCCGCGGCTTCCTCGGTACGCTGCTGCATCTTCTTTTTGCCCAGCAAGCTGCTGCCTAGATCGAGCGATTCAAAGGGTAGCGGCCCACTGAAGCCTGTTTTCTTCGCTGGTGCTTCCGTCCCGTTCGCGGACTTGGGTAGAGCAGCTCTTGACGCCTGAGCAATCTGCCGCTTCGGCGGCGGAGAGGCCTTTCGCTTGCCACGCCGTGATTCCGCCAGTGCGGCTTGGAGATCCATACTGTCTTCTGCCTCGCTCCCATCGTCATTATCAGGCTTCGGTACTGGCACGCCGAAGCTGGTGATCTCGTGACTCTCTGGCGCGACACCATGCGCACGCTTGTTGAGAATGTTTGCAATCGCTCTGGCGCTGCCCTTGGGCACTGGTCTTGCTTCTTCGGCTGCGCGCTGCTTGAAGGCTTCATACCAGTCCTCGCGAGCTTTTGCATCGTCGTCCGTATTGCCATCAGCTTGCGAGCCATCTTGCTCCTGTTCCATCGACATGGCGATGGCGCGGCGGAGCTCTTCGTCCTCTTCTACTTCGGCGCTTTCGTCTGGAGCTTCACCGAACAGTTCAGCATTGCCGTCAACCTCCTCCCAGCTCTCCTCGCCTTCATCGACGGGTACATCAGCTACAAAGAGCGAGTCTGGGTCTTCCGTTGGAACAGGACGATCCGCTCTCCGCTTATTCGTGCGCTGTCGTGACTCGTGGGACGCTTGCCTCTGCTTTGCTCGAGCGCTATCATCTTCACTGTCGAGCTTTCTACGCTTCGGAAGTCTGTTCAGCCCCTCAATAGGCACATCCTCAAAGCCTTCCTCTTCACTATCGCTGCTCTCCGTCTTCGCCACCGGGACCGGCTTATCAAGGTCAATCGCAGTCTCCTGCTTCCTACCCTCGTCGCTAATCACACCAAGAGCCCAACCACCTTCAACACCGTCGTTCTTCACAAGCACATACTCTCGTGCCTTCTCGCCAGCAACACGGGTGCTGCCGCTTTGGTACCGTATGTCGCCGTCGTTGATGTTCATCAAGCGCGTCGTAAGCTCATTACGTTCCTTGACCCGCTCGATTTGAAACTTCGAGAAAGCCATCCGGTCCGGGAACATGGAGTCGAGCTGCTCCTTGCTGTGACCCATACGCAGCCGCGACCGTAAGCGCGCTGCGTTGAGGATGTTGTAGCGGTCTGACGCCGGCAAAGACGTGAAGAAAGGGCTGTCATAGTCAATCTTGGAGAAGTCGTACACGTTGATATCCTCACCGCTCTCGAACTGCTTCGCATACGCTTCGAGATCGGCCAGGCTCATCACTCTTGGATCGTTCGGTCCGCCCATCTCGTTCATACTGACATCAAGTTCTGGTAGGTGGTATGCATCTCTCTTCCTGAACTTGCGGTTCTGCTGCCTCTCCTGCGCACTCATCTGGATCTCGTCCACATACACCAAGCCTTCGTCGGGCACTTCATCCTCTTGCGGTGCTTGGTCCCGCTCCGCCTTCCGCTTCTGCTCGTCCTCTTCCGCTCGCCGCTGCATCTGCACCGCCAGCAGCTTGCCTGCCGTACGTACTGCGTCATCTCGTCGTCCTTCTCGTCGCCTTTTACGGGCGGTGATAGTGGCGCGCTTCAAGGCCGGTGCTCCGCCATCGAAGACAAACACCGGCTTGATGCCGTAGAAGAGCAGCTTACATATTCGCCTGAAGAAGCCGACAACGTGGCTGTTGCGCAGGGCATTTCCTTCCTTATCGCGCACGGCTTTGAGAAATTGGTAGATCCAGATGGAGGCGTCTACGGCCAGCCGCTTGCGGTTCAGTGTCTCGATCTTGATGGGCCGCGCGCAGGGCTGTAGGATCTGCCACAGTCCTGTCACACCCATCCTCCACCGACCTGCCCATCAACGAACGATGTCGAGAGTTCGCGAAGTTGCACATCGTATGAGACAGTGGCATAAGGCATTCACATGAATCATATGCGGGGTGACGTCGAAGAAGCGCGCTAAAGGTCCGCCGCACGTGACTTTCAATGTTCGAATTGGTCTTTCGTGTACGGCTCCATAGATCACTGACTATCCTGAGCACATCTACAGTCTGGTCATAGCGAGCCGGTGCTGAAGTGACAGACTAACGCGCACGTACGGAGGCTGAGTAATTACTGTCTCTTGGTCGCAGAAGCGATCCCTCTCCCAACCTTCCGGCCAAGCCGCGAACGCCGTCGAACTACCGCCAGACCATAACGTTGGTCAAACAGACTTCATCGACGACTACATCAACCTCGGCTGCAGCCGTCATGCGATTGCGGTCAAAGCCAAGGCCCGTTTCGAGCGTCACTCCCTTTGCCCGTCTGACCGTGGCGGTTCCCACCATGCGGTCTTGCTTACGCTCATCTGTAGCAACATTGACCGCTCCACCATCCCCGTTCGAGCCGTAAATGAGCGTTGCGCAACAACAAGCGTAAGAGAGTCGTTACTTTTTACCAATTTCTCGTCGGGGTCGGCACAGATCATGACATTTCGAGGTCAGTATTGATCCCGAGATTATGCTTTACTAGCCATCACAATCCATGGTTGTCCTACTCGAACAGTCAAGCTGGCGCGCAGACTACTCTCAGAGCAGAACACTCTCACCGCACCCCACGAGATGCAGTGAAGCAAGTTATCTAGCTCGTTTGGAGCAGCAAGTAGCTAGGCTGGACTCCTGCATGCAAAGAGCTCTCCCCCACGCCGGAAGAACTGCGGTTGACGGCAGTTGCGAACGTTTGGAGAGTTTGCACAGGATGCACGCGTGGCAGCGAGCATGCAAGCATGTGAGAAGCTTATCTTGGGAAATGCAGAACATCTCGCGACGGGACGTATATGCATGTACAGTACACGGGAGGAGCTGAGCTGGACGGTGGGGAAATAGGGGATAGGGTAGACGGGCCTGCTCGATCAGGTGTTCATGAAGAAGGATGACTTAGGTGCTTCTCATGCGCAAGCCTCGAACATGCGCCATCGCCGTTGGGTTTGCGGAGATGCATCGTCGCTGCGGACGTACCTATGTATAGGTGGGTAGTCAAGCAACAGTGAGATCCGGTCGAAGCCACGGGGCCGAGACCGCCGTAGTCTTGCATACCGTGAGGCGAAAGATCAGAAATCGCATGTACGAGAGGCGGAGTGGGATTCGCGTCGGCAATTATGAGTGAAGGTGCGAAAAGGGGCTGAGAGCTGCTGACAAGAGCGCAATGGGAAACGAAAATGGTTTGACGCATTCACCGACTTTGCGGCGCTCGTCTGCTAGACGGTCGCTTGGTGAAAGCTTGCAAAGCTACCGCTGTTTGGCGCTATACATTCGAGTGCAAATCGGCGGTAACGGACGACGCCTTTGCCAGCGCGCCACTAACACGACACAGACCGTGCAGAAGCTCTTGCACCAGTCCTCCCGTCGGTATTACAGTATTGATTGTTATAGGTTAACGGTGCAAGATGCAGGAAAAGCTCCTCGTGCGCATCTCCACTGCGGCGTCGGCCTGGCGGGGGGTGATGGTAATTCGCGCACTTGCATGAGGGACTGTACATGTACCTTACGATGGCTCTGCGCGCGGCTACACGGGCAAAAGCGTGTGAAATTGTCAGAGCTCCGCATGCGGGCGTTCGATGAAGTTACGCGCCATTGAACAATGAGGTTTGATGAAGGGGTATGGGGGCTCGGACAACCCAAACGGAATGACAACACGTTAGAAGAAGATCGGTGGCCGGTGGTCGGTGTGGTGATGAATCAGTTTGTACCGCAGTGAGCAACACCGCGCTGTTCCTGTTGGCGGGTGAGCGCCTCTAATTTTCCGAAGGGTCAGAAAGGCAGGTGTGATGACGTACGGGCCATTGCCGGGAGTGAACGGAGGCGCGGGAATCAAGAATGGCAGACATGGAACGGTTATCGCGCCTGCGTCACGTTCAACTGCAATCCTGCTGCTGTACTGTACTTGCCTCGTCAGCTTATTGCTCGTTGTGCGTTGCTGTAGCTTCAGCAGACACTACTCGCTGCAGGTGCGCGCTGGCGAAGGCTGCTTGTTGCATGTGATCGCGCGCCTGCCTCGATCGCTGGCTTTCCGGCTTTTTAGTTTCAGGCTTGCCGACTGTTTGACCGCCCGAAGCCGTTTCCGGACAAGTGCGAGAAGCTGGAACGTGCCTCGAGCACTGACCTGACGGTAGCACCCACACCAAATTTGACTGGCAAAACGCCCGCACCAAACACCAACACCTTCACCTTCACCTTCACCTCCTCTTCGGTGCGCACTCGACGCGTCTGCAGTCCAGCAGTGACTTGCTGGAGAAGGCGAGAGAAAGGCGTGCGAGAAGCGACGAAAGCAGATCATCCGCGTTGCCGACAGTTGATTTGCAATCGCCAAGACCCTCGAGTCCCCGACTCCGACTCGACTCGATCCGCCACAGAAACGACGACTGAGCCACATCCTGTGTGAGGGTTCAGGTTCGGTAGCGCTTTCTCACCCTCTCCATCAGCGCCATTCACCACCCCTACTCGGCCCTATTCCTGTCACCAACACTTGCCAGTCTGACGCTCACTCCTACATCCACCCTACGACACTGAGACAATACCAGCTTTTGCGACAGCATTGTCTTCAATAGCGACACTTCGCGACAGCCACACTCAACCATGAACTGCACCCGGTTATAACACTGGTAGGCCCTTTGGGTCGCGCAACTTGCGCACTTCCACCAGAAGCGAGTACGAACACAATTGATTGCCGAAGCGTTTTCGCAACACCACACCAACCGCCACAATGGTCTTCTGGAAGACAGCAGCACAACCTGCGCCTGCCGCATCCGGAGCGGCAAGCGCCGCTCTCGACCACAGCGAAGAACTTCTCGCGGAGGTTGACGAGCCTCCAGACGATCGCAAGAACAGCGCTATATGGTCGCCGCCTAAATTGACCGAGGCTCATATGAAGTCCGCAAAGCAACTGGCATATTCACGCCGCGAGTCCCTGTTGACGCGACAACTGCATTCCGAGACGGAACATAGCGATGAAGACCACTCGCCTCAGCCACCGCGTGCGCTGAGCACACAGTCAATCTGGAGCACGACGTCGACTGCCGAGCTGACGAGCGATGACGGCAAGAGCATGCCGAGTCCGGCCATTAGTCCTCCCCTGCCACCGACCGAGGTATACAATGCGCTGCCTGTCAATGAGAAGCCGCTGGACAAGAAGGTCACAGTCGTAGGCGAGGAAGGGAAAGAAGTCAGGACGGAGCAGTCGGTCGAGGCCACGCTGGGTCGCAAGCGGTGCATCATGTTTGCTTGTCGCGGCAAGGATGAAGCGAAGCCGAAGCCACCATCTCCCACCACAGCGCCGGCGCCGGCCCCAGCATCAGTGCTCGTGCCTCTCGCCGACGCACCGCCGAAGCGCAAGTGTGCTATCAAGTTTGCCTGTCCGACTCGCACCGCATCCGACACTAAGCCCACGGAGCCCACGCCGGCAAAGCGTACTGTCAGCCCACCTCCACCGCAGCGAAAGGCATCATCACACAGGACTGAGCTCGCCAAGGTCCACCGTGGCTCCGACAGTACCGTCACGCATGGGTCACCGAGGTCTGCGCGGAGAAGTCCAGCAATTACCACCACCGTGCCCACGCCGACGACTGCCGAAGGTGCAAAGCCGCCAACAATGCGGACAGTATCGCATGACTCGGATGAGGCTGGCAGGGAGGCGACGCGCTTCCACGAGTTTGCTAGCAGCGAAGATGAGCCGGAAGAGTGGGTGCAGGAGTCGACATGCCACCGTAGCCGCTTGACGATCGATGACACGCTCAAGAAGGAGAGTGTGATTCGCAAGGCCTGCGAGGAGGTTGAGGAGGAGGTTTTGGAGGAGGACGAAGAGGCGGAGCAAGAAGGCGAAGATGGAGGTGCCAATGATGTGGATGAAGGCGTCGAAGATGAAGATGAAGACGAAGCAGACTTGGGAGTCGACGACGAAGACGCGGAGTCCGATCATTCCGACGCCGGCTTTCACTCTGACGATGAAGATGGCTTTGCTGCTTCGGACTCGGAAGGCGAGGGCAGCGACTACGAGTGGTGGAAGCCTGGAGGCTCCACAGCCGCCACATCCATTGAGCACCTTGACCGTCTCAGCGCGCAAGCGAGACCGGTGCACGATGAGTCGGCCTCCTCGATGAACTCGCTCAGCTCCGGGCAGATGTCACCGCGTATGCGCAAGCACAAAAGGGGAAAGGGCGTTCGTGGACATGCCAGATCTCAAGCCATCCCCATCCACCGGACGTCATTGGATGTGGAAGACGCGAACGAACTTCCCGACTCCACCGATTTCGTCTGCGGCACGCTCGACGAAGACCGTCCGCTGGAGCAAGCCTACCTCAACCGTGTCAAGGAGAAGGAGGCTGCCAAGCACAAGGCTCGGCCACAAGATATCGACCCTACCTTCCCCACTTCCGACCCGGAGATGGACGAAGAGGATGACGAGGACCTCGAGGATCCGGAAGAGAGCGCGGAGGAGGAGAACATGATGCATGGCGAGATGGACGAACTCGACGAAAGCAACACGCTCCGTCGCCGTTCCCCGCTCCGCCAGAAGAGAGGTCGAAGCGGCACCAACCGCTCCCCGCCGCCACCGGTCAAGTATCACTCACCGCCCCCGCCCACCAAGCGGCCGAGTAGAATGCACTCCCCGCCTCCACCCCTCGTCAAGCGCAACACCGCTCGCTCCCCACCACCCCGCAAACTCTTCGGCCAATCTCCCAAACGCGCCCGCTCTCCCGCGCCCATCAACCGCACCACATCGCCTCCCAACAGCCGCCGCCCCTCACCAACCCGACCCATGCCCCTCAGCAAATTCCCCGGCGTCCTAGCCGCCCGCCCACAATTAACCCGCACCGCCTCTCTCCCCCGCGGCGGCGGCTTCCTCCTGAGCCGGTTGGGACAGAAACAATTCCATACCGGTGAAGCGGACGCCGACTCCGACTCAAACCCGCGTTCCCAGGCCGTCTCCAACGACGACGACACCAATCAAGCTCTCCCCCGCCGCGGCGCAATCGACATTGTCAAAGGCTTAGAAAAGAAACGCCAGCGCCGCAAGGAGAAAATGTGGCAGAAACTCTGCGCCAAGAAGGGGGAGAAGGGTGAGAAGGTGTATAAGGTCAAGCCGGGCAAAGGGTGTGAGAAGATGAGGGAGGTGGGATTGGAGTTGCAGCGGTATAGGGGTGGTACTGGGACGGGGACGGGGACGGGCGGGCATATTCTGTCTTACTGATCTATTTATCCCTCGGTCCATTGGTTGATGGGGTGATGGGTCTGCGAAGAATATCTGATTCGTATGTTTTGAGGAACGGCTGAGTGGGAGCAACGGCGCCGCTGTGGCAAACACCACCACGGCACTTTCACGAGCTTTCCCTCTTTCTGCTATGGAGGGTCTATGGTCCAACATGGGAAAAGGAGGGCTCGTCTGGTCGCTGTTGCTCTTTGCTGCTCGCTGATCCTACTTTCTTTTGGGTTGGGATGATTGATTGATTGATTGATTGATACATTGACGGCGTCAAGGGCGGATTGTATATATCGGTTTTAGCGTTCTAGCATTGGCGGCAGGGTTCGGTGGTTGAATTAGTGAGATACCTGGGTTTTGAATGCGAGAGCTTTGTACAGACTTGCCTATTCGTTCGCTCTTCTCTTCACTCTCCTCTTCCCGCGATCTCACTCGTATGCTCTCTAGGCACAGGGTCTATCGATTCTGTCTCTTCGCTGAAAGGTGCCAGTGTAATTCTGAGTAACATGCCCAGTTAACGCTACGCAGGTGCGTCACGCCGTACTGGCGGCCAGAAGGACAACTCGTCGGGTGTTTCAAGGCTTCTCCACCATGCGGCTCGCATGCAAGCTTGTCCGCGTGGACTAAGATTGTGATGGAAGAGATATCGTATGCGATGGCCAAGGTGGCATGATGCGATGCGATGATTGCATAGTATAGCGTATCTTGCTGTCTGTTCCCTGCAGCAAAAATCTACCCACTTACTCACCCTCCGACATGAAACCGAAGAAGACGACGGACGCCTCAACACCATGACCGCCTGCCCTTAGCATAGCTAGCCGGTCTTTCCCGCCGCACGCGACCAGTCATGCCTGTTCGTCTCGTTCAGGAAGCGAGGCGAGTTCAGGTGAGTTCCCCACTGGGGATCTTCCGCTTCCACCTTTCCCATCCGGTCTTTCTGGTCTAGACGTACTGTGATAGCCACCTGATACCCTCTCCGTACCCTTGTCGCATGACGACGGAGCACATGAAGATCTCAATGGGTCGGATGTTGTCGAGGGGGACTTTGCCCTTGCCGGCTAGAAAAACACGAAACCCGCATTAGCACAACCCCACTCAACTCAACTCAACCCACACCCCTTTCCCCCCTCCCTCTTCCTCTTCCATACGGTGGGTAATACTCACTCGTCTGCCAAAGCCCCAACTCATGCCTCAACTGCTCCTCGCTCACCGCGCCGGGATGATCAATCTTATTCCCCAGGATCAAAAACGGCGTCTTCGCCAGATCCTCCATGCTCAACAACGCGTCCAGCTCCGCCTTGCTCTCCCCGAACCGCTCCGGGTCCTTGGCGTCGACGAGGAACACGATCCCGCTCACTTCGGGGAAGTAGTCTTTCCACAGCCGTCGCGCTTGTTGGTGCCCGCCGAGGTCGAAGGTGGTGAAGCGCACGGTGCCGATGGAGAGTTCCTCGGAGGTGGGGTGCAGGGTGGGTTGCAATATGGCTACGCGGTCGTTTTTGAGCATGTGGAGGAGCTAGAATAATTTTTCGTCATAAGTCAGTAGGTGGAAGAGGGTTAGGGTGGACGGAAGCGATATGGCTCGGTTGGGTGGGCATTCGTACAGTAGTTTTGCCGGCATTGTCGAGGCCGAGGAAGAGGAGTTTGGCGTGCTTGTTGGCGAGGCCGAGTTGGGCTAGCAGGTCCCAGACTGTATGTTGAAGGAGTCCATGTCAGGCATATTGTTCATTGTTCATATTCATCATGCTTCGGTCGTTCGCTTACACCAGTCGATGATCCACATGTTGATCGCTTTCCCGCTCGCTTACGTTCTCTCCTCTTTCCTGTTGAAATGATTCAGCGTAAGGTGTAACTGGCTTTGAAACACGATATGTGGGAGTCGAAGAGACGATATGAGTTTCCGATTGGGAAGCCGTCACGTGTCGAGAAAGGTCGAAAGTGACGATGGCGGGATACCTCACGGTTGGCCAGAAGTGCGCCACGTTTCCGCATGTGAGCGACTCATGGCTTCACGCAAGTAATGAACAGCTGGTCGAGCAGAGGGACAAGACTACATTTGCCGAAAAGGGAAGGCACGTACTGAGGCGGAAGCAAGAAGGCAAAGCCAAGGCAATGGCACAGAACAACAACCTCGTATGCTCAAGCACGTTCTGCGACATTGTGTGATACATCTTAACTGACATGTGACTGCCAGCTCGACAAAGCCGTGGGCGCCTCAATGCTCATCGTCGCCTCGGCCGTCTTCCTCTACTACACCATTTGGACGCTCTTACTAGTACGCTCTGCCCCATACTCTCATCAACAATATATCCAATCCTATACTGACCATTGGGAACAGCCCTTCGTGGACTCCGACCATCCCCTGCAATCTCTCTTCCCACCCCGAGTCTGGGCGATCCGCATACCAGTCATCCTCCTCCTACTCGGCGGCGCGGTCGTAGGGAGTTTCTTGAGCGTCGTCATGATCAGGAGTAACCGGAAGAAAGCGCTCAAGGCGAAGCAGAAAGCGCAGGAGAAGGATGCGGCGAAGAAGCAGTCGTAGACTAAGCGTGTGCTCAGGGGCAGCATTAGCGATGGCGTATGGTGCACGACTTTATAATTGAAAGGAGGGAGATGGGTGCATCTGGTACAGTGTACATGCATGTTACGGCCGGGAGTCGGTCTCGTTACTCGTGTTCTTCATCACTCCGGCTGAAACGCCGCCATTCCACGCTATGCAAAGCATCTGCCCAAATAAATCCTTTGGGATGGGCTCATAGCCTCATCACTCAAACGAAGGGAAGACGCCGACGTTGCCCATGCCGCCAAACAGCAGCTGGAGCAACTGCGCATGTGGGACCTAACTCAGCCCGTCAGCACAATAACTTTCCACCAAGCTCTGTCGCCAGTATTCCTCAAGTAGCAAGCACCGCGCCACCCCACCCTCGGCTCAGCATGAACATCAACGAACGGAGTTCACGCACCGTCAGATAAGAATCCTGATTCCCGCCCTGCCGCTCCACATCATTCTTGTTCATAATCCGATACGCATCATGCATCCTCTTCCGACTCGGCAGACCCGTAGGCGCGACGTATTCATCATCCTCATCATCCTCCTCTTCCATATCGCGGGTGAAAGGAGTCGCAGCAGGCATAGCAGGTTCGGATGTCACGGCCTCGCCCTCGGCACCACCACCGGCAGCCCCCCTCGACCGCCTTCCAACCCTCCTTCCCATCCTCAACGGCCACGCCAACGACGAAAACTCACTCTCATCATGGGCACTAACCCCATCTCCCCTCCTCGCCTTCGCCCGCGCTCTTCCATCGGGGCTAAAGATCTTAATCGTATGATCGATGCCACTAACCGCCAACACCGTCTCAAACGGGTGTCCCTGCACCACATTCACCACCTCCCCGTCACCCTCTAGCACGTTAACCAACTCCGCCGTCTTGCGGTCCCAGAGGAAGAAATTCCCGTCGTCAGATCCGGAGACGACGAACTCGTCGTCTAGGCCGAAGAAATTCACGTCTTTGACTGTGCGGACGTTGCAGTGCCCGCGGTAGACGCGTGTGCTCGGGTGGCAGGGGACGCTGAGTTCGACTTTTTCTTTGCGCCGCCGCCGTTCGAAGGCGGAGGTGAACATGAAGTGGGGGAGGGCGTGGAGGTTGGGGACGCCGTCGATTTCGTCGGGTTCGGAGGAGTCTTCGTCGTCATGGTTTTCCACATCATTATCGTCTTCGTCGTCTTCGTCGTCGTCGTCATTATCGTCTTCAAGCATGGCTGTGTCTTCGTCATCATCATCATCGTTCATAACGTAGGTTTCATCATCATCATCGCCCGCCGGCTCAACGGTGGCCGGTCGGGCGTGCCCTTCTTCCATTTCCGTAAGCACGTCGGAGGGCTCCTCAGCCTCTCCACGCGCGTCGTCCCGCTCCTTCTGTCTCGCTTCCTGAGCAGCAGCAGATACGTCCTCAGCACTCGCACCACCAACTAATCCTCCATCAGCATCCAGCATCTCCACATCCCGAATCGGCTCATCCTCCTCCTCCCCAACTACATCCTCTAATCTCCGCTCCTCCGTCTCTACTTCTCTCACCACCCTCCCAACTCCACCAAACGCCCGGTCCACGAAGATGAAGTTGACGCCCTCCGCAGCGTTCAACAACACACCCCTTGCAACCTTCAGGCCCCAGAAACCCATCGCCACCGTCCGGTCCTGCGCTTGGATCCGCTCCGAACCCTCCGCAAGCACCACAGCCGAAGACAAGTCAGCAAACGGAATCCTCACGGCCGCCGCGAACGCGAGCACGGCAGCTTTCTCCGAAGGAAATACTCGTCGGTTCTCGTCCGTTTCGAACCGGTTAGCCTCCACGTTCACAATAGGTTTGTCGCTTGCGATACGCAGCAAGTACGGGATTAAATACTCATCGATCGCTTCCGTGGTAGCCTCATGGTGGGGTATAGGGAGCCGTTGCGCTCCCTTGAAGTCCAGGGGCATCGAAGCGGGACGTGTGAAGCCATCAATGAGGCGACCTATGCCTGATTCAAGCCAGAGCAGAATTGCTTTCAGGAAGTCGTAGCCGAACTGCTCTTGACGTTCAAGGGGTAGGTCGTTAGTGCGTACCTCCACCGATGTGAAGTGACCCAGCAACGGACTCGGTGTGGAGGAAGCGGTGCGGAGTCTGCCGCCGAGCACACGAGCTACAGTGCCAGAAGCTTGGACGAAGCGGCGCGTGCTCTCGCGATGGGAGCGGAGTGTCCTTTCTACGACTACCATCTCCGCAGACGGCTCCATGGGGTATCGCCACTCACGCAGGACTTCGTCGATGTCGGCCATGATGCTTGCCGCTTCGCCTAGTGCGGTCGTGAACTGCGCTGTGGCATCCTTGCCTTCTTCCCTCGCACCGAAGAGTGCCGAGCGTATCTTGACCGTCGTAGTAGCGATGCGTTGCGCCTCTCGTTGCTTCTCGGTAAGTGCATGCAAGCCAGACCGCGTTTGGCTTGGTAACGGTATGTCTTCGCTCTGCCCATTCTGGTACCGTACTCGAAGCGCTGCACCTTCCTGCTCGGTACGAGAGCGAGAGGAGCCTCGAGTGGCGACATTTTGCTGGCCTGTGGATTGGCTGCTGAGGTTACTCCTCTTCCGCTTCCGATCCTTGCTCTCCTTCACCCTCGCACTGGCTCCAGCCTTCGTGGTTGCTGCTGCCGCGTCGCCTTCCGTAGCATCAGGACTGCGTACGAGGTCGAACGAATAGATGTGATCACCACTCCAGCTTACCACCATTTCATCCGGCCGAGCATCGCTGATCTTCAGTGCCGTAATATGCCCGTTCTCCGTCCTACCCATCCTTTGCTGGCCTTTCGGTGCGAACTTCCGTACACACTGTGTAGCCTGCCGCATCAACTCCTGATCTTCCGCGCTCATGCTGCGCAACGGAGAGAGCGGCTTGCCAGCTTCCCGTAACCGATCGCGACCAGTCATTCTCCGGTCATGCAGAAAGGCATGGAGGTGCGCTCCACCCAACGCTATGTAATGAGGTTGAGATGGCGAGCAGGAAATGCTATTCAGATCCAGGTTGTACCGTTTGTACGATATCAGCGGAGGTGGCACAGAGCTGTCGGGTTCCGTTGAATGCCTTGACCTCGGTGGAGGATACGCAGACGACGGTTGCCGTAGGTCCCACTGCCGTACCTCGCCGTCCTCGGAGCAAGTTAGGAAGAGATGCGGGCTCGACTCTGTAACGATCCTTTTGACTCTGTCCCCATGGCTTCGGTAGACGCGGCAGTCCGTATCTCCATCGCTGAGGTACCGTACCCCGTTGTAGATGGTGTTCCTACCTCTCCTCCGCCCCTCACTCGCAAAAGCCGATGCCGCACTTGCCTCCCTCGACTGCCCAGCATACTCCAGGTCGAAGACTCTAACCTCGCCATCTCCAGCCGCTGTAATCACCGTCCGGTCATTGTGGTGAGGCATGAACTTGACGGAGAAGATGTTCTGCGTATGCCCCGTCGCCACTGTAGTTGTGAGTTGGAACTGACTGGTCGATGTGGACGGTTGGTAGGTGTGGATGTTGAGGTGCTGGTCATCGCTTCCAGACGCAAGCAGCTTGCCTGACTTCGACCAGGACAGGGCATTGACGCATCCTGAATGTCCGTCAAGCTCGTTGACAATGTCCAAGTCTGCTATGAGCCGTCTGTCGCTGTATAGCTTGCGGTATGATCGGCTGCGGACGGCTTGGTCGCGGAGCTCGCGGGCGTAGATGTTACTGCTAAGATGGTCCTTCATGATGACGGTAAGAGGTCGCGTAAGACTTGACTGATCGGAGGGATCTGCACATATGATAATTGCGAGAGTGGAGTAGATTGATGGGCTCAAATGAGCCCTCAACTAAGGCCTCGGTTGAAGTTTGCGGCTAAGGCAGGTCAAGATGAAAGAGACGGTCTTACTGGGAGGTGGCAATGTTGGTTAGGGGGGGACTATGTCGACCGCCGTCTGCCCGCAGAAGACAGTGTGGGGTGCGAACTGTCTTCACGCAGAGCATGTCATATATCCGTCGTACATGTAGCTTGAGAGTATGTCATGGCGCACGGACTAACTGGCTCGAGCTTCGCTTGCATGTGAATGCCAACCTGAACCATCGAACATCAAGCTCTGCCAGCTCAGAGTAGGAAATTGTTGACCCGCCACGGTGATACTGGACTTGGTTGTGCGCGGCCGATAGATTGTTGGGAGCGGTCGGAGTCCGGACGAGCAGGTCAATCATGGCGATGAGTTTGTCCACGTTAACGATGAGCATCACTGACCAATTTCTAGGCATGGATCAGGCCGTTGAAGCTTAAGCTGTACTGACCGTTGCCAGACTACAGCGGTCGACGGTTGAGGCTTCATAGATACCGTCGATATGCTCAACACACTTTCTACTGTTGCTCTGATTCCCAGATTCGCTCGTGGCACTGCACTCCAGCTACGGCTGTGCAGGCAGTAGAAGCTGCACTACTACCAGGCATTGACTTGACTTCGACAACAGTTTTGGTGGTCATCCCCCGGTACGAGAATGCCACGGTCCTCAAAAGCTTGGAACCTGCTATTCAGACCTTATTACGCTTTGGGCATCTTATTGCCGAAATCGCTAGCCCGCGCTTATTAGCTCCCTCCTATGGCACTTGCGACAAACTGCAAAGTGGAAAGCACTCATATTGTTTCGAACCTGATCCGGTTCCTCAGCGCCGGAATGCCGTCGACTTGGACTTCGATGACATCCCCATTGTCCAAGAAGGTCTTCGGATCGCGAAAGTACCCAACCCCAGCCGGCGTGCCCGTCATGACGGCTGTAAAAGCAGGAATCGTTGTACCTGTTCTGGTTCAGCTGTACAGTAATGATCTCCACGGACATACGCCGTACCTTGGCTCATATGGCTCAGTATCTGCGCTGGGCTGAAGATCATGTCATCGCCCAAGACCGTATGCTGGACCTGGTGACCATTGATTCTTGTGGACAGTGCCAGCGCTCCAATATCCGGCACCGTCGATGAATGTCGGAGTATAGGACCGATGGGAGCAAACTTGTCGAATGCCTTGGCGAAGAAGAACTGTCCAGACTGGCGCTCCTTCGCCTGGTGCATGCGACAGGTGATATCGTTGCCGACAGTGTAGCCCAAAATGTATGACTGAGCTTCTGCGACTGAAACGTTTTTGCATTCTCTCGACGTCACGAACACAAACTCGCCCTGTCCGGCCGGGTTAGAATATGCTCACAGCACTGCTGCGCCATGACGTACCTCGGAGTCCAAAGTCTCTGCACAAAAGGCACTAATGGGTATATCTTCGTTGGGATCAGCTAACGCTGCACTTGGCTTAACCCATACCGCAGGGTCCTGAGTGGTAGACATCTGATGAAACACATTTAGCAGGTCTCCCGCTGTCTTTCTTTACAGGAACGAATCCCAGCTTACGGAAGCCTCGTCGGCATGCGATTTGTAGTTCAAGCCGACGCAGTATATCGGAATGTCCGTCCGCGGCAATGGACTCAGGATCTTCGAAATCGTCAATGGGAGACTTCGAGCATGCGTCCACCACTCCGCTAGACTCACCTTCGATACCACAACTTTCTTCCCATTCTCACCCTTTTGCAGGTCATCGAACGACTCGAACGCGAGAAGTTCATCGTTGGTGGCAGGTATCTGCTCCACGCCTGCATCAAGGTTGGCGAAATAAATCTTCGAGTCGCTACTTTCAAAGCGGACCAAGCTGGTGAAAGGAGCCATGGTCGAAACTGCTTGAGATGCAGGACACGCTTCATCCCGGTCATGTCTCACTCTTATAGTACGTAGGAAGCTCGTGCCACTGGTTCCTGAGTTTGTGTGATAGAGTAAGCTACTGGCCGAGTCTCTCCGCGGCGTAACTCGGCGTAACTGTTGGACAGGCGCAACGACTTCACGAGTTCCTCCGAGGCGCAATGCAACACTTCTGCGCGTCATAACATACCGCGACGGCGCAATTAAACAAGATTGTCGTTCCATCTATCTATAATTGCGCCGACTTGAGCAGTATAAAAAGATGTGGCACCTTCTCACGTTCCCAGAATTATCAACGATTCCAACGCCAGTAATCCAACTACCATCATCACTGAACTTTCGCCATGCCTGCTCTGCCGATTCCAGATGTCAAGAACGACCCATCAAAGGTCCAACTGGCGAGGTTGGGCTTCTTCATTTTCGAGCATCCCAAGCTGGCCGACTTTGAACGCTTTGCGGAGGACTTTGGCTTCATTGAGGCAGAACGTACAGACAACACCATCTGCTATCGCGGATACGGTCGGGACCCTGTCGTATACGTAGCTGTACAAAGTCCGGACGGCAGACCTCGCTTTCGTGGGCCAGCTTTCGTTGCGAAAGATGCAGATGAGTTCGAGAAGGCTGCTCGATTGCCGGGTGCATCTCCGGTCAAGCAGCTGGACACGCCTGGTGGCGGCAGGATGGTGACGTTCGAGCGGGGGGACGACACCTGGTTTCACGTCGTCCACGGCCAGCAGGAGAGGGTTGTGGACGGGAAGCAGCCACCCACTGCCACCCACGAGACACTGGAGCCGTTTAACGGTCCCTTCGAGAAGCCACGAAGAGGTGGGCAGGTCTGACGGCGTTACCTTGCTCGGGACTGTCATAGCTGACGCAGACATTGCCAGGTCGTTTCCAGCGGTACCATGACGGCCCGGCATTAGTCCATAAGGCTGGCCACTTCGGCTACGTGAGTGTCATCAGAGCTTTACTTTGATACAAGCTCGTGTCATCTGACTGCATTGTGCGATAGGTGTGCCGTCCGTTCGAAGAAGAGCTGAGCTTCTACACCAGCAACTTCAACTTCGTTCATACCGACGTGCTTTTCCACGACAAGTTCACAGACATGGACGTGATGACCTTCATGCATCTCGATCTAGGTCCAGAGTACAGCGATCACCACATTATGTTCTTGCAAAGGGCTATCCCGGAAGTGAAGAAGACTTATGTGCATCACACGAGCTATGAGGTCGCCGATTTCGATACGCAGCTTCTAGGCCACGAACACCTAGCGAAGAACGGCCACCGGAGTGTCTGGGGTGTTGGTCGACATATTCTTGGGTCCCAAATTTTCGGTTCGAGAATCCTCCATCGGTCGAAAGCGGCGACTTGCTGATATCATTCTTATCAGATTACTGGGCTGATCCATCAGGGTGGAAGATTGAGCACTACGCGGATGGTGACGTGGTCAACCAAGAGCATAAGACTGGAAGAGAAGTCGTCGGACCCCTCTCTATCTGGGTGCGTAAGGCCGGTCGCTCGCTCCACGCTTTGCTAACAACTTTTGTAGGGTCCCGAGCTCCCGAAGACGTTCCCAATAGGATCGGAATCGGAGATGAGAGGCGAACTCCTGCAAAGCTTCGGGTAATGGGCAAGGTGTGGCGGTGGTAATGTAGCTGTGCATCTTCGGTAATCTCAATCAGCGAAGCAAATCTTATGCATTTGGGCCTCGCCGTCTCTTGGTAGGCAGGCCTCCAACCCCGTGGGCAGTCCATCGTCAAACAAAGATAGTATTCGGCCTAGTAAAATCCCATCCACGACGATCGAATGTACGCTTGTCACGAAATGTCATCACCACGGAGTCCGAAGTGCGGTTGCTGAAGCATGGCGAATGTCAAATCCCGCACTTTCTCCAACCGAACAATGCGGAACTGGGATTGATGCGTGCTGAGCGTGAGAACAAGCCTGCCGTCTCCCCTGCTTGCATCCTGCCCCGCCTCGCCTCCTCCCTTTCATGCGGTACATGGATAACACACCCTTTCCCCCACACAATGCAACCCCGTGCGCGGAGGGCAACAGCTGGTGCAAGAGTATGTGACCAGTGCATCAGGCAAGTGCACGTAACGTATCATCAACGGCCGAGCTACTAACGGAGGCGTCATGAACCAGACGGAAAACGAAGTGTTCAGCTCTCACGCTTCACTGCAACAAGATCTAATGGCGTTGACGATCTCCAGGTGATCTTGCACGACCGGTATGCTCCCGATGTCGAGACTCGGATCTCCAATGTACCTACTCTCTCAACAGAAGAAAACCCGGACCGTCAGGGCGGAAACGAACTGCCACAGACGCGGACACCGTTCACCTTGTCACAGATAATGCAAGAGACCAACATTCTCCGAACGACCAGCTACCGTCACCACTAAGTGCTGTCGTTAACAACCATGACGAGAGTACGACTACACCGCGGGAATACTTCACTTCGCAGCCAGACCAACGCCAGAATGTGTAAGCCTTTCAAAAAGATCACACTGCATCACTGATGGATGCCGACGTTGGTAGATTTCAGAGCTTCATAACTTGGATCCACCCTTCGATTCCGTTATTCGACCCCACGGATCTCAGTCGCAACCATTGCGGCTCCGGTATTGAAGATCAAGTACTGGAGATTATCATGTCCCTCACCATAGATGTCCTCAAAACTGCAGATCAAGATTCCCTGAAACGATCGAGAGATGGCCTGAATCTAGCACTTGAATGCCCTGTTGATGGTCATACACAGCAGATCACCCTGTCATGGTTCCAAAGGCAGTGCCTTCTGGCATACTATACCTTCCATCAGTACCCCGGACGGCAGTCGTGGAGCAGGGTTGGTGCTCTTACACGAATGGCCTACGCTGCCGGCCTGAACCGCCTGGATCATCCTCGAGGATATTCCACTTTCCAGGTCATGAACGAGACTGATGACATAGACGCATGGCGACGGGTGTGGTGGGTGATCTACTGTATGGATAGCTACACCAACGTCGCGGCCGCCACCCCCTTCCTTGTAGAGTACGATAGTACACGCACGGCACTCCGGCAGTACCCGGCGGCAAACACAAATTTGATTGGAGACAAGCTATTTCTTGCGAATGAGCTATCTCACCTGTGGATGACAGTCGAGGAGATAGCCGGCCGAAAACCACTGGACCACTTTGCTATTCACCTCGTCACAACGTCGCTACTGAAGGAAGCATGCAACATACACCGTCTGGCCCTGATGAACCCTTATGTGGACTTGTCCGCACGAAGGGCAAGTCTGGACGACACAGTCGCCTTAGTGTCACTTGCACTACCTCCAGGCTACAACGACGTCAGGCGCCAGATCCTGCAAGGAGAGTCGATCGAGGACTTTCATATGAGACTTGTGAACTGCATACACCTCGCAATGATTACCGCAGCTGCGCTCTTTTCTGCAACAACTTCGGTGCCGCCATCTGCGTCGACCCCTTCCTGGCAGACCTTACTTGAGTGCAGCCTGACCATCGCCAACATTATTGCTCACTGGGATTCGAATATGCTTGCCGCTACTGATCCGGCCATTTGTTTGATCGTCTTTGCACTACTGACAATGCTCAAGCTTTATGTCCGTTTCCACACAGATGACATCCCCGACATTAAGGCGCGTGCGCAGCAGTGCGAGACTAAACTTAGTCTCTTTCTCAAGCATTTTTCAGCATTTTGGCAATTGCCAATATACTTACTGGGTAAATAAGCTAATCTTCAGACTACCGTGGTATTGCTGACGATCATCCCGCAGGTATACAACGGAAGGTGGGCTTAGTGCTTGAGGGATGCGCGACGTACGAGGACGCAAGAAAGACGCTGCAAGGCCAGGAATGCGACGGCATGATGAATCTCGATGCCATCCGCAAGCTGATTCCGGTGAGGCATACACCCCAGGCAATGGGGACCGACATCGACCTTTCATGGCTGGATGATATCGACTTCTCCGACATGCCCCTTCTTGAAAGCGTTCCAGGAGAGAACATCATCAATCTACATACTTGATCATCCGTAACTGTATGGAGGCTGCATCCGCAGTTGTTACAGCACCCGTTTCCGATGCCTCCAACTCCGATGCCGCCACAAAGTGTGTCAGAACGTAAGGCCATGGTGGCGTGAGCGAAGCTTCTTATGTGCTGCAGCTGAGAAGCGGGATCGGGCTGGCCTAGCCCATATTGGCGCCTGATGGTAGAGAAACGCCATTCTTCGAGTCGATATCTTTCGCCATCAAGGATCCATCATTGCGCTGTTGCTACCGGGTGAGAGGGTATAGCGCAAGTGGAAGAGATAGTACGTGTGATCGAGCGAGCTGCGGTCCTATCAATTACTGCTCAACGTTAAACAGCGTGGCGCGGACCAGCAAAGCCAAATTGCATGATCACAATAGCTACTATATATCCCCGCCCGAGTTGCTGGGGTCAGTAGCAACACTCCACTCCGGCACAATGACAATGGAGATGCATTCTTCAACCGATTTGCTGCGGCTCACCACGTACTTGTCCGCAGAATGCCATGCGTTCGTGCTCGCGCGCACCATTTGCAGAGCTGCATGTCGCGCTCAACGAATCGAAGAGCTTACTGGTGATGAGATCCACTGAAAGCGGGTTCAAGAGCTTTGTGTTGGTTGACAATACGGCGTACTGTTGCGACTTCGCATTGCGTTATGTCCACTATAGTATCTCCAGCTCGATATTGGTCGCAACATTACCTTGCGTAGCACGGCTATATGGACAGACCGTCTTCGTCTTCTCCACGATCTTCTCTACATCTTCCTTCTTCATCCCCCGGACTTTGACTTTCATGTCAACCCGTAAGCCCAGATCCAGCTGCTTCATGTCGCCCACCAGATGCACTGTTGTCTCCACGATGCTATCTTCCTTGTTTTCGGGCATCTTCAGACCCATCCCGAGCGCTGATGCGTTCATGGCACTTTGAAAGCATGCTCCGTAACCCGCGGCGAACAGCTCTTCGGGGTTCGTCTTGCCTCTATCTCCAGCGCCTCCGAGAGCTTTGGACATGGTGAGGTCGACAACGAGATCATCGCCCTCAACATGGCCAGTACGAGCGCCTACCACCTTAGCATGAGCGGCGTAGAGAGAAGGTGCTGTTGCTGTATCGAGGAAGCGTTTCTGCGTAAGGCGGATGGTGCGCGGGGCGGCGCGAGCCAATGGCTGAATCATGCGGAAGGCCATGTCTGTAATGTTGCCAACCTTGTCCTTCTTATTTTTGGGCAGACTGATCCAGAGTACGTTACTTGGGAGGTGTTCGTCGATCTGATCAACTGCTCCGGCATGGTATGGTACAAACTCCTCAGGGGTTACTGCGTTACATGTCGCTGATCCGATGACGCGTGGATAAAGCTTATGGACACGTCCAAGCGTCGAGACACCGTCTGCATAGTCTGCAGAGCCGTCAAGTGTACAAATCTACGGAGGGTATAGGGCTGGATATCGACGAGTGTTACAACCATGGCTCCTCCGCCGCCATTTGCTGTCGAGCAGGTGGGTAGGTTGACCCGTATACCCGTCCCTGATCTCCGAAGCCATGACGAGCTCCAGATGACTGACTTGATATAGTGGATGGACGAGTACGAAACGACCGCCAAGTACAACATAGCCGAGACTTGTTGCGCCAGCATATCCATCAATGAGCTTGTCTCTCTCTCCGAAAACAAGCAGATCCAGCCGAGTGACCTGATCGATCTGTCAGCCGTCCAGAACTATGGCGAGATCAGAGGGTCTCCAGGGCTCCGCAGTAGGTAGAGCGATGTATGGGCTCCTAGTTGCCTGAACTATAGCTGACCGCGTTGCCCAATTATCTTCAGGCAACCTCAGCCGCTTGTACTCCAGCAAGGTAGGCACACCTTTGCCACCGGACAACATCCTGATCACGCCAGGAGCCATTGCCGCAAATTTCTTGGTCTTCTATGCGCTTCTCAAGCCGGGTGACCATGTAATTTGTCACTATCCGACGTATCAGCAGTTGTATTCTGTACCAACCTCGCTAGGCGCCGATGTTGACTTGTGGCGGTAAGCATGGCGATGTGTAAACCGCTCCATAGAAGCCCGAGCACCGACTGACCCTCCTATCCATTCATGTTCAGGTCTGAGCCGGAAGACAAATGGCTGCCGGACTTTGAGCACCTGAAGGCGATGATCAAGGAGAACACGAGGATGATCATACTGAAGTATGCAGTCTCTTCGCCTTGATAAGTAGCTAAGCTAAGACATAGTAGTAACCCTCAGAACCCGACAGGCCAAGTCCTTCCAAGGTCTTTACTGCACAAAATCATCGACCTTGCGGAAAGCAAGGGCATTACCATCCTTTCCGATGAAGTCTACCGGCCTTTGTTCCACGGCATAACACCAATGGACGCCGAGTTCCCACCCTCGATATTGTCACTGGGCTACGCCAACACGATAGCCACAGGCAGTCTCTCCAAAGCCTACTCTCTTGCTGGCGTCCGCGTCGGCTGGATCGCAAGTCGTAATCGATCCATCATTGAGCAGTGCGCTCAGGCACGGGATTACACCACAATATCCGTCTCTCAGATAGATCAGCAGATCGCCTCGTTTGCCTTGTCGCCAGAAACGTTGCACTCTTTACTTGGACGCAACATCCAGCTTGCGAAGGCAAATTTGGAGCTCCTGGAACGGTTCGTTGTCAAACATGATGAGTACTGCTCTTGGGTCAAGCCTGTGGCTGGTACAACGGCTTTCGTAAAGTTTACCCGAGACGGCAAACCAATCGATGCTAGGACTCTCTGCACGACGCTACAAGAGAAGACTAGTGTCATGTTCTTGCCTGGCGATTGCTTCGGCGAGGAATGGAAAGGCTATGTAAGGATTGGGTATGTCAACCGAACAGAAGTCATCAAGGAAGGGTTGGAAGAGGTGAGGAAGTTTATGCGGAAAGAGTACGATGACCTGCCGCTATTTGAGTAGTCGAAGCACACAGCCACAGACGTTGGACTCATTATATCCGCCCTCGTGCACATTGTATCAACAACCTACAACTCCACTGAGCTGTATCGTCGGTTGTACCAGGTCTGTCGGGCTTCCGACTCCGTACCACTCACGCCACTTCCGCTGTCATCTTGACATACATGACTGCTTGCCACCACATGGTCCCTTGATCCGTAGTGTGATTCACAACCTTCGTGCTCCCGGTGCCAAATGCATGCACATTGTTCCAAGGTGGCTCGCCAACACTACAGCACACTTCGTCAGCAACCTTCTATCATCCTTGAAAACCACGCAGTAGCTTGCCAGTCATTCACAAACCACCTCGCAATCTCAAGAGTATCCCCGCCGTAGGCAAAGCTGACAGCATCGTTGTCGCAGTCGTAGTACGTATTCGGGTCAACCAGCGCTCCGCCTGGAGCCACATTACGGGTGCAATCCGTGTCCAAAGCGATGCCGGTGTTCTGGTCGCAAAAGTGGAAGCAGACGTAGCTTTGTTCTGAGCAGTTGGGGGCGGCTTGAAAGATCTGGAGATTGCTGATCGTCCAAGGCATTGTTTCACCGGGACAAGAGGCTTGGGCGACGGCAGCAGTGGTCGTAGTAACGGCTGCACTGGTTGACGCTGGTCCGGTGGTACTTGTGTCTGGTATCGTTGCGGCTGCGGCAAAGGTGAGGCCAGCGGCTGTGGCGAGGAAGCGGAAGGCCATGTTGACTTGTTTCTGTTACTGCGAACAGGACGCCTGGTGAAGCGTACAAGCTAGAGATGCCTTTTGCAAGGCCTCCGTGCAGTGCTGTTGGTCGCAGCGTTCCGTTGCCGCCAAGAATACTCTCGGAATGCGGGCAGTCAGGAGCAACGGTGTAAGAGCAAGAAGCGGAAGGAGGAAGCACGTATGAGGAGGCTAGAGAAGGATACCCATGGTTGATCTATCTCTGTCGCTTGATAAAGGTAATAAGGCTTTTAGGCCGCTCGCTGCTGTTGCACCGTCTGTTATCGCTGGCGACACACCTGCGTTACTATTGGTGATTAGCAACGCATCAATCATGAGCGGTAACCATAGACTTGCACCGTCAACGATGAGCAGGCTGGCGGGCTCCGATAGTGCACCATCGATTCGTGCAGATGGCATCCGAGACATGCGAACTTCCGGGACTTGCGCGTGGCGTTTCTGCTGTGTCGCATTGTGCTCGGGAAGGAATCCAAGATTTGGATTGCATATAATAGAATCGTGACGCTATACTTGTGCAGTTGCAGGTGTAACTGTTTGACCGGAAGTAGTAATCTTTAACATCATATGAAACTATGTTCGAGCAGTCAGTATGATCCACGATACTTATTTCTGCAGTTGCTGTCATACTTTGATGTGTAAGGCTCTTGTGCAGTTGATTTTCTCCATCCTTCGTCCGGTCAGCGGTTTTTCATAAGCTCAAGTAGTTTTAGAAACCAAAGTAGCGTTTGTAGACTCACGTAGCTTTTGTAAATTCAAGTAGCTTTCAGACTCAACTAGCTTTTAGAAACCCAAGTGTATAAGACGAGCAGTTTCCCTCGCTCTCTACCTCTGTTGTGCGACCAGAACACTCTTTCTATATGGTTCGACTCCCGTAGAATACTACAGCACAGTGATATGACCATCTTCTAACATCTATCCTGCACGACCACCCCCTCGACGACTGAGATTGATCATGGCACCCGCCTCAAACTCGGCTCAAGTAAGCGTCAAAGCCATCGCCAGCTAAACCTCTGATGCACCAAGCATCAAGCAACCTTCCTCAGTGCAAAATACTGTCGCCGCTCTCGACGAGCTGGTCCCGGCCAAGGCCCGCGTCTTCGTGGCCGGTTGCAGCTAGCACAGTCGACATACGAGGCGTTGGTCTCTCTGGCCCAGACTATCGATGCCGAGGTCCTCCGTCGCGGCTTAAAGCAGATGGCCGCCGTGGGTATGTCTGACGCCCAAAAGGCCATATGGCTTTGGAACTGCCACGCGCAGACGAAGCGTGGACGACAGACGCCGGTCCAAGTCTTGCTGCAGCCTAAGCTGCGCAGCGTTCGCGCTGGTCTGGAAAAGCTTACGGATGCTGAGCTCGAGGCGCGCATTGGGACTGTTGTTAGCCATGCGAGAACTATGCAAGCTCGTTCTCAGACGAGCACGCTGCGGCGTATATATGTGTGGTACGTTCTGCTTCTGGGGAAGACTGTCAAGTGGAAAAGAACCCTCAGCAGGGACGGGTGTCATGTTGTTTGACAGCTGGTGGTCGGAAGGTGAGCCGCTTTGTTCGTCCTAATCGAAGCGGTGAGGGTCATGGCGAGTTTGCTGGCAGATTTCCAAGTGCTGCATGAGGCTATACACTGGCCCGATAGGGAAGCTGTAGCAAAGACTTTCAACGCGATCGAGCAGGCTCGCTTGCCAACGGTGTTGCGGCGCTATCCTGGCGTCCACGCCTAAAGTGCCGATGCGCATGCTTGATCGATGGCACTGAGGGAGTTTAGGACGGGGAAGTTGCAGCTTACCGGACTGTGCGTAGGCGTAGGTCGACCCGCATGGACAGCGAGCCGCGCTGCTGGTTGAGCGTGGCAGTCCATCGTGCCGTCCGACTAAAGACTTGCCGAGTCGGACGGGGCGAGGTTAGCTCCGCGAAATAACGACGTTGACAACGGAGTAGCTGAACGATGCTTGGGAGGCGCTCGCTAGTTGAGCTGCAATACTGCAACAGACTGTCAATATGCTCTGATCGCTCAGTATGCTTACACAGGGTATAATACAACATCAATCATCCTCGTACATCTCATCTATCTCACCCTCAATATCGCCGTTGATACTTCTCCACACTCTCTCCCAAAGACCCTTCTTGTGCAGCATAGCCAGCACAAGCACGATCGGGAGTTGCCAGACACTGGCCCAGAACAGCGCTCGTGCCGAGCCCTTCTCGGCGTTGTGCCACCAAAAGCGAAAGGCTTCTCTTGCCATCCAGCCATTGATGACGCTGCTAGTAACCACAAACCCCTGGTCTGTGACGTTGTAATAGCTCAGTCCCGCACATATCGGGAACATGACCAGGCTGTATCGCAGCGAAACACGTGCAGCCATCGGTATGTTGGTAGACGTCAACATCTTGTACCCAGCATTTGCGTACTCATGCCTAACGGCGTGAGACAGCGCGAAGAAGTGCGGGAATTGCCAGGCGAAGAGAAGAGCTGCTATCAGCCAGCCTCCCACTGCCTGCTCGGTGAAGAGAAGTTCTTGCGCTTCTGTCCATATTGATGCAGGATCGCTCAGTGAAGCATTGGTTGTGCTGTACTGGCTCGCAGCCGCACACCAGCCCATAAGTGGTGGGATTGCGCCAACAACCGCCCCGACCCAGGTATTGACTGGATGCACGCGTTTCAGTGGCGTATAAGCAAAGGCGTAGAGCGCGATATTGCTCGCGCCTAAGATTGCAGTCGTCGGGTTGACACCTTCCCACAGCAGCGCCGTACCTAGTACACCCGTTGCAATGGCGAACAGCAGCGCTGATCGCTTGCTGACCAGCCCTCGTACGAGCGGTCTATTACGTGTCCGGCTCATCTTGGCATCGTAGGCCGGCTCGAAGAGCATATTGAGCGTGTTGGCGGAAGCAATGGCGAGGAACGTCCCGCTGGTCAGATACAGCAGCGTCAGCGTGCTCAAAGATGGCGCATCGGTAGCTGCGTGGGTGAGGAGGGCGGGCACGGGGTATATCGAGTAGGTCGCAGTCGTAGTAAGCACAATCAAAAAGGCCAGCCGTGGCTTGCTGAGGGCGAGATAAGTCGAGATAGCGCGCCGTAGGGACTTCGCCGGCGCGGCCGCCGCGCTCCGTGAAAGTGTAGATGAGGCATCAGGAGGCAATGGTGCGTCTATGGTCTCTTCTGCGACAGCGGCTGCCTTTAACCGCTTCCGTCTTCGATGTGGTGGTTCTTCCGCAGCCGGTAGCACGAGGTCGTCCGGACCCGCCTCATTGCTTCTCGTAGCGCTCGACCGTCCTCCCACCCCCTTAACACCTACTCCACTCGTCTCTGCCTGCTTAAAGCCATTGGCCCAGAAGAAGCTCTTATTGACGCTTTCTCCTTTCGTAACGGCTATCTGCTGCCTCCGGAAAGCGACGTGAAACTGTTGCCGGCCATCTCGCGCCGCTGTCCGAGCGAGCCTCCTAGCACAGCGCAGACAGATAGAATCGCTGAACGAGATGCGGAAAGCAGCCAAAGCTGGCCGGCGAAGTGACATGCAGCGCGAATCTTATGCACGCATTTGTTGGTAGTAAATGTCGTGAGCAAAAGGACGGACTATTGCCGCAACGAAGGTTCACGGCATGAGCACGGACCACTTGTCGACCACAATGCTCGGAATGATTAGTACTACTTGCTTAACAACTTAACAAGCGGCTGGTTGAACTATGACTATGTGGTCGGGTACAACAAGATGGAGATGAGCACTCCGTCATCCTCTCGCCAATTGCTCCCTCGCTTCAGCCAAATCTGCCTCGCTCGGCATGTTGACAATCATCAGATATAGCACATCTTCCCTCATCATCCGCTTGACGGGTCCAAGTGGTCCGCCTCGTGTGACTACTCTACCGCGCATACCTCCTCTACCGTCCCACAAGCCGCCACCAGCCGTAGCTGCCGCACCTCGAGCATTGATTTGTCCTCTCCAGCGCGACGCACCGCCTCTGGACGTAGAGGCGCCTGCCATAGCACCGACGATGCCGTGAATAAGGCCTCCATGTCCGCGGCGACTGGCGCGCATTCCACCTAGACGGCCTCCACCACCAAAACGGCCCCTGCCAGCGAAACGGCCCCTACCAGCGAAAGGACCTCCGCCAGTGAAACGCCCGGCCGCAGGAGGACCTCTTCCGGCAAACGGTCCTTCACCACCAAGGCGGCCGCCGCGAACGCCGTGCCGGCCATACCCTGCACCACCTTGCTCGTCTCCGCCGAACAATCCCCAGCGCTGCATCCTCTCTCGCCTTCGCATGGTTCTGGGAGCAATTGCACCACCACTGACCATCGTTGCAAGCCCGCCCTGCCACATAGGATGGTCGGGCTCAGCCACACCGCTTGCGAAAGTCTGCCGGTCTTCGGGCACTTTCAAAGTCGAGCTAGGATCGTCTTGTGCATACATGGCCTGCGCACGTCGATCAAGATAATCCGCCAAGAGTGCCTGAGCATCTTTTGCTTTGTCCTTCAATGTCTCCTGCGCGCCGAAGCGAGCGACGGCGTTGTCAATGTCTGGAAAGATAAGCGGCGCGGCTTGTGGGAGCTCAGCCGCTCCATGTGTCGTCTCAGAAGCAAGACGCATGTCATTCATCTTGTCCATCATGCCGCGTGAGTTGCCGGCACCTTCGTCCTTCAGCGACCGATTGTACTTCGCCACGACCTGGTCAGAGCTCAAGTCGGCTGTGCCAGCTTGCATACCGAACCGGCCACCGATGTTTTCGGCAATATCCCCAATGATACTCGACTGAGCCATGTCTGCGTCAGACTTGTACTGTACAATGAGCGCGTAAAGGCCATGAGGTTTGAACAGTGAATCATTGATGCTGTCAAGGAACGCGTTGGTCCTACTACGCCCTTGGACCGCTGAACCGAAGCGGGCCCCTTCACGCACGATGACCGCAGCCGCGATAGCTGCGGGACTGGGTATAGCGTGCAGAGCGAGCGCTGTAACACGAACGATGTCGAAGACTGGCGACGCTTTCGCCGACTTCTGGAAGTTGTCTAGAAAGTTGAGGAATGTGGCCTGGTCGAGGCCACAGTCTTCGAGTACCGGAGCATAAGCACGCACGAAGCCTCGTTCCTTATTTCTTGGCCGTCGTTGTGGGATAATGACCGGCAGCGGGAGCGGCTGATACGCCCTGTGCGTCGCAGGACCTGCTCTGTTGACCGAGATGACTTCGCGAACGTGGTCTGCAACGTTGTCCTGATGCATCCCTCTTGCCTGGTAGGACGGTGGGTTGTGCGAGCCATGATGAGGACCCTGGAGCGCTTCATCGAGATCCCAGTCTTCTTCGTCGTCTTCGATGGAGAGGTCGTCAGCATCGAAGAACTCGTCTTCGTCATCGTCCTCGTCGTCGTGGTACTCAGCAGGAGTAGCCTTGCTGTCATGTGTTGTAGGCGCGCCCAGATCCAGCGAGCGCTCTGTTGGGTCTCCCCGCGCTGCTGAGTACGTTGGCGGAGGATCCGGGTCAGCGGCTATGCCTTCATGGCGGGCGTTAGATGGTCCGGCTATTGATGGGTCCTCGTGCTGCTGGGCATCTTCATGCGCAGAGGGCTGCTGCTTCTGTTGTTTTCGGTGTTCGCTGTACTCCGAAGCGGCTCCGACGCTGGTGCCAATGAGGTTCATGAACCCGCCGATGGGTCCACGTCTGGTATTGGACATTATGGAAGGATTAATGGCTGGCTTTGAGGCGCTGGGATAGAGTCCTGGATTGACACGTTTGAGCTGGTGGATAAGTTTCCCTTGTATCGCAGTGCCCTCAAAGGTAGGGTGTAACGGCTACGAAAGAGTTGTGCAAAGCCTTGAAGGAGTGCGTAGAAGAATGGAGCTGAGAGCGCAGGACGAGGGTGCAATGAAATGCATTACTTATACCTTACCTACAGGCAGCTTCACCAAGCAGCTATACGTACCTTGTCGCGTAGATCGATGGCTGTCCACAGTGCTTGATGCTCGCTGATGCCCGTTCGTCGCAGGAGTGAGATGGCGCAGCAGGTCTGAACTCTTTCGCTCAGGACTCTCTAGCCAATTAGGTCGAAGCGGAAGGAGCGGGCGGGATGCTCCTTCCTCCTCAAAGCAGTAGCAGATGCGACTGCTTCATGCTTGCCTTCTTTCGGAAGCTAGAATTCAACTCTGCTTGATCAACACTCACGCAAACTATGCGGCCAGCTATCGCGTTCACGGCCGCAATACTGCTGCGCCTTGGCCTTATCCACTTCGGATACACCGATATAGACTACCTTGTCTTCACAGATGCGGCACGCTTCGTTTCAAAGGGCCGCTCGCCATACGATCGCGCAACGTACCGCTACACGCCTCTGCTTGCGTGGATACTGTGGCCTACAACATCCCACGGCATCTGGTTCGAGTATGGCAAAGCTCTCTTCGCTGCTGCTGACGTTGTTACTGGATGGCTCATGGTACAGATACTACGAAGGCGAATGGCACTTGGACGGAGCACAGACTACGCTTGCATTTGGCTGCTGAATCCAATCGTCGCCAGTATCTCAGCCAGAGGTAGCTCGGAGGGACTCGTCGCTCTGCTCGTTGTTTCCTTGCTTTGGGCGACGCTGGAGAAACGACCCATCTTGGCCGGTCTTCTGCTGGGACTGGCTGTTCACTTCAAGATTTATCCCTTTATCTACGGCTCAAGTATTTTGCTGTGGCTTGAGAGAGATACCACTTCTGCCGCATTGGATCCCAGCTCGTCTTTGGGCGCACGGTTGTATCGGCGTGCTACCAGTGCGGTCTGGCAACCTGCGCGAGTAAAGCTTGTAGTTGCGAGTGCAATATCCTTCCTGCTACTAAACAGCATAATGCTCTACCAGTAAGTGGACGCTCTCTATCTCTCGTACAGTCATTAACATTCGTAGCTATGGCATGCCCTTCGTTGATCATACTTTCTTACACCACATAACCCGCATTGACCATCGTCACAACTTCTCGGTCTACAACACCATCCTCCACATGAGCTCGGCTTATCCCGCATCAGGCTTCATCATGCAGATCGAGTCGATAGCCTTCATCCCGCAGCTTTTGCTGTCCGTCGTGCTTGTACCATTTGCATCGGCTAGGAGAAATCTTGCCGGGTCAATGCTTGCGCAGACGTTCGCGTTTGTGACCTTTAACAAGGTCTGCACCAGCCAGTACTTTCTTTGGTACATGGTCTTCTTGCCGCTATATCTGCCCGATACAACGCTCCTTTGGGGTCGGCGAGGCTTGGTTATGATCGCACTTTGGGTGCTAGGGCAAGCGGTGTGGCTGCAGCAAGGCTACGAGCTGGAGTTTCTAGGACGCTCCACTTTCGTGCCAGGGTTATGGCTGGGGAGCATAGCGTTCTTTCTGATCAACTGCTGGATTCTGCGGATTATCGTTGAAGATGTTGGCTTTTGCGGCATCGGAACCACATCGAAGAAGCAAAATTGATCGTTCATCCGATGGCCTTTACGCAACCCATGGCGGCACCAGCGGCAATACCACCCATCACCAGCATCTGTATGCCATTGTTAAAGCATACCCAGCGGTCAACTTCTCCAATTAGCGAGGTCTTTGTCCAGCCAAAGACGAACAGCGCAATGGCCATGACGATAACGCTTCCGACAAATGCTTGCTGGATGCTCGAGAGGAAAAGGTATGGCAGCAGCGCCACAAGGCCGCCAACCACGTAGCCTAAGGCGATGGTGATGCCGGAGATGTATGCTTTGGAGGGAGCAAAGTCCGCCTCGGCAAGCTGGTGATGGAACCGCATCAAGAAGTCGACCATCTCGTTAGGCGAGACCAGCAGACTGGTGACCATCGAGGACAACGCATCCTCGGAGAAGTCATACTTGTCGAACGTTCCGCGGACGAGGCTGGCTGCGGTATGGTGATCGTTCGCTACTATCGCCTTTGTCTCAGAAAGCGCAGCTTGATACGCCTCCGCTTCACTCTTTGCGCCTAGGTAGCCTCCCAAACCCATCGAAATGCCACCAGCGATGAGCTCTGCGAGACCTCCGTAGATGACCACGTTAGTGTCTCCGAGAGCTGAGAGACCAGCTGTGAGTGCGAAAGGCACGGTTAGGCCGTCGCTGAGACCGATCGTAGCATCGCTAATTATGCGTGGGTTGATACGAGAGTGTAGCAGATGGCTGTTGCTGCTCGCCAACTTTTCATTGATCACGAACGAATCGCTCATGGCAATGCCGGAGTCCGTTGAGGTGCCTCGTTCGACATCGCTAGCCGGCGTACCAGGTCGGACCGGTGTATACTTTCCACTCTGCTGCTGAGGAAACATCATAGATCTCAGGAAGAGTACCGCCATCTTGCAACGACTGAACTGTAAAGCAACGAGACACGGTTTACAGAGGGAGGTAAAGAGAGAGGGTACGCTACCGTGAAGTCATTCTTAAGAGCGGCGAACCAGCAACTAATGCTTGACCTCGAACAAGCAACTGATCTCCGTTGAACCTGCAGTAGCCTGCAAGCTGCTCTGACACGTGCATAGAAGGAAGGCATGCATGGATTCCTTTTGGTTGGAAATGACGGTTGAGGCGGCAGACTCGCAGGCGAAGACTTTGCGCCCCGCGCCCGCAGCCGTGCAACAGACCGAAAACCAGCCGTACGCTGAGAACATCCCGTCAACCCCAGGGTGCCAGAACTGGAGGATTCTTTTTTCGAGACAAGCCTAGGATAATGCATGAATCTTTCACATGACATGCATTTAAGATAATCATATCATAAATGTCAGATGACAGGATTACGGATGAGAAAGATAGAATTGCTTTTCGTTCGTAGCTACATCATTCATAAATCTAGACAGCAAACTTCCCCTTCGCTAAAATTTCCAACACGCTATGCTTCCCACGGAACCTAACGATAAATACAACATGCCTAGTTGGACACATCGTTGTACGCATAGCCAGCAGGTGGGTGCTGGCCATCCGGAATGACGACAGTGTTGTTGTAATAGCTCGGTTGGTTGCCCCACGTAGAAGCAATCGCCGGCAGGATGAAACGGCCAGTACGTGGCGAGGTGATCCTAACGTTCGGCGCCGGGTAAGGAGCCTTCTGGAAACCGCTGTTGAAGGGACCGGCGAACGACGAGTTGAGGAAGACGCTGTTGTTGGCGCTGGTGACGGCCGGGTTGGCTTCAATGCTGTCGTGGGTGATGTCGGCGACATTCTTGAACACGTTGGCACCAACGTCCCAGCGGCCAAGAGTGTTCAACCACCAGTTAGCCTCAACCGTGGCGATCTCGGAGTAGTGGTTGTAGAAGTTGGAGTCCTTGGTACCGGCTTTGCCGCTGACAGCACCGCCGAGGAGGAAGGAGAACACGCGGTTGGCGAGGCTGTAGGTGTGGTTCTCGTCGAAGGTGACGAGAATTAGCGTGTTCTTCATGAAGTACTCGTTGCTGAGCAGCGGCTCGAGGAACGTGCGGGTCCAGTTGCCGGCATAGGTGACCGAGGTGTCGTGGCCGTCATTGAGCATGTTCGGCGTGATGAAGCTCCATTGGGGCAGCTGCTCGGCGGCAAGATCGTTGTAGAACTCAGTCAAATTCTTCTGCACGGCCAGACGCTTGGGCGTGGTGTTGGAGTTGTAGATGACAGTTGGGTGGTGCTTGCGGACGTAGCAGTTCTTCTTCGTCGTGCCATTGATCCAGGAGAAACCTTCGAAGCCGGTGTAGGGCATGCACTCCTGGTACGTGGCCCACGAGATGCTGCGAGCCTCGAGCAGGTCCACAACGGTAGAGACATTGGCATCGATTTGGTTGAAGTTGTCGTTGTCCATGCCGAAGTTGTCACCGCCAACAGCCGCGACATAGTTGGGCTCGGAGGGGTGCGTTACGCCGAAGTAGTTCTCAAGCGTGATGCCTTGCTGTGCGAGCCATAGCAGGTTCGGGTCCTGGGCGGCAGCGCTGTAGTCGGTGTTCTCAAGCCAGATGGTGATGAAACGGTCGAAAGCGAGACCGGGAATGTATGGACCGACCTTGGCGTTGGAGGGAGCAGTTGCTTGAGCAGCGAGAACAGCGGACGTGCTGGTGGCAGTGTAGGTGTTTGGCGCAGGGGTGGCGGCCTGGTAACCGGCCAGTTGACTGAGCTCTGCACCGGCAGCGTTCAGAAGGCTGGCAAGACCATTCTGCGGGCGAGCAGCAGCGCCACTGATGGCGAGTGCGAGAGCGAGAGCGTTCATCTTGCGGATAATAGAAGAGTATATGCAAAGGATCGTGTGTTCTCTTAGAGGCAATCGAGGGAGTGAAGGGGTTAGGAAGCCCAACGAGAGAGTTTGATGCTGACCTCGTTATGGACAGTTCGGGGCGTGACCCTTGATATATGGGTTTGAACACACGAAGCCCACGTTCCCAGAGTAGCCGTCTCGCGGTGGCGACACCCGGAAGCTCACTTCAGGTGGTCCACCATGGATGCCGCGAAGCCGCCTTTCCAGAGCTTGCAAACAAGCAGCCAGTGACAACGAGTCTATCCCATTGGCTCAGTTACCCTGATGAGGTTCGAGTTGTGACCAAGAGAAGCCTTCCAGAAGACCTTTCCTGCAGTAGTACGACCATGCTAAGCCTGCTTGGGCGGACTTTGTGACGGTGAAGCAAATTTGACGCTGCGGCGATGCTACGTTAACTGGTCGCTTCGTCCGACGATGCTGATCTCGGAGTAGGGGTGTCTGTCAGAGCAGTTGGAACATGTGTTGAAGTCCTTGTTCCTGACTGGTTCGTACCTGGCAAAGCGGATTTCTGGAGCGGGCCGAAATGCAGGGCGACATGACGCCAACTCTGCCAGAGCCTCTCGCCGTCGAGCTGTGTGTCTCCAAAGTCTTCAAAGGGCAGCTCGGCTTGGAAAACCAAGCATCTGCTGGGCCGCCATGGCAAGGTAAGTGCATGCTTAGCATCTCTTAGCCTTTGCTTCAGAATGTTCTCCCCACTCACGACAGGTTGATCCGGGCGTCATTGCGCCACTTTTTCTGCTGGCCGAGGTTGGGCCTGGTCATGTTGACTTCACATCTGGTGAATGGGAGAAGCACGTGGGTGCGTAAGCGTTAATACGGCAGCTCGAAGGAGGACGGCGGTCACCTTGCGGCAATTGTGAAGTTTTTGTGCCATAGTGGCGTCAGACTGCGTTTGCAGCTGATACACGTAACAAGGGTCGTACTTTCACAACGGCGCTCTAAGCGTGAAGTGTAACAAGCATGGCTGCTTACGACGAAGAGGCCGGGCAGGATCATGGTGAGGAGCACGAGTCTGCTTCCGATGAGCATGGCGATGATCAGAGGCAAGGTCTACTCGGTCAGCGGCGGGAGAAGGATGTCGAAGATGGCGAAGTCAATGACAATCCCGCGCGGGAGAAGGAGAGACGGACAAAGATGGTCGCCATCGGGACCGCGATCCTGTTCGCAATCATAGTGATCGTTGGCTTCGCATTATGGCCGGGATCCGTGACGGAGCACACCATAGAGGACGCTGTAGGTGTGCAGACGAACGACTATGTCCTCGACACGGAATGGGACTATGAGGCGAGCCCTCAACGCCGAGAGTATACCTGGACTGTCAAAGATCAGGTACATAACCCGGACGGCATCTATCGCCAGATGATACTCATCAACAATCAATATCCTGGCCCTTTGATCGAAGTGAACGAAGGCGACACTATCGTAGTGCATGTGGACAACCAGGCCACCAACGCAACTGCCCTCCACTGGCATGGAATCTACCAAAACGGCACGCCGCACATGGACGGCACCGTAGGCATCACACAGTGCGCCATTGCACCTGGCAGAAAGTTCACCTACGAGTTCACGGTCTCCGGTCAGAGCGGCACGTACTGGTGGCATGGACATCAAGGCGCCCAAGCATCGGACGGGCTTTACGGTCCGCTGATCATACATGCGCGGGACGAGAAGAAATTGCAACAGATTCCGTACGCCACTGACAGGGTTGTCATGGTGTCCGATCATTACCATGACCTGTCGTCTGCACTGCTGTGGCAGTACCTCATGCCAGACATGGAGAACGCCGAACCTGTGCCAAACAGCGGGCTCATCAATGGCCGTGCCATCCGGAACTGCGACGATTTCCCGGACCGTAGGTGTGACAACACAACGGCGAACGTAGGACAGCCCGTCTTTAGTCTGGCTCCGGACGAGAACCACAGACTGCGAATCATTAACGTAGGCGCGTTTGCTGAGTTTCAAGTTCAACTTGACGAGCACGAGCTGGCTGTGACGGAGGTTGATGGCACCGACGTCGTGCCTGTTAGCTACCACCGCATTAACATCAATCCTGCGCAGCGATATAGCGTGGTCATCAACACCACTGTCGAAAGCGCAGACAGTTTCTGGCTGCGAGCACGTATGGTCACCTCGTGCTTCACCGACCCGCCAGAAACCTTGCAGCCGGACGCGCTTGCCGTCGTGCGTTACTCGAGCGATGCTGATATCACACCCACGTCGAAAGACTGGTCGGAGCAGCTGGAGGTCGAGTGTCGCGACATGGATACAACCGAGCTTGCTCCTGTCGAAGTCATCCCAGCACCGGCAACAGCTGACGCCTTCTTCTATTTCCGCGTGACGGTGGAGATCGGCGACTACAGACTCAGCCGAGGCATGTTCGACGGCAGCTCATGGAGGCCGAATGCTCGCTCACCCACCCTACTCCGTACGATCGACGGCCTCACCGAAGGTAACACCACTTTCAGTCCAGCCACTACGTCTAGCGGTGCCTTCATCAACGATGTAGCCTTCCATCGCGACCACGAACTAGTGCTACAAACAACCGGCATTCAAACGATTGACATCCTCGTCTCCAACTTCGACGACGGCAACCACCCCCTCCATCTCCATGGGTACAAGTACTTCGTCCTCGCCCAAGGCCATGGCTACCCACCCATGATCAACCCGCTCGACGGCACAAACCGCGAGAATATCCAGCCTTTGTACAATCAGCTGGACCTAAGCAACCCTTTGCGCCGCGACACGGCGTCTGTGGAGGCGTTTGGCTGGATCCTAATACGGCTGGTTGCTGATAATCCTGGAGCGTGGGCAATGCATTGTCATATCAGCTGGCATACCGAGGCTGGGTTGTTGATGCAGTTGTTGACGCGCACGGATAAGTTGGAGGGTATGCAGCTACCGCAGGTGAATCGTGAGCTTTGTGCTGCAGAGGGGGTGGAGAAGGGGATGGGGCCGGATGATGAGGTGTATTGGGATTTGGCGAAGTGAAGAACGACAGACTCCTGGATTGACGACTAAACGTGCGCAATGGCACGAACCGAGAGCCATGCATGACGGCAAGTGGGCATACGCCGCCCAAATGCACTCCGTGGCAAGCACTTTTTGGACGCATACGGTCCAGCCTGAGGTGTTAAGAGTGGACCATCACCGCCCTATCCTAATGACCTACGCACCACCTCGGGGAACAGCTCGTTTTATCCGCCACAAGGCTGGGCCTCGGCGACGTTCCCGACCGCAGACCGTTGAGGCCAGAGTAAGCTCGGCATTCCGGCGCACAAGCTAGAGGCTGGAGCCATGAGATGGCTACAAGCGTTGCAAGAACGCTAGGCTTACATTTGAGCCTAGTCTTCGACGGCGAATATAACTGAGAGTTGCCGTCAGGCGATGATTCTCCAGCCTAGGAAGGTCATTCTCGTATGCCAGGAATGGTTATGCCACCGACGGCTTATAGCACTCGGTATAGTGAGTTCGAGATCTCGAGACAATCTCAGTGCTCTGCATCCGCAAGCGAGCGGGTTCCCGCCATGTTTCAGACCGTTTGAATTGGTTAAGCAGTCAATCAACGACCTCATCAATCAAGGACCAAATTAATTAATGCCTAGATCAATTAATCAATATCTCCTGAGCTCCCGAGCTGTCGTACTCGAGCCTGCTAACATCGTCAAGAACGGCGGAGGATATCGGTTTTCGATACATAGAAACATAAAATGAAGCTCTCAAGTCATAACGACAAACATACAATCGAAGCGTTTTCGGCCGTTAGGTTCATACTGCGCTTCCATCGCGTCCTTCGCTCAAAACGCCCCGAATGCATGCACAACATGATGTCAAATGCTGAAGCTCTTCCAAGCTCTTCCCAAAAGCTGCAAGGAGCTACACAACGGGTATCGCGTCTGTCTCCGGGTACCTGTTCCCAAGTTCTGCCCGCCCCGCTCGCGATCGGTCTTGCTCGCCTACACATAAGCCCTCCGCTGACTCCCACCATACTGACTCCGCCTACTGCCACCACTGGGCCTGTAATCTCTTGGTGGACCACGGTTGTCATACCCATAGTCACGACTACTACGATAGCCGTCACCTCCTCGCTGGCTGCCGGAGCGTCGGCGGTCGCGGTCGCGGCTGGTGTGGGAGGAGCGGTACTCGCGTTTGTAGACGACGCGGTCGTTGTTGTGGTCGTTGCGGTGGTGGTGGTGGACTAGGAGGGCGAAGAGCTGGTGAAAGAATTAGCTGAAGATGTTGATGGGGGGGTGAAGGTATGCTTACGAAAGTCATGAAGAAGAGGATGATGTTGATGATTGCGAACGCGAAGGCGGCCTTCAGCATGGCGCATTGCTTGTTGAACGTGCCATTGATATACGCGCTCCCTCCGTTGAACCCGGCGTTGACGCTCGTGCAGTTCTGATCGGTGATGAAGCGGAGGTAGTAGACGCCTGCTATGAGCGCGCCGAGGATACCCAAGTCGAACAAGGCTACGAAGAGGGCGTCGTGGCGGGCGCGCAGGTAGTCGATGGTGGTGAAGATGGCCCAGGCGAGGGCTATGACGGCGACGATGAAGAGGACGAGGATGTAGTCGGGCGTGAGGAGGTTGGCGGAGACGTATTGGTGGACGAACCAGCCCAGTAGGCCGACGATGACGGGGAGGGTGCAGATTTGGAAGATGCGCCAGGTTAGGAAGAAGAAGCCGGAGAGTGCCATCCTTGGTCGGTGACTCGGGGTTGTGTTGAGCTGTTCAGTGGGTGTTAGGATCGGTCACGTTGGCCTCGAGCTGGTCGGGGGTGGGTGTGCGACTGCGGCTCAATGCATGCGAGTGAGTGGTAGGGAAAAGGTAGAGGTGGTGCGACGGTGAGATGGTAGCTTGGTGGGAGACGATGCGTCGCAATGGCCGAGTATTGACCAAGACAAGCGCAGGAGGGCTTAAAGACCAACAACCAAACGCTTGAAAGTTCCAATGGACAGGAAGTTGAAGGCAAGATGCAGTACTAAAGGTGTACGAGTACCGCTTCCAAGAGTTCAAGCAGGTGTGCCTACACTCGGCCTACCTACAGTACTTACATGAGTGACGATCTTCTTGGTGCGGGCCAACTTAATCCGCATGGCGGGGGAAGGCTGGCGCCGTTAGTGCACGAGCCGTCATTGGTCGGTTTCAGCTTCGACATCCGGTTTCCTCTGCTGCTTGACATCCGACTGCATGACATCCCACTCTACTTTCCAGGCTTCACGTGTCGTAATTCTTGCTTTCGCCTTACATGCTCGCAACAGGCTCCACAAGGTACGTGCAGCACCGTGTCGAACAGATGCCAAGCCGCGCCCTCCCAAGCGGAGACGTCAACTCACAACGCATTGTCTTACTCCCCCACCACCACCACCACCACCGCCGCCTCTGCGGAAGCTCATCGTTCGTATAACATGACTTGACATAACATTTCCTTATGGATGACACGTCAAGCTCTGGGATGTCGTTCGGCTACATCGTCGCCATGTTGCTCACGTCCTTTGTCCACTTAACCAACCATTCCTGGGGTCCAGCTCGGACAAAGCAGCCATTGTCGCAAGCGCCATGAATGACGATTTGGGACTGCCGAGAGAGTCTGGACGTACGGGATCTTCCAGAGTCATCATAATCCAACGTCTATGCTGACCGGATGCGGAGGAAGCTCACCATGCATTTACAACGACGGTAAGTGCCATCTTTCTGTCCTCCTACAGTATTGCCATGTCTTCGTCTTCGTCTGCCTCTTCGTCTGCCTCTTCGTCTAAATCAACATCTCACCTCTTGTTCCCATCTCGTACCATGCAACAACCACAACCCCACGGCGCCGTGCCGCCCACCACCAGCAACACAACCACAATGGGCAAAGTCCAAGTCGGCCGCCCCGCCCCAGACTTCAACAGCACGGCCGTCGTAAACGGCCAACTCAAAGAAGTCGGCCTAACCTCCTACACCTCCGCCAACCACTGGCTCATCCTCGTCTTCTTCCCCAAAGCCTGGTCCTTCATCTGCCCTACCGAGATCCGCGCCTTCTCCGCCCGCCTGGAAGAGTTCCTCTACTCGCGCGCTTGCGCTGTTGTCTTCTGCTCCACGGATTCCGAATACTGTCTCAAAGCGTGGAACAATACCTCCGAGCTTGAGGGAGGGTTGGGAGGGATACATATCCCACTGATGTCTGACTGCAATCATGGTGTTAGCCGCGACTACGGCGTGTTGATTGAGGAGACGGGCGTCAGTCAGCGGGCACTCTTTATCATTGATCCGAAGGGTGTCCTGAGAGGCATGACCGTCAACGATGTCGACGTCGGCCGCTCAGTGGACGAAACTCTTCGCGTCCTCGACGCGCTCAGGTTCAAAGACGAATTCGGCGAAGGCTGCCCCATCGACTGGAAAAAGGGCGACGCTGGGATCTCCACCTCCACCCCTCTCGAAGGAAAGCTGGAACTGAACAAGAAATCCTGGTCCGAATGGGCTCGTCCGAAGCTCCACCGCGCTTGGTCCGGTACCTCGCAGCGCTCCATCAGCTCGATGATGAGTCAGGGTGACAGAACGTCGAAGCTGCTGTCGCTGCCGCCGCCGGAACTGGGTTTGGGCAGTGGGTGTCATTCTGCTGTGCAGAGTGGGCAGCATAGTCCGCTTATTAGTCCGACGAGCGCGGCGAGTCCGTTGGCGAGGGAGATGGACGCGGTGATGTTGGCGCAGCGGATGGAGAACGTGGAGGCTAGTGCGCTGAATGTTGGGGTGACTTCTTGATTGATTTGGGGGTTAGCGCAGTGTCACGGTCGAGGGCAGTGTGATGATGACGGCGGCTGTGATATGGGCGGTGTCTGTCTGTCTCTATCTTTGGCGTTGGTAGGACTATTTGCGTTTGCAAGATTAGATATTGATTGAATGATGTAGTTGAGCATATTGTGACGGTAATGTTTCGAGCAACACTATGATAGTATTACTACCGCCCTGGGTCTTTCATTGCCCTTCGTTCTTATAGAGACTCTCCGCCTAAACGAGCGCTGGTGTGCTAAGCATACACCTTCTGAGATCGGACAAGCGTCACACTACCCTTCCATTACCGCCGCCAGAAGAATGAGAGCCAATGGAGCGAACGCCTCCAAAGCGCGTTGCAATACAATCCCTCAAACGACCGACTTGGCTCCCCAGACCCCACTGTTACGCAACGCTTTTCCAAGCGTACTCTTCATGAAGCACGCCACCCCGCTGAGACGCACATCCACACATCCGCTGATTGTGGCACAGGCGTTGACGCATTGGGTGGAGTTCTTGACTTGCACCATCCCCATGTCGCCGGCGAAGTGGTCGATGCCGCAAGGATGGAGCCTGCGATGTAAGAGGTGAAGTGTAGGTTGAGCTGAAGGCGGAGGAAGAGTTGCTGGAGGTTGGCTTGTAGCTCACACCGATCGCGGCAGAGCTGGCTGGACCCGCTAACCCGTTTACCAATGTGTTTGTAGGGACTGACAAGCCGCTGTCAGCAGAACTGCTGCTGTTGATAGCCGCTTTGCTTGCGGTCGCATCAGGGGATGTAAATGCATAGTCAATGACCGAAGATACGGAAGCGATCAAGCGAGCGCCCCAGACACTGTTCAGCACCGACGAGCCGACAGATGAGTTCCGGTGGCAAGCGGCACCGCTCAGCGAGACATCTACGCATCCCGCAGTGGTTGCACAAGTGTCTATGCATTGCGCGAAGGAGCTGACAGAAACGCTGCCCATATCGCCTGCAGAGTGATCCTGTGTTAAGTAAGCGTCAGCCGGAAGCACAAAAGAACAACGCAGAACAAAAAGCTTACAATGCCACATTCGATGAGAAAGTGAAGCCATGTGAGGCGTAAGTGGTTGCATCGGAATCAGGACAAGCGATAGCAGATGGTGTAATGCTGGTGATGGGTGGTAAGACCGTTGTTGCCGAAGGGGGTGTGGTCTTCAATGTTGTCAGCGGAGCTAGTGGCGCAGTGATCGTGCTAGGTAAGGACGAATTGCTTGCCGACAACGTGCGTGAAATGCTTGCGGTCGCAGAGCTGGACCGGGCGACAACGAGCAGTCTGGCGCCCCAGACTCCATTGTTCACTGGCGCGCCAACCAAAGACTTCAGATAGCAGACTGACCCGGAGAGGCTGACGTCGACACACACCGAGTTCTGCGCGCACGCGTTGATACAATGTTGAAAACTGCTGACCGTTAAGGAGGTGAGGTCTCTAGCAGAGTGATCGATACCCGTTCGTACGGTCAGACAAGCTGCGTTGGCATACGGATCGCGACTGTAGCATACCGCACTCAACCACAAAAGTCTTGCTATTCGAGAGAACCCACGCTTCCTTCAGAAGAGGGGCAGACCGCGACGGCTGACACTGAGGATGTCGCTGAGCTCCTGATTGAGGCTGAGGAGGAGGTGCTCGAAGCACTCGATTTAGAAGTACGAAATAAGTTGCGGCAGATGGTGTCGTTAAACTTGAAGTTGACGAGGCAACCACTGACTTTGCGCCCCAGATGGCACCGTTGCCGACCACTGCACCGATACTGGACTTGAGATAGCAAGCGGAGCCGGACAGGCTTACGTCGACATCAAGCACGTTCTGAGCGCAAGCATCAATGCAGCTCTGAAAGCTGCCCACGTTGGTTGAGGTCAAATCACCCGTAAGGTGATCGATGCCTGCGAAGGCCGTTAGCTGTCCGTGCTCCGCAAACGAATTGTCACTGCGTAGATATACCGCATTCGACCATAAAGCTCTTCCCGCCGGACAGGATAGTCGTAGCATTGCTACCCGGACATGATGGGCCAGCTAACATCGGCGTACCAGCAGATGCTGGAGGAGTCCCAGTCGGTGCAACCCAGCTAGTGTTTTGGTAGACGGTAAGACGATAGCCAGCACCGCAGAATTCGGCACGGTTGCCTGCGGACAGCATGTTGCAATCACTGGCGGGAGCCACTACCGAGCCGCCTGCCAGGCTATTTCCGCAGTAGCACTCGTCGCCGTACTCGACTCCGAAGTACTGATACGCGGAACAGGAGCTAGCACAGTACTCAAGCGTAAGGGACAGGCCGCTAGTGCTGGCAGCGCCCAGTGTGCGACCGGTGGTTGCCTCAGTGTAGCAGTTGACGAAATAGAAGTCTTTGTTGACCACCTCTGGTGTGCTTGGAGCTGCAGCTATTATTGGACGGCCATTTGCGAAGAAAGAAAGGCGAAGAGCGCCGCCGCAGATCTCGCTGCCGTTGCCCGTACATGGCGAGGCGCACGAGCTATCGATAACTTGAGTTGCCATATACCCAAGCGTGCTGCCGCAGAAGCATTGATCGCCATTAGCCAGGCCAGCAATGGTATTGTTACCGGACGCGCAGGTTGCTGCACATGAATCGATAGTCTAATGCCGGACTCTAGTCAGTATCCATACTGCACCTACTGGCGTGTGAGTTCGATAAGTCTTACATTGCTGCCCCCCTGATATGTCATGTTTGTCAAAGTTCGCGCCGGTGTTTGGTCGGACCAGCAGCCTTAGTGGTTCATATTGCCAGCATACGTACTGTTGTCGACATCCGCCGTTGAACTGTTGAGCGCAGGATTAGGATTAGGATCATCACCAGCCTGCTGCCGCGGATAGCCGACATCGTAGGAGCGACCACCATTGCCATAAAAGTTGTCAATGAAGAGGCGCGCTTGTCACGTTGCAGATGCCATCATGACACCAGCGTCATGGCCAGAGGCAACAAAGTCCACGGTGTCACAACTCGTCGCGCTAGGGTTGGGACATGATGGCCGGAAAGCTTGAATTAAGTTGAAGAAGCGTTCATTGCGATTTTTGCCTGCAGTGAACGGGGCGCATGTGGTACTATCATCGCCAAGATCAAGCGTGCCACGAGTGTAGTTAATTGCCTTGCTGTTGTAGTTGGCAAGGATATGGGACCGGCCCGACTTGACAACGTTGACTCCGTAAGTCCTCGGATACTGGGCGAAGTTGGTGTAGCCGTCACGGTAAACGCAACGAGCATTGTGAGGTGTCATACGGACGCTGAGTGTTGAACCAGAGATAACTGTTGGGATTGCCTACCCAGTAAGAGACGGGACTGCGAGTATTCAGCGGCGAACCAATTGCTGCATAACGCTGGACAGTGCATAACGCTGGACAGTGCATAACGCTGGACAGTGCATAACGCTGGACAGTTTGTGCACCAAGGGAGTGGCCTGCGACCACAATCTGCCTCATGTTCAGAAACACTGTTGCATTATCGAAATACTGTATCATCTGATCAAGAAGTGTAGCTCGAAATATTCTTGCTGGAAGTCCAGGGGTATTGGTTGGCACCACCGGCCGACCACTGCGAGCCAGACCAGACCAAGCAGTTGGTGATTGATCCTTGAGCGGGCTTGAGGCCGTTGACCCAAGGATAGCCGGTTGTCCACTTGTCATCGCCATTAGGAAAGTAGGGCGCAACTATGGCTACCGAATCGGTGTTAATGTCGGAGTTAGGTACCTTAGCGAGGGCACTCAGTTCCGTTAGACATGTAAGTGCCAGGGTCTCTCGATTCAAACCATGAATTATTATGGTTGCACGCTTGATCTTGGAACTGATGAGACGCTCGCCATTGCTTCCGTGGTCAACGTGGTTGATCAAGGTGAGGTTGCTGTAAGAGCCATTGTGGATTTTCCAGTACGTGACCTCCGCGCCGGGCACGAACGGAAGGGAGTTGTTAATATAGTCACCTGCGTACTGTTGAGCACTTGTGAGGTCGAGGATCAGTGCAAAGAGAAGGAAAAAGGGACGGTAAGGGTGCATCGTGACAATGTGCATTGGAAAGACTGCAAGGTGTGGTGCTTACGATGTGTGCCACACTGAACGAATGCATGAGGTAAAGCACCAAGAGCTTTTAAAGTGCTGAGCAGAGTGTACTTCAGGCAACAGCATGAGCCATTGTGAGGCCGCAAGATATTATGAGTGCGTTCCTCCGGAATACATTGAGCGGCCAGACGTAACCAGATTGGCGGACCGTGTATCATTACGGCCTTGATCGAAAGAAAGAGTATCAACCAGTCCTGTCCTGGACATTGAGGAGTGCCCGACGTCAGCGAGGTCTCAGGTCGACGTTGCCGCTGCATACGTTCAAGGCTCGTTTGGGCAGACCCTCGACCTGCTGTGGATGCCCCGTGTTCGCTCTCGGCCCAATGCAAGTACAGCGATGCAGACCCAATTCGGATGCTTTCAAGGAGATTTTGACGCTACCATCGACGTGAGACACATTTCGGCGCTCAGGTTGCCTGCCGTACGGCACATAATGTCTTGAATCCCAATAGATGTCGACCAGTCCTTGTGCAAAAGGTGAGGAAACTGTATAAGTGATGGTGATCCGTGTGTTTTGGGAGCTTCGCGTTAGCATTGTCCATGCTGTCCCGAGCACCTATCGATCGGTATCGGCTTGTATAGCAGCTCACCAACATGCTACTGACGTTGTGCACAACATCACTACTTGGGGTGGTTTGTTTGTGGGATTGTAGTATGGTGCAGGCTATGCTGGATTCCAGGCGAAGTGACGATTGCTTATCGTCAAGTCTGATTCTCACGCGGCCAGACAGGCACTATCCGCGACGCTCCCGTTCGCAACATCGCGGCGAGTGGTTTCGGAGACATGACAGTTCTACATGACTTACGCAGGAAGAGTAAATGTGGCAGTGAATCGTACAGGGCTGGCGGCCCCAAGCCCAAGGCAGCAGATGGCTCGTGCTTGAAGAGGCGTTTGCAATTCAGCTTGACAGGCCTCTTTCAATGCAGCCGCTGACCTCTCGTGCGAACGATTGCGCCTCGCGTCTGTTAAAGTCTTCCGTGTGATACACGCCATGACTTCGGGAGCACTCACGGCGTGGGGATGAGTCTCGCAACCATCACAACACGTTCCCTTTGCCCCTGATCTGTCGCCCTGAAGACATCGCCCCGACGAAGTCGCAGTAAGTGTCTTCAATCCCGCCCTCCGTCTCGTGCCTTACCTTCCACATGATCGAGCAGCAGCTCGGACTTGTGTTGGTTCTCTCGTACCTTGACCAATCGGCCTTCTAGGCGAATGGGGTGGTGCCTAGAAGGTGACGCATATGCAAGGATATGTAAGGGACAGGTAGGCAAGTTTCACCATAACTTCAACTTCTAGACTCGTTTGTATTCCATGTTCTTCTTCCGGAGAGTCTCACAGATGACTCACGACTTTGGCATGCTCTTCCTGACGAGGTTGCCTGGTGTGCTAAGCCCTCTTGAGGCCGCACATTCGGGCGATGACGAAGCATATGACACGGCCTATACTGCCCCCATGACTGTGTTTCTCATTCATATACCGCATCAACTATCCTGCCCATTGGCCACCTGGTTGTGTTTAAGCAGACCTTGTTGAGGGCAGAGCACATCTGACACCAAATCATACACCAATCTACTGCGAGCCTTGTAGAGACGCATCGCAGAGAATATCCACAATAACCTACGCTTGTGTAAGCCACAATTCCCACTGGCGGATTCAGTCGCACCGAAGACGCTGTCTGACAATCGTCGAGACTCCAAGTGCTGCGAAGATCGGAAGCCAGCGGTTGACGTATCCGAGAACAATTCGATCGAGAGCTCCGATCTTAACGCCGCCGAGATGCCGAAAGACCAAGGCAAGGTCCGTAAGGGCCAGGCACAGATTTACACTCAAGGTCGGTGAGAGAAGTAGTACTACACTCCACAAGGGAGCAGTTCTCTGACTAGGACTGTTCTAGACCCACCGTCACCAGCCTCTAGTGTCAAGTCAACTGTACGCTCATCAACCAAGCCGGTTGTCCACAAGCCAAGCGGCCCAGTCTATATCGAAAGCTCGGAGGGTAAGGGCAACGGTGATTACTACCGGTAGCCCCTGATGATGTTGGTGTCTGCATGATACTGGTGCACGACTTGGACGAGGTTCGGCAGTTTGCTGACGCGAGGCGTTTGTGTCGGTTTAGTCCCGTGGAATATACTGTAACCCAGAACGTAATGTCCGGCATTGACATAAGGTTAGATGGAGTGCCTCACCGGCAATGTATCATAGGTTGGAAGCGCCTAAGCTGGTAATAGTAGGGACTAGCCGAGCCCTCCAGATCAAAAACCGCATCTCGACGGCGGACAGTTACTTCGCGTATCGGTGTAACTGCGTTCTTGACAACGGGCTACATAGTTTGTCAGCGATATATCTTCACCTGATGGGTCCTTGTTAAAGGAGTTTGCACAATTCCGTTGTTCGGTACGGGGCCGTAGAGCGTTGTGAAAGCCTGCCGATCAGCGACATGCTGTCCATTGACGCCTTCTATAATCGCACAAGATGGATGTAGCCAGGGAATGGGATGCAGAACATTATAAGATCATATTCAATCAACCTGGGGTATTCGAGCTTTCTCAATACAACCTCTTATCTTCCAAACGCTGCCAGCTTCAACTAGATAGCACTCCTGACGCCTCTGGTATTGCCTTTTAAACAGCCTGCTCCGCACGAGCAGCGTCATTGTTGACCTTGTCACGCATCTCACGACCCTTGTCGGACCATGGGAAGTGGGCGACTGGGATGATGAAGAAGGAGTTGCTGGGATCGGCGATACCGGCAAACGCGTTGTACCTGTTCGACCGACGTCAGACACACGTACCACTCGAAGAACTGAGCCGCGGTACTCACCAGGCGATGAAAGCGGCAAGAATGCCAAAGACGCCACCGGCCTTGATGCAGCCAGCTTGTGGCGCGCCGCCGGAGTTCACAAGGTATCCGATGGCCAGGAAGAGGAAAGCCAAGTCCAAAGTGAAGAATAACGAGAAGAAGGCGACGGTTGACCTCAATGTGCAGAGCAACAGGAGGAAGGTGAAAATAAACCACCCCTAAGTCTCCATTAGTCTAATGTCTCCTCTCTGCCGGTACCACCACTACTAACCATCAAGTAGAGGCCGAAAGAGTTCAGGAAGGGATAGGCGCTCTCAGCCTCAAGGGTGGCAATAATCTCGAAGCCACCGGGAGTCAGGATGATAGCAGTTGCGATCCAGAAGCCGCCGTAGGATGAGAGCGCAGTGGCACCGAAAGTGTTACCAATGGCCATTTCCCTAGCTTGGCGTTAGCACGGCGAGCTAGGCTCATTGATGTCCTGACGACACATACCACATGCCGGCGAGAAGCTGGCAGAGACCGCCATACGCGAAAGCAGCACCAATGACAATGCTTGGCTCGGTAATACCCCGGGTACCCAAGTTGATGAGAGACAGCACGAAAGTGGTCAGGGCAAAAGCACTCAGGCCGAGAGGCGCTGGATTGGCGAACTTGCGATCCTCTTGCGACTTGTAGGTACCGGGCTGGAATTCACCACCAAAGGCAGGCAGACGGACAGAGTCGCCGGTGTTGATGTGAGCGAGCGGGTTACCGCCGTAGTCGTACGGCTTGCGCTGCTTCGCGGCGTGGTCAATGCCGTGAGAGCCATTCTTCTCGTGCAGCGCGTCGTTGTTGGCCGCGTTGTGCATCTGCGCGGTCGCCATGTCGTTGGGAGTAGTTCGGCAATGTCAAAGCTTTAGGGTCCGAGAAAAGGTCACAGAGCCAAGCCACCGGGTTGAAAGAAACGCGTAGGATAGAGAGAGCGACACAAGCTTATAACAGTAACGCACCCGGACCTAGCTATATAGCTTCCCGGCTCGCGCAGGAGACAGACAGATCGTCGCGCACCGCTAGCTCTATGATGATGCAGCCGAACGGTGTGGGGAGGTCCCATGCCCTCTCCGTCTGGAGCTTAGAGTATCCTGGAGCGCGGGCCAATGGAACTTGGAAGGCTTGTCAAGTGGCTACCGGCAAATTGTCACCCAATTTTCCAACGAGCGCGCACTGGTCAGTAGCCTGTCCGGTCCGCTTCTTGGCGTCTTGTATGTGCCGCAATATCTTGTGCCAGGATGGCGAGCCGCCCCCGGCCGAGGAGAGGCGTGCGCCAAGGGTTCTACGCAGCCTAAAGTCGTGCTGCACACTCGCTTGTTGCGACGGCACTGTTCAAAGAGCTGACTGCTCGCCGGCCGTCGCACTTCGGTCGTAGAGGCAGCCACCGCGGCGCGGCGACAATCTGTGATGCATCGTACCAATCATCAATCACGGGATTGCTAAAAAGACATCGTGCTGAGCTACCGAGGAGTGATCTGACGCTTGCCGGTGGGCTAAGGCCGAAAGGGGCAAAGTGGTCGCATTCGACATGGATCCGTGACTCACACATATTCTTTATACGTCTCCCTAATTTCTATTGCGATTATTGATCAAAGGTTCGCCAGAGCGCGAGCAACGCAGCCGAGCCAGGTGAGTGTCGATTTCGGGCAACACAAGAACGTGCTCTTGTGCTCCCAACACCGACTCTGCGGTCCAGAAATCTCTACCCACGCACTCGGTCAGGTGATACAACCGTATGCGCATAAGCAGAGTTTCCCGATTTGTCGACGAGCATAAGCTAGAGCCCGTCCAACCTTCGCTCCGGTCGGCTTCACGATATACAGAGCCGCAATCCGATGCCTCCTGTCACCGGCCTAGAGCATATCCACGGCCGGACCTCGTCAATAATGTGGGACAACAACACCCCCCTTTCGCCGGGCACTTGAGCGGTGACCGGTCGAACGGAAGGCTGCAGCCACAGCAGAATCGATATGTACGACCGCTCAGCGCACATGGCGTCCTCGGCGGACGCAAGGGAATGCAGCTTGACCTTCCCTGCATTTTCCACACTGAGCGTGCGCTGTGTTTCGGGGCGCGTTTCATCAGCGCAACTTTTGCCCTGCGCTTAGCTACGCCCATGTCTCCAGATGGTCGTTCGCATGTTCTACGTGATGTCATCAACTGCCCGACCGAGTGCACTTCTTCGCCATCTCGTAACTCCCCTACTCCATTCATCGTTTACATCAAAGTTGTCGTATAATGCGCATGCTGATTAAAGTGTGTATCTGTCTAAGAACGCCACAGCGCTATATGCAGTAATCAGCACATTCATCCGGTAGCAAGGGTGGATTTAGCCGCCCCTTGTGTACTTCGCTTGGGGGAGCTGGAACACAACCGCGAGGCTCATGGCGTTGTAAGGATTGCGGCGTCAACCGCCGAAGATGACCATACCTTCGTCAGCATATTCACAACAAGGGTTCAACATTTTCGTCTTGGACGTGAGTGGTACCCAGCGAAGTCCATGTGTCGATGACACTTCCGGTCTCATCCAGCAAAGCAGAGGTGCTAGCCGAACAAGTGTGTGTGATACCCAACACCTAATGAGGACTGATCTAATGTCATACAAGATCTCATCCATATGAGCAGCTGGGGGAGCGCTATCACTATGGATGTTCAAGTGGCTGTCCACCCAGCATCAGCGGTAACCAGCGCACCATTCATGATCTCGCCATCTTGAGAACACAAATACGAGACCAACTTCGCAACCTTCGACGTTTCCACGCTCACGGTGTCCTCCGGGGCTTGGCCTCCAACGGCGAGATCTTGGTAAGGTCAGCACATATTTGTCTTAAGCCTTTGCCTGACAGACTCACTGAAACCTTCCTGGCACATGCCATTGGCAAGCGCGGAGCCGATATTAGTCTGCATACCGTCGGCCAGTATGGCATTGCAACGAATACCTTGCGTCTTGTAGAACGCAGCGGTGTTCTTCGTCAGCCCTACGAGGCCGTGTTTGCTTGCTGTGTATGCAGCACCTGCGTTACGCCCTTCAGCACGTGACAATAGACAACTGGACGACTTCGACACACCGGCTGCAAACCCTCTGAAGCCGGCCACGGATGCGATATTGACGATTGCGCCTTTGGTATTGTGCTTCACCATCATGTTGACAGCCCTTTTGGTCACCATTGCAGGCGCTGTCAGGTTGATGGCAATCACGCGATCCCACATCGCCTTCTCTGTCGTCCCCGCTGGGTCAAAGCGATCTCAAGCGATGTCAGTATACTGCTCTTCATACTGTTCACAGGCTTTTACCCATAATGCCAGCATTGTTGATGACATAGTCGACGTGGCCAAACATCCCCTCCGCTTGGTCAAAAAGCTCGTCAAGGGCTGTTTCCTCGGTGATGTCGGCTTTGAGGACAAGTGTGCATTCTGGGTATGCAGGAGACAGCTTCTCTCTGAAGTCGGCTATCAGGTCGTCGTTTATGTCGCAGACAACGACATTGGCGCCGTCTTCAAGGAATCGCTCTGCGATAGTACGTCCCAAGCCGCCACATGCGCCTGTGATTATAGCAACCTTGTGGGCGAGAGGCGCCATCATGTCCATGCAGCAATGCCTCTCCCAACAAAAGACACGACTTCAGTCATATACGCGTCGCTATAAGCAAAATGGATGGTTATCGAATGATGTCGTGGAACCTGCTTCTTCCCTTCATCGCCCTAGTGTGCATAATTTCGGATGAAGGATCGATTCTATCCGCTCTCAATACCTGAGGTAACCCGAACTCGCAAGGGTGTAAGTACCAGTTTCATGCATGCCAGTTGCAGAACGCCCTCTCCACGACTGCGCAAATCGACAGCGGTTGGTATTTACATCAGCATGCACCAAGCAGTGTAGCGCAAGGTAAATGCACCCTGCCATACGGGTCCGCTTTAAGTGGACCAGTCGGGCAAGGCTCAAACCTCACCAAGTGTCCCATCTTCCGCCCATAATCCACTTCACTCCAATGCCTAGACTTCGCAGAAAGTCTGACCCAGGGTGCTCAAGGCAGTCGACTGTGCAGAGGCTATAGTCATTGCGACGCCCGTTGACAGCTAATTACATACGTGCATGCAGTCACGATCTTCAGTATTGATATTGTCTACAGCTTTGCCAGCCAAGCTGTGATCGGCGACGCTCCACGGAAGCCGCTTCGTACAAGCAAGGCAACCACTTACCAATGGGTCTTAGAGTATCAACACTCAGTCTCTGCCTCGGGTTCTTTCCTGTATCACTGAGCTGCCATCGCGTTGTACGTCGCTTCATCTGTGTAGTCCCTTTCACTCTCACGACCTTCATGGTGCGACAGAAACTACCAAAATGACCAAAAGCACGCCCACCAACAGGTCCATCTCAAGCTCAATGCCTCACAACGACACCGCTCGAACCTATTTCGAGCACTCCTCAGCCCCGCGTACCAACACCGACACGGTGATCGTTGAAGCACTCCGAGCAGACTACCCAAACCTACACCTCACCGTAGTGCCCCGTCACATTATCAACTTTGAAGCCTACGCCGCCGCCGGACAAGCTTCATTAGCGCCCATCGACAAGGAGACCGATCGATTGAGCTGGAGGTATTTCTTACCACCCGCTGCAAGACTCAATGGGCAACGAGGTGCACTGGAGGATGTTGTCAAGCTTGGCAAGTTTCTCCTCGATTGGCAAGGGAAAGAGTACGTCTTGTACATTGCTGAAGGTCGAGACGGCAACTACCCGGTTGTTGTTACAAATCAGTATGTCCTATCCGCGTCCGTTGAAGCGACAAATAAGCTGCTCTTCGAGGTTGGAGCCTGGAACAACGATCTGCACAACGAAATTTGGGTCTTCGATGGAGGGCGGTGGCAGAAGGACGCCAACCTCTGGCAGAGTGTGCAGAAGAGCCACTGGGAGGATGTGATCTTGGATGAGAGCATGAAGAACGCCATCATCGCCGATGTGGAGGGTTTCTTCGAAGCACGAGACACCTACGAACGCTTACGGGTGCCGTGGAAACGGGGGATTATATACTACGGACCGCCTGGTAACGGCAAGACGATCAGCATCAAAGCCATGATGAACAGTCTTTACGCCCGCTCGCCTGCGATTCCCACGCTTTACGTCCGTACTTTGGCCAGCTTTCTGGGGCCGGAATATAGCATCAACCAGATCTTTACGCGGGCAAGACAGACCGCGCCTTGCTATCTGGTATTCGAGGACTTGGACAGTATCGTGACCGATGCGGTCCGTTCGTACTTCCTCAACGCCGTCGATGGTATCGCAAAGAACGACGGGATACTAATGGTTGGATCAACGAACCACCTCGACAGACTGGATCCTGGAATAGCCAAGAGACCAAGTAGGTTCGACAGGAAGTATCTCTTCCCGAATCCCAACATGGAAGAGCGGACGAAGTACATGAAGTACTGGCAAGCCAAGCTCAAGGACAACAAGGACCTTGAGTTCCCGGACAAGCTCTGCCCGGCCATCGCTAAGATCACGCCCGGCTTCTCGTTCGCGTACTTGCAGGAGGCGATGGTCGCAACTCTGCTGGCGATTGCGAGGGATGACGACTCGTTCAGCGAGCGGGTGTGCCTAGAGTGTATGCAACCACACGGCAAACCAGCCAAGGGCGGGACCTGCGACTCAGAGGCGAAGAGAGCGTTCAAGGGATTGTACGACTGGGTGTGGACGGTGAGGCTGGAGGACGAGGAGGACCCGGATCTGGATAATTACGTGCTGTGGCGTGAGATCAAAAAGCAAGTTCGAATTCTAAAAGAGGAGATGGGAGAGAAGAGTGGACGTTAATATGGCCTAAGATACCGACCTTTGCGTCAAGTGTTTACGCGCATCTAATAATTTGTTGGGTCAATTGGCCGTGCAGGTATCTCACAAACTTGAGCTGCGAGCTTAGAGCGCAGAAATCTATAATCTTGGATTGAAGCTCTGCCATCTATGAATCTGTACCATGGCGCTTGGTCTCAGCTGCATCCAAATGGTGGCCTTGAATATTGCATAGCGGACTCACGGATAGCCTCTCATGCAGTGGAATCATTCGTAGTCATATTTCTGCAGCGACGAGCTCCGTGTTGCTTGACATAGCGTCGCTGACCACTGAAGGGCACGACGGTGACTTGCAAGCCGGTCGTCCATTCTGTAGCCTGGAAACGTTCACGACCAATTGACGAGGCTGTCAAGCTGACCAGATCTGCTTGAGTCGTCCCCAAACTCCTGTGGCGAGTCTATCATGGTGGCCCATCAGTCGATCCAGCGGTTTGCCGTGGTCAAGTACCGTACAGCCCTGCAGATCCAGCTTCCAAGTCCCATGATTTTCGAAGTACACACGCGCAAAGCCCTCGCGCCACGCTATACGCCTGATGTTTTGGAAAAGACCACCACCGGGCGTTGCGCTTTCCAATTGCGCGGTTCTAGTGAAAGCTGACGCTTCAGTGAGCGGGACCGAAGTCCACGCGATATCCTGCGCGGTGACTACACGATCGAGCAGAGCCTTTGGAGGCTCGACTTCAACAAATTGAGGCTTGAGAAGCGGGACTAATCTCCTCATTTGGAACCGTAGCATTGGCGTTTTGGCTCCGTTCAGGGCAGACGGCAGGGGTACTGAACGGAGCGTGATCGTCCATATCACTCCGACAGGGGCCATGATCATGAACATGCCAGCAGTGACCGCGATTAGAGATGTTCCCATCGTGATGGCGGTCAGTACATATTTGCCCCAGCTGTTGGACTCATTCATCTGCTGGTAGACGCCAACGATGCTGGACTGTACCAGAGCCCAGAGAACAAAGATCCCTCCGCAGACATAGGACGTAACGTAGTACGAGCGGTGATTCGGCGCCTTGTAGAGTAGTACTTCATCGCGGCCTCCGAGTAATTGCTCGGTGTAGGAGTGTTGCTGTTGCGCTCTGGACGGTGGCCGAGCTGGATTAGCGCCCCGAGATGGCGACTTCGGGGAACTTGATGTAGTTGGTTTCTTGAATGCAGGAGGCTGTCTAGAGATTTGCTTGGCGAGCTTCTGTAGTAGCTTCGACTTGCAACTGAATGCTCTGTTCGTCTTCTGGAGATTGTAATTGGTTGGCCACGGCTTTGGGGCAGCGGCGAAAGCCTGCGTTCTAAGGCATGATGGTAGGCGTAAGAGAGCCTGTAGCGGAAGACTCATGTTGGTTGATCAAAGAAACACTGCCGAAAAGCTACATGTCATACTGGTGACGGTAGAGTGAAAGTGGCCATTGAAGGTTTATATTGAACGTTGACATGGACAGGAGAGTGTCCATCTTCGGTCTTTCTGCGGAGTGTCGGGAGTGAAGCTTGGACACCTCAACGACACGGAGAGCCCAGTTATTCCCTTTCCCATTCGTCGCTTACATTGTTACTACGAGGCCGTGGAAAGGCATTGCAGACAGTAACGGGTGACAATGGCAAGCGTAACTCATTCGGCGCGTCTTGCAAGCCGCCTGGCGGGTAGACATGCCTCCAGGCGCATACAGAGACGGAGTAAGCACCCCTCAGCCCCGGACATGGAATGGGCGACATACTGAGAAGCGATCATGACAGACTTCCGCATATCACCACGCAATGCGGCAGCACAGAACTTTACAATGCCCGCTCTGTCGCCCACCATGACCGAGGGCAACATCTCCGCCTGGCGGGTCAAGGAAGGCGATTCATTCTCCGCCGGCGATGTATTACTGGAGATCGAGACAGACAAGGCGACTATGGACGTCGAAGCACAAGATGACGGTGTGGTAGTCAAGATCATGCAGGGTGAAGGCAGCAAAGGAGTCAAGGTCGGGCAACGCATCGCGGTCACCGCGGAAGCAGGGGACGATGTGAGCAGCGTCGAGATTCCGGCAGAGCAAGCTTCAGCGAAAGCAGGAGAACCAGCACGGAAAGACAGACCTACGCCGCAGGAAGAGACTGCCGGCGGTCTCGACACCACGGAGAGCTCGCCAAGTTCCGCTGAAGCTCCGCCGGCTTCGAAACCACAAGCGGATGCGGCGGCAGGTGGTGCCGCGGATACTGCTAGCGCCGCTCAGTCAAAGGGAGGCAAAGCGCGGAAGCAGACATACCCACTCTATCCATCCGTCGAGCACTTACTGCACACCAACGGTCTGTCGAAGGAGGACGCAGATAAGATCCCTGCTTCCGGACCGAATGGCCGCTTACTGAAGGGTGACGTCCTCGCATACCTCGGTCGTATCGGCAAGGACTACCCAGCGCAGTCGTCTGCTCGACTCACCAAGCTTACACATCTCGACCTCTCGAATATTCAGCTAATGCCCAAGCCTGCGCCCAAGCTCGAGGCAGCGAAATCCGATCTGCCTCTCGAGCCGGAGCTGCCAACAGAGACGGAGATTGCCGTGCCTATATCCCTTTCCGCTGTCATTGCGACTCAGAAGCGCGTTCAAGATACCCTCGGCATCTTTCTTCCTTTATCTACCTTCATCGCTCGCGCGTCAGAGCTCGCAAACGAAGACCTGCCGATCAGCAAATCACGCAAACCTACCGTAGACGATTTGTTCAACGCAGTGCTAGGCCTCGACAAGGTCGCAAAGTCCTCTCGTGGCCATTACATCCCCCAGGTGACTGGCTTGGCACCTATGCCGCTTGCTGCCTCCCCTAGACCGGTGAAGCGGGACATCATCGACCTGCTGGCCCCGAAGCAAGCGACGAGGAAGGCACCAAGGGTAGTTCCTGGCGCTGTGGGAGTGACTACGGGCTCAAACGTCTTCAGCGTCACTGCCAAGCTAGGCGAAGAGCGCAGGGCTGCGGAGTATCTGGAGAGGATGAAGCTGGCTTTGGAGAAGGAGCCAGGTCGGCTAGTATTGTAGAGTATGCGCATTTCCTTTAGCGTGTTCGCGAAGGGGTGATTTGTGAGCGAGGAGTTTGCCGCGTGCGTCTAAGAATAGATGCATTGTTTAGTGTTTGTACCATATGTCTTTCGCAGTCGACCAATCTCCTCCTTATTGATCTATGGCCGGACGCCCATTCGTTATCACCCTCAGGCTTCGCTTGCGCGAATTGTGCTCGTCGCTAGCCAAGGGAGCCACAAGAAGGTGCAAACGGTTAAGTTCGTCCACATTTCGCAGGTACTTTGGCCCCCTCTTTGTTCACCATCCAGCAACTGGCGAGCCGCTCGCACAACGGTCACTCCTTTGTGGAGGGCGCATCTAAGGTCCTTCAAGCTGTTCCTGTCCAGCCTGCTCTGCTTTCTACAACCAGATCGTTCTGTGAATGCTTCGATCACGTGCTATTCTGATCGCTCGGCCTCACATATCCGCTATGACGTGCTTCCTGTTCAAGGTTAGCGCTGCACAAGGATGGTGTATACTTCGGTCTTCAGTTGTGGTTCAAGCCGTGACCACGCTCTGGACAAGCTCCTCGGAACAAGACCAATACCCTGTCTTCCCTTTCCGAGTCCGCGCACTACAAGGTAATGCATCTGCGTGAGACGCTTGTGCATCTCTTGCTACTTTGGAACAGCATACAGGCAGAGGACTGACGTACCGGACCGCGCATATAGACTTACAGACATTCATCCGTAAGTATATTAATATCATCCTCGACGTGACCTCGGCTTAAGCTTACTTCAACAGTCCACCAGGCCGATTCCACTCACCCCGGTCCCGTCGGAGGACGTCAAGACGCGGGCTCTCGAGCCACTCATCCCTGCCAAGGTGATTTCTCACCTCAGCAACAGGATCTTCAGCATTGCCAAAACCGTCTTTGGTGACCAGGCGGCAACCGACATGCTCGATGCGGTCAAAGAAGAGATGAAGCAGATGGACGGAAACGGCTCATACAGTGAGAGGGTCTTTTGTACCGGCATCATGCGTGCCTATCTCGTCATGAAGGATAAAATGGGAGAAACAGAGAGTGTCATCAAGCTGACGAGGATGACAGAGGGCCATTTCGGACGAGAGCAAACCGGTGCGTACTTGCAGAGGTTGGGCGCAGGGTTCTGAGAGGAGGTGCGGGTGCATCGAAGTTAGGAGAGTGAAATCTACAAAAGTTAGCGCAAGAGTCTTGGCGTAGTCACGTGCGGCTGTAGCGTACCGTTCCCAACGTATCCAACCGTCATTCCCACAAACAGCTGTTGGACAGAGGCTCTCGTTGGGACAGCCGTACAAGGTCTCTCAGACGCTGTAGGGCTGTTATGCGGCGGTAGACTCAATAAAGACATGTGCACCGTACAATGAGAGTGGGATTGGCCTTCCCAGCAAGCTCAGGAGGTCACAAGGTCTTGCAGGTTCGTCAACGGTATATGGCGATCTTGGGCGAGAGGCACGTAGTCAAGTCAAGACCTGATGCCCTCACCCATCGTCGTCCGTTGAGCTTCAGTGTGCGCCGTTGGTGGGCCTGAAAGAGTCTGCTGGAAGGGAAAGAGGCTCGCCATCTGCTGGGTCCAGGTCCATCATACGGCCGTCGAGAACGGTCGTCAATACATCAGCAGTTCTTGTGGATAAAGGGCGATGGATTGGTGTCCTTTAAGAATAATTGCCATGTGCTTCATGCATGTCATGGATCGACGATCGGCCGCCGGCAAAATGTTTGGCAGCTGCCGTTTCTGGGGTCGCTGGAGGCAGAGCTCCACCCGCCGCGCCACGCTGCATGGCTTCGCATGAGGACCTCGGACATTGTCCCGATACCAACCTCACACGACTTCGTCCTAACTCTTTCTGTCACCCCATCGACCACTTCGCTCCCTCGACATATGTGGAAAACAGTCCTTTAGCGGACAAGAGGCCCTAGGAATAGCTCTCAGGCATAGACAACCCAGTTCCTGCTGCCTACGATAGGTAGAGTGGCATTATGAGGCGAGCAGTATGCGCTGCGATTATTGCGGCGTTCTTATCGCTGCCTGGAACTGCTCGAGCGGGTCCGCAAACACATCAGTACTTTACTACCAACGATGCGCTGCTATCACAACCTGACCCCTTCCGGCTGTATGAGGACCGGCCAGATGGATGCCCACCCTGCTTCAACTGCAACCTTGACGACTTCGTCTGCTTACAGTATGCCAATTGCACGCGGAGTAGCGGCAAGTGTTCATGCCCACCGGGCTTTGGTGGCGAAGACTGCGGAGCACCACTCTGCGGTTCGCTGGCGGACGGCAAGGACCGCTTACCGCGGGAAGGAGACCGATGCGAATGCAAGGAGGGATGGGAGGGCATCAATTGCAACGTCTGCGCCACGGACGCCGCTTGCGGGCCGATGATGCCGGCAGGACAGGAGGAGGACGCTGTCTGCTACCGAGAGGGTTTGGTGGTGAACGAGAACTACCAAATGTGCGACATCACGAACCGCAAGATCTTGGACCAGTTGAAAGAGAAGAAGCCGCAGGCAACGTTCAGTTGCAATGCGCCGAGTAAGAGCTGTAACTTCCAATTCTGGGTGGACGAGCAAGAGAGCTTTTATTGCGGCCTAGATGACTGTGGCTGGAAGGCTGAGGCCACGGATACGAGCAACACTACGAGCTATAGATGTGAGACCGCACGATGTCAATGCGTGCCAGGGCGCTTTTTGTGTGGTTCGGAGAACAGCATTGACATCTCGGATTTTCTGGATCAGGAGATCAAGGGCCCAGCTACATTCAAGACGATGCGGACAGAAGGTGGCGCCAAAGAGGACGGCTCGACATTCTCAGAACCTGCTATGAACGGCTTGATCTCAAGCGTCTTTGGCGATGAGAGTATCACTTTGCAATGTCATAGCGGAGAATGCTTGTACAAGACGGAAGTGCCTGGCTACGAGCGTCCAATCAAGAAGATCAACACGCCGCTCATTGCTGGTGTTATCGCTGGCTGTGCGCTGTTTGTTGTAGCGGTCATACTACTCGTCTTCTTCCTAAGCCGAAGAAGCGCACAGCGATACGGACCCATCCATCTTGGCGATGACGAAGAAGAGGAGAACGCCAAGCTTATGGCTGATCACAAGCCTGCGGCACTGTACTTCGAGAACATCTCGTACAACCTCAAGGGCAAGCAGATCTTGTCAGGCGTTCAAGGTTCAGTGCATCCCGGCGAGCTTCTTGCCATCATGGGCGCTTCCGGCGCTGGCAAGACTTCTTTCCTGGACATTCTTGCTCGCAAGAAGAAGCGCGGTCATGTTTCGGGAGACTTCTGGCTGAATGGCGAGAAGGTGACCGATGATGAGTTCCGAAGCGTGATCGGCTTTGTGGATCAGGATGACACGATGCTGCCCACTTTGACTGTGCACGAGACGATCCTAGACTCTGCCCTGCTCCGGCTGCCGAAGGAGATGAGTGTTGCGGCCAAGGTGCAGAAGGTTGAGGATGTTGAGAGGCAGCTGGGCATCTTCCATATCCGGCATCAGGTCATCGGCAGCGAAGAAGGTAACGGACGGGGCATCTCCGGTGGCGAGAAGAGAAGAGTTGGCATTGCTTGCGAGCTTGTCACCAGCCCGAGCATACTCTTCCTGGACGAGCCGACTTCAGGTCTAGACGCCTACAATGCGTTCAACGTCGTGGAGTGTTTGGTTACCCTTGTGAAAACATACAACCGGACTGTCGTCTTCACGATACACCAGCCACGGTCGAATATTGTTGCGCTCTTCGACCAGCTAATACTGCTTGCGCAGGGTCGGGCGGTATACAGCGGGCCGTTCGAGAAGTGCCAGAGCTACTTTGACAGTATCGGCTACGCCTGTCCGCCAGGTTTCAACATTGCCGACTATCTTGTGGATCTGACGATGCACGCTAGTTCGCCTACGGATGCAGAGGATGAAGTGGAGGTCGTGTTTGGCGACGGCGGTGATGGACGGACAACGCGGGCTAGCTCGACCATGGCCGTCAAGAGCATACCGAGCGTCAGCAACGTCAGCATAGAGAACTCGATCGGTTCCGGCCACGACGGTCCGCTACGACCGAAAGCGAAGCGAAAGACGAGCATACGGCAGCAACAGGAGCGGGAGCTCTTCACACGGAAGAAGACGTCGGACAATGCTAACGCACCTGCAAGCTTACGAAGCGAGGGTGACAGCGTACTAGGGGATGACGAGCGACATCAGCAATGGGTCAAGCTCTCGAAACAGCAAGGCCAACCTCCACCACAGATCACGGATGATCCGCATAACCTTCCGCCTGCTGCCGGGACAGGCACGAATCTTGACGTCCTAGTTCAGGCCTACAACGACTCCGACGTCGCTGCAAGCCTAAAAGACGACATTCACCACGCCGCTGAAGCGAACGGCCATCCGCCTGGACTTCCAAATGGCGCGGCCACTACAGGCAAAGTGAAGGGCTACCGCAAACCCCGCATCCACACTCAGTCCATCATCCTCTCCCGACGAACCTGGCGCAACCTCTACCGCAACCCCATGCTCATGCTGACACATTACGCCATCGCCATACTGCTTGCGGTCTTCATCGGCTTCCTCTTCTATGGCCTCACAGACGACCTTCCGGGCTTCCAGAATCGCCTGGGCTTCTTCTTCTTCATGCTCGCCCTGTTCGGTTTCTCCACCCTTACCTCCTTGAACGTCTTCGCGCCGGAGCGACTACTCTTCGTCCGGGAACGCGCGAAGGGATACTACCACCCCTTCGCTTACTACCTTAGCAAGGTCGTCTTCGACATTGTGCCTTTGCGACTGCTGCCGCCGCTCATCATGGGTATGATCATGTACCCCATGACGGGTTTGGTACCTGCTTGGGCGGAGTTCTTCAAGTACATCCTCTTCATTGTTTTGTTTAACCTTGCGGCTGCCACGATCTGCCTCTTCATCGGCATCTGCGTGAGGGATCTGGGTGTGGCGAACTTGTTAGGTGTGCTTGTCATGCTGTTCAGCCTGCTATTTGGTGGATTCTTGTTGAATCATGACACCATACCTAAGCCGGTCACTTGGCTGCAGAACGTAAGCCATTCCACAATACGTGCTCATCGTCGGGCGTTGCTGACTTTCTGCGCTCTAGCTTTCAATCTTCCATTACGCCTTCGAAGGCCTGCTTGTCAACGAAGTGCGCTACTTGTCACTAGTGGACCACAAGTACGGATTGGACATCGAAGTTCCAGGCTCAGCCATTCTGTCGAGCTTTGGCCTCAACGTGCTGGCTCTGTGGCAGGATGCCATTGGACTTGCCGTCTTCTGCGGCGCGTTTCTGATTCTGGGATATTTAGCTCTGCATATACTGTTGGTGGAGAAACGGTAATGAACACATCGTTTGCAACAAGCGATGCATGTACGGGACGCTGATATGGCGACATCATTGTCGTAGTGGCAGGCTAATTCAGCATATAGAATAAGCATAGTTGACAGCGGCGATGCGCTTCGCATTAGCTTTGACAGCCTGCCCCACAGCCTCGCGCTTCTTCACGACCTTATAAAGTCTTCTCTTTTTTTACGGTAGAGACATGAACAAACTCAGCAGCTTTGGGTAGTTCGGCGTACCCAAACCTGTCGCTGGGTCCCAACCAGGCACAGCATGGAAGCCAGCGGAGCCGCAATTCGGATTCGAGCCGTTTGTTATATCGTGGAGCGCACCTGGGTTCGCATAAAGCACCGGATTGATGAAGCCGATCGGTCCTTTGCCGACGGCCGTGCGTTCTTCATTGATGAGCGTCAATACCGACGCGAATAGCGGCGCAGCTAAGGATGTGCCGAAATAGTGATAGTCAACCAAATCCGTGTATGCGCGGAAGAAGGCGCCGTTGGCACTGATGTCTGGGATTCCGCGGCCTGCTCTGTTCTGTAACATGCGTCAGACACCGTCGATGCTGTTGTCTCACACGAAGGGCTGGCCCGTAATCAAGGGTTTACTTACGTAGACGCCGCCGTTTGCGCCAATGTTGGAGGCGTTAGAGTTAGCGACGTAGTAAGGAAGACCCGGGTCGTGCTGGCTGAAGTAGGTGTTGATGGCGGGTTGTTGGTAGGCCGGTGCGGTGTAGCTAGTGTTGACCAGATGCGTCAGCGTTGGGTCGTACAGCAAGTGGGTGATAGTCAATAGTTTGCTCACTGATTAGAGAAGCCACCATGGCTTGCGAAAAGTTCTGCGCCAGGACCGAGATTGTCTTGCATGACACTCTCGGGGTCAAGCACTGTCTGATTGGCGTAGAGCTGTGTAGCGCCGACAGACGTGACGTATGGACAGGACGAAAGAAAGTCTGGGTTGTAGATCGTCTGATTCTGACCTTCGCCGCTCAAGCAACCAGAAGGAGTAATATCACCTGGATATGAAGCAACGCCATAGTCGCCCGAGGCGATAAGAACGGTGTGGCCCTGAAGGGCAAGCTTCATCCATTCGTTGCATTGACGCTGTTGATAAAGCTCTGGCAGGTCGGCTTCGGCCTCTCCGTACGAAATACTGAGGATACGGGTCAAGTTGTAGACACCGCACTCTAATTGCCCTTTATAGCCGTCTGTGTTGTGTCAGCCAGCTGACGTGTACACCATCTCCCAAACTAAGCTCACCGGGTGCAGGGTCCGGATACACAGGGTCCAAACCCGGCGAATCACCGCTAAGACCCATGTAGTTGTACGTGCAATAGCTGCCGTCGACAGCGTCGAGGAAGGTGTTCAAAAAGCCCAGGAGCACACCGTTGACGGATGCGTTCGCTTGTGGGAAGTCGTCAACTTGGTAAATTATTACATTCTGAGGGTAGATCAGGGAGAAGCTCATATCAATGTCGATGTCGCTCTCGCCGGTGTTGTTCCTAGAATATCCCGGAGCCGTCAGCACTATCACTAACACAAGCAAAACTTGGTAATCAGTAGGGTGCGTACGGGTCGTCAGGTGCGACCGGAGCTTCACCTCCGTCGACCGAGAGCACTATTGGACTCGTTCCGTTCGGCACGTTAGGTGCGTACTCCGCAAAGAAGAGGTTGAGCTGTACGAAAGAATTAGTCACTCAATGTGCGATATTCAGCTCCGGGTGTCACTTTACATCCTGTTGGGAGAAGTAGTCGCCACTCTCGTAAATGCCGAGTGCGTTTACGCTGTCATTGAGATGGGCCATGGGAATGTCGTAGAGCGCTCTAATACACGTTGGTGTGATGTTGCGCCCGCAGTCTTGTAGATCCGGAGGCAACCGTGAGCTGCTGGCGGCATGTGCCAGGGTCCTTGGCCCGGCGGACTCCAATGCGGTGGCCTTCGTGTCAAGAGACATACCGTTAGCGAAACTCGGATGGCAGAAGAAGCTGGAGTTGTCCGATGGCCTACCGCTTGCCCGGACCCTGACCGCCTGGTCCTCCTCCAGGCGGCCTTCCCTGGGTGACGGTCCGCTTTCGAAGTCTAGGCGAGGACTTAACACCAGGTGTGACGTAGTCGATATACGGCTGAATGTGGACAGGAAGGTAGTAGGCGTCACAGCCAATGCGTGAGTGGCCATCTTTGTCTTCATGCTCATAGTACTGAGTGTGAAAGGCTCGCTCGGCAGCCCTCACGGGCAGGTCGACCGCAATCCAGCCATTCTTCGACACCGGAATGCGTTCAATGTCAATATCAGCAGCAGAAGCGAGCCATTCGCGCACATTGGAGATGGTGTCCTTCGAAGGGGCGAACAACTCGTTGACCTCAGTCAAGGAGAGATGCTTTCCATAAGACGGCGAGCTCGGGTGAGATACATCAAGCACTCGTTTGTAACCATCCTCGAGACCAGACTGGGTTAAGCCAATCTTGATGGGGATGATAGCATCTGGACGAACGCTTTCGCGACGCTTGTGTAAGTTCCGGATATGGTGGGACTTGCTCTCGTGCAGCACATAGCCTTCAGGAACAGCAAGAGATGCCCCGTAGAGCAGTGGAAGCAGGCACAACGCCGCTACAGCATGAAGCAGCATTGCGTGAGGAATTGAATGGCGATGGGAGAGCAAGGCGCAGACCTACCTCCAAGCTTTTGACTTGCTGTCTCACCACAATGAGGTGCAGAGTGTATGAGGTCACTCACTACCTTATCAAGAGTCTCCACGACCTGGTTTGAGGTGACAATCGGTCTTGCATGTGTCCTCCTTCCTGAATGGAAATGGTCGCAGAAAGTGGGTCGTGGGGATGCCGGGATGGTTACGCAGTGTTTCTATTGGTCGCTGACGATCCGGCGAAGAGACAGACTTTCCGGGCAGAGTGACGCTATTGTGCTATCACGGTCGACGCCGGACGCCATAACACCTTCAAGTCTTTTGTCTTGCGGTGAAATGGAACCTGGAGAAACCAGAACTCGTGGGCCTGGCTAACAAAAGCGCACCAGAGAGTCACTGGTTCATGCAGCGAGTTTGCCAGTTCGTTGAGCCACCAGCTCGTCCAGAGCTATCATGTATCTGCTTATCACACGTCAACACGAATCAATTGCACCGCATTTCGACCAAGTCATTGGTGTCGCCGTTTTATAGTGCTGACTGTGACAGCAACTTGCGGATCTGCGCTCGTAAATCCACCGGAACTGCACACCGCAGCAGTGTCTCCGCGATTTCAAAGGGCGCCTCATATAGTGCGGCGGCGAGATTGTCGAACCTGATACGTAAGGTCCACCTCAATACGGTGTGGTTGCTCTTAAGGGGAAACGACTGAAGTGAGTGAAAGGAGGCGTGAGGCGTCGTATCGGGCCTTCCCGTCATTCTTGCTTGATTGCGGGAAAGGCTGGAGTGGTGTACTTGCATACAGCGTTTCCGCCCATAGCCGGATACATGTATCTAATTGCCTATGGCTTCATTCGGCAGTGCGGATACTTCTACCGTTAATGACTTGGACGCTGCAGCCAGCGATATTGGCGCTTACTACCACTTCCACTGCAGGCGCCATCATAGTGGATTCGCCAGGACAGGTGATGAAGTATCTGCGTACCGTATGCTTGCACATAGCTAAGCATCTCGTCGCTCTATGATGCCCTGTGAGGTTTTTTTGGCTTTACGCTGTGGTTCCGCTCGAGATGTAGAAGCTCTACGTCGCTGTTATACTAGCGTGTGTGCAAAGCAACGTGTCAGGAACGTTGAGACAGCTGCATTAATGCTCCTGATACCTGATTGCACACCCATGCATTGCACAAAGAACTGTAGTCAGCTCAATGACCAGGCGCGCAGGAATTGATTGAGGGTGCGACAGTGTAAGGAGACGAATTTCTTACTGTTCACTACTCCTACATCGCGAGAAGTATAACAGTCATGGGCAGGCGCAAACCCGCATGCCCAAGCCAGCACCAAGCAATCCGTTCGCAGCACACCTTCAGCCGGCATCCAAGGCAGTAACCCTGTCAGAAGCCTAACCACAATACAATCACAGTATCTCGATCTAGAAGACTGCACCTCGACGCAAAAGAGTGCGTCTCAAGCCGGAAGAACGCGGCTTAACAACGTGTCAATCACACCCAGTTCCACCTTAGCCACGTCCGCCAGCGTCTTCGCATTCCCATACTCGAAGGTGATGGCGCCAAAGGGCCCGGCATCGTCAGCGCCGATCATGCGCATGGTGAAGCGATCGGTACGTGAGAGCGTCTGACCACGAGTCGTGGCATCGCGGAGAAGATTGGCGAAGTACTATTTAGGCTGTCAGCATGCACGCTTTGATGCTGTATCAGGTGGAGTACGTACCGTTACCATATCCTGCTTGACACCCGGTGTGATAGCAAGCACCTTGAATGGCCAAGAACGAGCCAGCTGGGCAACGCCACCGAATACGATGTTCATTCCACGAGAGTTGGTGAAGCCGTTGAAACTTGTCTGGCCCATCTTCTGGACGAACTTGGACTTCTGCTGCTCCGAAAAGCCTGGACAAGTAAGCACGGCGACGGTGAGCTCTTGAAGGGTGACAGGGGTCGGCTTGGAAGGGTCGATCTTGCCCCGACTACGGTTGAGCTCCTCGAGCAGACTGTCGGTGATACTCATGGTCGCGGAAAAGATCATGTCTCGCTCGCTGATAGTAATGCAATCAACAGCGTACCACGGAAACTTGTGAAGGGTGGAGATCCATGACTCATACACGCGGATGATCGCGCGTTGGGCGAACGCTGACTGCTGATGGGTCAGTAAACGGATATTGACGGTATGTGTGAGTATGCGGCTTACCCGATGCGGAGTCTCCGCGTGCTTGATGGTCATGGTGACCTCCTCAACAGACAGGAAGGCGGAGAAGCCAGCCGATTGAATACCTGGGTAGTACATGTCGGTGTTGGCGGTAATGCGAGGGGTGGCGCCATCCCAAGCGACATACTTGGCGCGTGGGAAGAGCTCGGCCATCAGCTCCTCCTGGCTGCTAAGCACGATGTCAACGTGGCGGTCACCCAGACGCGGATGACGGCCAGCAATGATGCGCTTGTTGAACTGATCATGAACCCACTCGGCTTCGGCCTGGCTGAAGAACTCGATGAAGGCATCCATGGTCTTGCCGGTGTGGCGCTCCATAATGATGTGGATAGCGAAGTATGGGCTGCCCATCGGCTGGCTGACGATCTTGGCGTTGCGACCGATCATTGCACTGATCTCGGAGCGGGTGGCTGCGAAGGGGATATTGTTGATACGCAGTACGCCTGCGTTGCTGGCGACACCGATGCGGCACGGCTCGATGACCGGCATCACGAAGAAGAACTCCTCAATGGTTGGCTTGTATCCCTGCGACAAGCGGGGGAAGAAGGTTGGCAGCGGCTGATCCTTCACATCGACGTAAGCAGCGGCGTTGCCTTTGACGTTCTGGGTGCGGAGGGTGACAGACTGGTTGCCGCGATGGGTCGGATCCAGAGTCGCATCGGCAAGCGCTGGTGGCGCCTTAATGGGCGCAGACGTGATGGAGACGTAGGTCGACTTAAGGTTCTCGGGCTTAGGACAGCGAGGGCGGTAGCCGGTGATCGGATCAATGCCGTCTAGCTCGTCGACAAAATCGCATGCACCGGAGCGGACAATATCGGCAAGCATGCTGGCATTTGTACGACTTCCGGACTTGCTGCGTCTGGTTAGCGAACCATTTGCAGCGGCAGTGGAGAGGATGAAGCCTTGCCTTGGTGCACTGCCAATGGCACCGTAGCTGGGCATGCGCAGATCGGTTTGTGGCAAGCCGACACTGCCTTGATTGAGGAAGGACGGGGTCCGTGAGTGCATGTTGTGGTAGGCATAGCTGACGAATGGAGCGCCGAAGTCGCCACCGACTCTGCCGTTGGTTTGTGATACACCGTGGCTGTTCCATGCCGCTAGTGGCTCATACATACCCGTCATCGCTCCACGACCGTACTCTGCAATCGAAGCTGGAACACGATCACATTGCCCGTGGAAATAATAACTGCTGGCCATCTGGTTGCCAGTGCCAGCGCGAGGCGCGCCGGCGCTGCCTGCGAACTTGCTCTCGCTCCCGTAGTGCTGATTGAGGCTCACACCCCCATCAAGGTCATGAGCCTGACTGACCAAGGAGTCATTGCTCATCGCTGACGGAGTGCGATAGATCTCCGACTGAACCTCGCCAAAGTGCATAACGCGCTTCTGCGGCGGCATGTAGCGCGCGTCTGAGCCCGTGTTGACGCTCGTCGGCGGCATTGGCGTGTTTGTAGGGTGACCGCGCGACAGCTTGCCGTTGTCGCCGACCTCGCCGACCGAGTTGCGCTTGGCCTTGAGGCCCAAGTAGGACGGATAGAGGGATGATGGTGACGTGTTGTATGCCGGTGTATAGTCCATGGTAATAGGTGCTGACTGGGGTGGTGGGTCGTGTGAGCGCGTGATCCGCGTTAGCTCTGTTACTTTCTGTCATAATATGGTTAACGCTTTCGAAGATGGAAGGAGCGATGCTGGGCTTGCGGGTTGATGTTATGCGTTTGCTACACACCATCCACAACGTCGAAACAGACAGGTTAAGGATCAAGAGCATTGCCAAGATGGAAACTTACTGCGTTGATGTTGCAGATATGCGAGCGTTTATGTGTTCAGGATGCTGAATTGGGATAAAATGCTGTGCAGCTTGATTTCATCAACGCCCGTGGCAGTTCCTGACAGCGCTTCTTGCAATCCTAACTCTGGGCTATTGGTCAGCATGTACGAACGTAGGCGCAAGCATGGAGAAGTAGCTGGTACACGTCAGCGCACGGCGGCAGGATAATTTACCTCGATGCAATGCCCACCTAACTGAACCGACTGTCTTTGTCAAGCCGTACAGTAACTCCTGGGAGCTTCTGGTCAGTCAAATACACAGCTTCCACATATGGAGTGTATAGAAACGTACCTTAAACGCCGATGAATTAAGGCTTTACTGCTTTAGTACCGCAAACGACCTCTCGAGCCGCAGTCTGAAGATCTCGTATTAGCGATATGGATAATACAACGCATGAAAGCAAGCAGCACGCAGCAAGCAGCAATGGCCGGTGGAGCTCTCGGTCGTTGATGTCGTGTATCCGGTCAACGGCCGGCGGGTGTTCAATGGCTTGCCAGTGAAGGTGGGCCTGAAGCAATCTGCCAGCGCTAGTAGGTCCGTATAAAGCGTCTACACCATGGAAGGAGGTCGATGTGGAGGACGTGTGTACAAAACGCGCAATATGGACGATGGTGGATTGTTGCGGAGCTTTCAATAGGTGGCGGAATGATTGTGCGTTGGAAGCGGCCGTGCGCTGCGCGAGCACGTGAAATGCCAAGGAAGCAAGAACTGACTGAGTGAGCTGAGTGAATGGCTGCCGGCCTGTGCTCGAGTGGTCGCGTAGAGGCTGCGGAGCAACAGCGATGATGTCTAAGCTGGCAGCTTACGAAGTCCAGGCGAAACAATCGACAGACCCTGGTGTAAGCACCTCATAACCACGAGGATATCTGGACGAGGAAAGCGAGTGCTGTACCGGTGCATGTCTCACATGACAATGGCTGGCGACGAGGGTACGAGCGGAGAACAGAGCTTGCAAGCATGGTCATAAGTGACAGCTCTTGAGACAGTTACGACAATGTAGACTCGTGATGCGAGCACATGCGTACATCACGCCATCTATGGATCACTTTCAGTTTGCCATCATCTGATCATCACTTGTGCGTGCAGAGGAAGAACTCAGCTCTCCCAGTTCGCGTTCGTCCGTGCGCCTTGAGATAGGCGCTTCCGCAGCAATCTAGCTCGCGGCTCAGCTTCGGTTTGCCTTGCGACTACCAGGATAAGACCACGTTTTCGAGGTCGTGGTGCAGACCACGCGGTGAGGCGCAGACCTTCGATGCCGCTACGAGCCCTCAGCGTCTCCTTGCCAGACCCTGGTGCGATATCAATCGAACTAGGACATGCTGTTAGTAGATATTACAATGCCCGCTGCGAGCATGCACATACCGGCGTCAGAAAGCTCTCCGCTACAAAGCGTGCTCTTGCATTTAGCTTGGCACATATGATTAGTGGAATGATAGGACGGTGTCGGCCGGGACTGCAGCGCATACGAAAAGCTTCATCTCCGAGATCTCCTTATCCACCTCCTCCATAAATTGTATGATGAAGTCGACCAGCTTGTGCTTCAGCATCTCCTCCGTGTGGAAGTTTGTGATTAGGAATGAGATATCATAGCCCTACCACATATGCATTAGCCGATCATACGTGCCACCCTCTCGGTCGGGAAGTAAAGCATACCGGCACCGGCTTCCGTCTCAAAATGAAGAACGGCTCCGCTCTCTGCGTCAGGAATCTCGTGAACTTATGTACCAGAATGTGCTCAATCTCATCCGCCTGTTTTATCCGTATGCTGACGCGCACGCTGTTGACTGACGGTTCGACGAATACCCGTTCATCCTGGTTGCGGCTCACGGTAAGCGGGTTGAGTAGCAGTTCGGGCGATGATTGCGCTTCGATTTCGGGGACATTGTGTCGTTCAGCCGCTTGTGAGGCGAAGTTGGAGAGGGATAGGGCGGCTGTGAGGGTGCTGCGCACGCAGGAAAGGTAGGGTCGGAGGGATTGGGACATGGCTTGCTTGCGGCGGACGTTGTTGTTGGGTTGCGCAACGGTGCGTGACCTCTATCGTCGCACGAGGTTGTCCGCGTATGGCGGCAGAGGGAGCCGAGATTCAATGCTAGGTACAACGTGAAGTCTGAAGAGCCCGGAAGCGGAAGTTGTGCACTGATGGGACGCTTCAGACGCGGGAGTGAGGTGATGTTCGAATGCGCCAAGACCATGGGTAGTGGGGCAACTCAGACCAAGCGCATATTGCTGCCTGCCAAATGCATTCCAAACCGCAGCGGTTTGGCACGGTGTTCTGATGAACGCATTATAGAGTGGGCATTAACGTTAACGTCTCATACAACAGTCCACCTGGCAAGCCTGCCCACCCGATCCCCAGCATTCCTCACAACCACCACCCTCCCCTCACCTTCCCAATCCCTCCTCGCCTCCTCCATCACTCTCTCTATCAACACATTCCCAATGCCCGTCCCCTGTCCCTGTTCCAAATTAAAGTTGCCAGTCGTAACAAACCCTATCAAGTCCTCCTCGACTGGGCAGGCCGGATACTCGTCCTCTCCCGCTTTTGGCAGTTCGAGGAGGCTCTGCGCCAGTCGTTCTTGGACAACGTGCGGTGGCGCATCTTTTGGTAAGCGAGGAAGGCTCTGCTTTGGTCCCTGCGTGAGTTGCTTGCGAGGTTTGTAGGTTGGGAGAAGGGCGAGCCATTGCTTGCGCAGCTTGACGTTGGAAATGGCGGAAGGGAGACGGTAGATGCGGGCGCAGGCTTGTGAAACGCCGCGCGTTAGAAGAGCGAGGCGGACCGTTGTTAATGTAGTGACCAAGTTACGCGGTGGCGGAAGTGCTGTATCGGAGGCTTCGAGAAGGGCGCGAGCTTGCGCTGCGGGTAGCTGTGTGAGCTCAGTCGGCCTTAGCGGTGCTGACTTGAGCTGTTTCGCTGCCGTATCCTCGCCGTTGTCTTTCTTACTGCCCTGTGCAGCGTTCGCCTGCTCGGCATTTTCAGCTGCATCCTGACCCTTCTCAACCGCAGCCTCTGGCGCAGGGGAACCAGCAAGCAGCCTCTCCCAATCACAAGCCCATCCTACACCCATCTCACCCTTCTTCCCACCACCAAGCTCAACCTTTTCCCAACTCACTCTCTTTCCCTTTGGCTTCCGTCTCCACTCCTCCTCCCTCCGCCTCCGCTCCTGCATCTCCCACTCCCAGCCCGCCTTCGTGCCGGGAAAGTCCACGGGGAACATGGGCACTCCAGCCTCGAAAGCGAGCTGCCTTCTCTGACTCAACCCACCGAAGCGCGGCTGCTGGCCAGTCGAGAGCGGGTAGTACATGATGCTGTACCAGATGGGCTGGATGCACTTCCATGGTGCAAGGAGGGTCCAGGTGGAGGATGCCGGCGATGTATCGCGTGACCTACCAGCGTGTGCAGATGCGGTGGAGGTGTACAGTAGGACCGGTATGCGTGGGTCTTTCGCCAGCGCTTCTGGATACTGTCCTGGTAACGCGAGCGACTTGCGGCGATTGATCGCTTTCTGACTTGGTAAGGCCGCGCTCGCGATCAGCCTAGCTTTGCGGTCAAAGACTTGTGATGGCCTCAGAGCGACCTCGACAGGCCAGCTTGCGATCAGCTCCAGAAGCTTGTGCTGTTCAGCGTCGGTCTTGGGTAAGTTGATGGTACGTGGTGGATGATGCAGCCTCGGGTCCTGCACGTCGAGGCTAAGCAGCGCGCTCCGCGGCAACATGGCCGGGTTATTCAAACCTGCAAGCGCAGTCCATGTCTGTCCGACCGTTGGCGTGTTCGGCTCGCTATCGATCTGCATTGCTTCACCTCCGTCAGGCTGAGCTTGGCCGCTTGCAGGTTCCGGCGGTTCCGGCGACGGCCACAGTGCACCCAGCAACGCCTCCGTAGCCCCAGGTCCAGTGATATCGATACTGCCAATGTCAAACCGCAGGTCCTCGACGCTGACTTGTGGCTTTGACACCTTGCCCAAGCGCAACACTTCCTCCCAAAGCTGGTAGAAGGCAGAAGGATGTACACGCACGAGCAACTTTCGCTTCTGCTTTTCTTCTTCGACACTCTTGGAGACGGAGTCGGCAGACGGCACACACCATACTAGAGTGACAGGCGCAATCAACTCATGTGGCTGCACTCGCATGTACACGAACGTTTCAAGCACTCTTGCGCCAGCTCTCCACTTCTCGCCCTGCCTACCATTGAGCGCCTCCGACGCAACACCAAGTGCCTTCAACAAACCAAGGATGCTGTCAAGTCGACCCTGCAAGCCGATGGTCGACATGTAGCTCATATCCCAAGCTACAGCGCCGCGTTCATGGCTCGCTCGATGAGTTGGGCGGTAACTCTTGGCTGTCGGCGACAGTGGTATACAGAAACGCCACATCGGCGTAGATGGTGGGGTCATATGTGCTCGTTTGGCGTGGAAGAGGTGAGTTGGCAGCCACGACTTGTAGATCTGGCGCTTGCGGAACTTGGCTTTGGGTACTGGCGGTGAAGCTAGAGCTGCTTTCTTGACCTTGGGCGGCCGAGATTTGACTGCTGTCGATGACTGTGCTGGCTTTGCATCGTCTGGCTTCTTCTTATCCGCTGGCGGCGCATTAGGATCAATAACCGTGACGCTCTCTGCTTTGGCCTTTTCTTTCTCGGCCTTTTTCTTGGCACCCAAAGCTCGCAGCCTTTTCGCAGTCTCCAGCCGCAAGCGCATATGCCTTGTCGGCTTTCGTTTATTTGCCGTTACAGTAGGAGTGTTGTCTTCAGCCATCTATAACCGACCCGGTTAGTCCCCTGCACAAGCCAACATCTCAACGAGTACCCACCTTCACAGCAACAACATACCTCCTTCTTCGCCCTCTCACGCAGCCTTTTAGGCACCTTTTTGACATTGTGGCTAGCCGTACGCCTTCTTAAGTCCTTCGGTACCTGTTGGAACGCCCTTCGATTGAGGGCCTTCTTGCTACGCGTCAACCCTTCCTCCAGCGCTCGAATCTCGTACTCCCGCGCCCGCACGAACTTGTCCAGGTCCAGCTCGCCATTCTTGAAGGCTTTACCTGTCGTTTGGGTTGCCAAAGTGCGTGCATCGCGTTGCTTGGCGCGATGGTCCGGTCGATGGCTGTTCTTAGGTCGCTTGTTGGGTCCGTTGGATGGTAAAGACGGCACGTCTTTACGCTTCTTCGATGGCAGTTGACCTGGAGTGAGCGCCGACGGTCCGCCGTGTGCCATCTTCAAGGTATAGTAAAGATTGACTGCATTTCTAAATCACGATACAACCACGACGGCAGGTGATCGCATGTGTATTGGGGAGGTTTGCCGAGCGGTGACAGCGGAGACTCCCGTACGCTAAGACGTGACAGTGATAGCGCGTCTTGGTGGAGAGCGCGACGCGACTTGATTTGTTCGCAACGTCTAAGATTCACTCGGTACAGCGACAGCGCAGAGCCTCATACCGTCGCCATGTCGTCGCCGTCCGTGACGCCACGTAGGCGTAGGCGCGATGAGGTGGTTGATGATGCTGTCGACGACGAGGCCTACTCGGCAGGCTCAAAGAAGCGCACACGTCTGCACGATCACTCCGAAGAAGGCTCACAATCACCAGACGAACCACTACTACCGGATAACTACCGCCGCTCGCCCAAAGGGAAAGAGCAGCGACAATCCACTCGCAAGCATCAACCCGGATCAATCGTACGCGTCACCCTTACCAACTTCGTCACATATACCAAAGCCGAGTTCAATCCAGGTCCGAATCTGAACATGATTATAGGGCCAAACGGCACTGGCAAGAGTACCCTCGTATGCGCCATCTGTCTCGGTCTAGGCTGGAGTCCAAACCATCTCGGACGTGCCAAGGACTCCGGCGAATTTGTCAAGCACGGCGCGGATACGGCTGTGATTGAGATTGAGTTGGCCGCCAACCCGAAGAAGCATGCTGAGAACCCCGTCGTCACCACGAAGATCACGCGTGCTGGTAACAAGACTGAGTTCATGCTGAACCGCAGGAAGGCGACAAAGAAGGAAGTGGAAAAGCTCATGCGAAGCTTCTCTATCCAAGTGGACAACCTCTGCCAGTTCTTGCCGCAAGATCGTGTCGTTGAGTTTGCTGCACTGTCGCCAGTCAATTTGCTTGCACACACTCAGCGTGCAGCCGCCCCGCCGCAGATGTCCGATTGGCACGAGCATCTTAAGGGCATGCGTAAGGAGCAGAAAGCAAAACAGAGCGAACAGCAGACGTTGATCGACGACGTGAAGAGCAAAGAGCACCGCCAGAAAGCGCAGCAGCATCAAGTGGAGCAACTACGCGCGCGCTCCGAACTACAAGCGCGGATCAACGCGCTGGAGAAGCTACGACCGTTCCCGCAATACAGAGCAGCCAAGGACCGCTACACAGAAGCCAAAGCACACAAGAAACATGCCGAGAAGGAGCTTGCTCGACTGCAACGCCAAGTAGAGCCCAACCTGCAAGCGGAACGTGCGAAAGAAGCGTACTTCCAGCAAGTCGAAGCCGTCGCACTCAAGCGTGGGAAGCTGCTCGAGCGGTCTGACGCCGAGGCTAAGAAGAGGTTGGACGAGCTCACCGTCACGGACGGAGCGATCAGCGACAAGATCAAGCAGTCAGAGGCCGCCAAAGATGCGTGTAAGAATGCCAAGAGTAACCTACCTCAGCTCCAGCGCAACAAGACGCACATTGAACGTGCGATGGAGAATCCACCCGCTGAAGCGGACGTGGCTGCCTACAATGATCAGATCCGAGAGAAGATGCGCGACGTCCGGGACCGCAATGACAAGATGGATGAGCTCAAGCAGGAAGTAGCTAGTCTGCAGCAACGCGGTCAACAGCAGCAGAATATCCTTGACGATGCTCAGAGGGAGAAAGACAGTCTGCACACGCAAGCCGGCCAGCAAGCCAGTAAACTCAGAACAGCATCCAGGCAGGCATATCAAGCTTATCAGTGGATCCAGAATAACCGCAACCGCTTTAGCGGCGATGTCTACGGTCCACCTGCCGTAGAACTGGCTGCCAAGGACGTCCGCCACGCGGCTGCGATCGAGAGCGCAATCGGTCAGGGCGAAATGCTTGCCTTCACGGTGACGAGCCAGGCTGATTTCAACACTCTCAGCGACGAGCTGTACAAGCATCAAGGCCTCAGCGACATCAGCATACGTGTCTCGGGCCGTCCACTTGACCAATACAGGCCGCCCTGCTCGAATGAGCAGCTGCAGTCATATGGCCTGCAAGCTTGGATGGTCGACCTTGTCGAAGGTCCCGACGCTGTGCTTGCTATGTTGTGCGACAACCGCAGTCTCGCAGCCACTGCTTTCACCACTCGCGAGCTCACGAACGCGCAATTGGAAGCTTTGAAGGCGCCTAACAGTCCCATCACGTCCTGGATTACACCAACCGAGCAATACATCGTTACACGCCGCCGGGAGTACGGCGCGGCAGGCTTCTCGGTGCGGAATACCAACCTCCGTGCCGCTAGGTTCTTCACGGATGCGACCGTACCTCACAATGAGGATGCCGAGCTTGATCAGCGAGTAATCGCTGCTAGGCGAGAGATCGCCGAACTTGAGCGGCGGAGGCAGGCTCTCAAGGATGAATACAAAGAGGTTCATGAGCAGTGTGAAGCGTTCAGGCGTGAGGAGAAAGCGATCAAAGATGAGAAGGCCCAGAAGCAACAGGCAATCGCTGTCTTCAACGCCTTGCCGACGAGGTTGAACGGCGCGGTGAAGAAGCTCGATGAGGCCATGGCCATCATCAACAGTACTGCTGATGCTGAAAGAGTGATTGGCGATGAAATTGACAAATTGACGCTCGAGAAGGGTCAGAAGGCCATTGAGTTTGCCTTGACCGTGCATGCGCTACGTGACCTTAACGTTCAGCACATCGAAATACAAATCCTGGCAATTGAGGCGAAGTCGGACCATGAGCAGCTCCGAGCACGGACTGTGGAGGAGAGGAAGATGCTCGACGTGCAGGAGCGCGAGGTGGCGCGATTGACGCAGGAGGCAGCCGCGCTGCTTGCTGAAGGCAGGAGGTTACAGGCTGTTTGTACGGCTTTGAACGACACCCTTGATGATCAGGAGTTGACGGTCTGTGACGAGATCAAGGAATGGACTATGGACCAAATGGACACGGAGATCTCCTCCGTGCAAGCACGCCTCGACATGACTGGCGATGGTGGCAATCAGCATGTGCTCAAAGAGTATGAGGAGCGTGCGCGAAAGATTGAGAAAGCGCGAAGTAAGCTTGCTGATATTGAAGCCGAGCTGGAGCGCGTTGACGGACAGATTGCGGAGATTCGAACGCAGTGGGAGCCGCAACTCGACGAGCTAATTGCGCAGATAAGTGAAGCCTTCGCGGACAACTTCAGCAAGATCCAATGTGCGGGTGAGGTGGCGGTATACAAAGATGAGGACTTTGAGCAATGGGCCATCCAGATCAAGGTGAAGTTCCGGTACGCATACCGAACCCACTCGTTCATCCTTCTATCTTGCTAACACTTCCACAGAGAAAACGAACCCCTCTCCCTCCTCGACTCCCACCGCCAATCTGGCGGCGAGCGCGCCGTAAGCACCATCTTCTACCTCATGGCCCTGCAATCCCTTGCCCGCGCGCCCTTCCGTGTCGTCGACGAGATCAATCAGGGCATGGATCCGCGCAACGAGCGCCTCGTTCATTCGAGGATGGTGGATATTGCCTGCAACGAGGAGAGCGCGAGTCAGTATTTCCTCATCACGCCGAAGTTGTTGAACGGCTTAAGGTATCATGAGAGTATGAAAGTGCATTGTATTGCCAGTGGGGAGTACATGCCGGACGACTATCGGCAGATGGATTTTGGTACGCTGGCGAGGAGGGCAGTGGCGCTGAGGGCGGGCGGGTGAGAGAGCAAGGTCAGGACAATCAACATGCCGCCTACTCTTCCTTCGACTGCTGCGCGTCTGCCTTTCACTGGGCTTGCAAATGGAGCAATGGACGAAGTAGCATCACATGGACCATGGGACCGATCATCGCTTCTCGTAGGCGACACGAAGACCTAGATGGACACCAAAAGCGTAATTCCATGCACATAACGCTTGCACGCGTTCTCGGGGTTGGTATACTGGTGCTCGATCGTGAAGGCGTTGCAATGATGCCAAGCTCTAGCAGCACCTAGCGGCACTGTACATGGCAAAGCACAACGATCATCAGCAATAGGACTCAATTGTTCGCAAGTGAGTTCCGGGAGCTAAAGAGTACGAGGTTGAGTTTGTAATCACAGCCAACGGCTTCGGCGTGGCTTCATAAACTGAATACCCACAACGGCAGGCACGCAAAGGTCCAAGCGGAGACTTTCCGCCTTCCCTGCTCACCCCGCAACCTTCACCCGCATTGCCGGTTAGCCTGCATTCAGAACCCCGCCCAGGGACCCGCATTCTACCTGTACTGCCAGGCCGCTAGAGCTGTAAACAGTGCCTTCTTGAGGCTCGGCCCAACTGCCGATAAACCTGGGCGCACGAGGTGTTCGCTCCTCGCGGAGGCTGAGATCAGTACAAGATGGAGCCTCCGTTGCTGCTGGCTGTCCGCCATCAATCACAACCATGTCGAGCACACCCATCAAATCCGTCCTCATAGTAGGCGCCGGTCCCTCTGGTCTCCTCCTTGCCTTGCTCCTCGCCACTCTATCACCGCCCGTAAAGATCACAATCATTGACGCTGCACCGACTCTGAACGAAGCACCACGCGCTACCCATTACGGACCACCAGCCATTCAACTCTTCCGCAAAGCCGGGGTCTTGGCGGAAATCAGACGCGATGGCTACATGCCGGAGAAGATCTGCTGGCGCAAGCTGAATGGCGAAAGGTTAGCGGGCTATGATCGGAGTCTGCTGCATGACGGCGGCTTGGACGGGGATGGGTTGACTGTTTACTGGGTCGGCAGGCTGTGTAGGTTATTGGAAAGGGAGCTGAAATCGCGGACAGGGACGACGGTCAAGTGGGGACATAAGGTTGTTGATGTTAAGTCTGGGCTGAAGGTAGAAGACAAGGAGGTTACGGTTGTCGTGGAGGAGCCTGAAGGCAAAACTGTCGACTACTCGGCCGACTACATCGTTGGCTGTGACGGCGGCAACTCCACCATCCGGCGGTTGATGCACGGTCAACGCAACTTTCCTGGCTTCTCCTGGGATGTGCCAATCGTTGCCACGAACACTCTCATCGACCTAGACCAATTTGGTTGGGAAGACACGCAATTCATCATCGACCCCGTCCACTGGTATATGGCTGCACGGATAGGGCCACACCCAGACCCAAAACAGAACGTCTGGCGGATCAGTTACGGCGAGAAAGCCGGACTTACCAACGAGGAGCTGATGGAGCGGCAGGAGATGAAGTTCGAACAGATGCTTCCTGGGCACCCGAAACCGAGCGAGTACAAGATCTTGAATAAGAGTCCTTACCGAGTCCACCAGCGGTGTGTGGAGAAGATGCGAGTTGGACGCTTCCTTCTGGCAGCTGATGCGGCTCATCTCTGCAACCCATTCGGCGGCCTAGGACTCACGGGTGGTATTGTGGACATTGGAGCACTGTTTCAGTGCTTCGAGGGTATGCACAAGGGTCTGGCGGACGACAGTATACTGGACGTGTACTGCAGCGTGCAGCGGCAGAAATGGCATGAGATCATCAATCCGGTCTCGACAGGGAACATCACGAGAATGTTCAAGCAGGATCCGGACAAGGCGTTGGAGGAGGATGAGACGTTGAAGATGATCAAGAGGGCCGAGACGGATTTGGAGTTGTCAAAGCAGTTGCAGGCTATGGCGAATGAGTTGGTGTATGATTATACGAAGCATTACTCGAAAGCGGCGGGTGTTGAGGGGGCAGCGAGGCTGTAATGTAGAGAGCCCTGCGATCGAAGAGGCAGTGATATGTAGGCAATTGTGTGTACGCATTACGCGCAAAAGGAAGGCACACAAGCACGTGGCCTCTCGGATCCGCGCCATGCCAAGACAGAGCTCCGCGGCCGAGGCTCGTGACGCCGAGAGTGAAAGCTTGCTTGATCCTTGAAAGGTGCAGCACGTTAAGTCACCACCAACAACCACGCGACATTGCCCGTGCCGCTCCACGGGATATAGATTGAGGTCTTGCGTTGGTGAGATATGGCGCGCAGCTTCTGCTCGTCTCCATCCGACCCTCCTTGAGACCACCCACCACCCCGTACACTGCCTGATATGGTCGTCATGACTCGGCGCATCACCCGTACCGCGATCCAAATCGGTAGCTTCATTGTCATCGTCTTCCTCCTCATCTTCCTCGCCGACTCCCGCTACAAAGTCCTCCCCTCCTCCATCCACTCCGCCCTCCCTACCCACCACGCCGGGTCAGTCATAACCGACATCACCGTCACCTTCTGCTCCACCACCAACCCTTTCTCCACCTGCCGCCTCGACCCAGACAAATGGCATCGCATCGAGAAGGATCTGTACCTTCACTCGGGATGGGTGCGGAGCGCGTGGCTGCACGTCAAGAGGAAGAAGGAGGAAGAACTAAAGGCGGATGATCAGGTTGTCGTCGGCGTGAGGGTCGGCAGGCTTGATCCGGGCGTTGGTGAGGTCGGGCAGCATAATGAGAGGTGGGAGTCTCGACCCGGTGGGATCTGGCTGTTGAGGAGCAGTAAACGGCATGACAGCGACTCGGAGAAGGCTATCACGGGCGTTGATGTGTTGTTTGGAGCGGATGCTGTTGACCCACGGCCGAATTGGGTGCTGGCGCAAACTCCGCTGCTGTTGAGTACGAGTCCAGAGGTGCAGGTCGCGCGGCTGTCCACTAGGCATGGAACGCCGAGGACGGAGAAGGAGACGGTGCCGAGGGTGAACAAGGACGGGAAGTTCAAGATCTTGCAGATCTCGGACACGCACTTCTCGACCGGAACGGGAGTTTGTAGGGATGCCATTGGAGCGGACGGGCAACCCATCACGAACTGTGAAGCCGATCCACGGACAGAGGACTTCTTAGAGTCCGTCCTCGACGACGAGTTACCAGATCTCGTGGTGCTTTCCGGCGACCAAATCGAAGGCCCACTGGCACCAGATTCGCAATCCGCCCTCTTCAAAGCTGCCGCTCCGCTCATCGAGCGCAGCATCCCCTACGCCGCCATTTTCGGCAATCACGACAGCGAAGGCACTCACTCACTCTCCCGCTCAGCGCAGATGTCGCTCCTCCAAACCCTACCTTACTCCCTCTCCGAACCTGGTCCGGATGAGTTGGCGGGAGTGGGGAACTACTACGTCGAAGTCCTCGCACCTTCACCATCGACTCACTCCGCCATCACTGTCTACTTGCTCGACTCGCATGGTCTCAGCCCGGACGAGAAGCATTATAGGGGCTATGACTGGATTAAGCAGGATCAGATCGACTGGTTCCGGAGTACGAGTCAGGGATTGAAGAAAGCGCATGCAAAATATAGTCATATCCATCTTGATCTGGCATTCATCCACATCCCGCTGCCGGAGTATGCGGAGCACGGTGTCACGGTGACCGGGGGTACTTTCAAGGAGGGCGTCACTGCACCGGGGTTCAACAGTCATTTCTACGATGCGTTGGCGGAAGAGGGAGTGGTGGCGGTGGGGTGTGGGCACGATCATGTCAATGATTATTGTGCGCTGCGACCGTCACCTCTCGCTTCTACAACACCTGCGAAACGAGATGGAGTAGCTGCCTCCGAATCTGGCACGCTAGTATCACATCACAGCAAGAAACCCCGTCTAGGACCGTGGATGTGCTATGCCGGCGGCAGCGGCTTTGGCGGGTACGGAGGCTACGGTGGCTATCATCGGAGAGTGAGGGTTTGGGAGGTAGATACGGGGGCAGGTCGAGTTGTGACGTGGAAGCGGGTGGCATGTTGTGGGGAGGAGACCAAAAGGAGGGTGGACGAGTTGGTGTTGGTTGAGGGCGGCAGCGTGGTTGCGCCCGCGTAAGTGGAGTGGTAGGCTTGATGTGATTGTGACGGGTGAAAGCAGGGCTTGTGCTTGGATTTAGCGTAGGCGCTGTGGTGCTTAAAGGATAGGTCTGTGAAGGAAAAGTGCTTTTTTCTGGTCATTATTACTGCAGTCCTGCTCCGTTTGCGTCATACTACCATGCCGACCCAAAGCCTATATAAGCAGGACTTGGCGCACGTTGGCTGCATGAACGTCGCGTGCGTGGAGAGCTATCCGTTCGCCAAAGGTGAATTACAAAGACCGTTCCTGTATGAAACGGCGCCGGCCGCCGGGTGGCGACCTCAACCAGGCACTTTGTTATCGAAATTCGTGGTTCACACTCCGTCTTCGCGGTCAACTCTGTGGTCTCAACCCACCCGCCCTCAAGCGCGTGCAATGACTTAAGATGCAGCTATGCATATTGCAGCTATATGCAAAGAAGCGCAGCCACATAAACTGCGTATGTTGAGTGACGCGCCGGTTCCGCTCTAAACTGGACGTTAAGGCTCATCGTACTCCTTGCACGTACGCGATTCTGAGCTCCCTCAGAATTATTAGATCTACTCCCTCCTTTTCTTCCCCTCCTCCAAAACCCCCGAACCGCGCTCACTTCCGGCATTCCTGCGTCCGCCAATCAAGCGTCCGATAATCGGATCCTGATAGGCCTTGCTCAGCGTATCTTCGTACGCCTCAATCGCCCAAGCTGGCGTGTTGAGTTTGGGCCAGTTGACCTATGATGACGAATGAATAAGTATATTACACAGGGGGAGAACGGCAGGAAAGACTCACATAAAGACTTCCGAAACTCCACATAAACCTACCCGCATACCCCGCCACGCCCATACACATCAGTGTAAACAGCCGCAGCGGCCAGACTGTCGCATCCGGAAGTCGCGCAGTCGTGGCGCTGACGGTGACGAAGAAGACACAGAATCCCAGCACGTACGGCACGGCTTGGATTAATAGCGGTCTTCGATCCAAAAACTGCTGCCCTTGCCCCACGGCTGCGTGATCGGGTTGATAAGCCCCCAGGAAGAGGTCAAAGCCATCCTGTCTCGGTCCGTCGGTGAAGTTGTTGCGGATATATCGCGTTACGCTGTTGTTCAAGTCTTGTATGGCGCCGGCGCGCGTCCGGTTGCCGGTACGCGTGAAATCGGTCTTCAGCGCTCCCGTGCCGGAATAAGATCTTGAGACTACGTCTGCGTTATCGGCCCAGATGTTGCGGAAGAGGTGCTCAAATGTATGATCTTCCTGCGCGGTTTCGCCCGCTTTCAATATGCCGAGGTCGGTCAGTTGACGGGTCAGCGTCCACCGACCCAGCATTGACTGCACGACGTTGGTGCGGTCGAGGCAGTCCATACAGTTTGTTCGCACGACGGCGGTTTGCTTGCGTCGGACGTCAATGGAGCCAGTGGGAGTATCGATGCCGTGGAAGTAGCCACCCGCCAACAATCCGTCGCGGAGCTGGTCGAGAAGGAGTTGGGCACGATGCCATTTCAGGCCTTTAGTTTCGTTGTGGAAGTCGAAGTAGATGTAGTGTAGGTGGTCGTACCAGCCACGTTTGTCTGCAGAGTCTATCACGTTGAAGCGTTCATTCGTTCGACGGTCGCCTTCTTGTTGCTCGGTGGGAGAGGACTGCAAGATCTTGACGACTTGTTCATAGGCGTCTTTCACTCGCATCTCGCGCCCTTTTTGGTTGACAAGGTTCACCATATAGTTCTCCCCGTACAGCCGGATCTGTTCGTCGAAGTGCCGTTTGGCTGCGCTAGTGGCAGATTCGACGCCGCGGATTTGGAGGCGGGGGGTGTAGTGGAGCGTGTTGACTTCGGCCCAGAACACGGGGACGCTGCCACGGGTTTGCACGTAAGATAAGACTTGAGTGTCTCTGCCACCGCCGATGGGCTTGCCATTGGAGAAGCCTTGGTCGCCCGCGAAGCTAGTAAGACCGGCGGAGGCGCTGTCATTAAGGATGATGGACTGTTCTGTTTCGTTGAAGTTGGAGACATGGCCTTCTTCGTCCAAGCCCCGAGACAGATATCGAGTTCCAGCTCGGTGGCGGGATCGGCGGGTGATGAGGACGAAAGTTAGTGAGTGGCCCTTGATGGAGGTGTTGGTGATACTCATCATGCCGAACATGATGGGCAAGATGTACGCGTCCGCGGCCGGATGCGGAGAGGATGTCATGGACAGACGGCCGGAAGCCTTGCCTTCCCGGAAGTCGATGAGCGAACTACACACGAATCGATTCCAGAAGAAGCGGTCGTCCGCCCGCTGCCATAATGGCTGGGACAGATCACACTGTGCCTGTCGTTGGAAGGAGTTGGTCAGGTCAAAAGAGTAGGAGAAGTACATCGGTCCCGACTTGATCTGCATTTGCAGATACTTTAGGTAGGTCTCCTCCTCGACATCCTTTACAGTCCGTTCTCGCAAGGGTAGGAACTCGGTCGAGACGACTTTGTAGATTTGGTGGCCTTTTAGTCGGCCGACAGGCGTGGATTTGGAGATGATAATGACATAGCTGTCAAGGCGGAGTTTGATGATGCCAAGGATCCCGGAGATGCTGGACACGCGGTTTCCGCCTGTGAGCTTGCCATCGTTGAGGCGGAGATCACCCGAAGGTCGGTCGACTACTAGGGTGGGAGCGTTGGGGGAGGAGGGTGAGGAGAAAGCATAGTACGTGGAGGAGGCGTGGACGTTGATGTCGCGGAAAGGGAGGGTGGCGGTCATGGTTCCGCTCCAGAAATGATGGGGTTTAAAACACTCTTATTGCATCGTGGCGGTAATGGTCCTCTTCTAGGCGTCCAGATGCATGAAAGGGAGTAGTTCCTCGTCGTGCCTACTGCGTTTAGGATGATTTCAAGGTGAAATAGTATACAGCGCCAGTGACGCAAGCCCGAAGCAAGCCACGCAGCGGCAACAGCCGGCGCAGGGCGAGTGCTGTGCAGCAGCATGTCTTGAAGGCTACTACGGGGATCCCACTAACATCCACAACGTTACAAGCTTCGCAACCCCATAGCCACGATTGTCAGCTTCGACACTGCCACCCACAGACCCCGGCGCAACACCTGTGGATTCCTGCACCACCACCCATCCGGAGTGACACGGCGTAGCGGAGGCGGCAGCCAGTCATGGCATCAAGACCACAGCAAGGCGGCAGGCCCAGCGGCACCCGCTTCGCCCAGTTCAAGCTGGTACTCTTAGGTGCATATATTGAACATGAGAGGATAAGCACCGTATGGTGCTAACATTGCGCAGGAGAGTCGGCAGTGGGAAAGTCATCGCTAGTCCTCCGCTTCGTCAAGGTGCGATAAGCCACCATACCCCCAAACCATCAAACAAAGCTCATATCGTGCTATGTGTTAGGATCAATTCGATGACTACCGAGAATCCACCATCGGCGCCGCATTCCTCACCCAGACAATCGCCCTCGACGACCAAACCACTGTCAAGTTTGAGATATGGGACACAGCAGGGCAGGAACGGTATAAGAGTTTGGCGCCTATGTACTACCGTAATGCCAACTGCGCTGTAGTTGTGTACGACATTACACAAGCTGTAAGAAGCTCCCCACCCAGGCTTAACGCGCATTCCGACTAACACGCTTGCGTAGGCCAGCTTAGACAAAGCGAAGTCATGGGTAAAAGAACTCCAACGTCAAGCCAACGAAAACATCATCATCGCCCTCGCAGGCAACAAACTCGACCTTGCCGAATCTGATCCATCGAAACGCGCTATCGAGAAGGCCGATGCCGAAGCGTATGCCCGCGAAGCTGGACTCCTGTTCTTCGAGACTAGCGCGAAGACTAGTGAGAATGTGAAGGAGCTTTTCACGGCGATCGCGAAGAAGCTACCGATCGAGCAAGCGAGTCAGAGGGGTGGCATGAGGAGTGCGGCAGGAGGCCGGCCTGGTGGCGTGGATCTTGGTAACCGGCAGGCGGGTGGGCAAACGACGGCGGGTGCGGCGGGAGGGTGTAATTGCTGAGGTGGATACATTCGGCTGGACTGTCACAGCGTGTTCTTTGACCAGCTGTAAGGACGGGGATGGCGTTATTGCGTTGATGGGAGCCAGTCGGTGGGATGTGCGAAGGGCGTTGAGGCGTGAAGAGACCATAGCATGGAAGTGACCTCCATCGAGGCGTCGTTGGAAATTACATTGTCATGGTTCGTCAAGCTTGAAGCTACCATACAAAGCAGGGACGCACTATGCCTGGTCATTATTGCTTTAGTCTCGCCTCGGGAGCGGATAATGCAACGTTAAGTTATGGTTCGCCCATTATCTACGATCTATCTTACAAACTGCGTAAGCCCAGCAGCGCTCAAACCCAGATTCAATAACCGCAAACCTGTTAATCATCGCTGCTAACAGGTAGCCAGTCTCGCCCGTCGCTGCGCTGCTTGTCATCCTTCCGCTTCACGTAGACGTACCAATTGTACGCCCCCGTGAATGCGCCACCGACAGCGTTACCGAGGATTACTGGGAGCAGACATTTCCACAAGAACTTCCAAACTGTCAATCGGGAGCCCAGGAGCATGCCGGTTGTACCCATGTACATTGACTCGACCGTGTGCGGGAACTGGAGCACGGTGGAGATGAAGAACGGTAAATGCAGACCGAGCGCTTTCGAGATTCCGTCCCGGTTCTGCGTGCCCATTAGCATGGCAATGGTGACAAGAAAGCCGCAGCCGATGGACCGCAGAAAGATGATGTGGAATTGGTTGTCCGTGAAGTCGCTGTCGACAGAACTGATGATTCGGCCACGCCAGGGTTCTTCGGTCAATGTTTCGGTCAAGTACGACTGAAGGGTTGCCCACAGAAAGGCGCCGAGGTAGTTGCCTAGCAGGGAGGCGATGATGGCGCGGATGTATTGCGTGGGTTTGCCCCGGCGCGAGAGGGCGGTCATGGCGAACCACATGCCGTAACCCGTGTATCTGTACGATGCATCAGCGCCAAATACAGCCTTCGTAGCGATAGATGTTCTGAGTGTATATACAGTTCAGCGCCGAGGAAGTACACAATCACAAGACCGATTGGAAATGTGATGCCTTGCAGCAAGCGCATCAGACCCAAATCGTTGTTGGTGACATTTGGGAAGCCCATCCCAAGGGCTAACGACAGCTCGCCTCCAGCAGATAACAGCAGGCCGCCGTAGACGTTCTTGAGGAAGCAGAGTCCCATGCCTTCATCCAGGTGATGAAGGCCGGTCTCAAGGGTTTCTTCGGCGGTATCTGCTGGCGAGAGGGCGCCGGCCGAAGCCATGGCCGCGGATTAGCAAGGGGTGGGAGAGGGTGGGACAGGTGGTGGTTGCAGTCGGTGAAGGCATCTTCACGGCGAATCAAGGTAGGGGAACGGTTGAAGTCCGGATGAAAGCAATCAATGATGCCAGAATTTCTGGCACGGGCCATTGGTGGCGCTGTGGAGCAACCCTGGGGAAACGGGGATACCGGCGGGACATTACCAAGGTACTCGGCATGGCGGAGGCTGAGGTGTCTTTGGCTGGCTGGAACCGTGGAGGCTGAGGTGCCTTTGGCTGGCTGTAATCGTCTGCTGCGTGTGATGGTGTGAGGTAGATGGTGCTTATAACATTCTCGTAGTATACGCGATCCTTGGCTAGTCTGGGTCAATGAACAGTACAACGTGAACTCTACCGCCGGCGCAATGCCGACTACCTCTTCTTTTCCCTCCTTCGATGTGCCCAACGTAGATATATGGCAATTCATTTTCGAAACTCCGCGAGAGGGTAACTTTCCTGAAAGCCAAGGTAGCCATTCCCCCAACCGTATTGACACCTCGCCTGACAAGGTAGCAGTCATCTACCGTGCCGTGGACGACTCCCGCCACTACACTTTTGCCCAAGTTCGGAGAACCGCAGAACTACTCGGCGCTGCTCTACACAACCAATACCACATAGGCAAGGGTGACGTTGTCTGCGTCTACTCACCCAATGATGTCGACTACGGTCCCGTGGTCTATGGTGCCCTCTGGGCAGGCGGCATCATCGCTCCCGCAAATCCTGGATACGGAGCCAAGGATCTGGCTTTCATGCTCACCAACTCCGGCGCTAAAGTCATTGTCACGCAGAAACCGCTGCTTGAGGTCGCTCGTGCGGCGGCCGAACTGGCCAAGCTGTCCGATGATTGCATCATCCTAATGGGAGACTATACGGGCTTATCGAACAGCAAACCGCCGCACTTCAAGTCCTTAGTCAAGTCTGACAGCACATCTCAGAGACCTGCCCGCTTAGATCCGCACAACGACTTAGCTTTCCTAGCCTACAGTTCCGGCACCACCGGTCTTCCCAAAGGCGTCATGCTCTCCCACCGCAACATCATCGCCGACGTTCTCGGCATCCGTGGCTGCGTTGGATCAGAGAACTACGGCTGGAAGAACGACCGCATCCTGGCCATCCTTCCTTTCTTCCACATCTACGGGCTTACGGGGCTGTTGCACCAACCCTTACATCGTGGGCTGGAGATCGTGGTCATGCCTGCTTTCAACCTCAATGAATTTTGCACGGCTGTACAGAGGTATAAGATCACTTTCACCTATGTCGCACCCCCGGTGTTGGTACAGTTATCGAGGGGTAGGGAAGTGAAGAAGTACGATCTTAGTTCGCTAAGGATGATTACTTCTGGAGCCGCACCTTTGACGAAGGAGTTGGTGGCTTTCTTGCACGATAAGATGGGGTTGAAGGTTAATCAGGCATATGGGTTGAGCGAAACGAGTCCGATGACACATACTCAAGTCCGTCTCTTTGCAGCCCCTACAGATCTTTCCATCTCCCCCGCGCTAACGCATTCCTTAGCCCTGGTCCGAATGGTGGTCCTCCGTCGGCTCCGTCGGAAAGCTTTTCCCAAACATGAGCGCCAAGCTCGTTTCAGGAGACGGCCGTGAGGTCCAGGCTGGCGAGACCGGCGAGCTGTGGGTGAAAGGTCCGAACGTATTCAAAGGATACTGGAAGAATGCGGAGGCTACAAAGAACGCCATCACAGAAGACGGCTACTTCAAGACCGGCGATGTCGGGCATCAGGATGACAACCACAACTTGTACATCACGGATCGCATGAAGGAGTTGATCAAATGGAATGGCTTCCAGGTCGCGCCAGCGGGTGAGTAATGCAAGAGCTCCAACTTGGCATGCCTTTGACATGATACACTAACATACCCACCCGCCTGTCTAGAACTTGAGGGCATCCTGCTTGACAGCCCGCTAGTCGATGACGTCGCCGTGATTGGCATCCACGATGCCGCCGAGCATACGGAGCTTCCGCGAGCTTACGTTGTGCCCGCTTCCGGTCGTGAGCCTTCGGAGGCGCTGGGGAGGGAGATTGCGGAATGGATGAGTGCACGGGTGGCGTACTACAAGAAGCTGAGGGGTGGAGTTAGGTTTGTGAAGGAGATCCCTAAGAGTCAGGCGGGGAAAATTTTGAGAAGAGTGTTGAAGGATATGGCGACTGAGGAGGAGAGGCAGGGAAGGGCGAAACTTTAAGTGGCCTGGTCTTCGCCACGAGGACGGAAGGATTACGGGAGCTTGTCCCGAGGCATCCGGTCGCTCGGACGAGGAGCTTCGCTTCGAACTGGAGGAACTTTGCGCTCGTCTGCCTGACGCTGGAAGGCCATACTCAAGCAGATGAGGTGCGGAGCTGGAAAGGCTTGTTGCGCGTGCGGATGTAATCTGTAGTACTGTAGGGCGCACACACGTTGTTGAAGTGGGCTGCATAAGAGTAACTCCGCAAACCCCGCCCTTCTGCCTGCACCTTGAATTGGCAGCAAACTTCAGGCTTCCCATAGCACGTGAGCAAGCCGTATACAGTGCTCGAAGGTTAAAGTAAAGCTCGACGTCGCAAGGCATGGCATCGTAGCAGGATGAGTGAAGCCGCAGACGTCAAGTCCGCCAATGTGGACGTTGGTGCAGAACCCAAGCTCGCAAGCGATCTAGCAGACCAAGCTCTCGACGGCACAGCGCAGACGAATGAGGCCGCGGAAGTCCTTCGCGATGGCGTGAACGAGGACGAAGAAGATGCTGAGGCCGAGGAGGAGGACGAGGAGGAAGCACATGCCGACGCCGCCGGTGGAGCAGAGGCAGATGATGTAGGCACCGCCGCCGGAGCAACAAAAGCGAGGAAGAAGCGGAAGTCCAAGAAGAAGAAGAAGAAAGCTGCAGATCCTACGACGGCGGTGGCGGCGGCGGGTACGGAGCCGAAAGTACAACATACAAGCGCGATGCCGAAGCCGGTGCCTGCAAATGATATACCTTCTCTGCTTCAACAACTAGCGCTCTCACAACCTTCGTCAGCTAGGAAGGAAGGTAAAGCGCCCGAAGACTACAAGTTTTGGAACACTCAACCCGTGCCCAAACTTACCGAGCGGCGGGAACCGAACCTGCTGCAGACCACGAATGGTGCGGATGCGGATGGCAAGACGTTACCTGAAGGGGCGATTCTACCTGACGAGGGTTGTAGGGCGAGTGTTAAGCCTGAGCCAGAGAGGTTGTTGGAGGGGTTTGAGTGGTGTCTGGTCGATCTGGACAACACTGAGGAGCTGCAAGAACTTTATGAGCTTCTGTACAATCACTACGTCGAGGACACAGATGGCTCCTTTCGCTTCAACTACAGCCCTCGCTTTCTTGCTTGGAGTCTCAAACCGCCGGGATGGAGAAAGGAGTGGCATATCGGTGTGCGCACTAAATCCGCGGATGATGGAAAGAAAGGTAAACTCATCGCCTTCATCGCTGGGATTCCCGTGCGGTTAAAGATTCGACAAAAGACGCTGGAGGCTAGTGAGATCAACTTCCTAACCGTGCATCGCAAACTCCGCTCTAAGCGCCTCGCGCCCGTGCTCATTAAAGAAGTCACCCGCCGCTGCTACCAAAATGGCATCTACCAAGCCCTCTACACAGCCGGTACTCTACTTCCCACCCCAATCTCTACGTGCAGATACTTCCACCGGAGTCTAGACTGGGAACACCTTTACAAAACCGGCTTCTCGCATCTGCCGCAGGGAACGACAGAGCTAAGGCAGAAGCTGCGGTACCGGCTCGAGTCCCATACGGGAACTAAGGGGTTAAGGAGAATGGAGAAGAGGGATGTGAAGGGTGTAAGGGAGTTGTTGGGAAGGTATCTGGAGCGTTTCGATTTACGGCAGGAGTTCTCCGAGGAGGAGATTGACCATTGGTTGTGCTCACATGCTAGTAATGACGTGGTTTGGAGCTTTGTGGTGGAGCAGGATGGCAAGTTGACCGACTTCTTCTCGTACTATCTGCTCGAGGTGAGTAAACTGTCATCCATCAATCTTCCTACTTGCACGAACACATACTGATAACTGGAATGTCACAGTCGACTGTCCTGAAGTCGAACAAGAAAGAGACCATCCGCGCCGCATACCTTTATTACTACGCTACCGATGTCGCCTTGTCCTCCGCTTCCAAAACCAACTCCACCCAATCCGCTGCACTCCAGCAAAAGCTGCAGGCCCGGTTACAACTCCTCATCCATGACGCACTCGTACTTGCGAACAAAGAGGGTTTCCACGTATTCAATGCGCTGACGTTACTTGACAACCCGCTATTCCTGCGGGATCAGAAGTTCGAGCCAGGAGATGGGAAGCTCAACTTCTACCTTTTCAACTGGCGAACGGCACTCTTGCCTGGCGGAGTCGGGCCAGATGGGAGGGAGGATGTCAGTAAGATGGGTGGCGTGGGTGTTGTGATGCTGTAGATCTGCAAGAATAGGGTTGGTGTGCGGGGTGTATGTACGATATAAAGATGCAACAGATCGCTTGTCCAATGCCTGCTCGTATTGTGTTGATGGACGTTGTTGCATGCATACCGGGGTATCATAGATCGACGCTGCAAACGCTTCGATACGCGTATCGCAGCCCTTTTGCTTCCGCTTATCGCAGCATGTGGACGTCCTTTCGCTGCTTGGCATGGCTCCGTCGCATGTCCCATCCTTCCGTACCCCAGGCGCACCGACCTCTCGTCTTGGACTGGTGCTCAGGACTACACCGCTATTCCTCACCGTTCGCCGCGCCATCTTGCGACCCGCGCTGAAACCGATGTGAGCTCAATCCCACACCTGCTGTACCTCTCAAGCGTGCTCCTCATGATCGCCCAGCCTCGTCCTTGATCAGGGCGACTATCATGCTGTAGAGATAGTAGAAAAACATGAGCAGGTGGAAACCAAGCTTGACGAAAGATTCCCTCTTATGGATGTTGAGCTTCCGGAAGATCTCGGTCGCATCAAGGAGATGTTGGTTGTCGAAGATCCTACACTCGATGTTAGCACACAACCCCAATGTCGATCGCTATTCGCTCGGTGTGGTGTACATACTTTTTCGCATTCCATGCCAACAAGGGCAGGTTCAACACGAAACTCAGCCAGTAGCCGTTTACGAGGAAGAGGACGGAGAGGAAGGCGTGTAGACCGGCCTCAGGAATGATATACATGTTGAGGCGGTTGCAGAGGTCGATGGGGTTGATGTAGTCGCATTCGAGATCGCTATACATGATGGTGAAGAAGACTTGTAGGAAGAGGTTGACGGCGTTGAGGAGGACGGCGAGGAGGAACAGCCATGCTTCGCCTGCGCAAGCGTTAGGAGCATGGCAACAAGAAAGATTGAAGGGATGGTATACCGGACATCATGTCTGCGGTATTGTGTCGCACCCAAAGCCGGGCGCGGGCAAGACTGGGTTGTGTGCGGTTGCGCTGGAGGATGGGTGGGCTGGATGCGGTGGATCACGGTAGGACGGAGACGGTGCAACGGGTCCTGTGGGCCTAGTAAACAAGGAGACTCTTGACTAGGTATCGGAAAAGCGAGGCAGTCGAAGTAGGCAGGCACGCAGTGGTACAGCGAATATTGCAAGCTGGTCCATCTACCCACCAAACGTCAGGGCGCATCCGTCTCTTCGGCGCCGGAACAATCTGTCCCCCGCGGTCGGCAAAAGAAGGGATGTGGGGCAGGTTTCATGTTCCACGTGCTTGCGAGTGTTTTGCAATAACGTACTCGTATCATCGTAAACGGCACAGTACAGCGCGTTCCGCGAGCAATCCATTGCACGCTAAATGACTGCTATTCATTGGGGCCAGCAGGGATTCATCAGCTCGCCGTCTTCCCTTTCTCACCACCTTCGACACCATTGATGTGCTCGCCTCCACTGAGCCCATTTGCTTCCGCCGCCCCATTGACTTCCTTTGGCATTTCCACTGGCCCGCCAGGGCTGTCCTCCAATCTCGCGGTCAAGATCTCAACGCCGGTCTCTGTTACTAAAAGGGTATGTTCGAACTGCGCTGTCCGACTCCCGTCGACCGTCACGCTCGTCCAGTCATCCGGCCACGTCTTATCCTTGTGACTCCCCAGCGTAATCATTGGCTCGATCGTGAATGTCATGCCCGGTTTCGCTTCGCCAACGGCTTTGTTCTTCGCGTAATGTGGGACGTTTGGTGCGCAGTGGAAGAGCTGGTTCACCCCGTGGCCGCAGTAAGTTCGCACAACCTGACATCCGCGCTCTTTGGCCGTCTTTTCGATGATGTTGCCATAGTCGCGGAAGAGTGCACCGGGCTTGATAAGTGCAATGGCGGCGTCAAGACATGAGCGCGCTGCCTCCACGACGCGGACGTTATCTGGGTTCTGAGCAGCAGAAGGGCCGACGTAGTACGTCTCGTTTAAGTCTGCGTGGAATCCGCCGTGGTAGAGGCTTATGTCGATGTTGAGGATGTCGCCGTCTTGCAGGGGTCGGTGGTCAGGAATGCCGTGGCAGATTACTTCGTTGGGTGACGTGCAGACGGATTTGGGAAAGTGGCAGTAGTTGAGCGGGGAGGGGTAGGACTGCGCGGAATGTTAGACGGAAGGATGGATGCTGGGGCGGCGTGGCCTTACATCTCGCTCTATGCACGCCTCGTGTACGACTTTGTCGATGTGGTCGGTTGTTACGCCGGGTTTGACCTCGCGGGCAGCGATGTCAAGGACTTCGCGCCCTAAGCGGCAGACTTTGCGCATCGCTGCTTGTTCTTTTTTATCCAGTATTCGGAGCTTGTTTCGGACCGTAATCTTCTGTTACCGCAGCCACGTTCATGTCAGTACGAAGCTCCAAACGAGTGTTGGTGGCGTGTTCGGTGGAAGAGAATGCCTACCTGCTCGCTAACCGGGACGCCATGCTGCGCGTAGTCCGGATGCTGTATTCTCTCCGGTACCGTTCGCCGTGGACTGAGTGGGTAGACGGGTCTCAGTGAGCCGGTGAAAGGGTACGCGGGGAAAGGGTTGAAGTGGCCATCTGCGTCTGGTTCAGAAATGAGTTTTGGCTTGAAGAGGTTGCCGAGCATACTGCTTTGCGCCTTATGCAGCGCTTTGTGTGTACTCTGCGCACGTCAGCCACGTTCAGAGATGTGCCGGTATTCTTGGCCTATCGCTATGATACTGACCTACCCAATTCCTCTTGAAGCAGTCCTGTCCGCAGAAGTATGATTCTTTGCCCAGCTTTTGGCACGTCGGGCATTGGAGGTTGCCAGCATCGTTGGTGCAGTCATCGCCGCTGCATTCGCGCTTGTTCGTGACCGTCACTTCGCCGGCGGGCGCTCTGAAGTGGCAGAGGGTTAGTGGGTAAAGCGGGTGGTGGTGGGAGTGGGCTTAGGGTGGGAGCTTACTGGTCCATCACGCGGTGGTTGTGGGATAAGGGTGAGTGTTGAACAGCTCTCGATCTAAGTCCGACAGCAGTGAGGCGCGTGTAAGATATAGGTGCTCTTCCAGTGGGGACTGCTACCAAGGAAACATAGAGAGGTGTGTAGCCCTAAGACCGGACTAAGAGCGTGCTAGGCCGACCGTAACTGTATTCTTAGCTTGGCGTTATAGAAGACGACTACTTTATTACTTTCGATTAACAGCTTCCCCTAGAGTAGGATCTTTTAAGTTTACTATATATATAAATAGCTTTTATACTCTAATAGTAATTAAGCTAGTATTAGAGTTACTAATATATATTTAATATCTAACTATAAATTTCTAGTCTCTTCTATAGCTTAAAATTTCGAAAAATTTCGAGAATTTTATAAATCTAGAAAGTCTAAGAATCTTAGATTCTTAAAATCTTAAGGAAAATTTAAACAAAATCTTAGAAATCTAAGAAAAATCTAAAGAAAATTAGGAGAAATAAAAAAAATTTAACTAAATTTTAAAAAGAATCTTAAAATCTAAAGAAAATCTTAAAGATTTAAGGAAAATCTTAAAAATTTTAAGAAAATATTATATACTATTATACTTATATAATAGAAGTTAAGTAATTCTATTATTATAAGTAGAGTTAGTACTTATCGAGTAGTCTAGTAGTTAACAGTAAAGTATTACTTAGTAAAAGTATAGTCGATATAAGAGATTAAAATAAAATAATAGATCTAACGAAAATTTAAAGAAAAGCTCGAAGATCTAAAGAAAGCTTTAGTAAATTTAAAGAAAATCTAATAGATCTAACGAAAATCTAGTAGATTTAATAAAGGAGATATATAAGGCTTAAGAGAAGGCTTATAAGATTCTAAATATAAGTTTTATAAAGAAGATATATATATAGTAGTAACTAGACTTACTAGAAACGTAAGAGGCGAATATAATTACTATAGAGAATACGAGTATTCGGGATTAAGAAGCGCTAGAGTCGTTAGACCTTCCTTATAGCCTAGTTCCGGCTAAGACTAGTTTATCTCTTTAGTTAGGTTCTAAGACTTATAACGGGGGTTAGGGTTAGGGTTAGGGTTAGGGTTAGGGTTAGGGTTAGGGTTAGGGTTAGGGTTAGGGTTAGGGTTAGGGTTAGGGTTAGGGTTAGGGTTAGGGTTAGGGTTAGGGTTAGGGTTAGGGTTAGG